GCTTTTACGACCTCAGCCGCCGATCTGTTCTTCATATTAGGGTCCTCTGTCCCCCGGATCACTACCTCTCTCTCCCTTCGCTGGGGCACTACAACCCGCTGCTGCCACACTGGGGCTTCACCGGGTCCCCGTCCCTGGGCCGATCCTGAGGCGATTGAGGCCCAGGATCGAGTTGTAGGCAAGGCCACGTTCTTCACCGTATCCTGCATGGTCTTCTCAACCATCGTCTGGATCGCCGCAGGAATTTCGGCAAGGGCCAGAGTCACTGCCAGTACGTCGGCATGTGTGGCGGGTCTGTCGCCCCCCTCCTCCAGCGTCCTGCCGGCTAGTTTCAACCCCAGCCAACGCTCCATCAAACCCCCCATGACCTCAATCTTCTCACGTGGGACCAAGTCGGCAATCTCTTGTTATACCTTTTGTAGTTCTCTTCCGATCCCTTCCCTCTCTGCGTTCTTTCTGCTGGTGCGCTCCACGTTCGGTGCGTGGACACTTTCGTTGGCGTGGGGGTGGTGAAAACTCTGTTCGAGTCCCGCCCGTCCCCCGTCGATCACCATCAGCGCCGCCATCGCTTGCGTCCTCGCTTCGCGTGCGATGCGAGGTCACTGTCCGACGTAAACGGTCGTTAGGAATCGAATGCCGCAATCGGGTTGATGATTTGACGCTGTTCGAAGAAGTTATCGATGAAAGTCAGAATCTCCCTTCCTTCCTGACCTAAACATAACCACCAAATTATTCTTTTCATATAACCGTCATATCACGGTCATACTACAAGATACGTGAATATCTAACAACAGTTATCTTTCCATAACGGCGTGGCAACGGCATTTGTATCTAGGTTAGATATTTATGCTCGCAGTCTGGAGGACACTGATATGCCCAGCTATACGGAAACTTGTGCGTAGAATTCTACTTGATACTTGCGCCTAAAGCCCAAATAGTCGTGGTTGGAAGTCCTGCTGCAATAGACGATCGGAAATTTGGAGCATTGGTTGAGGGTATACTCTAATCCGTCTGGGCTCGGCATGAAACGGGTCATATATACGGCGATAGCGTATTTGAGTGCTTCCTCGTAGATTGTGTCCTGCATCTCAATATAATGACTGTATAGGCCTTTGTGATTATGAGCTTACACATGTTACTTCTTGATACGTGACCCCATGGGGACTTACCCTATAGCTATAGATAAGATAGACAAGAGCGATAAAAGAGCTCTGCCAGGCCAGAATAGCTGACCTGGCATCCTTTTCCAATACAACAATTCACACCCCATATGCACTCGCATCACTTCTTGATCTTCAGTCTTATCGCTATTTACGAAAACTATCTAGCGAAAGAACGGTCAATACCCTAGTACCTATACTTGCCTATGATCTGCGCAAGTTATGAAAGGTTCATTAGGTAGTACCTTTATTATTAGTAGTACCCGGACACTATTCTAGCCCTAATAGGCTATAAAATGCAGGGAAACGACTTATTGGACTAATAGTGCAAATTGTACTGCATTGAATATGCTTATCTCTGTAGATCCTCTTCTTCAAAAGAGTGTACTGTGGCCATAAGGGCCTTACACACGTAGAAATGAACTATGCTTGCCCCACGGGCAGAAATTGTATGGTACGATGGGTGGTGCTCACATGGCCTCACAAACTGACAATTTAGTTGTGATGGCCTTGAAGGTCCAATCAATTACAGGCAAATGGAGAGATAGTGACAGAGAGTGAAGGCATGTTACGCTTATTATTTATACAGAACCAACCTCACCATCCCGTTCCATTGGATTGACGATCAAACTAATGGGCAAAATGACCGTCGAGTTGATCAAACGGCTTTCCACATTTGGTTGGGTTGACTGGTTGCTAAGGTAGTTGCCATAACTGGCTGGAAATGAGGCCACCGTTAACCTCGCCGGCGCTATGCCCTAAAAATATGCCGGCGGCTTCCGTAGTGACCTCCTCTATAGACTCATCCGGTTCACTTAGCTAGTATGTTTGCATAGCCGTCTTAAACGCTATAGCCCCTAATAGAGGGTCCGTTAGGCTTACTAAGTCGGCTCTGTACTAACTTCGTAGTGTCTAGCACATACACATGAGGTTAGCATTAAGGGTAGACCGCTATGGGTTATTTATCCTACCGATAGATGAAAATAACCGCTCGTATGATGCTAATATAAACTGTACTATAAGGTAGTCTGTTGCTATTAACGAGATCCGTGGGTACTTGAAACGGCGGTTATACTCGTAGCTAATAGGGATAAGGTGGTTGATACGTGACCCCATGGGGGGTTGCCCTATAGCTAGAGATAAGATATATAAGAGCTATAAAAGAGCTCTGCCAGGCCAGAATAGCTGACTTGGCCATCCTTTTCCAATACAACAATTCACACCCCATATGCACTCGCATCAAATGGTAGCATCTCCTCAAGATTGAGTAAATCCACCAAACCAAACCAACCATCTATCGATCGATCAAGATCACCATCACGGCCCCAGATCTATTAGGATCACCATCGCGTCACGTTCCTATCACGCACACCTTCATTAAGAGGACCCTTTCATTAGGCCAGTCTTCTACCAGCACCTAAGCATTACGATCGCAGCTATTACGAAGCGATCACTATCACAGTCTATCGAGGGACCCTTTCACTAGGCCAGTCTCTACCAGAATAACCATCCCGGAGTCGATCCACAACATCAAGCGCCCACAGCCGCCGGGCATCAAGATCTCTTCGACTTCGTTTCCTTTCATCGAGTCGAGTTCGCCGTCGCCTTCCGATCATACGATTCCCCATACTAAACGCACCAGAGCGAACACATCGTCAAGAGCACTGCCCCGAACACAGTCAAAGGTATCGGCATCCGTAGCCCCGTCAAGGTCAGATATACAGCAGCTGGCAACATGATGCAACAGTACTTTGGCCTAGCTATCGACACAAAGCCTTCGGAGACCCCGCCATACAGAACTTGGCTTGAGCAGTCTCCTCCGAATACAGCGATTTGGCCAACTTAGCAGCTCTACACCCTGGCAAGTACCCCTGTACCAAACGTACTGAGGACAGTACCATTTTACGTGTAGCCCGGCATTTTGATACGTGACCCCATGGGGGGTTGCCCTATAGCTAGAGATAAGATAGATAAGAGCTATAAAAGAGCTCTGCCAGGCCAGAATAGCTGACCTGGCGATCCTTTCCCAATAGAACAATTCACACCCCATATGCACTCGAATCAGTGGTCTAGCCTTCGCTTATGGTTACTAGCATACCAAATAGCGTATTTAGCACGGTTAATTCTTTAGTAAGCGCCTGTGGTAGGGAGGAGGTCGACCCGCCCTTAGTGCTAAATAGGCTATGATATTCAGCTTCTTAGTAGGCGTCGAAGTAGCTAGTAGTTCTAACGGCCAGTAGTCACTTTATCACACCTTCTGTACTATAGCCTTGACCGTTATGATCCTGATGCTTGTTAGGAAGTGTCTATAGTTAGGAAAGGCCTTGTGATAGGCAACTTCGGTGGCATTAGCCAAGTCCACTGATACGTGACCCTGAGGGGAGTCACCCTGTAGCCATAGATAATATAGATAAGAGCTATAAAAGAGCTCTGCCAGGCCAGAATAACTAACCTGGCCAACCTCTCCCACTACAACAATTCACACCCCATGTATACTCGCATCATCCACAGAGGTTACCGCGTGACGTAGCCTTTTGAGCCCAAGTCTGATCTTCGCGATCAATAGCTTTAGGTAGAAATCGATGTTTTTACAACTTCACAATCATCAACCAACAGAGCGTGTAATACCTTAACCTCCTGTTTATAGCCTTCTAGTACGCCTATTAATATCCCAAATACTAGAACTATAGACCAGATATTGCCGTATGAGCCAACAAAGCTATCACGGTGGTAGCGGATCTGACCATCGCCTCTAAGGGGACGGATAACGGTCTCGAATGTGTGAGGATGTCTTCAAGGTAGCTGGGTGTTAGCTAGTTGGCGTCCGTTAAGGTCCCTTCCTCGCAGAAGAGCCTGAGCAGTGTAATACCAGATTGATAGTACTGGCACCATAACGTTTACGGTTAATTACATCCTACTTATGCTTCGTCAACGCTAGAGGACCGCCGAGATGATAGCGAAAGTTCCTACAGGCTAGAAGGGGCCTCTAGCACATGCAAATTACTAAAAATAGTGAGCCCTTAGCCTTGGCAACTACTTGGCAACCAAGTCACCAACCAAGTCTTCAAATTGATATGACTTGGCGAACAAAATCTGGAGAATTGGCGGGTTGGGTTGGCTAGTTGATGTCAACCCTTGGCAACCAGCTTGAAGTAGTTGAGTTGCCTCGAGGCTTGGCCCCAACTATGAGGCCCCTAATTGGGTATTCGGACCGCATCAGCCTTTGCCCTCCGATGGCTGTTTTTCCGCTTCCGGCTACAACAGCCAGTTGACGGGACATTGGACCCTAGCATCAAATCCTCTGGTGTATCAGCCACTGTGATAAATCAATCTTAAAATGTGCAGCCAAGAGGTACATTCTTCTGAACTCAAGGCCCTTATGGCTACCTGCACTCTTTTAGCTTGCGAGACACAGACTATTCAATTCTTACTTTGTTATAGCTTGCAATAAGTTGGATAAAATATCTGGCGTATCAATATCGCTCATATGTTGAGATATGATCAACGAGTTCAGCAAACCCCCTAACCATAACCTTGACTGCATTTAAGTGCTCTAAAATGTATGAAACATGCCTTTTATTCTCTCTGTTAAGCCTTCAAGTGCATCCAAGCGATATTACACGGATAGTGCAGCCAACGCGTATTTCTGCTTCCCATTCCTAGCAGCAATCCATCTCCACTGTAATTTGGGTGATTGAGATATCCTTGGGGCTATGTATCGGACTTATTGCAAGCTACAACAAAGCATAGGATTGAATGTGTCTGATCTCTCCAAGTCCAAGGGAGTGAAATTGGCCATAAGGGCCTTAAATACAGAAAAGTGTGCCTCTTGGCTGCTTCCACCAGAGCAAGTTTAAGATAATCAGCCGTTGAGCATGAAAGAGCTGCAAAGAGCTGGCAAGCGTGCACTCTTGACCAGCAGACACCGACACCTAACAGCACATTTAAATTTGGCGGCAGTCTATGATATCACATCAATTCGCTCTGTTCAAATTCCTTCCTCCCTCCCCACGGCCAGTTCTTCCTAATGTGAAACGAGACTTGACTACGCTAAACGAATATCTTATCATGGTTGTATTCCGACCACCGAATATCGGGCTCAATCCCAGCAAACTTCCACACGCCATCAACCCTGCGATACCAGATAGTCCCCTTGCCATGAGCATGTCCCTTCACCGCGATTTCTGTCAGCGCATCATCTGCGTATTTTTGGTGCGCCACGCGCATCTGATGATAGCCAGTGATTTCATCCTCGCTGGTCTGGACCCATTTGGTTGCACCGACGAAATGCTGCGTCTTTATGCGTGGATTTCCGAGGAATTTAACGTCGGAGGCCATGCCTAGGAATTGCTCAGCGAACATGGATTCCCAGAGCTTGTTGAGGAAGGCGCGGTAATCGATCTAGGGTAGATAGGCCTCGTTAGAATTTGATACACCTAGATTGCAGAGAATAGCAAGACACTGACCCGGAGAATGGGCGCGATGCATTTCGAAAGCCGTTCCCAGTCTTTCGTGTCGTAGCTCTCGGCCCATTCATAGAGAGCGGCTTGGCAGCCTAAGACATCTGTGTTTCAATTTCAATACCTGGGTTCGTGAACAAGAGAAGGGGGTTGGACTGACCCTCATAGGCGGGTTGTTTAGTCATGCTGAGATTTTATAGGATTGAAACGGAAGAAGCGTGAGGTGGACAAGCAGGGAATGGACACCCTCTAATCTTCATGGTGACTGGCATAAAGAAGAAACATCCAAGTGCCCCTGCGGTCTATATGCTATTTAAGTGAAGTGCGTGCTTACAGGGTTCACCACCAGCAACTGTTGCATCGACAAATTCTCGCATTCCCTGAGCGAATCCCAAATCCCGCTGCAGGTACATCGGTCGAGCAGACCAAGCACAGTGTGATCCACAACTAGGTGCTCAAGGGGCTAATAGTCCCAACCATACTGTCTGGAATCAGACGGATTCTACTACAAAGTTCCTATTGCGGAAAGAGGAACCCAGACCCGCCAGTCAGACCATAGTATTGCTGTCACCGAAATGTGGACCTGCACCGGAGTGCATATGCTAAAGCTCATTTCTCCTCAAATATCGGAATGTAACTTCCGTCAAAGACCATCTCCGTGCTCGCAGAAACGTGCCGAGTAAAACCCGAATACATCTCAGCGGTGGCCGACAGCCCCACTATAGGACTCTTGTCGGTTCCCGAACGGCGCCCGGAGTGGAGCCCGGATCGCGGGAAACTCGGCTGACTGTCCTAATACTCCGTTCCTTGCTTGGTTCGCTGTAGTAACGATGGAAAGAAAGCGCATATCATGAACAATTTGTCTCATTCTTTTTTGTAGAAGAATACTGCTCATTGCACAGCATGCCCCCTTCTGTTCCCACACACTCTAACATGATGACCCCTTACATCCCCTACCGCCTCGACGGCAAAGTGGCCCTCGTCACTGGCTCTGGCCGCGGCATTGGCGCCTCCATGGCCATTGAATTGGGTCGCCTAGGTGCAAAAGTCGTCGTCAACTACGCAAACTCGGTCGAGTCAGCCGAGAAAGTGGTCGTCGAGATCAAAAGCCTGGGATCTGACGCGGTGGCCTTCAAAGCCGACATCCGCCAAGTGCCCCAGACCACTAAACTAATGGACGACGCCATCGCCCACTTCGGCGGACTCGACATCGTATGCAGCAACTCGGGCGTCGTCAGTTTTGGACACTTGGGTGACGTGACCGAGGTACGTGTTTCTTTCTTCATTCTCGCTCAAATCAAACAAGGGAGGATCAACCCGACGATCCCTATATCCTAACAACATCCATCACTTAATACAGGAAGAATTCGACCGTGTCTTCAGCCTGAACACGCGGGGGCAGTTCTTCGTGGCGCGCGAGGCGTACCGCCACCTCAACGAGGACGGGCGTATCATCCTCATGTCGTCCAACACGGCCAAGGACTTTAGCGTGCCCAAGCACGCGCTATACTCGGGGTCTAAGGGCGCCATCGACTCATTTGTTCGCGTCTTTGCGAAGGATTGCGGACATAAGAAGATCACGGTCAATGCTGTGGCGCCGGGGGGTACGGTTACCGATATGTTCCACGATGTGTCGCAACATTACATCCCTAATGGTGAGAAATATTCCGCCGAGGAGCGGCAGCAGGTGAGTTTAGGTGATGCTTCTTTGCATGGCATATTTTGGCGGCTGAAAGAAGCCCGTGCTGATATGGCATGATAGATGGCAGCGCATGCATCGCCTTTGGTCCGGAATGGCTACCCGCTTGATATTGCGCGGGTCGTGTGCTTCTTGGCTAGCAAAGAGGCTCAATGGATGAACGGGAAGATTCTGACCGTTGATGGCGGAGCAGCATAAATTGTTGGTTTGGCCTTGGTAGTTAAACCGGCATGTATGTGAAGCTGAGCTTTTCTCGGATGATGATTATAACGACGGCATATAACGGCATAGATACCGAGGTGCAGCTTGGCGAGGCTGGTGGAAATGCTTTAATATTATTTTTCATTCCAACATTTCTTCCCAGTCCATTCCATTTCCAAGTCGCCATCAAGCACGTGGTTAACTGCAAGTCAGTCATCATTGAATATAATCCACGAATCTTAATCTTTGAAGAGGCTGGTCAGGTTGTAGAAGCTTCTCGCTACTGTAATTCATGTTTCCATTATAGTATAACACATGTAGATCGAGCCCTCTGTTCCCTCATATGTGCCTTAGCTTTCGAACCGCCAAAACAGTCCCTCATATTTATTGTTGCCTCGACTTCGCTGGGGTAAATCCTCATTGTGTAATGTTCTTTCCCAACTTAAGGTCGAGGAAAGCTCTTCTTTGCAACTGTTCCTTGGCAAAGGCCAGGAAAGTGGTTTTCAATATTCGACGGTTGTTCAGAGGTGGGAATGTAGAAATGGCGACCGCTATTCTGGATACGTACTTTTATGGTCCTCATCTGGGCGAGACACTGTTGCATTTGGGCAGATTGTGTCGAATGGGATGTCCAACTAGAAATGTTCTCACCGGGTTCGTCTTACGGTGCTCAAGTTTTTGTTATGTAATTAGTCCGTTCGACTCGGGATTTTACTTATGCTGACCCGATTGCCTATATACCGTTGACCAAATACACGTGCACATGCTGGACTATTGCCTAGCTTACTTCGCCGTGGCTTGCAAAATGCTCACTACTTGCCACGGCTCAGAAGCTTTAACGCTCTTACGGTCGCGGGATGGGAGAATTGTCTATGCAGCGGGAGGATCTTTAAGCAGACAGAGGCTTTAGGTTCTAGAGCTGACGTGGGCTTACATCACCAGATTATTAAGCTTACCCCAGTGCATATCACCTGTGGTTTACATGCAGGATTGAAAGGCTAACACGAAATGAGCCTTTCGCCTTCGAGACACCTCGATCTTTGTTGTCGGCCGAACATGAAATGGAACTATTGCCAATCTCCGACCTAACGTCGGGGTTTTCACCATATCACATGCATTACAATCTTCCGATAACACAAGAATCTGAAGCGAATTCCAGACCAGCAGTGTGTTTATCCCGCAATGCAGTCTGGAGGACCCAGTTCGCCCGAATATGGCATGTAAACCAATTACCTTGAAGTCCTTCATTACCGGTAGCGTCAGGTTGTCGGCTTGTCTCCCATGAGAGTGGGTGGCTTCGTCGCTATTTACCTCGAAGGTCTTGATGATCAATCAGATGTTTTGAGTTGGCTACTGGGCAAACATACTCTTCTCTGCAATCCCCGAGTCTCAACATGGCTGCAACAGCCCAAATCCAAGCAGCCACGCTTGAAAAGTTCATCGCAGGATGGAAGAAGTGGACACCTGAAGACATGATGGCAGTCTGGTCTGACGACTGTGAACAAAGAATGCTGCCTTTCTCACTGGGCGTTCCACCCCGTTCTCGAGCAGAAGTCAAAGTCATTCTGCCTAAGCTCATAGAGGTTCTGACCAATTTTGAGGTAAGCAGGTCCTTTTTTTCTGGACATAATTCCGCGCGGAGAGCTTATTCTTTGAGTTATCAGCTCGAGGTCTACCAAGTTATCCACGATGCTGCAAAAAGCAAGGCTGTCATCTATGCGACGACGAGGGCAGATACGCCCTTCGGAGAATTTAAGTGCACCAACGAGTACGCAGTCTTTGTGACATTCACAGAGGATGGAAAGCAGATTAATAGAATGGAAGAGATGGTGGATACAGCATTCTATCAGGAGTTTTTCCCGAAGTTCCAGAAATATCTGAGCGAACAAAGGGCTTCAGAGTGAATAAATAATACTTGAACAGATCCTCAATTGTCGTCTGCACCATACACAGTTGACTGATTCGTAAATAATATTGACCCACTTCCATACATGGAACACTGCATTGTGTGTATCTTAAGGAAGCAGCGCCCTCTTCAAGATTGGTGGATGTCACAGGAACACATGCAGCAATCCAATCATATACCATCAGCAGTGAAACCGTCACATTTGTATCACAGACGGATCGCGGTGGCAGGCAATATCCGAGCCCGGCACTTAATAAGGTGACAATCGGGTTGTAGTATCCTCGGCTTGAATGCCAACCACCGGTCTACCACGAGACTCGGCGGAAAATGTAACCGACCCGTCATGCAACCACATTATATTTCTCATCTCACATAGGGTTCTGTCCTGACAAAGTGTTCCTCATAGTCTTAAGTAAACCATATTCTGCTTGATGCCGTGTTCTTAACTGTGGACTCGCACAATCAAACCGGCAGCACCCAACAACATGGCCACGTACGCAGTCTTAGGTTCCACCGGCAACTGCGGCACGGCACTCATCCGCACTCTAATCCAGCGCCCAGCCGCCCGAATCCACGCCTACTGCCGTAGCAAGTCCAAACTCCTCCGCCTCGTCCCCGAAATCTCATCCAGCTCCCAAGTCGATATCTTTGAAGGCGGCATCCAAGACGTACCCCTCCTCACCACGTGCATCCGTAATTGCCACGCCATCTTCCTAGTCATCTCGACAAATGACAACACCCCCGGTTGTAGCGTCAGCCAAGAAACGGCCATGAGCGTGATCCGCGCCCTCGAGAGCCTCAAGCAGGAGAAAGAGTACACAGGTGTCCCAACTCCCAAAATGCCCAAACTCGTTCTCCTATCCTCGGCCACCATTGACGACCAGCTCTCTCGCAAAACGCCCTACCTCCTGCGGCAGATGCTCCTCCGCTCTGCGTCCAACGTATACGCTGATCTGCGCGAAACGGAAAAGCTGCTTCGGTCCCAAGAGGACTGGCTGACGACCATCTACATCAAGCCTGGCGCGCTCTCGGTCGATGTGCAAAGGGGCTATGCGTTGAGTCTGACTGAGGAGGAGAGCCCGCTTTCGTATCTGGATTTGGCGGCTGCCATGGCGGAGGCGGTGGATGATGAAGATGGGAAGTACGATGGACGGAATGTCGGGGTGGTAAACACGAATGGGAAGGCGAAGTTCCCGGCGGGGACGCCATTGTGTATTTTGATGGGCTGTTGAGGCACTTTTTCCCGGGGTTGCATCCGTATTTGCCATCCACTGGGCCCCGTTGAGTGTTCTGATCGAGATCAAGGGCAGATGGGTTCTATAGTCTGTTTGATCATGCAATCCCTATTTTGAGTTGAAGCTCGATTTGATGTTGGAAGCCAATAGAAGGATATTCTGAATGCATGAGATCTGGTTAAACTAGATATATCGCTTGTTGAAGCTGGTTTTATTGTCAGTAGCCATATGTGGTTGAGAGGCTTGCCCCCCCAGAAGATCCTTCGTTCAATCCAGCCATCATCAAGTGGGGAAAAAAACAGCAGAACAGAGCACAATACGATATACTTTGGAGCCAGTAAGTAACTGTTGCCCCTAGCTGTTAACATTCATGTGTTTTGCAATGACGCATACTCGTCTTGCCAGTTCCCCCAAATTGCATTTGTATTAGAGGATGTTTTTCAACAAGATGAAGTGTTGCACGTAGATACAAAACTTCTCACGGTGGAAATGATTGCAATTATAAAAGTTGTGTCTAGTTTAGATAGTAGAACCGGTGAAGCGTCTATCTCCCTACGACCAATCGCCATCCAGCAAATGCTCTACCCTCTTGCCGTCGGCAATATCCTGGTGAACCTCCTCAATGGTCCAGGGCACAAATTTATGGCCCGGAGGATAATTGGTATTGTCGAACTCGGCACCCGCCACCAGATGAGCAAAGGCCTGACCATACTTCTCATACACATAGGCCTCGGGATCATGGCGGAAGACCCACTTGGGAAAGCGAAGGCGGACCTTCTTGGGGTCTTTCTTGATGGCATCCCAGTCCGACGTGGCGTTCAGCAGCTGCGAGTTGACAAAGGCCATCTTCTGGGTGCAGCTCACGCGCTGGTACCGCAGCAAATTGTAAATTTTGGCCCCGAGCGGCGCACCGGCCGCCCCGGCACCGCCACCAGTTGACAACTGCAGGCAGGAAGCCAGAGTAATTGCATCCTCGATGGCCAGGGTCCCACCGCTGACTGATGCCGGAACAGTGGAATGCGCCGCATCGCCGAGTTGCACGACCCGCCCCCCCTTGGACGTCCACTCGCGCCGCAAATTCCGCCACAGCAGCGGCCAGTGGATGACGGCTCCCCGGGGCGCAGTGCGCACAAGTGCCTCGATGGCCGGGTCCCAGCCAGGCACCTTCCGAAGTACCTTCACCACATCGACCGGGTCGACATCCGGGTCCCATGACTCGCGCGGCTTTTCAGTGCCCTCAACTAGGAACTCATCACGAGGAGTCAGCCCGAAAGCCACCAGCTCCGGCGACACGAACAGGCCGATATGCATCCCTGGCGCCAACCAGAACTCGTTGGTCGTGACTGCACTATCACCGGGGCCACGACACCAGCGCTTTCGCACCGTTTCGTCCCGAAAGGCAAGCTCCCCCGGGAACGCAGTCCGGAAGACTGACATGCCGCTCGACTTTGTAGGCATATGCTCGCCCGCCACGAGGAGCTCGGAGCGCGACTTGAAGGCATCAGCAGCGACGACGAGGTGTGCTACGCGGACCGAGCCATCGGCAACCACCACGCCGCCCAGGCCAGCCGGCTCGTCTTCAAAGTAACGGTCTACACGCTGGCCATAGTCGACTTTGAGACCCAGCTTGGCCACCTGCCTCAGCAGCATCCGGTAGAACTTCTTGCGGATCTGCACTGGACCCACGGGCGGAAGACCCTCCCGCTCGGCCAGGTGTTCCGGATCGTTGTAGCTGGGGTCAGAGGGCCCGTAGATGAGCTCGCCGTTGTGGCGAAGGTAGTACGTGGGTGCGTCGACGAAGTCTTGCTCCAGCTCGCGCCGCATGGCGGGCCAGTGACGGATAATGGATGTAGCTGAGGGCTGGATGATGATGAGGTCTCCTTTGGGATGATATTATGAGAAACTATTTTGTGGTTTGTATTTATGTGAGGGTGAAAAAAGGAATAGACGAACCGCTGTAATTGGGGCCTTGATTTCGCTCGAGGATCCCCACCACGTTAAGCCCCTTTCTCCAGCACTCCAGGGCTAACAACAGCCCGCTGAAGCCAGCACCCACGATCAGCACGTTGACGTGCGTTTCTGGGTGGCGTTGCGGGAGGTCATCTGGGCTGCTAAACGTCCAGTTTTCAGGGTCGAATTCATGTTTGTCGCCTGCGGCGAAGAACTGATGCTGAGATATACTTCCCATATTGGAAACTCGATAGAAATCTTGAACAGAGGCTTAAAGCAGTAAGGAAGGAATAGGGTGATGGTTACGAGCATGTAATTATGCCTGTATCAATCCTTAAAGCATTTTTCGACACAACCTAGTGTTCAGACTTGAAGCGTGTTATCTCTTATACCGATACACCCAGTGAAAGAAGCAAATCCCATGTAACCCATGTGTAGTAGGGAAATCCATTTGACTCTGGTACGATAACCTTGATGTGCTTGGTTCTGGTAGGATATGGGGTCCCGGAAATTCGGAAACGCGATCTAGCTCCTTCCCCCGCCCCGTAGCAATACCCCGAAACGTCAGCTACATTATATCAACCCATATTACTGACGATCGCTTGTGGCTGCTGATGAGACGTCGGGTATCGAAAACCCCCAAGCCAATCGCTCGTCTACGGGGGTTCGGTCCATTATGTCATGCTAAGTCCGATTTATACACGATTTATCGGCCGTAGCTAGCGGCAATCTAGCCTAAGCGCCCGATTCTACATTGAGAAATATTGTAGACGTGTTCCAAAGTGGACAGCTTATGCGTCATGAAATTTGAGAACAATAATTTTGTTGTAGTGATGCGACCTTGGATCGCCAGCCAAATTGACATAGTCATTAATATCTCTGAAGTTATTGAGTTTACCGGTGGGACTTCGTTGTTCTGAGACATGTCGAAGGCAGTATCATTTGATCAATTCAAATAATGAAACGGTTAATTCTGCATAAACCAACGAAGCACCCACTATATTAGCGCACGTTACTCGCCAGCAATCGTAGAGTAATATAACGCAAGCACGTCTCCATTCGTTGTTACTGAACTCCTTCAAACCACCACCAGCATCTTACTAACCATCTCATCCCAAAACACCTCCGCAATCGCTTCCCTATGTTCCGCCCAAGGCCCCTCATCATTTCTCACATCGAGCCCCAGGTCCTCCCCCTTAAACCCCTTATCCAAGTATTCAAACGACGGGAACTTCATATTCACCATCCTCTCCACAACGCGCATGCCAATGGCCCCAATCACGGTCCTTAGCTGCTCGGCGCACTGCAAGCCCCCATGCCCTCCAAAGGTGATGATCATAGCCGGCTTCCCCTTCCACTCATGAAACAGGTAATCGATAGCGTTCTTGAGCTCCGCGGGGATCCCCCAGTTTCTCTGAGCCGAGAGGAAGACGAAGGCGTCGTACGACGCGATGTGCCTCCCCCAGACACGCGTGTGTTCGTGCTGGTAGGCCTCGGGGGACTTGATGCGGTTGGGGATGCCCGGCTCGTCGAAGATGGGCAGGTTGAAGTCTTTGATGTCGATTATGTCGACGGTGGTGCGGGATTTGAGGGTGGTATCGGCGGAGGATGATTCGGAGGGGCCGCCGGTTTGGACCGTGTCAAGGATGAATTTGGCAACTTGTGGGCCTACGCGGACGACGCGCGTGCTGCCGATGATGATGCCGATCTTGAATGTCTTGCTCTCTGCCATTGTGTTCTCAGGGGTGGAGGTGGGGTGGGCTTATGGGTAGGTGTAAGTGGCAGGTGGGCTGGAATATGGTCTGATAGGCTTGCTGGTCGAATACTAGTATCTAATTCAAGCCTGGTGTGAATGCGGTTAGGTCAGAAAGACAATCCATCGCATAAAAAAGTATTTACAACAATGGTTCTGTGCTCTAGTACTTGTACGTTTGCATGCTGTATTATTTGCGGACCACAAGCGAAGAAGCCAATCAATCGGAGATTTTTGTGATGCTCTTCTCAATGACAAGCAAGCATATTGCTTTATTATTAATAGCCTCCAACAATCGGACCCTAAAATTGCCGAAAATGCCGATTACCCCGACTCGATTTCGTCGTTACTGAGGGATCCAGTCCTCTATTGATGATTCTGTGTAGATCCTCGCTTCATTGGTGTATCTACGTTGTACTGCGTTGCTACTTTTTTGTACCCCATTGGTAGCCAGAAGTCCTATGGGGAAGGTCTGATCCCACTAGGCTACACTTGCCGCTACGCCTTTGGCCTAGAGCATAACCGTGGCGCTCAATCCCACAGTTACTAGGTGTTTATGCAAACTTGAGTACTCAATAAATTGTGCTCAATAAGTCCTGCTTCATAATCCCAATGCTTCAACGCCGTGTTGCCAAGATGACTTTTGCAGGCCAATAGCCTCGAACTAGTTTCCCGTCTCTGAGCAGGTCCTCCAATTCGCGAAACATCTCGGTAAAGGCTGCAGTATTCTCCGCAACAAATGGAAAAGACCCAATGTGCTCTTTAACGCCATCCAGATCCATTTCAAAGCCCCACCCCTCCTCATCCTCAAAGACCTCCACGTCCTCCGGTCCAGTGTAATCCGGCTCCGTATTCCTGTACGCTTCCTCCGGCGGCAAAATCCCAATGATGCCCCCCTTCCCCATGTTCAAGTGCACCCTCCTCGCCCCAGGCAAGAACAGCCCCGAATCAAGCGGCGCCACGTTGTAACTATCCTGGGTCCTCGCCATGATCCTCGCCGTCTCCGCCGGCCGTTCTGCCTTCTTCAGTAGCACACGGCCCCCCTGATGGCTAATACGCTCCCACAAATCCTGCAACTTCTCATTGTGAAATCTCGCTGGCCCAAACGCACCACAGGCAAAAGTCCCCCCGGAACGTAACTGCTTGGCAACAGCCCCCATTGCTGCCTCTTGATCGGGGAAGTGCATCACATTGGTGGCGAACACCATGTCTACGCTTCCCTCAGGTATATCGTCCACCTCTTCCACCTTGGCGGCGCGGTAGCTGTACCCGTCAATGCCGAGACGGCCTTGGGCAAGCTCGACGTTCGCAGCTACGATATCCGAGATGATGACATGGGAGAATTTCGCACGGAGCTTCTGGGCGTAGGGCCCGTTGCCGGCGCCGATGTCGTGGGCGGTGCTGAAGCGGCCGCCTTGAGCGGCGTGGTAGGCGAAAATGCGATCGAAGAAGGAGTCTGGCGCCCGGGGGCGGCCTTTGAGGTAGTTGCTCCAGAACTTGGGGTCTTGAGCGAACAATCTATTGTTGGAGGCCATCGGGGGTGCTAGTGGTGTACCAGAGTGAAAAGTGGAGGTGGTGATGAAAGTGAAACCAGGGATTAAAGGGTTGTGTGTGTGTGTGTGTGTGAGTTTCTAATTCTTGTTGATATTGGGCTGTACGTAAAGTGATTATGTCAAGCCTTTAGGTTAGTTGCTTATTTACTATTCCTCAAAGGATCATGAAGCGCGCTTAACGATGCGATTTATCCCACTCTAGCTACCTATAGACGGATGTCACGAATGGTATATTGAGGAATGTTGTCCGGACTCCGGCCAGAATCACGAATTCCATCGATAGTATTCTTCGGGGAAATCTAAGCATCTCAGATCGGCGGATTGTGTCAATCTACCGAGCTGCTGTCATATTGCTTTTCTATTGAACCCGAGTATCTCAATGGAGGTCATCAAGGAAGGCTACATCCAGCAGACTTTTCATGACACCCAAGGAGAAGATGACGGGCTAATGCTGAGGAAAAACAAGTAAAATTTGGAGCTTAATAGACGATAAACTGTAGTAAAACACGCTGATAAATTTCCACCAAGGGGTGACTTCTAGTCGAATGGCTGGAGTTCGCACTGCGACAGACTGAAATGAGCACCGGACAAAATACCGGTCACCACCATAATTTGACTCCAGTGTACGCTCCGACCCACCGATAAACACCTTGTTATTAATGTACTATAGTAGCTGTCTGACTCATATGAACCTCCAAATGGTTCTCCCGAGCGGTGCCTCCCTGCGGATCCCCGGTCGACCGTCCGAGTGGGTCCTCTGCCCACCTGCGACCGACCATCCGAGTCAACACTCCGGTGGTTCTTCCAAATATCTCACGCGGAATGAATGTTCGCCCGACATGATCCAACGTCAGCGGCCGAACCATATTTCGTGTTTTATGATAACTGATAGCGACTGCCCGGCCATGTTCACACGGGCAGATTGGCTTGCCTACACCGGACGCGGCTCCACTCCGCGGTCGGCGACGCACACCTGGTACTTGACGACAAGAGCGGCCACCAGGCTACTGGGTGAGCGCAACTTGTTGATTACGACCAGCTTTCCTGAGCTATCGCAGACCGAGTCGATCATGTCGAGCAGCTCGACCATCTCCATCTCGCCCTCATTGGCCAGCTGCAGCAGGGCGAGATCGCGCGCGCGCGCGCTAGTATCGGCGCCCGGGAGGGACACGCACCCGGGTTCTGGGAGCAGCCGCGACGTAAAAATAAGCATGATGCCACTGCTGGCACGGAGTATACCAAGATGGATCCGCAGCTCGGCAAGGATGACGCTAGCCGGGGATGACGCAAGGTGGAGGATGTAGACGGCTGCATTAGTGGCTGTCTGCCGGGTGCCCGGGGCACGATTGGTCACCGTGATGCGAGAACTGTCCATCTCCCCGCCACTGACGTCCGGCGTGGGCGTTGGAGATTCGCTCATCTGCACGACGAAGTGAAGGGTTGGATACAGACGCGCCAGATTTTCAGCCGTCGAGGTTGAGTGGCCCCCCATCTGCCGTTCTTAGTCAGTACACTAACTGTTGATGCAATGTGATAGATACAGATTAGGATTTTACCTCGACTATGCACGCATTGCTGATGTTGGACCAATTGAGCTGTGTGAGAATGTCGGCAACGTTGTCAGCTGCATGCAGTCCTCCGGCATAGTGTAGATAAGCAGACCACTGGCGACTCAGCTTGGGCCTTTCCTTGCGTGCCGTGTGGAAAGGTTTCGTTGTGTTGAAAGCCAGGTTATAGGCGCTCTCATTGGGCCGGCATGAGTCCCCGAACCGCTGGGTGGATGGCGCCATTTGCAGCGCTGCCGGGGTAGCAAATTCAGCAAGAAACATCCCCGCATCGAGGAATGAAGGATTCTCGACAAAGGAAGCTGACAAGGGTGTGTGGGCTACATGCCCCATCTGCGGCTCGTCCAGGAAGCCCACCGTCGCTGTCAGTCGGATGATGCGGCATAGCTGCGGCTCGGGAACACTTGACAGGTCCGCTACATCCTGGATGGGGACGCTCCCGGTCAGGGGTATACAGGCCAGAATCTGGAACTCCCCTAGCCATCCCAGGCAAGCGAGGATTGCAACCTGACTGGATTAACTCGAAAACGAACCGTAGAGGTTTTGTGGATAAGTTGCAAACCTGACTAGCCAGATGTTCAAGGAAGTCCGTTGGCCCACACATTAACGTCTTGATCCTCGCAACGTTGGCGCAAATGCTTCTTTTCGCTCGATGCACTTCTTTGTGGGCTTCGGAGTCGATCAGTAACTGGTCAGCGACACTTTGCTGGACATCAGCGCCTCGACAGTAGCTGGCAAGACTCCTCACAGCCCGCGCAAGTTCGTTGCTGTGGCTTTCGAGCTGGGTGAAGTTATCCATGGTAACAAATCAAATCCACGTACAAGTATTGAGGGTAATTATCAGCCCGTGTCTTTTTGAGGTAATGTATGCTGTAGAGATGACCGGATGTTAAATGCACGCTTATACGGTCTTCCTAAGACAGTATTACCGATATCACGTAATATGAGGATTATTTGGTGTGACTAATACAGGCCGTTCCTCAACCCCTACCTGTCCCCTTGGCAGTGTCTCTGGGGATTTGAATCAAGTGCCGTTAAACATCACTGCCTTTTAAATCCGACGAGGAGTTTCCGACGATGAGTTTCCGTCGCCGTGTTTCAGGAACTATAGAAATAACGAGCAGTTGTGTAGAGGCATCTTCACAGATACCACCAACCACCAACACCCACAACCCCCCCCCCCCCCCTCAAGTTCACACCCCACATTTGCCCCACGCCTTAGCGATGCAGTATACCAATTAGGAAGGTGTGTATTCGGAGTAAGCTTTGTTTCAGCTTTAATACAATATCATGTAGGTAAGACGAATAGACCGGCTTCTTTAGAATTATAGATTTCCACCTGGCAAGAAAGAGAGGGTGTGAAGGACTAGAACCTCTCCAATCACATTTTCGAAGGGGCTTAGTAAAGCCCTCCTCACCCCCCTCATGCAAATTATGAAAGGAAGTTTCTTATCATTAAGGTGAGTTTATGCTCCTGAAGACGGCGTGATCTTGACTTGTTGACTTGAGTGGTATGTAACAGAAGGATACAGGTCCTGGGGTCAATACCGGAAGGTTTAGGTTGCGGGGGGGATCGAAGCACGCCTTATAAGCTAAAAACGTTCGTATGGAGTAGCATCGATCTGATTCCCATATGGTGGATTAACTTATCTGAACACCCGATCCACTTCCAGCTCCCTGGGAGGTACGATGGAATATGACGGACGCACATCCCAATGCCCAACTCCCCAATATGCCACACTCGCAAGCACCTGCGCGACGAAACAGAAGTTTGACAACGTCGAAACTACGATATAGTTGTCACGCCTGTGCATTGTCCAAAGTCAAATGTCCCAAGGAGAAACCATCATGCTCGCGATGCCTATCTCGCGGCATCACATGCGAGTATTTTGTCACGAAACGACCAGGACGCAAGCGAGACAACAGTCAGAGCCAGTATATGAGCAACAACAATGGACCTTATGACACAAACGATTTATTGAGACAATCAGCTCTAAGTGGACAAGGGCCGTGGTTGAGTAGCAACACAAATACTACATTGGTCGGCACCAATAACTATATGTCTCCTTCGAACCTCATTGCAACGACTCCCCAACCGGGCAACGTGTCTGCAGCCGAGTGCTCGTCTGCCACTTCGGACGTCTTCTCGGGCCTATGGATGCCCCCCGAGCCCTGCCTATCCCCTACACTCGCGGGGCTAAATAATGAGTTCAACGACTTTTTCACCTCACCCACTGACGTCCTTGAGCTCGAAACACTGGAATACAATAGCCACAACTACAATCAGGGGCGCAATGACATTTCAAAGCTTCTCATACCCGATGACATCAACCACGAACTCATCTCAGAAATATCCTCGTCCGACCGCCCAAATGCATCCAAGGCCTCGTCGCCTTCTCCGAACGGCCAAGCGTTGTTAACGCAAAGTGATACTAGTGTGAGCCTCGCATCAGACTCGGCCGGCTGCTGTTTGATGCAAGCTTTGGATCTCCTGAAAAACCTATCCTCAACTGCCGCGACCAAGCCATCAACCTGCCACCTATCAAACAGTCCGGCTGATTTCGTGAAACTGTCCCTCGTGAATCCCAACGGCAGTAGCAACAGTCGTCACCAGTCTGTTCAGACTGTCGTCCAGGAGAACAGGGAGATAAATCAGGCAGTCAGCAACATGTTGCAATGTTCGTGCGCCGAGGATGGATACTTGTTGACCACCTTATCCATGATTCTCTTCAAGATTCTGGGGCGCTATGCAGTGGCGGCACGAATGGAGCCACAGCCGAGGGAACCAAAAGCTCTTGAGAATAGAGATGGCAACAAGTCAAACGGCTCCAGCAGAAGAGCGTCCTCCACACTAGAACAGCAGATGATACAACTTGGCAGTAGCGGTAGTAGTAGCACCAGCACAAGCTGTTACGGCCCCGACGACCAGGATCTCGGTCGCAAGGACACCCAGCTTATCTTGAGCGAATTACACCGCGTGCAGCGGCTAGTGAACGAGCTATCGCCGATATTCAAAGCCCACGGACTGGGAGCTACAAAGAGGGGTGACGGAGTAGGCGGAGCAATGGTCCCCGGGGGCTCGAAGAATCCTGCCCAGGGGGCTACTGCCAAATTACATTGGGTTGGAATGGCGAGAGAGCAGCAACCACATTTTCTGGGACTATCTTGGATCAAATAGAGGTAGACCTGCGTAGGTGCCTCAGCGCACTGTCATCTGAGATCATCAATACGCTACGACACAACTAGCAGACTACATATAGGTAGACAAGTAGATTTCCACAGATGTTTCGTAGATTTGTATACCGCACAAGAAAAATAAAACAGAGGCTGAGGTCAGTTTAGAAACGGGCTGTGAACGCGCACAATTCGGTATGTACTTAGAGACAGTTCTTGCACATAGTGAATGCATGTCTCGTTTTCTTCTCCCAAGTTTACGTGGCACTAGATAATTTCTATGGAAGTCGGGACTCGCCCCAGTAGCTTATCCCCAGCCGCACTCCCCTCATGGTAGGTACATGTTCATACGCGATGAATTCGGATAGACTGCTCGCCTGATTTTGTCCATGAAAAAATAAATAAAAGGGTCATTCTCAATTCATGAACCATGCGTCCACTAACCTCAACGATGAGAGCATCGAACCTGCGTAGGAGAAATTTGATGATTACGCCGCCTCGGTCCCCGAGGGCGGCTGGCCCGGAGGTGTAAATATAACCCGCGGACATATTCGGACATGTCAATTTTCCGCCTATCGTTTAAGGGACATAAGATATATACGCACCATGCCATCGTGTCATGTGGAATTCTCACACGAGCAACCCAAGGGAACAAATCATGAGCAATTCTCAATTATGGCTCTCCCACCCATTCAACTCTCCTCTTCCCACCTCGGCGTCTTCAAAGCCGGTGATATTGTCCCCGGTGCCCTGGAAGAATGCAATGGCCTCCTGGAGAAGAACCACGAGGCGTACCACATCTTCTTCCGGGATCCCGCCTTTCACAACCATATGGTGCACAGCCTTCTCACCTGCCTCACCCTGGGCGCTCCCCCCGATGTGCTGCAAGACCGGTACAACGACTTAGTCCCCATCCAACGCAAAATTCCCGAGATCGACACCGTCCTCCTCGAGAAACTGTCAGACCCAGACGTCCTCCACGCCAGCATCGGGCAGATCCACCAGTATCACACCTTCCTCGCCTTCTTCAAGCGCGAGATGGCTTCCAAGGGCTGGAAGGAAGTCGTGCAGGAGTATCTCTTCTCGCGCACCAAACTCGCGGACCGCATGTTGGCCCAAATCCTTGAAGGCGCGTACCATCCTATCATCCACCTCGGCTTCGGCATCGAGTTCGACCAGCCCGCCATCGTGGCCGAGGGGCTTGCTCAGGCTGCCAGCCATGATCGGATGAATATCGAGACTTTGTTTTTCAAAGCTGAGCGCCTTGCCTCGGATTCAGGTCTGAGCCCGTCCCTCAAACCCAAGCCCCTGGTCCAGCTTGCCCACGAAGCCCGCACCAACGACAAACTCCGCACCGCCCCGCGGTGGTCCGACCTCGGAAACAAAATGAAAGACGGGGTCGTCGGGCGCGCGTTAGATGAAATGGCCCATCTCGCAGCGCAGTTCCGAATCCCGCTCACTGAGAAGGACCTCGACCGCCGCACGGCCGAGATGGTCAGCACATGTGCCTACCTCGCCGGATCGGTGCACGTCGCGGGCCGACAGCGCAAGATCGACTTCTTCGTCATGCATAGCGTGACCAGTAGCATTTTCTGCACTGTGGTTGCGCGGCAGGGGTGGATAGCGCTGGCGGACCGGGTTAGGTTGGTGGAGTGGAAGGCAAGGTTGGATCTGGCATGGTATGTGGCCACGGGATGTGGACCATTGGACGATAATGGGATATCGGGGTATGCTAGTCCTGAGAATGAGGATATGGAGTGGGAGGAGTTGTTTTATCAGGTTGTGCGGGAATCAGATGATGGACATGCGGCGAAGTTTATTAGGGCGTTGAAGAATGGGGAGGAGACGGGGAAGGCGTACGAGAATGGGGAGTGGGGCGACTTCTTCCCTATGAAGGGGGATATGTGGTTGAAGTTGGCTAGAATGTGTCAGGATACGACAAAGGGTTTGCCTTGGGAGATCAAATGGGTCTTCTTTGCGGGGTTTGAAGAGGGGTGGAAGCGGCCTGACTTGGCTGATCCTTTGGGTCGCAGTAAGGGGCCGGTCAATGGATTTTGAATGTCCTATAGTACTAGTAACATTGAAATACAGTTTTCATTCGAGGTAGTAATGAAGAAAAGTCTCAGCTTGTACCGCGATGTACTTGAAATCTTACGAATAAAAACGAAGGACGACTTGTCAAACGTTATAGACAGAAAGGTGCACCCACCGGGTAATGTGAGACATAATGCATGAAAAAATAAACATTTATCTTGCTCTACCTATGGTATGATATCACCAGGTGGTACATGTTTGTCACCCAGCAGTGTTAAATTTGTGCTTATATACGAGTATTTATCAACTAAATGGGGCTACTCGCCCTTGTACGGACGTCAGTTAGCTGAATATGGTAAACCTGGGCATAATACACATGAAAATAGTGGCGACTATAGTTATTCAGTGCAACAGCGGGTCAATACCCATCTTCCATGGCAATTTTGCAAGTTGAGGGGATAGTTTGGGTGAATGCACAACTCGTGTACGCGAGAAGGAAAATAAAAAGTTTCTAATAGTTCATTGTTCCTAGTCTCTGAAGTGAAACGTCGAACAAGACCTCGCCATTCCTTCCAAGCTTGGAACAAAATTCCCCAAACCACCACAATCAACTGTCCTTAAAGCAGTCAACCACCTCGCCCTCCCTAATGAACTCCTCAATCCACCCGATCGTCATCCTGACAGAAGTAAACACAAGCGTCCTTCGTGTTCACTGTTGAACTAGGAGGTACAAACTTACGTGCTTCTCTTGGTATCAGCAAACTTCTCATGATCGCCCATCAGGTGCTCCTTATACCACGGGTCCTCCTTCATGCGCTTGTAGTCCTCGACGTTCTTGAAAACTACCTGACTGAAGCAGTCGAAGTCGGCCACGTTGGCCATCTGCGGGTCGTACAGCTGGGCCATGAGGGCGCGCGTGGCCGTTTGGTTGTGAACCTTGGGGGATGTCCGGTCAGCCAGGACGAAGTACGGAGAACTTCGAAGAGAGATATTGGTTGCAGGCCAGTTTTGATGACAAAGAGAGCAACCTTACCTGGGTCCATCTCTTGACTCCATACTTCACCATGAGTCCCTTGGTCATGGGCGCTGAGACGTTAACCATGTGATGCCGGTATTCTTCCTCGCTCATACCAGGCTTGCGATAGCCGCAAATAGTGAGACACAGATACTTGCCATCTGTTGAGCTAGATGAGTCAAGCACCTCGGGCTCGTTGAGGGTTCTCATTTTGGATAAGTGGATCCCACTGACTATGCAGATTCAGGTTGAGCAAACGTGTAAACTTCATAGCAAAGTGCGAAAGTAATAAAACGTAAAGGCGGCATAGCTTGCAAGGGTATTTCTTTTGTTCCAGCCCGTGTAAAAAGGCCGGATATGTCGGTCTGGGTGCCTCCATTGGCAAATCCGACCGACCCCCGACCTTGAGAACTATAACTGTTCATATGGCCGACGTTGCAACAGAGATGTCGCAGCCAAAGTCGTTTGACGTAACTCACCCGCAAAACATGGCGCCGCACCCACAACCCGATTCCAGAGCCCCAAAGATAGGGCCGCAGGCTGCTGCCGTGGTCACAGGCTCCTTCCTGTCAGGTAAGCATGAGATCCTCTGCCTCCAAGGGCTTATTTTCGGACCAAATGACTAAAATGTCGGGCTTTCACACTCCAGGCGCAATGGCAAGCCTCTCCACAATGGTAACCCCCCTTTTCCTCGACACCGATAACGAGCCCGCGCAGCTACTCCGCCACTGGGCTCGACTCTACCACTATGGCCATCTGGCCCTACCCGCATTGTCCGTCGCCACATGCGGGCTGTACGGGTATACTGCCCTAAGCAAGCGTGCCTCGGGTCGCGCGAATTGGCGTCGGTACGCGGTGGCGGGGGCAATGACTATAGCCATGGTGCCATTTACGTGGTATGTCATGGTGCCCACCAATAATACACTCTTCCGACTGGAGGCATCTGCACGGAAATCTGAATCGGGGTCGGGATCATTGGCGGAATTGAGTGTCATACAGGAGCTGGTAGTCCGATGGGCGTGGCTGCACATCGGCCGGTCCGTGTTTCCTCTGATTGGTGCCATTATGGGGTTGTCAGGTCTTGTGCAGGAACTCGGCCGATAGGAACTTTAGTTTAATGCAAGGGAGCCCTACTCCCAGTGGAACCATCAGAATCTCACATAGTGCTTAACCTGGGCGTTTACACCAATATCAGGTTTTCGGTATAGTCTGTCATCTGCTCGGACGCCATCTAGACTTTTCCGTTTTTTTTTCTCTATAGTCAATATCCCGATCCTCAGATGACACCGCTCGGGCCGGACTGCGCGCCGAATAGGTGGGAGTCTGGCCCCTGTCAGCTCGGTGCATTTACCCTCGGGTCATGTCATGCAAGGAAATTCCTATTCTGCATGAGTCAACTCGAAAGACAATGCCGTTTCCGTTTCCGTTTCCAGTTTCGATTGGGTAGCAGCTGGTGTTCCTCTATGGTATTACACGTTTGCATACTTACTGCACACACATGACTATTGGCCTATGATTGATTCTTTAAGCAGTTCTTCTTCAGTCAGATTATGTCCTCTTTATCACTATGCATGACAAATGTACATGAACTATTTGTGAAAATCTTATTTGTTCAATTCAATCAATGCACAGAGAATTCATAAGCAGGTTCATACATCATGATACAAGAGTAGAATAACAGAAATTTTGTATCGAGAAACAGTATAATTCTATAAACTCGGAATGAAGCCAAGAGTAGACAGAACCCGCATAGCTAGCCTCAGTGCGGTTGATATCGATCTCGGTCCAGTGTCTCAAGCAGAGACCCGGTATGTCACTCAAACCCCCTGGAGAGCAAACCACTTCTTCACCCCACCCCTAACCTCAAACGCCACCCTCCCATCCTCCGCCAGCTTCCTCAACACCTCCTCCATGAACGGTTCCAACGCAAGCTCCCTAACCCCCGTATCCACCCCAGTCCCATGCATAGCCGTCACCAGCTCCCCAACCGTCACGCTTCCCTTTCCCCGTCCCCCCGCCACCCTTTCCTCCTTCTTGGTCTGCTCCAGCGCCTGCAACACCTGCCCCTCCCTTCTCACCTTCTGCGCCAGCTCCCCCGCTATCTTACCCCGCAGGTCCGCGATGACGACTCCGTGAGCCGGGTAACCCGTCACACAGCCATGCGATTGCATCTTGCGTAGCGTCTCCATCCAGGTGCTCAGGTGTTCCACCGCCGCCGTGCCGTGGCCGATTACGTTGTCCCCTGTGAACATGGCTTGTTCTTCTTCGAGGATGAAGCACATGTGGTCGTGCGAGTGGCCCGGTGAGTGCACGGCGCGGACGGTGGCGCCCTCGACGCGGAATATTTGCTCGTCGGCGATGGGTTGTTGCGTCTTGCTTGGGGTGTGCTTGTATATAGAGAGATTAAGATCCGGGTACATGCGGAGCAGATCCGGGACGCCGCCTGTGTGGTCGCCGTGCCAGTGTGTCAGGAGGACGTGGGAAAGGGAAACGTCGCAGGTGCTGAGTGTGGAGGAGATGAGGTTAGCCCAGTCGGGAACGCCTTGGCCGGTGTCGATGATGAGACGTTTGGATCCCGTGCCGACGATGTAGGTGTTTGTTCCTTGGAGAGTAAACTGCATGTAGACAAATGAGGTGAATTGAAAGTCAAAAGCCGTCGGGGTTCCGGCACGTACCTTTCCTGGATTCTGACCAAGAACGCGAAGTACTCGTGGGCTGAGTTGTTCCAAATCCTCTAGCTTGGGCAAGCGTGTTTGCTGGCTTTCCAAATAATCTTCAAAGGCACAAATATTGAGCGCCTTGTTGATCTGGCGGTATCCTCCTTGCCCAGGCGCCATCGTGTAAGTGAGCCTCTTCCAACGTTGAGTTATAGACAGGAAGTTAGGATTCTTCTAAAGAGGGAGTGTTGAGCAACGCAAAATGATAGGCTCAGGTAGAAGAAAAATAAAACCTTAGTGTTTGCATGCTTGTAGCATGCCAGCTCATAGAAAGCTGATTTCTTAGTAATGTCACAACCCACACCTTTCAACCGAGCGAGAATGGCCGGGGCCCGGCGGGTCAGACAACGAGGACCGTTCTAGCCATGTCCGCTAGTTATCTGACCCGACCTCGGAGCAAAGTGACCCGTTGATCCAACGGAAATCCGATAATATATCATGCTTATTCTGCCGTTTTTATATGAGAATCACTTTTTACGTGATAATATACCCAATATGAAACATTGCTTTCCGCCCCCTTTTCATACTTCTCTGTCATTGTGTTATTATATATACTCGCACCGACAAAGAAACTCACCGATACCATACAACGGTTTCTCTCAACGGAAACAAACTATCTTGTAACGTCATTATTCATTTTCTATATCCATGTCGAGAGTCATGGAGTGGGTTGGGTCACGCAACTCAGACCTGTCTAATCTGACACCAACAATGACATCAGACGCTTCGTGTGAGCCCGGCAAGATGAAACTATTTTACTTCAGTAACGAATTCCCACGCGATGACCTGAAAGACCTGCTTCGTCGCCTGCATGCCCACAGCAAGGACACCCGGCATAACACGCTAGCCAGGTTCATCCATGAGGCTACCTTCGCCATTCGTGACGAGGTGTGCTTGCTTCCATCTACCCTGAGAGTATTGGTCCCTTCGTTCGAGACAGTTTTCGACTTTGTCGATGATCATGCCCTCCGAAATGGCCCTCTTGGTGGAGCTGTAGACGGAGTGCTTTTATGTGCAGTTCAGATAGCAACCCTCATCGGGTAAGTAGCTTAGCTATCCTATGTACCATAGCCAATGTGGTATTTTTACCTTTCTTGTTTTTCTAACTCGAGTATACAGATATTATGAGAGTGCGTCCGAGGAGGCGTTCGACTTGCCCTCTGTAGACGCCTGTCTCGCTGGCTTGGGCACCGGGCTTCTGGCCACAACTGCAGTTTCGCTCTCTCCAACGTTGGCAGATGTTCCTCTTGCAGGGGCCGAAGTGGTTCGTGTCGCTTTTCGACTTGGCGTTCTCGTGGACCAAGTTTCCCAGAATCTGCAACCTCGATCGGCATCAACAGAATCTGGCCCTGGTGATAGTTGGGCGTATGTGGTGCCCGATGTGGCTGCTGACGAGGTTCAAAAGGAGCTTGATTCGATACACACAGCCGGGGTACGTGTTGGCTCCTCCCCTATCCACTTACATTGTGCCAAGCTCCTGGTGTACTAACTTTTAGTGAATGGACAGAGTACGCCCGAAGCCAGCAAGGTCTTCATCAGTGCTCTCAGTCCGACCTCAGTCACAGTCAGTGGCCCACCGGCACGATTGAAGCACATCTTCCAGATATCCGACTTTTTCCGCGACCGCAAGTCCATCGCTCTCCCGGTATATGCAGGTTTGTGTCACGCCAAACACGTCTACAATCAACAGCATGTAGACAGCATTATCCAAACCAGCTCCCTCGACTTTATGGACGCCAAATTCGTACCGCGGGTGCCAGTCTTCTCCACCAGCACGGGAAGGCCATTTGACGCAAAGAGCGCCAGGGAATTATTCCATGGCATCATCGAAGAAATCCTCACTCAGGCGATGCAGTGGGACAATGTCGTCCAAGGTATCATCGAGCGAGCTAAAACCATTGCAGCCTCCGAGTGCCAAGTCCTCGTCTTCCGAACTTCACTGCCAGTTCATGACCTTGTGGGAGCCTTGAATTCAGACCTGCAGCAGTTCAAGGCTGCCACAAAGGATCTCATACCATGGATATCCGAGCCAGACATTCCTCCGGGGCGGCCCAGGGGTACCGCGCAATCCAAGATTGCCATTGTGGGCATGGCCTGCAGGATGCCTGGCGGAGCAACCGACACGGAAAAGTTCTGGGCGCTCTTGGAGAAAGGTTTGGACGTGCACAGGAAAATCCCAGCTGACCGGTTCGACGTGGAGACACACTATGACCCAAACGGTAAGCGTGTCAATACTAGCCATACCCCCTATGGTTGCTTCATCGACGAACCTGGCCTATTCGACGCCCCATTTTTCAATATGTCCCCTCGCGAAGCGCTGCAGACGGATCCCATGCAGAGGTTGGCGTTGGTCACGGCGTACGAGGCGCTTGAAAGGGCGGGTTACGTTGCTAACCGGACGGCTGCTACCAACTTGCACCGGATTGGAACCTTTTACGGGCAAGCGAGCGATGATTACCGTGAGGTCAACACGGCACAGGAGATCAGCACATATTTCATTACCGGTGGATGCCGTGCTTTTGGCCCAGGACGCATCAACTATTTCTTCAAATTTGCCGGACCGAGTTATAGCATTGATACGGCGTGTTCGTCCGGGTTGGCGACAATACAGGTAGGTGATTGATTCCCTGTCACATTAACAATAACGAAACTGACTATTTATCTCTTGTCTTTTTAGACAGCATGCACCTCGCTCTGGAATGGTGACACCGATATGGCAGTTGCTGGAGGAATGAATGTGCTGACCAATTCGGATGCTTTCGCTGGACTGAGCCACGGCCATTTCTTGTCCAAGACCCCCAACGCATGCAAGACATGGGACTGCGAAGCCGATGGGTACTGCCGCGCCGACGGTGTTGGATCTATCGTGATGAAGAGACTTGAAGACGCAGAAGCAGACAACGATAACATCCTCGGCGTCATTCTCGGAGCCGGGACCAACCACTCGGCCGATGCCATCTCCATCACCCATCCTCATGCTGGGGCTCAGGCATACCTCACCCGACAAGTCATGAGACAGGCTGGTGTAGATCCTCTCGATGTTAGCTACGTGGAAATGCACGGCACCGGCACCCAAGCGGGCGACGCCCAAGAAATCAAATCGGTTGTTGACGTATTCGCACCCTTGACGAGACGTCGCAGCTCCAAACAGCCACTGCACATTGGCGCCGTCAAGGCTAATGTGGGCCATGGCGAAGCTGTAGCCGGCACGACTGCGCTGCTGAAAGTGCTACTCATGTTGGAAAAGGAGGCGATACCGCCACATGTCGGAATCAAGAACAGCATCAATCCTGGGTTTCCCAAGGACCTGGACAAGAGAAACCTGCACATCCCATACCAGAAACAGCTTTGGCCTAGGGTCCACGGCAAGAAGAGAATTGCAGTTGTGAATAACTTCAGTGCTGCCGGAGGCAACACGACCATTGCCGTTGAGGAGGGACCTTTTCGGGAGACTAGCGAGGTGGTGGATCCTCGCTCAACTCACCTTGTCGCTGTGTCGGCTAAGAGCAAGGTGTCACTCAAGGAGAACCTCGAGCGAATGATGGCCTATCTAGACGCAAACCCGCAGGTCTCGCTGTCGAATCTGGCATACACTACAACCGCTCGACGTCACCACCACAACCACAGAGTAGCAGTGGCCACGTCTGATGCTACCCAGTTGAAGAAACACCTCCTTAAGCACCTTGAATCAGCAGACTCTCACAAGCCCATTCCACCAACTGGTTCACCCCCGGTTGTCTTCGCATTCACCGGTCAGGGGTCATCACATCGGTCCATGGACCTGGAGCTGTACCGCGATTGCCCCTATTTCAAGTCACAGCTGCTGCACCTGGACTCCCTATCACAAGGACAAGGTTTTCCCTCTTTCATTCCAGCCATCGACGGCAGCCATGCGCATGACCACACACACTCACCAGTCATCACCCAGCTCGCACTCGTCTGTACGGAGATAGCGCTGGCCAAGTACTGGGAGTCCCTCGGCGTACGCCCCGACGTAGTAATCGGACACAGCCTGGGTGAATATGCCGCCCTCCACGTGGCCGGCGTGCTCTCAGCCACCGACACAATCTTCCTGGTGGGCCAGAGGGCTAGCATGCTCGAGCAGAAATGCCAAGCCGGCAGCCACAAGATGCTAGCCGTCCGTGCTTCACTTTCCGAAGTCCAAGAAAACGCTGGCAATAACCCTTACGAGGTTGCGTGCATAAATGGGCCGAAAGATACGGTGCTAAGCGGAACTCAGCAACAGGTGGACGCGCTGGCTCAAATCCTACAAGACGCCGGCTACAAATGTTTTAGCCTCGACGTCGCCTTCGCCTTCCACTCGGCGCAGACGGATCCCATCCTCGAAGAATTCGAAGAGGCAGCCAAGACGGGCGTCTTGTTCCACCCGCCTAATCTTCCCATCATCTCGCCTTTGCTGGGAAAGGTCATCTTCGACGAAAAGACGGTCAACTCAAACTACATGCGCCGTGCCACGCGTGAGCCGGTCAACTTCCTGTCTGCCATCTCAACGGCGCAGAAGACGCACACGGTCGACGAAACCATGGTCTGGATCGAGATCGGTCCGCACCCCGTCTCGGTGAACTTCGCCAAGTCCATCCTGCCGTCCATCAACGCCGCGGTTCCGTCGCTGCGTAGGGGTGAGAATAACTGGCAGACCATGGCGCAGAGTCTGGGGGTATTGCATTGTGCCGGGGTGGAGGTAGGGTGGAATGAGTTCCATCGTCCGTTTGAGCGGGGACTGCGGTTGTTGGATTTGCCTACGTATGCATGGAATGACAAGACGTACTGGATCCAGTATAATGGTGATTGGGCGCTTACCAAGGGCAATACGTTTTATGATGCTGAGAAGGCGGCTAATGCGGGACCGGGAACTCCTCTCTTGCCTGCGACTCATTCCAGCCTTAGGACGTCGACGGTCCAGCAAATCATTGAGGAGACATTTTCGGAGTCGGCGGGCAGAGTTGTCATGCAGTCTGATCTTATGCAGCCTGACTTTTTGGCTGCTGCATATGGACACAAGATGAACGGGTGTGGGGTGGTGACATCGGTAAGTTTGACTTGACCCCTTTCTTTTCTAACTATGGCGGAAACAAAAGGCTCACATCTACATTCGCTAGTCGATACACGCCGACATTTCTTACACACTGGGCGAATATCTCTTAAAGAAACTTCGACCACAGTCCAAAAACACATACATGAACATCGCCAACCTCGAAGTCCTTAAGGGGCTCGTCGCAAACAAGAAAACCAATATCCCCCAACTCATCCAAGTCTCCCTCACCACCTCTAATATCGATTCTGGAATTGCCCACTTGCAATGGCACAACGTCTCCTCTCCTACCGGCCCTCCTGATGACCCCTTTGCCAGCGCAACCATCTACTACGGCTCTTCCACCTCCTGGTTGGTCAGCTGGACCCCCCTGACTCACCTCATCCAATCACGCATTGACTCCCTCACCAACCTCGCCGACAAGGGCCTCGCCACCCGCCTCTCCCACAACATGGCCTATTTCCTTTTTGCCACCAACCTCGTAGACTACGCCCCCAAGTACCGGGGCATCCAATCTGTGATTATTGACGGCCTCGAAGCCTGCGCAGAAGTCACCCTCACCACCGAAAAAGGCGGCGTCTGGACCATCCCGCCTTATTTCATCGACAGCGTCGCTCATCTCGCAGGATTTGTGATGAACGTCTCCGATGCGAACGACACGAAGAACAACTTCTGCGTTACGCCCGGATGGGAATCAATGAGATTCGCCAAGCCACTGGTGGCGGGGGGGAAATACAGGTCGTATGTGAAGATGATTCCGACGACAGAGGATCCGAGTGTGTTCTTGGGGGATGTTTATGTACTACAGGATGAGATTATCATTGGAATGTTGGGGGCCATCAAGTTTAGACGGTATCCGAGGATTCTGCTGAATCGATTCTTTTCGGCGCCTGATGAGGGGAGCTCTGGGCATGGTGCTACTACCGCCGCAGCACCGCCGACAAAGCCACTCGTGCCGCCATCGACAGCAGCAGAATCCGCTCCCGTCCATACTGCGTCAGAGTCATCTGCCTCCCCGCCTGCTCCCGCAAAGCCCAGACAGCCGGCCGAGAAGGCACCGGGTCCAGTGCCAGCCGCAGCCCCAACCACAACCTCCGTTGAGAACTCAGACAGCGTAGCCGTCAAAGCCATGGCGCTCGTCGCCGCCGAAGCGGCCCTCGACCCGGCCGACCTGCACGATGACGCGAGTTTCGCTAACCTCGGCGTCGACAGCCTCATGAGCCTCGTCATCGCCGAGAAGTTCCGCGAGCAGTTCGGTGTCACCGTCGGCGGAAGCCTGTTCTTGGAGTATCCAACGGTGGGGGATTTGAGGTCATGGTTGATTGAGTATTACAGTTGAGCAGTATATGCTGAAGGAGAAGTATGGCTCTGTGTAATTGAGAATTGTAAGGGAAGGAGGGGGCTATTGATTTCTAAGAATGTGCAGTTGGATCGGGGGGGGGGGGGGGGGGGGGGGGATATTACCAGATTGTTCCTCTAATGTCTTTACGGACCGGACAACACATTTAGCTGTACGTATTATTGAAACAATGTGGAGAATCATACAACCCTTTATGATATAATTAACCACGCATGTGTCCATACGAAGTCCAAACCCCATATTTTACAAATATATGTCTTGTTAACGGGTTCAAAGCTGATCACACGCGGAATACGACCCTAGTGAATAGAATAAATAGGATAGCCCGGTTTCCTATTGTAGCAAATAGATGTAATCTATTTTCGCACCTATTTATACTACATTTTCTATAAACGTGCTTGCCTAGCTCGTCAACTCGCTTTGTCATGAATTCCTAAGTCCCTAAGGTAGCAACGTAAATACCAGTGGACCAAAATTCGGATACCAGAAAAGTGTACGTTGATGTAGAAATAGATGAGAGCTTTGCCTCCATATGCTTATTGAAGTATTTCCTAGGCACCAAATACTCTTATGCTTGGCTCCATTGGTGGTGACTACAATTGTTATGTTTATCCCTACGAGCCCTATCTGCCCCAATTAAGCCGACTACGTATATCCCACCCTAATGTGGCGCCTTAGTCTGCACCAGCTGAGAAATGGAAGACGTAAAAGCGCAATTGCGTGGCATAAGGTCTAGCGCCAAAGGGAGATGAGCAAAATCGGCGAGATGGTGGTCTGTCATAGATTTAGTGATTGTGTCTTCCTCGAAGCTTTGGAATGGCCCCAATGTCACTAACCGACAGGATCCAGAGAAGAATTTGTGTCGCCAGCGTCAATTTGCATATCACTATTCCCATCCTCCGTTTCGCGGATGATACGCACCGCCTCGATCGCCTTTTGCGATTCTTTGGAGCCGGCGCTGCTCAAGGGACGCCAGATGGCCAATGACCTCCTCAAAAGGGTCTTAACCTTGTCCACGGTGACCCCGTCAGGCAGTCTGCCATCACGAGTAGGCCCAACTCCAGCACTAGCCCCGCGACTTTGCTTCAGGTAGGTGCACAAGACACTGGTTCCGAGCAGAAAACTGTATGTTATAACGGACTTGAAGCCCCACCAGACCGTGCAGAGCTGGCCGAAGGGATGCGTCTCCTCGTCGATGAAATGTTGGAACTCGAGAACTTTGACCGCGGCTTTTATAGACACCTCCCTGGAATGGCCGTGTTGCAGAATGTACTGCCTGTGCAGGATGATCTGGAGGTGGTAGAAGGTTATCTCGAACCAGATACGTTGCATAACGGTGTGAGGCGGGTCCGTGATGGACTCGGCCAGTGATCGCCATTGGAAGTGGGTTGGCAGGCTGCTGCGGCCGTCGTGCAGCATTTGGTCGATGCGCATGATTTCGTCGTAGCTGGGCAGCTCGGCTGGGGCGACGGCGTCGTAGACTGTGGTCCAGACCGATAATATGCGGTACTTTGCTATAATGAACAGCACGGGTGTGACATCGGTCTCAGGTCGTGATGGAGGCAACTCTACCACTGTGCTGCTAAAGTCGGCATCAACAAGGTTGCGTGGCTCGACTTTGTCAACCTGCTGCTCGCGTATCAGGCGCCGCATGCCCATTTGTTCCGAGATAACAATGTCGGCCTGATATATGGTGGCCCAAACACGACGACGCATCTCGCCCTGAAAAGCCGGGACGTGGGCTGCGTCGCGGTGGTAGCCCATGCGCATGGCCAATTGGACGGTGATGCCAAGCACCATGTAGATTCCCAACTCGTCATCCTCGCATAGTAGCTGCTCAATGTTGATATATATCACTAAAGTCTCGAGCACAAATGGGCCTGGCTGCGTGTACCGACCGAGTTTCAGGCACTGTACGATGCAGTCCCGGAAGGTCTCTACGAGGGCTGCTTGTGTATTTCCCAATCCTGCAGGGCCTGATGCCATTTGCTGAGCTAACTTCACTACGCACATGATTGCAAATAGAAGGCCGATCCACATGATGGGAGCCGCTCCAGGGTCCTTCCAAAATTCCTGGTACTGAGAAATGTGTTAGTGCGCAATTAGATTTTGGGGATGATGCTCCCGAATTACACACCTGCTGCATGAACTGTCCACTGTGGAGGCAATCTGTGATTTCAGTCAACAGTGGCCTATGTTGGGAAATCGAAACAAGGGAAACCTACACGGAGCGAGTTCCATCGAGTTGAAGTATTTGGAAATGATCCTATCGACCACTGGACGCGGCGGTATCGAGGCCAAGATCTCAGGCTTCTCGATGGGCCTGGACGAACCATAAAGAAGTCGAGGGCCGGGGACGTGATGTGAGGCAACGGACTGGGTGGCTTCGACAGCATCAGCATCATCTTTCACGAGGCCCTTGAGCTCGGAGATGCTGTCCAGGATGGCAGCCCACTGGTCGCTGCCTCCGGAACTGACGCTGTTGCTCTCCGAGGTCTTCGTAATGATGTCATAACCAGCGATCCCCGTGATAGGGAAATCATTTTGAGTCGCAATTGGGCTAGGAAATGCCGATGTGTCTACTGAAGCATAGCTGGAAGGCGACGAGGCCTGCTGCATGAGGTTGACGACTAGCTTCTCCAATTCTTGGATGCGGCCTTCTACAGTAGAACGAGAATATCCTCGCCGATTCTCCTTGGGACGATCTGGGGCATTCTGTAGTACGGTGCCTGACGGGTAGGTGCACGACTGGCTGTGTCCTCTGTTGACACATGTTGAGCAAGGTTGCTGACGGTCGCATTTCACCCTGTTGTTGTTGACGTGTCACCCGCAAAAGCCCATCCAAACGGAAAACGCCAATGAATCTCCAAGAGAAAGAGAGGACAAGATGTTGGAACCTACTTCTGTCTCCGACATGTGTTACATGATAGCTGTGGCTTGTCTCGGCGTCTGTTGGGCGGTGGTGTCATCCTTATTCTGGTGAGTGCCGCAAGTCGTCACGCGATGTTCAAATCCAATGGTTAAGTGAGGTTCGGAGTATTATCAGATTGCCGGACGGAGGATCGGGCGTCAAGGAACCGGGAGAGAAGAAGATTGCTTGTCGGAATTGGTTTCGTTATAAGGTAGGGCCTACTAACATGTGGCTTCCGCCAGCCTGATGGTGGCGATGGGTTGTGGTTTGGCTCTTTGTGTTGGCGTTTTGGAGAATTGGTAATTTTCGGCCGTCACCCTCCGACCCTCAACTCACTGGGCCCCATTCCAGAGTGACACAATGACAAACACAACGTCGGCCTAGAGTTGGTCCGACCTCGAGCACTGCTTTACGTGACGCATCAATTAAGTACATTCCGGCAGTTCCACTGGCCACGATATGTTTGGTTAAAATTCAAATTGAAAATAGTATCCCGACTCTCTTGATAATAAGATACCACTGTGTCTAATAAAGTCGTCCTCCGGTCCTGCCGGCTTCGGTGGATCGGACGGTCGGAGGTGGAGCATCGGAGGGTCGTGCCTTCCTCGTAACAAACCCGGCCTACGGGAACCGTTTCTGCCCGGACCATTGGAAGATTCGGAATTGAACAGTTCTTTTTCTTTAAGAATTCTGCATATCTATACAACCCGTAACTGAGCAACCAGGATCTGGAAAAACTCTCCAAACACTAACCACCAATTCTGCGTCTGGCGAGTCCCCCAAACGCCACTAATTCCACATTTGGTGAAAGTCCCAAAGCACCAATTGTCAGATTGGCTGTCTTAGGATATCGATATAACCTCTATTTTCCCCCACTCGAAGGCCAAACCTACATTCACATCGAGTCTTGCGCCTGCACTACTCAAAATGTCGGCCGCGCAAGATGTGGAGGCGGCGGCAGGTTCGACGCCCACCACAGATGGGGAGGTAGAGTCAGGCCAAGCAAGAGATCCCAATGATTCGGAAAAGGCGATTGTTCCCGAGAAAGACCCGTACACAGTGGACTGGAACGGCCCCGATGACCCTGGAAACCCGCGAAATTGGAAGAAGTCCTTCAGAATACTTCAAATCATTCTGATCAGCTATTTCACCCTGAACATGTGCGTCTCTCATCCCCACAGTTTCATTAAGGCGAGCGCCACGGCTAACAATTCATCGTGCTCTAACAGGAACTTGGCAGCGACCATGTTCTCCCCCGGCGTCCCGCAGCTGGTCGAAGAGTTTCATGTCACCAACTCCTACATTGAGACCATGTCACTCACGATATACGTCTTGGGTTTCGCCACCGGAATTATCATTGCCCCGCTGTCTGAGCTGTACGGCCGTCTGCCTCTTTATCATCTTTCGAACACCGTCTGGCTGGGCTTCACCCTCGGTTGTGCGTTCAGCACCAACATTGCCATGTTCTTGGTCTTCCGCTTCCTCGCCGGCTGTGCGGGTTCCGTACCCATGACGTGCGGTGGTGGTACAATTGCTGATTTAATCCCCCCAGAGCATCGAGGAAAGTTTATGGGAATTTGGGGCCTCGGGCCTCTGATCGGTCCAGTAAGTTGGGAAGGCATATTCCGTGAATGCACGCTGGCTGACGGTAGAATAACAGGTCATCGGCCCTATAATTGGAGGTTTTATGTCTCAGTCCATTGGCTGGCGCTGGACCTTTCGATTACTTGCTATGCTAGTAGGTCCCCCCTGAAACCCCGCAAGCCGTTATATAGCTAACTCGTTATCAACAGGGAGGCGTTGGCTTGATCTTGGGCGTGGTCATCTTGCGCGAAACCAGCGAGGCAATCCTACTCAAACACAAAGCAGCGCGCCTCCGAAAAGAGACGGGTAATGACGCCTACCAAGTCGCAGCCCGCGTCAACAAGGTCGGCAACATGACACCGGGCCAAATGCTTGTCCGCGCCCTCTTACGCCCGAGCAAAATGCTTCTGTTCTCGCCTATCGTGCTGTTACTCTCGCTCTACTGTGGTTTCGTCTTCGGTCTCATCTTCTTCCTCTTCGACTCATTCCCTCAGCTCTTTGGGGGCACCTACGGCTTCTCCCCCGGCCTCTCGGGTCTCGCATACCTCGGCCTCGGCATCGGCATGCTATCAAGCCTGATTCTCTTTACCGTGCTTAGCGACAAGCAAATGAAGCAGACTGATGGCGTCTCGCGCCCCGAGATACGCCTCAAGCTTATGATGTGGTTCTCGCCCGTTATCTCGGCTGGCTTCTTCTGGTACGGCTGGTCTGCTGAGGCGCGCACACATTGGATTGTCCCCATACTCGGAACGCTTTTCATTGGCTTCGGTTCCTTCTTCGTCATCCTCGTCACTCAAGTCTACTTGGTCGACGTCTTTGATGCCAAGGCGGCCGCGTCGGCGCTCAGTGCTGCCCTCGTAATGCGGAACCTCTTCGGCACGTTCCTGCCCTTCAGCGCTACCCCGCTGTATGATTCGCTTGGATTGGGTTGGGGGAATAGCCTACTGGGGTTCGTGTGTGTCGCCTTTGCACCCGTCCCATTCCTCTTCTTCCGCTATGGTGAGGCACTGAGGAAGCGATTCCCGGTTGACTTGTAGAGAGTAGAGGGACCGTATTGACTGTAGACGACGAGCTACGGTTTCTTCGGGGGGCGACGGCATGAAAATGGGCTAGATAATCTACATAAGCCCTGGAGCTAAAGAGATGTCTCCTGTTCGGGGGGATAAAATCTCATCTGTGAATATTGACGTACCAAGGCTGCATCCTGGGAGATATAATCCCAATGAAGCATCAGCCTTGTAGTTTAGCTATGTATAGAATGGATGAAACCAAAAGACTACCATGACCCATCCACCCCGTACTTTACCCTTGCTGTTACAACGCAGTTGTATCCCCGTTCCCGTTATACGATTCAATAGCCTTTGAAATCCATTTCGGCCTTGCTACCATCTCTTCTCACCTCATACCTGTTTCACATACCTTCCTCACTTCATCTCAAAATAGTAAAGAAGCAGCGAAATTCATGTAGGCTCGCTCTTCCCGCCCTTATTCAGCTCCACATCCCTATGCCTTAGCTTGCAGTAAACTAGGTACATAACTCCTCATCAATATTCGTGTTTATATTCATCTAGACAGACAGATATCAAATTTGGCATGGACGACAATATTCGATCGAGTACGATATTTGAAAAGATATCTTTTAAGCTCAACTCGGAATCGGCACATGGGCTTATCATTCATGGATTTTACATAGGCCACCAGTTGAAAACATGGAGTTAAGTCTTATACTCTCCTATCATATAAACCCTCTAATTCACAGCACAAACGTGGCTGACTTGAGAAGCGCAACTATAAGGATAAAATCATTTGTAACAACCCATAGACCAATGTGAGATTATGACCCTGGGACGTTTTCAAGAGTAGCAATACAATTGATTACAAAAGAAAACAATATAACTGCTGGTTGAGGTGATAGCTTTGTTGCAGTAGACAAATGAAAATTATAGACCGACAAAGAAATCCACTGGAAGACGAGTTTTCACACAAATGTCGGAAACCATCTGAACCCAACGGTTGTGGATAATCATCAATACCCTCACTATTCTCCGGACTTTGGTTGCCAAGGCTCAAATGGCTATTTTGACCATGCTGGGAGACCCTGTCGGCCCTGTACGACTTGTTAGCTTGAAAATCTCTGCAAAATGTCTCGTGCTTGAAAACTTCGCTATTATCTTGGCATTCCTCTGGCTCTTAAGCCGCCACCCTTTTGCTATGGATAGTCCAATTGCCCCTACAACGCCGACTCTAGTATTGTCGTCATCTCACCAGGCCTCGGCTGAGGCCACTACTGTGCCTCCAGAGGCAGGCTTAAGAGCACGTTTTTCAGTGTTTTCATGGCTTTAATTTCTCCGAGCGCGGTAGGTCCGTCTCGTGGGTATGGGCCTATGGCCATGATATCCAGAAGGTTAATGAACGACGATAGGTGTATAAACGTTGTATTGATAATTCAGCACTAAAGCCGGCCAAGTTCAACGCTATAGAGCATCTCATCAAGAGGCATAATATTAAGGAGCCGGCTGGCGGTGGCAAGTCCTGGTTAGAGCTTATAGCTAGTGAAAAGATTATTATTATTATTAAATACGCCGTAGGCTCGAAGCCCCCGGTACCTCTACTAGTACTCCCGTATGTCAAACCGTGCCCTAATGGCTGGACTAAATACATACGCTGCGTCGTCGGTTCGCCCTATTGGCGACTGCGTTGCGTTCACTACCATACTACGTTGGTTCTCAACCTACCAACAAAGTCCCCCCTGAGAAGATCGATGCTATCTGGGCCTTGAAGCTGTCCGACCCGTCCCTAGCAGCCATCTTACAATAGTCCCACTAACTACTGGTTCTCCTGTTGCCGTTGCGAGGTCTCTGCGAGAGTATAGTGGCCGTGGTGCGATGGCGGCCCGTAATCGTTCCCTCGGTCCTTCCAACAGCCCGCAAAAGAGGATTACGTGCTCTGCCGTCTCAGGGGCATCGCCACAGCGGCATAGCGGCGAGTACACGCCAAAAGCCCCTGTCTTGAATAAGAAGGCTGCTAGTCCTATTTTTTCCGTCCTGATCTGGCACAGCGTAGACGCCTCCAGTCGGTTCAGGCCGAAATACTTGCCCCCTTTCGGTATCTGCATCGAAGGGCCCTCCGGTTCCTCAGCGATAGCGCGTCGCTGGCGATCGTGATGCTCTGCTCCGGTGAGCCATCTCTTCCTCCAGTGGTCGAGGAGGGCAGCCGGGACCTCCTTTTCCTCACTCATCCACTCGGAGCCCCGGGCCTCCTTCTCCATAGTGTACCCTGCCGGTCGGAGTAGCTGCGACGCCTGCTTCCTCTTCGCCGGCCTATCCTGCCGGAGTATATGTGACGCTTTAGCGCTCGCGCTGCGAAGCAGATTTCTCTTCCCGCTAAGCCGTAGCCGTTCTTCAAACTTAGCAGCCCGGGCACTAAGATAGAGGTCTAGTGGCGGGATTGCTGCTTCTGCTTCCAGGTGGCGAACCGGCGTCGCTTTGTGGGCACCACAGACTACCCGGAGGCACTCGTTCTGTATCCCCATCAGGCTCTTAGCTGGCCCTGCCGGTTCCTCACTTATAGTATGCCACGCAGTCGCCCCGAAGGCAATCGCGCTACGGATAACCACCGTATATAACAGCCTCGCCCGTATAAGATCGCAGCCCCACGACATATTGACTAGCTTTGTCAGGGCTAGCTTTTGAGTTGCCATTTTTGTTTTAACACGCTCAACATGGGCGTGCCACGTCAGTTTGCGGTCGAACCAGACTCCTAGGAACCTGGCTGAGACTACCGGCGACACTGTGGCGTCCCCAAGGCGAATACTTTGCGGCAAGGGCTCTCGGGCCCTAGTAAAGTGCATTAGCTCACTCTTGTCAGGAGCGAACTCCATCCCGTGCCTCACTGCCCACCGCTGACACGTAGCCCATGCGCTCTCCAACCGGCGGCAGGTAGTGAAAAGAAGGCGCCGCTTGAATCGATCAAGAGCCATTTCTCGATCGTTGCCGTCAATCCGCGAGATTAATTCGCCGCCTCCCAAGAATTCATGGTTTCACGACCCTTTTGATACCGGAAGCCGTCGTAACCCCCCTCCCCCTAGAGCCAACAACTACTCCCGAGTCGACGGCGATGAATACACTACATGGTGTACCAATGACCATGAGATGGATATGAACATCCGTGACCCTATCGGCTACTGGCATAACCGCCAGTTAAAATACCCTCGGCTTTCGTTGATGGCACTGGATTTCCTTACAATACAGGCTCTGACGGCTGATATGGCTATGAAAATAACTGGCCGGATGAACCAGAGTTGGCTATGGCCTCATCTGTAGCCTCGTCCGCCAGTATGTTCCCAGGGGACGGCGGCGGTGAGGTTGGCGACAGTTTCATGTCTTGTCAGTAACTCTAACTATAAAGCCACTAACCTCAACAGAATTTTGCATACTTTCTGTGGCTTTCATTGCTCGGCGGAGTTTACCAAATTCCGGATGTATCGCCAGGGGATTCAGCCACGAGGAAGGGGGATGGAAAAATCGGAAATTCGACCAGCAATCATGAAAAAAGTCCAAAAAAAAGTCCAAAACAAAGTTCTTTGAGGTTGATGCCTTTCCCGTTTGAGTCCGTTTGCATGCAGCCATCTGCAGCTGTATGCCCTGCATCCTACTTAGCCCACATTTTGAGAGCCACTTTGGAATTGGTCCTCATGCCTCCATGTTCTTCCATCCTTGAAGAAAAGTCAAAGCGAAAGCGAAGACTTGCAAAGCTGTTGTTGTTAAGATGCCAGATGGATTGATAAAGATCCCAATCCCGCCACGGAGAAGAGTCTAGGCCTAGATCGAATTCTGGCTCTGATGGGCGGCAATGATGAACGTGTTAAGCAGGATGTGGAGTCGGACAAGCTCAATATTGAGACTGAAGCAGAACCAACAGTTCGGCTCCAGAGAGGCATCAAAATAATATTTATTGAGCTTACGGGGGCCAATGACGATGGGGAAATTGGGGAATCCCACGAAATGTTGCACAAACAGCTCGGGTGACCGACGACAATTTTTGTCACCAATAATACCAAGAAGATGAACATGCTCCTCTTTTGTCGGGTTCGCCAATATCATACGTCTCTATCACGCAGAGCTGTTAAGGCCGCGCGTGCGGTAACTTATGGACAACCTCGCATCACTAATGCGAGGAATTATTCTCATTAACTGGCAGAATTTCTCCTAATTCCACTTCATATAATTATCTCCTATTCACACTCAGTAAAAGGAGCCCCGTTTTCAAGTCCAGACAAGTCACTAGAGTATATATCAGTAGAGTAGTGAACGGAGGTCGATTTCTGCGAAAGTGAAATGCTATCAATGTCTCTAGCCGTTTGTTGGTAGTGACCCATTTTCCCAGATTGATATACACAGCTTCGTTTAATATCCGCTTGCAACTTCAGACCAACAAACTCGCCGAACACTGCAGTTAAAATCATAGCTTGACATGATAGATAACTCTACCATAAGCTCACAACTTGTCACGGCTCAGCCAGGACCCCTCACCACAACCGCCATGTCCCACAAAAGGATGCGAACTGGGAAGTTGGCCAACTTCCGAATTGGTCAGATTACACGCCGTGATATAAACCCCGTCATACAGGTTTCTTCCAACCTTGATGTTATAAGATATTACCAAGTGCTTCCCATGCTGACTACAATAAACTATCGACACCAGATCTTTGCTGCTGTTGTAGAAGACAGTGGTAGGTGACGAATCGTGACCCACCAGGAAAAAATCTGCAAAGGATTATGAACTGCAATTGCAAGATTTCTTTTCATCATATGAGGGCCAATGGTTTAGTGGTATAATACTTCCTTAGCATGGAAGTGGTCCTGGGTTCGATTCCCAGTTGGTCCACAGACTCTATTGTGATGGGAAATCCTTTTGATCTTTTCCTTTTTGTTTGCGGATATACCAATTGTACCTAACCTTACTATATATAGTCTGTCCGTAGGAAACTATGTTCAGACGTACCATATTTAGGAGGTTTACAATGGTGTTTTTTTTATCAATTGGATCGATTTTTTCGGTTGCGTGTCGCGATCTCTATCTTGTTATTGCGATCTAGATTGCGGAGCTCGTGGGCATTGGCACCTGTTTCAATATGCAATGATCAAAAGGAATGACCATCAGAGGAGCTTGTCATCGTTTGGCAAGTGTTGAATGTCTAGTGGAGTGTCTGTCACGGTTCTATCCGTGCCGTTGAGGGGCTAACAGGATTGTCAGCCCTTGCCAGCTGGCACCCCTACGTTATTAGACTAGAGCTCAAGATTCTTCCAGGATTAGTCTTGGATCTTCTTGCAACAACAATAAATCTACCTGACCCCAAACTACGATCTTGACAGTGTTAAGATAATAGTACTAGGGCCAGGCCTTCGCAATCGGCGTGAAGGCCTCAACAAGTCATTAGGTTCATTAAATAGCCTATTGAGAGGCCTGTAAGATCACGCCATAATAATTTAGCCCTTGAGGTTACAGTTGAAGTATATTTAACCGTAGGTAGTATCCTTCGCAGAATCAGTCAAGCAGTCATTCACTTCTTTCTTTCAGACATGGTAGCATCTGTAGAACCAACCATCTAATAGATCTATGTATATTCATCATATCAAAAGCTGTTAGTACTGCACTAAGCCCGACCCGTGATAAACGAAGGCCATAATGGTGCTGACCGTTTTTCGCCTTGGTGACAAGGGGATTGCGCTCGAGACTGAATTTGCAAATCATCTACCTCCCTGAAAAGATGCGATAAAGGAGGAGATCAAGAAATTTGGTCGAAGCCGAATGCTCTGAGCTGCTCTAAGTACTTTTCCTATGAAAACTTCGCGACTTGTTTTCGGCCTGAAGACGTTTAAGCCTACGGCCACCATCCATCGGCTTGCTGAGCCAATCACACAACAAACTAGAGATCAGACTCGACTCCAAACGTTATTTTCGAGCCACAACGATGACTTAGTTTTCCTATGCGCGATAAGAATATAAGCTCACTTGACATCAAATCGTTGGCTTTTTGGTCTCCTCGCAATCCGAGATCTGTCAGAGAACAGAATGCTACAGGCTCTAGTGTAGGGACGTGCGAGTCATGACCTAATATGGAAGTCTTGGTATGCGGAACAATCGGGGAAACTAGTGCTCTGCGGCTCCGACGCCGGGTTCTAGCTATCTATGTAAGGGGGCAGATGTCCGGGAAGAAGATAGGAGGGCAGAGATCAATGAACCATCGTGGGCACCCCTACCTGAGACCGCCAGTGACCGCTAGTGACCACTCGGTGCTACGCAGTAGGACGCCCATTACTCCCCATCACTCTGTACTATCGCCTCTGGCCTAGCCGTACCCTGACAAGATCTCTTTCACTTTACTGTTAGTGCATATCTCTAACGAGTCTTGGAACAGACGTCTTACATTAGTAAGTGTCGTAGTAAATTTGTTAACACCGAGAAGCAGATGGAAGTTGGAAACATTGTCTCTATACAATTCGGGGACCAGGTTCAATGATTACCAATGTTGAGGACGGATTGATTAAATGGCACGAGATAAAAGTAGTACACAGCTCGTTAAAACGGTCATGTTGAAGTGAGCAATGTTTCCTCACAATTATACCGTGTTGCGAATGGACTAACAAGCTGTGTACATCTACACTCATTCACCTTAGGCTCGAGACCAAATCATCGGTAATTCAAACGTTATTCCACATCGTCAAGGGCAACATACTATCGCATCTGTCAAGTGAAAAGTCATAAGAGCGTCCCATTCCATTTACTTGGAACCTTTGCCGCCATGTCCAGCACCCTGACTACCCTGGTTGGTGCCAGAGTGTTGACCGCCGAGCTGAGAATGTCCAGAGTTGGCATTGTGAGCCGCAGCGGACTGAGCTCGAGCTGTGAACCCGCCGGACGACATATCCCCACCGTTCTTGGCCTGGTCATAGTTACATGTGTTTAACTAATGGTAGGGCCTAGGAAGGTAATATACCTGGGACGACTGGATGCGAGCCGCATCTGACGGCGTCATTGGAGTTGATCCCTTGGGCATGGTGGACGACAGCTGTATATTTCTGATCTTGTATTTGAAACTAATAAGAGTTGGTGTGAGAGATACTGTTAACGTTGACAATGTTTTCATAATATGCTGGCCGGTAGTAACAACCTCTTTTATAGACCTTTTTTGCCGAGTAATACTAGGCACTAACATCGGCTGCAATCGAGTCTTGTGAATCCGAGTCTGGTATATTTCATGTGAATATGCCGGCAGATGGGCCACACGCGGTTCTAGATCCTGAATAAGGCGACTTTCAGGTAAAGGATGCATTGTCTGACGTTGATGATGACGTTAATTGATACTAAAGTTTGGAGCTATATATGGCAATCTCCGGAGCAAACACTTGGTTTCGAAAGCAGCAGGGACAGACCTGCGGACCTTTTTGTATCACTTTACAGACCCTTAGGCGCTAAGGAGTAGCATTGTAGTGGCAAGTGTTACAGCGACAGTGGGTAAATAGCATTGGCCTTCTTATTAGCTGATGGGCTGGCACATAACGCAATCTTGGGTGAATATAAAAGAGGTATAAGTTTCTGGCCTACCCTTATGTATTAGGCCTTCAAGGCAATTGCAACAAACTACCAGTCTTAGAAGGATATATGGCCACTACTTATTGTACCACATAAGTCCTGCCTATGGGACAGCCACCGTTCATTTCTATCTATGTAAGGCCCTTATGACCGCTGTTCAATTCTGAGAGGACTCTCCAGAGGGTAGAACGAAGCTAGATATCGTTTTCTAGGGACTTACTAGAATCCGAATATATAGCCTAGACGACGGCTGTAGAGACTATGTTTTCTATTACGCTGCGTACGTACTGTTAATATACTCAAATCTAGCCTTAGCTAGCCTACTTAAGAAGACAGGTATATATTATTATGTAAATGGGTCCCATCTTTACTACAGACCCTTGAAGAAATCGTTAATCTATCTCTTAGAGCATATTTATCCCTTTCCGTACGTACTTTCCGGCTACCTTTGCTACTTCTGACGGCTCTGGCGGACCAACCACAAGCTCATGAGCATGTTTCCACACTACATTCGCAAAGATCTTAGTTTCTATTAGATCTATCGAAGATCCCAGTGTGCTGTGATCTGCTCGTCCAGAACTCTGCATCCACGTCAATAACCCGCCGGAACGTATCTGCGGAACCAGTGGCTCGTCGGGTTCCGTCTGAGAATCCACCAAATCTCCGGCACCGTCTTATTTGCCTGGCAACCCCGTTGGGGGTGGAGAAAGCGGTGGTTGTTGCACTTCTGCTTATGCTTGGGCTTCTCGAGCCTGATCGGACGTACCGTCGCTGGTGAGCGCATCCAGGTCTATCCTGGTTGCTGAGTTCTTCTCATCGCCAGGGCCCGCCGTGTTTCTGCTTCTTCTACTCCTGCTGACCCTCCTTCTCGTCTTAGGCGGCCTGTTCGCGCTTCGACTCCAGATGTTCCAGACACGCTGCAATTTGGTCAACTCTCTGTCGCTGCTCCAACTCTTGGGCGATAAGTATTGTTCTTAATACCCGTGCTTTCGTGTCTTTGGGCAGTACTGCTGTTCCAGTTACCGGCGGTCGGGGTTCTCGGAACTTACTCGGCTCCCACCTGTCCTTAGCTTCCGTTATGAGGTAGACTTTCCTCCTAGGCGACGGTCAGGTCCTGGATGCTAATGCTGACTTGCTTCCCAAAAAGGTAAAAGTATATCGAACGCTAAATGAGAAATAATGTCAAGCTAGACCCTGGATTATCGACTAGGCCGTGCACTCTATTCAAAAATATCAGTACTTTGTCTCGAGATCAATCTAAATAATTAGGTGTGCCACATCTTTTAGTGGAATAGTATGCCTGTTAATTTCGAACTCATGTCCGTCTTCGTTACTTTACACTAGTCGAGCTATAGATATAACGTCCACTACCTACGTTCCGCAATTCTCAAGATTACTATATTTAGATCGATCGGGTTTCCGCGCTATTATAAGAAGACGACGGGTGACCTCCCGGTCTAGATCTCACAGTAATAACTTATAGATCTCTTCGGAACGAAACCAAGCTTATCGGCAAGTGAAGTAAAGTCGAATAACACCATTTCGTCCGCTGTCTCGCCTTTTAGCCTTAATAGTTTCTTTTTCAGCTCGGCCGGCACATCCTAGTATTTACGTAGCGCGAAGATCCATAGCTACCTATAAGTCACGTCAAACTGATCTCCTTCATAGGCCGGTACGTACTTGAAGGACGACGTGGACACTTATACCAGGTATCCATATTCGACCCGTTCTGTAATAGAAAATCCATTCTCCAGGGCAGAACGTATGGTTTCGTTTTTTTCCAGGTATACCAGCCTCTTCATACAGTCCACCGCAACCTGGAGTTACTTGAAATTCTCGAAGAATCCACAAAGAGAGCGAACTAGGGAGTCGGTAGAAGTAGAGCAAATCCTCTCCCAGAGAGCTTCTTGCTCCTACTAGTCGAAAGCAATAAAGATGTCGCCGCTCCGGACGAGGCCGTAGAGAACTTTAGCTTCTACCGGATATACTCCAGGCGCTTTGATTTCCAGACCTTCGACCGTAACTCTGTCAAGTTTCTTCATTACAGTCTCGTCGTTATCAAAAACAAAATACCAAAAGTCCTCAATATGTTTAAGAGACGAGATGATTTATTACAGGTCAGTAAGTTTCCCTCATCCGATAGGGTTTACATACTTCGTTACATATCATAGAGATTCTCTTAATTATTACGCTTAGTCTCAGGCCTATGTAGATGGCTCTTGGATACTAAAACGCGTTCAACGCAGGTGTGAACTTTCGGTAACCAAAGAGCTGTTCTAGTCCAGGCCTCGAGACAACCCAACCACTTCAACCTGGCTGCCAAGGGTCGACGTCAACCAGCCAACTCAACCTACCAATTCTCCAGATTCTGGTTGCCAAGCCATATCAATTTGGAGACTCGGTTGGTGACTTGGTTGCCAAGCTAAGGGCTCACTATTTTTAGTAATTTTCACGTGCTAGAGGCTCCTTCTAGCCTGCAGAAACTTCGCTATCATCTCGGCGGTCCTCTAGCGTTGAATAAGCATAAATGGGATGTAATTGACCCTAAACGTAACGGTGCCGGTACCATCAAATACAATAAGAAGAGAATGGCTATGCTGGGCGTTGAGGAGGACGTCAACCCTTCTCTGTGTAGCTGGCACTTGTGGCCCCAGACAGGGACTTCAAGTGTTATTGAATTGTAGTTACCGTAGGCACCCCTCCTGCAAGCTCATTTGAAAGGGCAACCTTCCTGTCCTTCTTTCAGAAATAGCATGTATTATTCGATCCCTCATACATCATACTTGCCATCTTATCACCACATCTCCACATCTCAAGCACTAACACACACATAATATCCCAACCACAAAGTCCCACAGCTCCCCCAACCTGCGGGTTCCACGTATTGAACTGCGCGACAATAATCCCACAGCGTTAGAGCTGACAATGCTCGGTAAGCGCTACGCAGTACAGCGCGTAGAGCAGACCCAGCAATCCATACGAGATCACAGAGTTATTAATCGAGGATTGAATCTCTCAGTTATCTGCAACTTAGGCTAAGTCCAAGTAGCTGGTAATCTTAGCTAGTCCATACTACTAGCTAATCACGTGACCGTTAGTCAGTTATAGGACCCTTCGTATCTGACATTAATTGTAGTTACCTTCCCTAGCACACAGCCTGCATTTATACCTTACGTAAAGAACCTTAATTCATATTGATACGAAAAGGTAGGGGACCCACTGGTTAGGTGAATCCCATTCAATTAGATACTATAACATTGCGCACTGCTGCATTATAGCATCCTTCCCCCTAGGTGCACGCATCACATATTTAGGACCTAAGAAATAAACTGATATAGGTTACCTAAATAGGATAGCTGGGCCTACAGTAACGATATAAAAACTATTACTCCCGATAAGAAAACGCCCTACATAGACTATTATTATAGAGTGCTGAACATATAGATATAGTTAGTAGTATTTAGGGTCGAATATACTAGAGGGAGTGTTATAAGGGGGGACCAAGCCCCTGAGCAGGTATACCAAGAGATCTACATGTAGTAGACGGATTAATTCTACTATCTGAAAGCTAAGGGAATAGTAAGGGGCCGTTGACATTTTAGGAAAACCTTTAAGCCCTTAAAAGGGGCTGGAGGTACCGAGAGAATTTAGGGCGGCAAATTCTGAATCAAGTGCTACCTCTGTTGAGCCTGGTTAAGCATCAAGTTCCGCACCGTCTGTCAGGGTACGGCTAGGCCGAAGGCAATAGTACAGAGTGATGGGGAGTAACGGGCGTCCCTCCTACGTAGCACCGGGTGGTCACTGGCGGTCTCAGGTAGGGGTGCCCACGATGATGCATTGATCTCTACTCCTTCCCTATCCTACTTCGAGATGGTCCTTATATAGATAGCTAGGCCGCCGCTTGGACCCGGCATAACAGCAGGGTCGGCGATGCCAAGGATCTTGACTCTCGTCATCCCAAAGCTTCACATAGATTGTAATCATGATTCGGGAGTCTTTTGTCCGAAACACCCCTCCGGCGGCCCGCCGGTGTCCTGCGTTCAGTGTCCTGACACCCACTGGTGCCTATGGCATTCTGTTCTCTGACACCGTCGTCCTTAGTCTCTCTGTCTCTTGCTACCCCAGATGATCCTGTCACGTTCCGATGTATGACGATCTGATTCTTCTCCTGGCTTTTTTCCTTTTGGTTAGCAAATCTCGGCGTATCGCCTTCCGCCTCTTTGTCTCGATCAGTATCTTCAGCGAATCCACTTGGTGAAACCGGTTCTTTTTCCATCTTATTCTTAGGCGTCATCAAGAACGTATCACGTTCATTAAATCCACCGTCGCGCTTTGTCTCCAGTTCAGCCCAGTCCTCTACACTAGCAGCTCCGCGAGTCCGAGAAGATACATCTTGGACCACGTTCTTGTCCTCTTCGGCAGCCGTGATCCGTTCCTCCCTTGATCCCTCTCTTCTGTTTAAATCTAATGTTTGGCCGTTTTCATCCTTGGCGACCTCCCTTCTAGACCGACGATGGTCGATGTCCGGCTTCGTGACTACCTTTGAGACTTTTTCATCACTGCCTGTAGAACCTATGGAGCTACTTCGCAACTGCTCTCTTCCCGGTTTCCTGGGGCCAGCTGATGTTGTATCCAATTTTGACGGTGGGCTGCTTGTATTTTTCGCCTCATCTTGGTACCATGAAGAGTTTTCCCCTTTCTGCTCTGCGCTGACTTGAGGGAGAGATTGATGGGGCACTCCTTTGCGACGGTAGTCTATCCCGGGGTCATCTTGTCGAAGCTCATCTGACGGTGAGAAAGCGCGGCATTTCTGATCAATGGCCGGAACCTCAGGAAAGGATGAGGGGTCTTCAATAATCGGACTCGTGTCGTCAATTATCCCCTCCATGGAAGAACTGCTATCGTTTGAAAGTTTCTTCATCATCCCCTGCACGACCTCTGCAGCCGTTTCAGGCTTCGATGGCAGAGGTACTACTTTGGTTGACCTTGCTTCTTTTTGTATTTCCTCGTGTACTTGGGGTTGGTACCCTACGTGCGACGCAGCATCAACGTTGGCAGCTTCATACGATTTGTGAGTAACTCAAAACTATAGCAAATACAAGATACCAGCACTCACGAGTCACAGAGAAGGGCCTTCCCCTGGTACGTTCGATCGATATGCTTCGGCCACGCGTGCTGATCTCGGAAAGAGCACTGTAATAGGCATCGTCAGTTTGTAATCCTGTGTCTCATGCTCAGAAACACTCACCGAGAATCTGAACTGGTTCTGCGATTTCTTGATCGACTTCTTGGCCTACTTCTTGAACGGCTTCTCGAATTAGAGCGCTCATCAGCTCTTCGTGGCCATCCCCAGGCCGTCATTACAGATGGCTTCAGACATGTCCCACCCCGCTCTGGCTGGAGCTTAATTCTATCAACCGCAAGATCACTTCGTAATAGGTCCCTGGACCTGGTTCCATGCTCACAGCTCAGTTCTCTCTTGTCAGTGGGATCATCGACGTTTTCAAATGAGACTGACACTTTCTTCCGTTTTAACAGATGAGGCTTCACCGTCAGGGCAAATTCGTCCGAGCTATCAGTCAGGACGTCTTCAGTCGAGATATTGTTAAAATCGTCGTGAGTTTCGAGGCTGGATAGCGACCTAGAGTCCAGCTGAATTCGCGTGGAATTCCTATTCCATACCGCACGTCTTTGCTCGTGGAGGCGCTTCGAAATTTCGGGCATCTTCTGGTCGATTTCTGCGCCGAATTGCTCATTGAGGTATGCATAACACCCATCCGCCATCTTGAGTGCAATTTCTGCCACTCTACTGTCGTCTGCGAGTCTGTAAAGCAGCATACTCGCCACCCATACATGTGTTGTGCTCACATAATCCACAAAGCCCGGAGCGAATATTTGCTTCGTGAGTTCACTTGCCAGCTTCTCCCTCAATTCATCTGTATCCGAAACCAAGTACCTTGAAGCCAGCGTGTACACGTAGCCGTAGTTATTCCCTTGAACTTCTTTCTGTACGTTTCAAAGCATATCGAATTCTTTCAGTGGGTTTGAAGTAAGACGTATGAGCTGCTGTAAAGCTATTTCCTGGGTGTTGTAGTCCCCAAGTTCTTGCGCTGTTTTCAAGGCTAGTTTGATAGGGTTTTTGTACTTGTCTTCTGCGTCTGACAGCTTCCATCCCGGATTTTCATCGTTGACTGGGACATATCGTGGTAGTCCCCGGCGGGTGTAGTGATATACAACTCCCCGAGTAGACTGTAGGTATTGAACGAAAGCGTCGGTCTCATTGGGGCCTTTTTCGTTGCTAAACTGTGCTTTCGCTATAATCCATTTGATATATGGTCGACTCTTCATGGTCTGAGGATCATTCTGCGAGACCGACTGAGCAAGCGGCCGAGACTGATCCAAGATGCCTTCAACCATATCTTCCTTGCCGTTGAAATAGAAGCAATAGTCGATTACGATGGATGTGAAGATGCTCAGTAGTGCAAGGCTCGTCGAGATGTCGATATCACCATCAGGGCTCGTCCAGTCTGTTTTCAAGGCTCGCAAGCGTAGGCGAATCCCGGAACAATCAGTCCAAAATCCAGTCATGTCCTGTATATTTTCCACGGTTATCCTGGCGAGCATGATATCATGGAAGTCCCAGATTCGGCCTTGCCTGAGGAGATTTGTGTACAGGCTTTTGTAAAAGGTTTCAGGGAACATTTCCTCAAGGTGTTGGTGGAGTTCAATGCGGTTTACATGAACATGCGGAAAGGAACAGAAACGGATGATCAAGGCAAGGATTTTGATCTGAAACATTAGCATGGATAGGCTTAATGAGCGACATTAATCGGCTTACCTCAGTTGATGCTATGTCCCGCCCTTCAGGATTAACGGTAGAGTGAAGCGTATCCAAAGTATCTGATATGATACTGAATCGTCTTGGATCAGTCCCAGGTTTGTGGCAGTCCGCATAGAGTAGCATAAGCCCCCAGTACATCTGAATCAGCCGGCCTTCCTCATTGTCCAATATATTGCCTTCTGCGTTCCAAATTGGGTCGTCTTCAAGCTCGGCTATGGCTTTATAATCACCCTGCTCAAGCAACATCTCTGCATACTGCACAAGCACATACGGCTTGTCCATATGTTCCTCCAGATTATCCGCGAAGAATTCTTTTGCGGCAGCGAAGTTTCCGAGTCTAATCAAGCGGGCAAACTCTTCAAGACTGCCATCAAGGTCATGTTCTACATCCATATCTAGATGGACTGTGATATTGGTGGTTTGGGACGGGTTCCATACGTTAACGTTCTGCTTCGCCAGGAGTTGTCCCATGTCTCCGGGAGGGGTGGTATCTGCTTTAGCAGATGGTCTTTGTACATCGTCAAGAGTTTTGCCTTGGTATTGGTATTGCTGGTTATCTTGAAAGGCGTTGGCATCTGCAGGCTGTCTATGTTCGCGCTGGTGGTGATTCTCACTTTCACCCGACAGTGGAAGATGATCATTCGGTTCAATCATCCGTCTGCATGCAGGCAGCCGACCAGATGAATTAGGGCGGTGTCCGGTCCTCACAAGTCCCATCTCTGACACTGAACTGTCACGGTCATACCTCTGCCCCTCTCAACGTATGAGTGCTTTACTTGCGGGCACAAGCGCTCCACTCCTCGTCCGGCTTTGATCGCGAACCCAGCCTTCCATCCAATCGTATTTATCCGGTTCAGAGATATCGTATCGATCATGTATATGCAATGGTCTGCCATTACGATCATACCGGTCCCAGGACGAGTCCAAACGGTCATAGCCGTACCGGTCGTAATCCGGTGGTCGCGCCGGTGGGAGGCCGCGACCTTGAGCCGCAGGAGCAGAGTCCATAGGCAATGCTCCGTTTGACTGCCTCCAAATAGGATTAGATTGCCTGTCCATGCATTCAGTGCCTCCAGATGTGTAGATGGGGTCATATGCGTTATCGCCGGCCATAGTGCGGGACTTTGAAGCTGCTGCTCGCTTTTCCATGTCTGGCCACAGATGGTCGTTCAATAGATAGAAAGGCCAGGCACAGCTGAGAGACCCACGAGAGAAACAACGGCGACCTCGCTTTCATGATATAAAAGTTGACCGTTGCCTCGACAGGTCGAAGAAGGCTGAAGTCACCATCGTGATCGTAATCAGCTGTGTCGTCATTTTGGGGGTGGCGGAGCTCGTTGAGCGGCAGGACGCAAGCTGACAAACTGAAAGATGTTGCAACGGTATTTCCAGTTCCATCTGCTCATCCTGGTCGACCAGGGTTTGTACAGGTTCGCGAGGATCAGCTCGTAGGCGCCAATAGAAGGGGCTTACCGAGATCTCAATTGAGCGAAGGCAGCCTTTAAAGGCAATCATTCCCGTCCAACTGGATAACATTCCATAAATCATAAAAAGTATTCCACCGCGCAAGGCCAGTTGACTTACCCAATACCGAACTGTGAATGCCGTCGATTATATCCACCAAGAAATGTCTGAAGCACCGACAGCCGCACATCCTTTACTGCACCGCGTCGGCCGACGCCATGGAAAATACGACTTTGGGCGCTACGAGCGCCTCGTAGGCCAGCAAGTATCCATTGGCGCAGGAATGATCGGTAAAGTCAGCGTCGACTGCTGCTTCCTGTTCAAGAAGTCGCAATGGGGTGTCCTCACTGAGCAGCAGAACCCCGCTGGCGTCGTCTATCTGGACCTCGCCTTTCACCAGCCGAATGACTGCCGCCTGGAAAGTGCGACGGTGACGGTAACGCTGGACGATGACGATAAAGACCTAGTTCGCCAGTTCTCGGGTGGCACTTCACCGGTGACCAAAATGGAGAACCCAGTCCGCATCAGCTACTTGTACGTAAATATGAGAGTTGTTTCATCTTTTTTCTGGGCTCTCTCTGGAGCCAAACTCTCCAAAGAAAACTGACTTCCGTTACTTTAGTGGGCCAAGGCAACTGAATGGCCAGCCGCGGCAGCAGCTCAAACTCGTCAGACACAGGGCTACTCCCTACGTTGAAGCCGGCGGCATCGTCGGCATTGGGAACAGTATGCAATTTCCAGTTATTCCTCCCCCTTTCTTGTCAGTCTCAGGAGCACAAATTACCCGATAAAAGCAATTATTGCTCGTAAGACATGGCTTAAGGCTCCCAATTCGTGGCTTACTTTCCCAAATGGTATCCAAACTTACCCACCTTATCGCAGTGGGCAGAGACTCGGAGAAGGCCTTCATCCAGGAGAGTCGCTGGATTTTCAACAGCCATATCGGCCCAGACAGAAGCAAGAAGAACAGCTGGGCCTACCGTGTTCTCCAATGGGAACTTGCCGAGAACAAGCTGGAGAAGCAGGCAACCCATAACAATAAGTTCCATACAGCTTTTGCCTTCGAGCACGGAGGACAGCCGTTCTTTATGAAGGTTGAAGTCGATGGCAAACTGAAGCGTCGGTTGTGGCCATACAAGTTCGGGTCCAAAGATTCCGCGACAACGCTCGTCAACTTCGGTGGTCGCGATAAATTCCGTAAACCGCTCGATGAACTAGCCATGGGTCTACCACTCGCCATGGAGGAGGAGAACAACCCTCCCAGAGAAGTACCCAACAGAGAATCGGCAACTTTCCATTACGGCACGATGAAAGCCGAGCGACTGGCCATTGCCGCCACAAACTCTAGCACAAACCGGTCATTGCTCGGGCAGCAAGGTATACCCACTGCCCAGTCGAGGCCTATTCTGAATCAAGCTCCCTCAACCCTAGGCCAGGTCCTGGGCGAAACTGAAAGCGACGATCCTACAGCCCCAACGATATCCAACCTTGTCAATGCTTTCACCTCCTCGACGCAACCGTCTCGACCACGGCTTCGCCACACCCCCATATCTAATCGAGTTCCAGCGTCCCAGAGCCGGCAGCTAGATCTACTTGACACGACGTCCACTACGTGCAACAGCCAACTAGAAACCGACGCCGCATCCATCACCGTCGTAGGCTCGGAGCCAGAGTCCTTAGAGACGACAGACGAAACCATCCTAGCCAGGTTGGAAAACACGCAAAAGCAGGTGTCCAAGCAGCAGATCGATCTAGAAAAGCTAATCGATATCCTCGACGTCTATGGCATCCTCACAATAATCAAGCTGATCATTGGACTTATGAACGTTTGCGGCGTCAGTTTATTGTCGGATAAATTGTCGGATAAGGACAGTCATTCCCTTCAGACTGAAGAGTGTTGTAAGAGCGAGACAGATGAGCCGAGTGTCATCTTCGATGGGAATAAAGAAGCACAAACGTCCCCCACGGCAAAACCTGAAGAAGTTGCGCATTGAAATGTACCTATATACATCTTGAACTATAGCATATTGTGCTGTTTCGGTAACGCAGCTTATTGATACGGAGCTGGCGAGCGGCCATCCATAAACCTTGAACCCATCATAGACACCCAGCTTAATCGTATTTCAGAGCCGCCACATATATAATACTACAGTATTCGCGAAGTCAATCAAGATGATGTAATCGTACACAACATACAGGTTTCCTTTGTGTCCCTCGGGCACGCCATAAGGGGCAAAGTGGTCAGACGAATAATTATAATCCTTACCGCTGACCTTACCTATGGTAATCATTGCACTGGACTGGAGGCTTATATCGCCTGTCGCAAATCTTCCAGATTGCTGTTGTAAAAATACATGGGAACGTATTACCTTGCCGACCCTGACGGCAAACATTCAGGGTATCCGTGGAATCGTTCGTGGTTCCTCAATTATGCCTACTCCCAGAAGTAAGACCGGCTTTGGCTTGAAAAGGAGCCGAGTAACGTAGGGAAAACCGAATGTACGATGTCGATCTTGACTGGCATCCTCGAGGTCATTCGTGGGTGGGCTTTGGTTTTTCCGGTGTGCTGGTAGAAATTCGAGGCATCCTTTACCTTCAGGTACGAGATACGAGAGTGTGGTTGAGAACTTGTGCTTACCCTTGCTTACCCTTGGTGACAAAAGGGAGAAGGAAAGACTGAGATGATAGATGGCAGATGCCAGAGTGCGAAGACAGAAGATACCCACCGCCAAGACAACGTCTTTTGTCGTGATCAGTAGCGACGCAACTTGCGAGGATCTTCCTGGTAGCTTGCCTCGTAGCCACGCTTTCGAGAGTCGTCATCCCGGGATCTATCGAAGTCGCGATATCCTCGGTCTCGGACGGGCTCTTGGTTGGCGTTGGCTCCGCCGCCACCGCCGCGTCTGTCTCGGTCACCGAATCGGCCTCCATCACGGTGTCCGCCAGATCTGTCGTCAAATGAGCGACCACCACGATCAAACCCACCTCCTGAGCCGCGGTCTCGACCGCCAAACCCGGGACCTGCAGGCGCGTTAGGAGGAGCTCCGTAGCCATTCTGTTGACCAAAGCCGCGATCACGGCCTCCGCCGAAGCCGCCCCCTCCCCCTCGAAATCCACGGTCACCACCACGGAAGTCGCCACGGAAGCCTCCCCGCCCACGACCACCTTGGAATCCGCCTCCTCGGAAGCCCTCACGGCCACCGCCAAATCCACCTCCAAATTGACCAGGCCCGGTTGGTCGCGGAGGGGCGGCCTTCGTGTATCCACGACCACCGAGACCACCCCCAAGACGACGAGGCTTCCAGCCCTTAACCGTGCGGCCTCTCTCTACATCCACCTTGATACGACGATCTTTGATGCGAATTCCATCACAACCATCTAGAGCAGCTAATTACACGTGCGCAGCAACGCGCTTTTGTCAGTAAAGCCTTACCATTGTATCATACCTTGGAGCAATGAAATGGTAGGGAAAGGGGAGAGATAGGCAAGCTTGAGGGCCACATCTCAGGTGAGGGACATGTTGAAAGCTGTTGGAAAAAATCAATGGTTGTTTTACCTCTCATGTCCTTCTCACGTTCGAACACAACGAAAGCATATCCACGGTGGGGCTTCTTCTTCTTGTTGGGCTTCTCATGGGCCTTGACATCAGTGATGATGCGAATCTGTGATAGGGTTAGTGTGATACTGCCGAAGCACCTCTGGGATTGTGTCGTACACGTTCAATGGGACCAAATCGTCCGAACTCTCTTTCGAGGTCCTGTTCGTTTGCTTCATAGCTGAGTCTGGCGACAACGAGGGTCTTGAAGGCATCTCCACGGATGTTGGGGTCTTCCTGGGGCTTGTCTGTGCGTTTGTTGTCAGTACAATATCCATCCAGCAAAAGGAGAGGCAAATATCGACAGAGGGAGGACCCACAGTGCAGTGGTCCTTCAGTCAAGAGCTTCTCGGCAGCTGCCTTCTTCTCCAGCTTCTTGCGATCGCGCATTTGCAGCCAACTCTCAGTGGGGACGTAGCCATCGTTGTCCTTGTAAGCATTGAGAGCGGGAAGGTATTGTGCCAGTCCAGTGACACGGGCTGTCTTGCGCGCTTCGGGAGCTTGGTCGATGTGAGGAACCCATCGAAGGGGAGGTCGCGGCGCGAAGAGCGCGAGCAGCTGGGGAGGAAGTTTATCCGTCATCGTCGCACCCTATTTGTACTTGTCTAGGTCGAGTGTTAGATGAAGGAAAACTCGACGGGGCAGGATGCGATGGGGTGGATCCAAAGAGACTGCAAATAAGATGCCTCTTCGATGGATGGATGGATTGAGCAGGCAGACGTTGCTGTGTAAAGATGCGAAGGTATGCAGATGATCGCGTTCTGGCATCGAGGAAAATGTCGCCAATTGAAGGTGTTTTAGCCGACAATTAGGCGACGACAGGTAGTGGCGCTAAGACCCCAGAACGCTCTAGCGGCCGGCCCTGATTCCAAAAAAATCGCGATACGCAACAGCAATACATTGGAGGAGGTGACAAGACTCGGTGGACTCCAAGACACGCAACAATGACGATCCGGGCGTTAGAGAAGGTGTCAGTTGGCCAGGTACGTCTAGTAGCTGTATTCCCAGTAGATGCATGTGCTAACAGAGCTGCAGAATGGCATCGGTGCCTTCATCCTACAATGCAAGAGGATGGACATTCACTATTGCGACCATTCAGGGAGCTCTCGAGGCATGAAGTAAGAGCTCTTCAAAGCCGACTCCCATGTTCGCATTTCCATACTGATTCGCCTTTCAGCATCTTTATCCGATCAATGCTTCAGAAGTTCGCCGCATCCCACCCCCAGATCGAATTTGCCGTCTCTCCACGGCCGAGGAAACACCCCGTCATGATCGGTCACTACATCAACGGCAATCAAAAGTCAATTTGCGTGAAAAACATGGAGCCCACAGAGATTTTGAAGAAGGCGGAACTGTTGCGAGACGCAAGCGGGGAGAAGATCAAGCGAGTCAACAAATCCGTTAAGAGTATCAACCCGAGTGTTCGTGGCATATGGAGTCCTTACCACGGCAAGGGGATTACTGTATGAGGTAGTTGTGGCAGGAAGGAAAACTCAATATTATGTATATGAATGTACCAATATCTCACAGGGACGGGTATAAATGTCAAATGTATAAATTACGGATGGAAGGCATAGCGGTAAGTCCGGGAAAAGGAGGAAGTGATATGCGTACGGCCGAATCCAAAAACCTTCCATCTCACATTTCAGGATGACCATACCAATTACAGTAAAATCCGCGTCATTTCTACTGAAACTGTTGTAATGGACATAGGACGGCTCGATTCAGTGGTTTCAACGCAGTCTGGATATCGGAGACGTGATTGAGTAGGGTATTTGTAGGCCTTCGTTCTATCTATCCCTTGAATCCGTATCCTTCCCGTCCCGTACCAAACCCCTTTTTGCCTTGTCATCAAGCTAGTGAGTCCAAGTGATCTAACTCACAGCCGTGTCATTACGAATAATTGGCCCACTTTTTACAACTTCGAGTTGATGATATCGACGACTATAACTGGTCAGCACACTATTCATTTCTGAAAGACGCGATGTGGGCAACTTACAAGCAGGCTTCAGCGAAGCACCACCGACCAGGAATCCGTCAATGTCCTTCTGCTTGCTGAGTTCCTTGCAGTTCTTCTCGCTGACACTGCCACCGTACAAAATGCGAGTCTCGTCGGCCACCTTGTCGTTGACCTCCTTCTTCAGCCAGTCACGGATGCTGGCGTGGACCTCCTGGGCCTGCTCGGTGGAGGCGACCTTGCCGGTGCCGATGGCCCAAATGGGCTCGTAGGCAATGACGATCTTGCTCCAGTCACCGACCTGCTTCTTGAGGGCAGCGAGCTGGGCGGCGATGACCTCGAGGGTCTTGCCGGCCTCGCGCTGCTCGAGCGACTCGCCGCAGCACCAGATGACGCTGACGCCGTTCTCGGTTGCGTACTTGGTCTTGGATGCCACGATATCGTCGGTCTCGGCCAGGATGGTGCGGCGCTCGCTGTGGCCCAGGATAGCCCAGTGGATGTTGCTGTCCTTGAGCTGCGACACGCTGATCTCGCCCGTGAACGCGCCGTTAGGCTTGTCGTAGACGTTCTGGGCGGCGACACCGACTTCCTTCCTCAGGCTCTCGCGGACAAGCTGGAGGTAGAGGGCTGGGGGTGCAACGACGACTTCTGTAGTAAGGGAGGGGTATGTAAGTTGACGCTTCGGGTTGGTTGCGGGGAGAGGCAGAATTGTCGGGTGCTCGAATGAGAGTCAAACTTACCAGTGTTGGGGTCCAATTGGGCATTGTTCAAGTTCTGGACGATCTCCTTGATAGACGAGACCGTACCATTCCTACAAAAGGCAGGTTCGTCAGTCCTGCTGTTCCGGTTCCTGAGGGGTTTTCCAGGGTTGCCGTAAAATGGCGGGGCATGCTCACATCTTGAAGTTTCCACCGACGAAGAATTGACGAGCCATGTTGGCCGAGTGTAGTGATTTCCTCGGGAAATGTGTGAAGAATGAAGTTATTGGGAAGGCTAGGATATACTTGAATGGCAGAACGAGCTTGTATGATGTCGGAGAAAATTCTCAAGAGACGCTGCCTTCTGGTAAAGAAGCTTCCAACGTACGTTTAAGAACCGGAGCTACCGTGGTATGATGGCGGGGTCCATCGCTGCGGGTAGCTCTGACGAAAGAATGCCCCGCCAAGCCCAATCGCGGGACCTGTTTCGCAACATATGTGAAATCACTCCTTGCACAAAGTAAGGAAGCCGCGTACCTTGTAAAATGAGATGGACTAGCCTTTTGACAACCGATTTCGTCATAAATATTCTGTCCATGATCATCATCTGCTGTCAAATGCTAACACCGGGTGGCCAATGCCTAGGTAGTGCTTGCCCTAAACGTACCCTCAACCCTAACCCAGAGCCTCTGTCCGGAAAATCGACCATGGTCCACATCTAGTTCCACTTCAATATCAATCCACGAAGCACCTTCACACCCGACGTCACACCACCATGAGCATGAACGGGCTGCACGCATATGGAGCCCGGAGCTGCCCTTGGCTTTGGGCCCAAATGACAATACTTCTGCGTCACAATCATCAGCCGCGGTTGTTCAAGACGGCCGAATATCCTACTGCTCCATCCGCCGTCTTTCATTCCCCGAATGCGGCTAATTGTGACTTAATACCATATTATGTGTTTCATAGTTACTACTCAAGTGGTGACTTGCCCATATATCCCAACTACATAGGACAATACCTGTCGTAAACTACCTTCCTAAGTCTACTATATAATATTCCCCCTACAATTAGATGAAGTATGCCTAGTTTTGCCAATGAAACCTGATAAGCAAAAAGTAGGTATGCCGCCAGTGCTATCTACATTTATCAGTTGTCACTTAATTGTCATTCTGTCAGAATTAATGAGAATGGTAACTCTTTGACCCCGGTGCGCAAATAATACAATGTGATCAACTAATTGTGAGTCTGATGCAAAATTGATATGCGAAAAAGTCCCCGAAAGGTTCCCGACAAGCACGAAACATAAAGAAGACCAGTCAAAATGAGGGTAAGTCGCTTTGGTTGTTGTTGTTGCGGTTTGGCACACATTGCTGTATACTTCTGTGGCAAATCCTTGAGGCTGATGCCAGTCACTTTTCCCTTTAGGCCCGTTTGCATGAGCAGCAGCCTGCGGCCATGTACGCTGCACAGTATGTAAGCCCTAGTTCGCCCTGGTTCGATCAAACAATATAGATTAGCAAACCCTATCGGTAGTGCTTGAATCAGTCAAGTAGATGTAGTAGGTTATAAAACAAACAATTCATGTCTACAGGCAAGACATATGCATATATCCCCTTCGAGGCATAGAGGCACAGCTTGATCTATGTTGTATCCATGTAGCATGTCATACTACAATGCTATACTCGAACGAAGGCCACTTTGAGGGGTCAATTGACTTCAAGCCGAGAAGTCTCGTTAGTTCATCCCAATACTATAAATAAGTCACATTGATTGAAACCAACCCAAGTCCACTGTGGTACACAACACTATCCATTCATTTCTCCAAGATAGGTGCAAATACCACCAGGCATTGATCATAGATAAATACTAGCAATGCAGCACTAGTCGCACTTAATGCTGTCAGGTAGAAATGGTGCAGATAAGAAGTGGAAATAGATCTAACAGTGTTCGACACTGGTAAAATAGACTACAATACGAAAAGGCAAAACAAAAACAAGAAGAAAAGAAAGGAACAACCAGAACATACCACAAATTGGCCAATGGGCGAAAAGTGTTCCGTTCTGTTCGTTGAGTAGCTGAGCTCTTGTTTTGGACGAAGCCGGGTGTGTTCGCTGTTGCTTGCTCGGGAGGAAGACACGACCAGCCAATCATGCTATGGTTGCGAGTTGATTTTAGTTGCCGGCCTTGTATTAGATGTCCATGTTACAAGGTTCGTCTCATCTGGTTGCTCATTTTCTACTATAAGGCGATCGTCGGAGCATTGCTTCCTGGGCGGCTGAAGTGGTACCCCACGGACTTTATCGTGCTTGGCCTGATGTTCAACTAGCAATGCCTAGCACCAACAATGCCAGAGAGAACTGGAAAATGCTTTAGGGGTATTTATCAATATCATACTTGTGCGTGCAAGAAACGCAATTCATGCCAAATCATGCCGTGAAATTAAAATCAATTCATCAAGGCTTGATGCACGTTGGTCTTGCTCAAGCCTAATGCTCGAGTCCAATATTCAGGATTCATTCCTAACAAGTGGCTATTTTCCGTTCCCAATGCATCACATCACATCTCCTCGGGCGCCCAAACCCTGTCCATCAGTCGTCAATCTCAATCACGTCAGGCCGCTTCTTGGGCGCCTTCCCCTTTCCCTTGGCATCCGCATTAGGATCAACAGCACCAGATGACAGGAGTATTGCGACAATGCGGTCCCTCTTATTGGTCGTCTCTGATCCCCTTGACACCTCCAACTGAGCACAAATCACAAGAGGATGCTCGCCGTACCACCACGTTTCCTCGGCGTCAGGATTTTCCAGTCCATAGGGATGCGGGCCCATGGGGTCGCCAACAGCATTGGGATCCGCACCGTACGTAATCAGATCGTGCACCCAACCTTTCTCAACACGGCAAACTGCGTCTTGCAACGGCGTGTACATGTAGCCCAGTGGGTTGGGGTTGGCACCGCTTGCCAGGAGAGTCTTGATGAACTGGCCTGTGGTGGAACCGTCGTCGCCTTCTCTGGAGTCTCCTATACCGTACGGGTGCTTCAAGATGGCGAAGAGAATATTAGGCTCGTCGATGAAGCTGGCACCTTCTTCGATGAAGAGGTCGAGGAAGTCCTTGTGGCGGCGGGAAACGCACATTTGGAGGACTGTCTGTGGGGAGTCGCGAATGATGAATTCATCCGCCCAGACGGCCGTCTTAGTCTTGGTGACCAGTTGCTTCAGAAAGACCCGAGCAAGTTCAGGTCACTCCAGGAGCATCAGACTGACAAGAATACAAGTTTCGTACTCATCAGGTTCATGGTCATCGGCAGCGAACACTTGAAGCTTCGCCCAGTTGGCAAAATAGTTCCGTGTCGTTTTATTGGTGAAGGCGCTTTGGTGTGCACTGTTCCACTTGAGACACGGAAAAACAGCTTCCCAGATGACGCTCTCCTCCACAATGATACTCGGGCGCTTTTCGAGAGCTTGGTCCGTCACACTGATACAATACTCCTCGTACCGTGTAAGGATTCTTTGGCCAAAGGCATTTCGACCTTTTCCATGCTGTTGCAAGCCGTTAAATGCGACTTGCAATTCTAGAACTTGTGTCTTATGGTCCGGCAAAGCGAATTCATGGGCAGGGCCGGCTGCGGTCGCCTTACTGAAGAGGTATTCTTTCACTGTGTAGTGGGCGGGAGAGAACCGGAACATGTGATCTCCAGACTCGTCATCCCGTTTGTAACAGGAAAAGAGGGGCTTCCGGAGAGCGGTCACCTTCACCAAACATCCGAGAATGTTTCTGAGTCGCTGGCGCGTGTAGTTGTTGGCTGTGCCATGCGGAACGTTGAACCGAGATGCCTGCACCAAGACATCCGCACTCGGCATTGCAGATGTGTTGCTGCAGATCAGAGCCAGTGCAGTGCGAGCGAAGGTGCGGTTGTGCTCGTTCTTTTTCTGTCCGTCTGACAAGCCGTCAAGGATGATCCGCTCATAGGTCTCGAAGACTATGATGGGCAAGTCTCGAATGGCTTGCAAGATCTCATCCTCATCAAAGTACTTCTGACGGTTGAGGACGTCGAATTGGCAAGCCACCCATCGAAACCTAAGGTCCAAGTCAATTACAAAAGGCAGCATGAATAAATCGGGGTGTACTTACATCCCGTTGGCCTTTGCTGCTAACAACGTCTCAACCTTCTCCACGAACGCCGGTCGCGAACAATTTCGGAACAGCTCCGAGTTCTCCAATTTCTGTTCGACAAAAGTGCGGATAGCTTTCTGCACAAATGAGTTCGACATGGAAAGAACAGTGCAGGGCTTCACTCCCGAGGAAGATGTTTCCGCGCCTTCCAGCGACTTTGGTGGCTCCGCAGCGCTCTCCCGGCCCAAGGCCGTTTCGCAACTAGCTTCTAATTGATACTTCACCGGAAATCGGCTCATTTGTCTGTTGGGTTCCATACGACGCTTCTGAGGGCTCGCACCATTTGGGGGGTCAGATGGCAAGCGCCTTTTCGGTGAGCCATACTGTCGAGCCCTGATCCCTAGACCTACCGCGGTCTGGCAGACAATGAGGCAGGAACTTGGATTTCTGTCTCATAACTCTCCCAGGGGACTCAAATGGTTGTTCAGGAGTCAGGACACTAGGCTTTTGAGCGGTCGTTCTCAGGGTCGTAGGCTTGAGCTGTGCGCATCGATCCTGATTCGTTGGTCGTCTGAGAGATGGAGTCTGCGGGAGAACTGGGAGCTCTTCGATTATTCTCTTGATTTCGGGCTCTTGACGGCTAGTCATTAAAAATGAGACGTGTTGGAAGGAGGGGTCTGCACCTATGTAGGTCAGAACGTCGAGGAAGTCTGTGCGGGGAAACTCGCTCTCGTCAACAGCATCGACGATGATGTAAACTCTTTGCCGCTTGAACTTCTTCGTCACGGCCAGCAAACATTCTCGCAAGCCTTTGGTGGAGGTGTCACGTCTCGCATAGAGATCGGCCAGTTCCTGTGGGACAGAAGAGCCAAGCTGTATGCTCAGGTCGCTAATAGCCCATCGAAGGAATGCTTGCGTCTCGTCCTGGCGACGCTCATGCGAGCAGTAGTAGTACGAGTATCCGTGCCTTTTGCAATGCATTGCGACTTGCTCGATCAAGTACGACGCTAGGATGGTCTTTCCAGCTCCAGGCATTCCGTGAATCCACAGAAAGCGCTGGCAGGCACTGGCCGTGGACGAGCCACGTTCAAGCCAGTCAGGCCAGTACATCGACTCAGTCATCCAGTTGCAGGTGCCCTTCTCTTGTAAGTTGACCTTGTCTTCATGAATGTCATTATTCATGGTATTGATACCCTTGGGTTCCAGCCATGCCAGAATGGCTTGCCTTTCGCGGTCTATCATGCGATTGTCAGTCTTAGACGCTTCGGTCTAGTTGAAGCGCGGGGTGAGCTTACCAGAAACCTGAGCTTCGGCCTGTTGCTGAATGCCTTGTCGGAGATCATCAATAGCAACGCTGGACAGGGTTAGCCAGGGCTTGTGTAAACGCAAAGGATGGTTACGCAGTGCTAGTCTGTATTGCCAGTCGACCGTAGCCTTATGGCCTTCCAGTTTCTGCAGCAAGTCGTTGGCCTTGTCGCATTTGGTAACCGGCCATGCGAGCCTGTCCAGAGTCTTCGAAAGTGAAGCCCGAAAGCTGGAAGTGGGTGGAGACAGGCTTCTCTGAGGCACCTCGTTTTGTACAAGCTCCCCCAGCTGTTGAAGACATTCTACTATTGCACCCAGAACTTTGTTTTCCGTCAGCAGTTTGTGCAGAACATTGCCGGACGCTTCTCCGTTTTCCATAAGGCGATACAAGACTTGCAGTTGCAGCTTCCAAGTATTAACGCTGTACATGATCATCTCGATGGTCTCTGGAACTTGTTGCACGCCGTTGTAGTAGTTCATGCATGCTTCGATGATGCTCTGGGTGATGCCCACGGCATCAGCGGCAGAGCCAAGGATATCCGCTACTTCAGCCATGATGCAAGGAATTCGCGGGTTGCGGCCGTAGTGTGGCCGTAGTTGTCGGTTTTCAAGTGAAGTTGCTGGTGTTGGTTTTTGGAGAGTCGAGAGAAACTCATCTAGGTCAGGGAGCGCATGGCGGATACTTAAGCGTCCCACCAACACATCTGTTACCCCGACAGAGATGTCTGAGAAAGGCACGAACGCATTGTCACCAGGCAGCCAGAAATCAGAACGGATATAAGTGACAACTGGGGTTAGCACCCAGGCAACCAGCTGAATGAAAGGCTTATGGATACAAGCCAAGGGGATTAGAGGGGCTGTAAGTGGCTCTGCTTTGAGCTTGGTCTTACATCCTTTGACAGCCATCAATGATGTGCACACACGCAAGCCGGAGAAGCAAAGCGAGTCCTATCATAACTTCCAGATCTTTTGACCCCCCCAGGCATTGTCCCATACTCAGAACACTGTCCCAAAGTCTCACGGCAAGCACTTGAGAACAAGAATGTGGAAGGAATCAAGTTGCAACTCAGCATCCTCAAAGCCATTGATTGAAATGAAGATATGAGTGGGATAGCCATCACAAGACTAGTGGACAAGAACTGCAACGCAATGATCACATCGCGAAACTCATAACAGACCAGGCGAGACTTCACTTACCTTCCAGGCAAGTAGATGCAGTAGGGGCGTGTACAACATCATGTTTGAACATCTGTAGACAAGACCAAACTTGATAGACAAAGGCAGAACACTTGGCGAATGCCCTCGTAAGGCTGCAGAGACTGAAGTTCTGGATTGAAGTGTTGCAACTGAAGTCAGGCTTGACGAACCGACGGGTAAGGTGTACCTAGGTATAGGTATGCCAGTCACATCGATGTTAGTTTTTGTGGGTGGAAATGGAAAGCATAGACAGCTCTTCGCACACCATCTATCGCTAGACTGGATAAGCAGTGGGCCTTCTCGTAAGCCGCATCAAGCATTATCGTGACGCTAGAAAAGAAGCTACGAAAAAACGCTCGGGACTTCCAAGGTAATTTGTGGGTTGTCGTCGAAGATCTCCGAAGTAATCAGGAGATCTGATAAAAAACCAGATGTCTTGGTATCTCCACAACTGCGTCTGCCGCCCTCCGAACCGGAGTACCTCGGCAAGGAGCGAACGCACGATGCATCAACCTTCAGTACAACCTCAATGCATTAAGCAGGCGCATTAAGCAGGCTAATCTCACATAAATTTGCGAATGTGGAGTAGACAGTCTTCGCTCACATTATCTTGCCGAATGTCCCAGACGTTTACATCCTTTCTTTCGTTTTTTCCACAGCCTTGGTAGAGAGATTGCCCAGATCCAGTGTACTTGGTTTCGCTTGTACTCCCGTCCTTCTTCAATCAGTTGGGTCTCTGCTGGGTAAAGCACGCGAGCCGACGTCATATCCCATTTTAGCCATAGCTCAACCAGCCATCCGGTAGTACCGACACTTGGGACGAGCTAGATCAACAACTGAAAACTCAACGACGCCCCCTGCACAGATAGAGTCCAAGCTCAAGAAACTTTGCAAGGCTACCTGATTGCGCAGACTGCATCATGTCGTCAACGGCCGAAGTAGCAACGTCGGATCTGCCGTCCGGCGATCCCATCCCCTCGTCGGCCGCGCCGCCAACATCCTCACCGAAACCCATGCCCATCAAGGCGCTCGTCGCCGCCGCGCCATCCAACATCGACGCCTTCCTGGCGCAACTACAACGGTGCCTCAGCACGCCCACAGGCATCGACACGACGCTGCTCTTCCTCTGCTACACGTCGCGGCTCTCGTCCGCATTGCTGGAGCACCTTACTGGCCCCACCATTCGGCGCAGCGCCGAGAAGCTGCTCGCCCTCGCTGCCACCCTACCTCCATCCACCACCATTCTCTTCAGCTCCAAGGTGTTGCCCTCGCCCTCGGCTGCCGTGCTCCTTCTCGTCTCCAAGCGCCTCAAGGCCTTCAGCGTTTTGCTGAGTGATGTTCGCACCTTCTTCCGCCTCTGGGGTCTGCTGGGCTTGTACTTCTGGGCGCGCAGTCTGATCTTGCGCCTGCGCACTGCCAGACAGAATAATGAGCTGGCCAAGGTCGACAGGGTCGAAACGGCCATTGCTGTGACGCAGCTCGTGGCTTGCGTGCTGTTTCAGACCCTCGAGAACGGCGCGTTTCTGGCTCAGAAGGGCGTTCTGGGCTGGAAACCGGCGACTATTGGCAAGGCGGCCATGTGGAGCGCCAGGTTTTGGGGTTGCCACGTGGGTATTGACCTGTTCCGACTGTTGTACGAGAACTACAAGCGCGGGCAGCGCAGCGTGAAGGAGAAGATGGGGGACAAGTCCGTGTCGGTCTATGAGCGCGAGGAGGCGGAGTGGTCTACCGAATGGAGGAAGTCGCTCATTCGGAACATGTCTTGGTTCCCGCTGACGATCCACTGGAGTCTCGAGCAGGGGTTGGTCAGTGAGACGACTATTGGGGCGCTGGCTACCATTCCTGGAATCATCCAAATGAGGGATCTGTGGAGGAAGACTGCTGAATAGGGGCCACTCATCGAGCAGCCAACGACTTGGAGAACGAGGGGTGGATCGGGGTTGATAAGATGAGAGGTCTGTAAAGGAAAACGACTGATTAGGAGGCTATTCATCTGGCCAATGGCCCAGAATGCAAGGTACCAACCGAGAGTGTGGCTTCAGCGGTTGAGAAGATTCATGTTCATGCTATTCTATACATAAGTACATTTCACGTTGTGAGCAGGGCACAGCCGAGTTACTGGATGATAATGATCACCATCCCAACGTCACGACTACTTCATTCTCACGATCAATGTCAACTGATTGGGGAGTCTTTGCACCTAAACATATGTACTGCGCCTGACCATATTACACCACATTGCAGGCTGTATTGTTTTCACTACCTCAGATAGGCAAAGCTGATGTCTCTAGCAAGTACACACGAGCGCCGACGCGCACCCTTCAGCCTGAAGAGGAAACTGTCGATGACCTAAAACATTCCTCTAACTACTCCAGTACAAACAAGCTTTCGCTACGGTACACTCAGATTAGACAACCCGACGAAGAATCCACCACAGTACCCAGATCAGTCACCAGCGCGAAAACCAGGGTTCAACATATCAAGGACCTTCGCAACTCAACGTCAATCTAAGCCGAAGCCTCGCTCATAATGGGACATGGATTACCGAGTACTTTTCCTCCAAAATTAATAGGAGCCCCCCAAGACGAAGTCGAAACGCGATTTTTCAATGTACTCGTCAAACCTAAAATATAACGCAGTGGGCCAGGAAAGTCTATTCGTTCTTTTTCTCGGGTATATCATTTTTGACGGTACTTTCGAGTACTAGTAGCCTGCACCACATTACAAGCAACCTCTGGCTGTTTCGTTACGTGCTTCGAAGCATTATATTCAAACTTGGAGAGATGCTTCCGACTTTGGTGTGAATTGGTGAAGTTTGGGAGTATCGGTCAAAACTGACACATAGCTGGAAAAGGACAAATTGACGTCCTTGGCCCACTGCTAATGCAATGGGTTAAACCGCCGTTCTTGGGCTTGACGAGTAGGTTGACTTGTTCGTAATGAATCAGGAGACCGAAGGCCTCTAAGCTTGGTTTGTACACTTTCTTCCGGCGATTTTTATTGCAGGATCTTTGCATTGTCGCAGGGATCGTGGTTCCGGAAAGTCCCAGCCGAACTTCCAGCTAATTTAACACATCTTGCAAGGGTGCACCTGTGACATCAACAAGAATAGCTCTTTCAATTGCCCAAGATGTCCATTCTTGTGGAATGGGATAGGTTATTAATGCCGAGGTTGAACAAGTGACGGACGAGCTCAGAATTGATCGTATTGTCAATAACGTATAAGCTTGATCTTGAACGTGATACGCCAAAATTGTGTTATACAGTCATCATTGCTTTCAAGTCCACCACAACAGCACATCACTGCTGAGCGGAGCTCTTATTTATCTACTTTGTAGTATTACAGACATAATTTCGTTGCAATGTTCCAACATGAATCCAAAACACGCTCTTGCAAATCTCTTGCAGGGTCTGTCCGCGTGTTAGCTATGTCCGTCTATTGACGATATTTGCGATAGTTGTTTTCCCCAGATGCCGTCAACCCCAGCTCTGTGTGGACTCCGACCGAAGGAATCCAGAGTACCTCTTGATATAGACATTAATAATAGTACATTTCCTTTGTGGCATGGTAGGCACCTCTCCCGTTTTGTTATCGCAGAAGTATTATGCCAAGGCCCATCGCTGCTAGTATGGCCTTGGTGGCCCCAATCGACACTGCCCTTATCCCCATTGCCGGGACGGCATCAAATGGGCTGCCACCTCCCGTTACTTCAGTTGCCAACGTCGTGGTAGACGAAGCTTCCGATTGTGTAGTGGGCGACTGTGCACTGCTATGAGAGCTTGCAACAGTACTGGTTACGGCACTGGTTACGGCACTGGTGACTTTCGTCGTTTGTGCTGTTGTCTGTACTGTTGTCTGTGCTGTTGTTTGTTCTGTTGTTTTCTGTGTTGTTGACTCCGTGGTCCGGTCTGTCGTTTGCTCAGGAGCACTGGTTTGTGTTGTGGCAGGAACTGATGCTACGGTCGTTGCCGGAGGTGAGGGAATACTCGTTGTCGGCTGTATTACCGCGGTCGTTGTACTTGAGATCAAGGTTGTCGATGTTACTGGTGGTGTCTGGATTGGAGTGGTAAAGCCCTGGGTTGTTGACGGTTGCACGGTCACTGTCAACGTCGTGGATTGAGCACTCGGGCATAGCGTGTCAATGAGTTTCCCCCTCAAAGTCAAGCCTAATAATGATTTCGAGTTGACATTGACGCCACTGCAAAAAAGGTTGATAAATGACGACGTCTTGGCCAGTCCATTCACACAGTCCGCAGAGCATAGGTTGCCATTCGTAAAGTCGCTCGCCTTACAATCTGGTATCTGACTGTCGTACACCAGAATGCAGGTGCTCGGTACGTCGTTTGAGGTGATGAGTTGGAAATTCGCAAGCGACAAGGCCGAGGCGGTCGGGGCCAAGAGAATAAGATGCGACAGGCTCCGTGGCCTCCGTAGCGGCCGCCTGGGAGATGTCATGGTTGATGTTGTGAAGTTCGAGCTGTCACTGTCTTCGATAAGTGCAGCGCCTCTAGACCGGGATGGCGGATTCTCTATAAATGGTTCCGACAGAGAAGACGATGTCGCGCAGCTAGACAGTTCGAGTAGGTCCGACGGTAACTGGAAAATAACCCACACTCTACAAGGTAGATAGCTGTCGAGGTTTCCTACCTCTTTTGCTTGAATGGACGGCTGGGGTTGACAGACGTCAAGGCTGAGTGGTGGTGTGCTGTGGGACCTCGAAACACAGCCTGTGTCAAGGAGCCCTCAATGACGGGATGGGGGATGGCTTCACCCGATGGCAGTGCCAATGGTATCCTGGAATCCGATCAAGCGGAGTCAGTGCGGTTGGAGTGTACACTGATGTAACTCGGCCTGCTTGGATCTTGGATCACTTCACTACTTCGTCCGGTATATCGACAACACAGGCCAGTCCCCAACGCCTTGACAGTGATCCTTTTATGCACCCCAACAATTTTGACCGTGACGAAGATTGGCGAAGTTTGGATGTGATAGCTTGGTTTCCTAGCCGAATCATGCACTGAACTGGTCAGGCTGAGGCCACAATCGTATGTCCCAATATGTATATGCCGACCACTCGACCACGCGAAAAGGCAGTAATGGCGCGCCTCAAGCGGATGATGAGAAGGAAAGACGAAGTCACCACCGACTCCCGGAAACAAAAGAGAACCGCTCGTGGGAAAGTGACAGCTATGCCGCGATTAAAAACACTGGATGCAATCAATACATTTCAACAGTCCGGATGAACGAAAAACAAACGAATAAAGCACAGCTTCGGCGTGGATAGAAGTTGGAAACAACGAGTCAAGGACGGCCAGGATGTCGAAGGACGGATCGGTGGGAAGGACACTCGTGGCATAATATGGAAACCACCCTCCACAACACGAGAAGCTTGTAGCCAGGGGGTCTTTGCTTGCCAATTTGAGCCATCGTGATGTAACCCGATACCCCAAATATGCTCTGTGGCTCTCAGGCCATCCCCAGAGTTCAAAGCTGCTGCTCATCGCCTTTGGCAACGGCTCAGATCTGGTCAATCTTGTGGTAGCACGCATCTCAGGGAGCTCCTGGATGCCCCTCAACGTCTGGAAGACTGGATGTGAGAGGCTAACCCCTTCCTGCCGTGTCGCGATGTGTCGGACCAATTGACGCAACCGTTGGACGAGACGGCAAGAAACGAAACGACGCTTTGTTTGAGGAAGCCACCGAGGGCAATGTGATTGGCGTGCAGTGCTACAATGACAGGTGAGACCGGCAGATGTAGGGCGCAATAGCCAGGACTCGAGCCGTGTGACCCCTGCATAATTGTATCGTAGTAAGCGTTCCAGCCTCGCTAACTCTTCTGGTCTCCGCTTTTCGACCTTGCCGACACGAACAGTTCATTCGATCACTAAGCTCCAGTTTCCTTACATAACAACCGCGGTCGCATTGCGTTTAGTCTTTGCGCAAACACTCGCATTGATGGGTGGGATGCAAGTGTTGCGACATGTTTCTGGCAATAGCTCGCAGGAAGGATGCGAGTCTGTTGCAATGACGGCAGAGGCAGAAGAGTGTCACAACGGAGAACGCATGGGCCTTCTTTCCATTGCTCCGCATTAGTTGTGACGGCAAGCCCTGGCACAGCATCTCACAGACATCAGTTTCCGGTTGGAGAATCCGCACGAGATTGGTTGTCATATGAGATTTTGCCCTCAAGCGTCCGCATCGACCTCATTTCCTTCGTTCATCATCTGCAGATTATATGTTGCATATACCTAGGTCAACTGTACTGCTGTACGGTAATCAAACGCATGGTGTACTACATCACATTTTTTCCAGTTGCAATATGGAACGCGGTGCTGGCGTCCGGGTGTTGCCTAGCGCTGACATTCGCCGTGCTTGCCGCTTTTGCCATGGGCCTATGATCGCAACACGTCTCACGCCGTAGTATGAATAGAGAACTCTTCTCATCTGTCCCTAACTTGTCGTCTTACCATCACGGTTTTCATTTTTTCCTACCCTCCCTCTTCTCTGACCATTCCGGTCGTGCCCTTGCCTTCAATATCGCTAAGGTCTTGGCTCTCCATTCCCCTTTGTCTGGGACTTGCATTCCCGTGTCCTAGCATTGTATTGTACAGCTTCGGGGCCCGTACCACTCGCTGTCGAAGGCTGTTTGATATCTCTCTGTATTTCTCTCCCGATAAATATTTCCCGGTCGGCATATTCAAGGCTCTCCAGCTGGGCCTCGGATCGGTCCTACGGAACTACGACTGTCCATATGGACTCTGAGTTCGTCCCTAGAGGATCTACTAACACTACTGGCAACACTTCCTCGTTTGACTAATCACCAAAGTGCTGCACGTAACAATCGCGTGATGGAGACGCGGAGTCTAGGAGGCTTCCTGGCAGCCTCACAGGGCTAAAGATCCTGCGCCTGCGAGCTGCGTGATTCCGTCGTGATGAGCGCGACGACCAGCACTGCCCTGCAGGAATAAAGAAACGGGCTGGATATGACCGCCATTCACAAGTCTTGATTTAGGCATCAGCCATGGTCGTCGGGATCACATGGGTTGGGTCCCTGTTCCATGCAATGCCGCCAGATCCGGGTTCATCCCGAGAAGAAAGAGGGGCTCCGAGGCAGTTGTGATGCCGGAGGAAATTGAGCTGGGCAGGACGATGACGTAACTCCTGAAGCCTCCGCGATGGATCAGTTCCCATGGGCGTAATCTGGCGCTTGACCTCCTTGTGCGATCTCAGACTTCCATTGGTCCTAACTGAGAACAGTATGATACAAGGGACGTGAGCTCATACGAATAGGGTCGACAAGCGGAGATGACGCAGATGTGTCACGCCAACTATGTTGTCCTGGACTAACGCGGCGGACGCCGGGCTTCATATGCTGTTAGGTCGGAGACGTGATTCGCGAGAGCGGCGGCGATATCCTGCGAGGGTTATTCCTTGCCGTACCGTCTTCTTTCGGCAGTCAAACGGTTGGCAGAAATACGAGAGATAACCCATTCGGGCTTCTGCCGGTCCCCTGCTATCATGCAGAGTGCGGTCCACGGATGCGAGTTTGAATCCCTGGGCTTTGAGATGAAATTGAGTGGTAGCGAGCGGTGAGGCGCCTGTGTCCCTACGATATATCTCGCCTGCCCCTAGGCCAAAAACGAAGTGTGCTTAGCTTGCCTGCTGAAATACCGAATCTGAAATCGTTGTTACTCTACATAACATTACTTGCAACTTGCTTACATCTGCATCCCGAAATAATAGCTAACGCGATCGCTGTGGCAGTCTTGCCCGTGATGCTGGGCAGACAGCTTCAAGCAAAGCTGCATATCGAGCGTCTATGGAGGAACCTTCGCATACGTCATTGTCTAGACTTGACATTTGATCTCTGCTTAGTTTATATTGCCTCTCCATGCTTCTGCCGACGCCATAAGAGGAAGTTGCTGATACCCAGAGCATGCCCGACTATAGATTGGCTCGTAGAGGTGACAGTGGCCGCAGAGACTCGCCACAACCCAAGCGAAAATTAAGACCGAGGACGGCAGCGCTTCACAAGAGCGGCCATTTCTCCCGTGATTCTAGCGTCTTCTCAGATGACGAGAGCGTGGAACGTGGAGGATCCGCGATAAGACGACGTTCTTCGGCTACCACAACGTAAACGCCGCAGATGTCATCCAACCCCCAGAGTGTCCACCAGACGGTGAGATCGCCCGGGCGGCATTACATCAGGGCCGCGCTTGATCCCGCTCAACACTTCCAGCCCGTCATCCTCGGAAATTTACAAAGAGAAAAAGGCTACGGCAGACATACCCACCGTGGCATTCGAGGAGTGGCCTCTTAGTTATGCTGTTCTCAAAATAATCACAGAGGACGGCCTAACGACTTTCCAGTTACAATTATCCTAGGGCACCTGCGTAACTCATGGACTCCAGGATCATGCAGTTGGAAGCCCAGTGCGCGGATCATCTATGCAAACGGACCTCTTAGCGGAGCGAGGAAAAATAAGCAAAGTCCAGTACGAAACCGGAGATGCTACATAAGATGAATATTATACGGAGGAAATTCTAGGCCACAGATTCACCGAACCCAATAATGAAGTCCTCCAGCTGTACGTCAAATGGAAAGCCTCCGAATAGACTGCAATATTTATGACCCCAATTACCTATATATATACAGAAATCGGTTATCTGTGTCAATCTTCGCAGAATATTCGTCCTACACGCTCAGGTTCCTGTCAAATTAGGTCAGCTTTGGATCCAAAGAACGAGGGTATATGCTCGAAATCACGAACATGAGTCTGGTCAGCGACTGCGCGAAAGCCTGGTTTTAGGCTCCTGTCAAGCAAGAAACGTTTCACCTACTATCCTTTCTTTCTGAGCAAAGGAAAAGTCTTGACACCAGAGTAGGATTTTTGGCAGCTCACTAGCTGTATAGAAGACGAAGATAAAGGCCATATAAGCATGGAAGCTCCCCATCGGCCCATCGGGCACAAATGGAGGTTCTGATGAATACGCCAATATTGAGTCCTGCGACCTATAAGTTTGTGGAGTCCGCTTTGTCCTCAGCCTGGCTACGTTCAGAACTCATACAGAAATACGGAATGCTCGGTATCCGGCAAGAGATGGCAGATCATGACGTGCATGCTGGGGATCGCCTGCTTCTAGTGTATATCACCGTGCCTTAGTCAGCTTTCATATGCGGCTCACGAGGCTCCGAGAAGACCCATACACTTGCTTGCTTATTAGAGGCGTCACTACTTTAGCAAAATGTCGTTGGCAAGCTCCCTTTTCCTTTGGCTGGCATGGCCATGCATTACGATAAATTCACCAGTCGTAGTGCAGCGCAATTATGCGTGCTGTCTACTATTTATTTGCCTCTCGGTATTCCTAGAGGAGCGCCGCAGTGCGGTCGAGTCAAAGCCATGAATGAGGCGCACAAGGCAAGTCATCCGCTTCGCACTTTGGTCGACCCCCAGAAGTAGTAAGAAGAAGCAGTGTTCTAACAAAACTGCGCACTTCCATCGTCATACAACAAAGACACACAGGCACCCGTGTGTACATCGCCACCCAAGAACCAACGCTCGCCCCAGAACTGATCGATTTGGCCAATATGGCTCTCGTACATAGATTCACTTCCCCCCAGCTTGGCTCGATGTACTGATGGGGCACCTCACGGGCGCCATTGCTGAGTCGAGAGCACTTTGCGACACCATCGTTGCGCTCCGTCGTGGTGAGTCCTTGCTCTTCTGCCCAACGGCCCAAATCCCAAGTTGAAATCCATGAAAGTAATGAAAGATGCAAGCAATTGAAAGCATTGGGCAGCATTTTCATGAAGGTGAAGATTCGGAAGCCGATTACCATAGATGGTGGTAAAAGCATCATGGCCACCAATGCCGTGAATCGCGCTATCACTCCCTCGGTGGGAGTTGAAGATATTCGAATGCACATCGTGGCACCAATCCAGGCAGGAATCTAGGATGCACTTCAAGCAAGTACTGGGTCGGCTCAAGATCATCACGTCACGACTGTCACCAAGCTGGTCGTAGGAGGCGCTACACCAACATTCAGCTCAGCCTGCACCACTCAAGTTGCGGAGAAGCTTAAAGCTCTCTCGCCAGCCCAGGTTAGTAGAAGGACCGAAAACGGGCTGTCGAATGCGTTTTTAAAGCTTGCCGCAGTGAACTAATCCTCCGTGACACGCGCGAATGGGAAGCAGGCTGTGGCGTCCGCTCAAGCCCAATCCTTTTCCATTCACAGCACTAGCAATAGTAGCAATGCAGGTGACGTTAAGATCCCGGACAAGAAATCCGGTGCCGCCAAGACTACAATAACTGCAGCAGAATGCTATGTCGACGTTATCATCAAAGAGGAACCACGGCCTTCATCTTTCATTCTAAAGAAAACTCAAAAGGATGACCTATATGGTCGATTTAGAAGCACGTTGGATATACAGCCTGGCACACTTGCGAAGAAGGAATGCAAGACAGACCTTCCATCTCAAGCACAGCCACAACCTTCCACCGGAGCTGTCAACTATGGAAGTCTCCACCGTGTTTTCCAACAGTAAGCTTTCCTACAAGGATAGCCACGAAGTAGCAGGTCAAATTACTATACCTTATAAAGCTCCGTTATGTGATTTCGGTGTGAGTAGCGGCTAGTAATAGTAGAGTATAGTTGCGAAACTTAGCGAATATAATATACTCCTTCGACGAACCCCGAGATTTGATTCGGTAGTTCCTATAGACGAAAAGGAAGGAAGTCTATTACCGTCTCGCGATCTAGGCTTCCGACCGTGAGTTTGCAGTCCCCTACTGCTATTTCGGTGTAATACCTGTATATTAAGGATTAGTGATACGTGACCCCATGGGGGGTTGCCCTATAGCTAGAGATAAGATAGATAAGAGCTATAAAAGAGCTCTGCCAGGCCAGAATAGCTGACCTGGCCATCCTTTTCCAATTCAACAATTCACACCCCATATGCACTCGCATCAATTAGCTGACAATCCGCGTATAGGGGTTATAGTAGGCTACTAGGGACCGCTTCTATTACCCGAAGATACTAGACATATCAATCGCGGTCTCGGCTACGTATTTTGGCTTAACATATTGAACTTGTTTTCATTGTTTTCGGTGCGCGGTATGCTCCTGATGCGAGTGCATATGGGGTGTAAGTTATTGTATTGAGAAAGGATGGCCAGGTCAGCTATTCTGGCCTGGCAGAGCTCTTTTATAGCTCTTATCTATCTTATCTATAGCTATAGGGTAACCCCCTATGGGTTCACGTATCAGCTCCTTAGCTAATGTTGGTGTCGGTCGTTTTGTAATTTTGCTGTTCGTCTACCTCCTAGTAACACGCCTAAGGAAATCCGTGTGATCGGGAGTGCTATTTATTCTAGGGCGACTTCTAAGACCTAGGGTGCAGAGAAGGCTCCAGAACCTAAGGAACAGGCCAGCGCTGCTATTTTGTAGTGCGAGTTCGAGGAGCCGAAAACAGCGTCCTTCAACTTGGTTCCAGGGAGCAGAAAAAGGGATATCGACATAGCAAAGATAGTAATCGGTTGCACGTGGGGTAGTGGTGCGGCCGACGCTAAGCTGGGAGACGGGTGGGTAGCACTGGACTCGAGCGACTTAGTAGTAGAGTGTATCTGTGGGAGACATGCGGCCCTCAGTGTTGAGACCGCTTACAATGGCGGCATGTCGCGCCGGGTGATCCGGCCACAGCACTGTATCCCCGGTTTATCCCGTAAAGTAAGCCTGATATGGACCTCTCCACTAACAATTTCTTAGTATTTCGCAAGCACCATGGCTCATTATGGCTCATCATGAAGTGACACCACCCAAGCTACATCCAATGTTCCTCTCAAGTAATCAAGTCAGCTGCAACCAGCAGCCGCATAAATGGCCAAATTTCTGTGACTTTGAGATATCTATTGCAACTTTCGCTCCATGCGAGTAACAAGACATCCCTCACGCTCCATATCTCCTGGCAGCATGACAAAGTTAAATGAGCATCACAACGAGTCTCCGGCAATGGTCCCGTCAGCAGACAAGATGTTGACCCAGGTCCTGAAGGGACTCGAGGGGACGAAGTACGCCTCAACTTCCCTGGATCCGCTTGCGGGAGGTACGGGAAACTTTCTTTACCGCGCACAATTGTGTCACCCACTCGATGACTCAACGAAAGAGGTTGTCGTCAAGCATGGTGAGGGTTTCGCCGCCTCAAGTCCCAACTTCCAGTTACCGACAGACCGATGTGTATGAGGACCCTATCCCATAGCGCAGTCCCGGGCCCTTCTTATTTTGTCAGCTGACACCACAAAGCTCATTGAAGCAAAGTGCTTGAGTGCTCTGGCCTCTTTCCCAGTCGAGTCGAAAATCACCCAACCCTTCAGCTTTGTTGTGAAGACCCCGAAGTGTCTCCTCTATGATGAGAGTACCTGTACCCAGATCCAGGAGTTACTTCCCAATGCTATGGATCTGAAGACATATTCGCTGAAGTACTACGCATCGCCTACCCCAGATGCCCTGGAGCCTCAATGTCGGCAGTTTGGAGCAGCGCTGGGGAGCTGGCTTCACGAGTTCCATCGTTGGAGTGGCCAGCAGTCCGATCTGGTACAAACGACAGCCAACAACAGGGACATGCGGAAGATAAAGCACATGATTAACTTCCAATGGCTTTCTCAGCGCCTTGAGAAATTCCCTTCCACCTTAGCAGAGGCCAAAGAGGTCTTTGAGGAAGTCAGCAATATGGCAGCGGCAGAAATGGATGACGATAAGTTGCTGCCGGTCATCCATGGCGACTTCTGGACTGGAAAGTGGGCTGCTTTCCCAACACCGCTCTATATTCAAATGGCTAACCCTACGCGTAGCATACTCGTTCCGAATGATCCATTGCAAGAAGGTCGAAAAGTGAACGCATACGTCATCGACTGGGAGTTAGCCCAACTTGGCGTGCCGAATCTCGATGTTGGTCAAATGTTCGCAGAGCTGTACGAGTTGTGGCTCTACAAGAAAATCACGGCCGGCCTGTGGATGGCTCAGGGATTCGTCGAGGGCTACGGGAAAGTAAGCGACCAATTTGCTTTCAGAACTGCCATCCAGGTCGGTGCTCATCTAGTGTGCTTTGGAACATCGGTACAGGGTTGGGGCACTCCAGAACAGGTCGAGGAGGTCGCGCGGACTGGAAAGGATATCATTGTCAATGCTTGGCGGAAGAATCGGACTTGGTTTGCAGGTGGTGATCTCGCGTGCTTGTTCAGTCCAGCAGAGTAAGCTGGAAATGATGGGGCGGGAAGAGAATTTGGCCGAGGGATACTACTAGCAATTCAGTGCAGCCGGAAGAAGCCTTCGATTCGTTGCATTGAAGCTTGTCGCAGCATTGTATACTCGTGCTATAGACCCAATGACACGTCTCATAGGAAATGTATCTCATGTGAAGTGTGATCGCCCATTCCTGGCCTGTTCATTCATGGCTTGTATACCGTGACATAACACTGATCGGCACTACCCAGTAGCACCATTCAGGAGATCAACTAAACACCAGAGAAAATAATTGCCCCACTTCGTCACCCAATGAGTCAAGGACTTCACATTTACAGCAACTTCCAACAACTTCTGACTTTATAAAATTTTCTCACTCAGCTTGATTGGTTTCATATCCATTTCGTAGCCACTGTATTCTCCCTCAATATCCAGTGTTTGCTGTCATGGAGTCAACGAGCCCGCCGGCGTCCTCAAATCCAACATGCGTCCGCTGCAACGAAAACGAGGCGATATTTGACCTGCGCACCGACAAAATCTGTCCGTGAGTATCTCAATCTCACGACCAAAATACATCCAAAGACACCTGTACTAAAAACCCCCAGTCCATGCTTGGCCCAGTTCGTAGCCAACAAAACCATCAAGCGCCTCGAGGTCCTCCAGCGTACAACGCGGACCGGCGGCCCCAAGCAGCCCAACAAGCCGCAAAAGTACCTCGTCGCCCTCTCTCGCGGCACATCCTCAACTTCGCTGCTGCAAATATTACACGAGAATTTGCAGCAGCAAGTGGTGCGGACGCAGAGGACCAAGTTCCAGCTGCTGGCCGTGCATGTTGATACGGATCTTCACCACCGGCCGTCATCATCAAGCGATGCGCCTTCAACTCAGGGGTTGACATCGGCAGAGGAGACATACCGCTCCCGATTCCCAAATGCCGAGTTCCTGACCGTCATGCTAGAGGACGTCCTGGCGCTCGACGCCATCGACTGGGCCTCGCTGCCCCCTCTTCACGCCGGACTGCAGACGCCCGCCGAGCAGCTCGCAGACCTGTTCGCCCGCCTCCCTTCCACGACGTCACGGGCTGATATCCAGCGTCTCTTCACCCGGCACCTGCTGCTCTCCGTCGCCGTGCGGGAGGCCTGCGATGTGCTGCTGCTAGGCTCCAACACGACGGCCCTAGCCGAATTAACGTTGTCCGAGACGGCCAAGGGGCGGGGCTTCTCGCTCCCGTGGCAAATCAATGACGGATTATTTAAGGTGCCTGGACGATTGAGTACGGGTGGAGATGACGCCGGAGGTGCGGCAGAGGAACGGACAAGGGAAGGGCCGAAGACCATACCCATCTACCACCCGCTCCGCGAGCTTTTTCGCAAGGAATTGCTCACCTACACCACCATAACGACGCCCCCGCTGGCAGACATCATTGTACCCGAGTCGACATCCTCACCTTCCGCCGCAAATGGGAAGGCAGCCGCCATAGTCTCGCACAAGGACCTCAGTATCGAAGAAGTAATGACGCGGTACTTTGCCGAAGTAGAGGAGAACTACCCCTCCGTGGTAGCGAACGTGGTGCGCACAACGGGGAAGCTAGCCCGGCCAGAGGGAGAGAACGGACACTGTGGGCTCTGCGACATTGGGCTCGACGAGGCGGGCGACGAACGGTGGCGTGGGGAGCTGGGCGAGCAGAAGGGGGTCGAGAGACCGGATGGGCGCAAGTTGTGCTATGGTTGCGATAGATCAATATACGGATGATGCAGCCAGCCTGACAGCCCATGATTGATGAGTTCGGTCAAAATGTGATGTTTTGTAATCTTTACACTGTAAGTCTGCTGCAACTCTATACAATCCGACGAGCAGCCTCTCTTCTCTGTAAACCGACACGGCCAAGTAAAAATAGTACGAGCCGCGTACAAGCCACCCCTGTGGAGATGACTTAACCTACAGCTACAGGCTATATCTGCTCTGCCCTCTCATCCTACAAGTAAGGGCTCCATTCAAGCCTTACTCAGTGCCGACTCCGGCAGGATCCTGTTCTCAAGCTTGCGCATCAACTTGTTGGTCTGCTCTGCCAGACTCAGTGTCAAAATAGTATGCGGTAATATCCGCGCTAGATGCGGCAAGAAGCCCTTGTATACCGCCAGTACTCCCTCCGTCTTGATGGTCTTGCCTAGGCAATCAAACACGCCCTTGTACAAATTGCCGTTTTGGTTGTAGAGGCGCGACATAATAGTGTCTTGTTTCTGTCGTTAGTACATGATTACTCGCTCCATGTCAACACAAAAGGGGCATAACTCACCAGGCGGGTGCATAAAACAGCACGCCACAAACCCGCTCACCGTGCTACTCGCCAAATGCAACGGTGCACCCTCCTCCATACCCAGATGCCTGACTAGCCTTCGCTTGGCAAAGAAATACGTCGGCAACTGCACACTACTCCCGGAGCCCGTCCTGATCATTGCCGCACCCACACCCCGATACAGTCCCCTGACTCCCTCAGCACTATAAATCGACCGCATCCCATCAACCGCATTGCGGTACCGATGCTGCGTGCCCACGGGCAAAAAGGGACTAAAGCTCTGCAGCCTTGTCTTGACCAAAAAGAAAGGCGACCCAGCCGCCGCACCGATCATGCCCGACGAGGCGCCGCAGAACATGTTTATGCCGAGGTTTTGCTTGGTGGAGTCTTTCAGGATGACCTGGGCCAGGGTGCCACGCATGGGCTCGTAGAAGCCCAGACGGCAGCCGTTCAGCAACACTTGGTAGATGTAGGCGCAGCCGATGCTGCGGTAGATGCCCTTGACGCCCTCATTGCGGATGATGACGCTGACGCCGTGGATGGGCCCGCGGTAGTGGTGCGGTTGGTGGCCCTTGGATTGGAGTTCGCCTTGGAGCTGCATTCTGGTGGGAGGACGGAGACGTTAGTCATTTCTTCTTCTGGTTCTGCTGCTCGCCATGGTTCTGCGCAACGGAAGCGTCCGGTCTGTTGTGCAGGGGCGGATGCATGGTACGGAGGAGGTCTCGTTGCAAGGAAAGCAGGTGTACATACCGGATCTTGACCGTCTCGAAGGGGTGCGTGGCCGTGACGGCGCCGCAAGCGGCGATGCCGCCGGCTATGAAAGCCCTAGAAAGCTCCAAGTCAGTCACTGAAGCTCTCGGCGCAGATGACTCAATTGTCAAAGGCAAAGGGGAAGAGCAGCCATACCCAGCAGTCGTCGCCATATCTTTCCGCGCTTGATCTGTTCTCCTCTGCCAAGCTCAATCGTATGGGCAATCGTCTAAATGCAGCGTGCTTAGAGCTTTCTTTTTCAAGGTCGCACCAAAACCACACCGCAGCTCAGAAACGGAAGGTGATAGGCGAAGCTCTGGTGTGCGCTCAAGGGTCCATCGGTGTAGAATTGAGAAAGAGTGGAGACGTGATATTCTTTGTTGGGACACAAAAGTGAATTGAAGTCAATATATGCAATAGATAGGGTTGAATTGAATTGCCCCAGTTAGTCTTCTTTAATCACTCATTCCCTAGGTCTAGGATTCTGGACATACTCGTGCGTGGGCATCTATTGGGCAAACGTGCTCTGGTCAAAGAAATCCCCAGTGTGTGCTTCCCACTGAGGTGCTGGCCGCCGAAGCCGGCTGGCTATGTAGGACCAGAAGCTAGGCTAGCCACCTTTTTCTCTTTAAGATGGTCCCGACTCGATGGATCCGGCTGCAGCGAGGGGAGCTAAATTGTCTGAGGCTAACCACGCAACGGGTTACTCCGAAGAGAAGGCCATACAACCTGTAGCATTTGATCCATCCGAGATCCCAGATCTTGGGCAACGGCCATGATTTGAGTACAGGGGGAGCCTGCCTCATCCACGGATCTGTGGGTAGTGAGGATGCATAGTACGGCAAGAAACCTAGACAACCTAGCTGCCAGTTGATCAAACTGTACACTTCGGGAAGCAGCATTACCACATACACTAGGAGGAAATCATCGCATAATATTCCCCGGCAAATCGAATAAGTCATGGCTAGTGTCAGTGTAAACCTATGTATAATAGTCATGCACTATGTTGCTTCCACTATATTCCCTCATGGGACTACCACAATCGCTCATCCTTCTTGCAAGATAATCGATAGAGTAATTAATGGTTCATATGTATAGTTACCTCACTGTGCTGTGCATGTCCTTTGATTTGTCCTTTGCAATAGCCACACACTGTTGATGACAATGAAACTCCCATCAATGCATGAAAACCACGATGCACCCTGGTCCGAAACGCCAACAACCTGGTATCACTGCCCTTATCTTCCACTACTCACTGCCGTAACAGCACCACCCGAGTACACCCAACAGCCTGACTAGTGATCATCTCGTTTTCGGGCTCGTCGAGTGAACCGTAGCATAAAGGCCAAGACGTTCTATGCCGGGTTTTCCACTGGTGCTGCCGCCCCGTCCAGACTGATGCCCTGCCTCGAGGCCTCTTGAGATGCCCGGCCAGCATCTCCGTCGAACACCCACGGTCCCGCATCATTTCGGGGGGTCATAGGGCCCTCGTGGCCAACGACCAAGGGTTGTCCGTTGGGTGACGGTGTTCGGGTGCCTCTGTTAGCAGACAATGTGCCGTTATTCGGCGGCCGTGCGGGGCTCGGTATCGATACCGGGTTCGACGTAGTATACCTGGATGACGTGTGTCTCTGCTGCTCCACCGCTGGGCTGTCGAGTAAAACAGTACGATCGGCAGCATCACTAGGCCCACTAGTAACCGAGACGAACGAGTCTCTCTCGGCACTTGAGGCGTCGTGCGTGCTGTCAGGGGTAGAAGCGGCATTGCTGGGCGGCGAAGCCTCCGTTGCTATTGGCTCTTCAACCACATCCTCGGCACCCGAATCAAGTTGTTGCCACTCTTCGGATGGCTCCTCGACGTCCGCATCGAGATCTGCGGCGGCTCGACAGTTCGGGCAGGTGAATATGGGCCACGAGGGGCCGACGAGCAGCTCGCGAATACACTTGTAATGCCAGGTATGGCTGCATGGTGCTACAAAGAGTGATTGGCAGGGCTACAAAACATGGTTAGCTCCAGAAGTCTTAGTCCCTGCTGCTCCACCGCAAAAATGCGATCGCTAATCCTAGAGATTTACGCAGAGAAGTGATCGAGTAGCCAGGTGACTTACTGCTATTGCGTTCAAGCATATCGAACAGTCTTGCGCATGTGAAGCCGTGGAGGCAGCCGACGTCATGTTTCTTAGACGCTTGTGAGTGGCCATGCTGTTCTAGGTTAGCCAATGCAATCGGAACCATGCCTCATCGGTAGCACATACTTGAACGTGTTAGGTTTCGCCTGCCAGCCCCTGTTGAGTTCGATTCGCATCTTGACGCATCGGAAAATCATCTCCTCACCGCCCCTGAAATCAATTCCGAGCTGCACTATATCGCCATCGTTGATGGGAAAGGGCTTCGACTCGGTGCCGGGAGGACTCAACCTGATATGATTTAGGAATGTCCCGGACGAGCTCTTCACGTCCTTAATGAACCATTTGTTATTTTCGAAGTAGAATTCGCAGTGCCTCCGGCTGACAACCTTGCTTTTGAACCCCACTGGGGCAGCCGACGGCGTGTTCGCCGGCACCGCCGCATGATTTTCCCTCTCTGAGTACCGGCCGACTTTGATAATTTCGGAGCCAGTGGGTAGTGTGCGTGAAACGGGGGTGAATGACAGCGATTGGCGATTAGACCGGGGGTCGTAGTACGCCGACAGCCTCAGTGATGGCAACATTTCGTGGGACAGGTCGCCCGTAGTAGCTGAACGCGTACGCGTCATGTCAGGACCGTCGGATATGGGGTCTGTCTTTGGGCCTCTCTTCCTGGCCGCCTTGGCTTCTGACTTGCCGTGGCCCAAGTCGCTGTCGAGATGGGGGTCAGAGCTGGACTCGGTCGAGTTTGGGTCCGAATTGGTGGAAGAAATGTCTGTCGGGGTTATGACGGAGGCGATGTCGGAATGAATATAGTCGATCGTATTTGTGCTAGCAAACCGTTGTATTCGCTGGCTTCGGGCGGGAGGTGAATAGGTGTTTGCTCGTGTTAGGGATGGATTCCGGGACTGAGCAGGGGGGCCACTTTGGCTGGCAGTGGCAGCTGGGATTGTGACGGTGACTGGAACTGACACGGGTCCCGAGGCCTGGTTGCGATGGCTGTTTGCACTGTTGCTACCACTATCGCGCGACAGGATGTGGGTCTGTGTATAGTTGCGAAGGTAATTCAAGCCCCTTAGTCTGCTACTAGTCCGACCAGGAGTGGTGGTGGAAATGGTTGCTGTAGCAGATGCAGGCGACAATATGCCCGGTGACGGCGGCGCAGGCTGGGTGAACATTTGATGGGGGATTCCCGGATTATGGCGGATTAGACCAAGCCAGCAGAGAGCGCGGGCAGCGCGGGCAGGACGGTGCTGCGGCGCGGAGTCGGGTAATCGATAGACCTGAAAAAACGCTGGAATTGGGACCCAGTGCAGGAGTCAAGAATTTAAAAGAGTCGATCGGCCCCAGTCAGGTTTTGTTTCAGGGTCTTGTGTCTTGTTTTAGAGGATCGGCCAGTTCAGTTCAGTTCATTAAGAGCGGATTTTTGAATGTCATGGACGGCGGTCGCACCAGGTACAGTCGAAAGAAATGAATCTAAGAGGAGTTGCGACAGAAGAGAAGAGGACTAGACAGGATATGGGATTAAAAAATGATGCATGCAAAAAGAGAATTTTTATCTGACGGGGAAGGGATAGGAATCGACCAGATGTTCAGAGGAATCAGCGAGCCATCGTTCCTACTGGCACGGCTTGTTGATAACAAACATAATCCCAGTACAACAACAAGCTTGCGAGCCATGACCCTCCAAGGCTCGAACCACCCACCCTTGTGATGAGGCACGAGCCAGCCGCCGCACGCTGGGAGGGGGGTAGACAGTTATCGAGGGGGACAATTGGAGGCTTGGAGGGACAAGGGAGTTGACGCCACTGCCACTTTGGCTGCATCCTACCCACGCTAGAACTTGGGGTTCGCACCAATGTCTAACCGCATAAAGATGGTAACTTGTGTTGGTCTGGCTAGTCTGGCCTAGACCCACAAGCAACCGTTCGTTTCGAACTTGAACGGGTCACCTGGATCTGCTTTTGCGATCAGGGAGGGTTGAAATGGTAACCATGATCGTTCGTGCTTGACAAATTGGTCGTTATTGTTGCATAAGGCCTTCTTCAAATGTTCCTATGTTTCACACTTGCCGGTTGTGTGGCGCAACTTGCTGGAAGTTGAAAGTCGAAGGTTTGGAAGGGCAGCTCCAACATTCAAACGGCCTACTTTAACTTCCTTCAAGCTCTCTCTTGACGCTGGAGCCTCCAATGCCGTACCAACATGGATAGTGTTACTTACTTTGCAATCCAACGGCAATCCTGGGGGATGCCTTCATACTTAGAAGGTTGAAAGATTTCGAATGCGTGGCCTCGGCAGACGCTCCCACTCCAAGGACTCTCTCACTCGTCAACCCCGTCGAAGATCAATCAGTTGCACACCTCGTCGGTGTGAAATCGGCAGCTGTGGACGACCACTAGGCATGTTTGCCACCTCTACGAGCATGAGTTGACCGTACGTGTGTACAGATGGATGTCGTCCCTCCCCCATTACCCGAAGCTTCCGACTCACTGGACCTGGAAGAAAGTGGGGGTTTGCTCTGGCAAAAGGGAAGCACCACTGTCTGGATAATAAAGTCATTCTGGTCCCTGGGTTCATTGAAGATTGTGCCCACGCCGACTCCAAATGCTTGAAACATAAACGTACATGGGTCTCGCATTATTTGTGCATTCCCCGCTTATGTCAACCTTGCCGCAGTTTCATTTGGTTCGCATCTTGGTTCCGCATGTTAAAGTATACTAAAGAGCCACAAGTCTATAACGTGAATGTACACCGAGCTGGCCATGACACCGAGCTGGCCACTTTCATGCGCCAACGCGACCGGCCAACTTAATGTTTGATTTTCTCAACAACCAATTATGGCAAAGTCATACAACGAAGCAGACTTAATGCTAGCCCTTCAAGCTCTCAAAAATGACCAAAAACTTAGTCTCCGACAAGCGGCAAAAACGTACCAAGTCCCCCGAAGCACCCTCCAAACGCGGAAAAACGGCGTACCTTTCCGACGCGATATTTTGCCCAATTCACGAACTATGACAGAATTAGAAGAGGAGGTCATTATCAAGCACATACTGGACTTAGATGCACGAGCGTTTCCGCCCCGGATTGCTGATGTGGAAGCAATGGCAAATTCTATCCGCGCGACACGTAACGCAGGGCCCATTGGAACGCGCTGGGCCTCGAGGTTCGTCGCACGTCGCAAAGAGTTGAAAACTCGTTGGAACCGTCCTTACGATTACCAAAGGGCCCAATACGAAGATCCAAAGCTTATTGCAGATTGGTTAACATTCGCAACAAGCCGAAACCAGAGTCGGACATCTACAACTTCGACGAGACTGGGTTTTTGATGGGCAAGATCTCAACCAATATAGTAGTTACGAGCTCCGAACGATGTGCCAGGCCGAAATCAATACAGCAAGGTAACCGGGAATGGGTTACCGTAATCCAAGCGGTCCAGTCTACCGGTTGGGCGCTGCCGCCGTTCATCGTTGTTGCGGGCCGATACCACCTCTCTTCTTGGTATGAAGACGACAACATTCCGAAAGATTGGAGAATTAGACCTAGTCCAAAAGGATGGACGACTAACGAGATCGGTATGGAATTTATTAAACACTTCGATAATTGTACGAAAGATGGAAAGTCCGGGATATATCGATTGTTAGTGTTGGACGGTTACGAGAGCCACGTTTCCGGCGATTTCGAGCTATATTGCAAAGAACACAAAATTGTAACTTTGTGTATGCCTCCGCACTCATCTCACATCCTCCAGCCACTTGACGTGGCCTGTTTCGGTCCATTAAAGCGGGTGTACGGCCAGATGGTAGAGAAATTGATACGCCGGTCACTAACACATATCGCGAAGGAGGACTTCTTTCCTATCTTCAAAGACGCCTTCTTTGCAGTTTTCGGCGAAAAAAACGTTCAAGCTGGCTTTCGAAGGGCAGGACTTGTTCCATTCAATCTAGAAAGTGTGATTTCAAAGCTGGACGTACGATTACGGACCCCGACGCCTGTTGGCTCCCCAGAAATCGCAACCCGACCGTGGGTATCAAAGACACCACAGAACCCGATAGAGGCTCATGCACAGTCTACTTTTTTGAAAAAGCGCATCTCCGAGCATCAGAATAGCTCTCCAACGAATATTTTCTCAGCTGTCGACCAGTTTGCGAAGGGAGCAAAAATGATAATGCACGAGCTCGCCCTCGTACGGGCCGAGTGCGCTGAGCTTCGAGAGGCAAATAAGATGCTAAGCCGGCGCCGGAGGACTAAAAAATGCAATTACGGGAAGGAGAATCACTTGTTTTCCAAGAAGGACAGGACCTAGGGGACTCTAGGGAGTTGGCGACGCAGATACAGCAAGAAGAGCGCCGAAATGGTGGTCGCGCAAAGCGTGTTGAAACGCGCCCGAGGCGCTGTGGTATTTGCAACGGGACTGGGCATAATGCGCGAACTTGTAAGATCGCATTGCCATCTTCTGGGGAGGAAGATTCAGAGTAGTTTCAATTGATTTACGGCGTTGTGGTTTTACTATCGTAAAATTTCTATGCGAGGTTATGTAAGGGTGGCCAGCTCGGTGTACATTCACGTTAAAGGAAACTCGAGTATCACCGGGGTATGCAGGGTGACCTTGAGCCGCAAGGCGCTCGTTTTACTGCACCTATCCGAAGCGAGGGCCTGAAGGCGTCAATGAACTATCGCGGATGCTGCATGTTATCAGGCGGCCTATTAAATCTGAGTCCAGCGTTTGGCTTACGCTAGTAGATACTGCGCCACAATCCCTTCGATGAACCTCCTTCCATCACTATTGGTAATGGTATGGCCATCAAATTCCATTGTTTGGCAGTTTCTTCCCGCAATGTTTGATGGTCTCAATAAACGACGGTGCGACCATGCGCCTCTTGTATTCTTTCGAGTGGAGAAGCGGACCACATGGCCCCTGCTCCTTGAGTAACATCAACCATTACTGCGTTCGGGCTACGGCCGTTTTCCGAATTGCTATCCAGGGTTGCGTAAAGTATTGATGCTGATCGCCTGGTTCTACACAATAGGCGCTCTCAACTTGCCGACTTGCGGAAAAGGGGCGACGTTAAAGTATGTTGCGCGCAGGGGTTCACTTCCTTCGCACGCCCAGAGAATAACTACCGGACCGCTAATGGAGAATTCCATTATTTCTCCCTTAGAGTCAATATATTTCTTCAAAAGTCCAGTGGTCGCAGGGTAAAATTTTTGCTGTCCGAAAGCCTCCTAACGAAGACCCAATATCCGAAGACTGTCAAAATTACCTCAGCTGAGGTCACTAGTCACTGAGAGTTTTGTAGAGCAACAGAACGGCTTAGGATGGATTGGACGAGATTTGGTGTTGTTTTCAAAGAGAAGGCAAGTCTTGAAGAATGTCCAGCTCGAATCAATATCCACTAAAGTGGTTATCATGCCGGATGGATTCGGCATTGTCCATGACAACATCAGTACTATTCGGACTGGGGACACAGACATGCTTTTATACTCGAGGTGAGGAAGAGCTATCTGCAGTTCAAGCCCCCAGTCTTTTGCCTGTAAAACATGAGTCATTGGCAGTATTTGAGCACCATAATCTCAAGGCGGGAGAATTGGGCAGATATCCCAAACCCCCGGATTGGAACACACCCCGACAACTTCCTATTTCCGGTGCTCCAACACAGATACGCTTGCCCCGCTTGATTCATTTTCATCTCGACTCCCCGAATAGCAGGCCATCGTCACCAAATTTGATCGCCGCGGGAAGAAAATAAGCACAAAGATGTCAGGTGTTTCACGTCGTGTTGATGACGAAGCTGAGCCTACCCATGCAAATTCGAGAACAGAGAGATTCGGCTCCATGATGGGCACTGAAACCAGCACCTCCTATGATACACATCACTCTTCATCCTGCATTAGATTAAGTATGGAGTCATTGAATGCTCAAGATGAGTGGCATGTAAGTTACGAGAGCGTTGGGCTTCAGAAGCCGGTTGGAATGCGTGCTACGGACTTGTTATACTTGGGTCTTTCTATTCAAATACGAAATCAATATCTTCGCCCGTGTGAGACCGCATATATCGGGACCCAACATTATCGAGAGCCATGTTACGCTCAACTATAATTACTTGCAACTCACGGATGATTTCTTTGGACTCTAGCAGGTGGATCAGAGTCGTTACATTCTCTAAGTGCTCAATGTAAGGGTTTAAGTAGTAGCACGTTTACTTCCAGTGACCTGCAAGCAAACAACATAGTTTTCATTTTAAGATATACTAACTGAAAAATAAATAGCTTTGTATGGACATCTAAACGATACGTTGTTGAGGGTTGGAACATGAACCCTTGCCACACTGGTCAACTGGTTCGGCCCAACAAAGTTGCCCGGCTTAATTTTAATGACAGTGATGATGGCCATGGCCATAAGAGGTATAACTACTCGTCTGCAGGTCCAAGACGCAAAAGGGCGATCTTATAAGTCAGTACTCGTCTCTCTACCAGCTTTTCTCCATCTCGCGTAACGCTCAAGCATCTTGGGGAGCAACTCGTGAAGCTGCAGAATACGTTTGGTGATGACATTTCCTGGAATGTAGAAATTGCCTGTCTCGCAATTAAGAGGCATACAAAATTGACCAGAGAACACACAAGGGTCAGATAGAGAGGGGTGGTACCATTTCCAAGGGACGACAGAGATTAGTCACGCAAAGTCCGTACCGTCGGCCTGAAGCTAATACCTCTGGAATTACCACCAAGCCATACTTGACTGGAAATCGAAAGCCCTGCTTCGGTACTTACCTGTCTCATATGCCTGATTCACATATGTGAATTCTACTAAGCTGACCCTGTGTATCGGCGGACGTTGATGCTTTCTTTACAGCAAGTTCGTTGTCGCTCTTGAGAAAACGGGCAAACTGCTCAGAGCGTAATTCTCGACTATTCTTGACTATTCTCGTTTCCATTCAGAACCCGATTGAATCTTCAAAGTCTTCGAAGATCATGAGGAAATGGAAGACCTCGGTGGCCTCGTCTTTTCCTTTTGGGTTAAATCTGTGGTTTTCACACCTTCTATGTGGGTGATGCCGCGGGTCTCCTTGATCCAGTTCCACCATATCAGTCTTCTTCCGTTACTCATAATAGAGATGGATCTCGAGGTGACGGCCGACCCCAAAGCCCTCAGATTTGGCCCCAACTGCGCCAGATGACAACCAGCAGTACTGCTACCTTTTTGAATCGCCTCAAAAACGCTGCAGCTGAATCCATCGTTAGGGGAGCTCAGAACCGACTTTATATTGTCGACTTTCGATGTAGATGGATTTAATCGGCTGCAAGCCTACGAGTCCCATTAACATGACATCCCTCTAGGTCGCTCAAACCAGGTCAACACATTCCCGGTACGCTGTCTGCTGAGGCAACCGAAACGTATCGAGCTCCCAGCCTGCGACGAGTTGAAAGTCGAGTGTGAAGAGCTAGACGTGACCACTTTTCAGTGAGCATTGGAGGACGCCTCTCCAGTAACCATCCCCCGAAGACCAGATACCTTCAACGCTAGTCGAAGAAATTCAGCTACTGAAGAACCCTATAAGAGCGTCACATTAGGATCATCGTGAGATTTACGAAGGAATATCACATTTCTACGACTTGTTAGGTTGCGTGAGTTGGAGATCTGAAATATGGAGAAAAGGGGTCAGAGTGAGAGAGAAAACAAGGCGGGGGGGTTTTTTTTTCTTTTTTTTTCTTGGCAAGGTAGGTTGTCCACAGCAAAGTTTTGGCCTTGAGCTAATGCGCGACCAAAGCCAAAGGGTGCAGGGACCCAGAAGCACATTTACCTACGAAGTATTAGTGATTGTGCGTTGTCAACAATGCTCTTGTGTTACTAGATATACGTTAATATGCGGTTAGAAGAGTATATTTTCAACCCTGATTTATATGTAAAATAAAGAAAATAAAAAATAAAAAGGTTGTAATGTCAGGGGATGACCGGGTTCAGAGTGCTTTTGCATACACCTGAACGCTGTGTTCAGCCTTATTACATGAGTCAATGGTGCGTTCCTGGTACTTTACTTATCTCAAGTACCAGACCATGAAGAATCGGGATGGTAGAATCTGCATCTTCTGGCTATGACAAGCCCCGTATGAATCGCACTGGAATTAGCACTTCATCAATATCCCCAACGAGTCCCTCGTCTTCAGCTTCCGATCATGAGATTTCGCATGCAAAGAGCACCAAATCGTACACACCTTCAAGTTAATCACATCAGCCGCAGTCAGAGTTAGAACGTGTCAGAACGTAGAGACAGCTGGGTACAGACTGGTGAATATTCAAGATGCCGGGACTACATATAACAAAACACCAGAGGAATTTAAGTAAGTTAGGGATATTTTTATGATGCAACACCTCTTATTTTGCTAAAATGGGATGAAGATAAAACGAGAGGTTATGCGAAATGCAGGCTACCGTGAATCAATTCTCAAACGTATCAGATTTCTTGTGGTATATATCGTACATCGTTGTAAACCGACTGGACATATCGATATCTGCTCATGGTGATACACATTTGGACACCCCCTCTACTGATGTGATATATCGAATTGTGGAACCTTGCGTGCGGAAGAAACTGAACTGTGAACAAACACAACAAACTAGAAATGGACATTCAAGAGGCAGTTTCAAGTATATGTGGCTTGTGGTTTTTTCTTTGTGAGCGTATGGATATGTAGAATTCGATAAGATACATTCGTAGCGTCCCTGTGTGGTTGTAAATCTCATTCAATTGTGGTATTATTAGTAAACTTTAATCGACCACTTTCTTCAATTCCTATCCATCCCATTGGGCCTGAAAACTCCATAAGTTTTGTTACATTGTCCTCGGCTTCGAAATGAGTATCCGATATTTCAGTTCCCACGATGTGTCCGCCGGCCGTGAATCCCTCGGAGATGTCTACTTCGCGAAAGTCCACCAGAGGGATACTGTGAAGCTCGCGGCGAAGACGTAGACAATCGCGGTGTAGATGACGACGCAGGTTCGGGGCCAGCCGAACCATGGACAAAAAGTACACCAATGCAACCCTACTGCCCGACCCAAGTGAGATTATCAATGATGGGGACGCCGCAGCAATTACATGACAGGGGCGTTCGTATGGACTCTCAGTTGAGCCTACGACATCCGCCAAGTTCTCCCCGTGGTCATTTTCGAAAATGATACACTTGTGTCCAATTCCTGTCTGGTGATTATGGTCGTAATCCGATGTGTTTCCAAACAGAGTCCTCAGGTCTCGTGCTCGTACTGAGTCCATGTCTGGACCAGGGTCGGATGACGAAGTCGTCGATTTCTGAATGACCGCCTTGAAACCCTGCAGCTCAATATCTCGTTCATTATTTGTGTATTGATGGGTAACTGATAGTTTTGTTCCTCTGCCACTGGCTTCCACGCTATTGAATAAACCGACCCAGATTTCTCATTTCTTTGTTTTATCACCGAATCTGTTACAACAGTAACTTCAAGATGGGGAATCAACATGACCGAACTGTCACTTATGTAGTTCAACTTCTTCCGGTGTGGAGCTTTCTCCAGCATTTGCAGTGCATTATGAAGTTGACCGACGGGGCTGGACCGCTCTGTGTGCAGTATAGGATGATCGGGGCAACGGCAATGATGATGGCGATGGTGTTAGTAAACACTCTGGTCTTCAGGGAGGCGCTATATCCATGCATACAGACTCGCATGGCCGTCCCAAGGCTCTCTGGCAAGGTTTTCTCATCCCCAGGATGGTCGGTTGGTGGGCCAATCGATTGTTCCCAGCATTCACACTAATCACGCATTTCAATAACACCAGCACGCAACTCAGTATACATGGTATTTCGTACAGGTAAATTTTACATTTAATACACCTTTCCAGCACGGCTCTTCTCATGCCTCATCTACGGAGCACCCAACCCAACCGCCTCCCTTACCCTCCTCATCGTACCCTCCGCACTGCTCCTTGCCCTTACCGCACCCTCTTCCTGCACCTCCCTTATCCACTTTCCACCCTGCCGTCCCAAGATTTCTTCATACCTCTCCTTGATCCCGGCCAGCTCCCCCACCAGCGCATCCCCCACTATGCCCTTCAGCTGTTTGAGGTTAGCCTCGTTACCCATATCCTTAGCCAGCTGTCCCGGTGATCGATCATGCGGATCGCACTGCGCGAGCAGCTCGAGCAGGTTCGCAACGCCCGGGCGGTGCGCCGGGTCGTACGTCACGAGGTTCATCGAGTCGGTCACGGTGCTGTTGATGCGGGAGCGGATCTGGGCCTCGTCGGCTGTGATGAGGATGCGAGAGCGGTGGTTGGGGGTTGATTTGGACATTTTCTTGAGGGGGTTGGTGAGGGACATTACGCGGGGCGAGGGAGCTATGATGTATTCATTAGTCGCGAGGTTCTACTCTAGGTTTTCGGGGCTTGGGGATGGCGTACTGGTGATGGTTTGAGGTGCTATGAGGTCTACCCCTGGATAAGCATGATTGAAGTTCGTGGCGCATTCGCGTGCGAACTCGAGATGTTGTCTTTGGTCGTCGCCTACGGGGACGTGTGTGGCCCCATGGATGAGGATGTCTGCTGCTTGTAAAACGGGATAGGAGAACAGGCCCAGCTTGAGCTTCGACGAGGTGACTTCTTCGGTAAATGGCAAGGCATTGTTATCCAGGGAGAGTTTACTCTACAACTCGTCATTCCATGAATAGCGCATCATACTCAAATCCGAACATGGATACGTACCTTCCATTGGGTCATTCTACCCAGGTACCCAAATGATGCCGTACAGCTCAGAATCCACATCAATTCAGTATGCGCAGGGACCTAAATCATAGTTAGCTCTTGAAAACCCCTTGTCTCTTCCATTGGGCATACCGAAGACTGATAAAACAATGTAGATTTTTGAGGATCCAGTCCAATTGCCAGCAAAGCAGCGAGCATTTCCGCACTCCTTTGCCTCAAAATTGGCCCATCCTGCGGCATGGTGATTGCATGCAAATCGACGATAGAGAACATGAGCTTGGTCCCATCTAGTGCCCCATCCTGTAGCTTTTTCCATTGCCGCATGGCGCCGAAGTAATTGCCAAGATGCGGCACGCCCGTGGGCTGGATGCCGGAGAATATAGTGACATTTTGGCTGTTCGGAGCAGGCTCCGCCTTAGTAGAATTGGAGCGCCTGTGAGCTCGTGGCATGAGGAGACTTCTCAGGCTTCGTGAGACCGCTGAAGGCCTGCAGCGGGCACAGACTTTGGAGGACATTTACACTCTTCGGATTGTCGATGCAATGCGATATCTTCACAGCTTAGAAGATTTCGCCTAGGGCTTCTCAACAACAAGGCCGCAATTATGGTTGGCCCTGCCATTATTAGCATCTGAGTTCACAAATTATTCAAGAACCGTACCTTTCAACTAGCATTCGTAATCAAATTAATGAGATTGGATCCGCTCTCTGTTCGTGGAGCGGAATCGTATGCGTAAATGTTGAGGTGAGAATTGAGGGAATCAAAGCTCAGGCCACATCGACGTAAGTTACCCTGGAGCATTATTATGGAGCATGTCATTTTGTCAAAGTGACCCAACTACATGTCAGCTGCGACATTCCTTCTTCCAACCTCGAATTTTCTATGTATAGGCTTCTAGTGTCTCTACCGAATAAGTACAGCCTGAAGAGGCCTTAGTGTACGAATGATCGGTTGACCTGAAGTCGTCTCCATGATCCCTTTTGTCAAGCCGAGTCTTGTATGCGACAATGATACAGATTTTATACATCTATGTTGATAGTCAATATGGCACGCGTTCAAGTACCTTCATGAACCTTCTGGGGTCCATGGGACAATCCATAAGCAGGTATTCCCGGACCACCACGGTGCCTGAACCGCTCACTCTCCAATAACTCCTTGACCTTCTCAACAGTATCAGCAACCTTGTCCCGTCCGAGGTGCTTCATCTTCTCATCGATAGCTTCTTGCATAGACGGCAGTTGCGAATCCATATCTTTGCCAACACCTGTAAACCACGAGTTAGCCCCTGGCGCAAAATTCCCAAATGCCCCTGATGTCTCCAATCCGACTTACCAATCTTGCTAAACTCCCACACGTTCGCCTTCATTCCAATACCATAGTACGCATGCTTCTGCAGGAAAGCCAGCCAGATCTGGACGGACTCTGGGTGCCCATCGCGGATCTGGATCAGCCGTCTCAGCGTCACACGCTCGAAATTTTCTTGCGACTTCTTGAAAATGAAACTAGACTTCGGCACAGTCCAGCGTTCTGTGATGCGTGGTAGCGGCACGGGGCCGAACGCCGGTAGGTGCAGGTAGTACGCCGCTCGCAGGGCGAAGTCGCAGAAGAACTCGAGATTAGGTACGCTGTAGGATCGGAGCTGCAGGTCGCATGTCGGCACGCCGAACTCGGCTTCTCGCCGGAGAGGCTGCAGGTACAGGGCTTGGACGGAGCGAGGGAGGCGGACTTGGTTTTCTTCGTCTTGGTGGAGTAGTTCGTTGCTATGAGCTGGTCAATGGGAGTTCTTTGAGGTAGGACGGATAGGAGGCATACGTCATGGGGAAGGGGACTGGTAGTTCTTTATGTTGCCCAGGCAAGCTGGAAAGTTTCTCCTCTGGTTTTGGTCTGTCTTGTCAGTGTTTGCTACTGCAAATACTCGATGAATCGGGATACCTACATATCAGCCATAGATCGGGTGACCGAGCCAATGAAGGCATTCCGAGGCCGGGGAGCCTATTGATATCAATGGGGCGTTGCGCATAAGAGACGATTGCGACCTACCAGTGGCCTCAATAAAGAGTGCCGTATCGGCTGGATTAATTGAGATCTGGACATCGTGTCGCGACTACTGCCCTTCGCGTACACGACCGTCGATTCGCGATCTTCTTGAGATTGCGGCCGCCGGGCGGGTCTTCAATGCCCTCAGGCGGCTCAAATTTCATGCATTATCGATAAAGCTATCGATACCTCTTTATACAGATTTATGTAGCAAACACCTACGCAGCCTAGGTGAGCTTCAACTTCACCCCTCCAAGCGAACCGTCGTCCCTCATTTCGCAGCTTCTAACTCCCGCCCAACTTCCATTCTCCTGTCTCCACCGCTCTCGGAGCCCAACAGTCAATATGGAAGTGGCAATGAAATCATGGGGTCAGTATATGTCCTTCTGCATGTCAACAGCTCTCTCAAAGCGACTCGTCACCTACCTACCACGTCACACCTACTAACACCCCCTCCAGAGCTCGACAACGACGTCAAACTCGTCGACCCGACCCGCGACGCACTGTACAACTACTCTCCCGCGCACCAAAAGAAACTCAACGAAGAAAAACCCTGGCGCCAAAACCCGCACCATTTTCAGCACGTGCGCATCAGCGCCGTAGCCCTCATCAAGATGGTGATGCACGCGCGGTCGGGTGGGTCCATCGAAGTCATGGGCCTGATGCAGGGCTACGTGGACGGTGACACCTTCGTGGTGACGGATGCGTTTGGCCTGCCCGTCGAAGGTACTGAGACCCGCGTCAACGCCCAGGATGACGCCAACGAGTACATGATTGAATACTTGCGCCTGTCGCGTGAGCAAGGCGGGCGTGAGGAGAACGTCGTGGGTTGGTATCACAGCCACCCTGGCTACGGATGCTGGCTTAGTGGTATCGATGTCGGCACGCAACAGTTACAACAGAACTTCAATGAGCCGTTCGCGGCGGTTGTGATTGACCCGGACCGTACCATCAGCGCAGGACGTGTGGAGATTGGCGCCTTTAGGACGTTTCCCGAGAGTTATAAGCCTGCTGAGTCGTCGGAGTCTGGGAGCAGAGATGGCGCGGCGGGATCGGGCACGTCGGTACCCATGGCCAAGGCAGCGGATTTTGGTGCGCATGCTAGCAAATACTACTCGCTCGAGGTTTCGCACTTCAAGTCGACGCTAGATACGAGCCTGCTGGAGCTGCTGTGGAACAAGTACTGGGTACAGACTCTATCTCAGAGCCCGCTCTTCACGAACCGCGACTATGGCAACAAACAAGTAATGGACTTGGGATCCAAGATTCGCGAGGCAACTGGGATGCTGCAGCGAAACGCACGGGGTGGAAACATGTTCAGCCAGAGCGGCAAGGCTGTGGACGCCGAGCTTGAGAAGATGGCAAAGGAGAGTCAGGCTGTGATTGGAAAAGAAGTGCAGGGACTAGTGGCCACGGAAGTCAAGGCGAAGATTTTCAACGGACTTGGTGGGGGGCCCCCGGCACCTGCAAGTGCCCTGGCTGGATGAAGTTTGTATGCGAAGCTTGCAGTGGGCTGGAAAGTACTGGCAAGGACTTGCTGCAAAGGGTCCAACACAAGATATTAATGAGACACGAAGAAGCATTGGACGGCGTTTTAGAGCAGAGGGTACATTCGGTAAACAACTCAATACAGGACCCAAGATAGAAGTTCTATCTATTGTTACATGATGTACATATTGGTGTTTTTACAACAGGATATCTCCTACCTAGCCTATCCTCGATCCCTTCATCTGAGTTAGGACGAGTTGTCCTTGAATTTTTTCATCTCATCCTGTTCCCATCGCAGAGCAGCACGTTTCGCAACACTCATTCTCCTCATGGTCTCCGCCTTGCCCAGGAGCTCCATGCTAGGTATGAGCGCCGGCCCCACGTTCCCAGCAACCATGATCCACCGCAGCGCATGCCATCCCCAGACCTGACGCCTGCCCCGTTCTCGATCTTTGCCGTGCTCCTCGCGGTCCGAGTAGATGGACATGATGAGCGGCTTCATCTTCTTCTCCAGCGACTCCTTGGTCCACGCCTCGTCAGTGATTTCCTGGACGGTGGCATGGAACAGGTCCACCACTTTGGACGGCTTGCGGCCTAGGCTGTCGAACATGTCCCAGATATCCGGGTCTTGCAGTGCGCTTATGGGTCTGTTGCCGCCCTCTGGTGCTGCAGCGTCGGGGTGCTTGACCCAGAAATTGTCCACCGTGTTCTGTTCCATCTCGATATCGAGCGCCTGGACGTAGCTCTCTTCGGGTATCTCCCAGATGAGGTTTGCATTTCTCCAAACGTGACTTTCGGCGTCCACGAACGACTTCATGTCCACTTCGAACATTTTCCTGAGGTAGTCTTTACCGACGAGATTCGAGTCTTCCTCGGCCGGTCGCGCTGGTACTATGATGGGGCCGAGTAAGGGGTTGTCACTACGGCCTTTCTCGACCTCCCCGATCGCCTTCTCCAGATTCGGCAAGATCACGTTGCTTACTTGTTGGATGGTCTCGGGATATTCAGGTTGCGCCAGAATTCTCTTCAGGTAGTAGTTTTGGATGAAGGCCAGCTTATCGTTGATCCTGATGTCTCCCCTGGTAAACCTAAGGTGAAACTAGTATAGCATTTGGTTAGCACAGGGACGCTCGTAGAGCTCATCCAGCAACTGAGACTGACCTTGCTGATTATAGTCTCAAGGTCCATGGTTTCGGTAATTTTCTTTTGACCTGTCCGTAGTGGGCTCCATCCGAGCAAGGCCACATAGTTTAGCAGAGCAACAGGGAGGTACCCCTTTTCCCGGTAAGAGGATATGCCTATATCATGGAGGCGCTTGCTGAGCTTCTGTCGGTTGCTATCGACGAGGAGACCAACGTGGGCAAACTCGGGAGGTTCCCATCCAAAGGCATCGTATAGCATGACGTGTCGGGGTGTCGAAACTAACCATTCCTAACATGAAATTAATACGAACGTAGTTGAAGAGGGGAAAGGCTCCTCGTACCGCTCCGCGGATGACGTGCGTAATCTGCATGAGATGGTCATCAATTACGTTGGCAAAGTGGTAGGTAGGATATCCGTCCCGCTTAATCAAGATAAAGTCTTCCGGCACGAATGGAGTTTTATATCTGCCATATACCATGTCATGGAATGGCGGGGCAGGTTTTTCATGCTCGCAGCGGAGGCGAACACAGTGAGGTTCTCCTGCAGCTGCGCGACGAGTGGAGACGTCTTCCGGAATATGCGAGCATGTCTTGTTATAGCCAATTGATGTTCCCTCCTTGATGTTTTGTGCTTTGATGGCATCTAACTCTGCTGGTGAGCAGAAGCAGCGGTAGGCGCGACCACTATCGAGCAGTTGAGAAGCATGTTGATTGTACGTAGGCAATCTTTGGGACTATTTGACAGTAAGCCTGATGCCGTGATGTTGAGTTTTAGCGATGGTAACATACTTGTTTGTAAGGCCCAAAGTCACCTCCAATGCTGGGTCCTGATGAACTTCTAAGCCAACTTCATCATTATAGTATGGGATGCAAGGAGTCAAACCTTCGTCCCAGTCTAAACCAGCCCATTTCAGATCTTCATAGAGCTTGCTCTCGGCATCGCTGACAATTCTCGTCTAAGTCCATGTGAGCGTGTGCAAAGTCTTATACTTCAATAAATCGTCTCACCTGATCTGTATCTTCAATTCTCACCAGAAATTGGCCACCAGTCGCTTTAGCAAGCAAATAGTTGTACAAGGCCGTTCTCAGCGATCCTAAATGGAGATAGCCAGTTGGGGAAGGGGCAAATCTCGTCCTGGCCGGCTTGCTTGGCAGGAGTGTTGATTTTGAGGATAAAATGTGGCTTGGTTGGCCGTGAAATTTGTATCGCTTGAATACCTTAGACGGCTGAGTGCGAAGTTCCCATCGAAGGGGCCCTCCAATTGTGTATAGACTTCTCATGGCCAAGGACAAGTCATTATATCAGGTCGTGGTTTTTCCAGTTCATCGTGTGCTGGTCGACGAGTATCAACATTGTCGAGACTTTGACCATGCTGCACATTGCAAGTACGATGCAATATGTAGCTATATGCAGGTATACTGCTGATGCCTATAGCGAGGTAACCACAAAGCTGTCCCGAGGCCGTGTCCAATGCCGGCAGCTTTTTTGATAACAACCTAAACAATCGGCCCTTTGAGTTACAGCCCATTTCTTAAGTAACCATGACCGCCTGTGTCCAGCATACTAGTTCTTGCAGCTTCGCGTACCCTCTACCGAAGTCCACCGCCCATCACTATGCCGGCGCAGCGGCTTACGTTCCTGTACCCCCATCTCTATCGCTCGCTTCGACTGGGCGAGTCGGCAGCCCAAACAGCAAAGAGCCGATGTCGCAAGTCCCCGAATAGTCACTGCAGCGGACACTACGCCGTAGCCTTCTCGACATCCGCCCGAAGGAGGAAAGCCGTGTTTGAGAGACACGGCAAAGCGGTTGAGCCGCAACCGGCCTCGCCCAATGTTGTGAAATTGCCGCAGCCCGGAAAGGAGATGAGGGGTTCGAAAGGGGGCCCGAAAGACGAGAATCATGGGACGCCCGAGTTTAAAGCAAAGGACGATTTCGAGCTAGACTCTAAGAAGGCCGTGGAAGAGTCCCCCGAGACCGAAGAGTCCCCTAAGACCGAAAAGCCCACCCCGCCGTCTGAGGGCTCAGGAAGCGCTCAGCAGGCCCGTCCCACGCCGCAGCAAGTCGCCGCCGAGGAGAAAATGCAGTCAAGCGGCCCGATGGAGGCCGTGTTACACATGCCCCCGCCGTCGCAATTTTCGCACCCGCACATCTCGACACCGCCCTACATCCACCACTTCGATACATACGGGCTGGTCAAGCAGCTCGAAGGCGGCGGGTACACAGAGGAGCAGGCCATCACGGTCATGAAGGCGGTGCGAACGCTATTGGCGCAGAACCTAGGCATGGCGCAGACGGGCCTGGTGAGCAAGAGCGATGTCGATAACGAGACGTACCTCTTCCGTGCCGCGTGCTCCGAGCTGAGCACCGAGGTCGACAATAACCGCAAGGCCGCCGACGAGCAGATGCGCCAGCAAAGGACACTGCTGCAACATGAGGTGGATATCCTGGGTCAGAGGCTCAGCCAGGATTTGATGACTCTGAAGGATGATGTCAAGGGCATGTTCAATGATCGCAGGATGGCTGTCAGGGAGGAACAGCGTCGTACGGAAAGTGCTGTAAGCTGGCTGCCTCTGTTTCATACCCATTAAAGCCTTTGCACTAACACGCATCTAGATTCAACAGGTGAACCTCGAAATCAGCGTTACGCTCAATAGTGATGCAAAGTCTGAGATCGAAGGTTTGCGGTGGGTGCTGATCCGTCGGTCAGTGTTGGGTATCCTCTTCATGGTAGTGTTGACATTGGGGACGATCCGCTACACCACATACATTGGCCACGAGCAGCAGAAAGAACTTGAAGAGCAGCGGCGTCAAGAAGAGGAAAAGCGTAGGAATAATGGAAGAGTTGACCATGCCCCGGCCCCGGATGCCGCGGAGATTCTGGCAGCAAATTAGGTGGTTGTTTAAACGGAAAAATACCTTGATACCCAATAGATGGAGCGGGTGGGACACAGGGAACATGCGATATCAGACATCAACTCTGAAGTCTTCTTGAAAGTATTCATTGAGTGTAATTATCTCTAACTGATACTCTGGGGGCTTCTGCTGTGCAAGAATGCAATCGCCAGCTTTAAACGCAAAGCCCATCCACCCCGTATAAACGCCGTGACGCCATGCCCATATTGAACTGCGATGATACTACAACCGATATGTATCCGGATACCCCTAGTCTCTGCCATCCCTGTCATCCCTGTCGTCCTTCTCATCGTCCTTCTCCAGCGCCTTCTTCAGCCGCTCCTCCTGCCTCTTCCAGTGATTGCCCTCCTGGTAATCCTTGCTAATCTTGAGCGCGCTCCGCAACCTCTCGCTCTCCTTGATCTTCGCCTCGGCCATCTCGTGGACCTGGTACTGCTTGAGGGCCCTCTTAGGCATCGAGTCCTTGACTCCCTTCTCCATCTTGGCCAGCAGTTCTTTTCGGAGCTTGTCGCACTGCGTGTCGATCTCGTCTTCATCCACCCTGGATCAGTCACCATGTTAGTTAAACTTCCGGCTCTCTCGAAGTGACAGAGGTGGGACATAAGAAAGAAACTAACCCTTCGTCCTCCAGCCGGTCCCGCAGCTCAAATACCTTGACCTCGACCTCCCGCTTGCGGTCGTGCTCCAGGATCTCCTTGTCCGGCTGCCGTTGCCGGTGGCGCATGCTGTCGAAGTCTTTGGGGTAGGGGGCGGCGCGGTCGCGGGGCTTGAGGTAGGCTAGGTTGCGCTGGACGTAGCCTGAAGTGCCGCTGCCGCGCGGCGTCGTGAGGCCCACATTGTCAGACATGTTGGATAGGTGTGTGTTTGTTGTTCAGACGGCTGCACCGTCACTGGATAGTACACGATGTACGCCAGGACGGTGTTGCGATAATGGATGCTGCCGATAGTTAGCGGTCTAAGGCGGCAGAATATTGTGCAGGGTAGTTGTGGTAGGTGCTAGTGTGGTGGGGTTGAATCAATGACTGCAGTAGACCCTGGAGCTTTGCTACAGTTGTCCCGCGATGACTCCACGCTACATCCTGCATCAAGCACATTTCACCAAATTCACAAGATATAACCAGTTGATACCCCCTTCCCGGACCCCTTTCCCTTTTTACGACTCTTTGGCAAGTTTCTTCACAAAGTTGCCGAGTTGAAGATCTAGTCAGCTCATTTTCAAGACATGCCCACCCTTCCTAACGTGGAAGCGACTTCTGGCGCAACCAAGCCATCTGGATACGATTTCCCCCCCATTACAAGGGATCACATATTGCACTGTTCATACGACTACTGGTTTCCCACGTTAGTATACCCGCTATATTTTTTTATCAATAATGGTTTGTCTAATTGCCCCGCAGATACCGTACATCTTGCATTAAGTCCAGATTTGTCCCACTTACACCAGAATTTCTTGAGTACATCCGAGAGGACGGCATTCTGTTGGCAGACGACGACCAGGAAGATGATGACGATGACGTGGAATGGGAAGTCGGCCCCTCGAGCGCAAGTGCGCCACCGCGAAAAGACGACTCGGATTCGGAGTCGGACAGCGATGAAGAGGCGCCGGCGCCGCTCCCACCCAACCAAAGATTCCCAGAGCTACACCAGGCAATAAAGGACAAGATCGCAGAAGTAGGAGGCGCCGCAGCGCCGAAGCTGAACTGGACGGCCCCAAAAGACGCGGCATTCATATCACCACACCAGAACACCATCAAGTGCACCAGCCCAAACGATGTCTATCTTCTCCTGAAAAGTTCCAACTTCATCACCTACGACCTGGAGCACGCCTTTGATGACTGCACACCTACCCCAAACAACGCAAACGCCACGCCTTTCAAGCCAGTTTTGGTGCTTCGATCTTTCTTCAACCCTCATACAGCCCTCGAGTTCCGGTGTTTCGTGAAGCACCGGAGCCTCGTCGGCATAACCCAGCGCGATCTGAATTACTACGAGTTTTTGAAACCCCTGCGGGCTGCTATAGTATCCAAAATCGACGAGTTTTTCAACCATAAACTGCGGTATACCTTCCCAGATGGCAACTTCGTCTTTGATGTCTACATCCCCGAGGGCGAGGATGAGCCCCTGGGACGGGTTCGGTTGATCGACATCAATGCATGGGCACCCCACACAGACAGCTTGCTATTTGGTTGGAACGAGCTGCTCGAGATGATTGTCCCAGGACCTTTGTTGGGAGTCTCTGATGGCGCAGACAATGTCGGGGTACGGCCTGAGTCCGATGAGACTAGCGACGAAGACGACGATGATGATGACGACAACGCCGAGGAGGAGGATTTCGTGCCTGAGCTGCGGCTTATCGAGCAAGATGATCCATCAGCGTGTAACTTTAGCTCGACGCCGTATTCGGCGCATAAGCTGCCGAAGGATGTCGTGGATGCCGCTTCAGCCGGTCAGGGTGGCATGATGGAGTTTGCGAAGAAGTGGAAGGAGATGGTTGAGTACAGGGAGAATATCGCGGCATGGGAAAAGGAAGAAAGGGCATAAATATGAGCTGTCTCATACATAGAAGAGATGACAGAGCCGTACAGATTATGATACTCTCCGTGTGTATGTGAAGCTTGCATGTCATAGACCTACATTGAGGAGAACAATTTTGGAACAGAAATCAAGGTAATATTGATAAAAATAGAAACGTCCCACTCTCAAATGATGGGAAATATGAAACAGTTGAAATCAAAACAGACATAATAGACAAGGCTGGAGTGTAACCAGCAGTGTCTCAATATCATACTATTGATATCATACCACGGGGTGTGCAATCACTAACACTATGAAGCGGTACGATACTTGTTGGAAGCATTTGGCCGTATTCTGCCAGGCGAATATTTGTTTGTCTTCGGGAGTCCGCTGGTAGAGTTCGTGGAAAAAATTTAGTGTGAATCAGTGCCCCGTTAGGGCATGGCACTCCTTTGGGTTGATTACGATTGTGGTACGCTATGAAGTATCAGTTGGAAACTCGGGGGTGTGAAAAGGAAGGAGGGAAGGGTTACTGAGCACTGTTGAAAGCACAGCTTGACACGAGAGTCACTTGAGGACGTTGCATTAGGAGAAGCTGTGGTAGGTATAGATCACACTAGAGAGGAGGATGCTAAAGTAAAACGGGGTGTTCCCTGTCAAATAGCAGGTTCTGCATGTGAATATACATGTCTTGATGCTCGTATACTAACAACTGGAAGTGAGAATAAATAACCTATCTTAGTTATATCATTACCGTGCCAACCAGCTCTGACTGTCTTTGTACTTGATGAAAATGCCACTTGGGAGATTTCCTCTTTTGTTTGTTGCAACATGATATCTTGAAAGTCAGAAAACGTAGCTGGCCGGTACTACCATTTTCCCCGCAGATGCACCATTTTTCAAGGCAAACATTGATCTCCCTCAAGCGTGGTGCGAGCAGCCGACTTCATTTTCCCCGAGGTCTTTTTCAGTATGTTTAGCTGCCTGTTATTATCAGCTCATGAAAACATGCCGCGTATATGCTGAGTATCCCGATTCTGTTAGCGGTTGCTCCAGTACACTCGAGCTGACAATCAGATACACAGCCAGATCCAGGTGGTGTATCAGACAAGATTATGTAAGCTACCATATGTATGATTCAATTCTAAAAAGAAAATTGCTATTATTCCTAATTTAATATCTGCGATTATAAGACTTGCCCTCAGCTATCTACATCTTCAGCCTGCTGGGGGAGAGCCTATATCCACAAGTCCATAAACACTAAGCACCTAGTCACGCATGCCAAAATATCGAGCATGTTCATAGCCTAATGGGAATTTACAAGGCTGCGTGTCTTTATGTATGGGTTGAAAACGAGTCATATGTACTCGAATGTTCCCGTTGCCGGTATGTCATGTTAACAAACAACATCCGACTTCCGTGACCGTCCGAAGTAAAGATTGCAGATCTCAGATCTACAGTCCACATACTATGATATCGGCCGATATTCCTAGCCCGGGAAGGCGCAATTCCGATGGGTCATAGACTCTGCGACATAAGGCCCGGATCTTGGTGCCGCCACACTTACATGATGATTAGCCACCTGCCCGCGGTACTTTTGTAGTGACTAGTGCAATAAACATGACTAGGTTATATCTTCAATCGTTATCCATAATCAGATGATGAACTGGCTGACTGTGGGTACCCAAGTATGACGGAGATACAGGTCCGTCACTCTGTATAATCGTCTTCATGAGAGGAAGAACATCGACCACCATTCCACTCCTAATCCGTCGTCTCAACTCTCCCCCGCCCCCCTCCCCCGAGCGCCGCCCCCGGAACCCAGCCGAAGATCGGACTTCTCCACCGCACGACAAACCGGTTTGATGCCATAGTTTCAAACAAGGTTGATAAAGTGAGCTTATGCAGCAGGGAAAGCCAGTCTACGGCTCTCTCGAACGCTTGAGCTTCTCAAAGGACTTCTTTTTGGTGGGGTATAGATATTCGCCCCCATCAGACCCTTGCTTGGAACAAACCAGCATCTATATGCAATGATTGGTAATGCATTGGTGAACCCTTGTGTGCGCCTGCCATTTTGAGTAGCACTCTCATTACAATGGAATGTGCACATGAAATATTTATATCCAACCCACGTTTGAAGATGACACCAAATTACTTTTGTTTCCTTATTGTAGAGACTTAACCGCTTTTCAGGTGCTTGACTGTTCTACTGATATGAAGGCTGGTAAAACAGCCTTTCTATGTTATGACATATAAAACGTTGATATGAGCGTGATCGATCAGGTTGAATCGTGTATTTAGCTTCGAAACCATTTCCTTCCAGCTCGCTAATCCATCATAATATCTTTGAAATCCCGCTGTATACAGTTACAGTTACACGTGTCACAACAATCCACGAAGATCGAGTAATACACACAGACTGGACGTGGATAATTCAAGTCGCAAGTGGTTGCTTAACTGCCAATACATCAGAACAGTGTCGATTTTCTTGAATTTTGTGGACACATCCATCCAACCATCTGAGAATCGTCCCGCCTTCCCTCAGACACACTCGTGGTGTCTGCCTTGGTATACTAGCGCGCCGCATGCAACTCGTCCTCTCTCTAGCTTCGCTCAGCGTTCACGTACACTTGATATGTCCTGATTTGCCCAGCCTTGTGGGCCTATCGGATGTTACAGTAAGGAAAATAATAAGTGACAGATGACTCCGGAAGTTCATAATTAAACAAGATATGCAATCGACGGTGACCGGAGTGCAACGTCCATCCACTGCCTCGTGTTTCTCGCGTCTCTGATGGACTGCCGGTAGGTGCCACAACAGCAGCCTGGAGAGTCATCTTGGTAATACATGATGTCGAAGGAGTATGGTAGATGGATGGGCGACAGAAAGGACACATGGAAAGAAATCCTTTGGCAAGGTCGCCGCGAGGAAACCGGGAATTCTTCATTAGCCAGGTTATCGCGTTGCTGGCATCCCGTGTAGTAAGATAGAGAAGGGGGGGGGGGTATTCGTAGTATCGCGTAACAATCAAATGAGACCGCAGAGACGCAGGTTTTCCTGGATGATGATGTCTGTCGTAATGTTAGTAAGTGACCCAGAGAGTGCCACGTCAAAGGGGGAAAAAACGTACCATTGACGGCAGCCATAACGAAACGTATTTGTGTCGTGTCAGTAGCGCATGTGAAATGAGTGTAGATCTGCTTCGTCTCGTGCTGGTTCAAGCTGACAAACCGGTTTAGGATGTAGTCGCAGGCCGCAGCATAGTCATCTCCACCCTCGTAATCGGGGAAGTAATTCTTCATCGGGCTGACTGGCAACTTCTCCTTGAATCGATCAATCTTGTTCAGGAAAAGAATGATGGAGGTCTTAATGAACCATCTCGAGTTGCAAATCGAGTCGAACAGAGTGAGAGCCTCTTGCATACGGTTGACGGTCTCGTCCTCAAAAAGAAGTTGGTCGTACTCGGATATGGCTACCAAGAACAAGATGGTGGTAACGTTTTCAAAGCAGTGAATCCACTTCTTTCGTTCCGATCGTTGGCCACCGACATCAAACATTCTGTACGTCAAGTCGCCAATGATGAAGGTCGTCTCGGTGATACCGGTCGTCTTGACACGAGATCGCAGGACGTCTTGGTCATTGGGCATGTAGTCAGGGGCAGCGATTCTAGCGATGTTGTCGAAGTAACTGTGGGTAGATTGCGGTTAGCACGGGAGGGAAAGCCATGATTGACTACGAACGAAACGTACTATCGTGCAGAGTCGTTCAGTTGGTATTCGCGCGATCGCTTGAAACAGTCCTGGACGCCACGGTCCTTCCACAGAGCCTCGATCGCATTGCCGACCTCTGGCGGTAACACGTCTCCCTCGATCTGGGCGGGCTGCATGAAGATGGTTTGGACGTGGTACTCCATGCGCTGGTCTTCCAACGGCAACTCGAGCGATTCCATAGCTTCCAGAATGACGCGCATCGACTGGACTGTGTTGCTGAAGATAATTTCTTTGAAAGATTCCCTCTCGTCTCGCGAGTAGCCGCCTTCGTGGATCAACTTCATTTGCTTCAAGATGGTCGACTTTCCGGATTCACCAGCACCTGTCCGTAATTAGATCATGTTCAGTGCCATTGCGAGTTTGATCAGTCGTCGCTTACCCAGAAGCAGCATCTTGATCTCGTTGCGCTGCATCATCTTGTCGCGCTTGAGCTGATTCTCAATCTCCTCATTACGGGCCTTGCCCTCCTTCTCTTCCGTGCTCATTCCACACCCCATCTTGGCGAATGCGACGCGTGTCGGCGATGTAAAACTATCGTATACAGGTATAGCCTCTGAGGATGATTACCGGGACCCTACGGCGAAATACTGATTGATCGTCGCAGCAGTCTCTACAAGATGAAAGGTCAGCCCGATTAGGTTCTCAGACAATCACACCACTGATTGTCCGGTGGTGTCTCGATTGACTGTGGGCAAACAATGAACCACGCGACGACGACGACGACGTTGTTGGTAGGGCGTCTGAAGAAGGGTACAGCTCGCAAGCAAAAATGGTTCGAATGTAGATGGAGGGTTATGAGAAGATGGATGAGGGATCGGTAGATCTTGCTGGCTGGGGTCGAGGGCAAGCTGGATAGAATGCTACTGCACGCAAGAAGCGGCTGCGCAGAGGTGGAGAAAGGCGGCTTCGGGTGTTTGGTTGGTGGTGCCACAGACTGGGAGAAGCTTCAGTGAATAAGACTTACCAAGCAACTCTCTCAATTGAACCAAAGAGGGTGAATACGCGACAGGTTAAGAGAATGGAATACCGTGGTGATGAAGATCACCGGTCTTTCCGTTGACAACAATTCACGCAGGAAAGGTTGGGATGGTGAGGCAACAGAGCAGCAGCGGGAAGGAAAAAGAAAGGGATGGGTGGACACGGTCAAGTGAGTGCACCAAATAGCGGGTGGGAATTGATGGGTGATGGGCTAGCCCGAATTGGAATAGTGTAAATGTGAGGTACCAGACGGTTGATCGATTGCTTGTGTGCATGCGGGCATAAGGTAGCATCTGGATTTCCGCTCCAAGTCCTCTCTGCCTAGCGTAGGTGCGGTGCTAGCTGGCTAAGTTTTTACAGGCCAGAAGATGGGCTCTCGAAGTCGTAATAAGAAGGCACCCCGGCCGGTCCTAGTAATAAGGTACCTGGCGCTTTTCGGTGGAGAAAAAGATCAAGTTTTCTTTCCGCAGCAGATTTTATATCGGCTTCATTCGAAGTTGGCTCAAAATAGCTGACGATTTCGTCCAAGATCAACAGTGTAATGACTATGAAGCAATGCTTGTTCGTTGCCTCTCTGGTCCGCAGCCTTTGACCCCGGATTCCTAGGAAGTCATGTTCGTCCTATTCGGAGCTTTTTTAGCACCAGGAGATTTACGGTTTCAACTTCGGAAGGCCTTAATCTCGTCAGAAACGTATCCTCGCCATTTGACTGATCACGTCCTATTAAGGTTGCCAATTTGGATCAAGGTGCTGTTTGTGTACCTAGGTAAGTTACTATTAACTTGGTAACGGCTTGCGAAGAGGACACCACACTGCAGCAAAGGTTACGACGCCATCCACCTTCATGCATATTCTATTTCTCCCTTGCTTTGCCATTGCACCCAACTGAGCGGCACAATCCAGCAAGAGACCCTCCTCCTGCACCTGCACATGCAATGCTGAACATTTGGGTAAAAGAAAGACTTGGGAACCTGGCTCATTCGCACGTCAATAACAGAGCTAACTACCAAAATGGAATTGGGTGCAACATCTCATTGTCCGTGTCGGCTTTAAATCAAAGAAGCAAATAATATCAATTCATGCCTCCCGCCAATAAACTGTGTACTTTGTTATCCCATAGGTTACTGGAATGCCAGAATACCAACTGAGGTCCAGCCGCCACTGCCAGCTTTGTTACTACCCTGGACCATGAAACGCATCGCCACCCGGGGTGCAGCATCGGTTTGGTGCAATGGCATGCAAGGGGTCCTGGACGTCCTGCAACTAGCGGGTCCCAGATGGTCATCGAGTTGGTCATCGAGTAAGCTCGGGCCCCTCGCCTGAAGAATTTGTAGGTAGGTAACCTACAGACGCTATAGCTAAAGTATATACACTGCTAAGGGGCCTTATAACTGTGTAAGGAGCGTATTAGCGTAATGTTTAGTTCCATTCCTTAAACAGTAAGATCATAATTTCAAGTTTTTATAAATATCATTATATTGCCCTGAGGCCCACGGCTTGCCAGATCTCCGGAGGGACGCCGGCGACACGCTTACAGCACGTACACATGATGAGAAGGCAAAATTACTAGCTGAGAGGTTCTTCCCAGACCCGTATATAGATCTATCGGACCTCGATCGCGGCCTATTACAGACGAGACCAGAGCTGAACGTCCCTAGGGAGGTGACCACAATGGATATCGAGTCTATCATCAAAGGAACGGCTGCTCGGAAGGCTCCCGGCGACGACCTGATCCCCACTGGCCTGCTAAAGGCCTGCGGTGAACCCCTATGGGAGATCCTAGCGGATCTGGCAACAGCTAGCTTTAGGCTGGGGTACTACCCGGAGCGCTTCCGCTCAGCGAGGGTGGTTATTATCCCTAAGCCTAATAAAACGACAGCTCAGAAGCAGACCCCTGGCGGCTGGCGCCCCATTGCCCTGCTTAGCACGGTAGGGAAGGTAATAGAGACGGCGATGAGCCAGCGTATCACCAAAGTAGCTGAGGCGGCCGGCCTACTACCAAACGGCCAAATGGGTAACCGCGCTGGGAGGTCCACCGAACTGGCAATACGTATAGTTGAGGACGTGGTCTATACGGCGTGGAGACGCGGGGGCATCGCCTCGCTGCTACAGCTAGACATCAAGGGGGCATTCGATACGGTCAATTACAGACGGCTGATTTCCATATTAGCCCGGAAAGGCTACCCGGAGTGGGTTCAGGAGTGGGTATGCAGCTTCGTGGAGGATAGAACGGTACGCCTCCGGTTCGATGGCAAGGAGTCAGAGCCAATCCCCCTACGAGCTGGCGTCCCCCAGGGGTCACCGCTATCCCCGATACTGTTTATATTATACATTTCAACGCTGTACGAGGAGCTAGCGGAGCAGCATCCACTACTTTTAGTAGTCGGGTTCGCGGACGACACGAACCTGCTAAGCGTCGGCACCGATCCAGACACGACCTGCCGCCGGTTGGAGAGCGCATGGGCTACGTGTCAGCGGTGGGCAGTGAGGCACGGGATGGAGTTCGCTCCTGACAAGAGTGAGCTAATGCACTTTACTAGGGCCCGAGAGCCCTTGCCGCAAAGTATTCGCCTTGGGGACGCCACAGTGTCGCCGGTAGTCTCAGCCAGGTTCCTAGGAGTCTGGTTCGACCGCAAACTGACGTGGCACGCCCATGTTGAGCGTGTTAAAACAAAAATGGCAACTCAAAAGCTAGCCCTGACAAAGCTAGTCAATATGTCGTGGGGCTGCGATCTTATACGGGCGAGGCTGTTATATACGGTGGTTATCCGTAGCGCGATTGCCTTCGGGGCGACTGCGTGGCATACTATAAGTGAGGAACCGGCAGGGCCAGCTAAGAGCCTGATGGGGATACAGAACGAGTGCCTCCGGGTAGTCTGTGGTGCCCACAAAGCGACGCCGGTTCGCCACCTGGAAGCAGAAGCAGCAATCCCGCCACTAGACCTCTATCTTAGTGCCCGGGCTGCTAAGTTTGAAGAACGGCTACGGCTTAGCGGGAAGAGAAATCTGCTTCGCAGCGCGAGCGCTAAAGCGTCACATATACTCCGGCAGGATAGGCCGGCGAAGAGGAAGCAGGCGTCGCAGCTACTCCGACCGGCAGGGTACACTATGGAGAAGGAGGCCCGGGGCTCCGAGTGGATGAGTGAGGAAAAGGAGGTCCCGGCTGCCCTCCTCGACCACTGGAGGAAGAGATGGCTCACCGGAGCAGAGCATCACGATCGCCAGCGACGCGCTATCGCTGAGGAACCGGAGGGCCCTTCGATGCAGATACCGAAAGGGGGCAAGTATTTCGGCCTGAACCGACTGGAGGCGTCTACGCTGTGCCAGATCAGGACGGAAAAAATAGGACTAGCAGCCTTCTTATTCAAGACAGGGGCTTTTGGCGTGTACTCGCCGCTATGCCGCTGTGGCGATGCCCCTGAGACGGCAGAGCACGTAATCCTCTTTTGCGGGCTGTTGGAAGGACCGAGGGAACGATTACGGGCCGCCATCGCACCACGGCCACTATACTCTCGCAGAGACCTCGCAACGGCAACAGGAGAACCAGTAGTTAGTGGGACTATTGTAAGATGGCTGCTAGGGACGGGTCGGACAGCTTCAAGGCCCAGATAGCATCGATCTTCTCAGGGGGGACTTTGTTGGTAGGTTGAGAACCAACGTAGTATGGTAGTGAACGCAACGCAGTCGCCAATAGGGCGAACCGACGACGCAGCGTATGTATTTAGTCCAGCCATTAGGGCACGGTTTGACATACGGGAGTACTAGTAGAGGTACCGGGGGCTTCGAGCCTACGGCGTATTTAATAATAATAATAATCATTATATTTAGAACCTCTTTAGAAATAAGAAACTGTCTATTAAACTAAACTCAAAGATAACTTAATATACTTTGAAATACAAAGTAGTATTATAAAAATAATATACTAAACTTTCCCAATAACTAACGACTATAATATAGAAAGCTTAAAGAGTTAAATACGTAATCTTAAGTATATATTTGCTACGATTTATACTAATATCTAGCCTCCGTTAACTACTTGAAGATGCTGTACTGACTTAGTTGTTTATGCATTTTTAGCTGGAGGCCCCGCATAATGATTCGTTTATTGAAAAGGCAAGCTCGAGAGTTGCACAGCATGAGGCACTTGACGACCCGTGGTACTTAACAGCAACTTATCAGCCGCAAACCCCGAGTTTCACCAACGCCTACCGCAGTTGCAAGTGCAGTGAGATTATGAGTCGACACGCTGAACATGACGCTCGCAGACGAGGTGGTACCAATGTCGAGGTGGAGTTGGACGATTATGCTTTTGCTACGAGGTCAGCACTCATGATTCTCCCGAGTGACAAGCAGCACTCGAATAACTTCGGTTTATTCCATAGAAACTTGAATTTGTCTCTTATCCGGCATTCAGGTTATGACTCCCCATCCCTCAATGCGACCTGTTCGTGGAACATCACGAAAGATGCAGCCGATGCCCTACAACAGACGCCGATTTTATGCCACCCCGTTCTAGCCGAATACCCCGACCCTACAGATCTCGGCAGTTGCATTGTTGATAGCACCCATTGTAACCAATTTCCGCGCAACCAAGGCCATCGGAGCGACCGACTATATGTTGCTTACATATCCCAGAACCCGTCAGTTGTCACTTCAGAGACTATGCCAAGGTCAGCAACACCCGGCTAACAGCCCGAATTTTTGGTCAGAACACACGCAGGGGTTGGGGGGGTTTCAAGGGGGGGAAGGCGGGAGGGGGATTTTTTAATTTTCTTTTACAGGACTAGGGCTGATTGGCTAACCCATCATATTTACCCTCTCCACTGATTTGGATCTTCAGTTTCCCACTCGATGAGTTGTTGGCTGGCGTGTGGTCAGACTGTTCGCAATTCCAAGAACAACCTGACAGCACGAAAAAAAAAAACACTAAAGTCTTGAAACATCGACAGACTTGGCCCGAATGCTGATCAATTTGATCAAACTCTTCCGAAGTTGGGTTCAAAAACGCAACTAGCCCCTGGCGTCATTCTAGAAGCCGCTATCATGAGCCTCATTCAGACTCTGGTATCTCATTGTCAAGAGTTTGAGGATACCCGTATCGAACATGCATAAAATCGCCCAGCTTCACGAACAAGGCGCCAACACATACATTACTCTCTCGGTATTTGAATGCTTCGTGGTGCTCTTCATCGGTAATCCCCTTCCTGGAAACCACGATCGTGATGTCGATCATGGCAAAATGGGCAGATTGGCCAATCGACCAGGGTCAATGTAACTATCCTCCCAGCCTCCACTATGTCATGATCATCAGGCCCGTTCAAATTTCATCGAATTGACAGCTGAAAGCCAGCGTCTTATGACATCCAGACATCCTTCTGGTTGTTCTAGAACCGAAGCGCATCTCAAACCCCTTGCAACGAAATTTCGCTTATCATTCGCATCGCGACATCGTAATTTGCGCCATCATGATTTTTACGGGCGAGGCTATTCCCGTAACAGGCCCAGATGCTTGAAGGTTCAACTGGAACTATGCCGATAAAGGGATGTGGCCTCGCCATGTTGCATAGCAACACGCAGGCTTGCCACATGGCTCCATGGCACCTCGCGGTCTCGTGTCTCCTTTTCTGATTGTCGACGTACTCGCCCCGAAGTGTGGAGATTCCAAAGAACTTCGAACCCGGTGCCTCGGTGCTATTTCCCGTAGACGTTTGTGGTGTTATTACCACCGGGAATGAGCTCCGTTTCTGTCTCTTATCAACAGCGCCCCCGAGTTTTCATGAGGTCAAATGCTATATATAGTTCAAATATATTTGGTCCTTCATTCTGATTAAACGAGAAATGTTTAAAGGCAGTGCGTCAACCTACTCAAGTTAAGTTTGGAAGTGTCATCCGCCGAGACACATTTTTCGCAACACGGAATGAACCGGCAAGCAATTGAGGATACTTATTGCTGTCTCCCCTCGGGAACAACATGCCTGTCCACATCTCTCTAATTTCATACCGATTTTGTTATACTGGACCACGAGCCATCACATTTTCTGCCATCTATGTATCGGTGTGTATCTGTCAGTGTATACCTACGGCTTGGTGGCCTTTTACTGTTGACCAAGTCATTTGGAGACAATCGACATGAAATATGCTACGAGACGTCGTCCACTTCCTTCTTGCGACTGGCCGGTTTAATTACCAGGACGTTGAGTATTCTACAACTTGGGTCCACATGCTCGTTTGGGACACTATTGGTATCTAGTTGTCGCAGATTAATAAGTATCCGTCTCCACAATCTATTTCAGTGCTTATGAAGTATCCTTGTCATTCGTTTTTGGCCATCATTTCCAGACAAGTTCTGGTTCAACATCTTATTTGCTAGGCCAACTTAACGCTGACTCCAGATGTTATGGCGGCTAGTCATCCAGACTCTGAAGACGAAGTTACCCACAGCGACAGAAATGAGGACAGTTTCATTAGTCGGTATTCTCTGCGTGCGTTCTCATTGTTTTCAGAATCAAGACCACCTGTTGTCATCTTACACGTGTCCAAAGGCAGTTGGCAATGTCGTTCAATCATCATCTGCGACCACAGATCTAGCCTCACCAGCCACTGACAAGGGCATTATTTGCAGATCCTGCCAAGATGTCGAACAGCAACCAATCTTGGAACTTCAACTGTCAAAGTTGGCAGGTCATTTTCCATCAATGTTCATTCGCAGCTGCTACATAGCTTCGTATGCATAGGCCGTTCTCCTCTCTGCCTCAATTCCATATTCCCGTCTCAATTGACCGAGAGAGCTTCCCAAAATGTCGTCCATTCCCATGTCCCATCTGGGCGGTCAAGGTGAGCTGAAACTGCAGCCCAGTAGTGCCATGCATGACGTAACCCCCACATGACGAGGGAGCTTCTACCCAAACTCCTCCCTAAAGTACATAGTACACACTTCTTTCTGTCTTGTAGAAGCTCATGTGGCAATTGCAGCCTTCAACCACAGCGTGAACAATAATTCCGAGGCTGAATACGATCGGCTGCGCGACCTCGCGCGCGCCGAAGCGGCAAAGCGCAACTCATGCTTCGACCGGGTACGTCCACCACTTCCCATCTCTGTTGCGTCACGTCTCCGCGGGATAGCAGCTGAATCTGGCTCACTCGACCGCTACGGATGCAGCAAACAGCTAACCCATTCATCGACAGGCGCACCAAGCCTACGAGCGCGGCGACGGCGCCGAAGCCAAAGAGCTAAGCAACGAAGGCAAGCGACACGCCGCCAAAATGGACGAGTACAACAAACAAGCGTCGGACTTCATCTTTCGGGAGAACAACTTGATGGGGCGTGTGCCGGACGACACGATCGACCTGCATGGACAGTTCGTCGAGGAGGCCGAGGAGATCCTGGAGCAACGGATTCGGTACGCGCAGCAACACGGACAGACGCACCTGCATGTTATTGTGGGTAAGGGAAACCACTCGGCCAACCACGTGCAGAAGATCAAGCCGCGCGTGCAGCAGGTGTGCAACGAGTTGGGGTTGAAGTATGCCACTGAGGACAACGCCGGGAGGATGTACATCAATTTGAAGGGTGAGGATGTGGTCGAAGTGCCCGACTTGCCGAGTCATCCTTCGGGCGGGCATGGCAGGCAGCCTGGGAGTGGTGGGCATGGTCAGCAACATGGGGGGCAGTCGACGCCGCATCATGGAGGTGCGCAGCATGGAGGGGGACAGCAACAAGAGGAGGGTGATTTGGTGGGGAAGATTGTGTCGAAGCTCACCAAGAAGCTGGGTGATTGCTGTGTGGTCATGTGAGGGCATCTTGTTGTATATATCTGGATAAGCCAGGTTGTAAGTTTGAGTGGATATGAAATTACCACATGCACTACAGGATGGATGGATGCGTCTGGCTTCTGGGTAGACCTCTGAATAGAAGGGAGTTTTGACTCCTGGCAAAATAGGACGAACAGACGCAATAACTGCAGGATGGAAAACTTATAGCGGTCTGTTGAATGAAATACATTGCATGGTATTGTTCGTGAACAGCGAACATGCTAATAGCTAGCTTGGCGAGCAATTCACTTAAACTCCTTAATCGCGACCAAATATACATGTAAACTCGACCGTCCCTTGCAGCCCCATGCAGAATTCCTTTCCTCGAGCAATGGTGAAGGCGTCATCCGCCATTCTTCAACGGGAGCCATGTTTCAGCTCTGTGATCATAGGGTCCTCCATCCATGTCCAAGTCCGCCGCTGAACATCGTTTTGTCCATCATTCAGGACCATTTGCCCGAACAAGGGCTGCGAAAATTTGATTGAAGCCGCTTTCCAAAGGAATTTCCGGGAAGACTGATCATGTCCATCGACCTGAATACTTTGGTCCCTCGAGTACTGGGAAGACCCGCCCTACGGCGTATTCTCCTTCGTGGTAGGTTCAGAAAATTGCTGGTCATAACCCTTGTTCTGAGCAGCTTGCCGGCTCGAACTCCGGGAATGCCCATTCTAGGGAACATTCTCATCGTTCATCATACCATCTGGGGGTGGCTGATCATGGGCGTGCTGTTGCTGTTGCTGTTGCTCTTCTTGGGCAGCTTCCTCGTACGAAACGACTCGGAAGGCCAATTCCCTGGCGGCGGCCTCAATCAAGAGCATTTGTCTTGTTTTCTTATCCGCTGCGCGGATGTCGGCCATGGCACGTTCAATGGTATAGCGCACGACGGGGTCGGCAGAAGCCGGGGCGGACACGTAATTGAACCCGCCGAGGGCTTGAGGGGGAATGGACGGCATGTTGAAGCTTCCATCTCCAACAAGGACGCCACCAGGATGGGCTCCAGGATTGCGAGTTTCTGTCCACAAGAGTTAGCTCTACGACTGGGCTCAGTCCACGCATCACTGAGTGATGATATGGTGCTTCCAAGAGCTTACCGTGAAACGAGCATCTTGCGCCTGAAGCATTGAACCAGCAATTGGCGCAGCTACCACACATTTGTCCATCGACGACGACGCAAGTATTCCACGGACCGTGGCCCTTGTGGCAGTTCTTGCATGGTACCGCCGCCGTCTCACCAGCAATGTGCGCGAACAATGCCTCAACATTGCTCCGTCGTCCGAGGTTCAGCACCTGCTCCGGCCGTCGCTGTGTCGCGAGACGCATGCCAGGCTCCCTTGCTAATCGCTTCGCTAATGCGCTCTCGACCACCACGTCATTGTAGCCGGACTGATGCGCCAGACTCTCCGTCGTGTGCGGGCCCGGTTCACCTCCATCGTCGATATGCTCGCCTGCCAGATGCTGATCAAGATCGGGGTGCTCGTGGGGGTTCACCATAGCATTCGCATTATTGGCGAGAATGGCGGCTGCACTCAGGTCGATCTCCTGGTTCTGCGCCGAGTGCTGGGCAGCGGCGGCTGCCAGGTCGAAGTTGCTCTGATCATGATCAACTTCATCCTGGAGCTGTTGTCCAACTTCGTCGAGATCTGGATCCTGGTTGGGGACGCTGTCGGGTTGGCCAGTTCGACGGCCAGCAGGACGGCGGGTTGTGGGGTTTTGGACAGACTTGGTGACCTTACCAGGTCGGCCTCGCGCTGGTGTGATGATGCCTCTCATGACGCCTGGCTACAGTTGGTGTGTTTGGCGGATTGAGGCACTTGCAGGCAGGGACTTCTGGACTTGAGGAAATGATAAGAGGCAGCTGTCTGACAGCTGATGGATGAGGTTACTGGTTCGCGCTCTTCGTAGTCGAGAACTGTTCGAAATAGAAAGATCTTTGGTAGGCCCACTATGATTGTAATAGAGCCAATTAGATGTCTCGACCACTTAACAACGGCAGGCTCCGAAAAGTGCCTCGCGATGCCTTCTCCCAACTGTACGAGATAAGTGACATTGTATATGAAATTGGCACCAAATCACTACACTCTACGATGTACGCATGCTGATGACACAGTCCATGTATTCTGTGTCAGGTCATCATCTTGGACTTCGCGCGAAGAGATATGCCGTTGTTGACCTGTCGGAGAGGCCATTGCACTTCTTTGGAGCCTAGAACTCAACATTCATTTTGATGCTGTTTGAGATACTGACTGGAAAGTCGCGCCATGGAAAGCCGAAGCAACACCGCACCATCAGGATCACATCATCCAGGTTTGGGCCAATGGGATCGCGAGTCCTTCCCGTTTACCGTTGAGCTCAAGATCGCCAACGTCCTGGCTCACGTCAAGCTTCTCCTCAGTCTGCCTCGAACCTCAGATCCGGATGACCGGACGCCCGTCAGCTCAAGAAATGCGCCAGCCAAGTCATGAACTGTCCCAATCCGAGTCTCGTAGGCGCAACCATATCCTAGCATCATGCATGAGCTTTACAAAACGTGTTCTGTGTGAAGAGGGTACTTCAGATCAAGGTCGAGTGCGAGGATCTATTTGGAGAGCAGGGCATCACACCGTCCATGGACGTCTCATAACATCGTACTGCAGAGTCGTACAACTTCAGCCAACTGCAGCCTGATAATACCGACTTTTTTGGGACGGTACTCGGCGTTCTTGATGATTCCTTCGATCCCCGAAGTCTCTCATTCCTTTGACCGAGTACGCAAGAGAACGGCTGGTGTCAGAGTGAGATTCGCTGTCAAATTGACATCTCTTCAGGTCAGCCGCCCACCTGCAGATGTGAAACTTCTCATTTTCTTCTAGGTGAGTGCTGGTTGTACATTCAAATCCAAGGTCATGGCCTTCAATCCTCCTATCGAGTTACTGTATGCAGGCGGTATTCTCTTCAAATCACACTACCTTTATCAACGAGAAACGAACAAACCTCGGTAATCCGCTGTGGTTTGAACTGCCAATCCATCAACACGCCAACTTTCGCTGCCTCCACCTACAATGAGCGTGCTGTACCGACCGACATCTGAAGGAAGCCAGCCTGCGAAGAAATCCAGCAAAAAGCAAAGATACCGTGCTTGATATTTTCTACTTAATCAAATCACTTCAGATCGATAGGAAGCCCTCAGATTCAGGTACCATGATGGCTGTCTCGATTGTTTGATGATCTTCCTATCCGAACCGCTTCGGTAAGATGGAGACAGAGTGTAAGTGTTGGATGCCACGTCGCATTCGAATCATATAGACTACGGATTTATCTGCTTCGGCAATGCTTCGTAATAGCCGCTTTATGCATCCTATCAGAAATCTACCCATGCAAGAAATCATCGGACCATCAATATCGCCTGTTTTAGCTGTTTTAGCTTGGCCGAGGTTGGATCTGACATCTCGAAAGCAATACCCTTACCGATGGCGTAATTTCTCGACTCGGCGAATCAGTGCATGTTCCACAGCTTTCAGTTACTTAAACATGCGCTTACCGTCGCAGAATGGCGGCCTTTTGAAGAAGGTCCATCGCATCGGTTCCGGTTGCAGCTAGTCACTGCCGACCTTCGGTCAGCGTGTGAGGCTTAGACCCATCCAGCACGGTCTTGGCGTCCGTATACTTGGGACATGCTCATTAACAGGACTAAACGAACGGCAACTCGCTTTGGTCCTGTTCAAGTTTGGTATCTACAACTTTCTATGTCATGATCGTTCTGTATGTATTGATTGAACATTTGCCGAAGGTGTTTTTGTCGCCATCCAAGTTTCAAACCACTGTCCTTACCGTTCGGCGTCATTCCTTTGTTCGAGATGCCTGTCACGGTCAAGCCATCAAACCACGGATCCAGCTCATGGACTGGAACCGAATACAGAAAGACATGCTCACCGGAAATGCTCCTCAACTGCACCACAGATGCTGGCGGCAGAGGTTATACTAATGAGACGAATTCGAGGCATTCCAGGCCCAAAAGGCTTGTGCAAAGCTCGTTCAATCATCTACAGAAGGACGACTTCGTCTTCGCGACCAAAAATGGATTTGTCAACGCATGTATGGACGCTTACAACCTCCATCACTGCCTGGTGCTGCGACCTGAGGACGTATGGTTTGCCATACTGACGCAGCTCAGCGTTTACGTCAACGCCCATGCAGACGAGCTACGTCATACCCTTGTCCATCACGAGGGTCAGGAGAACTTGAAGATCATAGTCGATGACCTGGAGCGCCTCGATCACGGCAAAATTGCATTTGAGATGACAAAGCTCATGCAAGAAAGCATCAAGGACCTCCAGCTGCGAGAGTGGATTCTGCCGGCGTTCACGACGACGACCAAGGTCGACCAGACCGTGGCAAGCGTTATTTTTATGGGGACCATGCAGAAGTACTTTACCTACAGCTGGGGCATCAGATGCGGCCTGCCATCTGTGACCCTGCTGGGAGAGAAGAGCGACTGGGTGAGTATTTATCAGCGTGCGGAAAAGATAGCCACGTTCGGAGAGGAACCGCAGAGGTGGCTCAAACTGTTGTGGCCGATACTTGGATCCTTCATATCAACCTTCCGGGACCCGGAGAGCACAGCGGTGCGGGATTTCTGGCAGCGGATATGCGTCGAGCATGTGCCGAATGGGAGCGGAACGACAATGTATTCCGGTTGGATAACAGCGTTTTGCTTCTGGGACGAAAAGGGCGCCTGTTTGCATAGGCCGAACCGACAAAATGGGGGGGTCATGCTGGATAGGTCGTCAATCCCGGCGGGATTCATCAAGGTCCCCGCTTTGCTATTCGAGGATGGCGGCGCCATGAAGATACGGACGGAGATCATTGCTGGGTCCATGGCGATCAGCGCCTCGAGGTCGGAAGGGAGAACGGAGGAGGATGACAGGAAGGAATGGTATCGCGTTGAAAACAAAAAACTAGTTGGTCTGGACACTATACAACCGGAAACAGGGTGGTTCATGTACGAAGTTTGAGGAAATGGATCCGTTATTCTGTATGGCGAGCACAAACCAGCGCTGCTCGAGTGAACGGGGAACGTAACGAGGAACCTTGGGACCTTTGCGTTGTGGTTTGGTCCAACTAAAGACACGCAGCAAGCCTCCCCTCGCAATATAGCCATCATTGGTACAAGTACCATACCAATTCCTCGTGGCTATTTTCGATCTAGCTAAGTAGTTAAGTAGCCCCTGTTTTCCTAGTGTAGTATTAAAGAGTGTATAAAGGGAGTGTGGGGGTCTCAAGACCGGCTCCAAGGATAATTCTTTCTCTGCTATATTCACAACTACCGACTGTGAGACTGAGGGATGATGTTCCGATCCGACACTTTTCATCGTCAATTCTCTTCAGATTATCTGTTCGCAATTAGTTATGGTCCTCTTCCGGAAATGTAGTGGCAATTTCATCATTGCTCAAAGGGTCATGATGGGCTCTACACAAAGTCTTGTACGCCCGGCGGTCATTTCGGATTTCGCCATTTGCTGTATACCGCGGTACACACTGCAGAGTACTCCTTGTCACTGTATCCAGAAAACATCTACCTTGGTGATCATTACTGAACTACTGAAGTGATGCTCGTTCATTCGTATCAGATATTGGTGAAGTTGAACAACCCCGATTGCTGAACATACCATTGCGGCAAAAGTTGGTTGGTATATTGCCTCCTCTCACTTATCCTTTTTATTCGTTATGACCCGTCATCATCTCACCATCCACGTCGGCATAAGTGTATAATCCACGTGGTTTAATGTCCAATGCAGTATGCTGACCCCAACTGATGAAAATGCTATCAATAGAACCGCCCCAAGCCAATGCTTTCTGGTTCCCAAATCTACAACGACGCAGAAACTCGCAGACGACAAAGTCTGGATACGATATACAGGAGAATATAAGAGAAAAGGCATTGCCAATACGTAGGTTCCCATAAAAAGGTCTTGAACTCCAAAAAATTTCAATGACGTGTCTCTTCGAGTTCGCGTATATACTGCACGAATCTCTTTTTGTGTGTCTGGGGTAACAATTAGTCTCAAACAATACACGCGTGGGTTGTGCGGCGTCAAAACTTACCATCCCGGCATAGCGCCCATCCTCCAAGACGCATATATACCGCAGCCCAAGCTTGACAAAGCAGTCGTAGACCAGGTCCATCGGAGACTTGATATCCAAAGCCACCGGTGCCGGGTCGATATATGGTGTGAAGTCGGTAGGGTTATGCTCACCGTTATGGTCATCGTCAATACTCGGCACGCTTGCCATCAAGCAAAGGTTGGTCATTTCGTCGTCCAGATTGTCCAACGCGTATTCCAGATCTTGGGCTGGTATCAAGCCCACAAGGATTCCGTTTCGTATGATGGGCAGACCGCCATCTAGCTCACCGGCTCTGTGCAGAAGCTCAAGTTTTGCTCGCAGATTGATAGCCGGGACGAGGGGTGAGCTGGTGATGTCTATTATCCGCTCGCGACGTACGCGAGGGAGGATATCGGCAAGGTCCGAAGTAAATATCGGCTTGTGCTTGTTATCCAAATAAGGGTAAGAGTTCATCTGAGTGAGCAGATCGTAGATGCTCAAGGGCTCTATAGCGTCTGCCGTCCATTTCGCGACAAGAACTCCAAGTGAGAATGGGAGGACGTAATCCAGACTTCCAGTAAGTTCGAACAGGATGACTGCGAGCGTGACGGACAGTCTCGTCACTCCACACAAGGTCGAGCCTGCAGCAATGAGTCCATAGACACCTGGCTGTACGCAAGTGGATTCCGAGTAAAGAGCACAAGAGTTCCATATGCTAACATGCGGGAAGCGTAAGACCATCCACTGAACACCATGGCCAGCAAGTCGTCCCATCAGACCGCCAACAACCATAGATGGAACGTAGATGCCGGCAGGGACTTTGATACCGAAGGTGATGATAGTGAGAAACCCTTTCACTAAGAAGGCAGCAAACAAAGTTCGCATGATGCCAGGTATCTCATCAATGCTTGTTGGGCACAGACCAAGATTATCTCGGGTCTCGTCTTCACAGGGCGAAGCCAGATTCAAGAGAAGCTTAGCCACTGGAAGCTTGGTCAAGACATTCCAATACCCGATGAAGGCGGTGATCAAGGCGACCACGACGACCTCGACCACGGGGTGCTTCTTGATGAGCGGGATCTTGCGGAACGTCATAGCCCACTGTTTTGACGCTTTGATGAAGAGCGCACCAGCGGCACCGCCCAAAATGCCCACGAGGATAAAGCTAACCAGTTCGAAATATTCCCAGTCGGCATTATAACGGACTTCGAACATGACAATCTTGTGTGTTCCGTAGGGATTGAGGAACTTCAATGACAGGGCGGCGATGATGCAGCAGAAGAAAGTCCTGAAGAGGGTTTTGGCAGGGAAGAAGTAAGCGACTTCCTCGAGGCCAAACAAAAAGCCTCCAAGAGGAGCGCCAAAAGCGACGACGACACCGGCTGCTGCGGCCGCAGATAGAACCTCGCGCCTCTTTCCATCGTTTCGGTCATATTTTGTGAACAACCGACAGGCTATGTTGCCAATGCAAGTGGCAATGTGCACGAAAGGACCTTCCTTCCCGAGGCTCAGACCAGAGGCGACACTCAGGATCAGGCCGGCGGATTTGATGACCAAGGTCTTGAAGCCGAGGAAACCATGCAAGACGAAACCGCTCAGGATGACGCGGACCTCCGCAACACCACTTCCTGCTGCCGAATAGTATACCATGGGAGGGGCGGGCGGTCCTTGGGATACCTGTCGAGGACTAATAGTTGAGTCATTGTCGTGGTCGTTAGGATCGCCAGGATAATCGGCTGCGAGATTCTCGTCGAGGGTAGTCATCCGGTATGCGGACGGAACCACAGTCTTGGTCGTCAGGGTCAACAAGCAGGCGAGGACAGAAAGAAGAATGACCGCCACGAGGTAGATGCCAAACTTGGTCCATTTCTCCCCAAAGGGATGGTCACCAATGATTTCTGACCAAGTTCGCCAGTCGGTACAACGACCATGACGGCAACACAACTGAGAATCTGGTCAGTAGGAAAATTTGGAGCGCATAAATGAGACGGGCAACCTACTTTCTTTCGTAGATACCAGCCTCTCGTACAGTAGCCATCTTTATAGTCGAAGATGGTGGTCTCAGCTACGTCAACGCAATAAGCAACGACGGCGACCAGAAAGCCGACCACGGCACTCAGAATCCAGCCTTGGGCACCGTCGAACAAGACAATCAACCTGCCCCAGAAGTCCCTACGGGACCGCAGCTCTTTGACTCTGTAGGCATCCGCTATGCTGTCGTGTACCCAATCGGTCGATGTGAATTGATCGTACCAGATGCGCTCATGGGCAAATATGGAACCCTTAGGTTCCGACAGTGGCTGTTGGCCATCCTTCAGCGCCTGTATTACGCGCTGTCCCCACGATCCCTGCCGGCTGTGATGTCTCGATTGTCGTAAACTCTCGGAGTAGCTCTGGACCCTTGACAGGTCCGGCGGTTTGGGCGTGCCGCCGCTATATGGACTTTGTATGCGCAGACGTGAGCCACGAGTCGACGGTCGAAGCAGCGAGGTGCGTTCGTCTGGGGTTTGCCCCTCGAGTGAATGTCGTCTTCCTCTCGTTGTGCGGCGTCTTTGGTGGAACTGCGTAGGAGACATGGGGACGGAGGCGTTGTTTGGGGACTGCTGTGGCGGTGGGATAGCGTCGTACGGATCGGGTCCTTCGGCCATATTGCGTCGGTTGATCTCTTGACGGTGTGTCGTGACGGTGAGGATCTGAACTAGGGTTTCACCGAGATGATGTAAGTGCACAACTATCAAGGGCAGCTAACTCCAGCGTATCATCGGCCCACAGTGCCGCAGCTACTTTCGGGCCTCTTGCCTCGCCTTGTTGTGAATTGTTGTCTCGGATTGTAGTCTGGTAGAAGCCGCAATGAGTGGATTGAAGCTACTTCTCTTTCGGAGCAGGAGTACAAAAGTTATTAAAGGAGGGACAATCAACGTAGGTGGGTGTTTGTAGCTTGTATTGTACTAGAGGCATCAAGTGACCTGGATGTTGCCTGCTCACGGGTCCAGCATTGTGGTAGTAGTGTTGGAGCGTGTCGAAGGATTGAACGTGTCAGATGCTAAACCATGAAGAAATGGCATAAAACGGGCCAGACCAGCGTGGTTCATATGACACGAGAACAACGAGGCAAGGGGCTTGGGGACTGTAGAGCCAAGGATGTTGGAAGCTTCTCCTCCACGCTACCTTACTTTAATGTGCTTTCGCACGGTACTCAATGGCAGCACATCATCGGCAAATTCTATGTCACGAGATGGAGGGATCGTCAGATTATATCATCATAGCTTGTGACTGCACTAATCACGAAAAAGTCTCCGGACACCTCACACCCCAATTCGGCAATCAACATAACCAGCCAATGCAACCCCAATTCACTATGATTTTCGAGTTTCTGCCAAGGAAACATGTGGTAATCGCGGCGCGATCGCGGCGCGAATTACAAATGCAGCAAAGAGCCAGGGTAAGTGGCATAAGCCGGAAGAAACGACAGATGCGTCCGGCACGCTAAGGCCCCAAACCATCACTATTACTGCCGGATGCGCTAAAATAACGAAAACTACATGTATAAAGTGGATAGGTGCTTCTAGAAGGTTAAGCGCTAGAGATAAGGGACATCCATTTAACCGCATTGACCACCTTTTTGCATGCACCCCCATTTTACAGGGAAATTCTACGCCTCAACAACCGGCGTCTCTCAATTTACCTCGCAATTGCTCCCTCGCTACGTACAAAATGGCTGATCCGGTGGAGAATAGTCTGGACGATTTTGAGCAGCGAATCGAACGCGCTAAAGAGCTTATCCGTCAGGGCTCTACTTAGGCCGCAGCAGCCTATCGGTACGGTATCAAGGGGACTACATTGTCCTACCGCATTCGTCACGGTAATTCGCATCGCGACGCGGCCTCTAGGCAACAAAAGTTGACTCTAGAGCAAGAGGAGGTCATCGTGAACTGGATCCTACACGAAGAACTATGCGGACGGGCTCCTAGTAAGCGTTATGTAGCCGACTTTGCTACTGAAATCCTCCTTACTCAAGGGGATGTTACGAACCGTTGGCCCTGAGCCAACATTACAGGCCCGTCGGCAGGCCAGGTGGATACAGACGCTAGGATCACGGGACCCCGTATCGGAGGAAGGAAAGGACCGATAGGTCATGTGACCTACAGGGGTGGATATGTTGGATATGTTGGACAACCAACATATCCAAGTGGGGATCATTACAGGAATGTTAGATGAAGACAGTCCCCTGTAACATAGATTCGACTAGCATAGACCATGCCGGCACTGCGCCCGGCACGTCTCACGTGATGAGACGTTAAACTTTCAATCAATCAATCAACCAAGTGGGGATCAGTGAAGGAGAGATGGGCATATAAGGGACAGGACTTCCAGGCATTTCATAGATAGACAGTCTCTACTTCAGTGATCAATCTAAGCATCAATCTAACCCATTGGTGAGGCAAACTGCCTTGACGACTCTATTCCCAGTTACCCTACTCGAATACTTCAGTTACCCAGAGCCCGATACTCCATACGTCAGACCCCGATATTATTGCTAAAGGACTCCGCAGCAGGACTTACTTACTAGCACAAACCCTTACAGACTCTTTAGTGGTTTACGCAGCTAGACTATTAGAGGTTTCGTTACAGGCAATTGGGGGTCGGGTGTCGGTGTTCGTACTACCTTTGCGATACCCAACGTAGATATGACCCTATCCGGATTAAAAGGAACAAGTCCAGCTGCTTCGAATCCTGATCTGATGTTTTTCTCGTGAAAAGCACCAATGAAAGCTTCTAAAAACCCAGCTAAGAAATCCTGCTTCTCAATATGGGTTTGATGCCTTCGCATTAAACCCTCCACGAACGCACCGTACAGCCGTTTCAACACACTAAAAGGTACCAAATCCAAAGGCTGGAGCTTGTGGGATGAATGGGAAGGCATACACTGTAAGGAAAGAGCCGTTGTGGCGGGCCGGTCTCAGCTGACAAGCTGAGTCGGGAGGGATTCGCCCCGATCCGGTAAAACCCCGGAACCGCCCAGCTTAAGAGGAGAACTCGAGACGCTCGCACCTAGTTTAGATTCTTCAAGAATCAGTCTTGCAATATACGCACCCATACACTGGCCTACTTCTAGCTACCCTTTGCACTACCTGACTGTTATATTGTGAGATGTGTGGTATCCTCGTTACATACACAATGTAATTACGCCGTGCGCCGCGAGGTAAGTCTCAAAATCCATCGAGTGGTGGCTCTCGTGACCATCCAACATTAAGAGACTTTTCGCACCCTTCCGACGGCTAATAATATGTTGAACAAAGTGTTTTGCCCATTCCACACCAATATTATTAGTAGTCCAACCGTTATGGGAAAGGTCGACCTTCCAGTTGGCCGGTAGGTCGTTACCGTGATACCACGAAGCAAGATGAACCTTGCCCGCGAAGATGATGTACGGCGGTACCGCCCAACCTTGCGAATTAATAGCCTGGATCACCGTAACCCATTCCCGACCTCCTTGTGTAGCCTGTCTAGGCCGTCCGTGTCTTTCTACACTCGTTACAACCATACCGGTTGTGATTAGGCCCATTAGGAAGCCCGTCTCGTCAAAGTTGTAGATATCCTCCGGTAGGATACCGTATTTAGCGATTGTGTCCCTAACAAGCTCAAACCGCGCGTAATACGCGATAGGATCTTCGCTAAATACCCTCTGGTAATCAATTCGACGGTTTAAACGCGTTCGGAGGTCTTGTCGGCGGTTAACGAAGTTCGTGGTCCAGTTCTTGCCGACGGGGGGCGTCGCGTACGCAGAATATTCGCCATTTCTTCAACGTATCGAAGCCGAGGAGGAAATGCTCGCGCATCTAGCTCAATTATACGTCGAGCAATCGTATCCTCTTCGGTTTGAGTTAGATTTCGTTTTAACATATTAGCTTCGTGTCGCGTTTGGTCGTCGTCGAATCGATTCTTTAGTGTACGGTCGCAAACGTTGTAGATACGGCCAAGCTTACGCCATGAAATTTCAGGGTTGCGCTTTTTAGCTTGGATAGCTAGCTGAAGATTGGCTTCTTTGGATTTACGAGGCATGTTGTGGGAAGGAAGAAAAGTGCAAGCTAAGGTAAAGTTAAAAGGTTGAAATATTTGAAAAAGTGCGAAAGTGACTTGTGTGCGAAAATGACTTGTGGATCACGTTAAGCAGTTGGAAATTAATACTTTTCTCGCAGGAAGGGTCCCTCCTAAAAAGAGGGCTCGAAAGAATATATCTAAGTCTTCGGACGCTTAAATTATTATTATTATTATTAAATACGCCGTAGGCTCGAAGCCCCCGGTACCTCTGCTAGTACTCCCGTATGTCAAACCGTGCCCTAATGGCTGGACTAAATACATACGCTGCGTCGTCGGTTCGCCCTATTGGCGACTGCGTTGCGTCCACTACCATACTACGTTGGTTCTCAACCTACCAACAAAGTCCCCCCTGAGAAGATCGATGCTATCTGGGCCTTGAAGCTGTCCGACCCGTCCCTAGCAGCCACCTTACAATAGTCCCACTAACTACTGGTTCTCCTGTTGCCGTTGCGAGGTCTCTGCGAGAGTATAGTGGCCGTGGTGCGATGGCGGCCCGTAATCGTTCCCTCGGTCCTTCCAACAGCCCGCAAAAGAGGATTACGTGCTCTCCCGTCTCAGGGGCGTCGCCACAGCGGCATAGCGGCGAGTACACGCCAAAAGCCCCTGTCTTGAATAAGAAGGCTGCTAGTCCTATTTTTTCCGTCCTGATCTGGCACAGCGTAGACGCCTCCAGTCGGTTCAGGCCGAAATACCTGCCCCCTTTCGGTATCTGCATCGAAGGGCCCTCCGGTTCCTCAGCGATAGCGCGTCGCTGGCGATCGTGATGCTCTGCTCCGGTGAGCCATCTCTTCCTCCAGTGGCCGAGGAGGGCAGCCGGGACCTCCTTTTCCTCACTCATCCACTCGGAGCCCCGGGCCTCCTTCTCCATAGTGTACCTGTCACGACCTGGGTTGCATCGCATTGGTAGAGACCTCGATTAGGTGCTATCGACCAAGATTCTACTCTAAGGAGCGAAGGAAAGAAGATGACAACTTAGGTTTGAGGGAGCGCGACTAAGTCATCCACGCTTGGCGGGGCTCCTACAAGGGTTATGATTGGCTTCCCATCTGACACTGCCACGGCAGGTGTTCCAGCTGTAAGTCACCTGGTTGTAGTGAGTCTGCGAGGGTTGACCTTCACACTAATCTTGTCCACAGGTAATCTTCTCCGACGAGTCCTCTATACAGAATTCTGCGTCATCCCCGACCGCCTGGGTCTTCCGATTTCCGAGCGAGAAGTATAATAAGGACTTCGTGAATCTTAAGGCACACGTAAAAGCGAATATTTCGGTTATAGTCTGGGGTGGGATCTACGTCGAGGGAGGAGTAGGGAAGAAGAGCGACCTGATCGTGATGGAGCGACCCCCCCAGGAGGAGGGTAAGAGACAGAAGGGCTACAATACCTGGAGTTATCTTAAGGCCTTGAGGGAGGGCTTACTCCCATTTTATAAGGATTGGCAGCATTTTCAGCAAGATAATGCGAAGATACACCTCTCGGCGCAAGCTTTGGAGTGGTTCGGCCGGCACGCTATTTCTCTAATAGACTAGCCAGTGCATTCCCCAGATCTCAACCCTATTGTCACGGTCTATGACCCTTACACCTATAGAGCACGTATGGGCCTGGTTAAAGAGGTATCTATCTAGGGAATGCCCTGAACTCTTTATCCTAAAAAAACCAGCTGGATATTGTAGCGGGGTAAGGCCGGACGCCAGGGAAAATAGGTGACGGAATGGGGAGGATCTTTTGCTTTGATGAAGGAGGCTTGTGGCTGCAATTTTCTTTTCGAGGACGGACCCTTTTTAATGACTTCTTCATCTTTTCGATTCGACAAGCAATAGTTAGCCATCATCGCACTCTTTTCAATGCATGCAATTCAGAAGCTTCAGTTCATGATTCACTTACACGTTCAGGGGATAGTTTCTAAGAATCCATCTATCCTTTCCATTTTAGCCTTGACAACTATGAGACATTGAGTCTTGCTCTGATCAGAGCAATCCAATACTAGAGACAGCTTCAATTCGACTCCTAGGAGCCAGACGTCCTATTCTGAGAATTATCCGACACGAGTCTCAGAGGCACATCCGACCAACTTGCGCACAAGACTTATAAGAGCTTCGCTCTTACGGCCAGCACCATGATCTTCGTCTGATCAGACCAACAGATGTGATCTATTGGTACTGGAGCCGTCTGTTCAGTGTGTTAGGTAATAGGTACATCCTACCGACCGCCTGACCCCGTTTCAATATTGAGAAATTTAAAGCTGCGCTGCAGTTAGCGTGGAAGGCAGTACCGGCAGCGCTGATTAAGAAGCTATACGACACTCTAGAGCATAGGCTCCGCGCTATTATTAAATCCCGCGGCTGGTATACAAAATATTAATCTACGGGCTATAAGCTTCGAAATGACTCTATTTTAATACCTTTACCCTATATATTCATAGAGACATAGCCATATTAAAATCCCAGTCCCCTAAAGAGCGCTGTAGTAAAAGTGGAGTGTCCTCAGACTTTTGGAGCCTGAATGTATGTAAACCGTGAATTAGCTGTGTTTTAGCGGATACTTGGTAGCGATATTTGGATGTACGAAAGCGATTGTTAGAGGGGTTCTGCCCTGCGGTTCTACAATCACGCTAAAACAGAGATCCCTAAAACTAGACTGCCGCACTTTACCTTCAGCATCCTGGGCCAAGAACCAAATTTATCCAATTGGCAGCTATCATCGCATCGCCCATCGTCGCGTAAACCCGTTGGCATTCTACTGGTTTCCTTTCAACGCGGCTGTGTGCAAGCCTACATTTCAATTTTCTTATTCGTTTGGTCAGCTTCGGCTGCGGCTGTCAGTCGTTTGTCTGGCTCCAATCTAGATCGATCCCGACGTCGTCTCGACAACTGAGTTATACACGCATCCGATTCTTGAAATCAAAGCGCCATCGCATTCTCTTCGGTTACTTCTAAGACTTGTGTTTCTCAGCTGAGCAGCATGGGCCCAGCAGACCTTTACCATGTCGTCTAAAGGGGGTAAAAAACCGAGTGTTCCCAAATTCTCCTCCTTCAAGCCAAAACCAGTCCCAGTGGAGCAAACGGAAGGACCGCCCACTCCCGCAGCTGATCCAGGTTTGATCACCAGAGGGAGCCACCTTCGTGCACACCGTCATCGGTCCCATGCTACAGAGGAATCGCGTGAGCGAGATCGAGGGAATCACGATTCGTCCACAAGGCAGTCAAACGTCTCCCGGCGTCCGGGACCATCAGAAGATTTCAAGGAAGGGTCATTCACTATTGACAAGCGAGGCGATCCCCTCATCAGAAAGTACGGCAGTAACCACCGCTACGATGTTCCGGCCTATCGCAGGTTCGGGTCTGGTCGTCTTCTGGGAGCAGATGGCTTCTTGAGAATTGAGCGTCTAGGAAATCGTGATGAGTTTTTCATACGTGGGTACTACGAAGGAGGTTCTGCTCTTAGAGGGGATCGGAAGAGCGTACTTGCAAGGGGTATCCACAATAAGTCACAACCCATCCGAGTTCGACAAGAATCTTCGCAGGCGCCTACCCTAACAGAGGATTTCCTACCGTTGAAGTCCTCCAAGAAGCGAAAATGGCCTAATGATCCTTCAAGCGAGTCGTCCGGTGAGGAAGGACAGTCTTACAGATCAATCCACGGGAAGAGCAAGGTGCATGAGCACTCTGAAAGCGATGAACTATACGGCAGTGACTCGTCAGCTTCATCTACGGGATCTGATAGACGCCGTTTCGTTGATCCCGTGAAAGCAAAGGAAATTAGCCTGTCTGCAAGGGTGAGAGATCACCCGGAAGACATCGATGCGTGGCTTGAACTCGTCAACCATCAAAATACTTTGCTGCGAATGAGGGCAGCCGATGGACAGCGAGCAACTCAGGCCGAAATCAAGAGTTTTGCTGACATCAAGCTTTCCCTGCTCGAGAAAGGCCTCGCTCATGCTGATTCCCCTGAGCAACGGGACAAGTTGCTATTGCGGATTATGCGTGAAGGCTCCAAAATCTGGGATCGCAAAACAGTTATAAAGCGCTGGGAGGATTTGATGAAAGATCATAGTGCCAACTTCGCGCTGTGGAAGGCATATGTGAATTTTCGGCAGACTGATTTACCAACGTTTCGATATGATGACATCAAACAACTTTATGTCAATAGACTGCGGAGTATCGAAACCGCAATGACACAAGATACTTCAAACACTCAGAGCCAAGAGTTGTATGATCAGCTGGTTTTGGTCTTCTTGAAAGCCACCCGGTTCGTCGCGGATGCTGGGTTCGTCGAACTCGCAGTGGCAGCATGGCAAGCTATGCTGGAACTCCTTTTCTGTCGCCCTGTGACTGCCCCTGATGCCAGCGCCAGTACGATGATTGCGTCTTTCCAAAACTTTTGGGAAAGTGAAGTGCCACGTATTGGCGAAGAGTTTGCAAAAGGGTGGTTTACTTACGAAGCCGACGGTGGCAAGCAAGATGCCCCTGAACCCCGGTCCTTCGGGGTTGGCCAAACGCCGAATACTCGGGATGCGTACAAGGCATGGACAGCCACTGAGCAGCAAAGAGCTGCAAACGCAAAGGTTCCAGCTCGCACCATGGATGACGGGACGGAAGACGATCCATACAGAGTTGTCATGTTCGCAGATATCCAAGATTTTCTCGTATTTATTCCAGAAAAAAACCTGCCCATGATACAGACCCTGATGCTTGATGCCTACCTGATCTTCTGTCAGCTACCCCCGGCGGTTGGGACCAGCAAAGCCGTCAAGGTCATCATGCAAGATGAACTTCTCAATAGTGGCAGAAACAGCGTCTTTGAAGTGAAGGAGGTGACGAATTCAATCGCTCCAGGTCAACAACACATGGATGAAGAGTCCACCAAGACGCCGGATTTTGCGCACGATTACCAACAAATGGCAATATCGTCGGAGACGCTCTTCCCTCCGTCAAAATGGTTTAGATGCATTCAGGCAATGAGAGGGAGCACTTCGGATCAGCACAAGCTGATCTTGAATACGCTGAAACAACTGGCACGCTCATTCGGGCGTGAGGAAATTGCCCCTTACTCTCTGGCCTTTGACAGTCTCGATGAAACAATTGACGACAAGAAGACAGCAAAGGCGCTTCTGAAGAAGTATTCAACGAACATCGGACTCTATATTGGATACGCAAACCTTGAAAACGCCAGAGGAAACAGAGACACCGCCCGCAACGTATTATCTGCTGCTCTGAGCTTGCCAACAAATTCGACGCACGACAGACTACGGCTCTGCATCGCCTCGGCGTGGATAGATCTTGAGGATGGCAACATACCTGGAAGCATATCTCGAATACTTATGGTAGCGACCGATGCATCGAACGAAACAGCGAGCTCTACGACCCAACTTTTGAAGGCGAGACAACTGCTGGGGTCAAATCGAGACTATCTCATATCCTCGGGTGATTCTGGAACTGCCGCCATCTACGGTGAGGGATTGGCCTTGTTAGAATATGCGACGCAAACCAGCGGCAAGGAACCACAATCTGAAGGTCAGGGTGATATATGGTCTGCTATGAGCTGCGTTTCAGCCTGTTCCGACGACTTCAGCTCTCGAGGTCTCGCAGAGAGCCTAAGCCATGAAAGATTGCTACAATTCACGGCCCGTCTTCTCTATCATCATGCTACCCACGGGTAAGTGGTTTTGTAACTACCATCTCTTTTCTCGGTCAACTAACAGTTCCCAGACCCTTCCGACCCGCATTCTTACGGGACCAATTCGCAAAGTTCGTCCACTTCTTCCCGCAGAACACCATGTTCCTGAGCTTATACGCATGGCGTGAAACCCGCCTCAGCATTGACGACCGCGTGCGCTCCCTCCTAGACCAGCACGTCCTCGTGCCCCCACACGACTGCGTCAGTAGCCGCGTCTTCGCCATCCGCCACGAGATGAAGACGGGCAACTCCCATTCCACCTGCGCCGCGTTCGAGCACGCTCTCGAGAGTGACGAGGAGACGGGCTGCAGGCACCATCCGGGATTGTGGATATCGTACATGCGGTTCTGCCGCGAGAGAAAGGAGCTGAGACATAAGGCCAAGGACGTGTTCTACCGCGCGGTGCAGAGCTATCCCGGGTCGAGGGAGGTGTTTATCGAGGCTTTTGTTACGCTGGTAGAGGAGATGGACTCGGCTGAGTTGAAGGCGGTGTATAATACGCTTAGTGAGAAGGGGTTAAGGGTGCATGTAGAACTGCAGGAATTTGTGGAGGGGTGGGAGAGCGCTCAGAAGCAGAAGATGATGGGTGGTGGCCGATGATTGGGAGATGTTGTAAGACCTGAGATGGGCGTGTCGCCTATGTCACATATTGGGAGCTGGTGATTGGACAGGTAATATTCTAGATACCCATCGTTGTCTGCTTGTGAGGGGCGAGGTAATCGAGGTTCTGCACAAGCATCAATATGGGGCCCCGTCGAGTCTTGAGTGTATGCTATCACTACCGAGCTCGATTGAATCACTTTTTACTTACACAAGCAAGCGAATGGGGGCATGGAATAACGGTGTACTGTATTCTCCACTTCAGTAGGATCTGAAATGGGTGACTGGGATTTGAGTGCCCTCGCAGCAGGTAAATCCATGATGGGTATAATCCACGATATGCAAATGAGCGTCCCCAGGCCCCTAACTACACTCCAAACAATATGCGAAGAATCAAATAGGTATTAACATGCTTCTTTCCAAAAATGACCGATGTCCCCAGTTCCATGCATGTCGTTGACATCCTTTCCCAAAACGTCCAGTGTGTGCCGTCCGGTTGCAGGTTAGAAAATCGCAAGCATGCTGAATAAATGCATGTACGTCTCTGGGTATATACCAACACCGCCACGCCGTCACACGGCCCCCTCACCTCCAAACCAATTTCTTGCTTAGATCACTTAGCAGCTCCAAACCTCTTCATGAACCTAGAAGACACGCCCTTGATGGTAGAGCACAACGACTTCTTCTTCCTCTGCAGACTTGGCTTAGCACCATCATCCTCCTTGGGCTTCTTCTCCCCGTCTTCCATACCTTTTACAACCTTTTGCTCCCCGCCCAGCCCCTCTGGAATCGCAGCAGTTGGTGCATCACCAGAAGCCTGATACACCCCCACCCCACTCAACGTAACCGTCAACAACTTGGGCGCCCCATCAAACACGCTCCCAGACTGATCCCCGCCGTCGCTCGGGCCCACGTCGTCATATGGAAACGCATACCCCCTTCCATCGGCATTCGTATCGTGGCAAACCCGCGAGTAATGGTTCGTGATTGTCTCCTTGTAATAATTCGCCACCTGCTCGTCATTGGGCTGGTTCGGATTCACCAACAACGTCGACCTGTTGAAAGCAGCGGCGATACGAGCCCCAAGAGCCCCCATCAGCGCCCCCGCGTCGCCGGCCGGATACCCGCCAAACGGCCCCGTGCTGCACGAGAAGACATCCGCCGCGCTGGGCTGGGCGTAGGAGCCCGCGCCGTCGTCGAACGTCAGTTTGCCGTTGACGACTTTGGCCGTCTTATCGCCCCACTGGGCCTGCGTGTTGACCGTCAACGTCTCATTGGCGTACTTGGACCACACGGCATCGACGTAAGGCTGATAATACCCCTGAAACAGGGCATTGTTCATGACAATCCCACTATTCGGGCTCAAGGCACGCAAGTTGGCCCCCGAGGGCGACTTGACGACCAACTTATCCCATCCCGCGCCATCAGCGGCATTCTGCGCGACGAGCTTGGTGCACACGGTATCCAGTCCGCCCTGGGCAAGTCCCTGCACCTTCTGCACGTCATCGCTCTCGTTACGCAGCTCGAGGGCGATGGGTAGACTAACAAAGTCGACGTAGCTGATGTTGACAAAGAGCTGCGCCTGGTTGAAGGTGAACTCGCAAAAGCCCCAGAACTGGTTGTAGTTGGGGTCGGCGGGGTTAGTAACGCTGGGCTCGACGATGGCAGGGCCTGGATTCACGAGGAAGGTGAGGGTCCCATCCAGGGCGAACCAGATGCGGCCTCCTGCGATTTGAGGAATCGTAATGGTCCGGGTCGAGCCTGGGGAACCGAGGGAGATGGCGCAGTCTGCGCCGAGGGCTTGGAGGGGGGAGGAGGGCGAGCTGGGGTAGTAGGGCGTGGTGCCGTCGGATTGCATGAGAAGAGGCACATTGTTGCGGTTGATGTCGAGGCCGGTGATGTAGGCGTGCGCGTTGGACGACTTTGTGTTGTTCTTAAGCGCGATTTGGACCGTGGAGTTCGTCATGATGGGCGACTTTAAGCTGGGCTTATAGCCAGACCCTGGCTTGAGATATAGTATAGTGTAACTATGTCAACTCTGGGATGACCCCAGAATGATCGTCTGATGATGGATAAAGGACAATACCAAGCAACTGGAAAGTTAAGAACTGCAGGAGCAGCCTTAATTTAAGTGAAGCTGAGAAGAAGGAGAAGAAGAAGAAGAAGAAGAGACAGCAAGTCAAAGGCGAAAGAAATTTGATCAGAACCCTCGAGAGCTGCAACGAGGCATGTGCTCGAGATGACCTGGGCCAGCAGGGACAAACTTGTGACCTCGATCAGTCAACTCTTGGGGTTACAGTAGACCGCCATGGACGAATATCAGAAAGCCAGTACGTAAGCTTGTATGGTATATGGTATAGTTGCCCACCTATGGCCCACCTGAAGCCCAAGGAGTGTGTATGTGTGTGTGTGATGGAAGAGCTACTGACGGTCAAGCCACCCTCTCGCTACCTTACCTGCACACTCGCCAATCTCTTGCAAACAGCACAGCAAGGCGATGCGGCCACTGACTGCATCCGGGATGGGTTACCTTCATAACCACTACTCGGCAATCTTGCCAAGTTCTCTGTAAGGGAAACTAGGAATTCTCCTCCTCCTCCCCCCGGGCGGCCATGGCGACATAGCGAATAACGATACGACACCTTGCAGGAGAGGCTGGCAATGCCATGCAGTCGATATTCAGGTACAGGGCGTCGTGGCGGATCCAAGGAACCAGCAACTGTCGACAGCCAACATCGTATGCCATGCACTTTTTGCGCGTAGATGGAATCAAGATTCCGAAAATGAAGAATGACGTCTGATCGACCCAACGGTCGTCATTGGGATCCAAAAGACTGCACTGGACTGCAATGCAGTTCATCAGAGGGTGGGAGTGGAGCCGCCAATCCGGGCCTACGCAGCTTGCTTTTGCCGGCGGGCGGGCGCCGTCCGCTTTGGTCCACCAACGAACGCCGCCTCCAGCTCCTTCTTGCTTGCGGGCCAGCTGTGGTGAACACGCGCACATTCGGTGTCTCGGAGATTATAGGCCGAGAGGGAATAAGATAGGCATGGTTGCCAGGCCACATGTGCCATATAAACGGTGGGGATGAGAAATTTCGTGGAAAACGGACGCTGCCGCCGACTCTGCTGTGTGGGTCAACTCTTGTCATGATGGATCTTGCGGGGTAGATACCTAGAATTATCTTGTAAGCTCTAGGTAGGGAAGGCAGTGCAAATATGTTCTCATGTTGGTCCAAGACGTCCAACTCAGAGACTCGAGGAGTAAATCGCGAAAAGGAGCAAGACTACAGCGGACTTGGTTCCGATGAGACACAAATAAATGGACTGTGTCACATCAGCTCCCACCTACCACTTCCCAAACATGGAGTAAATGCCGACAAATCCAGCTCACCAAGAAATGCCCAGATGCCCGCCCAGCTAGCCTAGCTACTCGTATAACGACCGAGGCCAACTTTCTCCAACTACTCCACCAGGATCAACAAGCCGAACCTGCATGACCCTTTCTCCAAGAATTAGTTGCCCTTTGCCATAGGTCCATCTATCCCCTCACTCTAACTCCTCGCCACCAATCCCCTTATTGTCTCTCTCCCCCAAAGCGTGACCAGGTGGACTGCCCAATCCGGTACCTTGGCCGTCTCTGCTATCGTGTTGTACCACATCCCCGCAAAGTCCGCGTCCATCCATCGGTCAGGCGGATGCGAGTAATGCGAGTATGGGTGGTCAGTGAAGAGGTGCGACAGGAAAGGAGCCCCATCAGTGGCCCCGCGCCGGCTGGCGACAATGGTGGCTGTCAAACTTTGACTCGGCGGTCGTGTCACGTCCAAAATCCGGGGCTGAGGTTGGGTTCGACCTGAGGTTGCACCGTGGCAGGCCCGGGTTTGTGAGCGTCACGTGCACCCCTCTTGATAATTCTGTACGAGGCAACTCCAAATAAGGTATTGCGAGCGGCGGTACAGTAGTGTGGACCTCGTTTGCCTGGTAGTATTCCGAATAGAAAGAAGTTTGGGTTGCTTTGGAACTCTGCATTTTACGTGTCAAATATAGCGAGCAGAGTGACCGTCCATCGCTTGCTATTGAGAATCCTCCTGGCTTACTGCTTGCATGTATTTGTGCTATAGAAGAGCTGTCATCTGGAACACCCCAAAATAGTATCTGTCAGCATGACAAGAACTTGAAATGAGTCGGATTCTCGATCAGCACTTCCTCACGCATGGACAGCCACTACGATGAGGGATAGCGCTGCTGCTGACTTCATCCAGATAGATCCTTCAACTGTAACCAATCTACTTCCTCAACCAACGAGGAAGGCAAGAAAAAGGTATCAACAAGAACAAAAGTTACACAGCAAATATGACAAGGCTGCCACCGTCCAGAATGAAAGACAAAAAACAGGCATCAAGCTCAGGGATATGTTCGTCTCGTGACACCGACGCCGAAACACCCCGCTCAAACACTCGTGTAGTCGTCCCTGGCCACCTCTTGGTATCTAGTATTCAGGGGGTGCTCATAGCCCCAGGGCCCAAGCCGAACATGCCAGCGCCGCAACAAGCACAAGCGGCGACCACGAATTCGACCCGGCAGCACTGTCGTCCCCCTGAAATGTGGTCTGGTTCCCCGTCATGTTTTTCTGATACATGAAAAAGAAAGTAGCGTCGTTCTCCGGGATAGCGCAGACGGCGCCTTCCCCGGCGGGATCCGTACACCGCTTCGTGTAATCGCGCTCTCTCCCGACCTTCGTCGAGTTGTAGTACGCCTTGACATAACTAAGCGTCGTGACGGCGTCCTCAGTCGGGGGGCCCTGCGACCATCCCGAATTCCCGTTGCTCCAGTGGGAAAGCAAAATGTTGCCGGACGAAGTTGGCACCGCGGACCCGCTCATGGACGTCAGCAAGGCCCCATCAGCGTAGAACAAGACCTTATCCGCGAGGAAGTCGAAGCGGTACTCGTGGAAGTCGTCGGTCGGGTTGAAGGGCAGGTTGACCTTGTCGAAGGTACCCGTCTTAGAGGCATCGTAGCCGGAGCGGCGTGACTGAGGGGTTTGCAGAACGAGGTTGACGGGGAAGGAACTGTTGTCCGTGTTGAACTCGGCCGAGAGAAATTCCATGTCGATTTCTTGCGTGTCGTTGAAGTACTATACAAGTCGTAGAGTTAGGGCATTCCTTGCATGTTTACCCCTACAGGCCGTCTTTCGTTTCGCATATTGGAGCTTACCCAGAAGAAGGCACTACACGTCCCTACGACGTCAGTGACTTTTATACCAGCCCTGAAAGTGCCGTAGAAGTAATCCGTTCCCATGGTCGCAACCTCGGCTGTCTGGACCGAGTCATCGACAACCTCACTACTGACCACCAGCTGTAACCCTCCCGCGCCTCCATTCCGACCGTCGCCCGTCCACACATTGTCGTCCTTGATCTCGTTGGATATCGCATTAGCCGCCACGAAGGCCTCTCCGTATGTGCCCCTCGCCAACTCTTTGGTCATGTTGAAGGTCTGTCTTGCCCATCCCGTGTCGGCCGCGGGTGAATCCAGATAGTTTGTGTGAAGGAAATCGCTCTCGAGTAGGTCGGTGAACACTTGGTATCCGGCATCGTCCCCCGATATTGAGTATCCGCACTCGCAGTCGCCCAGGGCAACACCAATGCAGCCCGCTGCCGCCACCAGGATGGCCGAAAAGAGCGTCATAGCACGGCCTGGGAGGAAGGCCTCTGTGAGAATAAGGCTGTGTACTGCAGCTGTCGAAAAAGCAAACGTGGTTGTCGATCGCAAACTTGGTCCCAATACCGAGCGAAGTACAGATGGGATGACACTTTGGGAAGCCGAGACACGCACACCATCAAGAACGAGCGTGTATAGCAAGGAACGAATCCTGGTAAACAAATGCTGTTTTTTTCGTCACAAAATGGTAATAACGAAAGACATAAAAAACCCCCAGCCAACAACACGAGGGAAATAATGACCAGCCCTCAAAGCTCCACAGTATATGTCATGATAATATAAGATGGAGGAAAATGCGTCGCGCATCTCACTTTGCAAATGCCCCCATGTGCCAGAATTCGCATTCGCCCGCAAGCGCATAATGTCCAAGGCCGTCCACAAGTCGCAACATTAGATCCCGGAGTCCCCGCGCTGGCGCTGTAATCTGTTTTCCCACTCATTGACAGATCCTCTTATTGGGCTGAAGGATATGTGGGCTGCTGGTACCCGTCACAGCAGTCCCATCTGTGCGCTCCTCCTCTCAAGTTTGCCCATTCATTCATTCCCTGCTTCCCAACAAGGTTATTGTCGCCCACCAAGATCTCGGCACTGCCCCTGTAGACTGCTTGTCTGGTTGCCTTGTTTGGCCTAAAAAGATCGCTTGGAATGTTAAATTGCAAAATTGCAATAAACAAGAAAGGGGCTTGGGAATCTTGCATTTCGAGAGGCGCCGACCGTCTCGACTCAATTCCCTTGCTCTCCTTGCACTTGTTCTTGGTGGAGGGGGTGCGTCAAGCGTTGTTGGAAACAGGTTGGGACGAGCCTAGTGTCGCCCTTGGCCCGAAATTTACAGGCAAGGATATCCTTGGAAACCCCTGATGCTACAGGATCAGACGGGGCCCCACACGGCTCGTATTTTAGCTTATATATACCGAGTACGAAGCGAAGCACTCGGCACCTTCAACACAAACATAATACCCGTTGGCCCATGCGCCCGTATATAGGTTAACCCACCGAAGCTAGGTTAGTCAGTAGTGCTGTATCCGCTGGAGTACTATATCCTCACTGGATATTGATAGCGTACCATCAACGCGTTCAGGCCGAGTTAGTCGTCCCGTATTGTAGCTCTCTACCTTGCCGGCTCTAGTAATCGAGTGATTTGAAGCTATTATTTGTTAGTAGAATCGATCGTAATGCCCAAATTCAACGTGGACAAAGCCGTTGCTATAAAAAAAAGGCTATCAATTGGTACCTTGCTACTGATAATTAAGATGTATACTGAGGGATTCAATACTCTATTGATGACTCTGTGGCGATCCTGTCTAGATTGTTGTATTTCTCTACTGTTCTGTGTGTTGTATCTGTGGCTATTTTATCTACGGGGAAGGGTTTGACCCCACCAAAGTGCAATTGCCACTACACCGCTGTTACACGCAAAGGTGGTTAAAGATTTGTGAGGTTGTAAAAGCATGACATTCTATCTAGTCCTATGGAGCACGAAGGTTGGACTTAGTCCCGAAGGGCTAAGTCACGTGGTAACCTTGGTGGTCTTGGCAAAGCCCACCAAGGTTGCCTAACATGTGATCCCATGGGGATTACCCTGTAACTATAGATAAGATAGCTAGATAATATAAGAGCTATTTTATAGCTCTGCCAGGCCAGAACAACTGACCTGGCCAACCTTTCCCAATATCACAATTCACACTCTATATGCACTCGCATCAACATCAGATTATCTTCTATGCTGACTAACTATGTTAATTCCGGCTATATATGTTGTCACGACCTGGGTTGCATCGCATTGGTAGAGACCTCGATTAGGTGCTATCGACCAAGATTCTACTCTAAGGAGCGAAGGAAAGAAGATGACAACTTAGGTTTGAGGGAGCGCGACTAAGTCATCCACGCTTGGCGGGGCTCCTACAAGGGTTATGATTGGCTTCCCATCTGACACTGCCACGGCAGGTGTTCCAGCTGTAAGTCACCTGGTTGTAGTGAGTCTGCGAGGGTTGACCTTCACATATGTTACTTTCGGGGTTTAATAGAACTCATTACGTGAAAACACTTAAAAAATCATCGCGATAGTTGCTCTGCTTCAGTTCCGGTTACTCGGCTACCTAACTCGATATGTCCAAATGGTAAGTTCTCAAGAGTTGATTGTATGTTTATTTGGTGAGGATGTAATTCAGCGGATACAGCACTACTGATCAACCTAGCTCCGCTTTGTTGGTCCATGTGTCCCCGCATGGGCCGACGGGTATCCATCATGTTCCGAAAGCTCCGTCGGTTGACCAAGAGCCAACTTGGCACTCCACCGAGTTACTACTACTTCATGCTTCATCTTTTTTTTTTTTTTTTTTTTTTTTTAGTTATTTCGTGTCCAATACATCGAGTCACCAAGAGATAGTCAAGTCGAATGCATAGGAGAGAAGTGATGCAATTGATTGTGAAAAATATCTATACACAGTCGAAGAGCTCCAAGATTCCACCCAGACTGGCGAGACGAATCAATCTGATGAATGCCCTCATGTTCTGTTTGCCAGGCCGACCATTCCCATTTCCCTTCTACCTGCCCATTGGTACATGTGTGAGTGTCGACCAAGACGGGTAGATGGGTTGAGGGAGTGCGCTGAAATCAAAGGAAAAACAACGAATAAGGTACGTCGAACAAGGTATCTGAAAAAGACAACACAAACGACATGATGAGGGTAAGGACGACAGCATTAAAGGTGAATAGAGTGCCGTAGCTAATAGAACAGAGGGGAAGAAAATTCCGAATGGACCAGCCAACCATTGCTTCACACATTAGGTTGCGCGACGGCGCCCGAGATTCCCCTCCGTTCCCTCCCACCAGAGCCAGAGAGCCTGGCCAGCCTACCAGGCCCTCCTGATTACCAGTGATCATGAATGCAGACCTCAGCGCAATGTAATCACCAAGAAAACGAACTCCTGGTTCACCCCCACGCCAGACCGGACCAAAACAACGACAGGGAAAGCAGAAACACGGCGCACGAGGTATATGCCAAGGAAATCCATCATCAAAGAGACAGCTGACAAAGGAGATCGTGAGGGTCGTCAAAATATCTAGTACACACTCTCCTCGTCGGCACCTTGGGAGATCATGGACGGTGTCGAGACGTTCGATGACGCCTCAACGTCGTCCACATAACCGATGAGAGCTTGCGAGTGCAGCTGGAAGGATTCACCCATGAGTCTGGTGATGCTACAGTAAGAAGTTGTTAGCCTCCATCGACTTGGTTCAACGGTACAATCACGGTAACTCACCCCCACACAACTACCTCGGATAACATAGAACCCCAGAGACCGGCCACAGTCGAGCTCAATTGCCCGGGCAAAGGGTTTTCCGATTCCGTTTCGAATAACGTCCGAATCTTCATGTACATGGCTCCTTCCTCATCAGATGCGGCTTCTTCGTCATGTTCCAGGCGATAAAGCCACAGAGTCAAAATGATCATCAGATCCATGCCACAAAGTGGATGTTCAATGCTCCAGTTTGTCGGCGACGTGCGAGCCACCCATCTGACACCTTGATGGACAGCCGTTTCAATGCAGTTGTAGCATTCCTGGATGACCTTGATCATCTCGCTGGACCGTCGGACCCGATCACGTGCATTGGACATAGCAGCAGCAACCTCATACGGGTCATGATAGCGAAGGGCTTCCTGCACCGTTTTCAGATCAACTTCCAGGCGCGCCCGGGCATTGCGAAACATCGCCTTCGCGTTGAAGATGAGCGGGTGACCCTTGTGAGGAGCGCTCAGAGGAACCGCATCAACCTCGGGTTCACAGAGATCGAGAGATTTCTCCCACGTCTCCAGAGCCAATCGGAGTTTATATTCTGTAACAACGTCCTGCAGAGCTTCAGGGCTGCGCTTGTGGTACCAAACTTCAAGGAAGAGAGCGTTGATCATAACACGCGTCGCGAATGCACTGTACTTCAACGTCTCACCTTGGAAAAGGTTGTCGTGAGCATCCATGAAAGTCACCGCGGCAGATGCCTTAAGCTGCTCTTGCCAGGATGCTTCTTCCGTTACTTTGGAATTCCAGAGCGCCTCGGACGAGGGCAGATGTAAATCCTCGAACTCATTGAAGCTAATCGCCGGCGTGTGGTTGTACGTCAGCGTGAGCAGACCAAAGAAGATGTAGACAGCGTAGTATGTACGGCAGCAGCCTTCGTCTTCTATCCATTCAGCACGCGTGGGCGAATGTACAGTGCGAGCTTCTTGTCTGAGTTTCAACTCGTAGCGGTTTCCGGCCACCATGTTGGCCAGGAGACTCTTGATGGAACAGGCCCACTCGAGGCCCTTCGGATCACCGCTCCAGCTTGCAAAGACCATGTTAAGCAGTGAACTCTGCATGGTCCATAGAGGACACTTGCGGGAGCTGAAGTTCTCCTTGTTCTGCAGAAATTGGTTGACGAGAACCTTGGATCCGATGTGGAGCATGTATGCCTGATCTTGATCGAAGGCGTAGAGCGCACCGATGGATAGAACTGCCAACAATAGTGCGGGGGAGACATCGGTAGGCCTAAACGAAGCTGGATGGAGGAACGGCAGATGATGATGGAAGAGTCCGAAGTAGGTTGACAGGTAGCGGTTCAACGAACCCAAACTGGGGACGCGGAAGCCTTCGGGAATGGCGTGCTCGCGATCGTTCTCTCGGATGTGATCCAATATCATGTTCCGCTCCTCATCACTGTGAACCTGGGGAGCCTTGAATCCCGCCGGGGACTTGGGCGGGTCAGCCATTGATTCAAAGCATTGTGTCAGGTGCAGTGAAACGGGAGTAGAGGAAACAAGAGTAGAGGTGCCGGTGGAGGCATTTGGGGTAAGCGAATTGATCATTGACTGCAGGGCAGGAACGAGACCGTTACAGGTTTGATTGGGAAGGTGGCTTTCGCGGGGTTGTGCCTGGTATTGGGCAGTACTCACACTAGCAAAGGAGTGTTGGTCGAAAGAACCAGAAGCCGTCGATGTGATGGAATGGGCCTTAGTTTCTGAAACAGCCTGCGGCATGAAAGCATCCCATTGAACGCCGTGAGGAGGCAGCTCCTCATGGGGATACGCGACTGGATTGTCCATCATGGTGGCGCCATTGTGTGAATAGGGCACTCCCGACATGGCCGAGGAGCCTTGGTACGGACTACCGTTTGCCCCCATGGCAGCTTCGGCTTGAGCCGAGGCCTTATGTTGAAGATCGGCAACCAACATGGCAGCTGTTTCTACATCAAAGACACCTTCGCTGCTGGCTTCAATTTGCTCAAGGGCAGCATTGTCAATAGCAATTGACGACTTAGAAGGACCACCTAGTCGAGGTGCCTTAGGACCAGCGCGACGCTTTCCATCGCTGTGAAGAGGGACACCTCCATCCTTTGCATGAACAGTTCGGTCGTGGCGAAGAAGAAGATCGCGTCGCACAAAGGTACTTCTACACTTCATGCACTTAAAAGGGCGCTCCTTGGTGTCTATTAAGATGTCGAATGGTTAGCAGATGCGTCGGGTCCTGTTGGTGTAATTGTGAGGGGTAGCAACTTAGACTTCCGCGCGTTATCTAGGGCGGATTGCGGTCCAAGTGGGAAAGAGGAGGGGTTGGGGAGCTCTGTTAGAAGCCCAAGTGCAGTTCCGAAAAAAAGATCAATACATACGCGATCGCTCATGTCTGCTTCGGTGTTCACTCCGACTAAATGCCCTTGCGCAGAACTGGCATTTGTACTTCCTCTCTGGTTGCGCGACTGAGGTCTTTCGGGGCACCGGAGTGGACGACGCGGTGCTGGGCGTGGCGGCAACGCTTGTCCCAGGCATCATGAACTGCTTGTCGGTTTGACTGTCGAGTTGACTTGGATGGACTGCCAGATGCAAATAATGCGTTGATATGATTTGTCTGCTCGAATGTTCCTCTTTCGCTCTTGCTCCAAAACCAACTCTGCTCGACGACGCAGACTCGACTCGAGAATGACTATGGTGTGGTCTCTTGTCGGTGACCCTCACAGATCGATAGTTGAGTATCGACTGGCTACTGCTCTCCTCACTCGCATGCGCGCTCCCGTGGGATTCAAAGTGTGTCTTCTTGACTCGACTGGTCGTAGTTGGTCATTGGGGTTGCTATACTGGTCATGGAATGCGATGTGCTGGATGGTTATGGGCGTAAGCCAAAATTTAGCCTCGATACTCTCGGGTATCGGAGGTGCTGCGATCGTCTTAAATAAGGCGACGCGTACAGTTGTTATGTCGCAAGTTGGCGATGGGGATGTCGAAGAGGGGTGGAGGGGCGCGTAGTTGAATGATGAGCAGAAAATGGGAATTAAAAAAAGGAGGGGAAGGGATGAGGGTAGGCGAAAAGGGAGGGAACGACCTGCTCGGTGCGGGCAAGTGCAAGTGCAAGTGCCCAAAGTGCTGTGTGTGTGCAAAGTGGTGCTGCTGGGTGCTGCTGGTGTGCGGTAAGAGCAATCCAGACGGTGTACATGCATGTCCGGGCCAACGTGTGAGGGGGAAACAGGCTACTTACCGAACCAGCTAGCGAAACGGATGTGCGGGTGCTGTTGTGGTCACCGACACTGTGCGAAGAAATGCGTCGTCCTAGGTGGGGCAATCAGGACTCGGAGCTTTAAATGGTACTTGCAGGTAAAGTGCGTGCTTTTATCCCGGTCACCGATTATTCCAGTGTTTTTAGGGGGTCGGTTTTTTATGCAGTGCCCGTGAGCTGGGGAGTTTGGGGCCCGAAAATATGCTGTGGCGGTACAACTTTTGAAGTTGCAATATTGAAGTCCAAGCAAAGTGCTTCGCACTACACTATGGCGCGTCTTTTGGTGGAGGGGAAGAAGAACGAGACGACTCAATTGACAGGGCGAGCTCGCAGGGCAGGTGGGCCTCGACAGTGCTGTTTGGAGGGAATGATGAATCTCGGAAAACACCACAGTATGAATTCAAGGCTCGCCCTTTTCAACTTTCAAGGGAGCAAGCAACACGCCCACCCCGTCCACGACACCACGACCCGGCCTTAGAAAATAAAATTCCACCCTCTTTCACAAAAGCAGCGACAAGCCCCTTCCAGCTTAGCGGCATCATTATGTTGAGGGGCGGAAGACAGGGAGCAGCCACTCTCTAATTCAAAGCAAGCCGCCCCCCGCGACAGTACGGAGCGTTTGGACTCGCGACGCTCCGGATCAGCCAGTAGTCTTCCAGGCCATAGACGAGCTGCGCGAAGCCCGTAGCATCGCTGGTTAAGACTGGTCTGGTTGACTGGCTGGACAAGCGTGTGTAGAGAACGCGTTCGTGCCGCTTAAGAGGTTGGTCACTGGGAATAATTAGATAGCCACTATAATTACGATTGAAGGGGCGCGCCGGTCAATGCCAATAGGTTGGGCTTGTGACACCCAATCTCCGTTTGGTTATTTCCGTTAATGGCATTTGCATTGCGATCCCCTCATCCCACTACATCCCAGCTGGGCCTCTTTAAGAGGGTTCCTGAGTAATCTGCAGGCTTCGCCAATATCCATGTGTTGATCTATAGCTATGCAATGGTCTTGCCTTCGTCAGTGTCATCGCCTCCTTGATGACCGGTGGTACAGCATTGATGACCTCGGTCTTCCCGTTTGCTCAAAGCCCATACATTTCCGGAACGTGGACAGCGTTGGCGGACAAGTCGAAAGGGTCGGCTACCAAGACTGAATTCCGAAACGATGAGATTCCACATCTAAAAAGCATGCTCTGCGGGTCCGATTTACTACCTCCTCTGGTATGATCGTTTAACCGCACATAAGTGTACCGAAATAGCGTCAGTCGTCTCACTCTGACTGGATCGCTCTTCAATAGATATTGGCCTACTCTCACCTGCATAATAGGCACTAACCTAGGTGGTTATGTGCAAGCCGTATGCAAGAGGATGGAGCAGCTGCAATGCAGAATGAGGCTGGTGCTGCCAGCTCAATTCTTCCCCAATCCTTGGGAGGGGCGCACTGGCGGCATTGCAACATAAAAATGCCACATATGCCAGTTGACAACATCACGGGAGCAACCCCACCAAACTGACAAGCCTTCACCGTCGCATATTCGCTTCAAGATGGCGGTCGCGTGCCCGTGCTACGATGCGCAGGATCATTGGGCAGTAATCTAGCGCTCTTCAAGGGCATGTTGGCAGTTGACAACACGCAAAGTGATAAACCCCATTTACACCATCTGCTAGCGGTAAGCTCCAAGTATCCGGGTCGTCAGGTCTCCTCGGTAGCTTGGAGCGCAAGTAGCTTCGGACAGCTCTCGAGGATGAGGGGTAAGGCGTTCGCATTTGGATATTGATTGAAGCATGTGAGTGGAGATCATGGAACGAATTGGAAGGCGGGGCAAGCGTTTCTAGAAGGGAAGGTCGGAGGGGTTTGAGAGCGAGGTGATCATGCAACAACTATCACAGGGCGGGTTGCTAGTTATTGATGACAGTGCTAATCTCTGACGGAGGAAATGGACATTGGCCCCCCAGTTCACACAACGCGTACTCTCTACGCCCGCGACGAAGAGAAATAGGCCTATCTGGTAGGTCCTCGTTGAGCTCGTGACACTATTTGGAGACACTGCGGAGTATGGTGCGGTTGGTTGACTATCCAGCTTCCTGTTGGTCTACCTTGTGTTCTTCAAAGGGTTGTTTATTGATACTGTCCTTCTCGTGATCGGTCTACTCGTTGCTGACTTGAATTCAGTCAATGGACGGCATCTAAGTTGATCAGATCCTGTGGCTGGCGGGCGGGCATCCGGAACGGCTCGCTGCTTTTTGGATGGGCTGATGAAGTACTCGCATGCTATCTTGATAAGACCGTTTCTTGCTGACTGAACAGCCCTGAACCCTGAAATTTTTCCACCCCTATTACCGTCAGTGAGCCCACTGTCCCGCTACTCTGGATTAAACGAACCACGACCCCAAAGGAGAGCAAATTACGCCAATTCACAACATTACCCCGTTACATTTTAAGAACTAGATGTCCATTTATCGCACTAGGTAACCGGATGAGAGATCCGGCTTCCTAGATAGTTTTAGAGTCCCACATTCAGAGCTCGTAAGCTCTTACGTCGGTATTCCAGTCTTGGAACTCTCATATACAGACCCGCCTTGCCCGCTGTCAGGTTTCAACCTGCGGTGGTGATCTTGTGACACTAGAAACATCACTCAAGCAACTCATTCCGAAGTCTACCACATTGTGTTCGTAAGTTCTTTCTAAGGACACCGCCACAGAGTGCCCAATCCTCACAAACGCAGTCCCACGATCGGGTGACTAGAGTTTTCCAATCTGGCAGTGATAGAGGTTGGTCGATCTTGACATCTCCAATCGGGGCAGCTGTTGATTACAAGGACAATGTCCTGTGTCAGAGTTTACAGTATCCATCGACCCATCAGAAGAAATGGGTGGGCTTGTTGTCTGTCAAAGCCGGAGGGCCACAGGGCACTGGTTTCACCCCACTAGAGAGGGTCAGCGTTCCTCTCCATTGGGCTCTGTTGTGGAGTTCCTGTTATCAACTATTGTTCGCCTTCACATATTGGCAAGACGAAGTTCGACTTACACAAGTCACCGCCAGATATGCGAGCCCGGTCAAGAGACGGTGAATATTGTCGGTGAGTGTTGAAGAGGGTCGATAATGCAGAGAGCGAGCCCGCTTTTGTGCAGACGGCAGAAGATATCGTGACGGTATGCACTTGTCGACAACGGTGTGGGTTGGAATCCATCGTGATGCGCAGGCCAGAGTTCAGGTGCTGGCCAGCGTGGATTTAAGGGGGTCCGCGGCAGGCTTCCGGACAGGTCCCACGTGTGCGCGAACGGTTCCTTCTAGGCGTTACACCAAATCCGGTCTAACGTCCGCCTTGGAGTCCATGACTGCCCTCTGACCGCCAGGGCAAACCCACTTGAGATCTCTCCGACTCGCAATCAGCCCACGTTCTAGAAAACGATAGCCTGGTCAGGCCGGGTCATGAGTCTCTTTGACGTCAAAGTGTCACCGGGGAAACAACGACGATAACGCGACGGCCGAGACAGATGGCTGGCATAATGGTTTACGCTGGAAGCAGGGGTACGGAAAAAGTCTTGCAACCCTTCAAGGCGTTCCGAGATCTCGGGAGGCCGGCGTTGACAGTTCAATAAGGCGTTTTCCGGATCGGCGTCCTCTCCCCTGGCAATCCTGGCAATCACCTTTCATATCGAACAGCTGCACCGCGCCGATTGCCAATTGCTAACGGCATTGTTTGCTTTTGCGGCCTGGGAGCTTCCAACCGTAAGTTCTCTGACGTGATAGATGATTCATCAAATCGCGGCAATAAACAAACAAGTGTAATATGCGAAAAGAGACAGGAATCTCCCAGCTTTAGCCAGAGCAGCAAAAGTACGAAGTACGCATTACGGATGGGAAGTCGGGCTATTCCTTAGCAATCATTACCGCAAGAGTCACCAATATGGCTCAAAGTATCCATGTGAATCTATCTCAACTTGTCTCTCTTGGTAGCATTATGGACTATCTTCGACGATTCATTCTCTGGCATGGCTACCAAAAGGCGATAATCAACTTTCGATAGACTAGTTGAATCGTGAAGGAGGGTCGCAGGAGATATAGTCAGGGGGCTGGGAGCGGGGACCGAGTCTAACTGATCTTGCGAGCTTTCAAACTTTTGACAGCAACGACATGAATTGCAAAAGCAAGCTCCCCTCGCTTGCCCTCGTTTTTTCCCCTTATTTTCGACAGGTTATCAGTTAAAGACCTCTACACAGAATGGCGGGACTCCCACGGAAATTTCCCTGTTCATGCCCCCATGCTCACGCCTTCGTTGCGGGACGTCAACGGCGAACCATTACCATTTGAGAGCCAACATGGTCTGTAAGTACCTCCAAACGTTTTCAGCGGTGAAATAGGATATCTGATCCGGACAAGGGAGTCCTTTTCGACTGACGGTGTCTAATGATGACGATTGCTCCAGCTTCATGACAGGTAAATGCTCTCCGGTTTGCACGTTATTGAACGACTGTACAGCACCTGGCGGCTGTGGCATAATACCGGTGTTGCGCTGCTTGAATAGGGACCCTTCTGTTATCTTATAAGCCAAAGGTATGAGTGGTGGCTCTTCGCCCGAGACCGAAGGTCGGCGGTTTCCTGTTCCACAAGTAGGTGACCAGCGGCCGGACTTACACCAAGACATATAATATACATATATAGTCCCACTTGGGTCGGTGACGAGTCGCGGGTTCGAATCCCGCAGCTGACACACAAGGGGGTTTAGTCAACCCTTACGGCGCGCTGCCCACCTTGTTGACTTCGCCTACCTAGCGATAATAGGGAGATTGGTGCAGTTTAGGATTACGAGCATCCTAGCCAGTCGACCGTCAAGCACTACGTCGGCGGAATATAACTCGACAGCCGGTCCAGAATTCGAATCGTTAATCCGACCCCTTATCGGACCTCGCCTTTCCGATAACGCTCGTCGGCGAACCCGTCCCCTCACGATAGAAGGCGCGCAGCACGCCCTCTCGCCGCGATTCTTGCGAGCGTCTGACCACGTTACGGTCTATCCACTTGAGCGTATGGTTGAGATGTATACGCTCGACGAGAACCCCAATTAGCAGATACTACGACTTGTCGCGACAAAAAAATAGTCGAGCATCTTCTGCACATCAGCAGCATCCCACCCCTGAGGACGAATTTAAGTGCCACATTACCACACTTATCGGTAGTTCAGGCAGGGGTTGTAGCACAGACTTAGGGAGGGACAGGAGGTTTAGTAGTCATTTGGCTACAAGTTTACCTGTATAACCGCCCGACGCGGCTTAAGGGCCCGCTATATCATCTATAGCCCCTTAAGGGAGTACTTGTAGAGGTACCGAGGGTTAACACCTACGGCGTATTTAATATTATTATTACATATATAGTGGATGTAATGTATAGTGAGACTACAGAAACTATTGCCTCTCGGTCGTGTCGAGTCATCAAGGCTCGTATTGGGACCACTGCTCACGAAAATCTCGCAAATTCGGGAGAAAGGGCTGGTGACCGAGGTCAGCGTCTCACAGGAGGTTAGCCGTTACTGGTCGCAATGGACTTCTTTCGAGTGGTTCGACAGACTGACTCTAGTTATAGTTACCATGTAGCCAACGTGAACTTGAGATGAAGGGGCGACATGGGAGTTTGGATTCTGAGTAAGATAGAGGATGCCATGCATGGGACTGCTTAAGATCTTTTTGACTCAATCCGTATCGAGGGCAGAGATATGTCCAAGTGCTATGCTGGCTGCGCTTTTGCTTGATAGACGGAGAGCACGCGTGGGATCTCGAAAAGGATGGTCAGCGCAAGCACGTCTCGGCGAGCATGCAGTCTTGAGCTCCTCGACCGGGGAGTTGGAGACACAGCGACTAATGATGATACTTGCCGTATGCGCAGAATGTCAATCGCCAAAAAGGGGAAGCATATGTAACTGACAAGCCAGGTTACCCATACACGACGCTGTTACTGTTGTCTTTGATACCCGAGCTTAAGTGGAAGGAAGGAAGTTTTCTAGATGCAGCTAGCTGCCGTCCTATATTTACTTCGTCAATCATTGGCTCGCTCGGTGAGACGGAGACAAAGTAGACTTTTGAAACGGGCCAGCATCATCCTACTCATTTCCAGTCAATGCTCGCCGCTCTTCGTAGTGAGGAACACAATCTGAGTTCGCTCGTCATTTGCAAGTTTGCTGGGCATTGTTTACGGCTAATTGTCGAATCTCGATAACTATCTTGTGCCGACCGTGTGGGTCGCAAATAACCCAGTACCATCCCTGATGTCGGAAAAACAGGAACCTTGCGTGGCCTATTTTGAGAAGTCGAGATGCAGGTGCAGAGCTGCAGATGGGCGGTCTCACAAGATCCGATATGAACGTCATCGGCCAGCAGTAAGGAAAGGAAGAAGCCAGGAACAGCACTCCTTGCGGCACTGATAATGCAGCCGTGAACTACACTGATCGTAGAAGTAAGGGAGCTGTTAGGCGCGGCACTTTCTTACCAGTCAAGCAGCGATAAGAATACTTGACAGACACATTGTACATCGGGTAGGTACATCAACCGTGGCCTGTAGAGAACAGGCTTCAACACGTGTCGATACAAGCGTAGGATGGCCCGATATCCGCTTGTCTACGGTCGCGCCCAATGCACCAGTGTGCAGGCCAGAGACTATGAGTTCGCCGAACTCAGTGGCGGGCCAATGTAACTACGCTGTGCAACCTGAGCGACGTAGCATCTCATGTAGTAGCAGCCTAGGTAGAAACTTCTATTGGACGTTCGCAGAACACGAGTTCGCTTGACTTCTACTTCTTCCATTTCGTGGTCGCTTGGTGCTTTAACTTTCTTATATCCATTGAGTTCGTCGGGTCCCTACTAAAGCTGCATTCAAACAACTCAACTCAAGTCGCCCGCTAGGCTCTCTCAGGTCTCTTTATGGTGGGTGTTGCAGACGATATGCTCTCAGACCTCACGGCAGTGCAGTCTCGATACACCCGAAGACACCGTCTTGAGTCCGATAAAGGGCACTGTGGAAGCTTGGGGAATGAGCCTGAAGTTCAACCCAACCGATCAACGGAAACGAACCCTTCGACCAGTCCCATCGACACGCGATCGAGTAGTGGCGATGGGAAGAGCATAGATAAGCCCTAATTGAAACAATGTCCAGCCTCGAAAAGCGATGCTAGTCTTCCCCACGTGGAGTCATACTCAATCTGCGGCGGACGGTGTTGAACCATAAGACATTAATGAGGTGAATTCAAACAGTACCTAGGTCTCTCGGGCCGCTGCCGAGCTGTTGCTCGTGCTGCCGCATGCAGAAACAGAAATGGGCGCCGCAGGAGCTTCAGTCTCATAGTAATCTGTGCAGCCATACAGTGTGACTGCCAAGTCCTCGATGCAGTGGTATCTGCATGGAACGTAAAGAGCGTGTGCTGGGGCTAGCGTCTCCCTGTCTGTCGCCTTGTGAAGTTTGTACCACCCGACGACTCAAATAAGAAGTACTTTGAGGTTGCTAGCAGGCGGATGTACTCCGTACTTTGTAGCTTTACATCGAGTAGTGCCTCAGTGCAGGAGGTGAGGCCTTCAAGGATCTGCGATGAGATAGATTGGAGCCGGTGCTGGGATTCTGGGAACATCGCAAGGTTGCAGCAGTCGCAGCTTGCAACTTGCTGCTGATGCTCTTTTTGGCTCGGTCGCGCGCTGGCCCTGGCCATGGCATGCTGAAGCCCCAGTCCAAATCATTCATTCAAACTATCCTCAGGCCTCCCCTCTCCCCTTCTTGCACATGGGTTTTGCACAATGCGTTCCAACAATTCAACGCCGCAAACAAGCTTTGTTCCTTTCGTTATCTGGGTCGCAACATAACACCTTCTCGTCCGCATGCGATCTCGTGCCCACAGTGTATTCCAGCTGCGACATTTCTGCAAGGTCTAGCCGTGTGGTCATCCCCCACTTGGGCCTTCGGTCCCTTCTAGTTCGGACTCAACACGCACCACTACCCCATTTTGGCAGGCTAGATTGCTAGATTGCCCAGGTAATCGCAAAAAAAAACCCGAAAGAAGAGGGGTAGTATATCAGTCAACGCAGCAGAATAAAGGACCCAGGGAGCTGGTGACGACGCCGACAACGACCATAACACAAGGGGAATTGGCAGACGACGAATGACACACCTACCAACCCAAGATACCTTCCCCCTTGCCACCAGTGCCCATCGCACCCGCACCAGCCAACTAATTCATCGCGTTTGAACGTCCACATTGCGGAACCACCTTTTCAGCTATCAGCGGGGCCCAGGCCTGGAGTAGACGAACCAAGCCATTCTTGTCGGCAAAGTGAACTTGTCTTCCTTTCTTACCCGCCCAGAGAGGCAGAACGGGCCAACCACTCACATCGTTGCTCGCGACAGCCCTCAGTTTGCTCCGACTCCTAGCGCCTGCTACGAATAGTGAGCATTTTGGATCGTCTGGAGTGTTGGAGAGCTGGGCATTTTTTCCATTTCCGACTCGTAACCTCGCGTGCGCCACTGCCCCTATCGCCGCGCCTTGTAACGACTTCTTCAGCTTGTTCAACTTCTTCGACTGCCATCACCACGGTTGTCACTTCGCCATTTTTTCCAAGATACCCGGTTAGCCTTAGTGACCGATTGTGCCATTTGCGCTTTCGTTTGGCAACCTTTTTTTTCCGTTTGTTTGCGTGTGACCTTGTGCTGGGCCATGACTTGATAGCGACTCTGGTCTTGTTCCATCTCGCTCGTTTGACGCATCCGACATCACGATGCTCATGACACTGGGTGCAGTACCGGCAGCTACACAGATACAGAGGGGCATCAACGACACACGTTCACGCAGGCAGTACCAGCCCGTCGAAGCCAATCCCGATTCCGCAATCGATCTCTCCGAGCCGGCGTCGTTGGATTACTCCAACGGTGACGGCAAATACGCCATGAACGGCATCATAGGCACTGCACCGCCAGGTGCCTTATATGTTCGTGCGCTTTACGACTATGAGGCTGATGACCGGACAAGTCTCAGCTTTCATGAAGGCGACGTGATTCAGGTCATCACTCAGCTGGAAAGCGGCTGGTGGGACGGCGTCATCAATGGCGTCCGAGGATGGTTCCCAAGTAACTACTGCCAGATCATTACGAGTCCAGACGAGATCCCGGACGCAGCACAGAATGGGGATATACTCGGGCAGGAAGAGGAGGAAGCGGACCAAGTCGAATATGTCGAGGAGGAATACGAAGATGACGAGTCAGATCAGGAGGATTTGAATGGTCTCCCATTAGAGGGCATAGGTTCCAGCGCAAAATCTGGCGCTGATTTCTGGATTCCTCAAGCGACACCCGACGGCAGGTTATTCTACTACAACACCATGACTGGCGAGAGCAGCACCGAGCTGCCCCTAGAATCACCAACATCTGCCAATGAAAGTGGTCCACGAGATAGGATGAACGTATTCATGCCAGAAAAGACGCGACCGCCGCCTGAGATGATGGCGCGAGGCTTGACACAGGACGAGGATGAAGACTCAGAAGCGACCTCGGCATCAGAGCTCGACGGTGAATCAATTATGATGGCCTCGCGAGGCTCCATGGTAAGTGACTTTTTTTTGGACTACATTCACTTGTTGTGCAGTAATCACTGCTTTGATACAGTTTATTCACAATTATACAGCCCTCGCGCGCCCGGCTCGGTTTTGCGAACAACGGCATATCTCCTGCACCCTCAATGGATTCCATGAACGGTGCTTCCCCAGTCACGCGCAATCGAACTGACACGTTTATCAACACCAACGTCTCCATGGCTACAGGTACAGGCCAAATACCAACTCTCGCCTCGGCTACCTCGTTCACTGGCACAGCTTTCAATCTGCCGCAAGCCGCTACGATCCCTCGGTCCTTCTTCGACGATGGCTCTACACCACCCTTGTCTTGGAATTTGCTTGTAGCCAATATGAAGCGCGCGATCGACCGATACCGCGATGCCATTACGAGCAACAGCCGCGCTGAATATGTTGCACGAGCAGAAGACATTTCTGACCATCTGCGTCTGCTTCTAGCAGCTGGCTCAGGTACAACAGACAACCACTCGGGACAGCCGTCCATCATTTCGACGAACAAGGCCTTGTACCCTCACTTCCGCGACATGATGTCCAAATTCTCAAAACTGGTCATCTCTTCCCATATTGCCGCCACAGACTGGCCCAATGCGGAGTCTGCTCAGAAGTGCATGCAGGAAGCAGATGGCGTACTTTTGGGTGTCTTCAGCTTTGTCGAAGTCGCGAGGCAACAAAGAGGCGAGGAGATACCACGTCTGTTTCCCGGCTTTGTTATAGGAAGTACGACAGGCGGTAGTTGGCAAAACAATGGGCTGGGTCCTCGAGATCCAATCACATCGAATTTCCTGGAAGATGAAGAAAACCTGATCGAGCCAAACGCAGTCCTCGACGGAAAGTTATTGGAGAGGTTAGACGAATACAAGAGGATGTTGGTCTCCAGCATCAGGGAACTGGAGAAGAATCTCACCGTCTCGGAGAAGATTGTAACACCTTATAAGCACGAGTTGGTGGGCAACAACGTCTGCATAGCTGGGGGCAAAGTACTAGAAATGTTTAAGCCCTGGATATCGATGATTGAGTCGATCGACCTCTCAGCTCTCAGGAACAACTTCCAGACACCTTCAGTCGCTGATTTCAGCACTTACAAGCAGAGTCTATACGACAATGTGTCGGACTTGGTACTGGGTTGCCAAGCTGTAGCTGGCCCTCTAGGGGACGAGTGGGCCGAGGTTCGCGGAGAATCGCTCGAAAATCGACTAGAATACGTCAGGCAATGTGCGCGTGCGCTGGAGCAGAATTCGTCGCACATTGGTTTCTCTCTGCAGCTCTTATTGGAGCAGGTCGTAGATGATTCGCCTCAGAGTGGCCCACGAGTTCCAGAGTCGTTCCAGCGCGAGCAACTAAGGAGAAACGAAACCATGCCTTACAATCCCGTACACCAACGAGGAGAATCGCGTACCTTTGGCGCAAGACCATCTCTCCAGGGGTCGCAGTCGTACACTGAGGGTGATGGTGCGCCGCCTAACAATTATAGAAACCAGGGCAATCTGTCCAAGGCATTGAAAATTCTGGGAGACGAGGCTACGCCACAAAACACCATCCAACAACCCGAGGAGACGCCTCTGTATCTGCAGCTCGACAACGAGGCCGATCTATCCTGGGACCACAAATCCTCACCACCTACGGTCAAGGGAGGCAGTCTCCTGGCATTGGTGGAGCAGCTTACACGCCACGACAAATTGGACTCTAGCTTTAACAATACTTTCCTCCTCACGTATAAGTCGTTCACAACGGCACGCGAGTTATTCGAGCTCCTTGTCAAAAGGTTCAACACACAACCACCAGACGGGCTGGGTAACCACGACTTTGACATGTGGCGGGACAGAAAGCAGAAGCCCATTCGGTTCAGGGTGGTCAATATTCTGAAGAATTGGTTTGATAACTTCTGGATGGAGGAATCCAATGAAGAATCCAAGCAGTTGATAAGGGACGTCTTCACGTTCGCGAGAGACACGATAAAATCAACCGACACACCTGGGTCAGGGCCGTTGATGTCTGTGTTGGAGCAGCGGCTCAGTGGCAAGGATCCATCGTCCAAGCGTATGATCCAGACATTGGCCAACAACGTGCCGCAGCCCATCATGCCCAAGAACATGAAGAAGCTCAAATTCCTGGATATAGACGTCACGGAATTCGCTCGACAACTGACGGTGATAGAGTCGAAGCTTTACGGAAAGATCAAGCCGACGGAATGTCTCAACAAGACGTGGCAAAAGAAGGTTGGCGAGAACGATCCCGAGCCAGCCCCGAACGTCAAGGCACTTATCCTTCATTCTAATCAAATGACGAACTGGGTCGCGGAGATGATTCTGGCACAAATGGATGTCAAGAAGCGTGTGGTTGTGATCAAGCACTTCGTATCAGTGGCGGATGTACGTGCAACCACATTTGTATTGGGATTTGTCAATCTTGATGCTGACCATCTATAGAAATGCCGCACCCTGAACAACTTTTCGACACTAACATCCATTATTTCGGCTCTGGGCACGGCGCCCATTGCGCGGTTAAAGAGAACATGGGACCAGGTTCCAGCTCGAACTCAAGCCATCTTGGAGACCATGAGACGCCTGATGGCAAGCACGAAAAACTTTGGCGAATATCGAGAAGCACTTCACGCGGCGAACCCGCCGTGTATTCCCTTTTTCGGTGTGTTCATACCCAGGCCGTGTGTTTTCTGTCTGCGTCGCAGGTTTCTAACTTGGGTAATCGTGCTGCAGGTGTCTACTTGACCGACTTGACGTTCATTGAGGATGGTATCCCGTCCATCATCAAGAAGACTAACCTCATCAACTTTGCCAAAAGAGCCAAGACGGCGGAAGTGATTCGTGACATCCAGCAATACCAAAATGCACCTTATTCTTTGCAACCGGTATCAGAACTGCAAGATTACATTCTGAGTAACATGCAGGCTGCCGGGGATGTGCACGAGATGTACGACAAGAGTTTGGTGGTGGAGCCGCGTGAGCGGGAGGACGAAAAGATCGTAAGGTATGTAGCTCTACGTGAGCAACAAATGGCGGCGATGCAGGGTCAACTCTATTATGGTTGAGGCTTGATGATCTGCGTAAATCCCTACGGTGACAAAGAACGCCGTTTAATGGGAGCGCGTTCCTATCGCTGCACCAAATCCATGAAGATATCAGATCAAAAGCTTACTCAATTCGTTCGTGATGCAGGGTTTTGGCCGAATCAGGCTTCCTATGAAGTGGCATACATTCCACCGAGTCGTTTGCACAGCATGCCGCATCGTGCATACAGCCCCGGAGAATGGGGTGACGGACCAATCGCGGATCGCGGCTTTATTGGACTTTATTGTACTACGTCTTGCGCGACAATCGCCTCCCACTTGGCTGGATGTTTGCTTCTCAAAACGCTGGGGTGGACGGGAACCTATTGCGTGCTTCCGCGGTGCGCCATGCCACGGATATTGGGGGTGACACCCAACGTTTCAGAAACGCTCGTGGGATCGCCCCTCTCCCCAGGAGGCAGGCCGTCGGCCGCAATTGTGGCGGGCGTGAGAAAGATATAGGTGGCCGCGTCGTAATCGAGAACCGAAGCCGGAATCGTGCATATGATGGCCCACCAATAAGGAGTGGCGGCGTACTCCCGGGATGTTTTCCATGTCAGGACGCAAAGGATAAGCCTTGGGCGAGGGGTTACATGGGTTGCATGCGTCAGTTGGACGTTCATTCGAAAAGGAAATATTCTGACAATCAGACATAGAGGTAGGTAAAGGAAATCTTGAAACTCGAAACGCACGAATCTGCAATTCTGCATCGACAACCTGGAATGAGATATGAACAGAGGCAATTTTTATTTTTTATTTCTTCTGCAGCCGCAACTCACAACAGGCCAGGCTTGTCATGATGGGGCATCTGTGAAAGCAGCAATCAGGGAGGATGCGACTGCGACTTGCTCTGATTAATAGCGAAGTGTGGACCGTCTTTGGGGATTAGAAAAGGCATCCCTTTGCTGCGTTTGATATAGACCGGTCGGTACCATTGATCAAGGCATATTGAACCACCTACACGATTCTGAATTGTTGTGTCTTCATAGTGCCAAGTGACGAAATATTGTAATACTCCTGCTGGGGGGAGAAGAAGTTGTGCTCTTTCTCAGGAGATAGACGCCACTTGATCCGCGGTTGCATGGCATGGCGATACACTAAGCAGCGTTTCGTACGGGGTTCCTTTTGACGCGGGGATGGGAATTCAGTGCGTAGTTAGTTTGCAACACTGTGGCAGTCAGCGAACGAGGCACGTGGAATTGTCTTCGCCTTGCAAGGCCTTCCGTTTCGATCATGTTCCATTCCTCACACCTCGCATCATCCTGGCGTGGTGACTTGGGTGCCATCACAGTCCAAAGCAGCAAAGAGCAAGCAAGTCTCATCGCTTCCTCCTCCTTCCAAGATAAGGTACAGACCACGTAATCCATCAATCGGAGGAAGTCTTGTCAGCACGAAAAATTGCGACAGCTTGTTCATCATTAACGCATTCCTTCTTACCGTGGTACTGGGACCAGGGAGAAAAATGCGATATGCTCACTACCCTTGGATCTGGAACTCGGCCGGTGAGCCAAATCCCTATCATCGGCGAGCCGGCAACGCCGAACTGTGCCTCATTCCCGCCTTCGTTTACCATGTTTATCTTGAATGTGTGTCTGGGCCGAGTCGGGCAGGAAGGTTGGTGTAACAAGTCGGATTTATCCTAAAATCCAATGGCTGCAACGCAGCCGGCGGACCAGAGGAGAAGGTTATGTTCTTTCTATCTTACGCGGAAATTCTCTAATCGACTAGTTGAAGAGATAGTGTGCAAGCTGGAAGCTAAGGGGGAGGAGGAAATGTAGGTTGGAGGGCTTCACTTTTGGCCCATTATGACGGCTGTCTCTCCTCAATTGCCACGGATACGAACGACAAGACAGACCGACCCCTTGCACCTATGCGGACCTATGCGATACTTTTCTTCCTAGCCGACCCTTATTGCTGGGAATTAGTTCCGAGCAGGCGGGTTGGTGGAGGAAGGAAGTGGAGACAAATGATATCTCGCTACACGTTGAACCCATTGAAGATGGACACAGTGCCATTATCAGATTGCCTTACAGCCGGAAGATATCCAGCACGGCAACAACCCGGACCTTCGAATACACTTACCATGGAAGTACAACCATCTGTACCAAAGCAAAGGTAGAGAGTACTTGTGATGGTTACACAGAATCGGTCCGCCGAAATAGGCCTCGACGTGGTGTTAGACATTCCAAACATCCCGAAACATTTGGTATCAACGTTGAGCGGTTCCCGGCCCGGCTCGAATTTCCCTTGGTTAAGAGACATGTTGATTCCAATACTGCGAATGTCTTGTCTCAGCCCAATTTATCCTACCGCCGAGACCTCCAAGTCTCGACTTCTGGGTATACGCCGCCCATGCGTCGTCATTGTGGAGTGAGGAGTTGCCGCCTGTTACATGGCATGATCGCACGCCCAAATCAGCCATTTACACCTGAGTGGTCGCATAAAAGAATATCCACTTGACTCTGGGGTACATTAGTAGGGAGGGGTCGCGTGTGCATATCGTTCGTTGGCGACGCGACCCTCTCCACACATTCAGCCTACTTTTGTTCTCGCCTGAAGACATAAGGTTGCAAAGCTAAGTGACCATTGCTCTGAATTACCGCCGCATATGCATGCTACTCGCTGAAGATATCCTGAATATGGTTCGTCTAGAATGTGTTGTCGTCTTGTTACGACGTTGTCGACGCTCTTGTATCCATCTCATGCTGCGGGTAATAAGCACCTACACACGCACACCTCGTGGGTTGGTGCGGGACCATGAGGAGCATCTGAGAAGGGAGCTGAGCCTTGTCAATTTCATTGGACGTTACTCAAAATAACATGATGAGAGGGAGCTGCTCCGGGCGATGCCGTCTATGTAACCAGGTCTATGCCTTCAACCCGGAAGCCCTATCACCAGATATTGGGCCAACATCTACATCGCGTCTTGCCGTCTGCTTACCTCAGCTTTACCACTGTTCATGTGATTTATGAGGTATAAAAGATTGTCCGTCAACATTACCAACAGCGGGCCGAACCAACATGGATAACCCCGACCTGCAAGACGAGACATCACTATCATAGGCGTCCAGACCGAACGAGCCACGGGTGAAGACAGCAAAGACATCGTTGGCATACGATTCGTGTTCAACCCATGTTGGACTAGTTAGTGGGTCACGGTTGAATGAAGTACCTGAACACATAGGGGCAAGCTTGATACATTTGACCCAGGCAATGGAACACCTATCTTTGCCGAATCCCACATGGCCAAGATGCAAAAATGCAACACTCCCCAAAAGCTTGTTACCCAACCGCATAGAATACTACTTCTTCTTCTTCTTCTTCTTCTGTGCGTTTCGAGTTCGTTCCACTCACAACTAGCCGAGCAAAGGGCCGAAGAGAGCTTGCATCTTCGCAGCTACTAAGGACCGGGGGGCGACTTTCATCGTGATCTAGAGACGACGTCGCTGGACTTTTGCGTGTGCATATCATCGCATATAGGGGTAGTTCTCAACTATGAGGCATTATCAAGCCAGCTTCAGTAAACTGCAATCAGTTGTGGAGAAGACTGAAACTGCGCTTGTGTTGAGGCGTTGTCACATAGTCATGGCTTGCAGACTGGTAGAGTGGGATTCATGTGTGGGTTGGCGGTAAACTCTAAGCAAATTCCCCGTCCGCTGATAATTGACTACAATACAAATCTCAAGGCACTCGAACAATCCAGTCAATATCCATATCCGGTAGTACTCCAAAAGGTGCACTTTCTATGTTGTTCTACAGCCTCCACCATATACGTACATACTTTTGTTTATATTGTGGCAAGGTGTCTCCAAGGTCCCTCATCACTACTATCTCTTATATCAGTTACCAGATCTGAGTGCCTCACTTGGATTCATCAAGCGACTGAAATGCTGCGAATCAGATGCCGCCACCAAGTTAAACCCCGCCATTATTGTCAATCACTGTTATTATAACGGTACAGGACTCCGGCACTGTACCTCACGTGTCCATGGGCAAAAGGCAACATTCCCTGCTACTATATTCTGTGGACGGATTAGACGACACAAATTGAATATGATGTGAGAAATGTGTAAAGGGACTGAAGGCTTTCACTAAAGTAACTTGATCAGTACTGAAAGTCACTACATCAGATGTCATACGACACCGAGACCATCGTATGCTGCACAGCTAGAATTATGGAATGCTCAGTACCATGCGGTTCAGGGCAGCATAATGTATCATTAAATTTGTACAAATGTATGAATTACTGGGGGGGTTCCTACTGTTTTGCGCATTCATCTTCTGCGCTATGTTGGCAAATGTCACGAGTTATGTAGAAGACGGGCAGCTGATGCCCTTGCTTCATAGCTGTCATTGTTACAGAAACTACCTAATGCAACCACCCTTGACATCCACACACGATAAGTCTGATTTCCTCGTACCTGAACACAACATTTGCTGTTTATTCGCCCTTCTTATGGTGCAATTTCTCCTTGATCTTGGCCAAGGTACTCTTCTTCTTACCCGCCTCATCCACAGCATCGTGTGAGCCGCTGGCAGCGGAGTCAGCTCCCTCATCAGGCTTCGTGTCAGGCTTCTCCTTGTGAATACCCTTCTTTTCGAGCAGACCTGAGATCTAAAGTTAGCGTGAAATTTAGTGTATTATGGGAGATGGCGGCTTCACTAACGATCAGCTTCCCTCCCAGCGCCCGGCTTGGTCGCATCAAAATCACCTCCGTCAGCCTTCAACCCGCTACTCTTCACGTACTCCTCCCCGGTACCTTCACCCGTACTCGGAGCACCGGGACCCGACTCGTCCTTCTCACCGACACCTTTATCAGCGCCTCCGGCGCCACCAGATTGGCCAGCATCGCCGCCCTTCTCCTTGGCGATGGTTTCGAGAGGCTTGGGGCCGGCACCTTCGAGTTTCTGAGCCTCGTTGGGGCCATCGCCCGTATTGTCGACGTCGGTGGGTGCGTTCTTGGGATTGGTTTGTGGGTCCTCCGGATCACGCACGTCATTTTGACCCTTGGTCGAGTCCACGGGGACATCGGACTTGGCCTTGAAGTCAGTTGACGGGTTGTCGGGTACTTTGTCCGACTCGGCAGCTCTGCCAGACTCCTTAGCGAAGGTGGCGGCGGAGGCCGTGTCTGTCGTGTCTGACGTTGTGTCCTTTGGACGATGCGTCATCTCGCTGGTGACAGGGCTGATAGGATTGGTGGTGGTGGGATCCAATGAGGAGGTGTTGTGGGTTGACGTAGTAGGATCCGTGCGAGTAGAAGAGGTGTTGGTGTCCGTCGAGGGTTTCGTGGTGGGCATGTTCAGTACAGCCTGGTCTTTCGGCTCTGTGTTGAGGAAGTTAGTCACCGTGTCCGTCGTGACGTTCTTAACGATAAGATGGATGTGATTCATACCACTGTCCAAGTTGCCCTTGTCAAACGGTTCGCCCGCCGCCGTATTGCCCTGCTCCCCCGACAGAGGCTCTCGCGCATCCGTCGTTTTGTTCTCTCCCCAAACGGCCTTGGCCGCCGCGGCCGCCATGTTGTTCACAGTCTCCATATTGAGTGTGTGATTGGTAGACTTGGTTATTTCTGCAGAGAGTAAGAGTTTGCTAAGCCTTCACGTCGTCAAATGATGTGTCTCAAATAGAGGGCTGGTTCTTGGTTCCAGTCCAAAAGCATAGAATGATGATCAAGAGAGCCCGAGTGCAACTGGGCGGGCTCGGAAGAGTTATGAAGCTCGTATTCCCTGGTGTGCTCCCGCCTGGGAAGGAGTGACGTCTACCCTACCTTCCCAAAGCTGGATCTAATCGCCCATGGCGTATGGCGTAAGTCGTACAAACGACCTTGCAACCAAGAAATAATCTCCCCCTCCCTCCTCCCCCAACACTGGACTAGGATGCTATTTCAACTGCTCCTGCGGGTTCCCACGGCGCTGGGTTATTTTCTTTACTATGAGAGCATAATAAGGCGTTTCGAAACCTGCTGCTAAGCTTTTTTCAGGGATACAAGAGTTGTGAGCAAGTGAGATGATCCTACAAACGTATGTGTAAAATTGGTCTCCAGGTCTGCCCCGCCATCAAGGGCTAGATTTCACCGTGGTTCGTCCCGAGTGGGCTAAGCGCTATGTCATCTGCCTGCCAGGCTATGACGTTCATCGCGGGGTTCCTAAATCGACGTCACCACAACAAAGTAAAAATTGGGGTCCTTTTCAAGTCCATTTGTCTGCAAGCCCCGTTAGACTTCAAACTTCAAGGTTATTAGGATAACTTGACCGTCCCAGCGGTTTATGACGCGGCCAGACAGTGCTTTCGGGATCCGCCTTGCGGCTCGTTGGTATATTGCCATTCCATTCGTCTCAATAGACTAGTGCAAGCCAGGGCGACCTTTGATAAGGCTTCGCTGGTATGGTCGAGACATCCGATGGTCGTCAATCAGCGCTTCAGTCTACAAGATCAGGTCTCTAAATCCCCAAGCGCGCATTCCTACATAGCCATGACAAGGCAGGATGTGACGTGGGTTCATGGCAATGATAGTAGTACACGACGCTCGAAGCTGTTCAGGCTGGTTTCGCACCACGATATCAACTTCCTCGCAGCAGCTCATCTGTCGTAGATGCGACGGCTGAGATTCGACCAGAAAAGCCCCGCAGATATCCGTTTCCTTCGTCCGTATTGCTATCATTTCAGTCCTTACACCTCTGTCTTGGATTTTCGTTCAGAAAGTATGTCCCGAACTCAACTTTGCCCCCAAGTTTGGAGTCATCCTTGATGAGATGATTTAGCATCTCAGACCCAAGCCTCTTATATGCCCCAAGGCATGCCTGGGAAGCGAGCATGACGATGTCGACATCATCTTCCCCGCGGCGGCAAATCCGTTCTCTACCAACATGGTCGCGACGCCACGTCCTCTGTATTCAGGGTGGACGGCAAGGTAATTGAGAATTGAGAAAGTCAGTGAGCCAGTTAGGTGACAGTACCACCACGATGAAAAGCTGAAAACTTCTAGAGTTAAGTCGAGACGAGCGCACATCCTCATATTCCGTGCCCTGCCTCGCCCGGTTCGCAGCGACGTGGGGGACTGCCCAAGATATCTACGTCGCTTCGAGGATTCCAGTCGATGCCGGTGAACAGCTTGTCCAGCTCTATCTCCTATTCCTCGCTTACATACAGAGTTTGCGCTTCAAGCTGTTCCCCAATCAGACGGTCGGGTGGAATCCACTGCATGGAGGAAGCGCAGAGGGCAGGAAGCACTTGGAAAAGTTGTTGCTTATCTGGTAGCAGCTTAGTATTCCAAGTGTTAATTCAAGATCCCTGAATGCCACATCCCAAACTCAAGGATAATGGTCTTTGTGTCCACGATGGTATCACCAATCGGTATGTTAAATTATAACCAAGGTTATGATCAAGCCTCCTGGAGCTCGTGGGCAACTTACTCTACACTAGACCTTCATACCTCACTGGGTCGAAGTCACGTCGTTTCTATTAGCTGAATCGGCTGAATCAAGCACCGTCTTACATGCATGTACTCACCTCATTGGTGCGCATGATCGCCACCAGGAAGCCACTATCAGCTACCCTCATGATCAACAAGAATCCTTCGTGACCTACACACCACTCGTATAACCTCCTCTCCCGTGTCGGACTTATTCTCTTTCAAGCCCCCCAACACCTGACATGGTCCATCCTGAGAAACAAGCTGTCGCCTTGAGGGGTTGATTTCAACGGCGACCACCATGCGACTTTGTGACACCGTAGTTTTCTCAGCGTCGCTCAGCGCGGCCGCCGGCTGGGCGCTTCCCCATGTCTCCATTTGGTCTTTTCAATATGGTTCCGAGTCCCAGAATGTGTTAGCAAAAACCAACGACAAATCCCACGATGGGCCGGCACCCATCCTATCTCACCTCAAACACCAAAGAGGCGCTGGCTTCGCTGCCCTCGGCGACTCCTACAGCGCCGGCATCGGTACCGGCATCGATGGCAACGAAAACAACTGCCGGCAAGGCCAGCACGCCTACCCGCAACTGATCTTCTCAGACCTATCGTCTTCCCCGGGCAACGACAACAACGGCACATCGTTTCATTTCCTCTCCTGCACGGGCTCGACCACAGAGGACATCCTATCCGGACGCAGCGATTCGCAAATCGACCGCCTCAACACCTCGCTCCCGCTCGACTTTGTGCTCCTGTCCGTCGGCGGCAACGACCTAGGCTTCTTCGAAGTAATGAACGCGTGTATTTTCCGCTTTTACAATTTTTATTCGGGGACCTGCTCTACGGCCCTGCAACACGCCGTTGATAGGCTGGGGAACACCGATTTTGAAACGCGCATGCAGGTTCTTATCGAGGCGCTCCTTGACGCCGTGTATTGGGAAAGGAAACCTTGGTTCAAGATCACGGCTGTGGGGTACGCGCGCTTTTTCGACGAGAGCACGGAGGAATGTGACGAGATGAGTCTTGGTGTGTGGTGGAGGGGGCCGAAGCTCAAGAGGGAGTTGAGGAAGAGGATGAATCAACTGGTGCTTGCGGTCAATAGGAATCTCGAGAATACGGTTAGGCTGGTGAACTCGAGGTACGCGACGGATAAGGTACTATTTGTGGATTACGACGAGGCGTTTGAAGGATATCGATTTTGCGAGCCCAGTGTAAAAGAGCCGGATTATGGGAGGCTGGATACGTGGTTTTTTCTGGTTGGGGCCCCAGATAACGCGAGGAACGGGACGAAGCGGGATTTACAGGAACGCGACACTCTGGACCCGAGATCGAGTCTGGTTGACCCGGCGTCGTGCCTTGACGCGGCCCAGAGATCCGGAGACTGGGGCGAGATGGCACTGTGTTACATGGCCATGTCCAAGGCAAAGGATCCGACTCTACGGCTGGCTAACGGGGATTTAGTCTCGGAGGAAGATATGTGGTATGTGCCTACATACTATGGTAAGACTTTCCATCCGAGGACTAGGGGGCATGAGGCGATCAGGGATAAGGTGTATGAGGCTTGGGCCAAATTGGAACAATGAGTTTGCGATGTAAATGTTTGGTTCAGCACTTGCTTGGTGGCGGAGTTGCAGATTCAGGCAGTTTAGAGGCGACACAATGGACTAGAGGTTAATAACACCTATGTAGGCTAGGAGTTGGTCGTCGGATACCCTAGCCTTATTCCCTAAGATAGATGATCCATATTCACATATTGACATATACCACTTCAGACTCTGATACTGCTGATTCAGTTCTCCTTCGGTCCTGCCCCACAGTGATCCCAACCCCCCGGCTCCAAGAGATGTCCACGTACCATTCATAGACAAATGAGATCCTCCAGTGATACAAAATTGCCAGTGAATGTCTCTCTCAGACCACGTTTCCAATGCCAACAAAACAAACATGCCCGGGGCGACTCCCCATTTCACCCGCTCATCCAGTCTTTCTCGAGGACATAGAAACCCCCCTCGCCTTTCCCTTTCCCTTTCCCTTTGCCTTTCCCGGCCTACTTCTTCTTTGGCTTCGCGTCTTCCTCACTAACCGAGTGCAGCATCAACTTATTGGGGTACTGCGGATTGTTGGTCGCATGTCCCTGGCTCCAGTCGTACCCGACGGCATACGCGTACAGCGTGCCGTCGCGGTTGAAGGCCGAGGTGGTGATGGAGGCGCCCACCGAAGGGTAGCCCTTCAGGCGGGCGTGGGCGATGCGGTCCCAGAAGTGGTAGGTGCCGTCGGCGCCCGCCGTGCTGAAGGTCGTCGTGTAGATGGGGTGGAACTGCACGTCGTTGACTGCGAAGACTTTGGTCACGCGCTGGGCGTCGGGCTGCTCGCGGTGGCAGCGGAAGGTAAAGTTGACGCTGTGGGTTCGAGGTTAGGTGGGGGGGGGTTGAATATGTGACGAGCGAGGAAACACGACATTGAACTTATATGAAGGAGAGGGAATGAGTAAAATGGAAGTAAATACCTGGTATCCTTCTCATCCACGGCGTTAATCGCACATCGGCCCTCTATACTGGCCGTGGCCCATCCGGTGCCATCCGGGAACGCTGTCACCGCCCTTGTCTGGTGCTTGAGCGGCGACTGTGTAGTCCGCATGAAGGCGGTTGGGTTCTGCAGGTCGACGAGGTGGACGTGGCGCTCAGCCGTAGCGATAACGAGCAGCCGCGACTTGGCGTCCATGGCGTAAACCCGCTCGGCGCAAGTGAGACTCGCAAGCGGGTTCGGCTGCCGAACATCCCAGAACTTGACGGTTTTGTCCCACGATCCGGACGCGATAACGGGGCCGTTGGACCCGGGCACGTCGACGAACCGCACTCCGCGAATAGGCGCGTCGTGCGAGCCCACCGCGGTCTGCTGGCCCGTCGCCACATGCAACAGGTGGCATTTTTTATCGGCGCCTCCTGCGAGGGCCATGCTTCCGTCCTGTTTCAGAGCATTAGTCTTTACATCTCATATCTCCATCTCTCGGAGGGGGTTGCAAAACATCGAAAAGATAAAAAAGGGAGCTCACTCACCTATAAGATAGGGGACATTCGTTTGGCTGTTTTCTTCTCTCTTGCGAATGCTGTGTGTTGTGTGGGGTTAGAGAAAAATCTCATGCACTTACCTTGGCCCAGTCGCAGCTGAGTACAGGGCCTCCCGCTGTGAGCATGGCGACTCCTCGCCCGGTTCCGTCGGCCGCGACGTCGTAGACGCGCATCTTGCCGTCCCACGACGCGGCTGCGAGGTGGTTGGCTGCTGGCGACCATGAGACGGCCGAGATGGTGTCTTCGGCGTCCGCTGGCAGAGCCAGGTCCTTGGATGCTGGACTCGCCGCTGATGTGGCAAGTGCCCTTGGGCGGGTGAAGGACATCTTGCCTGGTTGTGTATAAAGATGCGGTTCAAGAAGTCTAAAATTGAAGTTTGAATGCTTCCAATAGCAGTTTGCGACAGGCTTTGGAAGAGGAACAATTTATAAGCTAGCTCTGAGACCGTGCGAGGACCTGCCCATGTCTCAGTGGGCTACCGTTCCCAGGCTGCCAGGCAACAACACTTGAGTATTGGCCAAATGAAGTCCTCCGAAGCTCGTAATACTCCATTCATGGAAAAATCGTTGATTTGTTGTTGTCACATTAGAGAGAAAGGGTTTTTTTCTTTGTTCATGGCACCAGTCTCTTGTTGCGCTTTAAGTGGTTTATAGTCTAGGCAAGTAACACGTCTCTTGTTGTCTAGGAACAACAAATCTACAGTTTTCGGCTCTTGATCAGGCCTGACTTGATACCGGTCAACTCACCGCCATATCCTCCCTTGCCCTCTCCGCCCTTGTACACGGCCTTCATACTCTTTAGTTTCTTCTGTTTGTCGGCGTACTTCTTCCTCTTCTTTACTCTTGGGTTGTTGTCCTTCTTTCGTTTTGGTGCGAGGCCCTTGTTCTTCTCAATAGCGTATCTGTAGTAGTAGTGTTTAGCAACGCCCTGCAAAATTCTCGTGCACACCGTGGATTTGAATCCAGTTTCAGGGGCAGGAAACTCTCAGCGGACTCGCACTGGCGGCTGAGGTGCTATTATTGGGACCAAGGGAATCTGGGGTATGACTCACGTTATCTTTCGCTTTCCGTCCTCACCGATCTCCTCGGTTTCAACGACACGGTCAGAAGCACTGGCAGCAGCCAGAGCAGCAGCACGAGCAGCCTTTCCCTCCTTCTTCGCAGCCGTCTTATGGGCTACCATGTCGTAGTACTCGTCCTCGTCTTCTCGAACAACATGTGAAGTGCGTTGGTCCTCGTCGTCACTGTCACCTCCCAATTCTACACCCTTCGCGCTCTGGCCACGCTTCACTGCCTCACGGTTAAGGCGAGCTTGTCGATCCCTCAGGCGCTCCCGATATGGGATATCCACATCACCACCCGCATCCCGTCCAGCACCGGCGCGGCGGTTCGCTTTCTGGACAATCTGGGAAGTGTAGAAGCGCAAACTCTTCTTGCGTGCTGCCTTCTCCGCTGCCGCTTTGGAATCGAGAGCCTCTTCATCGCCAAAGTCAGACAGTTCATCGGAGGTTGTTTTGGCCTTCGCCTTCTTCTCGGACTTCTTGGCCGTGGTCATGAGGGCAGAAAGATCCGCCAGAGAATCTTCGATATCCACAGCGGGACGTTCCACCCGCTTCGATTTCTTCTTCTTGTCGGTCTTCTTGGGGCGTTTTAATGACACCTCTAAATCTTCGTCGACCGACATTGCATCCTCCTCTGGAGGAGACAACAAACTTGCAGTGGCTTCAACAGTCTTTGATGCCTTGAGGTCCTTCACCCTTTTCCATGCCTCTCGGCACTCGAGCAAAGTTCCCATAACCTCATGGTCTCTCAACTCCGCCGGGTCCAATGCCAATGCTGAGCCGTCTGCATCACGAGCGGGGGATGTTAGCGTGGCAAAGTATAATGCCAATGTCGCGACGTAGCAGCCTAAGATCCTGTACTTGATAGTAGCTAGTGACTTGCTTGTTTGTCCCTCGGCGTCCTTTTGCAGCGTTACAAGCAAAGGCTGCAGTTGCAAAAGTTCCTCCGCAAGGTACTCCAGCTCGGGGTATCGAGCCTGAAGTAATCGGAGCCTCTCTTCCGGGGACATGTCTTCTGGGATTTCGGCATCTTTCAAGACCTCGGTAACAACAGCGTTTCCGTCCTTCTTCTCATCCTCGGGGGCCATCCATTCGTCCTCGTTGAATATGAAATCCTCTTCGCGCAGTTTGGACAACTTCTTCTTTTGCAAGCGCAGAGCCTCTCTCTCTTCCTCCAAAGCGTCTCCTTCGGTTTCGATTTGGTCGGCATTGTAATACTCTTTACGAGAGGCGCCCCACCAGCGTGGATCCTCATCGTCCTCATTGCCGCGCTCCGATCCAGATTCATCATCCTGAGCCTTCGCTCCCTTCTTGAATTTCGTCGCCACGGCTTTCACGTCCTCGTCCTCGTCTTCGTCTTCGGATGAATCTTGGTTGTAATCCAAAACGTCCACATCAGAATCCTCTAGAAACTCTTCCTCCTCCTCGAGGCGCTTCTGCTTCTTGGACTTGGGGGCATCGTCGAAAAGGATCTCATCCTGATTCTTCCAGTATTCCTCCTCGGAGTCGCCAAGATCTTCGAACGTGTTGACGGGGCCGAGACGAGCCTCCTTAGGATCGTAGTCGCGTGGCCCACTGGGCTGGGTCGGTTTCGCGGAGGCCTTGCGTTTCTTGCCCATTTTGATCGAGTAGGAAACAGATGACCTTGATTACCATTGTCTGCGAATGGACCCAAAGCTTTGGGATCCAGACTTCCAAAATTTCTTTCTTATCGCTTATCGGACCCCACTGTTGATATGCATAACCACTTAAGCGGGCATTCCCATGCATATGTGTACTGGTCTCCGTAACCTCAACCTTCCTTTCTTCTTTCTACTTCTTCTTCAGCAGCAGTTTTTAAACCACTTCCGCAAAGATCACTAGGTGACTTGGTAAATCATTTGACAATGGTAACATATGGTCGTATCGGAATCGACTCATGCACCAACCTCGTGTCTGGAAGTCGACTTGGGAGGACGTCTATGTAAGAGTGAGCTTACAAGCATCCACAACATTTAGTGGAGACACATACAAGCTCTAGGACCCTTGCCGACAAGCGCTCTTAATTGACTTAATTGACTGCAACGAGCAGCGCGTTCGGGTCGCGTACTCAGTACCGAAAGACGAGTCAACTCCAGTTCATCGCTCGATATCAGATATCCTGGGAAGCTGACAAGATAAATCTCCTAGATTTGAAATTGGGATTGTCCATCCCGCTGTAGGCTAGTTCGTACCTGTCAATGTGCCATATAGAGTAACTAACTCCGACACTTCAAATACATTGATGGCTTCCCCCTCCATCGCTCTTTGGGTTGCAATCGCCGGCGCCGTGGCATTGCTGTCGGCGTATACAATGGGTGCCTTTTCGAGCAAGAACCACATGCCCGTTGATGGCAAGGTGAGCAATGCCGTTTTCGAACCGCACTGCACGGAAAGGCTAACCGCATGATTATAGACGGTACTGATCACGGGTGCCTCGGAGGGCATGGGCAGGAGCGCAGCCCGACAACTTGCTGCCAAAGGTGCCAACGTCGTGATAGTCTCGCGCAATGTCTCCAGGCTTGAGGAGTCGCTGGCCGAGATCAAAGTATGTACACAATTCAGCTTGCAGTTTCAATCTCCTCACAACTAACAACAATTCCCCCCACCCTCCAGGCCGCAGCCCGCAACCCCCAAACCCAGCGCTTCCACTACATCTCAGCCGACGTCTCAAAACCCGACTACGCACGCTCCCTAATCGCCGAAGCCATAGCCTGGAACAACAACCAAGCCCTTGACATCGTATGGTGCGTGGCCGGCAAGTCGACACCCGACTTCTGGGTCGAGGCACCGCTGTCCCTGACGCGCGACCAGATGGACATCAACTTCTGGGGCAGTGCCGAAATGGCCCATGCCATCATTCGCGAGTGGTGCGCGCCCCCCGCTCCCGTTCTGCCGGAGCCGAAACATCTCATCTTCACCTCGTCCGTGCTCGCCTTCTACCCCATCGTCGGATACGGGCCCTATAGCCCGGCCAAGGCGGCCCTGCGAGCGCTTGCCGATACCCTGGTGCAGGAGTTGGAGATGTATCCGCAGAAGGTCAAGATCCATGTTGTGTATCCGGGGTCCATACAGAGTCCTGGATTTGATCGGGAGAACAAGACGAAACCCAAGATTACGCAGATTCTCGAGGAAGGCGATCCGGTGCAAAGCCCTGATGCGGTCGCTGCTTCTGCTATTAATGGACTGGAAAAGGGGCAGTACTTCATCACTGTCGCATTCCTCGGCCATGTCCTCCGGTGGAGTGCTCTGGGAGGTTCTCCGAGGAACAACTGGTTTGTCGATACTATCATGTGCTGGATTCTGCAGTTTGCGTGGATGTTCGCGCTACCTGATATGTTTGGCAAGATCAGGAAGTTTGCCAAGGAGAACGGACACCCTGTGAATTATCGAAAGAAGGGAAATAACGAATGAGCACGGCACATTTGTGATGGCGCAGCCTGCGTACGCAGAGCATGTAACTAAGATCTGCAACATAAACCATATTCCTATATTGGACTTCACTGAACCTATTTGTGCTATGTTCCAGTATCGTCGTAAGTAAAGAGCTTGAAGTCCTTCCACAATGTGGTTTCATGGCGTCAGCTGGAAGGGGCATGATTTTCACACGGCTCAATACCTAAGTAGTACAGGCTCTAGCTATGACTCTCCAGTCGGTATGTATTATTACCAAGCACTTTCGTACTGGCGATTGAAGCTACTCACGTAAGGTAGATAGCTCAATCACACGCGGATAAAAGGGTCAACAAAACAAGGAGAAGCAAAGCGCAGCTTGTTTCCTAAAAGTGGCATATTCTACATAAATTCAGAACTCGGACTTGACTGAATTTTACGTAGACTTGAATGTATCCGTCGTACTTGGGTTGTCGGAGGTGAAAATGTCCTCAATACTGGGAGCGTCGTTCGAGAATTTGCCTTTAGTAGATTTCTTCTCGGTTATGTATCCGTAGCCATGTTCTTTTGACCTGCAGAGCTGCTCTTCATCGCGTTCTATCCCTACTGTAGTAGTATGTGAGCCCCGAGGGGAGTTGGACGGGCTTCCTGGCCTGTGAGAGATTTTTACTAAGCACATAAACCTGAGTTTCTTTCGAGGCGACTTCTCGCTGGTTTCAAACGTAATTGGAGCCAGTCGAAGGGTATTTAATACCGGGAGCAATTTTTGATAGAATATCAATATCGACACTTAGGCATCTGTCGCAAATAGATATCATTTTGAAGTTAATGATTCGTGACCTATAGGTACGTGATGCTGCAACAATATAGTCTATCTAGATGATTTATTCAATACCGGGTTAAGTTGTTAGTTAAGGACAGATATATTCGTGCCTATACTGAAATTTCTCAAGTTTCCGTCACGAGAAATGCAGGATAGCAAAAGCAGAGAGTACAAAGCTAACACTCTGATTATGAATAATCACAGGGGAAACCAGAAGAACAGAGTCCAGCACTCAGACATTGAGTAAGAATAGTGTAAACGTTGATTGTTCTTCTGGCATCACACTATCTATGTGCATATAAATAGCGATTCAACTACACTCAGTACTAGGTAGCCCTACGTTATATTTGAGTTCTTTTAAGACTACTCACCCTAACTCATCATAATTCATTTTCTCACTCAAGTAGCCTCATGAAAACCCCACCGTTTACATCACTGCTCCTAGTATTGGAGTTTGGGGAAACTAACATCTCTTTTCACTTACATGGTTGAACTTAGGAGATCCTGTTGTACCGTCCGATAAGGTGGACGCTCTGCTGGATAATGTTCCAGAGCCAGCTTCAGACCCTGAGATGGGCGGTGGAGTGCATGCTGTGCTCGAGGAATACCCAGAACCCATTCCGTGAGCTGCTTTGGACACTGAAGCTCCACTTGCCTTCGAATCTGATGTCAAACTCTGGTTAGCGGGTATAATTGAGTGACACACTGACTTAACTTATGTGCTTCCCTTTAATTTTGTCCCATTCGCTTGCATATTCTTGGCCGGTAGCCAGGGCGTCGTCGCGGTTATCCTTATTTTTATCGGCATCTTCTGAGTACATATTAGCTTCTGACTGAACGAGATGCCTTTTGTAGCATACTTGAGTTCGGCTTCACATATTTGGTTGACATGTTTATTGGATTTTTGATAGTGATAATAAATTTACAGACCAGGACGCATGATGCCGAATTACGAAAACTGAGAAAGGAAGGCAGTGAAATATAAGTCACTTCATCTAGATCTGTCAAACTGATATGCCCTTTTCCGCTCGATTGGCACTCGTTCAGCTTCAGAGTGATTCACGAGGACTTCAACTGATTGGATCTAACCTAAATTTCCTGGCCTTCCTGAAATGGCGAGAGAGTAGATGAACATGAGCCTGTTCACCTCTCACAGCCCTGTGAGAGTTCTCAACCATGTGTTCAGTCTACATGTGATCATTACTCTGGCTGATCCACACAACCTGCACACTCGCAAACCTGTGTCCTCGTTAGCCAAACCAGACCTTTAGTACGGAAATGACTATCATCGAGTCGACATGATGTGAACTTACGCAGCCGTGGCCGCGAACACCTCGATCCGGCGCGCCTTACTCATGATGCTCAATAGGAGACAGAATATGATTGTGAACACGCACACCAGTGCAACTTTAGTGTTCATGTCGCCAAATTTGTACAGAATCACCATGGAAACTACTGGCAGAGACGCCCCAGTCAGAGCACCGACGACTCGGTTCGCCACCTCGAACTGATGCGGCATGTAGTGATAAAGCCGCGTCATCTTTTCTCCTTCCCCCTCTGCTCCACTTTCCAAGTCTTTGGTCATCGGTTTCTAAGGGGCGAATTAGCTGCCAGATCCAGGGACTGGAGGACGGGAAAGGGCAAGTATACACACCTTCTTCGCTTTCCAGAAGTAATGGACGAACCAGAACATGGGTCGCACGATGTATCTGAACAACGCATCGTTGTCATCTTCCCTCGCATCCAGCAGCACAAGATCTTTGCCGTGTTGTGACCCATAAACCATAGGCCCATCGATGCCCGCCAGGTCAAGGGACTGGAAGTGGCCGAAACTGTCGTTCAGCGTCGAGTCTCCGAGGATATTGAACACATCTTCTCTCTGTTCGTCGCTCGGTTGTCGGAGTGAATTGATCTGTTGGTACTGAAGCACAGCCGAATCTGTCTCATAAATATCATTCAAGGATGAATATTTCCCCTCCGTTCATGTTGGCAGCACAATACGGATGACACTTGAAAGCTTTATGAAATTTAACACGTACAGTACTCCCCAAGCTTCTTCCTAATCTCCAGAAACGATTCCCACTGCCCACTCCCCCTATTCAGCTCGGGCTCGCTCAGCAGGAGCCAATTCCAGTCGCAGTCCACCCTCCGCTTCTCGCCGGACTCGAGATCCTTCTTCCGCTGTCGCGCGAATTCGTACTCGAGATGGCACAGCTCGGCTTGCAGGAACAGGATATTGAGGACCGCGAGGTGATTGAACTTCCTCGCCATACCCGTCTGCGTCTTGGTCCAGAACTGGGCGAGGTACGGATAACCTCGTTCCCAGTTTGTTGCTCTCGAAGCACCTTCTTCGACCGCAGCGGCTTTCGGGTTTGGTTGATCCATCAGAGTGGGGGCAATACAAGAGATTTCACCGAGTTGCGTGTATATCGAGGTAGGAAGAACACGGGGAAATCGCGTGCGAGTAGAGCCGTTGCGGAGGCACTACAGCTTTAGAAAAGGCATTGGGCCTGTGCCCTAGAGTGCCATCATCGAAGTTCGAAGGCAGAGGGTTCCGCCTCACTTCATCATTGTGCTACACCATGACGGGCACCGTCCAAGTAGCCGTGGCTCGACCAAGTACGAGAGGCTTGCCAAGTGGTTCATCTTCAAGGCACACATCAGTAGCTTGAGTTGACGTTACCTAGTCCGACGAAGCCCCGCGGCTGCAAAGCAAACAAATCTGCTGGACCTTCCACAGCCTCCGCTTTGAACATGACATTTGTGTCCGGTGGACCATCACCCCACTGGTGGTCATTCTACGACGCAATTGTAAAAAAAAGGAATTGCCTAACTAACATTACAGTAGCTGTGTTTACTACCGTGGAGCTGCGGTGTGCGACTACACACCACTCCACTTCCCAAACTTCTTATAATCATCAAACGTCTTCCTGAAAATTGCCCTTCCACTCGCGTCAATGGCCTCGTTCAATGTCCTCCTCCCGCCTTCCGTCGTAATACTCAAAATCGAGTAAACCCCTGGTGCGAGCTCGTTCCTAACCTCCCTCGAAATCAAACCCGCACCCTCCAGCTGCAGCTTGAAGTAATCTGCCAGAACCCAGAACATGTACTGCCCCGCCGACCGTTTCGCAGCGTCGACCGCCGAGTCCAGGGAGCTCGTCCTTGACCTCGCCACAGTCGCGGCGCTGGGCTCGCAGATGAGCGTTATGAGGCGGGTGAATAGGGCCGCATGCCTTGCTTTTAGGGGCGCGTCCAACCATGGTGGTGTGTTCTTATCGGATGTGGGGTTGGCAAGAAGAACTCGCAGGAGGGTCTGGAGAGCAGGGAGAAGGACGTGTTGGCGGCCTTCCAGTCGAAGGCGGTGCCGTTTGATGATGGTTGCCATTAGTTGATATAGCTTCCCAAAGACTTCACCGGCAACCGGCGTCTCACTGGCTAGTGTTGGACCGTCTGGAGAACATATGGCCACCACGCGTGCCAATGTGAGCTCAACACTAAATTGTGATAGAGAGCTTGCGTGTTTGTCGAGGAGCAGGTCTGAAATTTGCGCGATACTCTTAAAGTGTTCCAACGAAGTAGCTTTGCTGAGCAAGGTAGCCAAATAATTGTGGAGTTTTGCTAGGTCGAAGGTCTCCTTGTCTCCTACAGGAATTGACAAGACCGATGAACCTGGGATCCTGTCCACAATCTTCATGATGGCCAAGAGCCCCACACTCGAACACTTGTCCCCGATGGCGTGCATCATTTGAAATAGGAATGCTAGCTTCGCATTGTCATCTTCATCTCTGAGAGCAGCGTCCACAAAGTCGTAGACAAGCTGTTTGTTTGGAGTCTTCGGGTATTCCTCATCCAGCTGCTCAATGAAACCCTTGGGCTCGAGTGGATTTTTCCTGTTTCGAGCCAGGAATGTCCGCAGTTTCCAGCCCGTCTCCTTGCCGTTAGTGATGAAAACACCAGCAGCTGTATCTAGTCTATCGACCGTCTTGGATGTCAATTTAATGGGCCGAGCTGATATGTCTTCTTTGACGCAGTCCGTGGCATCCAACGTCATGGCAAGTTGGAAGAGTCTATCGTCATCTTCGCCAATCTTCTGGATTTTTTTCAAATTAGTTGACGTTAGGTGGTAATCAATGAGCTGGAGCAACTTTTGGGTAACCTTTTCCAAGTCTGTGGTGGCAGTCTTGGCGAGCGTTGCTTTTTTCATCACAGATACAATGGCCTTCAATAAGACGAAGTGTATTTGTTCTCCATCAGCAGACAAGTCGTCAACGTATTGGGACACATCCTTGAGGTACGGTAATGAGGAGTCTTCTGGATGAACAAGCATTTGACTGTAAAAAATTAATTTCTATAAGTGTTGCAGACGGAACGAAATGTCGGAATGGTGACGGCCGTCTGCTTGTGTCTACACCTCAGCAGACACGGTCCACGAAATAGTAATAACGTACCTGACAGTGAGCTCAACAAATTTCTCCAGAAGAGCGATGATCTCAGGGGGTCCATGAGGCATGGCCAATGAAAACTCGAGAATGTCCCTGAATCCAATGTTTTCGTAGAAAGTTGGCTTTCGCATAACGATTACCAGCAAGGACAGAACGGTTTTGGCGTATTGAGCATTGGAAGAAGCCATCTTAGCGATTGCAAATCTCTCTTTTTTCCACGATGACATAATTCTTTTCCGGCGTTCTCGAGTAAAGGCCTCGGAGTGAAAGCTGAGAAGAGTCAACATCGTCGAAATGCTTTGTGGTTGTGCCCATTGACAAGTGCCATCCTCCCCTTCAAGATCAGCGAGGATGGGGTTTATGAGAGCAGCTTCTAGAGACTCAAAGTCCGCAATCGCTGGATTTTGCAGTAAGGCGCGAAGTTTAGTAAGCCCTTGGTCATCTACCCTCAGACGAGAACTGCATGCTCGGAAAAGCCTCGAAGTAAGCTCTAGAAGAGTATAAGATTCAGGCCCGGGTCCTCCAGCCATGTTGAGAAGTAGTTCAAATGCCAATTCTAGGTACTGCGTTGACCCAACAACGCCATCTCTTGCATCCTTGTTCCCGTCTTCAAGTTGAGTGACCACCTTACGAAGGAAGACACAAGCCGACCTCGATACTTCTGCTTCGTTTTTCCCGCTAGGGTGGGTAGCCCGCCAAAGGTAGCAGCAACAGCGGAAAGCTTCGAATGTGACGGGATCAGACACCGAACTCTTCGTGACTATGTCGGACATGCTAGGCCCGATCTGTGTCCATAGTCTGTTAATCTCGTCGGAGGCAAGTTGGGATGCCGTTATCCCTGCAATCTGCCATCTCAAAGCCGATATCTTGGATGGGACATCACTGGATGTGCCCCGGAAGGCCGCATCGAATAATCGCAAGCCCACCGCATCAACCATGTCTTCATCGGTGATTCCAGCGCAGATTGCACTCAAAATAGCCAGTGACGTCCCATTTCCGCTTGCCCGGCCGTCCAGCCAGTCCAGCAAGCCGAGAAGTTGCTTAGTAGTAAGAGCGCTTTGCACAATACTTGCAAACCGAACGCGAATCCGTGAATCAAACCATGAAGTGCGAACAGAGGCTTCGGCATCTTCAATAGTGGTCAGACCTTTGTACCACTTTTTGACAAACCCTGACAAGTCACGGGCAGCAGAAAACGCTTCCATCAATGGAAGGATCACTCCGGACACAATGATGTCATTGTCATCAGTCGTGGACGCAGAGATTCTGCCGAGAAGACCGTCAAGCGTCGTCTCGTCAGACACGAACACGTCAGGATCACATAAAATGATTCTTTCAACGAGCATCCAGTCAGTGCTGTCGGGCGAAGATAGTGCATATTTCCTGCAGACGTTGCGAAGAGTGTCGGTATCTGGCGAGGAATGTGAAGACTGAATGGCAATGTCAAGCATTTGAGCAACAGTAGCCGCGTCTGCAGACTCACTTCTTTCGATAAATTCCAGTAGATGCACGAAAACAGCCTGAGTCCATGATTCATGAGCTTTTCTTGACGTTGGGTCCTCGGCGTTGCGCCGTGTCTCGACGGCTAGAGCCCACAGTGTTAAGCAGGATGCCACTGGCCGCCCGCCAGCTACAGCATTTGCGCTAGACAAGAGCTCAAGACTGTCTTCGTTGGTAAAAGCAGACCTTGCCGGGTTGATCATATTTTTCATCAAGAAGCGCTCGAGCTGCCTGATCCAGACGGCTCTAACAGCTCCGTCCCCTTGGAGGGGATAAATTGGATCAAGTCCCTCCGTGCCCTTGAGCTTGCCCAGGAGACAATATGACGGCAAGTAAAGGTGTCGAGCAAATTCATATGGGTCGTCCTTACTTCCTAGGTGAAGATCCCAAATGGTGGTCAAGACTCTGATCCAGTCTTTCTGCTCTTCCGACAGCCCGGTCTCCAAGAACTCTATGGATCCCACGCATATCCTGAGCAAATGAGCCACCAGTGTCTTGGCGTCCTGGGCAGAGGTTCGAAAAAGGGCCTTAACGTGTTCCGCTCCTATCATGTCGTCTTCGGCCCTTTGTCCCATCGGTCCATTGAGACGGGCCATGAGCCGGTCCAGGGCCTTGAAGAGTTCCGTAGCGGACTCGATGCACGTCTTCGAAGATCGCAAGTGCTCAATTTCCCACGAGGTAGGCTCCTCCCTCTTCCTTTTGATGCTCTTCGGCGCAACATACCCGTTGACTTCCTTGTTGGCCTTTGATAGGTTTTCCGCGGTATGTTGTAAAACTGTAATAAAGCGACGCTCTATAAATATCTTGGCAAGAGAGAACAACGATATTCTCTCGCATAAGCATCCCAGAATGGTCCAAGTGAGAGGGTATCGTCGTAGTCGTTCTGCGTCTTCCGTCTTGTCGTCCATGTGCTTAAGAAACCATCGTAATATACTCTCCTCGACGGCAGAAGATTTTCCACCGATCGCAGCGGACAGAATAGGCCATAGTTGATTGATTTTTTCGATCAACGTTCTCGTATTGTCTTGTTCGAGGGATCTTGCCGACTTTATGAGCGACAGTTGCCTAGCCTACAAGAGTAAGTCAGTAAGGTCGACTTATTGAGAAAGTCCCAAATCAAAACAACTACTCACATGGAAGTCCTTGTCGACAGCCATCGCGAAATCATTGGCCGCTTGCCGGCTTCTTGATAACGGCAAGTGTCGAACTTCCAACTTTTTCTCTCGAGTGCAAAGAAACCTCCCTGCGATCAATTGGACCTCTCCGTTCTTCAAAGTTCCTGGCTCCATCTCCAAAAATTCCCATTCTGCCACCTGGTACCCGCAGCGCTAATCCCCATACAGCAGATGCCCTCACCGCACTTAGTAACCAACTGTCGACACCCCTGTCATAGCACCCATCTCGTGCCGAAACTGGATTTTTGGACGTCAACCTTGAATAGACGTCAATTCCTCCATCAATTCCCCCGACAGAGTCAATAGCCCAAGGTTAGAAGCTTCCCCGAGTTGCGTCGCATCCAGTCAAGGCTGATTGGCTTTATTTCTGTAGTGCTCTGTCGCCATGTCAGACACTTCGGTTCCCGCGCCGCCGCGCGCAGTCGTCTCAAGACCCGTCAGCGAGGCACTTTTGAACGAGAAGGTAACTGAACTTTCCCGCCGCCTGTGCTATGCTCGGGGCGTGCGGTTGGAAAATTGTAGGAGTTTGAGAACGCAGCGCTAACGAAGCAAAATATAGTGGGATCGCTGCCTTTCGAACATGCTCATCAAATCTACACTCGGTCTCGGTTTCGGCGTCGTCTTCTCAGTCCTGATATTCCGACGAAGAGCGTGGCCAGCTTTCGTGGGCGTTGGCTTCGGTGCAGGAAGAGCGTACGAAGAGTGCAACTGGAGTCTGAAGCAGGCATCGAGGGATCTCAAGAGGCAAGCATAGGAAAGGAAGGCCTAGGAAGATGTGTACACTTTGGTTCGACTTGGCACCTTCCCAATCCTAGAGCGAGCGAGCGCAGACGACCAATATCCTGTACCAACACAAATACAACCAATAGACGGCTTTTTCTGAGGGGCGCAATCGTCAACTACACAGGGTATTCCTTGGACTTGGACTTGGACTTGTGATATACTCTTTGTGTACGACTATCTAAGGTTATTCAATGCTTTTACTGGACAGGTCGAGGCAGTTGCTGCTTCACTGACGAAATTCCCCAGGTCCAGCTCTAACCCTAGCTGATACAAGCATTTCCTACAACCTCGCCACCAAATCTTCCTGCAGTCAGTCACAAAGGTTGAGCCTCCAGGTCGAGAGACCTCTCAGGAATGTGGAACATGCTTCCATGGCTCCGTCTTCTTTCCGCACCTTCGGCCCGCTCCCGTAACCAAGCATTTCTAGCCTCGGACCGTCGCCTCGCAGCGGGTGACGACTCGCTTACACTCTGTCTAGCCGAACTGCTGCCACTTAGTCTCCCGTCCAAGTCCCCCAACTCCCATCTCTCCCCCTCGTCGGGCTCGACAACACTGCATCGTCGTCCACCAATATGTTGCTGGAATCGTTCAGCCCTCGGGTCAACGCTGCCTGTAATAAGCGGCTGCGATTCCTCATCCCATTGGTCTTTCGCAAGTCGCTTCCACGGCGAAGGTCCCGCGTCCTTCGCCGTGCACGTCTGCGACACGCCCATGCAAAGCAGCATAACGAGCAGCACGACCAGGAACAGGATCCCTGTCGCGGCGCCGAGAATCTCGATTCTCGACGCGGGGAGCTTGTCCGACAGCGATGTGCCCAGCCACTTAGGCGGGAGGGTTTCATAGCGGGTGGTTTCGCGGGCTTGGCGCTCGTAGGCTTGGAGGGTTTTCGGAGAGAGGAATGTGAATTGTTGATGTTGATCGTATTGAGCCATGCTGGTATTTAGGGGTTGGACTTGGAATCCTCTTTCTCCGACTTGCTTGTCGTGAAGGAGTAGTCGTTGGTGGAGGAGTTTGAGACGTTGGGCATGGATCTGCGAGGGTGCTGGTCGGGTGAAGTGTTGGGAGAGTATCGATGGGCTCGGGGTCGGGAATTGCTTCGCTTTTCTCATCTAGTTGGCCTGGCTTCTCTTGATGATATTAATGATTTGGGATGCTTACTGTTGGTGGTTCTGGTATCTGCTGGAAAGAAATGTTTAGGCTTGTCCAGGAGGATAAATAGGTCTGCGAGGTGGGATTTAACGCATACCGGAGGAGAGGCTGACGGACAGTCGTTGACCCGGGGCAGTTATTCGCAAAGCGTTGCTGATAGGCTATGTCGATGGGCACTTCAAATGGCAAGGTCAACTTATTGGTCAAACGGTGCTACTTGAGTGACTGAAGGCATAGGTGAAGCTTGAAACATCCAACTGATGGGGCAACTTCCATGCACATGTTTATCCAGATTATATTCAATGCGGTGCTTGATGGTTCTTGATCATGTAGGAAACAAAGTAACTAAGTGAAGGAGCGACCCTAGATGGATATGTGGTAGCTGCAATGATCGTGACTTCAGTTCAGACCAATAACTAACTTTAGAACCTTGCATGTGAATTCAAATCGTATATGTTACATGGCATGTATATAATTCACTCCGTCGTCCATAGACTAGTTCCAGTGTCGCTATGATAGAGATGAAAACTTTAAACAAGTTCGAGAAAGGGAATGCACTGTGTATCACTGAGCAAAGTCCAATCAAGCAAAGAATACCAGTTTGCCAGTGATCTTCTCACTGACGGTTACTTCACTAGCTTGAACTCGAATTCTGACGTGTATTACCTGAAGCTCAATACTTAATCTATTTGAGCAGATAGTTAATCTAGCAGTGTTGGTTGGGTACGTACTCTTGGGAAAGACGAGCCATGCACTGTACCCCTGACCTACAAATCTCCGCATCTGTCACTTACTGCTCCCAATCCTGAGTCGTAACCTTCGGATATCGATCGCCAGACGGTATAAACCCCTCTAGAATTCGATCAATATCCGCGAGTTCCTCGTTCGTCAAGTACAAAATCGTTGCATTCTCCCTGATCCTATTGGGGTTAGTCGAGCGTGGAATTGGGACAATAGTCGGCACGCCCGGACGCTTAGCAACAGCCAAAACCCAACCGACGGCAATCTGCCCCATCTTACATCCCTTCTTCTCCGACAACTTCTCAACCTTGGAGACCAGCTCCATGTTGGCATTCAAGTTGTCCCCTTGGAAGCGAAACAGGAGCCGTCATAGTCGTCCTGGGGCAGATCGTCTAGAGTCTTGATCTGTCCACCTAGGATACCTCTACCCAATAGAGCTGGGAACAGATATTTTAGCTTGTATGCATATGGATGAGAAAGGGGCAAGGGGTAAAAGACTCAGAATATGCAATAACCGGAATTCCCAACTCTCTACAAGCCTCAAGCAGCCCGTTCGTCAGGGACTCGGGTGGAAAAGCGACAGCTCCAACTCCAATCTTTCCAGCCTTCATATATCCCTCAATGCCGGCGAGCGTTTCTGTCTTATAGTCGAACTTGGCGTCCTTCCTCGCAGCCTCGAAGAGATTAGTTCGCCCCGCGGGCCCCAGCATCAGAGACAGTTCTCTTGATGCTGGAGCCGATGTGCGCCTTGCTGCCGTCAATGGAGCGATCAGGTCGCATGCCGCCCTTGATGTTGAGGACGATCTTTGGGCATCGGAGGGTACTTGGCAAAGTATTTGTTGAGTAAGGTCAGGGAATTGGTTTCAGGTGTGCTGTAAAACTCGCCGTTGAAGTAGTTGCAACCGGTGTCTAGAGCGGTTTTGATGGCGGCGAAGGTGGCCTCGTCCGAGAGAGACGTTCTGGGGGGCATCAGGCCTATAACGGGAGGTTAGATACAGTGCACTGATAACTCTGTGAGTCTGAAGAGATAAATTACCCATGAGGTCAAACCCGATGGGTTCGATGTCCTTGTCGAGAATCTTGGGGGTTCACGATGAATAATACATGTACTTGCAGAGCTGGTTCGTTGTGATGGTGAGTTCTAAGATGTGTGCCTGTAACTGAAATATATCCGTTTTTCTCTGCAATGACGTACCATGAGATCCACCAACTTATATGCTGCCACATCTCATAGTCCGTTCAGGGGCCCTGCTCATGTTATGTGTAACCTTCTCAACGTGATCTCTCACTACCCACCAGGCAGAACTTAGATTCAGCCCCGAGAGCGATGATGTGAGCCCAACAAAGGCTATACTATCTGAGTGCACTTGCATAAGTGTAGTGTTCAACGCTAAATCCCTTCCTCCAACGGTGGAACAAATCATGGCTCTTGATCTGACAAATGACTTAGAGTATCTAATGTAAATCACGACGGACAAATCGCTGTCTAATTTCGGTACAGCCCACGGCCGGTATTCAACCTGACCAGAACGCATAAACTCTGAACACTTTCGTGTCGTGGGGCTCCGGGAACGGCCTCATAGCTAATGGGTATTTCCATCGGACTTTACCCCTGGATCAACAAAAATGGAGTTATTTTCTTGATAGATACGGATACACGCTCCTGGCTTGATATTCTAGATATCCTTTCACTTGACATCTTGGTCTGCACGACGTAATCAGCGAACCATCTCAAACATACCATTCCAAACTAGCTCTCCGTCTTCTGCTTCTTCACAAGATGTCTGTCCATCGGACCCTGCTTGGCCTCCCTTTTCCCCTTTCCCTTGTGCGTCTCGTGTTCAGCATCGTCGGCATGCTCATCATCATGACCAACTCCTACTCCCTGCACCTCACTATCATCATCCTCAAACAGCTCCCTCCAAGTTCCATTCTTGACCCTTTCATCATCCCCATGCAGCCCAACCTGATACGCCTTTTTCATAGCCGCAATGCATATCTCCCTCCTCTCCCCAAAATCAAACATAGGTTCTGGGTACGTTCCTTTCTTCCTCTCCCCCAGCCCATCGCCCTCGATCTTCACTCCAGCCTTCCCCAATGCGCCCTTGCTCGCTTTCCACGGCTCGTACACAAATTTTTCGTCCAGATCTTTCAGCTCAGGCACCCACCGCCGTATCAGAGCCCCTGACTTGTCCCACTTCTGTCCGAATACCACCGGGCTGTAACAGCGGTAATACTGCGAAAAGAAGGCAGTACAGCTTAGCCATTGCCAATTTCCCGCATTACACGCCGGTTCATGATCAAGTAACAATTCTTCGAACACATCTGCCCCTCTTTCCCAGTGCACATAGCAACCGCCCCTCGTTAGAAAACATGCAAGAGAGTGCCGGCCGAGGTGGTGTATCCAGCCCTCCTCACGCAGCTGCCGCATCAGAGCATCAATCCAGGGGAAGCCTGTCACGCCAACTTTCCAGCGCTGAAACCAGTGTTCGGCCTGGGCTGAATCGACATGGTACTCGCCGCTGATGGCATTGATGCCCACTTCCGTACCACTCTCATCCTTCGACGGTAGATTCCAAGGAATGAAGCGTATGTACGGATTATTGAGCGTCTGGGTGAAGGCGGGCCCTATAGCCGCCGCAGCTGCGAAGTACATGTCCCGGAAGAGGAGTTGGCCCGTCAGGGATTCGGGAGGGGAGGAAGCACCTTTGTACCTGGATACTAAATCTTGCACGCGCCAATAGAAAAGGCGAGGTGACAGAGCGCCAAAGTGCAGGAACGGTGATAGCAGTGTTGTGGACTGAGGCTCGAAGGCAGCAGGACTCGTTTTGGGCTTTTGGAATGTGGCCGCATACTTTTCATCAGCGATAATACAATCCAATTTCTTCTGCGCCAGAGTCTCACCACCGCGATGTGGAGTAGTCGCTGCCACAAACCCGAGCTCCTCTAGAGTTTCGATGGCGAAATCACCTTTGGGCCCAGCTATGCTATTGTATGTCTTGTCATCCTTGCCTCGATGAGCGGCATTGAGATCAGGTTGAGCGTTTGGCGGCTCCTGATCAAAGTTCACGGGCATTTCTCCTGGGTCTGGTAGGTGTTCAGGTGCAGCAATTGGTCTAGGGATTTCGCCTATTTTGTGACCAGCTGTCTGAAGTTGTGTGATGGACATCGTGGGCTTACCACCGTTCTTGGCTACAACTTCATCACTATCCCACAGTGTCCGTCCATAGCGAGTCACTATTTCAACCCCGGCTTTCTGGGCAATGTCAGCTATAGCCTGGTCCCTCTCTCGCGCATACGAATCTGTATCTTTTTCAAAAACCAGATGTGTAACGTTCCATGCTTTGAAGAGCTTGGGAAACAACGTCTGCGGGGCCTCACGCAGGACGAAGAGCTTGGACTTGGGATTAAGTTTGTTGATAGACTTGGAGAGATCGTTTTGACAGTCCAGTCTAGGTTTCACCGTCAGTAAACTGAACCTTCAGACGTGGATTCGCACGCACAAATACTGCCAACGATTTACTCCTCCTTTTGTGCGATATACATAGTGAGGATCCCAAGTGAATATTGGCCATAGCACGGCGGGATCTGGTTCGAGTGCTGCTTTCAGAGCAGGAGAGTCGTGTAAGCGGAGGTCAGTACGAAACCAATAAATCACTCGTGGCTTTCCCATCGTACACCACGGCGATACGATATCGGAGTTGGGGGACATGATGTCGAGAAACGTCTCGTCCAAAGCGTTCGTAACCAAGACTTCTACGGAGCTTGAGTCAAGTCCATGATGTCAACACCTCCAAAGCCACATCTTGTAATAAGCTCAGGCGGCGCTCCGTAGATTGAGGCTGAGACTGACCAGGTATGCCGAGAGATGCATGCAAAAAAGAAATAACAATACAGACACGACAGACAGACTTAGGAATATGACTAGATGAACTTACTGCCTGTCGACAACGTAGACCGTTATTCTGGCATATTAATGATCACATCGAAACGCCAATTAACATGGTCATGAGAATGGGTGGGTTTTCCGCCCCGGAAAGCCAAGCTATTCATGGTTACTCCTGATCCTCTGGATTGACAACGTAGCCTTGACTCCCGTAAGAATGTCCGGATGGCAGATACAGGATCACGACAACATGCTTTCGCATTCAAAGGTGGCTACTAACAGCCATCGGAAACTTCCGTAGTCTCCAGAATTGGCCCAGTGCAGCTAGCGCAGGAACCACGCGCTCTTGCGCGTGTTGCACGACGCTGACTGGCTGCTGAAAAGCAATCTCAAGTATCAAAACCAACCTGAAAAATACTTTGAAGCGCGTCTCCGTTGTCTGGACGAAGATCGGGGTCGACACGTGAAAGACTAATGTCTCCTCTCCTGATCCTCGGAGCCGATGGGACATGCGTAATAGGATCTTCAGCCCGGCCGATGGATTTTGTTGCTGACGTGAGTCCACCAGGTGACATGAAGCAATCGGAAGCAGCACGAAGCATAGGATACGACTAAACAGTATATCTGAAATGTTGTTCGGAGTGGCGGAAGTCGTTTCGGCCGCCAGTTCCCCATCACTCCGTATTTAACTTGACCGGCTGCTAAACCCTGACCGGCAGTTGAGTTTGTCAGACATATATCCATGCCATTAAAGCGTGTCTACGCGTGTCCACAAGCAGGGACCGGAAACGCCAAGTTGGAAAGGCACTTGGCTTGGGGCTCATTGATGGTTTTATTACGCCTCCTCATGAGGTTATATCTCCGCATAGGCCGGTATGCCCGGTTTTTGGGTCGTAATATCGAGTACAATGCGATGACGATGGCGATAACATGCTTGTTGGTTGACCTTGGCTCTCGCTTGTTCGTCACGGGCCAGGTCAAGACGAGTTCACGGAATCCTTGGTAGACGTGAGGCTGGGATCTGCGACCGAACTCTCTGAGTGTGGATTTCATCGCGCGTGCGCTTGTTGGCGACGGTTTGGTTTCTAAAGTTTCCAGGGTCGCATAGCTTGGGGATATCGGTGTCACACGACCAGGCGGCTCCAGCGCCATGAGCGGCAAGCCAAGTTCTTTTACTTGGACGCAGCCGAGGTAGAAACCTCCAGTGCTGGCTTGAGGATGTAATGAACAAGACTGAATATTGAAGTTGTCGCAGGGTGGGGGAGTAAGAAAATGTCGAGATGATGGCGCATCATCAAGTCACATCGCGCCCAGTGCTTCGCGGCGATCCCAGACCCCACTTGATTTCAACTGCCAAGGGGTCCCTCAGGCCAGTTTAGACCTAATCCCTGCTGAATTGTTTCAACTGCTTGACTGAGACCTGCTGGGTGGTTGTAGTTAAGGTGACCATAGACCCCCCTAGTTCAGCCGACCAACCCCCACTTTAATCAAATATTTATGGGGCGCTCGTGATAAACCATGGTCGGCTTTTATCACCGACCACACTTTTCTTTTTAAATCCGTAGAGATTTTTCCTAGTAACTCTAGTCTAAATATAACGAAATTATTCTATAATTAGTTCTAAATCGATTCTACTATATTATCTTTACTATAGCTACTACAGATATCTTCCCTATTATCTAAAATACCCGTTCTATATTTAGAGGTACGTACTTATAGTTATATATATACTCTACTCAGGACTGGCCGGATAGCGCTTAGGCCCGGATAATATCGATCTTCTCAGGGGGACTTTGTTAGTAGGGTGAGAACTAACATAGTATTGTGGTGGACGTAACGCAGTCGCTAATAGAGCGAAACTACGTAGCAGCGTATGTATTTAGTCCAGCCATTAGGGCACGGTTTGACATACGGGAGCACTTGTAGAGGTACCGGGGGCTTCGAGCCTACGGCGTATTTAATAATAATAATATATATACTACCGGAAGTAGTAGGTATACGGTAATAGAGCTTACTAATAGCCAGTACGACTTTATCTTCCTAGATTATATAGAATTAGTTTAGAATCGATTAATAATCGATTAAGAACCGATTTAGAAGTACTTACGTCGTTAAACTCGAATAGTAGTATACTAAGTAGCCAGTAGTGTGTGCCGTCGACGTAAGTAATACTATCCTTATAGAAGTAATATTAGGGCTAAAAAAGAATTAACTTAAAATCGATTCGAAGTTAATTTAGAAATATACTTACTATATCCTTGTATGACGGTATCGTTACGTAGAACGATTAGTTGAATTACGAGGAAGAAGTAGCGGATAACGGGTTATTGCTAGGGAAAGCAGAATCGAATCGAAATCGGAATTCAAATTCAATTCAAATTCGATTCTATGGTCAGCTAGACCCAATTTTCACATATTTTCAACTAATAAGAATAGAGGGATTATCTACCCCACTATGGTCACCTGGACCCAGTGTTTTAACATCACGTGAGGTCATGGTCGGCTCAACTGGGGGGTCTATGGTCACCTTAACTGTAGTCTCCCTGCTGGGACCTCCGCTCTAGGTAAGCTGGCAACTGGGGCCGGCGCAATTGTGACCAGCCCAAAAAAAGACTGAGCACTGCTGCTGCTCAAGCGTCCAAGTTGCTGTCATCAAACTCCTTTCACGATTCCATTCTCATCCTCTCCTATCTGGTCTCTGTTCCGTCACATTTTGTCTTTGTCGTCCTACGTAGCATTTTTTTTGATACCCAGTAGTTGACCAAAGAAATTTTGCATTTCTGTATTCCCTCATTTAACTAGTCGTCTTTCCCTTTTTGTCCATTCTTAGTTCGCAGGCGCCCCGAGATCTGCGCGCCGATACTTTTCACTACCTCGAATTGAATTAAGCCGGACTGTTTAAGTGTCTGGTCAGTGTGCCGGATACCAAGGCTAAGGCCAAGAATTCCAGATCTCCAGCCCCTTGCAACAGACACAGAACACCGCGACTACCACGTCCACAGACCCTACTCCAGACGATTCCGATTCTGGTGGCAGTAGGCACCTGCGCAGCAATTGTCAATGAGCACATCTTGGTTCGAAAACACGTACATACAATATCGCCTGTCACCTGTCGGTCAATACATGTCACGCATCCGGGCCAGAATAACATTCTAGCGGTCCAACATGACGAGACCACAGATAATCCGTGCCGGTGAGTCCTGATACATTTGATGCGTGGGATCGCCGTGGCCCGGTCGCAGTACCCTGTGCCTCTGCTCACCGTCTCGTCACCGGGTAACTGACTGCTCTCCTTGCTTCGAATCAGACTCCATCGACCTTCAAGATCCCGATACGCCCTCCGCCAAGAATCATACGTTGACTACGAACGCAACAACCAACGGACAGGCAGTGGCGCCTCACCAGGCCGAAACTCTACGCGAAGTTGCAGCCGAGACGGCCGACGAGAGGAGGGTCTCATGGGCGAACGCCGACATTGGTGACTTCCAACAGTACGCCAACGACGACGTCGATGTTGATCAGAACGGGAACGGCAATAGCAACAGCAACGGGTTTAAAATGCAGCAACAGGATACGCTTGCGATGGCTCAAAATGGTGGAGGACCAGGCAATGTGTCGGACAACGACGACATGGACGCTGATGGAGACGACATGGACGACGACATGATGGACAAGATCTCGAGTTCGCCTTCGATTGAAGATGGTGGGTACACTTCTCAACCTCGCTTGCCGCCTCCGTGGCCAGCACGCGTCGATTCTTTGCGCGCCCCTTGTTCGCCCTCTTCTCCCACCTGCAGCGACCCGAGATCCTCATCACCATATCTTGAACGTCCTGGATACCTACCCATTCGACAGTCAAGCAAGGCTTCTGTCAATGACACCAATTCGCATCATCATCTGCCGGGTGAGTATACCGGATCGGCCCAACACGAATCCCTCGACGAAATCACGACCGATGCGATAGCTCAAATCGACGAATTACTGGAGGAAACCGAATGGCCGCCGGAACTGGATAAGGAAGTCATAGCAGATTTGGATGGACACGAAGGTCGAGACAGTGGTAGGGACTCGGCCCTTGACATGCAGATGGAGGATGCATCGCTGGACCGCTCACCAAGCAAACATTCGACCGGATCGACCGAGTTCCCCACCTACGACGAATCCGATGACGACCTGATTTCACCTTACGGCTTCCTCATACCCTACGTGGGCTCGGAAGATGATGATGACGATGACTTTCCTTACACTGATGATTCTAGATTTGTTGATTCTGGTTGGGGCGGCGAATGCTTACAAGACTCAGAGGACATCGATTTCGAATTCGTTTACGCCCTCCACACGTTTGTTGCCACCGTCGAAGGCCAAGCAAATGCTACGAAAGGAGACACCATGGTGCTCCTCGACGACAGCAACAGCTATTGGTGGCTAGTCCGAATCGTCAAGGATAGCAGCATCGGTATGCACATCCCACAGCTTAAGCCTCGCATTTATCACGAGGCTAATAATAAGACACCAGGCTACTTACCAGCAGAACATATTGAAACACCAACAGAAAGGCTAGCGCGACTTAACAAGCATAGGAATATCGATGTATGTGGCTAAAAGTGGCATGTTTTGATGTGGATTTGTTTTTGACCATGATGTAGCTATCAGCAACGATGCTAGGAGATCAGGCAGAAAAAACCAAGAACCCACTCAAGTCGGCCATGCGGAGGAAGAAGGGCAAGACGGTTACTTTCACAGCTCCAACCTATGTCGACTATTCCGATTTTGATTACTCCTCAGACGAGGATGACGTCGACGGCGACTTACCCACGCAACAGCAAGCCGCACAGCAGCAACAGGCTTCGCAGCGTCCGGCTGCGGAACAAGCAGAGGCTGACGATACCGCTAAGGTGGAGCCCTTGAAACCTCGCGGTCAACAGAAGCAATTACGAATGGAGTCGACCAAGGATGAGAAGGCGGACGTCGGGATCGGGGGCGATGCCTTGAGGAACAGTGATGAGATTTTTGAGCGGCCCGAAGGTCAGAACAGAACTACGAGAAATGGCACGGTTAGGAACACAGATTCTTTCTTCAAGGACGAGACTGTGGAGACTAAGAAGATTTCTCTTACGCCAAATCTGCTGCGCGACGACAACGAACCACGCCTCTCCAATGACTCCAAGGAAGTTCGGCAGCGACCTAGTTTGGACAAGTTAGAAAAGGAGCTGGTCGCCGATAAGGTCAAGGACAAGAAGAAAGACAAAGAGAAGAAGGAGAAAGACAAGAAGGGGGGGATTCGCAGCTTCTTCTCTCGGAAGGACAAAAAGAAGTCGATTGATGACGACAATGACTCGTTCGGCAAGAGGTCGCTTGATGCCTCAATTGGTAGCGCGGAGGGCGCAGATGATGAGACGCAAGTAGCCGATGCAGACGTGTCACCAGAGAAGCCGTCCACGCCTGACCGAAATCCAAGCAAACTACGCAAAGCGCAACCTCGGGCTGAACTCTCGCCCACCCGGAAACCAGCCATCAATGTATCCCAACTAATACCTTCTGAAGGACAGCCGAACAACGTTTCGAATAATCCTACATCCGCTTCCCTGCGCATGGTCGAGTCCGATCCGCTGGATGCTGGTGAGAGTTCATCGCCAAAGGATGAGAAATCCAAAACGGCGGCCATCTCGAAGATATTGCACCCGCCACCGAAGGTCAGCAAGGCCAAATCACGTATTGAGCTTGATGACTTCGACTCATCTGAGGAGGAAGTCGCGCCAGCCTCAGCGCCGTCAAGATCTGCGGCTGAGGCCGCACCTGCTCCTGCACCCGCGACTGCATCTGAACCCAAACGGCAGCTAACCGATGAGAAGCTACAGCGGCCCACCCTCCCCGGCTCTTATCCGGACAGCTACCTCAGCACCCAAACCGCATCCTCTCAACAGACGGTGCAGCGAGCAAATATAACACAGCCAATGGAACGACTATCTGAATCGCCTGTTCAGGTGTCCCCAACCACCACCAACCCGCCTGCCCTAATGGGCGATACTTCCAGTCAGGAAGATCGGTCATCACCGATATCGTCGCCATCACCAGAGCTTGTCGATACCGAAGACCAGGGCCATCAACAACAGGACTCAATGACGACCTCAACATCAGCCACAACCACGTCGCCCTCATGGAATGACACGAACCTTCGAGCCTTCTTTGATTCGGGATCCGATATCCGAGACCTGCTGGTAGTTGTCTATGACAAGACGGACGTGCCACCTGCCGGGCCAGATCACCCAGTTGCTGGAACATTGTTCCGAGACCAAAACGCCAAACTGGCGGAGATCACAACGGTAAGCTTTGCGGCTTCTTTTGACTTTTCTTTGGTTGCTAACTCCATGATAGCAACTGGACAACATGCTTGGCGACTGGCTAGCCCGAAAACAGCGACTCCGAGGCTCTATCTAGTCTTGCAAATCTTGCCCAAGCTGCGATCAGCTTCTAGTACATGCCAAATCTAATGACGACCAATTACTCATCTTTCTTGATACTTCACGTGCTGGGAATCACACATATTCTACTGGTAGAAGACGTGACATGGAGTACCGGTTATACCCCCTTGCGATGGATCCTTCAGCCTTTGCGTCAGTGCCTGAGCCCAGAAGTCGGGCGGCCACCTTTGAATTAGCAAACAGCAACAGGATGCGGATGGAAGGACATCGATGTGATTAGCCTGGTGACCGAGGTCCATACTAACGAATCACATTTTGTTTTTACATTCTACTATCCCTTCCATTTTTCTCTTCCTGCTTGGCGGACACGGTGTGGCCACATGGATACTGGGACGGCTAGTTGGGCTACGAGATGGCATCCCTGGCGAAAACAATATATTTTAACGAACCCTCAGATGCATGGAAAGCCTAGTTCCTCATCTAATACCGCTCCTCTCTCCCCGAGCCTTTTTCATTTGTCTAGAAAGAATGAAGCCAATGACATTGTACTCCGCCCGAAATATGGACGACGGGCACTTTTTTTAAGGGGCGTTTTTGCTGCTCTCTCATGACGGGGTGCTCGTATAGCGGGTACCATATAACCCAGAGAAAGAAATCAATCGGACGGAGTATATATATTTTGGTATCTGAAGCGCTAGATGAAATGACATGAAGAGAACTAAGATAGCATATCCCGTACAGACAGGGAGACGCTAAATATGGTGTTTCTGGGTTTGTGACGACTTCAATGGCTCTCCTAGTTCGTTTCCGTGGAGTGGAGGAGACATGCTTGATGTTGTACACGTTGATAAGATGTGATTCCAACGTGGTTGTGGTCATAGTGTCCCAGAGAATTCTGGGAGATGGCTGCAACTTGTTAATGAACTCGTCTGATGACTTGAGACTGAGTTTCAGGCAAGCTCGCTAAGTTCAGAGAAGTAACGAGCCCCTTAATGCACATTGAGTGAGTAATGTGTTCCAGGAACCAGTCGATCATGTGATAGGGCGCGTCTAAACATAATGGGTGTCTTTTTTGTCACAAGCCTAGATATCAGAAGAAGGCCATGCTACTAATAGCGCCGATGGTACGGTTGAAGAGTATTCCTAAATGACATGTGGTTGTGTAATACGAGTTCGAAGACAGCTGGGGTTTCAGAGGATCATGTCTAGAGAGTTAGCAAGCACCTTAAGTAAGGTAAAGCAGGAGAAAATCCCGTTAGAATGTGCGTGGATTATATTAGAGGGATTATCTATTCACACCGTAGCACTCGTGCACATCATCTCACTATCCCCCGCTATCTGGCGCAGATCCACTTCCCCACGTGCCATTGAAGTGTTACTTCCCTTTGGCCAACGGCTCCAACCCAAATATGTTATGTGAAAGTTCGCCATTCACATCTGGCGGTACTTCCCCAAATAAGAAAGCAGTCCTCCCTCGGCTGGCATTCGCAGAAGGTCGTTTGCGATGATAGCTCGACGGGTTTGGCTTGAAGGGGGGGGAGGGTGCTTGGGATGAGGATTGGTCTGGTTCGAGCATCCATGAGAAAGATGACTGCGCTAGGGTTGAACGCGTGGGATTCGGCCCCTGTGGCCTTCGGTGCGTATTTGCTTGCACGGGTGTGGCAGTTTTGGAGGTTGCCAGGAGGTCGTTTTGCACAGAATCGGTGTTGTTTGATCCGCTCGGGTTATCCAAGGGGTTTGTAGTTGGCGGCAAAGAAGAAATCGTGGGAGTCTTAGACCCTTGTGACTCTGGTGAGTCGATGACCATGTAGGGTGTGTTGATGACCATAGCAGCTACAGCATCGTTTGGCGGCTCGGGGATGATCATCTCTGGCTGCGTTGATTGTGGCGGCGGAGTTCGCACTTCAGAAGATGAGCAGTCGTCCTCAGGGAGGACCATGGTCGAGTCCTCCAAGTACACCTTCACAAACTGAAGTTTGGCGACGGCAATCTCCAGGTATTCAACGTGCTTCTGTTTATCGTCCAATTCAGATGTAGTGAGTGCTTTCAGGCTTGTTAGTGTCTCATCTAACAAAGACGCCAATTGCTTGTTCCGTCGATCCATCCCAGCAACCGCTCGCATTGCCGTAGAGTTTGGGCCTGCTTCGGCGAATAAATCACGTCCAGTCCTTATAGAACTCCTTGCTTCACTGACATTGCGACGGATTTCCAGCATGGCGTCTCGCATAGCTTGGTTGATACCAAGCCTCTCTCCTCTTTCAAGGACGCCCCTAGCTGCTCCTTGAAACAGTGCTTCTACACTGCCTTGTTGCTGAATAAAACGAGATGGTGAAAGACGTGATCTCGCGCCCCTGGCATTTTGCCGCACGCCCATTCCTGATGTCTTTGGTGTTGATGGCCGCGATGAAATTTCAGGAGAGGCTGGCGGCTTTCCAGTATACTTCATGATGAGAGTAGACGCCCCGGCAAGGTTCGCATGGTCCCTGAGGTATACTGCATCATCAACGAAGGTATGCGGTCCGTGGGGTGCTTGAGGCGGTGGGTATTTTAACAGCAATTGAAGAGCCACCGAGTAATCAGCATCAAGAACTAATTATGAGTTAGCATGAGATGGTAAAGAACCGTAGATAGAGAAGAGCCAGCCTTACGGTCCCAATGTATTCTAATGAGCATTGCTGTGCATATGAAGTCTATCAACTGAAGCGACGGGTCAACGGCAAAAAGGGTATCCCAAAGCACAAGCATCTGACCAAACGGAAATTCACGACTGAAAAGGAGGCGGATCCAGCGGCTGAAGTGGAAGTCAGCACCTGGAGATAAGTTAAATCGATTTAGGGGACCTACATTAGAAAGATCTGGGGCAGGATCTCGATGTTTTTCAAATGGTTAGACAGATCCGGATCCACTTGATGCAAGAGCTCTTCGTGGATATGTTGACTTTTCTCGACGATGGTGGACTGGCCCAGTTCTGTCTCGTCACCCACTTCGTAGAAGCCCTTGGCATTCTCCATTACTTTGGAGAAGAGGGCAAAAGCATCATGTTCGATGAAGTTGGCATCCAACATCTCGACCATGGTCAAATCAGCGGATCCCTCCGATGCCCTCTCTGCGGGGTGGATGGCATCTTGCTCGATGACAAAGACGATAGGGGCTAAGAGCTCATGCATCCCCTGACGGTAACCACCCACATCGGGGTTGAGCTTGCAGTAGATGAAAAGCACGTCGATTATAAGAGTCTGTATACGCGGCTCATGATAGAATGACTCATCTGGCAATCGTTGCACATCTTGTTGGATTTCTGACCGCAGCTCCTCGTCTTGTCTGAGCGTGTTCCATGGTGACTGACAAGGTTCATATCAGCATGCAAGACAGTTAGTCTAATGCATGGTCAACTTACGTCAGGGTCATCTGCGAGGGGGTCCACAGAGACATTGGCAAGATACTCGGGATGCCTGATATACTTCAAGAAATGGTCTTTGAGGGAGGCGTATGTGCTCCGCGACTCCAACAAGGCATGCGACCAATTCGAGGTACCCGCGCCATGGTTCAGCAAGAATGCCTTCCAACAGATAGAGCGGCAGCCGGAAATGCAAGGGCTGCTTGGTCCATTGAGCTTGACGGCTCGCTGTAGATCAGCTAGACTCGAACTGTACTTAATTGTTTCCTGCCATCGTGTGCTGTTGATTGTGGGGTTAGTAGTGTATCCCTCCAGATGTGCTGGCTCACGGCAGGCGGGCACGATACACTTACGTTGACTCGACCAAAGATCTCATTATGATTGACTCGCCGCGGTGTGGGCTGGGGGTTGAGGGACCTGCAGCAGCGCCGTCTACTAACGATGGCTTGTGAGTACCTGCAGCTTAGAGATGGTTGTGTGCAAGTCTAGATGGAGCCTGAAATTGGCGGCCAGCTGGCTGGCGTAGAGCCCTTGACCTCAGCAGTCGCAACCGGGGTTGGGGTTCTACTGAGGTCGGAAACCGGACCCCGCTCTAGGGTAACGTCGATCAAGTTCAGGGTCGTACCTCCCAGTAGTAGCATGTCGCCGCGCTTGCAAATTCCCATTTCTCCACCCAAATTGCAGGCGGTAATGCGGGGAAATCGTCACCATTCGCAATTTCTCAAATCTGCAACCTTCAAAACCCGGAATCGTGGCCGTGAGAAAGAACTATTGTGTCTGTGAGAAGCTAGTTCTCACTTGCATTCGCCGGGGCACTTGCCCATTCATTACCCATTGTCCATGTTATCCATGCCGGTAATGCCTGGGTACAACCGAAACAGTTCAGGCTATGTCCCCGAGGTTTAGATGGATGGGAAGTCTCGTGAATTACTCATCAACCCGCCATTGCCATGATGCCCCACCCTTGATGACATGCTCAGGAGACTTAATGATTATGTGCTCTACTCCGTTTAAGCCTTTGTTCATGGCTCATACTTGAAACTGCCATTTTGCTAGTATTTGCCTTTGTACATACTCTGTGCTTATATCGTTTGGAGCATATTCCAAACCAGGCAGCAGAATGGCCTTGCCGATACCGGATCTCCCGGTCCTCGCTGAAGACGATTCAATGCTGTCGCGCAAGTTCGGCCGTGAACTGGCCAACTACTTTGCTGGGAGTCCTTTGAACAGATTATCGTTCTTGCGTACAGACCACGCCTTCTTATCGTCTGCCTTCTCCCATCCAACTACCAAGTTTTTGCTTTTGCAGAATCTTTCTCCGCTAGCCAAAGACCCGACAACACTGGCCTATGTTCACAAGGCCGATGTAGAGCCGTTGACGGGTCCCGATCCGTTCAAGAAGACAGAAGAGCAGCTGCTTCAGGAATTCAATTCTGACGTTACTTTCCCCGTCGTTCTTTTCTTGGGCATCGACGAGAAGAAGAAGACTGGCTTCGAATGGCGCGAGTATAAGGGCGAAGCGCATTTTGCCGTGGATGTCACTCCCCAGGGGCCCATCGCAGAGAAGGCAAAGAGCGTGACCGAGGCTGTCAAAGCTAAGGGCATTGACTTCCTCCCCGGAGCGCGACATGTGTCCTTGAATGCACCAGAAGGCAAGAAATGTTCTTAAGAAACGCCACGAGTCCATCTAACATTTTTGAACAGCGGCCATCTATGCCCAGGCCCGACATATGCTGGACTGGAACGCAAGAAACCCCTTCTGCGGTGGGTGCGGCCAGAAAACATTGTCCACAAACTCCGGCACGAAGCGGGTCTGCCCGCCTACTGACTGGGCGGGACTCCCTGATGGCTCCAAAGCACCCAAGGAGCGAGGACACTGCCCAACTAGAAAAGGGATATCCAACTTGAGCTTTCCCAGGACAGACCCGACAATCATCGTGGCAGTGGTATCAGCTGATGGCACCAAGCTTCTGCTTGGCCGAAGCAAGCGCTTCCCGCCAGATTGGTACAGCACGCTCGCCGGCTTCCTCGAGCCAGGAGAGTCGATTGAGGAAGCAGTTCGACGAGAAGTATACGAAGAAAGCGGCGTTATGGTTGGGCGGGTTGTTATTCACAGCTCGCAGCCCTGGCCCTACCCGGCAAACCTCATGATTGGGGCCATTGCGCAGGCGACGCCTAGCGGAGAGACGATATATCTCGGCAACGATGCCGAACTCGAGGATGCAAAGTGGTTCTCCCAAGACGAGGTTAGAGAGGCTTTGCTTGTTGGTGTTGATCAGTTCGGACAAGATGGGTCTCAGAGCCGCAAGGAGGGCGCATTGAGATTACCTCCTCAAACAGCTATTGCAAATCGGCTGATTGATGCTGTCATCGGAGGTTATCTGGGAGCCGCGTCGAAAATCTAGAGGTATACGTGGGGAATTGATGGGCGTTAGGTGAGCCCGGCTTGGGCGTAGAAATGATATCTGGGGCATACAGAAGGGACAGACAGATATACGAGCGCCGTATCAAAGTCATAGATTATGAAAGAAATACTCGATCATGCTCGACAATGTAGGACTGGCCCCAAATTACCCTCGTAACTAGATTCCACGTTGGACTGACCAAGGTCACCCGGTGCTGATCATATTACACTTGCCGGATTCACACCCTCAACTTTATATTATTTTCGCTTGTGAACTGGTCCGGCATATGGTGAAACATGAGAATCCATGCGCAGTGTTCCGTAGTTGCAGATTACAAGATATTACGTGGATTCCATCTGCTGCACCACACAGATTTACATGCACACGATTGTTATGTACGGGTAACCACCAAAACTCAACACCTAGTGGCATAAGCATCGCGAATGAATAAAGGCAGCTGTTACCGGTCCCTCTAGCGTATGAATATGACCATCGGCGAGTAGACGACTCGCAAACGGTTGATTTTATCACGCACAAGAGGCTTCCAACCCGACTCGTCGGTATTGAAGAACCTCAAAAGTGTAGAGAAGAAAAGGAGAAAAAGTCGTACGCGCGCGGAAACGTCGAGGGAAGACTCCGCACAATCTGTATCACGTGATGGGAAGAATGGAGACCCGCTTTTAGCAGGAGCTATCAAACTTCTCGGACCCTTGAAATAAATTTTCCCTTCTTCCATCTTCACCCACATAGCAAAATCCGACCTGGACAGCACATCCTCACATTTAGGGTCAGCGAAAATTGTATTGATGGCGATCTACTATGCAGAGACTCGAATAACTCTATCTTGCCATCACTCCTTTTTCTGTCTTGCTTGAGAAACGCCAATTGCTCTGACGAACTCAGATGAAGGCGAGCTTCAGAGGTTTTGATTTCCTTAGTTTTCTTTTTCCGTCCACTTTTTTCTTGTTACCTGAGAACCCCACAATATACCAGCCTCTTGCTCTTTCAATGAGCAAGAGCGTCTAACTTCTTTATCGGTATTATCGTTCGTGGGAGAGCAAAACCAACGGTCTAGACAACCGGTCTGATCCACCCTACTGCCGTAGATCTAAGTGCGGCAGCAGGACTAATTAGGACACACATCTTAACACCATTTTCTATAGTGAGGAGGACTGTTACTTGATCAATGCGCATATATGAGCTCTCAATTCAACCCATTGCTCCAATTCGTTCATCTTTTACCTGGCATCGTTGATTGAATCGACGAACACATAGCGTCCTACCTAAGATCATCCAGGATTTGAGTTATGTCATCCAGTCTCTTTCAACCCGCTGCGGCCTCCCTCGCGGGAACTCGTCTGCGTGTGCTTCTGTTTGGGACATGATGTCAGCCACCATTATTTCACTTAATCAGAGGACAAGACCATACCTGCGTCATAGCGAGATTTGCCACCAGGTTGAGGATTTTGAATATGATATTTGTCGAATTTTCAGCTGATAACATGTTGCGACGTTCTTGTACACGCCTTATGGGAGAGTTGCGCATGGGCTGGTGTTACTATTGTGTCTCAGCTTTTGGAGTTTGGGCTCGTTTCTGCGGCTTTGCCAACGGGAAGTAGCTGGTACCCCAGTACAGATGATACAACAATGCCAAAACAGTGTCTGACAATGCTTCTGACAATTATTATTATTATTAAATACGCCGTAGGCTCGAAGCCCCCGGTACCTCTACCAGTACTCCCGTATGTCAAACCGTGCCCTAATGGCTGGACTAAATACATACGCTGCGTCGTCGGTTCGCCCTATTGGCGACTGCGTTGCGTTCACTACCATACTACGTTGGTTCTCAACCTACCAACTACGTCCCCCCTGAGACGATCGATGCTATCTGGGCCTTGAAGCTGTCCGACCCGTCCCTAGCAGCCACCTTACAATAGTCCCACTAACTACTGGTTCTCCTGTTGCCGTTGCGAGGTCTCTGCGAGAGTATAGTGGCCGTGATGCGATAGCGGCCCGTAATCATTCCCTCGGTCCTCCCAACAGCCCGCAAAAGAGGATTACGTGCTCTGCCGTCTCAGGGGCGTCGCCACAGCGGCATAGCGGCGAGTACACGCCAAAAGCCCCTGTCTTGAATAAGAAGGCTGCTAGTCCTATTTTTTCCGTCCTGATCTGGCACAGCGTAGACGCCTCCAGTCGGTTCAGGCCGAAATACTTGCCCCCTTTCGGAGTGACAATTATATACAGTCAGAAATAAGAAGGAAATGTGATGACGTTTAGTCTTGCCTCGTATCATCGCCACTGGGGTGAGCCGTGGTTGGTGGTAGTGACTGCACATTTCCTGTCTTTCAACACTTTGAGCCGCCCAGTGGGGAGGGCACAAGTAAAGGAGACAGCAGATCAGCAATTGAGGATTTATTCTCACCCGGTCGATGAGTTCATGATGTGGAGATATGAATTTGTTGAATCACGTTACGGGAAATGTGAATCTAAGCAGTGGGTTACTCTGGATTCCTCAACAATATGGCTCTGGATTATGTGGAGGACAACGGATTAGACCCTGGAAATCCTTTCCATCTTCAGTCTTCAATGCTTTGTAAAGCAGCCCAATCAGTATTGAGCCTCATTGAGGGATCCATGAGCACAGCACACTACGACCAAATCTCTATAAGACTATGCGTGCCTTGCAAATCTACATAAGAAGTTGAATCCCATACGCCCAGCTTGCTGTTCAAAATACGTTCCAGATACCAAATTTTAGTTTTATTGAACTCAAGATGATCGTTCAGAGACTCACATGTAAGCCAGTGTCACGCGGCTCTGCTTGAGGCTCTGCTCACTACTCCAACTAGGATTGCAGGCCGCCGCATGCACCTGCACATTACATCGTTAAGGCTCTCTTAAGGCCTGAATATGTATATCTTGATGCAGGAGACACTCAAAAGTCTTGTCGATGTTTAAAAAAGCATTGCGGTATTGCATGTGAGGTTCTGAGGCCGGATATTACGCATCTACTTGTGGTTATTTAAAGGAATGAACAACCAGACTTGGAATATTTGTTTGCGATAAATGGTCTCATGCAATATATATAGTAAGCCCTTGAGACTCCTCATGCGACCAGAGCGATTTCTCCTAGACCATGAGGGTAAGGGCACATCAGCAAGAGTAGGGCGAAGAAGGAATATAACCCCTGGGTCAAAATGAGATAAAAATGATACAGTACGGAAGGGGTCTTCTTGAAATGTAACATTTGAAACAGAGATTGAGTCATGCCTCGCGATGCTGCAGTATAGTCCCCGGAACTCATCGACAGTCAGGCAAATGTTATATTTTCTCCTCTTCAACGTTTGTTCGCTTACAGCTTGTCTAAGTATACCAACCCAAACACCCATCATCGAGGAATAGGCCGCATGCGTGCTGTATCACACCTGCGTAAGCCTCATAGTTGATTGCCCAGGATGTTTTTGATTTTGGCATCTCTGTAGCTTGCAAAATGTATCCATTTCCAGATTAGTGCTTAGAGCCCAAAGGAGAACACAGATAATAGTTCAAATGAAGCCGACTTGAACTTTAGGTAGGGACATGCTTACTCATATGCAGTCAGGGGCGTGGCTATGTGACTGTTGGGTATCAGGGTGTTCAGAGTAGGTACTTCCAGATAGATTCCGGTTACTGCCATTCTCTTCCCACTTGGAAGATAACGTTTACTATAACCTCCCAGGAGAAGCCATGAAGGAGACGATGCATATATTCACAAATTCACAAGAAGGGCTTGCTGGGTGCCAAAGACAGCAGGGAAATATCTCAAATAAATCTGCGGGATTATAAACTTTCCTCGTTTTCTAACGAAACGTGGATCTCTGGTGAAAAATGACATCTCATTCTGGACGATGAGAAGCTGGAGCCGAAGGTGGTGCATACCAATCAATTTTAAGACTGGATATGATCCAAAGGTTCCAGACACATTCCCTAAACAAGATTGATGCATATGTTCAAAATGGGAAAAATCCCCCAGGAACACCTACCTATGTGCACAGCCGATGTGTATGCTCATAAGCTTGAGATGTCCATCCTGCTATGAACGCTGTGGCTGACCCTCCATATCTATCTACGCTTGGATATACAAAAGTTGTTCCGGTTACAATAACTGCGACGAATTTTAAGCACGATCATCATACTGAAGGGAATTTAATTACTGATTGATTAAAAACCTGGCGAGTTCAATCAAGGTATTGACTGACCGGCCACGAAATCGAACCGCGCTACCCTGCATCGAGTCGGATACGTTTCCAAAGACACCGTCCACAACCTAGCAACTGCAGCTACCCCACTATAAAAGCCAATGTCTTCACCTCTTATTATACATGTGGCGCGGCTATAAGTGCGACACAAACCAGTCGTTCAACATATCAATCATCGCATCCTAGTGTCCCTGATTTCAGAACAAATCGTCTTCCCAGCCAATGTCCAGTCCAACACCCACCACAATGCCCCTCCCCGTCGAGTTGACCCTCGTCCTCGCGGCAACCCGCAACATGGGCATAGGCCGCGCCGGCACCCTGCCGTGGACCGGCCTCAAGAAGGAAATGGCCTACTTCGCCCGTGTGACTAAGCGCCTTTCCTCAGACGTAAGATTGCTTTCCCCGAAGTCCCCCAATCTAGGCTCACGACTGAAAACATGAAAACAGGCCCCCCTTCGGCACTGAACGCCGTCATCATGGGCCGCAAAACCTGGGACAGCATCCCGCCCAAGTTCAGACCCCTGAAGGGCCGGCTGAATATAGTCATCAGCCGTTCTCACCCGGATGTTGCGCCAGAACAGATGGAAGTGGATGTGCAGACGGAGCCGGTCAAGGTCAGTTCCCTGCAGAAAGCGCTCGAGTATCTCAGGGGCAGCAGTGCTGCTAAGGAGGGGAAGGTGTACGTCATTGGCGGGGCACAAATCTACGGCGCGGCGCTGGAGCTGAAGGAGAAGGAGACGAAGAGGATACTGTTAACGCGGGTCATGAGCGATTTTGAGTGCGATACATTCTTCCCGCTGGAATTGTCCGAGGGACAGGCGGGTGGTAGGTGGGTCAAGAAGTCCAAGGCCGCATTGGATGCGTGGACGGGTGAAACGGTTCCTGAGGGTGTTCAGGAGGAGAACGGGACGCGGTATGAGTTTCAGATGTGGGAGAGAGTTGATTGATTCATACTTGTTGTACAGGTGTATTTACAGGCGCCCAGTGATCATACACTCGAAATACTCGTGGCAGCTGGGAGACACTGCCTCTTCTACGGCCTGTACGCATGCCTGCCCAGCCGTAAACCCCATCCCTTACGCAGCCTGCTTCCGCATCACAGGCTCTTCGCTCAAAAGGACTGATTCCTGCGGGATCTCCTTAGGAAGCACCGCCGCCAGCTCCCGGCAGGGCTGATCCACCACCTGGAGTTCATTCTTGGCCGGCCACTTGAACGCAGCCTGAGCCCTCGTAAACAGCGCCTCATCAGGCATCTGATCTAGCATCTTCAAACACAGTCGCATCCAGCTGACAATCGACGCCAGCGACCTCACATCGACGTCCTCACGCGCCTTGTAGATGTTCCTCCACACGGCGGCCGCCAGCACGGTATCGCTCTTGATGATGCCCTCGTCGTAGGCGGCGATGAGACCCCGCCACTGGATGAACAGGTCCTTAAGGTATTTGTGTCTTAAACCCCGCGAGCTGATGCCGTGCACCACGTCCATGCGCTCCTCGGCGTCGAAGAAAAAGTGGTCGACTAGCTGCTGTTGCCACTGCTTGGCCGTGTCGCGATCTAGGTTTCGTATCCGCGCTAGTATGAGGTACATGTGCAGCATTGTTACTTGCGACCATGTGCTAAACGTAGGGAGGAGGTTGAAGTCTGTTGTCGGTGCCGGGACTTTTAGCATGCAATACATGGAATGTCCAGATGCGACAGGCACAGGAGGAGGTTCGTACCTGAATGCCACATAGTGTCCCCCTTGCCAATCTCCTCACCCTCGTCTGTCTTCTGCACCGTTCCGTTCCGCTTGTCTGTCTCCGCAATCGTGTAGGCGGCCTCGCTGGCGCATGCTTTATACACGGTCTCCGTTGTTCTGAGGACAAGGTACGGCTGCGCTGTCGATTGCAGGGCCTTCCCCGCCAAATCCTTAACGGACTGCGGCACCCAACCTTTCTGATATGGCGTGGCGCCGAAGCGACGTCGCTGCTGGATTTGGGGAGCGACCTGGCGGTGGGTCAGATGTCGCGCAATGAGGATTATGCTCTGTGATTCGGTCGGGCTGATGGAAAATGCCTGTGCTTGTCGGGACATTTGGCTGAAATGCCGTTTGCAGCTTCGACACGCCATGGTTATCTGGTGTTGAGTGGGACGAGCCTCCTCGATCGAATGTCGAACATTGGGTTGTGGGTATGAGAAATGTTGGGTCTTCACGTCATTGACATTTTGCTAGACTCACAGACGCGCCGGCTAGAGAAAAATTAGGTAAAGCGAATCAGAAGCTCGACATTGGTCAAGCTGATCGGCGACAGGGATCTGGACCTGGCCCAAAGACGCCGCACTAGCGTATGGTACATCGATACGACGTGGGATCCAACGACAATTTGACCGCTGGATTTCATTTGAATACGGTATTGTAGGGGAGGTATTTACATGAGCTCATTGATTATCAATTCCGATTGCGACGAAATGAGTTCAGCTGCTATACTTGGAGAATACCAAACTGGCATTTGTGCCCCCAAACCCAAAACTATTCGACAGTGCTACATCGACAGCTTTCTCCTGTGCTTCGTGGGGCACGAAGTTAAATCTTGGTATAACATCAGGGTTCTGCAGATTTAAGGTTGGAGGGACCGCATTCTGGCCATCGACTCAGCTCTCGGCTTGGTTCTTCAGGAGGAGCAGATGTCGAACTTACATGAACAATGGACAATATTGAGAAAACGGCTTCGATGGCACCGGCTGCACCCAGGAGATGTCCAATGGAACCTTTGGTGCTGCTTACCGTGACATCTCCTTCGTTGGGATGACCTTCTGGGCCCGCCATGAGGGACCGAATCGCCATAGCTTCAGCCGCATCGCCAATTGATGTGCCAGTAGCGTGGGCGTTGATATAGTCAACTTGTCTAGGTTTCAGTGCTGCTTGCTTCAATGCTTTCTTCATGGCCAAATGAGCCCCATGCCCATCCCCTCGTGGAGCGGTCATATGGTGGGCATCGCCGCTACACCCATAACCCCTGAGCTCTGCGTAGATGTTAGCACCCCTGGCCTTCGCGTGCTCCAACTCCTCCAACACCACGACAGCTGCCCCTTCCGACACCACGAACCCATTTCGTTCTCGATCAAATGGCCGGCAGCTTGCGGCGGGGTCGTGGTTGAAGGCCGTGGACAAAGATCGTGAACGGCCGAAGCCGGCAAATGTCAATGGATGAATACATGACTCTGTACCACCAGCGATCATGACGTCGGCATCCCCGCAAGCGATGAACCGCGAGGCATCTCCTATGGAATGAGCTCCCGTGGTGCACGCGGTAGTTGCTGCATGGTTGGGCCCCTGGAAACCGTACTTCATGGCAATGTGTCCGGCCGCCATATTGATAAGGATCTTGGGAACGAACAATGGGGAGACTTTCCTGTAGCCCTGTCAAGTTTCAGCACGGACTGATCTGCCAGAAATCTAATGCGATAGGTTGCGATGGCTCACCTCTTTCTCGAATGCGACACTCGCATCATACAAGTCGTCCAAGTTGCCGATACCACTGCCCAGGCAGACCCCAGTCGCTTCCAACTGTCCTTGCTGGCGTGGTTCCCACCCGGCATCTGCGAGTGCTTCTGCCGCAGCTGCCATGGCGTATTTCGTGAATGTTGACGTGCGTCTTTGCTCTGCCGACGTGAGCCAGTCACTGGGCCGCCACTGACCCCCGCCACTGCCCTTTGGGATGACCCCGGCAACGGTGCTGGTCAAATCTCGCCACTGTTTCTGGGGTTCCAAACCCGCAACGCTGATGATACCAGAATGGCCACCAAGTAGGCGACTCCAAGTTTGCCGACATCCCACGGCCAAAGGCGTAATGGCGCCGAGACCCGTCACAACAACCCGACGCATTGCAGTTCCATAACCCGGTTATCGGGATGGATGGCTATCTTGACAGATAGCACGGAAGGTCGGAATCATGAGCCTTATAGGAACATCGTGTCTATGTGCCTCGGTCTCTAGCAGTTCGAGCAATCCGAGGTTGTGTGATTCGCTAGGTATAAAAACTGTTTGGGGATAAGGATGCGAGAGCTTGATTGCTGGGAGCGCTTGGTCTTTTCTGATCGTGGGGCTATTCCCATTCGGGTCTAGGCCTCCACGCTCTGCATCACTAATAGCCGCGAAGCGCCTCTGAAGTCGACAAGATCAATGTTTGGCGCCTGTTAATTCATGTCCTTGGAGATGACACGTGCAGCTGTGGTCTAGAACGTCGACTGAAACACTGCATCTTATTTGAATAAAGAATTGAATTTATATGTCACGAGTCGGTACGTTTGCCACGACCCGAGGACAACAGGATTATCCCACTGGATATATGACCAGCTTGCGATTTGACCGAACACGTTTCACTTGGGATACATATGTTCTCTCGTTCAAGCATTCCAAATCCAAGTTCAAGGGCCATCCTTACTTCCCGCCACAGAAAGCGTTGTCAGCAGGGGTTGCCGTTGCTTCTTCAGTTCTCGAGCCCACAGCCAAACGCTCTTGTTTCTCCATGTTTGTCATCCTTCTCGTGGCCGTTTCCCCCACATCGTGGGTCCCGGGATCCTGGTTCTTCCGCATCGGCTATCGCTATCACTGCCGCATATTAGTTTCAAGCTGATCACGGTCTATCTGTCCTGTTACATACATACGTTACACACTCTCACAGCCCAATCAACTTTGAGAACTCGAGCCACAACACCACTCAACACAGCCGAGTGCGGCCGGCGACGACACATTCCAGCCTTTGCAGATTTATGCTTTGCATATTGCCTCTTCTGCAGCCCTTGCTCCCCTCACGCGTGGGGTTAAACTCTCCCATCTGAACCGACTCTCGATTCACCTCATCTTGCCCCTTGCCCGAGATCAGCCTTTCTCTAAAGCATACTTCCCTATCTTCGGCATGGCATTTAGCACATCAGGCACTTACTGAGCCTGTTTGACCACTGCCGTGGTTGGGCACACCACCCTGCGTGTAGCAACTCTCCAATCAGAAGCTCATTTCAACACGCTTTTATCTTTGAGTGCAGTGCCTGCTTCATGTTCGTCTGGGATCTACAGGGCTAGGATTGGCCTCTCCATCACTTTGGACTCTTCGTTTTGGACATTAGACAAACCCTATATAGCACCCACCCACTGCTTCTCTCTGTGTCGTTCTTAATTTTCGATCGTCTTCCTGGCATCCGTATCTCTATGATGGCGGATAAAACCGTCAGCAGCTTGAAGCCGTCTGGTACGGCAGTCCGAGTGCAGGTAACGGAAGACGATGATCAATCTTGGAGTGAACACACCAGCGCGGAAGTCAGTGGGCGAGAGGTGACGGATCATGTAGCCACGTCGAGACACGAAGACCCTGTGGCTGCATTGAAACGCCGCCTCTCGGAATGGGGTGAGTCCAGTGTCCACAATAGCGAGGCCTATGAGGAAGGTGAAGAATACGAACTTCTTTTAGATCCGAACCTGCCCGATAACGAAGCGGACGCACCGCGGCGTCAAGGCTCACAGGACTCAGCCAAGTTCAATGAGGAGTCCAACCTGAAGGAACTCGACGAGTCGGAGGATTCACCGTACCCTGAGGTGCGAGCTGCCGTTCGTAACTACGATGAAAACCTTCCATGCAACACCGTCCGCGCCTGGACTATCGGGCTCTCCCTGGTGACCGTGGGTGCATCAATGAACACATTGTTTTCTCTGAGGGCCCCGTCCATCGGCCTCGGTGCTCTGATTGCCCAGATCATTGCTTGGCCTATTGGCCGGGGATGGGAGAAGATCATGCCCACAAAGCAGTTCAGCTTCTTCGGAATACCATGGTCGCTGAACCCCGGGCCGTTCAATATTAAGGAGCACTCCGTCATTGTGGTCATGGCCAGCGTCTCCTTTTCTGTGGCATATGCCACCGATATTATACTTGCCCAGGTCGTGTTTTACAAGCAAGATTTTGGGATCCCTTTTCAGCTTCTCCTGACCATTTCGACCCAGTCTATCGGATACGGCATCGCCGGCATGATGCGGAAGTTTCTGGTCTACCCCGCCTCGATGATCTGGCCTGGCAACTTGGTTTCCGTCACATTGATGAATGCTATGTACGAGAAGCACGCGCCTACCGACCCTACTGTGTTTGGAGGAAACATGCCGCGATACCGGTGGTTCAGTATTATCACACTTTGTGCTTTCGTGTGGTACTTTATCCCGGGCTTTTTGGCGCAGTTCCTCAGTGTATTCGCTTTCGCTACGTGGATCGCTCCCAACAATCCAGTGATCAACCAGCTTTTCGGAGGGACGACGGGCTTGAGTTTTCTGCCCATCACGTTCGACTGGACACAGATTGCCGGCTTCGTCGGCTCTCCTCTTATTCCACCTTGGCACGCCATTGCCAACACCCTTATTGGTGTTGTCACATTCTTTATCGGCTTGGCGTCGGTACTCCACTATACCGGAGTGTGGTACGCTCAATTCCTACCAATGAGCGACTCGTCGACCTACGACAACACGGGTGCGAATTATAATGTATCCCGAATTTTGACCTCTGAATTCAGACTGAATGAGGAAGCCTATCATTCCTACTCGCCTCTGTTTATCAGGTAGGTGCGCCGCATGGGTCCATCACGAGACTTGTTAACGTTGAACCAGTACGACATTCGCCATGGCTTACGGCCTATCATTTGCAGCAATTGCGTCGCTGATTGTTTACACTTACCTGCACCACAGGAAGACCATTTGGAGACAGTACAAAAATAGTACAACCGAACGTCCCGATATACATATGAAGTTGATGATGAAATACAAGGAAGCGCCGACTTGGTGGTACACGAGCCTCTTCGTTATTGTAAGTGTTGTTGGTGCAATCAAGTGCATGGCCGGGTGCTAATGAGGATGCAGATGCTGGCACTCGGTCTCGTTGCTGTTCTTTCGTTCCCCACGAATCTGACCTGGTGGGCATTTTTGTTGGCCGTGGGCATATCATTCGTGTTCTCTTTGCCTATTGGCATCATCCAGGCTGTGACGGTTAGTACACAACTTCCCCATTCACCTTCGATGGCGCATCTGGTCAACATAGTTATCTGCTCTTTAGGATGATGTTTTGGCTTGTGAAACATAACTCAGCGCTGCGAATCATGAACAGACCGTACTCACTTCTTCTACTAGAACAACCAAATTGGACTCAACGTTCTGACAGAATTTGTCTTTGGTTACATCCAACCAGGTCGCCCCTTGGCCCTGATGATGTGAGCACCTGCTTGGCACCGCCAACATGCTACTGTGGTTCACGGGGCTAACAACCTCACAGATTCAAGACGTTCGGCTACATCACGATGTCTCAAGCTCTCAGCTTCGTTTCTGATCTCAAGTTTGGACATTACATGAAGATTCCTCCCCGCACCGTGTGTCACCCGCCCTCGTCTCTCCAAAGGCACAGTAGACTAACTTGGCCCGACAGATGTTCTTATCGCAAGTAGTGGCAACTACATTCTCATGCTTCATCCAGATCGGCGTTCTCAATTTCGCACTCAAGAACATTGAGGGTGTTTGTGAACCCACGCAGGTGAACCACTTCACTTGCCCTGGTGGTCGGGTATTCTTCTCTGGTAGGTGTCTTGTCTCGAGGCTCGCACGACGCGACGTACTGACATTTTCTAAGCATCCGTCATCTGGGGTCTGATCGGCCCGGCTCGCATGTTCTCTCCGGGTCAAATCTACTCTGGTCTGTTCATCTTCTTCGGCGTTGGTGCCATGTGAGTCTTCCATTTTCCCGAAACCCAAAACCCAATGAAACACTACTGACCATGTCAACAAGCGTCCCCATTATCTTCTATTACGCCGCCCGCAAGTGGCCCAAGTCCCCGGTGAAGTATCTGATGGCGCCGCTCATTTTCGGCGGCTCCGGCTCCATCCCTCCAGCCACGCCACTCAACTACCTCTCCTGGGGCATCGTCGGCTTCGTCTTCCAGTTCCTCATCAAGAAGCGCCACTTCGGCTGGTGGAGCAGATTGAATTTTCTGACGTCGTCCGCGCTGGACCTCGGGCTCGCGCTCTCCACGCTCGTCATCTTCTTTGCGTTTACGCTCAATGAGATTGACCCGCCTGCCTGGTGGGGTAATGCCGTTGTCACCACTACAATGGACTTCAAGCAGACAGCTATTCAGACGGTGCTTCCGGCGGGGCAGACTTTTGGGCCGCCTAGGTGGTAGTGGTCGCGGGGTTTGGGGTTTGAACGGGTGTGAAATGATTTGAACATAGTATTTCCTACATGTGTAGAATTGGGTCGATGGTTTCGTAGACCAGCACATTGTAGTTCGGCGTTATGTAGGGGTGGATATTTGCGCTGGAAATAGGATAGATGATGAAAGCTCGGGCACCTACCTCCAATAGTTACCAACAATTTCACGTTTTGCTTAATGACAATGAGTATGTTGCTTCCACATTTCTGCATTCGACCCGCATCATATTCGAAAGCCGCCAACGACAAGTTACATTCGCAAGCAAGCAGGCCACTATCGAGGGGGCGGCGCGACAGGTTTGTGTGGATCGTCAACCAGTAGATCTTACTGTGCCCGACTTGCTCAAGTCTGGTTTGACATGGGCTGGACAAGGGGGGATGACGTCCCATGATGTTGGATACTCAAGTACAGTTGAAGCAACTCCCATGCAGGATAACCAGTGGTTTCGCTTTCTTAACGGAATCCAGGTTTACATGTAAACACCACGACATCAATGTTGAAGCAGGGCTGGACCTAGACATTACACGTAACCACAATCGCTAGTTATGTTCAAGCAGCCACCACCAGGAATCTGATCCTTCGGGTGGTCAGTAAACATGACGAAGTGCCATGCGCAGTGCTTTCATGGCGTGTCCTGTGATGCTCTGCAACCAATGCTGTTGGCACCAATATCCGGTACGCGGTGCCAACGATGGTTCCAACTGAGTGATTCCGTAGTGAACATAGACTCCCGTTTTGGACACGGGGTTCCTACATGGAGTGCCGTTGCGAGCAGGAATAGCCCAAAATCAGCAAAGGAACCGTTGATTGCTCTCGAGGAGGTGAGCGAACGGCCAGTCCACGCTGACAGACGACGAGACATCCGACCAGACAGCTGCAGGCGCCATCCAAAGGTGGAAATGCCCTGGTAACACTGAAAGTACCTAATTGCCCAGGTAAACAGGAGGACTCAACCGTGGATGGGCATTCGTGAGGATTCCCACGGCAGGCTCTCACCGGCGCCTTCCCTCACGCGAAGGAGTTCCTGCGGCCGAAGCAGTAACGCCTGCCGATTGGGATCCTTTTACGGCCGAGATGCTTCGATGCTGGCTCTGCTCTGCTTGCACCCTGATTACCTTGGCAAACAACAGTGAATGCAGAAAAAGAGGATTTCGTGATTTGGCTGCAGTCCCGCCCACACACACGAACCGCTTTTTTTTGCGACAGACCCTATTATAATATCTTTATTGCCCTCTCCCCCAAGGTTCTGATATTGTCTCTCGGTTACGTTGCCAAAAACGCACCTTTGTCTCACCTGCATTGGACCATGTCTCTCCGAGTTGGTATAATTGGGGCGGGAATCGGCGGGCTGAGTGCTGCCATTGGTCTGCGACGCGCAGGGGCCCAGGTCGAGGTCAGTTGCTCTCTCTTACGCTGGAGCGCTCGGGTTGGACAGAGCGTCGTGGCTTCCTGTTCTTCTCGTTGAATTCTTGGGGTCCCGCCTCGTGTCACCTCCACAAGTACTGCTGCCCCTAACAAAGGCTTTGCAGATCTTTGAGCGTTCGACCTTCACGAACGAAGTCGGCGCCGCCCTGACCATCACACCCAATGGGTCCCGAATTCTCGACTCCTGGGGGTTCGACGCTGTCAAAGCTGGCATCGTCGAAGCCGTCAACATGCGTATAGTACACGCCCACAGCCTGGAAAATGCATCCGTTGAGGACTTTTCGACCTTGCAGCGCGAGTTCGGCGCTACAATGGGCTTCTACCACCGGGTCGACTTACACAGCAGGCTGCGGGAAATGGCCGAAAGCTCCGATGCCCAGCCCGGGGAAGCAGTCGCCATCAACCTTGGGAACGGCGTCGTCGATGTAGATTGCGCGACCGGTGTCCTTGCTCTGGCGGACGGCACCGAGGTTACCAAGGACCTTGTGGTCATCGCGGACGGCATCAAGTCCAACTTCGTCAGCAAAGTCACCGGTAAAGAGGAGCCGGCTCGGGACATGGGCTGGTCCGCCTACCGGTGTCTGATTCCCATGGAAGACATCATGAACGACGAGCATACCCGCGCCATCTTCGAAAACCAGCCCCCGGGATACTGGGCTCCTTTCTATATTCCCAAGGCCTTTTACCTGGTTTCATACCCATGCAGAGATAACAAGACGTTGAACATAGTTCTCCGTCACACCACGCAGCCCCAAGACAACGGAAAAGTCGACTGGCACACGCCCGCTACCCACGACGACGTGCTCGCGCTGATGAAAGACTACCATCCGTCGTTGAGTCATGTCATCAAGAAGGCTCCAGACATCAAAATGTACAAGCTCCTGCGCCGAGAGCCTCTCGAGACATATTCGCGGGGTCGTGCCGTGCTGCTGGGCGACGCGGCGCATACCGTCTTGCCGATTCACGCCCAAGGCGCAGTGATGGCCATCGAAGAAGCTGCCGCGCTCGAGCTCCTGTTCAAGGGGGTAACAGATCCGAATCTGGTCGCATCCCGACTGGAGCTCTACGGCAAGGTGCTCAAGAAGCACATCCATGTCAACCAATACCTCGGCGACACCGTCCCCGGGTTTCACGACCACTACCGGCAGAAGGCGGAGGAAGTATGGGGAGACGGCCTTTTCCCCTACACGGCGTACAACTTCACTGCGCCGGTACGGCAGTTCTTCTACAGCTACGACGTGCGGCACGAGATCACCAAGGGCATGGAGGAGGCGGGTCTGTAGCGTCCAGGGCATGGGGATTGTTGTACGAGACAGGTAGCATGAGTCTGTTGGGAGGGAGATTGCTAGACTTTCAGAAGCGACTTCTTGATTTGACTGGGAGGTAGGTAGTAGATGAGCCGTACGCATGGTGGTTGATTCTAGCAAAATAGTCCTGACTTGGTCTTTAATAATTAAAACTGCATTGAACCGTCATATTTCAGGAAGGCAAAACGGATGAGTTTGAGCCAGGAGCCTCAGCACCAGGTACCAGGGCCCATTCAAGGATTTCCCTTGCACGAACAACGGACACACGAGATGACGTGTCTACGGTTGAGACTAGTTCGAACTAGCTCTGCCCAAAGATGACTACATGGCCCCGTCCGAGGCGAGGAACAAGGCGCATTCTTAACAACCTCACGTCCAGACCACCGACCGACTTGACTGCAACTTGACCTGCTCCTCATGTTAGTCCAGGGTGGGGACAAGGTTGCGACCTGCTGAACTACACACTCGGGATGCCGCAAGTCGGCTTTTCCGAGTGTCCCCGTCGGATTACTCGTACGTGCTTATCTCCCGACGAGCCGTATCCTATAACTTGTTCCAGGCAGAATGGGGGCCCGCAGAGTGGAGTTTATCTGCTGTTGAAAACTCAGTCCACCAACCCCTTTCCAACAGAGTGGTTGAGGAAAAAAAAAAGACATGCTGAGACCTACGATTCCGAGGACGGGCTTGTGCAAAGATAGCCGAGAAGAGGGCTTGGACGCGAGGTGGCGGCGTAAAGTGCAAGTATACAGCGGATAAGAAAGAGAAGATTGTTGTTTACCGATTGGAGCGTTACTCCCGCTGAGGCCCGCCGACGACCCAATCCTAATAAACTCTTGCTAAACAATGCCGCAAACAAGTACCTCGATACGGTGAGCCTTTTGCTTCCAGCCCCCAGCCAGCCCCGGCCTCCCCAGCTCTCTCCACAAATGAATCTGTGATATCTCATGCATAACAGCCGTGCCCGGCCCTGTCCCTTCCTCTTCCGAGCCTAATCTGCCATTGCAACCCTATGTCGGTAAAGCCAGGATACAACGTTGGCATGCTCATCTTCAATCTTCTTCGATGGAGATTGTCGGTCCGAAGTGAATGTGGTGGCTCGCATAACTCGCCTCGCTCATTTACAAGCAACAATATACCACGGCGAGAAAGGTGGGGGAGAAAGGTGGGTAGTCAGGATCTGATATATGACCTGAAGAGGATGAAGAACTACGAATTAAAGGGGAGAAACGGTGCTCTAGACCCACCCGTCGGGAGCTCGCGACTCGTCGGATAGGTGCATGGATGGATGACATGGCACGGTAGGATGCGGTATAGTTCACACGAGAAATCCTCCAGTCCCTGGCAGTCCCTGGGGAAAGCAAAGCCGGTCCGTAGTGCGACGGAAAGCTCCAGACCCGGCAATGCAACATGAGAAGGAATCTGGGGCGTTTGCAAACACGAGGATACCAGCATAAGCCACCGCGACCTCGAGCCTCGAACGAGCTAGATGAGCAGGAATATATGCATGCAGGTATACCTGGTTTCTGGATCTTGGTATGGGTCCGGAGTTCGACTCAGGGTTGCGATGCGATGCGATGCGATGCGATGCGATGCAAGAAGGACCATCCTTGTTTTCGCTATGATATGATCTGATGTGAGAACTGAATAATATCCTTGATCTATAGAGCTGGATTCATATATACCCACCCTGCCACCTATCTGCAGCTCTTAGACAAAAAACCGGGCCGCCCACCAACCAGGTTTCCGGGAGCATCTGTGGCAATCCGTCGACTGCGACCAAGCGGAGCGCTCCTCCGACCACAGGTAGACATCCTATTCGCTCCATCTATTCCTTCCTCGGCCGAAACCGATCCAAAAAAGCAACACGGGGAGGCGCCGCAGTACGTGAGCGGGATAATAGACTCGCCATCGTGCAGACGTCCCGATCCGTCTACCAGCCTCGTACCACATCCAATTCATCATTGTGCTCGTCATCACTGAAACCCTGTGGAAATGACAGCTGTAACTACCCGTTCTACCTTAGGCATGCCTCTCTGCCCCCCACCTGGTTCGTTAGCACTATGCAAATGCGGTACTACCGTAATGCTCTCTTTTAGCAACAAAAGTACTGTGGGGAGTAGAAAAAAAAGCGAAAACTCGTAATGAGTACCGGGAGCGATTTCTTTGGTTCCACAATGGGATGGATGCACGACGTTGCCGTCCCACCGTGAAAGCTCAACCAAGGAGCCCGGGGTTTGGATGCGGCTCCGTCGCGAAGAAGGCTAGGACATGCGAATTTGACCGTTTGCGATGGGCAAGGACAGGGGTGGTCAGAAACACCCTGTTTTGTCTCGTGTGTGTGTGTGTGTGTGTGTGTGTGTGTGTGTGTATACAGTCTCTGAAGCGTCGATACAACGCAGTTATGATTTAGGGGACTAAGCACTGCCTCGACCAAACAGAGGAAATCTCCAGCTCCGTATAAAATGCCACAATGCCACCGACGAAAGGAACGGAAGATCTTTCCAATCAGATCTGTTCTGTGATCTCAGCCCCGACAATTCCATTGCCCCTCTTTGGTCATCTCCCAAGTTCACGGGCCAAGAGGGCAGTTAGCCAGATTTCTTGCTCCAATCGCTTGCCTTTGGGTTCTTCGAGGATCCATTAGCTATGACGACACCTCGCTTGCTCTGAGACTTGTCCTTCTTCTCAACAGGGCACGGTGTCGAAGCCTTGGAGTTTTCCTTCTTCCCAGACCTCTCCCTGTCTTCGCGGCCAGATCTCTCCCTGTCTTCGCGGTGATGCCTACTGCTGTGGTGATGACTACTCTGGTGATGGCTGCTCTTTGCATGGTGCTCTTCATTTCTCGAGACGCCTTCCTTGGTGAGCTCGACCTTGATCTCCCGGCCGTTGAAAGTGGCCTTATTGAGCCTTTTGACGATTTTGCTGGCCACCTCCTCGCTCCGGAACGTAATTGTCGCGTATCCCCGGATGCCTCCTTCTTCGGAAACAGGCAAGTTGATATGGGGGTTCTTATCTGCATCAGAACCAGCTTTGGTGCGAAGGAGCTCCTTGATTTGGTCAAGCGAGGTCCAGCTCGTCAGTCCCTTGATGATGATCTTTCGTCTCTCCGTTTTCACAAAACCAGCTGAACTGTTATTGATTATGGGGGATTTGGCATGTCGCGACTCCCGAACTGGTGCATTTCCGGATGAGCCGTACTCAGTCCCACCGTACCCGTTCAGATGATCGTACTGTGGCGCCTGCTGGTAAGCGTCGTATGGGTACTGTACTGTGGCTGGTATAACCGAAGATTGGTCTACATACGAGGTACCATCGTACGGATACCAGCCAGGTGCTTCTCCATAGTCGTACGGCGTAGCCATGTGTGGCGAGTAGTCGGTCGTGGGGCTGGTCACATATGCCGCCGCCGTTGGTGCGGCAGAAGTCCACTACGAGTTTTAGCTTCGACCTTGCCATTGATCTTGGAACACCAACATACCTGACCGTAATCTGCAGTATATGTAGCAGGTGGTGATGTCGGAGGACTATATGCACTAGAGTACTGCGCTGAAGGCGGCGCATGCGCTATCGGTGTGCGAGATGATCGCGGTGACGGCACAGCCATGGTCGAAGGGACCACGAGCTCCTTGATCATGATGGACTGTGTGGCATTTCTGCCGTCTGCAAACGTTGGTCGTCCATTGAATAGCCCACCGCTGAGCAGCTCTGTCCTAGTATTAGCCTTGATACGTATGTTACGATTCCATGCACTGAGAGTGACGTACGCAATGCCGCATTGTAACTGTCGTGCCCTCGAACCATGACCCACCCAGAGGTACTATCGTTGAATACCTCAACCCTCTCAACGGAGCAGACAGTTCGGACATGGTCTTTCAACTGCTGCCAAGACGTGTTCCATGGCAGCTGAGAGGAAATTACGCGTATTAGCCTAATAATTTCACGGATTTTGGGTCGAGCATCATCACAGCTGGTAATGTACATTGGAGATCAGGATATAGTACTGGCCAGTCTGGTTGCCCGGTGGCACTTTCACCTGGATGGTGCCGTTCACAGGAACTTGATTCGAAACCGTGTCGGTCGACATTGTCAACGGGCATCCGCAGATGTTGAAAAAAAGATCGGGTTGGTACAATGGGCAGGGAACACCCTGGGAGAAGAACGTCGTGTTGAAGATCGTGTGGAACAGGCAGAATGAGACAAATGAGCCTTGCTTGCCGTGGATGCTTCTTATATGTCGCACGAATTGGGATGAAATTGGATGAGCCTCGGTGAGCAGTTCTTCATCAAAACTACTGTGTCCTGGGAAGTAAAACATATGCAGGACCATCTAGCGCACGGGGTTTGATTGGGGAAGTGGTATTTCTGCATTAGACTGCTCAAAGATTGTCAATTACTGCAGAAGTAGATCCTTGATGATAATGGAACAATGCTGGTAATGGTGAACAGCCTTGGTGCATTGCTATCGTGGGAAAATTGCTTCATGACTCCGCCCCAATAAGGTCCAGTCCGTCAGACAAGCATTGCCAACGACATATGCATATCTCCCATCGCTTTCAAAGTAACCAGTCACGACTGGCACAGCCGTTAAATGGCCTTGGGACAGCAGCCACGCTAGCGAGCAGGGCTGAAAAGACGGAAAGGGGGGTATAGTTGCTTAGAACACGACGGGTCACAGTCCGACATGAGGACTTCGGCTGTTAGTATCGAATAGATCGACGGTGTTGGCACTTGAGGTCCACTTTGAAAGATAGATATAGCGGAGTGGTATCCGGGTACTTGCCAAAGACTGCTGATAGAGCCTGGCAATCTGGCGCTTATTGTCGTTGCGGGGTGTGGCCCAGGGTAGCCTTGCCTGTCATAAGATCTAACCGGGTATGTGGTGCAGTATCTGGGCCACTCATTCCTGCGGCTCACCTCACGCTGAGCTAATCGATTCGGGGGTTTTTGGTCTAGAAGGTGGTCTCCGAATTTTCGCTCCGAGCCCCATGTCGCCTGGAACGAACCCAGTCTTTGCCGAGACACACCAGGCGCACCATGTCCAACGGGTGCCGTAGGATACCCTCCCGGGCACAAATGTGGCTGCACACCATGACTTGTCCTGGTCTCGCACTCGTTTGCTTGCGTTCACGTGGGTTGCAAATTGCAGTATCAATCGATGCCACAGCAGCGTGGGGATTTCCATCCACTATCCGTTGTGGACCGCACGTCTTTGCAAGCAAACACCTGGTAAATTGTTCAGTGGTGAGACCTTCCGAATTTGTCGACATGCAGCAGAGCAGAAGATTTTAGGAGGGTGGGCTGAAGGGGGTGGACGCTGGAAAGGTTGCGCTATGGCGTTGGTGACAAGATGCTCTACCGCGTTGCCGTGTTGCTGTAAAGGCCATGACTGGACGATTGAGGAAGTCAAACAGGCAGGCGGATCCACTTGTCACACCACTCTTCAAATTGCCAGAACCGAATAAAGAGGGTAGTAAAACAGGCCAGTTGGAAGTTGGAGCAGAGTATTGGCACCAACGAGAGATGGGTAAAGCAAGACTTCCGATATTTGACAATGGCTTGGCAACCACTAAGAAAGGGTTCTTGCGGCATTAGGGCATACAATGACTTCATACGTGCTGTGAGTCAGGTCCACCTTGCAAGGACATGCAAAGCCCTTTCGGGAGAAGAGAGACGAAGTGATGGCCAAATGTAGATTGGAGACGGTATTTTTAGGGTATGCCTGATGGTGTGGCCGTTAGGCAAGGGGCACCAAGTGAACACATACCTTGCTCGATACCATATCTGCGAAGAACGTGACAATCCTTTGCTTGTTCTTGACCAGTATGCGTGGATGCAACTGTGGTGGTCGTAGGTGACAGCAGGGCTTCTGCTGCAGCCGGAAGTATTCCCCGGCAAGCTAGGCGCTAACACCTCAAAAAGAGCCGCGGGACAAGGCCTAATGGCCATTTGTGACACGTCATTTGCGGTATGCAGTGACAACAGCGCCACCAAACGCAGTGTAGCGAATCAACTATTCCTCTTAAAGTGAAAAGTGTCGTCCACATCGCTCACGTCTTCAACCATGTCCGTCTCGTGGGCGTCGCTTTCTTCAGCGGGGCAATGAGGGTCGGACATGAGGTGCGACGGTAGATTTGCAGATCGATCCTGATTGACCGATACAGCTCCGGCTTGCCAGGGAACGATGTCATTTCCAGACTCTGCAGGAGAACCGAGCAAGTAAGCTAGGTTGTCTGCAAAGAACACCGTTGCGGTTTCCTCTTCGGATTTTGATCTTAGCCATGAAGCGGCGACCCTTCCGCTAATCTTGCCGTCAGGGATGCGGGATCTGAAATCGATCGGTCGTGGGCCATCGCTTAAAGGATCCCAGACAAATACGACGCCACCGTACATAGGCCCCTCACACTTGATGAAGAGGAGCTCGGGATGAACGGGGTGCCAGTCGACCCTCGAGATATGGCTATGAAATATGAGAGTCGCTCGAAGTTCCGATGCTGCCACGTCCCAGATCCAAACCGTGGTGGGCGCCTCCTCGAGCTTCGTCGCAAGTAAAGAGGAAGAACTGTCGAACTGGGCATTTTCACCTCCTGTGGGCAGACTCTGAGAGCTCTGTGGCGGCCGCGCCGGTGGAGATACTGCTCGCGTGGTCCTGAGAAACGTGGGTAGAGATACGTTCGTATTGGACAGTCTTCTTTGCTCTTGCCAGATCTTCTTCAGTTAGCTACAATGCATGTAACTGGACCGAGCGCACGTACTTGAAGGGTATCCCGAGGTTCGATCACCAAGGGGTGACATAGCTGCAAATGCTCTGCCAATGTCGCCGTGTACAGCAGGTAAACGCACCTACTCGAATCGGCGGCGGCAACAAACTGACCATTGGGGCTGAAGGTAAGAAATCTGATACCAGCACCGAGTCGTAGATCCATGTCGTCTGGTGCATGCGGGCGGGGCCCGCACCATTCCTGGAAGAGGTGTCCATCGGATGTGTAGGACAATAATCTGTGACCTTGGGCTGCAGATTCCCAAACAATCAACCAGGAGCCGTCCGATGTCCAGGAGAGGCCCGATGCATCAATAGTGTCAGGGTTCCACTGCATCAAGAGCGATTAGTATGTGCCAAATTCGGAGAATAACGCCTATCTACCGAGCGATGAACGAAAAATGCAAAGCCCAATCTCAACGGTGAAAGTGCCATAAGCAGTAATTGATCGGGGAACTTTGTGCTTAAGGTAGCCGAAAGGGGAGCGAATAAGAACGGAGCTTACATACGGATCGTTGGACCTCTCTCGTCCCTGGAGCATGTATGCTTATCGTATCCCTTCCCGTCGTTCTCGTAAGCAACGCTAGGTGATGGGTGCGTGGGCGAAAAGAGAAGCCACGGGCTGCAGTTGAGGCATTGTAGAACTTGGGGTTGTTGATCTCCACTGCTCTGGAAGAAGCGAGATTGAAGATAGACAGCTTGATGCCAAACGCGGAGTAGACGCAAGCCTCATCGTCTGTGGCCCCAAAGTCGACAAATGTCGACTTGCCGGTGGACGAAGACGGATTCCGAATGATGGCATGGTAGTCTCCCCCTGTCGCCGAGAAAACGTGGATCTGATCGCTAGCAGCCAGCAGAAGCCGTTTGGACGACGGTGACCATATGAAGGCGGTTACACCAACTAAATCTGCAGGTAGCTTGATGCTACGAACTGTGGCCAAGGATGCAACCGCTCTGATGCTAATGCTCGAGAGAAACAAGGTAGCAATGAGAGTTCCATCCGGACTGGGTAGACAGTGAGGTGAGGCTAGTAGGGGCGTTGTCAGTTATCCGACTCGGGGACTAGTGACACTGCAGAAAGTATATGGGCGAGCTGGTAGGAAGAGGAAAAGCATATGTGTGGGGGATTGCGTACACTTAAAGACGGGCGAGAAGCGCATCGTGTGATGCAACGGACAGTCTGGGTGTCCGAGTCATGCAATCATCACCAAATCGTCACTTATAGTAGGGTGATGATATACCGAAATTTGAGACCGGTGAGGACGCAAGAGGAACTTTAAGCAAGCCGCTCCCGTCAGCGCATCCGTTCCAGACCACGGCCCGCGAGACTCTTTACTGGGCGACGTCTAAGCCAGCAAGCATGTGCCCTGGTCCAAAACCACTAGAGGATCGATCCAATACAGCCCTTGGAAGCCGATGTAGTGGACGGTAGGGTGGATGCGAGAAAGAGTCCGTGGTGTTTTATCGTCGTTGCCGTTACTACTTAGGGCGAAAGGTTGCACGCTAGATTGACGTTGTTTTGTTGACTACTACTTTGGGCCTAGCACGAAGATTTCGCCGTCAATGTTCCTATCGGACGAGCTCCAAAGTGCCTGCCGTTTTTTAATGAGGGGCACTATCGCCGATCAGTTTGCGACACTGCCGGGTATTTCTCTAGCAAGCTTAGAAGCCAGAAGGTCGGTCTAGTGGCGTTCACAGCACTGTCAAACAAACCCCGTTTTATGTTATCGCCGGTAAAAGAGCATCGGTCTCATGCCGTTTGGGTCGGAGTTACCAAGCGGAGGGCGTAGTTGCTGACTCAAAATTGGCGTGTGACGCCGACTCCAGCCCGGTGCTCGCCTCGTGGCGACTCTAATAATACGTTGGAGTTGCATCTCCTCAACTTCTTCAACGTTCAGCTTTATTTGGCTTTGTTCAACTCCCTGATATTTGAAATTTGGCCTCGTGTGCCGTATATTGTGATTTGAGATGTTGAATTAGCATCGTTAGTTTATCGTCTCTGTTGTTCTGACCCCGCCACACAGCTACATCATGTCGCACAAGACAATCTCTCCGCGCCCAGTGCGTTTGGCCTCGGCTTGGGCGCAGTCCGTGGCGATCCCACGACATGGCATGTGGGTTCGAAGAGTCGCTTCGGTTGCGGCAAATGGCACTTCAACCCTGCCGCCCTTGGACGAATCTCCTCCCCCAGTGCCAGCATCATTAAGGCCGAGCCCTCGGCGGAAGCTGCTCCGGGATGCCAAGCCCTTTTCGGACTTCCTCACGGACACCTTCCACCGGCAGCACGACTACCTGCGTATCTCGCTCACGGAGAAATGCAATTTGCGCTGCATATACTGTATGCCTGAGGAAGGGGTGCCGCAGTCGCCCCACAGAGAGCTGCTGACCACTCCCGAGATCATTATGTTGTCGTCCATATTTGTATCACAGGGGGTCAACAAGATCCGGCTCACGGGTGGCGAGCCGACTGTGCGGAGAGACATCCTACCTTTGATGCAGCAAATAGGGGCACTCAGACCCTATGGCCTGCGGGAGCTGTGCCTTACCACCAACGGTCTGGCGCTCCATCGAAAGCTTGAAGGCATGGTCGAGGCAGGTTTGACCGGCGTCAACCTCAGCCTCGACACCCTAGATCCATGGCAATTCCAGATCATGACGCGCCGGAAAGGCTTCGACGCGGTCATGAAGAGCATCGATACCATCTTTGAGCTCAACCGCCATGGCGCCGGCATAAAGCTCAAGATCAACGCCGTGGTCATGCGAGGAATTAATGATCGAGAGATTATCCCTTTTGTCGAAATGACCCGCGAGAAGAATATCGAGGTAAGATTCATCGAGTACATGCCCTTTGATGGCAACAAATGGAACGAGGGCAAGATGCTCAGCTATTCTGAGATGCTGGACGTGATCCGCGACAAGTATCCCAGTTTGGAGAAAGTGCGAGACCACGAGAACGACACAAGCAAGACGTGGAAAATCACCGGGTTCGTGGGCAAAATAGGCTTTATCACCAGTATGACCCACAACTTTTGCGGGACTTGTAACCGCTTGCGCATCACAAGCGATGGAAATCTCAAAGTCTGCCTATTTGGTAATACCGAGGTGTCTTTGCGGGATATTCTGAGGAAGTCGAACAATGACGAGCCCATTGAGGAGGCGGCATTTGAGGCCATGAAGAAGATCGAGATGGACCGACGGCAAGGCTTGGCCGATGCCAGCAAACCTCTCGGTCTGGCTCCAAATGAGCAGGAACTGCTGGATGTGATCGGCATGGCCGTGAAGCGGAAGAAAGAGAAGCATGCGGGTATAGGCGAGCTGGAGCACATGAAGAATAGACCGATGATTCTAATAGGTGGGTAATACTCTTGTCATTGTGCCCTAATGGACTTCACCTCTCACCACCACCACCACAAGCACCGGCGATGTCGAGAGGATATGCCACACCTGAAGATCTGACACGCAAGCATGCGAGGCCGCCCTGCTGGCCCTGAGAAGATATCGGCGGCTAAACACCTACTTGGTAGATTCAGGGGGCCAAGTGCCAAGTATGGCATCAATGCCGAACTCGTGGAGGACAATAAGATACACATCTACAGCAACGTCACTAGTTAGAGCAGTGCCTATGCATCTCTTGTCGCAAGGCCTAGACATCAACCGGCAAATACGACTATTCTCGAGCTCTCATCACCATTGCAAGGACGACACCGGCGCGAGGCTGACCCACGTTTCTGATTCCGGGTCAGCACACATGGTTTCGATATCAGACAAAACGCCCACGAAGAGAACCGCGAAGGCGGTTTGCAGCGTCAAGTTCTCCGATGAAACGGCGTTCAGACTGATCAGCGAGAACCAAATGAAGAAGGGGGACGTTCTGGGCGTCGCCCGCGTGGCTGGTATCATGGCTGCGAAGAGGACTTCAGACCTCATCCCACTGTGTCATCCAATTTCCATCTCCAAGGTTACCGTGGACCTCGCCGCCGCAAGCCCACAACCTGCGAAGCCAGGGGGTCCTGTATCCGATGCTCGAGGAAATTATCGGGTAGACATCGAAGCCACGGTTTCATGTGAAGGCAAAACTGGTGTCGAGATGGAAGCACTCACTGCAGCTTCGACGGCAGCCCTTACGGTCTACGATATGTGCAAGGCAGTTGACAAGGGCATGGTCGTGGAAGGACTTCGAGTCGTCTTGAAAGAGGGAGGCAAGTCTGGGACATGGGTTGAAGGTATAAATGAGAATCTGCCTCAACCGTGATCTGACTTAGCTGTCTATGCGACTATAATGCATCTCATTCACATGTTACACACTCAACAATCTCCAACCTTCACATGACTTCGCCTTGTACAGCCGTTGTTCGATCAGTATGCATGTCCAAATACTAGCCCACCACTCCCGGCACGTTCATAGTGCCAAGACATATTCATGCTCCAAAGAGGCGGCCACGAATGGCCGAAAGGCGAAGGCCGGTTAGCCGGATTGTCCGTGGGTGCAGTGGCGGCACTACTAAACGCTAGGGATGGGTTTGCCGTTTCTGGCCTCGAGTTGAAGAAACTCCAATCAGGACACGACGATAAGCAAATACGCAACTTGGTCCACCGACAGACCCAGGACCCTGATAAATTAAAACCACCCTAGTCGACAGGGATGGGAACTATGGATACTACGATTGACTTTTGGGGCACTGTGTATTCGAAGGGAGCGCAGGTTGGTGCGGGCGAATGCGGTGGAATAACGTTGAATGCGAGCGTGTATGGCTGCCCGTCTGTGCTGTTCAGTTAACTGCTGACAAATGCTCAGGAAGCAGTTCTGTACTGATGTTTTGGAGGCACGACTCACGAATGCATTGCCACGTGCGGGTCGCACTCCAAAAAGGCTCCGACACTCGGTGGTCGCTGAGTGGATGAAACCCCTTCAAGCTTGTGAGACTTAGTGAAGTTCGTCCAGAATTCAAGCCTTGCAATATCCAATCAGCTGAGACCTGGAGATAAAGTTGCAGACACTGGACTGCATAGTCGAGGCAACTGTGCAGCAGTAATCGTGACAGCACCAGTCGGTTGGTCGAGGCCTTCAGACGAGACGGCGGTCAACGTGAGAGCCGGCATCATCCATGTGTAAGTGTATCGTGACGTACGTTGTTAGCCAGAGTGGTTGCCCAAATATTGAGATCTGACGATGGTGACAGGCAAGGTTCGCCTCGTCTTCCTAGCGAGGAGGGCACAACTTCGAGGAGCCGAAAATGTTGACTTCGAATTCCCCATCGACCTCGGATTCGGTTGGTGGAGCATTGCGAAGAAGGTATTCTCTTACCAAACAGAATCCATCACTGAGCGAAGGCTACCGCCGTTTCGGGAAGTCAGGCGCGTGTAACGCAGTGTCCAATACACTGGAGTAGACAGAAGTGGGTTTGGATTTGGCTATTTGGTAAGCGAGCATGAAATATCGTCACTTTGCAGTTTATACCGCAAATCCCTAGCGCAGTCGGGCTCTGAAGACGCGACAGTCATGCTCTGCCGCTGCTTATGCATCCTAATAGAAAGTAGCTTGAATGCTCTGGAAGCGCCTGCTGCTGTGCAGCTGCGTGGGGAACTGATGGGGATGATGGACTGCAGTGGAATTTTGAGTTTGCTGGCAGCTTGCTTGCTCGACATCGTAGCTTCGTTGCCTTGGCCAGGATGTGAACATCGCGATTTGAGAATATCGATAAGAAAAAAATTGAGCCCAATCCAGCCAATGGCCAGTCATGTTCTTGGATTTCGAACTTCTAGTGTAATGACGCACAGCACTGACGTTAGCCGGCCTGCTCGTCCAGGTATCATAGGCTTTCCGACGGACGGCTGGAAATGGTTACAATCGAGCGCGGAAATGCAGCTTCTTGATCGTCTCGAAATGGTCGGGGCCAAGACTCTCTCGCCAATCGTGCCCCTCGAGGGGCGACGTATTCGAGTCGGCTTGAATGCGACGACGATGCTCTATTGCCGTTTCGGGGTGCAGTGATCGGGACATGCGAGACTGCTGCCCATGGCCCTCGAAAACAAGGATGGTACTGTACTCGGGCTACGTCAGCAGCCGTCAAACCATCTCGTTCCGAATCGGAGGGATCTTGAACCCAGCCTATCAACGCGGATCCAATCTACTTTAGACTATCATTAATTACAGGACAACGCGGCCAAGCAGCTAACTGAAGCGATCAAGGCAACACTTTCTCGGAAGTGATCGTCTTCCACAGTTCCGCTCTCGAGTTCTAGTCGGTATTCGTCGATAGTTGCTGAGGACGATGCTGGGCGTACAGTACAATACCAATACCATAATAATAGAACGGACATCGTGCTCCGTCATTGTCCAGAGACGGTTCCGACGTCGCATGCAGCGGCTGTCGGCCCTCAGTCAACGGCGGCGAGGGATAGGATGGCATGCGTCCCAGTCCAGAAGGGCTCCAGCCATGTCAGTGTATTGGCAGCATATCGAGACGGGCCAAAACGACTGTGCAGATGGACTGTGGAAACGGGCGGGCTTAGAAATAGCAGGATCCTGGTTAAGAACCACATTAAGTGGTCCCCACCGCCAATTACTATTGGGAGATGCACATTGGACACGCGACAGAGTCCCAGCTGAGTGAGAGATTGGCCGTCTAGAGCCAGATCGCTTCGGTTGCCGTCATATGAAGCACAGTGCACACAGTGGCAGCAACTGAGACGACTGACTAGGACCCCGTCGAGGGTCTCGCAGAATACTCCTCTTGGACCGTTGGACGACGAAGGGACCCCCAGCTCAATATCGTCGTTGCTGCCGCTGTCGCCGGCCGACGGGTTGATGGGGTTATTATTGACCTTGTGCTCGTGTGCCCGCCCATCCCACTCTCACCTCATCAACCTTCCCTCTCTATCTAATCGTAGTACACTAAAGCTTCTTATCCATTGCTCCAAGCCGTCCTCTGTCCCTTACCTGCTCTCACCTGCCTCAACGATCAATCGATTGACTTGCCGTTACCCAGGTCGAGTCGATGCTTATTGTTGTCGGTGTGGGACTTACACGAGTCAACCCTGTCGACGCTTGATCCTTATCTTGTGGCTGAACGTTGTTCGCCCATGAGCAAGACTTGGAGACACAGCATACATACATAGCACCATTCTCACCCGCCCAACCTGACACCAGTAGACCTTCCGACGATACCCAGACCCCCCCTTTCACACTTGGCCACCTGCTTACCTCAAGTGCCGGCTTACGTGGAGCTTACTTGGCTTTCGAAGGTGATTTCGAAGACCAGTCGAAGTGAGGTAGTTGTGCAATAAATCGGACGGACCCTTGATTTTCATCTTTGTTGTTCGGCATCTCGCGACAGAACATCCGACGAGCGCCTCCGTGGAGCGAAAACACAAAAGCACCACCACCACTACGCAGACTTCCTAGCTTTCGAGACGACAATCGCAACAGCTTACATACCCTTTTTGTGGTCGCATCGCACACGAGAGAAGAAGGGCGTCGAAAAGGAGGGAGGATGGCGACCGATTTTATAATGCCCCGGCTGCCGGAATCGCAGCAACCACACGCATTCTACTTCAACAAGTCGCAATTGCCGGGGTTCCAGTCGCAATCGCAATCACAGCTGTCGATGCACAACTACCAACACGACCCGCCGCACAGCAGCAGTGGCAGTGGCGGCAGTGGCAGCCGACAAATTTCCCCCCTCAGTACTTCACATTCCAACAACGCGTCGCCTACCTCGCCCAAGTCATACCATGGTCGCCAGCTGCGGCCGCTCTACATGCCTGCAGTCTTGCGCCCGACCGAGCACTCGTCCAAGAAGAACCCGAGAAAGAAGGCGGAGGGCCAGTACGACGATGAGCACATGAGGAGTAACGGCAGCTTCATCAGTATCAGTGGGCTGGGTGCGTTGGGCCGCCTGAGTCGACGCTCGACCGGCGACAGCGGCAAGTGTATGGACAGTGAATGGAATCTCGACCTGTTCCCGAAACCCACCGCACAACCTACACGAGTACACTGGAAGGTAAGCCTAACAATGTCTCATCTGCAGCCCTACATTGTGCGACCCGCGCAATGTGGGACGTGTTCTCCGTTCGTAAACACCACAAGTCAACTAACCTGCATCCCCCTATGACAGCCAGATAACGAGTCCACCATCTGCGACGAGCCCTCCTGCATGCGCAGCTTCAGCTACTGGAATCGACGGCATCACTGCCGTAAGTGCGGCAATATCTTCTGCGACGCGCACTCGTCCTTCGATATCCCGCTCGACCAAGACGCCCAGTACAACCCCAAGGGCGCCATCAGCAGAGCTTGCGGCCATTGCCACTCGGAGTTTAGGGTATGGCGGAGCCGCACCAACAGCCAGGCATCCAGCGACGGGTCATCGGTAATCCGAGATTTGCAATCAATGCCTTCTACCCCGATTGCCTCGACGCCCGGCAAAATCCAACCTCATCCGGCCGAGATCGCCGCCAGCGTACCTCGAGACTGGAACTGGAGCACATTCTGAGAGTGACTTGGCTATCCATACGTTAAAACCACAAGAGGTAACAACCACGGGAGGCAACGATCCCATTCGACCGGATGACCTTTGCCCGTCCCTCAGCCCTCACACCAACATCGAGCCTACCTTACCAACCATATTCCCCTCAGTTGGCAAATAAAGCATACGAAGCATCCTCCGAGCCACGAACATGACGACCGAGAGAAACAACCATATAGAATAGAAAAGTACGGGTTTAGACTGAAATACCGCGGCGGTCGGACTCGCGTGGGCGCGAATCTTTGTGTGTTTTTGCCCGTCCGCATCGATGGATATTCCCCGAAGTAATTCGATTACGATGATACCCCCGAGCTTTTGTTTCGAGCTCGAGAATGGGTCGTTTGTGCTTTTTTGTCTTGCTTAATCGAAGCGAACGAATCGGGGTTACGACGCTAACGAACCGAAAGTCAGTTATTATGTCTTAGATACTAAGTCGTTATTACGGAGTGCAGGAGGAACAGAAGAGAAGGAGAGCATTTGCTGGGCTTCCTTTCGAAGTTCGTTGATCGGTTGATGGAATGTACTCTAGCATAGCAGGCAGGATGGAACGCGTCTTTGACGATTTTTGTTTTAGCGCGTAGTTATACTGGAGACTGGACTCGCTGGAGCGTGGTCAAACCCTGGAATAGGATGTTCGATGCGGCTGTAGAGAAGGGGAGAATGACTGATGCGAGGCGTTAGGAGTGAAGCAGCGATGGGATTTTATCTGCATTTGGTGCGTTGCGAGATTATTGCGACATCGCGAAGGCCTCATCGGGATGAGAGGCGGACAGCAGCAAGAGGATTGATTGCATTGGAGAGGGTCGTTTTGATGAGAGAGCCTACCTTCCCTGGCAGCCGAATGCTCGACCAAGGGAGGAATGCCAACTTGAAATACCTGAACAATAATTCTTCAAAGCCCAGGCATCTGGCTTTGTTCTGTGACAAGGGTTCGCCTTACGACTTACGTAGAATCATAGACTAACGCTAGTGTTGATATTTCATGTTACATGATCCCTAATGTGCCGAGAATGAGAGAGGTACGGTCTAAGGGGAAGCTTCTTCGAATACGATGCCTATGGCTACTCCGGACAATTCTAGCTTATTCTCAGCTAACTGCGTTCTCACTGCTCTCGCACTTAGCCATGTGTGTATACAATACCTGTCTGTGGACAAGAACAGTTCGGCGTATATATTGGTTGGAACTTAAAACCGATGTGGCGTCTACAATAACCGCACCATAACATAGAGCCTGAACTGTATGAAAGAGATTTTTCTTCGTTGATAATATTCGATTAGTATCAGTATACGACGGTCCATGCCAGCTCTGATGTCTAGATACACATTCCAAGTAAACTCGTCAAACTTTTTGCGCCGACCCGGCCTATTTGTTTAACCCTCCAAGTTACTGCAAATGCTCCTCCGTCCCAGCTACACTTCCTAGTGTCCCTCCTCTACCAGTGACCAATCATGGTATACTGGTCTCTGGAAACAATGCTGTGACTCCAATGCATTCCCCGTAAACGCCCCGATCATTTCTTTTTTCTTCCTCAACGTCTACTGTCCCACAGCCGTGACCTTGGAACTTGCCAGTTTAGATTCATCAATACTTCTTACCGTTGCCGTTTGCCCTCGGTACGTTGAGGTTCGTTCGATTTCGCAACACCCTGCTGGCACTGCCACTAGCGTCAATGGGCTGTTCATCTTCCTCCTCGTCGATGACGGCCGACTCGCCGCTCTGACCGTACACCTCCTTCTCAATGCTCCTAGCCGCGTCCCAGCCTGCCTTCTCAGCTGCCAGCATGGCATTGCTAAGCCGTCTGTCCTCGCTACCACCGCTTTTTCGTGCAGCGCGTGCTCGGGCTGCCTCGGCATTGCTGCGCTTGACGTAGCTCGCGATGAAAAAGGAGACAAACAGATAGGTCAATGGTGCCAGATACAGGACATTGAGCCAGATAGCGAAAGTGGCACCAGACGTCGTGATGCAAGGAGTCTTTTGAAATTGAATCTCGTAGGCCGAGGATGAGATTGCGCTGGTCTCGTTGTCGCCTGTAGACACGATAGCAGCTCCGTTGGCCGCCTCGGCTGCTCCAAAGACAGCTTTCTTAAGGGAGTCGAGGAGTCCTGCGGCGGCGGTCGGGGTCGTGGTCGCGACAGAGACAATGCTCGATGCTGCTGCGGCCGCGGACTGGATGGGGACCTGCACTGGGACCGTGTAGTAGACGAAAGAGTGCACCATGGCGTAAGATGCGCCAATGAGGAATTGGGTGATTTGCAGAGTGGTCAGCGTGCGCTTGATCAGTTGAGGTACGCGGATGTTGAAGGCGGTGATAGTATAGTAAGTGTACTACTCTCACGTTAGCAACCCACCCAGTGGTAATCTGACCGCACGATTTTTGCAACTCACCATCATTGCATGGATTCCCGAATTTACAAAGACAAACATCCAGATGGGCGCAGACATGAAGCGCATGCCGGCCCACATGCACATCATTGCACCGGCGTGGTGGTATGTCTGGAGGGTCGAGCTAAGTCTGCCCTTGGCGAGGATGATAAAGGTGTCAAGGACCTCGTAGAACTTGCTCAGGTAGAAGATCCACCCGTAGAAAGCCAGACCATCGTTCCAGAGTCTTCCAACATCAACACGGCTGGGAGCTCCCTCGCTGGTAAGATACGAATTGCCAGAGCCAGTCTCCCATTTGCTTTGTTCCTGGTTGTACGTGATGGCATTGCCGATTCCACCTGTGCCATGGAATTTGCAGAAGCTGTCTACGGTCCCTGCCAGGCCATTGGGTCCGCTCGGGCTCACGATAGAGCTGCGCAATGCCACAAACATGCCCCAGAACGTCCATGCCGAATACACAGCTAGGAACACGTTGTGTAAAACAACGAACAATCGGAAAGCTCGAGTCTTGCTGATTGCCCACGGCTTCTTGCCAGTCGACTGGTTGTAAGAATTCAGCAGCTTCGCGCTGACCGCGTACAGGAAAGCAATGGTGATGGGCACCTTGGCGTCCAATGCCGACTGATATAAACCATCTGGGATGGTGATGCCGAGAGGGGCGGCGAAGTGTGGCGGCGGTATTGGTTGCGGCTCCTCTGGCAACGGCCAGAAGGTGAAGAGGGATCCCGCCGGTTTGTCGAGGTATACGGAGGGCGAGGATGCCATTGTGAGATGTACGTGGTTCCAGGAGCGGCTCGCTCGTGGAGGGGTAGGATGGAGGCTCTGACGTAGTCGTCCTGTTGTGGATTGCGAATAGCAGGAGTCAAAGCTGATCACGCGGTATAGACCAGCTTAGAAAGAGGCCGTGCGCCCACACTTGGATCTACTAAAGTAGTATCACGAAGGAATGTAGCAAGTCGTTCAGTAGAACATTAGAAGTGAATTGAGAGAAGGTAGGCTATTGTCGAAAACTCTCTACCTTGACAGAAAAAGAGGCAATGGCTGCAAGAGCTTTACACGAGATAGAAAGAGAAGAAAGGATCCTCAACAGCTTTGAATAATTTTCGGAGGTTGTGTCTGTGTGCCGTCAAGGGACGCATGTACTTTATGTGGATGAGCGGAATGCACATCGGTCAAGAGGTGCGCTTTCGTCAGAAGGCGCCATGGGTCCAGATTCAACGATCGAGTTGAGGGTGCCCCATTGGTCCCCCCAAAGGAGCGGGCTCCGTTGTGCTTACCTATCTGAGGTGGTATAGCAGACTGGTTTGCCAGGGTATGATGGCATAGGACGTCCCTAGGCGTGCCATGTTGCCGTTCTCTTTTTTGTTGGTGCAATTTTGATACAACTCAAAAAGAGAAAGCACCGCTAACCTCGCAGCCTCGGTAACCTTTTGACAGGCATGATGCTGTCTCGCGGGCCAATCAAATCGGGGTCAGCTTTCTCTAAACGGTTGTGTCAAAATGAGCAGGTACTTCGTACCACCGCACTCATTTCTGCAATTCGAGGCTACATGGACCTGTTGATGGTAAGACATGTAGCTCCAAGATAAAACACCAATGATGACAGCTAGACAAGCCAACGCTTCCGTATGCTTTGACAATAGCACTGCGTTTCATGTCTCCTTCATCTGTAAGTCGCAGACAATTGCACTTTGAAGGAACCCAGGGACAAGATTCAACAGTGACATCTGTGACCCCACACAACCGCTAGGCGGGAAGATCTCTAGCTTGCATGCGTGATGTGCAGTCCCTGAAAGCCATCAATGCGGGGCAACAATATTTTTGTTGGGAACCAGGTGGCGCATATTCCATCGTTGTCACCAATGTCACAATGACGCAGTTTGCTGCATTTCCAACACTTCGAGGTGTCTAGCATGAACTGCACGGCGGAACGTCTAGACAGGTTTGTTTCAAGGTTCATGAAGCCATTGGCCGGCCGTGTACACTACCTATCCGAACCGAAAGGATGGAACGTGTCTGATAAGGACTTGTCTTCGTTGTTGAAGCCGTGCAGCCGGGCACAGCCGATGATGTGTGGACCCCGCGATTCCAACTACCCCTGCCTTGGTACGTGTCCAGCGAGCTTTCTTGGGACAAAAGTTGTTCGTTCGAAAAACCAGCATTGTGCTGGGGGCAACCCTTGTTTAGGGCCTCAGATGCCATTTGGGATATATTGTATGATAGCCATTTGTCTCCAACCGCTGGAACAATCGTCACCGAGTTATGTGCATCGTCGTTGAGGGAAACTTCGTAAATCTTGATGAGACAGACTTCTGTCAATGCTGCCCCTCGTCCTCAACAAACGGGACATAAGTGGATCTCGTCGGGCTTCAAGGGTGCAAAGGTCGTAGCCCTCGGTATCCAAGTCATTGTCACATGCCCGAGACTTTTTTTTTCAATGTATTGAGTTGGTAACCGTCGGAAATTTTCATTCTACATGTTCGATGGAGCAAGTCTGTTGACATTTGGCGGAGGCTCCTTGTTTGTTGATGAGGCTATCACATAATAACCATGATTGGGTAGTATGTATGTGTGGAAAGTTGTGGCCTCAGGTACGAGGCAGGCAGGCAGGCAGGCGTTGCAGTATTTAGGGACCCCTCGGGGCCAACTTGCCCCTACCACCGTTAGGTATAGCTGGCAACGGTTACAATACCTACCCGAATTGAACAGCAGTGGAACCCTATCAAATGAAACAGGCGGTATTGACGCAACTTATAACTGACTATTGAACCCGAATTCCAGGTCTATTCGCTAATAGGGCTAGCTACGTAGTAGTCCCGGCGTAGAGTAAAATTATAACGATATTTTACTACCGCTTTCATAAGTAGAATCCGCTACTAGGACCTTTATTTACATATCTTACCATTTGATACGAAAAGGTAGGGGGACCCACTGGTTAGGTGAATCAATCCCCCTACCTTTTCGTATCAATCCGACTCGACGGCACGTAAATTTTGTCCTAGCTTAACGTAGTTATTAGGGCCGTATACTGAACGAGAGCAAGCTTAGTATGTTGTTAATAGCCTGCTACTAGCTCTCTAATAAACTCAGTCTACTTCGCGTCTATTTTAAAACTTTTGTGCGAGGATGAAGCTATATAGTGATTGTAGACTGTTACGCGAATTTTCATATTAGTATAAGTAGTTCCAATTCTTACAAAGCCTATCTATAACTTTATCAGCGTTTTATAGAGGCAAACTATTCGAGGTAATAACGAATGGAATATATCAAACGTAGAATAAATAGGCTATGTTACGCTATTGCTGATTATGTACGAAGATGTAGAACATTATTAACTTTAGCGTTGTGATGGGGTGACGGTGACGACACAAATTTCAAGAATTGGGTTGTCCATGCCTACATGGGATGAACTTCATTGAGTGAAGGTCAGTTAGTCTGTCTATTGAATGACAACTGTAGCCAGTCATGCCTGAAAATGAATGATTGAGTACTCTTGGATATGCTAGATTGTAAACCCCCACTCAGCATGAACTGAATGTGCAAGGGGGGCTTGTCCATTATAGTTGAAATAGACCCACGCCTTGGATACCACTAAACACTGCGGCCTACAACATCAAATTGTTCTACCGCAATTTTCTGGCTATGCTCACAAATGCAAGACGTAATTTTGTGGGGTTTGGCATCGAGTATTAAACTGCTTTGCGTTGCCTCATTAGGCATCACCAGCCTGAAGGCATGCCGTCACTCTAGTAAGGCGCTGTATACTCTACGTAGCCGCAAGCCCGTGGCTGTCTTGGAATATCACTTGCTCCTAGGCACTTTCTATTTTATTCTATTCTCAACGTACATATCACAATACCGCGCAACTGTTTCGGTATATCGAGCTGGATGCAAGCTGTATTATTGACGATGATGATGATCAGACTGACTCCCAGGAATCTGCAGCTATGGAAGGGCTATCCATGGGCAATCAGTCCAAGCGCTACACCCAGCACCCAGCTGGTGTGTGCCTGGGACACGCAACACAAAGTACACTCGGTGTTGATGGATTGACGTGAGACGTACCTAACCCCTAACCCAGTAGTACCAAGTTGCACGTAGGCGGTCTTGATCACAACCACTACGGTTTTTCCCAATCGGAATCAACAGCAACTGTAGTTCGGGATCCGGGAAGTATCGCAGCTTTCCATCTCATCACCCTCTCATCGGATGTTCGGAAATTGGTTTCGTAAGTTGTAGTCGTACCCTTGTCGTAGCAAACTTGGAGCACGGGCCGTTTTCTCCAGCAATATCGCGGCTTCAGATCGTCGTCGACTTGCCACATCATCTAACGAATAGAGGAGCATATACATCCAAGCTCTTGGCTGTTCAGGCACCAAGACCTCGGGTTTGTCATATGTTCATCGACTGAACTCAGGGGTGCCGAGGATGAAGATATAGCATGGCGTCTTTGCAAACGTAGACACCTTAGATATTCACCGTCATCTACCAAATCCTTACAACTACACTCCCCGATCGTGTATTAGTTAATCCAAACAGTAGTCATCGGCCAAAATGGGAGTGACATCCCACCTCGCAGCTCCGCTGCCGACTCCGCTTCCGCCTCTGGATGACGGAGGTTATTGGAAAGACTCAACATGGCAGGTCCTCTTCGCGCTCCTGGACGCTGCGATCCCACCAATAGTTGTCGAGACGGCGTTGACCGACAAGAAGAACCAGCTGAAGATCTCAGAGGAAGAATACAACGAATCGTACGCACATGTCCGGGAAGCGTTGACGCACCCGCCAGATCTGGACAAGTTCAAGGAGTACCTACGCGCTAGGCCATCTGACAACCCGCGGTTTCTGCAGAACGTCAGGCGTGTTATAGCCACGACCCCGGACTCGGCGAAGAAGAAACTGGAGGGTGCGTTGAATACGATGACGTGAGTCTGGCGAAGCCGGGTACGGGAATGCCAGCTGACTGGGCGTAGGACGCGGACGGGGAGTCTCTTCTTCACTGGATATTGCACGCCTGTTCAAGACCAGCCACTGCATATTCGCCAAGCGGTCCTTCAGTCGTGGACGAAGTCCTACTTCGGAATTTGGCCCATCCTAGCAAAGTCGATTATCGCTCTTGCGAGAAAGGCTTTCAGCCAAGCTGATCCACTGTACCAGCAACTGATAGACTACACGGATCACCCTGATAGCTACAGGCCAGGACCCGGGTTCGATTTCAAGTTCATGCAATTTGACAATTCTGAAGAACCGGCGACGGTCGAAACGGATGTGGTGATAGTCGGTTCCGGTTGTGGAGGCGCGGTGTGCGCTAAAGTCCTTGCTGAAGCCGGCCACTCCGTCCTCGTAGTCGACAAGGGATACTATTTTCCTCCTTCACAACTACCGATGAATCAGGAATCGGGCAGTCACTTCTTGTACGAAGGCAACGGGCTCATCCAATCTGATGACACCTCTATGGCCATCCTTGCTGGGAGCTGTTGGGGTGGCGGAGGCACTGTGAACTGGAGCCTGAGCCTACAGACCCAGGGATTCGTGCGACAAGAGGTGAGGTTGCGCCAGTAGGCGAAATATTCCACATGAAACACGGGCTCTGCGTTCAGAGCGTTGACCTCGGCCTGTTCCTTCGTATTGACTTGGAGAACGAATAACTAATTCCGAACGGTGCAGTGGGCTAATCAAGGGCTGCCATTCTTTGCAACAGCCGAGTTTCAGAGGTGTTTGGACCGGGTCTGCGAGTACATGGGAGTCAGTGATGCACATATACGACACAATCATGGGAGCGAGGTGATTCTCAATGGATCCCGAAAGCTCGGTTGGATGGCGAAAGCGGAGCCGCAGAATACAGGTGGACAAGAGCACTACTGCGGACAATGCCACTTTGGATGTGGCTCAGCCGAAAAGCAGGGCCCAACGGTAAGCTGGCTTCCCGCTTCTGCAAAGGCTGGCGCAAAATTCATCGAAGGGTTCCATGCCTCCAAGGTGCTCTTCAGTGAGGAGTCGGGAGCAAAGACGGCAATCGGTGTAGAGGGAACCTGGCTCGCGCGGGATAAGGACGGAGGGGTGAGCACGCCCGAAGCAAACCGCGTTCAAAGGTCTGTCCGTATAATGGCAAAGAAAGTGATTGTTTCGGCTGGTTCCTTGCAGAGTCCGTTATTGCTGCAAAGGAGTGGCTTGAAGGTGTGTCCGATGCCACCAAATGCCGGAACGTACTCTGATAACATCTAGAACCGGCACATTGGGAGGAATCTTCACATGCATCCATGCAACTACGTGTGCGCCCGGTTTCATAAGGATATCAAACCGTGGGAAGGCGGCATCATCACGAGCATCTGCTCGACATTCGAAAATATGGATGGCAAGGGGCATGGAGTGAAGCTGGAAACGATGAACATGGTGGTATGTGCTCCTCCGACCATCAATGATACGAATCCTAATATTATAAACAATGACCAGCCCTATGTCATGATGTCAAACTTTCCTTGGACCAGCGGTTTGGACTTCAAAATCGACGCGCTGAAGTACAGAAACATGAATGGCTACATCGCATTGACGAGAGACCGTGATTCTGGTTATGTTTTCCCAGACCCTGTTTCGGGCAGCCCTCGAGTCGTCTACAGGGCTTCCGATTTTGACCGCGCCAACGCGATGACGGGCGTCATCGCTCTAGCTAAACTATGCTACATCCAAGGCGCCGAGGAAATATGGGCGTTCATACCAGGGACGCAACCCTTTCGGCGCAGCAAGCCCCGGGACGTTGAAGGTGAAAAGATGGACCACGGGATTAACGACCCGAGCTTTGTAGCCTGGCTTGAGTCGGTTGAGAAAGCGGGCAACAAGCCCCCGATCACGCCGTTCGGGTCAGCGCACCAGATGGGGACTTGCAGGATGGCGAGCTACGAAGGAGAGGGTGTCGTGGATTCTCACGGCAAAGTGTGGGAGACGCGGGATCTGTACGTTGCGGATGCGAGCGTGTTTCCCAGCGCAAGTGGAGTTAATCCTATGATAACGAACATGGCTATTTCGGACTGGATTGCGAGGGGTATAGCGAAGGAGTTGTCGCTGGAGAAGGATAAACAGTGAAGTCACACTGCAAGCCGCGAGACCAGCTTGTTGGATTGACGGGGACACTTCTGGAAGCACCGTCTCCTACAGGGTTTGCAAGCGGGGATATTCTACTTTGTTTCAGGAATGAGAGAGATTTATGCAGCTGTATGTATGTTTCGAGTTCCATACTCTGCTCAATGTCTATATATACCGTGTACTATTTATGCACATCCATATGCCTGCCAACTGCCAGAGCAGTGACCGCACGTTGCCTGTCAATGTTTCACGAGCGTCTGTCGGTCATGAACAGGTACCAGTACAAAACAGTGTGGCACAGACCGACGAAACCTCCCCCATCCCATGCCATATCCGGGAGTCATTCCAAGATCTCTCCCAGAAAACTCCCCAGCGAATATCGACAGGAAACACCCAGCCAACTCCAATCTATGAACCTGGTCGCACACGTGTTCGTTGCCGCCACCCCTTCCACCGTGTCACGACACGTACGATTGATATATTTGATGAATAAGAAAGACGTACGGAGAACCTCAGCGCCGATGCCGGTAGCCGCTGCAGTTCCTCTCTTGGTCCTCGGACGTTCGGCGGCAGGCAAGAATGGGCGTGGGGTTGGAGTTACACTACGTTTTTCGACCGAGATCAGCAGCGGTGCGTCATTTCGAAAAGGGCGAGGTTAACCGAGATCGTCGTGGTTGGAAGAGGGTAAGGATGAGAAAAGGAGATGAACGAGGAGGATAAGGATGAGAAGCTACGCCATCACGTGGACGAGCGTGCTGCTGCGCGAGAGCTGAACTAATGCAGGTTCACGACATCGTTGCTGCCCATATAGACAGGTTGCGGGGGCGAGCGATTCGAGTAGAGTTGGTGGCGGACAGACAGGAATAAGCTGTTCGTGATGTCGAACTGGTCCCACATGTTTTGATTCACTACCCATGACGATGGACTGGGTTGAAGAACCACTATACGAATGTCTCAACTTGGCACTCGGAAACTACCGGATATCGACGACCTAGTCGCCCACAGATAGACGCTTACGGGTCTAAAAGCAACGAGGCGATGTACTCATGGGCACAAGCATTAGACTTCAAATATACGTAGTGGGAATCTTAACCCAACATATGGCCACGTCCGCCGTTCTCCCGTCGCAGACGCCAGGCTTCCCCGGTCCACCGGCGCGGGAATTAGTCTGATAACCAACTTGCTTTGTCGCTGGACGCCGGAGCAAGTCAGCTAGCTACTTATGCAGCTAGCTGAATGGGCCAGGAACTACTGCCGCTGCAGACTTACGCCATGAAGCGGGTTCGTGCTTAAGCTTCGTATTCCGTCTGGGGGAATCCGGCAATGCGCGTATTTATTCGTTGAAACTGGTTTTACAGTACATGCATGTAGTGTCTCTGCAGCTGAGAGAAAGCATCCCAATGTCTGAGGCACTCAGGTTTGATGCTTGACACTTGTCATGAACAGGCAGCGAACGAGCGCTCGCTTAGTACACACCCTTGAGTTTGAAAAGAAATTCAGCTTCGGCTGCGACGCGGCATCGCACGGCCATTCATTACCTGGATGTTCGTGTCCGTTCAGTGACGTCTAACGGGACAGAGGCAAAGCCGGCAGGGCCGAAGATGGGCAGTGTCCCCTCCCTTTGACCATGTCAAGCAGGATGGCCAACGCCTTTTCTACGACATGACGACAGGCTGTTCGTTGAATCGCGATATTATGGTACAAGGCCGGACATTTTGCTGTCTTCGCTGAAGCCTGGGTGGGAGTATGGCCCTGCACGCCCATTTGACGAACGACTATCCGAGTCTGCGCTTTGATGAGCAGCGCGGTGCCATTGCATCAAGGCTGAAAGAACGCTCCCTAGGGCCGCACCTGTCCGGCCGCCATGTTTTGGTTGGGTATGTGTAAGTGTACATTGCCTGCCTGCCTGCCTCGGATGGATACTGCCGTATCCGTAAGAACCCCTTCTGACTCGGCAGTTACGGGTATATGGTATATCAAACCTCAGAAATGGATCAAGTTCTGACCGCTTGTTGCTAATATAGCGTGGTTGTATCCCTAAAGCTTATTTCAAGTGACGAAGACTCGAGTTGACTGTACTGGAGTTGACTGTTCTGAAGTTGGACTAGCCGAACAGCCCGCATCGCAGGCAGGGAAGATTAGGAGGTGTGGAGTATAGATACTACGGTCAGCAACATCCCTAATTCGGAGTTCGGTAAGCAGACAGATAGAGCGGGCATGGAAGGAAGAAAATAGGTTGATTGACAAAGTAGAGTTCGACTTGTCCGGGATAGTAGCCTGTCCAACCGTAGGCTGCCCATTGCGATGCTGCGTTGAACTCAATTCCCCAAAGCCTTACCCAGAGTTAGATGCAAATTGGGCCATTTCAGTCCCGGGTAGAAACAATATTTTCAAACTGTGCACTCGGATTGGCTGGCGTCACAACGTTCGGTGTCCGAGATAGTCTGGCAATAACAGATGCAGACTCGGCAGTGGCCGTCTTTAGCTGCCTTGCCCCGTATTCATGGGAGGCTAGTGTGGCTTTTCGTATTCAAGCCAATTACGCCGTTTCCTGTACCCGGGCTTTGTGGGCTTTGGTTATTGACATGTGAACAAGATGCAGTTGTGAGGCGAGCCTGGCCTCAGCCGCAGATTTGGGGAGGAGATCTCCGTGTGATAAGTCACTCGATTGACAAGTCATCCGTTCGGCCTGTGTTTATCTTCTCGGCCAAGGAATGAGACACAATAGTTGCTGATGACGGCTGGAATGGTAACATTGTCGTCAGATTGAGTGCAATGCCTCGAGCTCGACGCGGACGGCAAAGTTCTGACACAACCACAACAGACCCCTTAAGCCTCCATGCATATCCTGATTCAACATGTACAGCCTTGAATTACCCCTCTCTCCATGGTAACACAACACCATTGTTTCTTCCAAATACGTGACCGGCCCTAGCGACCCTGGGGCGCAGTCAAACAACGTACCGTCTTATTCTCCCTTCTACCTTCCTTCGAGGTAAAGCGTCAGCTCGCAGGGGTTCTCCACAGCTTCTAGAAAAATTAACAGCATGATCCCGGAGCCGACAGAGCCGGGCCCAAATCTGAATCTGACGTTTCGGATTTGGTATGTTACCTCCCGCTGCTCACAAGAGAAGCAATGTTCGGATGTCATGGGAAAATATGGTATTGCCGCTGATTGGTGTCTCCCAATCGGTTCCAGCTGACAACAACTAAACGCGTTTCTTGGTGCCTGGATAGATGACATCCGTCCGCAATGCAGATAGGCTAAGTCACAAGGTGATGAGGAACTGCGGAGGCAGGGTGAGTTTTACGGGTATTTGTTCGGATTAACTACTACGTAGATGACAAAAAGAACTCTTTGGTTTGTTGATGCGAAGATGCCGCCAGGGAATCCGCCAACTCACCACCAGAAAAACCAGCATCTCATGCCACAGTAAACATCCGGCTGACCACCTGCGCCGCAGGTGATCCCCTTGTGACTCCCTTTCTCAACCCCGACAGTCAAGTGGGAGTGATTGAGGTGTAGTGAGATGAGCTACAGTTGCCGCATTCCATTTCCCTGGCCCTCCAGCCCGTCGTCTCGCGTCCCGTTGGGCCCCCGCATGCGCCCAATGCCCCTTCCAGCCGAAGCCGGCCGCTAAGTCGAGCGTTGCCTAGAGCTTCCCATCCCCCTACTCGCTGAAAAGAGCCAAACTCGACGCTGCGTTTTTTTTGGTGAATCTGCCTGCACGAACCGTCAGGTAGATGAGGCCAATGTTGAGAGAGCCAGGGAGAATTTCGGCGATGACGGCGGTAAAGGGCCATGCATCTCCCTGCCCAGCAGAAAATTTTGTGTAATAATGCCCAGCTTTTTCTTTTTGCGCGTGTGATTTCTCCCCACGCTTCAAGTCCCGTCTTGCATTCCGGATGGTTCCCCACGATCTTGCCACGGGAGGTTAGTCACGGAAGCGTAACCTTGGTGCATCGACCACTAGTGTCTGCCTTGACTGCATCATCACGGATGTGCGTCGCGGCTACGAGATGAGTCACAGAATCGACCTAACGATTGGATGATGCATATTCGTGGATCCAGTCCCGCATTTTCCTCCGAATCCGTAGTCGCTCGATCGGCTTTTGTTCGAAGAGAAGTGCCAACATCAAGTTGGACGGGGTTCTTTCGTGTGAAAAGTCGTCGTGAGGTTCGTCGGGTATTCGTCATTAGGTCATCCGTTAACTCGTCGGTCATGAAACCAAGGCCTGGGAAACGAAAAGGAAACTTGAAGCGAGCACGCAGACCGGAGAGTTTGTCGTCCAGGGTCGCGGTTGGGGGGTATCTTCTCTAAAGAAAGCCGCTTTATGCCGTATGTATGCCAGATGAAAACAAATTTGGGAATCCAGAAAACCAAGATATGCCTGTCCCGGTCGCTGCCGGGCGTGGGTGGGTGTGCATTGCTGCTTATACCTCTTATTTTAAAACGCAAAACAGGAAGAAAACCCGGCCTTCCATGACTCAAAGACCTGCCCTGTTGTAAATGCAAATCAGAAATCCACCCTGTTCCAGCCATGTTGAGAGGAGAAAAAGGAATAAGCCCGTGACCGAGCTGGCGATTGTGGTTCCTCAAAAACAGACGCTCGCTCGCTAAACATTGACCCAAAAAAAACCAAAAAAAAAAGGAAATCGATAATATCATGTATGCTGGGAGATTTTTTCGGTGTGTCCAGAGTCGCTCCGGGTCGACGATGCAGAACGCCGATATGCCTTTGGATGTGACAAGACTCTACGCCGCGAATGCCGTGTCCGAAGCGAGGAAATAAAGACCGCAACAGCTTCTGTTATTGCGACCATGCGATCATGGAGGGTGGCTGTCAGTCTTTGGTGGACGGTGGTTGTCACATTGTCGCCGCGTACTCCTGGAACCTGCTGTCCCAACCAAAACCACCATATCCCACGCTGACACCGCATTGAGGCGCCAGCATGCTAGGCAGCGGAAGCGCTGGTATGGGGGCGGAGGCCATTGATGAGCTGTAGAACAACCCGGCAGAGGAATAGGGTTGGCTGTAGGAAGGTGTCGGTGAGGGTAGTTGAACTTCGCTGAAAGCCATGTTGGCCCATATCGGTGTGTTGGACTCTGCCGAAGATGTGACGCTGGGACTCGAGGGCAGCACACGCCAGGCCTCAACCGGTGCAGGCAGCGCGGGTGACGGAGTTGACTGGGACCATATGCTGCCAACCGGGGAACTGGGCAGCAATGGGGGCTGTCGCACGACATCCACGATCCTCGGGGGCGGCGGTAGAAGGGGCTTCATCAACCCCGTGATGTTGTTCTTGACCTCCTCGCTCTTTCCACACAGCAACTCACCAGCGCCTTCCTCTTCAAGTCCCTCAAGCGCAGAGACGTGAGTGCGGTACACGAACCTGTTGATGGCCTGGATAAAGTCTTCGTGTAGCTTCTTGGCCTGCTGCTCCTTCTCCGACCACTCGTAGGTGCCCGCTTTGGCGTTCACGCAGTGGATGTCCTTATGATATTGGATCAAAGCCTCGATGGTGTCTGGCGTTAATTTGTAGGCGACCTCGTTGCGCAACACCATGTCCACGTGAACGATGTAAGCCTCAACGTGGATGAGTTGGTAGTTGAACATGGCCTCGACCAGGGGATTCGAGTCGGTGCGCAACTCAGAGTCCGGCAGCTTGGGCAGCATCATAGAGGTCAGTGTCCAAATGGCGTTGGGCGAAGACAGGATTTCTGTCAGGCATCGGTGGTGCTGCGGGACCGAATTTAACGGCCTCTTGACCTTGTTGACCCTCTTGAGCGTTTGGGTTAACCATGGCTCTATTTTGGAACCCAGCACGACGTTGACACTGGAAGCTCTCGGCGCAAAGGCAGCAGCGCTCGCGGGTAATAGTTGAGGAGGCATTGTAGGGTTATGTGTAGGTAAGAGGAAAGAGACACGAGCAAGTGTGACGAGGGATATCCAAAGCTAGAGGAGGCTATGGGGGAGCAAGCGCTTATGACGAGGGGGAGATGGGGAGACGAATGATATTAAACAACACGGCAACGGAACTAGGGCGTTCCCAAGACGAGGGAAATAGTGCACGCCTAGAACCGCAAATGAGAAGAAGAGAATGCTTGACGAGGTACTCGTGAAGAGGAAAGAGGAGGATGAGAAACTCGTGATGAAGAGCGAGGTGGGGTGATATAGCAATCCTTCCAGGTCTGCGCTCCGACCGACCGGCCTAAGCTTGTCACCACTGCCCATTGCTAAATACTCCTCACTGGAGTCACATCGCTAGTGCTTTTTTTTGGGGCAGCCGAGTCTCCATGAGCCAGCCTGCAACCACCACCAGCCTCTCTCTGGTCAGTCCAAGATTCCTCCACTAGGTTGCATGAATACGCAGGCTCAGCAGGGCCTGACCAGGTCTGACCAAGCCTTGAGAGAGGCCAAGTACTTCGGTGGCAGAGGTGGACTTATCCTGACCGCTAGCGGCAAGACATGGCCTGTAGCATCGTACTGGGGCGGGCTGTGTTGCGACTTGCATATGCCCCGGCGCAAGTGACAAATGGCAGCGATGTTGCTCGACAGAGGAAGCTGAAAAGCTGCAGCCAGCACGGGCCAATGCAGCGCCACTTGACCAAAGTACCGGTACTTTCGTAGTCTCGCGCAAGTGACCACGCTGCGCCGATACACAGCAGCTTTATCCGGGATTCCAGAAGAATCACCAAAAGGGAGTCCATGCCTCTAGCGCAGATCATCAAAGCCGTCAACAGATCCACCTGCCCACGAGCCATGAGCACGGACGAAACTGGCTGGAAACGTCGTCATTCCCGATATGGAGTACCTTCGTCTCCGAGCACTGGAGGTGGGCTTCCGCAAAGCCGCTCACTCAGCTGGCCATGTCAAAAACGAGAATCGAGCCGCCGACGTGGATAATCCTGCAACCAGCTCGAAACATGCAACGGAAGCCATTCCGGACTGCTTTTTGAGACCTCTACAACATGTGTCTCTGTATAATTCCACTCATGAGATGTGATATCACATTAAAGACAGCCGCATTGCGGCGCACCGAGATATTGGATTTTCTGGTCACCCAACAGATTCCAGGTTGGTCGATGGTGTTGTCGTCTCTGCTGATCTGCCATCTTCTGCGGGCGACGATCTAGGTCCCGGCGCAATGCTAGTATTGCCATTGGCTGATGTGCGAGGTCGTCCTTCAATCACTATATTCTGCAACCCATGGACTGACTCTTTCACTGTGTCTGTCTATGGCACTTATGCATGCCTCTGAGTTACGGACTAGCCAAAAGTCAACGCATACAGCGCTGCCGCGACGCAGACATGACCAAGAAACCCAATTCATCCTTTTGATATCATGATAATCCTTTCCTGATATCTGGAGAATTGCCCTGTTGACGTCTTCTACCAGCGGGAACCCCTGGACCAAGAGCTGAAAACTGGTTCAGAAACGACTGCTTCGGAAAGCCTCCATGCCACTACCACAGACGCTGTTGGTCCGTCAAGTCGCGTAAATGCAACGAGAACCCGGAGCTACGGCGCAATTGCATCGTCTGCGGTACATGCTGGAGAGGAGAAATGATGACTTGCATCTGTAAGATGGGATGGACTTGTTAACAGCCCACATCTGAAACGTTAGTAGTCCTATCCTGTCCTATCGTGGAGACGACTATGAGTGATCACTGGACAGGGAGACTGGGTCTGGAAGAAGCGCATTGAACCCCTCTTGGCAGCATGTAGCAACATCTTTCAATTCCAACTGCTTGAAGGCTCAGTATTGGGTGAAGAGGCGACCTGGAGCCGTCTCTGCTGCAGCTTCGAGGGGGAGATACGTCCATGGTGGAAAGCGATCTGGGGTGTAGACGAATGGGACCGATTTCTGACCAAATTTCTTGGGATTCCAGATCCAGAAGAAGCGCTTGCAGCGTCAAGGAACTAACAACGACGCCGCGCGGAGATGAAGCTTGTTGGGACTCCTGGACGGTACCCGCGTCGCGCAGAGTTTCCAAGTTGGAGACGAAAAGCAACAGCGCGTATGATCTGACAAACAAAGTGAGAATATGAGAGCGACGCCGAGGTTGAACGAGAGCCTGTAGTTGGCAGAAGTCCGGGATGTGACACTTTGACTAGCGTGAGTTCAGTATTTGGTGTGCCAACTGAGAGAGCTCTTCTGGGCGGTGATAGGCCCGTGGGACTGAGCCGGCGCAGACCGGAGTGGAGGGGACTTTCGGCGGACATCCTGGCAGAGCGGGCGAATTTTCATTGGTTGAAAAAATGAGAAAATTAGACCTTGGCTTGTTTGGTCCTTTGCAACTGGGGAATTTGGGAAGCTGGAACCTGGAAGACAGAAATATGAAGCGAATGCATCGCAAGAAAAAAGGATTCCCATGTTTGAAGCTTACCAAACAGGGTTCAAGGGTGAGAAGGATAAATCCCCGATGTTCAAAAGCTGTGGCTCTGTTATCAAACGTGGGTTTCCCTCTTGGCGAATACCTGCACCGGTATAGACGAAGCTTTGCAGGTTACCTTCCATTATCGAACCTCTTAAGTTAAAGCACGCGAGGTTGTATTGCAATCTGTGGCCTATTCCGGCTTTGGGCCAATCGAGGGCGAGAAATTGGGAACCGTGCGGCCCTGGCAATCAAGGCTTGACTTCATATGTCCTGATGTGTCGCAAAAGCTGTCTGCGAATACCTCAAAGCATCACCGTCGTCAGGGAAAGCGTCAGAAGGCAACAATCTGTTGGACCTCGCATCGTGTGTGGTTAACACTGCATGCAAGATGCCCCAGTGTCTAGCAGTTAGCCTTGCGATTCGGTGCATATACTTGGTGCAGGCAGGGTGACCTAGATCTCTCGATTGCACAAGCAGACAACCATAGGACCGTCTGAACTCTTCTTATTATTAGCCATAACTCCTGTGGACACGAGGGAAACGCATGGCCACGGATGGGGACGGCGAGTCCAACAATGGATGCATCAACAATCAGAAAAGGGAAGGTCGAATCAACCAGATCGAAGATTGGCTAACGCGGAGCTGCGGGAGAGGAGAGCTGGACGCCGTGTGGTGAGCTATCATCACAAGTATTGCAGTGTCGTTGTTCCGAACACATGTCGTTGAGAGATGAGTCGAGAGAGCAACCAACACACGGCGTGTCAGAGCCTGGGTGTCAAGGTGGTATGTGCACAATAGTATCCTATTTATGGCTGGTTTGGAGGCAACCTTGTTTTTACTGCCACTCGTTTATCTACACCGAATTTGTACCAGACATTGGACCAAAGGCTAGAAACGGCCACGCCGACCCGATACTTGCCGCACCGGTGACGGCCGATGGGCACAAGAGCTATACTCAACAGCGGGAGAGATATATTCGTTCACTGCCACGACCAGACAAATTTGGTCAAATGGTCGAATTGCCGATCAATTGGATGCAGATGAACAATACATTCGACCGAGGTTATTACCGGACGGCTGTCACTTGACTCGTATCACATGTAAGCAGGGACGTCAGACCTTGGTAGTGGCAAGCATCAACGTTAGAGCAGGCGCGCTACAGCGTGGGGCCGACGCTCTGCGTATGTCAGGGACAACACCAGCTCCGTAGTAGGGGCCGCCCTTTGACTGGCTCGTCGAGCCAGCTCGGTCGTCAAGCCGTCTTTCTGCTGCAAGGGACACGCAACATTGGGGCAAGTCCAGGACCATCAACTCACTATTTCCTCCAGCACTTTTGCAAGCCAGGCGCGCAGATCTCGTCGCTTCTAATACCGAGCCACCCCGGATGTTCCTTGCACATAGCTACTGCTATTAAGGGCCGAGCCGAAGCCCACTCTCCTCTGATGAGCCTTTTCTAGCCAGTCGATGGATTATTACCTGACTACCCGCCTGCGATAAACGGCAGACGATCGAGGCAGCATTCGGGCTAAGCGCTTCCGTCAAGGAACACAAAAGTACGCGGCCATCTTCAACTCTGCAAAATTAGACGTGAGGTCATACCCAATTTGCCGGCTTCCACGAGCCACAACAGGAACATGACTTGGACGCAACAATGTGGCGGGCGCGGAGACGGCAGTCGAACTCTATCCGCTGACCCTTGCAGCTGGCCCCACTGGAAATCGGATTTAGTCCGTATCCTATACACGCTTCCAACCAAGAAGTACAGCTACAACTCGAGCCCCAACCAAACGTGCTCCACCGGGGCTAGAGAATCGACCGTTATGACTAGTTGGGTTCATGGAACCTGAATGACTTTTTGCCCTTCAAAGTCTTCGTTGCTAGCACAATTTATTTTGACAACTGTTCGCTTTGAGGCGGCGAATAACGCCGGTTCGAGGCGAGCCCTAGACCCGCACAAGGTTTGTCGACAAGTCCCAGTACGGCTGAAAGATCTGCTTTCGGGAGTCGGGGGTGCCCGATCTGCAACCGCGTGGCTGTGTAGCCAACGTGTCAAGCCACCCCTTGATTGTCAACTACCGACGACTCATAGCAGCCCAATCTTTTCCTTTCCTGCCATGATTTTTATCGCCTTCGAGATTGCCTCAACTGCTCAACCGGGATGGTGTTGTCAACTGTGGTTTCATGCAACGCCCGCCGTGGGTTGCGTATATGCGTGTGTTTGTGTGTGGAATACGTGGATGGCGAAAACCCTCCCCAGAAAAACAGGGCACGCCCGTTCCCGTGAGGCGGTGAAGATATGCCTCCCAGCCCGACCGGTTTTCAACGACACATCATTTACAAATACAGCTTTTTTTCGCCGCTTGTTGGTTGTATGCCCGTGACTCATTCGTAGGATTGACTTTTCCTGCGATGACATGTACTGGGCTTAAGGATCGAAGCTGAGACGGTGAGAGACGAAGAATGAGACCTCGAATCCTTCTCGGAGCGAGCACTGATCGGGCATACGTCCCAAGTATTTTGCCCCCTCCCCTCTCCCCCTGTGGCCTTCTAGCTCTCAACTGGCTGCTGTGACCCAGTTGGTGGTCGTCTCGCCTCACTTGATATTTGGCATTGATTACCAAATAGTGATAGGACCACTTTCAGAACAAAATGAAAGGTGCCGTGCATGTTGGTTGGGCGTCTGCAAATCAGTTCGGATCGGATGCCTCCTGAGTGGATACTACTACTATGACCCCTAGTGGCTGTAGGCCCGTAGCGCCTTCAATGCTTCAAGGTCACGTAAGTGTTCGTTAGTGTGGGCTGCTTTGCATTTTCCTCATGCCATAAACCCAATTTATCGTAACGGCGTCTATCCATGTTGAGGTTGTCGTGATTGAGTCGGGCCTTTCGATTTGCATTTCGAGGCCACGTCGACTATGAGTGACTGATGACAGGATAGGCGTCGATGGCTCACGTAGATCCAGCTTGAGGAGATCGAAAAGGAGAGCTGGGCGTGATTTGTCCTGAATTGCTCCTTGGCGTGGTCTTCAGTTTCTTCTATTGGTGCACATCAGGTTCCTGCATTGTTGATGAAAACGCATAGAATCTGGCGCTATGTTGAGGACGCCACGCAAAGGGGCCACTATCGAGTGACCCGATATTCAGCTTTGCAAGGTACATATATTGTCCGTTAACTGTAATCCGAAGCGCCTTTCTCTCCTTCCCCAATTGAATGCTTTCACGAACGCTGAGGACCCAGCTGACGGAGACTCTGGCTGTTGTAGTACCAATGCCAGGAGAGCCTTCAATGGACAATAGCCACTCTCATCTCTAGTCTTCAATGTCTTTGGGTGCTGTTAGCCTAGTGTCGCCACGGCGTTGTGTTCTGGTATACGAATCCGTGAATTCCAGCACCATATTCGTCGGCAATCTCATCTGAGATGAATGAGACTTTAGAGTACTCAATTAGAACTCATTTATCATATGGAACTTACAAGCACATGAATGACACAGGTAATTCAAACATGACCAAGCATAGCAGGTTGAGAGATATTGCAAGTATAGGGACTAGGCACATTAGGCAAGTCACTCGCAACTCCCACCCGCGTCATGAGGACTGACAGGTGCACTTTCAAGATATTATACTTAGGTTCATTCCGGTTCTCAGCCTGCTCCCTGGCCTTGCCTCCCAGTTGTCGACGAACGTCGAAGTCCAGTTACACCTCTGTAAGGCCGGCCTTCATAGTCCGTCAAATGTACCTTCGCTTGAAGTCCGGCTTTGCCACTCGAGATGGCTCGACTCCATCGATCTCTCTCTGGAAGCTTATCTTCGAAGGCCGAACTTTCCCAGCTGGGTCGTAACATCGTGATATGGTCGACAAGTAGGAGCGCGGTGGGAAGGAAGAGATAGTATTGGACATTGGAAACGGAGAAGCCGTGTATTAGTGTTTCAGCGAACTGGTGGTCCGCTTTGTACTGATATCGCTCACGTTGGACCCGCGAGGAGTCAGCATATAGTTGATGTCTATAGTCAGCCTGTGTCTCGTGGATGCGGTCAACTGTATGCTGATACCCCTATTGTGCAAATTGCGATTGTACAAACCAGTCGATATACCCATTTCTAGCATTACCATATCGGGGATTACCTCTAATGTAGCAGAGTGCTTTCTTGGTGTGTCAATTGAACAAACTCGCGGGCGTGCTATCCCTGGCAATAAACAAAACGACATCTGGTACTCAACTATCTAATTTCTACTTGAATCCAGTCGGCATCCCGGCAGTAGACAGTAAATCTTCGTTTCCAAATGTTCCATTCCCAAAGTCACCCTCTCAGCACCGCGGGCTCTGTCTACGTTGACTCGGTGCACTTGTAGGGCTATTAAGGATGAATACAATGTTGTCTGGCAACAAAGGTCATGTTTCCGCTCCCTTGTAGATTACTCTGGTCAAAGGTAAAGTTAGGATTCAGTTGGATTCACACCAGCCCAGACACCATGGAGATCCATAGGCACTCGACAATAGGTGATTGCTATTGATGTTTCAGCTACTTAATTTCCAAAGTCGACTTCCGAAAGACATCAAGCCTTGTTGTTAGACTTGAAATTATATCCACGCACTCTACAACCAAGCGCATCAAAACTTTTGACTCTGTAAATGAAATACGAGCAATAGCTATTAACATGGAAATCTAGCCGACTTTTACGTGCAATTGCGCATCTTAGGAATCCCCTAGTTAAACAATATACTCGCATACCACAAAAAGAGCCTCATGGCCGTGGTATGAGATAGGTGAGACTAAGGATTCTGCAAGGATGAGTATTTAACCATATGCTGTATGATCTAAAGTAGTCGCAATGGGGTGAATGTTGTCTATTAAGTGCCTGTGCCATCTAATAGTGATCGGAATGCTACTTCGCACACTCTTCTCAACCGGATATTCGAGTAGCTGCCAGAATCAGCAGCCAACATTTTTCGGTTTCATCAGATCATATATCAGATCTTCTTGCTAATCCAAGCAATTCAATTGTAACTTCCTTAGAATTCTAACGCACCAATTCCAAAACCGTATCACCTCTCAGCACTTCATTCCCCTGGACAGGTATATATGACTCCTTTCCTCAAATGGCTTATCTCTGAATCACAAGCCAACCCGAATGCCCATCACTTGTGGCATAAATCCCTCTCTTTACACTGCTGACTTCTTCCCTTCTCCACTACCCGGCCAGGTTGACCATAGAAAGCCAACCAAGGCACTGGGAAGGTCAGGTCCTCCATCACTTTGGGTACAAGCACTGACTAACGATTCTTCTTCCAGCACAAATAAACCACTTTGTGTTTCATCAAGCCAAAATCACCTTATTGCCCCCCCCTTTCTTCTACTACCACAAGCAAGCTCTGCCTACTCTAGACCTTTTCGCATTGCCCTTTCCATTGTCAGGTAGGCGATCACTGGGGGCTCAGTTCTTGCTTGACTTTTCCTGCAAGTAGGAGCTATACACAAACCTAGTCTCTGGATACTCCCAAGCCCTGAGCTTCTTGTAGCATTTAATACGAAGGCTTTAACACTTTGGCAGAACATCCTGCGCGTATCTTTGCCTACCATCGACAGGTTAATAAGACCTCAGGTGTTTTGCCTGCCTTGCTACCCAGTCATTCAATTCTGTCAATGGAAACAAGTTGCCAATCTAGTTGGCCTATCCTGAGTTTGGTATCTAAAAATATCGACCGTTCACCTAAGCTTCATCCACCATACACAGATACGCGGGTGGCCTTGGTTTTCCACAACTCAGGAATACCCTTGCTTGGCCAGGCTCGACGACTTCTTGGAGATCTTGGAGATCTTCCTTCGCCGCCCCGAAAGGCACCAGATAATTTAGATGCCTTCCGAAGTCTCAGTCTCTCCCCAGTCGAGCTATTCTTGGCGTCAAAGGCAATAATGGCTCTTCTCCCCACCAATTGCATAAGAGTATTCACAGCCGCTGTCACCGAGATATCGTGGAATGATTCTGATCCTCAAGTCTCTCGTTTTAATCTTCAGTTGCTGCAACCCTGAGGCTTTGATATCCATGACATTGTTAACTTGCTTCTTCTTGGCGAAGTGTGCAGCGAGCTCCTCACCCAGCTCCAGACTCTCGGCAGCCTCCTCGATTTCGATGTTGTCTGTCTCGCCGTCTTATCATTGGCAGCTCGACCAATAGGGTCAACAGTTCAGAGTCCAGTGTACTTCTCGAGATACTTGTCAGCGATGGCTGCACAACCGCGTTGGAGTCGCCAAATCCCGGAAGGTCGACGAGAACTGTACCGGAGGAGAGAACATCTGATTTTATGTAGAGTCTGACGATCTTGACCAGTGTCCATTTCTCCGTGTCGTGCTTTTGGCGCGTCGTCTTTTCCTTGCTATCGGTATGGAACGAACCAATCAAATCCTTGTTGATATTGGTAGTTGTGTCGAGGTTGCTTTGAATCGGTAGCGCCTTGGCTTACTGAGGGTCAATAGCTTTGATCTTAGCCCACGCAATACCCGCTTCGGTATCTCGGTTGGAGCTGTCTCGCGAGATTTCGCCGTTAGAGACGATAAGGGCTTGGAAGAGATGTTCCAGCTCACAGCGTCAAGCCTTGTGAGAAATGAACTTGATCTCAGTTCGATAGAGTTCGCCTGGGAGCGGCCAAGAAAGTCTAGATGAGCAATACGTCGCCTGGACAACTTGGCAGCCAAGCAAGCAAGGGGGGAAAGAGTGTTACCCACCATCGGCACTTAAACGCAAGCGCGATGCAATGGTGCCGCAAGAGATGCCGGAGCCAAATGCTGGCATTCATACAGAATGCACTATCCTACGACAGCGAAGACAGTGGCTCGTATTGACTTGCTTCAAGGGAAGCTTGATACCTATTTCCAAGGTATCAGGGGCGCGCAGAGCAGGGTCCAAGACAAGCTAAAAGACATGCAGCAAGAGGCCGGCCGCTAGTTTATTCATCATATCAAAGTTATGATGGCTAAAGGATACCTCGAGGCCAAGGTTTACAAAGGTTACTTATATCTCAATTTATTCATCTCTAGAGACGATGTTAATCATAATTTAGGCACCGGCAACTTTGCTCGTGAGAAGGAAGATATTGTGGACCACGTCTCCAAGACGGATCAGACAATGTTAGAAGAGGGCCACCAAGGAGGTTCAAAGCCGTTTACTGGAGCTTTGCACTGCCTATTAGTGTAGCCTCCTGAAAACGATATCAGAAATATCCAGAGCATGACTGCCCATGTATATTCCGTGGCGACGGTGGAACGAGTTCAGATAGGCAGGCTATGCCATCGTCGGCCTATCCAATTAGCTACTGCATGCAATCTCACTCCACTATACTCATTTTGCTTCAGACCCTATCTTCATTACATCTGACTCCGTGCCCCTTTCTCGATTCCAGCCTTCATGAAGGCGCCACTTAATCTAGGATCGCATATATATTGGGGAATTTTTATTTTTGCCACCGGGGTATTTAGACGCGATGATGTCGATTGCGATGGTTTCCAGATATGTAGCTTGTACATAGTAAATTGACTTTGCAAAAGAAAACAAACTTGTCTTCACCAATGTACTAATGCACACAGTAACATATACTCATAACAGCTTCGCAGCATGCATGAAGTGTGACAAGCGGCTAGAAGCTTATGGCAGGGTCGCTTGCCCATGATGTTGTCTGCATTACGATATGTATAGTACCGTTGGGCAACTAGCTGTAAGTGGAGGAGATAATAAAGAGCCTGGTATAGGGCGTATTAAGCTATGCATCACGTCTTTTATTTATTGGGAGAAAGCATGAGCTAACTGAAGCGAAGTCGCTGCCCATTAGCCGTCACATATTTTAACAGGTGAATATCTTGGAGTATGATGGAGCTAAGTTGGAGGTTTAGAGGTTTGTAGAGTACTTGTAAATAGTGTTAAAGTAGAAGTGGGTAGAGCTCGAGTTCGCTCACCGCTTGCCCAATTAAGATCAGCTTAAGTGAGAGTCGTGAATAGAGGCTTGGCCCCTTCGACTTAAATGGCTGCAAGACAGCTTTGGACTTGATGCAGTAGACAGGGGATATTCGAATCAAATTAGCGTTTACTTTACCTCGAAGCTTACATCCCAATCACTACTCTCGTAAAGCAGGATTGCGCCACTCTAGCTGACTTGGGTGTTTGTAGCTCGTTAAATGAAGCAGACGATCCTTATTCTGTGTTGAGTTGCTTCAGCATTCGTCTAACAGCAACCGCCACACGGAATTGCACATTGGATTCGACGATTGCGCGCAACGACGGACAACAAACCGCAGCATCGCACTCGAGTTCAAGAACCTTTGCATTGCATTGCACATCGAGGGCACATTGCCAGCTTCATCAATCAGCCTACCATGTCGACCGTGACAGCGACGGCGCTGCAGTCGGCGTACCCGCCCATCATTCCGCTCCAGTTCAATGCCAACCAGCCCACTACGATCCGGCTGTATCCGTTATCCAACTACACATTCGGAGTGAAGGAGACGCAGCCCGAGGAGGACCCATCAGTGATAGCCCGGCTTAAGCGGCTGGAGGAGCATTACAATGTCCACGGCATGCGACGCACCTGCGAGGGCATCCTCGTCTGTCACGAACACAACCACCCTCACATCCTGATGCTGCAGATCGCCAACGCCTTCTTCAAGCTACCTGGCGACTACCTCAAGCCTGAGGATGACGAGGTCGATGGCTTCAAGGCCCGTCTCGACGAGCGCCTGGCCCCCGTCGGTCGCCTGGGCGAGGACGAGGAGGCGGCCGACTGGACCATTGGCGACTGTTTGGCGCAGTGGTGGCGACCCAACTTCGAGACCTTCATGTACCCCTTTATCCCGGCGCATGTAACCCGGCCCAAAGAGTGCAAGAAGCTCTATTTCATCCAGCTGCCTGAGTCGAGTAAGCAACTCTGTCCACTTCCAGCCGCATCAAGACCGCATCCATGCTGACAATACTTTCTTTTACAGAGGTCCTCAGTGTCCCCAAAAACATGAAGCTACTAGCCGTCCCTCTCTTCGAGCTCTACGATAACACCGCGCGCTACGGTCCTCAACTCTCGGCGATTCCCCACCTCCTGAGCCGATACAACTTCGAATTTGTTGACGAGGACGGCAAGATTGTGGCGGCCACACCTGGATCGGCACCAGACGACTACGTGCCGCAAACCAAGGTTCTGGCCGGAGGGGACGAAGACATGAAAGATCTGAAAGAGGAGAATGGAACGAACTAAGGCGGGTCTTTGCTGGAAGTATCTGGCGAAACAGCACTTCATGACCCGGAGAGATTATGTTAAGCAGATCATGTTGGGGTATCAGACAACGCTACTACGACTACGATTCTACTAGCATTTGACATATTCGACTATGGGTTGAGCATCTACAAGGGGTCTGGGGATGTTCTGGCTGGACCATCAGGGAGCTCAGTAATGCCGTCGGTCACATACTTGACGAGCCTGTTGACTTTTGTCGAGTAGCTTTTGGTCTCCCATCCATGGAAGCCATCAATCGGGCAAATATATACAGACTGGGTGAGACACAAACGGACACTGCTGGCGAGAGAGAAAGAAAGAGAGGCGCAGAGACTAGATTTTGGCATGCACCCTCATAGACTAGAGAGGATAGTAATTAGCAGGCCGGTAGGTTTGCATTGTTTTCGAAGAAGCCACCGCATGTACCATCAAGTATCAATCAAGTTGGAGAATCGCAAACGCGGACTTCAGAGGTTGTGACTAAGAATACTCATTCTATGGGCTGTTTCCATTCGTGGGTTCTTTCACGATCATGCCTTTTCACCCTGAATCGTAGCCACAACCCGTCTCGTATGCTTCACAGCACGGAATTCGAGATACCAGATGCCCTGCCACGTGCCCGTCGCCTTCAGGTGCATTAGTTAACCTGCCACGAAGACCACACCCAAAGTAAATATCAGCTACTTACCAACCTGCCGTCCCTAATCGGGATCGTCACACTCGCGCCAATCAACGCGCTCTTGATATGTGCCTAGGTCGGGCCACCTTCAGTTAGCCAACCCCTTCTTCCCTAGTTCCCCGTTATGCACGTCCCCCTCTCACCAGTTCGCATCAATTCGCACCATCGCAGCCTGGTATTACTCACGGGCATATCATCCGGTCCCTCCGCGCTATGTCGGTACAAGTCCTGCCCCTTGGGCCCGGACTCGGGTGCGATGCGGTCGAGCGCATCGCTCATATCGGCGCGGACATCGTCGTCCCAGTTCTCGTTGAGGCTCAGGGCGCACGATGTGTGTTGCACGAATAGGTTTAAAAGGCCGACTTTATAATCCTTGATCTCGGGGATCGAGCTGACGATGTGGTCGGTGATGAGGTAGGATCCGCGCGACTTGGGCGGGAGGGAGAGTTGCTTTTGGAACCACATTGTGTTGGTTGGTGGGGTCGTTGCGGCGGGTAGAGGGGGGAAGAAGGATGGGAAGAAAAAGGAGAATGGGAGCAGGGTTAGATGGTGGAATAGACCGGGAAAGAAGGCTGTGAAGAGGAGGACGAGTAGAAGGAAAGTGAAGAAATTGTGTGAGGTTATTGACGATGACGGCATAGCGATCTGGTTGATGTAGGTTGCGCGGCCAAAAACGTAGGTGCGCTTGGTGGGGATACTGTTTTGCAAATCGGAGCTCCAGGATTGGCAGTTTCGCTGAGTGTAATTCGTACCTCTAGGGGTCAATGTATTACAGATAGTATAATCAAGCAAAGGCAGCATGACGGAAACTAACTGCACGAACACGCGATAACATGAAGATGATCCTGTTATTTAGACAAAGGTCCAGACTGGTTAGACGGATTGAATGCCTGTCAACTACTCAGTCGAAGCCATTCTTGGTAGTTGTATATACACAGTCCCTCAGGTTCGACCGGACATCAATGCGAAATCAGAAGTTCCAATCTCGGCGTATGATGATCTCCTTAACGGGCGTAGGTTTTGCGATTTATGCAAGGGGATATGAGGTTTGCGGAAGTGACTGGAGGTGTTCGCGGTGGTGCTCGTTCGCCTAGAGGAGATGTTAGCACAGAGAATCCAACTTTAACACATGGTTTAAGCCGAGACAGCAATTGTTGTTACTGGATTTTCGCCCATAGAAAAAGGGGGACTTACAAACGGTAACCCACAGTAGCCACATACTGCGATTTCGGGTTTGTCGGTGTTGATGAAGACTCTGGGATGTCCAGCTGGACCACCTCCGCCGTCACAGGCTACAACTCGGTCATGCGTCCAGTGGACGGGCTGTCTGTGAATGAGCTCAATGGCAGCTTTCGATTGAGGCTATAAGCGTGTAAGCTATTCATTCCTTCGATTTGTGTGCCATGTCTGAGGTATTTTACTTGGAGGTCGAAGTCGGTTTGTTCGAACCGAGGTCCTGTCATCGCCTTCGCTCGTGGCCGCTGACTTCTCGACCATATTCCTTTCCGGTTGGGTGCTTGCTGGAGACCTCGTTCCTCGTTCTCCGTCACTCCGAGAGATTCCTCTTCGCTCTTGGCTTGGGGAGTCGTCTCGATCTTGTTTTCGAGGATGGCGGACTTCGCGTCGTTAGCTAGTCGCAAGGCAGAGCTCGTGAAAGCTCGTTGTGCGACGTGTGTGCGCTGTTGTAGCTGCGAAGCCGCTCTGGCTGCTAGACGTGGTATCATGATGGTTTGGATTTCCGATCGGGTGGGATTGGTTCAATTGGATTGAAATCGAGTTCAATAGATGGATGTTAAGTTAATCCCATGGCTTGCTTCGAGGTCTGTAGAGACGATGCGCACGGGCCACTTGAACAGACCTATAGATGCACAGACCCGAGGACTTCCTTCCAAATTTCTTTGAAGATACAAGCAACCGTGAAATGAAAGTTTGCTTGGGCTGTCGCTAATATTACGCTGCCATTTTCTACACACGGCTTTTGAGTAATTTCACTAGCCCGTCCTACTGGCTTTTCGTCATCTCCGTATCGCATACACCAGATTTGACTGCCGATAAGATGGCGTCGCAAACCCCGAAAAGCATGTCTTCGCGACTGCTAACTATGAAATTCATGCAACGCGCAGCGGTATCACCGTCACCCGCTTCGTCACCATCTACTCCAAAGAGCGAAGAAAAATCATCGAAGCGGCGCAAAATTTCACATGGGACGCCGTCTACGGCCACCGTTGCCGAACCCCAGATTGATCGAGTGGCCATCCAAGCAGCCATTGATGAGGGGGAGAGAAAACGCGAGGCTGCCATTGTCAAACAAGCTGCAGAGCTCGGAGATGCTAGATGGGTGCTAGATGTCCAGAACCCTGCAACACGTCGAGTTGAGACACCGCTTAATGTGGTGCAAGTGGGATTTTCTCAGATTGATTCTTCCAAGGCTGCAGAGGACGAGGATTCAACCGATGATTCAGATCACCACGTACAGCACTTTCGTCGATACAACATGGAGAAGAAGAAGGCATGTGATATTTGCTCTACCGCCATCACTCTCAGCTTACCCTATAGTAGCCCCTCCCTGATGCGCCAGGATATGTCGACGAGTCTGCCTCGGACGCTGAGTCTTCAGATGAGAGCCACTCCCCTGGACGGAACTCCCGGCGGCAATCATACAACGACAGTCCTCGCATGTCTTCTGGCAATGAGGGAAACAACACGCCTAGGAATGCTAGAGCGAGGAGAACCGCCGAGAAGGTCAAGGCAAAAGACTTAGCCGAGAAGAGACGGAAGAAGGAAGTGAAATTGAACAAGCCGGCTGCTGGAGGCCTGACGTCACTATCCTCTGGAGGCAATCGCTTGCAGTCATTATCCTCAGGTGGCGCAATGGCGCAGCGGCCTGCTTTCCAAGGGAACTGCCATGCCTGTGGAAAGTCTGGCCATATGGCAAGCAGTTGCCCGGGCAAGACTGCTCTCAAGTAACAGAAAATCCAAGCTACTAACTCAACAGTCCCGTCTTAGGGTGGATTATCTGAGTTATGATGCGACGACACTTTTAGCGCCAAGTTCTCAAATCCACATCCGGCATCAGCCTACGTCGGGGTTGCTATTCAGGTAATGGGCAACTCCTTATATATTGTCAGCTGCATTGGTTCGATTGAAATGACGGTCTTGACTGAAAAGCGAACTCTACATAATCCAGGCCCAACAGGTTCACGTACTGGTTCCAAAGTGGCTGCACGGCGCCTTCGCCTCTGAGATCTGTACTATCAGGCGGCATATGTTTGCCATTATCGTCATGGCCCTTGTTACACCCAAGACGTGAACGACACGGGCCGAGCGGTTCCGGTAAAACCCAATGCAAGCAAGACTGACGTTCTTTGTGTACCAGGGGCTCGCCTCACATAGAGCGCAGCAATTACATTCATAGGTAGAAATAGAAAGAAGGTTTGCAGCCGCTTGCTTTGATCCCGGTCACGGCATGATGCTGTCTACATCAGCACGGAATACATGTCATGCCGTGCCTTGGTATGCACAGGGAAAACCCAGAACTCGGGCCGGTTGAGATATCCACCCCTGTCCCCCGCCGTCCCATGGATAAGCGGACGCTCAACTGCGGTTGCATATGACGGGATTGGCCATTCACGGTCAACCTCGGAGCCTTGGATTTCAACCACCACAAGATGGTGCACCTCTTCATTCCGCTAGATTCGACGATGGTACCGGTGCATAGCTACTGCTACGCTGCAATGCATCCCGTAAGACGTTCTGTCGCTAATCTACGGGCATGATAGGGATGGCTGTGCTGCACGGCGCTATCATGTGGGAATTCGACTGGCAGATCTTGACGCCAACGCCGTCGTCCACTCACGTCGTCCGACCACACAAGGTATACTTCGGCTTGGGTTCTTCCATGCACTGGTTACAACTGTTTCTGTAATACGTAAACAAACAACTGGATGTTGACTCGACAGGGGAGTCTAGCGCTTCTGCCACAAAGAAGCACCCCAACACGCATGACGGTTGGCGTGGCCTCGGGCATTCTTGTAGCCATGTTTATCATGTACGTCTCTCAACAATACTTTACTACACTGCGGAGATGATGAAATCTTCACGTCATCTTGTCGGTGTATTTGCCTGAAAGCTGAGCTTGTAACATCAACTTGCCGATTCATGATGTTCGATCGAGATTAACCAACACAAGTAGTCTTCAACTGGCCAGCTGGCGTTCTCTTAGACGATAACTCGCCAGACACGTCAGACTTCGATCATCGTCCTTACCCAGCTTCCAGCATAGCTGACCTATTACGGAGCCGAGGTCAAGCACCCGAATTGCTGGATATGGAGCTGATAGGACCTAACGTCTATACTTCATGCGTTATGGCCACTGCGGGCCATCAACCCAATTTTTCTTTTTGGCTTTTTAGCTCCCAATAAAAACTGCATGCTTGCAAGACAGCAGTTCATCCTCTAGGTAAATTCTGTTGCTATTATCGGTAGGCTGATGACGACAGTCACCAATAGCCCCCACATGTCCCACACACAGCACTATGGCCTGGCAATCGTCGGAACATGCCAGTGAGCTAGCCTGGCCGGCTCTTTTTGCTTTTTCGACCCTGTCAGTATTCGATAGTTTGAGAAAGATACCCCTGGCCCATACCGAGAGAGCGGGTCAGCACACCCGATCAGCCGTTGGACTGTCTGGCAAGGTCTGTCGGACGTGTGCCGCTCGTGTTGTTGAAAGCCAAGTCGGGGGGGAGGGGTGCATAATCCGCCGCGGCTGATCAACTAAGCTCAAGATGGCTTCAATACTTCGTGGAAGAAAATTTAGGCAAACCGATATCATTCCGATATTTTCTGCGTACTCGCAGACGATGAGAGCAGCGGAGTTTCATCTTGGTCCAATATGTAGGCAGACATATGGTCTGCAAACATGAAACCTAACCGACCAGGGCAAGGCCGGCAGATGCCACCACTTTGCCGAAAGCTAGACCGTCCAGGTCCCGAGTCCACGGGCCTGTAATGGGCTTCGCAACCATGTTGCCATGCTATTATGCTGCGAGCGAGACCGGCATTAGAGCGTTAGTGGAGTTCCGGATTGATTGGAATTGTCCAGTATTTTGGCGGGGACAGGAAGATTTGGAAATGGAGTCTCACTGTGGGGCTGTCGCAGAGCTAGTCTGTTCGTGAGCATTCCTACGCAAACTCGTGCGTCCAATTGCTGCTCAACGTTGACGTCGCGTTCTTGACACAACATCACGTTATCGAGGTATTCAGCAAATGTGCCGAAGTTGCAAGCTGAACTTTTCCGCTCTTTGCCATTGCCACGGACGAAGTACGAGCCCCGCCCAACCCCCATGCCTTGTCCCCCCGTTACCCGATCAACTGTCATTTGCCTGGATGCTAATGGGAAAAAGTGACTTATGCAACGTAGCGGGAGCTGTCAACCGAAACCTCGACCGATAGAAAAGATAACAAAAAGTCTTGGGTATTACCCGTCTGCATTCTACCTGAGTCGCTTACGGCGGTCTCGTCTGAAACGATATTATAAATAAGTCTCGCCCATGACTCGTCAAATTTGCTTACCTTGATGACCAGCACCTTGAGGGCTCTGTAGCACAGAAACGTGGCTGTCGCAATTTTCCATCACGATGATTGATCAGGCCGATTAAATAGTATCAAGCCGAGACTAGTGGCAGACAACTCCCATCGCAACGCCCAAAAACGGGTCCTGCGATCAATGCACTAACGCTCAAGTTGCTTATTTTGTGTGACTTGCAACTGCCAACCACTGCCATCAAACTTCAGAACTCACCTTAGACTGCTCAGTGCACTTGCAGTAGCAAAGATAAAGAGTTCCTCAAGCAACAAATCTCGATCAGCTGCCGGCGCAATATCGATGAGAAGAACACTTTGCCTATCCGTCATCCATATTCACTGGCGCTCCGCTGGTCACCCCAACTCTACTTTACATTACTTAAATACTTGAACCTAGTCGCCCAAGTGTTTCTTACACGCTCAAGCTGTGCAAGCACAAATTGTGCGTACCTCGGAGCCTGCACCCATACCTAACTCCGATCTGAGTTATAAATCAGCTGCTTAAGTACGCACTATCAGCCTAACCGACCTCGCAGACGGATGCTCCTGCCCGCCTTGCTGCGCCACTTGAACTAGTGCAGCTGCATACCTTCTTTAAAAGACCTAAGCTGGGTTTATCATCCTGTCGAAGTAGCATTATTGTTTTGAGACTGACTCCGGACATTCGCGACGGCCCGGAGGCGGTGCGGCGTATCGAACAGAGATCATCGACTCAAAATTGTGTCCAATCCAATCGACCACGTTGTCGGCTACGCAACCTAAAAGGAACAAGGCATATCTCTATCTCTTGTCACTACCCTTAGTCCATCCCGGCTCCACTACATCCCTTCCCCGGTCGATATTGATTCTTCTTCCTATAACTGCCCATTTTCCCGACATGTCACAGAAATCCTCGACGACGTTGATATTTGATTGAGAAAATAGCGGATACTACGGCTGTAAGCTCAACCCGTCTGCACCCCCCCGGGTCACTTACTCGCGCCCCACACGTGTCTCTCCAATTGTTACCGGGGTCTCCTAGGATCCATTTCAGATCAGACGTCTCTCTAGTATCTAGTCTGGAGGTCCGTTGCCGCCAGTCTTATAAGAAGAGTACGGATACCTCAATGCTCATTGACAGCAGCCGGAGCTGAGCTGACAGCTTTGACAAGGCCGCCACCTGGACGATCAAGAGCCCCTGCCACGAACCCCTGTTAGCCGACTTCTGCGTGCTAGATAATCCACACTGCGAGGTACTTTGAGTAGTCTCACCGTCTCGGTTTGATCACTAGCCACGGCCGCAGGCTTCCCTCAAACTTCGGCGGCCAACGCTTACCTGTCCACGATCTTCTCTGCATCTTTATTTGTACACAAGACTGTAGGAGCCGAGTCTCCACGTCGGCTATCAGTGCAACCACGCTTGCTACGGCCAGCAAGCTCCGTCGCACCAACACACGCACCACAACCGCGCCCAGGGCAACCACCTCACGGGACTGGACGACGACTCGCCCCAAATCTGCGGTGCGAGACCGTCTCGTTAGCGGCCCCCACAGTCGTCTGCACAGACCTTGTAGAAGAACGCCATCCTATGTTCTGACTTCTCTTCGTCCGACAAAACTGGTAAATCCCCCGCCGGTTCATCGACAACAAGGGTCCTTCTGCGCCGCCTCCCAGACAATCCTTTTGCGGAGGACTGTGCTATTTCCATCTGCCCCCTTGTCATCATCTTCTGCGAGTCTTCACGCGCTGCGGCCGGCGTCTATTCTCCGCAATGTCACCTGCTACAAGGCCGCATAATGCGGTCGGCCAGGACGTCGACGTCACCATGCGGGACAAAAGTCAAAGACCCGCCGTGGAGAGGCTCGCCGATAACCTCGAGACACCTTCACTAGACGATCGCAGTTACCGTGTCATCAGTTTGCCCAACGAGCTTGAGTGCCTGTTGGTTCATGATCCAGAGACGGACAAGGCCAGTGCGGCCTTGGACGTCAACGTGGGCAACTTCAGCGATGAGAATGACATGCCGGGCATGGCCCATGCCGTAGAACACGTAGGTCTTCACGTCCCAAGAGCCCTAATTGTTGCTCCGGGGTCTTAGCTGACCGCAGCCCGCCATAGCTATTGTTCATGGGGACAAAAAAGTATCCGGTAGAAAATGCCTATGGGCAATATCTCTCCTGTATGCAGATTCTCCCTTAGGCGCCGCACAGGACTCGCGACCCTTATTCGAGAGAGCCCGAACTTGGAGTGTACTAATTATCTTTGTTCCAGCACATTCGGGTCACTCGAATGCGTACACCGGCGCCACGTCAACCAACTACTTTTTTGAGGTTGGAGCCAAACCCAGCAATGATGAAAACCCTTCTGAGATCAACCCTTCTCCACTCTATGGTGCTCTAGATCGCTTTGCACAGTTCTTCACTGAGCCGCTCTTCCTCTCAAGCACTTTGGATCGTGAACTCCGTGCCGTGGACTCCGAGAACAAGAAGAACCTGCAGAGCGACCAATGGCGTTTGCACCAGCTCGAGAAGTCTCTATCCAACCCTAAGCACCCTTACTGCCACTTCTCAACGGGGAATTTCGAGGTCTTGAAGACGCAGCCCGAAGCCAAGGGGATTGACGTCCGCCAGAAGTTTATCGAATTCCATGCGAAGCACTACTCTTCCAACAGGATGAAGCTCTGTGTTCTTGGTCGCGAGCCTCTCGATGTCTTGGAAACTTGGGTGGCCGAATTCTTCTCGGCGGTTCCAAATAAGCACCTCCCCCAGAACCGCTGGCAGACAGAAGTGCCGTTTGCCAAGGAGCAGTTGAGCATGCAATGTTTCGCGAAGCCTGTCATGGATTCGAGAGAACTGAGCCTATTTTTCCCGTTCTTGGACGAGGAGATGCTCTACGAGTCTCAGCCGAGTCGGTACATCAGTCACTTGATTGGCCATGAAGGACCTGGCAGTATCATGTCCTACATCAAATCAAAGGGCTGGGCCAACTCGCTAAGTGCGGGGGCGTATCCGATTTGCCCTGGTACACCCGGCATGTTCGATTGTCAGGTCCGACTGACTAAGGAGGTATGTTTTGATTCGATGATTGCAGAACCCCCCCACGACTGATGATATTTAGGGCTTGAAAAATTACAAAGAAGTCATCAAGATCTTTTTCCAATATGTAGCGCTGCTTCGGGAGACGCCACCGCAGGAATGGATTTTCGAGGAACAAAAGGGCATGGCCGACGTTGATTTCAAGTTCAAGCAGAAAACTCCCGCCAGTCGCTTCACCAGCAAGATCAGTTCCGTCATGCAGAAACCGTTGCCCCGAGAATGGCTCCTCAGTGGACAGAATCGACTGCGGAAGTTCGAACCTGAGCTGATTGCGAAAGGAGTTGAGTGTCTCAGGCCCGATAACTTCAGGATGACTATAGTGTCGAGAGACTTTCCGGGCGGCTGGGATCAGAAGGAGAAATGGTACGGTACGGAGTACAAGGCCGAGAAGATACCTGCAGATTTTCTCGAGGAGATTTCAAAGGCAGCCAATAGCAACGCAGAGGATCGTCTGCCCGCACTACATCTCCCGCACAAGAATCAGTTTATTCCTACCAAGCTGGAAGTGGAGAAGAAGGAGGTTAAGGAGCCAGCTATCGCACCGCGGGTGCTCCGAAACGATGATATTGCGAGGACTTGGTATAAGAAAGACGACACCTTCTGGGTCCCCAAGGCGAACCTGATCATCAGTTGCAAGAATCCGATCATATTTGCGTCCGCCGAAAATTCCGTCAAGGCGAAGCTTTTTACGGATTTAGTACGAGACGCCCTCGAGGAATATTCATATGATGCCGAGCTTGCTGGGTTGCAGTACAACGTCACTCTCGACTCCCGTGGATTATTTGCTGAGGTTGCAGGGTACAATGACAAGTTATCTGTCTTGCTAGAACAGGTCCTTATAACCATGCGAGATCTTGAGATCAAGGATGAGCGCTTTGACATTATCAAAGAACGACTCAGTCGCGGATATCGCAATTGGGAGCTTCAACAGCCATTCACACAAATCGGCGACTACATTTCGTGGCTCACATCAGAGCATGATTTCGTCGTCGACCAACTCGAGGCAGAGCTGCCGGGTATCACTGCCAATGCCACCAGGGAATTTCACAAGCAACTTATGTCGCAAATGCATATCGAGGTATACGTTCATGGCAACCTCTACAAGGAGGACGCCTTGAAGTTGACCGCCATGGTTGAGAAAACCTTGAAACCACGGATTCTACCAAAGGATCAACTGCCAATACTTCGCTCACTCATTTTCCCACCTGGATCGAACTTTTTGTACAAGAAAACGCTACACGATCCTGCCAATGTCAATCATTGCATTGAATACTACCTCCATATCGGCAATAAGGGGGATCGTGTGATCCGAGCGAAGACGCAGCTCTTGGATCAGATTCTGCACGAGCCTGCGTTTGATCAGCTTCGGACCAAGGAGCAACTTGGATACGTAGTCTTCAGTGGACTTCGAGGATGTTCCACCACATATGGGTTCCGCTTCATTATCCAGAGCGAGAGGACATCTGAATATCTCGAATCGCGCATTGATTCGTTTCTGACACAACAGCTAACCGCGTTGGCGGAGATGAGCGACACTGAATTCGAAAGCCACAAGAGGAGCGTCATCATCAAGCGTCTCGAGAAGCTGAAGAACCTGGACCAGGAGACTGGACGCCACTGGAGTCAAATAGCTAACGAATATTATGACTTCGAGGCCGGTACGTTGATTGATTGTGCGCAATTCAATTTTTGATATGCTGCTAACTGCTCCGCAGCGCAAGAAGACGCAGCGCATGTCAAGATACTGACCAAATCCGACATGCTCGAGTTTTATTCGACCTACATTGCTCCAACTTCGGCTGTTCGAGCAAAGTTGGCGGTGTATCTCATTGCCCGGGGAACAAGCCCCAAGTCTCAGGAGGCGCCAGATGCAGACGTTGGAATCGAAAAAGTGCCAACGAATGGTACCGAACCACTCATCATCACCAACGTGAGAGACTACAAGGCGAGACTCGTGGCGAGCGCAGGAGCTCGCCCGGCCAGGGAACTCAGCGAGTTTGAGGATTTGGAGCCTAAACTCTGAGAGACGGCGTATGGAGGACCGAGTAGACCACCAGCATGACACAAAGAACATGGATCTGTGTAGGGCGTCGGCGTTGGGAAGCAGAGGCTGAGGCAAGGGCCTGCATCGGCATTGTTTAGGCGTGCGTGGACGTTTAGATGGTTGAGACTTCAAAGTCTACTTTTTGCTGGCCCTTAAAAGTATCCCTGACAGGTTCGGTGTGCGTTCCACGGCATTAGGGGCAGGGGGAACTGGCCCCAAGGCGTGCTGCCTCTGAGGATTAGAGGCAGTTGGTAACCCACGATATAGACAGGTCCATTAGACCCGAAGAATGCAAACTATATTTAGATTATGAGACCTCCAAGTCTTGGTATCCTGGCTTGCTAGCGCTTGTCTGCCAGAAAGATCTTCGATCATCCGTCCTGTCTCCTTACGTCCTTGGCTTGCTGGAGGAGTAGTCAGCTTTCCAGCCGGTTTGGCCTTCTAAGTGACCTCTGCCATGTGCATAATGAGGTTCATTTTATTCCATGGTTGTTGCTAATACAAACAGTCTGCATCAAGGCAGTCAACAGTTCCCCAGGTCACCGCCGAGACATGTCATTAGGTACCCATAATTCAGAGGAATTTTCACTTTGGATAAGAGGACATGTCGATTTTTGGTTTTAGATATAGGGCTGTGACATCTTACATTAGATATGGACGGCGGGGTAGTTCAGGGGAGGAAGGGCGCGGTGTGGGTGGGACTGGTGAACCACCGCCTGGTGCACGGTCCAGCTCTAAGCACTATTCTCGTGAGGCTCCAGCAATTGATCGGTAAAGGTTGTCCCTGGATTGGGACATCTAGATTAAGCAACCCTATTCCTTGAACTCACCACATTTGAGAAATTGAAGACACCCCCAGAATTTCAACTACGACACGAAACCCTTATTTCCTGCAGCTGAGAAGCAGATGTATTATGTTGTCAGAGTTTGAAAGCGTGGAGTCCACAGACACTGAAGCCACACAAAACTGTCATAACTCACTGCAAGAACACTGGGATCCGCACATTCAACGTACACTCAGGTACTTACACACATTGAGGCATTACAACAACCTCACATTGTTTAAATTATGTCCCAGATCATGAATTATCCTGCAGTGATGGAGGCGTGATGTTTAATTGATGCGGTCAATAATTGCAACAATATTATTCCGCACTTTTGCCAGCAATACTAAGACGCTAAGTTCACCTTAATCGGAGTACAGGGTAGCATGCATAGAAGAAATAATTCGATCCTATCTTTCGTAAATACCTTTACTCAAAAGTTTCCAATCCACCTGCCACGCCCGCTCTCGTAACGCCGCAAAACCCCATCCCCGAGCTTGATCTACTTAGCGACGTCCACGACGACTTCGTTTATTGTCAATCATACAGCGGCGACTTCCCAGCGAGGGACTTTAACGCCGTACACCAGGACCACCCACCGAACCTTCTAGAGCTGCGTCTGCAGCTCGCCGTCAAGACGTCTTCTTCAAAGAAAAGGAAGATCTCAAATCGACGAACTGCCAAAGACGACGCTGTAAATAGCACCTCACCGGACATTCCTATTCAGTCTTGCGAGGCCGACTGCGATCTCAACTTCTCCTTCACGAGCGCGTCAGCCGTCCCTTCCAACCCTGCATCGCCTGCGTACCTCAGAGCCGATTCATTGCCACCCGTATCGAGCCTTCCTCCGCGACTGCAGGCAACCACAACCGGCCTCAACTACAACGAATACGCCGAGTCGGCTGCCAGTTCACCATCTGGCGCCTACGCAGATCTCACCATTGACAGTGACCGTGGTGGTGACACCCCCCCCGGCCCCGAACCCAAGGCGTACCCTAGAGGTTCGTCGCCATTCACTGGCATTCCACCCAGTCACCATCGCGCCATCATGGGGGCCGCTGCAGGCACACCAGAGCGGGCATCATCACCTCTGAAAAGAAGAGCATCAAGCATGGATCCGGAGGCTAGCGCAGACACAATTGAGGACGTCGATATGATCTCAGCTGCCACCCCCGCGCCATCTGGCGCCGAGGCCAACAACGCCGAGGAGCCAGGGAGTAAAAAAGCGGTCCCTTCTATTATCATGACTGAAAGTGTGTTACCTGATACTGGTTCGGAAGGACGCCGCACTGCTCACCAGAGATGTGCGACGCCCCCGCTTCCGGACTCTATATCGTCTTTGGAGTCTCACATCAAGTCGATCATAACCTTATGTGAAGAAATGGCAGTCAGGCCATTGGAGGATGGGGAGATGGCATTTCTTGTCTCGAGGAAGTGGGTTCAGTCAGTTATTGGCGACAGCAGAGATCCCAAGGCTAGGATGGCACCGCCGGAATCAAAGTCTATTGACCCGGTCGACAACTCGGACATCATTTGGGAAGTCATCGATGACCCTACGGTTGGAAGCACTCCGGATTCCCTCAAGAAGAAGTTCGTCCGGCTGAAGCCCGGAATGGATACTGAGCACTTTGGCGTCTTCCCGCCTGCTGCGTGGGACCTTCTGATGGAATGGCCTGGCCTTATGCCCGGCCAATGGCCCATTGTCAGATATGCTCATAAAACCAGCGACAATGAGTTCGATTCAAACGTAGTTTTGGAATTTCATCCCCTGGTCCTCACGATACACCGGCTGTGGTCTGCCAACAGCCCGATACCCATTTCACAAATCCTGAAGACCAAGAACCCCCCACCGATAAGACTGGCCAGAAGCCGTACCACGCTCTACAAGTCTTTTCTCTCCCAGGCTAAAAAAAGTACGGATATTGGCCTTAAGGATAAAGTCCGTGTATGGAGAATTCCGCGAAAGCTGCCAGCAGCTGCCCCTGCTGCTGGTGCGGCGCCCACTCCTCCTGCCTCGCCTCAGCAACCCTTTGACCCAATCAACCCTCAAGACTCGTGGCAGAACCTGCTGTTAGATGTTGATTCATTCCTCGCCCTGGAGAAGGACGTCGACAGAGTCAAAATCGACTTCCGAGATGTCACAATTGATATCAACTACAACGGTCATGTCACAATGGAATTTGTAACCATAACGACCGACGAGTCGATCGTGCTTGATGAGGCCATTGAAGGAAACACGTATGTGTCGAACTACTCTCCGTCCAAAGCCTCGGAGAAGACATCAACAGTGCGCAGCAGCTCTACCAGCTTCGCGGTTACTCGCAACACCAGAAGTGGCCGCACTAGTCCTGCCCCCTCGGCCCCATTGAGTCGTGGCCGGGCTCAAAAGAAGTCTGGCAGGCAAATAGGATGCGTGGGGCTTGGCAACTTGGGCAACACATGCTACATGAATGCTGCTCTACAATGTGTGCGCAGTGTGGAAGAGCTGACCAAATACTTCCTGTCTAACGAGTGGGAGAGTGAGATCAATCGCGACAACGTGCTGGCACATAACGGTGACGTCGCAGCAGCGTATGCGAATCTTCTCCAAGAAATCTACAAGGATAGCCCACAGGCGTCCGTTACACCCAAACACTTCAAGGGCGTTATTGGTAAATATGCTCCAGCTTTCTCAGGTTGGGGTCAACAGGATTCTCAGGAGTTTCTCGGTTTCCTGCTCGACGGCTTGCAGGAGGATCTCAGCCGGATCAAAAAGAAGCCATACATTGAGAAGCCCGACTCGACTGACGAGATGATAAACAACCCCGCTGCGATCCGTGAAATGGCTGAAAAGGTCTGGGACATCACCAAGAAGCGAGACGATTCGGTTATTGCAGATCTTTTCACGGGTCTTTACAAGTCGACGCTGGTTTGCCCTGACCCCAACTGCGCGAAAGTTAGCATTACCTTCGATCCTTTCAACAATCTTACCCTGCCCCTTCCAATTGAAAGCAAGTGGTCACATACTGTCAAGTTCTTCCCACTCAACGACAAGCCCGTCGACATCCGAGTGGAGCTGGACAAATCATCATCGATCAAAATGCTGAAAGAGTTCGTCAGCAGTCGGACTGGTGTCCCGGCCGAACGATTGCACGGTGCCGAGGAGTGGAAGAGCAAGTTTTACAAACAGTACAGCAATGGCGCTTGCACTTCTGAAGAAATTCAGACAAATGACAACGCTTGGATATACGAGCTGGAAGCAGTTCCAACGAACTGGAACACTGCCGAATCTAGGAAACTTGAGAACTCCCAGAATAAGAGTCGTGTTCGCTCAATGATAGATGAGGCTGAATCCCCAGGCGCCGAGGTCTTCAGTAAGGTTCTGGTACCTGTCATTCACCGTAGACCTGCATCCGGCAGGTTCACTCACAGCCGCTGGTCGTTCGCATGTCTTCCTCATTTTATCGTAGTGGACCCCGAGGAGGTGAGTCCACAAGCGCCCGGCTGGAGCCCCAACCCCTGGTTACTGACAGTTGTTGCAGGCACAAAGCGAGGATGTCATCCGCCGCAAGATCTTGCAGAAGATTGCAACATTCTCAAAACATGAGATTTTCCGTCGACGAGAAGACTCGGACGCGTCTGATACCACTGAACCTGAAGTGCTTGGGTCTGAGTCCAGTTCCTCTAATGATAGCAAGGTCATTGCCCATTCCGTCAAAAGTGAAGATGACATCGTCGATGTGTCCATGAGAGACGTCGCTGACAGGAACACAACCGCTCAAGATAGTCGGCCAAAATCAAGGTATGACTAGCTCTTCTCACGGCAAGCTTAGTGATCCTGTGACTGACGCGGAAGAAGACAACCTGCCAAGTACAACTTCAATAAGGTTGCGCCTGCTTGGGTCGACCCCGACGTGTTTTTACCTTCCGAATTGCAGAACATGTTTCAGCTCGGCTTCTTCACCGAATCCGGGTCCTTGCTCGCGACTGGTATGAACACTGTGCAGGAAAACGGTGAGTTCCATAAGCTTTCTTCTAGGATTGTGGAACCCACCGGTTCGGACGACACCCGGGACAGCGCAACCATTGATACGAGCTCCAATGAAGAGAGCAGCTCGGACGAGCTTCCTCACGGACGCAGCCCCGAGGTCTCGGCCACGCGAATGTTGGAAGAAAGCGATGAAGATAACGCCCCAGTCGTCAAGGTACGCACCATCAGCAAATGGCCCCCACACACACCTTAGAAGTGTGCATTGGTCCTAGCAATGCAGCACACTGACGCAACCACAGATTCCACACCGACCCAAGCAAAAGTCGGGTGCTAAGGGGCCAGGCGGTCGTAAGAAGATGAAGGCTGGCAAAAAGTACGGGAAGAAAGGAGCTAAGCGCTTCGAGAGACAGAACAAGAAGCAGCAGCAACAGCAACAAGACTTCATGGATCCTGACCCGGCTACGATGGAGCAGCCTGTGGCCGATGGCGGCCCGCTCATCCGCCTCAGTGAAGGTATTGTCGTCGACTGGAATGACGATGCTTACGTGCAGCTTTTCGGTGAATCGCACGCGACGTGGGATGATTGTGATACCCTCCCTGACCGAGAGCTTGAGATGGCGGTAAAGACCCGAAGCCAGCGTCGTAAGACGGGGATCGCACTAGATGACTGTCTGGATGAGTTTGAGCGGGAGGAAGTCTTGTCGGAGCAGGACACTTGGTACTGCCCACGCTGCAAGCAACATCAGCGTGCCACGAAGAAGTTTGATCTGTGGAAGACACCTGACATTCTTGTGGTCCACCTCAAGAGATTTAGCTCGAGCGGCTATAGAAGAGACAAGCTTGAAGTGCTGGTCAACTTCCCTCTTGAAGGTCTGGATCTCACTCGTCGCGTGCTTAACAAGGAAGACGGAAAGGAGGAGGTATACGACCTGATCGGAGTGGACTGTCATTGGGGTGGACTGGGAGGTGGTCATTACACCGCACATGCAAAGAACTTTGTCGACCACCAGTGGTATTCATACAATGGTGAGTTGTCTTACTTCAGCTAGGTATTACAGGATGCTAACTTGGGTGATAGATTCTTCGGTGTCAAGGACCTCACCGGAGAGGATAGTAGACTCTTCTGCGTATCTCCTGTTCTACCGTAGACGTTCCGACCAAGCACTTGGGGGACCCCGCTTCAAGGAGATCCTTGATGCATATGACAACGCTGGTTCAGACGACGAGAATGCCGGGGCGGGGGAAGGCCGGCGTCTCGGCGAGGGCTCCTCCCAAAATGGGTCGCCGAGCGCCTTCCAGGGGCCAGAAGCAGGTCGTACTCACCTGCACCAACCCGCAATTCATGGTGGTAGTAAACTGTCACGCTCGGAGAATGCTTACGAGACTCAAAGCGATGACGGTCTTGCTCGATTGACCGATATGACATTTGACGACGGTCAATCAATCCAGCGGAGCACTGAAGACGAGGGAATCGACATGCCAGACCTACCAAGCCGCACGCCCCTTGAGCAGACTTGGAGTTTCAAGCATCTAAACCCCGATAACGCGTCTTCGGCTCAAGATATGCCTGATAGTCCTCTTGCTTCGGATGTTGCGACAGATGAAGCACAACACGACTCTTCAGGTGACGAGCAACTACTCAGTCCCCACAACAACTATGAACCAGACACTGAGATGGAGGGCCAGTACGAGTTAGGCCCAGCACCCGAGGGTGAACTGCCTGCTTACGAGGAGCCCCCCCCGCCAGCCTTCGAGAACGTGACCAGAGATGATATCAAAGCAATGTGGAACCAACCGGAAGCAGTGGTCACTGTTCCAGCGCATGGTGAAGACCAAGGGTCTGAGGAAGCCGCTGAGATCCACCTTGACGATGAGGATCTCAAGAACTAGGAATCCCTCTCCTCTGGGACAGTCTCCGACCGCTCCTCGAGTCCGAACAAGCGTCAGGATTGCGATTTTGCTGCTGCGTCTTACCAGGAGCCTTTTGCTAAACGGATAAGATGGTCGCCAGACGAGCCCATTGGGATTGCATAGCGTATCGGCGCAGTGAGAGCGGTATATTAACGACTGGATCTTGCTGTTCCGCGCCGTCTGACGCTCACACTACCCAAGGGATATCCTTGCCCAACACTGTCTCCGTTTGCTCACTTATTTCGCTGACATGGGGGGAAATTGACGATTGGACGAACGAAAGCACGAATAGTACGTACATACAGGGAGGATTACATTTAGACCTGGGGGTGCGGTCTTGGAGCGGGCGGGCCAGCATGTGACGCTGTACAGATTGTTACAGGCCTGCCAAAAACAAAAATGGGGTGAAGGTTGGACCGAGACGGAGAAGTCATGCATCATGTCGCCCAGGCATGTAAGCGACCATTGTTTGTTTTTGAGCCAAGACGGCTTAAATGCATGTTCAGCCACCACGATGAAGCTGGAAACTGGAGTTCTTGCAGGAGTTTAGAGTGCATTCACAACGTACAGTGACCATAAACCTCGTTTCTCTCGGCCGAATGAGTGAACTGACCCATGCAATGCATGTACATTATGTGTATGTGGCCGGCCATCAGCATTGTAATTTGATTTGATTTGGTACAGCCGCGCCTGGCCAGTGAAGTCGTCAGTCGGCGTAGCCTACAGCCTATTCGTCGCAAACATGCTATCCAGATTCGGCAGTAAGTCGTGGAGGGTTACCGACGATCCTGGCAAGACGCGAGATTGCAACTACCCCTTTGAGGCATACAACCTTCTTCTAACGGCGACGAGGGAGTATGTCTCGGTGGATGTCCTGCCTTGGCATGAGGGCTTGTCGTGATTGGTGACTGGAGGAATAGGAACCTCTTGGCTGTCGGTTCTCTACTTGGCCTCATTGGCCATCAGGGTTGATGCTAATCAATTATGTGGATGATATTGTGATATTGTAGCTGATTGACTTGTCAAACACGTGGCTTGTAGGTCAAAGATAGGAAGCTAATTGACTGGTTCTAGTTGTATATCAATGCCTGAGGATGCATTCGGTTATCTTCACTGCGCAGTCCTTGTATCGAGCAATAATATATACTGAATCTTGACTCATGGACCCATCTCATTTGATTATCAGGATTTCACGAAGACCGCGATGACCTACCTTTTCCAAAACAGCAGTGATTCGCTATAGCATTCAGCACATACGAGAGCGAGATACAGTCTCCACACGTTGCCCTAGCTCGGAAGCACGATTGTGCATAGACGCGTCGGACACGACCACGTTGGATCGACAAGTGGAACTTTTTGCTTGGTTGAACTTAGGTAAGGAAGACGGCCGGGATGTGCCGTTTCACGACACGCAGCCCAGCCTTCCCCCTTCCCCCCTCTTGCTTCGTCGTCGGCTTGCGGGGGAGCCGGTCGATTGATCATAGGCCCTGCATCGGTCAAGAATCTATTTGGGGGGCAATCGGCCGGCCCTGCCCCTGCAGAAGCGGATCTTATCACCCGCGCTTTTGTTGAAATCTGGTGATAACGACACCAGACGGACATGAAGATGGAAAGAGACAGTCCGTCAGCCCGTCCTTTCGCGACAAGGCCCAGCGATGTTAGGCGTGTTGGCACGTACGTATGGAACCTTCTCTGTGGATTCGGTCCGCCCGGCCGGATTCCACTTGAAAGGGTCGATTTCTTTCAGCTGAGAAACCGCGAGAACCTACTGGACCGAGAGGATCAGCATTGTGGCCCCCAGACCCAGTGCCGCGGTCGACTAACACGGATAACCTTGTTTGGTCAAATAAGAACAGGGTCTAACGGGAATTTCGGACACAAGGTGGGCCCTTCGATCAGGATAATTAGTCGGGTAATAAGCGCTGGGTACTGGACGACAAAATAAAGAGCGCGCTCCAATGCGATCGAGTTACACCTGATCTACTACACTGGCACATGGGGCTACGCAATATTTCACGCTTAGTGCGCCGTTTATTCTATCACCTCGGTGGCTGGGTACATTGCCGGCCTAACCACCATAAACAGGACGATGATTGTCGACCTTGGAAGTTGCTGGCTAGCTTGCTTCAGCTAGCCCAAAGGAATCCCAAAGGGCAACAGATAGCGACGGGGAGGAAGTGGGGAACATGCAAATGAGGCAAAGATGGGCATGGCACGCACATCGTAAATCCAGGAAACGCAATGTGTATTGACCGCGAGCTTCGCATTCCGCCTCGAAGGTGTGGGAGCGATGCAGCCTATCAAGGCTGTAGCAGAGGATACTCATCGGCACTTGAGCAACTTGGTGAGTAGTATGGGTGGTATCGCTTGCTTTCTCGACGTTTTATGACCAGCATCCAATCCTCATCGCCATCGCGCAAGGGTCGCTCATTCGTTGCGACTAGACGCCCCAGGCAATTGAGACAATCAGGGGGGCGAAAAACACGGCGACAAGAGGCTGTGAGCCCAAAGATACGGACCTTTTCTCAGACAACCTGATGGCAAGAAAATACGTCGTCGTAGAAGACGCAAAGTCAGAATGTGACTTTGCCGTCCGTGAGTGCATCTCGTGTACGAAGCAATATCATGGAGGGGTACTTTGATCTGCGGCCTCTGACCATCTTCCACTCCTGCCGAGTTGGATATGAAAAAAAAACCAATCTAATATTTAGGGAAGTTTGTAGCGGCATTGGATCCAGGGTGATGGGATATGTCGCTCGAGCAGAATATCCTTACAAGCAAGGCGCGTGACTCCGGACACTGATGCCTGCAACAACTTTGTTAGATTTAGAGTAACTTATGGGCTATGCGGGTTTGATGTTGGTGGATCTCAGATGCGATCTTAAGCTGGCCCCGTAACCCGTTTTCCAGATGCAGAAGGTAGGCATGCAATGGCTTGGAATGTGCCCGCCGGATGACGCGGACTGCAAACATCCAGGTCCGGTTCGGCGAAGGAGACGACGGGAAAAGAGGAATGGTGAGCTCGCCCAAGAAGCTCAAGTACTGCTGGGCACCATAGTTGAAAGCTGTCAAGATCAGCACGGATATCAAAACTTGGAATTCATCAACAAATTAACTCGATGGGGAAGGTGGATTCTGTGTGGTGAATGGGTTGACTCGCACAAACCAGCCTGGCGCTACCACAGTACTCAGCGCTGAACACGACTTGACTTTGCAAGCGTTGCTTCTAGAAGATACCTGGGGCAGACAATCTTTCATCGATCGGAGATTGACACCTATAAATGCTCATAGCGATATGACCTCGGAGGTTGGGAATGTCGTACGTTGCAGACCAACACTGAGACTGGGTTGAAGTCGTGCCTTCTGGAAGGCGAATCTTGGCATTTTCGAAGCATTCCTTCGAAGATCAGCGCTTAACCGCCATCCAGACCTACCGATTCCTGACAGCTGATGAAGATGCCGATGCGGGTCATCCCCAGGAACTGCACACACAAACGCAAGGCACGTGTACCGTCGACTCCATTTTGAGTATCTTCCCTCTTCTCCGCATTCATGATGACTGATCTGCGTGGCCGAGGAAGGTCGCAAAACGTCTTGTCAATGCTCAAAACGGACAAGATGAGCAAACGGTGGGACGCCAAACACCGAGAGGCGATGTGCCAGAAGCTTGACGATGGCCTTGTACCTGTGCTACTACCACATGAACACCCACAGGTCGACATGGTTTTTGGTTAATCGATGACAAGCAAACGGCAAATACAAACCACGGCAAATATGGAATTGCGCCGACTAGAAGCTTCGGACATCGAGTCTATTTTACACCAGTGCTTCCAATCTCCAACAGAGTACCACGAGTGCTGTAGTGTCGTCTTCGTTGCCGCGAAACTGCCTGCCGCCTCAGTCAACTGGTGACGCCGACAGGTGTTGGGTGATTGATGAGAGAGAGGCCACAACTCCGTAATATCAATTGATAGCAGGGCAGGATTGGTTGTGGACGACGCGACATGCTTATAGTAATTGGTACCTGTAATGCGCCGAGGACTGCCGAGCAATCAGCTGCAGCAAATGCCCATTGCTCGAAAGGATGTCTCCTAGTCGCGCCCGAGGTGATAGTTTAGTTAGCGCCAGTTCTCCAGTCTCTTCAAGCTTCGATGAGTTTTCTGGAAGGCATTTCTAGAAGGCGCCCAGAAGCTTGCAAGGGCCGTGATGCATGGTGTCACCGGCCCACCTGCCCACACCTACAGGGAGCTGCAGCCAGTAGTGCTGACTTTGACGAACAACAGTGCCGCACCGCTGGTGAGACAGTGTCCAGGTGGCAGAAGTACGTCGTTGCCGCAGAACCCCAACAGACACCAGAAAAAAGCAAGCCGTCATTCAGGGACCGAGCCGGCATAATTGTCTGGCCCATATCTTCTAGGTTAGAAGACTTTTGGTTCTGTATCCATTGACGGAACTTGCAAGGATCTTCCAGTTGCGACATTGATGAGGCAGGGACCTTAAGCATGTGCATGTCAGCCCCAGGAACTGAGGTCTCGTCTCGTCACCAAGACTCGTCAGCGTGCCTCCTTCCGTTTTCTACAGTATCCAATCTGCGATCCGCCCTATCCTCCACCAGTCGTAGGTTTCGAAAAAGCCCTCAAGTATTGCATGATAATTATGATAATTGGTAAGAACAACCGCCAAAGTCGGCAGCTTCAGCTTCATCTTCAGCTTCAGCTTCACTCGGGGACGAGCAGTTTCTTCACTTACATGTCGAACTTCCTGGAAGTAAAGTATTAATTAGACGCCTCTCGAGAGACAACAGCCCTCAATTTTCAAATCTCAGCCGACCGGCAGCTGTCGAGCTACCCGACAAAAGGTGCTGACTGGATTGCACTTGAGCAAGTGCAAGTGCAAGTGAATTTTGAGTGTGCACCCCCAGCCGGCAGCAGCAGCCCGGCCCAGCCCGGCCCAATTCAGCCCATCCCCAACCCCCATTCCCGCCTGCTGTGTGTATCGATCCAGTGTAGCAGTTGTAGTGTGTATCAGCGCCGCTGCAGTGCAAGTCTTGCTCTGGGGTGGCACTAGAAGGGGGGGCCCCAATCAACTGCCAGGGCAATTCTTTTCCTCCATCACATTATTTGCCCCCGTCTGTTACAATCTGCCAATTCATCGTCTCTCCCCTCAACTCCGGCTAGATACCACGACTCATACTGTGTGCACCAATGTTGTACTGACATAACAACTAACATAAAACTAAGTGATAGAGGAAGCGTTCCCCACTTGCACCTGCACCCACACCCTCTCGCCGGTCTCCATTCTTTTTATATTGCGCCGAAGCGCACTGTACGCAACGAACCCGGGCCACTCACCAGCAACATTCCCGGGCTGTCAGGCACTCGACCTCGACTGCTGGCCAAACTCGAATCCAGCGCGCACCATTGATTGAACTGCATCATCCTCTCCGGCATGCGACCACGTTCAATCTACCCTCGCGACGTACAATAGCCAGCATAGCCCTCGAGAAAGCCGTTGCGACACACCTCGCATTTCCGCTCAGGTGTAACATAGACCACATCCGCTACCAGTCGAATTCCGCCTTGATATTTCTCGTCCCTCCCCACGCGGGAAGTGTTCATGCACCATAGCAGCCATCGCATTGCGAATCCCATGCCACCCGCCGGCCTCAGCGACTCGATTATCGACCTCTTTCATTACTCGGCAATCGGATAATAAAATTGACAGCTCAGTTCCTCCCCGGGCTCAATTCAAATACAGACGGTTCGGTTGCTTTGCTTCATGAGGCTGAACGTGGTGATACACAGCAGTTGCGTTGTTCATTCCAGTGTCGTCTTTCTGGGCTCGATCGAGAGACGACGGTTCCGCGAAGCTCTCCCAATGTTTTAATGCCACTTTTGTCGTGTCACTCCTGCCTTCGAACTCAAACACGCTACCTTGGGCGCACCTTCGCTGCATGTGCTGTTTCGAATCCGACCGCGAACACTTGCGCCGATTCCCCATTTCATTGAACCCTCCGAAACCCAACGATCCATCCACAGGCTCCGAGCTAGAGATAACGTGGGACTGCGACAACCCGAAGTGCTCCAGTCGTAAGACTGGCCGCCATCTTGCGCCATGGACAGCGCTACGTGTAATGTCATCTACGTGGATCGCAACGTCCGCGAGGACGCGCACCTCACCAGATCGACCAACAACTTGAGCGCTGCACTGGACAAAGCCGGTGAGCTTCGGGCCAACTTGGAGCTCCTCATAGACGCCTTTGGCCATGGTGGGTTTCAACGCACCGCGCCATTCGCAACGGACCACTAACGCGGTTTTGCAGTTCACGTGTGTGCCAGCGGCGCTGCTTGCATATCCAGATTATTTCAGCTGCATGACACGTCCCTCGTCGAGTTGAAGCCGACGCTGGTGCTGATAGATACGCCACACGACGAACAGATCATAGACTCGGCCCCTTCTTCGCGAGATCCTTCACCACACTCGAGGGTCTCTGGGAATGTGTCTCAACGAGAGTGCGTGGACGAACAAGGATACGGGTTGCGTTTGCTGGAGAGGATTGTGTACGAATCACACTCGCGCAATCTCTCCAAGCTGGTGGTGCCAATACCCGTTGTCACCTTCCCCTTGTTACAGAGCCCTCCCGCCAACGACAACCCGAATGACGGTTCTTTCCAGACTCCATACGCGGGGTACCTCGCGGAAACAGCCGACCCGGCGAGCAGGCTGTTGACCAACAGGGGGCTTTTGAGAAAATGTCTCGATTCGGGCGCCATCGACGTTATGGCAAGTCCACTGCACATGAAAACGTTGACGACACTCGAGGTGCACGCGTATCGAGCTCACAAAGAGGCGGCGAAAGAGCAGCAAGCCCTACTCGAGATCAGCCGGGGTCGGAAACGCTCTTGGGTCGGCATGCACGAAGAACAGCCTTTTTCGTATCTCCGAGAAGCCATGGTGTCAAATCTTATGAGCGGCATCTGTAGATCGGGTACGGAAACCGACGTTGGGATTGGCAGTGTCAAGATATGCGTGTCTAGTGAACGCCGCGCTGAAATTGCCCATGCCGTGGGGAGGTGGCATTTTTGCGCACACGACTTTTGCGACGACCAACTCCTGGTCGCTGCAAGTCTCATCTTCAGGCACGCCTTCTCCATGCCCGAGCTTGAACAGTGGCGGATACCAACAGGTGAGTGTCAACCTCTAGCTCCGTTGGCTTGGGGAAACCCCACCCTCATCGATGACGTTTGCCGTCATCTCATTGCTAATAATGCCAGACCAACTCACCACGTTTCTTGTCGCGTGCCGTGCTGCGTACAACACATTCGTGCCTTACCACAATTTTCGGCATGCCGTGGACGTGCTGCAGGCCACTTTCAACTTTCTAGTACACATCGGCGCCCTACCGCCGTATCCTGCGCGGTCTGGCGCTGACGTTACACCAACACAAAAGTCTCCGCTCGCCATTCTCCTCAAGCCCTTCGAGGCGCTGACGTTGCTCGTGAGCGCCATTGGGCACGATGTGGGCCACCCGGGTGTCAACAACGGCTTCCTTGTTGTACTGAACGCACCGCTAGCGCAGTTGTACAACGATCGCTCGGTTCTGGAATCGTTTCACTGTGCCGCATATTCCCAGATCTTGCGGAGGTACTGGCCCCAGGTGTTTGGGGATACGAAAATGCGGGATCTCATGATCAGTTCCATCCTCGCGACGGACATGGGCCTTCACTTTGACTACATGACGAAACTCGGCAGCCTTCAGGAGAGGTTACACGAGAACAACTCAACGGACGGGTGGAACGGACGTACCGTCGAATCCGAGACTGCGCTCGCTTGTGCGCTTCTGATCAAATGCGCCGATATCAGCAATGTGGTAAGTGCTCTTGCACCGCACACGATGACACTGGATGCTCACAGTCACATTAGGCGCGCAAACACGATGCGGCTCTACAGTGGATGCACATCCTCTGTGACGAGTTCTCGAGGCAGGCGTCGATGGAAAGCCAAATCGGCATTCCTTCCTCGCTCATCGCAGAACCGAAGAAGGACTACCTGTCGCTAGCAAAGGCGCAACTCGGCTTCATGAACATGTTTGCTCTTCCTTTATTTCAAGGAGTAGCGGATATCTTGCCGTCCATGCAATATACGGTCGATGAGCTGGAAGATAACCGAATGCTCTTCGAAATATCCCTCCAGGAGCTGCCTGAGATGGATGAAGAGCGGAAGAAGCGCGTGCTAGAAGGCGCCTTGTCGCCACGCAGTATGAGCGTAGCGTTTGGGCCCGGAGATTCGATGGATTCGTCTTCAGGCAAGACGTTGGAACCACCGATGCAAAACATTCTCGAGAATCATACCGAGATGAAGAAGGCAGGGTCCTCGCTTCCGGATCAATTGCCACACATTCCTAACGTGGCCGAGCAATACAAGGAGGTAAACGGGGCCGCTGCCAACTTCGACACTATGGCAGATTTTTCCGCCAGCGACCCGTTCAGTATCAACGATCATGATCGAGCCGTCGGCCACAATGGGAAGCAGCGTTGTAGCGAAACGACGGAGGGAAGCAACTCGTTGCTTTATTCAGGTGATTGGGCATCACAGGCCACAAGTGCCACTACTGGGAAGATGCCGTTGTCTCCTAGTACGCAAGGCACCAGTATCATCAGCCAGGAGTCAGTGGAAAGGCCGTCAAGTGTTCCGGCACCAGCTGCCCCTGTTCCGGAGGCAAACCACTATTTAGCGCCTCCGATGCTACCAATGGATCCTGTCAATTCAGAGGAGGAGCACTCTAATGAAAGCACCCTGAAGACTGACAAATCGCTGAAGAAAAAGCCAAGTCGGTTTAGGATGAAGGCGGTAAATATTTTTAGATGGAATAAAGGTGGCAGTTCGCCATCCTCGAACGGAGGAGACCCCCTTGGATGAAGGGCTACCGGTCCAGCAGAAGCAATGCAACCCTGAGATGGCTCTGCGAGACGCATAACCGAGCCGAAAATCCCAACCCATGGCCACCGATACGATACACCTATCGCGCATTTAATGACTGGGAAACGTCTGAAGCCTGGACGGTGGTGGGCGATAATCAAGTGGCCTATGAAGACAGAAGGCAGAGGTGCAGCAGACGGAAGCGTCTGCCTGCTGCCACGTATGTAGTGTATTTTATTTGGCAAAAGAGCGTGTCAAGGATAGAGCTGGCCACGAGGTTGTAGTGCTCAAGTAGCGAGGTGGGAGCACTGGTCAAGTGTTTGCCACTGAAGCACGGACGAGCACGGTCGACGGCAGTCAGTCGAGGTTTAACGAGCAAACAGAGTTAACGTTCGCGGACGAGGATATATAGTTGCTGAAATGATACCTTTGGGGGCTTTGGCCTGGCAGACAACACCCAAATTCCAACCATCACAACCTCAAAACGCCGCTTCCTATTATTCACATGAGTTGTCAAAGGGTGTACAGGTATATTATCTTTAAGCCTTACGTAGAGGTGGAGCCACGGGACGCCGAAGCCTTCAGGTCAACTGTGCTGAGCCCGTTGGTAGCCCATTTAGCCTCCATCTTCTCGCCAGCCTTGTCGCCAGCCTTGAAGACATTATCAAACGTCATGAATAGAGCCAAGCTCTCTCGACTTGTGCTTCAGGACGAGTTGGTGCTTGGGATGGTTTAACGAGAGGACTGAAGGTTTTGAACTCGGTAAGCCTCTGGCTGAGCGTACATGTTCAACGAGGGGCGTCGGTGATAAGCAGGAACAAGAAGAATCATGAAGATGTTGCCCACGGGATGCCTCTGTTCTTATTCTGTCGGTCGTGCCATTCAATAGGTACTATTCTGATTTCACTCTATTGTTCTGGTAGTTTATCTGCCCTGACCGAGCCCCGGAAAATCCTTTCGTCATTTCCATATGCCCAGAGTGGAGGGGAATCGCAAACTGTGTATACCTCAGTTCTGATCTGTAACGGCCTTTTTGCTTTGCGAAGTTCACATAGCAATATTCATTCGTCTTGCGCAGAGATGTTGGGGAAGCAGGTCTTGTTGCGGTTTGAAAACAAGAGTGGCTCAGAGTCATTTGTGAACGCTGTGGTAGTAAATAGCGGCATACTGGACGTACCGGCGAATTCTGCCGTATTTCTGTACTTGAAGCTGACTCGGGTTTACTTTTTGCTAACTCGTCAGGATAAGGGGGCCCGCGTGGCTGTGACTGCAGTTATGCTGGGACCTCGTGATGTTGTCTCGCATCCCAAGCTCTATTGAAATATCTTAAGGACTTAAACGGAGTGACGCTTTTCGGGGTGAGATATTATCATTAAGAAGCATGGAAGAGTATAAAATAGGGGCAAGGGCATTGCACAGTTGGCAGCACAGCAATTGCAGGTTAACTCAGTCTGACCACTGCCACTGCTTATATCCGCCTATCTCAACCCAGCTGTTACTAGAATAGAGAGCCGCATTATCATTCGTTACGCTGAAGCATCAAGTGGAATTAAGGGGACTAAGCTCTGTACCTGTACATTAGCTACGCCTCTTTTCACTGTAGTAGCATGCGTCGGCTTCAAGAGTGCAGCGGCGACGACGCGGAGAAGATACAGAAGGTCGACGAGTTCATAACGAAGCAGCAAACGACGATGATAACGTTGAAGCGAGGTGCAACAAGTCGTGTGTAGGGAGAGTGACGATCATAGTAATCAGACACTTCGCTTGTGTGCCACTTCGTCCTCAGCTTCTTTCCGGAGTCAATTCTGGGTCGACTAGCCTGGGTCGACTAGCGGTTGATTTCGGAAGGCGAATTAATACGGTACGGCTTGAAGGACTTCAATGTGCTCATGAAGGACAGGTTGATTGTTATGACGGCATAAGGAAGTCTCGGCAGGTGGTCTCGCCACGGCGGAAGGTGCCATGTATCTTGAGACACGGTTGAGATATCTGGCGGTGTGCCTCCCTGGAAGACAATGGAGTTTACTCGTCAACGGCAACAGCCACCCCCGTAAACACCAATTTGGGGAAGAGAGGATTATTTCTAGAGGCTCCAGCAAGCCATCAATGTCCATCTTCTCGTCATTTGGCTGCATTCCTGGTTCAAGTTTTAGCACAGGATTGGTCTCCAATGCTGCGATCAAGGTCAATCTATACTCTGTCCCCCATATTCAGAAATTGTTCCCTGAAACATCGTTGGACAGCTGACGGATGAACGATGAAGAAAACGATGGGCTGCTGGATCGCCACGGCCCTCCAAACCATTGAAGCTGTCGAATCCGTTTCCCAGCCAGCAGGGATGCGGAGTCACTGAGTGGCTTGTATCCCCGATCACAACAATGAAATGGCATTGCCGTCTTGGATATGTCGATCCCAGGACCTTGGCAGCTTGGGAATCACTGTATGCTCCAGATTTCAGATACTGTCGTGGACCGTATATGGCCAGTTGCCATGCTTGTTTGCTACATATACTACTGTCGTATTAGAATACCAAGATATTCTTCGTGGGTATAGTGTTCCCCTCTCCTCCCTTCCCACCCTGTTTGGCAGTCTGGAGGTCCGCAAGGGAAGCAAGTTGGGGCGAACATGACGATTAATTCTGTACCGTATAGTATTTAAGATACATAACCTGGCTCTCAATGCTTAGCAGTTGTGTACTATACACTCCGCAATACCTCTCCTTCTACCTGATCCAGTCAAGCAGACTAATCATACAGTCTCGAGCTCCTCTGGTGTTGACGAGGCAAAGCAGTAATCGCTGCGGCTCGATTTATGCGGACCTCCGTATCCAGAGCGCCATCGCAACCACCCCTTCCCTTGCTTCCCATTGCTCACGGGATGAAGGGGATCCGAGTGGGGACCCTCTTCTTGTACTCGACGTAGTCGTCGAACATCTTCGCTAGGAATTTCTCTTCAACCTTTATTCTACCCGAAAAGAATTTCCACAGGACGATTGTGTACCCGAGGAAGCAGATAGGGTTTCCAAGGACAAGCTGAGTGCCGATGCCCCACCAGAAGAAGCCGAAATAAGAAGGGTGTCTCATCACTCCATAGATGCCCGTAGTCATGAGCACATGGTCGTCATTTTTCTTGTGCTGCACAATGTGGTTGAAGCTAGTGCCCAGCTGCATCATGGATGTTGCGCGGATTAATTGTCCTATAAAAACCAACATCAACCCAAGCAGAAGCAGTATATGGCCAATGTATAAAGGCGCCCAAGATCGGCTCGTCCAGAGGAGCTTGGTGAGAAGGCATTCGATGGAAGCGGAGGCATGCGCTATCGCGTACAGAGGCCAGTTCGCAGTCAAGAGGAACGAGTCTATATTCGCCTGTCGAGTATTGTATTTCGCAGTCGTCCAGAACTCGAGAAAGTGAAACGTTGACAGGGCGCCCCAGAAGAAGGGCAGTCGCCAGAGCGGAGACGACGAGAAGAGAAGGGTTGAGAAGGTAGCTACGGCGGATAACGCGAGGGCGATGCCGAGCCAAAATGATCGCAGCGCAATGCCTTCGAGGGACTTGGGCTGGCCGGGGAAGTATGGCTTGTCGGGGCTTATTCGAGCGCTTTGTAGGGCGTCGCTTTCGAAAGGCAATGGGCTGTTAGTGCACTTGTCCATGAGTTTGCTGGAGGCGAACAAATTGAGGGTTACTAGCGAGTTGCGACGGTATGGCTTGGTGGACACAGGTTCGTCTTCCTTGCCGCTCGACCAAGTCTTGTGCTCGTCAAGGGTATCGCCAGGACCAAAGCGCGGAGACTGAGGTACGGCGCCGTCCTGTTGGCTCTTTACGGATTGAAAGGGAGAGGGCGGCTCAAGCCTGGCCGACGGCAGCGCAGAAGAAGACATATTGGAAAATTTCAACGTGAGAGTAGAAACTAGTCACTTTGCTGGACCAAAGTGAGTGGTGCAATAAGGGTCGACGTGTATTCGGGAAGGGAGAGTGCTTGCGCCGACAGTGCTGCAAAACACAAGCAAATGTGAAAGAGGAGCGAAACTCACCTATCCGGCCAGTGCTCCATTGTGTCAATTGTGACTTGGTTACCTCGAGGTCATGCGTGCACTTCACGGACAAAGGCATGCGGTTGTATGTTTTTCTTCATTGTCGGTTGTTACCAAGCGTCTTTCTTTTGGCCTCGTCCAGAGCAAAGGGAGATTTAGACCCTTGATAGTAGCCGCGCCTTTTGTTAGAGTCGCGGCTCTAGCTTACGGCTAAGCCAGATTCGGCAGTGCCGACATTTTCTGGTTGATTTTACACCCCGCAAACGGAACTGGAAGATAATGGGTGACTAGCTAGCTAGCTACGTCATTTTACGCAAATCTCAGGATAAGTCGTCATTGTGAGTGGGAAAGTGTTCATGTGATCTGGAGTGCTACGCTTTCTAAACACCTACCAATCTCATAAAGTGGCAACTCAAGCTGTACGCACACACGTGAACTTTTCCTGCTGGGGACTTCCCCTAGACAGATTAACAGACAAGGCCGAAGCGAATGCTGGGCAACACGGACATTACCATGGTAGCTAGTGGCTATTTATAGATTGTGGGACAGGGAGTTGCTCCCAACCCCACAGGAGTACAGCACTCTGGTATGTTCCACCGTGCTGGTCAAACAAATGTGAATCTATCATCCACCTAAGATGGATTTGCGATTGATTGACTTGGAGGAGAACAAGCGACTGATGAGAAATGGCGAGCTCTATTACGCTTTCACGCCAGACCTCGTCGCTGATCGCAAACGATGCCGGCTCGCATGCGAAGCGTACAACCAGGCCGGAGACGTATCTCGTCGACGACTTGTAGAACTCTTCAAGAAGTAAGAATGAGTCTTATGGCATGCCATGCGCTCCTGTTTCTAACGTAATTCTGACCGTCCTCCACCACAGAATTCAGGATGACGACTGCCAGCTGCCGCCTCCAGCGTCGACCCCTGAAGAGGACGAGGATCTCTTCGGCAACGAAGTCTGGTGCGATGCTCCTATAAAAATGGACTACGGGCACAACGTGGTGTAGGTGTTGCCTACACGTCGTGTTAGCCTCCAGCTGACCCTAGTAGGTTCGGCGACAACGTATACGTGAACAGTAATAGCACTTGGGTCGATACGTGCACAATTTCCGTGGGTGCACGAACACTGATCGGCCCAAACTGCTCCTTCTTCTCGGGTACACATCCGACCGACCCAAAGATTCGCAATGGTACTAATGGGCCCGAGAACGGTGCACCCATCACCATAGGCGAGGACTGCTGGTTCGGCGGTAGCGTCATTGTTCTCCCCGGGGTAACTATAGGCGCAGGGGCAACGGTGGGCGCTGGAAGTGTCGTCACCAAGGACGTTCCCCCATACACTGTCGTGGTTGGCAACCCCGCTCGAGTGCTGCGAAGCGTCGCGTCATCGAGTTCGAACCCTATCCCGGCCGCCCAACGCCATGAGTCGGCGAAGGAAGCAGCGTCTTCTTCATAGTCCTCCCTGAATAGAGAATGACGAGACGACGAGAACCAAGACGTTGATCCATGCCCAAACGAAGGGTATCCACGTGGACATGAGGAATTCCCCATTGTGGTAGACAGCACCGAGGCTACAGCAATATGAGTAAATCGAAGTTGAAATTTCAGTGTGCATACTCACATGACTCCAACAATGCTCCCAGCAAAGAGAGCCTCAACGCCAGCCGTTATTGCGTAGACAACGGGGACGGCCAAAAGATACTTCCATGTCGATCGTCCCTTCCCAATTTGCATAAACAACGCAATGCTAGCAGCGCCAAGATGGAAGATGGCGTATAGAATCAGCGTCCATAACAGAGTGAAGCGCCATGAGTGGTAGATAGAATAGATAAAAGGACCTTCCCACGGTGGCCAGGTGAGAGATGGAAAGGCCGGGGGCTGGTAGTCGGCAGGAGGATCGCGACGTGCCGCCGTTGACCTGTAAGCCGGTTAGTTTGTTCGGATCTAAGCTGGAAAAATCCACTTACGCAGTATTGCCCATCGCATACGCCTGTTCGTGCGGGTTGCAGGAAATGGGAGCGTGATGAAAATCGGACGAGGTCGAGGTAGATACATGGCACGTCATTTGAAGGTTTGGAGCTCGGGCCTGGAGCTACTTACACTCCCTGCGCTGATCACAGCGGCGCGGTGCAGCGATTGACACTGAACCTCGGCTCAATGACGCCGAGTTACCTTTGCTTTGATCTACTCTCTGCATTATATCTCGACCACGAGAATAGCTTCGACGCCAATATCCTGCTCCTGGGTCGCTGAGCTCATATGTGCGAACATGTCAGTCGACCGACTGCTCACGACAACCCTGCGGGCGTATCAAGAACCGCAAGTCTCTCCGCAGACAGACCGACTCTACTCGACGACCGTGACCCTGCTCACCAACCTCAATAACCCTCTCAACGTCTCGCTCCTCACCTCACACCTGCTTACTGCGCGCGCAATATGGGAATCCCCTGATACTCTGCGGACCTGTCTGCGTATCATTAGCATTTTCAACACGGCCGCCATCCACGTCCTGCGCAATGAGCTCGACAATGCGAAGTTGTCATGGGGACAAACACCAGTGGGCAGCGGGGTTGGGCGCGACAAGTGGGCGCGCGCAGTAGCCAAGGGAGCAGATGAGCGGTCACCAAGGTGGAAACATCTTCTTGCGCTCACGGGCATATTAATGGGCATGGAAAACAAAGACCTGGAGGAGAGGACCTCAATGTCTTGGGGGCTGCGATCGACGGTCGAGCGGGCCGTGGTCACGGCTGCGAACCTTGCCTTGGAGAATCCGTCGCAGGCACAGGAAACCGGGTCGAACGCCGTTGTCCTCGCGCTGTCGTATGCATTCCCAATATTGTCCGCCTCCGCGAAGCGGTCTATTAATGGCAACCTGATCTTGCCTGCCGTCATGGCGGCCATGACAGGCGCCGAAGGCTTTCAACTCATCGAGGGAGACTTTCTGACCACGATATCTGCTGGCAATGTTGCGGGCCACGAGGCGTTCTATCACGACTCTCCGGCTTCCTTCGTGCAGGTCCAACGGCTCGAGTCGCGACCCTTGGTGCAGAACATGGGTCCGGTGTCTAGACTCGCTGTCTTCGCAGTGCAGCACGCAGCCGATTCCATGGTCGTACTCCAAGCCCAGGACACCTTATTGGCCTTGTCTGCCAATCTCTTGGAAAGATGGCGGTTATCGCCCTTTTCATCCATCGACATGTCCACGGAAGCCGTCATTATGTCTCCCGAAATGTTGCAAGGGCCCTGGGCGATGCTGTGGCAGCTGCTTAAAAAGATCATGTACACCGTTGTCGCGACAGCTCAGCCCATAGTCGGCCGATGTCTGGTGGATTCTCGTCTCAGATCTGACGTGTGGTCCCCTGTGATAGCCACGAAGACCCTCGATGTTCTGCGAAATCTGTACTTCATCTCGTCTCGCCAGGGCGCAGAAACTCTTCAAGTATACACATTCACCTATTTAACCTCGATCGATATACTGGCTCGCTACCCCGAAGTCTGCATATCCTTCCTACAGAAGACCCAACCGCCACCTCAGGCAGCGAATTCACTCCCACCAACACCATTCGACCAGGCGCTTACGCTCTTCTACCTCAACACGGCCGAGCACCTTCCCCTCTCGTTGCCAACCGCAGAAGCAGAGAAGCTCATCGTCGCGCCCGCAACCGCACATTTATCCTCCGTCTCTCAATCACCGCCCCCATCCGCCCCAACATCCCTCGCCCTCCCGCTCTTCGAGTCGTCCCACTCGGCCATCCTCTCGGTCCTCTCGTGCCCGCAACACAGCGACCTAACCATCGCCATCATCCCCTTCTACATTGACACTCTCCTGTCCTCCTTCCCGACCCGCATCTCGCCGCACCAGTTCCGCCTCGCCTTCAAAACCATCATCCAGATCGTCTCCCCCCCCTTCCCCATCGCCGCCACGCACCCCCATCTCTCTGAAACGCTCCTCGAGATGCTGCACTTCCGTGCCGCCTCGGCGTCGGCGACCGCTTTACCTCCAGACTCCTCGCCCTTGCAGGCAGACTCAGCACTCAGCACCAAAAAACAACCTCAGGCCCCCATCTCGGAACAGTCGACGCTGGTGCTCGCCCTTATCGACGCGCTGCCCTTCCTACCTCTGCACATCGTCGAGGAGTGGCTGACGCGGACCGCCGAAGCCATGAACAGCATGATAGATTCGGCCATACGCGAGACGGCCTGGAAGAGGTTCTGGGATGTGCTCGTAAACGGGGAGATGGACGTCGAGCGGGCGGCGGTGGGCGTGGCGTGGTGGGGAATAGGAGGTGGTAGGGAGATGGTCCTCTCGAATGCCCCTAAGCCGAGTGGAGTGCAATTTTTGATGAGTGGTGCGTTAGGGAGCCAATTAGAGAGTAGCCGGCTGTGAAGGGGACAGATACAAATGATACTCGAACCGAGGGGCGTCCCCCCCCCCCCCCCGGTAAGTATAAAGACTTGATATGCAGCGCGGGTGTTTAATGTTGAGGTTTGCTTCAAATAAATGTAGATATGCTCTTGTTTATGGGCTGGCACGCCTATTGGAAGGCTGTATAATCACCAATAACTGCATTGACCCCTTAGTCGGGCACTTAGGTATTATGCCTTGGGACCTTGACTTGGATTGCACAAGGAACGGAACACAGAGGTATATTCGCTAATCACGGCACCGAGAGAATGGCTGGAAACCAAACAAGGAGGTATCTTATAGAAACCGGATGCGGAAAGTATATACATACCCAAATCAAGTCCTGAACTTGTATAATACTGCGGGCGCCTCGTGTCTGAGCTTCTGTGCTCAAGGCACCGTGCGCCTTTACCAACCCTTTTCCTTCCTTCCGATTGATGAGTCCTCTAATTTTCTACCAGTGTGATCCCGTCCAACACTCCCAAGAACGAATTGCTCGATGCTAATGCGCCGCAGATGCATGAATTTCTTTCAACCGTGTCTAAATTCCTATTCCGTCCGCAAGGTAAAACAATCCGTGAATTATTCTCTTTCCTCCCATAAATAGACAGCCTAATGCGCATCCGAGGTAAAAGCATTGCTGAATCCCAACAAGGCCATGCCCAGGAAAGCAAAGAGAATGCTTAGATTGCGATTGTGATTCAAGCTCAAACTCTCGACAAACAACTGTAGGGCGACGCTCGCCATGATGCCTGCTGTGATGGCGAACAAACACCCGTAGGCCACCGCATCGGGCGTCATGTGCGTGCGCTTGGCGATCTTGAACCACATGACGGCAATGGCAGCCCCTAGTGGCTGGCTCAACCCGCCCAAAACGGAAGCCCACAGCATGGCTTTACCGCGGCTTTCCAGTGCCATGTATAGAGGAAGCGCCAATGCAAAGCCTTCGGAAACGTTGTGTACGAAGAGCGCCAGGAAAACGTTGAAGCCCAAGGAGGGGTTGGCGTGGTTCGTGGCGTAGGTGATGAAGCCTTCGGGCAACTTGTGTAACGCAATCGCAATCGATGTTTGGAGACCAATGGAGAGGAAGGCGTTCTCGGCCACGTGGTGGTGATGTTGAGCTTCCAGGTCCCCGGAGCACATGGAGTCGCAGTCGTTCACCTCCCGACCCTCCTCGCCATAATCGAAATGGGCATGGTGAGGGTCTCGCGAATGGGCGCGACTCGTACGTCGGCTTGGGCTTACTGCCGATGTCGTCTCGTTGTCATCTTCGCATGGTGTTTCATTTTCTGGGTATACGTGCAGATTCGTTGTGGTGTGAAGAAACGTGGACGCCCGAGAGGTGACGGCAGATCGACTGCTCAGATGTTTGAAGCACTCCTGGCCACACGGATCGGAGTAGCCAAAACAAGGACCCGATTCATCGCAGTTGGGCTTGGTATCCTTGACAAACGACAAGACGCGATGCGGAACCTGTATCATCGATTGTCTTCTCTCCTGCGTGCTGGCTCGGCTTCGAGATGTTCGAGGGAGGCGGCCGTGGGTGGTACCATCGCCAATCGCAGTGTCTGTCCTCTTCGCCCCGTGGCCGTAGCCGTCCCTTGGGGTTTCCGTCGAGAGCAAGGGGGTCGACTCTGTGGCACGTCCATTCTCGCCGATGGAGCCCTTTGCGCTGTGGATGGTCGAGTGATAGGAATGATGGCTTTCACGGCCTCTGGTGCGGGACGATTGCCTACGACTATGACTGGTGGCGCGAGAATGCCCGTCAACATTCTGTTCACCGTGGCTGTGGTCACAGTCGACGACATGTGACGGGAGCAACTGATGAAACAGCCTTGATATCACCTGGATGCCAGCGAATCCTCCTATGAAACAGCCCATCAGGATGAAACCGGCCGGTTGCTCCGAGAAGCCTCCATTCTTAAGGTAGCTCTTTGATTCCGGCAACATGCTGTACAAAGACATGAAGATCTAGGTAGGACAAAATTAGTACGCTTCAAGTGTTGATGATACTGGAAAGGCTCACCATGACCCCGAAGCTCAAACTAAGAGAGCATGCAAGGAACGAATTGCTGTCTTGTATTCGGAAGTTCTCCTTCCCAGGGAACATGCGGATAATCAGGTCGACACAGATGATGCTGGCTCCCAGGACACAGGCTGGTTGGTCAAGGTCAGCATAGGCACCGAACGTGGCAAATTCTGTCGTCGAGGTCACCCACCAATCCCGCTGATCAGGCACATGATCCATCCCCGCGTGTCGTTGTCCATTCTTAAAGCCTCCATGATGGCTGAACTGATTTGAAATCGACACCACCTAGTCGTCTTGTGCCTGCAGTAGTGCAACCTCCTAAGCACACGCAGCTGGGTTAGGGGAGCATGGGCCTTGTTCCGATCGTGATTTGTCCCAAAGATCTGGAAAGTTGGACGACAGTTGAGGTCGGTCCACGGACGGTCTTGTGGTTGAATGTTAAGGGTGGTGGTGCAGTGTCTCTGTGGCTGCTGGGTAACGAGCTACAGCTAGATGTAGCACTAAGCAGCAAGACAAGGTGGAAATAAGAACGACCAAAAGTGCCAAGTGCAGTGTATATATTCGAAACCGGAATCAAGTCTGGCCAAGTGGATTTATTTTCGACAGTGTGATTTCCGCCCATTTCCAGTAGCTTGCGCCGAGAGCGAGGATAGACGAGCAGGGCGGCAGTCTACTATTGTACTTAAGGCGGGCGGATGATGCATGCCAAGCTTTTGTTTTGTGCTGCAAGCAGTGGCCATCAAGGTCCTCTGAACTTCCAGATGTCAGGTCCAAACGGGTGCTCAAGCGCAAGCACTTACCGGTCTAAGCTTGACTAATCAGCCCCTTGATCATCTGTCCAGTGTCTCTTTTACATCGAGTGTTGTTTCCAACTTTGTCAACCCTTGCGGCAGCATTCCGTTGACTCCTTCCGCCTCGCTGAATTCAGCGTGCTTCTCAGTGGACATGGTGGGAAGCAGGTTCCCTGGCCAGCGTGGAGCAATGACAGCCCTGCTTTTTGTCATCGCATCGCAGCTGCATTAATGGCTTCCCTATTGGCGCCTAATGCGGGTAAAACCGACTTTGGTGGGATACCACATGTATGATACCTTTGCCAAGCGGTGAATCCAAAGTTGAGGCTTCTCGACGGATACCTTTCAAGCGTTTTACATCGGGCAGGTGCGTGCCATTAGAGGGCAACGAGAACTCGTACTGACTCAAGTGCGGTGTGGTCAAAGAAGCCCACTAACACATAGTAAGAGCTGCAGGTCGTCGTTAATTGGCCTCCTCAAGTAGGCACCTTCACTCGGGCGCAACTACTGTCGTCTGAGGTCATAGCAGAACACTTCGCCGTGTTTCCAAGGCCGCAGTAGAGAAGTGGTATGGACCGTTCGTTGCCCCCAGCGTGATACTCGTAGGTACTGGGTGACCTGACACGAGATGGAGATTCCTATGGTGTTTCCGACGACTTCCACCTGTTTTCTTCACGTGCGGGTACCCGGATGTCAGCCAAAGTGGCTTTTATCTCGCCTCGGAGTATGGAATGACGGGGGACAAATACGAACAAAACGGTACGAGACACAGACATCAAAATGAGTGAGACGGCGGCCGATTTCTATTGTGCAGACCATATCACCAGACGAGTATGATCAGATTGAGCCATTGAGTTGTGAGCTGAGGTCGAAGAATATGCCGATGAACGGGCTGGTGTTCAAAGCCCACCGAGGCAAGCATCCAACAGTCTGTTGTTCCAGGGAGCCGGGGCAGTACCTGCAGCAGCCGACTGACCTACCCTGTAGCCACCACGTCTAGCTGGAATGTCAAAATTTCCGAGATGCCCCCAAGACATTTCGCAGGCGCTTCGACAGTTGACCACACCTCCAACCACGAGGTCGTAGCACCATCCCGCGTGCACTTGTATTGCTCATACAAGCTGCGCCTGACTTTGGTCGCTTGTTTTATTCCCGTATAAAACCACCGTCGCCAAGTCAGCTCCCAGAGGGAGCCCCGGTCTTGCACTATGTCCAAAACTACACTCGCCGCCATCGCAGCCGTCAGCGCTGGAGCCGGCGCCGCCATAACCGCTACAATGTACTCGCTGCGAAGTTCAGATCGCAAAGGCGACCTCGAGTCCAAGACGATATCTACAACTACGACCACCGTGTCCAACTCTCCCACGGCCTCGGCGCCCATCCCCATACCCGCCAACCAGATCTTCAAGCCACCCGCACCAGCAACGGGGCTTTCGACCTCTGCACCCGCCACTCTCGGTCCCGCGCCCGTCGACCCATCCGGCCTCTTCGAATACGGCTTCCCGGGCCCCGTCGCCGACGTCGCAACCCGGCACGCCCTAATCTCCTCCTTCGACCGCCGCCTGCGCAACCCGCACTGGGTCGTCGAGCACATCACGCCGGCATCTCTGGCCCAGCGCGACGGCGACCGCAAACACAGCGTCTTCCTCGAAGACGAAGCCGTGCCGGAAAACTTCCGCGCCAAGCTCAAGGACTACTTCCGATCGGGCTACGACCGCGGCCACCAAGTCCCCGCAGCCGATGCGAAATGGAGTCAGCGCGCCATGGACGAGACCTTCTACCTGACCAACATGTGCCCGCAGGTGGGCGAAGGCTTCAACCGGGACTACTGGGCGCACTTTGAGGACTTCTGCCGACGGCTGACGGTGCGGTACCCCAGCGTGCGCATCGTCACGGGTCCCCTGTACCTGCCTAAGAAGGACCCCGTCGATAATAAGTGGTACGTTCGGTACGAGGTCATTGGCAACCCGCCCAATGTCGCTGTGCCTACGCACTTTTACAAAGTGATTTTCGCGGAGGACGGTACCGTGGGGGGGAACGTGGCGATTGGCGCTTTTGTGCTCCCAAACGCGAAGATTCCCAACGAGAAGCCCATTACTGACTTCGAGGTCCCTGTCGAGGCGGTCGAGAGGGCGAGCGGGCTCGAATTTGCGACCAAGTTGCCCATGCAGAGGCGGAAGAGGCTGTGTGCCGATACTACCTGTGCGTTGGTTATTCGCGAATACGCGGAGAGGCAGAAGGCGTTTGCAAAGCCCGCTGGCAAGCAATAAAGGAAGGAAGATCCCTATGCAAGAGACATTGAATCCGGGATACAGAAAGAAGATGGAACATCTGGCCCCATTTGGTAGAGGTGGGCGGCGCAGACGAAACGAAATAACCTGGTCCAGCCTCCCTCCTTGTAGAAACAAAGTCATGTACCATAGCCACTTCCGTTCTGAACATTTGTTTCCACGGTTACGGCATCAGCACGGCGGAATCATATAGTATAGCACTTCAACAGTAGAATCTAGCGCAAGCAGCAAGAAATCAAACCGCATTTTCTCCATGCCAAATTTGCCCTCATTGGCCATCCCTATGACCATGATTCCCCAAGGACTCTCGTGGCAAACCCCGCGCCATTGATGCCTGGGTATCGACCCATCTACACAAAATAGAACACGGCTTATACACTGCGTGTGGAGCCCAACCAGCTACTGCTCTTCGTGCAAAAAGCCGTTGCAAGTACTCCTCTCATTACCCTGAGGAGGGACGCTCTTCCTCGTGAGCTCCAATAGTACTGTCCCCCTTGTACCCCTAACGAACCCTTGTATAATTGCCCCTCTTCTGCTCCATCCGCAGGCTCTCCTCTTGACTGGGTAGGGGTGCCCTCCTTCGACCGCCATTATCGGAAGATGGTCCATCGGAGCCCGGCGCTGGGACTGGCGGCGGTGGGAACCCCGGAGGCAGGGTGAAGTTCGGTGGCGGAATAAGTCCCGGCGGAAGCATACCCGGCATACCCGGAGGCGGTGGCAGATGGACACCAGCTTTCTGCATCATCTCGGCGATCTTGGCCATGTCTGCAGGATTGCTCGGGTCCATGCCAGGAAACAGGGGAGGAGGTGGTGCCCCGTTCAGGTTAGGCATCGGGAAAGGCAGAGGAGGAATACCAGACGGTGGAGCACCACCGACGCCAGGGATTTGCGGCGGTGGCGGGACAGCGCCATTTGCTGGTAGAGATAGACCGGGTAATCCGGGTAGGCCTGGGAAGCCAGATCCAGGTTGCTTGATAGGCATCTTCTGATCAACCAAGCCCTCCATCTCGTCCTCCATTTCTTGCTCCTCTTCCTCCTGTCGTTGATGGCGGCTATCTCGGCGATGCCATGTTCCTTGGGCCTCAGCAGCTGCCTCACCAATGTGGTATCGGTCTTGAAATATCTCCGTCTCTCCAGGGCGTGCGCGGGACCAGAACCTAGTAATGCGATCGTTGGAACCGGACGCCAGGATATGACCCAAGGGATGCCAGTCCAGTGACCAGATGGCAAAATCGTGAGCATATGGTATCTTGTGTGCAGGGTGTATAGTTTGTGCGGGTGCTAAAGTGGGGTCGGCGCTCTCGTAGGGACTGAGGCTGATGGGCTGTCCAGCAGGCGTGTTGGGCTCGTCCAGGAGGTAGTGGAATAGAGAACCCTCAGACCCACCAGTACTCAGTAGGTTGGAGTGGATCGGATGCCAGGCCAGTGTTGAGATGTCCTTTTCATGTCCCTTCAGGAGGCAGATATCTCGCATCATCCTCAAATCGAAAACGCGTGCTGTCTGATCTCGCGCTGACGTTGCTAAACAGAAACCCCTTACTCGCTCAAAGAGTGTTTTGGTAATGGTATTTTTGTGTCCATGTAGGGTGGTCAGACAACGCCCTGATCTCGGATCCCATAGCTTCACCAGGTGGTCTTTTGACCCAGAAACGATGAGACCCTTGGTTGGATGCCAGTCACAACTCTTGGCGTCCCATCCATGGCCTTGTAATGTCGACTCTGCTGACCCCCCTGTGAAGTCAAAGATCTTGAGTGTCGAATCATCAGATGCCGTGACGAACTTTGAGTCATTGGGGCTGAAGGCAATGTCTCTAATCGGATCATTATGGCCCTGGATAACTTGAACATTGTTGAAGTTGGGTTGCCAATACTTGATGGTGCCGTCGTGGTCTGCTGATATGAGCCAGTCATCACTGTGTGAGTATGCCATTGCCCGGATGGCGACATCGTGAGCCTGCATGATGGTCTCAAAGTTGAAACCGGTGCCATTCCATAAGGTGAATTCGCCGCTGCTAGAGGCCGTCAATAACCTGCGGCCTTCGGGTGTCCATCGAACGATGTTCACCGGGTGTTTGATCTTGTTAAGGGATGAGTGCAGGTGCTTGGCTGGCACCGAATCGGCAGGAGCAGTGACCCGTGCCAAAGGGGGAAGCATCTAGGGCGGGTTAGTACGATAGCTCACCGTGTTCGTGAGATTGAATATTCCGAATCTCTTACATCGACGATATAGCTGGCACTGGGCCGCTCTGCTTCACCTTTGAAGGACCCTTTGTATCTGGCGTCGCGATTACGCATCCAATGTGCCATAGTCGCGCCATAGTCAGTGACTGGCCTACGGCCTCTGGTCCTCACGAATCCGATGCCATCATTTCCTCCCCCTCCGTGGTCCCCGCGTTGATCGTAGGCCATCGCGATGCTTCTCTCATGTACGGTTACATCCAATGAAGCGCGACGGACTGATGCTTGCTAAAGTTTCTCCTCGTGACCATAAATCCACAAAAAGTAACGTGGTGAAGTAGTCGGCTCTGATCATGCGTGAGACAATTTGAGATAACCCATAATGCTCAAGTCATTCTCTAGAATTCTCGCGTGGAATGATAGATGGCCACATGAACAGTGAAGATGGGGCTCAAAGCTCAATTGTCTTGAGAGCCTCACCATACACTTCACTGGAACCCGAGCTTGCAAGCCTCCAGAAACCCAGGGGCCAAAAAGCTGCATTGGGCAAGCATTCCAGGTCCGCCCCACTTCGAGGTTCCACTTCGGAAAAACTACTTACCGGCCCGAGATGGCCCACTCGTGGCACTTAATTCAAGCGGATAACCTTCGGCTCCGATTAGGTCACCCATGATGGAGACTTTTCCGCTCTGTGTTTTAAGGTTCAGGGGCAACCAAGCCATTAGCCACCAGTTTCCTGCCCGTCTCTGTTTGTCTCAGCTTCTAATGACCAGTGTCACTGCGGTCGCTGCGGACATTCTACCAATTTCATCATTCCACAGCAGCCAGACAAGGGCCTCCATTTCCACCAATTCTCGCTGCCGAGCTTCCAAGGTTGCTTAGATTCCGGTTTGAGCCGGCTGCCAGAAATAGAGACGTCAAGTTCAGCTGTCAAAAGTCGTAATTGGATGTTTGCCCCACCAGCAACTTCCATAACCCGGGCGAAAGCGCTCATGGTCAGGGTTTTCTGATGCAATGCGCAAGCATCGCGGCGGCCACAACGGCAAAGACGGACGTTCGTCCTTTCCCTCGGCCTCGGCGCATCGCGCCAGCAGCACTTCCTGCTTTTCTGCACTGCATTCCAATCGAACCAATAGACAGCAGCGCCCAACACACGCCAATGCCTTGCATATGAGATGATGAGACCTCCCCTCCATCTTGTTGTAGATAGAAATTCAACCGTTTCCCCTCTTCATGCGAGTTCAGAGGTTGACATCGGACAACAACCCGTCATACTGCCGGCTTCAGATCTCGCCAGTGTGCATGAGCCCGTATCGCCCCCTCGGTTCAATCAGACCACTCTTCTGGCCGCGACTCGATTCGAGCTCTTCTTGTCATAGCTCCGAACCTTGGAAGATTCCACAGTCCAGCAGAGTTGACAGCTACACCTGGTGGCGCTGGAACTTTGACGCCATTGACAGAAGTCGCCGCGACGGTTGATATGCTACGGCCGTGCTGTACTTTTCACATAAACTCGGCCATCCTGCTACGCGATTTTCCTTGATGTATCCGGTCGGGCACAATCGACTATTCGCTTCGAGGTAGTTTTCCAAAAGGAACACAATCGATATGGACACCGGTACGACGACGAGCGTGGAGACAGCTCCCGTGGCTACCTCACTCCGTCGAACCGAGGGAAATGGTATCGTGACTAACACCAACGGGTCGACCAATGGATCGACCAACGGTTCGACCAATGGTTCTACGGTTGCTGCTGGCACGACGTTCATTAAGAAGTACAGGCATGTTGCAGCACTTCACACCCAGAACAGACCATCGACGCTCAGTCATGATTCGGAGACTGCACCGAGTTTCCTAGGGTTTCGAAATCTCATGGTGATAGTCCTAGGTATTGTTCTCTGTAGACTTCGGCCGGGACGGTTGCTTATTAGTGGCAGTGGCCGGCAATGTTCGATTGATCATCGAGAATCTTCAAAAGGTTGGTGCGCCGGCAAAACTCCTCTATCACGGGTCAGACTACTCACCAGACTCTAGTATGGCAATTTGATATGTTTAACTTGCCACGACTTCCGCCGACATGATCTGCTCCTTGGCCTGGGCCTATACATCCTCATTCCCGGCTTCCTCTGGGTCGCGCACACGATCGAACTATACGCAGCACGGCAAGCTAAAAAGTCTCGCGCGTTGGCCGTCAGCCGAGGAGGCTCGACCAGCCCGACCGAGGACCAACAGAAGACGTTCAAGTCTATGTGGCGCCAAATACGATGGGCACATGGTATCAATGCCAGCCTTGCCCTGGGCATCACCAGCTTCGTGGTGTATAATCACATACACCATCCGTTGATTGGGACTGTCACCGAGATGCACGCCATCATTGTCTGGTTGAAGACGGCTTCTTACGCTCTTACTAATCGAGACTTACGCCATGCCTATCTACATCCCGTTAAGGGCGAGCTGGCGGCGCTGCCAGAGATCTATGCGCAATGCCCATACCCTCAGAACATCACGATGAACAATCTAGCATACTTTTGGTGGGCTCCGACATTGGTGTACCAACCCGTATATCCTCGAACGGATAAGATTCGATGGAGCTTCGTGTTCAAGAGACTAGGCGAGACCCTGTGTCTTGGGGTGTTTATTTGGTTCTGCAGTGCGCAATACGCCGCCCCGGTGCTCACCAACTCTCTCGACAAGATCTACACGATGGACTTTCCTTCGATGATGGAGCGGCTTCTAAAGTTATCGACGATATCTCTTGTTATCTGGCTAGCCGGGTTCTTTGCCGTGTTTCAATCCGCGCTAAACGCTTTGGCCGAGGTGATGAGGTTTGGAGACCGCGTCTTTTACGAGGACTGGTGGAATGCAGCCAACCTCGGGGATTACTGGAGACTATGGAACAAGCCCGTCTACCGGTTCATGAGAAGACATGTCTTCACGCCTATGATTGGCCGGGGCTATAGTCATCTTGCCAGTAGCATAGCAGTATTCTTCGTGTCGGCGGTACTGCACGAGTTGGCCGTAGGAGTGCCAACTCACGCCATCATCGGTATGTCAACACAACATCGGGTGAACCTCCCAATGCGGAAATCTAATGTTTGTGCAGGTGTGGCATTTATGGGCATGATGCTCCAACTGGTTCTCATCGCCGTTACGACGAGGGTGGAGAAGGCAGCAGGCCGTTATGGCAAACTGATCGGAAATGTGACTTTTTGGGTGTCGTTCACGATCTTGGGGCAACCTCTTGCTGCCTTGTGTTATTTCTACGCCTGGCAGGCCAAGTACGGCAGTGTTAGCAAGCGAATTGCTCGGGATGCTTCGTTTCACTGACGAAAGCAATATAATATTAAAATATGTAGACGCTGTTGGAGGAGAAATGACCATGAGCAGAACGAGATGCTCCGTGTCGTGTTGATAATTTTTCGGGACGGGTTGGTCAGTTGGGTCATGGGTTAATAGATGATAGACGAGAAGAAAGGCCACACAATTCAGAATCGACAGCTTACAGCGCTTCCATTAACTTGTGTACCATTCTTTACACGCAGTTGTTGAAGGCACTTGATCATAGAGCAGTTGACAGCCTTCAGCTCACTCTGTAAGTGTAGTGCATGTAAGCGGAATCAGGAATGTGGAAACGAGACACGCAATGCAAACACTTTCAGCGCCTCTGCGGAACTTGAGTACGTTGCTCTATGACTTTGTATGAAGGAAACGGCGTGTTTCAACATGAGCCCACGTCAGCACACGTCGACCCGAGGTCGGCCTATCCCTGCAACTGCGTTTGCGTACTTAACCTGCTAGCTCTTGAAGGAGCTCAGTTGACCCGGAAATCTAGCAAGAACAACAACAAACTTTACGAACTTTGCGCTTTGCCAATCGCTCGGTAACTTTAAATATGTGAGCCCAATTCGACAAATTCTTTGTCGCTGGTGAGTTCGCAGACCCCACAACACAAGTCCCACTCGAGTCGGCCATCCAGCAAGTCGTCGACCAACCCTCTCTCCCTCATGCACTTCACCATGACGCGCGACACCATCTCCCGTTTCCTCCCCTTCAGCCCATCGACCACGCCACTTCAGGCGGGGACGTACCTCTGCTGCATCTCGCTGTTCAGCATCTCGTTCCTCGTGTTCCTAAACTCGGCCGTGTCGTTCGTCATCACAGACCTGATCGGCATAAAGACCAACGTGGGCGACATTGTTGGCACCCTCGGCTTCGTCGACGAGATCGTCGCACTTGTCGCCTGTCCCGTCTGGGGGCTCGTCAGTGACCGCCTCGGCGTACGATGGGTTGCCGTACTGGGGTATGCCGTCATTGGGCTGGCGCTCTTTGTCTTCGTGCAGGCGCGCGCGGTCTGGCCTAGTCTGGTTCTGGCTAGGATATTATTCGCCGTGGGAGCGACGGCTGCGGCAACTATGGTCACGGCTATTCTACCGGTGCTGACTGATGATGGGGAAGAGGATACTCGGGACGATGATGATGGCACGGCTTCGAAGCCGAACAGTAGTCAGAGGAACAGTGTGGCCATGAGCACGGAGAGTGATGCGACGATTACTCCGGATCGGTTCCCGAGGACTATGTCGAATGGAGGGCGGCTACCGGAGGACGTGGAGGACACGGGGAGCACGAACAAGCCCGAGAACACGGGGAAGAAGCCATCAGCACTTGCCGGTCTCGTCGGGCTCTTCACGGGGTGTGGAGCACTTGTCGCACTGGTTTTGTTCCTGCCATTGCCCGCCCAGTTTTCGAAGCGCCAAGGTGTCACGCTCGCCCAGTCAGTGACATACAGCTTCTATGTCGTTGGCAGTATCTCGTTCCTCGTTGCCGTCTTCGTTTACTTTGGTCTTGCTGGCTTGAAGGGCGAGGACGGCAAGGGCTGGCGAATGCTACTCAGCCTGGAGAAGAAAGAACCGTATGACTCAGGCCTCGATGCTACTTCTTCCTCAACCCGCGTGAAGCCATTCAAGCCTCTCCCTTATCACCAACTACTACTCTCGTCCCTTCGTCTCGGCACAACAGACCCCCACATCGCTCTCGGATACCTGGGCGGCTTCGTTGCGCGCGCCAGCACCGTGGCTATCAGTCTCTTCATCCCGCTGTACGTCAACGCCTTCTTCATCGGCAACGGCTTCTGCCAGGGCTCACCTAATGACCCTTCACCCGAGCTGAAGAAGGAGTGTCGTGCCGCATACATCCTCGCATCGATCCTGACGGGTGTTGCTCAGATGGTGGCCCTGCTCTGCGCTCCCGTGTTCGGGTACCTGAGTACCAAAAGATGGCGAGGCGTCAATCTTCCCGTCTTGATGGCCACGTTGTCGGGTGTAGTGGGCTATGCCCTCTTCCCCAGGCTGCAGAGTCCGGAGTACAAGAACGTCAACGGCCGAGGTGGAAGTGGGGCCATCTTCTTCGTCGTTGCGCTTTTGGGAATCAGCCAGATCGGCGCTATTGTCTGTAGTTTGGGCTCGTTGGGCCGCGGCGTGTTGACGGTTGACCAGCCCGCACAGTCGTCGGCCCCGTCCGCCCGCCAGGATGATGGCGAGGCGGCTCCCTTGCTGGAGAATGGACATGCCGCGCCGGTCAATGATGGGTCGAGGGTTCAGCTGAAGGGCTCCATTGCGGGTGTGTACTCGTGGTGTGGAGGCGCGGCTATACTGTTGCTCACGAAGCTGGGTGGGTATTTGTTCGATGCCACGAGCAGAGGGGCGCCGTTTTACATGATGGCTATGTTTAATGCCATCTTGCTCCTTGCCAGCCTCGGTATTGATCTAGGCAGAGGAATCAGGGCGAGGTCAGCAAGCTAATACTTAATATAGAACCACAACATACGAAATTGAAACTTTTCTTTTTTTTTTCATGCTGTTGGTCCTGTTAATTGTACGCTGTCCATATCGTTGTGATTTGTTATGATAACAGCATGGGTACGATGCGTAATAAGAGCCAACGTCGTGCCCGGCAGGTCAGGCGTGTGTTGGCCGAACTATATTGCTCCTGTCATATATGTATCACGTAAACACAGCACTTTCCAATATAGATGATCTGTTCGATGTTCATTATGCCTCTACTCCAAACTTATGCCAGGATTATGAGACTGAAGAAACACGATTGACGCTGGACTACTTGCGCATTCACTCATACCAGCACTACGAATGCTGCACCTTGGGCATGCCATACCTTCCAATCAGTTTTTTGACATGGCTTTCTGGTAGAATGCGGTCTATATGTCTCATTATGTGCTTGAGCGTCTCTACAGGGTTGTCGGCTAACCGATAAATCGAATTTTATATAGCAGGACACTGGCTACGGGGAAGAAAAATCAATAGTTTCGCACCGTAACGGCTTGCCCTATGGTCATATTCGATTCGGCTTTCGACCGCAGGTTACTTTACGTTTACTTTTGCCACAGCATTTTTGGGGTTCTGTGAGACCCATTACTTAACGTGATGGGTAACCATCCACTTCGGAGTTAAGTCAAGTATAAAGTCCACTCAGTCTCATGATCTTCATTTTTTGTTTGTGAATCGGGTTCCAGCTTCATGAAAGATCTCATCTGACTCGCAATTGCTGTTATGGACTACTATCGCTGCATCTGTAACCATGTGGGAAGCACTTCCACCCGAACAATGCCAAAACATTACCTGTGGTTGGGGGCAGCCAAAGGCAGCAATCGAGGACGCTGTCTTTCGCATACATGATAAGTTCGACCCAGCGCTTCAAATAGTTCGAAACGTCCTCCGCCTCCTCGGGCTAATTGATCAAGAATAGTTGGGCTAGAAATGGATTCAATGATAGCGGCATTGATGCAGACGAAGTAATAATCCATGGCTACTTAGTTACTTTTTAAACTTGGACTGGACTATCGTCGTTGTTTTGGGGCTACATTGAAGTCTTGCGTGATAAGTCGGATTGCATGTCCTCCTAATCGTCGAACCAAGTCACTTGTTGGATCAATAAGATGGACAGGTGTTACCCCAAGTGTTGTTTTGATGAGAACGGCCATTCCGGCATGTTAGCTCATGCTGAGTGCTATTTCATTATCTGCCTGTTCGCCTCTATGTAAAAGGAGTGTTTGCTGTCGGTATAGTCGTCACGACGTACTGTAAACACGAACTGCAAAATGCACATGAAGCCAAAATTCATAGTTTGTGTGGGTTGGAGTTGTGCTCCGAATATTAGTGGCTACAAACACTCATATTCCTTTCACTATATCCTCAAGGCCTCGCTCGCTATATATATGTGAAGTAGAGTCCCCTAGGATTGCTGGAGTCGGGGTTTCAAGGGAATAATAAGTATATACTATGTACTACATGTCTAAAAGTTAAGTGAAAAATCTGATTCGCTAAGCGAGTAGGCTTAGCTCTCGGGAGCTGATGGGAATCAAGCTGTGGTTCGATGCAGCTATACTAATTTCACCGCTGCATTTTGAACGTCATGGATGGTCGCAATGACCGTGGCGCTACACACGCATCCCCACGACTCCCAGGCCTCGCACATTCCTTGAGTGGTGATATATCTATCCCATATGCCATAACGGCAAGTTCGTCACGTTTCCATGCCGGAGCTATTGCAATAACTACAGATGGCGCAGCAGAAGATGGTAAGTGGACAGACGCTTGGTTGTTCAGCTACGCTAGGTTAGAGGCTTCGAAGGAGACCAACGCATCTAAGCGCCTCAAATAGAAAGGCCATCTCTGTTCCTGCCGAAGTAGCCAAGCACTCGTTATTCTGTGACAACACTGCCGGCTGCTGGCCCGTGAAAAAGGACTAGCCAACAGCTAACGTAAGGTACAGCCTAATTGAGGGAGTAAATCGTGATCGAGCTCCCAATTCTAATATTGCCTAGTGTATGCTGTACCTCGGCGGCACCTATTCCCCTAACCCATAAGCATCACGTCGAAAATGGGATTTTGGAATCAGAACGACAGGGCCTGAAATTTACTCAATGGTAAAGAATCTTTCCCCCAGTCTTGCCAGTCCTTGCCCAGTCCGTCCCAGTCGCCAATCATCGCGTGTCTATTTGCGCTCAAAACTCACCACCGCCCGCAGAATCGTTCGGCCAGCGGTAACCCTAACATTATGCTTCTTTCGACCGCCAAGGGCAAGCTTGCCGATCTGCAATCGCTGCTGCTCCTCTGCCTCGCAAGCACGGTTGTCGGCCAAGAGAGTACCAGCACCTGCTCGGCGGTGCACATTATCTTAGCACGTGGTCGTAATGAGCCATATCAGGGTCAACGGCAGCAACTCCTCGTCAATGCTACTTGCATCGCACTGGGTTCGACCAGCTGTGACTATGAGGACATAGAGTACTACAACACCTTCGAGGCACAGTATTGCGACTCTCTCTACGAGGGCATTACTAATGGCATTTCGCAAATCACCGCCTACAATAAGCGTTGTCCCGAGGCCAAGCTTGTGCTCAGCGGGTTCTCGCAGGGCGCCCAGGTCATCGGCGACATCCTCGGCGGCGGCGGAGGCATCTTTGTCGAAGGCTGTAAGCAGACGACAACATCGAAGCTGAAGTCGAGCACGGACGCGGCTCCTGGCAACAAAAGTGAGTGCATCCATCTCCTTCGCCATGAGAAGTAAGGCATCCCAGTATTCACTAGCTAAGTCGTATCATACAGTCGTCGCGGCGCTTATGTGGGGCGATAAACGTCATGTCGCCAGCCAGCCCTACAATGTCCTCTCCGGATTACACAAGGACGGGCAGTTCCCCCGTAGCGGCAGCCAGTTGTTGGCCCTGAACCGTTTCTCGAGCATCCTGAGGTCCTACTGTGCCATTACGGACCCCAACTGTGCCCTGGGGCACAACGTGACGGACCACCTCAACTATTTCAACAACTATGCCAATGATGCAGCCGAGTGGATCCGGCAAATGGTCAGGAGTGCGGACCTACCCAAGACAACGACGTCGTCTGCTACTTCGAGTCCAATCGCCAGCGCGGATACGTCCACTACGAGCCCAGCTGCTACCAGTACGTCAACACAGCGATGAGCCCACATCACATTTGCCAGCTTCTGGGTCTTGAAACTCTTCGGCGTTGACCAGCAAATCCACTTCTGCCCCCTTTAACTCCTTCACCGCCACTCCCATTTCCACTGACAGTTATCAGGCACCACCACCACCTCGTCTCCTTCTGCATCTCCGTCGAGCAGTGCTGGGATTTTTGAATGTCATATGAGCATTGTCGGTCTTGCGATCGCCGGTGTTCTGACTGCTGGTTCATTGTTGTGAACATGAGGGTTTGTCATGGACTGTCTAGGACTTGTCTAGGATTTGAGACAACGGTAAAATGCTGCTGGGAGTGCTAGAGATGACCTTGTTCACGGTCCGTTGTAATGTGTAGTAGACTCTTATTCTAATGTATTGGATTCTTCGACGCTGGCCTTTCAACTCATTCAGCCACAGCACGCATGGCGGCGAATAGCGGCTTGTACAAGCCAATGGATGGTTGACGTGCGCCAATATTGGTTTCGCTGAGCATGTCTTATGAGACAGTCGGGATTCAGGGGCGAGCAACGGGCCCAGGAAACTTACAGCAAGACTACTCTTTATCGCAGCCCACCAGCGTGAAGCGCTTGTGCTATGTCAGGCTGCTGTCCACACGCCTAGCTTGATCTTTCATCCGTCGGTCGAGGCAGCTATGGTCTTGCTCCTGACACTGACAGCGATGGGTGGATGCATCGGCCAAAGGGGGTCATTTTGTCAGGTCGACGAAGTCTTCAGCAGCGGGCAGGTCCTTGATCCTGGCTAGGATGGGACCTGGAGATATTGATCATCATCCTCGCCATCAAGACCTGTGTCAGTTGGCACCGGACTGAGGAACGGTTGAAAGTCAATCATCTTGGACCGGGCTTCTCGAGGAAGTCAAAAGCCTGCCATTTCCATGGGATTTGCAGTACGCAACGATCTCATCGTCGTCGATCCAAAGCAGACTTACCATGCCGGTGACCGAGAGGGCAAGCCGTTCTTGTCAAGATTTGAGACTGAACACTAAAGTTGGGGAGCGCCGACTAATCTACGGCGAAGCCGGGCTTTTATCTGCTTTCGTTGTGCCCATGGCGAGCGGCCAGCATCAAGGCTGCCGTGTCCCTAGTTGTTTTTGCGTTTCTATGACCCAGAAACGCATATCGAGCCTAAGACTGCGAGTAGCTGATGACTTATATAATTCGCCTCTGTTATAACATCAAATAGGTAGGTGGTTGGTCTAGTGTAATTGGCGACGTCAACTGCGTATAGTTTGGATCCAGGAGCATCGACGAGTAGAATGACGTTCGACCTCGGGAAACTCGTAGGAGCTCAATTCCAGTCAAGCCACACTGGATAAAATGTCCGTTTCTGGGCAAGTGAGACGTGACGGCAGGAGCCGTTAATATTTGGTTAGGAGGTCGCCGTTTCGCAAGGTATTGCTGCAATGTGCAGACCACTTACAATTCTGGCAATTTTCTAGAACCCGTCGTCGAACTCCTCGGAGACGCAGCCTCGATCTTCAGGGATCATAGCCTTCCACACACCTTGGCCTGGCGTCAGGCGTGCCCTGTGTCGGAACCACGCTGTAGGTATGATTTCTGATTTCACGGCAGTTGGCCAATTTGACTTGTCTCTTTTGCAATGGACAACTCTCGCGAAGTTGCGCTGTAAGGAGGCGGGTTTGCAAAGTCTTCAAGAGCTCCTGGCTGTTCCGTCCGATATCGAATACTTGGATTGTCCAACATGAGAACCCTGTGGACTGGAGCATACGATGGTGGCAGAGACGAGACTCACTTTCATTGGTTGTCCCAACTCCAAAGTCGACACCCTTGCGTATATCATTGAAAATTCTGAAGAAAAAGACTGCACGATCAACGGATCTGCAAGCATCATAGTATGCTTAGCGTTCTCAATAACCTGCTGTACTTGGAGGTACTTGAGCACATGTAGTTGCGAACCTTCTCTCTCTGGCGAGAGGGGTAGCCACTGCATCATTCGCAGCAATGACCGAATAGCAGCGGCAGCTCAGACGACCAACGGAGATTTTGCAGGTTCTCCTACAGCTGCAAGGCAACAAAAGGGGTTGACGTACCGGAGAGGCACGCATCATCGCTTTTTTTTGTTGTTTTTGGTTACCTCCCATCTGATGTTTTAGCACGGTAACAAGAAGAACTGCGATGATGCGTGCCTCCCCGGTACGTCAGTCCTTGGCGACTGTCCGCCGGAGACACCGACTCAACAGCTGCAAGCCACCATTCCGCAACCCTTGAGCAGACATCGAATCATGCCTCATAAAACAAAAGCCCTGAAGCCAACCTCGCCAAAGTCGCACCGCGAGGATTTGGACCTTGAAGACTCAGACCTCCAGTTTTCCCCTCCTCCGGTCTTCGGAAAATTTCTCTACCAATCACCGCGACTCCTCTTCCCCAGACAATACAGGCCCTGCACGGCACACTATGCAATTGCTTCATGCAGGTGAATGTTGCATCAAACGAGTCGTGCCCTTACGACGATACTTGTAGATAGGGACGAGAGGTTTTGGACTGTGGATAACGCCGAGAGAACGCCGTTGTAGCCACAAGAGTTCAGCAACTGAAAAGGTCGTGTTATAGAAGTGTCGAAACCGTGAGATCAACTACAAATCCGTCGTCAGTTCCGCTTAAGTTTCCATGGCAGAGCCCCAGGGGTTTTACCCAGCGCGTTGGTTGACAGCGGCTCGCAGACGTGGCATTTCCATCTCGACAAGACTGGAGTATTAGCCCGCCCTTGACCATAGTCGACAAGAGTGCACAGAAGACTTCCGTCACCAATCCAGGCCAGGCTCCAGCCGCAAGGTGTTTGCAGAGTCAGGTTTACCAGGCCTGGCAGCTTCATATTGCAACAGCCCATTGTACCACGATTCTTGACAATGAAATTGATTTTGCACTCGAAGCGGATGTCGAACGTCATTCAACATCGTAAACAAGCTGGGCTCCACTTGATTCTCCAGTTGTACTGTAAGACCGAGCAGCGGCCTATCGCGACTTGAACCTGAGTGGCCAGCACTGCGTCCAATAATGACAAGTGGACCGCGGGAATATGCCAGGAACAAGGCCACCGGGATGAGGCTTCGTGGAAAAGCAGTTCCGCCTTTGCAGATCCATCATCGGCCGAAAGAGGCGAGGAAGATAGGAAGAAGTTCAAAAGTCAAATCGAAGCCTATGCAAGCGCCTCACACAACGACAATCCATACCTTTACTCGGTATCCAAACAGGGGCATTCCATCTCGTAGCCAAGTTTCAGTGGCAGCAATGAATTTGAAACCTCGCAGAATCGAAGGCAATGTTGAAAGAACCGTTGTCACACGGCTGCAGTTTTGCTGAAGCACGGAGTCGTGGTTGCTAGATCCAGGCACCTACTCCCTCGTCTGCTTAACCGCAACGACAAGGCCGTTACCCTTGGGTACTTGAACCCATGTACCTCGGTTTCCATTACTTTAAAATAACACGACCCGCAGAGCACCTGTCAACTCAACGACCTCTTCTCCAGTTGGTCGTTTTCGTACTACATTGTCGCATTTGTTGGACTTTGCAGTATTGTCTTTTTTTTTTCTTAATTCGGGTTTGCGACTTTTGCGTCTTGATGCCATTCAAAAGACCACAAGCAGGGAAACCGAGGTGTTCTTTACCGACGCTCTCAACCGCTCTGGCACAAACTCAGACGACGGATCGAGTAGAGCTTACCCTTAGCTCACCGTACTATGGTATGGGTAAGTTTTCAATCGTGTGTTTGTACCGTGCTCCACCTAGGCACGAGCCAACTCTTAGCTACCTGGCTTGAAGCGACCTTAACAGCTGTCTTAATCAGATTAAAAGAAAACGTTGTAGTAGTTTGGATTTCGGCTTTCGATTTACCACCGTCGAAATGGAGGGTTCGAATTCGTTAGCGATCTGCTTCTGTAAGGTGTTTAGTCCCTATTGTAGTTGCTACATACGCGATAATTAGGACGCGTTAACAGCAAGTTGGAATCAGAGGTGGAAGTACCTTTTCGTTAGTATGAATAGGCTAGGTAAGAATCGGTAAGAATCAGTATAGCGTTACCTTGGCAGTGGTCCACTGGTACTTGTCAAGGCGGTGAAAACTTTGGCCTGATACCGTAGTACGCATTACTCTGCAGCTACCACCATTCACGCAACCCACTGTGGACAATTGTGGGTAGCTAGAAGTCGACTCGCCCGGTCATTTGCCTGCATCGTGCATCGAAATAGGAAAGGGCTTCAGCAGACCTCCGACTTGCACTATTTCCAAGTCGCATTTGCAGGTACCGGTACATCGACAGAACGGCTGGACGCCTGCAGATGCACAGACAGCAGCAGACCCAGCCAGACCTAGTCGAAGACCGACGACATTTGGGGATGGTCCCGAAAAAAAGAGCTTTTCACCAGATCTCCACTGAGCGGGAAAAATCATTCGCTTCCCAGGGTATCCAAGGTCCATGATATTTGATTTCTCTCGTCTAGTTCGGTTTGGTCTGGTTAAACCTTGGAAGTTTCCCAAACCCAAGCCACTGTCTGCCGCCGTTCCGCATAACTCTTTACAAACAATTACATAAACGCTGGCAACCTTCTTTTCTCTTTACACCACAACAACTAGTCATCAACACACCTCCCTTATCACTCACATTCCCCGGGACCGCTTGGATCACCCTTATCTCGAGATTCGCAATTGACGTTCCCGTTCCAAGCTGTCGGATCCCCGTTTCCCCAGATTATGTACTGATTAGCGTTGCATACGCGCGCTCGAGTATCGAGTACCGAGGACCCTGACATCGGGCTATTTTGCCATTGAGATCTTATCGACGGTTTTGGGTGGTATCACTCAAACACCATATACACCCAAACCCTATAGCGAAGGAACGTAGAACCCACTGAAGTGCCCTATCGTTCCAAGTGCCTGATTGGCATAACGTCAACCTTTTTTGTCATTCGCACCTCAGTCCGCCAGACGCCAGAGAGGCGTTTGCCACTGCGTCAGCATTCGTCTCCCGTGTTGACGATTGTCATGTCTGACAAGATGTCCATCGACAAGAAAGACCCATCGAAGGATAAATCGGACGACGAGTCCTTGGAGTCCAGCCCTGAAAACGAGCCTGGCCCTACAGCACCGCAGGAGAACCAACCAGCTAAACGCAAAGGTGGCCGCAAGCCTGTCAGTTCAGTTTTCATTACATACATCACATTCAACTATTGTGGATATTGGTCACCGCTTGTGGGCTGAGGATATATATCGATTATGTCATGCTAACCTCTCACCAGATATACGCAACCTCGGAAGAGAGGAAGCAAAGGAATCGCCAGGCGCAGGCCGCGTTCCGTGAGCGACGAACAGAATACATCAAACAGCTCGAAGAAACGATCAGAGTCCATGAATCGAATCTGTCTAATTTGCAGGCGGCTCATCGAAGTGCTGCAGATGAGTGCTTGATGCTCCGGTACAAGAACTCACTCTTGGAACGAATTCTTCTTGAGAAAGGTGCTGTATTGTCTCAAATAGTATTCGTAAGCAAGTTCACTAACAATGACCAGGTATTGACGTCCAAGCTGAGCTTCGCGCCAAAACTGGCAGTCCAAATCTTGGTCCAACTCATATGCCCCAGAATATGGTTCAACCACCACCTATTCAGCGGGCCATTTTGAGCAGACATCATCACGCACGCAGGTCTGCCTCCAGTATCGCCCCGAAACTCGAACCTGGCGCCACGTCCTTGCCCCCTTCGATGCATGGCGTTCAGTCCACATCATCGCCTAAGACGAGACCGACCCCCCCTTCGCATGCGGCTTCTCCTACTAACCCAAACCCCAACCACGGGTTTCGTCACTCAGCTGCCTCACCCACCACGTCAGATCATCCAGGCATGCGCCCGGCGACTTCAGCCCCGTCGATGAAGCCGCAAATACCTACCATGCTGGGACCGATGGCGGCCGCTGCGGCACGACAAGGTATCATGCAACCCGGCAGTGGTGTCGGTGGAAACCGCGGCAATGCTTACTACCCGACACCGTCGTTCCAGAATCATATTGAGCAACTCGGCAAGCTGACCCGTTTTCTGTCCCCTATAATAGAGCTTTGGCGTCCTAGGCTTACCCCGTGAGCACAGAACAGGAGTACGATGCACCGAACGATATGATCGACGAAGTCGAACCGGATACGCCTGGTCCGGGTCCGTACCCATCGGCCTTTCCCGGCGGACCGCAACAGCACGCTTTACAGATGCAACAACCGGCAACCTCGGGAACTGCTGGACAGCAGATGATGGTCCAGAATGAGCAGCCTGTCCAGACTCAGGGGCAAGGATATCCATCTATGACACAGCTGCTTGATCCAGCGTTGGACTGGGACCCATTCGGTCTCAGCGCCTCTATGGCGTTTCCAACCCAATTCTCCTTCGACACCAGTAACATGCGATAGATTCCTCGCTTGTTGGTGCCAGGGAAGAAACGGACTCGGGAGGACCAGGGGGCTCTGACCAAATGCAGCCGGATCGATTTTGAGTGGCTTCAAAATTTGGTGTGTGATCGTGGTACTGGTGCTCCTACGAGGAGGCTCGGTGGACGAGGGCTTCACAGAGCGAACATGCCCGCCCTCACTTGAAAGATTTGGTTCGCGTAGGCCATGAGAACAACGATGCAAAAAAAAAATGCTTGCACGGCTCCAGAGTCGCCACAAAGAGGCCCGACACGCACGGCACCAAATTGTCTGCCTGGAATGGGACAGCTTGGTCCCGGCGACAAACTCATTTACTGGCAACACAACACCAAGGGCGGCTACCTTCGATGCATTTACTGGCGGACGAAAAAAAATAATTATGATACCCAAGGCAGGCGGTCGACCAGTCCATTTGATTTCTTGGGACTTTTACTAGGTTCATTGTCACTATAGGGACGGGGCGTTCAAAATTCACAGTTGGGAAACGTCTGGTTCAATTTACTGAGCAACAGACCACCAGGCGATACTTGCGGGTCCTTAGCGATGATATCCCTGATTGATACTTCCTGAGGAAACCTCAAGGCTTGATGATCAGGGGTTCAAGGTCTCGGATTCGCAAGCTGGCTTGGGGACGAAGAAGATGGACAGCGAAATGGTGTATTCATGAAACTGGAGGCCTGCACATACGGCTATTGTGGCGGCATTGGTCCCTCTAAAAGTATTATTCACTGCTTGCCGTATATAATGTTCAGTAGCAAAGTGCTCTGTACATACCCTTTACTCTTTTTTTTCTGGTTGGAAGGCTTCAATATTTCTACTTAGTCCTTGCCTCGTGTCAACCTGGAGGCCATAGGACTCTGGTTGATCGTTTCTTTTCTGCCTGCGTCGATTCAATGTTTCTGGGCGAGCTCGGTGGCCGGAACTGTGTGTATACCCACTTTCATCTGGCCGTTGCATTGAACAGTGGGGTCGTGGCTTGACGCAGTTGGAGCCTAGGTAAGCTTGGAAGGTAAGCACTTGAAGTAGTTATACTTCGATGTCTATTCGCACGTAGGTAGTTTAGTCATTAGCTAGGCAACTCAAAAACAGTAACTTCCTCGAGAAAACTGCGTCTGCCATTTCGTGAATTGAACCAAGCATCTCCGAGGAGCAATTGGGCGTTTGCCTTGTCAGTTAGTGCAGCGCATGGCATTGGACGCCAGAGGTGTATGCGTCCACAGCATGCACATCTCGACTTGGACAAAAACTGGCCACCCGCTTGTACCTGCTCGTAGAGGAAACAGTTCCGCAACTGTGGCTTGCTTCACACTAGTATATTGTTGCTGTGGGATACTGGCTGGGCCCTGTTTCCAAGTAATATCAGATGCAGGAAGAATTTTCGGCGAAACCTGGCACGAAGCGGAGAACGACCTCAACAAGATGGAGACATGCTCAACTTGTCGAGATACTTGGAGCGAAAGTCGTCTACAGCAGCGGTAGCCGCGAGTCGCGACCACATGGCCCCTCCGCATTGCGGGTCCCACCGATGTCCCGCTCGTCGCCAGCCTCCTGCCAGATGGTGGAAAGTGATGCTGTCAGCTGGCGATACCGAAGTCGTCAGTTACTTTACTAAAGTATCCTTGCAACCAGACAAAACGGGCATCGAAACGGGTTTGAGACGGACAACAAAATACAGGTCCCTTGCTTTTGTTCAGTGATGAGCTCGCGGCATGTATCTCCCGAGATCGGTAGCGTTGTAGCGGTACAATGGTGGCCAGGCTAGCAAGCAACTAGCGCCCCTCACGCACATCGACGGGGTCATGCGGGCGGCGTAGTTCGTTTGCAACGGTACTTTCGTCGGACTTTCCAAAAGGATCCATCATCATCCTAGAACCTCTCAGACCGACGGAAAGCTCTTCGTTTCGAGGGGTTGGGGTTGGTAGGAGCTCGGTATCATACTTAGGCGTTGGAGTTTTGCGAGTTGGAGTAGGAAGTTTGGAGTTCGAAGTCGCCGATAGCGGCTAACTAGACAGGCACAGATTTGACGACCTGTAACCACCATACCCATCCATTGACCGGTACAGTAGACTACCGAATCTCTCGAGCTGCAGACCGGGCTTCTGGGACGCTCAACCGTTGGTCTCTTGTGAGTTTCTACATCGTCGTATGAGGCGGGTTCGATGCAGCACGGACGAATCCCAACGATTCGGGGCGCTGCAGTGACAAGCTCCTGCGTCAGCGGACCTGGGGCAATAAATCCGATCGCGCTCGTGACACTCTTCACTCACGCGCAAACATCGATTCGATGCCCATCGTGACTTCTTTTTCATACTGGGATGGATGCCGACCCCAAGCCTCATGTCGAGAGTCGTGGCATCCTGGTCTAGACCCGTCGTTCGTCGTCCTAGCTCTGGAGGTGTTGGGGTCAATTGATCATGGGGTATCTCGAGAGTTTCAATTCCTGTGGTGTTGTGTCGCCAAGTTGGGAAGATGAGACTCCAATCATCCAACATCTTCCCATCCTTAGCATGTCGATGCATGACACCCGGTTTGGCGACAACGGTACCATGTCTGCATTGTTTCAATGAACGAGGTACATTGGGTTCGGTGTCGTATCCTCTTCCATCTGTGTTGGTGTTGTCGTCGAGCCCACATAGCGGTATTACCGAGGACCATCCTTCCCCGGCTATGCTGGCTCCCCCGCACAGGGAGACAGACTTGGAGAACTGTAAAAGCAAGTAGAAACGCTCTCATCGACTTCTGGTATAGGAAAATAAGATATGGATAACTAGAATGTTGGCAATCTCTGGCAAAGCAATGTGAAATCTGGAATGCTGTGGAAGGAAGTCAAGGTGATATCTGTGATGTCTCGGTATGTGAAGCGAATTTCCACGGGGACTTGGGCTGAAAAGAACACGCCTATGTGGCTGACTTGTTGAACATGACTGAAGAAATCCTAACCGCTTGGCCCGGTCCAGCACCTAGTGAGGGTGAAGAGCGCAGCATGGCCATGACGTATCGTATAGATAAGACACTGTCTATCCGTTTGTCATCACCTAGTTGATGAACTTTCATCGAGTTCGCCATGTGCATAGAAGTTTCCAGCTGAGCTATATCGTCGAGAATGAACAAACTGGAGGGGGACCGAGTGGAAACTCTATTGATTTCTTCAGCTTGAGAAGAAAAATGGTAAATTCAGGAGAGAAGATAGCTGGATAATATACATCAATCAGATCTCTATGACAAACGAACCGACATATGTCCGCGGAGGATGCTCGAGTATTTGTATGGTTCATGCTTATCTCGAAGCGGTCGAGGTGTAGAGATAAGGAGGCGGTCTATTATTAAGAGAAACAAACCCCAAGCATAACCCCACGATGGTCGATCTAGAGGGGCATCTATCATTGCGGCCGGCCGTACGGGCATTGATTCGGCCTACCATTGTATTCAAATCAAATTTCCTGATTGGCTGGCTGGCTGGCTGGCTTACGTTGATCGTCGGTTTCTTTGTGAGACATTTGTCGACAACGATCACTCGGAACATTGCAATTCGCCCGCAAGGCTGCTTGGTGGCAGATAGCCTGTCATGTAAGTGGGCATGTGAACGAGGAAAGCGAGCTCTGTTTATCCATGCAATCAAGTAGTGAGGCGACGAATGCAGAAGGCGACTTGCTTGTTTGATCAGCGTGGTCCATAGGACTGACCGCAGCACGTGTTCCAAGCCTGATGATAATGAAGTGCCAGCACAAATAAGTACCACTCGGAGCCAAGAGTATACAGCACCTTGTTCCAATCACTAATATACTTCCTGGGTGTTGAAGGTGTTGCAGGCAGTTAAAGAACCGACCCGAGAGTGCGGAACAAAGTGGGCTGCCTGAGTCTGAGCTTTGGCATGACTTACACTACACGATATCCTCAAGAGCTCAGCTGGCAGGGATTCGAGCATGCCTCAAACTGCTGCCAATGTGCATTTGCAAAAGTAATATTTCTTTGTGACGTCCCGTTTCCGACACAGTTTTCCCTGGGAGTTACCCTGAGGGTCATAAAATATGACAACCTTGAGTGACTTACATCATAGCTAAAAAGTGCTCTCTCTCTCTCTGCAACGCGGGCATGCCATTGCCACCAAAAGAGCGAAGAGCAGGCCACGGCCCAACTGCAATTGCCCAAAATGACAAAAATATTTGAACCCTAAAGGTTCTGGCAAATAAATGGGTCCGTTCCGCTATTAAGCGAGGTTCGCCCAGCCAGTAGTAAGCAAGCAAAGTTCTTTGGGGTCCAAACCGCAGCCTAGCAACTGCTACCAATACGAAACCCACACTTCGTCTCTTTATTCGAGGGGCCCGTGGACAAATTACCTACCTGCCTGCCAAACTCACTTCGGCAACCCGACGACGTCGACACCTCATTCTTTCCTTGGGATATGACCTACTAGGCCGTATCCGACCCTCAATCCGCAATCAGTCAACCATTGATCTGTTGGTCGTCCTCACAGCTACGCCTTGCTGAAAGGCGTTAAACAGGCGACAAGATGTCGGTCGCCTCCAAGGTATGGCAAATCCACGGCTGCGTTTGAGCTATGCCGGAGCCCCTCCCCTCCCCTCCCCTCTCCCGAGGTTCCCCTCGATCCATCACCGCTTTTGGCCCTGACATACATGCGGTCCATTCGAATTCATTACATTGCATTGCAATGTTGAAGCTCAGTCAAGCTAACTAACGCTGTTTAGAACCTGTTCGAGCTCCTCGGTACGAAGCTCCGTCGGACCAAGTGAAAACTCTGCCCGTGAGGACAATTGGTTTACTAACGCACCGTTTCCGGCACAGGTAACGACGATGGAGACTCCGACACCCCGTCCGGGCCCGTGAAGACGGTCGACAAGAACAGCACGCGCACCACCAAGCGCAACGTCGAGCCCGTCGCACCCGCCAAGCCCGCTGGACAAACTGGTGCTCGTCGCGTTGGCCCCGGAGGCAACGAGGGAGGTTCGTGACGTCTACACCCATGGCGGTCTGAAGATTCGCGTTGTGCAGACCGCGCATGTGATTACATCTGTATGAGGGGCTGACTTGAGTTTGTACAGCATTCCGCGATAAGAACGCCGGTACTGCCAGCAACCAGCGCAAGACCACCGAGGAGCCTCCGCGAGGTGGTGCCCGTGGAGGCCGCGGTGCCCGTGAGCGTGGTGGTGAGATCACTTAAACATCTGATCAGAGGAGCTCGTATTGATTGTTTGCTAGGCCGTGGTGGCAGATTCCCCCGTGACCGCGATGACCGCCACACTAAGGGTCTGGCTACGTACGTTTCCCCAGCAATACCAGGTTTGCGTCCTCACTAACTCATTACTAGCGGATCTGAGAAGCAAGCTGCCCAGTCCTGGGGCGCCCAGGAAGGTGAGGCCGAGAAGAAGGACGAGGAAGCTGGCGAGAAGATTGCCCAGACCGAGTTGAAGGAGGCCTCTGCCGAGGATGCTACCGCCCTCGAGACACCGGTTGAGCCTGAGGATAAGAGCATTTCCTACTCCGAGTACCTCGCCCAGGTTGCCGAGAAGAAGCTGGCTCTTGGTGAGAACCTTGAGCTCCGCAAGCCCAACGAAGGCACCAAGGTCGACAAGAAGTGGGCCAGCGCCAAGCCCCTGGCCAAGGAGGAGGATGAGGACTTCATTGCCGGCTCTAGCGGCAAGGCCAGACGTGAGCGTGAGCGCAAGCAGAAGCAGGTCGTTGAGATCGACCAGCGCTATGTCGAGCCCGACCGCCCGGTCCGAGGTGGACGCGGCGGTGGACGCGGTGGCCCTCGTGGCGGCCGAGGTGAGGGTCGTGGTGCCCCCCGTGGCCGTGGTGCTCCCCGCGGTGGCGCCCCCGGCGGCCCCCTGAACCCCAACGACCAGTCTGCGTTCCCAAGCCTGGGCGCTTAAACGACGAACTGTGTTCTGGAAGGATGTCGTGTGCGGCTTTTCGCTCGACAAGCGGCGTCGGCAAACCTATTCCAAATGGCGGCGAAAGATGTGGGACTTCGACCGCTAGACTGAGCGCCAAACCCATTTACAATTGTAGGAAACATCTCGGCTACACACAAAGATACGCGAGAGATGCTGCCTAGATTTCCCCGAATCAACTAAAAGTTTCTTTCCCCATAACAACCAACAAGGCTGGCGTGGAAAATGGTTGGCTGCTAGGGAGCAACGGAATGACTGGGCTTCTCCGTAGTGGCCATTTTCATCATCTGCATGTACTGGTAGAAAACTCGGTTTTTCTCTTGATTGCTATTTTCATCCCGTCTTCCACAGTTTGCGTTTCGTGTCTGAAGTGAATTGCATTGGATGTTCTTTGACCCATGGCGATATTTGCAATAGCAAACAGACGTCACAACCTATTTTCGACTCGAAGCTGCACCGGTTAACCTATTCTAGATCCGGTTTGCATTCGAGTAAATCAACCAACAACTATGAATTGTTGCCTTCAAGGTCCTTCAAAAAGTGAAAGAGTGCTGCAGGTCCTGTATTTGTCTTCTTCGTTGATATGGAACAAACAACGTTGGTACATGGTCTCATTGTTACCAAATAGCTAGACAGATGGAACTCCTTTGAGTCCATCGTAAGGTGAGGACTATGTTCAGTATTAGATCATTGTCTCGTTTGTCAACCCAAGCCACCCTGGCTGCGTATATAACAAGTTCATAATAGCCCCCTTTTCGACACTAGTTCAACATGACAGAAGACCAACAATCCTCAACTTACCAACAGTTTACAGAAACCAAAAACTTTAGTAGAGATATGCACATCCCAAAGTGAACAACACATCATCATCTCATCTGCATGTCCAGCTCTACCAACTATATGATAAACATGATGCACGTGTACGCCGTCGACGCGGATACCCGTACCGAATGGCAGTTTGGCCTATTTTGTCATTTCATCGCCGTGCAGTTCGTTGGCGAGTGTTGCTGAGTCCGATGCCGGGCCTGACCATGACTAGCAGGGGCCTTTCTCGCACTTCGTCGCTGGGCGTTCAGCAGATTCTGACCCAGCCTGCTCCTCCATCTTCGTCGCCGTCTATTTTGGGCATGGAGGTGCATCTGCTTTGTCCCCAGCCGAGTATCGAGGGGAGGTTGAAGGAAGGCCTTGAGCCGAGGCAGTTGCACGCGTCGACTTTTGTGGCGGTTACGACGGCGCCGGTGGCGATGTTGACTCCCGTTTAGGAGGACTTTGCTACTGCTGGGGCGTTTTCTGAGGCGGAGATGGATGAGGATCTGATAATACTGAGAGCCGGGTCTTAGCATGAGGCGAATGAGAAGGAGGGGCAAGTACTAATTCGCTTGATGCGAGGTTCGAGGGAGCCGTGGGAAAGGTGCAAAATGGCCGGTGAGGCATGGTGTGTAACCCTCCTCCGCCCCCCCGCGAGCAGTGGTTGAGCCGAAAGGAGCGATGCGTGCAGCTGGAACAGTGTATGTGTGTGCGCCAAGGCAGACGTGGCAGTCGTTCTTCAGGTATATGTTGCAGTATGCGGGTGGCAGGTATCGCTGAAGGGCGGCTCGTGTATCCACTAGCAGCTCGCGTAGGGGAGACAAACCGGGCCCTCGTCATGCTTGATATGGTTCGGCGGCGTGATCAGGTCGTATACTCCAGGACCCTATGGCGGGGTTTGGTAGGCAGACGGAAGAAAACAAATGCTGAACACTCGTGAGTAGCAGCACAAGCCAGGTTGGAGAGCGGGACGTCGGGTTTCCCGGAAAGTCTGGTCTCGTAGGTGTGGCCAGAGCCGGGAAGTGGTACAGGAGGTGTCGTTGAGGCCTGGGATTTATTGGTTTATATGCGGTTCTTGGGGACCTACAAGGAGGCGGTAGTCACCTGGTCTGACTACGAAGCGCACGACTTCTGCCACGAGACGTCCAAGTCAGTTGAGACCATTGATGTTGGGCAGCTGGATGTATTGGACTCCGAGCTGGAACAGGGGCTGCTTGAGTTGAGCATCAGCAATGCCAACACCAGAAAGCTCGGAGTTCAGAAGGAGCCAAATAGGAGCAGAGAGAACGTTAGAAAAGTCTGTCTCAGTGGTGTGCCGTCTAGTTTCGAGCTCAAACGGTTTCTTCGATCTCAGAGGGTCACTATACAGAATGAGGTACGCCACGGATCCTTTTCGTAACTCACTATGCATTTCTAGACCGATGCGTCCCCGCACTAGTAACTACATCCTATATGTACATGCCTCGTCTTGGCCCGGGGTCCCCGAGCTCATATAAACAGACATACAAGAGTATCCGCGTGTCTTATTAAGGGTCAGCTGCGTTTCATTGCACTTATGCCGTCCTGGAACATGTACCACACTTCCAGACTATTGATCGAAACATAATAGAAGCAAGCCAGACATTCCCGATATAACTTTGAATAAGTCCACTTAATACGGATTAGAGAACCACACTAAACGTGAATTGACTGGTCTTGAAGCTAGCCACATTCATCTCTTCAGCCTTAGAGTAAATTTGCAGCTATATGTTTATTGCCCTGACATGGGCTCGGATCCCTATTTAGCAAAAGCAAAGGGTATCATAAAAAACTTTTGGTGCCATCTTACATCGCTATCATCTTTTTTTGGAGAAATACAGCACCTACAAACCCTACCCTCGGGTTATGATGATCGTAAACGAACCTTTATGTCAAGCGTCTTTCCCAAACTGCCGTCGGTCAACTGCTGAGGGGGCGGGCTCCTTTCGTCTGCAGCAAATGCAACCTAGACTGCTCCAGTCATTTTGGCAACTTGGGGATCTCCGCTTCTAAGGCCGTAAACGTGCCGGTACAGTAGTACTTCAATGGTGCGTCTGTTCTGTGCAGAATCAGTCTGACCCTTTAGAGCACTGTCACCGCTCATTGGCGACTTTCCATGTGTTCTCCAAAGAACTCATTTCCATGCTCCTTCTGAGGTCCTGCAATGCCGTTCTGAACAATGAGCCTCTTGATCTCTTCCCTGCTCCACAACCATTGCTGATTGAATTCTGAGAAGCAAATTGCGCCTTCCCGACTTCAACTCATTTCTTCAAGAGCAGGGTCAATCAATCCCTCGAACTCGCTTCGATCAACCGGTCTTCCCCGGACTGCCTGGTTGGCCTGGTTCTCCCACCATTGCTGATCGAAGGTAGGAAAGGCAAGTTGCTGGTACGAGGGGTCCGGAGCCCATATTTCGCCACCATCCACCATTTCCCAGTTGCCTTCCGGCATATAATCAGTGGCGTTCTGTTGACCTGGCGCTTCTTGGGTAGTGGGGATGCCAGCCGGTGTCAATCCGATGACACGGGATACCGAATCATCCAGTACCGGAGCAATCTCAGCACCTGGAAGAGGTGAGCATGCTGGGAAAGACGCAGCATCAGGCTCACGGTGGTGCGTCTGCATATGAATCGTAATATCATCCTTACGGACAAATTTGAGTGTGCAGCCCGGTACAGTGCAGGGAATGGTATAGTAAGTCCCGCCCATGAGCTGGCCAAGGGTGTTGCCGGCTGTACGTCTTTGTTCTGCGGCCCTGAGGGGTGCCTTGGCAGGCTGAGGCCGTGTCATACCAAGATGGACGTAGCGCACATGGTCTTCCAGGTTGGCCTTGGTGACGAAGCCATTTCCACAGCCATTGGAATTAGGCCAAGTCCTCAAATCATCGTTAGCAGTCAAGTCGACCTCCCCACAGACGTATCGCAGACCCTCATGTACGCTTCGAACGTGAACATTCAGGTTGTACTTCTTGACGAACGACTTATTGCAACCTGGCCAGGTGCATGGTACGTTTTTCCGCTGGACGAGGGTGCTCTTAGAATGCTGAGTCTCGATATGATTATCTAGTTCCGTCCTTGCTGGAAAGACTCGTTCACAGAACGGGCAGTTGATGTGGGCCTTCTGCATGTGCTTATGGAGGAGTTCGAGCGTAGGGAAACCGACTCGGTCATCATCACCAGTTTTGCATTCATCGCAGAAAAAAATAATGTCGCCATGTTCTCGCTGGTTATGCCGCTTGAGTGCCGCTGCGGTGTCGAAGGCAGCGTCGCAGGGCTCTTTGGTCTCGGCGTCTCTTTGCGTGCAAGCGAAGGCAGGCTTGCCGAGATGCTCCGCGCGGATGTGACGTTGAAGAGTGTTATGCTTGCGAAACGACTGGTTGCATGGAGGGTAATCCCGGCATCGGAAACGCTCAGCGCCAGCGTGGACATCTTGATGGCGTTTGAGGCGAGTTGAAGTCAGGAAGCTCTTACCGCAGCCTGCTTCTGGACATGTGTACTCCCTCTCCTTGGTGTGGAAGCCTTTGATGTGTTGCTTCAGGTGCTTTTGCTCAACATAGGACTTTTCGCAGTCCGGCTCGGGACACTTATAGGGCCGCTCGTTCTTATGAGAACGGAGGTGGGCTACGAGACGCGCAGGCCTGTTGAAAGCCTTGTCACAATCGGGATATGTGCACTTGATGGTTTTCAGGTCGGAAGGGAATCGGCGCGGTGACATGCCTGAGTGGGAAGTCAAGGGCGTGTTGGCTGAGCCGGTCGTGAACCCATTGTCTCCGTCGTTGGAGTCCTGCCCATATTCGGAGCCATTGTCGTCAAAGGTATCAAAGTCATCGTCAAGAGCCTCTATCAAATCGCCAGTCAGCGAATGTGAAATAAACGAATCTTCCAAAGCGAACCTTCGAACGGTGAAGACCCCGGGCCGCGACGTTTCGGTTCGGGAACTCCGAGATCCTCGACCTCTTTATCTGTAGCCTTTCTCTTCCTCATGATGAGCGCCGAGGCCTTGTTGTCACCAATGTACTACTGCTCAAGCTTGTAGATGCGAGGGTGGTAGTTGGGTCGGCGACTCGGCGCAGCAGGATGGGTTCGATATGACGAAGACCCCTCCTCTAAAAGTTGCAAAAAAAGGTCCAGTACCGATCAACTTTTTTTTCAGTGGGCCGCAGGGATTGGGAAAGTGCGGCTCAAGTGCATAGCTCCACAGTAGCTTCGCTGCAGGGGACAATCAAGCGACTAACACTGATTGGCTGTTCAAACATCCCCGCATCCAACCGCCACGTTCACCAGCCACAGAAATTTTCAATGCTCCAAGTTCTTCAGCCTCGACATTTTTTGCGTTCTTAGCCTGCCCCAAACAGAGCTGTCAAAACTTCAGAGTTTGCGATCTTCACGTTGCACCTGCACCAACCAATCCGATAAACAAAGGCTCGAAGTAGCGTATACAGTTGCAAGCGCGATCTGTTAAGATGTCCGACTACGGCGGTGGTGACGATGACCGGGACGAGCCTCGCGGGTGAGTTTGCAGCCATTGAACTCTGTTGGCTAGGCAGGAGCGCGGCATCACTGACGCGTCCACGATTACAGTGATGAGCCCATGTATGAGGACGAGGATCCCGTGGAGGAGTTCGACGACGAGGTTTTGGAGGAGAACGAGGACGATTTTGGAAGACGAGGCGCCGAGGAGGAGGAGAACGTCGTCATCTCAGGCGACCCTTCGGCTTCAGCGAACCGAACAAAGGCCAACGACAAATCCCATAAAGACAAGAAGATCCCCAATGAGGAAAGACAAACCACGCCGTACATGACTAAGTACGAGAGGGCACGGATTTTGGGCACGAGGGCATTGCAAATCAGCATGAATGCGCCGGTTCTCGTCGATCTGGAGGGCGAGACGGATCCGCTGCAGATTGCTATCAAGGAGCTCAGGGAGAAGAAGATCCCTCTGATCGTCCGCCGCTACATGCCGGATGGGTAGTATGTTTGCGATTCGGTCCGATATCTACGTGATCACTACTAACATGCTAATAGCTACGAGGACTGGACCTGCGAGGAGCTGCTGCAGTGAAGTGATATAGTGAGGAAAAAAATAATTTGCATTCTTAAGCGAGGCGTTCAGGTTGATTTCAGGAATATACCAGTTCTCCCGACTCGAGTTTTCCGAGAGTGAGTGCTGTCGCTTGTCGCTCAACGGAGAATCGCGAGTCTCACTACCTCACGGTATATTTGCTTCGAGTGATGTGACGTTCCCCGTAGGAGAGTGTTCTGCGGTGTGATGCGATGCAACACCACGAGCCTTTGACAAACCTCACTCTGTCCCCTCCGCTGAGAGCCACGAGGTCATCAGAAATACTGAATACGGGGCAACCCACCAAAGTGGAGAAGACCAATTTGCACTCTTTCGGGTAGTTCACGAAAACCTGGTTGCCGGGTACTCGGGAGTATTCGAGGATAGCTTACTCCCCGTGTTTTCATAATGGTGCTGTAGTGAGGCGGGGGATCCCTAACTTACGAGCAACTGCAACCGAACATCGCGACTTTCACCGAACAAGTTAAGCCGATGTAACACCAGTAACCTATGAAGTCATATTCAGTTATCAGTCAGATAACCGACAAGCCTCTTTGGGAGCGTGTACGAGGCTTTTGCAGCTTGTAAGATGGATTTTCTTGACGTCTCGCAAGACCGCATGACGTTGGCTTGTCCCCTGGCGCTCGATGCTTACTTGTCTGGCGATCAAATCGTATTGGATCCTTCGCTCCAATTGGAGTTGCCCTCTCGACATCTGCAAGCCCATAGCCTTTTGCAAATAAAACAAGGTTGCAGTGCCAACCTCTTCCTGTCAACATGTTAGCGTTTATGCGAGCACTGTGGTGTATTCGTAAAGCTAATTACGTCGTACACTATATTTAGTTGTTTAAGAGGGGAACTTGGGCGGGTGAACACGAGATCTTGCTTTTGCCATAGCCGGCAGGATCGGTCATGGTAGCATGGTGCTATGATACGACGTTTAACGGAAGCTGTGAAGGGCGAAGGAGCCTTCTTGCCGCATGACGGCAATGCAACTTCTCGTTTGGCAGTGCCAGGTCCAGCGACTGCTTACGTTCCTATTCGTTGTGCAGACTGAGCTGTTGAACGAAGCGGCTGGGATTGCTAGCTGTCTTACACGGCATCTTTTCATGCGCGCATGTTGGTCCGTCTGCTAGCGCTGCGCCCGTCTGCTAGTCTAGACGCAGCTGACGGTCATATTCCATGTTGGCCGGTTGGCCTGTTCGTGATACTAAACATTTCTTTCATGGTCATCCCAGAACGAAAGAGGTTGGATCGTCTGGTCGACCTATCTATATATGTATATATATCTATAACGGAAAGGAAGTCCAAGCAAGACATTTGCAAGCATTCTATTTGTACTCAACGGCCCGAGCAGTTTCCCCGATCATATTTCTAGGCTTCGCCCGACCTCTTGACAGAGATCATCTCGTCAACAAAAACTCCCGACCGAAGCCATGCAGTTCTCCACGATACTCCCCATCCTCCTTGCGGCTGCAGTCAGCACATCTGCCGCTCCAACGGCCAACATAGCCAAGAGAGAAATCGGCGGCGTCCGTTTTTGAGCCCCTGCCACATAGTGAAATACACCGAACTAATAAGATATCCAGGTGCTCATCTGCCAAGGCGTTAACGCAACGGGAACATGCGCCTATTCGGCGTACACCATGGAAGACTGCCATGACCTGCCCGACAATCTATCCGGGAATGCAGCGACGTTCGCGCCGGATGGGGACAACTTTTACTGCTATCCGAAAGCGCAAGTTTCCCTCTTAATAATTATCCCTCCCTTCCTCTCTTACGCTCGAATGACAAAAGAACGAGTTGTGGATGAGCGCTGACATGATCCAAACAGTGGCAAATGCGCCGACATCTGCACATCTCCTACCGGTTGCACCTTCGGCGCGGTCTCGTTTGACTCACCTGTCAAGTACGATTTGACGTCTATCAAGTGGCAGACCCTCCTCAAGAGCTTTACCTGCCACTTGAACACCACGACAACGGCATAGGTTGACCGGCCGTTGCTATGATGATAACGATTCGCTGGTCCACCATCCTGTTACCCGATTTTCCTTTCCGAAGAATCTCACAGAAACCTCGCATTGGAGCAACGGCCAAAATGGCGTTTGATTCTGCACGGTAGCACCCAAAACAATAGCGATGACATTGATTAGCGCAAGGAATGAAGACAAGAGGTAGAGCAGGAGTCTAGCAATGAACGACACCTTGCAAAGTCTGGGTGTTCTGGGCATGGTTCGGGGGTTCGGAGACTGTGACGACATGGCGATGTGGGGTAATGTCTCATAAAGTGTCTTCGGCGCTGGGAGGGGTTGCTATGCAAAAAAGGGTCTAACGTACGACCCCACCTTTCCGGCCACCCACCTTTCTGGCCATATATTACAATCCAATTGAAGGTATTCGAAACAGTGTATTCAACGTACTATTATAGCTATTCAGATACAACCAGCTCTAACAGAAAGCTGTCCTCCAGGGCTTCCTGAGGTATAGATCTGATAGATTCTGACGCCTTAGCTGGGTCCAGTATTACCTGATTCCGACGTTGTACCTGGTCTCGTTGCCGTTCTACTTCAAGGGCTCGATCCATCGCTTCCTTAATCTGTACAATGTTACCAAATCGTTCATTAGGCCCTAATCGTACCTTCTTACGTGGTTTGGGGCGTAACGAAGTTATCTCGGCTTCTAATGCGTGATCAAGCCAATTACCAGCTGTTGTTGGTGTAGTTGGTCGTTCTGATAGGGGGGCTATCGTCGGCTGAGGTCGCGATGGATCTAATGGGTATATTCCAGTTGCAGAGAAGCCTGATTGTATATTACTGATCGTGAACGACTTCGTATATGCCTCGATGTTTCTCTGACGATCCGTACACTATACCCTCGATCCCTTCGCCAATCGCGATGCCTGTTTCGTCTATATTCCAGACGTTATGTGGAAAGTAGTCGTGAACTGACATCAAGGCTTCGTACGTCTCGAAGAAATCGTCGATATTCTGCGTCGATAGGCCATCAAATCGCTGACGGTCGAGGCGTCGAGATTGGATACTTCCGACCTCTGGATGGTGTTGAATAAAGCGATGAACCCAATGGCGACCGAGGCCCTCTGATCGACGATCCTGAGGTAACAGAATCAACGCCATCTTAGCGATGAATAGCGCCGACGGGCTACGACCCTCGCGATCCATTTCGAGGATCCATCCAATCAGCGCGTCTTCCTGATCCCTAGATAGCTTCATCGACGCGATTGACGCGTCAGAATGGCTGAGGCCATCGCCGAGTCGTAATTGGAGGGTAGAGCGTGGAACGCCCTATCGGAGGGAAGCCTGGCGCTGGGATATCCCTTGATTGATATTGTTGAGAGCGCCTTGAATCGAATTTTCTGAATATCGAGGCATTGTATAATAATAGCCAATACCGACGATAATCTGTCGTGCCGAAGGTTGTTGTAGTTGGCAGATAAGGTGGCCAGAAAGGTGGGTGGCCGGAAAGGTGGTCGTACGTTATCTATCCATGGGATCTCGCAAAGTGCCGAAGACGGCTCCTGTCAAGAGGGGGAGACGGATGCAGCATGATTGATCAACGACGGGCGGGCGAAAGATTCGTTGTATATATTTACGTCAATACACTCTTAGTTGGCATCAGCCGCGGTTTCTTCCATCTTGTTGCCACTATCAAAACACTTCTCAAAGTAAACAGCTAGCAAATCAAGCAACTATACTCATCTGTGTCATTTACAAGGTCGGTATACCCCAATTTTCAACACAGCCATTGCAATGACATGCTTCAGAGCGACTCTTCCATTGCGAAGCGCTCATGGAAAGATCTGTTTCTCCTTTCATCCACGATTGTCTAACTTCCAAGCCAGACCACTCAGTAACCCGTCGCGAACCGTCACCACCACCACCATGTCGTTCGAAACCAAATCCACCATCGCCACCTTCGGCGGCAAGCTCCTCAAGCTCTCACACACCTCCACCACGACCAAAACCCCCATGAACGTAAACCTCTACCTACCCCCGGCCTCCAGCACCACCAAAGTCCCCGTTCTCATCTACCTCTCGGGCCTAACCTGCACGCCCGACAACTGCTCCGAAAAAGGTTTCTTCCACGCCGCCGCCAGTGCGGCCGGCATCGCCATCCTCTACCCGGATACCTCACCGCGCGGCGCCAACCTGCCCGGCGAAACTGACAGCTGGGACTTCGGAGCCGGGGCTGGGTTCTACATCAACGCGACGGTGGAGCCATGGAGCGGACACTACAACATGGAGTCGTACGTGACATCGGAGCTGCCCGAGGCGATTTTCGAACAGTTCGGGGATAAGCTCGATAGCGGACGGGTTTCGATTACGGGGCACAGCATGGGAGGCCACGGGGCGCTGACACTGTTTCTCAAGAACCCGGGGAAGTACCGCAGTGTGAGTGCGCTGGCGCCAATCTGTAACCCGAGCCAGTGTCCGTGGGGAAAGAAGACGTTTGCGGGGTACTTTGGGACAAGGGATAAGGAGGAGTGGAAGAAGCACGATGCGACGGAGCTGGTCAAGGGGTGGAAGCATGATGGAGGGAAGTTGCCGTTGTTGATTGATGTCGGTACGGGGGATAACTTTTATAAGCAAGGACAGCTGCTGCCTGAGAATCTGGAGAAGGCGGTTAAGGAGGCTGGGGTGGAGGGCGTAAAGTTCAGGTATCAGGAGGATTACGATCATTCGTACTACTTCATTTCGTCGTTTGCGAAGGATCATGTCGAGCATGCGGCTAAATACTTGTTCTGATTTGGGGTATGGGGAGACCAAGCAGTCCAATCCAATGATTCGTGTATACACACTATTCCCGCAGTATACTGAAGTACAAGATATTCATGCAGGACATTGGTGGACACGCATTAGACTGGTGGCGACATTCTAACATCAGTGTCTAATAAGTTGGTATATCATGGCATTTGTACTCGAGTAGTCAGTGCACCTCCCAATCGATGCTAGACACTTCAAGAATGAAGTCGTGAATCGCATGAAGAAAAAGAGCAAGCGGCTAGTTTGTAGAAGCAATGCAAGTTACTCCAGGTATCCAAAAGGGCCAAGTTCCCCCTTCATTCGTGACGTTAACTCCGGTCGCTCTATGCTTCAGAACGCCATGCAAGATGATTTGCTGCCCGTCGTCTAACTGACGGGGGGCCGGGGGGGGAGGGGGGCGGGGAAGGATGGGGGGTGCAGGAATATCTAGAAGTTTTTCGAAAGCAAAGTCCTCTCATCATTACGACACCCATCCGTTCATCACATTTGACGAATCTAGCTGATCCTCTTTTCTACCTCAGGACTGAACCCCTCCTTTTCCAGCTTAATCCTCATCTCCGCTTCGGCCTCCCTCCGGATGCGGTGGAAGGCCAGTTTCTCGAACCGACTAAGTCCGCGCCACCAATGTTGGCCCGCTTCGTGCTCGCTGATGCGCTCCAAAAGATCGGCCGTCTTGATTCGCACGTCTCTGTCTTTGTGGAAAAGACCTAGGGCTAGATAGAACAGTCCGGCGTGGGATTCGGGGGCTACCGATAGCAGGAGACAGATCTCGTCGTACGAGTAGACGTACTTTGAAAAAGCCATGTAAACATCCCGGCTTTGTGGCGGGCTCAGACGTTGTGTCCGCAGACGGTCGTGCATGTGATGTAGGTCAAGACCCTTCAGAGGTCGAACAGTGTACATCTGGGCGAGGTCCTGCCGAGGTTTGTGATTAGTTCGGCCTTGCAACTCATTAATATCGGGTCCTGCTCACCTGGATGAAGCTGTAGTAACTCCGGGTATTTCTCCAGCCCTCAATCCTACAGACGTTGCCGGCAAGCTCCTTCTGTTTGGCGACGTCATCTGCCCACACATAGCCGTGCCCACTTGCACCCAAATCGTGTTTCTCGTACTCCTCCCCGCCTATATGCAACGCGCTGGCGCCGTATACACTCTCCTCGAAAGCTGCAGCAATCCGGGTAAATTTGACGACCCAGTCTCGCCACTTAGCCCGGATGACTCGTTCGCCACGCCTGGCCGCAACGCTCTTGAGGATGTCGTTCATGAACACCATGTCCCCTGTCAGGTCGACCGTAGTTACGGTAGAACCGCCGGGGAGATTGGCGTAGGATGGATTCTGCTGTTGGAAGTACACCAGCCCTTCCGTAATCGGGGCGTTTTCGATCTTGCTGCTGATTTTTATCCGCCCACTGGGGATGTCGCACAGAAGGTCCCACCATTCTGGATGAAGTTCAAAAGTTGGATTTGTGACCCCCGCAATGAAGCCAGGAACCTTGAGCAAGTCGTCGATTTTGGTAAGATCCGTGTAAGGGAAAGCATGCCTAGTGAACCCCCGAAGCACGCCCCCAGATGCCAATGCACACGCTGCGAGTACGGCTTCTGCCACGTCGCCCGAGGGCATATTGTGGCCGAGAAAGATGACCCTCTTTTGCGTTAGAAGCGCATTCGCCAAAACCATGATCGGATGTGTCCCAGGGCCATTAGTGGTAAGATGGGGATGCAGTGGGAATGGCTGCATTGACTTGTTATGCGCATCCGAAAAGGTCTGTATGAGCTTGATGAGAGAGAAGTCACCAACAGTTTCCGGCATAACCGCAGTTGGCACTTTGACGGGGATTGGGATACCCTTGTACAATACTTTGGTCTCGAATTCGTGGGTATCACGAGGAATGGCATACCCTGCCGTGCTCTGTAGATGTCCTTTCGTCCCAGCCCGCGATATGCCTTGCGGCTTAGGCGGACTCCTGCTGGCATCAAATGGCTCCGTGACTGAGCCGCTGCCGTCCTCAGCCATGCGCATTTCGATCATCCGCTGGAACTTTTCGACAAAGAGATCCCTGTTGTCACTTGCCAGCAGAAGTTGTCTCTCAAGTAGGCTTAGTTTCGGCATTAGGGAAAGGTCCATATTGTTGACTGCATCGTAGAGCATGGACAGTGTTTCTGGAACGGGAGACTTGAAGTACTCCTCGAGGGCAAGCAGTAGAAGAGGCTATCTCAGGTTTCAGCAGGGTCATCACCAATACTACACACGATGAATGTACCGACCTTATATATGTGCAAGAAGGGATGCCGCGTACAGATGGCCATGGCCTTGACCACGGCTCCTCTTTTCACCGTCTTGTCTTGTTTTGTATTTACGAGGTTCAGGACATATATCAATGGCGGACCTTCTCCGCCCTCGGGTTCACTGTCAGTAGAGTCGTCATCCCAATCATCGTCATCATCTTCATCGTCCTCGGAATCGTCCTCGTCTTCTTCGTTGATGGTATCTTCGTCATCTTCGTCAATTATGCCGGCGGCCCTGTCTCGCCTTCGCTTCCTCCTCCGCTTTCTTTCCGCCTTGGCCTTTTGCTCCTCCTCGTCCTCTTCCTGGCTCGTATCTTTGTGCAGAAAGAAGATGGTCCAATCCTGGTTGCGAACGTGGGCCTGGTCAGGCAACATCAGCTCGGCTAGCATGTGCTCGTCTCCCGTTATGGCCACGGGGTACTGGTGCTCCATGACCGGACCTCGGTCAATGTCGAAAGATGCGACCAGTATGTATTCGACATGGTTGTCGCTAGAGCCCCTGGGGTATTGCGACCGTTGCTTCCTCGACGAATGAGCATCAGGGTTGTAACGTCGTGGGGCGGAGAGTGACGAATGTTGTGATGACGCCGTCCGGCTGCCAATTGATGACGTCTTGTTGGACTTCGAACTCGGATTCGACGTCCGATCCGTGTCTATCGTCACCGGCGGTTGTGGTGACCGTGATGGTCGCGACATCGAGTTGTGCGACATCTGCGAGGCCGAGCGCGACGACGGAAAAGACGATAGCGATGCGCGTTGATTCCCATTGCCCGTACCGCTGCCAATTTGGCCGTTGCTATTTGACTGATTGGTGTTTGTACGAGTCAGGTATGGCACAACGCCCGAGATGGAAGTCATGGTCGCTGCTTCCGTCCCAATCCCGTCCGTTGATCTGCCCTTGCTGCGATTCCGAAACCAGGCGCTGGGCGAAAGGGGTCCCCGAGAGCAACCTCAGGTAAGGGCGTCCTAGGTCTGGAATCTCGTGATGCAGCGGGCAAACGCAACGACTGACAATGTCGGACGACCAGCGACGCTTCCTAGTCCCATGTAAAGGGGTTGTCGATCAGCGCTTCGGTGCCATTCGCAAGGGTCGCGAAGTGACAAATTATCATGAACCCTAAACGGGGGTTGCCATGAGGTGGAAACGCAGAGGTACACGGACGCGGACAATCGCTGGTGAAGAGGACTTCAGGCTGAGGAAATACTTCGTTTCAATGCAGGGAATAGGCAATGACCGAGACATGATCTGCTACGCTGCCATCTCCTTCGGGCCGCAGACGCAGTTTTGGTAGTGATGTTTGGAAAGGCGGGCTCTCCCTGATACCAGTCCAGGGTTGGATGGTAGGATGAAAAGATGGACTTGCGAATCCGGTCGACCAGTCGCGTTTCTGTGCCCAATTGCAGATCCCTGCCCGGTCCCCACCCTCAAAGGATTGATGGGCGCTGCTGCCTACTATCTCCCCAGGTGCCGCGGCACTCCGAAAAAGGGCGCCAGAGGTGACGAAAGCTTACGCCGGCGGCTGAATACTGACCAAAAGTGCCAGGCTATCAGCTCAATTTATCCATTAGCGCCGCAGTGATCTCAGTGTGATGAGTTCCAATTCAACCAATGCTTGTGGCTGTGGCTGCCGAGGCACAGACGCCAAGGCCAACCCTGCAGATAGTCAAGGCAACTTCAGGGGCTGCCGGTTAGGGAATTAGAATTTGGGAAGCTTGGATCGTATAGCTTACGGAGCGCCAGCGCAATTCCCACCAGCCACAGTTCAGTTGCAACTGATGATGACTAAGGAGATGCATACAAGAGCTGCAAACGTCATATTGTGTCCCTTCGTATTGTTTGATTTTGGATCATGCAGATGTTCTATGCGAATCAATACCAATGCCAATGCCAGATGAGTGGAAGTCGACTATGGATTAAGGTGGCCGAGGCTAGAGTTGTTTTGGGATGCAGGTGTCCCTGCCAGCCATACGCGGTTGCCCGGCCACTTATCGATTAGGAATTGATGGCAATCGTCTGTGTCTGGGTATCGCGTTCGACCATACGTAACATTGATGGCAGTGTTATTACGATACCTACTCCCATTACTGTTTTGGGGCTAAACTATCTCCATCGACACTTGGAATCATTCCTTTTCTGTGACATACGTTCTCGATCAACCCTTAATTATTATCGCGTCGCCCGTGTTTGTTTTGACTGCCAAGGTTCACATACGCTGCATTCGCATCGCAAGCACGAAGGTATACAAGTATTTCTCCATTTTACATCATGGTAATGACGGCACCCAAGTGGAACCCCCCGTGTTAACCTGCCTGACCGACAATCTCCATGTTTAGGCCATGTCTGCCGGGTACAAACCCTCCCCTCTCGGCCCTCTGGGATACAATTCGCCACGCAGCTCCCCTTTCCGCCGTCCCGAATCCCCAGCATCGCCGTCGGCATTGCGACAGTCGACCCCTCCAGCTACGCCGTCCAAAGTGGGAAGCCTGACAACTCCCTCACTTCTGGCGAATTCGATCCCGTCAGCTTCCCCCGGCGATAGCACACCCAGAAGACCAAGAGGATATGCCCAATCGGACGATATGCTTTCGCAACAAAAAGTCAGTCTAGGCTCGCCCGTCCAAATATCGTCTCGTAGCACGACACAGTCCGTGAACCATGGTAATGCGCTGTCACAGCTGCAGCCGCCGCAAGTCAGGGTCCTCAGAGACGGGTTCCAGATCCTAGATAGGGACAGTGATGGAGTCGTAAATAAAGAGGACGTCGTCGACATGTTGAACCAGCTGGGTAAGTCGGGCAATCATCGCAATGCCGGGTTGGCGAACTGGAGGGCTGACTCTGGATTCTGCGCAGGCCTTCCGTCCAATCAATCCGAGACCGCACGATTCTTTCCCGCCGCTGGTCCACAAACCATGACTCTGGCCGTATTCCTAAACAGCATCGCCACTACGCTCGCAGCCATGTCACCCAGCGCCGAGTTGCTGTCCGCTTTCTCCGCCTTCGACGACGACGATAGCGGCCAGGTCGACCTTGCCGAACTCCGTGATGCCCTGCTCCACACCACACCCGAACCGGGTGAGAACGCCTTGACGCCAGCCGAGGTGGACAAAATCATGGCTGGGTTCAGTAGCCGCAGGGCGTTCAGCAAGAGCATGCCGGGCGGATTGGGCAAGCGGGGCGAGGTGTTCAAGTATCATGAGTTTGTCAATTCCATTGTGGGTGGCAATGGGAACACCGAACCCCCATCGAATGAGGGCTCGGAGAATTAGACTGAAGGTTCAGTACATGATTGTTTTTACAGGCGTTGGACTGGTTGAACGAAGGTTCGTGGTACATGGCAACTTGGAAACTGGTGGAAACCGCTCGGGGGCGGTTGCTTTTGGCTTGGAAGCCTTGCTTGAGCATTATGAATGTGATGTCACCGCCCGACAGACCTCGTTAGAGGCGAATCAACTATTAGCGGTTCGTCAGTTGCAGTCATGGGTGCACTCCTTTAGGACTTAGAATTCAATCAGAGTAAGTAGGTTGGATAGGTGCATAGAATGCAGGGAACCAGCAATACAAGGTAGGGACAACTTAATGATGACTTGGTGACTTCGGATGTTTTTTCTCATTGCAGCAGTAAAACTATCTTCAAACTGGCTATAACAATTGTGGCCCTACCAAGAATGCTAAGATTCAGGTTCAAAGAAGAAATGGTGTGGCTGGTAAGTTGAGTTCCGTGGTCTTCCTTGGCAAGTGAGAAGTACATTAGAAAACATGGATCGGCTTTTTGCGTCGTCATAGTCAAGGGCTCCACATTTTACAGTTAAATTCGAGGATACTGGCCATTCAGAATACATATCTGCTGTTTTCGTCAGTTGTCGACTTCATAGAATGAGTCTATAGTCTCATACACAGATTTCATTATGCTTGAGGCGAATAGCCTTTGCTAACCTCACATAAGTGCGTAATCCTTAATCCCTCAGCGAGTCAATTGGAAGTCATGTATCTCCATTATGTGTATTGATACTACGAAGGTGCGTGGGGAACTGCCTGATCGACCGCCGGGGGGTCTCTAAATACACCAGCTGGTGCCTGGGTGCCTTGTAACCCCTCGGCACCTGAGGCCACACTTGCCCACAAATGTACTATACAAGGTCGGCGGCGTATAAATAACGACGTCTAAGTAAAATGCTTTATTTGCTCATTTCTACAACAGTAGTAGATATCTGCAGATAGCCAACTAAGACATCACTGCGTCCAGTACCCCAGTAGTAGCTTGTCAAATACAATGGGACATGACGGAACTGTTACTTCAACGCTCATAAGACTGGCTTCGTTGGTCTACCAGAGTTGCGAGAAGCCAAGACAAAATAACCTTTACTCCTAGTGATTTCATTTATTACCAGCCCCCATAGCTTCAGTATCCCGGCATCTGCAAACTTGTCCGCAACTGTAAGTTCAATGTCATTAGGCCTAGTATGGTGGCCCAAGCGCTATTAAGGAACGTTATCCCCACAGAAGCTTCGAGAATCGTGCAGCTAGCTGTAAAGCCGCACTCGGAACCCTCGAGATGGGTTTTACCGTGCCATGGGTTGTTGAGGTACGTACCTGAGCCACGCCGCTTTAACACTGAGCTTGCCTCGAAGGTGAGCTAGCTTGCATAACTAAAGCCTTTATGAATATGTATATCTATGAGTGCACCGTAATTAGCCAAGCTCAGACGGTAGTTGCAGGTCCGGGAAACGAAACGCGAAAGCAATGCCGCAGGCCAGCCTGGATTTCTCCCGCTTCTCCTACGCTTTGATTAAGCTTACTTAACCCAGCCGGTCTCCGAAGCATCATGCATGTGCACCTTGTCCATCGATAACAAGAAGGTTAGTCAGTCACATGGCAGAATATGACTCCGGGTCCTGGTGTACGATCAAACGAATCTCCAGCTAGTTCATAACTGCCCAAACCAGTGAATGTAAGGCCCTTATGTATGCCCGCATGTGCAATATTAACTTTGACTGATATAGCTTCATACTGGTATAGTGTGTTAGTAAGCCATTCGCACTGCACCTGACCAGTGTAGTATCAACATAGAGTGGATAATATAGACTGCGTACAAAATTCTAACCAGTAAAGGGGACGGCCTCAGACTAGTTGGGTCTCAGATTATAAAGCACACAGCCCAGGTGTTAGAAACAAGTGGTTCATGGTGCACAGTCCACATGTGTCAGGCAAGTGAGGCGTCACGTCCTGAAGACATATCCCCACATGATTGGGCAGGGATAGAGTCCAGATAAAGACAGACGAACTCTTTTGAAAGACAAGCAGAGACGACAAACAATCAATGTAATGAGTACCCAATCCTATTGAAAGATAGGTGACTGTCTGACATCAGGTGTTGGACAATTACCACTTGGCCACTGCAACTGCACAAGATGGACACGCGCACCCACTTTGAGATACCAGTGCTGTATAATACAACATGAGGACCAGTACGGAGTTGGATTAACGACCAGTACAACATCTGGACTAGTACAGCTACACGCTCTACACTAGTACAGTGATACGTGACGCTTGGGGTCTCACAGGTCATGTAGATAAGGTGGCTATAAACGGTCGTCGGGCGAGGCTTCTAGGCAGCTTCGCGATCATTCGCAAGACATTTCGCCACTTCAGTATTTTATAAGCCTCCCTTTTACTACTACAGATACCATTCCCTAATCCATCCATAACAACATCGCAGAATTCTTCGCAGTTCATTCACCTGCGACTAGATAGCAATACGCTGAATGAGCGACGTATCACGCTAGTAGGACTGCAAACCCTTTGGCCGCCTAGGGTTTGTTCAGTTACACCGTTTTCGCGGCTAGTTTCGTAATGTGCTCCCCGTATATAAGATGGAGGTCTCTAGCAAACCTTACATTTATGTTAGACCTACTGATCTATTTTCCGATCCGAGGTTAGAGCATTCCATAAGCGTAGGATATTTGGTGAGATTTGTGAAGTACACGAGCCCAGGCTATTGTAATCTCCCCAACCAGTTTCTTCGCGGCAGCATGGAAAAGAAAACAACATGTGAGTCCGGTTCCGCCAGAGCCATTTACAATGACTACCATTCAAGGTTCGAACGTCTTGCTCAAGTCGCATTACCCCACCAGTTCGTAACTACAGGTGCAGATCAGCTACTCCTCGCTAGACCCAGCGTAGGCTAAGTATCCTTTTGCCGAGGTGCTGCTACCATTATAGCAGTAACATCTCATTGACTTTATTTTTAATACAAGTAGGACTATAAAAATCGATAGTCGATTTCTCCGAAATCATTCGAACCGTCAGATGGGTTGTCCGGCACGCAAGCTTAGAGTGATAAGTACGGAAAGTATGCCACTTTCAGCCCGAGTCACACTGAGCTGTGCCAAATTTAGCCTTTCAACAGGCGGGTCAGTTTGCATAAAACCATGCTGTTTTCATAAATGTCACCATTAGCATGCTGTCACGAACAGACAATTACGCGCGACTTCATGGTAAACTGTACGCCAATGTTATCACTGATCTACCTAAAGTCATTGTAGCACGTTTCGCTAACAGCACTCCGTTCAACCCTCGTTAACCACGCTGGGTTCCCTGGATCCTCGAATACGTGATCGGCGTTGCGAAAGATCTCGTATTGAGTGGAGTGACAGTTAAGCAGATGCATGAGAAGAACAACTGGTGTGCAGGCTGGAAATTCCTCAGCTTCAATACTGTTATCAATGACGCGTCTTACCAATATAATGTGTGTTGTAAGGATGGGTGCGCGGAGATGTATGCCTCGAACCCGCTCAATGAGCAGGATCCGGAGTACACCAAGTGCCATGATATTCTGATTGATGACTATAAGAGGTGTAACAACGGAGGAGTTGGTGGTCGTAGGTGTATTAGTTCAAGGCGCCGAGGAAGGGTTAGGCACTAGGCTGGATTTATGTCTGTTAGGCGTTGAGAATCTGCAGACGTGTCTTAGGAGTTTATGGGCATGAGCCTCACTAGTTCTACATGTGTATCATTCGTTTGTTACGACCTAGTCGTAGAATTTGTTACCCGTAAAGCTAGCTACCCGTATCTCCAATGTAAAATCGGCACGTTGGAAGTTCTCGAGTAGTGCATTGTCCCGAGGCGACCGAATTGTAAAGGCTTTGGAAATATCTCCGTAGTACACGGCTCAAAATAACAATAATAACAATGTTCAACCCACCAGAAAGAGATACAGGCCGCCATTACCGAAGCCATATCTACGCCTAACCACATTCACTTTACTCCTACACCACCACTTATCGAAGACGCGGTTGTATATATCTGGTCCCAAACAACAACATCGGTTGCGCAACGCCATGCTCGGAATTTTCCCAAAGCCTAATAATGGAATTAGGCGTCCTCGTCGTCTCCGTCTCAGCCCTAAAAGGCGGCCACCCACGCGCACGAATGTCACATTGCGGCTCGACATCATGCCGCAGGTCTCTCGGGATTGACGGCCAAGTCTCAACACGGCTCTCCAGGCGGGCTCGCCCGTGTCTAGCCATATATCTACCGAGGCTGGATATCTGCCCGGCCCAGTGCTCGGCTGCAGTCTCGCTAACGGGACATGGTGAAATTACGAAGGTCACGGACGGTGCTGTAGATTGATACGCGGCATTCGCCATACCTTGGGGGAAAGTTCAGGCTTCATCCTAATGGTACTTCTGACAGAAATAGGCTGGAACTTACATTTGCATGCAGACCAACGTAAAAAACGTACTCCCTTCGTGGCATTCACCTTCTTCGCGTCTTGATGGAACTCTTCACCCTTCCAGCAATTGCCCCAGGTCGACATCAAACGTCGCCAGATGACTGATTTTTGGAAGCGGCTCATCTGACGTTTGGTGCATTGTTCCACAAGACCAGCAGATGCCGAATGGTTCGTCACGCATTCCGCCGATGCGTAACGGACGCCTCAAAGCATAATGTGTTGGGAAACGCCTGCATCCTTCCATAGTTCCTTAGAGATGGTGTGTTGAATCTCTAGCGGGTACCCCCATCAATGCAGAGCTGGGCTGTGGTTGCATGTGTGAGGCATACCACTCGGGTCGGGGAGCGACTGCCTGGTCCTCGTACGCTAAGGCTGTCTGTATTACTCTAGCTGGCAGGCCGCTTGCTTGGTCTCAGATGCACTGCTAGCTTCGAGTGGATATCACGGAGCCCCATTTTGGATTGACTTTGTCACTGGCACAAATTTGTAGTTGACGGTGGCATAATGATGACGTTTGTTTCCAAGGGGAAGCCGGAACATCCAAACTGAAGACCTCAGAATCCAGCAGAATATTTCGCGGTACTACGACAATGCGAATCTCACATAAAATACTTCTATGTAAGCGCCCGATTACGTTAACGTATTGGACTCTATCGAATTCCTACATAGTAAACTTTCCACGATCATCCTAGATCCATAGCTCGACCGTTTGTTTCGTACGTTTTTCCTTGCATAATTATGTACAAAATGCCTTCCATCTGGCAACCGATGGAATTGAATTGTCAGATGAGCCTGACTAGGAGCGGCGAGGGCGCTAAGCCCTATTCGTCATGAGCCCATACCTGGGTAGGAAAACCCGGACCAGCCTTGAGTTCTTGACAGCCAGACCCCTGCTGAAATAACGGATACAAGAATTGCCCGCCAAGCGGGACGAACCAACGTCTCGCGGCGCCCGTTATCTGCATGTTATCCATCGACGTGAGTGTCCAACAGGTGCAGTTCAACTTATTGAATTGTCCATGTGCAGGTCGATTGGACAACCACAATGGACCCCCAAGAACACCGTACAGACAGCATGGCCACTTAGGAGTGTCATGATGGTGATGTTGATGCAACACCGTAAACAAGATGCTGGTTCTCGAGTCCATTGGTTGCACTAGCAATTTGTTCACTGACATTGGGCCACTCTCACAGTAGGTGGGGCATCAACAAAAGTAGCTGTGACTTTACTCTGCAGTAGAAGCTACGCTAGATAATAAGTATTGAGTACTTTAGCTCAAACGTCGGTTTACAAAAATTTCCCACTCCCAGCCTTCTGAAAGACGAATTTATTTATATAGCACATCACAACTGCTTTTGTGCAATCCCTTGCTGGGCTGTGCTAGGTTGACAAATCGATCAAGAAGGCTCGAGATCTGGCTTGGACTTTTCTCAGAACCAATGCTTTTCAAGTCCTCAATTTTGTCCTGATTTTTCTCCAAACGGAATCCCTCTGCAGTGGCAAGCAATTCAGACGCCACGGTACAAGCTGCACTATTTTTTTTCTGACGCGGCCTGCCAAACCCCGATAACTAAAGGGTCTTGCATAAGACTATTTGTGTCTGGCAAGAACACAGGCAGAATAGGTGCACTTCCTAGCGTTTCACAGTGGATGTTCGACAAGTCGCTGACCTGGCAAAAGCTCGAAAAGCTCGCGCATGACTCCAGCTAGTTCCTAGCTCAAAGGCGGGCATCTCTAAGTGAGGTTGCTGTCGCAAGATTCCGAAGTTTCTAGCACGGCGGTCGGCATTCCCTCGTTTCGTGCATTGCAGAGCCGCGGGATTCCCGAGAACGGGACCTAGTAGTAGGTGGTGTGGAAACGGCTTTGACTTTGAAGTTCCATCTGCTTCCTATCCCAAATGAAGAACCTTTTCTCATCCAAGAAGACACCCAAGAAACACGCGACTGGCGACGGTGAAGAATACCACAGTTCGCACTCGGAACCCACTTCGCCTGTCAAAATCGCCGCCACCCACAAATCGCCTAGGAAAAACCCACAAACCGCCTCGCCCTCGCAGCCTTCGCAGCCTTCGCAGCCTTCGCAGTCTTCGCAGAAGCCTCTACAGAAAGAGCAGCCATCCAGGGCTCGAACCTCGCGCTCTTTTGCGAGATCAGATTCCTCAGCCCGGCGCAACAAGGTTGATCCCAATACCCATCCCCTCAATCTTCCCCCACACGAGTACAAGCGCCTGTCGGCTCTGTCCGCAATGAGCAATCGCAGCTCCTTGGATAAGATGGATGTTGACCGCGAGGCTTCGGCCGCCCCTCCGTCATCTCCGCCTCCGCCGAAACAACCAACCCCGGCTCCGGTAACTCCTACCAATGGAGCCAAGGAATCTAAGGAATCTTCCACGGGCGACGATGTGCCAGTCCCCCCGCCTCACAGATCTAACCCCTCGAGTCCTGTCCCCACCACCGCTGACGAGGCCGAGGCGTACAAGGCTGCAGGGAACAAGTTTTTCGGGCAGAAGGACTATAGAAATGCTATTTTGCAATACACCAAGGGTACGTTTTGTTTTCGGTTTTGATGCATACTGGGTCATCCTGTATAAGCTGCTGACTCTGCTTCTTAGCGATCGAGCTGATGCCGGACTCTGCTGCATATCTGGGAAACCGTGCGGCAGCCTTTATGTCCAACGGCCAGTATGAGGCAGCCTTGGACGACTGCTCTCGTGCTGTAGACATTGAACCCACCGCCAAATTCCTGTTGCGGCTGGCGCGTATCTACACCTCCTTAGGCCGCCCTGATGAGGCTCTGACGACCTTCTCGCGGATTCAGCCTCCCCCTTCCGCCAAAGATGTGGCATCCGCAAAGGAGATGCAATCGCATGTCAGGGCCGCCCAAGATGCGTTAAGCAGCGGGACTTCCGGATCCATGGTGCTCCATGCCCTAGATCAAGCTGAGAAGCTGCTCGGTGTCGGCGCAACTAAACCTCGCAAATGGCAGCTGATGCGAGGCTCAGCTCACCTTAAGATGGGCGGTGTCAATTCATTGGGTGAGGCGCAGAACGTCGCTATGTCGCTGCTGAGACAGAATAGTCAAGATCCCGAAGCATTGGTTCTGCGAGGACGGGCTCTATACTCACAGGGTGATAACGAAAAGGCTATCCAGCACTTCCGCAAAGCTTTAAACTGCGATCCCGACCTCAAAGACGCTGTAAAATGGCTCCGAGTCGTTCAGAAGCTGGATCGCATGAAGGAGGAAGGAAATGCCGATTACAAGGCAGCACGGTGGCAGGCTGCCATCGACAAATACACACTAGCATTGGGCGTGGATCCCACCAACCGCGGTACCAACTCGAAGCTCTTGCAGAACAGAGCACAGTGCCGACTCAAGCTCAGGAAGTATGACGAGGCTATTCAAGACTGTGAACGTGCCATCAGTTTAGATTCGTCGTACATGAAAGCTCGCAAGACCAAGGCCAACGCTATGGGTCAGGCAGAGCGGTGGGAGGACGCTGTCCGGGAGTGGAAGACCATCCAAGAGATGGACCCTGAAGACCGAACGATCGCCAAAGAAATCCGGAGGGCTGAGCTCGAGCTCAAAAAGAGCCAGCGAAAGGACTATTACAATATCCTCGACGTCCCCAAAGATGCTGACGATGCTCAAATCAAGAAGGCTTACCGCAAATTGGCCATCATCCATCATCCTGACAAGAACCCTGGTGACGACGCCGCTGCTGAACGCTTCAAGGATATTGGTGAAGCCTATGAAACCTTGAGCGACTCTCAGTAAGTTATTTTCCCCACTGATGATGGGCAGTCACTGATTTTCGTACAGGAAACGAGCTCGTTATGACAGTGGCGAAGACTTGATTGATCCCTCTGACATGTTTGGTGGTGGCGGTGGTATGGGTGGCGGCATGGGCGGCGGCATGGGTGGTATTGATCCCGAGATTCTGTTCAGCATGATGAACGGAGGCGGTGGGTTCGGCGGCGCAGAGGGCTTCGGAGGTGCCCGGTTCCCCGGTGGCGGCGGTGGCCGTCGCTCGCAAGGCTTCCCTGCGGGCTTCCAATTTGGCTGACAATCCCAGTCATATGAAGAAGATGAGTACGTCACCGAGAGTGATGGTAGTCAGCAGGAGGCATTCCGGGGAGTTAGATATCAAGGGGGAACGAATGCTGAAGCGCAGAACCTCTCCCGCGATGCTGAATCCAATCAGAGACTTGCTCAACTGCGTCGGCTGGGTTTGGTGGTGGTGACGATGATTGTGCTCCTGCCTCGCCAGCTAGTGGCAACACTGCTGGTGATTATCGGAGCCTTGCATATCTCTGTCGCTTTTCTGAGGTCTCAGAGGTTTGGACGCGGCATCATGTAAGACGATGAATGGACGCTGGGATAGACGACGATCCATCGACGCAACATACACACACACACACACATTACAGGCGTTACTGGAGACATACCTTCATGACATGGTCTGCTGTAGAGACTGGGCGACCACATACAAGCATCTACCGAATGCGCTTTACAACGCCTCAATGGATGGATAGACTACGTGCAAACAAGATTTCTATTTCGGACTTTGACAGATAGTTTGTCCGTGAACTGATCTATGAATGTGGACTTAGTTACCTGGCAATGTGACCAATCGCCATGTTCAAAGTACAGAAGCCTTGTTATGACTTGGAATAAGACCTCTCACGTCTTCAGTATCAGAGCAAAGACGCCTTGACTTGGCCTGCCACATCTGCGTGGACGTGCAAGAATATCAGTGTGGTCGATTCAGGGTATACTCGACGCGGCTCCCATTACCACACAAACTTGCCTATATTAGCAATTGCACAGTGAGTGATCTGTATTGTGTCCCTTACAGCATACAACTTGGTACATGGGTTTGTTATGAACCCTTTTGAGGATGTTTTCTGTCCACAATAGGGCAGTTTGCCTGTATTGAGAAATCTCCCAACTCGCTTCGCACATTTATCAAATAACTGTACCAGGAGGCATTCCCCGCCTTCTACATATGAATTCATAACAAGGAAGAGACTAGTTGATGAAAAGTATACGAATAAAACGACCAGCTTCTTGAAAGGCCAAAAGGGTAAGCAGCACGAGGCATACATTCTAGTATTCAAATAATACCATGACTCTAAGCAGGTCTAGATATCTTTGTTTTCGCACTATGTTATTTTCAGGGCTGGTCCCATCTGGGGAGATGGCGCTACTAGCCCTAAATATCCTTAACCAGAGCACAGCTGTCCATACAACCAAACCCGGCTGCCACACCACCCTCCTCACTCTTGTCCCCCTTGGTCCTCAGCAGATATCCTTCCGACTCATTCCATAGAATGGCGTTTGCACCCCCGGCTGTTGCTTTGTTCTGGTCCCAGATACAGGTTCCGTAGACTCCCAGCTCGCAGATAACATTACCTTTCTCCAACTTGCCATTGCGCAGGATCATGTTATACACGGGCGGGGGCGTAATGATCTCCATGAGGATATAAGCGTCCCAGTTCTTCTCGGGTATCTTTTTGAGGTGCTCGGGAATAGTCGACCGGTAGATATTGTTGCCGCCACCTTCACGTTGCGGCTTCAGCACGTACGACTGGCACTGCTGCGGGTCGAGGGCGATCTTGCGGGCGACCTGGCCGGCGGCGGAGGTGTCCATGGGGTAGATGTTGGTGAAGGTGCGTTCGATGTCCGCCACGGCCTTGGTGTTGGAAGCTGCGTCGGGCTTGAGGAAGCGGTGCAATGTGGGTGGCTCGGAGTCGGCTGAGGCTGGTGTGGCGAGGACTTGTTGCACCTTCTTGGTCCCGGCTATTTGGGTCAGTACTGAAGGGCACTTGATGGCTGCTGAGCGCTCGATCTGGTATCGGTCGTTCCAGGCGGAATCTCCGCTGTAGTCATCGGGTCCGTATCCGGAGCGCATGTACACCACAGCGACTTCATAAGTGTCTGATTCCCGGTGCGGTGGGCGGTATTGAAGTACACGCTTGTCACCCTCGGTCAGAGAGGTTCGGTCACCTATTTCGGAAAAGGGAAGGCGGAAGATTGGCATGCGGTCGTCGGAAGCCTGGGCTTGCAGCTCGTACTCCAGGTGCCGTTGGTCAAAGATATTCCTTTCGCCTCCTTGCGTAAGGAATATCACACATTTGGGAATGGCGTTGCTAGATTTGGACGGGCCGTAGACCTTGAAGGCTTCACGGATACCGGCCGCAAGGCCTCTGGTGCATGTGTTCTCTGGGAGATTGAGACTAGAGCTTGTGCTTGACCGGCCCAGATAGCCGTATTCCTGTTTGTTTAGAAACCTAATCAAAGTCAGTCAGCTTGCTTCCGTCAGATTTAGGGGGGTATATTCACTTGTGTAAAGCAGTAGTCTGGGAGGAGAGGCCCCCGAACGAAGAAGCAATCGTGTTGAACTCGACTTGCTTGATCCCCGGACTCGATGCAGCGCTTCCTTGGTGAACCATATAATCAGATCTGAAGAGGCCAAGTGATATGCTCTGGGGATGGTCATCAGTTATGGTTCAATGATGAGCATGGTTACGCCAACTCACTTGAACATATCCTTCCGCCTTTACCCGGAGATGGACATCCCACAGCTTTTGTATAAAGTCATCGCTATTCCCAATTCTGCGGTTGTCAGATGCTGTCATCTAGATGGAGAGCGCTTCAGAACATACTGTTTTACCATCTCAGTCAAGAACTCCTCATCCTGACTGATCGAGGCGTACAGCTCGTTGTATGCCCTCTGTACCGCCAGGCCCTGCTTGAAACATGATTCGGGGAACGGACTTGGGAATAGAGTGACCGGTACAGGCGTCGCAAGTATATTTCCTGGGTGTGCTTGGGCAGGGATAACCGTTGGCGGTGGTCTGACACAAAGACCATGGGCAAGGGACCAGTCCTTGGCCACTTCGACCAATCTGTCGGTTATAGCGGACTCCACCTGCTGCGGAGGATAGTCAAGATCTGAAGCCATCTGCGAAAAGACTTTGGTTTCAGTGGATATTGTTTGTCAGATGGATATGCCCTGAGAAAGCTGGAAAGCTGGAAGTGCCCAAGATGGAGCCAAAACAAAGCTAGAGCAGAGACTTTGGTTAGATGATGGTTCGAACGGAATATTTGCTGTATTTTGGCGATTCACGATGTCTCATAATACGCACATCTACGCATATATCCTCCTTGATGGTGAGACAGGAGTAATCTGAAAGCCCTTGTGACAGAAGGATATGCTCATTACTAATGCAATGTCGACATCTTAACCTAGAAGTCACGACCCCACACAGAATGGAGTAAACACCCTGAGGCGATCGCGGAGCTGCCGTGCCATCCTATATTGTACGAGGACATTCTTCCATTCACTTAAGGAGGAAAATCTTCAAACTTTCTAGTGTAATTCCCTGTAAGCAGCTTTAACTGTTCAAGGCGAGACAAGTTCTAGACCAACCCAGAGAAATATTTCAGTCGTTGCAGCATACATGCACCACGAGAAAGATGTTCTGCGAACCCAGAAAGTCGCGCCAATCTAGAATTACCCCGCCCCCACCAAAGAGATAATGTCAAATTCCTGTTAAGTCACGTGGTCTCATGTACTAGCGCCAATGGCAACTACTTACCTCAAAAGCTCCAGCTGGCGGTTCACTCCGCGATTTGAATTGACGATCAACAACTACATCCTGATGCCGGACAAGTCATAACTGGAAAGGCAGGATTATAGGAATTTTAAAGCTTACTTTTCTAATGCTGACAAGCCTTGTTCCTCGTTAATCGACCACCTTCGTTCAAGTCCCGTCGTACCTTCCACAACAGAGCACAAACTTCCGGTCCCTTGTACCCTCTCTATTGATACCCCCCTACTTTCAACTTGAAGCTCCTGCACGGATTTTACGATCTCAATTTCAATAGCCTGCAGCATTAAGAAGGTGAAAAGCAACGTGCTCAGCCTCATGCCTCGCTTGCGTAAGTTGGCCCGAGGATCCTAGTTTTTCAATTTAGTGAAGATTAGGTCAGTTTGATATCCCCATCTTATGATTTATCCCACTTGCTTGACCCGAATACTTCGCCTTAGCTTTACCACAAATGCTAGCCACATAACTTGATTTGCAACGCCCTATCCTGCGTACTGATATTGCTATTCCTACAGCTCTCCACCAATAATTCCTCAATGCGATGAAAATGGCAGAAACCAGTACGACTGATCCCTTAGATTGGGACGTCGACCGCGTGGTTCAAGAACTATGCACCAACAGCCGATCTTGGAATCCGCGCTCCGGCCGGCCGGTCCTTCCTGACCCCGGCAAGCTCGAGGCCAGTCTGCGCGAGAACCTAATAGATGGTGACGCTCTTCTCTTCGGCTCCAAGGAAAGCGACTTCTTCAATGATATTGGGGTCAAAATCGTGAAACACAAGCAGACCCTGCGGGATGCCATAGAGCAGTTGCGCGCTCGAAGTCGGAAGTACAGGCTGCACACGCTTCGAATATCTTCTGATGACCCCGAAGAAGATCTCAACCACAATGTCAGGAAGAGAAAGCTGGTAATGGAGCGTAATGATCCAGTCACGAAAACGACGACGGATGCATCACCAAATATAAAGTCCCCGAAGAACCCGACTCTGTCTGCTCCGGATGAGGCGCAAGTAAATCTCACCGACCAACCAGATCGAGCTGCTTCTAACGGGGTTGTGGCCCGAGAGGCTGGCGAGCCTAGCCGCAAGAAACGAAGAATTGTTCCCCAGGCCATCTCGTCCGAAGTGGATCGCAATGTGGTGCGAAACATCCCAACTGAAGCTGATGGTATTGCCGAACGATACGAAAACAATGTTCACATTGATTCTTCGGAGACTTACCTTGGAGAGGGCGCTATGTTCAGACAGGACATCTTGACTGTCGATGAGAATGATGCTGACGCAGAAGTCGTTGATTTCTACTTTCATAAACGTCACATTGCGGTGGGATGCCGCCTCCAAGTTAACCGCATTCTCAAGCGTAAACTTGGCGGACAAGAACCTGTGCTCAGGCCTTCCAAAGCTGACACAGTCGTTGGGGCCAACGACCCAACTCATAATGATATAGTCCCGATTGGCTTTGGGGATTCCGACGAAGAGTATGACTCGGAGACCTGGGAAGAAATCGAAGAGGAACAAAAGGAACGAGCCGCCCGCATCGCGGCAGCGCCTTGTAAAATGACCCCTGAGGAAGTCGGTGCAGCAATTGAGAAAGCCACTACAGAAATTGTGACCAAATGGCGAGAATCTAAATTACCCAAATTGGAGCACAAGGCCAATCGGATTTGGAACGAAAAACGAAGGTATGGTCTGCTGAAGCAAGCCATCGACAAAGAGCGGAGAGATTACGAGGCCTTCAAGGTTCGTCTCAAGATTTATCGAGAGGATATAGTCCGCGGAGAGTGGCACCAGGAAGCCGAGATCAAGAAGGCCGCTCGCAGTCTGGAAGCAACCATCGAAGATATCCAGAAATCTATATGGATGCTGAAGCTGCTACCGTCTCCAACCGAGCCCCAGAAGCTCCCAGGTCGTCCCAGGGTTGCTGTCAGCAAACGCCAAAACAATCCCATAGACCATGATGACGACGAAGATGTCATTACAAGCGACTCAGAGGATGATTTGGACAACTTCGTCGTTGATGACGCGGCTGATTTGCAAGTACTTGACAATGAGCCAATGGACGTCGACATGGAGAACGGCAGGCCGAACCACGCTGATATAACTGCACGCGAGACATCTACACCCGTCAAGGGCATCAATTCTGCTTCTGCTAAGAAGAACGCTCCGGTGAATGGAAAGACCGAACAGGCTTCTGAGCTCTCAGTAGATGCAACCAGCACCAGCGAAGATGATGTCATCATGAGCAACCACTTGAACGACGATGAGTTGGAAGAAATGGATTTAACCCAGCTGCCCGATTCGCCCTCAAAAACTGCTCGTCCATGCACACCTTGCCGTTCAAGGAATGTGATCGATCTTACCACTCCTGAAAAGGAAGCATCGGACCCCAATGCGAAGTGCACACGGCATTCCTCGCATACTTCGGGATCCCATCGTGCTTCTCAGAGCATTCCTACAATTCCCTGGAATAATTTCTTCAAGAGTCTTAATGCAAAGCAACGACTGACCTTTGACGAGCTCAACAAGCTCCGCACGAAGTACCGCAACATTGCGTATCGAGACCAAATCTGCAAACTGGCCGTCAAAGAGACAGTAGATACCCTGTGGAGCGGTGTGCTAGGTGGACTGAAGTTCAAACCAATGTCCAAGGGCCCCATGCCGGTGGATGGAGAAAGTTATGAGATCTTGGTGCGCTTGGTCACTCGTCTCTTCGATATTTTCACTGATGGGAAACCTCTCGACTTTTCTGCATACGACACCTTCACGAAAGATCACAAGCGGTCTATCAAACAAAAGAAAGCTCAGTTCCCGGCTTTTGTCGAATTCATTCGTCAAGTGGCGGCATATCGGGGACAGAAGCGAGCAACGAGCTCCTCTACCATGTCTTCTGTCTTCGAAAGTGGGAAAGCTCCTAGTTCAGGGCGACCTTCTGGAAAGCTGTCAGATCAACTGCATGACAAGTGCCTCGAACAATCCCACAATGAGTTTCATGTCAAGCCCCATGACAGTCCCCCCAATAAGTCTCACGACGAGTCGCACGACAAGTCCTGCGTCGAGGAGAGCGATGATGAGGGCATTCTGGAAACGCCTTCGAAGAAACGTGGCAAAGGCATCGTTCGCGATCGAGCAGCCCAGGATCTGAGAGAGAGGGATCGACGACGTGTCGAAGAACAAGAGCAACGACGAAAAGTTTTGCGTGCGAAGCTTGCTGCTTCAGGGCCTACCAGTGAAAGCCAAAAGCAGACATTCCTGATCAACGAGAGCAAAGAAGATGATCAAGGCTTCATCTACGTTCACGATAATATCGCCCAGCGTATAAAGCAACACCAGATTTCAGGGGTTCGATTCATGTGGAATCAAATCGTTATGAAATCGCAAGTCAGACAAGGCTGTCTGTTGGCACATACAATGGGCCTGGGGAAAACTATGCAGATTATTACATTATTGGTTACAATCGCAGATGCCGCTGCTTCTGATGATGCTTCCATCTCATGTCAGATTCCCGACGATTTGAAGGAATCTAGAACTCTGATTCTTGCCCCGCCCGCACTCATCAACAATTGGTTGGACGAATTTCTGCTCTGGGCCCCCGAATCCCATAATCTTGGTGACTTTTTCAAGCTTGATGCGGAAATCTCGCATGTTGAGAGAATCGAGACCATTAATAAATGGGCCGACGACGGAGGAATTCTGATAAGCGGGTACAACATCTTTCAGGGACTCATGAAGGCCTATGAGGATGTGGCAAACATATTCAGAGACAAGCCTAACATCGTTGTTGCAGACGAGGCTCACATGATGAAAAATCCATCAACCAATATTAATTCACTCACAAGAGACTTCAGGACGCATAGTCGGATTGGCCTGACTGGTTCTCCACTGGCTAATAATGTCGTCGAGTACCATGCCCTGATCAATTGGGTTGCTCCAAACTATCTCTCTGATTTGAGGGAGTTCCGTCAGGACTATGCCAAACCCATTGAAGAAGGACTGTCCATGGACAGCACCCCGTACCAGCGTCGCAAGGCCCTGACGAAGCTCAAGGTTCTCAAGGACACAGTTGCGCCCAAAGTCCACAGGAAAACAATCGCAGTACTGAAGGATGATCTTCCACCCAAAGTGGAGTTCGTCCTAGGAGTTCCGTTGACCGAAATGCAGACCAACGCATATAGAGTATATATGAGCTCTCAAGATGGAGAGGTTGGTTCGACCAGAATCTTTGCTTCCTTGAATATTCTGGCGTTGCTCTGTGCGCATCCTTCCATCTTTCGTTCTCGATTGGAAGAAGAGAAGATTGGCGGCCAAGCAAAAGCCACAGGCAATGTTGCCAAGCAAAATGATTCCACGCCCGCGGACGGTGAAAACGGGATGGCGACGAAGTCTAACATTGTTTCTTTGCCGCCTTCGCTTATCAGCAAGGAACTCGCATTACTGCCCAAGTCTGGAATCGACAACTTGACCAAATCGTGGAAAATGGTGATGTTGTGCAAAATTCTTGACGAAAGCAAACGAGTGGGAGACAAAGTCTTGGTTTTCTCGCAATCGCTTCCAACACTCGACTTCATTGAGAGATTATGTCATCTACAAAAGCGACCCTGCTCGCGGCTTGATGGTAAAACCAACACAAACAAACGCCAAAACATGGTGAAAGTTTTCAACCAGGACGACTGTGAGGTGTTCCTTATCTCAACTACAGCTGGGGGCCTGGGCCTCAACATTACGGGAGCCAATCGCGTCGTCATATTTGACATCAAGTTCAATCCCCAAAACGAGCAGCAGGCCATCGGCCGAGCCTACCGCATAGGCCAGAAGAAGCCTGTCTTTGTTTATCGGTTTGTATGTGCTGCGACGTTTGAAGACAAACTTCTTACGAGAACGATCTTCAAGATGCAATTGGCTTCTCGAGTCGTCGACAAGAAGAATCCCATACCAAAAGCGCAGCCCCTAGAGCAACTGCTGGAAATGCCTGGTGATCCAGTGTATCAGGATTTAGATTCATACAAAGGGAAAGATAATGTGCTTGACAGCATCCTCAACTCCGAAACGCACAGGCCAGGCCTATGTTCCATTGTAATGACGGACACGTTCGAGGAGGAGGCGGCTGAAGATGCAATCTTGACGCAGGAGGATCACCTGGAGTATCTGCGGTTGATGGAAGCACAAGTGGCTCGAATGGGAGGGCAACCAGTTCCAGCTCCAGCTCTTCACGCTGGAAGACCTCTTGTTCCACTTAACGCAGGCCCACCAGCCTATAATGCTGGACAAGTATTTGCCCCAGGCCCAACGGCCTACGGACAGGATTCTGGGGTAGGACCGTCAGCCTTCGATGGTGGCCCAGCAACTGGTGCAGCGCCCAATAGCCATAGGGTCAACCCAGGGCAGGGGGACACGGCTACCTCGAACCAGGCTAATCGGCGCCTGATGATGCCCGTGGGGGGTGATGGTACTCCCGTTGAAAACGGTCCGGTCGAGCCTATCAGAGGCGGATCGACTCAACTCCGTCATACCTCCACTCATCGAGTCGGCTCCCCTCCTCGCAATATAGTATCGAATGCGCAGGCCGTAAAGGGAGAGCTTGCTAGAATATTTGCTACTGCAGAAGCTGTTTCTATGGCTAAGAACGAGAGACGGCGGATTGCTCAAGAGATTTGCGATGCTCTGCCAGAGCAGCAGAATTGCGACCTACCTGAGACAGACGCTCCAATTTGGGCCATCCTGAACTCGGCGGAAGCGTCCCAGAGATTCGTCCAAGCTATTCTCAGTGGTGTTCTTTCTCCGAGGGACCTTGCCGCAATGGATTCAGATAGTATCAAGTCCCAAAAACGACACTGGGATGAGATGAACAAGCAGCAGTGGGACCAGATGATGCAGAGGGGCAGCATTGCAAATAAACCTGGAGTATGACCTCCTTGTCGACGCCCCAGCACCTTCTCTTCCTTCATTCCCTTCATCGATCGAAAAACCCCTCTTAGTACACAAATGACTGACGCTTTGCATTGCAAAATAGACGCTGACTCGGGACATTCACAAACCTCTTCAACCCAAATCTCACCGGCTTGACGACCAAGCCGCGCTCCAGGAACTCTGGCAAAGCGGACGCAATGTTAACATCAGGGAACCTCGGCTGCCCAATTGGGCTAGAGAAGCGGTTGCATGTGAAGGCAGGATGGCTTCTTCGTCTTCTGCATCACCTGCCCCCACGTCTTCCACACCAAGACATTCGGCCCGCAACCCCTTCCGCTAGTCTTCATTTCGTCTGATCCCGGCCTCCTCCCGTCAGATTGCTGGGACTTCGGTACCTGCATCCTTGGACATACTGTCACATAATCGTTGAGTTCAGCATGCTCTCAGGGTTTTGTATTGGCTCTGCGTTTCTTTCTTTTGATCTTGCGCGTTTGGGGACTTTGTAAGGTGTCCAACTGAGAAATCGTGCGTATGGCGTTTATCATGATACCCGAAAAAGCGTTTTACTTACATCAGATGGTCTTGATCTTGCTTTAGATCGCTAGCTTTTAGTACGAAGTGGGAAAGACATCGAGAAAGGAAATCACCATGATGTTTGGAGGCGGTGATGGATCATGACCTTTAATGAGTAACGGTGTTGGGGGGAGAGACGTGATCGTGTTATTCAAGTCCACCTCATAAATGTATGTTTGGCCTTCGATAGATGGCATCTACAGATAGACAGTTCTGGATGCTGCAGATGGATGAATAGATGATTTTAGTGCACAAAGAATGCACACAGATGAACACAGTATATTGAAATCTTTGGAAATGTGAAATGTGGCAACTTATCCATTCGCCTCGGTAAAATGCTCTGTCTTGATGTCCATATGGAGGTCAATATTATAGTTACGGCAGAGATCTCTGGCATGACCTTCTTGTCGTAGTTTAGTTGAGTAGGCAGCAACTCTAATGCCATTTCGGACCCTGATGTATCTCATAATCAATAGGATATAGAGTAATTATTATACCGTATATGTGTAACATTTCCCATCCGTCAGTCTTGATTGATGGATTTATCCCCAACACCATACGACCAATCAACCAGACGAAGCGCCTATCATCAAGCCTTCTCATCAAGATAACTTCTTCCAATGACATCTGCATAGCCCTGAACTCTACACAGCGAAGGCCCCGTAGCCAAATACACTTAGCTGACTACATTACCAAGCCCACAGCACTTTATGATGCAACACTCTAGCGCCCAGTCTTTCAAATTCCGGCGGGGTGATCCAGCTATCATTGGCAGGCAGTTTCGCAAAAACACTGGCGCCCTTCCAAACCACGACCTGCTCATCCATGTCCCTGGCACTCCGTGAGACCAGAATACGATCAAAGAGGTCGGGCCTTCGGGCCTTGAGCTTATCCTCAAGCGTCTGGGTGAAGAAGGGGGTTTTGGAGCCGCCGCCGATGACCATGATGGAGCCAAGGTAATCGCGGAGCTTCTTGTCCTCGGCTTTGGCGGCGTTCTGGATAGCCGTCAGGATGGCAATGTCCAGGGGGGCGACGGGGAGGACGGCGTCGCGTTCCTCGGCGAGGATCTTGGCGGTGCGGGACGAGGAGTCGACGAACATGCCCGGTGGAGGAGGCGCGGGCGAGGTACCGTTGCGGGCGCCGGGGCCGGGGGAACCGTTGGTGGTGGTGCTGTTGGCGCCAAAGAGGTAAGGGGCCGCTGGAGTCGAGAGCCCTTCGGGTGCGGGAGAGGCTGCGTTGGAGCCCATGGGTGTGCCGTTCTCGCCGGCGCGCCCGAGAAAGTTGAAGGGTTGTGGTTTCTCCTTGCTTGGGGTGGCTAGGGGGTCCGCAACCGAGGCTTGTGAGAGACTGAAGCCATTCGCATTGGAGGCTACCAAGGGCTGGAGCAGGTCTAGGATGGCAAGCTGTGCGGCAGATGCCGGGTCATCCGGCACGTCGACCTCGTATGCGTTGTATGAGCGGTCCATCAGCTTGCGACGGCGACGCAGCTTTGCGCTGTGGTCGAAGATGGCTGGTTCGTAAAACCCCATAGGGGCCAGGATGACCTCGTCGTAGGTCTTGAACTGGTACTTGTGTGTGGGTTGATTCGGGACGCGGAGGTGGAACTGGTAGAGTTGCACTGATATGTCGGCCTGTGACATGGTACAGTGCTTGATCTTTAGCTCTTCGGCTAGCAGGAAGTCGTACCTCCGCCGCAGGTTCATTTCTTGGTATGGGAAGTTGTCGTAAAGCATCATCTTCATGAAGGTCTCTGTCACGTCGTATCCACCGTACTTGAGGTTGATGCGCGAGTCTTCGATGACTAGACCATCCTCTACGCAGGCTATGGATGTCTTCTGCGCACCTACATCGACCACACATGCCTGAGTGTAGCCCGCACCGAACGTGGCCGCCATGCTCTCCTGAATGAAGCATATCCTGCTGAACTCGAACCATGTCATGCAAGACTTCAACACCTGCTCGACGTAACGTTTATCATAGAGGTCCGGTATGACGAAGACGCAGCTGTAGTTCTTCCAGGCACTGTTCTTAGTCAGGCCCAGCTCTTGCCGGATGGCTTTGTCCAGTAATGTCTCCAAGTCATCGTGCAGATGTTCGGCTGTCGAGTACTCGTCTTCGTTGAGCCACCCATGGCGTATGGGCCACCATAGCTTGAACTTGGGATTCGAGTCGTCAGGAACCCGCAATGCGCCATGGCCGACAAAGCACGATGCTAAGGAATCTGGGTCTTCGAGGCTCTTGACGTCGGTCCATTCGATCTGCAGTGGGTCATTATGCAATGCTATCTCCTCCGACTCAGTCCTCCGGTTGAAGTTGACGACCAACTCCTTGGAGTTGGGTAGGACCTTGCGCTTGTTGGCGCGCATGTCTACCTTCAGGTCGTTACACATCTTCTGGTACTTCTTGGACCATTCCTCGCCGTACTGCTGGTCTTGTGTCTTTGCCTCGAACTGGCGCCGCGGTAGCGCTTCGTACATCTCCGACTCGGTCTGGGGGAACTTGGTGGCAAGCGCCATGGGGATGGTTTTGGGCAACGCATCGCTGGCAAAGCCTATCCTCAGATTCTGGCTGCCGGGGTGGATGACGATGACCTTGGACGGGTCCATCAGGCCATCGGCGGCTGTGGGACCTCCATCTTCCTGCTGGATATCCGGTATGGGCAGTGGGACATCGGCATTTCCGTTGCGCGCAAGTGCGCGGTCGCGGTCTTTGGCATTCTGGACAAGTCGGTCTCGAGCGGCCTCGGCCTGCAATCGTAGGGCGAGCACCTGGTCATCTCGCTTCATATATTCGGTGTAGTAGTTCTTTTGGTTTATAGCAGCGACATCGGGCCAGCTAGTTTGCTTCATGCCATTGTCGGTTCGTTCTAGTCCTTTCCAGTTGTGAGCGATCATGGCAAACACCAAGAGGGCTCAGCTTGTGATGGCTGATGGACAACAGACTTACCTTCCCGAAGGAGGACGCGCTCGCTTACTTTGCCGACCATGGTTGTCCCCTTAGTTTGGCGATGTGCTATGCAAGAATGGCGCTATAACATTGGTTGTGTTGGTTGAAGCAGAGCATCCCAAGCGTCATCAAAATTGCCAACTCCCAAAAACCCTCCGCAAATAACTTTGGCTTCATGCTTCAGAATCCCCAGGCCTGCGCAAGTGGATCAAGTGGATCAAGTGGATCAAGCAGCCGCGCCGGACAAGAGCCTCTCCACACTTATAGCCAAGCTAGTGCCGGATTCGTTTAGTGTAGAAGTCGGCCTTGGCAGGGACAATTCATACGGTCCTTCCTCTATTTGGCCAGCTGGAGAGCTCTCAAAACATGACTGAACAGTTGCATGTGGATTGAATCACGTGGATACATATATTATTTTTAAGGATAGCAATGGGAAAGAAATAAACATGGTGAAGGGGAGCAATGAAACACATTCTTGGTGAAGGCCATCGGTCCGCAACCAGCTGGGCACGCGTCAAACGATTCCCAGACCCTGTACTTTGGACATATGGCAACAGCTTCAAGCGGGATGGAGCATAAGTCTTTACGCGTCAACTCCCAAATCAAGCCAATTCAAACTGTGGCCCGGAGCTTCTGGTAATACTCGATGAGCACTATTTCTCAAAATATCAATTCACTTCCGCGGTTGTCATTCCGCAGCACGGAACCAAGTAGGCGGGTTCAAAGTCACCTGACAACCGATGACGTACTGTCACGGACTGTGACTGCCTTGTTAAGAACGTTCGAATGAGGCCACGGCATTTGATTGACCAACCACCTGCTTTGGAACTTGTCGAAGATTGATCATTGCCTTTGCGACCTCACATACCTCGAGGCACCATAACTCGCACTTACTAGAGTCAATCAAGCACTCAACCACAAGCTACTTGGCAAGACTTTCGACAAGGTACGATTCTGTTGCCGCATTCAGCTCACATAGACCACCCAGTTTACGTGGACATCAAGACTCGGCCCAGCATGGCACCAATTCCAGTGTATACGGACAGCCCTGTCGCTGCAAAGCCATCGAATGTAACTCCACAAACCGCAGCGCCCGAGGAATCTCAAAGTGCTGCACCGGCTACCACAACGGCAACAGCAACAGTATCAGCAACACCTACCACGCCATATTATCCCCAGGCCCAGCCTGGTGCAACACCCACCCTTCCGGTACCCTCGGCTGCTGCTCAAGCATATGCTTCGCCTACACAGCCAACCCTTACTCAGCAATTGCCTAGCGGTGGTCCCCCGCCACCACAAGCCGGAGCAACACCGATGTCTTCAACTACTAAGCCGCATCTTCCACCTCCTCCCAAGGCGGGAGAGAAGTTTGTGCCGCCCCCACAAGCTCCGACGCCGATAATGCCGTATCCTGCGCAGATGTCAATTCCCCCCCCGACCATGGCTTACCCGGCACAACAACAAGGCACCGCCACGGCGGCAGCTTCCTCACTGGCGTACGGCCAGGGACCTGGCAATTTCATTGGTCAAGGAGGCCAGAACTTAGAGCATCCTCTGGGCTATCACCAAAACGTGAATGCATCTGGGCTTGACAAGTACCAAACATCTCCCGCGCAGCGAAATGTAATGGGGGATGGACATGATCACGCCGAGGAGGGCATGTGGGACACGGCCAAGAAGTGGGTCTCCGCCACAGGAGAGAAGCTCGCGGCAGCTGAGAATGAGGTCTGGAAGAGAATCAACAAGGAATAGGGTCGTAGACAGTTTGGCGTGCTCGGGACAACGTGTCTTTCAGCGATCAGACTCCGTTGTTCGCTTTTCACCATGGTCCACGCCCAACTTGGCCTAATGGTTGCTAAAAGGAGATGCGATAGGGCAGCCATGAGATGAACCTTGATACGTTCGCAACTATGGCAGACAACTGCCATAAAGTCTACGGAGTCTCTGAACCTCAACTAGACTGGCTGACCACTATGTTTTGTCCCGAGGGGCAGCCTATTACAGATGCAACTCCCCTGGGGCTATGTTCAATATCAGACAGGCCAATAAGATAGAAAACAGTAGTTATGTTCAATATCAAACAGGCCAATAAGATAGAAAACGGTAGTCATGTCCTCATCTAAGGAGTCCGTAGTTGCACTTCCGACTTTCCCGAGCAATGGCGGAAACCAAATTTCCCCCTTGGATCTTGGTGGGACTCGCAAGCCTAGTACGGCGGTGTTTCTGGCAAACAAACTTGCGTAGAGGCGTGGTCACAAGGCAGGATCTTCCGATGGATTCTACATCTCGGAAGGGCGGGGAGGAGGGGGCACGGCATCGCGTCATCCACCAACCGCTCCTCCAGATCTCCATAAGAGCCGGGTTAAGAACATCAGACTATGGCTAAAAATCGAGCATGAAATGATTTCCATAAATGGTCTGCGTTGTCATGCGACCTGCCGGGCTTACCCTGGCATTCAGAGCCGGAGCGGGGAGGCCGGGGCTGTAGAACAACCATCGAACGTTCGGAATCTGACCAAGAAAGCCAGACAGCCAGCCCCCGTGCTTTATGTTGAAGCCGATGAGTTCCATTCCGATCTGACAAGGCCATGTATATAGGCAAGCGGGGACTTGAGGAGGTTGATTCACTTCTTGATTCAGTACTTCGCGTGAAGCTCCAACCATTGAAGAGTAGACCAAGAGGACACTGTCGCCAACTTTGGAAACAAAGAGGAAGGGGGTGCGTAATTTCTGCACACGTGCCCCCTGATGCCTGGGATGAATCTTGCGGGCGAGTGAAACTCAATACTTGTAGCCGTCTCGATTGGTGTGAGCGGTTAGACCTGCAGGCACTTGCTGCCAATATCCAAGGCATCACGGAGCTGTTGTATTGGACGGCTCACAATGACTGGATGACAGAGGTTGAAGGAACATGTGCACGCTATACCGGAACTTTATATAGTACAGGATCTGTGATATGACCAGATCATCGGCCAAAGAAACCCATGCAGACACGGCAGCCAGGGAGTGTCCTGTATGTTAGCCCATTTAGGCCTCGATACGTGGGCGCCTCTGTCTCTATCCATACGGCCTAGGTGACCAAAGCCATCGAATGGACAACACAACGATCCCGGGTCGATAATATGACGAACACTATTTGCGGCCCAGCGGACGAGCAGCCTTACCAGGACATCCCAAGGGGAGGTGGCAAAAAAATGCCAGTTGGCAGTTGGCAATCCTCACTTCCTTGTTGGGATGATGGACGTGGACGTCACGAACACGACTGTGAACTGCGACAATGCCGCGACTCATTATTGTGGGTGCCTGTGGATTTGTGTGGTCCGAAATCCATATGGCCCTGATGGGGTGGGCAACCAGAAGAAAATAAAGAAGAATAAACACAAATACTCAAGCACGTATTTGACGCTGCGCTGGAGCGGCCAAGCTAGCATTCTCCAAGTGATGCTGATGGCAGGGTAACATCGCAGAAGAAGCTTAAAACCGAGGCTTATCATCAAGAGATCAAATTGGTCTTCTCCAACGGCTGTCCTGACCATCAGTAGACTGGATCATGTCACATCATGTTACGATGCTGACAGGGCACTACAAACCAAAACACGGAGTAGAGCACACTACAAGGAACAACAGCTTGTCATGGTGCCCATCATGACAAAAACCAGTCCATGCCGAGAACTTGAAATGTCATTAGCTCGCGGCGTTATCAGACGTTGTCCCGTGCCTGCGTGAAAGTGGGCGGCGGCACAGCCGCGAGAGCGCCCCAAAGTCCTCGAATCGGTAAAAAGTGGTTGAAGAGATAGATGGCCGATGCAAATTGTGGTGTTGCGGGAGGAGGGGCTGAGAGGCCAAGACACTAGAGAAGCAACAGGGGTTTCTCTGACAAGATCTGACACACGGAGCCCCTGCGTCTCCATTAGCACAGAGCCAATCAGGAGGGGACGCAGCGCAACCATCTAACCTCAAACGTGTCGGCCGAACAACCACAGGACAACCTTTTCTCGTCTAGCGACTTCTAGTCATCTTGTTCCCTATACCAAACCACAGGCCATTGTCGGGCTCTCCTAGACTCCCTCCCATCGACTGCTACTGGGCACTACCATCTCTGATATACCCTCCACCGAGTTTTACATCGAATTCTACGCCCTGCTCTCGCAATCTTTTAGAGGTTGACGATGGCCCGCGCTGGAGCCGGTGGATCGTAGACCATGCTCAAATCAACCCCAGCTCCGCCCATATAGTAACCTCCCATCATTTCTATTCGTTGCCCTGACACGCCCACGCCCACTGCCACAGTCCTGATTACCCCTGAATACATTTGTCCTCGCGCATCTGCGGCAGTTGCTGCAGGTGCGCTAGATTAGGCGTCTTCGGAAGCCCAGAACGGTCTTCAATTCCGTCCACCACCACTGCCTCATCAAGCTTCTCACGATCCCCTAGTGGGGCCGGCTAAATCCGCCAACTATGTTTCTTCGTCTCCGATAGATACGAGCAAAGACGTTCGAAAACTGATGTGCAACGGCCTGGTTGGGTCACGTTCACTGCCAAAGCCTTTTCTTGTATGGCGGTCCAACCTGCGTGGGACGCAGTGGGTCGTCCAAGAGAGACTTGCAGCTGACAGACTGGAGCTCCCAGTCTCGAATGACTTGACCATGTATCGTCGTTGGCCGGATACGTCGATCTGGAGTCGAGTTTCTAAACCAACGTAACATCGTGGCATCTTGGAAACGCACCGAGCCAGGTCCAACCAAACACACTGCCAAACACACCACCTGGAACCGAGCCTCATCTTCGTTCAACCACGGAGGCTGATGATCATGGATCGCTGTGTTTGGTAACTAACGTCTAACATCACTCCATGTTACCCTATGGCTGGCGCCATGGCTGCACAAGCACTTCACCTCGGCCACTCTCAATGGGTTGGCCTGGGGTTCGGGTACTCTCATTTTACAGAACTCTCACCATGGGAACCGTCCGAGACGACTGCACCACGGCCTCATCGAGTCATCCGAATGGGAGTAACAAAATACGACTCGTCCGTTGTTCTGAGTGGCCCCCGGTTACTCCACTGGTTTGACCTGTTTCCTATTACTGTAACCGGCTGCCCCCGAGCACGAGATCTCAGTAACCCTCCGAACCCCAGATGTTCTTTGTAATTCGACAACCCGGTGGCTCATGGCCTTGTCAGGTTAGCCAGAGCCTCGTCGTATCCGTCTACCATGCTCGAGCGAGGAGTTGTAACTTGTGCGACAAAGCCACCTCCTCAGTATTTCGTCAACTCCGCTGAGCCTCGTTCAAGCTCGGCAGTTGGACGACGAAAGTCGTAGTGCGGCTTCTTTCTTCTCATATCTCTGCTGCTACAAGGAAACATGCGGTGTGTTCTACACTGACTTCCTCTTGGTTAAGTACACTTCCGTTTTGGTTTTCTTCACGAAGTTCCTTTTTCTTGTCGATGCCAAATCGGGTCCGTCCTGTTACGGGTGGGCCCCTGCACGAGGTTTCCTAAAAAGTTGGTCATCCCTGCGTGGTTGGTCTAGCTGGGGCAGTCCCTGGCTAGTATATGATTTTCTGACTGCTTCTTTTGTCAGCCGTATACTGCCCTAAAGGTACTCCGTGCCCGAAGACCCGCGTTCCCACTCAACATATCATCGAGGGCCAGATGTAACCCTCTGTGCCGACCCTGTCGAGCCTCTGGTGCAAATCCTTGCTGAACGGCTTGTCCCTGTCGCGATGCCCCCCCGTCCTATCCATCTCTTTTCAGCAAGCCAAGCAGATTCTCGCACACCACCCTCTCGTCTGAGTTCACAGACATGGCCAGGTTTGTATCAGGGAATCCGGCTTAGCTCCTACCGACGTTCCGAGCCTGACCCAGCCTGGCCGTGCTGAGAGTTGATTGAGCCTTCCATGGATGATGCCTATTCTCACGCAGTACTTCTTTTATACCTCTGGGATCCGGCACTGCCCCTCGTGTAAGTACTACTTGTTCTTGGTCCTTTTTTTCCCGCCGTGTCCACCCCTCACCCAAGCGCAACCATCACTATTCGGCTGCGAGTCACTCCTTTTTTGAACCTGCTCTCCCACAACCTTTATTATCCCCGTCTGGTCTATAACATTCTTGGGAGCCGGCTTTCTTCCACCTGGATGCGCCAATCTGTCTGTGCTTGCTAGACCTAACCTAACGAGTAGTTACCAACTCACCACGCTCCTTTCGGCACACACTCTGTCCCTCTCTCTCTCTCTCTCTCTCACTCACACACCCCCCCCCCTTTTTTTTGGCGCGCACCTGGCCACAAATAACTTAAGCCGTCAACTTACTTACACTCTTTGGCCCCGACCCACGCGAGACACTCCGTTGTCTGTAACATTGTATTGTACGAGAGAAAGAGATTCTCCATACCTTCGCGTTCCTCACAACCACATTGGACCAGACTGGATATCAATGGTTGCTTGAGCCGACCATAGCACTGGCTGTTATTGCTACTATGTAAGTTACGAGATGGTCTAGGGATAGGCATGTTCCATGACTCGCCTTAACAACATGGGCCATGTGGAACTCTGCTCCTAACAGTGATGGACCTCGCTACTGTCCCGCTTCATGCTAACACACATCTCGATTCAGATTAAGCCACATTCACTCCCTTGTAAAAAGTCCCATGGTCATGGACTCAAGTCAGGCACAACTGTACGCTTTAACTTGCCTATCATAACCTGCACAGGAGGCTCACTACTTCTAGGCGTCAGCAGATACAGACACCTGCTTTTACCTTCAACCCCAACAACAAATTCAGGAGAGACGTGCCGACGGCTCATCCGCCTCCTTTGATCACTATGAACGGGAACGAGACGCCAGGAAAGACGGAGGGCATGGGTGCGCCGGCAGGGGCATGGACAACACCGACGTCCCAAGGGATGCGACCCCGACCAGCGACTATTCATGAATGCTTCTCATACTGTGTCGGCGAGGAAATGGGAGGTTTGCCGTCGTGGGATTCCGCCGCCATGATGCAAAACACGCCCAGCGACACCATGTCCAGGCCAGTCTCGATGAACCATGACTTCTACCCGGTCACCACCATGGAAAGCCGTGAAGCGCACTGGAGCTTGTCCGGGTCGGCGCTGACGGGCGAGACACACCATCATCCCTGGGGCATGAAGCCTTGCGAAGACAACATGGATGTGAGTGGGCTCGACGGTGAGATACAAATTGGCCAGGCTTACACGACGGACGAGGCCATCCCGATTCTGGACTTGCGATACGCCCATGGCCCCATGGAGAACGAGACATTGAACTTTGAGCCAGGTCTGAACCCTCGCCGCATGTCTGGCTCATCATTCACCATGTCGACCTCGGGCGGCCTTTCTGACATGCCTTCTTACGAAGACTTCTCAGCAGCTCTCTCTGAAGCGCCATCCTTCTCCTCCGATTACCCGCCGCCGTCCAACCGCAACTCTCTCATGTCGTCAACCCAGCTGTCTCCGGTAGCCTCGCCACGAATGACACCCCAGAGCCGTTCCGAACTCGTCCGAACGCAAAGCCGTGGTCGTGGCGCGTCTCCTTCTCCTCGCCCAGGCATGCGGTCTGCTCCCTACAGCGTCGACAGCAGTGCGAGGAACAAGAGATGGTCTACGGGTTCATACGGTACAACGCCAAACCGGCGGCCCTCGCCTTTCGTATACCACCATTCTCATGAAGGTTTTGCCCCGCGCATGTCATCGAGACACTCTTCGCCTACCATGCCCAACAACCCTTTGCCTTTGAACTTCGGTAACCTCCAAGCCGCCCAACAACACCCGTTCTTGGTATCGCACCCTCCTGCATTCCGCAACAGCATGCTTTTGCCCTCCCAATTGCCATCACAGGGCTTTCACCCGGAAATGCACCATCACTTCGAGAACCCGCCGCCGTTGATGTCTCATGGACTATTCCGAATGCTACAAAGCAACGCCGATCCCCACTCGCTACACGGTCACTACACCGACCTGTCGGATCCTCCGGACTTGTATGCTTCTCTGCACGAAGAGCAGATTCCGCCACCTCCCGAGGATATGAACCCGTCGGATCCTGATCTGGTACCCCATGAGCAGGAACTGCGTTTCGAAGGCGATCTGTACACCCCGAGATGGGTTCGTGGTCATGGTAACAAGCGGGAAGGCTGGTGTGGCATCTGTAAGCCCGGTCGGTGGCTTGTCCTCAAAAACTCGGCTTTCTGGTACGACAAGAGTTTCACCCACGGTATCAGCGCTGCAACGGGTCAGCCCTTCCAGGAGCCCGGAGAAACACGACGCATGGATGGAAACCCAGATGTTTGGGAAGGCCTCTGTGGCAGTTGCAATGATTGGATCGCACTTGTGAGCAGCAAGAAGAAAGGAACGACGTGGTTCAGACACGCCTACAAGGTAAATAAACCCACCCGTTCAAGCCTGACCTCTGAAGACTACGAACTAACTCGGCTACAGTGTCACACACATCCCAAAATCAAGGATGCGCCCAAAAGACGCCGCGAAAGCAGCCACTCCCGGGCACTTGCGGCATCGCAAATGGCTAAGCCTAAAGTTGAATCCCAACAGCCGGTGACACCGCAAATGACTCCGTCGTCCATGGTGAACACTCCTACTCCAGGGTCAGCCATGCAACAACAGCAGCAAAATTATCTCCAGCGTCAACACCAGCAGCAGCCTTTGCAAACGCAGCAGCCTACACCCAGGAAAGCACTGTCTCCCCTCGATGGTCTCACCAACATGATCTGAGCACCATGGCAAACATGAACTTTTGCAAAAACAAAATTTTCTATTTCCTATGTCATGATGAACAATAGCAAAATTGGATGTGTCACGAAGCTTTTTTCTTGCTACACACGATGGATGGGATCAATGGACTATAGACTGGCACGGGGTTATTGGTTGACCTACCTATGCGTTTCGGTGGCTTTCATGTTCGCAGCAGCGCTTCTCTTCTCAACTCACCTTTCACATACACACACAGACACACACGAGAGATCACATTCTCTTCGGTAGGCGCGAAAACGGACAGGGGAAGATACCATATTGGAAGGAACCAACGGGGAAACGGTGGAAAGGGAAAGAAGCAACTGCGTTCGAGTTTGACACGGTCAGCATTGCGACAGCTTTTGTCGACAAGAGGAGGACTGGGGTAATTTGCAGAACGTCATTACCACCCCTCAACTTGAATTTGGCCTCTTTTTGTTTATGATGCTTCTTGTTTCTATTTTTTCTCAATTCTGCTGCAAATGTCAATATGCACGAGCACACAACTTTTTGGTTCCTTTTCTTTTCTTCTTTCTCTTAATCGTAGATAGTTAAAACACCTGATACCCCTTCACGGCACCGGGGTAGGAGCATAGGAGGAGAGGAAGACCACACAACACCAATGATGTGGTGAATCGCTAGGAGGAAAAAGCGCAGTAGATGGGAAAACTTATGGGAAAGAAGAGAGAAGGGAAAAACTGGGACACGATGATGGAATAGGGCATATTTTTTGATTCTGTTTTGAAGATGATATCCCTCACCTGTTCCATGGCAATAACTCGTAGCTAGATTCACGATGAATGGAATGATCTCAGTTTACAACAATGATCAGTCTGCTTATCTAAGTCGCTTCACATCATGACATCCACGAGTCTCAGAAGATCACTGCCTCATTTTTGACACGACATACATGGTCACCAGTTTCAAGGTACTGACTAACCTAGTAGGGACAACCCGAGCTAAGCAAACCTCTGGTAGATCGAAACGGCAAGGCCTCCAAAGCCAGGTCTCTGGATGGTTCTTTTACCCCCACCGAAATGGCCCAGGCAGTCGGCCGAATGCCGGACGGCATGAATGAGACCACTCAGGGGTTCAACAAAAAAAGGGAAAACACTGCTGGTAGATTAGAATCCCGTTTTTCTTCTTCTTCTACCTACCCCTTTGGATGTCTGTGGACAAGGCCTTGCGCCTCATTGGGCCCAACTGAACAACACGGCGTTTTTGACTGGATGAACATGGGTTAAAACTCGGCCCATCTCTCCTAACGGAGCTTTTGTGCATAAGTCCGCACACTACCAAGGACCCGCCCACTCGGCACCTGGGGAAAAGTGAAGAGAAGTAGAAATAAAAAACGAGCTCACAGGCTGCTGATTCGTGCGCGGGGCTTGGCTATCGCGCGGCTGTTGGGTGACGAGACATGTAGTATAGCGTTCGGATGATGGGTGGCTGTGTTGAGTGGGTGTCCGGATATACGTACGTAGGGTATAGGCTTGCCGCGTCAGCTGTTGCGTATGGAGTAGAGAGATATGTAAGTATCTGACAGGTGAGTAGCTTACTATAAGGTGAGGCGAGTGGCTCCTTTTCGGACAAGTATACAATTATAGGCTGCGCCGGGTTGTTAATTAGGGACCCTAGAACGCCGGGCCACTAGTCAGAGCAGGTCAGGGTAAGGCCTACTAAAGATAGAACATAGTTAGTTGCAAACCGTCGACCACGTCTGCTCGGACCCGTTCTTTAGAATCACAGATATTTTCCCCACTTTTGGTACTTTTTGTCCGTGTGAGGCGACACGTCGTCGTTCGCCAATTTATCTGAGGTGCTGATCAACGGAGACGAGGGAAACTTTAAATGGTATAAATATATCGCGGCAAAGGACGTTTTTGGCAAGCCATGCTGTGGTGCTCGAGTGGAGAAAGTTTGAGAAGTGAGATCATGATCGGAGTAGGGGTGTAGTATACATCGTCCGAACGAATGACTAAGGAATTGACTTCGGAATATGTCCAGGGTAGAATTTAGTGTTTTATAGTAGATGAGCTATCAACATTTCTCTGCGACGAGAGGAAGTTGGAAAATAACAAAAAAAGGGAAGCACACGGCGACACCGAGGCTGGGCGAGGTCTAATACTAAGACCGCGCTACGTTTGAACTCACAGGGTCGCATCGATATAACTGACATGGTGTATGCAGATGGGAAACGTGTCATTGCGTTCGATTTCAAAGGTTGAGGGGCAGGACGGACGGGGCTTCTGAGGGCCACTTACTCAGCCGTGCTCAGCATCCCCGAGATTTGCAAGTCTACCGTTGCATTCCGGGCTTTGCCGCTGTTCCTGCTGCTCGCTGTCAGAGGCCCTTACAGAGAGCGGAAACTCTATATATCGGATGACAGCTGGTTGACCCGGGTCTAGTACGCACGAAGCTTCTCGGATGCGAGGGAATCGGATTGATACCAAATGTGGACTACGCGCCGTAAAGGTACGGAGGCAGGGTAGCAGTTGACCGAGCAAGATTACTTAACAGTAAATTGCCTCTAGGGATTACCTCTCCGAATATCTTGGCTCCCAACACACTAATCCGTGCCTGGGTTGGTTCATCCGATCGGTACTTCAGGATGGGAGATGTCTTTTTACGATAGATCAGAGATTCGATCTTCTTCTCAGCTTACCAGGGCAGTGTTAATGTCTTGTCGTCCGCTTCTTCGGCCAGCTTTAGCTCAAGAGTGTAGCGTTCTTCATCTTGTGTTTACAGATAATCATAGTGACCAGGGCCATGTGCTGGGGCATGTGGTGAACTTTTTGCTGGCATGAATTTGTCACTCGCATGTTCTTGGCTTACAGCTACGTGAATCAACATCGGCTCATACCCAGCGGAGACTAGCACGACGGGAACCTTCTAGAGGTCAAAATTAGAAGTTTTCCACGGGCCATTTCGCGATGAGCGGGACTGGTCGGATGGTCCATGGGAAGCAGTAAATATGGGGGCTCTCAAAGACTAGAGCTATCGACTTTGGACTTGCTTCTGTCATCATAATAGTACTGGGAAGTACATGTGTCTCCAGATTTTAAACATGACCGAATGGATGCGTAGATCGTGAGTACGCACTTCGCAGGGGGTGGGAGCACCGGGGAACTTGCCACACTATCCTATTTATCTAGACACGGCCCTGGGTGTTCGACTTCAGCTATCAACATTGACACCACTTCTGCACATATTTCTATGCTCTACGATCAAATGCCCATAAACACAGGTTGTATCTATCGTGGTAGGCGAGGCGGTTTTATCTAGTATATGGCAGGGTCGACATGGACAGCTTAGCTCAGATATTACTGAGTCTAACAAGCATCCATCACTCCTCCGCAGGTGAGATTCCTGATAAGCCAACGGGCTTACAAGATACTCAATAACAACGATGAGATTAGCTTAAGTCTAAGCTAGGCCATTTATAGGAAACAATGTTGCCCAACTTGGGAAAACAAGCTCGTTTACGCCTGAAGTGAGATTGATAGGACACTGAACTTATACGTATCTTGAACCCGTCCGACGAAATTACACAAAAGCAAACACAAGATTTAAGATCATGAGGTAAGTCGTCTCAAGTCTATGTATGCAAGAGCTCGTGCATAGGACAATTACAAGTAATAATGTCGGTTAACTACAAGAAGGTGTGGTAGAGGGCCATACATGTTAAGCGACGAAAGTATGCCTGAAACCGTATACTGTAACGTTATGCTTCACTTATGCTCGAACAAAATTTCATTAAAAGGGCTACTCTAGCATAGTTTAGATATAATTTTCACATTAACAACGTCTGAAGTTCGGAGCACGTTCTGCTTGACGCTAACTACCTAGGTGCTTGGAGTGTAGAATCGATTAGTGAACATATCGAGCACATTGTTGGTATTTGATATCAAACATCCACGAAATCGGAAAATCAGGAATATCTGCGAAGGAGTAAAAGCAAGAAGAACTTAAATAGTTCTATGTGAACATTCGTAACTGGCATTTGACCTTTGCCACACCCTCGAGTGAAATGTATTACCATGTGCGAACAGACGATCTTCCAACCTAGCTTGTAGCAGCAAAATTAAGCAAGACCGCTCAGGCTTGAAGTAGTATTGCTTTGTAATTCCCTTATTCTAATATCTATTAACATTCAAATAAACAAAAATAAAATAGATCAGGCCTGTGGAATTGGTAGCCTAAGGTCACGTGAGATACGGGCAAAATACTTGGTGCCTTTGTGCGGCTTAGGACCCCCACCTGTACATGATCTTTGGTATGTTTTGGAGACCACAGGAAGGACAGACTACACAGCACAAGTATGCCTGCGTTTCTTTTTCAAGGGGGTTGCGGAGCAGTCCCACACCAGGACAAAGAAGTGAATACATACCTGGAGTTCAAATTATATAGGCACGAGAAAAATAATCCAGGAGACCACATGAACCTAGGCTAGGTTACCTGGAAAGTAACCTGACGGCCAACACAATCACCCAGAAGCTCTCTGGTCCATAACACTACTTGACCATATTATCTGGCATGATCAATTTGAAGAGTGAAGATGGCGTTGGGCCGCAATGCTTGCAGTCAGGGGGGAAGAGTATGGCTTAGGAACCGATGCTTGTTCGCAGTAGGATCAGGGGGGTAGGGGAAAGACTCGGCGAAATGTGATCACAGGCTGTCGCCGAAGCTGCAAAATAGTTGCTTATCAAATCATGAACTCGCCGAACTCGGGCGGCTGACGTTGCTGGTTGTTCGGATCTGAGGAGTCTATTAATCTGGATATTCCGGTGTTGGCAACTTGCAATCTCCCCCAATTCATGCAAGCCGCCAACATGACATGCTCAGCTGGGTTCGCTTGTCCTTTTCTGAAAGCGGCCCGACAAGAACATCGCCGCCTAACGAATACCAGCCTGGCTGCCTCCCAAAAATCGATTTTTTTTTAAAAAAATTCTTTTTAGTTGATACTCGGGTCAGTGGATGGTTGTAGGCTGTAGCTTCTACGAGGTAGATGGATGGAGGTTAGGGGCCAATGACCTGGGCATTGTCTGAAGACAACATTATTTGACCGGTATGGAGCAACCCCATAACATCAACTCCACGAGCACGAAGTTACAGCGGCGAATAATGATTTCTAAAATTACAAGACTTGAAGGCTCATGGAGGAAAGGACGATGGAAGGCATCGCGTGGAGAACCGGGAGGTTTAATAGAACCTAAACAGGCAAGTGGGCTTAAGGATAAGCGCCAATCACAGGCTTGGACAAACAAACATCTTCCCCCCCCAATTGGCGGGATCATTCAGCTCTCTTTTCTTTACCCAGATTTCCTCTTTCACTGGTTCAGTTGCATGTTCATCTTAGATGCATGGATCTCGACTCTCGTCAGCTCAACGCCAGATTATGGACATCTCTAGAAGTTTGTCTTATTCTTGTTCTGCCTCTTGTTTGAAGAACCGACCCCGGTTTCCATCGCACAGACAACAGACCAACAGCAGGAACGAAGTCCAATTTAACATTCAGGTTGAGCCAGACATGTGGCCCAACTGAGCCAATTTGTTCAACGTTGGTCTCTGTTGCAGTATCACGGAACACCCGAGATTGGTATTCTCCACGACGAATCAACGTGGCCAGCCACGACGGGAGCCGATGGATGCACGGGACGCCAGAACACGACGTGCTCTTTTCCCGCTTGGGAAATGCTCGTCATCTCTGTGCCGTATTTGGCTTTTCACCATTACCAGCCGCCATGCTCGGACCCGTTGCGTATAGTCTTCTGGAATCCTTCTGGCTCGCCGTGGCATACAGCGGCTAGACGATACCGTCTCAATGGGTTCCACATTGTTGCGGGATCTCGTCCGGGAGTTGAAGACAGCAATTATGGAACCAGACGCCATCAACTCTGACGGATCATTCACCTTTGCCCTGGCTTGTTTCGGCAGTTTTTGCCAGAACCCGTATATCAGCTTCATCGCCGCCCGGATTGATTGCAACCAGTAAATGTCTTGACATCGACTTTTCAAGCAAGCGTTGGAGATTGCCATTAGTCTCATTACTACAATGGTCGGATCTCCAAAGCTGCAGTGTAACGCCAACTTCCCCATTATTTCTCAGGGTCGTTGTATCTTGAGGAAATAACTACGGTCTATTTTCAAACACTAGAGAGTTTCAATTGTCACAATAATGCGGTGCTCATTACACCCGAAGATGCTCGCCTTATGGTTCGCGGCATTTCTCTTGTGCCTGCGCAATGCAACAATGCATCGTTTCTGACCTATTCATCATGCAGGAGTCAAATTGGTGCATGGGACGTAGTCGGAAGCCAGTCGTGGGTTTTAGACCGGCGCCTGTTGAGACAAAGCTGCGTGCGGGCACACAGGCCACTCGATTGGCGCGCACTCACGTACCAGCCTTCCCACTGCAGCCATCGAATAACGAAATCGAATAGTTCTGCCGACCAATGTCGGCAGCCAGACAGTTCAGCTCTTGCGGGATAATGATTGCCACACCAAATTGCCATGACCGGCTCGACCAGAGGCATGGTCAAAAGCAATGCAAATAAACGGGGGTTTAGGATCATCAAATCAGAAGATAATTGGGTGGCTACAGCATGCACGTACGTAACTCCAGTGAGATATTGCATTCGCCAAAGTCACAACCATCGTCGTCGGCTTTCTCAAAAATTGCATCTTTCCTCCACGGCCAACGCGACGTTTGCCGACGGTGATCAAGGTTCATCCCAACATACCGAGACGAGCCCTGTCACTTCTCTTTGGCTCCTTAGCCTGAGACTCAATGCAGGCTTTACATTGGCATGGCACAGATTTCTGGTCCAGTGGAATTCCCTGCATCTATCTCAGGCATATACTAGCATCATAGTAGCAGCTCGGCCATCTGCTGTCGACGAACAGTCTGCTCCTGCATCTGCTCAAGTGGGTTACGACTTGCTACAACTGTGATGGCCAATGACAATGACGGGTGGGACTGCAGCGAGTTCCTAAGCTTCCAGGTGTCCTAAGCCCGCAGTAAGCACAGTAGCTCGCTCGCTTGGCCATATTGCCTCTGCAAATCCATATCTGACAAGTGCTTCTGGTAATTGGGCACGGCAATAGCGCTGAATGGACCCTTGGCCGCGGTATTATCTCGTGCGCTCCTGGCTTTAAAGGGATTTCCACAAATACATCCCTTTTGCACCCGCCAATAAAATACCGGAAACACCAAAATCGTATGTTGCTTGTTAGCAGTACGCTGTACCATTCAACATTCTTTGTATGTATAATCGGGATGCTCGTTTTGGGCGATATACCCCTGGACCTGGCGGGTCATCGAGATCCTATTGCATTGCAGGGAATCTACGCGCCCATCCGGCTCGACCTCTGTCTTTCATCCCATGCTTCGCAGCCTATTGCCTGTTCACTTTTGTCAAACGAACCCTCTTTCCCCAGCTTCTGCCGCCCCTCTTAGCCTTTCGGAAGGCACTATCAAAACCAAAAGAGCCTCAAAGAAACTGAAGTGACGTCTCGAGCGTCTATGGTGCATCGTGTATTCTTTTATACGGTGGCTCCTCTCCTCATACCCCCTCCCCTCCCTTCCACCACGCGCACTGCCACCGATGGCAGATCTGTAGGCTTGAAATTCCGGCACGGACCCCTCTAAAATTTACCGACAGCCCTAGCATCTGGAGCCGTCCAACGTCCTTCCACTCTTCACCACCAGCCATTGGCTGTATAACAACGTCCCGCCACCTGTTGCAACGGCTTTTTCTTGTGTAGACTCTTTTTTTCACGACTAACCAGAGTTCACGAAACTTCCAAACTGGTGTGTTTGAACGTTTCCAGAAAGTCTAACTCGACATGAAGCAGCCGACTAACGACAAGCTTTCAATCTAGCTCTGCCTGATGAACACTGTCGCTCCTTGCTCTCTCTCTCTCCCTCTCTCTCTCCGCGATAGACGACCATAGTTATAATGTGCAATGATAACGACACTGACACCGCCGACAAAGTTTCCGCTGAGCGCTGAGACGGTTTCGACATCTATCTTCTGAAGTTTCCGACGTCCACTTCTGCCTGCTCGCTACTACTTCCTGTCCAACCGTTTGTCAACCGCATCCCCCCGCCGGCCCACTACTTTGCCTAGAGACAGGATCCACGCATAAGCGAGTGCTATGATCTGCCCAAGTTTTCCGAAATAGACAAGAAACTTTGCTATGAGTGGAGGTCAACTGATTTCCAGGCAAGAAATATCTTGGTCCCGTCATTCAGTTTGTCTCGGGCTAATAAGTGATCGGGTGTATAGCTTTGGTGATCCAAACGCTCAGCCTCCCACGCCGAACCGAACCCCCACCTCGGTGGTCTTCCCGAGTCCCGTTTTCGAAACGCCCAAGAACAATCGAGGGCCGTTTGAAGATTCGTCTAGCTGGACACCCCGATTTGTTGAGGAGTATTCCGTTTTCAACGCGACGCCGGGCAACCTAAGGGGCGCTCAGGGCCCGTTCGCCGATTTCTACAGCGCAACTCCGTACCCAAATCCCACTGGTCACAAACGACCATTGTCGGCTGAGAATATAGCCGCCGAAATCGCAGCCCATGTCAACCACTTCATACCCAACACCAACCTACCTTTACCGCCTGTTGACCCTTCCAGAAGGTTAGCTTCGTCTCCCGGGCCCTTGACGACGGGAGGAGCAGGTCCTCCATCTGATTCTCATTTCCAGGAGCGGTCCGTCAAGAAGGTTCGACGAAGAACCTTGGAGGAAGACCTGGCCCGGCAAACCGTGACCCCGCCACCGTCAGCGTGCAAGGGGGAACGAAAGCTTGCGCCCAAGATCCAGACGGAAATCATGCACAATGACCAAGGCTACGGTCAGGAGTATGGGGCCGGCACATCACAGCAGAACACCCTACCAAATCTCGTCACATCACCAACCGACATGTTTGGCTATGCCATATCTGCGCCGGCCACGGCTCCCGTCTTCACCGACTCGGGCCACTTCTGGGACGGGGATATGAGTGGCATGGATATCGACTTTTCCACAGCCGCCGCAAATGTATACCAGGCACCAAGCCACCGGCCGATGAACTCATTAGACTGGGGTAGATCGAATGAGATGTTCCAACCGACTGGTGCCATCCCGCAACAACCCCAGAATCAAGAGAACCGGCCAATCCAAAGGAGAGAAAGAGCATTGGCACCCAAGCCTGCCTTGCCGAACTTAGAAAGTAGTGACCAAGATGCATCGATGTATGGTGCTTCCTTCACCACTCCCATCGACAACTCCTTCAGCATGGTGAGACAGGGTGGAGGGGTCGATCCCGGATTGTTGTTCAGTAGACCGTCCTCTTCTGGTACGGAAATGGCTGCGTTCGACCGAATGGCTCAAGCTTCCTTGACGCAATCCATGTTGCAACCGGAACCATTGCAGCATCCCGTGAAGCCTGTTACGCAGGGAGGGTTGCGACGCTCGGCAACCACACGAGAGACGGGCGCAACGAACAAGCTGGACAGAACCTCGGCAAGCTCACCCAGCAAGCCTTCGGGTCGTCCTGGCTTGTCGCGTAGTATGAGCGAGAACCGTGGAAAGAAGTCAGCAAGCAGAGCAACGACCCTGCCTACTCTAGCGCCCGCTATTCGGCCAACGCCACAGCAGCCCACGAGTCGTTCAGTGCCCAAGTCTTCGAGGTCAAACGGGAGAACGTCGCCCTCCAAGAGTCACCACCGGCTTTCCAGCTTGAGTTCGATTCCGGAAGCAACTGGCCCGAAGACGCGCACGTCTGTCAAGTTTACTATCGACTCCAGGGGCCGGGCTCGAGCGGAAACAACGACGGTCGTGGTCGACGACGACGATGAAGAAACGACCCCGAGAGTTATTCGATGTAGGAAGCCTCCAAGGAACAGAAGCAGAGAATTGGAGCCATCAGACGACGATGCATCATCAAGTGATGACGAGCCCATTATTATCCCAAGCAGAAACCTCTCGTTTGCGCTCCCGGACCCCATCAAACCAAGCTCGTCGCATCCGTTCCAGCCATCGCAAAGCAGCATCAACGAGCGAAGTATCAGTAGTCTGGGTATTTACTTCCACGAGCCCAACCACAACGATGTCGAAAGCGAGGCGGAAACCGTTTTGAATGAGCCCCAGAGCAGCCGGGGCGACGCTGCTAGCGAACTTCGAAAGATGATTGAAAATCGACAGAAATGGGCCTCATTGAACACAAGTCAGCGATTTGTCTCGGGACCGTCTTATAGTAACTCCTCGACCATTTCCCCCACCACCGAGGGTGGTTTGCCCACTCCAACCTCCAGTCGAGGTAATATCATCAAATGCGTCTGTAACAATACCGAGACTCCCAGGAATACTGATGGCTTCATGGTCCAGTGGTATGCCAAGCTTTTATTTCTCGTGAAAATCCTAACTAACTCGTCTTCAGTGAGTCGTGTGAAAATTGGCTCCACGGCAAATGCATAAATATCATATCGCGGCAGGAGATGCCCTGTGTCTATATCTGCGCCTTCTGTGCGAACACGCCGGCACATGGGGCCCGCGATCGAGACGCCGGGAGGAATGTAGGAGTTCCCAGTCGGGAATCGGCCGCATCTCCGTTGGCTCACAAATCTTTCCAGTCGTTCAGGTGATGACTAGAAGTAATGACGACAGCAATGTGTTGATACGAGTCAGAGATCTTGCTGGATTAATCGGACATACCGAAAGAGGCGCGCGCCAGAGACGAAGATGACGCCAGTCGACGGAAGGACAGAAAGGAGAGCAGTTGAGAGCTGAGTTTAGGGGATATGATGCGCACGTATGATACCCTAATCTGCTAACCGATAATGATTATTAGCATCGAGACATGTTGGATAATGTTGAGCAAGCAATTTGAGGAAACGCAGCCTGATGGGCTTTTGTAGTGACATGACCTCATACATATGGCACGATGTTTGTGGGGGTTGACTTGAGTGATGCTGCCCTATGCTGGAGTGCCTGACCGCGTGTAGCATGTCAAATCATCGGCAAACAAGCTTCAATTCCGTGTTAGTCTGCTGCCAGACACATGTATCAAATATCTATCACCTATCAACGTATGGCATCCTGAGCTTGTCCGCGAGTGGATCGCCCTCGTGGTGTTGCTTCCAGCCACTAACAACGTAGTAACTGGATATACTCAACCATTGAAAGCCCATAGTCTCTGAAACCTAGTACAAAAAGTACAGACGTGGGGCCCTGAACTCTAGAGAGAGAATTCCATAAAAACACACATGGTTGGTTCCCTTACTGCAGGAAGCTACAGCAGGCGAGTCCAGTCCGACGCTGAAAGATTTCCCGAGTGTTGGAGAAGCTGCGAGTACCCCGCGTGCGCAGATTGCAGATTGGACATTCGAGCGCGGTTACCCCACTTTCCGAAATCGGAGATGCTGTGGAAAAGTTGTTGCATACTGCAAGCTTATGGACTGACTTTCTTCACCAAGCTTCTCTGTATCGTTAAAATCCTCCTTCTATCTTCTATACATCTCAATCGCATCAAGATGGCATCGCACAACATTGTAGTCTTCGCAGGAGACCATTGCGGTCCCGAGGTGAACTTTTGTCCCGCTTCTATGTGCCGTTCGTGAACCCCGCTAACACGTAGACTGCAGGTTGTTGCCGAGGCGATTAAGGTAAACTGCTTGTGTGACAGGCAATAGCAAGCAACGATGTGGTGGTTGTTGACGTTCTGTGTCAGGTTCTCAAGACAATCGAGTCGCACAGCCCGTCAGCCGGCAAGTTCAACTTACAAGAACACCTTCTCGGCGGTGTATGTAGCCCCGAGTCCTTTGCTAGCACTCCGACCTTACCTCCTTGCTTTTTCCCTTTCTCCCATTGGGGTTTGGGGATGAGTTAGCTAGGTTCCGTTAGGCTAACAATGTCTCACCTCACCCACAGTGCTCCATCGACGCCAACGGCAGCCCCCTAACCGACGAGGCCCTCAAAGCCGCCCAAAATGCCGACGCAGTCCTCCTAGGCGCCATCGGCGGGCCCGAATGGGGCACCGGCTCCGTCCGCCCAGAGCAAGGGCTCCTCAAGCTGCGCAAGGAGATGGGTACATACGGCAACTTGCGTCCCTGCAGCTTCGCCTCAGACGCCTTGGTCGAGTACTCGCCTCTCAAGGCCGAGGTCTGCCGCGGTACCGACTTCACTGTTGTGCGCGAACTGACGGGTGGCATCTACTTTGGCGACCGCAAGGAGGACGATGGCGATGGCCAGGCTTGGGACATGGAGCCGTACTCGCGTGCTGAGGTGGAGCGCATCACGCGGTTGGCAGCCCACCTCGCGCTCGCGCAGGACCCGCCCGCTCCGGTCTGGAGTCTGGATAAGGCGAACGTGTTGGCGACGAGTCGATTGTGGCGAAAGGTCGTTACCGAGGTTATGGAGAAGGAGTTCCCGCAGCTCAAGTTGGGACATCAGTTGATTGACAGTGCAGCCATGTTGATGGTGAAAAGTCCGCGTGCGCTCAACGGCGTCGTGGTGACGAGTAATTTGTTTGGTGACATTATCAGTGATGAGGCGAGTGTCATTCCGGGCAGTATTGGACTTTTGCCTAGTGCGAGTTTGAGTGGGATTCCGGATGGCAAGAATAAGTGCAATGGCATTTACGAGCCCATTCATGGTGAGTTCTCACAGCCCCTTTTCAGGACTCTCGTTCTCCTCGGAAGGAAAAAGGGGTATTGATGGGTAAAACAGGTTCCGCCCCTGACATCTCCGGCAAGGGCGTCGTCAACCCAATCGGCACGATCCTGTCCATTGCCATGATGTGCCGGTACTCCCTCCGCCTGCCTAAGGAAGCCAGCGCCATCGAGGAGGCGGTGCGCAGAGTCATCGATAACGGTGTCCGAACGAAGGACCTTGGAGGTTCCAGCGGAACCGTGGAGATGGGTGATGCGATTGTAGCGGAGCTACAGAAGGTCCTGCAGGGCTAGAATCTCGGGGGCTCGGGCAGAGGAACGAAGAGAAGACGCCCTTGTTTTCGTAGTTGGGGAGGTGCGTTTGTTGATCAGATCATTCTTGCTAGATAGATAGTGTGGAGTTCAGGAGGTGACATTCGGAGACTTTGACAGCCTGGTGAGGCAAGGTCCACGGTTGGCTAGACAAAATTTCGCTGTGATAAGTAGTTGTGCAACGAATGACATGATCAGCACAACCGGCCTGCTGAACCGTTATAAATCTGATTTGGTGCCTCCAGCCAATGTAACCTAGCCGCCCATGCCATCTTGAGGTAAAGCTAGTTCGCCGTCAGTTGGGTGGAAGCTGTACTTCCGCATCCTATGGCTTTGTTGATATACTTGGCCTGCGTACGATGTAAGTGAAATGTCATTCGGGAGATGCTTTTTCATTATCATGATTCATAACAGGCAAGTACGTGTACCCAAGTGGGTGCCTGGGCTTGTGGGTAAGAGAATGGCAACCATCATGTACTTTTTATCCTGCCAATAATCGCTGACAATTTACACCTACAGCACCACTTACTTCCCAGACTAAACCACGAGTGGACTTCAGGCACCTGCATTCAATGTCACCAGCAAACATGGCTGGAAGTAAGCTTTGCCCAATCTCCCAGTCGTAATGTTTTATTACAAGATGATCATCCTCAATAACAGCCAACAACTAGCCTGTGGTAGGCACCTCCTTAGAGGAATTTATCAGGGCATAATGCAAGGTAACTTCTGCCGCTCAGATGGCCCCATCCAGACAAGCGCGTGCTGACACAACCACAACCAGGCGCTGCTGCCAAGTCTACCAAGCCCGAGATGGTCATGACTAAATATGGACCCCGAGAGGCCATCCGAAGCACCCCGACCAAGGCCGGCGAGGGTTTCTTAACAACGAGAGCCTTGATTCTAATAGCAAGTATCGGGCGGAGCTGAAGGACGACATGAAGAAGTTCGGGCTCAAGGGACTGGCAGCATCGCGATTTGCCAAGTGAGCGCCATTCCGGATCAGACAAGGGGGAATTGATGGGCAGTGTGGGCACGACACGATGCTGGACTGTTGAGCAAGGGGTTTGGGTGCCCGAGTATGTCTGGCGTCATTCGTAGAAGGTTTTGGCACATCAATGGATCCTCCTTGACCAACCTAGGTACTTTGCGCAAAGTGGCGACGGAGAGGTGGCACATTTAATGCCTGGTATCATTACCGCCCTGTACCTGTGGATGCGTACGTACTCCCTAATGCCCGCACGCCATGAAATCAAAGCCACCACCAAACGCCGTCATGCAAATGCCAATTCCAAACCCTCACCGTGAATTTCCGCTCCATCCTCAAGATCCAGTCGGCGCTCCAGCCTCAGCGCCGGCGCCCCCGGTAGCCGCCAACACCCTTGCCGTATCCTCCCTCAGCTCCGGCATCGCCTTGTCCATCTCCCCGGCAAGCACGTCCCGAAAGCTCGCAAACGCGTCCTGCTTCCCTTTCATCATCTGATTGTTCCGGCGTACCAACTCGACGAACTCGCGCGTGTAAATATCGGGGTTGCGGCCGTTCTCGACGTACTGGATGAGCTCGGGCGGGATGCGGGGCAGGGCGTCAGGGACGGAGGCGGTGCGGTGGACGGTTTGGAGGGACGCGTCGAGGTTGCGCAGTTCGTTGGCGAGGACGTCGCGCGAGGGTCGCGAAGTGGTCGTCCCGCTGCTGTCGTAGGCGGTCACCTGGACCAGGATTTGGTAGAGAGACTGGATGGTTTCTTTGAGCTGGACTGGAAGCGGGGGTGAGTTAGCGAATTGAAAGAAGACGGGCGGAGGGGGGAATGAAGGTTTACGCTCGAGAGCATCATGGTCTACGCGAGGTACGGGCGCCATGGTTGCCGTGTTGTTGCACCTATCCAGGCGGAGTGAAGACGGAATCGCAAGTGGAACTACAATGGATGGTTGAAGTGGGATGAGTTGGCTGCGGCTCAGCGCTTGGGCTTGGCGGGGGATAAAGTCGGCCAATTAGTAGAGAGATCGCCACAGGGTAGCTCCATCTGATAGCACTAGCGTGCCTCGTAAGTGATTCCTCCGGAATGCCGACTTCGCGTTCTGTAGATCTCCAGGTCCATCCTAATTCGAGGTCCTGGATTCGATAACGGGAACCGAGTGGTCTCGCCCGGAGTTCAACTATTCCCCGCTACCACGTGCGTCGTAACTGTTGGTCAAGGTTATAGACCGTCTCTGACTCGGCGACGTTGCGACTCGGTTCCTTCGGCGGCTGAATATAACCTTCTCGTATATAAAGAAGTCTATCTCAAAGCTTCAAGAAGACGATATGTGATTGTCACTCCAGACGGACAAGAAGCTTGTCTGATCAAGATTCCATGCTAATGCCAAGGTAAACATGCTATCTAAGTTCTGCTGAACAACTACTTTTTCAGCAGCGAGGGACTCCTCAGCTCGCGGCACCCCCTCGAAACAGCCTTTTCAGCTCTGCCTGCACAACCTTCCTCCTACTGCCCGTTGACTCATCCCTTTGACCCTTGTTCGGCGACGCAGTAGCTTGGTCATCACTCAAATGTGGCGAGCTTACTGAAGACCTGCTGTTGCGCCTGAGCAAATCGGCAACATGGGGGATTTCCATTGGGTCCACATGTCGACCCCTTTTCCTTCCCGGCATAGCCATGCTAAGATTTGAGCTTGACTGGCCCGTCCCCTGTGTTGGCTTGTACAGATTGAGGTACTCCTTGGACTGCGGCGGTGGCGTGCGCCGCACAATGCGCTGCAGGTGCGAGATGACCTGCTCGGGAAGCGGCGATGATGACCTGCTGTGTAACCGCGGTGAAGATGGTCGGCTGGACTTGTCGCTTTGCTCTGAAATGGGTGAGTATGAACTGTGCGGAAAGGGAGTTTTGTTGTTACTACCACGTGCGGGAACATGGCCGGGCAGCCCTGCTGGTGCGGACTGAGGGCCACTTCCTTCTGACGAGTTCTAATACATCAGGCGAGGTGAAGGTCTACCTTCGGATGAGCCCTGGTTCAACACACGAGACGAGGGCCTCTTGAGTGGCTCGTTGGTAACGAATGAGATGGTGCGGCCGCGGGGTACAGTGATCGAAATCTGAGGTAACTCATCATATTCCGAGTGGTGGGAGCTGACGGACCCTTCGGTCCGCGAGCGGCGCGGTGATGAGCGTGTAGGTGTCAGGGGCCGTCTCGCCTCGGGCTCGGGACTTGTGGGGCAGACCGTGTTTAAGTCCGAGGCTTGCGAGTCCTTCGCGGAAGCAGATGACACATCTCGGAAGTGTTCGTCGAGAATAGAGCGAGGTCGGCGCTCTGTTTGGGCCGGAGGACGCCGCTGGTTCGGTAGCATCTGCATCCAACGCGGAATCGGCTTCGTCGGACTGGGCTTGAAAGCAGAGAGTCCTAGGGGGTCAAGCATAGAGGCATAAATGACCGAATCCAAGGGAACAATGCACTCGCCCCCATCATCACCAGATTCCCCTGAGCCACTTACTGTACCGTCACCAGCCATCCGTGAAGATCGAGGCCGTGTGTGAGAAAGGGCTGCTGCTTCTTCTGGCACCCTCGACATCTTGCTCGGCACCCTTTTGATGTGCCCCATGGCGCTGCGAGTAACAATGCCTTCCCGTTTCTCCCACCGGTTCCGACTCATGCCCCCATCCGACTTATCCACCCTCCGGAGCGCCTTTTGAACAACCGTCTTCTGATCCAACGAGTCGAGCTCAACTTCAACAACGCAATTGGCACACATGGGGATCTCAAGGATCTCCTTGGCTCTTATTCTCATATCATCGTCGTGGTCTTCTTGGCCCTCGCCCGTATCTTCACCATGAGCAAACACGTCCTCGACTTTGGTGCCGTATACCACCGATCGACTGCCGCAGAACAGGCATCCATAGCAGGAGCGATGCCAGAAGCACTAGCCTAGACTGACACACTCGCTCCCGCGGTACACGATCTCGCCACAGACCCAACATATGGCGAGTTCGATGAGGGCATTGTAGCAGGATTCGCAGGTGAGCCTCGAGGAGCGGCCGAGAACATGGGGTGGGCCACGTGCGAGATGCCAGCAGAAGGTACAAGTGAAGAGATGCGGATGGGACGGCGGATTGGTTGGTGGCGGCATTGGTCGTATGCGGCTTGTAGAGGTCATCCGAAGCACGCAGAGCAGGAAAGGTAGACTGCAATAAGTCTCCTGTATTCAACGAGTGACCAGATTGATATCGAATGAATGAATGAAGCAAGCAAGAAGCGAATGTTGCATATAACACCGATGCGAGGGTGCTCCCAAGCTAGGGTAAGAGGCGAAGATTTCAATCCTAAGAGCGGGATCAGCAGGACCGTAGGATAGATAGGATGATGTATTCAGCGAAGCCAACATGAAGGTTCAGGGAAGAACGACTTGGGCCTGGCAGAAATATTACCCTAAAAATGCCGACGTCAACACGTCAGGCAGCCACGACTAGAGGTCGAGATGCTTCCTGTCAGCCAGATCTTCAGTCCGACCCGACCCCTACATCCTAAGCACACGTATATTCCAAGATCAAACAAAGTCATGAACATTAAATCTTCATTTCCTTACCCTATGAATTAGCCATAGTTGCTGCCATGCATCACAACGCCGTAATACTCCAACACAAAACAATCCCTCCAACCACCTAAACACCTTTTCACTAGCCCTGTACAACAAAGCCATATTCAGCTCCATGTTTACAACTCCATGGCATGCGTAAAAAGCATGCCTCTGGCGGAGTGTTAGCTCTTTAGGTTAGACAGTCTGCTCCTCCAGGTACCGCCGCTGGTCGGCAAGGACGTGTCATCACCATTGACAAAAGAATGCACACGGGCTCAAGCCCGCAGATCAAGCTCATGAAATCAAAAAGTGTACATCTCGTGGCGTCGCTGTTCCGCATGAACATCGCTAGACGGCGAGAAAGCCTTCACTTGCGGACTTTCGGAAGAGCAAGCATGTTCAGCCGGCTAAGAGTCAGCCCTTTCTTCTTCTGCGGACTAGGCGTACGAGATCCAGCAGCCAGCGTCTTGATGGGAGATGAGTTTATCAGCCTAGCGCCTTCAGCAAAGGAAGGGTTCTTTCGAAGCTTCTTTGCTCCGCGTCGAGCACCCTCGTCGTCCTCCTCATGATCCCAACTAGCTCGGTGGCGCTTCTTGTTCGACATGCCGTGAGAAATTCCCTTTTTCATATCTTCGTCATCCGAGCTGGCGCGGTGGCGCTTCTTGTTCGGCATGCCGTGGGGAATACCCGTCTTAATCTCTTCATCTTCCCACATGGCACGGTGTCGTTTCTTATTGGACATTCCATGGGGAATACCTGACATCAGGGCAGGATCCGTGTTCTCTTTGTCTGGAATCGATTCGCGAGCAGCGGGGAAACTTCCGGGCATGTGATTAGCGGGGACCGTAGACTGTCGCACATGTCGTAGGCTTGCTTGGCCGGATGAGCTGCCGAAGCCGTTAGGTGATGTACTGCCAAATCGAATGGTGTGGTCGCTGCGGAAAGTGAAAGTTCCGGGTACCGATGGGGTTAGCGACGTTGCTGTGGCGGCCTCGGCTCCAAAAGCAGAAAGATCCGGATACGACACCTCTTCTCGAGTTTTCTTCGCGCTCAACACAGAACCCAAAGACGGATAGTGGGGTGCAGGGAGTTTCGCCATAGTCTTAGAACGCGGGATAGCAGACTTGACTGGAGATGGGGAGTTCTGGGTTAAGGCGGCCGCCTTCGAATCGGGTGTGAACTCAACATGCTTGTCGAACCCGAAACGTTGGCCGGGGGTTGTTACAGGTGCAGCGGCCTTCTTCTTCTCGGCGTTGCCAGGGGTCTTGGGGATCGAGCTAGCAACTTGAGGGATGCTGCTCTTCGGCTTCGACGCACTGAATTGCCTTTTCAGGATCGACTTGACTCTAGCAAATCGACCAGGGGTTTGGACAATAGTGGGGAAGGTCTTCTCCGCGTTCAAGTTGTTCAAAGTAGCCGACTTCTTCAAGCTACCAAAAGTCACCTTGCTGGGAGTTCTGGCGAGGCTGCTGAGGTCTGGTTTGCTGGGGGATCTTGCCAGACTTTCGAGATCAGGTTTGCTGGGTGACTTCACCAGTGGGATGGTGGGCGTCTTGGTGACCTGAGTGCGGGCCGTGGACGCTTTCGTGGGAGTCATGATGGAAGCAACAGTTCGGGATCGAGGGATAGCACTGCGGATAGAGTCGTTCCCACTGCTCTTGGGTCGAGGAGCAGGAATCGAGCTACCATCTCGAGACACAGGTCGAAGCGTTGAAGCGTCGTCGTCGAGGCGCTGTCTGACGCGCTTGGTGGGAGATTCAGGCTCATCGTGTTGTTTCTCTAGAGATTTGGGTGGCGCTCTGGCGGATGCCGCCTTCTTAAGCACGGACTCGGCATCATTTAGGTTGGCCTTGGACTGGCTTCGTTTGGTGCCGGCTTTGAGTGGCGTCGGGCGACCGGGCGCGGCGCGGTAAACCGACGGATGATTCGCGATCGAGTCCATCTTCTTGAACTCGGCCATATGTACATCGCTAAACCGGCCGGCCTTGCCCTTTGCCTTTGCGATTCGGCGTCTTTCGAGTACCTCATCCAGTGTCTCCTCACTACGCTTCGCAGCAAGCTCGGCCTTAATCTTAGCTGCCTCTTCGCGCAGGTCATTCATCATTTTCTGGGCCTCGGGTGTAAGGCCCTTGTCGGCGGCACTAGGTCTAGAAACGCGGAAGGTGAACGGCGTGGGCGCCTTGGAAGGAGTTTCATGGATGGCGCCGAAAGTGTGATCACGGGCATTTTGGTCGCGATTGATATCGGCAAAGCCAAGCTTGAGACCAGATGAAGGTGCAGCAGTACCCGGGTGGAACTTGCTTGGATGCATTTCCGACTTGGGCAGCTTGACTGGGCTCACAGCGGCCGGAGTGGTGGGTTGCGTTGTAGGCGAAGACATAATGGCGTCTAGACTCTTAGTAGGTTGCTCTGAACAGGACTCGTCGCCTTCGGTGAGAGCGCTCAATTGGGGTTGGACTGAAGCCGGTCGTTCCTGAAGCAATAAAAAGGCCCAAATCAGCAATTTGGGGCTAAGGAAGAACAGGTGCTGCGATGCAAACGCAACGGACGTGTTTGTTTACTCACCTTGGAGGAAGTGCCACTCGCGAGACGAGCGGACCGACGTCGCGGAGGCGACATGATGGTGCAACTCTGTAGTCGGTTGATTCTGAGAAAAAGGAACAGTCAATGATCAATGCGGAAGAGGAGTGGAAGAAGGGCGGTTGGGCGGTATAGGGTGCTTAATCACCAGTGATGTCAATCTTGGTCAAACGCACGCGGGGACCTTTGTTTACATTGGCAATTGGGCGGGTTGAAATCGACTTCTCAGGGACCGGGTTTGTGGTTGGTGCTGGTGGGGCTAGAATGGTCTGTGCCCAACGGCACCTGCCAAACAAGAGCTCCGTCCTACTCCCCGACTTCAATCACAGTCACGCTACGGTATGATGAACCCCAGTTCGCACAGCACTAGAGCTGAGCAACACACCATCAATATGACACACTTCTTCTGACTGTGACCCAAACCATCGTCGGCACTCGTTTAGGACTGAATGTTCCAGGCCTCGGGACATAATACGCCGATCTTCCATCTACAACAGTCCTGGAGCCACCCCTTGTACGAGACTTTGCTAAACACCTTAAAAGTATGTCGTCGCACGTGGACTTCAAGATCAGAGTTCCTCCATTACCCGGACATCGTCCCATTATTCCAGCAAGGAATAGCCTCTGCCCTTTTGCCCGGAGAGCCAGCCGGCTTGTCTGTAATTGGCAATCGTCTCTGGATCGCGCCGTAAGTAGCCCCTCAGCGGTTCTTTCATCTGATACGCAAAGGCCGGAGCTGCCAGTAACGGAGAGACCGACCTTTCTCAACCATAGACGTTGGCGTATATACCGAAGCAAGCAAATTCATTACAGGCGTTTATGGATAATCAGGGAGTTGGGGATGATAATTCATGGTATAATCTATGGTCTATCTTGACGTGTAGTGCAAGTCCAGTCAGTCCAACCATCTTCCGCGAGCCCAGACAGGCCATATTTCATCCACGATTGGCCAGGGTAGGCCAGGATAGGCCAGGATAGGTTCCTTGTCAGCCGCGCCCAAGACGTCATCGGTGTGACTTCGGGAGCCCGCGCCCTGAGTTTGCTCTCAAGTTTCTGGAGTGACATGAATGGACGCTGAAATCATCGGTGCCGAAGTCATCATGTTGGTTTGGGCTCTCCTTATAAAGTGTTGAGTGTATCTTCCTCTTTACATTTCTTCTTGGCTTAAAAGTCAAAGCAGCAACGTGCCAGAGCATACTTCATTTTCACTGCTTCACCCATATTAAGATGGGGTCCCTCATCATGTCAGACATCAAGCCATACACAATCTCCATCGAGTCTGCTAAACTCGCCGACCTGCAGATTCGACTCTCCTTGGTCAGATTTCCCGATGAACTTGACCACGCGGACTGGGACATGGGCGCGCCCCTCACAGATATCAAGAGGATATCAAGATACTGGCAAGACGACTTCGATTGGAGGATCGTGGAGAAGGAATTAAACAAGCTGCCCCATTTTGTCACCAATATTCAATGCGACGGCTTCGACCCGCTTGCCATCCACTTCATTCATCAGCCAAGTCCCGTCAAAGGCGCCATCCCTTTGTTGTTCATACACGGGTGGCCTGGACATTTCAATGAAGTCTCGAAGATCCTTAAGCCGCTCGCTGAGGGAGACGGTGTCGAGACGCCTGCGTTCCATATAGTGGCGCCATCCCTGCCCAATTTCGGCTTCTCTGAGGGCGTGAAAAAGCGAGGGTTTGCAATGGAGCAGTACGCGGCAACTATGAATCAGCTGATGTTGAAACTTGGCTACACTGAATACGTCACTCAAGGAGGTAAGCTGCGACTAACCCTCTTCACCATTGTGACAAACTGTTGACAGGTATCATAGGTGACTGGGGATGTCACATTAGTCGGAGTTTGGCACACCTCTACCCTGCCAATTGCAAAGCAACCCACCTGAACTTTGACAGCGCCAACCCGCCGGAGTTTGCCAAAAATCCGTTGCTTGCCGCGAAGCACGCGGTGACCCCTTACACCAAAAGGGAAAAGCACGGCGTTGGTCGCTCTAAGTGGTTTGAAGAAGAAGGCAGTGGCTACAACGTCGAGCAATCGACAAAGCCTCAAACTATTGGCTACGGATTAGCTGACAGTCCTGTCGCGTGCTTGGCATGGATATACGAGAAACTGCACGACTGGACTGACTCTTACCCTTGGACTGACGAGGAAATATGTATATGGGTCAGTATCTACTGGTTTAGTACAGCCGGTCCAGCGGCGAGTATGCGGATCTATTATGAGACAGCTCATAACGTCGATAACCGGATAGATAAGATGGATCGCCAAAAGATGATGACTTATTCCCCTGGCGTCAAGCTTGGGTTCAGTCACTTCCCAATGGATCTCCACGTCCGGCCCAGCACTTGGGTGCAAACGCTTGGCGAAGTGGTGTTTGAGAAGGATCATGAGAGTGGTGGACACTTCGCTGCGTTCGAGAGGCCCGATGATATCGTGGCCGACGTGAGGGAGATGTTTGGAAGGGGCGGTGGTGCGTACGGCGTGGCGAAGGGCGTCACTGGCTATTGTGCATGAGTTTGGCAGGCACCTGCGTACGTCCAATGAAGATACAAAATACGAATCTTCGACGATGTAGATTTCTACTCCCGGTATAGGGCCAGCTATCTCAACTGGATTAGATATCCATTGCCAAACTGGGTTGCCCAAATCCAAGTTGCGAAATCGACAAAGTTATATAGAAGCCAAACTATGCAGTTTCTTAAATGTAGAGCAATATCATGCACGCATAGAGGAATTGAGTCAGAGGATGCTGTTTTTCTATTACATATTTCGCTAACTCTGATCTATACATGTCTGCTATTTGGAGTCAGGACTTCCAGCGCAATATCAAAGAAGCTTTACTGTTACCATAAATCAGACCCGTTAAGGACAGTCTCGACCACAGCACCTCAAAAGACTCAAAGTGACGGTCATGGAACCTCGAGCAGGTGCTGGCTCGCAAAAGAATAGATTTATAAATGAGAAACTTCCCCTGTCGATACGATCCATCAAAGACACAAGTGAACGAGATCCGTATCGTTTGAGCATCTTCCAGTCGTAATCACTATTTCATCAAACAACCATCACGGGCCTTCTTATTCGCAACATTTCCTTCATTCATCGTTCAAACCATCCTTCCAGGTTCACCTCAAGAGACTAAAATATGTGGTCACCATCATCAAGCTCAACAGACGCACACCGCCCGCAATGCCTTTTGCTCCTAGCTCTCTTTCTAGAAGCTCGACTCCATCTGTCGAGCAACGCCTAGAGCTCTGTCCATCCACACCACGGCTCCATCTCCAGTTGCAGACAGCGTCGTCAGAGTTAGAAGACGACGAGTTCTGGCTGCCGCGGTCCATAGATTCCAATGGGGATGAGAACGAAGTCAATATCGTTCTTGCCGGCAAGAGAGACACCCATGGCCCCGAGGCCGGCAACGTGGTCAGGAGCCCCTTGGGTCTTAAGCACGCTGTATCTTTAGGCAAAGTCCCCAAACCGAAGCGGCATCATCCAAAATCCGAGTGGTTTGGCCCACCTAGGCTCTGGATTGCACTAAAGGTGGCGAAATTATCGAAGAATGCTGCCCACAGAAGGTCGTTGAGCCGGATGGGCAACGCTCAGCATGGCCATGCCTCGATCACCTTGCGCAACCTCCACAAAGCCGTTGTTGCAGATCCAGAAACTACCGAAGACACAGACAGCGACAGGACTACTCCCAAAGACATAAATGTCACGGAAGGAAGAGAGTCATCAGATGAGACCACCATCTCCGAGGGACGAACTATTTCAGACAGAGGAGGCGGCTCAACCCAACCTCCCCGTGAGATCACCGTCTCCGAGGACGAAAGCCCAGCTCATACTCAGTCTCCGGAGGAAACGAGCTCCTAACGGACCCATGACTCCTTCAACCCCATGAACCCTCCCGGAGAACACCTCTTGCCCCCTTTGAGGACCATCAAGAAACCCCCCCGGGAACGCCGGGTCGTCCGAAAGATGGGCGACGGTGTGGTCTTGGATGCTTTCATCATGCCCCTTCGGAGATACATGGCCAGCCTCTACATGATGGGGCAGAACAAAAAAGCCCAGGAGTGGCAACGGAAGAAGGAAGGGCAGAAGAAGGCAAAGACTGGAAAGAAAAAATGAGAAAGGAAGAAGAGAAGAAGGCGAAGGCCGAAAAGAGGAAGGTGGAGGCCGAGCAGAGGAAAAAGTCCAGGGCGAGGGTGGAGGGTCATGGTGATGGGAACTAGTGGCTTCCAGATAGGACATGCTCGCTCACTGTTGCACCTGGAGCAGGCCCCGAGAACTTTGAACGATTGTGCACCTTACTCGAATTGAGTTGATGTTGATTTCGCCTGGCCTTGCGCATTTTTGGAGAGGTCTGGTGTGGTTGATCGATTTTCTCGCGCTTGAGCTGTTGAGGGCGTACTTATACCTAATCATATCAGCGAAAACCGGCGAAATACAATAAGTTCAACAATGCTCATCCTACAGATGTTTGGTGGTGCGGAGTATACTGATCCCCAACAGTATACACCTCCGGTCAAACTTATAGTGACATAGTACATTGATTCAAGTCTCCGCATAGCGAGATATCATACAATATTCCCCCAAGCTTCCCTCTTCTCCCCCTCGCCCCTTCTCCCAACTCGCACACACGTGTAGTCCGTTAGACTCATTGACGCCCTGTTCAAGACCGCGCATGAACACAACGGCTCATATTAAAATCTGCCTATAATTACGAGTATGTCTTGTTTATTCGTGTTCGCCCTCCTCAGACTGCGGCTGTGGTCTCTTGAGCACTTCTAGATCAGCTGCAGTGTAATGTCAGTCTCAGAATCTGATTCTTTTCATAGGTAGGATAAAAATCATACACTGAACAATGTTGAGCGCCGTCCGGTTGTTACCCTCGGCATCCTGGTACGTTCTTATGGTAGCATTGCCCTGCACAAAGACCGTAGACCTGTGTTCCCCACCATAATGATCAGCAACCCAATTCCAATCTGCCCCTCCAAACTATCGCGCTTGCTCACTTACCCTTTAGGAATGCTCGTCATGAAGTCGCGGCGGGGACCCTCCTCAACAAAGGACGTGACGCGGAACCAGCTGGTGACGCGCTTGTCCTTGGGGCCCGAATTGCTCGCCACGGCATACTCAACCAGCTCGCGACCGGTGCTAGTGGCCTTGAGCTCGGGCGTCGCTGCCAGGTTGCCGACGATGGTGATCTTGGCTACGGGCCGTGGGATCGTGGCGCTGAAGGGGCGGGCAAAGCGAGGCACGGCGGCCGTTGCGCGGCGGGCGAGGAATGACATGATGGTTTGAGTACTGTGTTTTGGGAGGAGTGGTTTCGGGTTTATAAGATCGACTGGGGGGCGTTGATGTGGGTGGGTAGTGGATGCTGCTGTTAAATTTTTGTGGGATCTGATTCAATGTCGCAAACTCAGCTCGAGCTCTGTCTCTCTCCGCGTTAGAAGAAACAGAACGGACGCGGTTTAAGATTAGCTGCTAAAGTGCTCTTGGTGGCCCAAGCTCCAGGTCCCTGCTCGCTCCTACATATTACCATCAACTGCTTAACTCCAACGACCATTCTGTCGTCCACGCGATGCGCACTCGACAGCAGCGTCTATGATGATCCCATAATAGCAATTAATCTGGCTACCAAGGGAAGCCGCAACGGCCGGAAAGAGAATTGAGGAAATAGTTGTTCTGCATTAGATGTGGCGCAAAACGGAGCGTGCTGGTGTTTCGATGCTGGTTGTTCTATTCAGCTTGAGCGGTAGGTTTTGCCTCGCGGCGAGTCTGCATACGATAATTCATCACGAAACTGGCCACTTAGCCGTTGCCAAAATAGGGATACAAATACCAGTGGACCTCTCGTCACGGGGTGACTATAGCCATTCATGGCATGGTGACTTGAGAGCCGCGAGCATCATACTGCATCACTTTCGGCTGCCCATCGTGAGTATGGTCTCCATGACTCAATCGCTATGACAAACTTCAAGCAGAGGCAATACATATTTAAGTAGCTAATGCCGATTGCAGACTATTTCACATATTGTCGTTGTAAAGCTGAGTGAGCCACAACTGTGCAATCCCTCCTTGGATGTAAAGGCAAGGTTCACGATTCGAGGTTGGTCAATTTTGATGATTAGTGGTGATGCTGAACCGAGTTATGCTGTCCATCCCATGATGTTCTGCACTGGGCCCTTAGGGGCAGCTGCGGTTTTGCCAGTCTCCATTCATCAAGCTGTTTGTGAAATGCTTCAAGACTCAGATCTACGCTAGTTGTTGTGCTGTCACGCGTGGTGCTAACAGAGCTCAACACCATCGCCGAGTCTCTCCAAAATAGAACTATCCCGGCAACACGCCCAACCCCGCGGCCGTCGCCCAGCTGCACAACACTCGCTCCTGCCACGCCCGTCAACCAAAATGCCGAACAGCTTTGACGAAGCCAGATACAGCTATAACCCCGGCCTGACGGCCAATTGCGTCTGCCGCGTCTTCTTTGCCATCATCGGCACCCTCCTCTGTTGGGTCCCCTTCCACCTCCTATCGCGCAATGGCGAATTCGCAGCCGTCGTGCTCATCGCCGACGTGGTTATCCTCAACCTCTTCACCATCCTTAATTCGCTAATCTGGCGAAGTGACAATTGGGACATCTGGTGGGATGGCGTCGGCCTCTGCGACATCGAGACGTACCTCAATGGTCCCCTCCTGACGATCTATGCTGCTGCCATGTTTGCGGTCATGCGCAATCTGGCCCAACAGGTTGGTCTCATGAGAGCCAGTGCCTTGACGCCCGAGGAGAAAAAGAAACGGAACCTCATCCAGGCCGTCATCATCTTCCCGATTCCAGTTGTTCAACTAATCTTCACTTGGTTCGACCTCGCTCAGCGATACCAAATTGGCACGCTTATAGGCTGTTCAGCTGTCTACGACGGCAGCTGGCCCAAGATCCTCATCTACAGCGCACCGCCTACGCTCTTTGCGCTTGGAACTTCTCCTTATGCTTGTAAGTGATCTGAGGACAGCACAATAGAGCTCAGTAGCTAACAAGGGGTAAACAGTCCTCACCTGGAAGCGCTTCAATGCAATTTCTAAATCAACCAAAGACGCCCTAGCCGCATCCAACAGCACCGTTGCCTCACGGGCCCAGCGCACGAGACGACGCCTGTACCAGATGTCCCTCTCGATCCTGGTGCCCTACGTCCCGCTCATGGTCGCTTTCCTCATCGCTAACGTCCAGGACACCGACTTCAGGCCGTACGACTACCGTCGAATGCATTCCAATGCTCAAGAGGATGGGCAGTACCCCTGGGATGCCATTCTCTTCGTTCCCTCCTGGCTCGTGCCCTTCTCTACCATCAACCAGCCCTGGATTCCAATCCTGACTACCATGCCGATTTTTGTGTTTTTCGGCTTGACTCGAGAGGCTATCGAGACGTATAGGGGCTATGCTAGAGCTGTGGGGCTTGGAAGGTTCTTTCCAGCATAGTAAAGAGTGGACAATGTGGGGATGCTTTCTACAAGAAGGCAACGGGTTGCGTTTTGTTGTCATATGGGTGGCTTGGAATAGCGTACATGCCTAATCCAGTAGTTGCTAGTAGAAGGCAATGAGTGCAAGCCGCATCTCCCCCAAGCGGGAAAAATAGCTGCAGGCGTGGAGTCAGGTCGGACAATTCTGTCTTTTGAAGTATTCAATGGGAGGAAGGACCTTGACAACCGGTTCCTCAAAACTGAGTAAAAGATATCATGAGGAGCAAGTATATTCGGTATGCGACTCGTCGTTATCACCAAAGGAGGCGCCCTAGTTTCGACTCTTCTATTTGTTCCAACCTCCTGAACCCAGTAATGAGGGTACCCTCGTTGGAGTGGTGTATTCCGCACGCCAATGCCATGACCTCGACCACTCAGAAGCAAGTACAATTTTCAACACGACGCTGTGCCCCCAGCATATCAGCATTCTTTGATTCGAATAACCCGCTCCTAAACACACCATCCTCTTCTCACTCTTGTACGAACTGCGCAACGGCGCCATGAGGAGACGGGGCGACTCCTCACGCATACCGAGGGCTGGAAAGCGATAGGCACAAAGACTTTTGAAGCTTTACGATGTTGATGAAGACCCCGATGGATAGGATCTAGCGCACGTCTCCCTAGATGATGACGACCGTCAACCTTACGAGCCAGTTTCTCACACATGAGGCTATTTCAAGCTGAAGTGTTACCAGCGATGCAAGTGACAGCGATGACGAGGCTGCCAGTGTTCGTGACAACGATGGCGAAACTGGCGGCTTGAGTGACAGCAATTTGACCCCAGGACTCCACACTTCAGAGCGTAACTTGTACATCCTCACCTCCAGGGGTGAGTCCCTGGCCGCCTCCAAGAGCATGTTGATGGCGCTACCCCACTTGACTACAGTTTCGCAAACTCACTTCCTGTAGATTGGCCAGCTCTGTATCAGCCAATTTAACTTGGCCGAGCGGCGCAAGCAGGTGATGATTATACACCATATCTAAAGACCGGATTCAGAACGCTGATGTGGCTCGGAGAAGAAATGAGCGACACCGATCTTCTGCACAATGTTCTCGAAACCATCGGCAGCCGTCTACAGGGATATGGGTATAGTATTGATGATTCAGACGGAGAGGGGGACGAGAAGCTAGAAGAGATGCTAGTATGCGACCTTGACGAATTTGACTTTTTGCTTTCCTTTTATGGCCACATAGCTCGCGCATTTATTGGTCTCTGGAAACCTTATGGGTACGCAGAGTTGATATATGAGACGAGCGACTACATATTTAATGGCATATCGAAAGTTCGGGCATATCTAAATCCTCCAGGAAGCGATGTACTCATCACATGTACTCCCTCTTGTCAGGCAAGCTTGCGAACGATATATAGAGTCCGGGATTGCATGTCGGCTGCAGGCAAGTGGGTGAGAGTACATACCATGTTCGGAGAAGTCGCCAGGGTAATATTTCAGGGAAACCGCCCACAACAGGCCCAAGAAACTCGGTTTACGCCATGCTGGATCTATCTGCGCCGGAGTCCATTTGGCCGTCTTTGGATTACACAGTCTCGGTGGCAAATGTCTTCGCGTCCGCCACGCGATTGTATACAGGATGAGTGCAGCCTCGATATCCCGAGTCTAGGCGTTGGACAGTTGGGAACCCCCCAATGTGTCGAGTCCAAATTGGGTTGGGGGGCTTCTTTCTTGGACTCCGGATTGGTCAAGCGAAGCCCGTGGCCGCCGCTTCACTTCAACCAACTCCATACCGCCCTCTCCTTGTCAGGCACATAGAGGACGGCAACACGAACAAATGCCAAATGACACATGGAGTTTTCTCATTACAAGAGTTTTGAATATTGGGGAAGTGAAGTCGACAGTCACCAACCTGGCAGCCTTTCAAGGGACGCCATATTTGAAGACCACGACAACCTGTGATTAGCGCACCTCGTAAAAGTCCTCATCGCGGCCTCGAGCTGCGAACCCGGCAGCTACAGCAGCATGATTTGACTATTACGAATCATTACACATGACTGGCAACTGGTAAGAAACAGACTTCTTGGGGTTAGTTTAGGATACTCTAACCTTCAGGAAGTCAACTCTACTCAGGGACGAGACTCGTTAGCGACAGGAAAACACCAACTTGGAAATAAGATCACCGTACACGACATAGCCGCGGCATGTTTTGGAGAGGCCGTTGGAAGACGTCGGATGAATGACTACTTGCACCAGCTTCTGACCGACGCATCTTCCAAGGCCACGGGCTCTCCTTAGGCTTGGCACCAGATACTGCTAAAGTCGGCGACCTGGCGACCATCCGACATGGGTGTGTAACTCTGGCAATTCTTCGATTACACGATGGGGATTACCATATCATTGGAGTTTGTTGTTACGATGTCATACATGGAGATGCTGTTGATTGGGAAGAAGACGAGGCTGCCTACTTTCTACTTGCGTAAGGTCAACTTTTCAGGAACTCGCTGGACTGAGTAACCTCTGTTGCGCTTATTGTACGACCACCACTCATTGAAATCATCCTGATTTCTTTTCCAGGCAAGCACGGCCAGCCAGTTACTGCGGGTCCGGCCTCGCAATATGCCTTGAGATTAGTCACAGATTATTTCTTTACTTGGTAAATACTTTATTCTTAGCTCATGACCCCACGCCCTCACGGGCAGTCATCTATCTGCGTCTATGAAGAACCAGCAGTTTCTTAGACATCATAAACATCCAGCTTCGTACCACATCTCAACGGGGGCGATTGGCACACATCACTTCCATTCTGAATACATCGGATCCTCTAAAGTGATGGGGATACTGCTACCTGGGGAAAAGCTTCCAGGCTGAAAAGAAAAACAATACAAGGTAAGCAGGGCCAAACCAGGACGCCTCGCCATGCGTGCATATTATGCGTGTATCTAAGACGGGAAAACAGAAACAGCATTGGTAAAGGAAGAAACAATGCATGTAGGATTACAAGATCCAGATTATGGGGTGGAAGCCGGGGGTATCTTCGTGAGTCGTACAGTGTGGCGAACTTATTAGAGGCGTGCAGTTCGGTAGTATGTGAAGTAAGGGAAGAGAGAAAGCAGTGGGCAAGGCGTTAGCAGTTGGTAAGGAGTTAGTGAACACTCCCATCGTCGTGTTGCGAAGCGGGATCTGCTTGCTCGGGCCCCGATCGCGAAACCCCAGGTTCACTAGCAGCAGCTGGGGCGATTTCCGGATCCGGTATTTGAATGTCGAGCTAGCACAGTCAGCCCTCTAGAACCAAGTCTCAAGAATAGAATATTCTTACCGTCATATATCCAGATCGCCTCAGGGGGATGATCTTGGGCGCAGCAATTCCCTCTTCAGGTACAAATGTTTTCTCCATCTGCGTATTCCATTTCTCGATCCATGATTCAAGATTTCGCAGCCTAGTTTTGGCATTCGTGAATCCTATATCGTCCCAGATCCAACCTGTGAGCAGGCCTAAAGCTCCATCAAGAATGTTACGCCAGTAGTAAGGATTAAATATGAGTATCAGCTCGCCATTGAGCTTCTCGATTATGCGACGAAATTCTTGTTCCGTGATACCAGCTGGGTCCAAAATCTCAGGATACAGGTTGGAAAAGGTGGGCGCTAGATCTCCGTCGATGAGCCAGTCCCTCCGGATTCGTATGATGCGGGTGCTGGTATATTCGGGCGAGTCCATTGATACATGTGGATTCAGGTGTGGGAAGCATGGATGTTGTGGCCCCCATTCCTCGCCAATATCTGGTTGGTCTGGATCGCCCATGATAGACGAGTTGCTCGAGGATATGGCGGACCCAATGTCTTCTGGCAGGGACATGTTGTCTCGACTGTGACGATACTCATGGTCGTTGGGGCCCCTCTCCAAGTCCTTCGAAAAAGACTTCCCCGGCTCTTCATCTTCGGGGAGTGCCATGACGGCTTTGCCTTTGCCTTTGGTGGACTTCTCTGGACGAACAAGTCCGAAGCTCAGTGCTCGAGCTCGATTGGACACGCTCTGTCCTCGTTTTCTAATCCCAGTGGCCTTTGACTTGTCCTCAATAACAACCTGGGGCTGTGATGGACCGGCCCCTGTATCTTGTAGTTGTAATGCCTGCGCAAGGCGTTTCCCGTCGTAAGAGTAGCGAAGTGTTCTTGGGAGACTGACTTTCTGATCGCCGCTACGTCGGCCCTCGATCTGGAGGTTCGCACTCGTCGAGGCAGAATGGCGGTTCTGCCTCTGCTCGGGAAGACTGAGGAGTGGGTAGTTCCCAGCCACTACTCCAGTAGGATCGGGCGGGTCCGAGGATACGTCGATGGCAGGGTGCTCTAGAAGCACAGCCGGAGGCGGAGGGGTGGAACGTTGACGTCGGCGTGTTAATCTTGAAGGCGGCGGTCTCGGCGTCGAGTTGGTCGGATTCCACAGACGGGCAGCAGCAGGCCGGCGAGGTTGGGGGGACTGCAGAATAGGATCGGGAGCAGTGTCTAGAGGTCTTCGCGCCAGCAGATTTTTTCTTGCACCGGACTGGCCGGAGTGGGTAGGTTGCTGCTGTGATGGCTGGTTCACGCGAGAGTTCGCTTGTGCATCTAGGGCGGTTCGTGGCAAGCTTGCAGATTGGTCGCCTGCGTGTGAAGCCGTTGGAAGGACGATTCGGGTGCTGCAGCCGCCGCCGAGGGCTGCAAGACGGCGATCGGACGCTGCTTCCAGCTATTATATATTATTAGGTGGGTGGCGTCCCCTGCGACTTCCTCGTGACGTGCAACTAAGAGTTGACCAAGTTGAGGCTCTCGGTTGGCCTGTTGCAAATCTCGTCGGGTGCAGGTGCGGAGAGGCCAATTGCTGAGATGAGATTTTGAGTTGGAGGCCGTGAGTGGACCAAATGGACGCAAGGCACGACTCGCTGTGATGGTGCTCTCGGTGAAGGGGGCTTGTGCTGTTACTTGGGTGTCGCTGTGGCCACTGCCTGCTTGGGGCGCTGGTTGCGGTCGCCGTTCGATTTTCAGGGGATCAGCCGAGACCAGTTCGGGGCTAGCCTCATCAAGAAGTTGGCCCTTCAACCCCAGCATAGTGGTAAAATTAATATTCTCGTCTCGTCCACAATTGCAACCACTGCATGCGATCACAATTGTTAAGAAAAACCAGCCAACTATACCAAAGGTGTGGCTCGTTTGTTGGGTTTCGTTGTGCTGCTGACTTCGATAGACCTGGTTCGGGATGGGCAACTAACTACCGATGGAAGCAGCGAGCCCCGGACTTTAGATGCAGGCTCAAGTCGGACTGCTCGGTAATTGCTGCAACTTTGAAGTCCACTGTTGGTAGATGTACCCCAGATGATGGTCTGTCGAGAGCGATATCTCTTGAGCCGCACGCAGATGTTTTGTTGTCGCATCAGTGCTCTTGACAATGGAAACGGCGGCGTCGAGAAATGGAAACTGAACAGGACCTCAGCTTCTAGGGAAAGTTCCAGATAAGCACTGGCGATGTCGAGTTCTCTTAAAACATGGTCAAGGAATTTGATATGATCAAGTAGGTGTGATGAGTTGAAGGTACGCTTCCTAGAGTCAGTCAATGCACAGCTGGTGCAGGCTGAGTGTGTCAAGTTCACAGATTACGGAGCTCTGGCACGCCTCGTTTATGTATCCTCAAGTCGGTTATCCCATTCGGCATCCGTCATTCAGCCCGGCCAACAAGGTCATAATATCCCGGATCACAGCAAGATCCCAAACGCTTTAAGATTATTTATTTGCCGCAAGAATTTTCTTTCTCTCTTCCAACATTGCTTACCCAGAGGCACAGCCCAGCTGGAGTTCCCGCCGTTAAGACGCTGTCGAGGCGCTGCCAGGGGCCCCTGGTTCCATACCAGACGCTTGCTGGGATTAATAGCATTGGGAGACCCGACTGGATGGGTTCAGAGCCACTCAAAACTTCACGAATGCATTCTTTAGCTTAAGTGGATGCATCACCGCTTGTGGCACGCATCAACGGCGATTGCAGAGCTACAGTCATCGCGAAGAGCATCATAGACACAAACAATGAGCCTCTTCCAACACATGCCTCCTAGATTTTCAGATCTCCGGCCTCAGGGATGTTCGGCTATTTCTAGGTTATGTCTGTGCTGCGGACGGCATGAGCGAAATGATGTCTTCATGCCTGAGCCTTCGCTTTATCCACTTATTTACGCAGATATCCGCGTAGGGAACGCAAAAAAATGGCTCCGTCAACACAGTATGGGTCGTTGCGTATATCGTCAAAGCACCAGAACACGGCGCGGCCACAAGGCTTGATGGTTTCCGAAAGGCAGCTTACAAGGTTTTTCCTTAGAGTGTCGTTTGTGGCTGTCATCTCCAATTTCAATCTTGACACTTCTCTCAATGAGCCACAATCCCAAGGGTCTTCCTCACGAATGGACTAAGCTGTGGGATCACACTGATGCTGGCATTCCGGCTACATACGAAGGTGTAGAAGGGAAGTACAGGTGGGTGGGGAGATCCAACCCGCCCGGGGCCCTAGAGTACCTCAAGTATACTTCACCACGACCTCAGACCACCAATTCTACAGCAGCCGTATCAATAAGAGTACCCCGTATATCCTATTCTTGGAGGTTCAATTTGCTTGGACTTTGGAATGTCCTGAGTTGTTCGGATGTAGGCGAATTGTTATGTAAAGTAGACGTACGTCAAGTACTTCCTTGTTCAATGGGGTTGGTCCCAAAACCAACAAACTTCAAGCCGAAGCTGTCGTCTGATGAAAGAAATGGGCCAACGCTCAAACAAAAACGGGCTATTAACTACGAACAAGATTGGGATTGTCTTTAGCCTGGCTGCGTGCCTTGGAGATGACCGCTGGTACTGGGACTGAGCACTCTGTCTGCCTGTCTATCAAAATCATACGGTTCCTATCAGCCAACTTATAGTTCAGCAGGTGCCTAAGTCATCCGTAAAGTACTGCGCCCATCGAGGTAAATTGTGAGAGACTCTCCTTGCTGTGACATGGGTATCTGCTGTTAAACCAGAGAGGTGGGTACTGTACCTCGACGAATACTGTGGTGCACCGTTGTACTTCGAACATTTCAAGTTGGACAATACGTCCATATAAACATTTTGCGCAAGGATTTGCAACATCGTCAGATCGACTTCATCTACCACCACTGTGGACACCGCTGTAGCGTGCCAGACAGTTGGCTCTAGAAAGGGGGGCGAAATGGGGCGTGCCGCATCAAATGAACATCTTACACTCAAAATGCCGCCGGCGTGACGTCTAGAAATTTGGCGGCTTTTTGCCTGACTCCACTCTGCTTTGGAGTCGCGACTACCCCCCCCGCATTTCAAGAGCTGCCCGGTCTTGCCAGTGGAACAACTAAAGCTCTTTGGCTGTGTGGAAATAATAAGGTCAAAGATCCCTGCCAATCTAGTCGACCTTAGACAACCTAGCATCTACTACATCATCCATTCCATTCCGTCACTTCTGTCATTCATCATTGATGGTCTTGCGTTGCAACAATCATCAGTTGAAAATTGTGCAGGCTTCAATAGACTAGTCATTGGTTATGCGCTCATGCGGTCCTTTCCTCACTTCTAAAGTGATGGCCGATGACAGCTGCGCATCGACATCAGCCCCCACTGCGGCAGATAGAACGACGTCGCCGGCGAGCAATGGGAACAACGTCAACAATTCTCCCCCGGGACACGGCTTTCGGCGGGCTGTGACCGTGGATGAGGGCGTCCAATTGCGTCGCCGCTCGACTATCAACGCGGCCACTTCAGAAAATCCTCTCGGCGAGATTCGACGACGGAGCTCCAGCTTTTCCGATTACAGCTTGAACGAGGCTCGACGAAACCTCGAATCCAGTGCAGATGAACTGTTCAATCTCCGCGGTGCTAGAACACAGTCGGGGGACAAATCTCTCTATGCATCGGTCCCGCTCATCTTCGCGTTGCTGCCTGCTGTGGGTGGCATGCTCTTCAAAAATGGAAGCGCATTCCTCACCGATGTGATTCTGCTGGGACTCGCCGCCATATTCTTGCACTGGTCGGTAACACAGCCGTGGAGTTGGTATCACGCAGCACAAGAGGTTCGCGTAGTCAAGGATGAAGTCATGGCCGGATCCGTGTTCGAATCCGACAGCGAATTGGAGCTGTCCACGTCGGCATCTGTCACGACGGCGCTCGAAAACGTGCCTGAGGAAAATGGCAAGGAAAGGGAAAAAGAGAAAGTGAAGCAAGCGGAGAACGTCAAGAAGCCAGAAACTCCACAGAACTCACCAAAGCCTGCACATAGGCAATGGGAGGTGCGCAGAGCCGGTACAGCAAAGGAGCTCTATATCCACGAGATGCTAGCCTTGGTTGGATGCTTCCTATTCCCTTTACTGGGAGCATATCTTCTTCATACTATTCGCGGTCAGCTGAGCCGGCCGTCCGAAGGCCTGGTCTCTGATTATAACTTGTCGATCTTTCTCATTGCGGCCGAGGTTCGACCAATATCACATTTGATCAAGCTGGTCCAGAATCGAACCTTGCGCATCCAAAGACTCGTCGCCACGAACCCTTACCAGAGACACGCCATTCGAACCAAGCAGTTGCAGGAGCTACACGGTAGATTGGATGAATTGGAAACGCGTGCCGCGGCTGTTGAGGTGTCGTCTAGTGCTAGTGTTCAAACCGACTTGTTGAGCTCGCGAGTTATGGAAGCTACGCTTGCACGCAATGTTCGGGATGGCATGCAGCCTGAGTTGGATGCACTGAACCGTGCCGTCCGCCGCTACGAGAAGAAACTTGCTTTGCTGGCCGGCCAGATAGATACCAGGCTCGAATATCTTGACGGAAGACTAAACGACGCCATCGCACTGGCTGCCGTTGCCGCAAAGCATAGTAATGCTCAGGGGAATTTGGGTTCCTGGCTGGTTGAGACGACCGTCACGATCGTCATGTTTCCCATTCAGACGGCGATCTCAGTCTTGACCTTTCCCTTCCGAACTGTATCATCGCTGCTAGGTCGGAAGAGCAGGCCATCCTCCGAAAAATCACATAGAACGAGCCGTAATGGCAGACCATCTGGGTCGAGTAGAGCAGGCTCGGATCGCGTCCCAACCAGGATGTCTAGGAGATGAGCATAGAGGGCGTAGAGCCCAGTGTGTATGACCCTTTACGAGACCATGCATTGCTGATTAGGACTGAGATACCAGGAAAAGGATATAGGTATGGCTAATGGAGGCAATTGGGAGTACTTGGGAGGGTCTATGGGACTGACAGGATGTCACAGGAGGAGTAGTTTAGTCTCCGATATCGACTCACCGGCACCGTCGTGGTTTGACAGCGGTAAACGAGTCTGTAGACTGCACATCAGACAGTAATCTTAGCTTGTTTCGTCCAAGTGCATAACTAATGTGTTGGGTGGCTGCGTATAGTACACGATGGGCGGCGGTCTGGGAAATTATCAATGGTTTAAAGTTCAACGGTCGATTCAATAAGGTTGCGACAAATTTTACCACCGGGAACTGTTTGTTCCAGACAATAATTGGCATACATGATGTATGCCCAATCAGGCTGTCTATTTCATCACAGGCAAACAGTCTCATTTGCCGGTGAGCCCAATATATCTCAACGGAAGTCTCAAAGACGCGGGAAAACAATGTAAGCAGGGGACGAACGGAGTAGATGCAGTTTTGAGCTTTGCTAAGCTTTTTTAAGGTAGTTGAGCTCTATGGGAAATCGTTGCCGAACGACGCGATTTTACGCGATGCCGAAATTGCATCCTACTCTACTCAAGTATACTTTCCTGGTTGATATTAATTGACCCATAAGAAATGACACAGATAGTAGCTGAGAAGCCCCAGATATCTTTTCATCCAAATCCAGACGGCTGTTGACTCGTGAAGTCGTATGTCGTATGAGAAGTAACTATTGTTTTGAAAAGCTCATCTGAAGTACGCACGGATGAATAGCGGGCATTCATGCGGCTGTGTAATCGTATGGGGGTCCAAAGGAGGAAGGGGGCCCTCATGTGAGTCTGTAACAGGTATCACAAGTTGAAGCCCGATGTCGTGCGACCACGGCCGGCCGACTGTTCCAGGTTTTTCGTAAGTTTTTGTTCTTCTTGTTAGCCCGGAGGACGACGTCTCGTTTGTCTGACACGGCGGCATCGTAATTCTTTTCTTGAGCCCACTTGTCGAAAAGGATTCCGAGGCTGATCCAATTGGGCGATGGGGCCCCTCCAATAGCCCCAAGGACCTTTTCTTAGAAGCCGTTCGGTTGTCAACTTCATCATGATCTAGATCTACAAGACTGGAGCCGTGAGGTTGATCCACAATGTCTTTCACTGGAGCCCAGGTTGATGCTCCCAGAAATGCTACGCTGCAGGGTGACGCCGGTGATCGTCAATTGGCTCTGAATGGTCCAAGTCGCCGGCGCGCTCCCATTGGGTAAAGCTGCAGTTCTGATTGCTGAACTGGTTCGTCCCTGAGCTGCATGGACCGACATGTGCAGTGCTGAAGGATAAAACAAGCGAAATGGGCCGGTCCTCTGCTGGGTTGTTCAGAGACAGGGCTTGAGATCTGCTCGCCGCTCGGAGGCTTGGCTGTTCAGGATTCAGGACAGTCGCGACTGTGGTACATCGTAAGCTCCATCTATCAAGTGTTGGTCGGAGCAATTCGCCTCTGTGCTTTGCTTGTCAGCCCGAAATTGTAACATAGATCCAATGATCTACAAGTGCGTTTCCGAACGCAGACCTGCTTCATCCAGCTCTCTACCGTAGCGACGAGCTCGTAAACATGATAAATAACCCGATTTGCGTCAATGTTTCCTCGCCTTGTTCGGCGAAGCTCTTGAATATGTAAGTTAGCGTGAGTGGGTAAAAAGCCCCACGACGCAGCCCAGCTGCAAGCCCCTTGAAAGCTAGTAAGCAAGGGTGCCGTGCCGAGAATCAAAAGACACGGTGGTCAATAAGTGGCCCAGCGTTAAAAAAAAAAGGAAATACAGGTTACACACCCGATCGAGCTGCTTTTCGACCAGCACCCTGGCCGCGGGACAGCAAATGGGGATCACGGTTGCTTTGCTTTCGTCGAATAAGGCCGGCTGTCCGAGCAAAGCGGTTTCTCTTACGCTCTAACGCTACTAGTCCACCGTGGAGCGGCTGTCTGCTAATCTCCCGCGTATCGAGCTACATCCATTCGGGTGGTGGTTCCTTCGTCATGCCGCCATCACACGGCATGGCCACCCTCCACGATGAAGAAAGGCTGCCAGACAGTAAATGGGCCGTGGCAAGTGTGAAAAGCAAGTCGAGAAGGCACATCTTAACTGATGGGCTGCAAAAGATGGGCCATGCTCTCTTTCCCACAGCCGGTTCTGAATAGTTTCTTCTCCATCTCATGCCTAACGTCACTTGCATGAATATATTCTCTATTCGCTTGCCATTGATCTCCCTACCTGGAGGAGTCAATATTTTGGTATAGCCTGTTTGATCAGACATTGGGACCTCTTGGCCGTTGTGTGTCCAGTTAGTAACTGGGGCCTGTCATCTCCCCGGCTGTCGTCCTTGGAACATATCCCTCCAACCCACACCCTGCCCCCCGTTCCGTTCGTTGTAACGCGGTTTCGTAAACTTCCGGCCTGCCAGCTTTGCCCGATCCGAACACTACATAGAGGTTACTTCCCTCTTATTGCAAAGTCCCATCTGGCTTGGAAACTTTCTCAAGCGCAACAGAGGAGGATCCACGCCAGCATCACACGGCAATGGTGCTTTTCGACCGCAATCGAGCTCAACAATCATAGTTGTGGTTAGACTTTCTACGCGCTGCTTGTAGTGTGGAGTTCACCTTTGGGGCTGCACCGTTGTCGTTCCGCATATGTTTACTCGGTTGGATGAGAAGTCAGGATGCTTCTAAGGTGGCCTCGATCGTGGGCCTTTTTGTTGTGTCTGGTGCTATGCATGCACATTGTACTGGCCGAGAGAGTCCACGCGGTTCGACGACAAGATGCCTCGACGACGACGACAACAGCTGCCCCGAAAACTACTACTGAAACTGGGAAAGAGTACTCGACAACAATGGCTTGGCGCTCCAGATCAACAACAGATACTGCAACGGCTGCCAAAACTACAACGAGTGCCTCCGATACCGTGAAAGGAACAGCTATGCCTTCTGCCATCAACGACAATGCCCCAACTAGCACACTTGCGATTAACTGTAAGTCTAACCTGCAGTACCATTGTAACTAAGAATACTAGTTCTAACTTTGATCCATAGCCACTATCGTTGAGGGCGAGCTACCTCTTGAGCCCCGGCTAACACCGGCTTACGCGGTCGCCGGTGTGATATTACTTTCCACGGGTGTAGTTCATACCCTTGGTATCAAGAGAAACTTACTCCATACGTTCTTGTCGGCGGCTTATTTGGCTAGCCTCTGTACGACGGTTCTGATCGTATACATCATGAGCCCGCCCGTCTCGGATGGTATCCAAGGCGCATACCTCGTGGCAGTGGTATGCACTGGACTCGTGCTGGGTGGAGGAGCCACTATGTTCAAAGAGATCACTGAGGGGCTCGGCTGCCTGCTCGGGGGCTTTTGCTTTAGCATGTGGCTACTGACATTGCACCAGGGCGGCCTGTTGACTAGCACCGGCGGGAAGATTATCTTCATCACGGCATTCACTGTCGTGGGGTTTGCGACTTACTTCAGCCGATGGACTAGGATATACGCCCTAATTGGCTTTACTTCTTTCACTGGCTCTACGACCACGGTACTAGGCATCGATTGCTTCAGTAGAGGAGGATTGAAAGAGTTTTGGGCTTACATCTGGGCTTTGAATGATGACCTCTTCCCCCTGGGTGCTGACACATATCCGCTCACCAAAGGAATCCGGGTCGAAATCGCATTGACTGTCATCTTTTGCTTGATCGGCCTCGTGTCTCAGTTGAAACTGTGGAAGATGGTCCAAGAGCGTCGCGCAAAACGAGCAGAAGCACAAGCCGAACTCAAACGAGAGCTTGATGTGGAAGAGGCCAATGTTGGTATGCAAGTTGAAGAACAGAATGCTCGAGAAAGACAAGAGTGGGAAGCCAGCTACGGGCGGAAACCGAACGGCAGTGTGACACGGTCAGGGGACTCTGGCGTTGGCGACATGAGTGAGAATTATGCTCGAGACGGCCAAACCACCAATGAAAAACTGTCGACCACTGAGGCCATAGAAATGACCGACTTCACTCCAAACTCTCCTAATCCATCGACGGTACCGACAAAGCAAAGCCCAGATGGGAATCTTTCCGCCGACGAGAGTAGGGTGACGATCAAAACCGGAGGAGACGAACTCGATTCGCCAAAAGCAACAGCTGCGGGACAAGACGACAAAGTCTGGGTTGTTGGTACAGATGGTGAGACGCGACCAATTTCGGACGTGTCAATTCGCGACTCACAGAGGATGTCGAGATCAACCGTGCCTGAGGTTGTCCCTCTTCCCTTTACGGTCCCCAACGACGTTGACAAGGACGATGATGACGGGTTCTCAGTTGCCGCTGTGGCAGACGATGATAGCCGTTCAGTGGTGCTAAGCGAAAGGGGCTCCCGGAACTCTCTTGGCAAGCGACTTTCTGCTGGGTCTGGCAACCTGCTAAGGAGTCTGTCTCGGCATTCTCACATGTCCCTCAAGCCAACAACTCAGGAAGGTAATGATGCATCATCGCCACAGCCATCACCGACATGGGGAGGCAGCCAGGAAGACCTCATGGTAGAGCAGTCAAGAGTAGAAGGGGATGACGCTTCTGTCGCTGCAACTTTCGACGACTTGAGCAAGGATGGACTAGACAACTTGAGCATCATGAAGGATGGACGAACCCGATGGTCTATGGATATCATGGCCGAACTGGCAGACCCGGAAGGCCACGCCGAGGAGAATCCATCTCTGACGGCCAAGACAACTGAAGCCACCCCTGACAGCGGCCAAACCCCCATTCCCATCCCCACGACGTCGGAAGACACTCCTGATGCTACCAAGGTCTCGAAATCGGTGGCTGCAACCGAGGAATCCGCACCACAGAGTTTAACGAAAGAACGTCTGCCGCCCGGCCTTTCCCGCGTGGCCCTGTCATATCGAACAAATGAGTGGGCAAAACATTTGAGTCAGGCAGAGTTGCCGGAATCAGAGAGGTTGCAGCTGTACGACGATGTTGCAGGGGAAGAGTCGTCAATACCTGAGGAGGCTGCAGCTCCAGTCAATGTGGAGAGCCTCCAGCAAACTGCCCAAACCGGCGCCCCAGGTCTCGTGGTGGCACGTTCATCGTCTTCATTTTCGAGTTCACCAGCATCAATTTCTCTTTCTCGAGCCAACTCTGGAGTAGGAGCAGATACGACAATATCAGCTACCGCGAGACAAGGCTTTTCCATACCACCAACCCAGGACTTGCGCTGTCGGAATAGCGTAGCTAAAGCGACGCTATCCAACATGCACACAAGCAATAGCTTCCGAACGAAGTCGGGCAATCAGAGCCGGCGCACGTCAGCAGATATAATTGTCCAGCCTATAGCCGAAGAGCATGGCGATGAACGGCCCAGCGATATCACAAACCAGCTTGTTGAAGAGAGTAATAGCAAACAGTCTTCCCCTGCGTCGTCCCGTCGTGTCTCACTTGAGCAACGAAACTCGCGTGCCCCTATTCCGGGCGTCGTTTCCTACTCTAGCCCTCAGACACTACTTGGTCAACGGGAAGTGTTTCTACGCAATAAACCACGGCTTTCCCTCACCAACGCGTCCCCACCCGAACGTGGATCATATTCGCCCCAACCCCAAATCACGAGCGATATTGTTTCCCCCATGCACGGCTCCTACCTCGGCCAGAATGCGGACGACATTCCACTCAGCCAACGAAAGCAAATCATGCGTCAAAGCAGTCTTCTACAGATGGCTGCCGCAGGAGGCGGACGGCCTGGCAGCAAGCTGGCCATGACGCCAACCCAGCAAATAACCACAGACGGCGTGCCGTTGAACTCCTACCAACCCCACATAAGGCGCTCCACTCGAGAGAGTCAGCTAGCAAGCTTCCGCCAATCTGTCACAAACGACCTCCGGGCAGTTACCCCCGTGCAACCAGCTGGAAACACCGTACACGACTGTCGTCTTCCATCGAACTCAAGGGCATTCGTCATGCAGCACGCCGGTCGGGACGGAGAAGTCAGACGCAGCGTCGATCCAGGGTGGAGTAAGCTGCTGAAGGAAAGAGAACAAGAGGCACAACAAAAGGAAGCGGAACGCTATGAAAAGGAGAGATACGATCGCGCCTTTGAGCAGCGCATGCGAAGGGGCAACCTTACTGATGCCCACCGGGAGGCCATGAGAAAGATGCAGAACGCTGCGCATATCCAATGAGGCACAATGAGATAGATGGGGTTTCAAGCGCTACGAACAGGAATAAAGGGTTATGCTGGGATGTACATAAGTTTTCTTTACGGGTCTGGCTATGCGGTTTGGTGCGATTACATGATACCCTTTCTGTTCTTTCTCTCTTGTTCAGTAAACATTTTTGGGGTTGCCTGCGTTTAGTCTCTCTCTTCTCTTCTTTCTTTGAGAGATGTCAGGAGGAGCGGACGGATGGCCGAACATACACAACTATTCCATGGTCTATACAGACTTTATTTTCTGCCGCATTTAATATTTATGTTTTCCTACCATGCACATGTAATGGCTATTAAAGAAGGCAAAAGATCGCGGTTACATAGTCGGCAGCCAGTTATAACGGAGAATCTACTATATTAGTTAAAGCGATCGTAACGAAGTATAGTACTTGATACATAACTTTAAGGGGGCTACCCTGTAGCTATACATAACATGACAATATAGGGCTGCAAGGGTGCTAGTTAGCTAAGCAAGCTTTCCTCATATACATGAGTTGACCTCTATATGTACTCGCGTCAGTACTACACGACAGTACTCGTCGGAAGCATCACTATGGTCCTTTACGTTAAGTAGCCGAACCTAAGAAAAGTATCGTTAGCACTATATTCGCCCTTGATAAAAGGGCAATGTCACGCCGTGCAATCATGCTAGATGTCTTCATGAAAAGAAACTAATACCAAAGTCAGGGACTTTCTCACTTGCAACCACTAATCAATCAATCAATCAATTCGGACCATTCTCGGTCAATCTCGTGACAACCATCACAGGTAAGATATAATTATATTCTAGTGGTACTAGCGTTCCAACTACACATGAAGGTGAAGAAGGGAAGTACACGTATCTCGGAGTGGGGAGGGACTTCCAAGCCGCACAAGGGCACTGAAGCATCTCAGGTATACCTTAGTATGACTTCAGGCCACGAATTCCACAGCAACTCGTCTAAGGGGGGCACTTGGCCGCCGTACGGCGCTAGAGAGAAGCCTAAAGAGTATATCTTAATTTTCTTTCGGTAGTCGAGGAAAACGCTACCCTAAGGGGCGTAGCATACCTGTAGGAAGCAGTAAAAGATTCGGAGGATGGTATATTATGGGATTATGGACTACTGAGGCTGTCAGACATCGATTCTTACGATGCTAGCTGAATTTAATACTCCTCAGCCTAGATTAAGCCGTATACTAATATAAGGTACTTGGGAATAGCTTCATTTACAGTTGATTTGTACGTCTTTAGGGATTTCGAAGAGAGGTATTGCGGAGGTTAGGTTGTCCTAGTTAAGGATTGATCCTTGTCTCGAGCCCTTGTGCAGAATAAGAGAACCAGTTTACATAGCGTTGGCTGCATGCTTCGTAGAACAATTGTGAAGTGAACAAGAGACGCGTTGTTGTTGCTGTTGTTCTTGTTGTGGTCGTATAATTTCCCCGCCAAATGGAGGTATACACAAAGAGGAGGTCAATGCGGTTAGGCGATTCCCTCGTAGAATAGATGACATAGTCCCTTAGTAGATCTTCCGCTTAAATGCCTGTATCGCATCACGTATCCTGGGCCGTGCCTTCCAAAAGATTCCCCACTGCCAACTAGAACATCCATGGTCATGAGAGCCCTTAAAAAACATCTCACCAATTCTGAATTGTATATTTGTGCTATAGAGGCACTCATGTCTTGGTTTCAATAGATTGAAGCAGCTGTGTCCAAGACCAACAACTTCGGTTTCCAGGATTTGCGGGCATCCATCCCCCAAATATTAAGCTTCTGTCGGGGGCAGGGCCAACTGAGATCAGGCGGCGAGACCTGGTGCACGGACCTTTCTTTTTAACAGTTGCCCTTTGAATCACATCACACCTGGTGCTCGGGGCCGGTGTGACCAGTTTAGAACGCGCCTGCCTGATTGATTACTCCAGAGTTCATGATGCAAGCAGCCTACATCAAAGGCATGAACCATTTCAGATTCTCTTACCTCTGACTCCATTCAACTTTGAGAGCAACCTTAAGCTTACGCCCTGTCCATTGTTCCATGGCATCATCAGAGTGACTCTGAATTCACCTTTCTCCGATTGTTGGTAAGTGTGTCTCCGCTTCAAATAGTACTCGAGTACTTCGGAAGTTCTTAGGCAGTCTTGAACCCCCGCCATGAAACTATCTAACCAACACCCAAACCGCAGACCACCAACGATTCCGAATCGTTTACATCAATTTGGATTTCGCCTCCGTAACGCAAAGTCCTTTTAACACCGCGCAACTATCACGCATTCTTCTGCACATCTCTACACGAGCACACTATCTGGCTTCGACAAATTCATCACTTGAGCATCCGCCAAGATGTCTGCCGACGGTAACACCAAGATCAAGTTGCAGTCCAACGACAATGCCTTCATTGAGCTCGGTGAGTACCCCCCACGTCGCAGGCGTGTGCTTCAAATTTACTGGACGTGCGATTTCTGACGTGCGATTGCTAACCATCACATCTCGCAGACCGCCAAGTCGCTGAGCGCTCCATCCTGATCAAGCACATGCTTGAGGATCTCGGTGAGGCTGCTCTTGGCCAGACCATCCCCATCCCCAACGTAAGTGCCACTCATCAGCCCACTACTGGAACGATTGAATCTGATTATTTGATCCCAGGTCACTGAGCCCGTCCTTCGCAAGGTCGTCGAGTGGTGCGAGCACCACCGCAACGATCCTCCTTCGACCGCTGATGAGGAGTCCGACAACCGGAAGAAGACCACTGAGATTGAGGAGTGGGATCAGAAGTTCATGCAGGTCGACCAGGAGATGCTGTTCGAGATCATCTTAGTAAGTCGCGTTGATGTCATGGTTTCTGGGAGTAGTCCCAAGGCTAATATTCCTTTGCTTATAGGCTTCCAACTACCTTGACATCAAGCCCCTTCTGGATGTCGGTTGCAAAACCGTCGCCAACATGATCAAGGGCAAGTCCCCCGAGGAGATCCGCAAGACGTTCAACATCACGAACGACTTCACCCCCGAGGAGGAGGAGCAGATCCGTCGGGAGAACGAGTGGGCCGAGGACCGCTAAATCACCTTTGGTGGAAACAGCTCGTACCTGGGGTGGGCCGAAGGATTATACCTCTTCGCCATTATTGCGCCTGCCCATATAAAGACTCGGGACGAATTTCGACGTGGCACGGCTAGTGGTGGGAATGGATACCACTGGTAGAGCATTGATCAGGCGTTTTTTAATGATTTTGATGATGGCAGGTTGGTTCATGGCTTGGCTACTTTTGTGGAGTGTCCCTGGTTGACTTGATCAAGTTGGGACGCCCTTGCAATGCAGTCTCGTGATCTCCGTCATCCAGTGGTAGCATAACTGGAAACCTGCATTTGCTAGACACCGACACCTGGTAGCCTCTTTGGCATACCATGAATACAGAACATAAATCCCAATACCGTTATTCTCTGCAATCAATTCTCTGGCATCTTTGTTGTTTCTAACGGCAATGCCTAACAATGCACGCTTATATACATTGTCCAGTTTCTGAACTCTTCACTAACTAATCTATGTTGTAGATGCTTTGCCAGATATAACCAAGTACTTTGCAAGTAGGCTTGAAGGGTTCTATCGTTCCCATGATCAATACAAGCAGGCTTCTTGTTCCCACTATGCCACTACTAGAACGTGCCACATGTGGCTCAGTTATCAAATATTGATTTTCTCAACTTTCACGATATCATATTCCACGAAGTCAGCCTTCACGAGTATGTACGACGTTGGTCCTCTTAAACGAACACCAACACACTCCCCTCCCCTCCATATTATAATCAACGCCTTGTAGGCTAATAGGCCTTGTCCTCCAGTTGTTCCGAGGTTGTGGCTCCTGCGTATACGTGAGAACCAAATTCTTTCGTCATACAGCACGGCCTTCAGTCAATGGTGAAGGATGTAGTGTTGAGGTGTTACTTGATGACCGAGTTTTGGTGACACGCATCGGTCAACTTCATAATGTTCTATCAACATCAAAAGGGTACCACGCAAGGTTTGCGAATAGGTATTCTCTTCTGCTGGCGTTCAGACAGGCAGGAGCGTGTCCATGTGGGTCATAGCCTCTCTACACCGGGCCAGAACACAAGAAGCTTGTGAGTAGCGACTCGTTTGTCAACTTGGATGAGGCAGGGGCATATTCCCATGCAACCACAGCCTCCTGTATGGTGAGTAAACTAATACTTCACATTTCAACCAAAAGACAGCATCTCATAGTAGGTATAATCAGTACGTGTGCATCAAGTATTTCATTCCTATGGCCGGTACCATGCAATCGCGAGTAGAGTCCTCAAGCAAACCGAATTGACGGCAGCAGGTAAATAGTTCCCTTCGCCGCACATTTTCCGCACCCCAGAGGTCCGTGAAGGCAGACCAGATTTGTTGTCATGCTCTGCTTCGTCCGTAACCCCTAAATTTCCATCATCGTGAACGCCGCCATGGTGAAAGGCCAAGCTTTGGTGGTATCGCAGGAAAACAGGATGCCGGTTTGGAGGTGGGTGAGAGGGGCGAATCGACTAAATGCCGAGACGGGTCTTGCGCCAATGTCTTCTCTTGGCGTTGTATCTGTTGGGTATCCTGTCAGCTTACTGCTCATTTGGGATCATTCGCTCATGTTTGCTGGACTCATCATCGCCTGTTATCCACCTCAAGCGTGATCTCGAAATTCGGGGGCTCAATCGTACCTGATGCTGTTACCAGTTCGGAGACGGATCCATTGCGGGATGGGTCGGTTCTGCTTCTGGGCCTTGGCCAGCTTCTGCTTCGTGCGGAAGGACTTGTGGCTCTGAACGCGGATTGTTCGTCAGCTTGCTCATCTCGACGGCGGCTTGGAACTATGGGCCATCATTCCCCTCTCTGGTCTGGAACCACCAAGTCACAGGACCGAGATAATGGCTACGGTAATAGCCAGTTTAGGGAAGATTAGGGGATCGATAGACGGGCAGGTGAGAACATACCGGCATTTTGACGGCTGATGCGGTTCCAAATGTCGAGATGGTGGTTGATGGTCATAAAGTGAAGTGAAAATCGAGGCAAGTTCCCAAGATCCAGGGTCGGATTTTGGAAGAGGGCAGCGATTTCCCAATTTTTGTGTGGGTGGACTGTGATTGGTTAGTGACCGGTTGGATGGGAGAAAGAGTGGAGCACTTCAGGCGTGGGATCGGCCAGTCTGAGTGCACGTGACCTTCGCTGCAAAGCCACGGTAAGTACGATAAGATAAGAATAGGGCGGGATAGCGGACATAGAGTTAAAGTTGACCCCTGTTCGAGGAGGCGGTCCTGGGACGCTGACATCCAAGAGAACCGTGCCACTGCTGGATTGGCTGCCTCCTTTCATTGACCAGTTTTGGCAAGACGCAAAGAGAGAATACCGACAGATCCTTGTTGATTTCTGAATGCTTTAAAACAAATTTGCAAACAAGTACTTCATAACCACCATCACTGAACAAGACAAAGCTGTCGTTCATTGCCATTCCACCAGTTGGAGAAAGTGTGTCAGCTTCCAATACGTCGATAGCTCCACGACTTCCCACCTAGCTTACCAAAGCATCAATTGGGACAGATTGACTGCGCTGATCACAACTGAACACGCAACGAACAACCCACGGATTGGCAAAGGACAATATATCGTGGACGCCTACACTCAACATACGTACAAGATGGGCCAGAGCGTGTCGTGGCTGTCGGGCCTGCTGTGGGCCAAGAAGGAGATTAGAATACTGATTCTAGGCCTGGTAGGATAGCTGCACTGCCGCTGCAGGAGCCGCATCGCTGACCAGATCATGCAGGACAATGCCGGCAAGACGACGTTACTATACAGACTCAAGGTGCGCCCGTCTCAACTCATGCCAAACCAAACCCTTGCATTTCCAATTTGAATGGATAACTGACCGGCTAGTCTAACTGCAGATTGGGGAGGTAGTCACAACAATTCCCACAATCGGTTTCAATGTCGAGTCTGTAACGTACAAGAACCTTAACTTCAATGTGTGGGATCTGGGTGGCCAAACTTCGATTCGCCCGTACTGGCGCTGTTACTATGCCAATACAGCTGCAGTCATATTCGTCGTCGACAGCACCGATATCGAGCGCTTGCAGACAGCAGCCGAAGAATTGGGCGCCATGCTTAATGAGGATGAGCTCAAGGATGCCGCGCTACTCGTGTTCGCGAACAAGCAAGACCAGCCAGGTGCAAAGGGGGCTGGTGAGATATCCGAAGCATTGCGCCTGGGCGAGCTGAGGGATCGAAATTGGAGCATTGTTGCTTGTAGTGCTGTGGATGGTAGTGGTGTTAGTGAGGGTATGGATTGGTTGACGGTGAGTAGCATTCTGTGTGTTTCTTTGAGAGTAACTCGGTCAAGTTGGGACCTTCACTCGGGTCGAAATGAATGAGCAAAGGATCATAACTGACAGATGCATAGCAAACGGTTTCGCAAGAGTAATGGCAGCTGTAACTAGACAAGTTGCGGATGATGTACAATCCAAGACGCTATTCTTGTACACCACCTCACCACCATTACCATCACCATTCACTTTCCGATATTACCTCCGAAACTCTTGGTTAGATAGGGAAACAGACCATGATGGCACCTAGGAGATTGTCACCGGCAGCGGTGGCAGGGGCGTGGCAGAGCTATTCAAGCACAGGCGTTCTCAGGGAGTTTTCAGGGGTACAAGGTTGGCGTGAACAATCCCGCCACTATCTTGTGTGATGTGGACGGAACGCTTACTTATTGAGTGAGTGACATATATCTTCGTCTCCTGCATGAGCATGTCTTATATGGTATTGCTATGGATAAGGTTCTCAGCTTTGTGACAAAGTATATGAGTGAGCTAGGAAGGCTGATAAAACACAACGTACGTATAACGGAGAGAAATATCAAGTTCGATTGCTAGTAGAACAAACAATAGTCGGCCGCTCAGTCCATAACCGTAGGATGTGATGATTTGATTTGGGGTTTGAGAACTGTGCCAACCGCAGCGGCCAGCTGTTTATCCACAATCTGACATATATTTCACTGCTGCAGGTTTTGTGAGGTTCAGAAGGTCCTGAGCTGGCAGAACATTGCTGTGTCCAATGGGATTTGTCTCCCATCATTTTCAGCATCAACTTCACTAAGGCATGTCTCTGGGTAAATCGAAACTAGTGAGTGACCTCTGCAGGCGTGTAGCATTTGTCTCATCAGAAACGGTCCATTCTAGAACTGAGGACGATATTTAGGATACCGCGACTTTCGCATGGACAAGGATTGGAGGTGAACGAAATGATGTCACCATGGCTTCTTATGGCCCAGGACTTAGGCCTCTGGTCAGTCTAACTTGCTGTGTCAATTGTTTCGAAGTCGAAGGATGACCAATCTCTTGTCGATGAATTTTGCTCAACTGAATATTTATTGAGCCTCAGATCGAAGACACCTAATTATACACTCGGTCAGTGGCCTCGGAATTCGGGACCTTCGCATGGAAATACCCAACAGGCCGGGAAAGATCGAGGTTCGTTCCCATTCATAAACTCATGTCACGTCACAACAGTGCCCACATCTAGACTAGTCGTGTGTGCGGCCGCAGTTGACGTTTCCGCTATCCGAGCTCGAGAGCTTCCCAAGAACCACCCCTCAAGTACCGGATGCCGGCAGTCGGAACGATTGGATGAACCCGCCGTTACAAGCTTTCCTAAGCGGTGCCTGCGTTCGAATTGCCCACACTTAACACCTCATCCAATATCCCGGCGATGCCAAGCAAACTTGTGACCACTCACGAAAGAAGTACTTGACGGGACCAGGTTGCCTTTGCGATGTGATTGAGGAGAACCTATACAAGAGAAAATATCCGACATCTTTTCGGGGCGGATCCCGAATTGATAGGCGAGATATGAGGTTTGAACTAAACCGGGGTTCAGCGGGGTGTATCAACTGAAAGCTGTATAATAGCTACCGCCTTATTGGCTATTCAGCTCTGCCCCCCCCCCACTCTTCAACAGCTTGATTCTTCCCTCCCTCCACAAGCAACAGCTAAGATAACAAAGGAATTGGACCGGGTTCAACCATGCTGCCCGGCGGTTTTGTGGACTTCCGGAGGATTTCTAGCTTTCACCTTTCTGATTTCTGAAAGCTTGCAACCTGTGCTCGCCCTTCTTCAACAATGCAGTGCTCTATATAAGTTCCAACGGGAGCCTGCCTCAACTCAATCATTCCAAGTGTGAAGAACTCTACCACTTTTAATATAGCCATACTCGCAACGAGCCCCGAGTCCAAACCGTCACAATGGTCGCCGAAAAGAAGTCGGAGTCTACCTTCAAGTACAACGAGAAGCCTGTCTACACGACTTCCAATGGCGCCCCGGTCGATCACCCGTCCAAGTGGCAGCGCGTTGGCACCCATGGGCCTCTCCTACTGCAAGACTTTCACCTGATTGACTTGCTTGCCCATTTTGACCGCGAGCGTATTCCCGAGCGAGTTGTTCACGCCAAGGGTGCCGGTGCCTATGGAGAATTTGAGGTTACAGATGATATTAGTGATATCTGCACGGTAAACATGTTGAATGGCATTGGAAAGAAGACTCCCTGTATCACTCGCTTCTCCACCGTCGGTGGTGAGAAGGGCTCGCCAGACAGCGCCAGAGACCCCAGAGGTATATACTTGTTCCGCAGCCACTACGTAGTAATAATCAATGGCGACATGTTGACTCAGAGATCAAGGCTTTGCAATCAAGTTCTACACCCAAGAAGGTAACTGGGATTGGGTTTATAACAACACTCCCGTTTTCTTCCTGCGAGATCCCACCAACTTCCCCTTGTTTATCCACACCCAGAAGCGCAACCCGCAAACCAACCTGAAGGATGCCACCATGTTCTGGGATTACCTCTCGACGCACCCAGAGTCTATCCACCAGGTGATGCACCTGTTCTCGGACCGCGGAACCCCATACTCGTACCGTTTCATGAATGGCTACTCTGGCCACGCCCACAAGTTCATCAAGCCCGACGGGTCCTTCGTCTACGTCCAGATCCACCTCAAGTCGGACCAAGGTAACAAGACCTTCACCGACGAGGAGGCTGGTAAGATGGCGTCGGAGAACCCTGACTTCTCTACTCAGGACTTGTTCGAGGCTATCCAGAGGGGCGAATTCCCATCCTGGACCGTATATGTTCAGACTATGACTCCTGAGCAGGCTGAGAAGTTCAAGTATAACGTCTTTGATCTGACCAAGGTCTGGCCTCAGAAGGAGTTCCCTCTGCGCAGGTTCGGCAAGATGACACTCAACCGCAATGTTGAGAATTACTTTGCCGAGATCGAGCAGGTTGCGTTTGCTCCTTCGCACCTGGTGCCTGGTGTTGAGCCTTCTGCCGAGTAAGTAGCCCCGCCGTGTGTTTCATCATAATAAAGGCAACCGACAGGTCATCCTACAACTGCAAAATGACTAACTTGAGATGATTCTAGCCCCGTTCTGCAGTCCCGTCTCTTCTCATACCCAGATACCCACCGCCACCGCCTCGGCGTCAACTACCAGCAAATCCCCGTCAATGCTCCGCTCCAGGCCTTCAACCCCTTCCAGCGCGACGGCGGCATGGCCGTCAATGGCAACTACGGCGCAAACCCCAACTATCCCTCCAGCTACCGCCCCTTAACTTACAAGCCCGTCCAGGCCACCAACCCACACGAGCAGTGGACAGGTCAGGCCGTCAGCGCCTTGTTCGATGAGGTCAAACCTGTTGACTACGAGCAAGCTAGGGACCTGTGGCAGGTTTTGGGAAGGACTCCGGGACAGCAGGCGAATTACGTGAACAATGTTGCGGGGCACTTGAGTGCGGCGCAGAAGGATACGCGTGTGAGAACTTATGAGATGTTTTCTAGGGTTTCCCCTGAGCTGGGGGCAGCTATTCGGACGGCTGTCGAAGGGAGGGGTGCGAGATTGTAGAGTGGGGAATTCTGATATATCAATGAAGACAAAAGGTGTATAATTGGAGGGAACTGCGTTGAGAGTATATTGATACAGCAGAGAACCCAGGGTCTAAATCACGCATTTTCTTCAAGCTGAAAGTTGTCAAGGAGGAATTGTGCTGTACCGGCTTGCATAAGGGGAAAGTCACAGTTTAGTCAGTTGTCATATGTCGTCAAAACTTGATTAGTGGGATACAAAAAGGATTGGTTAGTACCGCCGTCCAATGACAACGCAGTGTACCTGATGATCACTTGAATGCTCCATACGTACGTAGACTATAGCAGCACCCATCTACGGAAGGTCCTTGTTGAAGTGCCCTGAAGGCTAGCCATGAGATGGAAGTTTACGAGCCTATTTAAGGAGTATATAATATTGTAAAATAATACACGGCGTAGTCTAGACAAAAGAACGCCTCTTGTTGATGGAGCGTAACCAGCAAACTATCCCAGAATCTCGCGGTGGGCTAGGGATTCGGGGGTTATCTGCACACAGATTAAGCAGAATTTGATATATGCGGAAGTCATGTGCCAACTGAAAATCTCATGCTTGAAGAGTTAGCTCAGAGGAAGTTCCTGCCCTCACATTAACTAGGTTGCGCTTATTACATGGTGCCCTCAATCTTTGTTTAGCCTACTTTATAGTATTGAAAACTTGTCAACATATTGCTTGTGTTTTGTATGTTGCCATGCTGTCTGAGCTCCCATGTCAGGGAACAAGAATTGGCAGGCAGGTTTACCGTAGGAATTGTGGGAAGCTGTGGCCTCAGGTATGGACAAGTACGAGGCAGGCAGGCGCGGATTGTCGTATTTAGGGACACTTCGGCCCCAACTTGGGATTCGTCCCTCACGTACCTTCGTAGAACCAATACTGCCTCTAATCCTTGGAATCCGACAGGAACCACCAACCTGTTCAGATGAGCCCCCTGCTTGGGGAACTTGGTGGACAAGGTTGGGAAGCGTCGAGGGTTTGGTAGCCCCTGCCCAACTCAACCTTATTCTGGGTGGGGCCGTCCAGCGGTGGCGCCCTAAGGCTTATCGATAAAGCCAAGAGACGGATAATCATTGGCCCCAGTGGCTGCTAAATTTGGGAGGCCACGTTCACTATAAGCTTAGCCCACGGTCGTTACTGGAACTTTTCGGAGATGATACGTAGCGACTTTGACATATAAACCAGCACGTCGAAAAGGAAGGACTGGGCCTTCTGCTTTCACTACCCAGCCGAAGTCCGGCAAGCTGCCCATCATGTCGTCCGACTACTCGTATGATGATCAGGGGCAATTCTACCCCTTCTTCATTTTTACGCTGGCGACCATCGTCACCGTCCCCCTCACTTACAGCTTGTTGCGACCCAGCAAAGATGCTGATGCACTTGCACCCCGAACCAAGACCGACTTCAAGGCTGAGCACCAGGACCTGGTAGACAAGCAACGCGCCGCCCAGAAGCGGAAGCAGCGCAAAGTGAAGCGCTTCGTTGCCGTGCTTATCGGCTGGGCCCTGATGGGCTTCATGCTCTACCTGATCATTACGACCCAACGCACCGTAGCCAAGATCTGGAATCCGTACGACATCCTGGGAATCACTGAGTCTGCAACCGAGAAGCAAATCAAAACCCATTACAAGAAGCTATCTGTCAGACTCCACCCCGACAAGGCCCGACCTGACCCAGCCAAAAATGAAACGGTTGAGTCGTTGAACGACAAATACGTCGAAATCACAAAGGCATACCAGGCGCTCACCGATGAGGAGGTGCGCAACAACTACATCCAATTTGGCCACCCCGATGGCAAGCAGAGCTTCAGCATTGGCATTGCGCTTCCCAAGTTTATTATCTCGGATGGCAACGGCACATACGTGGTCCTTGTCTATGCACTGCTTCTGGGTGTGTTGCTGCCCTATCTTGTTGGATCATGGTGGTATGGAACACAACGGATGTCCAAGGAAGGCGTCCTGATTGAGAGCGCCAACAACCTCTTCCGCGAATACAATGACACCATCGATGAGGGCGGCCTGATAACCGCATTGAGCACAGGAAAGGAATTCGAGGAACAACTCAAGGGCGACAAGGCCGAGTCTGGCCTTGCCAAGATCGAATCCAGAATTCTAGCAGCGGGCGAGTTATCACCCTTCGCCGGAGGTCTCCACGTGAAAGACAAGATAAAGCTTGAGAATCTCGATAGCGGTGTCAGGAGAAAGGTATTGGCGCTTCTGTGGGCCTACCTTGGTCGCGTTGAGCTGGACGATCCGGCCTTGAACAGTGCCAAGTACATGGTTGCGCCAATTGCACATGCCCTAACCCAGTCATTTACCGCCATCTCGCTCGCCTATGGCAATACGGTACCCATCCTGACGTCGTACTTTACGAGCCAGCGCTTGATTCAAGCACTGCCGCCCAAGGCGTCTCCTCTCTTTCAACTACCCCATTTTACTCCTGCTGTCGTCAAGGCCATTGAAGGAGACTCCAAAATACACACTTCAGTTCAGCAGTTTATGGACCAGCCCGATGCGCGGCGACGGAGTCTTGTCGTTGGCAAAGGTCTTTTAACTGAATCCCAATACAAAGAGGCCTTGGCTGTCGCAAGACAACTGCCACAACTTCGAGTAGCCAAGGCATTCTTCAAGGTCACTGGCGAGAAGTTCATTATTCCGTCGTCTTTGGTCAGCCTGGTGATCAAGGGTCGTTTCATCCCCCCTGGCAGCGTAGATGCCCCCCCTGTCAATCTCGACGATCTTGAGGATGTCGATCCAGCTGAGGACGATCTCAATGCCTTGAAAAAGGGAGACACGAAGCCCATCCTCCCGCCCATCGCCTACGCACCTCGCTTTGCTCGTGACCACTCGCCGAGGTGGTTTGTCTTCCTCACGGACAGCAAGCAGGGTAAGATGGCAGTCCCGCCTTTCACTTTCGCCACATTCGAAAAGCCCATCTTCACTGAGGATGGAAAGCCGACGTGCAACATGCAGACCCTCAAGGCCCAGTTTGCGGCACCTCCAGGGCCTGGTCATTACACTTTCGTCATGCATGTCATTTGCGACAGTTACGTTGGTTTTGATACCAAGATGGAGGTTACATTGGTAGTCGAGGACGCCAGCAAGGCGGCGGCTATGGACGCGGAGGACGAAATCAGTGAACCGGACGAAGGTGATTTCATTATCTTTATTTGCACGAGAGACCATCTACTAACTTAATGACAAGACTCTATCGCTGGCCAGATGAACGCTCTGAAAACTGGCAGCCTGCCAAGAACCGCCAAGCCCAAAAAGAGGAAAGACGATTCGTCAGATGAGGAAAGTGCCACAGATGAAGAGGAGGACGACACGAGTGATACCAACACTGACACAGAAGACGAAGACGGCGGGAAGTAGTCGTCTTGAGATACCGCAAGGGACTGGGTTTGATAATTATGCGACATAGGTACGGCGTCGGTGGCGTTTAAAGGATGAATAAATCAGCCAGCCAGTTGATATGCCGCAGCATTTGCAGGGCTCATGTCAATTGGCCACTATAGTCAGTAATAGACTTTCTTCATGCAGAGAATACTGACCTTTCTACATAGAATTGCATGTATGTGACTATCAATGATTCTCCCATCTTACACAACATGGAGTCAAGTATGCCCCATCTCAAATGAGTGGTGGGAGAGGGGGAAGGGGAGGGCAGGGGCTGGAAACGAGGTGCTTTTTTTCCGAGTCGTCATTCATTCACCACATAGTTACGTGTAAGACACCTTTGCGTCTAAGTTGGACCATCTTCTAGGGTCAGTCGGTCACAAGTCTCTTTTTTTCTTTTGGAGTTTTGTTTTCCAGTTGGTTAAGGCTGGATCATGCCCCTACATAGACATTGTTGGCTTTTGAGCAGCTTGCCACATTAGGGAGTATCGATCTTGGCGCTACAGTAGGTATAGTAGTCTGCTACTGAGGAGTAAATGTAGTATGCCACAGCCTTGGACCCATGGCTGTAGGGACACGGATAATATATTGCCAGTGAATCTGATTTTTAGCGGCATTAGCGCTGAAGGTCTGACCTAGCCAGCTAATACAGTCCCAGATAGGAAAAGCGGTGAGCTAAATTCATTGGAATAGACCCCCGTTCTGGGCAAAAACGCCAAAACGCGTAAAAAATTTCCCCCAAACCTCGCGTTAAGTGCATGCTTCCAAAGGTCGAGTCAGGATCAGGTCGTCGCCCATACCTTTGATTCATCCAGGTCCACCACTCGGTCCCGGCATATCTCCCCAGCCTAGATAGTTCAGTGGGCCCGATTATTCTTCAATTTTCGTTAAACGGCAGCCTCGTGAAGAAACGAAAAAGACAAGCACCAGTTTTTGCTTATCGCGCCGTTGAATTTCTTCTCCTCAGCGGCTTCCCTGACCCCTCGATCCTAAATATAGACCGTCAACATGCGTGTGGTCCTTGTGAGCGGCGGAGTTATCTCTGGTGTTGGCAAAGGTGAGTTCCTCGCTCTGCTGGTCATGTCTTTTGTTGTGTCTGTCGTGGGGAACTGCGATATGTGACGACGATCCCATCCCAATGCCGTCAACTCACCCTCCTGACTTTTTGTGCCAGCATACTGACTTGGGACACGTTAGGCATTATTGGTATGGAAATTCGTGGTTTTTTTGCCATTCTTTCCGTCTACTGACGGAATTTGTTTGAAAGCCAGCAGCGCTGGGCTTCTTCTCAAGACCCTGGGTCTCCGCGTTACGGTATGACAAAATATCACACGCCTTAATAATTCCATGATCTCTTGCTTACGTCACAATTTATAGGCCATGAAACTTGATCCGTATCTGAACACAGATGCCGGATTGCTAAACCCGCTAGAGTAAGATTCACTGAGTGCTTGTCACATGAATCGTACTAACAGAATCCTCCAGGCATGGGGAGTGTTTTGTTTTGGCCGATGGAGGGGGTAAGGAAGGACTCCGACTTCCAGAGACATCACGCTGACACAAACAGAGACGGATTTGGATCTCGGAAACTACGAACGGTAAGTTTCACGAGTTTCTAACATTGTAGACGGCATTACTGACGTGGTGGCCAGTTATCTCGGCATTCAGCTTAGTTGTGAGAGCAACATGACCACTGGCAAAATCTATAAGCTGGTCATTGTATGGAACCACCGCGATTCCCCGATGCTGCCGTGGGTTAATGGCAACTGATGTTTTTCCTTTGTAGGAGAAAGAGCGACGAGGAGAGTACCTAGGAAAGACCGTCCAGGTTGTCCCCCATATCACAGATGCCATGCAGGAATGGATCGAACGAGTTTCCAAGATCCCGGTAGATGACTCAGGAGAAGAGCCGGATGTCTGCATCAGTATGCTCTCAAACATATCATGGGCGAAGTGGAAATATGCTAACTTCTTGCCGTAGTTGAGTTGGTACGTTCTCTTACAACATTGCCTTGCAAGGACATCTCCTAACTCTATTTTTTTACGCTTGCAGGGTGGCACAGTCGGGTGCGTGCTTTCCTCCTTCCCCCTCCCGCCCCGTGTTGGTTATGATCATCCTCAATTCTTTACCTGGACCTAGGAGTATCTCTTATCTGGGAGTAGCACGACTAACACGCTGCTAGTGACCTTGAATCCGGCCCTTTCATCGAGGCACTGGTACAGCTGAGGCATAGACTCGGTCGAGACAATTTCTTCAGCATCGGCGTGTCATATGTTCCGATCATCAACGGAGAGGAGAAAACCAAGCCGACACAGCACGCTGTGAGACAAATGCGTAGTGCCGGTTTGATCCCTGACGCAGTAGGCACCCAAACATCATCAAGTGCTGAAACCATCTAATCGCTCTGCCAGATTGCCTGCCGTTGCGAGCGCTCCCTTGATGACGCCACAATTCAGAAGATTGCTAAAAGCTGTCAAGTCGAGTATGAGCAAGTCATCGGCGTACGAGACATGGAAACCATTTACCAAGTTCCCCTTCTCCTTGAAGAGCAGGGTTTGCTCAGGCTATTGCGAAAGGGTTTGGCTCTCGACAAGCCTGCCTTGCCACCCATGGTCCAAAAGGGCCAGGCCCTGTGGGATCTGTGGAAGAAGACCGTCGTTCCTGAGAAGCATCTCTCCCCGGTTGACATTGTTTTGGTAGGCAAGTACGTCGCTCTCGACGACGCCTATCTCAGTGTCCGCAAATCGCTTGAACATTCGGCCATGCGATGCAAACGCAAGTTGAACCTCGTCTCGGTGGATGCCGAGCATCTCGAGCACGACATGCAGCAGAAGGACCCCACCAAATACCACAACGCCTGGAAGGCCATTTGCGAAGCCCAAGGCGTCCTAGTTCCCGGCGGTTTTGGGTCGAGAGGAGTGGAAGGCATGATCGAAGTCGCCAAGTGGACCCGAGAGCGGAAGGTCCCATTCCTTGGAATCTGTTTGGGCATGCAAGTGGCCGTCATGGAATACGCCCGCAACAAGCTGGGACTCAAGCATGCAACATCTGAAGAAATATCGGCTCACGCAGAGCACCGTGTCGTCATTTTCATGCCGGAGGGATCCAAGGAGTAAGTTAACTGTCTTGCTGAAGAGGGAAAACATTGGCGGCGGCGAAAGGCAAGCACTAACATAGGCTCTTAGGCAAATGGGCGGCACCATGAGACTCGGCACTCGGACATCCCACTTTAAGCCGGGTACAGAATGGAGCAAGCTTCGGGCCATGTATGGGGGCGCTGAAGTTGTTGAGGAGCGTCACCGACATCGCTACGAGGTGAACCCCGAATACATCGAGCAGCTCGAGAAGGGCGGGCTTACCTTGACCTCTCTCGACGACAAGGGAGTACGAGTTGAGACCATTGAGCTGAAAGATCACCCATTCTATGTTGGGTAAGCAAAACAAGCAACCCAGTTGAGAGGCAAGGCTCGTGGCGGAGATTGCTAACTTTGTCAACTAGAGTGCAAGCACATCCTGAATTCACCAGCAAGGTGCTAGACCCGTCTCCTGCGTACCTTGGCTTCGTGGCGGCGAGCGCAGGATGCCTCGAACAGATGATCGAGGCAGCGCGCCTGAAGAGAGAAGGGCTGGCGAACGGAACTGGCGACCCGTCGCATTTCTAGAGTGACTGATTGCCTGTGGATGTAGAAAGTTAGACAAACCTTATTGGATCGGTTCACGGCCTCAGGGGCACCGAATACAATGAAGGGCTCACCCTGAAAAGCACGTGGGACTGAGGCAGTGACGCTTTCTGAACTGCATGGTTGGCGTTGGCTGCTTAGAATGAACATTTTCTGGGACTAGAGCGATGAAGAGCTTTGAGTAGCAATTAAAGGGGGTCTTGATGACAGTGCGTCGTGTTGGGACGGGCACGAGCCATCACCGTACACCTGGTGCCGCCTCCAGAGGAATGAAAAAGCAATCGTAAGAGCTGCCGTTTACCAACCGTCTGTTTGCGGTTCAGGATGCGAACTTCGGGCGGCATTGCTATCAAAGAGCGGCTCCAGTGGTTGCGCAGCCTGGTATTGAGTTGCTGCTGGTATGACTAATGGATATCGGTGCTTTCTATGTTGGCCAGCGCTGGTGTCTGCCTTGCATGCTATTCATAGATTGCTTTTACCCATATATCATGCTTATGGCTCATAGGCTGGCACCGAAGTTAAATTGGTGACTGCCAATTCTGGAAATGTTGAATATAGGGGGATGTGCTGTAGAGTGGCCGGGCAGGTGACTGGGTCCATTACATGTTTGCCTAGAGCTGAGGCCTTTCAAGAGTCCTAGCCGATGGCACAAGACCCGTAAAGAATAGTCCCCAATGTGTACAACAACATAAGACGCTATGGATATAACGTATTAACCTCCCCAGCCCGCCAAAAGCTGGCAGGTCGTCTCTAAGTTGATATTCCCTCGAGGCGCTATTCCAAAGTATAATATCTCATCCTCTATGATGCATTCGATCCTACCCATCACCCAGCTTACAAGCATTAGCAGACGTGCGCAAGTTCATATTAACATACTCGCACACCGCATACATCGATACCCTTACCCTCAACAAACGCCTCCCGCCCAAAGTAGACGACCACCGCCTCTTTGACAAATTCCGCATCACTTGCACTCCAAATATCAAGCCCCATGCTCCTGAGCGCATCAGTACTGATTCTGACACCCCGCCCCTCGAGCTCCTCCTCGCCCGGTCCGAGCAGAATTTCTTCATCCGATACATTACTATCCTCATCCTCACAATCGGTGTGGTCCTCCACCACGTCCGCAACCTTCTTCAAGATCTGCGATGTCAGACGGTGGAAGTACTGGACAATAGCCACTTCGGTGCGTGCCTCCTCTGGTGCCAGGGAGACGGACCCCATGGTCGACGAGAGACGCCGCGGGTTGAGGGACGTGATGGGCGTCGATAGGTCTGCCGAACGGGGAACGCTCATGCTCATCGATGCGGGAATATCAGCTAGCAATGCGGCATCCTGAGCCGATTCCTCGGCTTCGTCAGACCGTGTCTGCTCCCCTGCTGACGCCCACCACATGAAGCCATTGTACGCCAGTGCGGACCAGGAAAGCGGCTCGATGATCTGCTCAGCGTCATCTAGCCAGTGCTCGTTTTCAGCTGTGCTTCGAGATAATTGTGGTTGACGAGGTGTAGTGGGTGGGCTCTCTACAGCGGTGTCGCTAACTTGCATGCGCTTGAGGCCGGCTTTGAGGGCGTGGAAACGACGTAGATCTCGTTGCGTCGCTTTGATAGGCGTCCCGCGTGGGCACTCAACACTGGGCCAGACGTGGTCCTTGGCTGCCGGGGCGTGGGGCGCAGGCATGGTTATCAACATGTCCCAAAGAGTATCCTTCATGGCAAGTATACTATCTGTGGTGCAGGCGATCCACCCGGTGCCCAACTCAGGTTCTCGGTCTGTGGGCTGGTCGTCGGGTCTTACTGGCTTCGCCTCCTCTACGAGAAGTGGTATGTCATGCACGCCAACGGTGAACAAGGGCCGCAACCGGGGCGCTGGTCGGTCGGGCGGTAGCAGATCATATGTTTGGAGTGGGATGTTGGAGAATATGGATATGTCGTAGACTAGTCTTATCAGAAACACAGCTGCAGTGGTTGGCTATTGAAGGCTTACCAAAGTTGCACATTTCTTGTACAGGAGCATGCCCAGATACGAGAATACGTTTCCTAAGTAACGCGGCGCGATGTATAGGAAATATCAGGGGTCCAAAGGTATCCAGCAAAGCCGTGAGGCTCCACGCTGGGTGAAAAGGCGAAAGCTTGTGTCCTGGCAGTAGTAACGCCGTCCCATCACTGGCAGACCGGTTCCTAGTATGGCCATGCCGCCGCGGTGTTTTCGGCTGCTCCTGGAAGGTAACAGATGCGGTATCTAGGGATTCCTTCGAAGCCATCGCAGTCTGCTGTACATTCTCGACACGCGCTGCTTGGTGCGATTCCCAGTACTGTTGTAGTACGTCCATCTCCTTACCATTGGCAGCAAGTTTCCTGCACGTTCAGTCAGCCCATGATCATCAATGCCCTCTTGTAGGTCGAAGAGCCATAACATACGAGGCCATGTCCTTTAACGACTCAGCATGTCTCCACGCCCTGCCCAATCGTCCATAGCTCAGCGGCACCAGCACACCGACGGCCAGCATGCGCGCATTCCTCACCTCGCTGTCCTCACACGGCGCATTGACAAAGGCGCTCAGCCCCGCGAAGCCATCGTGAACGAAGTAGATGAGGTCCTCGGAGACGGTATGGAGCCCCGATGGCAGCGACTTGTACTCGACGACGCCCTCGAGCTCCACGCCCGGTTGCGCCGCCTTCCACGACAGTGTGTACCCGGCCTTCACGTCGAACTCGATCAGGAACAGGGCCGAGATGGGAGGGAACTCGGGGAGCGCCGCTAACGAGAGGGTGCCCGGGGATGGAGGTGGGAGCCCGACGCGCAGCTCGGGCTGGCCTCGCCGGGACGCGGCCATGACGAGTTGGTTGTGGTCGGATCGAGGTGAACGTGCGGGACGCTTCGACGCCTTGGGAAGCGGCAATTCGAACTTAGACGAGCCGACGCATTGAAGGCGCGTTTCGAGGACGAAGACTTCACGTTATTCTGTAATTTGGCGATGGCGAAGAGCGATTGAAGATGCCTTGGGGTTCGTTCAGTCGTCAGTGGTTGGATTGTGCCCGTTCATGGGTAGGGTAAAGTCGGGGGATGACAACCCGAGCACGTGCTAACCTCCCCCTCAAGGTTTCGTAACGGCTGTCGTTGAACGCGTTAACCGGGGCTTCATAACCTTATATACGTGGGCGCAATATGCAGCGAATTGGCCTGTCCATGGCTGCTCTTAATCTTCATCAGATGGTCTATTGACGCGTACACGGTAATGCTGCCTGGTGTCTGATACGGGTCCCCAGCGGAGTGGTTTCCCCTAGCTTTTGTCCACCCTCTGTCCCAACTTCACTCCAACCCTTCTTAGCAACACCAAAGTGACGTCTATGTCTGCTTCACAATCTTCGTGTGTAACGTTCAGCAGCTGCAATGCAAACACCAGCCTATTATACTTTGCACCGGCGAATACTGTGGGGCAGTCATGTCAGCAGTCGTACTTGCGGGGATGGGCTCGGTATGACATCAGAAGTTCGTGATTGCTATGGCACCTAAAGGCCTCTACCCTCGCAGAGCCTCTGTTCTTAAACATTTCCCAAGGTATTCACTTACACTCAACATCATATCATGGCCTCCGCTCGTGATGTCCCCAAGGATGTCCCAGGTGGTGAAATCTCAGGAAAAGACAAGGTGTTGGAGAGCGGAGCTGCTCTCGTTCAGGTACGCTGACCCCAACCCGTTTGCTGTACAATCATACAACTGACACATATATAGAACTTCCAGCCAGTCAAGCAGATATGTGCCCATCTTAATGCCTTCCATACCTATGCCGATGAGCCAGGCCGCTACGTGGAAGCGAACCACTATTGCTCGCACCTGACCTCTGGTGGGTTCCTGCTGCATTTCACTTACACGCCCTCTTCATAGATATCCACTAACAGGCCCCCAGAAATCCGCCAATGCATCCTCTACGACAGCCCCGGCCCAGACGCCAAACTAATCGGCATCGAATACATGGTGACCCCCTCCATCTACTCTACCCTTGCCGCAGAAGAGCGCAAGCTCTGGCACTCTCACGTCTTCGAGGTGAAGTCCGGAATGCTCATTATGCCCGACCCCTCTGTCCTCGGTCTGCACCAAGCCTGGGAGGTGGCTGAGACGGAGGAGATGAAGGAGGTGGTGCATCTGTACGGCAAAGTCTATCATTTGTGGCAGACGGACCGGGGCGACGCACTGCCACTGGGCGAAGCGAAGCTCATGACGAGCTTCACAGCCGAGGGGCAGTTTGATTTTGAGAAGGCGGTTGGGGACCGCGATAGGAGATTCGGGACGGATTGGAAAAGGAAGCAGGAGTTGAGAAAGGGGATTGAAGATGCGGGCGTGCACGAGGATGCGGATTGGGCTTGGAAGAAGCGGAGGAATTCGATGTGAGCTGAGATGGAGAGGGAACGCTGGACCCGAGCTGGCGGCCGGTTCGTCGGCGTGCGAATTGTGACCAACTATGAAGAATTGGGAGAACTGGTTGCTCTATAAGTCCTCCAACCGAAGGCGTTCTAACAGGATCATTAATAATGCACCACTTATTCCATGCACGAATGTCATGGCGTTGAGACACCCATTGGTTGCCTAAAGTGACTAAGTATCCGTGGCTATTATTCTTCACTTCATCGATACCAATGGCAAGCCTTTACTTCCTTAGTTGAGGCCTAGCTGTAACATGCACAAATATTAAGGGCATGCTCCTGTCAGTCCGTCCCTTGTACTGGATCTGGAATCCTAACGCTGTCGCATTTGACGACGTGCCAGATTCGGCAGTATCTCAGCGATGATACCAGCAGATCATGCAGTTTCGGTAAGATTGTGTTGCCGCAGTATACCGCGGCCAGAAGTTGAGTGAGCAATGTTGTTGAGGTTGTTGGAAGATGCTGCAATGGCCCTTGATGCACCGAGGCTAGCGGTTTCGGTTTGGCAACGATTGAGATTACACCTCCGAGTGCCCGTCCAGGAATTGAGCAACTCATTGATCTGCAACTCTGTTCTCAACCGTCCAAAACCTACCTTCTTGAAGTTCTGGTAACATGAGATCATTCACGCACCAATGCATAATTTGGCGTGGTCTCAGGTATAGGTTCCACTCTTTGCGCCAAGCTGCACCACGAGGTAGCAACCCTTTGCACGAAGGGTCGAAACGGGGACACTGTGGCAGGCGTCAAGGAGAGAAGAAGAAGAACAGGAATGTCGGAATACCCCGAGACAGCTTGTTTCGTGCAGTTTGACAGCAAAGCTGCCGTAAAGACCAATATTACGCTAGGGAAGTTGTTCAGTTGGACTGTGGGAACGAAGTTGCCCCAGGAACAGGATTCCACATGGCTCAGTAGTCACCGTCACCGACAAAGTCTTTCATTGGATCGGGGTATTGGTGTGTTGGGGGTGACTACAAGGCACCCGGGATGGTCAGGAGGCCGCATCTGTTCGTCGATTCGAGTTGCTTGCCGCAACGATGCATTTGGGAGCACAAGTATACGCGGGGTTGCGAGTCAGATACTCCAACAGGTATTTGTATCCCGTAAAAAAACGAGATCTGCCGAGGGGTACCCAATATGCACGCCGCTTCGTGGGCTTGCAATCAGCCGGGTACTAACATGGGTATATCTGGACCAAATTCCGTCGTTGAGGAGTGGAGGCTCACTTGTATCTTTGCTTGTCATCCCAGAATCCGAACACTGTTGCCATGGAAGCAGATCTCGCCGAGTTGAAGGAGCAAGTCTCTCTCCTACGCAAGGAGCTCACCCGCGTCTCGGACGAAGCTGAAGTCCGCAAGACGCACTTCAAGTATGGCTACTATCTGGACAAGTGTCTCTACAACGAGGCGAGTTATATGTTTCCGACCCATCAAACCACCCCTCTACTGTCACTAATACTTCTTCCAGGTCGTGGACATGTTCTCAGACCACCCAGATGCCTACGTGGAGTTTATGGGGTCCCGTTACCGCGGTAAAGCAGGCATCAAACGGCTCTACCAGGGCCGGTTCCAGAACAGCTTCGTCAAGGGGCGCAACGGCCCCGTGCACGGGTTCCTGCTGGATCACATCATGATGCAAGACATCGTCGACGTCGACCCGTCGGGCAACCACGCATGGTGCCGTATGCGCGCCTTGATGCAAGCAGGCACGCATAAGTCAATCCGCGAGACGCATCCGCGAGGCCACGTGCAGTGGTGGGAAGGCGGTCTCTACGAGAATGAGTACATCAGAGAAGACGGGGTATGGAAGCTATTCCGGTATCGCTATTTCCCCTTCTGGCACGCCGAGTTTGAGACGGGCTGGTCCGAGACCAAGGAAAACTACGTTCCCTGGCCGACGCGGACGTTTCCCGAGGACCCCTTGGGACCGGATGAGATCATCGAGCAGAAGATGCTGTGGCCCGACACGAGGGTGGTGCCGTTCCACTACCCTCATCCCGTGACGGGGAGGAGAACCGACGACGATGACCTCAGGGCGCCGCAGTATGGCGAAAAGGTGGGAACGGCCGAGATGCCACTGAGTCTGGCACTTCCAGAAGGCCAGTCGGGGCCTGGGGCGGGGTCGAGCGACAACCCAAAGGTCTTGCCTGAATTGGCTGGGAATATGTAAGTTCGGCATATAGCCTGAGTGACCTGATTGGTAATTGGAGAAACAAACTTCCGCCTGTCTACCATCAGACTGCTCCAAACGAGGAGCAAAGGGTACTAATGGAAAATGGATGTAACTGAAAAACATTGTACCCACTTCCTCGCAGTCCATCGTTAAATCAGGGAGAATGCTATGTCTAGAACCGATGCTATTGTTCGGTTCGCCGTGGCAAATCCCATGTCACAACTGCCGAGGCACTCCAGGGAGATTCTAATAGCCGCGAGGCCATTGGAAATAGCGCCCATGGCTGTCCTGTTTTATCAATACTTAACTGTTTGAATGTACATTGAGACGATCGAATGTTGAAATAAAATGTAGATCAAGTCAGTACGTAAAGGTAAGCATTACTCGTGTCCAAATACCAACATGGCGCACATCCATGCCCTCGACCCTGAAGTCTCCAACTCGCACTACTACAACGGCCGCCGCACCGCCACCGCCGCCAACAAGTTCCCCAACACGCCCGTATTCCAGGGCATGAACGCGCCCTCACGGTTCGAGGGAGACGTCTTCGACCTGGAAGTCACAGGAACAATCCCGCCCGAAATCAACGGCACCTTCTATCGGATCCAGCCAGACCACCGGTTCCCACCTATCTACGAGGACGACATCCACTTCAATGGCGACGGCAGCGTGACGGCAATCCGCATCGAGGACGGGCACGCCGACTTCAAGCAACGCTACGTGCACACGGACCGGTACTTGGCCGAGACGGCGGCACGGCAGAGCTTGTTTGGGAGGTATCGAAACCCGTACACGGATAATGAGAGCGTTAACGGGGTAATCCGGACGGTGTCAAATACTAATATTACCTTTTGGCGGGGCATGCTGCTGGCGAGCAAGGAGGATGGGCCCCCTTATGCCATGGACCCTGTGACGCTGGAGACGATTGGACGGTACGATTTTGAGGGGCAGATCAAGGCACCCACGTTCACGGCGCATCCCAAGTTTGATCCGGATACGGGTGAGATGCTATGTTTTGCTTACGAAGCTGGAGGGAACGGCTCAGACTGCTCGCTTGATGTCGTCTACTGGACGCTGAATGCGGGCGGCAAGAAGACGGAGGAGGTGTGGTTTCAGGCGCCGTTCGCTGGCATGATGCACGACTGTGGAGTTTCTAAGAACTACATGGTGCTTCCCCTGACGCCGCTCAAGATGTCGTTGGACCGGCTCAAAAGGGGCGGAAACAAGTTCGCGTGGGATCCAAACGAGGATCAGTGGTTCGCGATTGTGCCGCGCCGGGGCGCCAAAACCAAAGATGTGATTTGGCTTCGGGCTGATAATGGTGAGTTGTGGGAATATCGCAGGTGAAGTCGAAATAGGGGTATAATTACTCATGCATGACTCCAGGCTTCCACGGCCACATAGCCGGTTGCTATGAAAACGACGACGGTGCTATCGTCTTCGACCTCACCGTAGCCGACGGTAACGTCTTCTTCTTCTTCCCGCCTGAGGAAACAGTGGCCGATCCCCACGCGACTAAGCGCAATCGGCTCAGCAGCCCGACGTGCCGCTGGATCTTCGACCCAAAAGTCCCGTCTGGAACACGGGTCAGTCCGGCCTTGGTTTGGTCAACCAACGGCGAATTCTCCCGTATTGATGACCGCTTCGTCACCAAGAAGTACAAACATTTCTGGCAGGCCAAGATCGACCCCACGCGGCCGTACGACTTCGCTAAGTGCGGGCCTCCAGCGGGCGGGTTATTTAATTGCATGGGCCATTACCAATGGGACCCCAACGAGGAGAGGAAAGCGGGCGAAGAGGACGTCTATTTTGCCGGACCAACGGCGACTTTCCAGGAGCCTAGTTTTATCCCCAAGAATGGCGGTGCCGAGGGAGAGGGGTATCTGATCGCTCTCCTGAACCACTTGGATGTGCTCCGAAACGATGTTGTGGTTTTTGACGCTCATAACCTCGCTGCTGGTCCCGTGGCCACGCTACATCTGCCACTGAAGTTGAAGCTAGGGTTTCATGGTAATTTTGTCGACCACAAGGACATTGAGGCGTGGCAATTGCGGAGACAAGGCGATTTAGGTCCTGTACAGGTTGCGAGGGAGCCGCTGCTGTGGCAACAGTCATTTATATGAGCAGCTTTCCGGGAAAGAAAAGCAAGTGTCGTACTCATTGTGTAAGATGCGCGGCTCGAGGTGGTAATTTGGAAACCAAACTCGCCATATAGCAGTTCTAGACACAAGAAGGTTAGAACTATGACCAACAGGAGAAATAGTAAGTACCTAGGGTATATACCGAAATCATCTCATGCAGATGTTTCCAAATGCGTCCCTGTGCTCATGCAATGGCGGTATGGAACCGCCACTTAGATGGCCCCTAATAAATGATCTCGAAGTCGAGCAAATTGCACCCCAAGCCAAGGTTTCTGGCCGCGCAGGTACCCTGAAGAAGGCCCTGAGGAGTCAAAAAGAAAAGCATCAAGCCGTTGGATCTCTTCGTCGTCAGTGCCTTCGTTGACGGCACGATTCAGCTTCCCGTCATCAAAAGCGATACCGTGCCACAGAAATATCCCGAAGATTTGCGCGCTTCTCACGATTTTCAACTTGTCTGCGTCTGTACACAGTTGAGGGATCATTGATAATATTTCACTCCAGAAGAGCTTGCGGAGGCTCTTTGCTTCTGAGAAGTATTCGAAGCATCCGTTTTTGACCTCGCCAAGAAGCTCTTCGAGTCCGTACAATGATATTCCGAAAGGGAGGTATTCAGCCTCAGCCCAATCCAGTAGACCAAGCAACTTCCCACTTTCCGGACAAACCAGGACATTAGCCGGAATAAAATCGCCGTGGCTCACAATCCAAGGCATCTCCTCGATCTTCGGAAGCTCCCGCAGGAGCGGATCGACAAACTCTTGAAATCGTGAGGGAATGCCAGAGGAGAGGAGATTTAAGCGCCACTGCAGCGAGGATCCCACTTTTCCCTTCTCGCGAACCTGATCCTTCGACTTGGCATTCTTCCAGCTAGCCGCTTGGAGGCGAGCGAAATCTTTCACCATACGCTGGCGTTGCAGCTTGGTCTGGTTGCAGTTGCTGCTGTTAGTACTTCGAAGGTCTGTAAGTGAAAGCCCCGTCAACCTCCGCATGGAATAAATATGTAGCCCCGTGCCGTCCAGCCTCCCAAGGAACTTGGTCTCGGGGACCAGGTCGCCAAAGACGTCACAGGCCGCCGAGACTATGGCGATATCGAGACTGTAGTCGGCTGGTCGAAACTGAATTATGGTGTCTTCTCCGACGAAGACCGTGTAGGAGCAATAGCCCTGAAATGGAGCCGGTCTGATCGGTTCTGTATATTGTGACCGAGCAAAAGCATCGCAGTCATCCCGAGCGCTGAGTGGAAGCCCGCATCGTGTGAAGAAGCCTCCAAGCGAGAATCCCGAGTCTTTTGGTTCATCAGCCATTGCGTCAGGCTTTTGGTCGTTGTGTATCTCGTATAAGTGCTAAGCGGCAGCTTAAACAGTAATGGCAAAGCTATAGCGGACGTGAACGTCACTTAGTCGAGGAGATAGTTTCGGAAGTTTCCAACCCAACTCAACGGAGAACGTTGCGAGGTTGGGCTGTCTGGGTTCGATCATGGAGTGGGTGTGGGGTAATCCTCCGACTGTAAGTGATGAGCCACTGATATTGAGATGTTTGGTAACAGCCATCTTGATACCCCGCGCACGTTTGGGAAGTTGCGCAACCTATTTGTCGGCTCTCGCGGTTCCATGCAGTGATGAGAAACCAGGGCTCTCGGCCGTGTCCGACTCGAGTTCGCTGAATATGTAAGACATTGGATTTTCGTGCTGAGAATTGCCCAGGCAAAACGAGGCGGAGAGCCAAACTCGCGTGAGGTGAGGCTGTGAGGTGGGCTGAGACTGGCGCATTACCAGATGGTTGTCGACTACTTGTGTTAGCATTACGTCCATTTTCCTCACTCGCCTGAGTCTTGCGGTTTCCCTAATCCAGTCCATCCAGCATTCTTGATCCAAGATGCGCCTACACGGGGTTCCTCACGAGTTTGCCAATTGCGAGCTTTCTGAGATGCTCACGACGGGTCGGGCGAAGACGATAGGACAAACAAAGCTGATGTAGGGGCATCATACGTCAAATGCGGGAAATCCGGCATCAGTGGATAACTAAAGCCTCAGCTGAGGCGCTCCAATATATGTGGCTTCATTATGTCGGGCGGGCACGACAAGGTTGTGCTTTTCTGATAAAATCTAATAACGGGCACGACCGACTACTGAAGCTGCTTGAATTTGCCACACGATGTCCCAATTCACCAACAAAAGAGCTGGATTGTACAACAAACGCAGTAACATTTACTGAACAGGGCGTGGTTCGATTCGTATAACGATGACTGTGTGAGGCTTCGGGCTATGTCTGTGTTGCTCCTTCCCAGCCAGGTTGAAGCCTATTCCGCTCAGTAAATAGTAGTATTTAGGGTTGGGGTTTGATCATGCCAGAATATCCCTCCATCATCAGGCAATCTTCTCAGCGCCGTCCCTTGTTCTTATACGGTTCTTGCCGAAAACCGGCCTTCCACAATCATGACAAGTGATAATGGTAGCAGGTGCCCCTATTTCTCAAGATAACCGTGGAAGTTGCTTCCAGAGCATGGTGGGTTTGGGCTTGCATTCGCCAGCTTCAACATTGTGTTTCCATGGCCGACGCCCTGTTGACAACCATGCCTGCGCCTTCCTCCACGCAGGAGTGGGTATGGACTTGAACGTCACTTCTTGCTCGCCTGTCCGCCCACGTCGGTACAGTCGCGAATCTCAAGTGATTTGGCATGGCACCAACCCGAGTCTCATCAAATCTCACACTTTTGGACCCCATACCAATTTGTTACCTGATAGTTCATCTTACCAGCTTATACAGCTTCCTCCTAACAGCACTTGCAGCATATTACTTTGCTTTCGACTACCCAAGCTCGGAAAACTCGTGCAGAGCTCTTCAGTTTTGCTGTCGGTATGACTACACCTCTGCCCCCAAACTCCAAAAAACGAATCATTGTCTGCTGCGACGGCACTTGGCAAAACTCGGACAATGGCTACGTCCAACCGAACGCAAAACAGCCCGTCCCGACTCTCCAGATCCCATCCAATGTAACGCGCATTTCACGGTCATTTGCCCGCACTTGTAGCGATGGGACATTTCAGGTCATCTACTACCAGTCAGGGGTGGGCTCGAGAACCGGAACGGTCGACCGACTCACAGGGGGTGCTTTCGGGGTTGGAATATCCGAGGTATTGCGCCCCTTCTATGAAACAAAGTAACTCCTTTAACACATACGAAGAACATCCGCGAAGCGTACTCCTACGTATGTGCCAACTATGTCGATGGAGATGACATAATCCTCATTGGATTCAGTCGGGGTGCTTTCACAGCCAGATCGGTCGCAGGAATGATTGCAGACCTCGGCCTCTTGACTCGGGAGGGGATGGAATACTTCTATCCCGTCTTCAAGGACATGCAGCACTGGATGAACGACAACTACCAAGACCAATTTCCTGGCTTACCCTTCCCAGATAAGCCAAAGGGTGTCCACGCTGAGGACATTTACAGAGAAAAGCTTCTGCAGGTTGGTTCTGGCCCATGCTCACCCTGTGCTATATACTAACCTACGTAGCACAAATATACCCGAGTTTACCAGAACCGTGGCCAAGGAGAGCTCATCACAGTCAAGGCGGTCGGTATGTTACCAAAAACCGAGATACTACAACGAATCGATGATCGAAAGCATTGCTAATTCCAGACTCAGGTGTGTGGGACACCGTCGGCAGCCTCGGAATACCTGGCATCCCTATCCTATCGAAGCTGGGCATAAATCGCTCCACCCAAGAATAAGTGGCTTAGAGTCGCAAGTCGCGTTCTCTCTAGCGAGCTAACCCTTGTTTACATTCAGATGGTACAACACCAACTTATCACATAAAGTCGAGCATGCGTTCCATGCACTTGCGTTAGATGAGTCGCGCGGACCTTTTACCCCTACCATCTGGGAGCGCCTCCAAGAGCATCGCGAAACCACGGATCTTCGTCAATGTTGGTTTCCTGGAAGCCATATCAACATTGGAGGTGGCTGGGAAGACCAAGGCGTCTCGAACATGTCCCTTGCTTGTACGCTCCATTCCCATTTACGAATACACCCGTTTATGCACACTGACCACATAAGGGATGATGGACCAATTGTCCTCTGTAGATGTCGAGTTCACGAATGACGCACTCGACAGGCTGTTCGATCAAAACGTCAAGTACTACGAGAATCTCAAGCCGAAGGATGAGAAGATGATCCGCCGTGCTCTGAGTAAATCGAGACCCATATACTGGGCCATCAAGAAGATACACGATGCGAATAATCCGATTCGTCCTTGGTCCCTACACACTACCCATTCGTCCGGCAACGCTATTTATAAGCTGGTAGGGGATATCACGCGCACCCCAGGCCTGTACAAGGTACGTGTTTTCGATTCAAGAGGCAAGTTTCGGATGCAATGCTAACTCTCCTGAAGAAAATCAACCCAAATACAGGTCAGCCTACTAAGGCATTCCTCGAGGACACGAATGAGCGTATTCACAGCAGTGTGCGCGTGCGTCTTGCGTGCCAGGGCCTCGGTGCAGACGATAAAGAGGTGTGGAAATGTCTCCCTCTGTTGGAATTGTGGAGGCCACGCCAAGTTCCTGTGCAATTTCATGACCCTATCCCGGATCACGCTGTCTGGGGTCCTCCGGCCTCTAAGTTGGCTGAGACCACAAACATGGCGAATGGCACCACCACCGCTGAAGCAGGTCCTAATGGAGTTATAGAGGAGCCCGGACCCAGCACTGCGAACCCTCCTGGGCCGACCGCAGATGGGCTGAGATGGGTTTGGGAGTATATCGGTCCCGAGGAAGGAGCTCCGACGATCAGAACCATGGTTGAGGAGAACATGGGGCCTTACGAAAAGCATCTCTTAAAGTTGTCAACAGGCAAGGAGGATGTGGTTGTCTTTGCTGATGAAGAGGACTTCTCAAGCTTCGATTTCCCTGAACGAGGTGGCTTCAAGTCCAAAATAGGTTTGGCGTAATAGGAGAAAAGGGGCAGGAGAATTGGTGACTGAAGATTGGGAACTAGGGCAAGTCGCAGACTGGTTCGGGTGGAGTCGTTAATAATAACTAGCAGAATTATTAAGTATCAGACTAGATACATTGTCATCCAGTTGTGGAGGCCTACACTTCTTTCCGATCACCCAAAGGTATAGCCAGTAACAACGCAACCCCTGAAAGTTAGTGATAATGACGATCACTTTTGCAGAAAACTCTGTATAAATCAGTAGACACCTTGCGAGTTTCTTTAACATAGTCTAGTTTAAAGTCAGGATATGCAAAGACATAAGCACACCTTGCTATTGAAAGATCGGACAGTAAGCTCTCCATCGCACACCCATCACTTGTAAATCAACGGGTTCTACTGCTAAGCTTTATCTAGCAAACGTCGGACCCCTTTACCTGCCCAGAAACCTCTGTCTTCAAGGATGAACAATAATCAATTAACATAGTCGTAATTTTCTATCAGCGGGCGGTAGAATAAGCTCAAGACGACTCAATTTCCTCCCACAAGAGAAACTCCTCAAGCGGCCACCTTACTTCACTTTCGAGCCCTGGATGAAGCAACTGGCGGTCATAAAGGATATAGTAGAAGCATCGCTAGACGTGAATCTCACAGATAGGGAGGACCATCAGCCCAAGTAGGCGTATCTCAATATCGTACACTTTATACATAGCAAGGACAGCACCAGCAGCTTCATGGGCTTGCTCTCGCTGCTAGTTCTGTGGATGTTGTTGCCCCTGCGCATGCGTCTATTTTTTCCAAACTCCGCCGGCTTTCGCCCATAATTGTCAAATGAATAAATAACCTTGGCTTGTATGAGAACTTTGGGGCTCCGACCTAGCGAATATTCCCCTCTGCCGTTACAAAGAAAAACATTTAACATTGCTTCAGCCAACTACTTTATCGCCTCCTTTCATCACGTATTTGTCATTTATTCCCTGGGTATGTACCCGCAGTGCAATAAATATCTTGAATTAAATGCCATCACGTGTATGGTTGCTACTATAGCGAGAGCAATGCTTTGCCGTGAGGCATCTCTATAAGACACGAGAACGTACTCCCGACTTGCGGCTCCAACTTGTCTGTTCTTCGCATGCAGCAACATGCCACAGATTGGAAGGAAGAAAGAAACCACAAGCACTTGTCTCGTGCGTCCTGACATATAGCGTAGTTGCTCCATTATTTACTGCTAGGAGCAAATCCATATCTGAATTGTGTTACATGATTGACTCTTTACGCGGGAAACTAAAGGCCGAATTCCCTTCCCCATGATGTCCGCAATCCGTTCATGTCATAAGCCAGGCACATATAGTGTCGGGCACCTAATATTTGACATGGTCAACTTTAAGCTAAGAGCCAGGCGTTCTTACATCCACAGCTTGAGGTTGTCACTAGCGTGCTTCTAAGTCTTATTTTTTCATTTACGCTGTCTCCTCCGAATATCGTTACTAACATCGGTAGAGTATCTTGCAATTTGTGGTAATATAACTGATGTGCAAGTACGTGCATTTATTGCCTACTATGAATATCGTTTAACACGTAGTCCTCAAGTCGAATTATATCATAGAAATACCCTGAGGTCACATAAAACAGCCCTAAAGCCCCCTGAAGCTAGATTTGCTCTAAATTCTAGAGTAGGCGACGGGAATCATGCATGGGAGGCGACTTGCCTCTCAAAAGGTTGCATTTCGTATTATCAAACGCCACAACGCGCATTCTTGACGTCGTTAGAAATTGTCACATCTAGCGATCTGGATTCAAGCTAACGGAGAAAAGGTGACTCTTAGTACTTGTGTAATACAGGGGGGAACTTGGTTTGGAAAAGCAGAGAGCCCCCCTGCGTAGCGAAATATCCCCCAAACTCGGTATATAACGACAGCATACACATCGGAACTCGCACCTGCATCCCTACATAAAAATCCTAAAACACTACACAACTTATACTTTGTGTACTTCATATTGCTACTGGGTAGCTCCAGCCACAATATCTACCTCAACGCTCCAGGATGGTAAATAATTAGAACGTACTCACAGCCGATCGCTTAGCTGATACCCAACAGACCTCCAGCCCCGTAGTGAGACAACTCCGTTCCAAATGCCTTTAATGTATGTTTACAATGATGCCGCGAACGCCTTAGTCCAGTATGGCCCCCTAATGTGATTGCAATATAAGAAAACCTTTCGGGGTGGAGTCATCTTGGTTGACTCTTATATAGGATAGCCGTCACAAACGGTGATGGTGCTATATTATATGCCCTTCTCATCCGCTGCGGCCTTCGTTCCGCCGACGGAGAAGCCAATGCTCTCTCGGTTGTCGTCAATTACGCGCCCGTACCTGTTCGTGATTGTCAGTAACCCGTTTCGTTTCGTCTCATCTCGTCCAGACCAAAGGAAAGAGGGAAGGCGAAGTGAACAACTCACTCGAGCAATAACCTGAAGAACCAAACCTCCATATCCTCATGTCGAAGCACGCTGTTGGCCCAGTCTCTTTGCTGGTTAGCCAAACGTTCCGCCTCCTTCTTGCCCAAAGAACCATCGCCAAAGAACCTCACGGCCTCGAGCCAATCATCTCCCTGCAGGCTCAGTGGGATGTAGTGCGCCCACGGCTTCAACCACTCGAGATGCCACTCCCTGAAAACAGCAAACTTGTACACCAAGCTGCGACTTTGTAGGAAAGCGTAGAACCTGCCACTGAACGCATTGCCGTCAATGTCGAGAAGGTACTTGAAGTTCCAAGCATCCTGCTGCTCGGCGTGACCCTTAATGGTGAAGAACTCGGCCTGGGCATCGCAGTCGCCCGGGTCACACTGGCCAACCCCCGAGAAGTACACATCCATGATGTCCTTGTACTCGCCGCGGGCCACGACCTTTGGTTCCCAGTGCTGGTTTGACTCGGTCCCCGAGTTTACCAGAATCTTCGTATTGTCGGCAGCGTTGATCTTTTGCACGAAGCGCTGGCGATGCTGGCGCCGCCAGCCACCGTTCCTGCTGAATCCACCAGTTGTGCTACCACGCCAGTACAGTTTGTCTTCCTTTGTAGCCCAGGGCTTGTCTTTCTTTTCGTCATACACGACTTTGTCAAACCAGTACCAAGGCGAAGGATACAGAATGTCATTGTACGAAGAGATTTTGGACTGAGAAAATATGGGAAAGAGGTCGTGTACAATGTTGAATGCGTTTGGACGGTCAAAGAACCCAAAACTCGTGCTGAGAGAAGGCGAGTTGCAGATATCGGACATGGCGGTCACATTGTAGATGAAACCAAGGTCGCCCAGCCCGTATTTGGACACGTCGTCTTTCTTCTCATCCTCCTCGAGTCCTCTTGCGGGACTTTCAGGTGGACAGGAGAGCCTTGAATGTGTCCAAGTGGGCTGATGGGCAAATACGTTGAAGCGGGTAAACTTGTTCTCCTCAAACCGCGTCCCGTCGTTGAGCCCTTGAGGCTTCTTCGTGAACTCGTTCAGGGGGCTGCTATGCCTGCTGGCAGCCGCCATGTTGACCTCGATGCCTCTTTTGACCAGCCTGGCCAGGTCATCATGCGGCACCACGACTCGCGGCTCATCGTGCAGGTTGAAGCACAGGTCCATGTTTGGAAGATATTGTAGGAATTTGCCCATCATGCCTACTGTCGCCTCACGCTGCCACTCACCACCACCCTGCACATGTGTTGTCTTGCCGTTTCTGATCTGGATCCCCAGCAGCGCATTATCGAAGCCCAGCGCCTCCATCGCTCTTTCCCGGATCGTTGCGGGCTTCAATCCCCAGAACGGCACCAGAGACTCATGGATCATATCGAACTCGTCTATCAGCTGCACACCCTTTGCCTGCGCAAAGGCGAACCACTTGTCGAAATTGGGCGGCGGGGGAATGTTATAGCGGCGGCGATATTCTGCCACCGCCTGACCGAGCGTCTTGGACTGGCGCGACTTGAGGTTCTCGAGATCGCGCTCGGCATTGTTGATTAGATGCCACATGGGATGTGAGCCCGCGGGTGCGGGTTTGGGTTTCGGGTCGAGGGGCCCTACTGGTGGCGGGGGCTCGTAGGCTGTGTCGACATAGCTGCTGCTGCTGCCATCGCGAGTTGACGATGACGGTACATACGACAGAGGGACCCTGGTGTTGTTCGGAGGGAAGCGAGAGAGTGAGACGATGCAGATGACGAAGAGCACAAATCCTCCCGTCACGAGGACCTGCCGTGGGCGAATCCTCAAGCCCATCCCGAGGGCTTGGCTTTTCCTGGGGAATAATTTCTTAAGGAACTAGCTTCGACTCTCGGGCATAGGGAACTGGATTAGTTCGCCGAATTGACATTGGAACCTTCCCGTGCGTTCAAAGAACCGTAAATCTTCATGCCATATGCGACTGGGGCGCCGCGACCGAATACGTGGTGGAGTTTGAGTTCCAAGTTCCCAGTTCCAAGGCTGTCAGGGGTTGGTAAGTCAGCCTGTAGATTTTCTGCTGCGCGTTCTGAATGGCCCAGTGAACAACCTGGTACGAGACGAATTTAACCTCAAAACTAGAGTGTTCATGCCCACCTGGGTGCCGCAACTGGACCTGAGCCACGCTGCTTTAAGCCTGATCCCGACAGGGGTCTGGCCTGAGCTTGGCCTAAGCTTACGCCCCAAATAAGCATTTCATAAATTAGTACACAAAAGACTTTAACGTCATAAACCGGCATTACGGTAAAAATTTAGAATACGGAGGGTGTCTGATAACGGCTTGAGGCTTCCTAAATATACCTAGCCTTGGGGGGATGCGTCGCCTCCGCCCCAATCATCCGCGGAATGATCGATTCTGCATGTCAACCCATAGGAGTTGTATCAAGAAGTCATATTAGAGTCAAACTTCTATCCGTCTTGCAATTGATGTGCAAGACTCCCTCTTGTGAGGTTGATTCCTCGGCTATTCCTCGAATAGCTGTCTGAAAGCCATAACCATGCAATATCCTTACAATATCGAGTAACGTTGATGCGAGTGCATATGGGGTGTGAATTGTGTCAGATAGGGCACCTGGTTCCTAGGTTCAGAAATAATATGGCACTAGAGAAGACTATTGTCACTTAAAGTTCAGAAGGCGAAAGGAACCCCTCTTCTCAAAAGTAACACCAAAGTTACCGACATGTTCTAAAGCATCTATAAAAGGCAGAGCAACGGGAGTTCGCGAGAACAGAAGTGTCAGAGCCACAAGTGTCATCCGAGGCGGGCCGGCTTCCACCAGGAAGGAAGTCGTTTGTGGCGGCTAGAGAGCCGCTTGTGGCGAATGAGAGCTGTTGAAGCCGTTTGCAGCGGATAGGGAATCGCTTGGTTGCAGATAAAGAGCCGCTATCCAAGATGTTGGCCAAAGTCGGAGGAACACAGACATGCGGAAGCAAACATCCAGAATCCAACAGAGAACCTCGGCTGGCTATAAGTAAGGAGTCGAGACGGAGGAAGATAGAGAGGGGAGAGATCAATGAACTACTGTGGACACCCTTACCTGTCATCACCAAGTGACCACCAGTGACCACCAGGTGACCACCAGGGGGACACGCCTATTTCTCCCCTTCACTCTGTACTATCGCCTTCGGTCCAGGCCGTACCCTGACAAGAAGACAGACAGACAAGAACACACCTCATTTATATACAATCTTACGCACTGCTGACTACTCGATTGGACACACGTGATATTCGACAAATTGTTGTATTGGGAAAGTGTGAGATCAAGGCTGTGGCCAAAATGCAGCCGAGCTATCGGATAATTGTCGGAGATTCAACTCCTCAAAAAGAGTCGGACGCGTAGAACTTAGCTCGGCAGATAGAAGTCTCCTGAATACATTACTTTCTAGAATTAATCCCGTGATAGCCTAACTATAGTTACCTTCCCTAGTATATGTGGGATTGGTGGCCTACGGTCACGTGGGACACGGGCAAGAGACTCAAATGCCTTTGTGCGGCTTGGACCCCCCACCTGTACTTCCCTTCTTCACCTTCGTATGTAGCCGGAATGCCAGTACCAGTGCGATCCCACAGTATATAGCCGTACCTATGTCTTATAGTTCTAATAACGCAGAGCTAGATAAGCCAGCCCTTACTGTCACCTATAGTAGGCGTACAATGAAGAGAAAAAGACGCGATTAATCAGTAAGAAAAATAGCTACAGAATGGTATATTTACTATACAAATCCCTAAATTGGGGGTTGAATTGTTTATAAGTGAACTGTGTTAAATTTTTGTGAAGGGAGATTTCTGACTTTCATCGATAACTTCTTCGAACAGCGTCAAATCATCAAACCGATTGCGGCATTCGATTCCTAACGACCGTTTACGTCGGACAGTGACCTCGCATCGCACGCGAAGCGAGGACGCAAGCGATGGCGGCGCCGATGGTGATCGACGGGGGACGGGCGGGACTCGAACAGAGTTTTCACCACCCCCACGCCAACGAAAGTGCCCACGCACCGAACGTGGAGCGCACCAGCAGAAAGAACGCAGAGAGGGAAGGGATCGGAAGAGAACTACAAAAGGTAGAACAAGAGATTGCCGACTTGGTCCCACGTGAGAAGATTGAGGTCATGGGGGGTTTGATGGAGCGTTGGCTGGGGTTGAAACTAGCCGGCAGGACGCTGGAGGAGGGGGGCGACAGACCCGCCACACATGCCGACGTATTGGCAGTGACTCTGGCCCTTGCCGAAATTCCTGCGGCGATCCAGACGATGGTTGAGAAGACCATGCAGGATACGGTGAAGAACGTGGCCTTGCCTACAACTCGATCCTGGGCCTCAATCGCCTCAGGATCGGCCCAGGGACGGGGACCCGGTGAAGCCCCAGTGTGGCAGCAGCGGGTTGTAGTGCCCCAGCGAAGGGAGAGAGAGGTAGTGATCCGGGGGACAGAGGACCCTAATATGAAGAACAGATCGGCGGCTGAGGTCGTAAAAGCGGTGAACAGTGCACGCGGCAGCACCGATGCAGTGGCGGCCCGCAGGCTGCGCAGTGGCGATACCGTAGTGACGTTTAAGCAGTCGGCCTCAGCGGCGACCACGGACAGCAGGTGGGTGCGTAGTGCCTTCGGCGATAAGGCACTTCTCAACCGCAGAGAAGTTGCAGTGATCGCGAAGGGGCTGCCTGCGAAACGGCTGCGAGAGGTCCACGACGAGAGCCAGCTACTTAAAGACCTGAAGCGGGACAATACAAAGCACCTCTCTAAGGCTAAAAGAAACCTCCCCCGGGCGCCGCAAGCACCGTATGCGGCCCTGATACTACACGTGGATAGCGTGGAGGCGGCGATGGAACTATGCTCCGAAGGGCTTATTTGGGAGGCCCAGATATTCGATTGCGAGCCGTACGACGGCAATCTTCGGGTTCGGCAGTGCTACCAGTGCTACGAATACGGCCATATCGCGAAACACTGCAAGAAGACGGCGCGTTGCGGCGTCTGCGCTGCAACGGCACACCCAGGGGGTGAAAAAGACTGCCCCGAGAAGGCACCTAGCGGCAAAAAACGTTGTGTGAACTGCAAAGGGAAGCACACGGCGTGGGACAGGGACTGCCCTACGGCAGAATAGCAGCGGCTACGCGTACGCGAGGCGTACGCTCACCGCCCCCGACAATTTGAGGTCCGCAGCTACTCGGACGGGTTATCTAGTGAGGGCAGGCTCACACCACCTAGCTCATTGACCAGCGACGGGTTTACAGTTGTACGACCCCGGGGCCGCCCCCTGGGCGGATCGCGAGTGGAGCAGGAGCGAACCGAACGGTCTGCGTCAGCAATGCGTAGCTTCCTCACTAAGGGACGTACGAACGAAGATATACCATCGACAGCTTAATGGTAGTCTCTATTCTCTACTGGAATATCGCAGATTCAAAGGCGAACGCAACGCTAGCGCTGGATAAGGGGGGTGACTATGATATAATAGCGGTTCAAGAGCCATGGATCAACCGGCGGACGAAGGCGATTTATTGCCCGAAGTCGTCCAGGTACGAAGTAGTGTACAGCAGCGGCAGAGCTGCGCTATACGTCCATAAACGATACGACGTGGCTACGTTGCGACCCCGTACCGGGATGGACTGGAGCAGTATTACGTTCGGGGCAGGCCCGGACGTCCTTACAATCTGGTCTATCTATTCACCAAACCAGACCGGGAGCCGCTAGGTCAGCCCGCTCCAAGACCTCCCTAATGGGGCGCCGGAGGGGACACAGGTCCTCGTAGGGGACTTCAATACACATCACCCGCTGTGGGACGTCCACGGACGGTCGTCACGGGGCAGCGACAACGTAGTGGAGTTTGCGCGACGCTGGCGATTAGAGCTCGTTACGCCGTTCGGGGAAATCACACGGCAAAGGCACAAACAACGAGACTCAACTATCGACCTAGCCTGGGTGACGAAAGGGGCTAGGATTGATTACGATGGGGACCCGGGCCTAGAGGGCTCAGACCACAGAGCGCAAGTGATTAGGGTAATATCCAACGGGGAAGCAGTCAAGGAGGGCCGCCGCAGTGTCGAAGGGTGGAACTGGGCGATGGCGGATAAGTGGCTCATCGTAGCCGAATCAAGCCAGAGATTTATGAATTATTTGCCGGTTGAGACGATAACGGAGTTGGACCAGGCTGTTGACTGGGTTATCCGGAACCTCCAAGAGATCGCCGACGTGGCGGTCCCGAGACGCACCGTTGGCCGAGGCGCTGGGGTCCCGTGGTGGTGCCCGCAGGTTAGCAAGGCTTGCGCTGAGACGAAGAGACGACGGCGGGACTACCTCCAGGCAAGGTCGCAGACCAACTGGGACGAATATACAAGAGCCGGCCAAAAACAACGGCTCGAAATCAGCGAAGCGCAGACGCGTAACTGGCACGAGAAGCTCGAGGGGACGGCGAAGGATCACAAAAGCCTGTGGGCACTGCAGAGGTGGGCTAGGCTACGGAGCTGGGCCCCCCCTGAGGCCCACGGCTTGCCAGATCTCCGGAGGGACGCCGGCGACACGCCTACAGCACGTACACATGATGAGAAGGCAAAATTACTAGCTGAGAGGTTCTTCCCAGACCCGTATATAGATCTATCGGACCTCGATCGCGGCCTATTACAGACGAGACCAGAGCTGAACGTCCCTAGGGAGGTGACCACAATGGATATCGAGTCTATCATCAAAGGAACGGCTGCTCGGAAGGCTCCCGGCGACGACCTGATCCCCACTGGCCTGCTAAAGGCCTGCGGTGAACCCCTATGGGAGATCCTAGCGGATCTGGCAACAGCTAGCTTTAGGCTGGGGTACTACCCGGAGCGCTTCCGCTCAGCGAGGGTGGTTATTATCCCTAAGCCTAATAAAACGACAGCTCAGAAGCAGACCCCTGGCGGCTGGCGCCCCATTGCCCTGCTTAGCACGGTAGGGAAGGTAATAGAGACGGCGATGAGCCAGCGTATCACCAAAGTAGCTGAGGCGGCCGGCCTACTACCAAACGGCCAAATGGGTAACCGCGCTGGGAGGTCCACCGAACTGGCAATACGTATAGTTGAGGACGTGGTCTATACGGCGTGGAGACGCGGGGGCATCGCCTCGCTGCTACAGCTAGACATCAAGGGGGCATTCGATACGGTCAATTACAGACGGCTGATTTCCATATTAGCCCGGAAAGGCTACCCGGAGTGGGTTCAGGAGTGGGTACGCAGCTTCGTGGAGGATAGAACGGTACGCCTCCGGTTCGATGGCAAGGAGTCAGAGCCAATCCCCCTACGAGCTGGCGTCCCCCAGGGGTCACCGCTATCCCCGATACTGTTTATATTATACATTTCAACGCTGTACGAGGAGCTAGCGGAGCAGCATCCACTACTTTTAGTAGTCGGGTTCGCGGACGACACGAACCTGCTAAGCGTCGGCACCGATCCAGACACGACCTGCCGCCGGTTGGAGAGCGCATGGGCTACGTGTCAGCGGTGGGCAGTGAGGCACGGGATGGAGTTCGCTCCTGACAAGAGTGAGCTAATGCACTTTACTAGGGCCCGAGAGCCCTTGCCGCAAAGTATTCGCCTTGGGGACGCCACAGTGTCGCCGGTAGTCTCAGCCAGGTTCCTAGGAGTCTGGTTCGACCGCAAACTGACGTGGCACGCCCATGTTGAGCGTGTTAAAACAAAAATGGCAACTCAAAAGCTAGCCCTGACAAAGCTAGTCAATATGTCGTGGGGCTGCGATCTTATACGGGCGAGGCTGTTATATACGGTGGTTATCCGTAGCGCGATTGCCTTCGGGGCGACTGCGTGGCATACTATAAGTGAGGAACCGGCAGGGCCAGCTAAGAGCCTGATGGGGATACAGAACGAGTGCCTCCGGGTAGTCTGTGGCGCCCACAAAGCGACGCCGGTTCGCCACCTGGAAGCAGAAGCAGCAATCCCGCCACTAGACCTCTATCTTAGTGCCCGGGCTGCTAAGTTTGAAGAACGGCTACGACTTAGCGGGAAGAGAAATCTGCTTCGCAGCGCGAGCGCTAAAGCGTCACATATACTCCGACAGGATAGGCCGGCGAAGAGGAAGCAGGCGTCGCAGCTACTCCGACCGGCAGGGTACACTATGGAGAAGGAGGCCCGGGGCTCCGAGTGGATGAGTGAGGAAAAGGAGGTCCCGGCTGCCCTCCTCGACCACTGGAGGAAGAGATGGCTCACCGGAGCAGAGCATCACGATCGCCAGCGACGCGCTATCGCTGAGGAACCGGAGGGCCCTTCGATGCAGATACCGAAAGGGGGCAAGTATTTCGGCCTGAACCGACTGGAGGCGTCTACGCTGTGCCAGATCAGGACGGAAAAAATAGGACTAGCAGCCTTCTTATTCAAGACAGGGGCTTTTGGCGTGTACTCGCCGCTATGCCGCTGTGGCGATGCCCCTGAGACGGCAGAGCACGTAATCCTCTTTTGCGGGCTGTTGGAAGGACCGAGGGAACGATTACGGGCCGCCATCGCACCACGGCCACTATACTCTCGCAGAGACCTCGCAACGGCAACAGGAGAACCAGTAGTTAGTGGGACTATTGTAAGATGGCTGCTAGGGACGGGTCGGACAGCTTCAAGGCCCAGATAGCATCGATCTTCTCAGGGGGGACTTTGTTGGTAGGTTGAGAACCAACGTAGTATGGTAGTGAACGCAACGCAGTCGCCAATAGGGCGAACCGACGACGCAGCGTATGTATTTAGTCCAGCCATTAGGGCACGGTTTGACATACGGGAGTACTAGTAGAGGTACCGGGGGCTTCGAGCCTACGGCGTATTTAATAATAAAAATAATAAATGTTTATAAGTGAAGTTGTTGACTTTTCGCTATGGCCCACTAATTAAGGGCACCCAAAAGGTGGTGGGGGACGGTACAGCAAACGGCAGAACTAGAAGAAAAACATTTATGGGCATGTTGAACTTCCTCTTATCTCCCTACAACTTTACAAGCACTTTTGAAAATCCCAGGTACAGGTTGTTTATATACGTACTGTTCGTTACCTAGATGAAGGACGGATTTGGACAAGGCCAAAAGCTGCATTCGTCTGGATCGCACGGAGCAAAACAAAAGTACAGTTTTTGTTTGAGAACCGTTTTCTTTGCATAATTGTGCATAATTTGATGACTCCGGCAGGCAGCTAACTGAACCGAGACTGAGTAAAAGCGGCACTTGTGCTAGGCCCGACTTGGCCGAAAAAGGTGCGATAGACACTCTTCCTACCTGTCCCGGGTGATCAATGATTCGCGAACGCGTTTTCAATTGAACCTAAATGCCACGGCAATTTTTCCCTCAGACATGTCAGTATCACCATTGGCAGCCGGCCTCAAGTTCCATGAATTCAGGGACACATTATTTTCATCATACTTAAACTCTTACTGTTTTATGAATATCCCTAGTAAGAGCTTCACAAAAAAGTGACGACAAGCTTTATCGCAATTCACATGGACATCCGGCACTTGGTGATTATAGCAGCACTTAGGGTAGACAACGCCATTATTGCATTTAGTAGGAAACAAAACTTCCGAGAGGATTCAACATTTATAGCATTTCGTGGATTGTTGCATTTGGCATCAGAAATCTCAAGCTCATGCTTGGTCGTTATCCCACACTCCCTGAACTCCCGACAATGCCATGTCCATCCATCATACACCATTTTTGTGTTAACACGTCCAAACATTAAACCTCTAGTAGAAGAAGCCGATGATCTTGCCGGCGACATGCTTGCGGCGGGCCTCCTCGTGGTCCATGATACCAGCCGAGGTGGTCAGGATGATGTAACCGAACTGACGGGCGGGCAGCAGCTTGACAACCCACTTCTCAAGGTCCGCCAGACGAACGTTGTAGCGGGGGGAGATGACACCAGTCTTGTTGAGGCGGCCGTTCAGCTGGACGACAATCTTGCCGGATCGGTGGTCATCAACCTCCTCGAACTCGCCAATGTAGCCTGCAAGCAACAGCTTCGTTAGCGGGATGTAGCGAAAGACTAAACGTAAAAACTTCATTTCTTGATATCAGAGACACGTGTAAGATTCCCTCGCCCGTAGTGATACGTCGATCTATCGGCAACTTAAAAGACTGCGGTCGTGGGAAAATTGAAACCGTTATCCAGTTATCATGCCGAATGCTATGGGAAGGAGTTTTGGCCACGGGCTGCTGAGTCTTCCACGTCTCTTCTAATAATCAAGAATATCGTCGCAATGATGGAACGTACCGTGACGCTGCATGACAGTCAAGAACTTGACAATGACCTTAGAGCTAGGTCGAATGAGGACCTGACGCTTGCCGGCCTTCTCGGCATTGTTAATCGACTTGAGAGCGTCGTGGAGAACCGAAGTCTTGACCATTTTGGCGGTGGTTGAAGGGTTTGGAGATTCTCAGATCGTGGGAGGGAAATGAGGTATCTGCCAATAGATTTTCATGTTAGCCCTCTAAAGCCATGAGCATGGAGAGTGCCCTCACTCGAGCTGCTGCATCGAGTGAGGGTTCTGCCCGCTCAGTACTGGAGAGGAGAAGCGTATCAAGGGCCAGTTTCCATCGTGACGGAGGTCTTGCTACTATGCGATATGTGACCGCGATGTTCGGTGCAACACACTGTAGCTCCGATCCGATGGAGTGCCGGTCCCTGATTGCTCTCCCCTGGCTTCGTGAAGGGCGTCTAGGGGGGTTATATCAATCCATCATGATATTGTTATATCCACATACCTCGTCGTGGTGAGTTGACGATTTTGACAAGAATTATCGTTTTGCTGATGAGTTGACTGAAGAGTAGTCAATCTAACGAAGACGAGAAAAAAGTTCAAAATGCTGGACGAGGTGTGGCAGACGCGCCCGCAGAGCGAAAGCCCTAGTGGTGCCTGATTGGCTAAAGCTCCCACGGCCCCGCTTTAAGCGAATTTCACCGGCGACTTCCCAAAGTGCTCGGTTTGACCATGGTTAGTATTGGACATTTGGTGCAGTGATATTTTCACACCATTTTCCGCGACCATCAAATCTTCCTTCACCATTCGTCAGCAACCAACGCTCTTCGAGGATCGCACCGGTATCACACAATCAAGATGGTACGTTAGATTTTGCTCTGGCCGTTCTGATCTTCGCAATGCGGCTCTGGCAGGTACCTTTTCGGGCTTGGGCGCGTGCGATCCCAGAAGAGCCGCTAATTTGTGCGCCGCAAATGTGGGATGAGCTTTGGCTAACAATCCCCCCCCCCCAATTCCAGTCGGACGTAGAAGAGAACAACGCCCCCGAGGCCCCCGAGGAGGTCGAAGTTTCTGCCGAGGCCTCCAAGGGCCAGATGTCCGTTCTCGACGCCCTCAAGGGTGTTTTGAAGCTCGCCCTGATGCACGATGGTCTCGCCCGTGGTCTCCGTGAGGCGTCCAAGGCTCTCGACAGACGCCAGGCTCACATGTGTGTCCTGAACGAGTCTTGCGAGGAGGAGGCATACAAGAAGCTGGTTGTTGCCCTTTGCTCGGAGCACAAGATCCCCCTGATCAAGGTTCCCGACGGCAAGCAGCTTGGCGAGTGGGCTGGTCTCTGTAAGTGACAACATGGAACAGCAACTGGATTTTGAATGGGCACTAATCGGTGTTGACAGGCGTCTTGGACCGCGAGGGTAACGCGAGAAAGGTTGTCAACTGCTCCTGCGTCGTGGTTAAGGACTGGGGTGAGGAGTCTCAAGAGCGATCTATCCTTCTCAACTACTTCCAGACCGAGCAGTAAGGAATTTTGCTACCCGGCGTTGATGGGAATGGCTATAGAAATCTGAGGAACATCCGCCAAGGATGCATTGGGATGTACTAGGAACCACCATACTGCATCGGATCATGGAAAATCTGCATTGAGACCAATAACTCTTCCTGGGTGATTATTTCTCGTCTGGGTGAATATGCATTGTTATCAACGAAAGTGATACACTTGATCATGCGCCTCGCAAACTTCACTTTCTCGCATCAACCGCGATGATGTGATATCCATGCTGGGTCTTGGCCTCACCATATGGGTAATTTGCCGTGGTGTATCCATTGAACGCAGGCAGTTCGAATGCCACCTTCTCAAACTCGGGTTCCAACGTTCCCTTGCTCTTCAAACCCAAGGCGCCACCTGCACTGTGTCAGTCACTGCATTTACATTAATAAAGCAATCTTTGTCTTGCCTGTCCTTATCTTCTCTGTCGAGAACTCGGCGACAACGGTTTTGAAATCGACACCGGCTCTCAGCTTAGCCAGCGCTTCTTCCTTTTTGCTATGCTTCTCGCACTATGCCAATGTTATTACATTGCAAGAGATGAGAAGGGACCTCATTGCACTTACCAAGATATGTCGAACTACGATGGACTGTGCACCACGCACCTTGGGGTTGGCACTCTTCTGCTCGGAAATCCCCTGGCTTTTGCCCTTCCCGCCTTTCCCCCCAGCGTCCTTATTGTCCTTGGACTTCGTTTCGGCCTTCTTCTTGCCGGCCATTTCTTAATTGGATCGAGTTGTGGGACGTGAGAGGAAACTTGAAGGTAGCTGCGATCTTCCCACGTAGACGAAACCTACTTAAGCGCTGCCGAGTTTCCCCCGGACTTGACGCTTACTTTCGAGTAACTCCATACTTCCGCAACTTCATAGCCAACACGTTATTTTTCTCGGACTGGCTCAATAGTTATAGTCCATTTGCGGAGTCTTTCTTCAATCAACGCAATCGCTTTCATAGCCGCCATGACGCCAAATAAACCAATACCAGCGCCAGTCAGGTCTTCGAGGCCAGGGCGCAGAAGATTATCCCCTGGAATCGTCTTGGTGGTTCCTAGCCGTCCGCCTCGCACTTATGCATGAAGCCGATCTCGTGATTTTGAGAACTTCACTTTTTGCTGTCATATCGTTGGCAAGTCACACATCTATGTAATCTATGACGTCCGCTAGCCCAAATTGCCTTCGTGAGCCAAGTCTTTATTTACCCAACTTTCAATTCTTCTCCCCGTGAGTCCTTGCTGCGAGTTCTACGAGCCCATGGTGGAAGACCCAGAAGTTTCGCAGACTCTGGAGAGGCGGGAAACTACACAATGACTTCCTATGACTCCATCGACGCTCATCGAGCCGCTGATCAAACTCACGGGCACTTCGCCGAGTCAACATATCTGCAGCTAATGTCGCGCAACCGATATATCGCCAACTATTGAGTATGTATCGCAATACGGACATGGATCTGAATCACGCTCAGTGCTGGTTGCCAACAGAACAGGTCTGGTACCCGAATGCTGTCTCTGCGCTCTCGTCGCCTCCATCATATTACCCGGGAAATACGACAGCATGCTGGTTTGTGATGCACCGTGGCAGCTCCGCCCTTTTAACGCGCGGTGCGTGCTTAGAGGGGACATGGCTAGGAATCGTTTTGACCCTGCGGCCATTACGGTGCTGGCCAAAACGTAGTATCTGAACAAGTGTCCAGAATGGACTTGATCTACAAATTAGCTTGAATTACCATTTTAGCAGCAAGTTCCGCGGGTGCACTGCCTGATGTAGGAACCACCTCGAGGACGAAACAGGCGGTTATGAACTACCGAAGCCCTCGCGACGAAAAAGGGGACGCGATGGGCTCTGGAATCACCGTCTTCATAACTCCTCCCCCTATCGATCTAGCAATCATGCGATCAGGATGGTATAGCAGGGGCTGGTATTTTCAAGAATCGGTTCTCTCAACTCGCCGCTTGTATTTACCGACCATGAGATGCTGTCTGAGGCCGCGGGGCTGCAATGCTGCGATTCATACCCGGAGCCGCACTACAACGTGGATAATATACTTGTCGGTAATTTCCAAGAGAACTTATCCCTGGTATGGCCTTCATCATGGGAGAAACGCCTCGAAGAGGTACGAGTAGGCAGCGATTGGGACTTCGACAATCCCCGCGGCCTTAGGTCGGGATGCACATACTCTTCGGGAGACTCAAGATTTACACTGGAAAGGCCCTATTTGACACTGCGGACTCCACAAAGGCGTTTAGGGGTTCTGTGATGTGTTCTCGCGCGCTGATGCGAACTTCCGGGTCATTCAGGCCATTCCCATTTTCAAAATCGCCGAAAATCTCGACTTGACGACGAGGTTTAAAGAACTGAGTGACCTAGAGGCATTCCAGAAGAATACATTCATGTACGGACTCTGTGTACCATGAGTATACATGCTTTGATGATATTTCTTTCTTCGCCTTGAAAACCGACATCGATATCATACTAATAGACTCTGACGAGCGATATGAATAATAAAATGCATCCTGCAAAAGTACTACACAATCAAATCGTAACAATGACCATGGCAGGTACTGTATGACGCTCGCATTGAGCCTTCCACGACTTAACTGACACTTTCCCCCGCATACAAGTGCAATGAACCAGGGGCGGATGCCCATCACGTCAAACGAAGCAAATGCGAACGTTTAATCGAGAGGAACCGAGGAACGGAAGTTGTGGTTGATAATGTAGTCCACCTCAGGCGCCCGTACACAGTTGAGCCGTTTTGTCATGGAGGATTGTGATGTTGATTGAGCTAAGTTAACCTCCGTCAGGTGTAACGGTAGAATGTTACCTATCTAACTAGTGTACATTGTTACGGAGTAACTAGGGCTCCGCCAGTGGACTGTGTGCCACTAGTCCTCTGTTATTTTGCAACAATATTATCATCATCACACTGAACTAAAGCCGTCCTCAGAATACACGTCCGACGAAATCTTTTACTATGTGAACTCTGGTCAACCAGTTCCTGGTGCCGACATCGCAGGTATTCCCATCGCCTATGAGCTGGTGCGCCGCAACAGCAAGAAGGTGATAATGCTCGAAACGCGCGATGCCTTGACGGGCGAGACAGGTGAGATGATAGGTCATATGTCCAGTGCGCTTGACGATCGATACGACGCCATCAAGTAGAAGCACGGGCTGGAGGGGGCAAAGGTCGCTGCTGAGAGGCATGTTCGGGCTTTGAAGAGAGTAGGAGAGATGGCGAGGTAGCTGGCTATTGACTGCGAATATCGCCAAGTGCAGGGCTATCGCATCTCACAGCACAAGACTGGCGACAACAGTCACGCCAAGGGGATCGAGAGAATCAAGGATGAAGTCAACCTGTCAAAGGAGCTTGGCCTTGAGGCGGAGTTCCGAGAAGGCCTCATCATTAAAGGATGGGACGGCAAGATAGATCAGTGGAATGCGGTCGTGTTTACTGGACTGGCCGTCTTCCATCGAACCAAATATCCCCGCGGCCTTCTCCAGTGGCTCCAACAGCAGCCAGACTTTGAGTTTTACGCCTAGACTCACGTGCTATCAGTGGAAGAAAAGGGGCTACAAGTGCTCAGCATCGGGAATCAGTCGGTCGAAATCCAGATCGAGTCTGGCAACACAATCAAGTGCCAAGATATCGAGGCCACCTGCATCCCACTTCAGAAGCTCAGCATCGTAACCCAGATGGAGTTCATGCGCAGCTACGCCCTGGCCTTCTGTGTGCCCAAGGGTCCGTCGAGGACCGTGTTCGCTACGACAGCGTTGCCCCTACCACTACGACCGTTCAACCACTTGCGACGCCAGGGACGGCCATCTGATTGTCGACGGCAGCGACCACCCCCAAAACCGACTATGATTGGAGCGGCCACATCCACGTTGTGACGGGTGACTCGGAACGGCTCGACACACGCCATCATTGCTTGAAGACTGATCGACGAGGAGGATGAAAACGTCCCTGAAACTGAGGCATGGGCCAAGCCGTACCTATCCAAACGGCTTGCGTCCATGGCCAAGTCGGCGCCACAGAATATTACGCATGATCTGCCGTCTGACATCGGGGATATTGAGGACCTGGCGCTGGGGACGGGTGAGGTGATAAAGTCAGCGCTGAGCAGTCAGGCTGCGGTGCACGAGGATGAGGAGGGCAAGGTGGTCAGAAAGAGTACCTTGTGCCCAAAGTTTCAGGGTGTGGTGTGTTAGAACCAGGCCGAGAAGTCGTGCGATTGCCCTGTTCACGGAAGCAGATTCTTTGTTACTGAGGAGTATGTCATGGGTCCTTCGAAGGGGTTCAAACGATAGCGTTGACTATGTAAAGGGTAGAGTAGGGTGTTGAGAGTAGAAATGCTGGATAAAGAACAAGGTATACTTACTGCTTACTGCTTATGTCTGAAGGAACGTTTACCCCCTGGGTCCCGGCGAATAATAGTAGTAAACAGATCTTGAGAAAGGAAAAATAATTGAACACCCTTTCTCAGCCATGACAATCTTCAAATTTTAGTGACTGAGCACCAAGGATACCTAAACTCAGGCGCGTATAAAACCAAAGCCACCGTCATGCAATCCCAGCTCCGCCATGCTATGCAACCATAATTCATTACTTCTCATCATCATCAATCTCACCGCCAGATCATATCAAGCCTCCAACAGCCCAACATACGGCGCAGGGAACAATCCCTTGGCACCCATGTAAGACCCAAAGAACCAACCCCCATTCACATCCTCAATCTCCCTGATCTCCGCCCCCTTGGGAAACAAAAGCTCGTCGTCGGACCCTTCTTTCGGATACCATGACCACTTGGCCCTTCCCCGAACAGCCACACCTCCGTCGGCAGGGAAGGCATCCGTCCATGACGGCCCCGACGGAGAAGTTGCCGCAACGTTACAGGTTACAAGGCGTTCCAGCCTCGACTGGTCCGTGGTGTACCACCACAACTTCCGCAGAGGCGCAGACGCGTCTGGGCTCCCGTAAGGCTCGGCGTGCAAGTCCCAGCCCCCGACGAGGTCTCGCTCGATATGGCGGGTTTGGCCCCCCTTGCCGTCCTGATAGTTGATAATCACCATCCGGTGGCCGTCTAGACATCGTCTCCAGCCATCCGGGCCGTTTTCAGCAGAGATACGCCCGTCGCTAACGAGGTTGGTATAGCAGTCTAAACAGACTTCATAGTGCCCGGGCTGCGGTTCCAAACCGACAGTGCCAGTGCATGAGTAACAATGGCACCTGTTCTGAGTAGGCGGAATGGCAATCTGACAAACGCCGCAGATCGTCGTAAAGGTGAGCGGCCTGAAGTTGCCAATCTTGATGGCGTTTGGTCCACTGTAGAGACTGGCTGACGTCGGTAGTTTTAGTGACCGCGGACTTGCTGGCGGAGTCTGAGTGTTTAGATGCGGCGGGACATAGGTAAGGGGCAGGAGAGGGTGTGTGCAAGTGCGTCCCTGGTTGACACATTTATTGCAAAACCCCCAGTCGCCTTCATTGCAGAAATCGCACCGCCAGAAGCATTCGTTCGCCCACGTGAAGCATCTTGAGCAAAACATACCACTCTCTAAACGATTCATCGGGTCATCTGTCGTCATGGTCCGCCGACCATCCGCACCGCCAGGCGTCATCTTGGGTGGTTTGTATCGGTTCGACGTCAACATATGTGGCGCTTGGACGTTCCCATCACCGCTGGCACGCAATTTTTCCCACTTGTTGAATGCAGCGTACCCAAAGCCGAGCCAGTGCAGACAGCCTTGGCCGGTTCGGTAGCAGTCCAGGCAGATGTTCCATTCGCCCCCAATGCATTTCGAACAGTTGTAGTGAAGCTCATACTCGATGTGCGGTTTATCACACCGCCGACAAGTTATCGAAGGTTCTGGGTAGAATTGCGACCTGGTAGTGCGCTGACGACCAGGTGACGGCGGCAAACCCAGGCTTGGCATGGGCGAACCCGCATGCACAGGAAGACTGGTAGGTCGCGATTTGGTCTGCGATTTACTAGAAACCTCTGGCGCCAACTCCATTCGCGGTGATTGCACAACCTGTGAGGCTGAACTCCGCTCGTCGAAGTTGGCGCCCGTCGAGGTATGTCCTTGGCCCACCGAGGTCCCCGTGGGCATGCTGGAACTCCTAGACTCGGCAAACGAGGCTCGTCGGGTCGTGGAACTAGAAGTGTGGGATCGAAGGGTCAAGTCTGTCTGGGATCTCGCGGCTGGGCGAGCCTCTGCGGGACTGGGCCGCAACGGCTCTGTTGCACTGCGGCCACAACTCGACGTTCGCCTCCGCCGCCTCTCGGGGCCAGCGCGGACTTGGAGATGCGTCGAGGTAATTGGGGGTCGGCTTCGATCGTCCAATTGGTTGGTTGAAATTGACGATCTCGTGTGGGCCGAACGTGCCCTCTGTCTACTGGCCGACCGGGCGGTATCGGTGCTGATCGGAGGTCTCGAAACGGCCGACGCTGACACCACGTCGGAACGATGAGATTGATGACTGGTGCCGCTTCTCCCGGATGTTTCGTGCCGTTGCCTTTGGGCCTGGCGTCTCCTGTATGCTTCCGTGATCTTTCTGCTCAATTCGTCGTTCTGGGTTAGGTCGATGTTGTCAAGATCCAGGCCGTCTAGAAGGCCTTCTTGAGTGATCTGACGCGCAAAGTCCTCAATTTCTCTTTCGAAGTCGAGTGAATCAACATCGGAGGAGCTAATGAGAGACCGTATTGAAGCCTGGTGTTCGATAGCTCTGCTCCTGGTATTGGACGAGTCGCGTGACCTCTGCCGGGATTCGCTGCGTCCATGTCTCCTCTCGTCCGATGATGAGCTGTCAGGTTGTAACCTTGCATTCGAGTCGGTTCGGCGCCTGCGTCCCTCATCCCTCGCCCCTCTTGCTGGGTTCTCCCGACCAGTAGCACGTCTCGAGTCTCGACTGCTGTCTCTGTCTGAACGACTCCTGTCCTCCCGGAGTCGCAAGTCTCTTCGTTGTCTTGAATGGCTTGGCCCGGGTGAATCGCCTCGGTTGTCTCGCAGACTTATCTCGCGCGCCCGTTCCAGCATCTGTCTCTCCGTATCCTCCCAACGCTGCTCTTCGCGAGACCTCACCACCGTCCGCACGGGCGGGAGCACCGTGTCCCCATGTTTGTACTTCTCCTCCATTTCCTTCACCTCGGCCGCTGACCTCGCCTTTTCCGGGTGCGCAGAAAGCAGCATTTCGAGGAGGGTGGTAACAGTAGCATTGTGCTTAGTTTCTCTGACCAGCGCGCGGCATGACGGGCATGTTGCAATCTGGGTGCCCGGCGCTGGAGGGTTTGGTGAATTCAAAGCCGCTGCCGCTTGCCAGCTGAACCAATGTTTGAGACAGGAGCCGCAGAAGGTGTGCAGACAGTCGAGGAGCGTCAAGGGCTGGTAGAGGAGCTCAGTGCAAATCTGCGCATAGGGTAAGCGGGAAGCTCCATAGATCGACCTTGGGGCGTCAAGTCTTACAGAGCACGTCAGCTCCTTCTCCAGGTCGACGCCTGGCCTTGGGGAGTCCATCGTGAGCTGACACCCGCGAGTTAGAGTGTCTGAAGTGAAGCGTAGAAGCTGTTGGGCGGAGACGGCGGATCCGAAGTTGACGATGACCTTTGACCGACGATTTGTGATGGTGGGGGGAACTCCAGATAGACCCATGCATTTTCAACATCGTATTATTTCGCCGCCTAGCCTGGCCTGCATAGTGGCGCATCACGTTAGCAGCTAGAGGACTAAGATCATGGTGGAATATTCATGAACCATGTCAGCTCTGCGCCCCAGTCCTCAGGTCATGCCGTTTGTAAAAAGAAACAATATTCTCTTCGGGCGTCGGGTTCTTTGAAAGAGACCGGAAGGCTGCGAGGCCGAACCTACGAGACCACCACTCGATGCTTCGAACCGTTGTCTCGGAAGTGCACTGTCAGCCCTATCCTTGCACTTACCCCGCTTCTATTGGTGGATAGTGGCAGGGGATATCGAGGTCCAGTCTCAATAGGACTTAATACAAGACTTGACAGGTATTTCGACAATGCAAATCTTTGTTACCCACTTCAATCTACTTACGTAGAAAGCTAAATTCAAGAAGTCGTTGGGTGATGTTTTGTATGCACACAGTCGCTTCTTTCCAGGTACTTTCGAGGCTGAACTAGTGGTAGCCGAGGGGCAAGCAAGTCTGTACATTGGCGGAATACCGAAATATTGGTCTCATTTACCGTTGAGCCCCGGTGCTACCTGGGATTGGGTTCAGGATCTTTAATTCCGAGAATGAGTGTTCGTAAGTCTCATGCCTGATTATCGGCCTTTCCTTACGTTCCATATCCAAAACATCTTACGGTCTTATAATATGATCAGTCTTACTACCACGTATGCCTTCTCAGCCTTTGGGGGTCCGCCTCGCAGTTTATTGCAGCTCCAACCCATTCCGAGCCAATCTATTGATGAGTCCACTCGGCTTTCTTTTTCTCGGCAAATGCCTTCATCCCAATCTTCTGGTCCTGGCTCCCAAACAGACTGTGGAAGACCCTTCTCTCAAACTCGACACCGTCCCGCAGCGGCAAATCCTGGCTCTTATTCACCACCTCCTTGCAGCCCTGCACCGCCACGCGCGAGTACCCGGCAATAGTCTCCGCCGTCTTCAGCGTCTCCTCCATGAGCTCCTCATAGCTCCCGAACGCCTTAGCCGCAAGCCCCCACTTCTCTGCGTCCACCCCGGAGAAAGACTTGCCCGTAAGGATGAGCTCCATGGCCTTGCTCTTGCCAATGGCTCTGGTCAAACGCTGGCTGCCACCAGCGCCGGGAATGATTCCCAGCTTGACCTCGGGCTGGCCAAAGTTGGCCGCCTCGGTGCAGTAGAGGATGTCGCACATCATGGAGAGCTCACAGCCGCCGCCGAGGGCGTGGCCCGACACAGCCGCGATGATGGGCTTCTTGACCTGCGTTGTGAGGCTGGACCACGACTCGATAAAGGACGTTGTGTAGGCTTCCGAGAAGGTCAGTGGTGCCATTTCTTTGATGTCGGCACCGGCCGCGAAGGCCTTTTGCGAGCCTGTCAGGATGATGACGGAAACGCTGTCCGAAGCATTGAAATCGTGAAGAGCTTGGTTCAGCTCGACGATCAAAGGCGTGCAGAGGGCGTTCAGGGCCTTTGGTCGGTTCAGGGTCACTGGGAACGCGTGTAAGTCAACATGTAGCAGCAGGTGAATCGAGTCAATCCCGTTTGATTACCCTGACCGACGCCCGGCTTGGGCTCCGAAGTTTGAATGTACTCATATGATCGAGTCGGCTCAGCAGAAAATGAGCGGACAAGTCGGGGCAGAGTTGCAGGTTGAAGGCGCGAGGCGACTGGCCTCAGATGTCGCAGAGTATTCATGATGGTGCTGGTAGATACCCTCGGCCGGCCGCTATGAGTACGGAACGTGCGTGATTAAATAATGAAAGACAATGGGATTCGTTATTACAATTTGACGAGAATTTGGATCACAACCTACCAAGAACTATGGTTGAGCTTCAAGCTCAAACTGCGATTGAGCTCCAGAAGCTAGAACTCAATGCCGAGGATCGCCTGGGGCCGGGGTCTCCAAAGAACACCCCAAGCCATGAGGTCAGAGGTCCATAAGCTAAATGACAAATGGAAAGCCGACGATTAGGGTGCTAGTCACACACCTGAGTGTACTTCCAGACAGCTCCCAGGGTCCCTAACAGTTGTGTTTGGATTGAAAGGGGCCACCGAGCGGCTTGCGTGGGAGGCGGAGGCTAGTGGCCTGTGGCGCTCTAAATTAACAGATATCCCCGTAGTTGGCCAAGCTAAACCTTGAATTTGAAAGGTCGTGTGCAGTGCACATCTAGATCTCGAAAGACCACCTGCCGCAAGTCGTGACACGAAATTGTACAGTACAATCCATTCAATTTCTTGCCATTGTGAACCTCGTCGCGAATTTTTTCCACAGCTTGCTCTCAACAGTACTGCCAGATTCAACTCGCTCTCCGCAACACGTCAAGATGGACAACATGGAGACCGAACAGACCCCTTTTGCGGCCGTCACAGCCCAAACCTCGAAGCTCCAGATGGTTCGTCTCCCGTCGCGCACCCCGATAAGAACGACGAGCGGGATCGCCAAACTGATATTCATCTAGCAATACCAAGCGCTTCTGGACAAGTCGACGCCATTTACTCTGTACAGATGGGTTGGAACAGGCGCCCTTCTGATGGTCTTCTTCCTGCGCATCTTCCTGGCGCAAGGCTGGTACATCGGTAAGGCCCCCCCTAAATCGCCTGCCTGTGGGAGGAAAACACGGCGCTGACTTGGAGCAACAGTGGCATACGCAATGGGCATCTACCTTCTCAACCTGTTCCTCGCCTTCCTCCAGCCTAAGTTCGACCCCTCCAATGAAGCGATGGATAATGCCGACGACATGGAGGACGGATCTGCCGGCGGGCTGCCTACCAAGCAAGACGAGGAGTTTCGCCCCTTCATCCGACGGCTTCCCGAGTTCAAGTTCTGGCACGCGGCCACTCGCGCCGTCGCCATTGCCTTCCTCTGCAGCTGGTTCGAGGTCTTCAACGTCCCCGTCTTCTGGCCCGTTCTGGTCATGTACTGGATGATCCTCTTCGTCCTCACCAGTAGGGTCCCTCTCCTCAGGTGATGTGTGCTGTGCATGTCCATCAGATGCTAACTTTCTGGTTCTAGTGCGCAAGCAGATCCAACACATGATCAAGTACAAATACGTCCCCTTCACGCTCGGAAAGGCCAAGTATGGCAAGAGCAGCACCTCATAGGTTGGCGTCTGCTGAAATAGCCGTGGATCTGCGAGATGGGCCCCTATGAGGTGGTATAATGCTACATCGCGAAGGGTAGCCAGCTGCAGACCCAGATGCTATACGATTAGAACCGTTGGGGCTGGACAAACGGCTGCCCCCCAGGGTGCATATGGATGGGCTTGTTTGTTTCCAGGCTTTCTTGTACAAAATGACTATAGGGTGCATATGCAACAATGACGCTGGTAGAGGCGTTGGCTGTGGTCTTGGTGTTCTCGTTCCTTCTTGCAAGGAGGCCTGTGGTGGATAGAGGTCTCGTGGAAGCTGTCAAAGCGCAGGAAGCATCTGAATGAACCATAAGACTTTTTTAATGAACAAGGAACAAGATAAAGCTCGGCCTTGGAGCTATTTCAGTGTTCTCTGGACTTGGGGCTTCTTTTCAGTTTACGGCTCATAGGATTGTCACATGCAGTTATTATCTCCACAGATATCTGGTCCATAGATTGCGAAATTTATAGCGCAAGTAACTTGAGCAGCAACAGTAACAACGGTGGGTCAAATTCCCATACTTGGGCCGAAAATCAATTGACTGGTTTAACAGCTTCGCAGCTCGGCCATTCTTACCAATTCTCTATTTGCTACTGACGTTATCTTGATTTAGGGGAGAAGGGGGGCGTGCTCAGCACCCTGGCCCACGGCGGAGACTACCCGACAGCTAAGTGGGTGTGTCGGCTGCGATACACGGTTGCGCGCAACCTTTACTTTTTCGAACCACATCGCTGACCTCTATTTATTCACAGCAAGCTGCACCCGGGCTTGAGGTCAAGTGCCATTCGTCTTCAGAAGACGGCACCATTGTCGCCTCGCCGTTCCTGCCATTAACCCGCTCGCCTGGAATTCTTCGAAGATGGCATCCTCGTCGCGAAATAGTGAGCACCGCTCCATCCACCAAGACTTCATTGCGCGGATCCGATTTTCCAACGCGCTGCCTCCGCCGCCTAATCCTCCGAAGCTGCTTGATATCCCTAATACGGGTCTCGCAAGTGGCCAGTACACCGCGCCCGGTTTTGCTTCGAGGCTGGCCAGAGAGCAGCCACTGAACATTGAGGCCGATGCAGAGCTTGGAATGCCCTTGGACTTGGTGGGTATGCCTGGCATCTTCGACGGCGATGAGAGCTGTAAGTTGCCTTCATTGGCGTTATCAGTATAAAGTGAGTAGTATTTCTTTCATTAACACTTATACGTAGCTATCCAAGCACCTACGCAGCCACCGCGAGTCCACCCACACGATGCGGCTCTCCTGAAGCCATTACATACTCTCGGCAAGCCCAAGATTGGAGAAGCTGCCGTTTCCTTCCTGCGACGTACCGAGTACATTTCTTCCGTCACAACCAAATCTTCACAGTCTGCCACGCCCTTGCGTGGCTTCACTGCTCCTATAAAGCGTCTGGTGAAGCGCAAGTCGCCCGAGCCCGACATTGATTCGCCCGCATACGTAAAGAGAAAGATTGATCAGAGCTTCACCATCACCGAGCAGAACCTGAAAGACCGAAACCGCGTCAAGCACCCGTCCAAGAAGAACCTCAAGCTTGTCGAATCCTACCCTCTGCTGCCGGACCCTGAAGCCTGGCCCGACTCTGGTACCTACGTGACCATGAAGTTTACCCACAACCCGGTGCCCGGCAAGGGCAGCTACGACACACGCATGCTAAACGGCATCTTCAGACCTCTTAATAGGAGCCAGGAGGAGGAGGACCTCCTGGACGCAGCCATGGAGGCGTGGAAGATCGATCCCGTCAACAACCCCAAGCCTGACATGTCCATGAGCTACGATTTCTACCTCGCCGAAAGCGGCACGAGCGCCGAGAAGTTTCGCAAGCGCTTTGACATGGACAACCCCGAGCGCGACAACGACTCTCTATACACCAGCAACCGCTCATCGGGCCCTTGCTTCCAGTTTAGCCGCCTGCGCGCGTACGAGACGGCGCAGGAGTCGGAACTTGACCACAGCTCCAAGTACGACGAGGAGCTTATCCTTGGCTTTAATGATAACGAAACGGCCCTGCACCAGAAGGCCGCGTATTTCTACCCCGTCATGCAGCGCAGCACGATCCGGCCGCAACGCACAAAGAACATCGCTCGTACGATAGGCATGGCGAATGACGATGAGAAGATCATTGAGCAGCTCGACGTCAAGGTGGATGACCCGACTGAGGAAGTCCTGGCCGATATGGAAAGGTTTAAAGAAGACCCATACGGACTCACCATCGAGCCGCCTCAAGAGGAGGACGGGATGGCGGAAGATGGTGAGCACCATGAGAATGGGGATGCGGAGGCGAATGGACTGTCACAGCGCCACACCCCTGATTCAGAGGAAGATGTTGATGCCGAGGGCGATGAGGATGACTAATCCCCCGTCTCTAGTCTCCCAAAAAGGGGGCTGGGGGGATCACTTGGCGAGGAGGATCATGAGCTGAGTGAGGAGTTGTGGGGTATGGTGTAAGGCGTAGTAAATTAAGAATACCTCGGTGAAGACTGGATGAATGGACTGAGCATTGAACCTGGCAAGTGACTTTCATCCTGGATCGTACGGCAGCTAGATATGACAACAACGTAAACGGTGTTTTTTTTCTCGCCATTCTCCATTGTTCGTAAAGCCCCAAATGAGTATCTATCAACTTCTCAAACTCTGAAGTATAATGGGTGAGTGTCGTGAGCGAGGCCACCGCAAGTAGTAGAGTTGTAGTATATCCTAGTGAAGATTCACGCTGTGCAGCTAACTTATACACTAGGCGGAGGGACAGGGATGATACTGCCTGCTTTTCGTGTGGCGACTATACACTGCATATTATGTATGTTTTATTTAGAGCTTTCTTTCTAGGGGAATAGCTGCTGTAAACCGTGTAGAATAGTCTTACAAACTTGTTTAGTAGCAGTTCGTAGGACTTGTTTGCGAGAGAGGAGATGGCAAAAGAGGAGCATGATAGTGCTGTCGATTTGCGTTACTTAAGACTGCCGCTTGGGCTGGAAGATATGGAACCAATTGGGCGAGGAGAGCCAGAACCACGCCTATGCCAATTGTTCATGACCCCCTACATGTCTATTCCCCTCTTAGTGTACACATATTTGATACACGACTTCCTGCCAAGAAGCTAAGCTCTAAAAATCAATGCTCGCATTGGAAGAAGAAGGAACGCTCCAAAGATGGGAATTGAGAGAAAACAACTCCAATTCCTTGGTCGGTAAAGAGCTCCCATAAGCCAGCCGTTTTCGTTCTATAAGCCATACCATCCAAACTCCGGTGCCTTAGCCAATGCCGCTTGCTTCTACGATAGTCTTGCCTCACAGTTCGTAAGCAGAACACGTTTCTATCCCAGTATCCAACAAGCCCTTCTAGTATTCATACCATTGTCTGTACAGTTGCGCCACCCTTTCCTTGTGATATTCTGATGTATGTATGTGATGGGACGACGTGTCGTCCAAGATAAGTCGCACTGATATGGCAACTTTATCCCGTACTGCCCAGATACTAATTGGTTCCATTCCGTGGCTTCCACCGAGTCATCATGGATGGTGGGTCTCCACGGGTGTTCGCCTCTTCCAATCTCCAGGGATTTCGAAGAAATGGCTGCGTCTGGGCCCTGGCTCTTACTTTTCCCTTGGGCACCACCACTACCCCTGTGGAACGAGAGTCTTCATTAATTGTACCCAGCGGCTGCCCCCATCTCTAATGCGAGTCGGCCGGCTGTGTCTCTGCTCTCCTGGGTCGTGGCTTAGGCTCATCATCGTCATCGCTGACCGGTTCCGTGTTGCTTCGCCTAAAAGTCTCGCTCTTTCCGAAAGCAAATGAATATTCCGTCTTGGAGATGGAATGAGATTTCGGCGGATACGAAGGCCCGGGATGCAAGAATGACGTGATGACGTTCCTGCGGTCGATACTGCGGGTGCGACCCCGGGATAAGCTCACTGGGCGGTTCGTGTTAAGTGAGACGGCCGATTGGCGCCGTTGCAGTTTGAATTCGGCGTCCTCAGCCTCCTTACGGTTGAGCGATTCGCTGGGCAGAAGGATGGCTCGATCTAAACCGTAAGGAAGACCACGATGGCGACCACGAATTTGCATCGCGATTACGACAAGCTTGCCAACAACGCTGAACTGGGAGCTGAGAGAGGCGTTGATCCCAGTGTAGCCCAGGCTGAGCCCAACAGTACCGTAGGCGCTGACAATTTCAAACAATACAGCGAACATGGAGAAGTCGCCTGCCATGAGTCGCGAACCCTCGGATATGGACAAGATAAAAAAGCCAATAAAGATATACCACAAGTCAAAAGACAGTTGCCGACGCAAATGGGCGCCGACATAGGAGAAACCGTTCTCGTTCCGCTCTTCGATGTCGTTTGTGGATCCGTATAAGCCCAGCGACTTCTCCTCATAGACATTGGTGCGGCGGATGGAGATGGCGATGGGGAAGACGGAGATGTACATCATGATGAGGTACGAAGTCTGGACGGCGGGATGGACGTCAGCCAAATTGACGACGGCAAAACCAGCAGTTCTTGTCGCCGCCGCTTGAAACCACCCGTCGAGAAACTTGATATCTAGCGGCAGCTCGGCCACCACACCCGTTCCCAGATCGAGAATAATGAAGAATATCAAGTCTAATGCGTTAAGGGCAACCAAAATAAAGAATAACCACCAGGTCGGAGTCGACGGAAAGAGCAAAGTGAAGCAACGTCGGGGGTGATCCAGGAGGAAACGTAACTCTTCCCACAAGCCGGTACCTCTGGGAACGAATAGGTGAGTGACCCAGATAATGGCACGCAACATGATTGGGAATCCTGTGTTGCCGATGATGATGAGAAACGACATGATGAGCAGAGGAAACCTGGCCGTAGCGAATGAGATCATGCTGTCAGGCGTCAGGGTAAAACCAAGGTCCATGAAGGCCGAATTGGACGAGAAGAAAGCCCACCAAGTCGGACTTTGTCCGACGCTAGTAACCACATTTTGGTAGTGCTCATTGTTGTGCAACATCCATAGCAGGAGGCAGATGAGGCCAAACACCCAAAAGCCCCAAAAGTAGCCGGTCATAACGACCGCAAGCGTCTTCAAAGACCGGTACTCGATGCCGCCAAGCTCCTCCCTTTGTTCCTCGGTCAAATCCAAGAACTCGGAGTTGCGGCCCAGGGTCGGTTGCCAACTCAGGTATGGCATGGAATCTTGATCCTTGTTGTGGGACAGGGCAGTTTTGATTCGTTGTAAAGCATTGAAACGAGGCTGCGTGCTGGTATCGATGCCGTTATCGATGCCGTGCTGGTGGAACTTGTCGCCATGCTTCGCCTTGTTGCGCTGCGGGCCGAGAGAAGACAAGACATGAGCAGATGCTTCAATGGCATCGGCCATGGCTTCCTTATTAGGGTGAGTTGGCTCTGCAATAGTGATGGTTTGCTGTCGTTCGGGATTGGATGAGAACCGCGCGGGTGGTGATTCGCGGCGGGGGGATTCGAGGCTCGATTCGCGTCGTTTCCAGCCAACTCGGCTGAGACGATCCCCGTCGATCTCGTCGTCGTCATCGTCGAGTTCCTCGGGCAGAATGCCCCTCTCGGCATCTCTGGGCCCGGGGATGCGAAGAACGCTCTTGTCGTGCTTGCGTTGCCTCTCCAGGATAGCAATGTGCTCGGCGTCAGACCTCTGCCGGGGGAGTTCCATCCCCACAACATCGTCTTCGGGGATGACGTCGCTTCTCGTCACCCTGTCGGCGAACTTGATAGTCGCGTCTCGAGGTGCGGGAGGCGTATCATTCTGCGCCGAGAAGCTATAGACAAGTTCCGAATCCGACTTGACTGCCCCGTTCATAGCATAATCATCCAGCAGGATGCCATCATTCGTGAGCCGGGAAGCCTTGGCCGTGTTGTGCATGACGGTGATGTGCCTCCCGTTCACTCCACGTTCGGCATCGGACGCGGCATTTATCGCCTTGGAGCGGGACTTGGTGATGGTGCCCCGTTTCTGTCTTGCATCCTTGACCATGTTTCGGAACCGTTTTTCGAACCAGTACAGGCGCAGAAACACAACGCCAGCGTTGATGGTAATGGGAGAGGACATCATAGACATTAGAGTGATAAGTACTTGCTGAAACGTGTTCAACAGGTTGACGTCGACGGGGTTCAGTCCTGCCTGCGTGTTGGCGCCGCTGGCGAAGAACAGGGCATCGATGTAACGTATTTCACCACTGCCAGACCCCTTTCCCGACGCATAGATAAGGATGGATCCAAGAATCGAGAGGCCAATGATCCAGAAGTAGTGCACGGTAATGAAGTTGAAATGAGGATTCTTGGACATAAACGAAGGCCGAAGGGCCTGGAGATGCTCCGTGACAACTCGGGGTATGCCCTTCATCTTGGCCGAAATGATGAATGATATCGTAGGTTTTAGGGTGTGTAGGGAGACAGGGGATCTGAGAGGTCCTTCTGCTAGAGAACCAACGTATGATGGACCCAATGTTTAAGGACGATGACAGGTTGAGGCTCGCACAGCATGATAGCTGCTTCTGAAGGTTGTGGCTGTTCTCGTGTCAACCAATGTAATTCATCGAAACCGATTTCAGGGAAGGCATCAAACAGAAACGCCGAGCATGATGAAGGTGGCTAGGATGCAAAGCCCAAGCGCAATGCAGGTTCAGGAAGGCGTGGCTGGCTTATCAAGACCTTGTGTGATCCACCACGGGAAGGTGGCATGCGGACAACCAAGAAGTACATTAGGTAGTAGTAATGCAGAACAAAGCACCAAGGTATAGGAATTCAACCAAACATGTTGGGGGGAGGGGGGGAGGCGGGGGAGTGCTATAGGGAGCTTTCCCAGATGTCCAACATTGGATGGGGCTGGTGAGCCCAGGTCGAGGTTCGAGAAGCTTTCTGCATGAACAAACTCTGTATTCGGGACTGGGTGGTAAGGAAAGCAAGCTGGCAGTGAAAAGGAACCTACCTTCATGCAACAGAGCCAGCGGCCAATATAAGGGTCGTGTGCTGTAAGCAATTGAATACCGGGGCTTCAACCGGATAATTTAGTCGACAGAGGGCGCAGGACATTCGGTAGAAAACAGATAAAGTTGCATGTCACGTCGCGCAGGAGCGGTAGTGGTAAGTGGTAACGTCGAGCTCTGTGTTTTCAATGTTGGTTTTCGTTCCACCTCGGCATGCGTCGGCTGGGGGATAGAGACTTCCGACAAGCCGCTCGTCGAAAAGGAGGCGAGAATGATGTGGTGACAAGTTGGTGTTGGGAATCTAGATATAAGGCGCAACCAAAAACGGCCAGCAAAAGTGGTCGAAAGAAAGGAGACTTTGGCAACGTTGAAGGCATATCATATCAAGTCAGGGGTGCCAATGAGGCCAGAAATCTTGGCACGACCAAGAGAGGCTGTGGAAGCTTAAGAAGGCCTGGAGGTATCCAATATCGTATCTAATCTCGACCATTCGATAGCAACGCGCGCCGGCCGCGGACAGGGCTTAACGATAATCCCTCCCCTTGCCGCGCTAATGTCGAGCACGGTACAGTTGGATTGAGTGGCTATTTTCAGTGCAGGTTCAAGGGCCCCGACGCCCATCATTAATCTCCAACGGAGGTGGATATCTTATCGTCAGTTCTGCCGACTGCTCCCCAGCGCTGACGAACGTGTACTATGCCACAGGGAAAATGACAGCTCAGCCCCGAACTCGGATTTGGAATCTGGAACGTCACTTTACGTGCCCAGAAGCTCGGAAGGCCGCATGGCACAGTCCCGTTTTTCCAATGTCCCCCAAGTGTTCTCTTCACTAGCATTGGAGAAACAGCGCTAAAATCCCAGCGAAGCCGTCGGGACTTCTTGGCAACTCTTCGACCCTTGTCCGTACGCGTGCATGATGTCAAACTGGAACAAGCGCATCCCGGAAGATTAATAACAAGATCATTCGCGCGAGTCGATGCAATGCTTCAACTCTGCCTCGTTTGTCCTCCAGGTGTGCAACGAGTATAATACAGTACAGTGAGTGAGATCGGTAGCTTCTATTGTGTGTGAGGAATCCAGAACTTGGAAGCCTCCGATTACCATTGCGTCTCTTGGCCACGAGCATTGTGAGCCGATTCCTCGCATCATTGATGCGCGCTGAATTGGCACATGCAAATCCACTTTGCGCCGACGCGGCAGTATGCGGTTACCATTACCCTGCAGCCAATCGGCAGCTAGAGTGTGCTTTCTACGAAGATGCATATAGATATAGGTATTGTTTCATGACCACAGCCGATCCGATAAGGACGTACTTGTTGTATAGGTTAGGTAACTGTTAACATGCTGCTAAGCCTCTGATGATTCTTTCGGGTGGCGTGAAGCATGGCATAAGGGTATAATTGTGGGCGAGTGTGGCCTCAGGTATAGAGAGATACAAAGCACCCAGGCACAAACTAAAGTAGTGTGCATTGGGGGGAACCCCTCCGCCCCCGGGGCCAACCATGCACCTTCGTAGTACCAATACAGCCCCCCAGTACGAGGAATCGACAATAACCACTGTGAGTATCAAACTCAACGTGGCGGGCGGGGAGTGAAGCATCCGAGGTCGAGCGAGTGCGTTCATGTCAATATCTAGATTCTTATGTATTCGCATTTGCCACCTCTACTATAACACTCTCGGGTATTTTTCTTAAGCATCCTATGCCATTTTCCTATAAAGTCAACACCATCCAAACTCCACCCATGCATGGTAGTACAACATCACTCTCTGTTCATTGATCCTTGCTTTCATGAATCCTCGCCTTCTCCCTTGACAATTTTTTGAAGAAGGCATTGCTTGTTGGCTTCTTCTTCGAGCCCTTGCCACCCTTTCTTTCCATATAAGCCATACCCTGTGCGCCGCTGAGTTCTTCCAAGGCCCCAGCTGTCCGCTTCACACCTCTCCTCCTGCCGGTATTATTGAAAAGGTCGTCTATGCCTGCGTCCAGATCGGCATCTTTCTTGTCCTTGGTGTCTGTCTCGATTGTGGTTAGGAGGTCGCGCCGTGACTCGGCCGTTGAAAACACGAGGTTTTTCATCTTGTCCATGCCAGATAGCTGAGTGATCACCTTGAAGGAGTAGCCTTGGTCAACAAGGAAAGCTTGGCGTTTGGTCGAGTAGTACATCTCCGTGGTGTCTTTGGAGACTAGTGAATAGAAAAACGCGTTGAATCCCTCGTCTGAACGACGCTTTGCTCGTAGAATTCGACCCAAGCGCTGCGCCTCTTGACGCCGCGACCCATAATGAGACGATATTTGGATTAGACAGGTAGCCTCGGGAAGGTCCAGAGATGTGTCGCCGACCTTGGAAAGGAATATCGACCGGACATTGGTGTTGTGCTTGAAGTTCTCCAGAATGAACATCCGTTCCGAGTTGCTGGTCCCACCGTGGATCATTGTTTTTGCAAGGCAGGCGGGTCCCGCGATATACTTCAAGGCATAGACGTTGTCCGAAAATATAATGATCTTGTCCCCACGATTTTCATGATACTCAATGAGAAACTGGAGAGCCTGGATTTTGCGAGGGTTCATGACGTAAAGGTTCTGCTTCAAGGCCCGGTCATTCGTATTCAGGTACTTGTCGTAGAACTCGGTGGTCATGGGACACCAAACCTCGGCGCACTGGACCTTCGCAATGTGGCCTTGTTCGGACAGCTCCATCCAGTTTGCTTCAAAAAGCTTGGGCCCGATCAGGAAGTTAAGGTCTCCGATTTTGTCATCTTCTCGGAGCAATGTAGCCGTCAGACCCAGCTTTGAATGGCTCTTAATGTGAGATGACACCTTCCGGAAGATGTTGGCAGGAACAACGTGTACCTCGTCCAGCAGCATCAAACCCCATTCTCGTCCCGTGAGAAAGTCCATCATCTTCTGCGAGTCGTACGCGCGCTTGCCAGATTGTGTCACCATCGGGTACGTGGTTACAATGATGCCCGTATTTCCAGGAAAACGTTGCTTGGTGTCGGCACTGAAGACAGCAATGTCTTCGGGTCGAATATTAGACCACTTGATAAATTCTTCACGCCATTGATGTGCAGACATTGTGCTGGTGCAAAGCACGATGCACCCCTTCTTAATAGTGCAGGCAGCTGTGATGCCCACAAGCGTCTTCCCAGCGCCGCAGGGAAGCACAATGATACCACTCTTGGCTCTACCGTTACCGAACATCTTACTGAGGCTCTTTTCTTGGTAGCTCCGGATCTGAGTATTGGGTCTGAGGTCGATCTCGAGGTTCGCATTCCGGTCGTCGTTGCGGAAATCGTACTCTTGGAGGATGGGATATTGAATGGCAAGACATTGCTTTTGGACTTTTTCAATGTCGGTGTCGTAAATTTCGAATGCGTGAACAGCTTCTTCGTTGTCGTCGTCATCTTCCTCTCTCAATGCCTGAATAGCAGCTGCTGGCTGGGCTTTGTCAGGAGCAGCGGCCTCCTCTCCGGACTTTTCTGCCTGCTGCACTTGCGCTTGCTGTACACCTGCCGCATTTGATGTACCAGGAATTACCAGACCTCCCATGGAAGGTGCGGCAGTTGTGATGTCAGTTCCCTGCACACGGCATGGTCCGATGACGGGGTCCTTCAAGAGTTTCTGCAGGACGTCGGCATCGTTGCTTTCAACGTAGTACTTGTTGTTCTTGATGACAAGCTTGACTTTGCCATACGCCGAGGCCGAGTTTTCAATGTACGAACGGATGGAGTCTGGCAAGACGGTTTTGGAGAATCGCTGAAGGGTATTGATGATATCCTGAGGTTGCAGGCCGACGGAGACGGCGGCATATAAACTGTGGGTGGTGAGAGCATACTCGTGGAGGTAGGTCGGTCGCGACAGAGGCTCTGCAATTGTGATTAGAAAGTCCTTGGCCTGCTCAGCCAGGGGACTGAAGTTCTCGAGGATGATGCGCCCTCTTTGTGGGTCAATCCATATAGGGCGAGATCTATAGTCTTGCCGCAGCGGTAAATAGGAAAAATCTCGACTACCACCGCCAAAGTGCCTACTGGCGCTATCTATAAGGCCTCTATCTTTCTTGTCCTGGTAAAAGGCCAACGAGAAGCGGTCCACGGCATTCGCAATTTGCTCCTCGTTTGGGTTGGTGTCGTCTGCCGGGGGAAGATCGGAATCGTCATCGTCGCTATCGATGTCCCGAGGAGTCGAGGGTCCAGGCGTAGAAGCAGCTGACGTCCGGCCAGACTTGGCTGTCCCCGAAACGTTCGCCGATGCTTTCCTCTTTGGCGGCATTTTGTCTTGCGATGCCGTTGTTGAGGAGAAGACGAAGAAGGTTGCGTTGCTGAAGACAAGGCCAGGCTAACGAACTTCTGGAATGATGACTGCTGGAAGGGTAGCGACTGCTTGACCAATCGGAGATTTACGGATTCATATCCCTGTTGCACCAGGCGGGACCCGTCGCAACTGCTCCACTATGGCCATTCCAGCACCCTACGTCTAGAGCTATTGGAGCTGTAGTCATCAAAACAATCACCCGTTTCCTACAGAGTATTGGAAGGTACTCACTCGGCACTAACCCGTTGCTCTATGCCCTAATTATTACATCGCAGTAGGTAAAATATAGTTCTGAGAGGTATGATCGTTGTGATGAATGTAACTGGTGAGGGGTAAAAGAGCGAGGTACTACGGAGATTTGAACTCGGCTCGCTGGCTCAATGCCGTGTCTCCATTATGTTATATCTACTTTGTATACTCATATACCTCAGTACATGCCTGTGGCAGCCCTTACATTTACCAATGCCTTCGCATATGGCCTGCCATCACAACTGATTATGCACAATTGCTTAGCGACTGATATTCAAGACCTTCCGGTCTGTCATGAGGTTACTTCAAGGTGTAGCAGATACGGATCGCTCTGGCTTGGTCGCTCTCTTCACCGTCCCGGGACCGCCACAGTTGAGCCCCTTGTCCCTACGAACTACGAACTATCCTTAGCCAGCAAATCCTCCACCCTCTTCACCTTATCCTGTGCAGACTGTTTTTTATCCGTTCTACCTTACGTCAGTACATCCCACCCGGGTCCACCGCCTTGACGAAGTCAGGTCAACTCGAAGTCAGAATAGCACTCACCTCGTGCCAACCCTCATGGACGACTGGACCCTCAAAACCCCCTTCTCGTGGACAAGACTATGCGCTTGTCCAATAACTTTGAAGACCTCATCCCAGGACCCCTCTAATTGAAACGGTCCTCATTAGCTTGACACTCACTGATGGGTCTCTTCCGCATTTAAGTCAAAAATTATAAGATACAAGGAGTGGAGGGAGGAGAGCATGAAGGTAAGCTACGCACCAACCGTCGTACCCGCCGAATGCATCGTGTACATGATGCCACTAGCCTTGAGCAGCTTCTGTACCTCGGCCACCTCGGCGGCTACCGAGACATTGGCCGTGCCGACCTGCGGTGATATTCGTCTTAGTCAAAAACATCTTATCGTTGACCATGTGTGGTGGCATATTCGGATGGAACTCACGGGAATCAGACAAAAGTCAGCATAGCAACGCTCGGGTGTGGCGATGGTGCTGTAATCCATCTTGCTTGATTTGGAAGTGATGGGGGCGATATTGATAAACTTGGTTCGTCTTGCTACTTGGCTGAACGCGGACACTGCTGTGTTCGGACGAATCATTTGACGTCTTAACTTCCTGTGAGATGTTGATCCAGCTTCAAGAATATTGCGGAGTTGAATGGCAGCAATTGAGTTACATAATGGGTCTAGACGGAAAGTGCCGGAACAATAACGTGTGGCCAGAAAAAGAAAGTACACACAGTTGTTGTGCTTCCAGGTTGTTTGCAAATTTTGCAAAAGGCAGCAACAAGGCATATATCGAGTTACCGATTACAAGTTATCAGTACTCATGGGGTTCAACTGACTATTCCCCTTACGACATCACTATAAGCAATGCACTTGGTAATTGTTCCTGGCGTTGTACAATAGATAAGCAATCCTCATTGTTTGTTGGATTACTTGAACTTATATACTCATACTCTGTGAGTTCTCAGTGCTGTATATACCTCTTGATCATTCATCATTCTGTAATTGAACCCGTTATCCCGTTTTGAACCCCACCCCGAAATCCATGCAAACGCCGTCGCTATGAATCCAATGACAAAATGATTTTTTTCAATCCCAATCTATACCAATAGAACTGCCGCCGCGAAGAATGCAACCAAAGCGCCCGTCTTGACGCCCAAACCCCTGGGGTTAGCAGCTACACTCGAGGAATCGCTACTATCGGAGCGGCCCGTCGCCGTAATCCCGTTTATATTGTCCGCGGTATCAATGGCCGGGCCTTCGCTGTAGAAATCAACCAACACAAACGTCGGGGCCTGAGCCCACTCGTTGTAACACTGGTAAGCATGTGTGCCCAAAGCCCCTGTGGTGTTCGTATCAGGGCTGTTAGTCGTGTCAATGTCGGAAACGTTGGGAATCTCGACGGAGCCGATGGCCGAATAGGCGAAGTGGTTCATGAGCGGCAGCAAGCCGTCAGAAATGGCGGCTGAGGCCGAGTCGTAGGTGGTAGGGCGATCGATAGAGCAGTTGAAGCCGGACAGGGACCGGACGTCATAGGCGGTTTCGAAAACGTACTCAAATTCGGGAAGGAGATACGAGTAAGTGGTGCTGGAGTTGATGGAGGCGATGAAGGTGACCAGGCGCGTGTTGGCACTGATCATGGAGCCCAGCGTCGGCCAACCACTGCCATCGGGCGTGTAGCCGTACTCGTCAATGCCCGAAGATTCGAAGACCGACCCAAAGTCTGATACGTCCTGGTCGTCCGAGTTGACAATGAGCAGAGTCACAACCTCGTCCGTGTTTTCGTCCATCCAATCCTTGATAGCAGAAAGCCATGACTCGAGAGAACCTCCATCCAACAAATCGCAGGTTGTATGGCAATTTTCGAGTGTCCCGTTGAGGAGATGGACTTGAGTTTGCAGCAAGCGTAGCCCGGCGTTCAGGGCATATGTTGCGTTGAAATACTGGTTTCCTGATATCGAGTTGTCCGTGCTAGCATCTCGAAGAAAGGCACTGTCGTGTGCACCTGCAGGACTTGAGTCAGTATTTATTACTTCTTTTCAACTGTCCTAGGAAATAGTCGACATACCCATATGTGTAACATTGCTGTATTGTCGGTCGCAAAGGTCTGGGGAGTTGTTGCAGGCAGTCGAAGTTGACACAGCCTGGACTGCGGACGCTGATGTCGTTGAGGTGGCACTGGCGCTTGCTGAAGCCCAATTCGATGTTGTCGGAGCCCAGCTCGATGTCGTCGTAGCCACACTCCCGCTGCCCTGTTGACCACCGCCCTGGGCGCCGCCTTGGCCACCAGGTCCTTGCGGAGCCGCAATAGCTGTTGCTGATAGCACGGCAGCAGCTGTGAAGATGTTTCGTAATGAGAAAACCATGTCGATGTTATGAAGCAACCAAAAATGACTTCTGAGCAGTTGCTGAATTTAAAAAAAAATATGGAATAGCGACAGTTTACGTAGATAAAGAAAACCAAAACCTACCACAGTACCGAGGGCGCAGACTGTTAAGTATCTTCTCAAAGAACCCAAGGTCGCGGCCGGACATAGGATCAACGACGCAGGATCCCGGCTGACCGTGGGGCCGCATTCGGGCTCAGATGTGATCGTGACATTGCTTAAGAGGCGCTGACGTTGTCCAAAGGCACACAGCCTCTCGGGCAGTCGTCAGCCCCACCCCATCTACCAACCACATCTCTCACACCTGGCCAGTCTTGAAACTGGCAGTTAGGAGACGCGCGGCGACGACCCCATAATTGTGGTTGGCATTGACTATGCCAAAATAGACTTGTCCATCTCATGATTCTCATCCTGAGCACAGTAGCTTAGAGCAACAGTCATAATCCTTACAATGGTATTATGCAGGTTCGGCCGTTGTGATATGCTACTGCTCGGGGAATCCTCAAATCCTAGAACGCGTCACTTGGCGATATGCCGGGCCAAGAGCCTTCGAAGCCCGATGCTCTAACGTAGATGCCGCAGCTCTGAAGATCCATAAGCAAAGACTTTATTTCCTGTTGCCTTTGACTATTGTGCCCAAAATGAAGTGGCGTGCTGTTAGAGCAACGGCAACGGGCGGTCGGTTTCATTCGGTAATCGTCCCAGAAAGGAGAGAGAGCCAGCCTTCGCCTCATGGCCACCGGAAATTCGTGTTGACTGAGATTTGTGGGACCCTTAACAGAACAGCCGCAGATCTGTCGTGTAGCTTTGTTAATGCGTAACCAGTCTCTTTCGCCCTAGCCATTTCTATTTTTAATGTGCTGCTTGGCCACGTTCCCACCTCGGGACATGGCCGATGATCTTCAGGGTCTAGGTTTCTCTTCATCCAACCGAGGTGCCAGCACTTCGTGATCTACTGCTGACTGAGACGGTCACCATCATACCCAGCCTCGTGACGTTTTTTCTCACAGTCGACAGTTTTTCGGTAGTATAAAAGATGTAGGAGTACCTTTCTCAACCACTTGATTTCATACATGCGTCATAGCGAATCTGCATCGATTGGGCATCAATTGCGAAGCATCCTCCCCGAGTCTTCGTCCTTACAAGATCTATATCGCCAGTTGGAAAATGCTTCACGTTCCTGCAAATCACGGATACGAAAATGCTCAAGGCATGCAGATTGTTAGCGTATTACAACCCCGTAATACTTAGCCTTCCCCTCGTTTCAGCGCTGTGAAGGGTAATGATACCCTTGTCTAAGCAAACTGGTATTTGACCTCTCCCACAATTTGTATTCTCTGATCAGTCGCTTAAGATGGGACATTTCATCCGCTAACAATCTGCGTGCCAGGAAAGCTGTATCAGGCATTTGACATTCAGAGTTCGTCCTTGTCCATAAACATATGACGGCTGGTGAAACTACGTTCATCAGTTGCCCGCTGGCTTGGATCCTGCCCGACAAACTTTGTCCTCGAGGAATCTCGCAGTTCAAGCAGTAAACCAGGCTTATTTTACTCAGGATCATCCGCATACGACTCCAATGCGGCTTTTTCCTCCATTTCTTTTATCTGCTTCTTTCCTTCCTCAGTGGTGCCATCAATGATTTGCTCCTCAAGGCTCAAAATGTTCGCCTGCAGTCCTTGTTAGCGTTTAGTCTCATCAAGTCAACCATCCCAGAAAAGCTCACCTCGCCGAACAGGCCAACGAGCTCCTCTGCCTCCTCGATTTTCATCCTACCCAACACCTGATTGACTTTGTCCAGGCTGCCGGTCTCGAGTGCTTTCCTCATGTCGGGCTTGAATCCCTCGAAGATCTCCCGTCTTCTCTTTTCAGCCTCGTCCTCGCTGTTCGCCGCCGGAATCTTGATGTTGACGACGGTGCCTGGCTCCACAGCATGCAACTGGATCTGTTCTACTCCTTCACCTCCCGATGCCTTCTCGGCTGCCCGCTCCGCATTAATCTCCTTGCACCGTGTCTTGATACGGAAGCAAGTTTCCTGAACATCCTTGTAGAAGACGTCCTGCGCTTGGTGGCCCTTGGTCGTAATGCGTTTGAAGAATAAGGGAACACCGTCCTTGCCAAGTGCGCGGCAGTATTGCAGCAGCAGGGCCTGGTGGACGTACCGCTGTGCGAGTTCATCCTTGCCGTCAAGCTGCGAATCAAACGCCATGACTAAGATGCCATCTTGCTCCTTCTCCGCCAGAATGTGTGGGTGCGAAGATATGAAGTTGTTGCTTTCTCGGTAGTCGGATGGCTTGATATTGGCATACTTACGGGCATCAGAGGAAACTTCAACTTCGTCATCATCATCGGGTGTTGCTGACGACGAGGTTTTGGGCTCTGCAGCCTTGGTGGTACCAGCGTTGGGGTTTAGCAGTTCGATTTGGGGCTCGTGCTTCTTGTCCGACGGTGTCGACTTAGAGACGAAGGAACTGTCAAAGCCGGTCGCATAGCTCTCGCTGGTGATTTTGCTCTTCTCAGCTTTCTCGAGCTCGGCTAGCTTGGTGAGGAGGTCCTTTTGTAGGTCCTGCACCTTCTCCAGGTGGTCTCCGATCTCCTCTATCATGCCATTGTACCGGTTGTCAGGTTTATTCTCGTCAAGGGCCTTGTTGACTTGGTCGAGCAGCGTCGCCATCATCTTGGTGTATGTGGGTAACTCGCCTTCCTCGCTGTGAACGCCTTCAGGTCTTGGGGGTGGCTTGTCGTCTCCTGCATTACCTGCAGATTCCATAACGGCTTGAAAGGCAACTTCTGCAGGATTGCGAGTTTCAGCCTCCGCGGCATGGCTCTTCAGGGCATCGAGGAGAGACGATATTCGCTTCATTAAGCCATCGTTAATTTGGCGCTCGTACTTGAGGGTTTCGATATGGTGCTTCCGTTGCTGGCGCTCGGCATGGATCTGGTTCTGCTTGGCCCGGATGAAAGAGCGCTTGTCGACATTGGGATGGACCTCAATGTCCGAGTCGTCGCTGAGCTCCAGCGCATCCTGAGCAATACAATAGTATTAGCTACCCCTCTCTCGAGCAGAGTGCTCGCCTTTACTCACCCATTTACTGTAGTCGAGCGGCATCTTGATGGTGTGGGACACTTCCGAGGTATGACTTGAATAAGGAATTAGAATTCTGTAAAGTCGACAGTGTCGTTCAGACAGTGACATCCAAAAGGTAGTAGCTTCAATTCGGGTTTCTTGCTGGAAACTTCTGGCGACTGTTGCAAGGTGGGGTAGCAGCTGCCCCGCATTGCCCGCCTCAACGGCAGGCGGCCTGGATGTCGTCAGATAAAAAGAGTAAAGTTCGAAGTAGGGGCCGGGACTCCAGGGTAGTGCTCCACGATAAACCCGGGTCAAATCTTGTCGAATACCAGTCTGATATGAGAAACACTGTATTGCATTCTTCGCCGAAGGCTTCTCTTTTTTATTACCAATATTTTCCTTATATTCATTAGCATTGTGCCTGCTCAAGGATGGAGGGTTTTAGACCATGTCGTAGTGACCCAAGCTATGCGCCAGCGCCAACGCCAGGCATTATGGCTTGTAGATTGACCTGTATCGTGTTGTACTTGTTGTGTCTTGCTTCCATGAGAGACTTTGAGCTAAGATCAAGGTCCTCTTGTTCGTCACACCCAGGCAATGCATTCCTTCTTCTCCTCCCTGGGGAGATGATTTCTGGGGACTTTTCACCTACCATCATGAAGAGAAACTGCCTATCTATCTCATTCCCCTATACTTTCGAAATCGCCTTTGATGCTAGGTCACAATCGCACGGAAGTCAAAAACACATTAACCTTGTGACATTGTGGAAGACATTTCAACAATGTTTATATCCCCTTGGTTTTGATTCATTCACGTAATGCACATCCTCCATAGCAAATAGGAGGTAAAGGTCACGTCCCTTCCTCTGCTTTCTTCGAGCTGCACGCTTGATTGCTTGTTCACACCTCTTTCTGTCCCAGCCAACGGTCATGCTACTCCTGTAGGAGAAGTAGATATTGGTGGAGGGGATGCATCCAGTGGCCGGAGAAGTAGGCATGAGCTTGATGTACACAGGGGAAGCACTGCTAGATATAATTTTCCTGACAATGGAATGGTGGATATTAAGCGGTGGTGACAATAAATCCTACTCCCATAATCAAGTTCAGGCTAGGTCTATTACGCTGCGCTTATGTTCCTTTGCCCTTGATGTGTCATTTATTCTGGTATTCACTCAGACAAGCCTATACAACCTGGAGGGAGTCACCACATATTGAAACTCTTCTACTTGTTTATTTGAGTTTCAGGGGTAAGTCTGCAGATTGGTTCCATAATGTTATGTGGGCGCCCTTGACGGCGGAACTTTTGGTGCAGCACTCAGCGGGAACTCGTCCATGAAGTGGCGATGTGCTGTACATAAGAACGCATATGAAAACCAATATCCCTAAATTTGATTAGTTTGTAACAAGTCACGGCGAGGATGTTCCCAGACATGGCGTTCTTATAGCGAAGAGAAGCAAATAAAGCAATGGTTTATCCAGGAAAATCTCGATTCAAGCAACGTCGTCTCCGTCAGGCATCGTAAACCTACTAATACCATGTTGGGAGTTATCGGGCGGCGTCCTGTGTGTCTATCCCTGAAGAGAAGCATTATCATCGCGAACCTCTTCCATAGCTCTCCACGGCTGCGTCTTCGTCCCGTCCCCTGGGTAAGAGCCTGGTCCTAAAAACGACTGCGCGACGAACCCAGATCGTGGCATATTCATCGAGTGCAGTTTTTCGGTGGCGCTACGGCCCTGCTCGTGGTCCATTGTAGACCATCGCATCCTGTCGTCGCCTGGCTTAAGACTAACACTGCACGAGTACCGACTCTGGTTCAATCCTCACAAGACAAGTTGCGGCTTTGCGGAGCCTGTCGGCTATCTACTCCAAATCTAAACCTGTTGCCGTGTAGAGGAGGATGTAGGAGTAGTAGTAGCAGCCACTTCGGCCTCGACTTCTCCAGTCGCGCTTTGTTTTCCCTCGACTCGTGGGGCGAGAAGTCGCTGTTGTCCGCTACTTTGGACTGCCTACCTAACTTGCCTCACTCGGTCAGAATCACCTCTGCTCCGAGTTAAGGGCCACCACAAACGTCACCGCCGGAGAAGGCGGGAAAGCGCAAGGAGAAATAGGCATACACACAAGGCCGTCATACATGTGAAGGGTGCAGTATTATTGGCGTGGTCTGACCAACGAGAAAGGGTTACGTGGGCAGAATACCCACCGAAGAGGCCTGCCACCCTCACATCATGTAGATGTCTACATGTGAGTAGCGCATGAGCTTCATGGCTCATATGCCGGACTGGGAGATGGAGCCGCCTGGTTTGACACACATGCAATGTCACGAAACCCAGGGGTAGTCAAGTATACTTGTGTAATACTTGCCTGCATATTCAGCAGCAGGCCATGAATGCATCCATTTCGCCAAATGCTTCGCAGCGCCCCTTACTAGGTTAATGATATAACATGGCGTTTCCTTGTCCGCGCAGCCGTGCGTGGCCCACCTCCGCTCCCCTCGTGACGTTCAATCGGCTTCATCCCTTATTGCATCGTCTTCATGAAGCCATCAAGATCGAAAGACTCTTCATACTGGCGGTTATCCCAAAGTTCACCCAGGTCGTCCACCCAGGCCTTCTTGCCTGGAGCTCGAACGTCCCCAGTTTCCACATCAACCATATCTTCCTCACGCCCTTCGATTCCTCCCGAGGGCTTGTCCGAGATGAGACTGGGTCCTGAATCACCCAGGTTGAACAGGTCCAAGATTTGGTCAGTGTCCATAGTGCCCAAGCCGGCGTTTTGTTGATTCACGACGGTGGAGGCAACGTCAATTTTGAATGCTTGTAGGCTGTGGCAAAAATTAGCAACCCCGCCCCGTGGATTAGTGTGCTTGTGCTTACCTCAAGATTTTCTCCTCCAAAGTACCCCTCGTGATCAATCGGTAAACATTGACAACCTTCTTCTGACCAATTCGGTGAGCGCGATCCATAGCCTGCAGATCCTTCTGCGGGTTCCAGTCATGCTCCACGAAGATGACCGTGTCAGCTCCTGTTAAATTGAGACCCAGACCGCCCACACTGGTGGTCAAGAGCAGAACGTCATACGACGGGTCACTGTTGAACTTATTGACGATGTCTTGTCGTTTGTTAGCCTCGACCGAGCCATCGAGACGCAGAAAAGACACCGAGGGAAGCATGCGCTTGAGGACCGTGTTTTGAACCATGTCGAGCATTTCTTTCATCTGGCAAAAGACCAGTGCACGGTGAGGCTTGATAGGTTGATAAAGCGGGTCATTAGAATCCATACCCTCGACTCCTATGCCACAATCGACGAGGAGATCCTTCAGAGCTGTGAGTTTAGGTGCGTGCATAGGATCATCAATACTTGTCCCCTGCCTGGCGAGCAATTTCTGCGTGTCGTCGTAAAGCTTGTTGTTGGGGGTCATGACAAGCGCCGGAGAGTTGCAAAGCTTGCGCATGTATTGTAGAGCCTGGAAGATGTGCTGCTTCGCTTCTTTATCTTCCCGACCGGCCTGTTCGCTAAGCTTCTTGCCCTGCCTCTTGGTGAAGTCTTCAAATAGCTTCTTCTGCAGGTCACTGAGATCGCAATAGTAATTTTGAAGGATCTTCGGAGGGAGGTCGTCGAGGACTTCCTCCTTCAGACGACGTAGTAAGAATGGAAGCACTTGTTTGTGGAGAGCTTCGATAGCCAACGCGCCCGCTTCCTGTTCCTTAGAAGAAGCTTTGCTAAACCGACTAGCAGCAATGGGCTTGGCGAAGCGATCAAGAAAGACCTTCTCCGCTCCCAGAAATCCAGGCATGAGGAAATCAAACAGAGACCACAGCTCAAGCACGTTGTTCTGGATAGGCGTGCCAGTGAGAATAAGGCGATGATTACTGGGCAGTCTTTTTACTGCAACACTGATCTTTGCTTTGGGGTTCTTGATCAAGTGGCCTTCGTCGAGGACTATGTAGTTCCAATTTTGTTTTTCGAGGAATTCCGTATCATTGCGGCACACCTCGTACGAAGTGACGACCAGATCTGAGGTGGCGAATTGCGACGCCTTTGCCCTACGTTCGGCGGGAGGACCGACAAAAGCCGTCACGGTCAGGAATGGGGCGTAAGTTTTCAACTCCTGTTGCCAGTGTCCCGATAACGTGGGGGGGCAAACAATAAGTGATGGGAGCTTTCGCACGTCAAGAGCGCCAGTCTTCTTGAATTCTTCAGCTCTGTTGTAATGGTCACTGGCAACCATACAAATCGTCTGAAGAGTCTTCCCGAGACCCATATCGTCACACAGAATACCATGTAGATGATACCTGTTGAGAAAGTTGAGCCAATTCACGCCTTCTTGTTGATATGAGCGTAGCTCAGCATTGATGGCTACGGGAATCGTGAATGGCTCGACCTTCTTTGGATCCAAGAGCTGACCAATGAACGTGCGTTCCCGATTCCTGCCTTTGAGTAATTCCTCCGAGAGACCCGGCGGATCGGGTATGCCCGCTTCGAGAGGAACCAGCTTGACGAGAGTAGCAAAAGACGTTGTGGAGATTAATCGGATATCATTGTCCGAATCACTCATGCGACCTAAGACCGGAACGATGAGGAAAATGACATAAGGCAGAATACCATCGCCCATTACCGCGATCAAGTGGTAGATGGCCTCAATGGCACCTTGGCGGAAGTGAAGATCGAGAGGATTGTTTATGGATGGTAGAACCTTCTCTACCAAAGCCGTCATGCCTTCAACCGTGATGATACTGCAAATGGTAGCAAGGCACTTCGCAGCCATATAACGGTAAACAGACAATTCAGAATGCAGCGCCTTGATAACAAGAGGCACTTGCTGCATGACGAATGGATGGAGAGACTCATGGAGGTTAGGCACCATTGTGCGAACGACTGACATGGCATCAACAATCTCCTGGCCTAGTGTTAGCCCGGGATTCCTCGCCTCAGCAGGCAGGTCCCCGGAAAAAGCTGTGATCAAGGGAACTTCCATTAGAGCCCTCAGGCTCGGCACCATTTCGAAAATTGCGGCGCCGAAGGACCGACTGAGTACCTCGAGCGCTTCTTTCGCTCCTCGTCGCGTGATACGTGCAGCCTTAGCTTCACGTGCCCATTTCTCAGCATCTTCATGGTCAACTCGATCTTCTTCCTTCTGCATGGACAAGATGCAGTCGGTCTTAGCTGCGTGTACGGGGAACTCGGGCGTCTCGGCGACCTCCATGCAAGAGAACTTGACGAGATTTGCGACGACTTTGTCTGCAGGCCCACGACGCCCCTTGGTGGTGAATAATTGTACGAGTCGCGAGATGGTCTCGGCAGATCGGCTCTGCAACAGTTGGTTTTCCTCGAGCTTGACACTGTCCATGATGCCCTTGATGAGAGGGCTCGGCTTTTTGGGCATTACCATCATGGAAATAAGTGCACAGGCGGCCGCCGCCTTGATCCGAATATCGCGGGAGTCCTTGATGGCCTTGGCCTCATCAATGGCCGAGAGCGTCGATTTGCGGGCCTCGGCCAAGTCGGTTGTCGCTATCAACCGTTGTGCAGGTGCCATTGCCTTTCTCAACCGTTCGTAGTCATCGCCAACACATTTTTCGGCCATGGAGAGCGAGAAAGCACTGGGTCCCGCATCCGCTTCGCCCTGGACGACGACAGGAAGGGCCGGCAGCTTGCTTTGAGACACCTTTCCGTGGTCTCTGAAGAGGTTGAGTAGTTGTGAGCACTGCGAGCGCACCCTCTGGACGTAACTGACAAGGTCTCTATAGTGAGATGGGCGTTCGGAATCAATAATCTTTTGCAGCTCTCCAACATATCGCATCTCTTGATGTAAGCCAGGATCTCTGTTCTTGGCGAACTCGTCAATGATAACACATGCAGTCAATTGTGTTGACGCATATGACGAGGAGAAGCTGGGGACCAAGGTGGCATCATATGTTTCCAATGCTGCCGACGAGACTTTGGACATAATGTGGCCCATGGCCTTCGCGGCTGATACTCGAGATCGAACGAGGGTTTCCATGCCCACAAGATCCACGTCGCCTAGCATCATATGGCCATCAAGATCATGAGAGTGTGTAGTCGCCGGGGTGTCATCGACCTTAGTTGACTTCCTACGCCTTTTTGCGGCTCTCTCACTGCCTTCCGGTTCGGAACCTTTACGCAAAGGGGGCTGTGGCATCCCTGGCATCCCTGGCATGGAATAAGTACCACCAGAGGGCTTCTGGAACAGCATGCCGTTCATTGGGATCGGGTTTCGCGACACACCAATTGGATGCAGGGTGAGATGCATAAGTGCGTCGATATGCGGGCTAAACTCCTGTGCGAGAAGCTCTGGGTTTGTGGCTAGGCAACCGACGAGTGATGTCCAAACCTCCATGGATATATTCAGAGTATTGACGTCTCGCTCCACCAGGAGATTTTGGAAGATGAGTCGAAGGGTTCTCCCATCTAGCCAGCCCAGTGATTCTTGACCCAGGTTGACGAATGTCATCAGAGCCTTGAGGACGGCAAGGCGAACTGAAGTAATGGTATGGCGTAAGAAAGGGTACAATCGTGGGACCAAAAGTTTGAATGATCTCTCATCATCCTGCTCAGCAGATGACTTCATGGCCTCGAGTACCTCGGGGAACCCACAGAGAGTGGCAAGAAGATCCATGATCTTGCCAGTGCTGGCGCTCAAATCATCGCCCAGGCTAGACAAACTTTCCCAGACAATGTTGATCAAATCGTTCAGCGCCGAAGGGCGCAAGCTCACGAATTCTTGAGCCATTGGAATTAGTGTCGCAGCGCTAACCGACCGAACATCGTCATCGCTATCACCGAGTCCTTTCATGACCGCACCGACGATGCCATCAATCATATCGTTGTGTTGGAGCAACATGTCTTTCCGTACGGCTACGACATATCTCAGGCCGACCATGCCACCATGGCACACAGACCACACCGGCCTGTCCAAACCTAAATCTTGCTGCATAACCATGCGATATAAAATCGTGTATATGCTATAGACGGACCCCGGAGACACATGTTTCAAAAAGGAACCCAGTGTCTGGCCCACGGTTTCTCTAATGGGAGCGACCGAAGTGTCCGAAGCGTAGTCCGTGAATCTGTCAAGCATGAGGACGCAACAAAGCCGACATGCTATATCATCCAGCCATATTCGGTTGAGCTCTCTATTTTCTGCTCTGGACTTGCCTCTCAATCGGCCAGCGCCGGCACCATGCACCCTCAGAATTTCTCTGAGTCCGAGTGCGGCACCGTGACGGGTCTCCCATTGCGGGTCAAAAATGTCAATCTTGAGGAATTCACAGAGACGCTCATAGGGCCATTCCGCACCTTGGAGCTCGTCTTGTGCCTCTATTTCTGACTTGATGGGTATTACAGGGCCTTTGAACTCCGAGACCACCTTCGTGTCCTCATCAACGTCTGCAGGCCTCTCGAGATTAAAGTAGTCAGTCTTGCCGTTCTTCTTGGAGTCGGCATCGGGCATTGGCATGTCCAACTCAACTCCGTCGGACCCTGCGGTGAAGGAACGCCGTATCGAAAGATCGCCGAAGCCTCCCTTGCCTTGCGCTGCCTTCTGGGCGTCTCTCTTCCGCTTCCGCTTCAGGACGTTGAGTTGCCTCGCACTCAAGCCGGATTCCTCGGTCGGCTGACTCGGTCCCAAATTGGCAATGCTGTCCTGGCGCCCGAGCCCGTTGTGGCTGACGGCATCTTGAGGTGTCATTGGACTCGCGGATTTTTCAATTGTGATTGGGATCTCCTCATCCTCGAAGTTTCTTCCCAACAATCCCAGCCGGCCAATGAGCGTCTTCTTCTGATGGGCCAGTCGAGCCTGTGGCTCGAGACTAGCTAGTCCGTAGTCAACATTGCCCGTACGCAACAAGTCGCGGCCGTATTTGAGGATCATGGGTAGATCTAAAGTTTCCAGCTTAAAGTACTGGTCAGAAGGGAGCAGAACGTCAGGTTCTTCCTCTTTTTTGACATGACCGTTTTCGCTAGCTAGCTCCTCCTTCTTGGCTAGCGATGCATCTTCGTCTTCGTTGGGATCATAGATAGGGGCGTTTTCAATGATCTTGCCGATCGCTTTGGCAGCTGTAGCTCTCGTGTCCCAATCCTTGTGTCGAAGGTAAGGCACGACTCGGGAGAGTAGATTGAAAAGCTCCTCAGGTTGCTGCTTCTGCCAATCTGCCAACTGATTCACGGCGGTGTCCTTTATCAGCTTAGTACTCCCCGTTTCTAAGATCCTGTGGTATGTTAGCGGGTGTCATTGACATCAGGTAATCGATATGGCCAGCCCCGGACGGCGACTTTTGTTTTTGGAGGAATAAGAGTTGCAAGCTGAACATGACACTCACGTCACAAGACGATCCAATCTATTGCATTTGTATTAGCTAACATCTCGTGGCACGAATAGGTGACCACGCTTACCTGGATGCCATCTTGGCTATTTCTTCACACCGAGGCAGTTGGCCTATACCCGATGGAGGTTCATTTCGCTACCTGATCTTCACCGTTCCATTAGTACCACTGCCCGGAAAACAAACATCGCTAAAACGGCTACAGGGCTGAAAGCATGGATGGAGTAGCAGTGGTGAAAGAGTGAAGGCACGAGTCATAATGGTCCAGCATTTGCATGTGTCAGACAGACACGATGCAACCACCGCTGGCTTCTTCAGGTTTGAATTAGCAACATTCTCCCGGGTAATCAAGCAAGGGAGAAGTGACCAGGCTGGTGATGATGGATGGCACTGCGTGCAAGGTTGCACGATGGAACGAGCAGCGCGTTACACCCCATGTACCAGATACGACTGGTGAGGCTTGGCTTTAGATCTGTAAACATCTGGATCATGAGCAGAAGAGATGTCTAAAATCTGCATAGCTCGGACAAAATACTCAACCAATGTGGACGGTACGAATGGCGATCACACCTAAAATCGACCCTCGGCATATGGTGCGTTGCAGCCTCAGCCAACAGGAGGACGAGGTCAAAATTCGACGTGAATGGTCGGTGTTGCGATAGTGAGAAGGGGATGGCATGTGGGGTGGAGCAGGACCAACGGGTGAGCGAAAGAAGCTTGGGTGTGCACTTACCCTGTAAATTGGTGTATTGAAACCTGAGGCTTGGCGTTTTCTGCCCTTCGTGTTTTGGTACGTCAAGTCCTCACGGGTTCGACGTCGGTAATGGCCGAATCGATGCAAAAGAAGACGATGCACCCCAATAGGACCGTCGCAAATGAATAAATGCAAGCTCAACCTCGATAAGTGGCGTTTGGTGATGGGACACCTCGAGCTTCAAGTGAAGCAATTACACCTCTTGAAGGTCGGACGTGGAGCGTGCGCAAGTTGTCCAATGGCAGGAGTGGCCGGGTTGCAGGCGGGCGTTGTGTCAAATGCGGGATGCAGGTGCGGTCTGACGACGACTTTGGATTTCGAGGGGGGCCAGCTCTAATATGTTCTTTTATACACGTTGAGCCAGGCCGTTTTTTCTGCTTTGGGGGCCCCTTCTGAGTTAAAGAAGGACAAGGTCTAAGCTCCTAGCCGACAGACGGCCAGGTCCTGCCAACGACAGCTGGCCAGCGACTGTTTGGGCTTAGCGTCACATGTTGCCATGGGTCCACCGGGCTCTTCTCGACCTGGGAATATGTGATCAATGTAGCCTTTTTGCTTCAAAAACAATTGCAGCTGCCCTCAACATTTAATATCTTGACATGTATGATGGGAGGCCAACCTCCCTACTGATATAAGTATTCATATTTCTATATGGGCTAGCATCGTTGATATGCACTCACGTCAATGGTGGGTGGCGTCTGCGAATTTACGAGCTGATTCCCAACAGTCGCATAAGGTTATGATCAATCACCAACCCTATTTGAGGATCACGATTCCCGAGGCTTTCTCACGGACGGCTCGATGAGAATATCTTGTTATGGTCAAGCAGGCATGTTGTTAGGTTAGGCACACAATCTAAGCACATATCAAATCCCAGCCCACTGTCGCACCAACTAGGCTCAGAGGCGAGAGTGATCCCTTGCGGCACATAAAGGCTGCACTGTTGCTGAGCGGTAATCAAATTCTGCGCCGTAGATGCCAACAGCCTGGTATCACTGCAACATTTGCAGGGAGCTAATTTGGTAAGAAACACTAGCCCCAATGAGGCAATTCACCAATACCAGCCTTGATACCTACACGTCGTCGTCGTTCGAGATATCCATGGATACGCTCTGCTATAGAGCTTCATTCATGAGGTACTTAGAAGTGTAGAACGCATGGTTACGGACCACCATGAACCACTATCTGAAGGGGCTGGAAATTTGGCAAATGCAGCTATGAAGTCTAAAGAAGCATGTACTTCCAGGGCAACGGCGAAGTTAAGCCTGTAATTGCACATTGCAGCTGTGCTTAGCCTCATGGTATCATACATCGATGATGTACGAACTCGGGATATTCCAGGGAACCTGACCATGCCGAACGTAGGAGAAAGACAATCCCGAAGCATGGTTCTCTCAGCTCTATTTTAACAATCCAGTAGACGGACAATTATACCAGAGCAGCTCGGCTGCGAAAACTTAATGGGGTCAGTGGCCGTCGCAAATCTCCAGTTTTTACTGCCGGCAACGGTTTATTAGCGCCATACCGTGGGGCCACGCGCATGACTTCCACGTTGAATGGACCTGTCGATCAAGTGTCAAGGGACTAAAACTACCCGTGCCACGCCCCACCTTTTTTGATTTCGCCGAAGCTCACCAACTAAAGTTGGTGCTGGACACCAAGTTCGCCAGGACACCAAGTACGCCAGATTTCGCAAAAATAGCTGCTATTAACTAAAATCGACGTAGCTGCTTAACCACACCACCTGTAGTTACAATCTCTGCTGGCTTCAAATTGCCATCTTTTCGCCATTGCCTGGACTTTTTGGCTGCTTCTGAAAAGACCTTCTTGGCGGTCTTTTTTATACGTTCGTTATGGCTATCCAAAATCCGTTGTGCCTTGACGACTTCACTTTCAACCTTTTTTTTGACCATTTCCCGGCCTTCTGAAACAGATAAAACTCCTCCGGATTGAAGTTGATAGTTCTTCATTGATCGGCGCTGTTTTGCAACTCGTTCGGCGTATTTGGTGCGGCCAAGATCCCGTTTAACTTGGACCAGCTCCGTAGCGTTGATCAGGGACCCTTTGATAAACCGATTTAGCTTGGTGGCGAATTCGGGGCTAAGACCAAGCTCAGGGTCCGAAAGGGAGTTCTCGATATGTACAGCTACTTTGTGAATTTGTCGTAGAGTAGTCGGAGTATTATCGATAGAGGAAGAATGAGGTGGTGGTGATGGTGTAGGTGTTTTGGCTTGCCGTTCATAGACCTCCTGCAAAACTAGGGTAGGATTGAATGGATAGATGCCAGTTTTTCGGAAGGCCGATTCGATAGTACTTCTCTTGAAAGTAGACTTGCGTACGTTTTCGATAATTGACAAAAACTCCAGTTTGGAGATGTTCTGAACGCCATCACGAACCAGCAGATCTAGCGCTTTTGCGTGGTAGTGTTTGTACGGTTGAAAAACCACTACGTCTAGCGGTTGCAAAAGATGGGTAAGGTGAGGTGGCAATCCAAAGGGGATAATATCGTGATCTTCGCAGAACTGGATGAATTGCTTCGTATGATGTGAACCGTGGCCATCTATAATTAATAAACGGCGACGGCCCTTTTGCGACTTTCTGGATTGGTATTCGAAATGCTTTAACCACTCTAAGCAGACCTCATCATTTGGATACCCAGTATCGACTGGGCATATCTTCGTTTCGGGGTGGAGGCTTTGTTGGTACCATTGAGCCATATGAACAGTTGCTTGAAGGATGATAAATGCCGGGATAGAAGCGCCGCCAGCAGAGATAGTTTCGATAATAGTAGCAGATTCCCTATTTTCTGGCAAGCCGAAGTAGTGAGCGCGTTTCCGCTTGGTTACGATTAGCTGATTCTTGCCTACTCCGATCCGGAACCCAGTTTCATCCATATTCCAGATATCATTAGGGCCAATCCCGTTTTCTAGAATAACCGTCCGAAGCCGTTCGTAATAGAGCGTTATAGACTCGACGTCCTCAGCAGATTGACGTTCAGCTTGAAGCTGTTTTTGCGTTCGATGGAAGTATCCATGACGCTTTAGAAAGCGCGTGGTCCATTTCGTACCGACTGTAGGGATTTCAATCGGCCGGCCTTCGCTATCCGTTGCCCGAAGCCGCTTCAAAAGGATCAGATTGGCAGCTTCTGTAACAAACTCCGGGCGAACAGCCAGATTGATTCGATCAAGCCGATCAATGTAGTTGCAAAGAGCCTTTTCTTCGGCTTTGGTAAAGGTCTTGTTGTTGCCGCCGTGCTGTTTGGTGTCTGTAGGGCGATTGACGCGATCGCGGAGGGTTTCGCGTTTGACTTTGAAAGCAGCTGCCACCCTCGTTTTTGGGGCTTCCGGATGTTCTAGGGCGTATTGAACGGCATCGTACAGACGTGAAGCCATCGCGAGCTCGAAAATTTCGTCGTTTTGGTGGTTAAATGGTAGTGTAATGATGGATGTTTGCGAAATCTGGCGTACTTGGTGTCCTGGCGAACTTGGTGTCCAGCACCAACTTTAGTTGGTGAGCTTCGGCGAAATCAAAAAAGGTGGGGCGTGGCACGGGTATATATATTGTAAAATAATTGAGCCGCCTCATGCATGGGAATATTCAAACTGGCCCATTTATAATACACAAAGTCAACAAGCCAAGCACAAACGGCGCACCCAGGTGGAACAACCAACTTATATCTTTCTACTGCACTGAAATATCGGCCTGTTCCACGTTATTTCATCTTTGGTGCGCCGTTTGTTCTGTCTACTATTTACTTGGTCAGATTTGCTAGACGAAATCGCAAGACACGATTTTTTTAAACTTTTAGAACAACTGAACTAGTTCTAGAATGAGCCGACGTAGAACGTAGAACGGGTCCTGGCCACTAAGTATCAGAAGTTTGCGATAACTCAAGTACTTCGCGATGCAACGGGTACCTAGGCATGTTACATGACTGACTTGCCTACAGTCTAGCAATGGAATGAATCTCCGGATGTATAAGAAGCAGCCTCAATTTACATAGGTCGGATATCCTAAGTTGCTAGTTTGGACTAGCACGACTTTGACGTTATTTAACACGTAGCGAGCTAAAATTGTATTTGAACCCTAGACCTGCTGACCTTGGGGAATTCGAAGTTAATAACAGGTTTCAAACACCTCTATCCAAATTGTTAAACTTCATTGCAATGCACAATGTTTCTTACCCGTAGAATTGAAACTGCCCACTATCAAAGTTTGAGTTTTTGAGTTGTCCAGTTTGAGGCTCAGTCAGTCAAGCCACAAATCAGTCTGATCAGTGAAAGTCGCGCGGCCTGGGGTGTGGCTCAAGTCCGGGTGGTTTGCAATTGCAACCGACCACCCAAGCCTGTTGCAGGCAAAATATCCAACTCCCCCCGCGATATTCACGCCATTAAACGCGTACCGTGTCACCGCGCCCAATATCTCCCTCTCCACCAAAACTCGTCGCATTAGCTACAAATCACGGAAATCAACTCTGCCACTGCACGCGACGGCTGTCGTGTAGTGTATTGATACTGCGACCATCACCGAGCTGCCCACCAGCAGCGACCTGCGTCCAAACGCGTGTTGGGGAAAGGTTCATGGAGCTCATCTTTGACCGGTAAATACCGATTCCTGGACAGACATTGTCATCATGTGGTATGTATAGCATGTTTCGCTGGAAACTCATGAATTTTCAGCCCTTCATTTCCCATAAGTGCCTTGAAGAGTTTACTAACGCAAATGCAGTAAGTTACCTCGATACCAACCATATCATCTATCCACCCGTCGTGTAGGCAATGTTCCAGAAAGATCGAACACTTCGAGCTCGAGCTTTCGGTTTGGATAAAAGATTGACTCAGGACTTGCAGACATAAAACAAATAATTATTCAAGGCTTTAAGTCTTATAAGGACCAGACGGTCATCGAGCCCTTCTCTCCCGGCACCAACGTCATTGTTGGTCGCAATGGCTCGGGTAAGAGCAACTTCTTCGCCGCTATCCGTTTCGTTCTTAGCGATGCATACACGCAATTGGGTCGCGAGGAGCGACAGGCTCTGTTGCACGAGGGCTCCGGGTCGGCAGTTATGTCTGCCTACGTAGAAGTCATATTCGACAACAGCGACGAGCGGTTCCCCACCGGTAACAAGGAGGTAGTCCTGCGACGCACGATCGGATTGAAGAAGGACGAATACTCGGTCGACAAGAAAGTGCAGACGAGGAAAGAAGTCATGAGTCTGTTGGAGGCGGCCGGGTTTTCGAGCTCAAATCCGTACTACATCGTGCCACAGGGTCGCGTCACTGCCTTGACCAATATGAAAGAATCGGATCGACTGAACTTGTTGAAGGAGGTTGCCGGTACGCATTCGTATGAGTCGCGTAGAACAGAATCGCTCAAAATCATGGCCGAGACGAACAACAAGAGAGAGAAGATTGACGAACTGCTGGACTATATCAAAGAGCGACTTAGCGAATTGGAGGAAGAGAAGGAGGAATTGCGAGGTTATCAAGACAAGGACCGCGAGCGCCGTTGTCTGGAATACGCATACCACCACAAGGAGCAAGTGGCGGTCCAGGAAGCTCTGGAAGAACTAGAGGAGTCTCGTCAAGGTGGTATTGAGGATACGGACGAGAACCGTGAGGCCTACAGCGCCGGCGAGAAGGTGATTGCCCAACTGGATGCCGAGATTCACAAGCTGCAACAGCAGATGGAGCTGTTACGCATCGATCGCCGACAACTAGACGAGGATCGACGGGACAGTGCCAAAGCAAGAGCCAAAGCCGAGTTGGCGGTCAAAAGCCTCTCTGATAGCATGTCCGCCCAGGAGCAAGCAAGGCAGGAGCACGATACCGGATTGAACCAGGTGAAGGCTTCCATAAAGGCTAAGGAGGCTGAGCTTGCAAAGATCATCCCGGAATTTGAAAAGAGAAAGCAAAAGGAGGCCGAAATCAAGCAGACTCTGGACACGACTGAAGCATCTCGCCAACGCCTATTCACAAAGCAGACTCGCAGCAGCCAGTTCAGAAACAAAGCTGAGCGAGATGCGTGGTTGAAAAAAGAGATTGACGAACTAAACATTACGCTGAGCCAGCAGAAGGCGAATCGCTTGGATGCTGAAGAAGAAGTAAAGGCCGTCCATGCGTCCATCAAGCAACTTCAAACGGAGGTCGCCAGTTTACGGGCAAAGAACGAAGGATTTGGAGGCGCCAGACACGAGCTGGATGAAGAAAGAACGAATGCCAGGGACAACTACGACAAGCTCAACGAAGAACGGAAGCTGCTCCAGCGAGAAGAAGAGAAGCTGGAGAGGATTGTAAGAGATGCCCGAGAAGAGAGAGATCATGCTGAGCGCGAACTGTCACACACCATGGATGGCGTAACGTCTCGCGGCCTTGCGACCATCCGCCGACTCAAACGCGAGAGGGATATTCCTGGCGCCTATGGTACAGTTGCGGAGCTTCTAGATGTGAGCGAGGCATATCGGTTGCCTACCGAGCAAATCGCCGGTGCTAGCCTATTCCATTACATTGTGGACAACGACGAGACAGCGACGTATCTCGGAAAGCATCTCCAGAAGACTTATGGCGGCCGAATCACCTTCATGCCGCTCACAAAACTCAAGATAGGGCCCGTCAATATGCCTAGAGCCAACGATGCGGTTCCTCTGCTCAGCAAGATACAATATGATCCCAAGTATGAGAAGGCTTTCCAGCAAGTTTTTGGCAAGGCCATCGTCTGTCCCAACTTGACTGTGGCTGCTCAGTACGCTAGAAGTCACAATATCGATGCCATCACTCCTGATGGTGACACAGCGAACAAGAGAGGTGCTTTGACGGGTGGTTTCATCGACCGACGGAAGTCACGGCTGGAAGCTGTACGCGCAGTGAACAGGTGGCGGGATGAGTACGAACGCCTACAGAGTCAGGCCGACGACATCCAAAAGCAGATTGAGCTGAAGGCTCAGGAAATCACTCGAGCACTGGGCGAGTCTCGCAAGCTCGAGCAAAAGCTGCGCCACATGGACGATAGCTATGAGCCCCTCAAAGCCGAATTGAACGCAAAGGTTGGTCAATTAGGAAGGGAGCAAGATCGTCTCGAGGCTGCCATCCAAAGGCGGGACGCTGTCGACAAGAACATGAAGGACTTTGGCGATAATCTCGGTGCTCACGAGGCGGAGTTGGCTTCAGACTTTAAGAAAGCGCTGACGGCGAACGAGGAGCGGCAGCTTGACAGCCTTAGCGAGTCCGTCCGAGATCTCCAGAAACAATGGAGCGAAGTCAGCAAAAGTCGACGCGAAATGGAGAGTCGCAAGCAGATTCTTGAGGTGGAGCTACGGTCGAATCTCCACCTTAAGCTCGACCAATTGACAAGTCAAGCTTTCGAGTCTGCAACTGGTGGCGGCAGTGGAAGTCTCAAGGAAGCAAAGCGTGGCCTTAAGAAGGCGCAGGCCGCGGCTGCTGCAGTTGAGAGCAAACTTGAGGCGAACGAACAAGAGATTGATGCCGCAGAGTCCAAGATCGGAAGTTTAGAGAAGCAAAAGTCCCAGAAAGAGACCGAGCAACAAGAGATCGCAAGAGAGATCTATAAGCAGCAGAAACGTATGGAGAAGAGCATACAGAAGAAGGCATTGCTGACTACCAAAGCCTCCGAGTGTGCAAAGAACATTCGGGATCTTGGCGTGTTGCCTGAAGAGGCTTTCGAGAAGTACGAGAGGTTGGATGCGAAAAACGTTAGTACAGCCTTACTAACTTATGCTTGATTTGTGCCTGCTAACGGAACCAAGATTGCAACGCGGCTCAAGAAGGTTAACGACGCGCTCAAGAAGTACAAGCACGTCAACAAGAAGGCTTTCGAGCAATACAACAGCTTCACCAACCAGCAGGACCAACTTCTCAAGCGCCGCAAGGAGCTGGATCAGTCGCAAGGATCCATCGAGGAATTGGTCGCCCACTTGGACCAGCGCAAGGACGAGGCCATCGAACGCACGTTCAAGCAAGTGTCGAAGGAATTTGCTACCATTTTTGAGAAGCTGGTGCCAGCTGGTCATGGCCGTTTGGTCATTCAACGCAAGGCTGATCGGCGCATGGATCCCGACGACTCGGATGAGGAGCAACGTGGCAGCGTAGAGAATTACACTGGCGTTGGCATAAGTGTTTCGTTCAACTCGAAGCTCTTCGACGAGCAACAACGCATCCAGCAACTTTCGGGTGGCCAGAAGAGTAAGTTCTCAAGTGAACCCCTTTTTGCTAGCTAGATGAGTAACCAACGACCCCTAGGTCTTTGCGCTCTCTGCCTGATATTTGCTCTGCAGCAGACTGACCCCAGTCCCATGGTCATCTTTGACGAGGTGGATGCCAACCTCGACGCTCAGTACCGTACTGCAGTTGCCGGGCTGCTGCAGTCCATCTCTACCGAGGCCGGCACGCAATTTATCTGCACCACTTTCCGCCCGGAAATCGTACATGTCGCCGACAAGTGCTACGGTGTTCTTTTTAGGAACAAGAACAGCAACATCAACTGTGTGAGCACAGAACAGGCGCTGGATTTCGTTGAGGGACAAGCGCCGCGATAGATATCGGCAATCGGAAAGGCGGATTAATTGATTGATTAGTGATCAGGGGTTCGGAGTTCTTGTGGCTTGGCTTGTTGGTGTTGCGCCTGTACAAAAGCTTGGAGAACGAGTATCATGAGTTGTGAAGCTGAATAGTAGCGAATGGCTAGCTAGGCTGCCTTTCTACCGGTTAATCACATGAGCTATTGACAAGAATTTTACTTAACAAAGCATGGGATTTGCAAGGGCCTATGTGTTAGTTCTAGTCTCTGGTTTATTGGTACAACCTGCGCCAGACCGCTGTGTTGTCTCCCGAGGTCATTGCAGACAACCACCCTAATCCTAGCTTCCTTGGACCTGGCTGGACATGTCGTTGGCCAGAGCCAACCCCCGGACGGCCGGCTCTGGCATGTAGTTTCTCGCCCTGGCGAGATCAACAAACTTTTAGAGGATCTTTTCCTTGCTCGTCCCAGAGTACTGCGCGTTTGGATCCGTATAATGAACTATCTTAGAGGTACCCTTCGGTTTCCGGTCATCCGGTTTCTGTCTCGAAGTCTCAGCTGTTGCAATTTGCGTTCAAGTCTCCACAGTCATATATCGGGGTTCAGTCTAACTCGGGCTGCCAAAGAAATCCATAAATATCTTGCAGGTTGATAGAAACCCAGACCTGGCAGCCATAATCTTATTCACGATAGAGGGTATTGTTCAGAGTCTTGTTCTATCTGTAGTCATATCGCAGCAGAGGCTGGGAATCGGTGTACATATATATGCGCACCCAATTCTCCTCTCCCGTAACCTCTATCAATTTAGTTGAGATAGCCACAGCAACAGCCTAGTCTACGAGACTCCAAGGGGAATCGTAAAAACTCTGTGAGCAGGGACCGTCAAACCGTAGGATGGACACCTTGGGGAGTTGCTGGCTCCTATGCCCCGATTAGCTCGATGTTAGGTTTGCTTAATCCCACACACCACTGCCTCCTTCAGGGACACAGTGCAATCAAACCTCACAAGAAGGATATACTTAATTGGTACTCAAGGCTCGCATATTTGAACTGTTTGCCTGTAAAGTTATTCTAGGTCAGTCATTCTGCTTGGCCAGGAAAATTTCGCCTTCTGATTTGTGACTGGTGACATCGGGAAAGGCGTCCTGTTATCCGCAAGTAGGTAGACTACAAGTCCTTTTCTCCCTGTGGATAAATAATGTCCTAGGACTTCCTGTGCTGGTACGCTCTGTCGGACAATACGCCGGCGCAATACGGAGGATTAGACAAGATATGGAGGCAGGCGAAAGCGTGAACATACTGTAAGATAGATTGTGGCCCAGTTGGGGCCTCCTAAGTACGGTCAACCTGGCAAGGTTCATGATATTGAGAAATCAGAGTATTCAGGAAGGATCGAATCCTTCACTCGGAACATAATTCCTGGGAGCTACATGCGCTAGGGTCCAGCTGTCTTCGCATTATTGTCTTCATTTCCATTTGTAGCATTAGACCATGCTTCCGCGAAAGTACCTCAGCTTCAACAGCACCACATACGTGCCAATTTGACTTGTTGTATTCCATGGGAATGGTTATGTGTGACTAGCCACGGCGATACTAGTACCTTCAAGCCTTGGTGCCCCATTGCATGCACGTAATTGATTGATATTGATGGCCCTTGTGGTAATTTGCACGATGTGCACATGGCAGATTATGAGTCAAGTCCACACAGCTGGACATCCGACGACATTGAGGGGTCATTTCAGGTTGATCTGCAGAAGCACGAACATTGAGTTGGATCGTGTAAAGCTCTGAGGGTATTATCATCAAGACGTAGACTAAACTGCAACTACGTCGGCCAGCTTACTTGCCTTTAGGCCTTCCCTTGAATGACTTTAGCGGATCCGCCTTGCGCCCGCCGAACTTCTTGCCTCTGCCTTTGAACGATTTGCCCCTTTTGCCCTTGCCATCTCCAGGCTTTCTGAAGGGAACGAAACCAACATTTTGTGAAGTCAACCCCTTCCGACCTTCCGCGGGCAGAAGGTAGTCAGGTACGTGCCGAAGATGCGGTTGTGTCCTCGCAGCTCGAAGTTCTCCGTCATGTCTCACCAAATGGGATAACTCAGCTGGGTTCTCCTCAAAGTGGCGCTTCAGTTTCTCGCTTTTAAGTAGCTCTTGCCTTAGCTCCCGGGTTCGAGCTGCACGGTTCGGTTAGCTTTAGGCGTGTGAAAAGTGGGAAGGCCGGTTTTTGGACGCTCACCCTCTCTTATCGCAACTTTCGTTACCGCTCGTAATGCATCGTTCATACGGTAACGGAAAGCCTCAACCTGTTTCATATCAAACACTGCAACAGTTGTGATTAGTAAGTATTCCTTTTCGTCAAATCGAATGAGGCAAGCTCAACACTGGAGTCAGACTAGGACGGGAATTGAGACGCCCGGGTTGCATACGGTACGGTTTGATTTCCTTGCCCTTCTTTGACTGCTGCTTGACTATCTTGTCCAGTACTTTCTCGTCGTTCTCTGCTGTAGCAATGCTCGTCGGAAGATGCTTTCGAAACTTTTCCTTCGGAATAACGAAAGACAGAGCTGTGAAACGTTTGTTAGCATGTAGATCATATATGTAATTGAGCTGTTGACTACGAAAGGATGGCATACCAAGACCGGACCGACCAGCTCGGGCAGTACGCCCCACACGATGGGTGTAAGACTTGGAAGATGTGGGCAGGTCAAAGTTGATCACGCAGGCAACTTCCGAAAAATCGATACCACGAGCAGCACCATATTCTTTGTCACGTCTAGACGACTTCCGTTTCTTCTTCGGCGGGACTTCGTCCGTGTTCTTGCCTTTGGCTTTTTTAGAGTCGCATTTCTCCTCGCCCGCACCATCCTGGACGGTTGTAGCTTCTAGGGAGTCTTCGTCGCCGATGGCCTCGTTCTCGTCGGAGGCGATGATGATGTCGTAAACATTTCGATTGAATTCTTCGATAGTGTGCAGTCTGCTATTCAGAGGCAATTCGGCGTTAAGAATGGTACTCCTTATGCCAAACTGATCGAGAAACAGCTTCAGTCTGTAACTTCTATCGACATCGGAGACGAATATGATGCTCTTCCCCTTTATGAGGCCCATCTTGAAGCACACATAGGTGAGAAGAAATTTCTGCAAAAGTAGTCGTCTTAGCTAAAGACAGATGCTGGGGCGTATGGGCAGGGAGCTTACCTCGTCCTCTGCGCACTTAACAACGAATTGCCGGACGCCTTCTCCTTCAGCATCAGGCTCCTCCAGGTCAAGCACGGTGGGGCTGCGGCAGAAGGTTCCTTTCAAAGTGTCGACCTCAGTAGTCAATGTCGCACTCATCAGGGTTGTCTGGATATTTTTGGGTATGGATCCAGTGATGCTCTGGAGGTCCTCATTGTAGCCATATTGAAGAAGTAAGTCAGCTTCGTCGAGGACCAGATGAGTGAGCTTCTCCACCGATAGCGCTCCACTCTCAATGCATTTCCATGCTCTAGACGGCGTTGCAACCACGATATCGGGGGTGTTTGAGAGGAGTGCCTTCTGCACGGCATCTGATACTTTGTCGGATAGCTTCACGGTCTGGATCTCCTTGGCTGCGAAAGCTGAGAACGAATCAATGGATTTGGCGACCTGATCGGCCAGTTCTCTGGTTGGGACAACGATGAGAGCCGCTATGTACGATTCCGAAGATGTCTTGTTTCAAAGTCAGCGCCGCCATCTCCATGGGGGTTTGTCGAGTTAAAGATGGGATGCCAACGGACCTTCTTGCGTCTGAGGATGGCTTGCAAAAGCGGTAGGACGTATGCAGCAGTCTGCGAATATGGTCAGCGTTAATACATTCGAAGCGCGACCCACGTCACCGTGGTATAAGAGGCTCGCTACCTTTCCTGAACCCGTCTTAGCTTTAGCTAACACATCGTGGCCATCCAATACCAGCGGGATGGCTTTGCTCTGCACCAGGGTCGGCTTCTCGAAGCCTTGACTGGCAACGGCCTGCAGCAATCGCGGATCTTCAAGGCCGAGGTCTCGAAATGTGGTCGCGGCACCTGCTGTCTCTCCTGTACTTGGCGTTTCGGCGAGGACAGGCTCGTTGTTTTCATCGAGTTTGCGCTTCATCTTACAGGCGGCGGCTCACACGAGCATGTAATGTTAACGGTCGTTGTTGGTTGGTTGAAGGCAAGCAACACTTGGACATCCATCCACTCAACCCGCCGTCCAACGACCCAAGCCGCATCTCAAAAAAATTCGAAGTTCGTAGTCCCTTATCTTATCGCACCCAAGCCCCACTTCAGCTTTAGGTTGAAGTTACTATTCCCCATTAACACATCCCGTGTGCATAAAGCTCATCTGAATTCCTCATCAACTTTCCGTCAGATTGTGGCTACGAAATTGCCTTCGAACGTGCAAACAGCATCTCCTATCATCCCATGTTTCCCAGTCGACTCTGCGGGCTGTGCGGTAAGACGGACGTCCACCTACCCGATATTACAAGGTGTATGTATGCTATTAGTACCACAAATGTAACGAGGATACTACAGTAAAAGTTCTCATGAAGTTCTTTTGGTCATAATAACCGACACGACAACAACGACTTCGATGATGGTCGTCATCTGCCAAGCGCGAACAGCGGCCCCAATCTACCTAACCGTTCATTAGCGACGCTGCAAGATGCGTGATTTCATGACGCGTGTGCTCGGTACAGGGCAATCAGCAAATTACCGCTACTGTTGCATTTAAGAGCCCGAGAGCCACGGTGGTCACATTCTGCAGGGTACGATGCAATCTTCGGCAGTGGTCAGAAACCCACCCCCAGATCCATCGAAATTCAGATCCACAGAATAATATACCATACCGGTTGTCGAGGTCAACATACAACATCCTCCTATCGGTCTTTGGTTGTCGAGACCTTCTCGACTTCCTCGGCGCCTGTCCGACTATGCTGGTCGCTACCTCTTTGGAGCTGAACGCATTCTCACCACTATCTATATGTAGCACGAACTGTTTGAATAACGCCTTAAAACGACTCGTCATGTTTGGGCCAAGAGGCTGTAAAAAACAGATGGCGTCGGAAGTTGCCTTGACCTTTTCCTGAATCTGTTGCTGGTGCGACAAGATCTTTTGTGGTCTTTATCTCCATATTTAATATTTAACCCCTACACCACCAACCTTGGCGAGTAATGGTAACTAACAGGGTCTTATTGGTTTGATCTTCCTCCGTTTCGTCACCACATCAAGGGTCCGCAAATAGGTGTCCACCACCGACCGGCCCCATGTCCGAGGTACTGCCGCCGTATTTAGCGTGGTCGTCAAATGGAGTTCTCTACTAGCCCAGCAGCCCTGAACCTTACCTGGACCTTTGATATAGGCATTATCAAATGTGAGACTGGCTGGGTCTGAGCGCAAAGCGTCTTCGCCTTTCGGTTGCTGGCCACACACGACGCCCACAAGGTAGCCGTGGTAGCACACGCGAAGCCTCGCTAGACGTGGCTGGTTATCTGAAGTTGCGCGCAAAGCCCCTTCCCAGGAAGCCCACAGCGAAGCCGGGAAAACAGGGTCTTCTCCGCTGGGCAGACTCGGACCTTCTTACCGACCGGGACCATCCAAAGTTTCTCTGTCCGATGAAGCTCGTTGGCCATGCTGGCAACATCCTTGGAATCGGTCATGTCGTCTTGGACCGTATTGTGGATGTTCCTTGTCGCCAATCATATCTCTACCTCCGAGAGCTCCATCTCCGGCCAGCTGCCATTCTGCGAACGCACGCGAACGCAGCGGCACGTATGCAACTACTATGGCAGCGTGGAGTCAGGTAGCATGCCAGGTCAAGATTCGTATGACTGATTGTCAAGCAAGACGGTTGGCTTGGCATTTCAGAAGATGTTTCTGCGTCGTCTTGCCTATTCCAAGCAAGTAGTGTCCGTTTCTGCTAGCGCCGGCACATGTTGGTTGAGATCTTCGCTTTCAAGGTATCATTGACGAGGCTCGGCGTGCTTGGCAGCAAAAGTGTTTGTTTCTGGATCTGCCGATGCTACTCTAGAGAGACAGTTCCCCCATGTTGTCATCATCGGTTTCTACTAGGTGTATGTGCATTGCAAGGAAGAGTCTGAGTCACGTGCGTCACTTCAGCCGCCAGAGGTGCACCTTGAACACTGTTTCATGTCCTGTCTATGCTGAAACTTCGCCAAGGGCATGTCTCTCGCCTCTCTCGGGCCCGTCGTGGGCTTCGATCGACCTGGATTTGTCCCCGTTGCGGCATTTTTGGATGGGTGGAAATTTTCCGTTGTTTTCACTTGCGCATGCGCGAGTCTCTATTGGAACAGCTGGCGTGTTCAGAGTAGTTCACTCGAAACGGCTCAACGCTACGACGCAGTCCCCTTCATGTCAGAGATAACCAGGCCTTGATACCGGACGAGAGCGCTCTCTGATAGGCTAGTCCGTCCCATATCACATCCTCCCGTAGACGGAAATCTCAAAGAGATTCCAGCGTCCAGACCTCGGCCTTGGAGGAGATTTGGACCGAAATCCATTCTAATCTTCATGTAAGCTGTGGAGCTCCCTCCCCTGTAGCTTCCAGGTTCCCTGGCTGCTTCAAGGCGAACGGCCAAAAGTTTGGCTACAGAGTACAGCGGGCCTGCGTTATCGCTTCTGACGTTGAGGCAATTCCGATCCGATACCTATAAGTATAGAGATGGCCCGTCGTCCTCCTCGAACTTTCTTCCTCTCCACCTCTCTCTACCTCTCGCCTCTTCCTTCCCTTGTTCTCCGCGTGGTCCGGTTTGAGTTGTTCCCTTTCTCTTCTTTTCTCATACAGCTGGACTGTAAACGCGGGTCGTCATGGCACCAAATCTTAAAAAGGTCAAGGCTTTAACTGGCCACCGAGATGGCATGGCAGCGCCAGATTACAACGGCAACGAGGTTGATGGTGATCTTGAATCTGGCAGCTTCCTGACGGAAAACCAGAGGAACAATGACACCGATAGGAGACCGGCTGGCAAAAATGACGGCAACAACCCTTACTTGGATGAGTATACAGCGTCAGTTTCCCATCTAACAATGCCGGTTAAATATGACATTGTCGACTGACAGAGAACAGGCTTATTCGTTTCGTCGATACCTACCGGGATCCCCGAGCAGCGGAAGAGCTAGGGGAGGAAGACTTTGATCAACAAGGCAAGGGAAGGCCATGGTGGGCTTTCTGGAGAGGCGGCAAGGTAGGATACGTCGCTGCTTCTAAGAGCGACTTCGAGACGCCTAGTGACTGGCTGAAAACCAACATGCGAGATGGTCTCGACCCGATGGAAGTCGAACGGAGACGCAAATATTCGGGCTGGAACGAGCTGACCTCCGAGAAAGAGAACATGCTTCTGAAGTTCATCGGCTTCTTTCAGGGTCCTGTTCTCTATGGTAAGCATCTTCTACAGCACCGAAACGCATGTATGTGAACATGGCTTACACGTCCTTAGTCATGGAAGTTGCGGCCATCCTCGCTCTCGGTCTTCAGGACTGGCTCGATGCAGGAGTCATCATCGGAATTCTGCTACTCAACGCTGTAGTTGGTTGGTACCAGGAGAAGCAAGCTGCCGACGTCGTGGCTTCGTTGAAGGGCGACATTGCTATGAAGGCGCGTGTCATCCGAAACGGCAGCGAACAGGAGATTCGCGCCAGAGAACTTGTTCCTGGAGACATTGTAAGTCTTGAAAACTAATCATCTTGCCACTAGACCACCGCTAACAAATATCAGATTATCATTGAGGAGGGCCATGTCGTCCCTGGCGATGCCCGTCTGATCTGCGAGTACGACAACCCTCAGGGGCAGGCTCAATACGAAGCCGAACTCAGCGCCCAAGATATCACCTCGCCCCGCAAAGAGAAGTTCTCGGAAGAGGAGGAGGAAGGCGTCCCGCACATCGGCCACGCTATTGTTGCCGTCGACCAGTCTTCCATCACTGGAGAGTCTCTGGCTGTCGATAAGTACATGACTGATACCGTCTACTACACCACCGGCTGCAAGCGGGGCAAGGCATACGGTATCGTGACTGCTGGAGCTCCGGCTTCGTTCGTCGGCAAGACTGCTTCGCTGGTTCAGGGCGCCAAGGATTCGGGACATTTCAAGGCCATCATGAACTCTATCGGCACGTCCCTCTTGGTTCTCGTCGTCTTCTGGATTCTCGTCGCATGGATTGGTGGTTTCTATCGCAATTTGCATATCGCCCTTCCCTCCGAAAGCTCTACCAACTTGCTGCACTACGCTTTGATCCTGCTCATCATCGGTGTTCCTGTCGGTCTTCCAGTTGTGACCACGACAACTCTGGCTGTGGGCGCCGCATACCTCGCCAAGGAGAAGGCCATTGTGCAAAAGCTCACTGCCATCGAATCGCTCGCTGGTGTCGACATCCTGTGCTCCGACAAGACAGGCACGCTCACTGCCAATCAACTGTCCGTCCGTGAGCCTTTCGTCATGGAAGGTGTCGATATCAACTGGATGATGGCTGTCGCAGCACTCGCGTCTTCTCACAACATTAAGGCCCTCGACCCCATTGACAAGATCACCATTCTCACACTCCAGCGTTACCCCAAGGCCAAGGATATGATCAGTGAAGGCTGGAAGACGGAAAAGTTTACCCCCTTCGACCCCGTATCCAAGCGCATCACTGCGGTTGTCACGCACCAGGGTGTCCGATACACGTGTGCCAAGGGTGCACCCAAGGCCGTGCTTGCCCTGACCGACTGCACTGAGGAACAGGCCCAACTTTTCCGTGAGAAGGCCACCGAATTCGCCCGCCGTGGTTTCCGCTCGCTCGCTGTTGCCGTGCAAGAAGAGGATGGTCCTTGGGAGATGCTCGGCATGATCTCTCTCTTCGACCCTCCCCGCAGCGATACTGCTCAGACCATCGCTGAGGCCCAGGCTCTGGGTCTGCAGGTCAAGATGCTGACTGGTGACGCTATTGCCATCGCCAAGGAGACCTGCAGGATGTTGGCACTGGGAACCAAAGTGTACAACTCGGACAAGCTTCTCCACAGCGACATGGTTGGTACTTCGGTCCATGATCTTTGCGAAAGAGCCGACGGTTTCGCCGAAGTGTTCCCCGAGCATAAGTACCAAGTCGTCGAAATGCTTCAGCAACGCGGTCACCTCACTGCCATGACTGGCGACGGTGTGAATGACGCCCCTTCGCTGAAGAAGTCGGACTGTGGTATCGCTGTTGAGGGTGCCACAGAAGCCGCACAGGCCGCAGCAGACATCGTTTTCTTGGCTCCTGGCCTCAGCACCATTGTTTCCGCCATCAAGATCTCCCGCCAAATTTTCCAACGTATGAAGGCGTATATCCAGTACCGTATCGCGCTCTGCCTACATCTCGAAATCTACCTCGTCACTTCTATGGTCATCATCAACGAGACAATCCGCGCCGATCTCATCGTCTTCTTGGCTCTGTTCGCCGACTTGGCGACCATTGCCGTGGCCTATGATAACGCCCACTTCGAGAAGCGCCCCGTCGAGTGGCAGCTGCCCAAGATCTGGATCATCTCCGTCATACTCGGTACTCTGCTCGCCATCGGCACCTGGATTCTCCGTGGCACCCTTTGGCTGCCCGACGGAGGTGTCATCCAGAACTACGGTGGCGTCCAAGGGATCCTCTTCTTACAAGTCTCCCTAACCGAAAACTGGCTCATCTTCGTGACGCGCGGTTTCGAGACGTCACCCTCATGGCAGCTTGTGAGCGCCATCTTCGGCGTTGACGTCCTGGCCACTCTCTTCTGCGTCTTCGGCTGGTTCTCGGGCGGTGCGGGCGAGCCCAGCAGCCCAGCGTCCATCAATCCCAAGCTCTCGGACAATGGCGCTACCGACATCGTCACCATAGTCGTGGTCTGGATCTACTCCATCGCCGTCGTCATCGTCATCGCCATCGTGTATTACATCATGACGGGCATGACACGCCTCGACAACCTCGGCCGCAAGAAGAGGTCGGCGAGTGACACCATGATCGAGAACATCCTCACCCAGCTCAGCAAGGTCGCCCTCGAGCACGAGCGCGACGAGAAGGGTGGCGAGCGGTATTACATTGCCCAGAAGCAGGTCATTGAGGAGGAAGATTAAAGGAGAAAATTGAAGGGATTGGGACAGGCGCAACAGGGGAAAGGGAACGGTAAATAACACCATATTCGAGCTGTACTTAGACCGTCTACACTAGAGCGTTGCTTTTAATTAGCCTGGGTGGCGCGACCATACCGGTCGATACAGGGTCACGACTGTAGAAAATTTAATGTTCTTTGTTCACAAGTTGGGATTCGTTTGCTGGTATCTTTCAAATTGCTTGTTGGTGATTGCGTAAGAGAGCAGCACCCAGATCCCCCCAACTAACAACTCTTTCTGTGTAGTCCAGTCTCTATTATTGGTCCAAAGCTTTGTTTTCGGACTTACAAGTCCCGGAGACTGCGGAGACGGGGCCGTCCATGACCAAACCTTAAAACGGAGACCGAACCGGCGACGAAACAACGACACTGAGTGAAAGGGGCCATGTCGTAGCTGCCTGTTCTAGCAGAAGACGTACGGAGGAGATCCTGCCTCCAGAAAGGTAATCTGGTTAGAAGTGATGTCCGCTCCTCTCATTGAAAGTACGCTTAAGTGGTTACACTCCTTTGGGATACACAGTCGTTTCAACACATAGTAGTCCGGGGCGGGGAGCAAAGCAACGAAACCAATGGAAATGCTTTAGTGTCTGGAGGTATAATATATGATATAATTCAGTGTTTCGCCAAAGCTAATATCCTCCACTCTCGAAGGCACAGCACCGCGATGTTAGGGTATCAGGCTCGATACCCCGCGTATGACGAGGCCAACCGCTTTTCGGTGCCATAGACACTGATCGCGGCTCAAGTACTTCAACCCACTTGCAACTGTGCTTAAATACCACGCCATTCTCGAGAAAATGATCTACAGTAGTGACATCAATACATCTGACATAAGAATCATCATGGAGACCCCACAACTGGCACAAAACGCCCTGCCCCCCTTACCCGGCCTACCTCGTGATGTCATGGCAGCCCTCCAGCTGAGAATTCACTCGCCAGACGGCCCCATCCGGACAAAAGGCGCCGGGTTCTCGGTATCCCAGGCCGCCAACATCGACCTGACAGACATGCTGGACCAATCAAGCAGCGTCCTCTTCTCAACCATCCCGTCCGAGATTCGGAGCTACATTTTTGAGTACGCATTCATCCCGGACGACGACTTTACCAAACCCTACCCTGTAGATCGATTCTATTCCCGCCCAGGGCACCGCTACCACCCTAAAACCAACCTCGCCCTCCTGCAGACCTGCAAACGCGTCTTCCAGGAGGCGAGGGTTTTGCCTGTGGCCTGCGCTACGCATACCTTCTGGCTCTTCAAGGGGCCGTGACTCCACATGCGCGCCGGATCCTCAGGTCTGGGTGGTTTTAGGCCCTAGCAGGCGTCGCTGAGTCCCGTGCAGCGGTGTGGGGTGAATTATGTCCATATCATCGCGCAGCAAGTTTACCTGGAGAACATCGGCACCATGCCGATGCTGGCGCAGCCGCTGGAGGTGCCGCTGGAGGTGGTGAGGGAGAGGATGGAAGCCGGGACGTAGGGTTGGCAGATTGGGCAGGTGAGGGGGCTCCAGGAGTTGGAGATTGAATTCGAGATGGTGGTTAGGAAGAAGGAGCAGTTGGATCTGGTGCTGGAAAGAGCGAGGTATTGGGTTTTTCCCTTGGCGGGGACCGAGGCGGTGTTGAGGCCGGAGAAGGGAGGGAAGCTGGTGGAGGAGTTTGAGTGGGAGGGACCGGCGACTTTGACTCATGACAATATGCCGATTTTAAAGCAGACGGGGCAGATGGGGAGAACGGACGGCAAGAAGAGGACGTATCATGTGGCGGTTATGCGGTGGGCGAGAGTCTCGCCTGGAAGCCAGGAGAGGAGTCTGGCTTTGTGAGGTTCTTGTTGGGATGGGGGATTGCATCCCACTTGAAAGTAATTTGGCAACAGTGTGGTGTACGTTAGGTTGCATTTTGCTATCCTTACTTGACTACGGACATAGGCATGCAGCTTGTATTTGATTATGCAGCAATTGTCGCTTTGATGTTCTCAGGAACACCATCCCACACCACCCTTTCGCTCAGTAAATCGCCCGCTACACACAAACCTAAGAATCTATAACTTAACGGTAAATGCCGCTATGGATATTGACGACAGGCGAGAAGCGCAGAGTGTAAAGGTGAGGATGATAGAGCGGACAACAAATTCTCAACAAGATCTGCTGCCCGGGCGGATAGCAACAGAATAGGACCTCAACAGGTCAGTCAACAAAATCATTTCAACAGGTGTACAGCCCAATAGAGCCTCAACAGGCACTAACGTCTACTCGAGTGCGTACTTAATGTCACAGTGACGGGATTACGGCCTGCAAGCATAAGCCAGCAGGGCTGGCGTGAGTGTGACGGCGAGTTGCCGTTTCAGTCAAACTTTAGTCCCTTCAAAGGGATGGCAAGTTTCCTTCTCTGCACATTCGTGACGCTACTGGAGGAATGGGTGACTGTGCCTAGCTCGGACAGCATGCCGCCGACCTTCTATACGACACACAGTAACAGGTAAGCTAGGTTTACCTGAGCGAAAGGGTGGTGGGGGATCGCGGTTCCAAGCTTGTATGCATCTCCGTGCATCGCATAGTGCCCGTGGCCCTCTCATCCTGGCTTCGGCTATTTTCATACTTTGAAGGTTCTTGTCCAAGTACCCAGCATAAAAAGCAAAGAGTTTGAATATAGTAGAAAAGGACACCGACAGCATGTGGCTTTTAGCCCAGAGCCATGACATGGACCGGCAACCAAAAACACTACCACGATGGGTTGGTTTCTTGCTGCATAGCCTGAGCAAAGCTCCATTCAAAAGACGATTCCAGGTAGTGACGCCTTGAATTCTACACCGGCTCACATGAGGTAACATGTAGTAGTATCCATACTACCCTTACAGTAAATAAAGTTTGCTTAAGGTGAATCCCTGCCTTAATTGATCTATACCACTATACTCTACGACAGAGTATAAGGAGCCTTCGTCTGCAGTTTCCACGATATCAGTATTGTTGGCACATTTGCAGGTACCGATTTGGGGTGTGAGCGTGCGGGGACGCAAAGACGGGCCACGAGCAAATCTGGTATGAAAATGCCAACCAAGCAGCAGCAGGCAAAGAAGAAGTGATCATGAAGTCAACAGGACCGTGCTATCCCGTATGTGTGTTTGACGGCGAGTGCTCTACTGCCGTGGTGCTCACATGTTCTCGAGGGTTCTGTTGTTAAAGAGAGCGCTCTGGCAGTGAGTGGAAGGACTGCTCCACAAGCGACTCAGATGCACATCATCTAATCGGAGGGACACTTGTCGAAGCAAATGTTTGACCACCAGGAAGACCGATTGCCAATCATTGGCTGGCATCAATATAGCAATGGCGGGCGTGCACAGAAGCTGCATTGATTTGATGAGAGAACACGAAGGATTCAATATGCACGACACCAATGAGGTGATACGCCGCGGTTAGCTGCTTCACAAAAACAAGTTGACGCAGGCTAGCGGGCCTTTTTAGCGCTTACAGAGAGAGTCGCTGGAAAGAGGTTGAACACTGCCACTGCGGCAATCTAGTGTACCGAGACGTCAGGCTGGGTGGTTGGTAGCGAGGAAACCCAGCCTCTACGTGCTACCTGCTGAACTCTGATGCTGACCATAAGCACTTTTTTCTGCTGGGCGCTGGGCAGAGAAAATGCCTGATCTGAGGCCGTCGAGGTGAACAGGGACGGATCTTCAAGAGATGGCTAGCGGATTGTTGACGGCGGGATGGTAGATAAAGCAAGTGCCGAGTGGAGCGCGATAGCTGCTCCCGCATAATAATGATGGAACCACAAGGCAAGCACGACCAGAGCGCACCTCCAATAGTCTTCATGCCCCAAATGAACACCCCTTACTACGACTTCACTCTAAATGTTCGATAACTACTTAACGGAACGTCCAATATTGCTTATGTAATATTACGTTCTCTATTTTATGTCCAGTTTCCCAGTTATCCAAATTACAATATACAGAGAAATAGCTAAGATGATACAATTCGTGATTTAGTTTTTACAAACAAAGATACAGTCTACAATAACAAAAACACCTTCCTTTCTAGAGTGTGCTACTCGAAATAACGATGTAGTTTTCTTCATGTACTCAACTAACTTTTAGTTGTTTTGATACTTATCTTAATATGGCTATTTGAAAGCACGTGCTTAGGCAGATATTTAGCTATATGAGATCTATTGTTAGAGGCGCTCTGGCACGGCCTCGAAGACCGAATGGGATGGCACCTTCTCCAGGTTGGCTGGGGAACCGATTGAGTGCATTTGGTGCTGGTTTTGGCGTGGCAGGGAGGGGCAGGACGGGAAAGAAGCTCGGGCGTGTTTACATGACGAGGGGTTGCCCAGCGAATCAGATACACCCATGGTGCTTCCAACCCGACCTCCTCGACTTGGTCACAAACACCACACGCACGATTAATTAGTAGATCTCTCGATACTTCACACCAACCTCCATCATCCCTCCTTCTGTTCGTCCTTAAGCTTTGCAAGGAATTTGCTGGTTGTACCCAACGGCGATATAGCTTGGCAGGTCTTCTCTTCCTCGGGACGCCGTTTCTTATATCCCCCCCCTTCATGTCAACAAATGCGTGAAGCGCTTGGTGGATTTTGTTAACCAGCACTTGTCGCATCGCATCGCATCGCATTATTGCACCATTCGTTGCAGGGCCAAAGTCGGTCTGACTGTCAATCCAGTCAACAGGCCCGCGGCACCTTCTTTCCTGCTTGGATTTTCTTTCTCAGCTGCGTTGCGGTCTTCGCTAGAGGACATGGTCTTGCCGCTGTGTTGATACTCGAGCACAACAACAATGGCTTCACAGCAGCCGGTGGGTACCAACTTGACAAGTTCTGTTACCGATGGTGCGATTGTTCGGTCGGCTAATGTTCCATCGCATCAATAGGTCACGCAACCTCTGCGCATCTCGAAAAACACCCCCACCCCTTCGCCAACTAAGAGTAGTATACCGCGCCCCTTGTCTGAGATTCCTGCGACAGAGAAGCGACGCAATTCCCCAAGCTGGAACCAGGCCACCAAGGTATTTTCCTCGCTTGACTCGCTGTCTTCGGAGGATGTTCTAGCTGACGCACGGCGCATAGAAAATGACCCTCAGCACCGATTCTTCTCCGTTCCAGTCGTCGCCACTAGATGGCACCACATCTCCACGCTTGTTCTGGCAAAACCGGAATTCCCACAAGAGCAGCAACAGCGAAAACGACCTGTATGGCGGCCGTTCTGGATCGCCGTCGCCTGTTCGGCGCTCCTCGATTGAGCGTCTGCAAAGAGCTTCGCGCGTCAAAAACAGTACCATGTTTGCGCGCGAGCAGAAACATGAGTATGATCCTACGCGCCTGCCAACCATCGAGCGCCCACTAGCCAAGGTCCAAGGCAACGCGTACGGCGGTACAGGCCGCCCCAACTTTCGCCCTAGTCACGGGCGCAGTGAGAGCGAGACGAGCACCTCCCTGTACAGCCCGTCAAGATTCCTCGTCAGTCCGACGACCGCTGCCAGTGGTCCACGAACTCCGAGCAAGGACCAAGCCTCGCCCATGAAATCTTCACTATCGATGGCGCGTTTCAAGAGCAGCAACGACTCCCAGTCTCTGGATTTCTCCGCCGACAACTCCTTCGACGAGCGCGAACTTCCCCAGGGCAAGGCGCTGCATCGCAACATGAAGAGTGTGACTTTCGATAACGGGCCACCTCAAGTCAACGAGTACGAAATGGCAACCCCGGATCTGTCCTCCATAGGGACCAACTCTCGGGAAGGCAGCTACGAGTCTGACGAGGATGATGACGACGACGAGTACGGCCTCTATCCAGGTGAAGACGGGGAGGCTCAGGACGACAGCTTCGATGCCACTCTAGAAGACACGGACAAGACTCCTGTCGTGGGCCCAGACGACTGGCGGCAGCAAGACCCGTTTGAGAGTAGCCCCATGCCCGAGCGGGCTCCCTCCCAACCAGCCGCGGCCAGGCCCCAGCATGGTCGCACCGATTCATCCACGTCGAGCGGTGACCACCGTCCACTCCCTCCTTTGCCCCCCATGGGTCTTACCAGAACACAATCGCCATCTTCGAACGGGCTCTCTGCCACGGCCGAACGTATGCATGGTGTTCGCCGAGACTTGCCTTCCCCTCCCGCCGCCGCTGCCAGCAAGTCGGAGATCCAGAACATCGGCAATGGCAAGATGTCATTGGAGGAGCGACTGAAGCTCATGATGCTTTCCGACGAAACCAGCCCCAAGGCGGCCGACAAGTCAGCCAAGTCCTTCACAGACAAGGCCTTCGCAGAGCAACAGCGGGAACGTCGCATGAGACGGGCGGGCGCTCGCGATAGAGTTGGTAGCCCCACCTCAGACCATGACATGGCAGACTCCGAGGCAGGCGAAGAAGATGACGCACTTGGCGACCTCTCTGGTCTTGACATGGACTACCAGTTCCCAAGCATCTCTAGACAGTCCATCATGAAACGCGTTAACGGCAACAAGGACCTGGAGATGGAGTCAGACTTCCACTTCAACTCGTCCCCAGCTCCTTCCAGCTCCGAGCGACGCACGCCCTATGATCCGGACGTCCCCATTGCTAGTATCGAGGACTCGATTCTTGAGGATGTTGCCGAGAAAAGCGAGGACGAATCTAGTGTTATCATCAAAGGCACTGACGACGAGAAGGATGATGTCTATGATCTCTACGGGCGATCTGAGGATGATCATTCGGAAACGGAAGAGACCGAAAGGGATGATGACGACGACAGTGACAGTCAGTACTCGGATGAAGTTGAAAAGGCTCAAACACAGTCACCGGAAGATGATTCTGTCACAACTCCCCGTGCAGCTACCTCCCCAGCAGAGATGAGTATCACAAACTTCAGCGCCACGCTCCCCCAGGTGAACACCAGCGGTGCGAAGGACACCGACTTTACCCGCAGCTTCCAATCATACATGCTTCCTAAGCCAAAGGAGTCTGATGCTGTCATTCACACTGAAAGCCATAAGTCGTCTGAAGCGCAACGGTACTCGCAGAGACCTCGTACTCCGGACCAGCCCCTATCGAAGCCCGAATATGACGGCTCAGGATGGGGCGAGCCCGACGAGGATGAGGAAGAGGAGGAGGAGCCTGGCACGCCCGAGTCTGTGATTCACCACCCCGTCTCAGACGATGACTATGAGGACGAGGAGGAGAATGAAGAGGAGTACCCTGAGGAGCATCACGGGGAGCATCATGAGGAGGAGGAGGAGGAGGAGGAGCACCCTGGGGAGCACCATGAGACGCATGAAGAGGAGCCTCGAACGGAACCTCAAGAGGAGCCCAAAGAGGAGCCGCTAGAATGTCCCGAGGTTCCTGAGCGAGTCGCCACTATCAAGAGCGCTTCGGGCTCCAAGTTGAAGACGCGACCTTCTGCTACTCCTTCTGACCTATTGTCAATGAGGGAAGCCCGCCGACACGTCAGCCACGAAGTAATGATGCCAGAAATCCCCGCGATTCCTGACCGTCATCGAAACCGGCTTTCCCGAGATTTCGACACCGAACAAACTGATGCTCCAAACGGCAACTTCTTGGACCGTCATCCCAGCTTCAAAAAGCGCAGCCTGACTTTAGATCTTGACTTGGGCCTCAGCCTTGATCAGGACTTTGACCGCGTCATTGAGGCACAAAAGGTGGCATTCCAACAACTTTCCTTTGCAAACGAATTCCTGGCTGCAAGTAGCAGTCCCACTAGACAAGTGTCTACATCCCAAGTCGTCGTGGCGACGGATAAGATGCCCGGACGTACCCCTGGCCGCAAGTTATCTACCGAAGCCCGACTCAATGCTAACATCACCGCTCGTAAACAGCGCGGTTACCTCATGCGCCAAAACACGAAGCTGGTCACAGCTAGCGACAAGCAAACAGAAGACGCCAGAGAAGGCACCCGATCGGCGGGAAATTCGCCTGTCAAGCAGACAGCACGTCCGCAGTCGTGGACGGTCGAACCGTGGAATGGCAGGCCGCGGCAGCGAAGTATCAAGAAGAGAAGTATTCCTAGCATGAGTGGGCCGGTCCCGCCTGTGCCTGGTCAGGAAACTAACGCCACCGCTCTCTCGACCATGCCTGAGGAGACGCAACCAGAACTCGCAACCGACGAGTGTGGCGAAAGAGGTCGATTGTTCGTGAAAGTTATGGGCGTCAAGGACCTTGACCTGCCTCTGCCCAGGAGTGAGTTTATTTTGTCCATCAAGCCAACTTGAAGTAGCGTTTTCGCTGACGTTAACCAGCCGAACGAACATGGTTCAGCCTGACGTTGGACAACGGCGTTCATTGTGTCACAACTGCTTGGCTGGAGTTGGCACGCAATGCGCCTATCGGTCAAGAATTTGAACTCGTCGTCCCCAACGACCTGGAGTTCCAACTAACTCTCAACGTCAAACTAGAAAGGCCCGAACCTCAGCATGAGCCATTGTCTCCGGCCAAAGCAACCAAGGTGGCGAAGCCGAAGATCTCCACGTTTTCCCGTGTGTTTGGCAGCCCCAAGAAGCGCAAGGAGATGGAGGCGCGGATGAAGGCCGAAGAGGAGGCTTACGCTTTGGCCCAACGCGAGGCAGCGACGAGACAAAGGAAGGTCGCGCCCTCGGCGTGGGATCTTCTGTCGCCCTTGGCCGCTGAGGATGGCAGCTTTGCAAGGTCCTATGTATGCCTCAAGGAACACGAGAGCCGCTGCTACGGACGACCGTACATGGCCGAGATAGCTGCCTTCAACGAGTGGGCCACGGAGGAACCCGGTTTCGCAAGCAGCGTCAAGAGTAAGCGCGCAGGAGCTGGCAGCGCGGTTGTGCGCCGTGCCCCTTACAAGATTGGCAAACTGGAAGTGCAGCTCTTGTTTGTCCCCAGACCCAAGGGTGCGGGTGACGATGACATGCCCAAGAGCATGAACTCGTGCATTCGCGAGTTGAAGGCCGCCGAGGAGAGATTGAGCCGTAACTGGGAAGGCCATCTGAGCCAACAAGGGGGTGATTGTCCTGTAAGTGTGCCTTCGCCCCTTTTCTGAATATATAATAGACGACTAACGAACGCTACCGGCAGTACTGGCGCCGCCGCTACTTCAAACTTGTTGGACAGAAGTTGACGGCATACCATGAAGCTACCCGCCAACCTCGCGCAACCATCAACTTGTCCAACGCCAAGCGCCTTATTGATGACCGCCGCGCACTGACTCAACCCGATACGACTGTTCGCGCCGGCAAGCGTCGCCGCTCTGCCTTCGCCGAGGAGGAAGAGGGCTACATGTTCGTCGAGGAGGGTTTCCGCATCCGCTTCAACAACGGCGAGGTCATCGACTTCTACGCTGACACGGCCGAGGATAAGGAAGGCTGGATGAAAGTACTCGGAGACGTGGTTGGTCGCGCCAGTGGCGACGACGAGCCTGCTCCTGGCACTGCCAACAGCCGCAAGAAGTGGTGCGAGCTCGTCCTTAAGCGGGAAGAGGCGCTTCGCAAGCGAGCCGAGGGCAAACGGGTTCATTCGCGAACGAAAAGCATGATTGTCTGAGCTGTGCTTGGGTCACTCCATCATGTTTTGTTTATGCATGGACACGCATCATGCTTATCTGTGGATGAGAAACGACTTCGACCAGGAGAGACACGTCAAAAACGTATTGTATGATCTACGAATCCGCGAAGAACGAGTTGAGGAGATTCACGATCTGAATGCGCTACGTTCCGTCTGCTCTCTTCCGTCCTTCTTCCCTTCCCACCAACCCTGGATTATTCTTTTCATTTCTTCATTTCTTGTTACTGTAATAGTTTCTGGACGAGAACTGCTCGCGCATTGCATACAAATGCCCCGGGAGCTGGGAGAAGCAGTTCGTGGATGATTGGTGAAATAAGGGAAGACCGATGATTTTTGTGGCGATACGGCGTGTTACAAGCGGAGTTACGACCGGGGGTTGTGTATGGAGTATAATAAAGATGCATACCATTTGAGATTTTTGTTATTTGATACTGGTGATGAGTGTTCGGCGGCGTTCTGAATGGCTGATGGTCATGCTTGCGTGCGGATAGGCAAAGAGAGTTGTTGCCGAGCACACAGTTCTGGTGCCGCTGATTATGAAAGACCCGGACTTTCACCTGCGTGGCAACAGATATCTATCTACCTTGGTCGAATGTCGAGAGCATACCTTTGGGGACCATGTCCACTGGACACACGTCAAGAGTCGACGGCAGCAAGTGCCAGATATGTAATGGCAAGCCTCGGGTTCATGGGTGTGTTTTGGGCACTTCATCAGCCAGTTAGCTACTTGTTCGTATGTTACAGTCAAGGGATTGGAAGAAACCCCAACCATGCAGCAATGCCTCCGAGTAGATGAGCGGCTTGTATCCGCGCTTGATTCGTAACCACAATCGCAAACTAAACCAGTCATTCCGAGTTGAGAATACCAAAACACGGGATGATATCAACGCAGATATCTGCCCAAAACGAAACCCATAACAGTAAATAAACCATCACCAAGGCAAGTAAGCGTTATTCAGACTGGGTGGGCAATTGCCTGATCAACTTGTAATCAAGTTCATCAATCGAGCTCATTCGAAACCAGGAGCCTGGTAATTCAACATAGCCCATTTCAACTCATCATTACTCATGGAAAGGTCACTCAATGATTATAGATCCGGACTTTGACTTGTGATGAATGACTGCTAAGAGGGATGAGGCAAAATCGGAGTCTGTCCGAGGTCCGCCAGTTAATATTACTGTAGTTTGTGGGCGTCTCAGAATGGGGGCAGGCACCATGGCCAAGCACTTCGTGGCTGCTCGCAGAGAATTCTCCAAGCGCAAATAGGGGTGATACAGGTGGTGAGATCATTTATGGACTATAGAAGCCGGCTTGTCACAACGTCCCCAAATACTTCAGCATTGGGAAGGCATTAGTTCTTGTTCCCAGCATTAGACTGAAGGCTAAAAAAGCAAATAACTACAAATGACTATAATTTCACCTTCCAAGTTCACCACCCCCTTCCAGTTCCGCATGGGGAACTCTGATCGAAGTGTTTCATTGTATCAGATGGCTTTGCTGAGGTCTCTTTTTAGGTTGAATACGTCCATGACGAAATCTTAAATCAGCATCCATCATGACTTTAGAACATCCTTGATTACTCTGACTTTGCTTCCATGCTCGGATTCTCTCAGCGGCATAGGAGATCTATCCTGCACGGTAGCCTCGGTCCGACCCAGCAAGGCTCTTTCATCACAACATTGCCAACGAGCCATATAAATTAGCTGCGGCCAGGGTATTTCCCAGCATTGATTGAACAGCACATCAACCTGAGACCAGATGTCTCGACCGAGTGAGATGTAACACAGCAACCGCAATACCCACCCTGTAGTTCGTTTCTGTTGCAGAGGATGAGTCCTTATACTCATACAACGTAAGTCCACATCCACCAGAGGCCCTATCCCTAGAGCACTGATGTAGACTGCTTGCCTCGAAGTATTCAACAATTTCCCACGTTGAATCATGCGGATGTTGGGATCCAGAAGGCCGTCAACCGCAAGCCCTACCAGTGGGCTAGCCAAGTCGAACCCAGTCATATGCTAGATCGCCTGCTGCCTGTAATGGGAGGACTGGTATTAGCAAGGCTGAGCAAATGAATACCAAGGCTCTAGCCATACTTGGCAGGATTTGAGCAGAAGCATGGGAATAGGTGTCCTGATTCAAAATGTCGACCATTCCGACGTTACTCGCCATCAGCTTGACTTATACACCAGCGGACAGGCATTGCCCGACTTGCTGGTCCGCAGGAATCTCACTCGACAAAGAATTCACCTGTCGTGATGTATTGATATGACGTAAAGCCCAGATTATGCCCTGCAGAGACACCATTTAATGCTTTGACATCGACAAGAGGCGAGGGCCATGACCAACAACAAGCCAAGACGTCGGATACCCAGCAGCGACTCGTTCGTAGCGTGCGAAAGCTGTTGCCGAACCCGGCTGACAATCATATACTTTTGTAGAGTGGCAGCGGCGTTTTCCAGATGTAGGTCTGGTTCCAGCACGCATTGGTCCGTCCCATCTACAGCCCAGAACTATCACCGGCAACACAGGTAGGTACCATTCGTGGACCATAAGGACAAGTGACTAGAAAAACCACATTAACCGTTTATCGTCAAAGTCAGTACCGGAGCATATTTCGGCAAGACATACGTCACGACACCACGGTCCAGCCGGGCTCGCCCCGGTATCTAGAACTCTGAGCAAAGACACAGGCCGCAGATGAGAATCGTGAACTCCGGTGCCCATTCCAACCCTTGTCTTTGACAGCATGACCGGCTGTCAAGGGTACTTTGCAGGCAATTATCGGGCAACCCGCGCAGCCCGAGTCACGGGCGAGATAATGTTGTCTGGGCATGAGAATTATATGATTCTCGCCAGTGAAGTCGGTTTTGCCACCCACATCTTGACAATCAGCGTGGTGTGAACACCATGCCACCCGAACGTATATTGATCTCAAGGCTGCACACCATAGTTGGTTGAAGACCCGAAGACTGATGCAGTGGCATCATCAGCGAGTGCATGTCTATTGAGCCATGACAGAGAACCCCGCCCACTCCCACCAACGTCCAGGAGAAGACCGAGCGACGCAGCGGTCCGTCAATTGCATTACTATTGTTCCCGTGACGGACTGTCTGACCGACCCTCCTGCCTGCCTGCCTGCCTGCCTGCCTGCTGTGCAGCGAAGATCCATGACCTCAACTAGCAAGTCAGTCCGGTCCAGTTCTTTTCCCTTTGAGCTTCTCCGGGCTTTATGCCGCAACCTCTCAACAGGCATAGTGCCCGCCTACCAAGAAGAAGGTCAAGGGAGTTCTCTCGGCACGTTTCAGAAGTCGATCTGGGATATCTGGCTGGCCTTGTAAGTGGGAACCGGCCAGACTGGGGGTCCCTACCCTGAGGACCAAATGTTGGCTCGTTGACCAGACAGTGCCGGCCACCAACGTGTATTAGGGCCGACGAGATGATGGGCTTGAGATGATGGAATAAGCTGTCCCTCCGGAATGTTGGGACGACGAAAAGGTTGGCGAGGCACCCACTCTGTTGGTCGGTCGGTCGCAGTCTTCCATGAGAGAGAGCAACATATGACAAGATTTTACCATTGGAGGGAAATGCCTTTTCCTCATTGGGTTGATGATGCGATTGCAGGCGGCTGGGCGATCCGTTATGGCTTCTCCGGAGTTACCCATACTTGTAGGGCGCAACGGGATCGAGATGGACAATGTTTGGTCATACCGTGTCCGCTATCCGTACACCGAACGTCTTCAATGACAAAAGTCGTTCTGGAAGGCCACTGGATCCTTCCGACCGGGACCGTGGTCTCCAGTCAGGCAATCGGTCGGTCACTCAGCACCACGTCAGCAACATTAGAGATTGTAGCACAAGACCACATGTCTGTCATGGTTTCGGATAGCCGACCCTCTTGAGTCAAAGCAAACCCCGAACACACGACTCATTGAGAGCGGAACAAGACGACTGACTGATGACTGATGGCTGGTCCATTCCGTCCTTGTAAGCTGTGTGTGTCCTGCGTCCAGTTTAGGGCCCCCCCCTCCCCCCACACGTACGAGCTAAATAAAGGCAGACCAGTTTGTCTGTGCAGAACGAAATTCTGATGAGAAATAGAGCCGATATCTGAAACACCACTACTTGACCAAGCGTTGCCAACAATGACAGGTCGTTGAGAGGGAAGGGGGTCCTGAGTATGTTCCACGTTATGTGATAGATCGGTGGCATGGCATTGGATACTGCCGAACAGACGGAGCATGTGGCCGATTTCAGCCCTCTTGGTCTCTTTCCCCACAATGCCTGGAGTAATATTTACCGTCCGTTCTAGGCTGTTTGCTGGGCATAAAGCAACAAGACACGTTCATGGCCAGCAGACACTCTACTCTCTCCGATCAGGACTGCCGCTGAGGCGGGGGTAATAGATATTTTCGGAGGCGTGGCTCGTCTCGTGATGCCCACTGTCTTACCCACCATGCTGAAGACTGCCGTGGGGTATACGCGCCTCTTGCCGCTGCGAATAGTCGACGCCTCAGCCAATCCACTCGACTTGGCTCGTGTACTGAGCAGGTAGGTCAATGGCTGGGAGGCAATCTATTTCAAACCCGGCCCTAAACCTGGCCCATGGTGCGAGGGCCCAAGTCGTTGAGCGAGGTGCGGCATGGGGAGACCTGGATCCTGCGTGGACCATGGACGGTGGTGGACTCGGCCAATTGTTGATTGACCAACTGCACCCCATCCAAATCAGCTGGGAACAACGTAGCGCTGGTCTGGTCCAGTTCCACGCGTCATAATCTCAATCGATGTTCTGGAAGAAGTTGTGACGAGCCGTACCTGTTTCATGTTCCTGGCCAAAAGGACGAGGGGTGCACTTGGACTTCCGCATTCAACGCCCGTGGTGCCTGTTTCAGATCTGTGCATGACATGCCATTGTGGACTGTACCGTCGGAGGAGCGTGCTTTTTTGCACCTTTTCGAGCACAGAGACACCATGCCGTAAACTCGAGTCCAGGTCGTTGCAGCCCACATCGAGTATGCAAAGCCGCACCGCCGTCTGCTCTCATCCCGCATGCCTGCACGCAAAGGCCGGTTCATGCACGATTCAGGCACACACCAATTGGCACGTCGCCTTGCCTGCTGCATGACGTGCCCAATCCATGCTGCCAACGCTATCTTTGAGGCGGTCGATCACAACTCCATAGGTCTATTCTCCGGCTGCACAGCACGGGGAATTGTGCGAGGACTGCGGATGTTTCAACGACTTTTGCGATAGTGATCCCATCGGGCCTGTTTCAGGCGAATACCCCTGGGAATGTGTGGCTGCACGTGTAAGTCGGGTTTGGGCCGCCAAGATGATGCGAAAAGCGTGGTTGCAATTTCGACTTGGATTCGCAGCCTTCGGATTGCGACGATGATGGGTGTGCAATGGGCTAGACTTCTGAACCGACGAAGGGAGCCAGACTACTTCTAAAGCGTGACAAAGGAATTGGTAATGATTGAAAGTTTAACCTTGAGACTCCTCGCACCTCAACTACTGAGCTCAAGAGCCCCTTCTGGTTAGATAGGCAATCGAGCCTCTGTTACTTAGATCGGAGACCGTTTATCCTGAACTCTGCTCAAATTTTCAATTCGCCGTGTGGGACGCAGGCCGCATCAAGGAAAGAGCCGATCTCGCCTTCAACGTTGCTCTTGCGCCCAATCAGTCGTGGTGTGTGGATGGATGTCGTGCGTTGAAGAATCTCCCTTTGGCGCGGGAATCTCGCATCCAATATCCAAGATGCTACTCTTTAGCAGAGCCGCCAGGGCGCATCAGTGGGCAGCGTGCCGAAAAGTAGGCCGTTCAAGAAGCGGCCAGCGGAGCGGGTAGACAGACTACACGATGAGAATATGCTATTTCTGTCGACGTTGTCATCGCACAGAAGCACGAGACGCGAAGCACAGAGGCGGGGAGCATGTGAAGCAGCCAATCATGGGCCTGAAGAGCTCACCTGAACCGGCAATGCAGGCGATACGCAATGCTGGGTCGAGCTCCTCCGGCCTTTCGATTGGTTATCCATGGCATTTGAAAGCATCGTAATTAAGCTTAGCAAATTTGGCCCAAGATCTCCACTTGAAACAAGACACTCTGTGGCGCTAGAAAAGAAGCTCTATTGGGACGACAGTCGGGTGAGCTATATTCGGGGCCATCTCGAGCTGATACGCTGCGAACGAGTTCAGCGCATTAGGAAACCCTGATGGGCGCCGGATTTTGTGTTGAGCGTAACGCCGGGAGTCTCGGTCCTAGGTGCACTGCTTGCTGTGCTGCGATACTAATAAATCGGATGGCATGTTGTGGTGCAGTGGCTCGCGAGCTCCCAAAATAGCGGACAACAGGCCAAAAAAAGAAGTCGTCGCGTCGTCTGACAGGAGCTCTTCATTACATTGTAGGTGCTAACAGGAACGAGAACGAGAAGCTTTTGGTCACAGCGGACCTGTGCCAATGCTGCCCGACAATTGTTTCCAGCGATCGAAACGATAAACAAGCTAGCAGTCCGCCAATATGGATTTGTTTGCGATGCAACCTGACGTGCTCGTGAGATTGCGGCAGGAGCTTTGCAGCTGGAGCTCGCAACGATGTCACCCTAGCACTCGTGCAGAGTGGAGGTTCCCTGTAGCAAAAAAATGCTTGCAACTCGCGAGTGGTGATGAATACGAGAGACAGAGACGGACCGGGCAGGCTGGACGACAAAAAGTCGTAAAGATAATGTCCCCAAACCCATGAGCTTCTGCAAGGGTAACGAACGGGACAATCAAGCAAGCAGAGAGAGAGATGTGGCCTTGTTGCCCTGTTGCTCAGCTACCTGGGCCTTGCCCATATCACCAAAGATCAATGTGATGGTTTCAAGTTTCGGAATATGCTGGCCATGACGATCAAACAGGTCCGCCTGCCGTCTTGGGATGCCAACCATGGTAAACAGTGCACGTTTACCGAAGATCGCCGTAGTCCTCGTCCGTGACTTGCATCGTCTACTCCGGACTGACGTCCGTGTGGCCGGGAACCACGATGCAGAAGCACCGGTGCAGTTGTGACACTGGCGGATGACAGTCCCGAAGCCGTTGGCAGATCATAGCCACCATCATTACAGCGTAGGAGCTTGCGTTATTTTAATAACGGCAGCTCTCGGACAATGACCTTCTGAAGTCGCGGATAGACCCTGGCGAATACGTTCAGATCGGGCGACTGCAAGACCGATGGCGGGCCTTTCTTCTGGCGCGTATGATATCACCTGGGCATCATGGACTGAGACCGCGAAGTAGGTGGCTGGTAGAAACGGCCTATTCCGTTGAAATAATGAAGTTTATCTGCGGGGCCACGTCCCAGCCCACGATGTGCATTTGTCACTTCACTCCACACCATGGAGCAAGGACGCATGTTGAAGTTACCAAAGCAGCCAGTCAAATTATCGTGACGGAGAGCGAGCAGCCCCGTTAGCCGCGACTCAAGCCATGGCTGCTGCTGGCTTGGTACCATGACGGCCAGGTGGCGGGAGTCGCTGCAGCGGACAAGCATGAAGCCGCGACGCAGACTATTTTGCTATCGGCTGGCGTCCTAGCTAACGCTGACGACGTCCTTTCTCTCAACCTTGAAGGGAGCTCCTCTGATTAACACAATTGAAAATAGACATACCTTATTCCACTGCCAGATAATCGACCACAATAATCATCTGTAGCGCCCAGCCTGAAGCATTTCCCCTTACCAGACACGGGGCCTGGTTATACACAGCCACACTTGGTGGTGTTGTCGATATTGCGCTTGCACAATGCCGCGACCTGGTGCCATGCGACGGGTCGTGAATGAGTGGTTGGAGGTTGTCTGCGTATCGCGGAGTCTGCTTCTGCCAAGGCCGGTTCGCTGGCGGAGAGCGCCTTCTCGCCGAAGAGCAAGTTAGAACGGGTGGGTACCGTCCCGGGATAGTTTAGCGCCCTTTTTCTGAAGCAATGCACCAGGCGTGTTTCAGAATTCTGGCAGGGGTTTGCGTGCTCATAGGCTCTGCAGTCCAGTCCAAGCTTGGCAGCAGCGACAGGGGACCGAGGGGGAAGATGCCGTGCAGAACCCATCTAGAAGGGAGAAGGTCGGTCTTTTGATGGGAAAAAGGGAAAAAGAGACGACAGAGTCAGCATAAAGCAGCGCCGCGAGTTTGCCGACTGGCGACATGTTTACCCACGCTTTCTTTGGGGGTCCGAGTACCGATACCTTTGCGCTCAGGGGGGCAATTGGATATCGCAAGCGTTGAGAGTGGGATAACAACGTGGCTTGTCACCGTTAGTTGTGGAACTCTATTGCTCTCTCTAGCTGCTATTGACACTTGACAAGTGCTCATTTCTTGTTTGGAGAGACGCTTGAGTGATGAAGGAATCAGACGGCGGCAGTCCAAGCAACACGTCGATAGACAAGTTGGACAGATGAGTTTGATGATAGGCTTATGACTAGTGTGAGCGAGTAGTTCGGCATCTTCTTGATCTCATCCTAGCATGAATTACGCATTAGAGGTTACTGCGTTTACTTTTGACCATTACCAGCATGAATTTACCAATTGCCAATGTCTGTCTACGAGTACTAACAGAGTTTCCGAACTGGCCAACGTGACGAAGGCATTTGGGCCGCAGCCCCTGATCTTTTCTCAATTTGTTGTCTTTTAAGCCAACTTCAGAAGGTCTAACGAGTTGGCAGAACGTGTTCAATCCAGCAAATCAGAGCGGGGCTGATTGCCTATCTTCGCGGGTCAACAACAAGCATGAGCCGCAAACCACGACTGGGAAAACACAGAGCCAGAACCATCACTATTCCACCGTGACGCATCAGCGAGCGGAAATTGCGCTGACCCATCGCTTACACCCCTACTCCGTCCCAATAGTTACCCTCAACCCTCAACGGGTGTCTTAGACATTGGATCGGTGTGATTGCGGTGGAGATTTGGAACCACTGTAGAGACATAACACAAAGTTATTAAAGAGAGTTGTCTCGCGGCTTTCTTGTCTCCTTTGTCTACTTGTCTAGGGCAAGACAGAACAGGTGGAGTACAAGGTCAGCCGCACAGATGAAACTATGGAATCGTGATGATGAACGGCTCCCACTATCGAGAGCTGATTACCGTGCTGGCGTGGTAGGTATACCGCTTTTTACACACAATTTCCCTATTCATTTCGCATAATGGGGTACTGAGCAGGCCCAGCTCGGGAGTTGGAAGCTGGTTGCAACATTACTCAAAAAACCCCCCATTTTTATTCAAGCTTATTAGTTCGCTTTAGGCCACTGTACGACGGGCGGCTGGCCAATTTCGCTTGCCGCCTTTGGCATCCGGGAGCTCAAGTCGCTTCGTCGCCATTTTTGGACCGGTGGAGGTATCCGCCCGCGTCGGAAACTGTTGCCCGCCCGGTGCATTCTGGGCCTTTGGGAAGTCGGGGGATCCATATAATCTTCCAGGGCACCAGGGCAAGTAATTCGGCCGAGGCGAGCTCCTCCTGTGGGGTTTTGTGCTTTGACGAGTCCACTGGCACGTCTTTCTGGACCAGTGCTTCTGTGTGGAGAATTGGTGCGACCAGTATGGCCGCCACTATGGGGGAAAGCAGAAGGCGTTACGCCAAACGCGTCGTGGCGGGTGCTTAGGACGAACCGCAATCAACTTCTAGAACTTAGAGCTCTCTGGCGGCGCGAAGGGGGGCTATTCGCTTCTTTGCTGGCCTTTTTTTGCATCTTCGCAACGCGCAGGCAATCGGTGTTGCGTATGTGCTCAGAGTCGACAGGGTGCCACCGAGGAAGCGGGTCACCTGGTAGGTAAAGGTAACATGCGATTCCAACGCCTTCTCTTTTTTGCAACTAGAACCACACCAACGACATGGCCCCTTCCCTTTGCAGAACGAAAGCCGGCCGTTCCTGGCTTGCTATGCATTTGATGGGCAGCATCCCAGCACAAATATTCAGTGTAAAAAAAAAAAAGGGCCGTGAGCCAGTCCACATTCGCTGCAAAGATCATCCTTGGGCCAGGCAGGTGCCGCCGACAACGTGCCAACTTCCAGCAGTGGCTGGCAGCCGACTCGTGTTGACGAGTGGCCGACGGGAAGTTTCTAAAGTTATCAAAAGTAAATCGTCTGCGGGCACTTGCACCGGAAACCACTGCAGGAGCAAGGTCAAAATCCAGAAACAAGGGCTTACTATAGGACATGCAGAGTGCAGAGGGTACGCGTACCACCAATCACATCAAACCTCTCACAAAAGGGTCTTCAAGATCCATGAAGCTGCGTACTGCGACTGATGAGCTGAACAACTGGAAATGCAGCGCAGCAGCTTCTTTCGAGATCCCTCCCATGTTAGCCGGGATGTGGAGCCAGGGTAGAGCGAGCGAGCGAGCGAGCATTGTCCTCCTTCCTCCATGTACCCCGTACCTAGTTCGCGATCCCTTCCTCTTCCCACCTGCTGCTGGATCCCCTGCTAAAGTGTAGAACGAAGCACCAGTCTGTTGTTCCCTTCTCTTTCTAGTCTAGGAAGAACCGAATCTCCACCACCCCTAGCAGTGTCCTTGTCGTCGTCCACCACGCAGTGGGATAGATGCCCATACTGTTATGTAGGGTTGATCAGTCATTTGGCTTGTAGAATGTACTGAAGTGCATGCAGACGCTTCCCACGACGCCAGCCAGGATCCTATCGTCACCCAGATTGTGGTTCTCTGCAAAAGTGCTGGCTGGCGCGCTGCGACTCTGGCTGGCTAGGCTAGCTTGTCCCCCCTCCCCTACCCCCCCTCCCCAAGAAGCACAAGCCGTTACCGCAGCCGCCTGCTGTCAGTCAGTCAGTCAGTCAGTCTGTGGTGCTAGCCACAGGTACCGCGATACCTCCACCCCCGTTCTTAGTAGCGTGCTGGCGAGGGCCTGTGGGCAAGACTTGCCCAATTGCATCGGCCTCCCTTGCCCTCCCGAGCAAAGACCCAGTTCAGTTCCCACCCAATCTATTATTCTACCCGACTAGCCTGCGGAAATCATTAAACCCCCCAGGTCCTCCATCTCTTCTCCATTCCCACCTCCTGGACTTGCTCTCTTGAATTCCTCTTCCAAGATCTTCCTATCCTTTTCGGAAGACCCCTCTCGTTTTTTTCTTTCTTCCTTAAACCTCTTCCTTCCTCCTCGTCTCTTGTGTTGCAGGCCTCTCACTTGAAGAATTCGAGCCATTCGAGCCGCACACTCACAACTCAGCCCCCCTTGGCTTTTACGAGACGCTTCTCTTCTCACCAAGACGAAACCCCTCCTCCCGAATTCCCCAGCACCGCGGCCCCATCAGACGCAGTTCGCCGCACCCACGCTCGACTGTACGTCTTGTTTGATCTTCGGGAGAATCTTGTTGATTATTTTGGTCTGTTTCGGGCATTGACACGACAACCTTGACTGTGCCGTCGTTTCAATAAACGGTTTAATCCAATTCGATCCTACCAACGCTTTTTTTCGAGTACACCGCGCCTACTGCACCGCACGCACAGTTCGCATACCACGGACGGAGCATCGCATCGCGTCGGGTCAATTGCGCCTACTCACCACATCACACCTCGAAGGTTCCCTCACATTGACGAGACCTGCCCATTCGCTTGAGGCAAATTGGAGGCTCAGTGTCGTGTGTACAATTCACTGCGGGCTGGACTCGACTCAACACAATCAAATACACAGAATCAACAGAGTAGACTGCGACCCGCTGTCAGGTTCTATCCAACAAGAGGCAGCGCCTCTGAAGTCCTGACACCAGCGACATCAGTAACCATCAGTACCACCTCGCTGAATCTCATTACCATTTTCCTTCACGTTCAAAGCCATTGATTCCGTGTTCAAGACATCGCCAGCTGGTCTTGGTCACTGCAGTAGCGACTAAGAAACAACTGGAAATCCCGCCTCTCCAGTGGCAGCTGTGTTAGTACACTATGTACTCGCAACACGCAGCTATGGCGGCAGCACCACCCCAAAAACCAGAGACCTTCATGCTCAGCACAGAAGCCCAGCAAGCACTACCACACGATGCTCAGGTAGCGCTGCAACAAGTAGACAATCGTGAGTAATTGTCAAGAATGCACTGGTTCCCCCTGATCTTCGTCTCAAGTGGCTTACACAATGTAGTAAAATATTTCCTCATCTCGGCACCTGTCGACTGGCAACCCGACCAGTACATCCGAAGATTTTTGCTTCCCACTGGCGAATACGTATCCTGCGTGCTATGGAACAACTTGTTCCACATTTCGGGCACCGACATCGTGCGGTGCCTGTCGTTCCGCTTCCAGGCGTTCGGCCGACCAGTCAAAAACTCCAAGAAGTTCGAGGAGGGCATCTTTTCAGACCTGCGAAATCTGAAGTCGGGAACTGATGCTTCTCTGGAGGAGCCCAAGAGCCCTTTCCTGGACTTTCTCTACAAGAACAACTGCATTCGAACACAAAAGAAGCAAAAGGTTTTCTACTGGTACAGCGTGCCACATGATCGACTCTTCCTTGACGCGCTGGAGCGCGACCTTAAGAGGGAAAAGATGGGCCAGGAAGCCACCACCATGGCCGTCAGCGAGCCTGCTCTGTCGTTCCAGTACGACTCGTCGCAGTCTCTGTACGAGCAACTCACCAAGGCCCAGCAAGCCAACTCTTCGTCCTTCAACGCGCAGCAAGTGTCGTTTCCTCAGTCGCAAGCCCCGTCACCAGTGATGAGGGCGATGGACTCGATGCCTCCTCCGCAGATGATCCCCCAATCGATGGCCCCTTTATCGGATGGCATGGACGCCATGGTCCAATATCAACAGATGGCGATGGCGCAGGCCCAGGCGCACGCTCAGGCACAGGCACAGCAGCCCATGGCTCAAATTCCGCAGGTCGTCAAGCGAGAGCCTGACTACGCTCGCGTCCAGTACAACCAAAATGGCGTCCCCATGCATGGTCATCAGCGTCACGCGTCCATGCCTGCATATGGCCTGGAATACTCGCCAGCGCCGTCTTTTGTCTCTTCTCAGTACGAGGACTACAGCAACCGCGGCATCTCCTTCGAGCCTATCACGCCTCCCCAACAGGCTCTTGGCCTCGGTGCAGAGCCTGCCTACATTGCAAACGAGGAGACGGGCTTGTACACCGCCATCCCTGATCACATGGGCGGCGTGAACGGACTGAATGGCATGATGCAGCTTCCACCCTCCAACCTGGCCGGCCCGCAATTCTCCCGCGCTTATGGGGCCAACAACGTTTACTCGGTCATTGAGGGTTCCCCGACTTACAAGCAGAGGAGGCGTCGTTCGTCCATCCCCCCGTCCATGTCCGTGATCGCTGCTGCGACCGCCCAGGCCCAGGCTCAAGCTGCTGCCCACCGTCCATCTGATCTGAGAAGGTCCGTTTCGGCGTCCGTCGGGCCGTTGGCTGAGGGCGACGAGGACAACAACTCGCCGCCTGGGCTGTCCTACAGCAACTCGGGTATGTCGATGGCAAGCCAACAACAACACCACAAGGAGCTGCTCGATATGTCTCGACACGGCACGCCGCTCTCAACCGTCGAGGGTAGCCCCGCTCTCAACCCTTTGTCCCTCCAGCACCAACAGCAAGAATTTGTTCATATGCACCACGACGACTTGAACGGAGACGTAATGAGTGAGCGACGGACAACGCAGACTGGTGCGCCAAACGTGGTCAGACGAGCCCGGTCTGCCACGGTCATGGAGCTCGGCCCGTATCCCCAGAAATCTCACTCATGCCCCATCCCCACGTGCGGCCGTCTCTTCAAGCGCTTAGAGCACCTGAAGCGGTAAGACCGATTTATTTCTTTTCATGTCATGTGTGATGCACCGCGCATGAATCTGACCAAATATCTCTAGACACGTGAGAACACATACCCAAGAAAGACCCTACATCTGCCCTTATTGTAGCAAGGCATTCTCCAGATCAGACAACCTAGCACAGTATGCCCCCTTACCTTTCCTTGACGTATCGTTTTCCTTGTACGCTCGAATCCTGTGATGAGTTGCGATGTATGGTGCGAAGCGAAAGCCGATATACGAAACCAAAGCAGTCAACCCGAATCATGTCACAACCACAGCCACAGCACAGCACAACAATCAAGACTTCATCATTACCAGGCAGCAAGTCATTCCAGCAAGAAAATGTATGAAGACTAACAGATCGCCCTCAACAGACACAAGCGAACACACGATCGCGGTGACGGCGCCGAAGGCGGCTTTACTCTTTCGGGTGAAGACGAAGAGGAGTACTCGGGCGAGGACCACCTTGGGTCGCTCGAGGAGGCGTCGCCCAACTCCGAGGGTGGTTACATGACCACCTCGCTCAACTCCGTTGCCAACGGGACGCCCCAAACCAGCAACGGCATGTCGCATGCGCCGTCCTATAACAGTCTGCAAACACTGTCAATGCCTATGACGATGAGCACGCTGTAAAAATCGCATTTATTCTTTCTAGCGGGATTGCATTATGACGGGAAACGCCATGTTATTTTCACATGTTCGAGGGTCACGAACGGGCAACGTCCACGGAGTGGGCGGCATCGGGTTTAGCGGATTGATATTTCGCATCTTCTTGTGGGAGATCACGGAGTTCTTCTATTTCCATATTTGGGAAAAGGGGCCTTGCCTGCTCAGCAGACAAGGTCTATTTATATTCCTTTTTACGTTGTGGGACGATGGCACTTTTATTTCATACACGAGGGATACCAAAACTTCATACGATCCCATTTTCGATCGTCATAGAACGGCGGCTGTTATTTCGTTGTCCCGATATGATAGGGACACAGCTTGTTAACAACATTGCCATGTTTGCATGGATGCAGAAGCGAGTGGCAGAGGAGGGGAGCGAACTCGTGCAATATGTATATAAATAAGCTTCCTTTTTTCTTTATCATCTGATGGAGGCGATCAAGGAGAAAGCAAGAAAGACATACATATGAGGAAGAAGACATGATACCAAACATTGAAATCGAACTGTCGTCTTATCGCTTTCTTGGTTGGTTCGATTGGGGTTCCTCATGAGAGAGGGAAAAAGCCAATAACGGCTTGATAGACAATGAACATAGTGAAATTACCCTTAGCCAAGCCGTTGGCGATGTTCTTCAGTGAACACCAAACGGCGTACTTGTTAGACTGCTCCTGTGAAGCCACTGGGCTAAAGCCATCTTGCTGGAAGATCCCTTTCAAAACTCGGGTTTTCTAGCGCACACTGCTTTCTTGTTGAAGCTTGGTATTGGACTACTTGAAACCTTGTTCTTTTTGAATTATGGATTATAGTTGATAGCCATCACAACCTCTATTTTGCCTAGCTGACAAGTTTGACGTAATGTCTATGTGGAGAACTAGAGCTCACGCTCGAGACGAACACTCCTCTCCCTATTCTGGGTATAGGCGCCGTCTCCAATATTCGCACTGACTTGCGAAGTGGTTGCAAGACTTCCGAAGTCACCGGTTCTGCGATTGGTCGTTCGCCCATCGCGGCTTAGAGAGACGTGCCATTTCAAGACAGAGACAACGGCACTACCTTCATCCATAAACGCTTCCATTTGGTGAGCCCTCGAGTATGATGACCAATCGTAGGCTATGAGAGGGGGAAGCTGCAGTAGCTTCGCAGACATGCAGACCTAGAACGAAAATCGTCGGATTATATGATGGGGTCGATATGACGAAAGCAGCAGCCGGTAGACTTCCGGGTGCCATTGCATTTAGCGTGGCCGTTGGAGATATAAGGCTTACTGTGTTTAGATAGCATAAGTTGCTCTAATACCGGTGTGCCTCGATGGTTTCGAAGTCGATTTTCCCAGAATATTTCCCTCCAGCTAAACTCCCACTGAATCCTGGCGGTCATCCAGACCCAGGGCACTGGGGATCAACTTGATCTTTCGAACGAAATCTGAGTAGGTGAGCTCGAGGACGCTTCCTTCGTAGTTCAAACCTTGGTCGGAATACGCATAGATGATGTAGCCGTCTTTGCTGTGATCACATTGACGAGACGTTGTTCTCCCGTTCATTCCCATCTATCTTCGCTTCTTCTTCTTGCCGCCTCTCCCCGTATCACCAGGCCCCTGAATCGCATAAACATCCCGTTGACTCAGCTTCAGCATACCATTCTGCATCTTGCCCACAGCAGGCGCATCCACCACCGCTTCGCGCCTCTTAATACCCTTCGCCTTCTTGGCCGGGGCGGGTTTCTCGAGCACGATGCCGTTCTCCTTTGCCTCCCGCCTCCTCTTGTCCTCTCTGGCCTCGGCCGCCGCGGTGATTCCCTTCCTCATTGACATGGGCATCTTGGTCTGCTTGTAGATACTCGACTTAGAGCCCAGGGCCGACAGTCGCAGGTCCGTCGCTAGATGCCGGTTACGACCTTCGTGCTCGTGTGATGCACCTGAGGCGAACCCATTGCTGTGTGGAGAGGAGAAAAGGTGTGATTCGGAGAGCAGTCGCTGGAGAGCTAAATCGTTTTTCAAAAGCGAGGCGCTGTCCTCCTCTGCCTCGGTAGGGACTTTGGACTTTGAATTTGAGGCTGCGGTCGTGGAGACGACAGAGGAGGGAGGGCGTGAGGAGAGCCAGGCTTTTGCCTCTCGCTTCGAGAGGATGGCCGAGTCGGGTTTGCTAGATGCGGTGTGTTCAATCACTTCTATGATTGTGGCAGGAGACTCGTCGTCATCTGACAACCCCGTCCATTCGTCCTCTTCGTCCTCGGCGCCAACGTCCTCGTCTAGATCCTCATCCGTACTCTCGGGAGCAGGCGCTACTTCTTTCCCTGTTGAGTTGGCGGGAGGTGATAGAGGTGCAAATTGCGCCTCGAAATGACGCCGAAAGATGGCTTGGGCGTCTTCTTCGGAAATCGATGGTTCGGCTTGAGCAGCGCGCGATTTGCGCTTCCCTAGTACACTCGTCATTTTTGCTGTCTTTCAAGCTGGTAGGCTGGTTTGAGTGAAGGATGCTGCGACACTTGCTGTGTAAAAAAAAAAGTTTATGACATGCCAGTTGGGATTTGGTAGCCTTGCATAAGCCACGGAGCTTCGGGCAACGAAACTTGCTGTTGTTGGAGAAGATCCAGCTACCCCACACGTCAGCCTTGTTATTTTCCAAAAACCCCACCATCTTGGATCAAGTCTCACCCATCTATTATAGCTATCTCATATTGCAACCTCGTTACTTGTCTTGATACATAAATATGACGCGTTTCCGCCCCTGCATAGACCTACATGCCGGCCAAGTGAAGCAGATCATCGGGGGAACTCTAGACAGTGCGACGTCAGAGCTCAAGACAAATTATGTCTCCTTACAACCCGCCGGCCACTTCGCCCGGCTATACAAGGACAACGACCTCGTAGGCGCGCATGTCATTATGTTGGGACCGAAAAATGACGATGCGGCTGCGGACGCTGTATCTGCGTGGCCAGGAGGACTTCAACTCGGGGGCGGCATCAATGACTCGAATGCAAAGCTGTGGATTGACAAAGGGGCTGAGAAGGTGCGTTCATCACTCAATAGAATGACCGAGATCCAACCATTAGACTCAAATAGAAGTGACGTAAAGCATGTATGTTTGAGATCTGAGACTGATTGTGTACCCAGTAGGTCATAATCACATCCTACCTCTTCCCCTCAGGCAAGTTCAGCCAAGAACGCCTGGACACCGTCCTTGAAGCCCTAGACGGCGACAAGAACAAGCTTGTCATCGACCTCAGCTGCCGCCGGCAGGGCGAAGACAAGTGGTTCGTCGCCATGAATAAGTGGCAAACCTTGACGGATATGGAGGTGAATCAAGGTAGGAGGACTACCTTGTCCCTTTGCAGTATCTCACATTTCCACACCACAAGTTCTAACTTTGACATCAAGACTCCATCAAACGGCTCGAGCCGTACTGCTCCGAGTTCTTGATCCACGCAGCCGACAATGAAGGGTTACAAAAGGGCATTGACGAGAAACTGGTCACAAAGCTGGCCGAATGGTGCAGTATACCCGTGACTTACGCGGGCGGTGGCCGCCACCTCGTAGATCTAGAGTTGGTCAAGACTCTAAGCCACGGTAAGGTTGATTTAACGATTGGCAGTGCATTGGACTGCTTTGGAGGCAGCGGAGTGAAGTTTGACGATTGTGTCGAGTGGAATAAGAAACAACCAGCGGTGGATTCGTAGCATCACAAGAGACGACAAGAGTGCTTCCGTTACCCGAGTGTTGAAGTTGGGGTTAAATGGTGCTCACCACGATAAGGGACAAAAAGAATGCGACACCCGTAGAGCCCCTGGATATTTTCAATGCTCGCCCAACAGAAGAGTACACGTTTTCATGACACTTATCATTACCCAGCCACCCCAACTTTTGCTATCCTACTCTCGGCCCCCTTTCATCCAAACCACAGCGTCCCCTGGTATTTCTATCCGAACCCCAATCTTACGACATCACGAACGGTAAGACTCTAGTTCAAGCTCCAGCTGTCGGATGCGTTCATTCTGGTCTTGCGAGCCCGCCCCCACCCGCTTCTTTAAGGTGTCGACCTCGTTAGTCAGGTGTCCGATGAGCTGACCTTGATCGCTGATCATCTGGGTCTGTTTCTCCAACAACTCTGTGATGTGGCCTAGGGTTGACTCAACTCCCAGTGGAACCGCGTTGCCAGATGTGGTAGGTGTCGGGGTGGCGGCAGCACCAGCAGCAGCAGCAGGAGTTGAGGCATACGTGGGTGATTTGATGGGAGACGCAACCTTCGGTGGCGGCGCCGTAGATGTCTTGGTCGGCAATGGTGCTTTGGGTTCGGATCTGATAGGCAGGCTGCTGCGTTGTACAGGCTTGGGGATTTCTTCGAAACTGCTCGTCTCATCCTCCTCTTCTTCTTCGTCATCTTCGTACTTGGAAGCCATGGCTGCTATGGACTGCGATTGATGCTTCATGGAAGGCGGCGGAGAGCGTGCAGCAGCCGGGGCCAGGGCCGGTTCAGGCTCCTTGGCTGGTGCCGGTTTTGCCACTGGAGTCGGGGCGGGCGCGGCAGCAACGGCAGCAGGCTTGTAGTCAGCCGGAACCTCAACCGGCGCATTGCCCTCGTAGATGCTCTCAAAGTCGATCTTCGGCGGCAGCCCCGACTGGCCTGAAAGCCACTCCTGGGCGCTTACAGCAGGCTTCATGCCGACAGCAGGCGGGAAGATGTCCGATTGAAACGTCTCGGCACGTCGCGGGACCGTAAAGGAGATGGGCTCAATGTATGAATCGTTCACTGTCTTGAAAGCTCTCATGACCTCATTGTCGTGCACCTACAGGGCATCAGTATGTCGGCTTGGAAGGTATATCCACCTTGATAGGTGGTACTCACATTGACACCGCGTTTAGGCAGGAACGCAATACCTCTCTGCGGGTCTCCAGACTTGTACTCTGACAGAAATTCGAACTTGTCATTCTCATACTCGAAATAGCGAATGTTGCCATCACTAGGAACGCGTCAGCAGTGAAAAAATGGAAATGGAGAAGCGCGAAAGACCTACCCCTTTCCAGCAAGATATAGGCAGTGGCAGCTGTCGTCTAAGCATCAGTTAGCAAAAGCAAAACGAACCGCCCCATTGTTGTTTCTCATCAAGACCTACCCCAGAAGGGCATGCAAACGCCAGATATGCTGTCGAGGAAAGTAAAGCCACCGATAGGCGATGGATTTCCCGGCTCCCATAGCGCTAGTTGACGATCACTCATTCTCGAAAACCCTGTAGTAGCGATGCGGTTCTGCTCGCCCATCCAGACTGCTCGACTATTCTTGGCGCCGTCATGGCCGGGGTGCTCGCTCGCCGGTCTCTCTTGTCGGACATCCCATACTCGTAGCTTCTTGTCTCTCGAAGTGGTGACCATCATGGTACCGCTCGCGTTCCAGGAAAGCGACTGGACGATGTCGGGATGTTTCAGGGAGAGCGCCTGAGATCCAGCGCCCACATCCCATAGTTTGACCGTGAGGTCGCCGGAGGCAGATGCCAGGATATTCTCCGCGGCCGGGTTGAACAGGACCTGACCGACCTTTCTCGAGTGACCGGTGAGCTTGGCTACGGGGTGAACGTCGGCCGGTTCTTCGGCGTCGGTGAACAGGGTGAAGTCCTTGGGGACTTCCCAGAGCATAACTTTGCCATCATCGGAGGCGGAGGCGATAAGTCGGTCGTTGAAGGGGTTCCTTTGGGCTTCATTAGCTAGAATACCGGGTGGGGTCATCGGCGTCGCGTGCGCACCAGTCAGTATCAAGGACAGTCGAGGTGTGCCCTCGAAATAGGGGCATCAGGTCGGGAAGCTTGCCCTTCTCATTCAAGGGGATGACGGCGAAGGCGCCACCTCCACTGGCCTCCCAGTTGACCGAGAGATACTCCGGATTGGCCTTCGCGACGATCACGAATGTTAGCGAGTCGCAACATCTCGGCGCATAAGGGACTGCTGCTCTACAGAAGCGGGAAGCTGACCTTGACCAGGTTCGTATCCCAGGCATTGCGACTGATTCGGATGTTGTCATAACAAGACTCTTTCTTTGTCGACTTGCCAAAGATATGCCCTGCACTCAAGTCAGAAACATGGCCGTAAGTTGTTGTTGGACGCGCGAAGGTACACACGATATTTGGATGCCCGCACGAAGCGACCAGCCATGATGATTGTGGACGAAAAGTCTGAACTATGATACTGGGAAAAAAAAAAAAGAATGGAATATGGATTGGGAATACACGATAGTGCCGGGAGGCTGTTGGGTATCAAGCCTGATCAGATAATGATAGGAGAAGCAGAGCACAAAGCAAAGCTGTTGGCCAGTTGCACGTCAACTTGCACCCTGAAACTAGATGGTCTAAACTGCGCCTCGTGTCGGTCCTCAGTTCAAGGTGCACCCGTCGGTTGGAGCAAGCAGAGCACCCACAGGAGGTCTCCACTTAAGCACTCGGCATTGATGATCTAGCCCTTAAGGGGTGGCGACCACTGAAAGAGCATAAACGCATTCAATGAACACTGGAACCACGATGTCTCCAATGAAACTGCCAACTCTGAGAAGCTTCGGTAACAGTACAATGCAATCCGTACCCCAGCCTACGGTATGTTACTCAGCCGCATCAACATTGGTCCAAGCTCATGTTGCCACCGTACGAAGCAATTGGGGGGCACATACGCGGGTCTATCAAAAAAAGTACCTTATTTCAGGAACCCAAGCACTTCAATTGCAATTGAGGCAAAGATATATCTGGCATGTCCCTTTACTTAATCATTATGGTTATTCAACGGTGGAATACTTCTGGTTGGAAGAACTTATATAGCTTATTACGAGTTCGTCATGCTATCGCACCCAGCCTCCAGCATGATAGAGAGAGCAGACAAGTGATAACTCAAAGTCCACGGGCACACAGAGTAACGGCAGCAGTAGACGACGAGGGACTCTAGCCTCGAGTTGTGAAAAGACTTGGATTGACCGTTGGCACCTTCCAACCAAGGCAACTTCGATTTAGTGCTCGTAGGAACCTGCTGTTTCTTCATCACGTGCCATCACTTAACGCGCGAGCTCGATCGGAGTCGCGTTTTCTCGTCCCATCTGCACGGTTGGCGCGACCCGAACTTTTCTAGTCAAGCTTTCCCGCTTGTCGCATTCAAAGGCATCTGCTTGAGTTCATCCCAGAGTCCTTCTGGAACCAGCACAGGAAGAAGCCTGCACTTGAGTCCCGTACCAGACAGTGCTGCAACAGTTCGAATGCGCCATATTCATCTCCGCTCATTTCACTTCTCATCGCCATTTTGTCGACCGCCCTGCGTGTCAGGCCCCTGACCTCTTCCTCTCTCCCTCCCTGTCTCCCCACCTGCCATCTTAACAACGGTACGCTATGGCAGCTATGGAGAGCTTTGATAACATCTACCTGGATCTGTCTAAGGACAGCGGAAAGTGCCGGTTTGCCGAGAATGGCCTTGGTTGGAAGCCAAGCGGCAGCAGCAACACCTTCACCCTCGACGCGGGCGATATCGCGAGCGCTCAATGGAGCCGTGCCGCCAAGGGCTACGAAGTCAAGATCCTGAAACGATCCTCTGAGATAGTCCATCTCGATGGATTCCAAGAAGAAGACCAAGCCCGTCTGGTCAAGATCTTCAAGAACTGGTACAGTGCGAACCTCGAGACCAAGGAGCACGCTCTGCGCGGATGGAATTGGGGCAAGACCGAATTTAGCAAGGCCGAGCTTGTCTTCAATGTACAGAACCGACCCTCCTTTGAGATCCCGTATTCGGAGATATCCAACACTAACCTTGCTGGACGAAACGAGGTCGCGATCGAGTTTGCTGCGTCGGACGAGGCCGACACGGGCACCAATGGCCACCTGGGCGGTGCTCGAGGCCGAGGCAAAAAGTCGGGAGCTGGCAAGGATCAAATGGTAGAGATGCGCTTCTACATACCTGGAGTCACTACGCGCAAAGAGACGGAGGGCGAGGACGCTGGCAGCGACGCTGAACAGGAGGAGAAGAATGCCGCGACCTTGTTTTATGAGACGCTGATCGACAAGGCTGAGATTGGTGAGACGGCTGGAGATGCCATCGCCACATTCCTCGAGGTTCTACACCTCACCCCCAGAGGCCGCTTCGACATCGACATGTACGAGTCATCTTTCCGCCTTCGCGGTAAAACCTACGACTACAAGATCCAATATGATCACGTAAAGAAGTTCATGGTGCTCCCGAAGCCCGACGAACTGCACTGCATGCTCTGCATCGGTTTGGATCCGCCTCTACGCCAAGGACAGACGAGATACCCGTTCCTGGTGATGCAATGCAAGAAGGATGAAGAGGTCACGATCGATCTGAACCTGCCAGAGGAGCAACTCAACGAGAAGTACAAGGACAAGCTCTCGCCTCACTACGAACAGCCCCTACACCAGGTCATCACATACTGCTTCAAGGGCTTGGCGGGCAAGAAAATCGTCTCTCCTGCCAAGGACTTCACCACGCACCGCCAGCAGACCGGTATCAAGTGTTCTATCAAAGCCAGCGAGGGTTTTCTTTACTGTCTCGAGAAGGCCTTCATGTTCGTGCCAAAGCCGGCTACCTACATCTCGTACGACCAAACGTCATCCATTACCTTCTCGCGTGTCGGTGGCGCTGTGTCCGCCCTTTCTACCTTCGATATTACTGTCCACATGAAGAGCGGCGGCTCCAGCCAATTCAGCAACATCAACCGAGAGGATCTCAAGGCTCTTGAAGACTTCTTCAAACTGAAGGGTCTAAGGGTCAAGAACGAGATCGACGAGGACGCGAACCTGCTTGCGGCTGCTCTTCGAGAGGAAGCTATGGCCGACGATTCGGAAGAGGAAGCCGCACCCCGCGCCGATCGCGGCTCGGCCGACGAAGATGAGGAAAGCGTCGACGAGGATTTCCGAGCTGATTCGGAAAGCGACGTCGCTGAGGAGTACGATTCCAACCATGAGTCCAGTGGTTCTGGAAGCGGCGAAAGCGACGTCGAAGATGACGGTGATGCTGACGCTGATGAAATGGATGTGGACGACGAAGACGAAGCTGAGAAGCCCCAGGCGAAGAAGGCGAAGACCAAGAAGTGATGGAAGGATGGAGCTCTTCCGTGACGTAGGGTCGGACAAGCAACGGCGTTAGGGTGGCTCGTGTTGTATAATCACGCTATTCAACTGGAATACGTCTTCGCGTAACTTTGCAGCAAAAGGGCTGCGTTCAGCGAGATGAAATGCATTATTTCCACAATCATCTCTGGCGATGGACAAGAACGGATACTTTCACCAAACCACAGAATTCCCACCAAGGTCAAATAATCAAGTGATCAGCACTATGGCAACGGGTATGAGGATCCCGTAGCCATTGAGTGACCCTCGTCTAGAAAGGCCGCACGGCTCAAGCTCATGTTGTACGTTCTTGCGAGTGTGCTTTGTCATATCTGGTCAGCGTTGATGGTGCCTACCTCCATATACGTTGTATACCGCCGGGTGAATCTTCATATTGAATAAAAAGTCATGGGGAGCATACCAATATCGAGTATCCGGACAAATTGCGACTATACGAGACACAAAACGAGTCTCGCATGTGAACAGTCAAAGTATGTTCTAACCACAGAGTATATGTGAGTACAATGCTTGTTCCTAACCAAACCGCAACGTCCAGAAAACCAAAGTCTATGTACAAATCGCCCAAATTACCGAGCTGGCACCGCAAGTTCGAGCCCATCTGTTGCAATTCCCGTAATCGTACAGCTCATTTCGCAATAACGGGGAGAGCAATCTTCGCCTTGGACGCCAACTCAACAGCCTTTGCCAGCTGCTCAGCCCGAAGTTTCTTAACGTAGCGGAATAGCAGAATAAACAATAGCTCCATCCTAGACATGCAAGATTAGCGTCATGACAATGACTTATTTCCACACCGAAGAGCATGGATAACCTACCTCTCTTTAGTCATCATCAGTATCCCCTGTACCAAAAGTCCTTTTACGATTTGTGGTGCAATGCCCTTGAAGAGACTAAGGGCGCCCTCGTTTTCGACGATGAATTTCATGACCTCGACGAAGCCCTTGAAGGGCTTGCCTTTCCTGGATGGTGGCGGCTTGGACTGCAAGCCGACCTTGGCCACGATCAGAGGCTGCGTGACGATGGTAGCTAAAGACTTGGACATGGCACCAAGCACTGGGTCATACATAATTAGCTTCTCTCCAGAAACGGTTCCTTTATACTGCCTGCTCAGGGAATACTTACAAAATGCTTCTCCCGGCGTGAGCCGCGTCTTGCCCGGAAACATATACGTCTTTAACCTCTCGTACGCACCATACGTGATCGCCGGATTCACAACCAGCACCAAGCTGGCTTTGAGACCCCTCCAGAGTCCGAAGACGCCGTCCTCACTCTCGATGACCTCGCGCCCTGTCTCCAGAAACCCCCTCTTGTCATTCTTGCTCTGCGTCTGCTGGCGCGTCGTCACAACGGCAACGGGGATGGTGCATAGCTGTGCCACGGCGCCGGCAACCGCGCCCAGGGCCAGCTCGACGGCGGTCGACGGCGGCGCGGGCATCTTTTGCGACTTGAAGTACAAGGTGCGCACGGTGGAGTACCAGTAGAAATAGGCAAAGTTGGTCGAGGCGACGCCGAGGAGCGCCCCTTCCATGCCTGCGTAGAGGCCTCCTATCCCATCTTCGGCGACGATTTTGGTGATGGCATCCCAGGTCGAGTTGTAATGGGGTTCTTCGCCCTCGGCGGCCGCTTCGCCCGGTTGCCGTTTAACTTGGACTTGGAGTCTGGTTTTGACGCTGTAGACACGGAGATAATGAGCATGACCATAATACACTAAGAGACGAGGCACTACTGCCAGACTTTGTGTGTTTGGCTTACATGTCCAGAGGATATACTAGCGCATTGGCAAGAACTGCCCCCGTAGCGCCGGCCGTGGCCAGACCCCATGGAGGGAGCGGGGCGGATGTCGATTGGGCGCCCATTGCTGAAGGGAGCGAAATATTGCGCTCGTAAAGAACGGCGTGGGAAGCTCTGGCCCAGCCTTAGAGAGAAATTTTGCGGTGGTCTTTTGTAGTTGCGCTCGTGGAGCCAGCCTTTGCACGCCTCGGCAGTCTGGGCCTGGCGTCACCGGTGCCGGAGACTCAGGGATAAGCGGAGGCGGGAAGGAATTATCTCATACAGGCGACGATACTACGGCATGGAGAATTGTGTTGAGGTTGCCGGAGGGTTGCCAGAGGGGAGCGAGGACGGCAATCTCACGCAACTATTAAATGAGTGAGGAAGCAAACGATTGATGAATGGGCGGGTAAGAGGATGGACAAAAGCCAGCCAAAATGTATACTAGTAGCGTGAAGATGAACCTCGGCCATTTTTGTTATCTTATCGCTTCCGCAACGGATCGGTAACGGCGGTGTGGTTAATGCCGATTTCACCGTTTTGCAGTCGGCATGTGGTCCAACACCAACGCTACCCAGTCGCTGATCCCCATGACGCCATCGTATCGTTTCGCTGAGAAGCCAAGCGGTTCTTGGAGGCATCTTTTTGGGCCAAGTTGGGCCCAGTGCCGATGCCGCTTTTACTCAGGCTCGGCTCAGTCCAATGTCAGTCACGCTGTCTTTCTACTCTGTACAGTCGCAGGCTAATGTGGCTTGTGGCTTGTTGAAGAGGCCTAATTGTGGGATTGAGTGCCACGGTTATGCCCTAGGCCGAAGGCGGTGTAGCGGCAATTGCACTTTGGTGGGGTCAAACCCTTCCCAGTAGATAAAATAGCTACAGATACAACACACAAACAGTAGAGCGATACAACAATCAAGACAGGATCGCCACAGAGTCATCAATAGAGGATTGAATCCCTCACTAATTAACTGGTACAGCTTTTGGCCACCTGATCTTTCACAATGGTAGATGTTATTAGATTAACAATGGACCGATCTCTTCGGCACGCTAGAAAACTTACTCCAAGGCCCCTATGAACCCTCAGGACACCGATCTGTGGTGCTAAAACGATTTGCGACTTCCTACAAACATCCGTGATAATCACACGCTGTACTGGATTTGGTACTGGCTGACTATCCCTACAGCGCAGGGCCGAATGGAGGTTTCAATATATCTCATCATATAAAATCGAATAGCCAAAGTGGAATACAGTTTTGAATTCCAAAGCGCTTCTGTAAGTCCTTCTAAAGGTTAGAAAGGAAACGGTGGTTGTCTATTATCATAATCAAGCCTTTGAAACTACCTCATACTCTTTCTTATCTACTTTCGTCATGCGAGAAAGCTCTTCCAACTGGGACTTTGGCAATGTTAGAGATGAAGTTCGTACACGTGTCAGTATGTTAAGGGGTTTTCACATACCTGTTAGATTTTGGTGGCTTTGACACGACCTGTAGGTCTCCTAAAAAGGCTTGGCGGTGGTGTTTTTCTTTGACCAACTCTCTTCTCCTACACTTTTAACCTATGTATTAAGAGTGTCCTATCCTGTAATCGCCTCGACGTGACTAGGGAACAAGCAACTTAGGCTTCCTCTTCCTCTTCAGCCATGGTAATGCAAAGCACAGAAATACATACCCGGCCCAACTAAAATGTCATCGAGTTCAGCTTCAGCGAACATGACACCGACGCCGAGCTGAGTGTCTTATATAACGGCACACGTCTCACATCTACTTATCAGAAGAAAACCTTGCCGAATCGCCCCAGCTGAAAGAGAAGTATCTCTTCTACCTCCAAGCAGCAGAGGAATTCGAATTAGATGGTGTAACAGTTGAGGACTTCTACGACTGGATCATGGAACCATTCTTATCCCTGCCCCGTAGCATACCACCTCCAGACCGAAACAAGACGCCGACTCTTCAAGATTTCTTTCACCCCAAAACATTCCTAATTTCGTTACATTGGAATTTAATACTGCTCTCTACGGTGAGAGATCTTGCTCTAGTACCGACTAAATACTATACTAAACACTACCTATAGTAAGTAGTAACTTGTTTAGCAAGGGTTAATTAGGAAAGAGGATTATGTTAACTTAGTTGCTTATGTCTGCTACGCCGTTTACCTATTAACCCACGAGTCTCCCAAACGTGGTGACCCAAGCTCCCGGTCGATCCTCGGCTTGTATAGGAAGCGCCACAGTTCATTACTACACTAAGGGGTGCAACTTAAACCGTCCTATATCACATCCTTCGTTATCAACTCCGTATAAACAGCTCGATTATCTCTCTAAAATTCAATTATCGACTAGAGCTTTATATCACGGCTATAGTCCTTGAAGGACCTGTTGCAGTTATATAGGGTTATCTAGAAATAATAGCGGAATCAGATGGAGGCAAAGGTCTAAAGGTGTGTTTGGCTGTAAGACGTCAATAAAAACCCTCCGTAAAAGAGCTTTAACCGTAAAGTCGGTTTGTTGCGCTAGAGTTATTTGTGCATAATTCCTGTATACACACTCTTCTTTTTAGATGCGTTCATTAGGGGCCAAGCTCAGGCCAAATTCCAGCCAGGCTCAGGCTTAAACCGGCACGGCTCAGGTCTCGATGTGGCACCCAGACCTGCATGGACACTCGACTTGGGCGGTTGTTGATTGCTGGCTGTTTGTCTTTCACAGACTTCAGAGTTGTCTGTTCACTGGCAGCCCTTCTATACGAGTTGCCTTGTTAAACCATGAAGCTCTAGCTGCATCGATACAAGTAATCTGCCGGCACGTACATACCATATCTTCATCCGATTTAGGGTTCAGACGCTGCCTGGACCGGCAGAATATCGGACGCCGTATATGGCTCGCATCACCAGCAACGTCGTTTCCTTCTACCATCTGACGGTCGTGACTATCTTACACATGCAAACGCTCTTTCTATGTGTAGCGGCACTGTGACTGCGGTGGCTTTCTATCTTGTTCTCGAAAGCGATTAGATGCTTGCAACGGTTACTGTCGCCCGAGCCTGAGCACTTGCATGCCCATTCAAGTCGCGCTTACACAATTGAGGAAGGCATCCCAATGTCACTGTGACTACTAAACAACCTATAGCCAACCACGCCCCCAGAAGAACGCAAATGTCCCGGCGCCGAAGTATACAAAGAAGGCGCAACTCGGGACAAGGAGATCCACCTCTTGTCCAGTGTATATTGAACGTGGAGTGACTTAGGGCTATGCTAAGTGCCACTGAACGCATGCATCCACAGACCGTCAGTCCCTTTTTTTGGCGGTGCATGCATTTCAGCTTCTATCAATCTACAAACTCACCATGTCTGCCATCGAAGCAAAAGCCAAGGTGAGAAGCGCCACCTCTTAGCTTCTTAGCTGCCCTAACGATCCGCAGGCGCGAGAGGATCAAATATCACGGACCTCGGGCCAAGACGCCCTGGACAACGCCATCGCTGCGGCAGACCTCTACATCAAAGCCGCCAACTCTGCAAAGTTTGATGCTGACAAGGTCCGCCTCAAGAAGAAGTGCAATGAAATCATCCTGCTTGCAGAACGGCTCAAGAAAATTGCCTTGTTGGGAGACAGTGTCAGCCAAGTCGAGAAGCGCCTCAAGGTGCCCTGTATAGCCCGCCAAATCCCCACGAGCGAGAAGATAATTCTACTTCGCAATTCCAAGCTTCACGGAAGTACTTTCCCTCCGTGGGAGGCTGATCCGCATCCTGACGAGTTTGCTGGAGATCCCTTCAGGTGAAGCTCATAGTCAGCACGCTTGGTGACCGCTTTCCACGTGTACTGACGCTGTTGCCAGTGACACATCGGATTTCCCCTTGTCAGATCGCCAACTAGCCTTCTTCGCTGGGTGGAAACGACCCTCGGACCTCGTCGGGAACGGCCAAGATGTCGGCACGTGCAAAGTCGAGCCGCGTTTGATGGAGCCCCAAGACGACTACGATCTGATACAAGACGTTACTACCGACTGCTCTGTCGTAGCTAGTCTCTGCGCGAGCATGAAGAACCTGCGACCCGGCCCTGCCTCGTTACTATCCGCGTTGATGTTCCCTACCGATTCCGAAACGGGCCAGCCCAAGGTGTCTGCAAATGGTCGATATGTATTCCGCATGTACTTCAACGGCTGTTTTCGGAAAGTTGTCATCGATGACAGGCTGCCGTCCTCGTCCACCTCACGGGCACTATACGTCGTGGATCGGCAGAACTCGCGACTCATTTGGCCTGCACTGCTGGAGAAAGCATATCTCAAAGTGCGCGGCGGATACGACTTCCCCGGTAGCAACTCCGGAACGGATCTGTGGGTACTTACAGGCTGGGTCCCACAGCAGCTCTTCCTGCAAAGCGACGAGATCGAATTTGGCCGCACATGGTCGCGGGTCAAGAAAGCCTTCGATTATGGCGATGTTGTCGTTACTCTCGGCACAGGCCACTTATCCATGGCTGAGGAAGAAACCTTGGGACTGGTCGGCGAGCACGACTACGCCGTTCTAGATATGTCTGAGTCCTCGGGCAGCCGGCGGATGCTCGTCAAAAATCCATGGTGTGACGGCCTTGTGTGGAAAGGGGTGGGCTCATCCGACACTCCGGAGCGCGCCACAGACGACCACCCGAAAAAACTGAAGCCAGGGTCATTTTGGATCAGCTTTGATGACGTGCTACAGAATTTCGAATCCCTCTACCTCAATTGGAACCCAGCCCTCTTCACAGAACGGCAGGACCATCACTTTACCTGGGAGCTACCCCAGACGAGTATGGCAGCCTCCTTTGCGTACAATCCCCAGTACTCGATGGCGGCGGCAGCCTCGGGCAGCACTTGGATCTTGCTTAATCGGCACTTCCAAGATGACGAACTCGAGATCGCCAAAAGCCGATCGACAACCCTCTCGGCAACGTCAAACAAACTGGGCTTTATGAGCCTTTACATCTTCGACAACAAGGGCGAGCGCGTACAACTGAGTGACAAATCCATCTACCGCGGACCATTTGTCGATTCACCACAAACGCTAGCTCCTTTCGAGGCGAAAAGGGGCGTCAAGTACACCATCGTAGTGGTGCAGCAGGCCCTCCCCTTGCCCAAGTATTCCTTTACCATGTCCTTCTTCTCGCGATGTGCCCTGGACGTGAGGCCTGCTGAGCACAACATAAAGTCGTACACCGAAATTCAAGGCAGTTGGACAGGGCGAACCGCAGGCGGCAACGCTGCTTCGCCTACGTATCTGCAGAACCCACAGTTTGCCATCACCGTACCCACGCCTGGGCCTCTCTCGATCCTCCTATCTACCGATAAAGAAAATCTCGCCGTGCACGTCGACCTAGTCTGGGCGGGCGGCAGACGCGTAACAGCTGTTACAGTGCGCGATCTCGTCTCGACCTCGGGCGAGTACCGCCGCGGATGCGCGCTGGCCCAAGTCCCGTCCGTCGACGCCGGCACATACACCGTCGTATGCTCGACCTTCGAGCCCGGTCAACTCGCCGACTTCACCCTCCGCGTCGGCTCCATGGTTCCCTGCAAAATCAGCGTCGTGCCCCCCGACGGCGCCGGCCGTCTGCGCACCCAACTGCCAACGCTCGTCTTCGGCCACAGCGAACAAAAGAAACGCGCCGCCTTGACCTTGAGCCGGTTGACTCGCGCCACCATCGTGCTCATGAGGAAGCACACGGCCTCGGCTCCCGGCACACCGCGCAGCCATCCTACGGTGAGGCTAGGCGTGGAACTCGGGCGTGGGCCTGATAAGGGCGTCTTGGCTGCGACAGGCGAGGGCGAATTCAAGGAGGTGGGCATGGGGTTGCGCACTGCTGAATTCGATGTCGATCCACGCATGGCGCAGAACCGGGGGCTGTGGATCGTCGTGGAGCAGATCGGGTCGGGGCCGTACATGGCGGCTACCGACGAAGGGCTGAGTATTGAGGTATTAAGCGAGACGCCGATTCATGTTGGCCCATGGGAGACAGTGGATAGTTGATACTATGAGGTTTTTATTTGCATGAGCTGGAGAAATAGGGACTGAGACCTTGTGTTGCATTGAGTAGACCGTATTATATTTGTGGTGGGGGATTAAGGGGTTCGGCACAGTGGGAATCACTTCCGGCGAATGAGTTGAGCACGTAGAGTTTGATGCAATTGAACTTGTCAAAATGAGGCCATCATATCTCGATCGTCGGTGTTGTATGTGCCATCTTAGGCGATTACCGTATAATTTTGTCGGCACCACAGACGTTAAAAAGGGGAATATAAGACGGGCAGATGCCCAGCCTCCTTCTCCCAACCGCCTGAATGCATCTCTTCATTCCATATTGAGGCTAGGATATACAATATAAATGTCAAGGACGACGATCGTTTGCAAATTGTTTCAGTGTCTTTTCCCACATTCATCTCTAGGCTAAGCTGAGCTCCTGAGCTCTAGCTACTAGTCAACTTCAAGGGCTGACCGAGCACTCTCTTTATCTTCCCGTCTTGCTGCCCTTCCAATCGTGGCTTATATCTAAACACTTCATTGACCGAATTGACCGACCTTCCGACAAAGTAAGGGTATCAAAACAAGTCAAAGTGGAAAATGGGCCTGGGTTAAACGGGTTAAACCTCCAGCACAGCTCACGGCCTAAAATCCTGCGTGCATGTTATCCTCCTTCATAAGATCATCAGAAGATATGTCATGTCTAGTCAAAACCCCACTCCTGCCTAGCTCATATCTCTCCAGGAAGCGAACGGGGGATATCGAAAAAAAAGGAAAACAAAAACAACAAAAAGGGGGGGAGAAATGCGTATTGGGACACAACAGGTTCATCCCTTCCTCCAAAAAGCATCAAAGTAAATGCACCCCCCTTGTGGTATATATTATGCGCCAAACTCCACCAGTGACCCGTTATGACCACGGTTTCCTCGACATCAACGCCTGCCAAGTCACCATAACCTTAGTTTGGAATTTTGCAACAGATGCAGCCGCCGCCAAAAGCCCACATCCCTGGGTATATCATCTGCAGTGTGTATGTACATCTAGTGTATATAGTGAAGTGAAGAAGTGTACGAGGGAGATTAGTGAAGAGAGTGGTAGCGAGTGTGCGTTATGGAGCACCACGACGCCTGCGACCTCGATTCGGACCATCCGGGCGCTGGGCCAAGACACCGCGCAACAAGGGGTCGTCTTTGTCCTTGTCGACGTGGTGGACACGGACATGTCGTTGTAAGTTGTCTGGCCTTGGGTACTTGTGTTCTCGATCCGGACAAAAGGGGCAGACGTATCCTGGCGAGTCGTGAACGAGACCGTGTCTGATCATCTCATTTTTGCGTTTAAAGCCCTTTCCGCCCTCGGCTCGAGGGCATCCCTTCACTGAACAATAATGTGGCCGGGCAGAAGAGTGGACATTTGCGTGCGAGTTCAGCAAGTACTGAGTTGCGAACGGCGACGCAGTGCAGCCTGGAAATTCGCAGACAAAGTTGGAGTTCTGCGGATTCGTCATATTGTCAATGCTCATGCGATCCGTTATACTCGTCGCAGTTGTAGGTGTCGAGGCTGGCTCCGTGCCCGGTGTTTCTGTATTGCTGCTGCTATAATCCGCGAGAGACCGGGCTGTATTGCTGCTACTACTCGGGTAGTAATATGGGCTCAAAATCGGCAAAGACGCAGGCGAGGGCATGCTTTGGTTATAGATATTGTGGGGGGAGATGGGTGGAGAAGCATGACTTCCTGTGATAATTGGTATGCGGGTTGCACCACCCGGGGGGGAATGAGGAAACGTAGGATGAGTGTGACGATTGGAATGGGTGAGTTCGTCTCCAAGAGTAGACCTGATAGAAGGTAAAGGACCATGACCGCTCGTGTCGGATATTGGAGACATTATCTGTATTGGCGCTAGTTCTCCGTGTCCATTTGGCACCCCCGCTGGCACCCCCGCTGACGACTTGACATCGTTGGGATGCCTAAGCACTTGACTCGATGTTGACTGTCCAGGAGAAAACACGTCGGGCATAGGGTGGTTTGGAGTGTGAGGGGTGATTGGTGCTTGTAAGACTGATTTCTGGAAGATAACCTGTCGCTGCTGTTGCTGCGGCTCCGGTGCAGCTCGAGGTTGAGGTTGGGGCGATGTCACGTCTTCCGCCATCTCTGTATCCTCCTGACCTCCGTCCGTCTCCGAGGCTTCATCTGTGAGCGTGGGCAGGGGTGCTGAAGCTGAGAAAGCAGCCACTGCCAATGCTGCCATAGACTTTAGATGATCGATGGGACCAGGGGATGTCACAGCGGCAGGCTCGGCGGGTCGCGGCCTAGGAGATACCATGGGACTCATGGTGAGGTTGTCTAGGTCGTCATCGCTACCATCGCCGGAGCTGCTCGTGCAGCTGTCCTCCTCTTCCTCGTCCACGTACTCTACTAGAGGTACCTGTCCAGCCACGTGAGCGATCTCGGGTCGCCTTCCACCATCCAGCATCTGTATCAAGATGGCATCACCCCGGCTGCCAGGCACCTTGCGCCGACGATTAGAAGACTTGTGACCGGGGCTGGGAGGAGGACTGACTTGTGGTAAATCAGGCGGCGGAGAGGATGAGGGCTGGAGGTTGGGGTGATGAGGCTTCAATATGGGGCTATTCTGCGGGAACACCCCATCAGGATCGTAGACGTCGGTGAGTGACGGGTCATGAACAAGGCCGGCGGTTGTAGTCATTGCTTTCGCGCTGTCTCGAAACGTTACCGTAAGTCACGCATCAGTCAGTCGAGTTGCTAACTCGCCATCGGGCGCGCAGAATACTGCCCCCAATTCGCTAAGATGACGACTTTGCGCTCGCGATGCTGCCAGGCAGTCTCGATGCCAGTAACCGGTTTGTCGCTTTATCGCCTGACGTGCCAAAGCAATACGCCGATCAAACCAGAACCCAATCTGAAGGTTATGGTGTAGACTATGACGGTCCGAACCTTAGGTTAAGCTTTTGGGCGTGCAATGTTTCAAGACGGTACGATGCGGTATAAAACGATTGCGACAACGACGACGATGGCAACGGGAATGCGCCGGAGGATCAGAAACGAGTAGGAGAGAAGTAACTATGGCCGGTACAAGACCCCAGGTAAGAGAAGGTGTGGTAGAGCTTGAGTAATGTTGGACAAGGCCACTAGCCGTCTGGCTTGCTAATGGAGGATACTCGTGACAGGCCGCTGAGGTCGTCGTAGGGTTTCGTTGGTCTGTCGCGCAGATGAAAGGCGGGGGGAGAATCCGCGGAGCCTCGGTCGTCTTCTTTTGTGGATTACGACGGGGGCAGGCTTGAAGGGCCAGATTGCGTCGGCAAGTGTCCAGGACGGTTCCTCGCTGCGAAGCAGGGATCCAGGTAAGTAGGTCACAGTGATAGCAGTAATAATAGCAGCTCGAGAGTTTGGTCTGAAGTCAGCCGGAAGGGAACACGATAATGCGCGAGTTTTTCCAAGGTTCAGACTTTCAAGGTTGCTAAATTGCTCGAGCAGCTTGGCCAGGGATGTTCGAGTGAAAGGGCGAGCAGATGCAGGTGGGCGACAGCAGACGATGCGGCTGTGTCTGTGTCTAGTTCCGCGACCGCAAATAGGGACCACACCCAGGTAGATAGATGTGTACTTTGTACAACTGTGTGCACACCGAGCGACTTCAGACCGCTGGGGACAGAGGTGGGTGTGCAGGTGCTATTGTCTGACTTTCCGCGACACAGAGACGGAGCTCTAGAGCACCATGCGCAAGTAATGAACTACGCTTGCCACGGTGTTGCCTGGGTGGTATGGGCCGAATCGCCAAATTCGATGGCAGTGGGCAGTGCGACAACCGGTCTATCTGCGATGCTTTTTCCTTTGGCGCTCCCAAGTGCGGCTGATGCAAGTGCGAGGTGGAGAGAGGCTCTGGGCTGCTACCATGGTGGTTTATTAGTGCAACCTTGATAAATGACACCCAGCCCAGTACGTGTACACACTTGCATAGCTGTACTGGAATATCAGGAAATCGTCCAATGCCGACGTACGTGGGATGGTACTATGGTACTGCTCTGACTCGCCCTTCCAACTTTAAGCTTTGCCCACCAAGGCTGTGCTGGCGTGTTTATTGGGATGTGCAACAAGAGAATGACGAGGGGCTGTTGATAAGCTGGGTGAAATGGATTGACGAGGATGTCCCCTGGTGACAAGGAGTGCGGGAGTGCGGTTTTCTGACTGCGTTTTATGCGGGGGATCTGTCTGGTAGTGGGAGCCGCACCGTTGCAAGTTTGCAGACTGGTCCAGGTGTAGATTGCCAGGGAGAATCAGAGAATCGGAGCGACGAATTGGATGATCTCTCCAGCATACTACGATGGCGATAATGCCAAACAAACTACGGAAAGTCAGGTTACGGTAAATAGATGGTAGACAAATCCAATAGAAGTTGAGTTGCAAATCCTCGATTGCCAGGAGCATTGGAAGGGATAAAGTTGATGAGCATGGGAAGCTACGATGCACGAGCTAAGCCGCGAGTTCCGTCGGTCCATAATCTATCTCGTCGTCCTTCCTCAGTACTTCGCCAGCTACTTCATGTGGATAGCAGCATGCCCATCAACACTCGGGCAAGTAACAAACCAATTTGACTGTTCGCAACGCCCAATGACGGCTTCAGCTTTTGGTGTGAGTGGAAGTGCATCTGCACTTGCTGTGGCCGTCAAGGTCTACTTTCTTTGGTAAGGCAACCAAGCGACGTCAACATTGCGCCCGAAGTTCCGGCAGGCAAGCATGCGGCGCATATGTTCTTTAGGACATCGGAGTCCATCATTGTCTGTTTGGGTCCGCAGGCATGTCGAGCTTCCCAGACGGGACGATCCTACGGAAGTTTAGTACCCACGGGTGAATAATGGTTAGTTATAAATCAACAACTATTGCATGAAAACCTTCACTATTTCAGGATTATTTTGCAACTATCCCTCCCCAACGAACCCCTGCCACCCATGTTTGGGCTTTTGCGAAGTTGACCGGCCTAATCTAACAATCTGCAGAGTTGAAATCCTTCTACAGTAGTGGGCAACATGGGCAACATGGTTCCATTGACTCCAGAAACCCACCGTGCTACACATCACAGGAGTTAATAACAGCAGATTCCGTGGTTCCGTGACCAATTTACCTGAGTGAGTGCAGACAAGATTGCGTCTCAACAGCTTAAATTGTGGGTTCCTGTAAAATCCCAACGTCGAAAGTTAAGGTTCGTTCCGGTATTATTCTCATCTTGTGCTGCCAACTTGGAAGCTACAGGAGTTGGCAACGGGTTAGGCGGGGTGGATGCTGCTTCTGCAGATTGACAAGACACTCTCCACAGAGCCTACGATAGCTGCTTAAGTGCGGCCCGTATTGGCGGTGCATGACGTGGACCACCGACTCAAAACATACAGCCGCAATGCTTCTTGTTGATTCGAAAGGTTGTTTCTTGCTATACCCCGTCGGAGCATTACCCCATTGACGCCACCCAAAGCTGTTTCTTCAATGGTAAGTAAACCTCTGGGTACCACGGCTTTCAGATTGACGGTTTCGTGCGGTCCAAGGCATGCCATGCCAGCCCAACGGTCTGGGAGGCAACCCAAAGGCGGAACCGAGGTGGGCTTAAATTTTTGAATTGTCCAGGTGTCCAGACCGCCCTTGAGGACATTCGTTGATTCGGCAAAGCAAGGCAAAAGAGGGGAACCCATAACGGCCTGTCTGGGTAGTGCTAAGACGGAGGCTCGACGGGCTGCGGTGCGGGAGATATTCTGGACGTGGCCAAGCGGCTCAAGTTGCGACCATCCACCAGGGTCAGCATGGCCCAATGGCTGATGCGGCGAAATACCAACGGCTAATGAGACGCAGGCGGCGTGTGGGAAAGGGTAAGCGACGAGGAAACAGATTCGGGACTTGTGGAATACCTTTCATGGCCGCTGTCCTTGCTGTGGTTTCACGAGTTTCATCGTAGTTGGGTGGTATTGTTGTTCGCATCACTGTTGTGCTAGCATCTAAGTGGCTAGGAAAACGTGATCGACGGGCAGAGCTTCGCCTCACTAAGAGAGGCTAGAACGATATGAAGGCAGGGAGCCCTCCAGTGATTGGATGTTGGTGCAAGTGGTGCTCACTAGTCACCACACCGAACGTTTCTACTGGACCTGACTGGCCCGGATCTGCGAAGAGGATGTCGCTTCTCTCGCCTTGCTTTGACTTGAAACCATCAGGAGCACCGTCGAGCCGGGAGCAAGAAAGATAAGAAACTAAACCCAAGGGCACATTGCAAATTGTATGTGAACAGTCGATGTCGGACCCGACGGCAGCATGTGGCGATTGATATTGAGGCTTGAAGCGGCGGGCGGTTCAAGAATGGCAAAGTTCCCAATCAGACCTCAGCGTCAAATTGCAACTGCTGGGGGCGGCGGTATCGATTAGTGCCTGGCTCGGCGGGCAATCAAGTTGAAATCAGCCCGTCGCAACGTCGAGATATCAATATACCTTCGGTTACGCTTCCAATTGTTGCTGTACCTTCCTGTTGACTCACCTGCATGCATGGACTCTGCAACCTAGCGAAGGGCCTTCCAGATTTAAACAACACGTCGCGAGCTTGAGCGATATTCCGGTCTACGACCAAGACTGCTGCGATCTACGAAATGCTGTCGTGTCTCCTGTGCACTGGCTCCAGCATGTCGTCTCCAATTGATGGCGTCAGCGATTCGCTCGTACAACAGCGTCGCCTCTAGATTGATGTCGTTCGACTTGGAGGCGTCAAGAAACACAATCGTGGAACCTTCTTCGTCACTTCCATCTTCAGCCGCTTCGGCTGTAGGGTTGTAGTTGTGGATCCCCGCAGCGAGCCTCTTTCTGAGCCGCAGTGCCACGACAACCAACCTGTTGCAAAACACGCCCTGCTGCGTTTAGTCAATCAGATGCAACCTGCTAGTTCCTGTTCATGTCTCCGATATCGGGGCAAGCCTCCATGCAAGTCGGAACCGTTGAGTAGGTCGAATCGACTTGCGCCCCTTTGAAATGGCGTCACCGAAGACGTGAGATCGATAGGACACGTCTCTGTGACTTGTGTGACTGCAGTATCACATCTCTTCAAGTGCTTCGTTGCTTTGTACAACTAAAGCTATAGGCCCCAGATCATGAGGTAGACGGGGCGACTATCTGCTGGTCTCCCTTATCTACGCACTAACGCTGACGCCGCAGTATGCCAACAACATTCATGTGCCCTTGAGTAATCGTTAGACTTTGCCCGTGGAGGTCAGATAGCCGACTTGAATGATTGCTATGACGGTTTCGTGCTGCCGAACCGTGGAATAGCTCCACAATATCTCCAGGACTGGGTTTGCCGTAGGCTACATCGCAGTCACCCCTCTGTCGGTGTTGTTGACTTAGCTTCAAGTGAGTATATGCGTAATCACATCTCCAAGGCCTTTATTTGTGCATTTGCTTAATTGGGCAGCCAAAGTCAAGTTTTGCCGGCGCCGAAAGGTGGGTAATCAGCCACTTAGGTTGTAAGTGCTCCAAATCTCCAAGCACTGGAGATTGTGCATTTCCTGTATCTCCTCAGGGACACTGAAGGTACTTGCGATACACTTCGAAGTGTCAAACACGTTGAGACGAAAAAGTACTTCGAAAGGTATCAGTTCAGGTCTTGTTATTAGTATGACCTATGACGGTGCTACCCTATGTCCAAACGACGCTACAATGGTTCCGCATAATCCTTTGTAGCACACAATCCTGGTATTTCCCTCCTGGACGGGTCCTTCATCTACAGACTATCACGGGGTGCTCTCCTCAAGTCGAATATAATCTTGCGATGATACCTTGATAGGATCGTTCTGCTACCGAGACTGGAAAGAAAACATTCAGTACGGATTATGCATGAATCTGAACTGGATAAGGTGGACTAGTTCGTGGCGAGAAATGAGAGCTTGTTGGCTACCAAGGGGAAGGGGCATGGCTATGGCGTTCATCATAGTTTTCAGTCCATAAAGGGAAGTAACCTAGCTTCCGTTGTGTATGCGAGACGATCTGGGCCCTTAAGATTCCTTTCTTTCTTTTTTGCTTGTGCTGCAGGCCATCTTACATCAACCCCCCGTCCGCTATCAAGTCTATCTTCTGCTGGCCATCTCACTCATCTTTATCACCCTCGCACTTATGCTGGCGATTACCTCGATCAAGTGCTCTAGCATCCTCGAGTCCTACCAAAAGATGCACTAGGCCTTGGCCAGCCTTACAGTCAGCCTTGCGCAGTTGATCTAGCAACGTGGGGATCTAGACACTCGGCCCGTGGAAGGAACGACCTGCTGAAAATAGCAAGTCGTCTCAGAATACACACTGTATAAGGGCTGTTCGCAAATAAGTACAAAGCCATCGGGACCCGCACCGTCGTATGGAAGACACGGCACTTGTAGTTAAATTGAATGAATGGTCGGGATGCAGCTCTCATGGGGGGGCAGAGGCTGAGCAAAGAGGCGGATTGCCTTAATCTGTGAGCCAAACTGTACAAGTACCATGGCCAAAACTGTGAACCAATCTACAGGAATGATAAATATATCCTGTTGTAGCAATTTCATTGCGGGCCGATGTATTGATCTCGACGTGATGTTACTCTCCATTATCCATCGCTAGATTTGGTACTACCATATATTCTATGTGATGCTTGTGCAAATATATCCGCACGTGAATCGATGGACAAGATAGCATGAACAAGTAAAGCCTGTACAAGAAATCCAATGCTAACATACCTCAATAGGCAATACCTCCAGTAGGAAACTCACTAATCCGCAGCCCGGAGTTCAGCTACCCAGCTCCGTTAGTTTGGTGGCATGGGACCTTGGGTATATGGATACAACGACAAATCAAACGTGAATAGTGATATCTAGAACACCAGTACCACGTTGCAGGTAGCAAATAAAATAATTGGTATCATAGCCGGGAAGGAAGTCTAGCTGTATAATACTCGAGTCAAATGTGAATCCGTTGCAAAGCGCGAGATGCTCATGCTCGTCAGCCTCTAGCAATGGGCACTTGCCGTGTATCCCTCGCCAGCAGTCCCTTTCAAGCTTCTTCCGTGGTGCAGTTTGTCCTCGACCAGACTCTCACGTGTAGTCCCATGTACGCCCCACTGAGAAGCCGCAATATCCTGCATCTCTCCAAACCCGAGCATGGCCAAATCCAACGCGGTGAGCAGACTCTGTACTTTGTTAATGGTGGTCCGCATAGTCTAACCAGTATCGTCCGGTTGGCGGCTGCCAAGATTGCCGGCTCGTCCTGGACCGATTGCTCGTCAGGCACTGCGAAGAACTGGACTTAGTTGATGTGTTGCAACAATTCTTACCCCAACTGGCCGACGCAGGGGGAAGCGAGGAGCTGGGTAGGCGACTTCGATGCGATTGTGGGAGTTGACACAGAGCCGTTGACGGTGGTGACCAGAACAGAAGGAGAAGTCGCTATTAGATGCCAAGGCTCCGGCACTCTCCAGAATGTCTCTTTAGAACTTTCCGCAACCTTTGATGACAGATGTTAGAGGGAGTCTATACCAGATGTTTGGAGTCCGGTATGAAACTCACGGAAGTGGGCACGTCTACAGTGCAGTGGATTGGATACAGGCACATATTGGGCAAATTGGTTGGGGAAAATGGGGTGATTGCCAGGACCTGCAATTGTATGTTTGAAGTTCGATGCTTGTTGATCATGATGAAGTCGACGAAGCAAGTGCCGGGGCAATGTATTGGAGGTAAAGCCCCTAGCTTCGTTAAGGCTGTGGCCTAGAAAGCTAGAACCTTCGAGTATATCGTGACGGAGCCAGCTATCTCTCCTCGTTTCCGTGGCGTTCACCGTGCCGTTTTCAACTTATCTATAATCGGGTAAGACGTCCTAGACTACGGGTTGATCATGCTGATATTGTGCGAATGTAGGAGCACTGTGTATGACGCAGTTTCGCACCGTAAGAACCCTGACTCCCTACACGGCAAACCGCTTGCCAAGAAGCAAGACCTTCTCACAGTAGTCTTTGGACATTCTGTGTTGGCCATCCGAGGCATGATATGTCGACAACATCATGCCTGTGTCATCAGGCCGTCCAAGGCCGTAAGCTGTTGGACCAAATGAAGGTCCAGAAAATCATTTTCAAGCTGTAATGAAACCCCGTCGCCGAATACATTGAGCTGGACCAGGTTCATATTAATTCTGTCGAGGCTTCACGATACCGTCGTGTATAAAATAGTAGACAACCGTCGAGTCATCGTGAATTGTTGCCAGCAGCATTCGCTTTGGACGGGCTGGAGTTGAAGGTTGCAGCGAATCTAGTGAATCAAATACAGCCGCAAACTCCTTGAGTGTCAACTTCTCATTAAGATGCGTGGGCAGAACCCATTCCATAATTGGTGTCTCCTCGATCTCATTGATGGAGTGCGTTTTGAGCATCTCAATCTGATCGTCTGGATGTAGATACAGTCGACGAGGGGGGAGACCCGTAATCATAGGCCGCGGAAGAGCAGCGTTGTTGGCCGACTGAGAATGGGTTTCTAGGTTTGTCCAGTCGTGCTGGTTTTCGAGGTTCTCGTAAACTGCTGTGACCAATTCGTTGATGCGAACTTGATCGGCCATCATGCGTCGAACATCCGGCAGGGGAATGTGAAAATGCAACTGTGAATTATAGGCAATCTTGAAGAGTAGGGTTGATATGTGAGGGATGGGATCAATTTGTATTTCCGCATAGACAAGGGATGGTGCTTAAGATGAAGTCTGCTATTTGGTGAGATTCATCTGATACTTATCAAATGAAGGTGAATTTAGAACTGGGCCTTATTTGTGGAAGGCGGTGACTCCTGGCAATTCAAGCAGTAGTTTAAGCTTTGTTAGACTAGACAGCAGGCGCAAGGACTCCCCCTACAATATCATGCCTGCATTTTCAGATACATGCTTCATATATGAAAGTTCACACAGCTTCCCATCTGTACGATTTCGCCCAGTAATTTACAAGTCTATATAGTTTGGATGGTTTGAATGGTTCGAATAGCGAGAGTTCGAGCTCAGCGATGGGTTGGCAGCATCACTTCGCTCATGCGGGGGATTAAAGCGATTTGCTCGGTTCTTCTAGGTTCGATGCAAGAGCCTTGACAAGCAGATAGATATCTTCTAGTAACCGTGGTTCCTTGATGGACGGTGAAGTGGTGAGTGAAACCCTACGAAGTGGGACAGGTTGAGAGTCTCATTCGGAAACTAAAACCCCTAACGTACCCCACGGTCCAATTGAACACTTCTTAAGACCTCGTACAATAAGACATAAGTTAATTCAACTATAACGTAAAAAAATAATTAAAACTACTCGGAACTATCTTCTTCAGATATCTCTTTACTATTCTGACAAGTACGCATATTATGACCGGGCTCTCCGCACGTCCTACAGCGTTGCTGAAGTATCTCTGGCCTCCTCGTACGACTACGACTCCAGCGCGATTTATTATCTAACTCTCCGTTAACTAGCTTCTGAGACTGTAAATCTTCTCCAGCTTGTATACGAAGTGATCCTCCATACTGTAAACGTTTTTTTCTCGTATAACGCCGCCGGCTAAGTGTCTCATTTGCCTTTCGAAGCGCGGCGTTCTCACCCTCTAAAAGAGCAAGCCGGTGCATAACCTGCGTCGTACCCTTCGCAAACTGGTCAAGTGCAGTAAGTGTAGCTGTCGGAGAGCTATTTTGATGCCGTATAACTCGGGTTTTCACGTATTCGGTCTGGGATTGTGCCTCAATTGGGTTATTTGGGGTCTTCGACTCCCAGATAATAGGAAGGCCAGACGAGGTACCCGGAGGTGTTGGAGTATGTAACTTCACATCTAACTGTGAAATCACATATTCCGGATCGTACGGTACGAGTCCTGCCCTTCGGAAACCTCCTTGGATATTTGATATCGTAAAAGTTACCTGGAACGCTTTTAAGAACGCGGAGAGGAAGTCCTCCTTCGAGATATGGGTAATATGTGCCCGCATAAGATCCTCAATTTCTTTACCGTACGCTCTTTTCAGTGCACGAAAACAGCCGATATCGAGAGGTTGGAGCTTATGCGACGAATGAGCAGGCATACAGAGTGTGATAATAGAGTTCCCTTTACAGTAGAGCTCGAAAGCGGTCGAGTGGTGGCTCTCGTGGCCGTCGAGAATTAAGAGGCGATAAACACCTTTCGTACGAAGCTTTGTATGTTGATCGAAATGTCGAATCCAGTCCTCGCCTCTTTCATTTGTAGTCCAGCCATTTTTCGTAACCGCGATAACCCAATCCTTTGGTAGTAGGCTATTTTCGTACCACGAAGATAGGTGAGTTTTACCAGCAAAGATGATATACGGAGGGATAGTATAGCCGTCCGATCCGACGCCCTGGATAACTGTAACCCATTCCCTATTCCCTTGCTGTACTGCTCTAGGTCTTCCACGTCGATCAGAGGTCGTTACAACTATCTCGGATGAGATTTGACCCATAAGAAACCCAGTCTCGTCAAAATTATAGATATCCTCCTCTTGAATTCCATACTTATTAATTGTATTCCATACGAGATAAAACCACGCGCGGTACGCGTCGGGATCTTCGCAGAGGACTCTCTGGTAGTCGATTCTTCGATTAAAACGCGTCCGGAGGTCTGGTTGTCGTCGTACGAAGCTCGAAGCCCAGTTAATACCGACGCGTCCTGCGTCGCGTTGGTGATCGTATATCCTGTCGTGAAGTACCGCCGCGATATCGGTGACGTAAGGTTGTATGAGGGATATTATAGATCCGTGCTACGGATCGTACGCTTAGTTTGGGGTTATTTTGAAGCGCTTGAAGCGCTAATTGAATATCGCTTTCTTCCCAATTACGTGCCATTGTAGAAGGTGGAAAATAAGGGATAAAACCTAGGTTGTACGGAAATGCGCGAAAGTGTTCAATTGGACCGTGGGGTACGTTACATCATGATAAACGTTTCTAACTCGACACGCACGAAACACGGTAGCCGGCACCTTTATAAGCAAGCAGTGTAGATGAATCATCGTCATTTGATAGTCTGTCCATCGCATGGATATGGATCGTGCTCAATATGCTTCCAAAGGTGTTGAGAGCCAACTAACTAATCTCGATGCGACCTTTTCTGTCCATCTCCAAATTGGATCCCCGCGCGTACTCGCACCTTAGTATGGCCACCGCTCGCAGAGCTGATAATCGATTTCAACCAAGACTTGTACATAACGCAGCGGGATGACATCATTCCCGACAACATTTGGAATCTAAGGTTGGCACGGGCTTACCTTAGCTGCGATGCGCAATCATGTGTATGTTGATATGAGGAATCGTGACATTACAAACTCAATTCATCATTGGTGTTGAGTGTATGAAGCATATGCTTTTGGGGTGGATAGTCTGCATGCTGCACTTGAACAGTATACAAGTCGAGTTGGAGCTTATCATGGCTCACAACTCGAGGCACTACCTCGGTGGATTTGAATCCACTGCGAGAAGAAAATCCCCACTGGTCCTTACGTGTGACAGGCATCGAAAGAATCCGCGTATTCGTGAGGTCTATTAGCACTTCTACGCTAGACAAGTCGGCTCCGAGCCCGCGATGTATTTATACTTGTTAGGCAACGCAAAGGCTAAATGCGATGACGCGAGAAGTTGTAGCTTTTCATTTCCCGTTATGCAAAGTTCCCATTTGCAGCTTCAACTGCCGGTCTAAAAGTTAGTGTTGCCAGATAAAAAGACGGATTGAAACTGTGTGATGTTGTCATCGCGTTGTAGTCCCCTAGAGTCTGTAGTATCGACAGCCTGCTTTTGCGATCTAGACCTTTTCCCCGGAGTCTCCTATCACCCCCCGGCAGGCTCTGTGGATCTGACGTAGCCGGTATTTATGCACTACGGAGCCACCCCAGCAACACTTCTCGCTGGAAACAGCATCTTTCTGCAGTTCATCTCTCGTGCAACTCCACCCTGCTGACCACTTTTTTTCCACGTACAACGACTAATTTGCGGTCTTGACCTGCGATTTTGATGATACTCATTTTGTATGCATCGTTAGTTCGAGTAGAACATTTTCAGTTGAAACACACCAAGCTTGACGACACGGCCTGTGGAGAAGAACCACACCAATATCACCTCGTAGCGTCCGGGCCCTGAGCTGCCAACCAAGACACCTAGAGTTAGTACTAGCAGACAGCGCCACTGCCAAGCAACCTCAATCGGACACTTGCAATTTGGCGTGTGCTTTGCTCAAAAGCGCACCATCCCTCGACACCTCCCCGTACCTCACTATCATCAACATCAGCTACAGCTTCGGCTTTGCTACCAGCCTACTTCGCTTCGCATGAGCGCCGCATTCGACCTCTTCTCTTTGTCTGGATTATTATTGTATATCTTTTAGTTACGTGATTGTTGCATCCCGGGTCGTCGCCTGAATTTGTCGAAAACTCGTTTGGACCCAGCTTCTTTGCAGGCTTTGGCGACACACAACGACACACAACGACCACGGTATCCCAGCGACATTTGACAAACGCCACTGTACAGAAACCGACTTCCACGAAACCTCCCTGCGTACAGGCCGTCGACAGTCTTTGCCGTTCGACATGTCTTCAGATACGGCAGCTAGTTCGCCGACGAGGAAGCCGGCGCAGGACAGCATCATGACGGGAAACTCTGGGGTTACGGGCCCTTCGACAGCCGCGAATCCCGACGTGGAAGACCCGAATAAGCGTCAGGCTCAGGAAATTGTGGGAGGGACTGTGGCGGGAGGCGTCGCATCCGGAATTGAGAGAGCTCACGAATACTCAAACGGATACCACTTTCCACCGAAGTATTCGTGGCGCGAAATTATTGTGCATGGCTGCATCGATTTTTGGAACTTCTACAATACGGGTTTCGGCTTCTTCCTCACCATATACGCTCTGAATGTGGTCGCATGGGGTGGTATGCTGTTCCTGCTTCTGTGTGGTGCCGGGCCCGCCATGTGTAGGCAATCGAACGGTAATACCGATTGCAATGCAATCGATTCGCCAAGGCGGATCTGGATTGAGATCGATTCGCAGATTCTCAACGGCCTGTTCTGCGTCACTGGGTTTGGTCTTGCTCCATGGCGCATTCGCGACTTGGTTCTACTTCTCAAGTGGCGTGTGGGCAAAAATATGAACGCGCTGAGAGAACTTGCTGGTGTTCACCGGAATTGGTTTCGACTGGCAGGAGCCGAGAATCTCCCTAGCCACCTGGGGCCCAAGAATATTGAGGAGACGACTATCCAGTATCTGCCCGAGAGCGTGCCTTTGCCGCTGGAAGCAATTCCTGAAGCCCCGCCAACAGGAGAGCGAGCACCGCCAACGAAGCTGTGGAAGCTCGACTTCGTTGTCTGGAACAGCATAGCCAATACCATCCTCCAAATTTGTCTATCAACCTTCATGTGGGCATTGAACCGCTATGACCGACCTAGCTGGTCCACCGGGCTTTTTGTGTGTCTGGCATGCATTGTTGCGATACTGGCTGGTGTTGTGATGGGTGTGGAGGGCAAAAATGTGAAGAAGATTGAAGGTGTGTCTTTGACAAAGAGAGATCGCGAGCGTTTGGCGAGAGACCAAGAGTTGGGCATACCACACTGGAACAATATTAATGACAAGGACCCAAATGAGAAAAAGGCAAAGAATGACAAGAAGAAGAACGCATCGCTACATACGGAAAAGTCGAGGTAGTCTATACCCCTTCCAACACAGCTAGACCTTGCGAACAAGATATACGATTGTACAAAGGCAGTCTGAGCATGCGTAGAGCACAATAAATAATATTTGACGATATTCTAAGCACTTGGCGGATCAAGAGAGCTATCACGTTCTTCACACAAATGTGATCGAATTGATCAATGAGGATAGACCGCTGTGTTGAAGCTGTGTCATTGATGGTAGACGAATAGGCTGAGTACCCGTTAGGGCAGGTAGGGGGGTTTGCCTCTGTGTGTACGCTTCTAATAGTACATATAATGGACTGAACACTACGGCTATAAGTATATAAACTCCAAAATGCAAGGATTGATTTGAGCGAATGGTGACGTTCGGAAGGCGATGTAGTAATTCACGTGTCGTGGTTACAGCGAGTCATCCTGGGGTGCAACAGTGGTCAACTGTGGACTTACACCGCCGGGACTCAGGTAGGTCCGAATCATGCAATCGGCTAATGCGCCAGGCCCCGGCAGCTACATGGCTTGTGATCCTTGACCTCCGGTTTCGTATCTGAGGACCTCTTCCAGAGTTTCAATCTGTCTTCACTGTATTCCAATAGCAGACTGGACTTTCATGGTCATCATTGTGCATCCTTTATTCGGATCATCAAGCATCATCGGTAAATTGAGTGTCTCTACATCCTTAGGCGGTCTTATCCCTGGGCTGTGACGCAGCATCTCGGCGACCGCCACACCGCGCAGAACCCATCGCACCACCGCGATGCCTTCCAAAGCTCTTATCCCCTTTTTGGTGGGCATGATGCTGCTCACGGGAGTGTGCAATACGCTCCTGACGAAGTTTCAGGTACGTATACAGATTGATGCGCCTCCCCAAGTCAACATCCCAGGGTGACTAACCTCCAACCCCACCCAACGCAGGACAACCACTGCGTCCGCAACTGTGATGACCCCGACCCTAAGAAGCGCCACAACTTCGAGCAACCGGTGCTGCAGACGCTGCAAATGTTTATCGGCGAGACGGGGTGCTGGCTCGTGGTCGGCGCCATGTCTCTGTACCGAAAATACGCCAACAGGCGAAGCCCCGCTGAGAACGGATACAGCCCCCTCAACACCCAAGACCCGGTCGACGACGATTCGGACCACACGCTGACCAACAATGGAGCCCCCAAACCCCTATCGCATGAGCAGCAAGACGCCGGCGTGCTCAAGGGTGCGCGCATCTTGCTACTTGCTCTCCCGGCCATCTGCGACATCTGCGGCACTACGCTCATGAACGCTGGTCTCTTGATGGTGGCAGCTAGTATCTACCAGATGACTCGCGGTGCGCTGGTCCTGTTCGTCGGCCTATTCAGTGTTGTGTTTCTCCGCAGGAGACTGCACGCTTTCCAGTGGACCTCGCTCGTCGGTGTCGTTTTTGGGGTTGCCATCGTCGGGCTTGCGGGTGCCATCAGCCCCGATACCAAATCCAAAGCCACGTCTCTCACCGACCTGGCCAAGCGCATTGCCGAGGAGCCGGTGGTGTCGGACGCCGTGCGAGCCGTCGTTGGCGTCCTCCTGATTGCCGGTGCCCAGATCTTCACCGCGACGCAGTTCGTGCTCGAGGAGTGGATTCTGGAACGCTCGTCTATCGAGCCTCTAACCGTCGTCGGCTGGGAGGGCCTGTTTGGGCTTGTGGTCACGCTGATCGGCATGCTGCTTCTGCACTTCACCATCGGCCGGACTGAGAGCGGTCGGTTCGGCATCTTTGATATGGAGGAGGGTTTGCGACAGATGTTCGAGTACAAGACTGTGCTGGTGTCAAGTTTCCTCATCATGATCAGCATCGGGTAAGTTTCCCCCTCCACTGCTTTCGTTATACACTTGTACACGTCAACATACTAACCAATATCCTCAGCGGGTTCAACTTTTTTGGTCTCTCCGTCACCCGCAGTGTCAGTGCAACGTCGCGAAGCACCATTGACACGTGTCGTACCCTCTTCATCTGGATCGTCTCCCTCGGGCTTGGCTGGGAGTCGTTCAAGTGGCTGCAAGTCGTCGGTTTCGTTCTGCTGGTCTACTTCACGTTCCTGTTCAACGGCATTGTCCAGCCGCCTTTCAAGTTCCTCCGCGTTGAGGACGAAGAGGTCGAGGAGTTGCTCCCCGAGGAGCCCATTGAACACAACTAGAGGATAAATGACAATGGTGTTCATTTTGTACTGATCTTTCTTATTATATGGGTGGCTATGCTTGGTTTCGTTGCCTCTGCATGAGGGAGGATGGCTGTGGGTGCATTGGCTTGGGTTGGCGTTGGGTTTTGGCTGCTTTGACTCTATTACCAGACTTCTTGCGTCCGATAGAGGTTCATACACTCTATACCATATACAGTGCCCGTGTGCGCTGCAGTAGCAACTGGTAGACATACATTTAGGTAGACAGAGTTGACCTATCAATCGTATCAGTCCATCATTGTCGCAAGCCACTCATTGCAATCTCGTTCTGACGCTCAATGGCCAGTTGTTAATGTTGCCAAACCGTAAGAACCGAAAGCCAACAACTAGACTTAATATGCGCGCATGTTACTTATAAAAGACGTATTGCTCATTTCCTAGCAGGTATGTAAAGTATCAAGCTGATACTTAATAGTCAACCACCATGACTGTGAAACATAGTGTGAGAATCTCCTTAACGCCAGAACCAATCTCCATGTCCATGGCCCAGCCCAATCAATTCGGTTCAAACATGCTAACAGGTCTGGATCCGTAAAGGGTAAAACGCCCGTTCCAATGCAAATACCCATTATGCTGTGTAATCTGGGTGGGGCTAGGGGACGGACATTTTCTCTGTCTCACTGTCTCTGACTTTCTTCAGTCCTTCAACGCTCTAGCCGGACTACTCCAAGTGACGATGATTGATGGCCAACCAAGCGAACCACCCACCAGTTATCACTCATTTAACTGACGTTGCAGAGCAACTCGGCCTCGAGGATGAACTTGCCCTCTTTGTACTTCTCGCTCGACTCGTAGGCCTTGTCGTATTTCCAACCCACCGTCTCCTTACACTGCTTGCATTTGATGTCGCGTACAATGTGGCGGCCCGTCGTCATGGACCGCTCGATCGGATCCTCCGTCTCCACGTTGACTACCATGTTGAAGAGGTACGCCTTACCGTGTTGGCCTCGGAAGTTCTGATTGCCCGTGATATGTGTCAGCAGTCGTGAATTGTCTTCTAACTTGAATATGCTTGGAAGGAGAGACAGAGAGAGGGGAAGAGAAGTGGATATATGACCGGTCGGCTGCGTAGGCATGGTATAGGGAGCGATGGAACAGCTAATTCTACTCACGCGGCTGATGATGTCGTCATGGTTCGACAGGTGCGCCTTGCAGTTCTTACAGCCGTAGATTTTGTTGCTATTGAGATACGTATTGTATGCGAGACCCATCGTGGCAACCTGCGGTGGATGTTATGTGTGAAGGGTGGTTTGCCGGTGTTTTGGGATATTCGTCTCCTCAAGGGACGCTGGGCTTTTCGGCGATGGTATTCTGATCACGATGAGCTGGATCTCACCAAGGACGACAACACGTTGTCCGTCAACGGAGACTGTCGACGATGGTGGCTTGCGGTTTGGATTGAGGGGCTTCTCGAAGATAAAGATAGCGCTGAATATGGCCTAGATGAAAGGATCTCGTAAGGGGGGCTAAGGACTATTGCTAAAGTAGTTTACCGTTGCCTACCGAGTCCTCGAGATAAAGAAGCGGACCTCAAGCTTCAAACTACGCCGGGATAACGGGGTCTTGACCACAGCGAAAGCGAACGTCCGTCTCTGAACCCAACCAAACCGAAAGAACCGTGGTGAATGCGGTTGCCTTGTGCTCTCTTTCAAGAAGCCGACTGACTGACTCCAAGTCCAAGGTGAATTGGCTGCGGCAAGTCGATAAGGCTACCAATGCTGTTGTATTGTAGTAGGAAATGACAGCCCGTGGAGATGATGTTTAGAGTGTTCTCTCAATGGAGAGCAAGAGTGTGCCTGGAAGCCTTGTCAGCAGTGAGGGAAGGAGCGACGTTACGTCGCGCGGGGTCCGAGTGGATCAACATGATGGAAGGGCAGCGTAATTGCCCATGGGGTTTGGAAACATCGGAGCTGAGAGCTGCTGACGGACCGATTACCCGCCATTGGCAACTAAGTTGCTGAGTCGCTGAGAACTCCACTACAGGGTAGCTTCCCTCATACTAGTACCTGACTTTGATGGTAGATCCTGTGTCAGGCAATACAGGCAAAAAGAATTGAAAGTGGCAGTATTGATGATATTGCCCTCCGACGTGCAGTAGTAGGTTCAATTTTCGGTTTGAATTCGCAATGAAGGAAAGAAAGGACCCTGCGTCTCCTCAACCAGCCACCGCGAGATGCCCATCCATCCCAAGACTGATGAGGGAAACCCTCCAGACGAGCCACTGCCCTAAATGGATCGTCCCAGGACACATTAGATTATCGGGGAATAGCTGTGACACTACTGCAGAGCTCAGTGTTCTTTCAAAGGGATCATCATGCATGCAAGTTGAAACAAAACTTCCGACAAAGAAAGGACTGGGTTTTCCAGAACGTCCCCGTGGTACTATAGTCTGAGCGCATCGATCAACTGTCGATAAGATCGATCCGATAATTGCTGGAAATGGAGTTGATGGGGACATGGTCTACAAGTACCGTCAATGCAACTCGCGGAAAGTTGTTCGGGGATGAACCATGCAAGCATCGTATCAAGAGTCAGCGTTGAGTAAGACGTCACTTGAATCCATCACTCAGCTCAGGTGGAGCTGGGCAAACGTCAAGAGTGTCATTTAGCTAAAATAATACTCCAACATGCACAACAATGATTTCAAGGCGGGCCGGCGAAGCCGAAGTTTGGCATAGGTCATGCGTTGAGATCTGCATTCATCATGATACGCCCTCGGTAGGACGGCCAAGTCGCCGCCGTCATGCTTCTATCCAGTTTGAATGAAGGAAGAGGGAAAGAAAAAAAAGGGGGATAATCATGTACAGCAGGATTTGACTGGGCGGTCTCTTATTAGACCAGAAGAATATGCACAGGGGAATAAAGGTGGTGTAGAAAAGTAGAAGAATAAGAAGACGAGCACATCGCGAGGTGCCCGGTTGCAAATGCACCCCCCCCAACCATGGACAAAATGACTCCGTAGCAGTTTTTCAACACCTAGACCACTCATTACCATGAGAAAGCCTCATCAACGAAATCAACGTGGCCATTATACTGTTTTCTGCGCACAGCTTGGCGCACCTCGTCAGAGAGACCACCAGGCCCACAGACGGAGACGCCCATGGCGCCGATGTGCTGCTCCATCTCAATGCCTATGAGGGTCTCGATGTTGGGCCGGCCGGGGAACATTTGAACGGTTGATGACGGGCTGTGAATCTCCTTGGTCGAGCGTGGCCTGCTAACGAAAAGCATGATGCGCAGACACTCCCGTCGCTTGTCCATGGCTAAGATCTCCGTCATCCACGGCCGAATCCACTCGAGATGTTCAGGGCTTTGGATGATCCAAACCAAGATGATCTTGCGGGTGGCCACGGTGCCGTTAGCGTAACCGGCAACGAGGTCACGTACGTGGGGTACTTGGTGAGTGATACCCACACCGCCGGCAAATAGCATCACGGTACCGTACGAGTGCATCTTGTGCACACCTCCATAGGGGCCCTCCACAAAGCAAGTCGTCCATAATCGACCCTCCGGCTGTGATGCAGCCCGTTGATAAAGGGTGTCGGTTGCGCCGGTGCGAGCACGAATGACGTAAGACATGGTGGTCTTGCGCATTGCGAGAACGTCCTGTCGATTCATAGCCAGTTTCTCTCCGTTCAAGTCCTCTGCCTCCTCGCTCCAAGCCAGTGAGAATGGATGCGACTGCCAGAGGCTGATCGTCGGCAGGTACAGGTAAGCATGCTGTCCGGGCTTGAAGGTCCACGGCCGAGCCATGGTGACGGTAACACGACATGCGTTGCCCGGCAGAGCCTCTACCAAAGTCTTGGTTCCTCCGCAGCCGAAATTATGCCATGCGATGCGCGTGAAGCGGGCAAGTCTATCAGCAATCCAGATGGGGATCACGGGGATCAGCCACTTCAGTTGCGGCAAATCCTTCAGGTTCAAATGGTAGTAAAGGCCAGCAACGGCGAGGGCAGCAAGTCCGATGTGCATAATCTTGAATGTCTCGTAGAAAGCGTGTCTAGAGATGCTCGCTGCTTGAATTGTGAGAGCAACAAAGGCGCACGTGGCCTAATTCTTATCAGCACGCGTCAACTGGCACATACATTACCTTCTTCAACTTACAATGAATCCCCACATGAGGTATGGCACAGCTAAAGAACCTCGAACCGCAACATCCCAGCCCTTTGCCTGAGCAGAAACGGCATAGAACGCGAGAGTATGGCACAGGGCCTCCGCAGCAACAATCCGCCCGAACCAGCGGTGCAGAAGGTTGAAAGTGTCGAAGGAGATGCCAAGCCAGTTGATCAGCGGGTTATTCCTGCCGGCCATGATAAAGAGAGGGATCTGCAGAGAATCAGTGAACCATCCCACTACTGCACATCAAGAGTGGCGAGTGCTGCCAGTGCAAGTACGCACCATGTTTACTGTAGCCAACGTTCCACTGCGATTTCGCAACTGCCTGCCGGCATCAGAGAAGGATCCTGCGAAAGGGATGTTGATAACACAGAAGGCCACGTTGGTTGCCAGGTATCCGAGGAGGAAAAGGAGTTGTAGGCGGGTCGGTAGCGTGCCCATATTGGCCACACTGCTCAATTGGAACTCTCGGTTTCGCCGCTTGCTGAAAATGGGCGAGTATAGAATGTTTCTCTTGAACCAGGAAACCTTGGTGGACGGGTATGCGAAGTATCGTTGTGTGTCATTCGTAAGACAAGCAACCATCCGCACGTAGGTGACAATAACATGTGTCACCCGCCAGACGATCAAGACCACCGCTAGGGAACCACAGATGACGAGAAGATAGTTCGAAAGGGCCTCGTTCTCCATATCGGGTGTCCAGCCGGAAGCATCCCCAGTCCCTGCCTCAGTAGCTGCAGTCGCTCCTCCTCCGCCTTCCGCCCGAATACTGTGAGAAGCCATTTTGATATTTCGATGTTGTATAAAAGAGCGTATATCCATAATATCGGTCTAAGTCTAGTCTCGGGGACTGGTCCAAAGAAAACACAAGACCTGCCGGTCTTGCAGATTGTGAACAGGGTGGTCGAAGGGTTAAAAACAGCCCATGAGGATTGTACCGCAAGTTGCCGTCTTACAATGGTCACCAAGCCAACAAAGATCAACTTCAATTGGCAGTCAGTCTGGGGGTGTTCTTAAACAAGTGACAGCCGGCTGTTGGAAAAGGGCAGAACAGTGAACCGAGTCTTCGTCACACGTCAGGTCGAATTGTCGAGAAAGCGGGTGACGCAACGAGGGAGATTCGGTAGACAAATAAGTCAAAGGTGAACAGGCGCAGTTCGGCTCGAGCCGAAGGTAAATGAGAGATATGGAGGTGGAATGAAGACGGCCACGTAAAAGATTGCAAGTCAAGAGCACGAACAGGGAGTTCGTCTCGAAAGAATGAAGCAAAAGAAGCTAGCACTACTAGATGGCGCTGGAAAAGTGTATGTTCAGTACGACCGGCAACGAAGAAAGTAGATCGCAATATAACCAAATATAAGGCGGGAGGCGGTGCCAGAGATATAATAGGAAGCAACCAAATAGTCCATACAATTGGATCAAAAGGGTCCGCCGCCAATGGTACGAACGCTAAGACGGTGCTGTCTGTCCCTTGCACTCTAATCGGGTAGCATCCATGATCCAGGCGCCCAGGCCGGATGCTGGTATGGTGCACGGTCCATCTCTCTTGGAGATCCCAGCGGTTCGGGGCTGTGGGAGGGGGTTTTCTACATGCCACGACTCGAGACTCAGCCAATTTTGGAAGCTGACCAGGTAGCGAGCGCATTCTCTGCCCAGTGGCTTGCGACGATTGCCAATGCCGTTCAATCAGAAACTGCAGGATTTGATGATTTCGTTCGTACCTGCTGTGGATTATGCAAGGTACGGTCAGCGGTCAGCCAGCGGGCGGCCCCCCATTGTACGTCGTAGGCAGGTCTTCAGAGCGCCTCAATTAGTTGCAGATCATTCGGGCTCCATCAGGAAGATTGGGGAAGTCCTTGGATTCCTGGTAACAGGGCAGTTCCTGCGATAGATGACGAGGCAGTTTCTCAACGAACAAGGTCCAGCGCAATGCCCTAGGCAGCCCTTGGTCGCTCGAGAGCCAGTTGTCAATGCGTCGGTCTAGGTAGCACGCGTGGCCGATGTTTGGCCCTATCAATGTCGTTTGACCTCGCACGAATATTGAGCACGTCTTTGGGGCGGGTCGGGTTTTCTGAAACGACACCGTCTTGTCGGAGGACCAATCACGGCTCAGAATTAACTAGCAGGCCGCAGGTCGTCGGTTGTGGACCTGGGATTTCGTCGTTTTTTGTCGCTTGGTAACTATGTCGACCTTGGCTGATCGGTTCTTCTCTGCCCCTTGCACCTGCCAATGCCAGTGCAGAATTGGCATTGGAGCAGGAAATCCCCCACACGTGCAGACAACGCGAGGGAGACCCCTGACGAACATCTTCATCGATTGATTAATTCATTGGATATGGCCGCAGGCATGCTAATTCCACGGTAGTTGCATATGATAACTACATTATTCACCGAGCGGAACTTGTCTTCCCATTTAACATTGGCAGACGGTCTAAACAGCAGAGCTCCGTCCGCTTAAACTTTACTGGAATAACTCACTCTCAAACGTCTTCGGATTGCATTCGCATTCTACGATTTTTCTTAACTATGCGGCATTAGCAGTGATGAGTGGTCGGGTTCCCACCACAGGAAATCCTAGAAATCTTCTGTGCTGAGATCTGATCAATGATCAGCCCGATACCACAGATCATGTGGCCTCATCGCACGTCGAGTGTCCGTCCGATTCCAGATTCGGACTACGTACGTCATATGTTGCACCTTGAAACAGCTTTCTCAGCCGTTCCGCTTTTTTCGTAAAATGCAGTAGGCGGCAACTACGAGCGCCACCAGTCGGTCGATATCGTACGGCAGCTCGAATCAAGTATGATTGGCCCCCAATGAGGAAGATAGCTTCAAAGGTCTGGAAACAACCACACCACTAAACCTAGCTGATCACAGCATATTGCCTACCTGACTCATCTAAGTCAAACATTTTGTGCGAACACTTAAATTTGACATCTTGAGAGGAGCCGCTCAGTTGTGTGCCACTCGAATGATTTCACAATTCCCCGCATTCCTCAACCGGTATAAGAAGACTTTTCGGTCAAGATGCATGCTCCGATGGTGCGGTAGGCTGGGCGGATAGATATCCGCATCGCACCGCCGAAGGATCTGCGATGTTGGCTCGCTGGTATTCACGAAAACAATATGCTTGTCTAGTCGCACCGTCTCAAGTTACCCGACGACTAAACCTCGTTACTTGCAACTATCCAGGTGTCAAGTATCTCAACTCACGATTCAATATAAATGACTGACCGACGTGACTTGAACTTGGAGGCCCTGGGAAAGGCTTACGTGGTACGCCTCTCTCATGTTGTGTGGAGAAACCTCGTCATAATCTTCGTATCCACCCTGAGCAAGGTGCGGCTGTAAAAAGCTCGGTTTGGAAATGGCTCCGACTTCGACGACGTCGCCCGAGCCGACGTAAGTGTGGAATAAAGTGCTTTTCGTTCTTCAGACTTGGCCCCCGGCAGAGCGAGAGATTGATTGTGGAAGTTGCAGCAGATCCCACCTGCGCATTCTTATTGCAAATCTACAACTACGAAGTGACCGCCGACCCGTATACGTACTCCAGGATTTTGATATCACAATAGGGGCCGTTCATCCGTGCCACACGAAACCTGAGCTAGTTCCCGAAGAAATTGAGGCTTCCTAGAAATAGCGGGCGGACGGGGGAGAGGTGAGTTGACGATCCGGGCTACCCTATCCGAAAATCAACGTCCGTCCGTCTTCGAGATCCTTCTAGCTGCGATACGCCTTATCTTGATTTTCGATAACCCGGCGTAAATCATGCCATGCAAACTCATGTCAACGGTCTCAAGGGAGGCAGGCAGGTTGAAACAAGAAAACTCGAGGCATAACGTTTCATGTCTTGAACGTTGCAACCGCAACCAACAGAAGAGACGAACCAGAGAAGTTTTCTGTCTGCTTCCACGCCCACTTCCCGAGCCCACTTCCCGATGTGGAATCAATCCGTTTTCTTGAACTGCTGCTTTTCTTTTGCGTGAGATAGCGGAGCAGAATCTAACGTTGTTTTATGATTGACTAGCATCTTGGTTATTTGCAAAATGTTAACCGGACACGTCCGAAGATAAATCAACGTGTGGGCGGGTATCGTTGACCAAGTTGTCGCTGTTACTTTCCATCCAACACTCCTGACACTCGGCATAAAGCGCCTCGTAAATCGTGTATCCTATAACTTCGTCCAGTGTCCATCGCCCTTCACAGTGTTTCGTCGTACACCCGAAACCTGTTGATTGGCAAATCTCGGCAGATGTGACACCCAGTCTCTGTCGTACTGAATGGGAGACCTGAGCGAACTCCAAGTTATAATGTGCATCCTTTGAGAAGGTTTGCCTTTAACAGGCTTGGAATGCTCCAGTCACGCCAGTCAAGTGCCGGCCTAGCCAAGATGTTATATGCTTTATTGGCCACTCCAAATACCATTGATCAGATCTCCGTAGCGGTGATGTGCTTTCATATTCCAAGCTCATCATCGCTATGATGTCCTCCTGATATTCGTACACGCCGCTTCACGCCCAGCGGGATTCCCTTTCGAGTGCGCCGTTGTGGATTCCACGATGTTCCATATTGGTTCTCTTTATCGCCGCATAGCTCGTCTCGACTTGTAGAGGTCGTTTTTGAAATATCACAAGTGCCTAGTTTCCCAGTTGGGCAGTATAGAATAGTAGATGACTCGTAGATGGGTTGGCGTGGACAAGCTGTAGGGCCGATATGTCCAGTCTCGTTCGACGCTTTTCCTATTTCGACATCGCCAACCTGGATAGTGTCCATATTTGGCGCATGACCTGCGACGGTATACATCATGCCGCTTGATCGAGTGGGTGTCCGAGTGGGTGTCCGAGTGGGGGGCGTTTCCGTGTTAGTTGACGACTCGGCCCTATCTGTTCGATCGTTTGATGCCGTCGTCGTTGTCGTTGTCGTTGTCGTCGTTGTTGTTGTTGTTGTTGCTGATGACCTCAGGGAGCGCCTCCGGGTTGGCTTCTTTGCCACGGTAGGGCTGACGGTCACCCACTCGCCGATTGTATCTTCCCATCGATAGCCCACAAAAATAATGTCTGTTTGGCAGGCACGCTGAGGGCTGTTTAGGACATTCACTCGGTTTGAAGCTAGCTTTTCGGCGTAGATGAAATCGCGGACGTTGTTTGTTTGCTGAGCGAGGGAAAAGGCTGCGGCGCTTTTGATGCCATTAAGCATGTTGCCTGATATTCCTAGAGTGCCCAGGCGCCTGCAGAGAGTCTCAAGATAGTCGTGAGATGTTTGGGAAGCCCCGCGGCTACAAATCTTAGCTACTGAGGATAGGAGTGACACCATGGCGTGGTGTCGTGTTCGGGGTATCTTGTTTCGCGTTTCGAAGCTGCCAAGTGTTTCGATGGCATCCCTACTACAAGAGGAAGCTTGCTCGCGATGAGATGTAGTCGATGATAGGAAGGTTGCCAAGCTCAGCAAGTCTCCTCTGACCCTATCCCGCCGACGTTTCCAAGGTTGGACCTCAACAACAGAGGCCTGCAGGGTATAAGCTAAAGCTCGACTGATGCGTGCTATATTCTTGAGATTTGTTTGTGAGCTGGCGCTGGTCTGTAACGCCTCCTCGCCCAGAACGCCCATTGCTGATAGAATAGCCAATGCACTCGTCAGAGTATGTTGACTGGCAGACGATATGTCCTTCTCCAAGCCTTGCTGTTCACCCCTGTGGAAGGGAGAACGCTTCAAACACAGTAAGGAGATGGAGGTGGCCAAGAAGTCGACCGCGTCAACGACCGCCGCGTCTCGTGATATGGATCGATTTGCTAAGGCCCAGACTCGCTCAAACTCACCGGTGGCCAGCCATTCCACTGGAAGACAGCCATTCATTAACAGCTGCGCATACTGTCTGAGGAGAAAAGCTGACCGGCCCGTCTTACTTTCGAGCTCCCGGAGGTACAACAGCGGATACAATGCCTTGTCCTCTGCGAATGTAGCTTCGGGACTTGACGGGTTAGGATACCGACGGTTAATAAACACGCTGATGAGGTCGTCAACCTCGGCAGCTGCTCCGCATTCGGTGCAGAGGTCGGTGAGCAACATGGTGAACTCATCGCTGAAGAGTCCTTCGGCCACCGCAGTCTTGACAGCATTAAGGCCATCAGCCCTCACGACAGTCCTAAGCTGCCTCCATCCGTGACTCGATGCACCGAGGGATTCAAGTTTGGTGTAGATCTGGAAAGACGCGTTTGCATCCTCGATCATCGACTTGGTGTTGTTCTTCTCTGCCTCTGCCGCCTCCCATGCTTCTACGCCCATAATGTACTGAGGCAGCCGCCGCAGGCATATATCCAGAAAAACCGAGGCGCCATGCCTTTCTCTCGGCTCTCGCTGGGTGGCTTTGAGTAACGCTTCCAGGCCCCTGAATATTGACTCGTAGTCGTTGTACCTCGCCGGCGAGAGCTCAGAACGCAATGATGTGAGGCGTTGCTCGAGGGCAACAAGTCCATTTCCATTTCCGGCCCTGCCGCATCTTCCAGTGGGATGTTGCGGTCTGACAGTCTCTGGTGCTTGCGTAGGAGATGACATATGGTGACCTCTTGCCCGGCGAAGTAGTGGAGTGAAAGCTACTATTTCTCCAGGGACAACATTTGCGGCAGCATGTTGCAAATCCTTCGCAATCTTGAACCTCCCCACATCTGGTTCTATGCTCATTGATCCACAAGCCGGTCGATCTGGACCTTTTTGAGAATATGTGCGTCGAACCTTTTTCTGAGGAAGCAGCCAAGCGCAGTCTGGAGCTTGCCTTTTCCTCTGGGCTCTGTCAGAATTACCAATGATCTCCAAAGGCTGATTGGATAGTGCTGTTAGGTCCTTTCTGAGCGAAGCGATTCGTGATACCAACGGCCGAAGCAAGCGATGACAGCGCGAGGCAGTCCAACGGTCTCCTCGATCCAGCTCTTTAGCCACGCGGACGCGTGACCAATGCGGTGTCGGGTCGGGTTCCATAGCTATAAGTAATGCTTAGCAATAATGTAGGGCAAATATGCATGCAATAGTAGCGTCTCATAGGCCCGAGACTACATATATGTAAAGCAAAGCTGCGAAGGTCAATGTTGAATAAGCATGTCCTTTGTCATCAACAAAAGCAACTGCGGCGGGAATGCAGAAGCAATGTGATTCAACGATCTGTCATAGCAGTCGATGCATCACTGCTGCTGCTGCTGTTGTAATCGACGATGAATGGAAGATAATACTCTCGGAGATGCGATGATTACAATAAATTGGTGTTGATCGGATCTTTGTTTACTTCCTATTGGGCCTGGTGGAGTTTGGACTCTGAAAGCTCCCACTCCTGTAGCCAATCATAGAATACCAATGCTCCAATTCGACCCGACAGTTTTATGCATTCTGACAGGGTTCAAAATTGATCAAATGCGTCCAACAGATAAATCATGACTGCTGGGTTAATGGATTAATGACTAAGGGGCTTGAAGCGACAAGATATGTGCATGCGAAATGCGTGTCTAAACATCTAAACATGTGAAGAGACACCATTCTACTGGTCGACCACCGTCATCAAGCCTTCCTTCTCATTGAACACTAACGTTGCAAAAGAATTCCTTAAGGTTCTTATTCTGCATTAAACGATCGGTTTAGCCCCTTTAAGCAAGACTCTCCGCATTTCCCGGGGACTAGCCGGGTACCGGGCGTCACCGGGATTCGATGATCTGAGCTTTAGCAACTTTTTTTCTCCAAATGCTTCATAAAAAATTATCTTCTGGGGTGTTTCTGTGTGCAATAGTATATGACCTCCAATTGCATTGCCGCTCCTTCTACTCACCTGTACAATACTTGTGCGTATACTCCTTTAAACTTTTCTTCGCATCTCTGCTTACCTTGACGGCCACTCTAGCGTCGTTGCAGCGGTATTCTGCCTCTACACAGCCACGGGCTTGTACATCACCCACCAACCACCACCTCGAGCTCTCCTCCTCCGCAGACCCGCATAATGGCCGACAAGCAAGAGAGTACTTCGGCAGCTGTTGGTATGCATCCCTCGAGTTCCCAGGTCAACGCACGAGTATGCAACTTACACTGCTCGTATTAAAGCTGAGGCTTCCGCGACGAGCCAGGAAGTAAAGACCAATGGCCAGGCCACCGAAGCCCCCGATTCGACCGAGTCGAAGGCTGAGACGGCCGATGAGGAAGGCGAGCAAGAAGGCATCGACGGTAGGTACCCCCATCTACTCTCGTCGCTCAAGAGCGTTTGCTGATAGTCCGCCAGCTCTGTTCCCCGTGACGATTCTCCTACCGCACGAGCCGAACAAGCTTCACATCATGGTTGGCCATCCCACAGTAGAGCCGCCAATCTACCGATAGTGCTGAGTCTTCCTTTACAGGTCTCTTCCCAAGAGCAAGTCCATGAACTACGCCAATCCATTATCGAAATGCCCGCCGCATTTCAGTACTCCTGCTTTCACCTTGAACACGCCGGCGAGCGTATCAATGACTTCATCCAGGTGTCGGATATCAAAGGTGTGGGGCCAGAGTCAGAAATCCGGCTGGTAGAGGACCCTTACACAGAAAAGGAGGCGCGGATACATGTTATCCGGACGCGTGACTTAATCGGCGCCGCTGGAGATCGCACCGATACCCTACACGGGGTTCTGCACGGCATCTCCCTTTTCGATAACGTTACCGCTGCGTCGAAGGATGGCGATAATGTACAGGCGAGTGTCTACGAATTTGACGCCCCGGCGAACCCATCGGCAGCTTTGTTGCCCAAGGAGGAGGAGCCTGCGCCCAAAACAGTCAAGTCTATCGCACTGTCCCCATGGAACCCTCCCCCGTACCATCTCCGACAAAAAGGCCACTTGCTGTATCTGCTTGTGACTACCAACGAAGGCGAGCAATACCAAATCACATCACATGTAGGCGGTTTTTACGTAAATAAGTCGTCTAACCAAAAGTTTGATCCTTTGCCACGGGCGGCTCCCAAGGGTCACTCGGCCCATTCCCTCTTGAAATTGATGAAGCAGATCTCTCCCTCCTTCACCGAGTCGTTTGACAAGCTGCTCCAATGGAGTAGTCAAAGGGACCCAATGGCAACGTTCCAGATGACAAATGCTATCCCGGCTGCGCCGTGGTTGGTCCCATCATCATCATCGGCGTTGACCCAACATAGCTCAGATATCACGCGAACCCAGGAAGGCTACTTGATCTCTGGCGTGGACAACACCGACACTCTTCGAGATTGGAACGAAGAGTTCCAATCGGCTCGTGAGCTGCCCAAGGAGACGGTGCAGGATCGGGTGTTCCGAGAGAGGTTTATGTCCAAGTTGTTTGCCGACTATGCTGATGCTGCTGCCCGGGGAGCCATACTTGTTGCCCGTGGCGAAGTTACCCCCCTTAACCCAACTGAAGAACGGGACGCACAGATTTACGTGTACAACAACGTCTTCTTCTCATTCGGCGCCGACGGTGTGGGCACTTTCACGACCGAAGGTGGCGATGATGCCGCCAGGATCGCGACGGGCAAGGATGTGAATGGAGTGCGGTTGGTCAATCAGTTCGACATCGACGGGCTGTACAGCCCCGCTACCGTGGTGGTTGACTATCTCGGAAAGCGGATTGTTGGTCAGACGGTAGTCCCGGGTATCTTCAAGCAGAGAGAACCCGGTGAGAACTCGATCGACTACGGCGCCGTGGAGGGTAAGGATATTGTCGCAGCCGATGAACGATTCGTGGACACTTTTGCAAAGTTGTCCAAGGCTCTGAAAGTCAAGAAACATCCTGTCTGGGACAAGGACGGCAAGCGATTTGACTTGGAAGCAAGCGTAGAGACCAAGGGTTTGATGGGCACAGATGGGCGCAAGTACGTGCTGGATCTGTACCGCATCACGCCCCTGGACATCTCATGGATGGAGGAAGTTGGATCCACTGGGTACGAGGAGCAGAAAGACTCGGATTACCCCCATCGGATGACAGTTCTGCGACCAGAACTCGTCGAGTCCCTCAGGGCGCAAAAGTGGGCCGAATGGGTCAACGCCGAGTTGGCCAAACGTCAGAAGCAGCTGTCCGATACTAAGGCTCAGTCAAAGGACGAGGCGTCTGAGAAGAAGCCTGCGGATGCGTCTGAGAAGGAATCCGAGGACAAGCCTGAAGTTGCCATTACGGAGCAGACGGAAACCACTGGGACCGAAGGGGAGAACCCGAGTGAATCCAAGGAAGATGAAGGTGCTGAGGCAGAAGTCGAGAACCGTATCGACGCCTCTGCATTCCAGTTCGCTCTGAACCCAGATGCCTTCAGCGGACAGGTACCCCAGACCGATGCCGAAAAGGAGGAACTGGCCGCTGATGAGCAGGATGTGCGAAATGCATGCACCTACCTTCGCGATTCCGTCATCCCCGAGTTTGTTAACGACATCAAGAACTCAGACCAACCCTTCCCTATGGACGGACAATCCCTGACTCGCATGATGCATAAGCGCGGTATCAACGTTCGTTACCTCCCCAAGGTCATGGCCACCTGCGACGGTCCCAGACTTCAGCCGCTGCGGGATCTGTGCATACAGGAAATGGTTTCACGGTCATTCAAGCACGTTGCCGGCAAGTATCTGCGCTATCTTCCAATGCCGCTGACCTCTACATGCATTGCGCATCTTCTCAACTGTCTGCTGGGCTTCGGGCTGAACCCCAAACCTAGTGCAGAGGTCGATGAGTCGATGAAGGCGTTGTACCCCGAGGCAGATTTGGCTTTCACAGACACCACGCCTGAAAGTTTGCGAGCGGAGATGGAAGAGCAAATTGCGCGTCGCTTCAGGTTCACTCTGGAATCCGACTGGCACACGCGCATCAAGCATTTGCAACTCCTCCGTGAGGTGTCGTTGAAGCTTGGTCTTCAGGTGCAGTACAAGGACTTCCAATTTAATGCCGAGCAGAGCAAACCCGAGGCTGCCAAGGTTGCAGCCAACGGAACTGGTAATGGCGTTAACGGTCATGCGAGCGGCGAAAGCAAGAAGAAGAAGAAGAAGGCAAGAGATGGATCTCCAGCTTCCGTCGCCTCGTCGACAAATGCGCTTTGCACCTTCACTGCGGATGATATTGTCAACGTAGTGCCCATCGTCAAGGACTCGGCACCGAGAAGCGCTATCTCTGAGGAAGCCCTCGAGGGCGGCCGTCACTCTATCATGCAGAACAATCGAAAGATCGGCCAAGAACTTCTGCTCGAGTCCCTGAGTCTCCATGAGCAAATCTATGGCATCCTGCACCCCGAGGTTGCCCGAGCCTACTCGAACCTGGCGCAGATATACTATCAGCTGGAGGAGAAGGAAGCAGCCGTGGATCTGGCCCGCAAGGCCATCATTGTGTCAGAGCGCGCCATCGGTGTCGACTCTGCCGAGACGCTGAGCTTTTACCTGAACCTGAGTCTATTTGTGCACGGATCAGGTGATAGCAAGACAGCTTTGTCCTACATCAAGCACGCGCTCGATCTGTGGAAGGTGATTTACGGCCCCGATCACCCCGATTCCATCACCACGCTCAACAACGCTGCTGTGATGCTGCAGCACATGCAAGCCTACCACGAGTCGCGGCTCTGGTTCGAGCAAGCACTGGGCGTCTGCGAGCGTGTCATGGGCAAGAACAGCTTGAGCGCGGCCAGCCTACTCTTCCAACTGGCGCAGGCGCTTGCCCTGGATAACGAGTCCAAGGCGGCACTGGGTAAGATGCGCGAGTGCTACAACATTTTCAAAGATACGCTGGGGCCCGACAATAACAACACCAAGGAAGCCGAGAGCTGGCTTGAGCAGCTGACGCAAAATGCCGTGAATATAGCGAAGCGCGACAAGGACGCTCAGCAGCGCCGCCTGCGGGCTGGTATCCGCTTCCCGACGCGCAACATGGCTCTCGGTGCGGGTACTGGCACAGTGGAGCCAGCGCAGCCCCGAGGGGGCAAGACGCCGGCCATCGATTCTCGGAGCATCGATGACTTGATCAAGTTTATCGAGGGAAGCGACAACCAGAACAAAAGCACCAAGAAGCGTGCGACTCGGGGCCCGAAAACTAGGATCAGTGGCTCCAACTGAGGGTGCTTGGCACGCGTTTTAACGAAGACGCATGAATAATATGATCTCGGACGTATGGAAACTTGGCGGTTGCGAATAGACGGCGGGCGACGGGGTTGCATTGTATGATATTTTGTTATTGTGCATGTAAGCAAGTCCCCGAGGCAGCTCACAAAGCCTACTCGGGCTCTTCCATCGGCTGGGCACGGCGCTGGAGAAGCATCACATAGACTGAGCCAGGAGGTGGTTACATTGGTTTGGGTGGTGCATGGGGTGGGGGGGCCGAAGCAAACTTGTGGCTATCATTCGCATCCCGGTCTATGCCGCGTGTATATATAGATGATTCTCGCCGCTTTCTCGACTACTGGCCGAGGTCAGGATGGTCGGTTCGAAGTACATACAAGACATCTTCACTCTAGTTCTGTTGAACCAGGCGATGCAATTCAATGCAACTAGTTATGCATGTGGGGTGCCCGCGGCTTGCAATCAAGGGAGGTGGAGACTCGATATTCCTTTTCCACCATAGTCAAGTACATAGCCACTGGGCAGCATCCATTCTCAAATCACGACAGCCAACCACAACACGAAGTTGGTTATGCAGTAGCAAGCAGTCATATCCAATCCGGCACGTCTATCGAACCATGCATACGACCACTTTCCATCACATACCACGCCGCGGGACGACGGCAGCATTCCGCTGAAGATTCTCTGTCTCTTCCTCTACCTTTACCTACTAACCACTTCGGTTGCCTGCGGCGTCGCGTTGGGTTGCATCAGGTCTGAAAGTCAGAAGTACGAAGGACCAATACACTTGTGAGCCTGGTCGCAAGAAGCCCGCGCCGACGTCATGCGCTTTGGGCAAGGCGATGGCCAAGTGTTCCCAATTCCTTAATTGGGCCTCTCTCGACCTTGGAAGGGTTGGCAAACAGCTGGGAGGTGGATTCCTTGTGTACTCGGGAAGCCCTTCTCGATACACACTCACAAGTTCGCAGACAACCCGTCTGGGAGAGAGGGACGTTGACATACCAAAAAACACTTTGGGTAATGTATCGGTATGGCGTATCTCCAATGGCTCTAATGTGGCGAACCATTTTGATTTAGTCACGGCTCTCGGTCCGGTTGAAGTGCTCAATGTCAGCGGCACCGTCCGTGAGAGACAAGCGGTGTCTTCGGGCCGACGCGGGCTGACAAGAACTTCGGTGCCGTGCTTTGCAATATCATTGGGCCGTCTGTTTCGGTCTCGTATACTTCTACAAACGGATGGTTGAAAGGATTCTGCGTAAGGACGAACTCTACCGCAGATCGTCCCAACTTCCCGCTCTTCCTCTTTCCCCTTTCCCCTTTCCCCTTTCTCCTTTCTCCTCAGATGTTCCTAATCACACACTGGACAATACGACACCCCAGACTTTAGAACGTGCCTGCTTGCTTCCAATAGTCTTGTGCGCTGGTCGCACTGCCTTGTAAGGCATGCGCTGGCTACAAATAAAAAAAGAACTTTTTTATGATAACACGTTGAACAGGCTAATTTGCGCAAGAGTGTGTGGCTACGTGAGGGATTTCAAGCAAATCCAATCGGCCAACCTGCTGGGAGTGTACGACATACACCTCGTTGATACCGCTGTTATGGAACTGCACTATAACGGTGCGTTCTGCCAGCACCCGTGCTTGACACCTGTCCCATCGCTCTTCCAGTTCAAACTGTGGCGGTGTTGGCTCTTTGTAATTTTCGCACTGCTGCTGCAAGCACCTTGACGGTCCTTATTCACTTGATCGAGTGCTAGATTTCGTACCGTCCGTTACGCTTGTAATATTAAGTGGTGCACGGGTGATCAGCTTCAACCCCCTCCAAGCGTCTGCCGCAAACCGGAGATTCACGAGAAACCACCATTTTATATGCCCCCCGTTAGATAAAGCGACCTCTCCTTGGACGCAGGGCCAATAAAACAGACATTATAACTAACCGGCCGTATCTGGTAGTCAACCCACGGCCTGCCTATGGACCGATGAAGAAGTGGCATATAGCCTGGCCAGGCTCACAGCAAGTCCACGGCAAGTGCCCCTCCCCCCGGTATGGTTGCATTATAACGGATTAGGCTGCTATTGGTTTGCCAAAAATAACCATAGAGGGCACACACCATGTCAGCCTTGCTACGTGCAGATATATCGAGCAGATCGTTACTATTTACAGGCCCTCCTTCATGCTGATATGTCATCATTCTCCCTCCCATCGCGAAGCACGACTACGGGCCGGGTCCCACGACTATCGGACAGCTGAATTGTCAACATTTTCGGACAGGGTGCCAGCAGCCGGACCACAGCCAGCACACTGCCTGCATACTGCCTTGTGCATGATTAACATACCGTTTCCTTCGTACTCTAGCTCATCCGTACCCCATTCGATTGGAAAATATTATTCATTCATACCGCCATTTACCATATATGAGTACTTTGTCACGACAATACTCTAGGCTCATCGTTCCATCATGTTGGTCACGGGGACCAGGCTACAAACCTTAGACCAGGGCGGAGATTTCGATCCGGGTCCGGCAAGTGTTTCCCATCTGAAGAGCCAAGTAACCTCAATTCAAATTCAAAAGCTTGACGACGACGAGATGCTGGGCGCCAAAGAAGATCGGGCGCCAGATGGATCCACGACAGATCCCGACACTGAACCTATCGCCGCTCGCCCATTAGTTGTTGCCGGACAGGGCAACTATCTGTACCTGGCGGATGGCCGGACCATTCTAGATGCTTGCGGCGGCGCCGCGGTATCCTGTCTTGGTCACGGCGTCAAGGATGTTATCGATGCTATGACGGCACAAGCGAGCAGGATCTCGTACGTATCATGGAGCTGCTTCGACAATAGAACCAAGCTGGAACTGTCGAACTGGCTTTCTGAGAGCTCGAAGGGGCATTTCCAGAAGGCGTATATCACCTCCTCTGGTATAATAATCCTACTCGGCATCCTTACTTACAAATAGTTGGTATTGTACTAATGCGTGAAAATATAGGATCCGAGGCGATGGAAGGGGCGATGAAGCTGGCACGTGAGTACTTTGTCTGGCAGGGACAGCCTAAGCGAGTGAACTATATCTCGCGGGAGGAGTCGTATCATGGAATCACCCTCGGCTCATTGGCTCTGGGAGGTCATCTGGTTCGGCGGGGGCCTTTTGAACCGTTGCTGCTTCCTAACATCTATCGGGTGCCGGCTTGCAATATTTATCGTCAGCGACTGCCGGATGAGACTGACACTCACTTCATTGTTCGAAAAGCGGTCGAGCTGGAACACGCGTTCCATCAAGCCGGGCCTGACACCGTGGCAGCCTTCATCGCCGAGCCTGTTGTCGGGGCTGCGTCTGGCTGTGTTCCTGCGGTCCCTGGCTACTTCAAGGCTATGAAGACCGTTTGTGACAAGTATGGAGCGCTTCTGATTCTGGACGAGGTTATGTGCGGTATGGGACGGACTGGGACGCTGCATGCTTGGGAACAGGAGGGTGTCATGCCTGATATTCAGGCTCTGGGAAAGGGTCGTGCGTAACCCCTTGGGTTGTATACTCCCAGTCCCCCATTTTCTTTTTCAAGTCTCGGATGTCAAGATTCCTTGGTCGATTTTCTCAAGGCTTTGGCTCCTGAGAATTGACGTGTGGATTCGCTCCAGAAGTGTCGCCATGAAAAACCACCAGTAGCAACTGCTAACCAAAGGTGTTGTAGTTGGAGGGGGTTACCAGCCAGTTTCAGCAATCCTGGTGAGCGGAAAAATAACCCAGGTGATGGAGGCGAAAGGAGTGGCCTTCACTCATGGACATACGTACCAGGTTAGTGCAAGAAAGTCCGCCCTGCGTGCTCGTTATGTTTGCAGAGCAGCACTCTGCATAGAGCTTTTTATTATCACTTTTGGCGTATCAGAATTTCAACCGTCTTTCCAAGCCCCTTTCTTCTCTGACCGCCTCATGCGAAATAGGACCACCCCGTCGCCTGCGCAGCAGCATTGAAAGTCCAGCAGATCATCCAACGAGATAACCTGCTCTCTAACGTCCAACGCCAGGGTCAATACCTGGAAAAGCTGCTTCGGACCAAACTACGGGATCATCCGTACGTGGGTGACATCCGCGGCCGTGGACTGTTCTGGGGGATAGAATTTGTCAGAGACCTAGTTACGAAGGAGCCTTTTGATCCTAAGCTCCAGCTGGCGTACCGGATACACGAAATGGCCATGTCACCGCCGTATAACACGGTGCTGTATTACGGGCAGGGTTGTGCGGGGAATAGGAAAGGTGACCATGTCATGATCATGCCGGCGTACAATGTTACGGAGGGTGTGCTTGAGAGTATTGCGGAGAAGACGGTAGCGGTTATACAGCGAGTGTTTGAGGCGTTGGAGGAGGGGACGTGACTGCGGGTTCAGAGATCGGGTTGGTGGGAAGTTGGCACCATGGGAGACATGAAAGTTGGGCTTGCAAAGGTTAAGTTGTTGGTTTTATTATCGGGTAATGGGTGTCAGTCAGCTCGTACCACAAGCTTTTCATACCATGTGTCTCAAAACTCGTATGCGATGGAAAACTCGGTCATGGAACAGCCAATTTTCTCTTATGTTGGCAAAAGAAGAAGCCGCCTTAACAGTAATTTGAATTTGTTGTTTCATGGCACACTTGTGCGCTGGTGTCTCAAGTGGCCTCATTTCCGTGGGCTCCCAGTCATCGTAGCTATGGAGTTTTCATCTGATGCGGTCTGAACTACTACACGGCCACACGCTGTTTCGGAAATGTCGACATCGGCACGAACAAACACGATCGATGGGCTCAGAGGAGTTTCACACTCTCGGGATGGTGTTGGTTGGCCAGAACACGGCACCCTACATGACGAACGGCAAGTGATCCAGAGCCCTCAATCGAGGTAGGCATACGGAGAACAGCGGTTGCATATCTGTGTCTCGGTTTCAGCTACTGATTTATGCAACTCGGGAGATGAAACTACCCGGGTAAGCTTCATCTGCGCCATGTGCGGAACCCACGAACCCACCTTCATCAACACATGGCTGTCTGGCACTGAGGTCAATGATATTTGAGTACCGTTTCTACATTGATTCGAATGATGTATATCCTGTGCAGTTACGTACCAGCTAGTCCACGAAAATGGTATCCGGTGATGGTATCACTCGTGCCTCTGAATTGGGTCCCCAAGCGGAGTCTCATTCCTACCATCTCGTTCCTGCAGGTGCGCCGTATTGGTTGGATACGTAGATATGCTTCATATATGTGACGACTTCATGTTGTGAAAGACCATGGGGGATACAAACGACATGTTGACATACCCCCGAGGAAGGGTGGCACACCGGTGATGGGTCGGGCAGAGAACATTTTCGATAATCACAGGGCCGGTATGTCTCAAGCCGCATAATTTTCGATCTCTTGGGGGTCCAGTTAAAAGTGTCAATTTTCGGGGTATCGAAGCAAAGGCAGGCGCCCTAGCTTGGTGCTTGCGACCCCGGAGATGGCTGGCGGCTGCCCGTGTTTGCATCTTATTGACTATGCCCTTGGAATATCCTGGGAGCTTGGGAGTATGGGCTTTTGTTCCCACGACCGTGTACGTTCCTTTTGATCGGTACTTGAAGCTGCGATGTAATCCATCAGGTAATCCATTGGTTCGTTGGTGGTAACTTGATTGCTATAGGTTCTCGTGGCATAAGCGTGTTGCACCATCCCGTTCTCATTGAGTCCATCACAGCCATGTACCATAAGTCTCGCTCTTTCCGCTGTCGTCCTGGGTATCCGCATTCACCGAACAAATGTCATCATCCACCAGCTCGAAAGCATCATCCGCAAAACCCTCTTCCTCGCCCGCGGGCAAGCCATCCTAATGCTTGGCCCCTTCTTTGACGCCAAGGGCAGCCACTCCCTCGTCGAGCTTGGACAAGTCGTCGGCCGTTGCGGCGACGTGAGCCCACCTCACGATACCGTCTTTGTCCAAAGCAAAAGCACCGGAAATCTGCCAACGCGTGCCGCTTTCTGTCGTACGGTTCCAGATGTTCTCCTGCTTGCCTAGCTGCAGCGTGCGATAGAGCGATAGAGGGTTTAGCACGTGCCATGTCGTGGAGATTCCCAGGCCCCATTGCGCGTAGAGTTCCCGCTCGTGGTCGACTACTACCTCGACGTCCCACTGGATAGGGTTAGTTGTCCCTTCTCTCCGGGGTGTAAGAGGAGGCCTTCTGGATTAAGGGGTGCTGAGGGCTGGAAGTTCTCGACTCCCGGGTCTTGCGCAGAGGATAATTTCTGGATTCATAGTGTAAACTTACCGTACCGCCAACTTGCACTACCCAACGTTCTGTTGCTTCCGCAGAGGAGTGCGAGATGGCAACACAGTGAATTTCGGGGTGCTTGGCGGAGATCTTGGCGAGGGCCTTGAAGGTCTTCTCAGCGACTGCGATATCGTGAGTTCCTTGAAACCTGTATTACTGATACGTAATGGTGATGGGCGTAGCAACGATGCAAGCCAGTCACAAATGGACGACGACTTACAAGGACAGCCGCAATGGCGTAGGAATACAATCAGGGTGGGCTTATCGGCTGGCAGCGGGAGGTTCGGGTGGACAGGGGCCTGGTCACCAACTTTAGGAGGCGGCTGAACGTCCCTGGCCGGCGGAGTTTTAAACGATTCCCACTCCTGTGCGAGGGCTGCTTTATCAATAAGTTGGGCCATGTTGATTTATAGTATGGCTGGAGACGTCGGCGGTTTTATTAGGTCCAGTAACAAGAAAACGAGAGCATTCGATGTGGTTGCGACGATGATGGAATGGGTGAGTTTCGGTGGAGAGCTGAAGTTGAAGAGCGCCAGCTGTCGCGTAAATCATCGCCAGCTGCCAGCTTCATCAGGTATCGTCGCTTCCTTCAGAGTTATTCTACCAGATCCGAAAAAACAGTGACTTTCAACCTTCCCTTATAAGCAAATGCGCTCTTACATCGTCGACTTAATCCACTAGAAGATCATCTGCCATAATCACAGCATTGAACCTGCATTTCATCCCGAAGCACTCGTACTCAACTGTATAATCAAGTGGTTTTCTCGTCACAGCTGATACCGGGTCAAGCCGGTCTGGACTGTGGTGACAAATTTGCCAACACATTAGTTGAAAGTCATCGCAGCAACTTCTAAACTGTCCAGAGTCCAGTACATGCAAAGACTAGCGTATCCAGTATAACGGTCCACGCAACTGGAACGACCAAGTTTTTTTCTTTGGGATTTTCCCATCTAAGAGCACACGTCAAAATACTGTGCCGCGCAAACCCAACCAACCCATGAGCCATGCGTGAGATCATTACACTCCAGCTAGGACAGCAGAGCAATTATCTGGGATCCCATTTCTGGAATACTCAGGTACAACCAACCCAAAAAAACCCCGACCCTGGATTACTGCTCACCTATGTCAGGAGTCATATTTCACGTACGGCCAAGATGGCGAATCGCCAGTGGACCACGATGTCCACTTCAGGCCCGGGCTAGGCGCTGATGGTACCGAAACTTATATGCCCAGGACGGTAATATATGACCTCAAAGGAGGATTCGGCTCCCTACGCAAAATCAATGCGCTTTACGACGCCACAGAGGACGGGGTGCCTCAAGGGCTGTGGTGCGTCTCTTGTCTATTCGAGGCAAGTCTTGCGGGGATCAGTTCCTGACCTTATATAGGAACGGGCGGACTGTCGTGCAACGGGAGCAGCCCATCGAACCCAGCGCATACCAAGAAAGTCTTGACACGGGTGACGCACCACCAGAATTGACGACGAGCACCGTTAGGTATTGGTCAGATTTCAATCGCGTCTTCTTCCACCCCCGATCTATCGTTCAGCTCAATGAGTTTGAGCTGAATTCAACCGTGATGCCCTTTGAAAAGTGGCATAGCGGTGAAGAGCTCTTCGCTTCCTTGGACAAAGATCACGACATCCTGGACCGTGATTTGCGTCCCTTTGTTGAGGAAGCCGATCAGATGCAGGGTGTTCAGGTCATGACTGGCATCGACGATGCCTGGGGTGGGTTTGCGTCCAAGTACATGGAGCGGTTGAGGGACGAATACGGGAAGACCCCAATCATGGTCTGGGGGCTTCAGGAGCCCACAGTAGGAACCTCAAGGGTATGTGTCAAGTGCGTGCGTGAAGAAGGATCATCGCTAATGGCAACCAGGAAAAGCGCCTGCTGCGGCTTGTCAACAAGGCACGAGCAATTACTGACTTATATGCCCAAGCCTCTCTGCTCGTGCCTCTAGCAATCCCCTCGGTATCATCATCCCGAAGTGTTGCTTTGGACCGCTCTTCTCCCTGGCACGTCTCAGCTTTATTCAATGCGGCAATAGAAAGCACTTCGCTTTATACCCGACTGAAGACGTCAGACCGCACTAACTCGACATCCCTTGGCCACATGACTGACATCCTAAACGTTTTCGGCAAGCAAACGATTGTAAACTTGCAAATTAGTCCCATTTCACCTCCTAAGCCCGTGCAAAACGGCACCAATGGGGCGGTTGATGCGCCATCGGGACGGGGAGAGCTGGTTGGACGCCCACATGAGCTCGAATACGAGGATCAACCTGATGCCAATGCACAGAATGACTTGACTACCCTTGATGTCGACCTGTCTTCGCTAGACGAAACACTTGGACAATCAGGTGCCCGAAGTCGGAGAAAGCCACATTTGTTCTCCCAAGTCAGCACCTCTAGAGGTTTTGAGCCTGCTCAGCCCTCTGACGAAGTTGACTCCGACACCCCTCGTTACGGTGGTTTCAACCGACCAAAGACATACCAGTAAGATAAATTATTTCCTCCACCGTTCTGATACTCCGTCATCTGCTGTATCAGAAGACCCATCTAACCAAGTTTTAGGTACGAATCACCCCTTGCCTTCCCCATGCTCGATAGCTATCCCCGTATCTTCCGAGACGGTGACAGCCACGTGATTCAAAACCAGATAAGAGTGAAAACGGTTCTCTCAACTGACTCATCGGTCATGGATAAGATGAAGGGCCTGCGAACGACCGTGGCCCGCTCGATTGGATTAGAGGACAGAGAGACAATTGGCAATGAGCTAGCCGAGATTGCCGAGGGTTACAAGGAGGGCTGGTCTAGTGGAAGCGACGACGACGATGATGAGTGATGTAACTTCTTTCCCGCATGTGACCTCTATCAACGCAAATCTGATAGCACAATGTCGCAGCAACAGACGATCGTCCTTGTTTGTGGCATGATGACTTTGATTTTATGGTGCGTCCACATCGAGCCGAGTCATTCTTCGTATCGTGACAGCATGTATAATCAAAACGCAATGACCTTGCTCACCGTAGCACCGTAGAAAGGTAACCTAACTCGCAGTGACCGCATCATAGCCTACAACTCTACATATAAACTTCGGGAGAGCGAGGCGACAATGGCCCTGGTCTCGGGAAACAAAGGGGTACGTACACTGGGCCGACTTGTCGACCCGAGTCACAAACTCAGCGGCCAATATGCCTATTTCTCTGCAGCAAGTCCATGGCCCCATGTCAGGGTATCAACTTCGAGTCCCGCATCAAAGCACAAGCCAGCGCTCCGTAATCTTCTGAACAGCTTCCATATCACCACCAATAAAACACATGGCCTGTAAGTTGTATGCCGCCTCCCTGGCCAGATTCTCCCCACCTGCTTGCATCATCTCTTCTCGCGCCTTGTCCACCAGCCCTTCTACCTCCCGCAGCACGCGACGGTAGTACTCGGCCGCGAGATTCATGAGGCCGATGGAGTGGTAGCTGCGAGCGAGGTTGTAATGGGCCTCCTGGCGCTGGGCCGGGGTGGTCGCCAACCTGAGTTTCGCGTTGTAGTACTTCTCCAGGAAAGCGAAGCCTTGGATTATGAGGTACTGGCGGTTCTCGGCTTGTCGCTTCAGTGCATAGTGCACGTACGCTTGGCCAATGCTGATATTGATCATGAGGTTGTCAGGGTCACTTGCGTGTGCTCTGATAAAGTAGTTCAGCGCATAGGTGAAGCTGTTCGAAATGAACAGAATATGCCCGTACAGCATCAGAAGAGGAACGTGCAATTGGTCGTGTGGGTAGTGTTTGGCCTCGTATTCGTCAAGCGACCGATCCGGTTTATTCTCCTCTCTAAGAAGTTTCGCATCCATGATTTTGATCTGGCGAAGTGTAAACTTCTGGACTCTTGTGTCTGCGTACCAGGTAGCGCTTGATGCGCATAGTCGACAAAGTGCCGCATACATGCGAAATGCGTCTGAGGCGAATAGGTTCTTGGACATGAAGTATCGTGCTACTTCGATGCATTTCTCCTCGTCTCTTCCGCGTAAAGCGCAGGCTGTTCGAACGTGTAAGTAAACTTGTTCCCGTGGCGACGGGAGTGTACAACCTAACCTGCAATCGCAACCTGGATAAGGAAAATATCCTCGGGATTCTCGAAAAAGACGTTGGCATCCTTGGCAGAGTCGCAAATACTGTAAGCTTCCTTGACTTTCCCATAATGGGCTAGATTCAAAGCGTATTCAATGAACAGGTCAAGCCATTCCTGCCAGCCAACATCTCTGTAGCCCACCGTGACCTCAGTCGTTCTTGCTCGTTGATCCAGCTGGGTTGGATCCAAGTCTGCAGTCCCGTTAGTATACTATCAACGGCCATGGATAAACGAGCACTCACTATCTCGCAAACGCTCTGCCATCTTCAACAGTGCAGGGTTTGTCGACGACGTCGTAGGTCGATCCTGTTTCAGCCCCATATGGACGAGGTATCGGTCCCAAGGATAGAATCCACGGAAGGATCGGAAATCATCAACCAGCTCATTTGCTGCTTCCATCCAAACACTCCCAGGTCCTCCGTCAGATGATACTTGGCGTCCGGTCCTGACAATGTGCCACTTTTGTGCCAGATCCGCTGACCTCTTCTCTTCTTCCTTGGCCTTTTCCTCGTCAAGAGCAAACAATTTCGGTCGAGGCCTTTGAAGAGGCCGTTGAGCCCTTGACCTTGGCTCTTTCGGTGGCCTCGGCGGGTTTGGTGTCTTGATCATCCTAGGCTTTTGAGGTTTCTTGGCTGTCTCCGTTTTATCGTGATTGTGCTTTGGTTTGGCCCTGGCCCTGGCCCTGGGCTTCGGCTTAGGCTTGTCCGTATCTTTAATGGTAGCTTCGTCTGTTTTCTCCTCCCCTTCTCCGCCGGTTTCGGAGTCGGACTCCGAGGCCGAGTCTTCTCGGTCTTCTTCGAGACGCATGGCCTCATTCACCAAGATGTAAGCCTCTGCTTCGTGTTTGGCGGCTTCGTACATCTTCGCCAACTCATAACGAGACTGAATACGGGCGTCGATCTCATAGCGACCATACACAGGGGTATCATCCTCCTCTGGTTCTTCCAAGTCTATAGCTGCTGTAAAGCACTCCTCGGCCTGTCGCTTGTCGCCAGTCGCCAAGTAGCATTTCCCGGCTCGATAAAAGGCGGCAGCGTCCAACATATCGGTGTTCCGCAGTGGTTCGTAGAAGCGCAACGCCATTTCGTACCTCATAGTCTCCCAAAGCACTGTAGCCATCTCCAGGAAGAGGTCCGGATACTCAGACTTGACATTGGAATCAGACCCGTCTACGGGGTCAAGCAAGTCTATATGAATCTGGTGGTTAGTCAGTATGACTAAATGTGTAAGCTCTGGTCAGACTATAATATCGTACCTTTGCTTCGTCTTCTTGATTTAACCGTAGCCTACAGACAGCAAGCTTCACCCTCAGGTGAGGGGGGAGCCCAGCACCATAAGTCGATGATGGGTACTTATCTGGAACGAACTCGGGAACTTGGTTGCGACGCTCATTATGCTCATCCCATTCGCGATCGTCGTCCACATGATCCCAGTAAGCCTCATCTACGCGGCCCAGAAGCCATCTTGATATGGATTTCGTCTCCTTCAAAGCGTCTGCATACTGACGAAGGTGCGTGAGAAGCTCAATGTAAATGATGGCATCATCCCACTCAAAGGGGAGATCTGGGCTGTTGCCATTGGTTTGGGACCGGGCAATGCACTCGCGGTACGCATCCCTGGCTGCTTCCGGCTTCCCATCGTAATCGACTTTCTTTCCGTGCTCTTGAAGCTTGACGGCAGCCTCGACCAAGCCTCGGAGAGCATGTACATCGCACGGGGCGCGCTCTACGATGGCTGCGTACTCGGCCGTGGCTGCTTTGTAGCTCTCCCTTGCCAGTAACAACGCTGCTTTTCCCGCGCGCGCAGCCAAATGGCTAGGATCGACCCTAATAGCTTGCGAAAAAGTTGAAAGAGCTATCCTGGACAGGTCGTCGGCATCGTCAGGGGTCTCGTCCATCAACCCGATGGCGTCTGTCGCGCATTTCAACCACCCTTCAACAAACTTTGGCTGTAGGTGAGCCGCACACACCGAAGCCAGCAGACTCTCTTTGTAGTTCTTCTTGTCGTAGTGAATGTTGGCCAACATACTCCACGCACGATGTATCTCGGCATTGACTCGGATGGCGTCATTGACATAATCCAAGGCCTCATCTAGTCTGCCCTCCACGTATGCTACGTTGGCATAGTTGAGTCTCATTTTGACGTCGCCGGTAGGCTCAGCAGCCTTTCGAGGCCCTTTCCTGATGACATTTTTTCGGGGTTGCAACGGTTGAGCTCGACTATCAGGGAAGCCACCCCTTCGTTGATCCCGCACGCCAACAAAACTTCGCACCGAGTCTTCAAAGTTTGAAGTCGACACTTTTCTTTGCATCGGAGGCAAGCCCATTGTTTGTTGTTGTACTGGCTCGCTCTCGCCTACCTCTTCCACCACCTCATCGTCCAGGGACATGTTACCAATGCCGTCGTGCGCGTCAAGGCTAGGCGGCTGAACCTGTTGCCCGGGAGGTCTGGGCTGTATGCTCTGCCACGCATTACCAGCTTGCTCCGTATGACCACTGCCTTGAGGCCGAGGAAGAATTGGTCTGGGTTGAATCTTTGGCCATCTGTTATTGGCACTCATTTGTTCAAAGACGACCTGCGAAGGGAGGCTGATCTGAGACGGATTGCCCGCGCTATAGTGATTGGGGTAGATTTCAGGTTGGGCGGGTGGTTGTGTATGGGATGAATTGCCAGCGCCATCGTGGAACTGATGGCCCTCCATTGTTGCGTCCAGATCAAACGCGAACTGGAGTCAAAATGCTTGAGAAATGAACGCAGAAAAGGTGCAATGGAAGTAGTCCAGAGACAGCCGACAGTTATGTTATGAGTCGAGAGTTGTAGTCTGTAGATCCCGGGCTCAGAGCTGTAGGTGTGACTGGAGCTCAAACATGAGACTTCACTAGCTATTCACGTCTGAACTTGAGCAGGCGAATGAAGGTGCGATTCAGCAGACATCGCAGGGTCGGGTTCACAATGTTTCCAAATGGACTTGGAAGCGAATATCCTGTTCTTCACGGATATGAATTTTTGGCGAACCCACACTCCAATTTGCTCAATACTTATTTTTTATTTTTTATTACGAAGTAGATTGTTATGAGAAGTTTCTTCCGAGTTGGGTTTGTCAAAAGTCTGGGCAAAGAGTCGGAAAGCGCCTCTGGCTCAGTTGCTGCCAGCTGTTGGCAGCTGCCCATCCAGGCTGTCACTACTAGAGTTCTAAAATTCCTCCCCCCCCTTCACCCGGGGTGCTCAAGGCGGCGAGAGTCGGCTAGAATTTCTAGTTTTTCAAATATCTTACGAAATAGTCTCTGGCCTGCTGTTTTCGAATGCCATCTGATACAACGACTCATCCAATATCCCCATAGCACTATAACTTCAGTTCCAATGGCACACCTGCCAAGGTGTCACAGCATAGATGCCTAGCAAGCCGAGCGTCAGGTCAAGACAGCAAACAGCAAGGACTACTGTACTCTCTTGGAACACAATGCTATTTGAAACGAATTACCTTTCTCAAATCGCTAGTGTCAGAGAAGTAGTTGATGCAGCTCAGTTAGGTAAGACAGATAAAGGAATCATGGTTTGCCCGCCCCTGATTGGCCGTAGCCAATGGTCTGTATACACATATACCGTACAAACACAGGCCGCTATGCTCTTTTATCAATCCATGCGGCCGTATCCTGGATGGTTTTCCAGATTCGACCCCGTTTCCGCTGCAAGGCCTGGGAGAATCGTCATCGACGTCTCAAATACTTCCTAGATTTGCTCATTTGTGGCACTGATATGTCGCAACTTGATTGCATGCCTCGCTTTGTTAAAGTAGCTCGGTAGTGGGCATCGATACAGGAGTCATCTCTCGAGGTTCGGCTTCAGCCGTACCTTACAATTACACAGTAACGATTCCAGTCCATGGTAGAAGTGGCTAGCCCGTAAGCTTGCCGTCTGCTTTGGCTTCTGTATATTTTGTCAGTTCATGTGCTCGGTAGCATCCACGTGCGCACCACGCATACCTTTGACCTGCTCGAAGACCTTGAGCATCTTTCTACGTGCACCCAGTGCATTCACACCGCGCTCCTCTAGGGCCTTGTCGTCCAGCTCAACCAAGTCGGTCCACTTCATGTCCTTCAGGTTATCGGTGTACTTGTGTAGCCGCAGGCTTCGCAACCACGATGGAATATCTTGGAGGAGAGTTGGATCAGTTGGATCCTCTGGCGGCTTTGAACTCCCGCGACGACCACGCGGCGATCTGCCCCGTGCCATATCCGAGTGGTCGGACAGGTAGCCCTCGGGCGCCAAACCAAGCTGGCCCATGCCGACTCCGCCGAGTCCATTGTTTAGCAGTGCATTCTGGTCATACGCGCTCAAGAAGCCGTTGTTCTGGGGAGAAGCAAAGCCTATATGTCCAAATCCAGTCTGCATGGCAATGCCGGGGGAGCTGGGCCGCGAGCGCTGACCACCAAAACCGCCCATGCTCTGCTGGTTCTGCAAGGCAAGCATCTGATCCCTAGTCAGAACTTGACCGTGCTCGTTTATCATGACAACATTTGTACCCGGCATATTGCCACCTGGGAGACCAGGCGAGAGTGGGTTCTGAGCCCCTGGCGCATCGTTGGATCTGGCCCGTCGATACTTTCGGACGTCGTCTAGCGCAAACCGGTTGTTGACGGTAGACAATGCAGCGAGCTTCATGGCGGTCGCATTGGCCACCATGTCGGCCTGGTTGGGGCCCTGGTTCGTGTTGAAGGTCGGCATCATGGGCGTATTCACCATGGATGCCCAGTTACCGCTAGCACCATACGGCGAAAGTAGGGGAAGTTCAGAGGCTTGCTTGTCGGGCGCACTGAGGGTGGTGTTCTGGATATTGGAGTTGCTCGCGAGGTTGGAGGCTCGGGGAGATCTCAGGCCAGCAGAAGGCGGTGGCTGGACAAATTGACCCATCGGCGGCTGCCCGGAGGAAGATTTAGGTCTCGCTGACCCTTCTCCCCACGGTGAGCTCGGATTCTGCCCATTAGATTCTTCCGCAATCGTTGGGGCAGCCAGGGAATTGCGCACATCAGCGGCGGTGCTGTTTCGGTTAGAAGGTGGTTGGTTGCCCGTCTGCTGTGTAAACTTGGCCTTCTCTGTGGCGATGGCAGCGGCGGCATCCGGGAACATGGCATTGATGGTCGACGGATCAAGGCCAGATTGTCTCTTGGCAGATGCCTGCGGCTGCGATATAGAGTTCCTCGTCGACGTAACGTTCAGCTTGTTCATGGCATCGCTTAGGCGGGTAGACATAGGATCTGCAACAGGAAAGCGTTAGCACACGCATTCAAGCATGCGGGACTCGGTTATAGTGTATCTTACCCTTGTCGAAGTTGGCCGGTGACAGAACGCCCGACATGGGATGGTTCTTACCCATCTGCTGTAGGACCTGGATGAAGAAACGGATCTGGACCTGGGTCGTCTGTTGCAGCAAGGCGTAAAGAGCGGCGGTGCGCTCGGCTTCAGAGAGGACACGGAACCATTGCTCAATGGCACTCAGCTCATCCTTGAAGTCCTGGTCCAAAGTCGCAGCCGCCATCTCTTCCAATGTAGTCTCGTACTGGTCGATGTCGGCGATCCACTGCTGTGTCATTTTGTCCTGGGGATCCGCATCCATGCTGCCTTGCCCTTGACCCTGGGATTGGCCGTAGAAGTCCGAGGAGGGACGGATGCGGCTCGAGGGTGCATTTCCGGCCAGCGCGGCCATGTCAGCTGAGGCTCGGAGGTGGTGGTTGTTGTTCGCTCCGACTGTCCTCGACGCAGGCGGACGCAGAGACGAGGCGGCACTCGCCTCGGGGGTACTGTTCCGGTTCATGTTGAGCAACAGGATCTGCCTTGACACAGCTACACGGGCAGGAACCGTCACCAGGTATGATGGATTATGTGCTGGGAGGATGCTGATGCTGAGGCTATCTGATGCTGATGCTGGAGAGTGAGGTGGTCAATTAGGGAAGTTTCTGTCGTTGAAATTCAGAGTCCCGTCAGGTAGCTTGGCTCAAGCAGGGCTAGCATATGAAACGGCGCGACCCCTGCGAGCCGGAACGGGGGGCGATCAATGTGGCCCGTGGAAGGGGAGGACAGGGAATCCAAAAGTAATGCACTGTTTCGAGATTTCTCGACGAGCCAGAACGAGCCTCGATCAATGCCAACCGTGAGATGCTCCACAATGTCCCACCTGCGCGAAGCGGATGCACCGAGCAAGGAACATCCCAGATTCTTCCGTCTCGTTGACACTTCAAAGTTCCCCGAGTGTGTGATGCTGCAGACGACGACCTTGAGCTGTCGACTAATGGGCAAACCCGAGAGGGGCCGAGCCTGTAGCAGGGTCTGTTAGAGCCTTAGCGGCGTGATGAAGCCTGATGGAAGGCACCACTCGGTGACCTGGTCACGGCTCGGGGGTTAAGTTGGTCGCTAAAAATTCAAGTTCTAGAATATTGGAAAGGTTCTTGTTGAGAAAGCTCCGGCAGTAGCCTGCTGATCTGAAAGGAGTCATCCGAGGGTTATAATAGGGAAGTAAAATCCTTAGTCCAAGCGGCTTGTTTGCGATGAAAGGACCCTGTGAATGAACCAAAAGCTGGTCAGTAAGGGTTGTCAGCTTGTTGTCGAGTCGTGGACTCTCCCATACAATTATGTGGCGGAGACTCAGTGTCGGAGCTATCCAATTCAGGGGTGAAGGCCTAGTTTTGGTGGGCTGGACTGGCCGCCGCCCGATTTGTCTCGCTGACTAGCTAGGACCAGATGAAAGGGGACTCACCTGAAATAGTACTATATGTCGCGCCTTTCGAGGCAGTGTGGTTTCACAGCAGATACAGCGGATGGAAAAGACACAGGTTGACTTCCACCGGTAGTGGTTTGTTAAGTTATCAAATAATGAAAATTGAATTTGAGAGCAAGGAGATTTCAGCCCTTTCCCTTGCGGCTCTCTCTCGCCTTGGCTTGCCCAGGTGGCGCTCAGACACAGTGTTCAATTGTTGCGTGTTCCAGTGGGTTAGATAATTCGTCAGTGGCGCTTGGGCTTTGAATTGGCCAGCCATAAGGCACGTCCAAAGTGTCGTCTCGTCTTGCAGTAGCACGCTATCATCTAGGTTTGTGGAGGATCTGGAACAATTGAAATGCTGAAATTCAAAGGAGCACATTGCGGAACCGTGAAATCCACATTTTACTCTAAATTCAGGACCTGGAGGCATATACCCTGGCTATGCACCACCGTGCTGTCACATTGGGATGCTGTGGTTATGGTACGTATTGACATCCGGAAGCTCCTGTATGAAGAGTCCAACATCATATCGTTAAAGCTCCATCCCCATCAAAAGTAACTTACACATACCTCAAGAATATAGTAGATCCAGCTGATAATTGGAAAATCATGCATCGGCGCTACATACTTCAAAGATGACGCAGTTTTATCCCACTATGCCGGCTTGGTATTTTGTACAGTTGGAGCCGAATGCAACACTGCAACAGTACCAACACCGCTCCGGAGCTCTTGGCCTTCAAGTGATAGTACTGACGGCTCTTTTTTTGGTTTAAGTATAAAGTAGGGTATCTGGATATGCACACTCAGGATTTCGAGATAGTCACATAGCATCTAAGCTATCTGGATGCTGCACTCACGCAACTAGGTCAAGTACAATGTCAGAAGCTAAAGCTTACATCGGGGCATAACATAAATTCCAAATAAACCCTTCCCACCGCAAAATATTGAAATGCTCGGAGCAACTTTCTCTTGCCACTGTATACTATACCTAAGTACTAGTATACAAACCTTGAGTAAGCCGATAAGTAAACGTAGATAGGTACGCCGTCCCATCGCGGTAATTAAGCTTTATGAATTCCAAATATAACATTGGATTCGGTGATGGAAATGAGTGTATCAACCTATCTTGTTGGGCACCGATGATCACAATGAACTTTGGAACACGAAGTTCCGAGAGGTGCGCCCAGACACCAAAGCCTTCGTCCAGTCTTGTGGACTATGTTAACCAAGTTGATGGCAACTTTCGTTGAACAGCTCGGAGGCCAATCGCCCGGAATAGCCCCACAGCCCCTACAAATGTATTATCCATTGCAGGTACGGTTCGGAACGAAAGAAGCAATATCTAAGCTCCGATACGGCTGAGTCGCCAATTGATGACGTGTAGGGGACGCTCTTGTCAGTTATTGACACGCAAGGTACTGTGGGTGCTTCAGTGGCGCCACAGCAGTCAACATAGAAATCAACGGGGTGATGGGATGTAGTCCATGCTTCATGCACCTTTGCGTTCGAGTGCATTGAGCACGGGTGCTTGGTAATAGATGGGCTTAGAAAGTTGCTCTCGGCACGAGAAGATAATCCTTCAGCAGATGGGCATGGGGAAGCCCACAGCTGTACACACTGATGCCGTTCAAAAGGGGAAACTGGGAAATCCTTGGATTCGTACTTGGGTTCACATGTCGTTGTTCGTGAGGCCAATCGTTCGCACGCAGCATGTTGGTGGCTCGCAGTCGTCATCGTGGCTCATCGGCCAATGGGTTCATCTTCCATTGAAGACATTCCTGTGATATAAAAGCCAAATGCATGTCACAACTCCCCGGAATCATGTCCGAATGTCCTGAACCAGACTCGCCGTCGATGCACGTCATGTCCCTTGCCTTAGTCCGTAGCCGAAATCATGCAACCTCACGCTTGCCCTCCTTCTTCTCCTTCTGCAGAACTGTCAGCGACTCGCCACAAACTGCGACGCAGCTACCATGACCAACATACCAGAGCCTTCATTGTGCCGTGCAGCGCATGTCTGTGGTTTCTGCGGAACTTGGGGTCGGTACCCTTCAGAGACGGGTATCGCATAGTCTTGGGCTTCTTGATACTGTAAAGCGCAATTCGTCAGCTCTGATTTCCTTGCCATATCTCGAAAGTACCGAGCTCGATATTCGATTGCCGCGCTTAAATCGGTCGGACGTACCCATTGCGGTGAGCCTTCTTAGACTGATTGTGCTGGGACGAGTTCTTGGATTCTGTGGCCAAAACGTGAGCAATTCGCTGATCTGCACCTAGGAGCGAACATATTCGACATACTGGCCATCTCGAATGATGTGTGGTTGACTTGTCTGGGGAGTCTTGCGAAATGGTCGTTTTTCGGTCGAGGAATGGAAGTGATTTTGCTTCGGGGATGTGCACTTGTTGTGGAAAGAGCGAACCCTACCCGAATTTCCCAGCCACACGGGGCTGAATTCCAACATTTCGATCTTTTCGTGATAACTGGAGCAAATGGGAAAAGAGCGAGGCAGTGCAACAGCTGCCGGTCAGCTGTGTTCAATGACTTAGAAGTAGAGACTTCCCCACTCTAGACCCTGTGCTTACTATGAATCGGATGCTGCAGCGCAACGAGCTCCTCAGGCCAATAGTGCATATACACCTCAGCTAAGGACTAGAATAAAAATATACTAAACAGAATCTAGGCTATTTCGATAATAATGGTAAAAGCTGTGGACAATCCTCAAGTACATTGAAGGTTGTTAAAGCAAGTAGAGTACTATCACACCTTTGCTCAGGAATCATTTATCGTAATCCATTTCTACTTCCATGTCAAACTCTTCCTTGCGCCCCAATATTCAGCTACAGCGGTACAGTGGATGGACAAATTATTGGTGCCCTTTGTTTTGTTGGCCTTGTATCGTCCTTGTAGTAATGCTATTAGCGTTCTTGGACTTATTATACGAATCGGCCGCTCGTGCTCTCACGCGATAATATACCGTTTCCAGGGCTCTGCTCTTCGGTTAAGCCGCTTCGTCGACTTTTGGCAACAGGATCACTGGGTCCGCAAGGCTCGAAGGTTATAGTGATACAGGATCAATGTCATTTGACTTCCAAGGAGTTCCTCTGCGGTCGAGTTGGTTCACCTAGGAGTGCATCAGTCGCAGGGGAGTTGATATTTTACTGGCAGTTGAGATAGGCAACGAGCCTGACCTACTTCCTGGCCAGTTGAATTGGATCATTTATGGAGTCAAGGACTATGCGAAGAATGTGATGCTTCCACCTGATGGTCGAATCTTCCAGATATACGAGAAAAGCTCTAGTGACAGCGACGAATGGTCTATGTAAGGTGGCATATTTCAATATAATTGTTCCGAGGTACGTTGAATTTCTTAACCATTCTGGTGATGACCTCATGAGCAACTTGCCGGGGACGGGTGTTGATTTGGTAGAATCCAGGGCATTATGCAGCATTAGTGAGTACCCAACACTTGGGCTCGGACAGGAGTCTTGCAGTATAATCATAAAGCACATGGAGGGGACGATCTTCAAAGGATCCAACCCTTCAGCCCTGTTTTCACCGGTATAGCAATAGCATTGTAGCATATTTGCTTGATTATATATTCATGGCCTGAAACACAAAAAACAACTTCACCCACCCCATTCAGTTGCTAAGCCAAGACCCTTACAGGGCCATCAAATCCGTACTAGATGAGGTTGGTAGCTCAATCGGCAGCGCAGGTAAAGACATACCGCGTGAATTCCATCTCTCGGGTAGCCTACGCAGCTCTGTATGGACCGTGGACTGGATGCTTTTGAAGATGAGATTGATATTATCATATGCAGTCATTGCCTCCAGAAAATCAGACTAACAGGAATCAGAGTATAGACCGATCCTCGTGCAGCAAGGCTGGCGCTTCCCGTTCGCGGCTTTTCGACAAACACTGACGGGGACGATAGCCTGGCACACGAGTAAGGCGTGATTTACAGGCACACCTTCATCGCAGACTTCACAGGAACTCAGAAAAAATCTCCAAGCCAGCAAGCTTGACCCAATTTACTCAAGCATTACTGCCTATGCCGACTACTACGACAACAAGCTGACCAACCAGTTGCTATGGCCACAACTCAGTAATGAGGTGAAAAATAAGACTTGACCGGCTGAGACAGTAGATCTCGGTATGGGACAATCGAGTATCCGAGGTCAAGGTGCAAAAACTGACGCCGCCGCATGGTGATTCTCAGACTAATATCAATATGACTTGGGCCAGTCGGACTGGATGACCAATAGTAATGGCAAGCCTGTGGGAACTGGCGAGAACACAACCAATATGCTGAACCTTGCAGTTGGGAACGTCAATGTGACTATAGAGGCTGCTCAGCTATTGCTTGTATAATTGTGAATGGGGATTGTGTGTTGTAAACTGACACCTCATGGTCTTAAGGTTTATATATGGAAGTGCATATAAGAACGGGGACTTGTCATGGGCGTTCAGGCTGGGACGATCGATAACACAACATTGTTGATGATAGTGTTATACTTCGAAAATAAATCCCAAAGTCGAAGTGTTGAGATTTAAGTCTTTTGACTTTGACATCTTGCAGCATCTACATAATGATGCTGTCAGAACTTTCACATGAGGCGTGTAGGAAGTGGATTTCGACCTCCGGAGTTTTTGAAAAGCCTTCCAAGGTTGGAGGATTTGCCCAGCCACTTCGATGGACGGGAAACCTACACAATCGGGTAACCTCGTGTGAACGAGGAAGATGGTACTGGGAAAACTTAGACAATTAATTATCATAATGATGAAGCTTGACGTCAATTTGTAAATCCCAGGGAGTCGCACAGTTCTACAATAATTACAGGAAGATACACGATTTGGCGGGCACAAGGGGCATTTTTTAATGGAATTCTTCCTCCTGTGCCTGCCTCGTCAATCCGCGTCAGTCCCGCATCCGTATCTATACTTCTCCCCGCATCATCAGCTCGCATCAAACCTAGGTTTGGAGAGTACTGGTACTTAACATCTTGAAGCACGCCAAAAGCACTTTAAGACACCGAAACGTGTTCGCACACGCGCGACTCGACAGGGATCCCAGCGCAGAACGCGATTGATTGACTGACTGATCGATCGACAATTTTCGAGCAATTGCACCACCATTATCGCCGTCATTAGACACTTGAAGAGCAGTCGCTGTTGCGATCGCAACCTCCAGCCTTGTTGCAATTGCCATTGCTAGTTCATTTGAGTCCGCACCACCCTACTCTGGACTGGCGCCTCTTGCCGCCAGAAATTTGTTTACTTCGCGCTCAGAAACTGACGTAGCGCTCGGAACATCGTGTTGGCTGCGTCGACAGTAGCTGGCTTCTTTTTTTGCGCCTCCATTTCCAACCTCCCCGCCTCATGATATCTATCTCCCTTTGCAAATGCACGGCAGTCTCGATAGGAAACACAAACAGCTGGCGCCCATTACCAACCAGTCGCGCTGTACTCGCCATCTAACCCCAGCATATGCATCAAGCATCATTGGAACACCTAATTAGCGGCGCAAACTGGACATCACACTGCGATATCAGTGCAACTGGTTGATAATCATCGCCACCCTTGCCTCAACACTCAATGCCCATGCGCTTTCCGTAATCAACGCGCCGACATGCCACCATCCGGAAAGAGATCATCCCAACGGACTCGCAAGGCTCGAGATCCGAGTGTGCCTGTGCATACCGAGCTCTCCTCACCATCGAGACCGTTGAAGCGCAGACGCCAGGCACAGCCAGAACCTCCCTCCGAACCAGCCGACGATGAAGGCTCCAGCATGACGCTTGATCCTGCTGCGGGCATCAACTTGGAAGATGATGATGTTCTCATTAGTCGAGTTGCCGAAACCCTCACCACGGCCGAATTCCCTGTCAAGGCAAGCGAGATTTACGCCAATACCCTGCAAGCTGACACCGAAGGTATCGAAGCATATGCGAAACTGGCTGGAAAGGACTGGACCTACTACATCCGAACTCTTGCAATCAATATTGGTCGCTCTTCTGAGCCCTCACAGGCGCACCAGCCTCCCGACGACCCCAAAGACAAGGATTTTGTCCACATTGACCTTGGTCCCAACAAGGTCTTCTCTCGCCAGACTGCCATCATCTTCTTTGACGATGCTGGCAGCTGGGTCCTGCGGGTCAAGGGACGCAACGGTTTGAAGGTAAACGGTGTCCCGCTTAAGAAGGATGACAATCCCCACAACCTAGCCAGCGGAGAGGTTATTGAAGTTGGCGGGATTGAGATGATGTTTGCGCTGCCCGGAACCATCGGAGGACCTTTGAATATTCACGAGGCCTACTTGCAGCGTGCTGGCATTAAGGGCCCCGTCAGACCCCAGAGATCGAGTCCTCCATCAGAGACGCGCCACGCCCTGCCCTCGGCTCCTTCGCACAAGCGAGAGAATACCAATTCTCGACCGGATCTTGACTCGCCGTCTGCCTCGTCAAGCAAGAGGAGCTACTATAAGCGGGAGTGTTCTACCATTGAAATGCCGCAGCCCATCGCACCAGCGCCTCCGGATTACAAGCGTCCCGGTACACCTCCGTCGGCCAAAGGTCGTGCGCATGCCTCACAGCACAAGTCGCCGGCCTACAGCAACGCAGGAACCATGTTGATGAGTTCCAACGACGTGGATCTCAGCCTCGATGAGAACAAGCATATCAAACCTCTCTTCAGCTATGCTCAGATGATTACCCAGGCCATCAGCAGCACCAATGAATCAAAGTTGAATTTGAACGGCATCTACCGCTACATCATGGATAATTATGCGTATTACAGACATCAACCACCTAGCGGGTGGCAGGTCAGTTTTTTCTTAAGCTTCAGGTCGCGTATTTATTGACTCGAGTACAGAATTCCATTCGGCATAATCTTTCCTTGAACAAGTCGTTCAATAAAGCCCCGAGAACGACCGACGAGCCTGGAAAGGGCATGAAGTGGGAAATTGTTCCCGAGCAGAAGGAAGAGATGATGCGTACGGCGTGGAAGGTCGGACGAGGGGGCCATCGCGGATCGTCGGCCCCATCCTCGCCAAATCAACCCAGTCAGCTGAATTACATCAACCAAGGCCCCAGAGACATGATGTCTCGGGGACCAGGCTCGGCACGGAAGCGGAAGGCGCCATCTCCCGTCATCGCGGTGTCTCCCCCTCCGAGCTCATCTCTCAACCCGTCCCAAATGACCCCGGACCGCAGATACAAAGCCTCTGGTCCCGCAAGTTTCCAGGACGGCAGCCCTCTTCCGCGATCCCGCAAGCCGCTGGTCACCAGCTCATTCGGCCAAGCGGCTGACGGCTTGCCTCGTTCTCCTCCCACACTGTCTTCCTCATACCTCGGAGATGACGGCCCGTCTTTCATCACGCCGGCCCCTCATCGGGTGCACCCCCATCTCGCGCCTCCCAGCACTGCGCAACGACCTAGCCAGCACATGCCAACCAGCTCGCCGGCACCCTTCTGGAAGTACGCTGATATCGGCACGCCCCTCAAGGCCGTGCAGTTCGACGTAAGCCCTTCGAAGCCTGCGCTGCCAAACAGCAGCAGTCCGCCCCCGCCCATCGAGGGAAATGGAAGCGGTGACCGATCTCCTGTAGCAAGTCCGACTCGCTCTACGATCCGTGCCGAGACACAGGAGACGGCTACCATTGTCGAGGAAGAGGAAGAGGAAGCTGGGTTTGATCTTACCAAGTACGTGTTGTTATTCAGTTTCATCTTGCGTGTCCACTGACTGAATAATCAAAAACAGGGGTTTCCAACCCATAAGCGAATATCACGCACCTGTGAGCTTGCCTATGCCGCGAGCCAATGGTAGTCTTTCCCGGAAGTGAAACGATCTAGTATCCCTTTGGGCGGCTTTATTAGCCGACCGCACAACAGTGTAGGCCAACAGTCCTATATATTTGGTACAATTTCCTGATATAGTATACGCGTGGCTCGGCTGGTAAGGGGTGTTCGGTTGGGATGATTTGAGCATTTGCAACTGAACGACGAGTTTGGGTGGTAGTCATGATTTTCCTTCCTTTCCTCGCGCCACAACGTAACGACAGATCATGAGTGATGGCTTGGGGATTTTCCCCTTCGGTCCTTCGGTCTCTAAGCCAAGGAGCTTTCAACGGCTCTGTTGGATCGGTTACTTACACCGTTGGCCAGTTGGCGGGTTCTCATGGTGACGTGACTCCTGAGTAGGGGGTTAACATGAATCAGGGCATGATACCAATCCAGCACAGCGATTTTGCAGTACGCAATAAATCAAATTATTACTGTATCTTTTCAGGCGTTGGATTGAGCGAAGTGAGTGACGTAGGGTTTGATTTGACCTTGTGGCTAGTCGTTCTGCCCGAAATGTGAACCCGGCATAGAGCTACGAAGCTCAAGTGCTCTCCAGTCGTTTTCTATGTGATGAATGGGTGTTTTTGGATCGAGCATGATTATTCAATACTCTCATTTACGTCAAAGGCATTCTCCACAGGTGGGCAGCTGTATCCGTCGGTGAAAATAGGACAGGAGATTATACCCTTTTCAGGGGAAGACCGCCCACATCCCGGTATATTCGCCGGCGAGAACCGACTAGAAGCGAAGAATGAAAATGCAATCGAAAATTTGGCATGACTTGTCATTCGCCTCATGGAACCAGACAATAAAATACAAGTAGAAGATTGACGTACATGTCATGTTTTCTTTGCCTCTGCGGCCTCGACATCCTCCCTCTTCGCCGACTCATCGCCACCACCCACCCCCTCTTCAAGGGACAGTCCTTCCTGTGGCTGTTGCATAGCTTTGTTAGAATCATCCACAGACGAAACCGCGTCAACTATACCCCTACCTACCAGCTGCTCATCCGCATCTTCAATCGGCTCCAACCCCCTATCCCGAATAAACACGCACCCCAACAAACAAATTCCAATAAGTGGCACCTGCAGCACAAATACCGCCCTACTTGCAGCCATGTACGCATCCAGGACCTCCCCGCCTCCAACCCCCAACGTCTGTCCATGCGTCAGCGCGTAAGCGTCATCAGCCAGGTGCGCATATTCAGTGGGGAGGTTTGCCCTAAGCGCGGCCTGCAGCACGGCAGCCGAGACGGCGAGCCCACAGGCGCCGCCGGCGCAGCGGAAGAAATTGCGGTTCGAGATGACGGCGGCGCGGCGCGATTTGGGCGTGTGCGCTTGAAGGGCGACGAGGGTGGGTTGGAAGACGTTGCCGACGCCGATGCCGATGAGGAGGAGGGGGATTACTACCATGACGGGGTGGGTATTGCGGGTCCAGAGGAGGGTGAGGCCGGAGCCGCTTTGGGGATTTGAAGGTTAGTATAGGGGTAGAGGAGGAGTAGGTAGGTCGGTAGATGGCTCGATAGAATGGGGAGAAATCAAGGGAAGGAGGATATATGCATAGAGAGGAGTAGGTAAATCGGTAGATGGCTCGATAGAATGGGGAGAAATCAAGGGAAGGAGGATATATGCATAGATTTAGTCAGTTACGTACAGTGTCCAGCAGCCGAAGCCGCTCCACAGAACCTCGCCGTAACGCTTGCGCCAGGAGATGTACTGTCCAGAGACGATGGAGACGCAGGACTGAGGGAGCACGACGGCGGAAGTGTAGGCTGCCGAGGTAAGAACAGACCATTGCCTCACGTTTTGGAAGTACATGGGCAGGTAGTATAAGTAGGACTGATAGACGGCGCCAAAGAAAAGGCTCTGCGTTAGGATTACCACGACGACGGGGGATTTGAAGATGGTCACTATTTGCAGTATTGGTCAGTGGGATTATCTAAATTCAGGGGTCAACTCTGGCCGGGTACTCATACATGGCATCATGGGGAGTTTAGCAACTTTCCACTCGATCAAAACAAATAGAACCAAGGCACAGGATCCTATGGCAAGCATGCTAATTACCATGGGCGAATCCCACGAAAAATAGGAGCCGCCGCCACTGATGGGAATGAGCAAGAGTATGACTCCCACAGACGAGGTCAGTACGCCTCCATAGTCGATCTTGCGCACGCTCTCTCCGAGCCCCAGAGTCCGCGGCTTAGATGGAAGGAGAAACCAAGCCACTCCCCCGACCAACGCCGTCAGGGGTGCCTCCATCCAGAAGAAAGCCCGCCACGTCGCCTTCTGGATGAACGCCGCGGCGAGAAACGGCCCTGTCACGTTGCCAAGCCCAACGAAGGCGCCGATGATTCCCTGGTATTTGCCCCTCTGCTCGAGCGTCACGGTGTCCGAGACGATGATCATGGACAGATTGGTGATGCCGCCGCCGCCGATTCCCGCCACGCCACGGAACACGTAGAACATGGCGGCGTTCTGGGAGAGGCCGCAGAGCAAGGCCGCGATGGAGAGGAGCGCGATGGCGCCTAGGTAGACGACCTTGCGGCCGAAGATATCGGATAGCCGGCCGTAGAGCATCTGGAACGTCGTATTGGCGATGAGGGACGACGTCCCGGCCCAGGAAATGGTATTCGCCGCGTTGAGATCCTTGGCTATGGTTGGGAGCGTGACACCGATACCATTTTGGTCCACACACTGGATGAGCAGCGTCATGGAGAGGGCAGCGAAGACTACGAGCAGTTTGGCTCGAGGCAGGATGTCGGTTTGGTCGTGGAGCGCCTTCTCGGCTGATCTTTGGCGACTGTCCATGTTGCTGGCTGCAAGGCGTTTCCCGCCCTTCAGCCTATGGACAAAGACTTACCGTTCTTGGGGCAGCCGGCCTGTCTTTGCTGGTATTTACTCTCTAGGAGAGGAGAGTGTCGGCATTCCCAAACAGCGGTAAGCAACTCGACAAAACGGTGCCGATTTGCCCTCATTTCGAATACTTTGTCATCTGCAATTGTCATCTGCAATAATCCGGCTTGCTCTCACTAATAATACCTTGTCGACATCCACATTTATTTTTCTGTCCAGTGGGGACCAGTGGATCTTGCGTCAGGGGTGCTGGGAGGTATTGGTTGGTTTTATTGTCATCGAGTCCCCATCCATCGGACGCAGGGTTGGATTGCCCGCCACTGGATGCTCCGAAGGTGTCTTTTCGGATGCGCTCCGAATGTGGGCATAAGCCATCGGAAGGCCGATGCTTAATCGTACCGTGAGGTGGGAGGGGTCTGTTATCAGCTAGTATCCATTTTGCCCATATCATGATTGCCAGTAATGAATTCCGCAGCAGTATTGCGTGGGTATGTGAGTAGCTTGGAATGCGGCAATGTGCTTATGATGCCCATGAGCGATCGTAGGCCGATGTTGATGTGGTCTCGGCAAGAGAGTGAGAATAGATGCATGGCTTATTTACCCCGGTCAGCCAACTCGACCTTTGCCAAATGCACACATATCATTGTTTAGGAGCTGGCGACCTTTATCTCATCGTTAACAGCTTAAGTAAGTTTGGCCGAGGCGATTCTGGCGATCATGGCAACTCTTCGAACAGTAAAGAGGGCCTTCTCTTTTCCTCCCCCGAGGAGCTCAAACAGTTTGTTCGAGCTCCACAGGCACCCGCCGAGGGCGCTGCATATTTCGATAGAAATATGTTGCCTACGCCAGCATGTTAGTGAGCTGTCGATGAATGCTATAGAACCCGACCTCTGACCAGCACTATACAACTATAGCCCGAAGAACATGGACTGCTCGGCACTTCCTTGCGTGCTACCTCACTCAAACCTTGATTCCGGTTGGGTTGGTATGTTCTCGACATATGAGTGGCTAAAATGTCAGACGAGAATCCTAGAACCAACGTGCTGTTGGTAATGGTGGCATGGCATGATCGCCACCGTCATCGGGTCCGTGATTCTGAGCATTGTGGTGCTCAGCTCGCACGGCGCAACCCATTATCATGTCGGCTTCCCCTTCTAATTTCGAGCATCCTCAGGCGTCCGCAGATCCATGGTCTTTATCGCTGTTAGGGCCTCGGTCATCATCATATACTTCGCCATGCAGAGCTACTAGAGTAAGCCTCGATCAACAAACCATTTTCAAGACCCTGGACGAATTAGCCTAACGTGATGAGTGAAGAAGGGGTGTGAGTACTGCAGTGTGCCTCAGGCCTATTTGTGGTTCGGCATGGGACAGTATCCCCAATAGACTGCCTGCCAGCGCCGGGATATCGTCGAAGAATCTCCTCGCCTTATTCGTCTTCTGGATCGTGCAGTTTCCGGCCATATTCCTCCATCCATCATGCTGCGACATCTGGTCGTGGTCAATGCCATTTGCCCATCAAGCGCACTCATCGCCGTGCTGGGATGGGCAGTCCACATGAACGGCAGCCAAATCGGCCGCTTTAGCTTCGACAAGCAGGTGGGTGGTCTTTAGCGGAAGCGCGCTAATCTGGCCTATGATCCAAGCTATCAATCCCGTCATGGGCGCACTGCGTCCTATTCTCATCTACCAACCCGAAGTCTCCAGATAAGCAACCAAGCCATCGCAGGCTATTTGATCCCAGGCCACTGGCACCCTCGTCTCCTAGGTGCTTGTTATGTTCATCAGTTGCGCCACGATGAGCGTCAGCACCGGCTCCATAGGAAAGTCCTACTGGAACGAACGTCTGGACTTAGACGACTGGCCGGCCGGAGCTCGAATAGGGATTTCCTTTGCGGGCTTCGGCATGGTGCTCGCTACGATAGCCACCAACACGGGTTCCAACTCGCTGCCCGTGAGAGTGGATGGCAGCGGTTTGTTCCCGCGGTATATCAATCTCGTTTGGGAACAGGTCATATGCGCGCTGCTCGCCACTGTGCGTGCCGTGGAAGATCATCTCGAGCGCTAACACTTTCCTGACTTTTCTAAAGTGTATATACCGTCTTCTTGATGCCCATTTACGGCATCATGATCATAGACTATGAATTAGATCCCGAGAGGCAGTGATTCGCATGTTCCCAGCTGGTGTACCAAAACCGAGGGTACGCCCTATATGCCTATTTCCACGGATGGAACCTCCGAGCTGTGGTGGCCTGGGCGTTGCGTTCACGGTACACTGTATAGAGGGATCGCTTGATCCAGATTCTGTTGGCTAGGGCAGCAAGAATGTGTACAAGCTCGCTTTCTTGTTCTCGCTTGCTACTATATGGGGTCGCTGGTGTATTATGTTGCAAACCTCATCTGGACAGTCCCAGTCTACCCAAGCTGCCAGCTTTGCGTACCTGGATAATTCAGAGGTCTTGGGATGCCGTCTGAGGGAAGTGAGTAACTAACTAACTAGGTGTGCGAAAAAAAGGCTTTGTTATTGGTTAGACTGGATGGAGTACTTACTAGCTTGGTTTGAGGTGGAAGACAGGAGGAGCTGATGATTCCCGTACAACAAATACTCGTGTAGGTCGTCGTGTCATAGACGTAGCCTGATGATATAAATTGCAATGACTTTATTATCTCTCTGTCTGTGAACTTGATAAATCCCGGACCTTTTCATCTGCCACTGCTTCTATGGGGCACACACACAATCAGTTATGTCAGACGTAGAAACAAAAGTAAGGAAGAATGATTAGTGTACAACAAAAATATGGTCATTGGATTGCCAGTGAACAAACAACACATATATATATATGTAGGTAATGGACGCGACCTACAAGGTTGTAAAAAGAGGAGCGAATGAGGATCGAACTCATGACCTTAGGATAATTGCTAACTGTAGACCAGTACTGCAATCCCACGCTATACCACTTAGCTACCGCTCCGATTGGGTCATTGTATTTTTCCGTTCAAAAAGCTAATTATATTTCGGACTGTTTTCGGAACAATGGACTGTGCCCACTGTCCCACACAGTAGAAGTCCGTGCGAGACACTGAAGGAAGTAATGGCTTTGCCAAACTTAACAACTCAACCTCTACGAGATTTATCACTCACTGTAAGTGGAAGTGGAAAAGAAAAAAGTATTCATTCTCCTGAAAAACCTGAACCTGAACCACGTGCAAATACAGCTATGGAAGCAGCGTGACATTAATTGCGGATACTCGGAAGAACGAAAGTGTATATATAGCTTTGAACGTAAACAATTCAAAAGATACGCCCATAATCGCCACTCATATCGTCATTCATAACGTGAGACTCATTACTCCCATGAACCATGGTCTTCGTTTACGCGTGGGATAAATTCTGCAACATCTCAAAGTCCGGCATCCACACGGGCGAACCCTCACCCTGATCGATCCAGCTAGCCAACTCAGCAACCACCCGCCACGCCTCTTGTTCCTCTCCCATGCCTCCTTGATGAATCTGACCGCTCCACGTCTCCCTTCCTGTTCTCGTTCCTGCACCATCACCACCACCGCTGACCTGCGCAGCCGCCTTCTCAGTTAACCTCCCATCACCACTCTGCAACTTCTCCATGGCCGCGTTAACAAGCAATTCAAACGCATCACGGTACTTCCCCACCCACGATGCCCTCTCCCCCATAATGAATAATACCAGCGAGCAAGCACGGATGTCATTGGCCAGCGCCACAGACCACACAGCGTGCGTCTGCGTCCACAGCCCGTACAGCAGTGTAAGTCCCGACACAAAGACCGTCTGCACCGCGATAAAGGAATGTCCGCAATCAAGCGTTTGGTGCAGCCGCTTGTGCGCCTGGCAGATGTCGCCCGCGGCCCGCATGCAGAGGGCATAGTAAGGGTCGTTTGGCGGCAGGAGGGCCAGAAAGGGCTGTACTAGTAAGCGGACGGCGCTGTGGTAATGCAACATGGGATACTGGAGGTCGCTGCCACCGAGGCGGTCGGTGAGGGACTGTTTCCAGTCCTCAAGGTCGGTGTAGAAGCGCGTCATTTTCGGTTGGAGCGAGGCGAGGGGCTTGTCGGCGCGGTAGATGGAGTGCTGGATGCGGGACTCGATTTGGCGGAGACGGAAGAGGTAGATGGCTGAGGTGAGTGGAGCTGTCCTGTTTGGCGAGTTGCTACTACCGATAGAAGGTGGGGGAGCGTCATAAATGCCTATTTCCGTATAGTCAGTGGGCAGCGCGACGTCGATCTGGCGGTCTGCTATGGAAAAGGGCCGACCCATGGAGATGGCGATATTTCGTTCGAGGGAGTAGACGCTCCAGAACAGTCGTCGTCTCATTTGGACCGTCGAGGGATCGTAGTTGACCTCGTACCCTTTTCTATGCAGGCCGAGGTCGATGCTCGTTCTCATCGCGAGGCCAATCATGTACCATATGCCAAGACTTGAGAGGGATCGAAGGTGGTACATAACAAGAAGCGTCATGGCTTCTACATTCTGGATCGTCCGTGACTCTCGGGCCGCGGTAATATGCTGTAGAGCGGAAGAATAGTAGCTCTGCATAACTGTTAGTCTGGGAACCAAGAAGCACTGCCTAGTCTTTCGTACCTCTGGGGGGGAACTCGTGTACTTCTCCGTCAACTGAAGCAGCATTGCTCCGATTGCATACACCATGTAAAGCTTGAAGATGCCGTACCTCTGTGGCTTTGTCAGATTCGTTACGGGAGTGGAGGCAAGATTAATTCTATCCTCGTGCAACCGATAGACCTCATCCGGGTCTAGGAAAGGGTATCGAGAGTGAAGCTGGCTGAAGTAAGCACCCAGTATGTCGCGACCCAGCTCGTCCGTGGGCGGTTCAGCACTATTCGCAGCTAATTCCTTCATCGTGATGACGCGACTCCTGTTGCCAAGTCCTGACTTATATGTAGGACTGGCGGCGATGTCTCTCCGAGCTCTGTTGACATCGGGACTTTCAGGGGGGACCGGCAACGCTTTGTTCCAGACGGTAGCTTGCACTATTTCGCCCAGGTTCAGTGCTAGGGACAGTCCAGACGAATTGCCGATGTAAGCAGGCGCTTCGAAGTTACCCATTGAGATTAGCTCGGCGACTTCTCCAAGTGCATTGGTCCGGGGTGGATCGTTGGGGCTCGTAGGTGGTTGCTGGGCCTCCTCAACGGGGTGAGCACCGTTGACTAGTTTTAAGCGGGACTCAAGGAAAGCAACTCTTCCTTCCAAAGCGCGAGTGTATCTAAGGGCCTGAGTTAATTAGGTTTGTCTTCCGGGGCTGGGATGGATCTTACGCTGCAGGCGGCTCGTCTTCAGTAACGGTCGTTTTGTCACATCCAATCCCTGCCTTTTGACAGTTTGAGCAGTTGGGCCATTGGTCGTCACACTTTTTCTTAGTGATTAGCAAGACTATGGTACTTGCCATGGAGGCAATGGTCTCGGCTCACTTTTTGCTTGCGGTTCTTACATCTGTGACGAGAATCAGTCGTTCGATGTCTCACACGTACACGACGAGACGATTGATCGCATCCCCAATACTCGAATGACCATGTCTAATACCATCAGAACATCGACTTACCTCGTACAAGCAGTTCGACCTCGCTTCCTGGGATTCGGTGCATCGGCTGTGCTCCTCCGCCTGCCCGTCACCGTGGGCACGATCGGGGGTGCCGTCACCGAGGACATGATGAACGGCGAATCACTAATATTTCTGATCATTATTTTGAGCGTCCAGATGGATTTTCGTCTACTAGACGGATGTCCGACTCTTACATATCCTTCCTGGGCCCCCGCCATATCTTGTGAATTCCGTTAGTCATACCCCCGATTACAGCTCCATCCTACCGATGGCCTCCGCTCGCAATGACATGGGGGTGATCGGAAGCTGCGATCCGCTATTGACTGGGGCCAACTGCGAACGACGGGTTTATAGCAAACGGTGGGTCCTGCTTTCATCATTATCACCGTCCATCGCCAGAATCATGACCGTTTCTGGAATGTTGCATTAGTGAGCAGCATCTCCGTATGCACGTCGGCTTGGCACATATGCTACAGTGGTCATCAATAATTATGCCCACGGCCTGTATTTTCACTACTAAAACACAAGTATTACTAAATGCTATACTACATTAACTAAACATCGCAATAAGGGTTCAAGTATACTAGTATGGTTCGAATCATACGAGTTGTTGATTTATAACTCAATCTCAATATATGTGCTTGCCTTTTGAAAACTACTCCTTTATCTAATAAAGAAATCAATCAAGTTTATGATTTTGAAATACTTCTCGAGGGAATCATTCCTGTTGATGACTCCGATGAATGTCGATTTGATCGCTACGCCTGCTCTACACGTTTTGCTACATAGGCCGTCGGTTTTGCGAGCTCTATGAGGTGCTCTTTGCTCTCAGGAAGGAAGGGAGGAAGCGTCTGACCCCCTAGCTGTACTAGCAACTGTGCCGCTTTTGGCCTAGGGTATAACTGTGGCGCCCAATCCCACACTTCTTACTCATAACTTCTAAGCTTATATTAGGCTTTCGAATAACAAAATAATGAATAGCTTAGATAATCATTATAGAACTATGATTTGACGAATTGTGTATTGTAGGCTATACTTCTTCTTTCTATCGTAGTATTCCAATTGAATTTATACACTATCCTCGAATATAGTGAGATTGGGTAAGTCTTGGTGGGGAAATGGGACTCGTATGCAGACTTATTGAGGGTCACTGCATCTGATCACCTCGAACTCTGTCAAGTGATTTCCCAGTGAACTTGTTCGGCATTTTGCAAGTGGATTAGTAATGGCTGTTAGACAGGAAGCCGAGCAGCTCTCTTCCGAGGCTTCAATAATGCAATCACATCTTGCCGCCGTAATTGACTAAGACGTAGTGTCACGTAGACTATTCTTGTATGCGCATGAAATTGGAGCAAAAGTCCCGGATATCATGGACAATAGATGGTGCGGGCAGGAATCTCGTTGCAAGTGTCCCCCCCAAGGTTCATACCTTCCTTACCAACACCATGTCCCTTCCCAGGCCAGCAGTTCAACTTGAGCGGCTAAGAGGATTTTCGCGAATTAGGATTTCTGTAAGAACGTCTATTCGAGTTACGGTCATACCACAACAAACCCCTTACAATGAATCGATCAAGAATGTCCGCAATGGACCGATGTTGAGAGTCCAGACGGAAGAATGGGGTTTGAGTAGACGGATGCTATGGTATGATCAGCCGATACGAACAAGGGGCATCTTTATTCCTGCCGAAGCGCATGTTCAAGCACCATCCAGAGGCAATAGAAAATGCCACGCGGCTGTCGCCTATCATGCGGTCCAAGTGTTAGTGTTATGCATGACTCCGATGAGAAGCATTAGCGTTGCCGCCTCCCCCGATTTCCCGACCTCCCAACAAAAAAGCTTGACAATTGATTCCTGCTCATGATTTCTGCGGTTCGACGGCATCTGTAGTTGCCTTTGACCTCGGGAACTTTTTAAGTCGAGCGCGAAATCCGGGGTTCAGTGCCTAATCAGGCTTAACCCCGATATTAGCGCAGTCCTTGTGACCGGTGCCGCGACGTCATTCCCAGTTCCTAATTACCCGGAGCGCAACTGTGGCTGCCGTTGCCATTCCTCGCCAGCCTTCCAGCAACGTGCTCATCATACGTTTTCGAAAGAGTTCAAGAGCTGGTCTGCCCTTCATTCAATAATACAGATGCTGGCCTATGTCGCGTAGCGATGTCAACAGCTTTAGGCTTCTCAAAGCATCACTCCAGCGACTATGGCAGGCGAATCACCCAAATCTCGAGTGTCTTTTCTTGCCCGGAAACCGCACCACAACTACGGCTTTCCCGACGATGCCTTTGACCACACCCAGCTACCTGGCGTCGACGAGAAGTTCGTACCCGACGAGGACATCGCCGCCTTTGTCCAGGCACTCAGTGCCCCTGAACCCTTCCACTCTTCGACCGACGATGGCTCCTTTCTACAAAGCCCCGCCCTGCGTAGCGGCAGCAGTATCAATATCCCGCCTCCGTGGCAGCAAGGCAATGCTAGCCCAGCTAGGTCGAGCAATGGAATACCACGGCACAACAGCCAAGCGAGCCTACTCATATCGGCGCAAAACGACTGGGCGCCCGTCAACGAAAGGGTGTCCAAGTCGGGCAAGAGGCGTCGCAAGAGACGGAGTGCGCTAGGAAGAAGTGTTGACGAGGCGCGAGAGGGCTATCTCTATGCTCTACTCAGATGGCCGTTTCTTTTCTTCACGATGACCTGGATTTTGTGGCTTGGTGTTGCGTACCTCGCCACCAGGTTCTACGTCTGGGGGTACGAGTACTTCGTCGCCTGGCGTGGTCAGCGAGAGAGACTGCGCAGGAATATGCGCGCGACGAGCAGCTACCGAGACTGGGTGAATGCGGCGAAAGATCTCGATGCGTTCCTGGGAAATCAGTACTGGAAAGAGGACAACGATTATGCTTACTACGATTCGAAGACGGTTCGTCGCGTCTGGGAACAAATTCGCAAGCATCGTCAAGCTGCCGAGGCGCAAGAGGCAAAGGCCTCTGCTGCTCCTGGATACGTCAATGGGGACGCGCCGGCAGATGCCCAGGCGAAGAGGCCAATTGACGACCTCAAAGCGATGATCGAAGCATGCGTAAAGAGCAACTTTGTCGGAGTTGAGAATCCGAGGCTGTACAGTGAGACATATTACGGTACCAAAAACCTCATTCAAAACTTTGTTGATGAAGGTATGTCGTTGTTCTTACCCCTATGTAGCTCAGCAATCAGCAATATGCGCTACATATTGACATTGTGCCACAGTTGAAAAGGGTCTGCGGCTACTAGTCCGCACTGAACAGATCCCGCTCGAAGAGAAACAAATTTTGTTCAAGCACTTGCACACCAACTACGGTCGCACCGCTCTGTGTCTCTCTGGCGGCGCCACCTTTGCGTACTATCACTTTGGAGTTGTCAAAGCATTGCTCGAGGCAGACCAAATACCCGATGTAATCACTGGGACAAGTGGAGGTGCGTTGGTGGCTGCGCTCGTCGCAACACGCACCAACGAAGAGCTGAAGAACTTGCTCGTGCCGGCTCTGGCACACAAAATCACTGCCTGCTCGGAGCCATTCACAACTTGGCTTCCGCGGTGGTGGAAGACGGGTGCCAGATTCGACTCAGTCGATTGGGCACGCCAGTGTGCGTGGTGGGCCCATGGCTCCATGACCTTCCGCGAGGCGTACGAACGTACGGGCCGCATCCTGAACGTTTCCTGTGTGCCTGCTGATCCTCACTCTCCCACCATTCTCTGCAACTACCTTACGAGTCCAGACTGCGTCATCTGGTCAGCAGTGTTGGCTTCGGCAGCCGTTCCCGGCATCCTTAACCCTGTGGTTCTGATGATGAAATCCAAAAACGGATCTCTCGTCCCGTACTCCTTTGGGCACAAATGGAAGGATGGCAGTCTGAGGACGGATATTCCCATCAAAGCACTGAACTTACACTTCAACGTCAACTTCACCATTGTTAGCCAAGTCAACCCTCACATATCACTTTTCTTTTTCTCTTCGCGCGGCACCGTTGGGTCCCCCGTCACTCACCGCAAAGGACGGGGTTGGCGGGGCGGGTACCTCGGATCTGCGCTTGAACAGTATATCAAGCTCGACTTGACTAAATGGCTCAAGGTCTTGCGACATTTGGAACTCCTACCCCGACCACTGGGTCAAGACTGGTCCCAGTTGTGGCTCCAACAATTCAGCGGAACCGTCACTATTTGGCCCAAATCCAAGCCCAGTGACATCCTACGGATTCTAGCTGACCCGGATAAAGACCGACTGGCGCGGATGATACACGAGGGACAACAAAGTGCCTTCCCCAAGTTGAAGTTCATTGCCAACAGACTCAAGGTGGAGCGTATGATTGAACAGGGCAGGAAAGAGACGCGCAGCGCTAGGAGAGGCAGTCTCGAGAGCATCATCAGTGAAGACGACCTACAAAGTCTACTACTCAACCAAACCAGTGGAACGGAAGACGAGAGCACGGATGACATGGACTCAGAAGTCATTGATGATGGTAATTTTGAGGAAGCTGTGGGGGATATCAAGGAGGAATGATGGTTGTGCGGAGGGCGGTTGACCGCTACTGTACTACTGCCCAGTTACATGGGAAGGGCGGGATAGCATTCAACAAGGAGTAAAAGGAGGCGTCATAGATTGTTGGCATGGTGCAGCCATTATAGGTATCGGTATACTTACTTTTTTTAGAAAAGAAAAAGAAGCCAGAACGTGTCATCAGCAGCCTGAACGTTGGAATGGAGGGCAGGCACATGGAATGGCCGTACGAGCGCAGCGGCTACATTGATGGACGCCTACCCACGGCCGCGGATATGATCCGGGGACCGCATGATTACGAATGCGACATCACCGCCTCTCCCCTTTCTTCACGACATTAACGGCCGTGTAGCCTGCCACTCTGTCTGACTAAGTGACCTCGCCCTCGCTTGTCTCGCCCTTTCGGAAGTCACCGTGGCACCGTAAAAAGCACAAGCAAACGTGTCGACGGCGAAAAGGGTGGCCCACTATCTCTGCCGGAACCAACCTTAGCCATATGCCGGGTTCAATAACGTGGTACCGCATAACCTTGTGAAGGCACGCAGCTGTCTGCTCCCTGCCCGTCTGCTTGTTAGGGAACCATGGAAGCGGGACCATGGCACGATTCGCTGCTTACCGGTGTTCCTTTTCTTGGAGTTTTCCATGCACGTCTTTCCAGGACAGAGCGGGTGCCAGCATACGGACGGGCGATCTCCCTGACCCCTGGCAAGATCGCTTCTGCAGCTACGCGAAGCTTATCTCGAGCACAGTGACGTGTCGTTCTTTGGTTCCTCACTTTCCTTCTATTTAAGCGACTTTTCTGCAAAGAAGGAGAAACGAAAAGATGATGGTCGTCGGTCGGTGCGTGGAGGTGGCTTGGCCTGGTCTGGATTTAGTATAGAAGTTCCAATGAAGGTTGATAAAAGCCTCCTCCACTAAGTCCCCTTTTAACTTCGCATCGTGGCCCGGCCTAAGGTACTTAAGTCGTTACTTGCATTCGCCTTTCGGCGTACCTAGTTCCGTAAATACCTACTACCACGGCCGTACTTAGGTCGTCGTCTCGCTTCTGTCCAACTATTACTAAGTCAGCCCGGCTCGGCTGCTTTCGGCTCCTTACAGCACAAATCACCACAATTCGGGGTCGGTCAAGTCGTCATCTGTGCCACGCAGCTTGGTGTTTTCATTCCCAAGGCAAATGGCATGACAACTTTGGCGCAGCAGGGTCCAAGACAGAGTTATGTTGTCACTTGTCAAAGTTGCTGATTTGTTAGGTTTAGGTTGGATTATAGGGGTGCAAGTTTGCCTGTCGTGTTGTTGTTTCTAGTTCGTCGAACTTGCGCTTTTCTATTTTGTGTCAATCAATCGTGAAGCGCGACTCGCCGGATGTTGGTCAACGTTGGATCATTATCTAAAACATTTTAAATTGAGTCTTCGTTTTCGTCTCAATTCTATTTCTAGGACGCACTTTCCTCGTTATTCAGGAGCAAAGTTTGACCTCGACCTCACACGACTTCCTCACTCCACACGAGTCTTGATATACATACACCTGGTGAAGCGCAGTCAACCCATCTATCTGGTCACGCTTTCCCTCAAACCCAAACATCATCACGATGCCAGCCCCTTCGAACGGCACTCATGCTACCAATGGCACCACTAACGGTGAGAGTTCAGCCACACCTCGGTACGATACCAAGTTCACGGACGCTGTCATCGCCGCTACGGGCCCCAATGCAAACCCGCGACTGGCCCAGATCATGCCAAGCCTCCTCCGACACCTGCACGATTTCGCCCGGGAGGTGGACCTTACCGTCGCCGAGTGGACCACCGGTGTAGACATGGTAAGTCACAGCCACCTCACCTCCCCCATTTTCTTTTTCTGCATCTATACGATTCATGATGCAAACTCGTGTCCTTTACCATAACCGTCACATTACTAACGTAAGCTCCCAATCCCCGCTAGATCAACCAAGCCGGCCAAATGTCCGACGACAAACGCAACGAAACCCAGCTCCTCTGCGACATCCTCGGCCTCGAATCCCTCGTCGACGAAATCTCGTCCAAACTCTTGCAAACGCCCGGCAGCAAAACTACCCCCAGTGCCGTCCTCGGCCCCTTCCACCGCGCCTCCGCGCCCGTCCTCTCCAACGGCAGCAGCATCATCCACGCTTCTCCGACCTCCCCCTGGTACAAATCCGCCTCGGACCTCCTAACCCACATCTCAGGCCGCGTCATCAGTTCCACCAGCGGCACGCCCATTTCCAACGCCTCCATTGACGTCTGGGAAGCGGGGCCCAACGGCATGTACGAGCAGCAGGACGAGGATCAACCCGACATGAACCTGCGCGGCCGCTTCGAGACCGATTCTGAAGGACGTTATGCCATGGTATGCTTGCGCCCGACTGCGTACCCGATCCCGTACGATGGACCGGCGGGGAAGCTGCTGCAGATGTTGGATCGTCACCCCTACCGGCCGGCGCACATCCATTTCATCGTTTCGGCTAAGGGCCACCGCACGCTGACAACGCAGGTTTTTGATAGAATGGATGATTATGTGAAGAATGATGCCGTGTTTGCCGTCAAGCAGGAATTGCTGGTGGACTTTGTGTCGCGCAAGGGAGACGGAGAGGTCAAGTGGGAGTTGGAGTATGATTTCATCCTGGCGGAGGAGAACGGTCACTAGCTAGTCAGATAGGTTGTACTTCTGGCGGTCATGGCGGTTATGGCGCTTCGCTCGGGAAGATAGACAAGATTGTCATGAGAAGGGGACACTTCGTGTTAGAGTGATGGGTTTCCTGTGTGAAAATGAGAACTCGTGGATTTAGAGATTAGTCTTTGCTCTTATTTTTCAAGAGAAAAAAGGAGACTGGACATTGTTAGAGGATACCCCAGTAGTGAACTAGTCAATCTAGACAACCGCAGACCAGTGTAACTCCCGCACCTTGTCTTCAATGAGAGAATATATATATAAAAACACATACGCCACCCATGAATTAAATATGAAAAATGAAGCTAGAAGAACCCACTGTGTGCGCAAATTACGAGCCCCGCATTTTCCTGTCTAGCTCGTCTAAGCTCCCTCTCTTTACCCTCAAAATACTAGCTCTAGGCAGAGGTTCCCTGCTTACTACTACACGAAGTGAGGCCTGCCCTGCTTTCTCTTATACTCCCGAGTGTTACTGTGCGCTAAGCAGTGAATCCCCTACCTAAACTAGCCAACGCTGTTGCGCCGTTATGAGTTGCAAGCACTATGAGGCTCCCCAATCGCCGATCAAATCAATGCGCACTTGATGTGTAGTCCATATTACATACGAAAATGTCATCGGAAATCAGAAGTCGGATACAGCGGGACGTTGAGGTGGCCCACGGGCACCTGCACCGGGCCAAGCCCGTACGTACCAAAACCTTCGGCTACTTGGTGGCCCTCAGGGTGTGGATGAGGCAGTGCCATGCCTCCTGTAGGGGCTTGCCAGTTGGGCCACAAGCTGTCGAAGTCGAATTCTGCCTCAGGTCCGTTCAGATGGTCCATGCCGTGGAGACCAGATGAGACTACGCCGCTGCTGTTAACGGGCGACGTATTACTGCCATCAGGGCTTGGTTGCTGAATGACCGAGGGAACCATGGGCGGCAGTGTTGCTGGCAAGCCCGCGGATAACATGACCCGGCCGTTTTTCGGACCCGGTGCGAGCGGAGGTAGTGGTCCGCGGGAACCGGCTTTGTCCGACTGGAAGAAGTGGGCCATCGGATCGTAGTCGGCGTTGCGGACCAGTGTCTTGATGGTGGGTATCCGCCGGCCCGGAAGGGACAATTGTCGCGCCGTTGCTGGGCGGGTTTTGTTGGCTTTGTGAAAACTTTCAACAATGTACGAGACCCGTTCCGCCTGGGGGTCGTATTCGGCGCAGTATCTCAGAATTGAGATACAACTCTGGATGGCCCGGTCCCCTTCGGGATTATGATACAACGACGCAAACTCGTTGCTCAACACAATCAACCCTGATGCGAAAACAAAGTGTCTGCACCATGTTAGATACGTTACAGTGTTGCTGAAGACGGGGGGATATACATCACGAAGGGATTGCAGTGCGGAAGATATTCCGCGTCCAGCGCATTTTGAGCAAGAATTAGGGTATGCTGCGAAGCCTCGACACAGGTTTGTGCAAATTTCTCCATCCGCTGGCTTATGCGGTAAGATTTCTGACTGCCACCCGACCTCTCATGGCCTTTGCTGAGAATGTACAAGAAAAACGGTCTCGTGAGAAGGATGATGGCATGACAATGGAGTAGGTTAACATGCAAGTTGGCAATACCAAGGCTTGGGTCCACCGGACCAGACATGGCCTGTTTCCAGTGAAGAATCTGGTCGAGCTTGTCGTTCCAGTCCTCAAGCTGATTGGCAATCTCCTGCGCAACTGTAGTAGATATTTTGCGCTTCGAGTATACCCGTTTGAGCGTAATGCCAACGACGTGGCAAGTCCTCACAGTAGCATTAAGCGCTGCTGAATTGACTCTCTCCGTGTTGTTGGATAATCCGGCTGGACCAGAAAACTCCACAGGTGCTTCTAAGGCATGTTCCGAACAATCGTCTTCGGAAATGGCAGTTGGTCTGCCGAGAGACGCCGCAAGGAATCGATCGAGGACGAACAAACTCCTCCAAAGATTTCTTCGAACTTTGCGCTCGATGCCGCTGAAAAGGACCATGCTTTCTTCCCTGTGGAGCCCGAGAGCAAAAGCGGACCTCACGGCCATGCCTGTTTTCGTCAGCAACGCAATGCCGTCTTCGGAGATTCACACCAGTGCAACCCACCACAGTATGCGTACGATGCATTCCTCTTCGAGACGGACAGCATATACAGTGACATCAGAACAAGTGCCTGAATCGACCAGAAATCCGCGTCTTCGAAGCCCGACACTGGGTCGGCGAGGCTCTTGGCATTCCTGTAGAACAGTTCGGCACGGTTCACGTCTTCTGAGCGGAGTCTTTTGATAATGGCCTCTGCTTCAGTGCCAGATGGCGGTTTAGCTATCACCAGACCAATCGAAAACACCAGATAGAGCAGACACAATACTGAAGGATTGACACTGAGTGGATCGTTGTAACACTCCATCGTGGAAGCCAAGAACATATCCTTGTCGAACACTTCGACGAAGCCGATAGTCTATTACCGATTAGTATAACCTCCAACGAGTATTTGGGTTGTCATTACATTTGTGAAAAATGACTCCACTAGGATGTTTGCTGTTCGTCGGTCTGGAAGCACGCCAGTGGGCCGAACCGTCGGCGGTATAGACACCTGCGCCTCCATTATCATGTGCCGCCGCGGATCCCGAGTAAAATCAGATTCCCCAGAGATCTCCTCGACGATCATGCGGATAAGTTGTAGGTATGACAACGTCGCCGAATCACCCAAGTAGACTGTTAGGAATCCGTTAGTCGCCACTTTTTAACTCAGGTGGCAAGTTATAGCAGGCTGGGACAACTGTAACAGTGCATAAGAAACGCCCTTCATCCGATTCAGCTGGTCCTCAGCCGTAGGCACCCCTCCAGGGTGGCCAGGAAACTGGAACAAGTGCTGTACAATCATGGCAAGGAAATACTCTGAACAGGCACTCACGTAGTCTTCCGGTCGAGTCCTGAAGCATCCTTTGTGAGGGATAGACTTCAGCCTCGTCTGCTGCTCCACTTGTATTGCTCATCCTGGATCTTGAATCGGAGTCGCGTTCTTTAGCATCGACAAAGTGCCGCGTTGAGACAGCGCGTGGTCTAGGGATACTGGGAGTCAGCTCCGGTTTCACCAGACTGGCGGGCGACACCTCGACAGAGTCCCACGGCGGCAACGGCGGGTTGCGTGCTGGGCCGTGGTGGAGCTGCGCGTTCGACTCCTCTGGACTCGACTTGATTGCTCTTGGTGAGCCGTCGACATGGCGGCGTTTCGTTGGAGAAAAAACAGGACTCTGACTAGCCTCCAGAATCGCCGGTGTGTACTCGCACTGAAGCTGCCGTTTGGTACATGTGTTGCACGGCTTCAACCCGTTGCACTGGGATATTATCGTCAGCAGCTGAGTGACATGTGCTACCTAGATGGCTTGTGTTATAGTATTTGTCGGGTGACGGATATGTAGCATCGTCAAGAGGACATTGCCGCTTGGCTTGAATTTGCTGCGGGTAGCTACACAAAAGTTCCGTAGGTGAGACAAACTGAGCGCATGGAAGTTCGACCGACATGTTTTGCTCGCAAGATGATGACATAGCAGCTTCATTACGTGGCCTCGAATGTGAACTCGTGATGTCGCGGTTCGTGATAGCTGGGCTGCTTCGCAAGCTTGCACGCATTCCCGGCTCTAATGAGTTTTGACACAAACAAACCAAGCGCATAGACTGGTCAGAGATAACCGTACCTTTTGTTTCCGGCGCTTACAGCTATCGCAAGCACACGCCGTCCTTTGTCGCTTTTCGGGATCGACGCGAGGACGGGTCTAGCCAGGGCGGATGGTTAATACAAACACGGCAGATTTCGACATGGTGTCATGAGTCGCGGAGAACATCTCACCATAATGGCATTTCCAGCGACCAATTCTGGATCTGCTGGGACGGAGCGGCGCCGAGTCCAGTGTCTGACGAGATAAAGGGTCCTGGACCTAGGTCATGCTCGTCGGAAGAGAATCCAGCTCAACTATGGTGTCGGTATGCGACAAATCGGCGCGTGGGTCAAGGCCAACCAGCGGGATCCAAGCCTGGATATCGTTCCGAAGTAGGCTTTCCCCCCAGAGTGATGTCAGTCTAGCCCGTAGCCTGTGACGCAGAAAAGGAGGGGGGCGTGTCGATGCTCCGATACAGCTCTTGCTTTCAGCCCCGCGCAAGGTATTGACAACAAGACTTCGAAACCTGGAGCAACGGGAATAGTCGATGGAGCTAAAACTATGGTTCCGGATGCACTGGGAAGTAAGAAAAATCCGCAATACGCATCAAATAAGTTTGGTCGGATGCGGGAAAATGCGATGGGCAATCTTCAAGAGCAATGCAAGGGAAGACTCACAGCAGCTTTCAAAGGCATGGGTGTCCTCCAACGTCGAGGGCCCAGAGGTCCATAGCCCCAAAGAAAGTATCAGCATCTGCCCGCCAACCCGGCCCCAAAGTAAAGTCTCGACCATGGCGGATTGACTCGAGATAGGTGGGATAAACTGTAGCCCGTGATTGGACGAAGGGCTCTGGCATCTACCTCGTCTTGCCGGTTAGGCTGGGTCTGGCAAGAGGGGTGGCGCGCTTCTCGACAAGGTTCTGATGGGATCGCTCGAGCTGTTTTACCTGCGCAGGGGAAACTGGGTTCGCGAGTTTGTGCGACTGTCGAAAGATGCAAGTGCGCGAGTGCAGGACGGGCCGCCTTTTTGACGAACGTCAACTCAGCATCCCGTCGCCTAGAAAGTGACTGGTCATTCCCGCTTCCAAGATCTGGGAAACCTTCCTTTGGTAATAAGCCGAGTGGTCATTGCATCCCCGTAATTCCCAGGGACGTGACAAACGGTCAGATGTCAATCTCTGGCGTGAGTACCAAGTACGTAGGGTATTGTGGAGTAAAAAGCAACCTCACCCCGGAGTCCCATCTCTCGGCACCGGAAGATGCGTCGGGTAGCGCACCTGATTATTGCTCCGCATTGGACCGCTTGCGCGCTTGTGGCAGGAACGTATTTTCCAGAATGCGAGTCAACTACGTAGTATTCCTCAAAACTACAATTTGAACCACGCACCATAAGGCTTACATTCTGCGTTTCTATGAGAGTCCACCTTGAGCCACTAGGACCAGCCTCTATCCGCGCATCAGCACTATCTCACAATTTTACGAACCAGCTCGTGCCTAGCAAACGAACGACTTGCAACCCGGCCCAAGCCTTCAGGTCGACGCCCAGGATCAAGGTTATGACTGCCGAGACTTGGGCGCGTCGGATCGTGCACCATGGATTCTAAATCCTTTTTGGGTAGCCGCCCCCGACGACATGCCTTGCGTGCACATGTCTACGGTTGGTAAAGTCTGACAGTTGGGTGTAAGCCAGCTTTTTGTGCTCGTCCATGACGAACCATATCTTCGCTTTTGGGCAGCTGCCACAGCTGGGGTGATACCGCATCTGATGAAGGCTGTGGGCCCTGCCGCCAAAAGCCTCAAATGCATTCGTCTCACCTTTTACATAGTAGGGCGCTTTCTGGCATTGGCTGGAAGAACCACGCCTGACTCGACATGTCGGTTAGGACAAGTGGAGTTCAAATAAGGCTACGACCACGAGATCTCCACGAGACCTCCACGAGACCTCCATTCTCCACCAGTATCCTTCTCCGCAGGATCGCATCGCAAAGTCACGGACATAATTAGTTTCTTGGTCCAGTTGAGCTTTGAGCAGCTATTCCGCGAATTGCGCCCGATTGTTTTCCTGCAGCTTCTTGGCTGGTCACCGGCTCTTTTGCTCACGCCAAGATCCCGGCATGGCCCGCTTCGTTAGCTGGTGCTAATCAACACCTGGATGAGACTTCGCAGTATTGCCGGCTGCAGAAGCCAATTTAGTTGACAGGGCCGGATAGCTTCCTTGCGCCCGCTATTCCAGCAATGTGACAAGTTGCGGCATCAGTGATGGATCATCATCTCTGCCTTCCGACACTCCTGGATCACAGCTTGTGGATCACAGCATTTGCAGTTATCAGGCCAGACAGGCCTATCAAGCCTCCGGACTTCTCATCCACCTCTCCAGTGAGATTCGCCAGCACGCTCTCATGACTACTACTCCATAGGCGAATATGAGCTGTCTCATTTCTATTATCTCATACTTCACTAATTCCTGAGACGGCCTCTGACTTTTGTATAGTATGGCCTACACCTGAAGAACGTTTCGTTCTCCTCTTTCCTGGATACCTTGATATTCCTAAATCATACCGAAGCTTCTGCAGCAGCGGCTCGCGTCTATCCATTACACTATGCTCTTTTCTGATCCTCTGTGCTACCGAGTAATCTCTGGAGCATATGTTGCCCTTGAGGCTCTTATTTCGGCATGCCAGGCCGGCGAGGAGCTGCCCGACGAGGTCCAGGACTACATAAAACATGTCGCATTCTCAAATACTTCTCCCAGTGGGGACATGATCTGCTTTCCTTGTCCACTGAGGGAGCAAGAAGCTGGTGCGGCACTCAAAGCGGTAGAAGGGTGCGCGACCGCAGCCCTGTGCGATCTGCGATATGGGAAGCAAGGGAGGGACATCAACGTAAATTTAGAGAGGGTGACCTGCTTCTTGATGTCGGCCTATGTGACTACCTTGGACGGGCTGGGTAAGGGTCACCCCAAGATCAAGTTTCGGCTTCCAGGTGTGTTTTCCCGCCGTTCCTTACGTCGGCGGTTATTGACAACAAGGACCAGATACCGACTTGAATGAGGCACAATCTATACTTTATCGGCGGCTAGCCGCGAATTTATACGAGACTCGCAATCCAGGCGAATATTACCACATCCATGGGTCGCTCGAGGCAAGCACGACGTTGCGCATGTTGGGCCTGCCCCCCTTTCTGCCGGGTGCAACCGACTACCGCCAGTGTATTGACGCAATCGAAAGCGCAGTCAAGAAGTTCTCTGTTAGCGAGCTAGAACAAAGAAATAGAAAGTGTCGCCAGGCTGGTGCCCCAGCGCTGACTAAAGACCAGTTCAGGCAGACGGCACATGGACGCGCTCTCGCAAAACTTGCCCCTTTCACCGTTCGGCCCCTGGGCACGATTACGCCGCCAGTCGCATTCCCGGCAGCGAATGCGCCCCAGACAGCAGCGCGACAATGTCTGGCTGGGATACGAGTGCTGGAGCTGTGTCGCGTCATAGCCGGCCCTACGATTGGCCGGTCGCTGGCCGCGCATGGCGCGCAGGTGATCAAGGTGACCTCGCCAAAGCTCCCTGACGTGCCGTTCTTTCAGCTCGACGTCAACACGGGCAAACACACGACATCGCTGCATCTGAAAGACCCCGCCGACCGGGCCATCTTCGAAGATCTCTTGGCGTCAGCAGACGTCTTCATCGATGGGTACAGGCCAGGCGTCCTGGCCTCGCTCGGCTACTCGCCCGAATCCCTCGCGGCCAGGGCGGCCCAGTACTCGGGGCGCGGCATCGTCTACGTAACCGAGGACTGCTTCGGCGGGACGGGCGTCGCGGGCGCCGAATGGGCCGATCGTCCCGGCTGGCAGCAGATCGCTGACTGTGTGACGGGCGTCGCCTGGGAACAGGGCTGGTCCATGGGGCTCGACGAACCCGTTGTCCCACCGTTCCCTATCTCTGACTACGGCACAGGCATCCTCGGCACAGTAGCAGCTCTCACAGGACTGTATCGGCGAGCCACCCACGGCGGGTCATGGATCTGTCGCACCAGTCTAATTCAGTACAACACATTCCTCTTATCACTGGGCGCATATCCGCCAGTTGTCCAGGAGCAGCTCTGGAAACGCCACGACCGTGACTTGTTGGCTCTGCGACACAGCGACTCGGTCGACGAGGTAGGCGCCCGTGCCCTGAGGAGCATCAGGAGGCTGCACCCAGACCTGTTTGAGGAGGGCATGATGCAGGAGGCGTACAGCGAGGGCTTTGGAGGAGTGGTCAGGTGGCCCAAGGAGCCACTTGAGGTCACGGGGATAAAGGTAGGACATGTTCGACCTACACGACCGAATGGGTTCGACCCTCCTTCGTGGGACGGCTGGGACAAAGACAAGGCATTATTGGATGCATGAACGGCGGCATGTCAGACCTGTCAACTTTCTTTTTTCCGTGAGGGAGGGTGGGTTACTGTGATCATTGGGATAGGAGCATGGGAGCGGCGCGCCATCCACTCGTTTCCGTGCTACATAATCTGCGCGTGGCCTTTCCGTTGTAGACTTAGCGTCAGACATACTGACAGACATACAGGTAGGCAGGCAGAACAGTACTGTAGAAGGCATAAGAAACATCTATGAATGAAATTCATGCGTAGCCCATTCGTGGCTTTCCGTCGTGGCATAGCATCCATAATAGCATCCCCTCTAGTACAGCTTTTTAAGTGTCTCCCCCTTTGTCAACTTTCAATTCACAGCACTAGTCTTCCAGGGTCGTTCTCGAGAACCACCTTCAATCGTGCCAGAAAAGCTTGAGCCCTCTTCTCTTCAGGTTTGGACACTGTGAGGCTGAAAGTGTTGACTCCAGTCGAGATGCCCGATGTGCGCAGCGACTTAGGGGCACTCCGCTTAACAGTTCCAGCTAAGAAGTCAATAATGTCGACCTTGGCCGACTTCGGCTTCGGCGCTACCCCGGTGAAGGAACTTGGTGGCAACGCCGAGATTTGAGGCATGTAGTAGCCTCTTGAAACCTTCGGGTCCACCTTGTCCAGTCCCAGCACTTGGTTGAACAGGTCGTCGGCCGTTGGCTTGAAGTTGCCTGCTAGTGGCAGCTCATCATTGGCCAACTCGGCGGCGCGAGAGACGAAGGTCGACAAGGGCATGAAAGTGCCAAGGTTGTCTTGGATCTTCTTCTGCACCTCGATGACGGCGGCCAGGGAGACGGGCAGCGAGACCAGTAAGTCCTTGGGGATTGGAAACTCTGCCGCCGCGGGCTTGTCCGTCTTCTTCGCCGGAGGGGCTGCGGCCGGCTTGGCGAGCTTGATGTTGCTCAGGTCAAGATGAGCGTTGTGGTTGAAGCGTGCCTCGATCTCGGATGGTCGGCCCTTGGAAATGGCGCCTAGATATGCTAGAACGTCGCCCTTCAGAAGACGACCTTGGGGTCCGGTAGGTGTGATCTCGCTAATGGCTGATTCGTCCAGCTTGTGCTCCTTGATCAAGTGCTCGACCGACGGGTAAAGAGGATATGCCAGCTTCGGGGCCTTTTGGCCGGACTTCTTGGGCTTGCTGGGGTTGACCGCCTTCTTCTGGGGAGGGTTCTCTGTAGGCTTGAGCGGTTGCGACGGCTCCTCCCTCTTGGCTTCCTTCGCCGCAGGCTTGGATTCGTCGGCGGGGATCTCTAGTTGGCTGATGTCGTCGCCAGGCTCCGCGAGAAGCCCAATTCGTGTGCCCACTTGAATGCCTTTGGTACCATCACCCTCAAAGATCTTGAACATGATTCCGTCCTCCTGCGCCTCGACGTCCATGGAGGCCTTGTCCGTCTCGATCTCGAGCAGCACGTCGCCGGCAGCAAACCCGTCGCCCTCCTTGACCTTCCATGTTGCAATATTGCCTTCCGTCATCGTCGGCGACAGCGCCGGCATCGTGAAGTTTTGCGCCGCCGGCAAGGCAGCGGATGTTCGAAAGCCTGGGCATGAGAAATTTAGCGGACGCTTCTCCAAAGAGTATTACAGGTAATCGCTCTTCTCACCTCTGACTGCTGCACCTTGGGTCACTCGCCGGCTTACTAGCCTCGTCGAGACACGACACACTGTCGCAAAAGATGCTGCCATTGTTGGCCTTGGAAGGGAAAAAGAGTATTTGGAAGAAGCTCGATTGAGCGCTTTAGGTGCTGGGCCAATGCCGCAGCCAAAACCTTCCCCAAAGCTCCTGTTGGGACGATCGGACCTGTTCCCAGTGGAGACTAACGCGATAAAGTTTAGCCGATCCACGCTTTTGGGAAGGTAGCAGCTGCCGACTAAGCTGAAGGGAGCTGAGCTACGAAGCTATCCCAAACTTTTCAGATCGGCCAGTTTGTCGCCTCAATTGCGGCACCAAATCAAGTCCACAATATGCTTTGACCACTGAAGACAGGCGAAGCTCGATGACGGCCTCAACAACTAAATGCCGGGGCTTCACCCACCCCGTTATTCTACTTATTCGGGGCTCACTTCACAATGCTCCGCGACCGAATGGGACCACGAGCAGGGCACAATGCCTCCGGGCAGCGTCGATGCGACTGAGGGATAGGTCTTTTGCAACCAGCAGGCCCCTGCTTGTACAACCGAAGTCCACCACTAGCTCAGCCAGCCGTCGATCGGCAATTCAAAGCCCACATCCTGATCCATCTTCTTATGGACAGCGTCTGGCGCAGGCAATGAATGGAACAATCCTATACGAATCGGTGTCTTCAAAGATGTTTCTGTTCTCCAGCTACCTAGCGGCCTATTCCACCATGACTGCTGCTGGCCTCAATATCTACTTCAACGTCTATCATCCACCAGCTGGGGTTGGCGAATGGGTTCCCTACGCCTTTGGAGCCGTCGGTATGATTCTTGGCGGTTTTGCCATGTCTTTCGCACTCAGGCCTGCCAATATCGTCCGCTCAATCAAAGTGCTTCCTAATGCTGCTACTACTGTTCCTGGAGCAAAGCCAGTGGCACCTACCCTTTCGTCAAAGATCTTGATCGAGGTTCAAGCCCGGGGTTCACTCCCGATACCGGGACTGCCGCTGAAGAAGATGATTGTTGAGCCGCATAACATTATCTTGCATTGTCGCATGTACAATCCCAAGGTTGAGCCTACAATGAAACAAAAGTTCCTCAACCGTAAGGAGGAGGAGAAGCGCTTAATGGAGCGGCGCGAGTATGACAAGAATCACCTAATGACGGTACCATTCCGGGATGGAAAGCGGGCCGCCTCGACAATTTTTACTAGCATACGTCGAGGCTTGACTGGGGAAGGATTCGCCCCGATCATCATTCTTGGCACCAAGTACAAGTTGGACATTTCGAACGCGTATGCCTTGGAAGATGGCCGAGCTTTAGACAGGCTCGCGCGGCTTGAAGAGGACCCGAAAGTTGCTTTGTGGCGTTCGATGAGAGAGAGTTGATGATAGAGACGAGCTGTACGATATGCCAGTGGGCTCGATTCTGCACTACTAAATGTACATCTGACAAAAGGAATGACCACTGGGCTGCCTAGACTTACCACGGCCGCAGGAGATAAAGTGGACAAGCACAATCCATACGATTGGCGTTGATTTGAAGCGGGCAAACTATGATGGGAAAGAAGTACTCAATTTTCCCCAAAAAAATAAGGGGTAACACCTGGCGTAGAATCGATGATTGTGCGTAGGAATTGGGGGTGAACATAACGATGTTCGAGAGGTACGAATCCATTGCCACGGACGAATCATAACTATCATAGCATCTTTTGAGTCATTATCGGAACTTGCGCGTTGGGCCTTGCGACCTTTAGAAGTTGGGTCAATTCAACAGGATTCCGTGCAGAGATGTCGCTCTCCAAGCTGATCTACTCAACTGGGCAACGCTCTCGGAGAAACTCGGGGGAGTGGGGAGCAGTCGCTTATGTTAATGCACCTCAACTACGTGACTACCTCCCGTGGTCATCAAATATCATATCCTGGTGGCCCTCATCATACCAATCATACGCAACTAAACTTGTCAGAACTTCACATCGTTTCAACTTGTAAATCATGAAGATTCTTGTTCTTGGCATGCCCCGAACGGGCACGCAATGTAAGTCAGCTCAAAATAAATTCCTAGACAACGCACAACCTAACACCCAAATAACACGCTTTCCCAGCCCTCGCAGATGCCCTAGCCTATCTCGATATCTCACCCGTATACCACATGCGGGAAGTGGGCAAAAATAACCATCAGGCACTTTGGATCGAAGCGCTCGAGGCCAAGTTCGATGGCAAAGGCCAGCCCTTTAACCGGGCCAAATTCGACCAGATACTGGACGAGTTTGAGGTATATCCTTCTCTCCTCCTACTTCCCAATAATCCATCATGGTTCGGGTTTGTAACGCAAACTCGACTCGATGCTACCATCCTACTACATGAGCCCCCCCTCGATCGTCTATGCCGCAACCCCCTGACATGACGATGTCGTGAAAACAGGCACTCGCGGACTACCCAGCGGCCATCTTTCCCGTCGAACTCATGGCCGCCTATCCAGAGGCAGTCGTCATCTTGACGACGGGCGCCAATGAGGATCGGTGGTTCAACTCTATGATGGCGACGCTCTGGCACCAGCATACGCATCGGGCTGCAGATTCCCCCTCCGCCATGGCCGTCCTTGCTGGGAAGTACCACGACAACTGCTGGGGCGGTGATTTTCCCACCCTGGGAAGGACGGCATATCGCGCACATAATGAGTTGGTGAGGGAGGAGGCGGCTAGGACGGGGAGGAAGTTCTTGGAGTACGGGGTCGGTCAGGGTTGGAGACCGCTTTGCGACTTTTTGGGTGTAGAGGTGCCGGATAAGCCGTATCCGCGGACTGATGATTGGATGGGATATAAGAAGATGGTTGAGGAGAAGAAGAGGAAGGAAGCGGATGCAGGTGCCCAGACTTGAGACGGGGTTGCTGTAGTTTCCAGAGCAGGGGGGAGAGCGCCCTCCGGGGAATTAAGAGAAGTCTTGAGAAGAGCGGTTGATGATAAAGCGCCCGCTCGTTGTGCGAGAAGACCCTGGCAGTGACGAGTAAGAGTTCGAGCGCTTGGGCTGCCAGTATGGCTTCCGGTGGAATAGTAAGGTGAACTCGAGTAAGGTAATGAGCAGTTTGATGGGCTTCTGGAGGAGCCGGTGTGCGATTGTATGAGAATGTGCCAGATGATTTTGCATTTCAGAATAAACGAGGTAATACAAGTCGTTGGAAGTGTTTTTGAATAAGTGAAGTTTGTTTTAGTATCAGTGGCTTGTGGTGGTGCTGATGATGCTACACTCTGCAATTGCAAGCATGCAAGCAGACAACCCATGGGTTTTTACGATGCTACAATTCCGAGGCGGACGCAACGATATCATACGATTGCGGTATCGCGATGCGCGATAGCCTCACGATCGTCATTGAAGTGTTTGGAGATATTGGGAGGGGAAGGAGGGTCCAGTTCAGAGATCGGGACTATTTCAGGTCGATTCCGGCTTGTTCCATCTTACAAGAATCCACTGTGTCTGGTGTACTGTCTCGCTCTATACTTGCGAGAGCCATTTACAGTTTAGTATTTACGATAGCTTTGTGGTTCTCCAAGGAGCTTTGCTTATATGGCTTGATATGGTATAGACGTTCACCGCTTGAGCAGTGAGGCTTAACATCGTGGGACATATTTCCCCGCAGGACAAGAAAAAGGTTCGTCACGTATGTGCTAATCGGAAACGTCGGCACACTCGAGAGCCACGCCACAGAACAGGTTTTTTCCACATCGAAGCAGGGACGATGGTATACTCATACTCAATCTGATAGTTCCGCGTCTTCTGGTTGAATGGATGGAATGTGGACAACGCGGCCACTACTGCGATGTCGCAACGTGCAGGTTTCCAACGACGAAGCAACATCGATCGATCAGGATCGTATAAAGACAACGCCATATCCGTCCCCACAAATATAATGTCGATTTGATTAACGGCTCGCGTGTTTTAGTAGCTGCATGTAAACAAGTATATACGCGGAGTTCTCAAAAAATCAAATCAAAATAACTATCAAAAAGTCGCGAACTATATTGCTCGAAGTGTTGAGACCGGGAGACCGTGGTCTCGGGATGCATGGCGTATAACATTCATCATTCCGGTAAAACAAATCAAGATTCTGCAACAAAGGTTTCATACCATTGGTGTTATGTTACAGAAGCGGTCAGTCAGCCTCATGTTGATTTTAGACTTGCATTGAGAGGACCGGCAGTGGGGACTACAGATCCACTCCAAAGTAGCTCCTCTGTATCGCCAGCGATCTGATCAGACGCTCGGCTTTGAATCCAGAATATAGTTTGTTTCGATCCACTAAGCTTACCTTGCGAGAGCGCTTGTAGATCAGATCGATATATGCCAGTGTATGGGTTGAGATGTGATACTTCGTATTGTCCGTCACGGTATACAAACCCCCAAACTCGAAGCTAGCTCCGCTATGTATCGACGTATTCGATGCAACACAGTCCGTCGTGTTTATAGTTGAATATATTAGAAAAAATAGGGTTTTATTTTTTTTACCGTTGAAGTACTATGCAAGTATTCTGGTAGCAGGTTCGAGGAACTCGAGAAAATGCCGCATGCGCCTGAGGCGGCTGGCTAACATGCTTCATCTGCCCGAACGACTCGAATAAAGAGGGCCGTACAGCTAATACAGCCCTTCATACTCGAATATGGTTGGTGAGGATGAGAGCCAGCGCAACCCTCAGGACGAAAGTCGTCGTGATATCGTTATATACCACCCAGCAGTTTTCTTCTGGACCCAGCACCAGAGTCGTGATGGTGTTTCCGGCAGCGGTTTCAGCACCGGTTCTAGCAACACGACTGGAACAAAGTCTGATACACCCTCAAAGTCTTGATCGCAATCTTCCACCCGTGCCTTGGCGGCCTCCTCCTCAGGCAAACCTCCTGCCATCGACAAATAAAACTTGACATGAGCCTGATGTGCCCGTTTTGACATAACCGAGTTCGGCCCTGCTGACTAACCGCTGTTCAAGAGCCTCAGATTGTGCATCATCATGTCATGTCCTGGCCCCTTTTCACTTTTACGGAGAAGTCCGCCGTGGGGTAATATACTTTGCACATGGACCAGTCGTAGAAGTTGGCCGATGTGCGAAATCAACTCAGCGGCTTTGTGACAGCATGGTTGAAAATGAGCCATGATGAGATATTTCCTGCGGAGCCGTGGAACTAAACACTTGTCAGTGCGAAGCTGCTTCATGAATGGCAGTCCATCATCTTTCAGAGGAGTCTCCCTTTCTAGAAACCGTGTGGGCAGTATCAAAAAGATACCACTCTTTATCGCTTCTTGGCATGATATAGAGCAGACGTGGAAGCCGCCGGGCGGTTCGAGTCGGGGTATACGAGGTGCCCGTGTTGCTTGTGGCTCTTTGAGTAGAATATGCCGGAGCTGGCAGGGAAGCGATGCGAAGTCGCAAATCACATCCTGCAGCTCCTGAGGTAGTTTTTGAAACCGAGGGAAAAATTTTCTCATTTCAGCCAAACATGACTGGAAGATTGCCGTTTTGCATGGTGCTTAATGAATGAGCTTGATATGATGACTTGTTTTGTCCTGTCAAAAAGGAGCGGTGCCAAGACCCATGACAAACGTATACACCATCTCGTGTAGACGTGTCAACTTAGATATTGGTCCAGAGAGACGGTCTAAAGGAACCATGGTTATGCGAATCCTCTTCTCACGAAACCTTGACAGAACTCCAATCATTCACGATGTTATAAAACTTTGCAATCCAAACTCTTAGCATTATGGTGTAGTTGCTATCAAAAAAACCATACGAGCCGCACAGCGGCCTTAACGGAATCGTTCTCCCAGCACTGAACCTGAACTTAGCTTTCGACTCATACCCCAGATAAACAGTTTAAGTGACACGTGATTAGTGTGTATTGTTGCACCTTGCAACGACCAAAGTATGTATCAACACTCTTGGGAATAATCTTCAATCCCGATAACATGGTTCTCATGATCAGCGTGTAGTCTGTTCGTAGCCGCCACAGTCATCTGGCAGACTCCAATAGCCCCCATACCATTATGTAACTCCGATTCCGATTCTCCTATGATAACTAGGGAAGGTATATCACGATTACCTTTTAGACCTTGTCGGATACCACCGTGGCGTGTAACGCGGCGATGGTATGTTCGAGATCAAGCAGTAGCATTACGACAACGGGTAGAACGGGATGACATTGAAGCTGGCCGTGGGAAGCGAAGCCAGGTGGCTTCATCCCTCAAATTGAAGGTTGCGTGGCCAGCACCCAGCCCCATCTGCAGGATCCCGCCTTTTCTTCTTCATAATATGCCTCTCGAGTAGACGCTGCCCCTGAGCAGGAACAACTGTAACTGTGCCCGTCGTACAGCATTCGAGCAACGTAGTCTGCCGCAATATATCTGTTGTGAACCCTTCAACGGTCAACAGCGAAGACCCAATCACCAGCAGGGGCTCTCAGCCAATCATAGACAAGACGGTTGCATATTCAAACAACGCCATGTGCGGCCAGAAACTTGCCAACTTGCCCGTGCCTCGATATTGGCATATTTGATGGGACGGAAGATCCAGATACAATCGAAATGAACGGAGCGGGTACGTTCGGTACCCATTGGAAATAGGGCAAAAGATTTAAATACCCTGCACTACCCCTGTAAAGATCTATTTACCCTGCAATTTTTCTGCCGCTTTTCTCTCCACATTTCCGCCATACTTTCTGACTTCATGCCTCTGGAATTAGCATACGACTACTATTCCTCAGCTCAACATGACGTCGCTACCCCTATTATCTATTCCTATTGATGGACAAGAGTTCCTTGACCTTGATACTCTATCGCTTGCCCTCGACAACTGGGCTGTAAAGGAGAAATTCTCTTATCGGGTTGAGCGGCGAGATAAGACCCGTGGCTCCTGGGTGTGTGCCTCTGCGTTACGCGGCTGTTTATGGCGCTGCCGAGCAACCTATTCCCCTAGTGAGGATATCTGGCAGATTCATATTCTCGAAACGGAGCAGAGTTGTAGCGGAGCTGCAAGGCAAAAATTCTCCTCTGCGTCTAAGAAAGACTGGTTAGACCGTATTGTCGCTGCCAATATTGCAGTAACACAGCAGACCCCCCCACAACAAATACTCGACCTCCTCCGTATCCAATTCGCTGAAGATATCGACTACAAGAGAGCTCAAGAGTGCCAGTTGCGACTACTCGACGGAGATATTGGCAAGCAACGACATAGCTTCCAGTTACTACCCGCTTATAAGGAGCTCTTAGAGACCATCTCTCCTGCTATCCATATCGACTTACTTTGAGACCGCCATCAACGTTTTGAACGAATCTTCATTTGCCCTGCTGAGAGCCGCTCTACTTATACCCTTTGCCGACGTCTCCTCGTTATCGACGGAACCTTCTTAAAGGGTCGTTTCATCCTTACTCTATTGCTTGCCGTCACGATCGATGCGAATGGCGAGACTATTATCTTGGCCTGGGCGGTAGTCGAGTCGGAAAATAAGTCTTCTTGGACATGGTTTTTACAGCACCTTCGTTGGGCTATCCCAGAGGTCTCAACAGAGCAGAGCACAATTCTATCAGACCGAGATAAAGGACTCCTTGACTCGGAGAAGGTCCTCGGTCCGTTAGCTACAGGGGCGTGGTGCTGTCGTCATATTAAGGAGAATTTCACGGGAAAGTTCGGGAGAGGGCTTGCCTCTTTATTTTGGACTATCGCCCGAACACCAACTCTAGCCCAATACGAGGCAGCTTTAGAGAAGCTTCGACAACAAAAGCCCGAAGCTGCGGCATATCTAGAGGCGGCAAACCCTTCACTTTGGGCCGAGGCGCTATTCTCTGGGCGTCGATATGGCCACGATACAAGTAATATCGTCGAGTCGCAAAACGGAGTATTAAGCTTGATCGGGAACTTCGAATTATTGCTCTCCTCGACTCAATATGGCACCGGGTTATGGAGAAGAGGGCAGCTCGGCTTCAATCTGCTTTACGGTTGATAGAGGCAGGGAAGACAGCTACCCCATTCGTTGAAGGGAAATTACGAGAAGGGAGGCAATGGGCGTCTAGTAGTCGTGCTCAGTTTTCGTCACCAACGGAAGCAAGAGTAGTACAGCCTGACGGCCGTATTTGCATTGTAAATTTGACAGCAGGGACATGTTCATGCCGTCGATATCAAAGGAATGGAATCCCTTGCGGGCGTGCCATTACCGTAATACTAGCAGGAGGAGACGGTATAACCCCTTATCTACCAGAATATCTCTCTCTGACAGTTTGGGCTGCCACGTGTAGTAGCCTGATGCCAGCTATCAACGTCTCTGAGCTCAGGCTCAAGCCAGAGGACCCTTGTAACCCTCCAATTACTAGAGTACCTCGAGGACGCCCTGTCAAAGAGAGGATTCGAAAGGGGGATTCTCGCCGCCCTCCACAGAGCTCACAATCGCGATGCTCTAGTTGTGGTGAGACTGGACATAATATGAGAAGGTGCCGACGCCCCCATGGATAGCTTGATAGGCCCGATCGGTGGGTCTGATGGATTGGGAAGGCGGTGGGAGGTCTGGGAAATTGCAGGGTAAATAGATCTTTACAGGGGTTTTGCAGGGTATTTAAATCTTTTGCCCTTTGGAAATAACCACGGAGATATCCAAACGCATCGCGTCCCACGTTGCGGCCAATATCGGGAAAGACGAACTGTAATGGCGGAAGATATCGGCGACAGCAAAGTAATTTCAAGCAAGGAAACGCAACACCAATGATCATGCCACCACAGGCGAAAGATGACAATATCGCAGCCGCAACCCGTGACCACTAGGTCGCGCGGTCAGATGAGGTCGACATGAACATCCCTTGCCTCCGGCACAAGCATAAGCAAGAATAAGAGCGATCGCAAGAGGTGCATTGCATGTGGTTGGTCCGAGTTGCCGTCTTGGGGCAACGAGTTGGCTCCGGCCTGCCTGCCGGTCAAGTCCTGTGTGATCTGGTTTAGAAACAACATTGGGAAGGTCAGTTTGTTCCCCACGCGATCGGAGGCTCGCACACACCCTGGCACCCCTCACTTAGCTCATTTCGTGCTGATTCGTCATTTAGTGGACACTCTCGCATGCAAAAAGGGATTGGCTTGGTTAGACGCAACAAGGATCAGCAAGGCTAGTGTACTTCCCGTGATATCTCGACTCGTGCGATAACGAAAGATCACCACAGATCACAACAGCACGTTCAGCCATTGTCGAAGTGGTGCAACGAAATCACGATAAACTTGAGTCAATGTTATGCACTGCCGTGTGGTTGAGAATGGAGGCGACTGAAAAAGACGCACCGTATAGCAGCGGGAGGAAGGGGTAATAAAAAGAAATTATAGTTCAAAAATTAAAGAAATTAAAAGAAAATTAAGAAAAAGTCAGAATTTTTCGTAAAAAAAATTTCTTTTGGTCGAGCGGTGAGAGTTTTGAAGCTCATCAGCAATTAGCATATCGCGAAATTGAAAGATGCGGGAGGACAACCTTAGAAATCTGTTGAGTGTTGGTCCCAAGTCGGTAGGTGGGGGTTTCTGCCAACCCGTGAAGCCATTCCGCTTGGAGAAATGTGGAGCAGCCGTTTACTGAAGGATTCACTATATAATCCGTGGCCCTTGACTTAATGTGAGTTGGAGATTCCCGCACAGCCGCCCGTCGCGCCCATTTTTAGACCATCTCCGACGTCAGACGTATATAGTGTCGATGTTCCAACTATTATCGATTATGGTGAGTATTGCATGATCTTGAGCTCGACATAGTGTCGGCACTCAGATACAGACTGCGACAATGTACGGCCGCTACAAGGTTTGCGGCACTACGTTAGAATAACAACTTGTAAAGAACAGAGTCTTGTGCCATGCAGCTCCTCTTGTTTGCAGCGGCAATGTAGACAACTGATTGATACTAATGCGAAAAATGTCGGTGATGGACAATACGGTAGAGGGCTGCATGTATATATCGTCCAGATCACATCTAACCGAGCACCGAGAATGGGTTGGTTTCTCCCAAGAGAATCCTGAGCCGTACCCTGTGAGATGGCAGGCGGATGATTGCCATTTCTGATAGACCCGGCATTGGGGTGTCCAGAGATTAGCCAATGAGCCGTCGTGCGCGCCACACTTTCTACGTGTCCGGCATTATCTCTTCGCCCGAGCTCGAGCCTTTCGAATCGTCTGTTCCGAATAGAACTTCGACCGCTTTCGTAAGTGTTCTTTCCAGCTAACGAAACGAAGGACAAGATCAATCGCACAACGTACAACGTCTCGATGTGGCCCAGGCCGTGGCAAGAAGATGAGCGCTTTGAGATACGGGAACATGGCAACGTCATGACGAAGGAGCTCTTGGCTGGTTCAAGTTGACCCAACCTAGTCGGTGAGACTGAAGACGGCTTGAAACATAGCGACACCGACCGCACATATCAAAGACCCAACGGTCGGTAGTTACAAGCCTCAAGGCTAAAAATGGCGGTGGTGATCCATCTTAGAAGAGTACGTTGTAGTAGAAAAGGAGGGGCGGTGAAGGTATCTGAGAAGGGAGTGAACCGCAGGATAGAGTATCATGACAGATGCGGCACCACGAGCAACGGCAGGTGTGATAGGATTGGCGGGCATTCCTGAGAGTCATCATGTCGTACTACACTTGTAGGCATCCGGGTGTTCTAAATCTGTCCATGGCCCATGGTCCTTGAGACAGGGCGACGCCCATTACACTCAAGTGGGACACGACAGCCTGACAATCGCTTCTCCCCGCCTTGTTAACAAATCCAATCGAGTCAGTCGACGCCGTAGTACGACCCAGAAAGCGCTACGTTAGTCTCCAACGGGGACGTTCTTGTTGAACAAATATGATTGACGAATATCCATGCCGGACTCGGGGCTGCTCGGGGCAAGGAGCGCCGTCGTGCTCGTCCAAGATGTCTGCCCCTCCTACCCAACTTGCGAGCCCCGCCATGCGCCAACCTCTTACGATGGCCCCAGCGCTTCCTGAAAGAGTAAATTGTTGAAGCGTGCTCAGATTGGCGTTCTCTTGAACGAGAATGGCATACCAAAGACTCCTAGGTCGCAGTAGTCTAGCGGGGTCGAACGGCGCAGCGCAAGGCTAGGAGCAAGATGCCATTGGCTGATCTTTTTGGGATCTCGTAGTGTAGACATCCGAGCTCGTGGCAGATTCCAATCAGAAACGACTTCTTTTTGACATGTGGAGGTATGACATAACTGGCCCCCCATGGCGGAGGAGCGAGTATACACGGCCAAGCGAATGGGAGACTTTTGGGTGGATGCATGCGTGAATGTAGGTACCTAGACTTGCAAGACTTGGTTATTTGAAGCATTGCGGTTCAGTGATTGGCATCGGCATCTTCTGGAGCGGTTACAGAACCAGCGATCTCAAGGCTCACAACGGCATTGGCCCCCAGCGACCCAGCGACCCAGCGACAAGGTGACGGACGCGAGTATAAGCGCAACGGGTGGGAGATCGGCGTAGACTGGCAAACCGACAACACTAGTGCTGATCAGTATGAGAGAGACTAAGGAGTCCCAGAGTAAATGTGATCAATGGGAGAGTCTCAAATGCGTGGCAATCCATATTGAAATATCAACCTCGCAATTTTGCGACAGACTTTTCAGTTTTGCGAATAGTGACCAGTCATCTGCAATGAGATAAGTAACTCGAGTGCGGGCGCACAGACGACAAATGGCAAGCACCAAGATTAGCGACCCTCTTCGCGATTGTCAGGGAGGTATTCGCGTGGAATCCCAATGAAGGGATCCCTGGCGCTGCACCCTGAAATGCATGGAGATGAGAAAGGGACACCCCAGCAAGTGGCCTGCCATGTCCAGCGGCTTTAAATGAGGATTTTATGGCTTGCGTCTACCGACGCCCGCCGAGACAATAAATGGCCAGTTAGTGGACTTGTATGGCATCGGTGATAGTCGCTGTAATGTCCGGCGCGGAGTCTCAGTGGAGGCTGAAAGGAAGCATTTGATATTAGGTTCAGAGGATAAACATCAACTATTGAAGTCGAAGCGCACTGTCGTGGTAAACAAAAGCGCGATGCGTTTTAGCTACCAGATAAGAAGAAAGGCGATGGCGGAGTGACCATGCGGCGCAGAAAGATTTGGTCGGCACATTGGGCTTGTCCAAGTCGTCAAATGTTCGTCCGTCTTGGAGTCGGTCGTGATTGCATACTGGCGGCGCTCACTATTTGCACGCCTGTAAAGACAGATGGAGGGCAGGTGCTGGTTTTCTTATTTCAGAACAGGTAGAAAGACTTCGTGAACCCCAATCTCGCAGCTCTGAAACTGAGGTTTACTAAGAGTCTGGAGAAGCGATATTGGCATGGATTTTTATCACACCCTTTCCGTCTTCGGTGGGTCGCGAAGCAGCGTACCCTCACCCTGGTCTGGAAGTCCGTAAGTCCGCGGCAGCATGGCTAGCTGGTTGCTGGGTGCCTGTGATACGGCTTGTGTACAATATTTGTGTTGTCATGACAATTTATGCCGCATGTTTTGATATCGTCGTCGTCGTCGGTCATACTCTTTTTCGAAGAATCTTCTGGCAGTCTGGTTCGCAGCCCAACGAGATATATTGTACTCCATCGAAAGTCCTGAACCGTCGTGCATGTCCCAGTACAACTACAAAGAAGCCTGACTTAAGACACTCGATGCGCATTGAATGCAAAAACGAGCTGCAAGTGCTAATGCAGCCATCAAACAGGCAAGGCAGGCACCACATTATTGGCCAAGTCCACTCGAGAAGCCTAACCTATTGGCTGGCCAAAAAGGTAGGCCATCTGACGCTTTGCCGCCAATTCTGTGGGTCGTGCCCGAGCGGAAGTCTCTGGACTTGTTGCACGCCTTTAGAGCTCTACACATCTAGGCGGATACAGGGGACCATTGCGCTGTAGTACGCCGTAGGACATCGGTCGAGGGCCGCTGCAATTCCTGCGTGGGCTTGCACGGGCGGGCATCCACCCAACCTGATATTGTATCGGGTACGGACCCTTAAATGCACCCATGCAACCTCGCACCTCGCGAGAAGTCCAGGTGGACTGCTACCCACTCCCCACCACCGATGAACCCAGCTGCATTATTACCACCGAGTGCGCACCCCGTCAAAAGTAGGAGGGCCGGCCGACAAGCACGATTGATTCTTTCGGCTGGGAGTCCTTTATCATTATTATATTCATTCCCTCCCCAACCGCCGCAACCTCCTTCGCGATCTTGCCTGCTTTTTTCCCCCGACCTATGTGTGGGAGGAGCATACGCCACGGCCGAAAGAGTTGGAGATAGACTAGATTGGAGTCGCTCTCTTTTTGTGTTTATCCTATTTGCCCATTCCGACTTTCCCTCCTTTCGAGCCGTGCTCTGCACATTCTAAACACTTCTCTCGCGAGTTTGGCAAAGTCAGCCGGTCGGCTTTGATTTGGTACGTTCGTCTACATCGCAACATGCATAGCATTTACTCCCTTCCGTCTCCCAACAAAAGACAACACCCGTGGATGTCAGGTTGATAATGTGCCCTGGTGCTGGTCACCCCCTCGATATTTGCGTTGTCTTAAGTTTGCCCTGCGTTGCCTCTTCCCCACAAAGGAAATGTCATCTTGGACTGAGAGGGTACGACGACTTGTTAGTCATGACCAAGTCCTGTTTGCCTGACACACTCCGGCGTGGAGTCGGTCAACGGCGGGCTGGACACAGATAGCCCGGTGATCTGGCTGTTCGGGATCCTGAGTCTTGCAAGTCATTGGAATCACTTCTGTCTACACTCGTTTTGGTTTCAAAAGACCACTCCCACTTCTCCTTAGCACTCTGCTCAACATCCAGCACCGCTTCATTATCTGTGGAGTTGACTTCAAGCTTCAGTTGTCAGGACTAACAACTGCGTTTTCTCTAGATCGCTCTTGGCTGGTTGCAGGATATACTCGGAGCGTCCCGAAGTCTGTTCGACGACACCTTCAGACGAACCCTTCTTGGAAATTTCCAACTCGAACCCAAAAGCCGTTCGCAAAGTGCTGTTATATTTTCGTTCTCCATGTCGCCGTAAATCGTCACAAATGGATTCAGAAGACGGGGAGTTCTTCATCAAGCAGTTGGCCGGCTTCGTGCGCACACACGAGAAGGCGCTGGCCAACGCGCTGCAATTTCGAAGACAACCCAATACGGCCCGTCATGGCACTTCTCACAGCATCTCGGCTTTGCCTCCGACCACGCCGCTGTCACCGACCCGACCTTCGATGCCCGAGCGGCCTTCGACATCCTCGTCGACTAATACCCTTGCCACAGCCTTATCGTTCGGCTCGTTGAATTTCACTTCGCAGAATCTGAAGCCGGCCAAATTGGCACTTACGCCACACCATCTGTTCTACCTGTTGTCCCGTTTCGAGGATATAGGGATCAATGTCGGGCCCATGAAGATTCGTTTGGAAAGTCTTCACGACACATCGACTAGCGCCAACTATGTGTCGTTCCTCAGCTCCTCGCAGCGAACGCAGAGCCGCGGCTCTGATGTCGTATCAATCCGCTCCGTATCAAGCGTCAGGAGCGTCATGTCTGGCATGTCGGCTTTGTGGGCCAGCTTCGGCATTGGGTCGAGTATTTCTGCGTCTCGGAACGAGAGGCAGAAGGCTGCCGCGTTGGCTGACCTGAAATATCTCTACTCGGCCTTCACGAAAATACCATGCCTAAGACTCGCCCCAGACTGGCGTGCCAGACTGATTCGCGGTTACGAGGAGTTCCCGTTCGATTCCGCTGTGCCACTGTACGTCTTCAAGAACCTTCAGTCGCTGGAAATTAGCGGGATCGACTTCCGACAGTTCTTCGGCTGGGACCGCCTTGCAGAACAGATCCGGTCTCTAACGCTGAAGCGTGCGAGCATCGACGACCCCGCAGATATCCTTATCGACATTGTCATGGACGACATGGAGCAGCGGCGGCGTCGTTCGTCCAAGGCTCAGGCATCCCCCACCTACCCGCATTCTTCAAGCCCGCGGCGGAGCCCTACCACGTCCCAAGCCGAGTTTCACAAGTCTACCTCGGCCCCAGGCTCACCGGATGCCCGTAGCTCGCTTGGCGATCTCGCTGTCGGATCGATAGGAACTGACGCCACCTCACCGCAAGGTAGCCGTCGAGCGTCGGTGGTTAAGATCGAAACAGACGAGCCAAGGTCCCCAAGCAAGTCAAACCGGCCTCGGAGTCATTCGCCTAACCGCCCCAGTACCTCCCGCCATCATTCCACCAACCCAAGAGCCTCGTACAAAGTCAGACGCTCTGGGTCCGGCAGCTCGCATTCTAGCTTGTCCGATTCATGGCACAATAGCCGGAACAGTGCATCTAATCTATTGGCCATGGGTGTTCTCCCTGCCTCGAAATGGCGTTTCCTGAAGCATCTGAGCTTGGCCGACAACTCGTTGACGGCGATTCCCGCCTCCAGTCTTACCCCATTGGCCAATACTTTGGGCTCTCTTGACCTGTCGCTAAACCTCTTCACGCAGATTCCTGATAGCCTGGCCACTCTGACCGCTCTGCGAGCTCTCAACCTTTCACATTGCATGATAGATTCTCTGCACTCTCTGACCCGCAACCCGCTACCTGCCCTCACCGCTCTGAATCTGCGTGCCAACCGTCTGAAATCCCTAGCTGGTGTTGAGAAGCTGTATCCATTGGAAAGATTGGACCTCAGGGAGAACCGTTTGACGGACCCCACCGAGTTAGCACGCTTGACGGGAATCCCAGACCTTCGCGAGATATGGGTTGAGGGTAACCCCTTCACGCGAACACATCGTGATTATCGTGTTACCATTTTCAACCTCTTCCGCAGAACCCCGGGATATACGGAAGACATCATTATCGATGCGTCAGGTCCAAGCTACTCGGAACGAAAATATCTCGTTGAACGTGTTGCCATTCCCGCTGCGGTGCCAGTGGTGAAGGCACCTGTTCCAGAAGTCCCCGCCGTGGATGTTAGCAAACCGGCGATCGTCTATGATGTGCCCAAGGAACAATCTGACCTGCGAAAGGAGCGGCCTACACCCAAAGCTGTTGCTAGCGAGGTCAACACGAGCTCGACGCGGCGCCGGCGGACGCCAAAGCGAAGGATCGTTGATCTAGCCACCAATGACGCAGTCGCCACGACGATCCAGGCTCAGGGACTCGAACAGCTCGCAGCTGAAGCCACAGCTGCCGCTGTCGGCTCGGAGAGTAACTACCGCATCTCCCATGCACCAGAAGTCCAGAAATTCTCTTCGCTGCTCACAGAGACGAGATCCTCATCTTTAATGGGCCCTCCCGAAGTGCCTCGCATCGATACAAGCGTCGTATCTCAGACACCAATGAGTTTTTCAAGTACAGAGACGCCGATCTCTTGGAAAGGCGCCCAGGATTGGAATACCAGTGGTGAAATGTACCGACAAAAGATAGAGGCCTTGCGGGACAAAATGGGCAATGGCTACCTGAGCGTTCTTAACGAGGAAAGCTGGGAGTCCCCACGGCCGGCCACATACGTGGGTGACTACAGCCAAGCTTCTGCTATTCGACCAAGTCCCACGACTCCACGAACAACCAGTGCGCAGACCATTCATAGTGGCCGTACCCTGGGGTAACGGAAACCCACAGGTCTGGCCACTCTCCTCATCCTTTCTCTCCAGGCCACTTGTCGGTCAAATTTGTCACAAACATACCCCGATGGTGTTTGACGTGTCCTATACACGCATCTACACACCCTCATAGCGTTGTGTTCTTTTTTTGTTTTTAATCATGTCGGATATCATGGTGCATAGCGTCGCGGCGTCAATGGCGATGGAGGGTTTACAGTGTGGTTTTGAGCGTTCCTACATACTGCACGGATTTTTTTTCAAGCAACGATGGTGCAACCCGCTTTGGTGATGAAGACGTATTTGGTCGAGGCAGAGCAGGTGCTCGCAGTTGTGGTTGGGCGTGGCCGGGCAACTCCTACAAAAGGCGGCTCAGTTGTACAGAAAAGGACCCGTAATGAGAACGACTTATTGTGAGGAGTGAAGCGGACATGACTCATGACCGGCTTCAGGATAGAGCGTCGGGGTCGCAGCGATGGGACACTTTCAGGGAACGTGTCTCTTCTACATGATTGGCAACGCTTTTTCAGGAGCAGGCATATTTATTCTGCATTAGCGAGGGGTTGGCCCGGTAGAGAGAAGCATTTTGGCGTGCGGCTGGCTTAATGAAAACGTGCATTCTTGCGTTATTGCTCTCTTGAACAACACTCTCATAGACTTCTGCTCTCCCATATGCTATGTTCTTGATTGGTGTCGTCGGTGTTAGACTAGTGCGGGTCGCTTATAGGGGTAGTACGAGTGTGACCGATATAAGTGAGATGACGTCGGAGGTGGGACTCGATACATCAGTATTTAGCATCGGACTTGCAGCAATCAAACATTGATTCCCCCGAGGCATCTCTCCACGTCAAACACAACGCAACTTATCACAGAAGGCCCTGCCAGGCATCTTTGACTGCATCATGACGCCTCGCACGCGGGAGGAACTTGTATCATACGGAGTCGTGGACCCCGCTCTAGCGGCCGTAAGTCTGTCTACCTACGTACACACGTTCAGGTCAAGCATTGGTCACAATATGAACAAACAAGCAAGCCATCAATCAATCAATCGACCTAAATCACGAGAATTAGGAACTAGAGAAGAACCCCTTACGGGCACCGCAGCCGTCGGACCCGTACTATGGTCGGGACGATCACTCGGCATATCGGGAGCACCGGACAGCGACGTTGCGCGAGAAGCGTCATCTGCGCTATCTTGCAGAGCCGATCCCCGACGAGGTTGAGGAGGAAGATCGGACAGTGCGGATGCGCGATGGGGAGGAGATTGTGGTTAGGGTGTATCGGCCGAGGCGGAAGGTGGAGGCTGGGAGTCCGTTGATTGTGATGTATCATGAGGGAGGTTGGAGTATGGTGAGTCGCCTGCGGTTCTGTTTTTCGTATGAGACATGGCTTTGGTGTCGTTGTTTGTCGAGGAACGCGGGGGGATGCTGACCATATACATCGTGGACAGGGTGACCTCACGGATGAAGAAGTGAACTGCAGACTGTTCAGTCGGGATTTAGGGGCTGTTTGCGTCAATGTGGACTATAGGTATGGCTTCCACAAACATACAGCGAGGACTATGTGCTAATACCACCCCCACCAGACTTGCCCCAGAGTATCCCTTTCCAACCTGGATCAACGACGCCTGGGATGCCTTGCAATGGGTGCGTGTCCTCTCTCTCTAACTCCTCCACCCAGCTCAGATTCGTATCTAGGTGCGGTAACGTGGCCTGGCTTACTAACACAGCACAGACAGCCCAAAACGCAGGAGAACTAGGGGCCAACCCATCCCGCGGCTTCATCGTGGGTGGTGGATCGGCAGGTGGCAACATTTCTGCCGTCCTCGCTCATCTAGCCCGCGACAACAACCTATCCCCTCCGCTCACAGGCCAGTATCTCTGCGTCCCTGTCATAACCTGCTTCATGGCCCCCGACCTCCTTCCCGAGAAATACCGCGCCGAATACTTGAGTCACCCGGCCGTAACGCCCAACCTAGATCCCGTCATACGAATCGGCAAGTCAGTCCGTAACGACATGAACCTCACGCTGAAGGCGGATCTGGACAGCCCGCTCATGGCTCCCTTCCTGTTTGGCGAGAGGACGGAGCAGGGCCACAAGGGGGTGCCACCAGCGTATTTCCAGGTTTGCGGACTAGATCCGTTGAGGGATGAGGCGTTGATCTACGAGAGGGTGCTGAGGGAGGAGAATGGGATCGAGACCAGGCTCGATTTGTACCCCGGGCTGGGACATTATTTCTGGACGAATTGGCCGGAATTGGAGAGTAGTAGGCGGTTTGTGGAGGATACGGTCAGGGGGATGAGGTGGTTGTTGGAGCGGGGAAAGGGAGACTAGAGAATAATAGCCGAGGTGAAAGGGGGGTTGATCGTATTGAGGTGAGGAATAGCAACTTGTTCTTGACTGCGTAATCACAGAAGGGGAGCAGTTTCCCGAGTCCAGTGATGGCCGTCTGGGCAGATTGACGGCTCTGCTCTGCCACAGCATATGATTGCTGGGTTTCCAGGTCGTCCCGCGCAGAGGTAGCAGAAGTCAGTCCGATTTCACCAACCTACGCGCCGGGCGTATGGTGTTGTTGTGTTCACCGTCCATCCGGCCACGGGGGCTGACTGTTGGGAGGATAGGGGGAGGGGGTTTTGGCTGATCGTTGGTTGTGAGAGATTTGCAGCTGGACGTGACTGCGCAGCCGACCTTCGTAGTGCACAAGTCCAATCGCAATACCACTGCAATTGCGTCGGTGACTTGTTGGTAAACTGTAGCACCGGGATAGCATACCTGACCCGACTGTCCACACACTGTACCGCATACGTTACGGTAGACCTGATAGCGCATGGGCCTGAGTGCAACCAGCAAAACGTACAAGTTACTTCTTCCTTGAGAATGGAACACACCCTGGTTTAACCACACACCTGAGGAACCGTACGTGAAAGGCCGCGAAAGCTGTGACGCGTTCTCGCACCTTCGACCGTTGACACTCAACTCCACAGGTTAGCTCGTACACCCACCCTTCCACGACTCGCCTGGGGATCACAACCTGGTCTGAGAAGAGGCGGGTGCCAAGTCGTCCAGTCAAGTTCTGGATCGTTTTGAGTTTGCCAAGCGCGCAATCATGACTTGCGTGCCGATTCCGGCTCACTACATGCTGGACTTCCAACCTATGATCTATACCAACGCGTTGTCATATATCTCGGGGCGTAATCTTTGTACCATTCCTGGATACCCCACTCAGGCCGTCAGTAGCAAAGCCTTTGACTTCCGTCATCGCCTTATAACCCGAACGTGTCCATTTATGACAAACGACCCCGGGTGGTACCAGAGACCCCATCCATGCTCAATAGAAACCCCGGGAGTACAACAGGAAAGCAGAAGGGGGACATTTTGAGTCTATCGAACCACGTTTCTGTCGTCGATTGATGCAAGCTACTACAGTCGCGGACCCAGATGTCGCTCCCTGGGCTCATTTGTACAAGAAGAGACGGCCACAGAACAAGATACCTCGAAGCGTGGTCTTTCGTGGCACAACTAACCACACCCTCCCTGCCCAGTGCAGCAACCCGATGGACCTGGGCACTTTGAGGGAATGAATTTATCGATGCAACTTATTCAGGACGTTCTTCACGAGGCCGTTAAATGTAGTTCGAGGGGATATCGGCTGGCGAAGCGGGGAGACATACTTATCGAGTTAACAAGATATCTCCAACATGGACGGGATAGCTAGCCGGTGACAGCTAGTTTAGGAGTTATCGGGAATAGAGAGTGAACATAGAGTACCAGTATGGGGGCTGTAGCATTGATTTTCTAGATCTCTCACCTAGGTCCCTTCCAGTCGAGAAGCCATTGATAGGATTGGCCTGTTAATGTTGAGTCGATTTATGGGGCAATGCCGGATGCTACTATCAACATCGTAGGCCCATATGTAACAATTCGAATCTCCAAGTAGTTGGACTGACTATATTATTGAATCGTCGAAGGACAAGCTCCTATCCTACAGTATGCAAGCTACAGAAAGGCGTACCGTTCCATGGTGGCAAATATGGCATTAGCTTGAATATCTGTATCAACAGGAGCCACAGCTTCGAAAGCAGAGCGGACAGCGTAGACAGATCAGGCGCGTTACGTAATGACAAAAGAAGACGTAGGATGATGGACGACATATGCGCCATGTGTTACGCATAAATGTTGGATATCGATACCGACAAGCTTCAAAACTCAAAGACGGCCTGTACTTATCTATTACCCTGGACTCCCAAAAGTGCCCCAAAAGTCCCAAAACATGACAAACATGTGTTAAGCTATCGTGTAACTCCTCATTCCAGTGATAACGTTCGCATGCGCGCACAAACCAATGCAAATCAGTGTAGCCGTGGCGGTGGACGGAGTGAATGAAACCACAGGAAAGGGCTGGAACAAGGCTGCCGCCATGTGATGTAGACCATCCCATTGAAATGGCCATCGTCAAGCTGTCTATTCCCAGTGTCTGAATAGGGGGAGTAATCTGCGAACCCGAGCAACCATGTCGAGTTCCAAATTCCATCGTATATATGCCATATTTTCAATCCACCCGCCACTTCTATGCATATTGCTGCCAAGTCGAGTGGCGATCCTCCGTCCCGCCGGTGCTTCAGCGTGTGCTTTATACGTACTGTGACAGCCATCTGATACCTTCACCGTAGCCCTGTCTCATCACTACGGAGCACATGAAGACCTCGATCGGTCGGATTCCCTCCAAGGGCACCTTGCCCTTACCGGTTGTCTGGTACATGCCGAGTTCCTGTCGCAACATATCCTCGGAAATGGCATCGGGGTGGTCGATCTTGTTGCCTAGGACGACGAAGGGCACCTTGGCGAGCTCCTCCATCGACAAAAGGGCGTCGAGCTCGGCTTTGGCCTCGGGGAAGCGCTCGTGGTCTTTGGCGTCGACCAGAAAGACAATGCCGTTGACCTCTGGGAAGTAGTCCCTCCACAGTCGTCGGGCTGTACCGAGAAGCCAAGGCGGTTAGTGCCTGTTCTTATCATGGACAAAGAGCATAGAGTACAATGGAGTCCTACCTTGTTGATGGCCGCCTAGATCAAAGGTGGTAAAGCGGACGTTGCCAATGGCGAGCTCTTCGGAAGCTGTGGACGTTGTTAGCTGTCGACGACACACCTGCCGGATTCCGGGGGCGGTAGATCGTACTGGGATGGAGAGTAGGTTGCAGAATGGCAACTCGGTCGTTCTTCAACATATGAAGAAGCGTCGTCTTGCCGGCATTGTCGAGACCCAGGAAAAGTAGCTTAGCGTGCTTGTTGAGCAGGCCGAGCGACGAGAGGACGTCGTAGACTGGGGGCAGGACATCATCAGTTTCTAGCTGGGCAGAATGAAGGGTTTTCTCAAGCACATACACCAGTTGATGATCCACATGCTCACGGTTCGTAGCGTTACGGGATTTGATGTGAAGGATTCAGGTCTGAGAAGGGGGCAGTTCAGCTGTTGTCGTTGAAGGGGATGATCCAGATTATTTGTCTCGATGGACAATGGCAGATACAGCGCTACGTCGTCGCAACTCAGCTGGAAGCCCACTAATCACCTGGTCTGTGCGCATGGCCCGTGCCTTCTCTACGTGGTTCTTCCAAGAAACAGCATCAGTCAACTTTACACATGCGCAAGGAAGTCGCATTCACTGTTCGACATTTCAGCTTAGTTCGGCCGAGAAAAGGTCGGAGGACAGAGCTAATGTGTCATTCTACTCTATCAACCCCCATGTTGTCTACATGTGCTTTACTGCTTGCTCTTCCGCCTAAGTGCCCGCAATTCACCTTCACTGTATGAGCCGTTGATAATGCACCTCAGGATCCGGCAACACATGTACCAAGTACTTCTTCTTTGTGCTTCGCACACTTGACATAAACTCATTGGTTCCAGTCCAGTTGCCCACTCGAACTGGATCCACCCATAAGGACACATGGCGTTTCCCAGTGTGCAAAAACATGTGTGGCGTGGACTGGGGCTGTTGTCTTCAGACGGTCACTGACATCAATACTAGAGCTGGTCGGTTGATTTACAACTCTTTTTCACGGTATGTATGCACCCAAAGGTTATACATGTGTTCGTTGTGTAAATGAATGCTTTGGATCGCCGCCCATGAATGCTATGCTTGCCTGGTATCCTGAATGCAATCGCCCTGCCCGCCTAATGACCCTTGAGGTTTGTATCAAGGAACTATGGAAAGGATTTTAAAACAGAATATAATATGTACAAGAAACGAGGCCTATATGTGGCCCCTCTAGAGAGTAATCACCGAAAGGGGCAAGGGGTAAGCTTCCAGTGCCATGCATCGTGCCACTGCCTTTCAAACGGAGAGCACATAGTTGCCAGGCCCAATCTTCCCGGCGATAATCAAGCCGACTTCCCGCATGCGCTGGGCGCCGCGGCCAGGTTGAGGACGTTTTTCCTGCACCTGACCTTTCCGGGCGCGGTGGCAGTGCTTCTGGACATACTTCTCCCGACGTCGCTGCCGCTTGTGTTCTAATCCCTTCACGATGTCGATAGCGCCGCGGACGTGGGCTTGCGTACCCGCTTTCGCAGGCTGCCGACGACGTTGAGCCTTGAGGTGATGAGAAAACATGGCAGGGGCTCGAGGCAGCGATTTGGTGTAAGTCAAGCCGGGCCGGAAAGCGAGCGTCTTGAACTCAGCAGCACGCGCCTTAGCAGTATTCTCCGTTAGCGAAGCTGGTGTGGGGGAGTTGAAGAGTCGTCCCGAAGGAGGAGGCGAGATGAAGCGCCGAGGGGACTGCTTGTCGCAAAGTCTTCTTGGAGACCGTCCTCGAACCTTGGGGGCGGGAGAATGATGGCGCTTGGGCGGCGGAGAGTGGAATCTCTTCGGTGAAGCATGCTCGCCTCTCTTCTTACGGCCCCTATCTTCCCCATGGTGCAAATCTTCCAGCTCGCCGTGGATCCAAACTTGCTCGTCGCTGTGGTCCGAAAGCTTCACTGAGCTGGTTTCATCCTCATCTTCCGGCTCGGATGTCGGGAAGCTAGGATCAATGTCCTGCGGGATCAAATAAAGCTTCTCACGCCTTTTCTGGGCAATACACGACATGTACGCATCCTCCAGAGGGCGGTCCTCGTCCAGTGTGCCACACACGAAATCCGTGCTGTCTGGCAACTCCGGTGTGCCCGGCCGGATTTTGATGCGGCGGCTTCGTTCCCGGGAATCGCGGCCTCGCGATGTTGCTAGAACCGAAGTTGATGAATCTGATCCGTTACCTGTCAGTGACGACCGACGCATGATGGTCGTCGCTCCAGACACTCGTAAGACTTCCGATTGGCCGGGGTTCCACAGATCGAGCTCATCCCCATCTTCGTCATCGTCGTCCGACTCGGCAAAACCAATCTCGTTGTCAGTGCGGTACCCATCAGTAGCGTCGTCATCTGAACCGTAACCCGAAGAATCATCGGCAATGTCATATTCCTCCTCCGCATCATCCTCCTCCTCCTCCTCAAGTTCGTCTTCATCGTCCTGGTTCTCGGCGTCCTCATCTCCGCCGAGCCCCTCTTCCTCGGCCTCCTCCTGCAGGGCCTCCTCCTCAGCCTCCTTACCTAGCCGACGAATCTCGTTCTCTTTCTTTAAGGTGTCGTTGATTGTCAGGCGCCGCGTAGATAATGGAACGTTCTGACGAATCCAATCCTCTTCTTGGGGCTCGTCGCTGGCAAACTCGTGAAAGCGAGAAGCCTCGCGATTCAAGTCTACTTGGTCTGCAGTCAAAAACTTCTTTGATCGTACCGCGAGTGGGCTATGGGATGGCCGCCGCGGAGTGAGGGATCGCTGTGAGCGACTGCTTGACGGCGATCTGTACTTGCGGACAGCCGTGGGGGAAACTCCCTTGTTGGACGATACTCTCACTTCCGAAACTGTGACCCGACTGGGCTGCTCTCGTGCAGGAGCATCTCGTGAAGATGGCTTTGCAGTGCAAGCAAATTTGATACGTGACCTTCGCTGTGGTGGTTGTTCCACCACAACTTTAGCAGGAGATTGGGCTGGCTGGACTGGCTGGGACGGCGGCATGCTCTTTTCTACCTCAGGTCTGGCGGCGCAAGCAAAGGAGATGCATCGCTTCCTAGCTAGGGCCTCGACCGCAGGGTCCTTGGGCCGATTCTCCAAACGCGTCACGTCCACAGTCTTCTTTGTAGGGGTAGTATCTATGTTGGCAATGCCAAGTCCAACAGAAGCTGCTGAATCGGCGTCGAAGCTGGTTTTTGTATTAAAAAGAGCGGTGTTCAGCCGACCAAGCTGGAAAACAGGAAGAGGTGGACTAGGGGTGTTGGTACGTGCGGGACTTGTAAGACCGGTGTCGCTGGTTAGGTCCGCGGTCGAAGCAAGGCTGATGTTGCTGTTCATGGAGCGACGCCTGGACTGCGAGTTCCTGAAGGCAAGAGACACCGTTTCCTCGTCATTTGGCTGGTGAAGTGCCTTGGTCAAAAGGGATTGCGGCTTGTCAGCGTCTTTGCGAACTATGGTTCGATCGAGGGGGCGTTTGGTAAAAGGTTGACTTCTATCGTCTGGTGGCTCGTCTGCCTCTGCCGCCACCTCATCTTCCGATTCGTGCTGCATGTGTGCGCCTTGAGAAGACCACGCCAACAAATTTGACGTGGTCGAGTCGTGTATAGGTTGGTTTGTCATGGTGATTGTGACGAAGTGAATCTTAGATATGCGGTATAATACTGGTACTTTTTGTTGGTCAGAGGAGACCGGACCCAGTGGAAGTAACAGCGATTCTACCCAACGTCGAGGTAAGACCTGCTCGGGATCGTTCGCCGGCGCCAGATGCAGACAACAGCGGGATCGCAGAACACCAGTATCGACGATGAGCGTGGTGATGATAGTCGATGTAAGATCCTCCGGTGTTTACAAGGTGCATGCAGTCTTCGAGAAGCTGGTGACAGTGTCCCTAGGGACCGTGTTGCTATAATTGCCGACACATGGTGTGCGTGAGGGAATATGGTTTGTGGTTTGTCTTAACTGAAAGTTGGGGTGGGTATGTGTGTGTGGAGAGGATTCTCCCGGTTACGGCGAGTAGTAGAGAAGTAGAAGCGGTTGTTTGAGTGTTTTAATGAGTCAGTCCAAGCAACGGACTGAGCCAAGGGATCACAAGCACGGGAGAGTGTCTTGAAGAGTTGTCGGGTGGACGTCTAACGATCTGTGCAGGACGGACGCAAGACGCAGGGCGGAAGGGTCTTGGAAAATCTTAGCACAAATGCTATGTACCGAACAGGGAATGACGTTGGCGGGTTTGAGCAAGTCGTCGCTAGGCTTAGACGACGAGTGACGAAACCTCGAAGGAATCCTCGACAACGCCAACCTGGCTGACAAGGACCTGATATCAGGTTTTTATGGTCGTTCTAAGAACAGAATCAGACAGGGGAGAAGGGTGGGATGAACCGTCGGGCGAGGGGATGGAGACGCATTTGTGAGCAGGCGGGTCCCAGGAGGCCTTTTTCTGCAGCGTGTTGTGCGCGCCTACTGCGCGAGTGGATGCAGGGACGAAGCGGTGGGGGAAATACTTCCTGAGGGTAACTAACCACTGGCACTGGGTGGGCGGTCTGGTAATGTGAGGTATATGCTGGCACAGCAGCGGGTAATGAAGGCTTTGGTGCTGACCTGGGTGGACAGAGGGGCACGGGCAATCTCGTTACCTTCAAAAAGTCAAAAAGGCAAAGGGGGTGGTGCCGCAACAGGGACTTTTTTAGCCCAATGTGGTAGAAGCGAGCACTAGCAAGTTCAGCATCATAACAGCTACTTAGTACAATTGCAACCCCCCAAAGCCAGATGGGAACTTGCAGATTCAATGAGCGGGGGTCATGAGCATCTGGTGACTTGGAAAATGGCATCAGACGGGCTCCGATTGGCTTTGTCCTGCCACCAACCCAGACCCCCCAAAGTTTGGGCCGGCCAGGTTGCTGATTCACGGCCGAGGCTGCTTGTTATGGGTGCAAATTTCGCAAATCGCGGTCGACGAAACTGGTTTGGTTCACTCGCAAGATTGGACTTCAGTTTTCAGACTAGTTTGCACGCATCGTGCGCTGGCCGAGGAAAATTTGCATTCCTATTACTTGCAGATGCAGCCAGCAGTCACCCAAAGTCCACACGTACCGGAGGCAGGCCCGACACGCGCCATTTCCTGGATCATCGCCACCGCTGAGGTTCCATTGATCTTGCGGCATGTCAGAAAGCACCCTTTGTTTCACTTGACAGAGCTCCACCTGATGGCAACCCTGGGGCTTTCTGCTTTCGTTTAACCGCAATCAATGTGCTTGAGTAGCGTGCATCAATCCTTATGCAGACACGACTCGCAACACCGCCTTGTCCCCTTCGAGGTCTGTACACAATACTTCGTGCTCTGGCAGTCGTCACTTTCATGGTTGTGACTATGCAGCAACTGCGAGCGGTGATCTGCGTGGCGTCAGGCACTTGTTCTTGCCAATTCCAGATGTCAGTGTCCAGGGCAGCTCTTGGCAAGTGTGAGAGAGAGCATCTTGCGATCGGTCCGCTCTGATCAAGTCGGGTACTTGAAGTAGAAATAGAGTAACGCCATGGGCACTACGGCATGGGTTGTGCGACCATCCAATCTTCATCCTGTAGGACCTACTGCTTGTGCTTCGCTGCTCCGTCTTCGGCGAGGCTGTTTCGGCATCTGATCCTCTAGGTTCGGCCATTTCAATTCAACCATCGAGACTCGTACCTTACCCAAGGACTCAGGCCATTCCAGGGGTAAGCTTATGGTGGCTGAGCAAAACTAAGTCAATCGCCTGAAGAGGATTATAGTGTGACGAGGCCACACTCTCCTGATTGCTCCATTATTCTTGTCTGACACAATCCTACACGAGCACCATTTAGTGACCATGTGTCCTGTGTAGCATTCCCAGCTCGGCTGGAAACATATCATCTTGTACAAAGTGAATTATCAGGTACGATATTGGTATGTGGAATAGTACGGTAGTGACGGGTAGCCATGCAGTTTCCATCCCATAACACCCAGGCAACCCACATGTTCGCCAACTGCTTCATGCAGAACTTCAAGCATCAGACCATGACGCGCCCCAGTTATTTTAGAGCCTGTCAACGACGCAGTCTGACATCACCAGCCTCCGCGGAGTTAGACGTTGCACGTCTACTGGAATCATGCAACCTAGACCTTGTTGAATGTTTCCTTCCAAGTTGACTCAAATGGGCATCCCCGTTGAACTGAAGCCTTCTTTTCTGCAAGCTTGATGAAGTGTCTGATTCGGAAGAACTGACAATGCATTGCCTCTGACCAGCCGTCGCGCTGCCTTCGGTAATCGTAAAGGCAGCTTGATGGAGTACACAAGTATACACCTTGTATACTTAGACAATCAAGAACGTGCGGCTTTTCCCATGTTCCACATGTCCCAACGATCAACGGGATCTCCAAGGGTCCAGCTTTCGTAACAACCCTCAACTGGACGACAGAATAGAATGTGCACTCAGGTAGGCTTGTTAAGCTATACCAGATCTACTACACTGGGATATTAAGCCATCTCATATTGTTACACCCTTGGTGCACCGTTTATTCTGTCACCTCCTTGGCTCGATCAAATCTCCAACCTGGCAAGATGGAAGACGGCCTAGTGAGTCGATCATGTGTCAAACGTCCAGACTACCTGAGTAGCATCCCCGTCACCCCAGTATGCGGGGATTCTTACAAGACGGCACATGGCGTCGGAACGCGCGAGTGAAATAGATGCTGTTTCAATCGACTCTTGGCTATCACGTCAGCACGCCCAAGCAATTGTGACAGATAGTATTTCCCCGTCTATTGCTCCTCTTTCAGTCCTCATCGAGCGGCCGATTGAACGGAAGATCTCAGCTTGGCGGCTTGGCGGCTTGGGCGATTCGCAATGCTGTCGCAAGCAGGCAAAATCTTGAACCCCACGTCCAGTCTCAACCACCCCATTATCGCGGACGGTTCAGGTTGACGGTCACAGTGGAGAGCGGCCAATACCCCACATTCCGATAGTGTTTGTGGTGAGGAACAAATTGCGGCTTGAGCGCCTAGGAGAAATCGACGATTCGTGTGTCGAACAAGGACCCCTACCTGGTCCGTCGAGGGATTGACAGGGTCCCATAGTGGATTGCTGCGAGTGTCGATTGTCAATTCTTCTGGTTGTCCATTGATGCGGAGTATCGTTGACGTCTGTATATTCCAACGTTGTTGTCGGTCCGTCGGACAGATGTGCTCCAGACAACCCTGAGCAGATGACCAACATGACCCTCGTCGTACAACTACCATAGTAACGGCCATTCGGCGATGACTATGATACCAGTGTCACCATGTTGAACGTGATACAACGAGTTCCAGATCCCGTTGGACTGGCCGCATCATGCTGCAATGATAGGACGCCTGCACCGGGTCAATGCAGCATCGCAAGTAAACGAGAATTGGCTTCGAACATAGCACCGCTTGGCATTGTTGCAGTTTGGGAGGTATAGCCAAAGGAGATTGGCTTTCTGAACATGGAGGTATTCGCCATTTCGCATGGTATCATAACAAGAAGTCCGTGCTGACTTTATTGCTTAATTCTCTATGTGACTTTCCCAATGCGTTGGTCTTGGCAGGGCAAAGTTCACCATGCCCAAATTATATTTAGATGCTGGGACGATGAGACTGGGACACCGTTGCAAAGTTTATCTTGGGTGAGCCTGTTGGGATCTGTACGACCCTCAAGGATTATTCTTCTCAGACATGCAGTAAACTTCGTGCTGGCTATCATGTAGCTTCTGAAGATGTGATTGCGAATACTGATTTTCCGTAGTATAATATCTCCATCTTAGCCGTACAAGTATCGTCTATATATGCAGGCTAAGAGTGTTGATCTGCCGCAGAGGCAGTCGGGCCAAGCAAGGCATTGCGTCTCCGTGGGCAACTTTGTGCCAATGCCCAGGGCAATCCACCGAAGTTTCTCAGGAAACTTCCGAGTTCGGATGACCAGCCGAATCACGTGCTTGCTTAGATAATCTCAAATTGAGTCTTCATGATAATGCTACCGGCACGTGACTTCGGAATGAGGAACAGGAATTAGCCGACTGGCCCTCGCTGCCGGAAACGAACCGTGCGGCCGTGGACATTGGAGATGCTCAATTTGCGATAGACGACCCATCGAAGCTGTCCTGTCAACGCATCTCCCCAATTGGCAGCCATCACTCATCATGAACTCCCTACGCATTGCCCGAGCAGCTTTGAGAGCTCGCCCTGCAGCTCTGCGAATGCCTCTGCAGCGACGAACCTACGCTGAGGCCGCCACCGACAAGGCAAGTTGTCTTGTCTTGGCCTGCTTCTGTTTGTGCTCATACTAATTTCTGCCTCAGATCAAGCTAAGCTTGGCCCTACCTCACCAGGTACGAAACCCAGTGGCATCTAGAGAAATCTGAAGAACTCTTTTGGCAAGATCACGAACGCGCCGCGGCAACGGCATGGGAGGGCCGACTTAGAGAGAGCGCGGGCTCAGCTAATTACCGCAATAGTCCATCTACAAATCCCAAGATGTCGTTCAGGTCAACATTCCCGCCGAATCCGGAGAGATGGGCGTCCTCGCCAACCACGTTCCTTCCATCGAGCAACTGAAGCCGGGACTGGTTGAAATTGTCGAGGAGGCTGGTAGCAGCAAGCAGTTCTTCCGTACGTGCATGGTCTGATTCGGTACATATGGGCCGGCCAACTGACTGTTGATGTTTTGCTAGTGTCGGGCGGATTCGCAATTGTGCAGCCAAACTCGGTGATGAGCATTAATGCGGTCGAAGGCTACCCTCTCGAGGATTTCAGTGCCGATGCCGTCAGGGCTCAGATCACGGAAGCACAGAAGGTTGCGAATGGCAGCGGAAGTGAGCAGGACATTGCCGAGGCGAAGATCGAACTAGAGGTAGGCCCATAAAACTCACAGATACCACAAGTTTGACTTGCTCTTGCTAACTATTTACTATAGGTTTTGGAGAGCTTGCAAGCCGTCCTCAAATAGAGTGTATAGACAGACTTGAGCAGGGAGTGCATCGTGTACATCACAAAAGTTTCCTATAATCACCAGGACGTACCTGCGAGAATTGAGCATTTTTGAGGCCCGAGCCTTCCTGAGTTTCTCTTTCCCCGTTGCCGTTCGTAGCTGCTCAATTCATGATTGAAACTAACAGTGTCATGGTCAATGCGGCCGTAACCCTGACACCAGTTTCAGAACTTCTTCCATCCAACTCTTCAGTGTCATCGTCGAAGTGACTTGCAAATATTCCCAGACCTACTGCACTCAATTATCCTTAGGACCTATAATGCTCGGTACAAATGCTGTGGTTACAGCCGCCTTGCATCCGACATCACATTGAGGCTAGCGACCTATGTGGGTGAGCCAAGGGATGCCGATGAAGGGTCACCCGCACGCTTCAGCTATTCTCTGGGATGAGGAAAACCAGTCCGCCTCCGCCCGAAGCTCTTGCCGAAGCTCTTGCCGAAGAAGTGATCCCGAGTAGCATTACCTCTCGAATACGCCAGTTGCATTGTCTTGCGCACCCCGGTCACAATTCCAAACACAACCCGGAATTGTGGAATCGGGATCGCGAACACATTGTCGTCGGTTAGGGCCGTCGATCCGCGTCCCATTATGCACAGCCAGCCGTTTCCAAAGACCATTCCTTTCTGGGGCTAAGAAGCGCGCGCAACAAACATAGCGACGAACACGCCATGACACGAGAGTCCCATAGAGGACACCAATGCAGGCTGCAAATGTCGGACTGTGGGGCATGTACTGAGCCGTCTAGCAGCAAAACCCTTCGACCAAGCATCTCAACTGGACAGATACGTGTTCGGAAAGCCACGGGCTTCTCTTCCCATTCAGATGACTTAGTCGAGACGACGGATTTGCGGCGTCGTAAATCAGCTCGAGAGTTGTTCGAGCAACACGGCATTTCCAGGCCCTCTGGATGGCTGTCGGACGAGGAAGACTTGTCTCTTTCGGGAGATGGAAACGCCAGCCCCCGAAGATTCTGCAGAATCTGTCACGTCTGCTCTGCCCGGACTTGGTCGCCTACTCACTGCGCATCGTGTGGACATCATCTCTGCGAACGCTGTCTCTGCGAGGTTCCTGAGAACTCTGTTGAGACTCATAGGGGTTTCTCTCATCATCCGAGTCGAACCTTGGAATTAGATGACGCACGGTACGTCAGACCCCCTATTTCTTCGCCGGAGCCAGTACACAAGGCCACGGTTTCGAATCAAGCGAAAGGATCTCAAGAAGCTGTTGGATCGCAACGTCGTGGCGTAGGTAGAATTGAAGATAACCCCGGAAACAAATCAATCGATATGCCCCAACGGTCATCCTCGTTGGCTCGACAGGACCATGATAGGAAGAACCCGTTCCAGAGGAAGGCAAAGCTCCAGGATCGCAACCTATCTAAGCTTCCTGCAACTTCAGAGAAGCAGTTACATCCAGCATCGCCTGGCATACCAAGCTCGTTTCGATTACGACCCACCCTGTCGGTGAGGCAGAACCCGTTCGTGATTGCGGACAGGAAGGCTACAGGGAAGGCTGCTGAGCCTGAGATAACTGAACAGAGTAAAGTTGAGGTTTACAGGAGCAAGTATACAGACTTGGAACAGGACGACCACGAAGAATGCGATAACCCAGCATGTCGAGCCACCCACGACGGGCACCTTCCATATCGACACAGCGTCTCGTGTGCTTTGCATAGGAGTGGTGAGAGCGAGGGAAGTGATACATCGCATCTACATGAGGCCCAGTTCTCGGGTGAGGTCTCAGCAGCTTCCACGCCCAGTCTGCAACGGCTAGAGCAGCCGTCGCCGCAAACGGTGGCTATGCATTCTCGTCATGATACAATCCATCGTCATCACTCATCTGGATTTCATGGACCGCATCACATTGCAGAGCATCTCGCAATGGCCGTCGGCCACAGTCTTCATGACGATCGCCGCTCCGCTCAGAAGTCTCACCATGAATCTCGTGCAAGAGTAATTGACGAACGAGCTGAAAAGGACCTTCATGCTCAGCAACGCGACATGGGTTTAAAAGCCAATCTCAGCATTGCAACACATCTTGAGCCAGTCACATCCGTAGAGCCTGTAACCCAACTTGACCCCTTCCAGTACGTGGAAAAAGCCCTGCCTTACGGGCACCCTCAGCATCACGAACATGAGATACCTGCAGGGCCACAGCTTGGCTACATAGGAACAGAGATGTCTCGATCTCGCAAACCAGCACGAGAACTTAAACGTGTCGAATCAAGAATTTTAGTGAAGGATTTCCCTGGAGACGACACAACCGTGCGACGTCTTGATACTGAAGAGTCGACAGATACTACAGCTTCCGGGTTGCGTTCTCATCAGAGCATCAGGCGAATAGAGTCAGCCCGTTTCAAGGATAGAAATCGAGAAAATGGCCAGGTTGAAGACTCGAAGGATGAGATCTCTCAGTCATCCCATCCCGCACAAACCAGTCGGAAGGTGGAGCGGGTTGAATCTATTCCAACGCAGTCATTGTCAACGCATAAGCGAATACAACGAGCCTCAGCCCAGAAACCGGCCCAAACTAATCGATCCAGCCCGACGACGCAGCAAAGTCCTCAGACCGAGTCTCGAGGTAGCCATAAGATCCAGAAGCCAAGCGAGTCAAATGACGACCCCAAGCCTATCAGAAAGTCTAACACCATTAAAAGCTTGGTCGTCAAGAACAAGCACATCGACGAGACTCGAACGAACTTGGAATTCCCGGGGAATATGCTACATAGTGACCAGAAAAAAGCATTCGTGCCCCGAGGCCGCGTCGCCAGCCCTCCGCCATGGTTGAAGAATCCAACGAGGCAGCCAGGGAACCTGCAAGGAAGACTGCGCCATGTTGACACCAAGAGCCACCAGGACTTGTCCTATTACACTGCGCAAAACTTGGAACAAATAGATCGCCCAAGGAGTTCCGTTGCCAGCCAGCGGAAGCCAGGAAATTCATTCAGTAGCAGGTTGTCAACACCTAAAAGTGAGCTTCGTGCCGTAATAGAGGGGGCGATCGAGAAGGCCACTCAGGAGTCTTCGTCTCAAACGTCTCAGACTACCTGGCTTGGTGTTAAAGCTCAACTACAGGCACCGAAGGTGGATGCTGTTGGTTCTACCACACCTGAATCTCGGGTTATAGAGAGAGAAGTATCAGCGGTGAAGGAGACGCCGCCTCACCCTAGCCCCCAAAGAAAGGAACCGAAATCACCAGGGGCTAACACTATAGCTTCGTTCACATCACATAGTCCAGAACAAGAGCAACCAGCGGTGGCGGTGACTGCTACGCCCAAATCCGAAAGAGCAAAAGGCAAAGCACCGGCCTTTCCACGACCAGAGACGCTGCCGAATAAGTTTCAAGCTGGTGAAGGATTAGAAGACTGTGTTTTCTGCGAAGCGCCGACCCCCACCCCGCCCGAAGTCAGGGCTCTTCGCAATCAGGGTGTCCGGGACGAGGCCGTCAGTCCATCAAACGCCACCGTGTCAAATCACTACCTGGAAGAGTTCCGACGCAACAGCGACGCACTCCAGGAGCGGTACCGTCGAGCAACACTTCGTGCCGAAGTTGAGCTCAAACAGCTGAGGGATGTGGCATGCACTTCACGGCAAGATTTGCCATATCAACCCGACATTCCCGGCGGAGCAACTGCATCTAGCTTGCCCACGCCGCTGCCGCCGCCACCGCCGCCACAACCACGCCGGGTTTCTTCCCACCAGGACGAAGATCCTGAAGAGGACCAAGAAGAACCCCAAGAGCGAAGAGAAGACATCCCTTCGACCGCTGGCGCCGGCCGGACATCAAAGATGTGTCTTGATTGCAAGGAGACGTTCTCCTTCTACGACAACAAAGCAACGGACCTCGAGATACACCGCCCCACCCCCATAGCACCTCCAAACCACGAGTGCAGCTGGAAGGATCGCTACATAGCCTTGACAGCTGAGATCCGCCTGTTGCGGGCGGAGATGTCGACACGGGTCTCGGTCGAGGCGGACAGGGCCACCTCGGCGCGGGCGCTCGGGCAGCAGGAAGAGGATTTGGGGATCCAGGGGTTGACTATCGTCATGCACTTGAAGGATAAGGATGATTTGGTCATCAACACGGACTTGACCCAGGATGTGGAGGAGGTGGATGATGAGACGGAGGGGGGGAGTAATTTGTAATCTGGCCCAGGGGCTGTATTTCTGTTTGTGCTTTCGCCTTTGTTACTGACTCGAAAGGTGCATGATGGCGGACCCTATGATGCATGAGTACCTAGGTAGCTTCTAGACTGCAATGATAGACTAGTATGTCCGTAATGTTCCTTGGAATGGCTTAAACTTTGTGATGAAGAGGGTGCTAATGGATGTCATGTAACACTCGAGCCCGGCATCACGGGTTGAATGATACTGCATTACTATCTGCCTTGCGCTGGAAGGTGTAGTATATGGTGGTCATGCAGTCCTGCCATCAGGTGGATCCAGCCTGTCATTGACCTCAAACAATCCCCCAAAACATCCAGTGAGATTTGTAATAAGTCAAAATATTTCGTGTTTATTTTGGACATGCTGAATGTTGTTTTCTCATATTTTCTGCTTCCTATGCCACTTTTGCAGTCATTTGAGTGCTCTCCATTCTTCAAGGAGCCTGTAGGAGAACTTCTGGTTGTCAAACTTTTGACCAAGCCTTACCTAGCGATCTTCGGGCCTAGCACCCGTGACCTGATCTCCTCTGTGCTGTGTCAAATTGGATTAGTGCACTTAATCAGACAGCATATATGCGTACTGGCTGCATGCTTCCCCGAGGTGCGGATCGGCTCCTGCTTGGGCCCTATTGTGAGAAATACCGGAATTATGTGGGCAGCAGATTGTCGTTAAGTCATATCGTGAGTCCCTGGAGTTGATAAGTACATCAACTCTGCGTAAGTCCTTTGGGCTTTCATCATAGAGTTTGCTGAGAGGATATCTGCTTTCAACTGTTGCGACTTTGGTAGTTTTACTTTGACAAGTTCAGTTACTCAATTAACAACCGCAACATATTTTGCTACATGGTAAGTTATAAACAACACTTCGGCAGCCTCGGGATGTTTCCTTTATAGGTTTGACAAAAGTTTACCAAATAGCCAAGTGTAAAGATAATGTATGACCTAAGACCTACGAAAGGGATGTGGCAAATCCTTGAAAGTAAATTTCACATTTGGAACCCCAGAAGCAGACGTAGAGTCACAGCCAGAATTATTATATGTGACACAAATCAGATAGTCCCTGCTGGAATTATCTAGCACATGCCGCCCAGTGCCTTTGGGTTCGCATGGAAAGCGCAACCTGCATGATATTCAAGTTGCAGGAAAGTCACACACACAATATAACTCATAATATCTTACTCCACCGCCTTTCCAGAGGACAATTAGTTATTCACATACCCACTTGTCCAGAGTCATGTCGTATAAAGGCACTACCTACTCACGATGCGACCTCTAAGACAACAAGCTTTATCACGTATAGATATTCCCAGTTCCAGCCATTCACATAAATGTCGTTTGTTAATCATGAGTTGCGGCACTTGAGGTTTCGTATCCACATCACCCCACACATGGCTTCCGTAACCTCCAAGTCACTCTCCTGTACTTCAGACACTATAAATACCACAAATCATAAGCCCCGAGTGCTTTTTGACATTAGTTTTATATTCTCATTTTCTCGTAACAAGCACTGCTGTGGAGCAAGGTATTACTGTATGCTGCGTAATCCTCCGCTTGCAAGTCAGTCGTTGCTCAAAACGGCTTCCGCGTGGCAACCCCGACTATGTGCCATAGTTGGCAGTTGAAGCACATGATAGTACCCTCCTTTCAAAGGATGGCAACCAGAAACACAAAAAATCGCGAGATAGTTCCTACGGAATATCTGCAGGCAAGTAACAGGCAATCGACACGTTGCCTTGTCGCTGCGAAGCCGTGGCTGATCTTTGACGCGTATTCAAATCAACACGGCCGAAACCTCTATACCAAATCATGTTTGACGATACATTGGATGTACAGGCGAGTGGCTATCTTTATTAATCCCACGAAGTAGTCGTCAACATATTCCTATGTGAAGATGCCCTGCCCGAACCCAGCCCACGGCGGTACGATCAACCTACACAAGAACAAGGCGATATTCCGAAAGCAAATACTGGCTTGGAAGAGAACGAATAATGGGACGACAGATCAACTCTCTGCGACAACCCAATGTTCACAAAGGAAACCTACGAACGCGAAGGAACTCGAGGACAATTTCCGAGGCCGGGAACTCCAACCCCTTTTGCCGAAGAGACGACAAATTTCTCTTTACTCCGCGAACCTGGTGCACTGCCGCGGATATCCTCCTGGCTGGATGGTAGAGGCAACAGCACCATGATGATCACGTTTTCAGCCCTCCCCTCTTCCTCAGCATCCACCCCTAAAATTCCGCAGCAGGCGGCGTCCTACCCGTTCCGATGGCACTTGTAGGCAATACTGCCCGAGGAGACGATACAGGTCGTGGTGCAGCGTACCACGATCCAGGTAGTTTGATTCATGGGCCATCTCCACTGAAAGGGTTTCCGCGGGAGATGTTGTGCCTAGAGTGGGGAAGAACTTGCGGCTTTCTTCACCGGTGAGCCTCGATTACACGAATGAATATCAATCAGGGGACAAGGGAGGAAGAAACTATGACTGGGATTGAGAAGATGTCACTCGACCTAGTTGAGGTGAGGATGGGCCGACCGGCGGGTTTGGCGGACGATATCTATGCTATGATGAGGAGTTCGAGTCTGCCTAGGCTAGAATACGGACTTCTTTCTCGATACATTGTCGTTGCCGTGCCAGAGGAGCAAACATTGTAAGTTCACTGCTCCAGTGGCTTTAGTCATTTTGATCATGCATACTCGCAGTTACGGTTTTGTTACAGGTGCTTTCCCCGTAATGCGAACTTGGCAATGTTTAATTCTCCCGTTAAACAGACAGGCCATCGAGTGTCCGGGGTACGTCGATAGTTGCTCACACCCCAGGCCCTCCCTTGCCTGAGTAGGTCGGACGGCAGGGTTGGATGCAACGAAAAAGGTAACCAGCAACGCTAAGCTGCGCCGGCCGCAACAGCTGGAAGGCCTCCAGGCGAGATCGTATGGGCAGCTGTCGTTCCGTCGGCACCACTTTAATTGCCAGCACCAGCAAGACGTCGTCGATGTCAGTCGTAGTGCGCGACGTCCATGGGAACGTGGTCAACGCGTCCAAAGTGAGCTTACGGCCGACAATGTTCTCGACAAAGGGAACTGCCGTCTCGTCTCGAAGAGAATATCTACGTATGCAATCACCGTTGAAGCCTATGATGGTATGCGCGAGTAAACACCAGAATCCAAACCGCCGGTTTCGCATTCGTGCAAGGACATCGTCCCCAGGGGAGACTAGCTCGGCAGGCCGAAAGCGTGACTTGGAATCAGCGAAACTTGCAAGGCGTTCTTATAATAATCGCATCTGCAGAAGACCGAGACTTGATCTGAGACGTTTCCGTTGATTGCCCAATGTTGAGATGCCAAGCCGTTGCTCGCAGGAGCATAAGCTTTGCCAAGTGCCAAGGGAGGTCGACATCGTGGCATGCAGAGCAAACAGTCTTGGCGATGAACTATGGTACCAGCCTGCCGGTTACACCAGCCGGGCGCGCCCGTTGCGGGGTCCGAAGAAAGCAGAGGAAAATAACTTGGCCCTGAGGTTGCTTCTTTCATCATCAATAAGATTGGCGCGCCCGACATCCTCCGTCCGTCACGCATCAGGAGATTGTCGTGCGACAATGATGGCTATTTTTGATAGATGGCGGGAACCAGGCAGGTGGGCATTTTGGCTTTTTCCTCGCATCACCGATAGACTCGGTCGGGCAGTTCCCACTTTCATCGCTTCGAGTTGCGGTGACGAACCCTTCGCGTTGCGGTGACGAACCCTTCGCAAAGAGAGCCTGGGCGCTGAGTGCCACTGGGATCGTTTCTTACTGTGATGGCTCTCGTCCACGTGACGTATTGTTGGGAAAGTAGCCACGGCTGGGTCGGGCTAGGCATGACCTGCATCAATCAATATGTCGTACAATGAGGAGGTAGGTACGAAATACGGAGTACATGGATGCATGCTGAGTCAGACAACGCTGCTGCTCCACGCGTTATTTCTGGGGCGCTTCTCTTCCCCAAAACCACAGTGCGACACGGCAACGAAAGCAACGAAAAGTTGAGTTTGTTTCGCTGCGACGTCAGAAAATGTCCTCGAGGAAAGGCTTTCGTCAGGTTTTACTACACTGTTGACTCTCGTGGTAACAGCAGTAGCAGGACTGTTTCTGTAGTCGATTCGGATGCATCCGCAACTGAACCTGGCAAATTGCAAAAGTGGCTTGAGGGTTGGCCGGTAATCTAATCTGACAGTGTTGGAATTTACTTCGCATTTCCATTGAGGATATCGAGCAGGGGCTCTGATTAATATACTTTGCCTTTACGGGCAGGTGGATGCCTCTGCACCAACAATGTGATACATAATATTGCTGCATCTTGCTCCGCAACTAGGGTCCAGACCTTCCAGATGTCGAATACCCGCCTGCTAATATGCTCTGCTGGTCTGCAACCGCATGCATGATGTAGACATGTGCGGGCGACTGCGAATAGTCTGACAATGAATTGATTGTCCGGTGTGCAGCTCTCATGTTGCAACAATTCGGCGATGGCGAATGGCCAAAGGGCTGCTGCTTGCGGGCAAGGGGACTTGCCGAAGTGACACGCCAGATCTTCCGCAATTCATTGTCAGGCCAATTTAAACAAGAAGTATGGGCCCCACCGTATCCGCCGGAATCCATCACACTATCCCGCTGGGGCAGCCAACAGGCTTGACAGGGGTTTCTCTCTAGGTTGCATAATTTTACTCAAGTGAAGCTTATTTCAAAAGTAGACGGTCAAAGCCGTGCTGTCATACCGACCATGCACGTTGCTGCCTCGAGTCTTGCGAAGTCCCCACACAGTTTGAACTCTCTACTTGTGTTTGGTCCCTAGCAGGTCGCTCCAAAACACTTTCGAGACGTCGAAAAGCACCGCGCGCTGCGATGAATCCACTCGGCGCATCGTCTAAAGTGGGTGTTAGCCCCGAGTCCCCAATCGCCGACTCTTCGTCTTGTCGTGGACCACTCCGCCCCATCATGTCGGCTAGTCCAAATTCTCTCACCCTCCCAACCCGTTGAAGACTAGCGCTCTTCGTCAGCCATCAAGCCCAGCTACTGGTTCCCCAAGTGCCAACCTTTTCCCCCTTCTTTCACGCATGGCGCACCCATCCGTTTCTACTCTCGCTTCTACCCAAGAAAATCTCTCGGCGCCCAGACGTCAACTTCGAGTACCATGAACAGCTCCGCCGCGGCGCAATATAATCGATCACGATATTGAATCCCGACTATTGGGGCTCGGGTTGGCAAGCAAGTGGTTGGATCCGCTGTCAACATAACAACAGCGGTGGTGGAAATCGGTGAACCTCAGGGTCGAACTGCTGCGACTCTCGACGTCAATCCGGATAGTCGAAGCTGGACAACCCAACGCCAACTGCGGTTACACGAATAACCGACGGCAATTCGCGGCTCCCCTTCCGAACAGCCCTCGCTGGGCTTCTTTATTCCATGGCGAGTGTCGTGAGATAGCGTGCTTGCCGCTTCCAACATTGTCGCCCCGCAGCTGGCCGCCCCGTCCCTTGGCTAAAATGGATGCACTGCAGCTCTGGAAGGCAACATCAGCCGCTACGGCAACAGGCACTGCCGTCACCGGCTGTGATGCCATAATCCTCCCGGCTAACGGCGTCTTGTCTTTCGCCAGCGGCGCCATCTTGACCCTTGCCGCCGACACCGTCTTCAAACCCGCCTGCAGCAGCGTGGTGGCTGAACCGGCCATTATCGCAAACGGAGGCGTGAACATAGATCAGACTACCTCGTCTTCGGATCCTCAATTTTCTGACTTCCGTGACCCTTTCTACGCCTCGACCTTTCCACAATGCTACGCCCTGGCCGCGACAACCATCATCTCTTATATGCTCGTCATCATGCTACTCATTGCGCCTAGGTCTTTCCTTGACGGTGGAGTTGTTGTCCTCGGCCGACGTGGCTTTACGAATGGGCACTCGAACGGCATCAGTATCGGAGGACGCCCGTGGCTCCAGAAGGTCGCGGCGCTGACCGTGGCAATTTCACTGACCATCGCCACCGCCGACACCTTCCGCGTAGCTGAGGACCAGTATGCTTGGGGCATTCAAAACGCCGAAGCGCTCCAAGATGAGGTGTTAGGCGGGACTCAGCTGAAGGTTATCCGGCTCATTTCCGACACCTTTCTCTGGCTGGCCCAGGCTCAGACCTTGATACGCCTATTCCCGCGCCAGCGGGAAAAGGTCATTATCAAATGGACAGCATTCTCTCTCATCACGTTAGACGTCATCTTCGGGGCCCTTAACAGCTTCCAATACAGTGGGCCGGGCAACACAAGACCTCGGAGCTTCACTGATGCCGTTCCGGCTCTGAGCTACCTTTTCCAACTCTCTCTCGGACTCCTGTATGCGGCATGGGTGCTATACTACTCGCTCATGAAAAAACGATACGCGTTTTATCACCCTCTGATGAAGAACATTTGCCTCGTGGCCTGTCTTTCTGTTATTTCCATTCTGGTTCCCGTTGTCTTTTTCATCCTGGACATATCGAAGCCGGAATTCACCGGGTGGGGCGACTATGTGCGTTGGGTTGGTGCGGCGGCAGCAAGTGTGGTGGTATGGGAGTGGGTAGAACGCATCGAGGCATTGGAACGAGAAGAAAAGAAGGATGGGATTCTAGGTCGCGAAGTATTTGATGGCGACGAGATGATGGAGGCTTCGTCCACTGATTTCTCATGGCCTCGGCGAAGAAAAACAAAGAAGAAGGGGGAGGACGAGGATGGCGGAGAAAGCGGCGGTCGACCAAGCGATCGCGGTCCACCGTCCAGGGGGCGAAGCAAAATTTGGCCTGCCATGTCCTCAATTACGAGTCGATATATGTCGAGATCGGTCAGCCATTCAAATTCTCACCAAAAGTCGACGATTCCAGCTACAACGGCGGGCAGATCGCCCAGTCGGTTCTTACAGCCACCACTATGGCCATCTCGTCCCCCCCCGGCAGTCACCCCAATAAGCCGGGCGGACACAGCTAGCGCTGACAGCACAGTGTATGCTGTCCGATATGCGCCGCTTACCGAGACCGCATCGCGGACTACAGATGACAGGGCTGAACAACCTTTATCACGGAGCAATAGCAGTGCTTCGTCTGAGCCCGACGGTAGACCATCCAATTCGTCTCTGGCAAGAGCACCATCGCCCGATCGATCTCCGACCACGGAACCTGAAGCAGATCACAGGGCATGGCGTGCAGTGTACAAGTTTGCCAGCTTTCGCAGCAGTGCGCACGCTCCACCTGCTGAAGTTTTACCGCATGCTCAGAAATTACAACCTTCCCACCGTGACTTTGAGGGTGGCCGATGGGACATCAGAAGCCGTTTCGAAGACTTCGCAGCCATACAGGCGGAGAGGATGCGGGAGAAGATGCGACCAACACCGGACACGGAAAGTTTGCCGGTCACCGTCATACCAGCTCCGCCTCGACGAGGTGCGGCACTAGCCCAGCTTCTCGAGGAAGAACTTCATACGGCCCCCAACACGGGGCTGCCAGGAGGTGTCTCTGCTTCGCCGGTGCCGTCGGAATTAACGCGAAGTGGAAGCAACGCATCTGCGCCGGGACCCCCATCGCCACTGGCAATCGGCAGCGACAATTTGGCCGCGGACGCCCGAAGACCGACATTGAGCCCGCTAGAACGACACGACGCGGTGCAGCTTAGAACAGTTAGACGAGACAACGTTCCGACACCGACCTATCAAAGATCTGCAAGCACGATGGAGACCATGTCTCGTAGCATGGCGGGGGAGAGGCGGCCCGTTGATGACATTCTTGGGGATGTAACCCCTTCGAATTGAATCGACGGCAGCGTGCTTCTTTTTATTTGAGTTGTACTATCAGCATGGCGCTTCGGAGCGTGTCTTGGGTTTTGACATTTAGCGGGATGGTCGGATGTGCTGCATTTCTTTTTGACGAAGAACGATTTAAATCGATTCACGTCTGGATATTTGGGGTTTTGGAGGTGGGAAAATCCAAGGATCTTGGACTCTGTGGATCAAGTGTATTTTCATGGTATATCCCGCATGCTCTATTGTACATATATAACATCACATATGGTGTTGGCTTTGGGGGGGAGCGGGATGGATTCGGAAACATCAACGGCGCAATGCCGTCAGGGGCCGAGATAGGTTCTTGGACACTATGATATCTCCAAGTGTTGGAGTACGGCTCTAGGACTGGCTGCAGGAACAGGATATGCACCACAGCACTCTTTGGTTTATGGACGTTGATGACCCGACTTTGGTTTGATCATTTGTTCATGTGACCTCAACAATAAGAAACACATTCACATTAAAAAGTATGGAATCAATCTTCCTATCTCTGCAGTAGCCTCTTACGTGTAAATGTCCTACCAGAAGCCAACCTCGCCGGGTTAGACGTGATGGAATCCGAGTACGTCGTATTTTTATGTAGCCTGAACAAAACAATCAACTTGTCTGAACTCGGGGGTAGCTCATAGCGAGAGTGACACTACAGGCAGCCCGTTCATTTCGTCCTGATACCAACCGCGTAGAAGACAACCGCCCTATACAAATACTTATGAAGAACGCCGCCTGGCCTCGCTTTGTGTCCCGGATTTGAAATCCCGACTGCATCAAATTCCACCGACCCTCAGTTCCCCAATCTGCCCATCAACTCACCCCCGTACCATCCTAGCACATAGGACGGATGTACCGATCTGCTTGTTATGACACGGCGCTACTAAACTAATTCAAACCCGCTTGCCAACTCGATTGACCTTGTTTGCATAAATCATGTAGGATTCGTTTCAGTTAAAGTTGTCCATGGACGTAAACATGTGAGTGGACGATCAACAGTCATGAAAGGTTGTCTGACGTTAGCACTATGGCTCTCGACGGCCGCTAAACCTTCAGCTGAACCCCTATTCTCTTGGTATTTGGTTAAGCTGTGCGGGATCCACGGCAAGCGTCATGCGTTCGTAGTGGACCTGTCTGCCCAGAATTTCCAGCGCGCCGAGTCGATGCCAAGAGATCGTGAGATAAGGGGGTGGCATTTGCGAGTGACGATACCAAGAATTGTTGGACGGAACAGTACTTTTAAGACAGCCTGGGAAGGGAGGATGGATAGGCCAGTAGACTCGGAGATCTGTCGCTGGCGTTTCAAGTTGCACACGGAAAGAGCGGGTCAGGTCTGGCAAGCTGGCACCCGACCCGCAGCAGACCGGCACCCGAGGCGTCCGGTGTTAAACAGGGCGTTCAGGAGCAAACTGGGGCTGCCAAAATCGGCTTTTAAATTGATGCCATCATTCTGACCAACCAAAATTTGGGGATCCAATTCGGGGGGTCGATTGGGGGATCTAACATTTGAACAGAAAAAGCCTGACCACCCTTGGCGATTACCTGGTTTGCTGGACTCCAAAGATTTCCGCTGCAACCTCTGCGGACCGCTAGACGACTTCACTCCTTCAGCATCTCCGGGACGCGTGCCACGCGTGCCATTGATTGTACTTGCGACCAAGACACTCTTATCGGGCAGAATTCCGTATCGGTGCTGCGCTCCTTGACTGAAGCCGTTCAACTAGCCCGGCGAACCGCAGCACAACGTCGCAAATATGGCAACACCTGAACCATTCCCGCTGCTGAACACGGCCAACACGGTTGGTGGTATGCCGCGTCGACGTAGAAAGTCGAGCGGCCTTGGCCATGACATCCACGCCGGCGACACGGGCGCACCGAGTCTGGGGACTGGTCTTGCCAGTGTCCACTCCTCCGCTTCCTCGGCGACGTCCTCGAATGGCCACGTACAAGAGAAGGATGCCCTGAAGAAACTCTCCAAGCGCCGAAAGGCACGTTCGTTCCTGCACAGGTGCAAGCACTTCGCCGTCAAACACACATGTACCATACCGCTGGTGCTCCTGCTCTGCTTTTTTGCTCTGTACGCCGTTAATCCGACCGAATCCAACGTCGTGCACCACTTTATTTTCCTCTCGTACAAATTGCCCCTCGAAGCGGGCGCTGCCCCCGACACGCCTCCGCAATATGGTAAGGGTCTCTGGGATATCGCCTTCGTCAGCTTCTACATTGTGGTTCTGTCCTTCACCCGCGAGTTCATCATGCAAGAGCTCCTACGTCCCCTGGCCCGATTCTGCCAACTCAAGTCGCGTGGCAAGCAGGCACGCTTCATGGAGCAGATGTACACGGCTATATACTTTGGTATCATGGGACCGGCCGGCATGTACGTTATGAGCCGGACGCCCGTATGGTACTTCAACACACGGGGCATGTACGAGGGCTTCCCGCACAAGACACACGAGGCTGTGTTCAAGTTCTATTACTTGTTCCAGGCTGCCTACTGGGCGCAGCAAGCCATCGTCCTACTCCTAGGCATGGAGAAGCGACGCAAGGACTTCAAGGAGCTCGTGGGGCACCACATCGTCAGCTTGGCCCTGATTGCTCTCAGCTACCGATTCCACTTCACATACATGGGCATTGCCGTCTACACCACGCATGACATTAGCGATTTCTTCCTTGCAGTAAGTTGAATTGACTTGCGGCCCCTTTTGGCTTTCGGGAGGCGTTTTCCGGACGGGAACTAACGCAAGATTCTTCCGCAGACTTCCAAGACGATCAACTACATCGACAGCATTTTTGTCGCACCATACTTCTTCCTCTTCATGTGTGTGTGGATTTACATGCGCCACTACCTGAACCTTCGCATTCTTTGGTCGCTCTTTACCGAGTTCAAGACGGTTGGCCCTTATGAGCTCAACTGGGAGACCCAACAGTATAAGTGTCTGCTGTCTAATGTCATCACTGGCGGTCTTCTATCCGCCCTCCAAGCCCTCAACCTATTCTGGCTCTTTTTCATCCTTCGCATTGCGTACAGCTTTGTCGTGCACAAAACGGCGGATGACGAGCGATCTGAGGCCGAGGAGTCGGAACTCGAGGAGCTGGAGCTTAAGAAGCAGAAGACTTTGGCTGTGGAGAACAAGGGCGAGGCGGCGCCTTTGATCGATGGCAATGGACTCGCCAAGGCTACTGCAAACGGGGCGACGAAATCGCCTGTTTTGAACAAGAAAAACTCCCGGTAGAAGTAGACTGCCTGGGCCGACCTTGAGACTCCCGCCGGTGGAGTAATATATATCATCGCCTGGCGACATTCGCTCGTAACTTTCACATTGGTGGGAATGCGTGTACGGCAGCGAGTGTTAGCCAGTCAGGGCGGACATTGACGAGATCACTCCCAGCCGTGCTGTCTGCATCTCTATCGAGAGATTTGGCGTGTGATAGTGAGTTGAATCGCTTAACTCATTGGCGGAATCGGCGTTGAAGGAGCGGTCAAGCGTTACTCGCTCGATATGGTGTCCAGGACCATCGCGGCCCAGTCTGAAAGAGGGGACTCATGCATACACTTGCTGACATCGATCCTATGAGAGCAACGCAGCTACTGAACTGCGTGCATAGCGGTTGAGTTGTTATTTTTTGTATAAGAGAAGCAAAAGGATCGGCTGCTACGGATGGAACTTAGGGATAATAGGGCCCCCGGTTGTAAGGGGGTTTGGCGGTGTACGAGCGCGTTCTTTGTACGGCTTTTGAGTATGATATTCGCAAACTAGGCATGTAATACTTAATGGCAACTACGACAGCCTGCTGCTTAAAAAAATCGACAAAACTGGTAACCTTTACATGATTTGGTGACCCTCCCCATTTGTGGTATCCCTATGGGTGCAACTACGACCTTGAGGTGCTATGTGTACCTGAGGCAAGGCATGCCCTTACCGGTATGGTTACATAGGCATGCTTTCGCGACCAACGACCAGTCGCAATACTCACGACACTCTGGGAGTAACTGAACATACGAGTAGTGTCATGAGGGACAGTACCTTCGGCTGGTGGAGGAACAGGGGGGCCGGGGCAATGGTCGTCTCGCTCAATAGCAAGCCAGCGGACAATTACCTTTCTCAATGGTAGCGACGGAAACTATCCACAGCGCAGGCCTGTGCATGTTCAATATAGATTCCCAGATACCTAAATCTCGGAATTTAGGAGGTCCTGTGGGTAAATAGTAGCAAAAGCAGCGAGACGTCTCCATGGTAGTGCCAATGCAGCCCTCGGTCCTTGGGCGACTGCTATCCATCCAATATGCCCCGAGAAGCCCTAACCAACCGACTCCAAACTCCAATGTCCCCGAAACCTCAAACAGATATCACCTGCCACTTGATTCGTGAATGGGGTTCATCCTTTTTCATCTCGAAATGCACTCCCCGCCAAACACACCAGCCGACGCACTACCCAGTCCTCCAAGAGCTGACAAACCCCAAGTAAGAGCAGCTGATTCCCAGTCCAGCTCCTCGGGCGGCAGGACGTCTCCCTCAAGCGCATCCCGAGCTTCTTTGGCTGTGGGCTTATACGCTTGCTCAGCAACAGGTTCCGATCCTGGCTCCGACGCCGGCTGCTTCTTCTTCGGCCGGCCACGTTTTCGCGGAGTAGGCGCTGCAACTTCCTCACTGGAGCTGGCGACGCTCGCGACGCTAGCAACGCGAGGCTTGTGACGGGCCTGGCGGCGGAGCGTTATTTGCCCTTCGGGTTCCGAGGATTCCGTTGTAACATCGAGCTCGCGCTTCATGGTTGATTTTGACGTGATTTCTTTGGGGGCAGCTGATTGGCATGCGGGTGATTTATGGAAGGGGACGATTGATGTGACGATATCCTGAACATCGGCGTTTCGTACAGCTGCCCACAAGCCGAGGCTTAGGGCGCAAATTAGGGCATCCCATCCCACTGCAGCAACGACTGGATGGTCGCTTGTAGATCCTAGCACCTTACCAAGAGCAGTTGTGCCGCGCTCCCAGGTGGATCGCTTCTCGACGTCCCAAGGTATGAAGCGGCTGTGACGATGGACGTGCGAGTCTGGTGCATTGTATGACAATCCCAAGAAACTAGCCTTTGCGTGAAGCATGAAAGATGCGACGGAGATGAACCGGAAGAGACCGGTGAAGGAGCTGTATGCATTGTGTGGGTGAGCGTGGACGGTGCCCCATTTCGCGGGTACAACCTTGGGTATCAGGAGTGGCATGAAGGTTGAGGCTCTCGTTAAAAGCACGACTGTTACGAATGATGGCCTTTCTACAGCGTATGGCAAGAGGAACACGGCAGTAAAGTTGAGGGAAAGGGTTGCCAGATATAAGGCTGGGTGAGGGCACCAGTTGTCTGGCTTTGGCGGCATGAGCGTATTGCGGATGCGTTCCCAACGTGAGGCGAGAGGAGCAACAGGGAGTTTGAGGTCGTCCTGACCGGATGGGATTGGTGAAGGCGTGAGAAGTAAGGCGAGATAGAAGAGGTTCTGAGCAAAGGAAAGATTGACGAGGTGTGCTAGTCCCATGAACGCTGAGAGAAGAGGGACGCGTCTTCGGCGGCCCTCGATTGCGAGCAGCATACTCCAGGTGACGGTCGCAAGGTCAATCTGTTGTCCCCACCAGAACCTTCGCGCCTTCTCTGCGATAATTTCCAGAGCATCGTAGTAAACCGGTGTGTCATTCAACCATCGTGTTAGGTAAATCTGGCTGGAGTTCTTGGTGTCTGAGAAGAAGCCCTTTTCACCAATGAAGCTACATCTCATTCGTTAGTTGCCATGAACAATGCATATGAAAGTCTGACAGCACTTACTGTTCAGGAAGGTCGACGCCTCTCTCATCAGCCCAGGTCTTATAAGACAAAGTAGCGTAGCCGATTGAAGAGTACGTCGCGAGTGAGAGGGCCACAGCAGAAAGTCCAACGAAGACAGGCACCAGTTTCACTCGTTGTGACAGGCGCTGTCGCGTGTCTTGCGAGGGGGGCAGTGACCTATACGATGTATACAGGCTCGCACCGACGGAATAGGTCAAGTATACAATCAGACCAAGATGAGCCAACGTGACTGCCAGCGCCATATAGCTAAGGCGATGGATTACTATCGGTGCTCTACAGATGAGCTTGAAGACAAACTTACCTCGGCTCGTGATTCATCTCAACGGGAGCCATGATGTGCTCTTTGCCCTAGATGTGTGACTACTAGCAGTGCGAGGTTGTGATAATTGGGTTTAATGAGGTTGTAAAGTCGGCAAGTTTGAAAGCTTTGGAGCTCCAAAACCGAAACTGGGATGTGAAGCTCCCAAACGCGTAGTTGGATCGCTCACGCGTAAATGAGGCGGCGGCACTATCATAATATTATGACGTTGCTTGCTTGCTACTTGACTGTTTCGGCTGGCATGGTTGGCCGCAACCGCCTAAATTCCACCCTGCCATGTTCAATTAGCAACGCTACCCATGAACGGCATTGTGCTATGGTAAGTCGGAAGCTGTTGAACCCCACTCGGCCCCGATAACAAAGCTCCGATTATAACAAGTCGCCAATTCCAACCCGCTTGCAACCCGCCCATCTTGAACTCCGGCGCTATACCATCCCAACCCCAACGCCCGATACCTCTGATACAACATGTATCACCTGGCCAAGGGCCTGTACCGGCTCGCGACCAGCAAGGAGGGTTTGTTTCGCCCCATCACTTATTCGCTACCTTGCTTGCAGTCGACAACCCACTAACGTGCTACTCCTAGAGTACTCGGTGATCCTCCTCGGCCTTGACAATGCAGGCAAGACAACCTTCCACGAACAAACAAAATCGCTCTTCCTTCCCGAACGGCCAGACCCCAAACTCAAAACCGTACCGACGGTAGGCCAGAACGTGTCGACCTTGACACTGCCTGACATGTACCTGAAGATCTGGGACGTGGGCGGGCAGCTGAGCCTACGCAAGCTGTGGCAGAGCTACTATGCGAGCTGCCACGCCATCGTCTTCATCATCGACAGCACCGACATTGGGGATGGGCTGCTCGAGGCCGATCAGGACCAGCATGGCCGCTTGGACGAGTGCCATCTCGTGCTCGAGGACGTGCTGCAGAATAGCGAGACCGAGGGCGTGCCCTTGCTGATTCTCGCCAACAAGCAGGATCGCGAGGACTGTGTCGAGGTTGTGCGAATCAAGGAGGGGCTGGTCAAGAAGGTGTTTGAGGGAGAGAAGGCTAGCAGTATACGTGACTCGAGGGTCTTGCCTGTCAGTGCTTTGACGGGGACCGGGGTTAGTGAGGCCATCGATTGGATCAGGAGTAGAGTGAAGTGGAATAAGGAGTCGCGGCCGCCGGTCATGCGGTAGCGTCCGAACATGGCTGTGGAGGCTTTTTCACGACGGTCGCATTCCCAGCTACATAGAAGCGGCGTTCCGGACCGGGCGTTGAGAGCTGCGTTCATACTTTTAGATCTGGTCACAGTCATCTGGGACGGTGACATGTTTTCAAGACGCGAAGATGGTGGGTATCTCATTTTGCAAATTATGTTCCAAGCAGCAACTGCTATCTCGCGTTTTCTGCAGACAGTTCGGCTAATAGGCCACCTCTATCTCTATGCTTAGAATCCTCGGCGAGTTTCTGATCTAGAAACGTCGAAAACACCTTGACCTGCTGCACCGCAAGGTTTGCGCATTGGAGCAGCGACACTGCCTCCACAGGCGTACCGCCCAGTTTGGCCACTTGACATATCTCTCCGTGCTTGTTGAGGCTGATTGTGCAGCTGCTGACCCTCAATTGCTCCTCCAACAACGTTGCGTCTAGCAGCGTGATCTCTCCCTCCTCCCCGTAGAAGCTGAAGGTGATGCAAAATGGCGAATGCAGCCAGCTCAGGGGTACTGGTTCTCTCTCTGCCGGCGTGTAAACCGTTAATGTCTCGCCTTCCATGCTCGTATCGGGTTTTCTAAAATGTCGCAGTGCCGCAACCACAGCCAAACAAGATGCGTCAATCAGGTTTCCGTCGTGGGAGAGGACGTGTAGGTCGACTCTTATAGACCAGCACTTCTGCCCCGCAACAAGACATAATGACTCGGTATCCAAGGCGTTCGAACGGCGTACTGTCTTCTCTATCAACCGCGAAAGCAGAACCTCCGACTCTGTTGGTCGGTTGACTTCGAAGGCTGGCGATGCCATGGGGCTGAGTTCCGTTGTGATTGTGAAGATGCCTTCAAAGGGTCGGTCGGCGTAGGGGACAGTTACTTCGGCTGATACTTTCGCGAGTATCCTGCAACCCGGTCAGAACGCAACTTTTGACACCAGGACTGAGCCGCGCTCACCTCGTCTTGCCTAATGTGATCTCTGTCACTCCATATTGATCGCCAAATTTGAGATCCAGCGGTCGGTACTGGTCCAATCCGCGCCCGTCTAGTCGATGGTCTTTTTTAAGGGCTTCAACCACGAAGGCCTTCTCATTGAGGGAGGGTTCGGCCTCTCGAGGCATGGTTAACCGTGAAATGTGTCGGTTTTCGAGATCGGTCTTGATCGCATTTCGGGTGGAATGGTGGGGTGTTGCATCATTCGTAGCTTCCTACACGTCCAAGAAATTCTGCCGAGCGGTGACTTGCTATCCCCTGCAACATCGGCTGCTTAAAACACCGACTTTCAGCCTCCTGGGCACCTTGAGGCGAATATCTTCATATCTTCAACCACATCCCGGTTAACATCAATATCACTTTGACAATCGTGCCTTTTCACCCGCTCCTGAAACTTACATCCGCAAATACACAAAATCGACAATGACCACAGCACACAGACCCACATTTGATCCCGCTCGCGGGAAGGAAGCACAACGAGGGCCCGCTTACCACCAAAGACTCCTTCCTGCACACAAGAATCTCAAGTTCCGGTATGCTATGTCGTATCTACTTCCAGCCAACGATATCACTGATCCTTTATAGACAACCTGGACAGGGTGGAGATGCCGATAAGGACGTCCGTGATCTACGAGCAGAGCTTCTGGCCGCCGAGGCCGCCCACTTCGCCAAGCAGAACGGCGGCGCGCTGCCCGACTCCAGCGAGACCGCACCAGCCTTCAGCAACACTAAGCGACCTTTGGAGTTGACTTCGCAAGCGGATGGTGAGGAGGACTCCGAAGCAAAACGGCGGCGCATATTAGAGGAAACACGGGACATAGACGCCGATTCAGAAGATGATTCGGATGAAGAAGCGGAAGGTAGTGACGACGATAGTGACGAAGAGGACGAGCAAGCGGAGCTGCAGCGCGAGTTGGAGAAAATCCGCCGCGAGCGGGCCGAGAAGCGCGAGAAGGAGGAATGGGAACGCGCTGCGGTGGAACAGGAGGAACGCGAGCGCGACATCGCTTTGGGCAACCCGCTGTTGAACAAGCAAAATTTCAATATGAAGAGGCGGTGGGATGACGATGTGGTGTTCAAGAACCAGGCTAGGGGAACGGACGATAAAGGAAAGAAGAAGGAGTTCATTAATGATCTCTTGCGGTCTGACTTCCACAAGCGGTTCATGAGCAAATACGTCAGATGAATTCGACTTACGAGATGTGGTACTTGGAATCGGCAGCATTCATCACGGCCACACAACTCGATACATCGGTTCTCACGCCTCTGTTCGAATTGACACCGAAAGCTAGGACTGGATACGCCTTCTAATTTGCTAGACCCCTAGCACCGGTGGTTAAGGGCACTATCATCACTGTGGCCAACTAAATTGTGGCCTTAACTTGCCGACATTCGCCCAAATGCGTTATGGAAGAAACTATGGGGGCTGCAAAACTTACGAAAGTTTTAAAGAAGTTTGCTCTTGGAGGTTGGGCTCTTACGACCGGGTTCGTAAAGCATTGCTGGCAACGAAATCTTCTGAATTCTCCGATATTATGAATTGTACTGCGGAACCAGCTTGGACTTCTGCCATATTTGATCCAGAACAATAGCATAAAGAGGATACGACAGCATAATGCTCTTAAATATAGGGGCTCCCCTTGGTACTTCCGACTATAGGGCAATTTATACCATACAAATGCTGAAATAGACGAGCTGTTATTATGACTAATTGGCAGGACTTATTCTTACTCACGAAATTTGTTAGTTCGTCGCAGTCTCTATACTCTTCCATCAAGGTGCCCATCTAAGCCACCATTGCCACGAGCAGACTCGTAATCAACTCCATCGTGTTTAATATAAGGTTAAATTGCCTTTTTAGTGTCGCCCTATTTCCAAACTCTCTCACAACTTCCAACCCAAATGCCCCAGCCCAGCACCTTCCCAACAATCGCATCTGCAATCTGTTCTCTGGTCGTCGCTTTGGAGTTGAGCAGCGCTGTATCGAGTGGCTTTTTTAACGCGATGATTGTGAAGAAGTCTAGTACAAAATCAGCTCATATGAACGATGGGGTATAAATTGAAAACCAACCTACATCTGTGAGGTCCGTGGTTCATGAGTGGCCGCGGGGGCACGTACGGCACACTATGCCACGTCTTGCCATAGTGGAATCCACCCTTCAAGAGTGCCTTGCTCTTATCCTCGATCTCGAAGTCCTTTGCTTCCACACTGGTCTTCGTCGCGGCGATGCCGCCGAAGAGTCTTTCTCCATATCAGGATCGAGAACCAAATCGCAACGCAAGAAATCCGACTTTTAGTTAGGATTAGGCTTAAATTAAATGACTTACCCATGTACAATAGGAGTAGACAAGGGCGCATCGGGATCCTCAGACACGAGCAACCACTCCTTGACCTGAGCCGCGATGGCAGGCGGTGGTGTCCAGCTCAACGCCGGCGCCTTGCCCGCGCCGTCGGCTGTATACTCCACGCCGAGGTGGGCGTTGGTGGGGCCGCAGTCCGTGGAGGTGATCTCGACAGTGGGTTCGGCGAAATCAGCGAACGCGGGACCGGTTTGAAATGCTTTGGCGTCGCGGCCCTTGGCGTTCTTGAAGAGCCACGCTAGAGTGACTTCTACGATTGGTAGCATGTTTGGTTGATGCTCAAGTTCGTGAGGTACACAATGTCTTGGCGTCGATAGATTTGGATGAACGACGATTTGGTTACAATACAATCACAGCCTGGAGGAATTAATAATTGAAGTCATGATTATCAGGCTCGCAGCACTTGCGGCCTTAGCAGGTCGAACTTATTGTGTGTGTTGGGCCGACACTTGGATTTGGAAGCCGAAGCGGCCAATGTTCCACAATGCGCTGTGACTTACGGGTAACCCTTAGCGTCGTAACGTCCTGTGGCTCAATCTGGGAAGCGCAATGATCGTCCAGCAAAAAGTCAGCAAACCAACTCTGGCCACCAACTGTTTCCAGACCTAGTAAACGGTGCCAAACCCCGATACTTGAATCTGTCTTCAGGTGTGAAACTGGGTCATAAGTCTATTATACCCGTCTGATGGACGTAAGCTCGAGGCCTGTGTGGACATGGTGGCGAGCCGGCCAAGAACCGGACACACCACCCATCATGAAGCAAGCGCAGACCTTCTCATCGATTCACCCCTATTACCCCCTAGGGGTGACCATCCCGGACTATGCGTCGAATTCGCTTCCAGTGCTGGTACTTATTGCAGGTCTCGGTTCTATGCTGGGTGGCGTTCTTCTTGGTACCAGCACGCTAGCTTTGAGATTCCATCCAAAGTTGACGAAAAGCAGCTTGGCTGTGTTCTGCTGGTTCGTCCTCTGTAAGACACGTTGTCTTGGCCTACTCATCGTGTTGTGAGACCCATACTGATCACTTTCTTAAGGCGGTTCGCTTCACGTCTTCTTTGAAGGTGAGTTTATACTTCAGGCATATGATAGCGGAAGCGCCATTCTGATGGACAACTCAACCAGGGTACTTCGTCCTCAACCACACATCCGTCGCATCTTCGCAGCATCTCTTCGCGCAACTATGGAAGGAGTATGCACTTTCGGATTCCCGGTACCTCACATCCGATCCTTTCATGTTGAGTGTTGAGAGCATCACTGTCGTGAGTACCAAATTTGCTCAATCTTCAGCTCAGTCTGGACTAATGCGAGACGAATAGTTCGTCTGGGGTCCTCTGTGCTTTGCATGCGCTGTCTGCATAGTCACGGACAGTTACCTACGACACCCGCTACAGATCATCATGTGCATCGGGCACCTGTACGGTGTTGCCTTGTACTACGCAACCAGCCTGATTGAGACGCACTTCTCGGGCAGGTCACACAGTCGACCTGAGTTTCTATATTTCTGGGTATACTACGTCGGCCTCAATCTCCCCTGGGCCATCATACCGACAAGTGAGTGTTTGCGATAAGTTTCAAATGAGGGCATGTCGACTGATTCGTCGTAAAGTCTTGCTGGGAGGCAGCATTAGGACGATTGCAAGGAAACTGAAAATCCTAAACACCATCAAGGTCGGACTTCAGGGGTTTCAAGCGCGGCAAGGGCCTGAGGTGGTGAAGGAGTCTAGGAAGGCGCGGTGAGATGGCCAGTTCGGGTAACGCCGGTCTCGGTTCCGAAGGGCAAAGACGAATAACTAAACCTGTCAGAATCTCGTCACATACCTCTACGTCAGGAAGGCTACATAATCGAGAGAATCTCAAAATCTGGGTCCAAGAGCCTATCATGATTCAACTGCCAACCACGAGACATTGAAGACACGTTGCTTCTATTTACTTTGTCGTGGAATCAACGAGGAATCAACGAGCCATGGGTTGTTTAGTTCGCACTTCCTTCTAAGAGAAAGGCCATGACCCTGTAGTACTGATTGCCCTAGCGTGCTTAGCAACCCTGGTAGCTACCTCATTGGCTGGCTTCAAGTTTATGTCCCCGACTTAGCCGAAGTTTGGCAATACCCGATGGACGTTGTTTCTCGTCAGCGCTCTCTTCATTTGTACAACCTGCCGAGCTTTCAGGTTCTTGGTCTGTTCCGTGCGGCATGCACAAGGGTAACCGGAAACGCTCGACACCCTCTGAACCCGGAACACACCAGAAGCGGCCAGACTCTATATGCACCTGTCGTCGTCCCGGTTGGTGGGATGGCCGACAGTCCAGTCACTCTCCCCGTTCAGCAACCGGGGCCGGGTCGGATCAAACGCAACACGGCTTGCAACACTTGCAGAGACGCAAAGGCATGTACCAGACCGTACTCATCTCAACATCTCTCTCACTTGAAACTTGCTCGGTCCATTGATACACGTCGTGCAACGGCATCGGACTTTATACGTCACTTGGCTGACTATTCTAGGTCCGCTGCAACCCCAGTCTCCAACCGAATCAGCCATGCCAGCGCTGCGTGAAGCTCGGGCTCGACTGTGTAGTAGACAAGACTCATAAGAGAATAAGCCGAAAAAGGCAAGTTTTAGCCTGGAGCAGACAGTTTGAGATATCATATCTCGCGGGTATGCTCCATCCAGCCCATCTCACTTGCATCTAACCCCATAGCAGCAAGATCGATGAGCTGGCACAGGAAATTCAAACCATCAAACAAACAGTCGGCACGGTCAACGCCCCGAGTCAAGTCCTTATTCAAACACCCGTCACATTTTCCCAGCCTACATCCTCATTCAGAGACCATGTCGCCCCTGGACCTATCGCTGCATTGGTTTCTCCGAGTACGGGCAGAGTGGCCGTCTCTGTCCCCTCAACTATCCAAACACCGGCTGCAACGACTATTGTGGGTGATTCGACTGTTGAACCGAGCCTGCCCCGTGCTCTTGGGTCACAGCCTTTCTCAGGACCTGACATTGATTATTATTTCGAGAAGTAAGTCAAAGAAACACGGGGCCTGTGCGGCGATTGATTGACGGAACGTTGGTAGATATTTTGAGCATTACCACTCCTACATGCCCGTTGTACGGCAACGAGACCCAAACAAGTGCTACGAATCTGGCAACGTCCTTTTCTGGACTATCATGTTGATAGCTTGCCGATGCTATGCCAAGAACGAGCTGGTTCTGCCGTTTCTTCTGGAAAATGTCCGGCAACTGCTCTTTTCGGCCGTCACCACTATACCCCTTTCCATGAGCTCAATCAATGCACTCATACTGGCCTCTGTATGGTCCTTTCCCGATACGCGGATCGCCAATGATCCGACTGCTATATTTTCAGGTGCAATCATGAATGCGTCACTACTATTGGGTATTCACACGGGAAAGGGGCACAACCCCGAATTCTGCTTCGGGATATTCCAGAACAACTTTACGGACGAAGAGGCCGGATATACATGGGCCGGTTATAATATCACAGCACAGAGGTATGTACAGGCTCTTCTCATTTCATAACTTTAGGGGCAAAATTGACCCAAATCGTCCAGAGTCTCGACCTCTATGGGCTTACCGCCTGTTGGTTGCTTGTTCAACCAAGCTGTGCAAAATGTTATCGATGGAAATACGTCGTTCCAGGTTCCATCGAATTTCCGCGTGATGCTCGAGTGTCAGAAGTTCTCTAACCGATTGAGCAAAACCATGACGGTGTGTATGGATGAGACCCGCGGCGTCTCTCTCCACATCGTTGAACAGTTAGAAGAGGAGTTTGACGCTATTCGGAGACTTATTTGCTCGGAACGTTCTGGTACGTACAATACCATCCTATCCATCCTGGTCAGGAGTCCTCCGAGATGGATCTTACACCTCCAGTCTTCATCTTACTTGACCTGGTTTTCTGCTGAACTCCGTTGGCTTTCGAAATTGACCAGAGTACTGACTTTCGTAGATTGTCTGGATCGTTTCAACGCCCTAATGGTACAGCTCGAGATCCAAACTTATTACCTGCTTCCGCTGCCTGGTCACCATGCGGAGGGTCTGAAACGAAACATTTTACGAGCGTATACCACAGCTCAAACAGTCATCCGAGCCTCACTGGATTTAGAGCAACAGCTGCGGTTCCTTAAACACCTGCCCCAGTTTTACTTTCGAAACATCCTTAATGCCACCTGCATCATCTCCAAGGTCGTGCGCTCGTCTTACAGAGACTTCGTCGCCATCAAAGATGCAGACCAATCCATAACGGACGCAATTGCGGTATTTCGTGGGTGTATGATCGTAGAAACTGATCTTCCAGCGCGATTAGCCAATATACTGGAGTCTGTCTGGAGTGCGCGCCAGACCAAGTGGCATGAGGAGCCAGTGTCGGCTTTTTCGCATCGGTTGGGAGCCAACGTTTCTTTCGATTGCATAAGACGCTGGAAGAATGAAACGGACGAGGCGAGGCCAAAAAGCCAGCCCCCTCCAGCTGAAGGCAGTGATACTGCCATTTCATTGCCTGGCGCCGATCCATTGGCGAATATCGATTGGAGCTTCATGGACGACTTCGACTGGAACTTGGATACAAATCCCTTGGTGCCTGTACCCTAGAGTGGCTCGATATGTCACCAGTACCACAAGCAGATGTCAAGATCAGCGATGCCATGCCATGTCCTGGGCTCTCTGCTGAAGCCTTCTTGCCCTCTCGTTCTGCAACGCATTCTCCTCATCCTCCTTTTCCCAGCTTCGAAGGAACCATTCCTTTTCGTTCCACAATCTTACGACAATCCCATAAAATGAGGGGCCAGTACTCCTCGAAGAAGTCGCACAATGTCCAAATCATCTTCTTTGCCTCTTCAAACCGGCCTTCGACAACTGTTAAACGCCCAGCTAGTATATAGGTCTCGGCCCTGGTCCACGTCAAATCGAGCTCGCCCAGCAGCGGATCATCAAACATGGCTTGGACTATCGTCGCAGATCCCCCGTACTCGGCTAGGTCGTGCAGAGATAAGGCTAAGTGAAATTGTGACTTCAAGCGCACCATTGGCGACAAATTGCCGACGCCAGGTCTGACGAGGAACTGTTTCCTTATATACACCGTCTCTACAGGCTCAGGCAATTTCTGATTGAGGCAAGGCCATTGTCTGAACCTCGAAGCCGGCTCTTAAGTTGTCGTGGAGATGCGTCACAAGACTGTCACGGGAGTGGCCTTCTAATCTCTGCAACACGGTACGATTCTGCTGCGGACTTGGACAGAAACAAATGAAGTCGTAGATCTGGGCTGGGATGAGTGTTAAAGGGTGATGGGCGCCGTGCATATATTCGGATCCCTGGCGGATGTAGCGTTGTGGTAATGCCAGTATCTGCCCATTTACTCGACTGCGCTCTCATTGCTTCTCTAAATAAGGCCACTCTCTACCATTAGTTGCAACTTCAGATCAGACCGTTTGCGGAAACATAACGTGTCGAAAGCCGAGCACAATATTCAGAAGAGTCGGAATCTGATACCTTAGGAAGTGGTGGAGGTTCCCAAAACACAAATCCAGCAACTCGAAAGCCTTCTTGTTCTTTCGACTTTATTCGCTTCCAGCAGGTCGTTCGCCACCCTAAAGTGGTGGCCAAGGTCGAAGGCCATCTGGAGCGGCCACCTGGCCTCCACATCGTCCTCCTCTTAACCAACCAGCTCCCCAAACGTCCTGCCGACGTTCCATCGCCGCGACGAGAAGCACCCGTCATAATAGTCCCAGATAAGGCCTTGCAAATGGCTGCGCAACTCGAGTTCTGTCGGTTGCCGCAATGGCGCGGCAGGTGACGGTGTGTGACAGATTAGATCTTGGATAACAGCCTCCGTTCCAGGACAATTCCCGCAGATGTTCGCACCACCATGACTTCGAATACACTGCTCAACGCGAGCCATGTCTACCGGCTGGCCCCGGAGAAAAAACTCGGAGGCTTTGCCGAACTCGATTTCCCGCTGCGGCTTGAGCTGCCAGATTGTGTGGGCTTGGGACCGCGGTAATTCTTGGTGTCGACGCCCTAGTACTTGAAACGCGTTTTATACATGCGCTTCCTGATTAGTCCGTCAGGTGTAAGTCCAGACTTGCTGTTGGGTGAATGGGTTGGTGTATAAAGGAGAACTTACGTGGCGTGGAAGCTGTGCTCTAGTTTCTTGTGCTCCTTCGACTGTTTGAGGGTTTTGGTCTGGTAGAGATGGATGATGAGAGGCTTGAATTCCTCCCAGTCGCCGCGAGTCGCCCGTGATGGTTTGTTGGGACCGGGGTTAATACTGCTTTCAATAAACAAGACGTCTTTCTCGATAGTTAACAAAATCAATTTACTGGACTCGAGAGGACCGACTTCATGATATGCTGAAAATATACCTAGACGACAGATGACAGATAAAATTTAATTAGGTCATGAACTTGATGTGCGAGGGCGATCCCGCTCCTGCTGCGAAACTGGATTCAGCCCCGACGCTTGAAAAAGTCACTGGTGACGTTCAGCCCATGCAAGTATTGCCTAATGATCTGCGCTGGATGCTTGCCAATTCAATGGAGATAGTCGCCATCTATCATGAATCTTGCCCCGGTAGTTTCGTTGAAGTGGGAGGATGAAGCAAAAAAGGAAGGCTCATCCAGTTCCTTCGTGTTGGAGACGTAGGTTGCAAGGTTTGAGGTATGGGCATTATTATTATTAGTTTTCGAGATTTCGACTATTGAACAACGTAACGTGTAGCACAGCACACATCCATGAGGAAACAGCCAGATTGAGTGAGCTGCTAAGCAACGATCCCGATCTCCCTTAGCATGTCAATGCCACATAGAGCCACTGGCGCAGAAGTTATGGAAGGGTGATTGCGAGTCCAGGCGGTTATATCTATAGGGGTAGGTACCAGATATAGAAGAATCTCTGAAGGATCGCTACACTTTGGCCTAAAAGACACTTTTGTGCCCTATGAGAGAAAGTAGGCTCTCTATATGTATACCTAAAACCCTAGTAAAGCATATAGAACAGAGAGACGACACAGCGCATGGCTGTAAGACTACAGCGCACTTGATCTCTACCAAGGTATATATACTAGAAAAAGCGAGTGCCACGGTTCCATCCGTGCCATTCTGGGGTTGACAGGGTTGTTAGCCCTTGCGAGCTAGCACCCCTATACTAGACTAGATCTCACGATTCCCCAAAGGTTAGCCTCGGGCCTTCGTGCAACAACATTCCATCTACCTGACCCTATACTACGACCTTAACAGAGAGGTCCTAAAAAGGGACCTAAACTAAAGGGGTTACTACTAAGCTAGACAGGATAGCTATTCTTAGCTACCTATCTAGTTGGTACGGGAATTGCTACCAAGGAGTAGTGTCTATATCAGTGATCACCTGTAACACAGGTAACTTAGAACTTCGAAGGATAAGTAAATCTAGAGTTTAGGGGTATAAAACGACAAAAGTGAAAGGGTTATCCCTATATAGTAACTTCATTATAGCTCCCTAGAGAGTAGTTTAGGCTGTTAGGAGTATTATCGTATAGATTAAAGGCCTATTAAGCCAATGTCCTCATAAGCCGTAGGCTTGCATAGAACAGTACGTAAGAATTAATAAACCCCCCACCGTATAAATTATAGGTATATCTAATTCTTTCCAAGAGCAGATTAGAGTATTTAGTGGCTCAGTCAAGTTACATTCATCCATCTATCCGCGCAGCCAGATCATCTAATATTATACCCCATGTTGTGATCTATTCGCTAGCCAGGCCATCCAATAATCAACGTGAGTCATCATTCGCTGCGTTAAACCATGATCGACCTCAGCCCTGTTTGTGTACACCACAAATAACATACGCCACGATACTTGCAAACATGCCCCTCGCCCATCTATTTGTCTCGCCCATTGGAGCCACCTTGACCAGCGCTCCAGTCCACGCCGCCAACGCCGTTGAGCATAGTCCAGGGAGCCTGTTCGGTTACCGCGCTGTTTCTGAACGGGGCCTGCATACAAACACTAGCCATATCCCAATTATCAATCCCTCTGCGAACTTGAGCGTTTGAATCCCGGCCCGCCGTTCTAAACTCGGTCGTGCATACGTTTTCGAATGTATTGTTCCCCATATCGACCCCCTTTTGGGGATTCATCCCTGTTGAACTGGTCCGGTGGGGAAGATTATGCGTGACGCCTGCAAATTGGGCGTCCGGGTTGTACTGAGAATTGTATGCGAACGGTGGCTTGTATTGATCCACTGGAGGCGTCGTGTTGGTTGTCGTGCTCATCTCTGGTGGAGAGGGATTTGACGACGAAGACTCAGTTTGTCTGAATACTCTGCTCTGGGACCACGCGCAATCATTCCCGCGCGGCGGAAGCCCTGGGACTGAGCTGGAAGTATTTGCGAGCAGGTTTTGGTTTGCAACCGACTGGTCAGGAGACGATCCCGACTGGACTTCGTGCACTTCGGTGTCCTGAGTATAACCAGTACCGGATTTCCCCATTCTATCCTCAGACACATTTCCTTTTGGATTGCCGAGGGGCAAACGACCAGGAAGGGGAGGCTGCATCTCTGAGTGTCGTGAGATGTTGGATCGGACTAGGAGCGGAATGTTGTGACTGCCTACAGCGATGCTTGGCCCCAGGTAGTCTGGCTTCCGTAACTTGACAAAGTGACGAATGCCGTTGCGGTCTATGTCGAGGATGAGTTGCTTTAGAAAGGCCCTAGTGATGACGTGTGCTCGGCCGATGGCATCCATGGCCGAGATGATGAAGTCGAGGTTACCGATGTTGGTCGGTGATGGTTGCGTGTCCTTGCATTGGTATATATACACCGAGGCAGCGCAGTACAGAGATAGAGCAGCCAGCGAACTTTTCTTTGGCAATTTAGCACGTAGACCATAAAAACACGCCATTGGTGACGTAAACTTACTGGATGTGTGTCCACGGAGGTGGTCGTCTTGATAATATTGACAATCTCCTGAGCTGCGGTAAGCAGGCGATCCTGGCTTGCTTTCTTGATGCTGTTGGGAAGCTTATGCTTGTCGATTTTGTCGATGGCGGCATGGTGTAAGCAGATGACCGAGGCGTGTAGGTTCAGGTTTGTGTGGACAGCCGTAGGGTCCCGATAGTTTTCAGGCATGCGAAAGCCCGAGGGTAGGAACATGAAGGCACTAGACAATGTATTGTCGATCTCACGGTGCCTCTGCCAGAAGCCTCCGTAATCATAATCATCGGGGTTGTCGTTTGGCTTGGGCCGATGAGCGTGTTTAAGGATCTGATTGAAGAGATGACAGATGAGAACAGTTGCACCGAAGGAGGAGTAGGAGAAACCCTTGACAGCTTGATCGATTCTGCATGACTCGGCTTCTTGACCACTGTGAAATGCCCACTCAGAAGCTGGCAGGTGAGTGGTTATCTGGGACGTTATCAGATAGGGGTACTAGCATACAAGACTTATAGGACATACTTCAGAAGAATCAATAAGGTTGGGCCACCCAGTGGATATGCTGCAGTGGCTGTCGATGCAAAATGCACCCCAAAAGGTGCGTCTCCGTTCCTCGAGCTCTTGCCAATCTGCTGGAGGCTGAAGAGTTGGGGATATCTCTTCAGGGGGGCAGTCGAGACGGTGAAGCCCCATCATCTCAACGAGGCGCACCGTTCTGGCCGAGCTCATGGCTGCCCTTGTAAACAACATAGACTTTGCCTCATCAGTGGCGATACAGCACCAGGCTTGAGCATGCGCCACTGTGATGAAATGTTCGCCATAGCCCTGGGGAGGTCAGCGTTGGTATGTGCCGCAGTTCACTTTGCCGCCGCACCTTCATCTCGTCTGCTTCAGCATACTGCCTGGCCCTCTGATAGAAGATGTCGTGATACGAGCCATACTTGTCATTCCCTAGGACCATCAGTCAATGTTCAATTTTATACTTGATATAAGCTTCGGGTGCTCATACCATTACATGCAAGAGCCCATACGGCATATTGAAGACACATGGGAGGCTTCATATGCGGAGCCGAGTAGAAGGCCTGTAGATAACGGGTAGGATTGATGAGGGGTACGAAGTGTGCATGGCGCTCAAAGAAGATTCGGTTCCTGCCAGAGGTAAGTGTTATGTGGCCCCCAGCTCTAAACACAATATACTTACAACTCCTCCATTACTTCGAACGGTGGCAGTGGTTCTGATATGCCCAAGCCCATGAGCTCATCGCTGAAAGGGGTGCTCGAAGTCCGGGGCGCATCCGACGGTGCAGACGGCATCGCATAGGGGAAAGACTGGGGCATCGAGAATGTGTGGTCGCCGTCAATAGGGGTTATGGGCTCTGTGTAGTCCAGTCCCTCGAGGAAGACATGTTCGAGCACGGGTGGGACAGAGAAGTCAAATTCAACAACCTCGGCCTCCCTCGCCCTCTCCTTGTCCTCGGGGGCATTTCTGTTGCCGCCAGCCTCTTGCAGGAGGACCTCGACTTGTGCTTGGGATTATATCAGCCGAGTATTCTGATGCGGATTTCGGTTCAGGGGGACAGTACCTAGCCGAGCTTCGAGCTCCTTAACGTTCCTGCGCTTGAATGCTGGTTTCCTTCTAGACTCTGGATAGATACAATCTGTGTTGAGCCTTGCACAACGGGTACAGGCGGGTTTGGCTCGATCACAACGTAATTTCCTGTTTCTACAATTAATGCAGGCTAGAGGCTCTCCGCTTCCGGTTCCCGGGTTTGCCGCCGATTCGGTCGACGAGTCGTTCAACGGCATCATGTCGATCCAGGTCCAACACGGATCATAGCTTGTTCATGTTACGACAACGCAATTGCGAATATGTGTACCGACGGTATCTTTTGCTTGGATTTCAGCCTCGCGGCTCCCAACACGTCTTAGACTCGCACCATTGAAACCTTTGAGGTGTCCAGCCTGACATTCGGCTCGGGCACGGCACGAAGTTGCTCCGAACACCGACTCATCTTACCAAATGCCCAACCCGATCACAACGACGATTCTGCCTGCAACTCAGCACTAATTTTCACGTTCTTGTCCCTGCTTCACGCGACATGAAATATCAACAATCAATTGTTGTCATTTTACGACCTTTGTAATGCTGCGAAGAGGCTGCTGTGTTTGGAAGCTTGCTGCATCCGCTCCGCAATGTATCCAAGATTACTAAGTCAGAACTCTCGCGCACATGTCGAGCCCCCTTCCGTCCACTCTATCGGCGTCTGGTCAACCTACACCCATCCGCTCCAGACTATAGCTCAGAGAGTGGCATCATGGTTTTTCTCATATCCGTTGCGGTGAGACGACGCCTCTGGGTTGCACACCGGCGCCATTATTAGCACCAAGGTCTTGCCAAATTTGAGGAAATATGCATCAGCAGACATACCCGGGCACGAAGACGGCTTGTCCATGTGCGCGAGGCGTGTACCGTCACCTGATACAGTCAGTTACAAGTAGCCGCAATTATCATGACAACCCCCGGACGCCACCACGTCAGTGCAAGTACGGCCTGGTCCACTGGGATTTTAGCGCAATGCCGCACTTTACGTAGTCTCACAAGGACGTTGAAAGACAAAAGCAAGCACGCCTGGGGCTGCAGGTCGTAGGCCAGCCGCGCCCAGGCGTCCGGTACGAGGCTTGTGGCTAGTAGCGGTCAGCAGAACAAATCCCCATGGTCGTGCGCATCCGACCCAAGGCATTGATTGCCTGGCTACTTGTGCCCATACGCGAAACGACGGCATGGTCCTGTACTACTTGTCAAGATCCTGCAATGCCTTTTTTGTCTGCATGCACGTGTTGCCAAATGTCGATAGTCGAGCAGAACACGTCGGCTCCCTCCTGCTGTTTTCAGTCTAGCTGCTAATGCCAAGTTTTATGAGGAACCTCCTGCCGTGGGATATCGACTAGTGATCTGTCCTCCACAATTGGTTCGGAGTTTTAGGTGACGGGCATGACAGGTGCAGATCCGGCTAGGCCAAGAACGGCAACCGCTGATACTCTACGAGAGGGGCAAGCCGCAGTCTAGATGCAAGAGTAATGTTGTCGTGGCTGCTGTCAAGCCCGCAGTGGATTGAGATCCGGCGAAAAGCTAATGCCAAAATCACCGAGTGGTCGCCGATACCATGCTCAAGCGGTGCGGGAGTTTAAGGTTGTTGGAACCAAAAACGTGGATGCTTGGTGTCATGTCACGAATCGGCGCCAAACCGGTGGCTAAGGAAACGCAGTCATGTCAAAGCCCGCCTATGATGATGGCGCGGATTCGGAGCACTAGGCTAGTCAAGAGCCAGACTTCATCATAGAAGTCTCGTATGAGCCAAGCAGGATCGCCATCTATCCGTTGAAGTCAAACGGCGCCAGGCCGCGCTAGAGTTGGCCGTAGTTCCTGTGCAGCTTCTGACAGCGTTCCTATTATTCATACGATACCCTGAAACAGATCCGTCTTTTCCTAGATCCACGCGCCACCGTTACGGTGAGGACGGCAGTCCGACGCCCGGCCTTCTGGGAATAACATGGTACCAATCTATGCAGCATGCGATGGTAGACATTATATCCAATGGCGGAATATAGACTGGATGAGAAGTAGGTGTGCGGCCCCAGCGGTAACAGCGGATCACTTGAGTCTTTGATAACAGGGTCAGTCGAGGTCGCCGACATAACAGTATCACAAATTTTCCGGAGCCAGGGACGTACAGCGCCTTGATAACCGACAGCGATCAATGATACACTCAACAGACCAGGCCAGGAATGCTTGGAAATCTGCGATAGTCTTCTCGAAGATGAAGGTCTTTGCTTCCCAAGGTTCTTCGAGAATCCCGGGCAGTGCCCGAGCTGTTGGATTAATCTCAAAGCACATGCGCACAGGCTGGTGTACGTCGATCGCCCAGGATGAATAGAGCTGTCAGAGCACATTGAGATTATTCCGAAGGCTGGGTTTGTTTCGTTTCCTTAACGATTTGACCCGACGCCTTGTTGTTTGTCGCCTATCCCGTGCTCTCCCACAGACCAAACCATTGCAGATGAATCACATCTTCTAAGACTAGACGAAGGGTCCTTCCCCGACACCTGCCGGGGAAAGTCGTAAGTTGAGCTCGACCCTGGGCATTTTTAATGTTTGCCTACTATGTGAGTTTTATCAATCAGGCCCCGAACCAGGGGTTTGACCATCAAGGCATAGGCTGCCATCCAAAGGGATCGAGTACCGGTATACGCAAGCCCGAAGCTTAACCGTCCTCATATGCAGGATTTTCAGCTGAGACAACAGCTCGGGATCGCAGTATGAAGCCTTGAGAGCGACTCTAGGTTTGTAAATGATGGACAAGACCCTGCCTGTCCTGCCAGCTCATCCATCCTAGCATATATGCTTTGACAGCCTCATGACACCAAGCCAGCGGATCCTCCTTGGTCCTCGTCACTGTATTTCGAGTCAAGAAACAGGGAAGAGGCTCAGCTAACGAATACAGCAGTGACCTACACGGGGTTCTGGATCATCCGCGAGGATCCGAGATATTGAATTCTGTTCCGGTCTAGGTGTCACACTGCCTGGCTCTACCGAAGTATTTAGCCCGCGGTAGCAGTCATGGCTATGACATGATCATCAGCCCAACCTTCACGTAAGTTCAAACTGCCAGATCTTACGACGACATTTCTTTTCCTTCACCTTTTTCCTCCCCCCGCTTTCGGTTACAATCCTCCCGAACGTGACCGGACAAGGCGAGGAAAATGTTGACTGGGACGAAACTTTCAGCAGCATTCTATCAACCAGTCACAAATCAACTTCCATCAAATCCATTGTGGAGCTAAGTTTTGATTCGCAAGTCGGAATCATGTCACATGCTTCACAGGCGAAGCTGTCACTCGGAAGTCAGTCACACCGCCTTAGTTTCCCACGATATCATGTCGGTGATCAAATGTTGCATAAACAAGTCGATACTTCCATGTCTGATGTGCCTGATGGGACGACAGACGGCAGTAGACTAAACTCTTTTTGCTCAAGAGGGTCCCTAAGAACGATCCCAGCCCCCTGCCCTATCTCTCGGGTTTCTTGCTAAAAGGTCTGATTCCCAAAGTGCGGTGCTCATACACACACACACACATACACAGTTGCCAAGCCATCTGGATGAAACCCACACCACCAACATACCTACCCACCCTTCCCAATGGGAGGATGCAGCTTGTGATGGTTGCGGGTTACTACTCATACTGAATGTGCGTTTGTGCACGTGCTTGTGCTCAGCTAGCCGTCTCCCTATACATCTGTCGGCAAAGCCGTGCGTCCCTCGATTTTGTTCTCGCGTAGTGGTGCATAGACTCAGTCACTCAGTAGTACGTAGAGCCGAGTAATGGATCCTCCTCAACTATCCCAGTCAGGATTTTCTTGGGACGGGGATGGCATCAGCATAATATTGTGCCTCCTGTCAGGGATGCGTGTAGGCGAGACGTCAGACCGGATCAGACCGGACCTGGTCTGTTTGGAAACATAGACGTAAGACTGACCAACTGACCACCTGATCACCTAACTATGTTGCCAGGAACAAAACTGTGTTTGCATACAAGTCTAAATCTTGTCATGTTGTAGCTGGTGTTCAGTCAGAAACTACGAATAGATAAGATAGTAATGCACAGGGCTAGCCAGGCCAGGCCAGGCCAGACCACACGCACTGCGCCAGGACCCTATTGTGGTAGTAGAGATGCTTAGATGTAACTGCCGCAAAACGGCTGCTAGCATGGGCTGGCCATTCTAGGGCACGGGCGAGTACACACTGACGGGGAACCGTGTTATGGACCGAGTAGAGGTGTCGCGAATATGTGCGTGTCACAGCAGATGTTGGTAATAGCATCGTCAGCAATACCCGGGAGTTGGTATTGTTCGTATGTAAATATTTTGATGAGTATTGATTTGGTACTTTTCCCGGTCTGGCCAAGCCTCCAGTACTGGTGCATCTGTCTCTCTGTATCTTTCTCCTACTTTTCCATTCCGGCGCTTTAGAATTTCCTGCTGGTTTTCCGAACCCGCATTTTCAAGTACATGCCCCGGGTGCGATTCGATAAAATCCTGGTTCTATAGATGTGTTTATCCCTCTCCGAGTCCCTTTCTTGTTCCCAACCCGTTTCCAGCCAAAACCCCCTACAATGCTCCCATTTCCCAGTATGGAGAATTCGGTTTGCCAATCCGTAACAATGCTGCAAGCGTAACCTCGTAGGTCAAAGATGATATGATGGACTCTGATGATTAATAAAACGGAAAAACATGTTGGCTCCGCAAATCTAAAGATGTCCTAGTAATACATGATATTGGAAGTTTGTTGCTGTTTAACGTAATGATGTTGCGGCGGCGTATCGTCGTCAGATACTGCCACGCTTCATGTTGGAGGCCCTGCGCCGACTCAGGGCGTCAATGTCGACCTCATCGTAATGGCTAGCGTCGCCGTCGCTCAAGGGCACGCTGTCCCGCCTCTTATTGTCGTGATGTTGTTCGTAGTCAAGCCTTTCAGTAGACGGCAAGACCTTGGCGCTGTCGCCACGCCCAGTCATAGCATCGGACTCGGCCCGGGCATTGTTGATCATGGTGGGCAGTTGCCGGCGGCGGGCATTGATGAACCAATTGGAGATCTGGTCTAAACGGAAAAAGAAAAATCGAGTTAGCCTGGGAACCACCGAGAAGTTTATTTTTGGTGGCTTCGTGTCTGACACCAACTTCTGACTTTGGGGCACGCCAAAACCCAGGGTTCAGGGGCAAGAAACGGCGCGGGTAAACTTACTCATCTGCAAGCCAGTCTGCCTCATTAGTTCCTGTTTTTCGTCTTCCGTCGGATATGGGTGATGCAGGTGAGCCACAAACCAAGCGCGGAGCTTGTCGGTCGTCTCCTTGGGCAGATTCCCGCGGCGCTTACGCTGCTTGCTGTCACCGCTCATACCCATGCCCAGTTCGCTCATGCGCATGAAGGCGTCTTGAAACTGGTGACCATACGCTGCCGAAGAAAATGGCGTTCGAACAAATGGATGTATTGAGCCTAGAGACAGAGACTGCATTCGTGTCGGGTGGTGGTAGCCAAATCCGTAGCTAGCTTGCCTGTATGCGGGAGCGTGGGCTTCCATCCCAGGCCCGCTGCCGTGACCCATACCCGGCCTCATGTGCTCGTGCATGTAGTCGTCTCCAGAGTGGCTTCGCACGCGGTGCATAGGTGCCGGCGTGGGAGCTGCCGTGGGTTCCATCAGATGTGGTAGGCTTGGAAGAGTTGGGCGTGCTTCGCGCCGCTCACGAATTTCCATCGATGAAAGGGCGCCACTCGTCATGTACGGACTGGATCTCGCCGATCCTCCCCATTGCTCGTGGACTCGGCTTGGGCCTGCTGAAGGCGGTGACTGCTGTCGGGTCGGCATTCGGCTGGGGCTGGCGTACAGTCGGGGCACTTGACTGGCTCTCTCACCCTCCCGGTCATCGTCGAAAGAAAGCCGCCTTCTTTTGTTCTGATTTGGTGAATGCACGTATTCTGGTGGTGTCATGGTCCCAGCAGTGGGCGAGGTTGTGCAGGGTGGTGTCCTCAAGCCACCGTCCTGAGGTTGGACTCGGAGCTGAAGCTCTGGAAAAGCCTAGAGTACCCATTAGCTGTTGCTTCCTGTGCAAGTACGGGGTGTAGTACCTGTCGAATCGACGGCAGGGCGATCTTTTCTGGTTCATTGCGTGGCCGGTGTAGTGGGTCTGAAGGACGGGCTGCTTGCCAGGCGAACTCGCGGTGGAATCCAGGGTGTGCATGGTGGGGAGCAGGCATAGTGAGAGTAGACATCTTGCTGGGAAGCTGAGTGTATCTGTCCACACGATTTGTCTCGGCAAGTCGTGATGGACGATATTCCATAACAAGTGCGCAGACCTTGGGGGGTTTGCTCAGTGTTGGCACCTGGGAGGAAAGTTAATAACTCAGCTCCCAAGAGCCGCGCAATTAAATGTGCTGCGGCGGTCATAAAGAAATGCTAACCTTGACCCAAAGCAGTGGAGGGAACTGTTGGGAGCAGTGGAGGCCAAAGTCGCTTTCTAAATTAAGAAAGCCAGCGTGCCCGGTGTTGACTGTTTTCGGAACCTCGCGTCGAGTTCCAACGGACCTGGTTTTCCCTGCTGTCCCGCTGCTGCTTCTTTGATTCAACGGATTCAGATCCGATTGATATAAGAAATGTTCCTCAATTTTGGAACCGACCCTTTTTGTTTACAGACGACGGTGATGGTGAAAGATATATCCAAGTGCAGACAGCGACTCTGAAGTTCTTCCTGGGGTTGATGTCCTTGAAGGGTAAAGGATCTGGCAACGAGGTGCTATTGACAAAGTGATGGTGATGATGACCAAACAAATCCGAGTGTGGTTGCGGTGGCTCTTTTGTAGAATCTGGTGCTGTGACCTCTTTGATAACCTCGACGACGGTGGATCAACAAGCAGGCGCACGGATGGTATGCCCAAAGAGGCAATGGGGGAGAGTTCGACGACGGTAGAAACAACCAACGCTCGAGGAGGAATTTGAGATAGTTAGTCCCAAGAGGAGCTGACACAAAGAAAGCCTCAGACGATGGATCCGATATACTGGCCGAAAAAAATGAGCACGGATTGGCAGGACAGGAACGACGAGACCAACGTAAATGTGTTGAACAACCAGGAGGCTAAGTGCTTTTCTATGCTGATGAAGTTGGAACAACCCCTTCCAACATGTGGAGAGACGGTTTTGACGGGAGAAGGACTAAACCATAAGAAGCCTGAGCATGCGAAGCATGAGCAAGGATGACATCGATGCCAGAGCCATAGAGAGAGATACCCCAACCATGTGCTGTACCCACATCCCACAGACAACTTGACCCTGGTGCTAGTGGCGTTTCTTTAGGACAACGGACTGATGAGACTTTGCGACTTGTTGCCAGGCTCGTGGTGGTACTTGGATACCGGAGCATGGACATGGTTATGGGTCTGACGACAGGCTCGCTGGGCTTAAGAACAAGTGACACGAGGGGGTCACGAGAGTCTGCGAACAGGGGTGGGGTGAAGACCCCCGGACCGCTGCGGTTCTCGCTCTTGGTCCAGATGAAATTGCCCGATGGAAGGACGAAGTTGCCAGGGTCGACCTTACACACGGTACCATTGCATATGTCGGTGGTGGTGGTGTGCAGGTCAGTCCATCAACAATTATTGTGCGTTGCGTTGCGTTTGGTTGGATTTAGTAATCTTGAATCACTCCCCCTCGTGGCAAGGTACGTAGGTATCTCGGAGGGTACTCGACAAAGTACCTTTGCAGGGGCAAGCTGCGGATATTTGGTTCGAGGCTTTATTACTTACGCCGCATCCGGGGTGCACAAAATGATGAAGATTGCATGGGAGGTGGACCGGGGGAGGGGTGTGGGGTGTTGCTCCCAATACCAGCACAAAAGAGGCCCTTCATTATCTCAGATGCATGCTGATTGCCTCATCAAGCAAGGCGACACGGATGCAGATGAGCAGGACCCAAGGAAGGGAGCGCCAGCCAAACGAATGCACGCTGCCGACCCAAGAGAAGGTTTCTGCCCCATGGCATTTCGGCAATGGGCGTCATGGGCACGCCATCAAAAATGATGTGGTACCTCTGGCTCCGACGAGTTGGCACCGCCGAAAGGTTGCCGTTCCTCGGAACAAAGGCGTTGTTGGTTGCCCCCTCCCAAAGACGTTATGTCTTGTCTGATGCACCGGAGCACAAAAACAAGATGCTCGCGCCGCCCCAGAAAAAGTTGAAATTGGCCTGCACACACAATAAATAAAAAAGAGGACGAAGTAGCGCCGTTGCGGCTAAGCCATGTGTCAATGAATATCCTGTCTCATCCCCAGAATTTTGTTTTCCCTTTTTCTGTCACGACGTCCAATCATAGTGGGGCGGTATGAAATAGCTTTGGCTTGTCTCGTTGCAGAAGAAATAAGATTGTCCTGTCGTCATGAAAATACTTCATCAAAGTTGGCATATGTGTGTTCAGCAAAGTTCAAAGAAATCAGAAAATCGGAGGTTGCGCCTTTGAGGGAAGGTACCTGGTTACTGTCACCGTGCGCCAAATTTAAAGTGGTTTTATAGCACCCGCCATTGACACCCATGGAATTGGCGGCGTTCCCAGGGCGAGCAATTCGACTCAAGTGGTTGCATACTTGCAGTCGGATAGAAGACAAAGAAGCCACATCGCGGCACGCTTGCTTCGGTTCGACAAGTATGGAACGATGTTTTTGATGATGACTGCCGGCTCCAGAGCGGCGCTCTGCCACTTGAACATTAAACCACCACAACTTGCAGACGTACAACCAACAGTTCCAAGGTCCGTCGTAAGCAGAGCAGGCATGACCCAGCCAAAAACAAAAAACACGACGTAAAGATTGCGTGTTGACCTCCAACTGATAATTCCCTGCCCTACCCCTACCCGGTACTCTCTCCTATCTGTCAACATTCAATGGGCGTGGAGGGGTTTCAATTCCAAGGCCAGATTCCACCGTCAGTGCCGTCGGAGAATTGTTTGTTTGAAAGCTCCAGCACGTCGGGAGGTGTCATTGACCTCTGTGCGAATACGGCTGTACATAAGGAACTTCCCGATTAGTGCATGTCGATGGCCCCTATGGACACAACGTACTACCTTGCACACCAGCTATCAACTTCAAACTCTTAAGATCACGGCCGGGTGGCATTTCAGGCCACCCGCACCAATCCATCTCTGGGAATAATGAGCAAGCGATGACAATCACCGATGAAGCGAGCAAGACCTTCATGTCAGATTCGTCGGGTCCTGACTCTGCTAGCTTTCGGGATTCCTGCTCGGCCGAATCGTTATCGAGTCATGGGTTTTAGTTGCGGACAGCGGACAGCGGACAGCAATTCCGCACCGTGGCGCATCGCTATTTTCTGCACGGGTCGTCGCCAGCTAGCCCAGAGTTTCTCCATTTCTGGGCGGGCAGGGTGAATTTGCTGTCATCTTTTCGCCGATTCCAGGGTCTGGCCTGTCTCTTTTCGCTGTGGGTATCCCATCTCCGCCGTGGTGGGTCATCGGGTGACGATCCCAAATCCGTGTGCCGTTGTCTATTGCTCAATAATGATTATTCAACTGCCTGCCGGGCCATAGGGTTGTGTGGTGAAGTGCATGGGTGGAACCCCTGCTATTCGTCCAACTGGAACAATTGTCCTCGAAACGACACCTCTCAAGCTGTGCGATTGGCTGAAGCTGTCACTTGACATGTTTACAATACCCCTGACAGCTCGAGTCATTCCCTGGTGTCTGCTGCTGTCACTCCGAGTTTGGAGCCTTCAGAGCTTTGTTGCGATTGGGCTTGCCAACGTCTGGATCGTCTGAGGTGCAGCATGGATGGATGGCAATCTTTTCTCATCTCTTTTTGTCAGAGCCCGCCCAGCATATCGAAAGCATATCGAAGAGTGTTTATCCCGTTGCGATTGGCTGTTCATCATCTCTCTGCATCTGTCATCCAGCCTTCTCCTGTCGCCGCGCCTCCAGACACGGGGTGAAATATGAAGCACAGGCATTGGACCCAATCTTGAACTGGACATGGTAGCATGGCCCATGGCCTGGCCTACAGGTACAGTAGCGGCCCCTGTAACTACCTGTATTGCCCTAACCGTGTAGAATGTCCGTTAAGGGCATAAGCCTCCGGCCGAAACTACGATTCGTACAGGTAGACTAACCCATCCACCAAGTGAATAATGCCCTCCAACCGTAAACATTTGGCCTGCTCGTCCCACATGCAGTTGAAAGGGGCCGCAATTGTATCTTCAAACCCCCTCTTCATTTTACAAGCTAAGCCAGAGTTGTTTAGTAGGGAGCTCGATAGGTAACTAGATGCGATCGACAATGCAACTTTGTCTGTGGCTAGCTTGTCCAAGTTGCACCAATTAAGGCCGGTTCTGCCTGAGCCGCTGTCATGCTCAGAGGAATGGGCTTAGCTTGCTTGGTGTCGTTGCTCGAAAGCCGGCGCCGTCCCGGGTTCGATTAGGCCAAGAACAGCCAGGAACAAGACCAGGATCCGATCTGACAGCCCCTCGTGTATGGAATGGAATGACGGTGGGGCCGCAACAGCCGAGATGAAACCGCAGCTTGGGCTGGTGCAAATTCGGTCATCTTGGTTGAAGCGAGTGCTAGATAACTAGACTTCGAGACCCAAACCTGTTTATCGCCTTCTTTTTTCCTTCTAGAGTGTCTTTGGGCGCAAAACGCTACGGATGATTTCAGAGTCAAATGTTAACACATCAGATGCTAGGGCTAGGCTTATCACCAAGTCATGGACATGTAATAACCCTTGCTCGGCAGATCAAATTGACATGATTATCGGCTTGTCAAAATAAGATGCCAGGACTGAAACTGACCAAGGAAAGTCAACTTGGAGATGAGGCCGTAGTGTGTACCAGTGTACCCGTGGGCTGGACGGACCCAAGGCGAACTCGTTTCCGTCACTCTGTAATGTGCAACCACCAACCAGGCCATCCTTACACAGATTGATAATGGCCTCGCATGCGGGCCAATTGACAGATGCGTATCGATTTCCCGCAGCGTGCCAGTAGAGCACATCTGAAAATAATCTTTCCGGTTGGTTGCTGGATTTCCCGTCCCGCGCCCAGCCCCTGGGAAAGAGTGGCAGTCAGAGACCGAAGAGTGGGGTTCTTTTGGCAGATCTCTCCCGTGCGCACACACATGTTCTGGGCATGGGAACCGTCCAATCCCTATGCACATCACGTCGGCAGAGCTGCAGCGAAGGTTCCATGTACGCGGACCTAACCTGGTTGTCGGGTATGTCTACTTGGTAGTTGTATTACGTTCGTTCGCCGTGGCGTCCTCATTCAACGCACGTCTTTCCCAAAGAGCGAAAGGTCGTTTCACGTGGCTTTAGCCACATGGCAAGCGTGAACAAAAAGCAATATAAACAAAAATAATAACCACAGGCCATCTCGTATCATCTCCCTAGATGTAAGATGGTGGTAGACTAGAAGATGATTAGTAGCGGCGGGAATTGAGATGATCGACTCTGCGCTCGTGGATGCTGAGAGGAACAACATTCAAACCGCATTGACCACCTTTTTGCATGCACCCTCATTTTGCAGGGAATTTCTACGCCTCAACAACACGACGTCTCTCAATTTACCTCGCAATTTCTCCCTATCTACGTACAAAATGGCTAATCCAGTGGAGAATAGTCTGGACGATTTTGAGCAGCGAATCGAACGCGCTAAATAGCTTGTCCGTCAGGGCTCTTCCCAGGCCGTAGCAGCTCATCGGTACGGTATCAAGGGGACTACACTGTCCTACCGTATTCGTCACGGTAATTCGCATCGCGACGCGGCCTCCAGGCAACAAAAGTTGACTCCAGAGCAAGAGGAGGTTATCGTGAACTGGATCCTACACGAAGAAGTGTGTGGACGGGCTCCTAGCAAGCGTTATGTGGCCGACTTCGCTGCCGAAATCCTCCTTGCTCAAGGAGATAACAATACACTCGGCCAACACTGGGTGGATCACTTCGTTAGCCGCCATCCACAGATACGTACCAAAATTGGGCGCGTCGTAGATGCTAGCCGAGTTAGAGCGTCCGATTCGAACAAGATCCGAGACTTCTACACCCTCCTTGAACGCTTACGTACGAAGTATCGTATCAAACCCGACAACGAGTATAATATGGATGCGACAGGTGTCCAAGAGGGGAATCTGGGCATGGTACGGTTATTGGGACGTCTAATTCACGCTGGGTACGCGTATCAAAGTCGGACGCTTCGTCGTGGTGCTCCTGGTTAGAGTACATTTCGCATACCCAACGGGGTACACCTGTCTGCGTATTTTCCGGCAAGAGAGTCCAAGCACAGTGGTTCCCAGACCAAGATATCCCTGAGTGGGAATACACCGCGACGAGTAAGGGCTGGAGTAATAAAGTTATCGCAAATAGGTGGTTAGATCAGGTTTTTCTCCCCGAGATGAAGCCTAGGGGTACCGAATGGCGACTCCTTATCCTCGACGGCCACCAGACACATATTCATGCCGAATTTATGTGGAAAGCCTACTCGAATAGAGTCGCCGTGCTGTATTTAACCTCACACTGCAGTGATGATCTCCAGCCGTGCGATGTCGGGCCGTTCTCACCTTTGAAGACCTACTACCGCCAAGAGCTCAGGGCTTACGCTTCCTACAAGGCTACGGCCCCAATTTACAAGCAACGTATGCTATAAGCATATCTACGTGCCTCGGAGAGAGCCTTTACTACGGAAAATATTAAATCTGGCTGGCGGAAGACTGGTATATGGCCCCTAGGCTCCGAAGGACTAGTCGACGTATCTTGTGATCCTCCGGAGCCTCATACACCAGATCCTCCGCCTCATATATCACCACCTTTAGTTGCTTTTACTCCTCAGAAAGTGCAGCAACTATCTAGCCAACTACAGTCGATAGAGAAAGCCGAGGGCGGGGTATCTCGTAAGATTCGTACCCTAGTAGGCAAGGCGGGCAAGGCCCTTACACTCCAGGCCGCCGAGAATGCCAAATTACGTATCGAAAACGAGCAACTATATAAAGGACTCGATAAATACGCTCCAGATATACGCCAGCCCGTCGAGCCAGACCCGAATAAAGTATTCGTTAACTTATCAGCGATCCGAACAGCCCAGGACAAGCGAAATAAGCGAATACGGCCTATTTTACCCGATAAGCAGTTAGAAATTGATACTTTTCTCGAAGGAAGAGTCCCTCCTAAAAAGAGGGCTCGAAAGAATATATCTAAGTCTTCGGACACTTAAATTAAGTATGTTCTGTATATAAATAATATGGACGAAGTATTTAGGTCGATTCAGTTAGACCCTGCAAAATGGGGGTGCATGCAAAAAGGTGGTCAATGCGGTTAGACGTTCGAGAATGCTCCAAGCCAGCTAAAATCACTGTCAAAAAGTCTGGCACACACTTCGTGGCGCACTCGCATCCAACTCAATTTCCCACCTGCACACCCCAACATCGCAATCGACCATCAGCAGCCAAGGAAGACCCTCCCGGAAAGGTTCTTACGTGTGTTTTAATTGCCAGTCATCAGAGAGGCCAGTGGTGCTATACGCCAGTACGTGCCACCATGGCAACCTAACGTGCAGGCGGCTTAAGTGTATGTGGGGGGTTGCTAGCTGATTCGATGCTCGCCGTGAGTGGTTACACGCAATACCAAGTGCGTGCAACACACTCGATGGTCCGCCTGACAACACCGTAGCGGTCGCCCCAAGGCCCTAACCATGCGACAGGCCCGGTACATGACCAGAATAGCGAGGGAAAAACCCTAGAATTAGGTAGGCAGCGGTCTTAAAGAGGTCCGCGAGCAAGTCGGTCATATACTTTACCGCGATGTCATTAAGACCGCTTGTAGTTAATATAACCTTAGGTACTAGAAGTCGCTGTAGTAAATATAACTGATCTCGAAAGCTATATGTTCACGTACTACGTATTACTACTTTTCAGAGGAGTAGGAAAGTATAGCTAACTAAGACAAGTACGAGTAATAGTACAGCGTGGTCTCGCGATTCGCGACGCGATGTAAAGACTAACAATATGTATACTGCGAAGGTATCTTTGGCGATGGGTACATAGTATAAGATACTACTAATTCTAACGATAGTTAGGTCTAATAAATCCTCTATAAGTACGTTAATACAAGGAATAGTTAACTACGTAGATAAGAATCAGCTAGCTATCTCCATAATAATTAGAATGTTGATTTTAAGAGAATATTATTCTCATCTTATCTATAGCTCTAGAGTAACTCCCCCTAGGGTTACGTATTAATACTGTAAGCTATTATGAATAGGCTAATTAACTCGGTACCTACTCACGTGCGTAAGCTATATCGCGTATAGTTGGTATATTTTGCTAAGGAGAAGTAGGGCATCAACATGGATCGAATAGTGAGAAACGGGTGCGTAATTGAGTTAGTAACTATGGTGTTGATTGTTCGGCGACTCCAAAGTGGGGCAAGTGTGCGCCAGACTTTTGCGGACGATTTTACTATAGTGCTGGACCGTGCGCGAGTATGCACCGTGTGTTTCAGGTCCTGCTACAGCATGCAATGTACCTGGCCTTCAAATCTCCTAGCCCCCAAAGGCTTCATTTACACCTGCTATGTACAGCACAGATGACAATCTCGGTGGTATCCTTCGGTCTGTTCCTACGAGCGCTATATGCTTCTAGTGGTGTTCCAGGCTGCATCTCGATGAAGTTTTTCATGCCTGGATGTAATCAACGACTCATTAAAGCAGATTCTAGTGTGGTTTTATAATGCGCCTCAACGGTCTCATCTGACAAGCAACTCTGAAAGCTTAAATGCATCAGGAACAGGACCCATTTGACGCAGCCACGGCCGAACCTCGAATCATCTATTCGTGACCAAAAGACCTTGCACGCGGCCTTCTGCTAATGAACATGCCATTCCGAGCACCACCCATCGTGTATGTCGTGCACATTCGGCGGTTGTCGAACACGAGCTTGTCCAAGGCCATTGGAGATCCGCCGGTGGACAGCTACCGTGGCCTATGCTCCGTGCTGGTCCTGTTATACAATCAATTCAAAAGTGGCACGGCAACATCTTTCCGCCTGTTGCCTGTTGACAAGGGGCTGGATGAGGAGTGTTTGTACAACTGTGAACCCACGATGTGCATGTGACTATCCATCTGAATGGGACGAGGGCTAGTCGCGGTGCGTAGTGGTATTTTGAATGACATCGACTAGTGGCAGAAACAGTACATACTAAGGTATGCATGCAACCACCTCGTGTATGTTGCACTTGCACATTGGTCATCTCCGAGTAGCTTTGCCAAGTTCCCCCACCCGAACTCTTTTGCTTTTGCTTTTCCTGCTTTCTCTCCTGTCTGCGCCGCAATTGCATGGTCATGAGGTTCTAGAGAATGCCGTGATAATCAAACAAATGTCAACGATAGACCCCCTTGGACGGCCCCCAGCTCAGTTATGACCAAGGGTATCAAACCCCCTGGTCCCAAGTTCCCGACCCGCTGCCATCGCTGCCATCGGAGAGGCCCACCTTGCCCAGCTGTGCCCACCGATTTACTGAAAGAGCACTCCATCAATCCCACATGTGCCGCTCGCGACAATTGCTGCAACAGGCAATGATGACCAAGCTTGCCTCATTCATCCCCGCCTGGCATCTTCTGTTCTCCCTGCTCCACACCTTGACAACGCGGGTCCACAATTGCGCAGGGCCGTCGTCTGCCAGATCCCCCAGCACCTCACGAACGGCTAACCTAAAGTAATCGGTAGCAGCAACATTCCCAAGGGTGTTTAGCGCTCTTGGGCCATGAATCGCACTACTTTCAACCGGGCTGCTGGGATTGCCTCGACAGCTTCTTGATGCCTCCTGAACAGCAACTTTCACCGGTTTCAGTGGTCCCCTAGGGACGACGCTATTGTGCGGCATCTTGCCCCTTTCTGCCGGCCATCCTAGCAGCCGCGCACTTGAGCATTTCTGGCTCGATACGGGGCTGATGGGAATCATAACCGATGCCACGCAGGGGCGGTCCCACTCCCACCACTGGCGGCGGTTGACGCGCCGCCATCTAATGTACAACCCGCACAGCATCAAATGCCCCCAGTCCTGAAGTAATTTTGACGTGTTGAAGTGCAAGAGCGCGGGGGGCGGCTGAGTGGACGACGTCCAGGGAAAATGATGTTCGACGCGCAAAGTTGAGGATGTTACGGTTACACGTCACTGCGTGGTCATATCACAGCCGTCTCTACACGATGCTCGCTGACCCTGACCGGCGATGCAGCTTTTGCAGAGATCGATATGCCGGCGCATACGGTTTGGGTATAATAGACCAATGGTGCTGAAGCACACGACCAGGACGTAACTGTTGGCACAACATCGCCAATCTTCAATCTTGCAGCGCGGCCCGGAAATGTAGCACACCTCGCATGCCTAGCACATCTAGCACATCTAGCACCCTCTGGGCCATGAATGAATCATGAAGAGGCAGCAACGCCGCCGCCACGGACCTTTAATACGGATATGAGGGATAAGCATTCCTCGGCTGCCTGCTGCGTTGGCCAATGCAGTGCTACCCTCCACCACCGCCAGCTGAATCCCAGAGATCTGGATGTCACTGGCGAACGGCGTTTCCCACCGCTATTCATCCATAACCGGCAAGACGCATTATGCTGGCTGGAGGGCGGTTGTTCGCCGCTTCAAGAAGCATGCGTCCGTCATGTGTAAGGTCGTAAACTAGATCTCTACCACGGCGACAAGACGCTAGCTGTGTGTACGACGACCGTGTCAGCCGTCAACCAGCCCTGGGGTACCAGCCGCGCAGGTCGTGTTCCGTTACAGTCAAGCACTGGATTTCTCGATTCTTTATGGAACGCCGGATTTCGACCAACCAGATGCTTTCGTCCATCCGAACATGGCACACATCCGGAAGGTTGGAAACACCACTGACCAAGCTGTGTCACCGGCAGCGAGGAAAAGGAAGAGGCATTCTGATCAACAAGTATGTGTGCAAGGTTCTCGCGACGGCCAAAACATCGAAAACGTGACAACGCACCAGCCGCTTACACGCAGGTTTCTGTCTGCCTGTCTGCACTTGTCATTGCTTCTTTCAACGATCGTCCACCACCGATTTCGTTCCATCTTGGCGGACAGGATCCCAAACAACCCTGCAGGCACCTTGCTTTTCTGATGCATGGCATCCATCCGATTCTGACACTTCAGAGATTGGCTTGGTTGAACAGATTTATCACATTTTCAGATCTGAGGCTGTCATCGGATGTGATCCCAAGGCGATGAGTGGTTCGTGAGCTGCAGGCTCCCAAATGAACAAGTGCCTCTTTGGTCTGCCTACATTGCGGCAATGCAACACACGCCTGTGATGGCCGGCGAATGCCATCATGTCGATGAATCGAGTGCTTGGGTGGATCGTGAGAATCCCATCTGATCTCCGAGATCTCGCTTCCGCGCAAGATTCTCCAGAATCAGTTACGTAGGCGACAAAGGTCCCGTCACTTCACACCCCTCCCCTCTCACGGCCCTGGGCTTCCATAAGTTGTGGATCCTAGGTCGTCTATTCGTTATGGGGCTTGCTCCATTCGGTTGGACACAATTGTTTCGACCGACTTGTTGACAAGTTTGTTTTCGTACCATCCCTGGCGTTTCTGCACCGAATATGTACCTAGAATCACTACTAAACAACATTGTCGACTCATCACTCATCAGGCATGCCGCAGGACACTCCGCGGGTCTGGGGATTTCGACATGACCTACCGCATGGCAACGTTGCATGCCAAGCACTGCAAGTATGCCTTTGTTGAATACGCTCATACGAAGTAGTAGGGCAAAACCGCAACTGCCGCTGTTGGCAAAGCCTTAATGAGTTATAACTCAACCGGCCCTGTCGATAGCCGGAAACCTTAGGAGCCAGTGCCCCACCCTTGAGCCTGCCCGGCCGAAATCTGACAAGTTTGACAGCCGACAGGGGGCGGCTGAGGAGGCTCTTGTTTTTTTGGTCCTCCACTCGAGCTCGTCTTGCTGTTGGTCCCCAAGGTCAGGTCAGTGGCTGGTCCCCTGTTTACCGAAACTTCCGGCCAGCCCTTCCAAAGGCTTGGGGTAATGTCCCCGGCACGTGTCTCCGCCTGATGACGATTCCAATGTCGCTTTCGGCGGGGAGCCTCGGTTCTAGTGGTGCTGCCGCCGTTTTTAACATGAAAACCCCGTTGACGGGATGGATACGTGGTGAGGAGTTCGTTTTCCTCGTTTTCCTCGTTTTCGTATTGGTCACGTAACAGCAGCAGCTGCTGCCTCTATATTCCTTCCAGTCATTAACCCCTGATAACACGTTGAAGCAAAAAGCATATGAAGAATGAAGAAGAAGCAAAGCGCCGCAGCTATTTATTCAAGCCCAGACTGGCAAGGCGTTTGGGGAGAACAAGAAACCCGGGATCATGGTCACATCGCGGGCAGGGCGCCCCCTCCCCCCACCCCCTTTACCCGGCCCCAGCGCCTGTCACTGAAGTCATGGAGAGCTGCTGAGATATATGTTTCCAAACAAAAGCCAAAGGGAACGAAAAAAAAAAAAAAAAAAAAAAAGGAAGGAGAAAAGTTGGCGAACTCAATTCCAACATTCCGCAAATGCTGGCTCGGCCGTGTAGGGTGGCCCCACCCCGGCTGAAGTGGGAATCGAAACCCCTGAACCCCCGTGGTGGACCCCTGGGGCCTGGACTGCTTGTCACATTTCTCAACCCATCCAACCAGGTTACGAAGTCACTTGGACGAATCGCATCTTAGCATTTTGTCCCAGCAGCCCGCTCCGACGCGAAGAAGCCCTGCACGAACGACGATGCAACGGGGGAAAAAGCCTGGCACGGAGCACATGGGTGTACCAGTTCCCGTTTTAATCACCTTTATCTCGCGGCTAGCTCAGGGACACGGGCAGCCAATCTATAATTGTAGTAGATATCCACTGTGTAAATTCCCATTCCTCCCTAACACGAGGCAGCCCAGACAAAGACTAAGAGTTTGGCGGCTCGGTCGTAGGGCCTTTTTTGGCCATCAGATGGCCTTGATGATCGGCGCCGTTGCGCATCGGCTCCGCTCACCACAAACTTTAGAACTCCTCAACGGATGGCCCTAGGGGAGGGACCCGGGTTGTTTTCAACTTTGAACCGTTCCCGTCATATGTCTGCCTGTCTCTTTCTGGGGGCACCCCTGGAAAAGGGGGGAAGGATACGGTTGACACAGGGTGATTGACGAGACTTTCTTGGTTTAGTACTTCGTGGCATTATTAGGAAACAGGTCTGAGTGCGTGCAAGGAACTATGGATGATGGATTCTGGCGCCCGCCGCTCGGGGCCCACACTGATGATTTATGTGTATTCTCGAAAGGGTAGCTTTGCCTCCGAATTATGAACTGCACGGGTGGACTATGAATGGACACGTACTACACACTTGGATGACCAGGACGATGGCCTGTTGTAGAGACGGGTTGCTGCTGCTGCTGTTGCTGCGGCGGCTACACTAGGAGCAAGAGATGGGTTGTCAACAATACGCAGCAATGGTGGCAGGACTCGAGCACTATGCCCGAAAACGACTCAGCGGTCGAGTTGGGTCGGCCCAGGTAGATGTTGCAGAGTTAGTGCATGGTGAATATTGTATTTGGATGCAAGATACCCTTACTTCTAACAACTGACGTATGCAATGGCCGCTGTGCCGGCCATGCTGGCCATCCGTTATGTGTCTCGAAGCAAGGCTGGCAGGAACGAGGTCTCAGTTTGAGTCAGTAGACTTCTTCACAACCAGACATTGGCCCATCGGCACTTTTCGCATGATACTTCTCTCAATTAGTTTAGCTTGACTTTAACATGGCATAATGCGACTTATATGCAGAAACGAAAAACGATCCCTAAAACCTCGTGTGGTGCGGGTTCCAGATGGAAAAAAAAAGCCGCCAACAGTTGACATGACAGGCGACGGGCAGGCGCTAATGTAACGTCAGTCAGTTTTTGACGTTTTTGACTCGGCTACTGAGTTTGATAATGAGACATATGTGTGATGGATGTACGGACGAAGTCTGTCTTGTCTTGTCTGTCGGGGCTTTTTACCAAAGTAAGACTAATCAGATGAAAAGGAGAGAGACAAAAAGACAGACACACATACACACACCCAAACACTTGACTCAGATGACCTAACCTAATTCGACTTCTTAACTTACCCTGCTCGCAACTTAGACCAGGCTGAAAGGAAAATCCGATACTAGTCCGGTTAGAAATTTACCGGCAGACTTCAGTGTCAAGTTTCGCGTGATGGTTTGGATGTCCCTTGTGATTGTCACAGCAAGATGAGTCCCCATCAGTGAAATCAGTTCTGTGCCTGTCAGCATTCATCTCCGTGCTGGCATAAGCGAATGGTTACATTCGCAACACTTTCTTCCTCTAGCTGGCAATTTGTCAGTTGCAGGGCACACGTTATCCTTAGTAAAGATCCAAGTCGTCATCTTAATGGAAGGAGGGGTGGTATGGCCAAAAGGATGACATAAGCCTGTCCAACCTAAATATATTAATCGATCTGATCAGAGCCGAGTTAGCATATAGTCCCGCATTTACGGCTTAGAAAGATCTTCTCGGTCTGCCGTCGCATGAATGTGTCATCTATTATGTACGAGCTGTCAAACGCCAGGGAGCCAATCGGAGATCCTTTCCAAGTCATAAATATGATGAGTACCCTGCCCTGCCTGGCACTCGCCCCATGAACCCCGTTTGCTCTCCGAAACTCATTCCAAATCTACAAGGTAGGTGTTTTCAACGAACTATGTGCAACGAGTGCCTTAGGTGGTCCTTGATAGCTTCCCTTTCACTTCAGCTTGGATACTTCTAGACCCCGTGCTTCTCTCAAACGTCGACCTGACGGAACCAAAGGCTATCTATCCTAGCATCTCTCGCTATCAACCTTCCCGACAGAAGTTTTCTACCGTCCGCTCCGTAGCACCTTCTGCAACAACCCCCGGGGTCCCCGTCCCTTTTTTGGCAGATCGCCACTTCCACTTGAAGCCCCGGCCGCATCCTCGGATAGCTTGATGCTAGACTTTTGAAACGCCGCCTCGTTGCTGGGCTGCTCGTCGTCCGAATCCATCAGATCGTAGTCTTCAGTCGGCAGCTGGTGATTGCCGCGTGGCTTGTCATGGTACCCGGGGTATCCAGACTTGGAGTCGCCGCCGGCCCTTCCAGCCTCGTGCATCTTGGTCAAGCCCCGAGAGAGGGGTTCTACCAGGGTAACCTTTCGGTCCCAATTGCTGTTGTCCGGTTTGAGATCGAGGACCTTCCTGTACAGAGACGGCATCCGCCGCTCGAATTCGTCTTCAAGCTCTTTCTGGTGTCTCACCATAGCTTCCATACGCTCGGCCTTGGCTACGGGCACCAACTCTGTGGGAATTCTGTCTTCGTTCACTAACAACCGGAGCCACTCCTTGTACTGTTCCTGATTCTCTGTCTGTAAGGACATTAGCGTAACGAGTTGGTGGGTACCATTTGTAGTACTGGGAGATACGTACCTTCTTCTCTAGAGACCTTTCTGTGAGGCTCTCGAAACATTTCTTGGCGTTCTCGCTCATTCTTTGCCCTCCAATGTACCTATCAAAGGACTCAGAAAACTCGCGATAATGACCCTTGAGGATGAAGCCGTGCCTATTCCATCCCTTGCCCTTGAACTTGTGATATAGAGCTTCCGCCGTAGGGCACTCCCAGGCGAACTCGACGTGCCTATCGTAAAATACAACACATTCACTAGTATACCACTGGTTGAAGGCTTTCCGACTAGCCTCGTCGGCAAGCGCCTTCTCCAACATCGCTAGGGACGCGCGTTGCACAAAGGTGGCAGGAGCTCGGAAGTTGATTGAGCCATGAATGTGTGACCTCTCGTAATTTTCTTGGGAACGGAGATCAACCAGTAACACTCGGCCTATGGGAAAGATCTCAAGCAGTGTATTGAGATGCCCTGGCAGGATCATCCGTGGTCCCTCCCTCGCCGGCTCCTGCCTATGGTCGTCAATTGTAAGGCTCTGGAGTCTGTTGGCAACCTCCTGCTGCTCTCGACGGTGGTAGAACCATAACTGAGGATGGAATGTTAGTTTCTTTACTAAGGCAATAACCCGATATGGATTACTCACATCGATATCGGTAGTCTCAATACCCAGGTTGGAAGCCAGAAACTCCTTCACAGCTACGGTAGGGTCTGGGGCCTCCTGGAAGTAGTCTTCTAAGCGAGACTGAACATGGGGCGCAAGCTTAGGACGTGTAGGGAGATTGTCGCTCGAAACCAGTGTCCTTCTGAAGCTGCGAGCCTGGTTGAGTATCATCTGTCTCGATATCCCATCGCTGGAAGCTGTGCGAGTGATATTCGATGCCGGGGCTGTGGGGTGTCGTTGAGGCTGCCCTAATATAGGAGAGCCTCCCCATCTCGGAGTAGTCTCTGTTTGGCTCGTGGACGTCGAGCTGTTCGGGGAAGGTTTATACTTGCGAGTCGACGCCATCTCGGCTCGGGGTAAATGGCTGCCCGTGTAATCTGACGTTGCGCGGCCCCTCTTGCCGCTGCCACCAGGCAAGGCTCGCGGATCGTAGGTTAACGTAGTCCTGTGTGTGTGAATGGCCCTGGACTCTTCCTCTGAAATTGCGGGGACATCAATCTGAGCGGCTTCGGGTTCGCCGCCATCCTGCATGGCCATGTTGTTCGATCTTATAAAAGCGATAAAGTTGCAGGCAAGGTCGTCTGGGAGCAAGTCCCAAACCATGACGGGGAGCGACAAAAGCAATAGAGTCGAATGACTTTTAAACACGCCTTGCACTTTGACGTATTTCGCTATTGCCGGGAAAGCGGAAAGCCAGTTTTCCCAGGCATTGAGATCAAGTCTCTGATCATCTTCCAGGGCTAGAGATATCATCACGTGCGGCACATCGTCGTTGGGTTCGGTCCCAACACCATTATGCGGCCCTACAGATCGTCCCGTGGCAACTAAAGGCTCACTTTCAAGTTCTTGTGGCGGTGAAGGCGGCCGCTTATCACTAGACACGATTCGTGCCATCTCGATACTCGGAGCTCTGTGATTAGAAGTCATCATGAAGTGCACCGGCGTGGATCGAGTCTCGAAATGTTTTCCAAGCCGCACAATGGGTCGCGGATGCTTCAGACGTGCTAGGATCTCTGCGTGCAACATGGCGGCCGAGTAAGTGCGGTTTTTCCATTCCTGGAGAACCTCGATGACAGCGTTGGTGAACGAGTACCGTCCCGGGTCGGGCGCTATCGCATCCCAGCTGCTTGCTGATATTGTTTCTGTAATGCTGTTGCCATTGGGGAAAGTGGCACTCGCAGCACCGGCACAGCAATCCAGGAGAATCAGAACGTCAGAAAGCGAGCGTTCCAGCAGTGTTTGGATGGCAGACCACCTGGAACAACCGTCAATATGGTAAGTTGCTTGCGTGAACAAAACACTTACTGTAGCCACGGAGACTCAGAACTACGGGTTCTAAATGTCAAAGTTAGATTTTAAAATAGTAGCCACCAGTCCCGATTGTGCTGCTCTTCACTTACGCGCACCACGTGCTCTGCCTCGACTCGTCTATCCTCGCATGGCCTCCATAGTAGATGATAAAAAGAGTATCACTCGATTCGTGTTCCTTGATCATGGCTCCCACCCTCATCATCAGCTCCAAATGGGGGTTGTCCGAAGGGATGGGGAATTTCTCCGTCTCGAAGCTGTAGTCATCTCGGAGGCACTGTTCAAGGTCCTCAAGTTCCGGGAGCACAAACAAGTCGTCGCAGTTCCAGTGAAGCAAGAGCGTTTGGACCTTCTTATATCGCTGCGATCGGCCATGGTTGGGAAACGCCCGCGCGGCAGACTACGAGCGGCGTTAGTTTCTCTGCTCTCTTTTTCTGCGCTTCAGCGGGGTTCACTGTGTACACACATCTTCGAGCGATTTCGCAAAGTCGGACAAGTGCTTAACATGGTAGTTGACGCGACTAATGTCATGCGTCGCGGCCGCTGTCTTGTCGTCTCCCGCGCTGGAGCCGTACTAACCAGACGTTAGGCTGAACCGAGTCCGAGCCGTTTGCTTGTCCATTGTGTCAACGTACAGTAGAATCCCCACTGCTTAAACTGATACCGTCGGCGGGTCGCCTCGACCTCAATGTTACGTAGGGCTGGTTATCGCCCATAGCTGTCACCTCTCCAGGCAGGTAGGTCTATGGAATATGGGTATAGAAGATGCAACTCCACGAAGGGCTTATCGGAACCAAGGTATCACATCATATCGCAGCGCCTCGTTGTCGGGCAGACCTTGAACAGTTTGAAGAGGAGTTTCGAATAGAGGTAAAGAATTGCAGAGTCGCAGAGAAGAGGAACAGCGCAGCTGCGTCACACTGACATGGATATCAATACCTTGAGCCTAGACGAGCCTTCGTCGAGCTGACTTGTCGCACGCAGGCAAGGCAGACTTGGAATTCGGTACCCAGCTGGGCTAGCGGCTAATTGACAGACTCCCTCGGTCAACAATTGGAGCAAGTGCAACGAGGGGAGGAAGAGCGGGGTTCAGCCAGAGCAGGCAGGCACGGTCCATTTGACTTTTTGTCTGAAGTCCGATATCTCTTCATCCCTTGACTGGTTGAGCTGCACATGGTACGTCGGCATTGCTTGGCAAAATATAAATTGGAACCAACTCATCCTGCATCAAGTATACCCGGGTTTGGGATTGTGAAGTCTACACAGCTGGCGTCCAGATGTTTATTATAGCTACGATTGGCGTTCGTAACTAAGGTTAGTGAGTCGGGGTAGTAGCTAACGTCAGTGCATAACCGCCACAAAACCAACCATGCCGCATCATTTCGTTCAGTTGTCATCTCACAAGCGGCTGTGGTATCCCCAACCACCACCGGAAAACATAATGATCAAATGGTCAACACGATTCTTGAAAATTTGTCAAAGTCGTAATCAAGAATCATGTCTCAATATCCGTAACTCACAAGCATAAAAATAGGCACAGCCTGCCTGTTGGAGTCGGAGGTCGATTCTTAAGTACCAGATATGTATATTATATAGGTAAAGCCCTTGAAGGTCACCCAGGTCTGAAGAACCCATCTGCCTTTCTATTGCAGGGGTTCATTATACGTCCGCGTATCTCTACCAAAAGTCACCTAAGTTCGTATCTAGGCTCATTCCTCTCTAGCATTGGACCTCCTGGACTGGATGTTTGAGTACATGATGTGAATCTAGCAAGAACAAGGGTTTGAGGACTGACATACCACTCATCTCACTACTGTACGATAGAAACAGCTGTTCCCTCAATTCCTACACGTTTACACACCGAGGCCGGCAAAACCGTTACAAGTATATCATCCTATTCAGCATCATGCTTTTGCTATGAGTACCGTCCACACTGTGTATATAATAAAATTAAGCACCTAAACATGAGCATTACCACCACCAGCATACCATAATTACAGAGCAGGCAGTACAGATTTGATTTAGGTGCGTTTTCCGGTTCAATGACGAAACATCACACCGTAGTCTCGCGGTCTGACAGAATTGTGGCAATTGGCAATGTCCTTGGACTGCTCTAGAGCTAACGGTCAACAACACCGGCCGCCTTGAAATCAACGCGCACATTTCATCTTGACCCGGTATTCCAGCAAGGACCATGAAGAATAGTCTTTCCGGTACTAGTCAATGCCCCTGCCATTGGCAATGACATAACCTGTACGATGCCTTGTTGTTTGAAGATGAATGTCGAAGACCACGCAATTGACACCTGAAACAAATTCAGCAGTCTCCCTGCCAAAGCGCTTGTTTCCTCGTCAGAACTGATTGGGCTCGTATGAAAAAGTATGCTGTTATGCGAATTTGTGCCCCGTGTAACCGCTGGAAAAACGGAACTGTGGCAATGCAATGGCAAACGATGGTCGAATGCGAACCGCCAGTGACCACTCCTTCTATCTACGAGATAGAGAAAATTGGTAGACCCTAGCTCAGAGCGAAGCAGGCTCAATCGGGGGAACTTTCCCTACCTTCCGCCAAGTCCTCCATGATCATACGTTCACTCAAACTCCTCGGCGTGCCACCAAAGTTTGTCTTCTCGGGTCGGTAGCTTGTACTTTCATCCACGCCACTTCGGCCATCCACGCTGCCAATGAACGAATATATGTCGCCCATTTTTGCTGCCCTCTTTTGGATTTCATCATTCGTGACGCTCGACATGTTGAAAGACTTCCCTTTGTATGAGCCTATAGAGGCTGAGAAGTGTCGGGATTGCGGTTTTGCCGCATCTACATGAGCTGTAGCGCCAGCTGTAGATGGAGATGTAACGGAAGTTGGCGCAGAGGAGACATGCTGACTTATGGAAATCGCTGGCGAAGTCGAACACAAAGCAATAGGCATGTCCTCACTTGCTGAACCATCCATTGACTCCCCTTCAAGTCCATCATCTTCGTCATCGATGTACTTCTTTGGTGGCGATTCCCCAATATACTTCATTTTCGGCAGGCTCCCCCCCGTCTCGTCCTCGTCAGATTCATATGAAAACATTTCCTCTTCCTCGACATGTTGGTCTTTGGAAAGTACCACAGGTTTGCTTGTCGTTTGGGCCGAAGCCCTGACTGTTTGGGTATTAGAAGTGACGCCTTCGAACCTAGCCTTCGCATCGACTGAGAGGCGCGGCGGGGAAAACTTCTTCTTGCCTCGGAATGAAACCATCTGTGGCATCTCGACCATTGCCTCGTGCGCTCTCTCGGCAGCTTCCTCTGGCGTATCCGGGATTTCCTCGTCCACAGGGTTTCCAAAGTCAGATCGGACGGGTGTGTGTGTGCTTTGATGTTGCGCAGATGCATCCGTTACAGCAGCAGTAGCAGCGGCACTTGTCCTATCGTTGGCACAAGCCATGACTAGCAGATCGTCGTCGTCGTCGATGCCTTGCGTGTCACCAACGACCGTCCACTTTGATGTATCTTCGCTAGATGTCCTCGCCAAGGCCTTCAGCCGATCGGTGGATGTTATCTTCTTCGGTCTCGGGGGGGAGCTTCCTAGCAAGCCAACGTCAGGGTCTTCGTTTTCTTCGACGATTCCAGAGTCGTATGACTCATCCAACAGGTTGGTAGCGTTGCCTAGCGGAGAGGGCAGGTGATCGGTGTTGACTCGAGGTGATAGTGGGGGTGATGCGGTTGGCAAGACTTCCCCACCCTCCACTTCAAACCGTACCCGTCGAGGGCTCTGGGTCTTAGTGGTAGAGGAGCTCGAGGAGCGGCGGAGGGCACTTCGTCGGTTCTTGCCGTAGGCGCTATCATCAGAAGTGTTGGAAGAAATGGTATCTTCCGTGGGTCGTCGTACTGGGTCGGGTCGCCAGCTCACTCCCCTGGCGAGAGACGAAAGTGAGATTTGTTTAACCTGAGACTGGATTGAGGTCGCAGCCGGGGCTTGGGGTGGTATGGTGGGCTGCGACCTATGCACAGCACCATCAAGCAAGGGTAGATATGTGGGCGTGAACAAGCCGTGGAACTCAACCTCCCGCGCATGTGGACTCCTCGAGGCAGTATCAGGAGGCGTGCCAGATGTGTGAGGCAGAATGGGCGGTGGAGAGACCCGGACGCGCCGTTTTCGATCGCTGCTGCCGTCGTCTGTAATGAAGTTGGAACTGTCGACGTCGGAGTGACTCGGGGGTGGTGACTCAGGTGAGTCAGCGGCATTGAGCGGGCTCGCCAGATGCAAAGCCGGGCTGAGCGCCGGGTATCTGGGCATTGAATCTCGTATGGCCTTCTCGACAATGGCTGACACTTCCTCGGACGCGCCCTGCAGCAGATGTTGCGAATATCGCTGAAACTCCACCGCCATGCCCTGACGGTGCTCAATGATCTTGCGCTCGAGTTCGTCGAGCTTGGTGAAGAGCTCCGACACCAGGTGTGTCGCGTCATCCATTGTCATAGTTCCGTCGGCCGAGAGGAGTGCGCCGATCATCAACAAATTGGTCTAACTTGCAACAAAAATAGAAACGGCCGCCAATGTACAAAGGGCATGCATTATTCGCAACAAGCCCAAATCTCGCGCTGGCCGGAGTGTGTATGACAGATCTTCGTATTTGTAATATTGTATTTGTGGTATTTGCGCGATCGGAGTGGGGGAGCTGATGTGCGCGTGATGCCAACTTGTGTCTGTTGTTGAGGTTATTTGGTTGGCTTGCTCATCAACCTCTGTTTTTTCTGTTTCGAAGGTGACTGCTTGCCCCTTCTAGAAAATTGCTGTTCCTGTCAAAGATGTGTGGAGATATGGAGGGGTGGTGTTTAAAAGCTGCTTGAGCTCGGTCGCCCTGCACAAGATCTACAAGATTCGGAGATCCCTTGGCCAGGCCTGGCCGTGCCAAAGTACGTAAAGTGATAGGCAATCGAATGTAACGTAGACGAATGCTGATGGCGCTGCTACAAAGAGCTACCCCAATTCTTACGCACCGCAGCTCGACGAATAACAGCAATTGCTAATCGGTCGCACGGGTGCTTGAAAGGATCATATGGGCTTGCAGAAAATGAACGAATTCGCTACGAGGTATTGAAGGTTATCAGCTAAGCCAAGCCATCCGCATAATTGCGGTGCGAAGTGTGAAATGAGCCGCAGAGTCTTTTGCGCTAACGTGGGTAGTCTCCTCGTTCTCGGATATTAGCGATAGCTCAATTCATAAACTTGCTACTTAGGTGAGTAGCGTACGGTGGAGCAAGGGCGCTGTGGCAGGTGAATCTACGATCTCTGACGCAAACTGGAGTCTATTGTTGTTTCCGAGCTGATCGATCAAAGACGACAACCCTTCATTCAAGATTATCTCGATCAATTGAGATTCTGTATGCTGCAAAAGGACTTGCTCCTTCCAATTACGTCGGTGGAATACCCAAGAATGCACGTCATCGCTCTGCCCTGTCAGAAAGAGATATTGGAGAATCTCGTTATCTTGTTGGCAAGCCGCCATCCGAAATCGCTTGATATTGACTAGGGCATGTAGTATTATGCAACCTGCCATATTTGGACATTTGGACCTTTGGACCAACTTTGGGCCACCCGACGCTAATAGCAATGATAGAAACCGCATACTACTGTGAGTTTCTAGAGAAATACAACAAGACGGGGATGTACATTAAAATTCATAGCGTCAACCTTGCAACAGTTTATCTATAACATACCGGGTCCATCAATATGAGTCTCGTGAACAAATACGACGCAATGGGGTTACAGTCGGGGCATCTTAGCTCTTGGTTATGTATGGCCCTCAGGTCAAGATACACGAGGCTGGGGCAAGAAATACCACAACTCATCCACTCCAGCGCCGCCTCTGTGACAGAGCTATTGAGCTTCCTAAACTTGATGCATAACAGCTGTGGACTCGGGGGTTTCAGTTGTTCGTGTTCTCTGTCATTTGATCCTCTTGGAGTGCCCCTTGCTTAGTATTTCGATGCACTGATGATGGGTAGCCAATTTCATGATCGATTTATCATATCTTTACATGCGAGCGCTGACCAGGAATGTTGGTAGCCCTACGAGCCGCTCGTAAATTCATAAAAGCCAGTTTGAGTTGTTCCTTCTCGGTATATTGGAGTGAAGGGAGCAGCCTCGCGAGAGGCGGCAGATGGCTGACTCCGTAAGCCGGTCTCTCTTCCACCGAGACCAGAGAGCCCTTCCTGGAATGAGCTCGACACTATAGCCAGCTACAACTCACATGGTACTTGAGCACAATCGTTGTTGCAATATACAGAGACAAAGCGCCCCAGTCCCGTGCAGTATTGCCATGGTGCATGGTGAGACTGGAATGGTCATTGATTCCTATGGCTACCTAAAAATGGTGCCCCGAGGAAAGCAAGAACCTTCCAACATATTTCAAACACCAGAGTAACCTATTGTTCCTAAACCCTAGCACAGACAAGACTTCATTTTCAAAAATAGGGCATTCGCACAACAAATCTCTTCCTCGGCCCACCCGCTTTAACTCATGAGACGGAAACGAACGAGCTACACCCAGCAGGGGAGCTTGTTTGCGAAAAATTCTCCGCCATGCAAATGGTTGGATCTTCGGAAAGCACGGGGGCTTGTTTACTGTTCTAGGAAGAGTCATCGTCCACTGAAGATCGTATTTTGTGCCGGTATATCTGGAAGCAGCTTCCAGAACGACACTGGAGTGATTTCATATAATTAAATTGAACGATTTCAAATGTGATGAATTGGGATACATCGGACACTAATACCACTCAGAATCCCCCATATTTGGCAAATAGGTCAAGCCTCAGCGAGCTTGGCAATATCGATCGTACCCAGTCCAGAGTTGGCGATGAAGAGCCATATTACCAAGACTGCCCAGCACGGCATGTGCACATTTGATACATTCTCTCGGCTGGCACGACGAGTCGACCTTGGCTGGGGTTGAGGACAAGGCCTCTTCATATCGTGAAGTCAACTTTGATGCCAGCTCGTATTTGGTTGAACCTTGGTGGTTTAGTAGGCGATACTGTTGTAGTGAAGTGATCATGCCAGAATCCGAAGACTTTTCGGCTCCTGCACTACTCGGACATGCTACTGCAAGAAAAACTTTGCCGGATGGTCTCTATAGCCTCTTTTTACTGAGGCGAAGAGCCACATATTTAAAAGGCAAAGATTTGGTCCTCCAACTTGCTCACAGGTCGTGCCTTCTTGAAGCCAAGGCTCTCGGCTGTCTTCTTCAAACCGCTGACCATGGGGGGAGGTCCGCAAAGCAAGATCTTGACATCATCAGCGGGCTTTGGAAGCCATTTCTACAGCTAGCATTAGTCTTATCGTTTCGGTGTCAGTACAGTGGAGAACCTACGGTGATCATGTCGGCGGTGACGTAACCGACACCGCCGGTCCAACCCTCCGGAGGGTTGTCAAGAACATAGTGAACTCTGAAACCCTTGTCCTGCTCTGCGAGAGCGTCAAGGTCCTCCTTCAAAAGGATGTCCGTGGGCGACACGTTGGCGAAGATCAAATCAATCTCGGTTTTGTCTCCAGCAGCACGTCCTCTGATGACAGCCCGGACGATTTGCAGCATTGGTGTGATACCGGTGCCACCCGCAATCATGCCAAAGTGACGAACCATGTTGGGAGTGTAGACGAAGGCACCCTTGGGTCCCTTGACTCGGATTGTTTGGCCTACGGCAAGCGATGCCATGTGCTTCGAGATGTTGCCAGTTGGGTAAGACTTAATCAGAAGATCAATGTATCCAGGCTGGTGATCACCCGAAATGGGAGTATAAGACCGAACGATATCCTTGCTGCTTCCATCAGGCTGTTCGATAGCGGCACCGATGGATATGTGTTGTCCGATGGGGAGGCCGAGGATGGAGGTCGGCGTTGGCAATTTGAAGCGGTAGCTAGCACGGTTAGCTTGGCGTCAGACGCCATCGGCGACGATACGAACATGGCTGTATTGTGTGACAGAACTGTCTTCTCCTTGAGCTCGAACTCTTGAAACACGTCCGGCTTGAGGACCTTTTTGGGCACTGCGCGCAAGTTAGATCAGACGCTTCCTTCATGATATGAACACCATTGACGTACGCTGACTATAGAGCTTCAAAGCGCCAATGGCGACTGCCACAATGGCAGCATAGGGAACCCATTCTCTTTTCACAATGAAGGTGCCGAAAATGAGCAAACCAACGGGGATATAGATCCCGTTGATGTTCTGGCTCGAAGTCAGAGACGAGTCGCTCATCTTGAATATGGGCGCGCTCCTGCGGTATTTTTCGGAAAATTTGTCTTCCTCGCAGCAAGGCCGATGCTGACCCTTATGTGTTATCAACAGGAAGCAATCATCTCTTGTCGGGGTGTTACAGCTAGAGAGCGAACTCGGAGTTGATGACGAAGAAGAAGTACCTCTGTTTCTTAAGCAAAATACATGAATTGCGAGCGAAAACCGAAATGTTGAGAAGCCCGGGCCATTCAACTGCCGATTGTGTGTTTCCCCGCCTGGACTTGTCGGGTATTTATCGGGGGGCTTAGGGTGACAATTGCAAAATAAAGTTTTCATCGGGATCTTTCCCGCCAGTTTGGGTGAGGTGCAAGCACAGGCACCAGGCACGAGTAGGTACAGGTGACGCCTCAACTTTGCCCCGAGAACCTTGGGAAGTCGCATTTTGTCAATTTGCATCAGATGGTAATAATTGCACCGGACTCTTGACAAAATTTCTTGGCCACTTGCTCCGACAAGCAAGAGAACTGAAGCATCCGAGGGGATCCCATAATCTGCGTGGTTGTTAAACAGTTTCATGAATCCAGGTGTTCTCATGGTCCACAATGGACTCCAAGCTCCACCCCAGTGATTCAAGTCGAGAAGCTACTTTCTAATCATTACGGCTTGCAACCACCATACAATCAATATCTCATTCCTTGAGTACCCATCACGCAAACATGGGAGATATTCCGGTCGAAGAGTCGCCGTTTCCACTAACGGAAGTGGATAAGTGGGTTCTATCGCAAACGGACGAAGAATTCCATTGCCACGACTGGGAGGACATGAGAAAGATCATCGGTCAGTGTGGCTACCGTTACGCCCTTTCACTTGACTCATAAACTACTCGCCTAGAACCTGGCCAACTGATGAACATAATAGGTGAGAATAATCTGTCGGTCTTGAAACGCAGACCCTCGGATCTGCGAAGATACATGAAATGGACGGCCGAGACTAAAGCGGAGTATGGCTCAATGACGCAGTATCTCTTGGCCCATCGACTACCCCGAGCATGGGGCTCACCTCCTTTCACACCAAATTCCAGCACTCCCTTCAAGGATGTCTCCGATTACAAGGTCTTGCTGAACGATTGGCCTTACGGTCTAACGCCTGATATAACCCACATCGTGGTGTGGTCAAGAACTCCCATTGGAACGGATTCTAAGACAGGTGATATGACTTCCGAAAGCCGTCAAGTCGTTGCCGACTTTGTGCAAAGATTCTTTGTTGACAGACTTGGTTCAGGAGGAGAAAATCGGGTTTTGTGGTTCAAGAACTGGGTTGCATTGCAGTCTGTACGATCCTTAGAACATATTCACGTCATGGTCAAAGACGTTGAGAAGGATGTGCTGGATGACTGGAATAAAGAGCTCCACTGCCACCAAGTATAGCGTAGACGAGAGAACATGGACGAGGCTGTAGACGTATTCCCAGAGGCCTCTTCATCATTACCAACAAGACTGCGTACTCATGCAGCTCTTTGTTGCTTTCTGTTGCCAATGGGTGCGGCATTGTCCGGTTGCTGTTGCATGCCTGATGCCATGCCCCGAGCGGCGCCGACGAGACTGTAGCCCTTGAACGCGCCGTATGCAGGGACTGTAGTCCACAGTAGCCAGCCCCAGTTTCCGAAGAAAGTGACGAGAAAAACAGAAGCCCAAGTGACCCAGATTACATCGAACATGTACTCGGTGAGTCCAGGAGCTGAGAGGTCTTCGCCAGCAGTCTTGAGAGCCTTGGTTGAAGGATCATATTTCGGACGACCTGTTGACTCGAGGATGTATTCGCAGATGAAACTGGGGATGGACAATACGACATAGAGCAAAAGGGAGCGCCTCTTGAAGATGAGGTTGAAGAGGAAGAAGAGGGTGTTGACAATCAGAGTTCCCAGGTGCAGGTTCTTCAAGGCCTCAACATTGGATTTTGCTAGGTCCTTTCGTGCTTTCTGAGCCATGGTCGCTTGAGAATCTGATATTTTCTTGTCTTCCAAAGTTGAGGACAGATCGGGCGAACAGGTGATGCCGATTGAGGGAACCTAAATAGCTCCACGGCGCTGTATATTTTTTTCTTTTCCTTTTTTGTGAAATATGGGGATCGCTGGTCCTGATGTGAATGAAGGCTGTCAATTTCTGAGACCAAGAAATGACGAATGCAGCCAGCCGTGCGTGAAATGGATTGCGGGTGGAGGTTGGCAATGCAACAATGACTTGGAGAGGTTGAGAGGCTGAAAGTGCAGAGTTCAAGTAGCTGCAGTGGTGCACTAAGCGCTTGCCAAGGCCAACCAAGAACCCACCTGTTGCTCCGTGAGTTCCTAGCTGACCGGGAATTTGGCCTTAAGCAGACATCGCAGCCAATGAGAAGATTCGACGTTGCTTGCATCACAACATCGCGACGGGGAGACACCTGCTCATTATTCCACACAGAGACTTCAGAAGTTTTGATCTCATTTTTACCGACTTTGGCCATACACCTGTTGGAGCCGGCGTTTGGACGGTCGTTTCCGAAATAGCAACACAGCTGTATCGCCATTCTTGCGAACCGAGGAACGAGGATGCATTAACGTCAGGTATCTCGAATCAATAACGTCGACCCGGCATCGAATTCACGCTCATCCAACAAGCCACCAATGCTTGTTCGAGCAAGCAGTCAGGACCCGGACGCCGTGCCTAGTTTTATTTCCTCCGAGAGCCGCAGAGCCCTTTCCGCCTTGCAGTTCTTTTCGGTTGAGGTCCGGGCGTCTTGCCATTATCGCTCTTGTCGAGCTTGTTGAGCACCATAATTCTAATCACAACGGCGGGTTGCTCGCTTTCGGTTCTTGTGCAGCCTTTGATGCACCACCACCACCCAACCCCCCACCCGTTCAAGGCTGCTTAAGGTTTGAGGCAAACTCAACTGTCTCGCTAGAGCATTCATAGACTCCCGGGATCCTTTACCGCTGCATATTCGGCCTCGGGCACACATCAAGCTCATGGCCAGCCGGTGATAGCTTCAGCCTCGAACCAACATCATCACCGGGCGAACTTCCTTCCACCATGGCTCCGTCGAGTGCCGCCATTACGGGCCAGCTTCGACAGCTTGTATACTACCATCTCGACAACATATCCTACGACAACGCCCTCTTCTTCGCAGAACGATTAGCTGCCCACGATCCCCGATCGAACGAATCCGCCTACCTTCTCGCCTTGAGCCATATACGACTGGGTGACTACCGGTCTGCGTTCGAGTTCAGCAAAGCGGCAGGTTACCGTGGTATACATCTTGGTTGCGCCTTCATCTTTGCTCAGGCATGTCTAGTACTTGAGCGCTATAAAGATGGCATTGCTGCGTTGGAGAAGTCGAGGGGCATGTGGACGCAGAAAGTTACTTTGGGAAAACATAGCGCGTCAAGTCGAGCCCCGAATCCGGATGCCGCAAGTTTGTCTTGTCTGCTAGGGAGACTGTACCGAGTCTACGACGACAAGAAAAAGGCCATTGTCTGCTTTGAGGAATCCTTGAAGACAAACCCATTCATGTGGGATGCCTTCACTGCGCTCTGCGACATGGGCGTCAACGTCAGAACCCAGAATATCTTTAGGATGAACGACGATCTCTTGCATTGTTTCGAGCCCGAATACCCAAATGGTGTCCTGGAGCAGAAGGATAGCAGCGCGACGAACCCTATGGAGCCGTTATCGAAGAAGGCCTCCGTACGACCCGCCATCTACGAATCTGTAGATCCATTCGAGGCCCAACGGACTATGACCTCAAACGAGGTGCTTATACCGAACAACCTTTTATCAGCAGATGCTGGGGAGAATGACTTCATGTCTAAAATCAATGCTGCCCGCTCTAGAATGGCGACGACGACTGTTCACGTGCCAGACGGAATGGAGACACCTCCCTCAACAACCTTGGAGTCAACTCATATTCCTCGAGCCGGCGTTGCCCCAGATCCGTCGCATGGAGCTCCACGAAAGACCAGGCATGTACAAGCCGTTGATACCAGTTTCATGGACGTGCCTCCTAAGATGAGTTACCGTCTGGGATCGAGGCGAAACCAAAAAGCGTCTGAAAAGGGTCAAGAAGAGCTTTTGGTGGAGTCGAACCCTGCTACGCTGAGAGCATCGGCTTCCGCCGTATCCGGAATTGAGAGAAAAAGAACTGTATCTGGCCACCCGGTTCAGCCGCGGCAGCAATCAGAAGAGCCCGGTGCGCCACCCAGGAGAAGTACGAGAATAAACATGTTCAGAAGCACCAACACAAAGGCGAACTCGGGAGCCTCGACGGTTGGGTCTGCCCCGACGCGGGAATTGAAGAAGGCTAGGCCCCCGATTTCCCGCATCATGCGGCCAACGTCTTCTAGTGGCACGAGTGTTGGCCGGGTGGTGAGTGGCAATCGGAAGCCCGCGGAAGATCACGGCATGGACGTCGACCATGCCGAGGCGCCTCGAGTGAAAGAGCCCCCTCCACAACCACCGATCCCGAGAGTAGTTGAGCCCGACAACGCCAAGGCAGAAGAGACGTTGAAGAACTTGCTTGAGCTGCTGAAGAAATTCGGCGCTGGGTATTTTGCATTGTCACAGTTTCAATGTTCCAACGCCTTGGCAGCGTACGGCTCGTTGCCTAGAGCGCATCAAGACACTCCATGGGTCTTGTCGCAGGTTGGACGTGCGTACTACGAACAGGCGACGTACGGGGAGGCAGAAAAGCACTATAGGAGACTACGCATCTTGGCGCCTACTCGCCTCGAAGACATGGAAGTCTACTCGACCATCTTGTGGTTTCTGAAAAGAGAGATGGACCTGTCGTTCCTCGCACACGAGATGGTGGATTTATCTTGGCATTCGCCTCAAGCATGGTGCGCACTTGGCAATGCTTGGTCCCTTGCTAGGGATCATGAGCAAGCTCTACGCTGTTTCAAGCGGGCAACCCAACTTAACCCCAAATTTGCGTACGCTTTCACGCTGCAAGGTCACGAGCATGTATCGAACGAGGAATATGAGAAAGCCCTTACAGCATATCGCAAGGCGATATCGGCAGACCGTCGTCACTATAACGCCTACTACGGCATTGGGCGAGTGTATGAGAAACTAGGCAACTACGAAAAGGCCTTTACGCATTTCCACTCGGCGTCCCATATCAACCCCACCAATGCCGTCTTGATCTGCTGCATAGGCAATGTCCTCGAGAAGCAGCGACATCCGGCCCAGGCCTTACAATATTTCACCAAAGCCACGGAACTAGCCCCTCATGCCGCGCAGACACGGTACAAGAAGGCGCGCGCCCTGTTGGCGCTCAACCACCTTGACGAAGCGCAAAAGGAATTGGAGATCCTCAAAAATCTGGCTCCAGACGAAGCCACAGTGCACTTCCTTCTGGGGAAGCTATACAAGTCGCTGAACGACAAAAGCTCTGCCGTCCGACATTTCACCATTGCACTGAACTTGGACCCGAAGGTTTGTCACACCAATTCCGTCGCACAATTGCATACTGACCTCATTTGAAGGCGAGCCAACAGATCAAGGAGGCAATCGAGAGCTTGGAGGACGACGAAAGCTACGAAGACTCCATGATGGCATGATATTAGATCTGTTCCCGTGTACGGACGCCTAGCGGCGTTGTACTCACCTGTTTGAGCGGCATAAGGTGGCCATGGGCATCTCTTGGCCGTGTCTTTGGGGACGTTGCGATTGATGTGGAATCAAGAGTTATGATGCGACGAGGCAAAAAGATTCTATTGTCGAGCATGGCATGGAACGGCGTTCAGGAAAAACATCGAAGAAGGCTGTGCATGTTGGTTTCGGATCGTTGCCTGGCGGTGGCAACGACTTGTTTTGTGTATCGGTAGGCACGCAAGGAATAGGACATTGGGGGGTGGGGTTGCGATATTTGTATCATAGGAAAGCTGTTGGTCCTTGTCGTTGCGAAGGTGAAGCTCCAGGCCCTTCTAAATAATATATGAATACCCTGCCTGAGAAGATGCCTGTGTAGTGAAATAGGGCGATTATTCGCACCACACCGAAGCAACTGCTGGGAATAAATGTTGAGTGAACTCTGAAATAGGCGACACCTCAAGCAGGTATCCATCAACATGCATAAGACGGTCAACCCGTATTCAAGGTGCCCAATACAGATAGGAATCCCCTCTACTTGCTATCAAGAGGAAGGGGGCTTGTCCGGTTGCATCGGTGGGCATCCTCCAGACAATCGTATTGCCGATCAACCCATTAAGTGGGCATTGCATAGTGTACATAAAAGAAGAAGATTTGAGACGAAACCACAAGTACAACTCGATTTGGTCTCATTGAATAGCGATCACGGCTTCAGGAGGATTTGTTGGCAGTATTTGATACCACCCTTGCACCTTCCGAACTTTGAAGCTTGGACCTTCCGGGAAAGAACTAGACTAGATCGACTATGCAGACCCGGAGTGAACCCCTGGCGGCACGCAAAGAAAAGCGTGCTGAGTGCACGGGCCTTTGCAAACATCGAAATCCATAACCAGATGGCCGTGTTTTATTATGGGCGAACCGCAGCTGAATTTCGACCTCGATAAACATTGAATCAGTCAGAACCAATTTCCTATTTTAATTCGAGGTAGCCGCACGCGAATAATCCACTTTGAGCCTAGCGCCTCCTGAAGACCGCACAATCAGCCAGCAGCCCCCGCGACTCCCCGCGACTCGCATTTAAACCCACTGTCACCTCCCCCCAACCATCGCTTTTTCCTTTATTCTTTTCCCAGTTAATCGCCAATCATTCACACTCTGCATTGCCTATTTCAGCATCGCGGCGTCAACATTTCCATCAAATCCAACACCAAACCACATCTCAATCATCACTTACACTTCTCAAAATGACTGGACGTAAGTTGCTACCTCTTATTTGTCACCTTGATCACGCTGTCGCGTTGTTTGCGGTCTCGCCGGCAACTGAAAGGCAAGGCTTGCACGTTGACGGTTTCATTCTACCGCCGACGCGTCTTGCCTTCCAATCGACGCGATAGACGCGCCGACAGCCTCGAGAACATACACACTCTAATCAACGGAAGCATCTCGCTGACACCCCATCTCACAGGCGGCAAGGGCGGCAAGGGCCTCGGCAAGGGCGGCGCCAAGCGTCACCGCAAGATTCTTCGTGACAACATCCAGGGTATCACTAAGCCCGCTATTCGACGTCTTGCTCGTCGTGGTGGTGTGAAGCGTATTTCTGCCAGTAAGTTACACGCTAACCGTTGCCTCAGTTTGGACATGTTATCTAACCTGCTCCATAGTGATCTACGAAGAGACCCGTGGTGTCCTCAAGTCCTTCCTCGAGGGCGTCATCCGTGACGCCGTCACCTACACCGAGCACGCCAAGCGCAAGACTGTTACGTCTCTTGACGTCGTCTACGCCTTGAAGCGCCAGGGACGCACCCTTTACGGTTTCGGTGGTTAAAAATCCTCTTCCCTATCTTGATGGACTGGAAGCGGTACGTGTTGAATTTGGATTCAGCACTTGTGATTTTATGGATGGCATGAGATACATTCCAACATTGGCGTTCTGGTACTGGAGGTTTACGGCTCATGGTCTTGCGAATGAATTTTGAAGGGGCACCGTCTGATGGAACAGGCGATGGCCTAAATGAAGCTATACATGCTGAATATACCTGCGCATTGCAATCATGCTTTGACGCTACGAATCGATTTGATTTTTCTGCTCATGCACTTGTGATAAGATGACATTGCCAATGCCCAAAAGCAAGCGTCTGCGGGCCTCGTAGTTCATGTTGGCAATTCACGCGTCCTGTCGATAGAACTTGCTAGTGGACTCGAGATGTATTTTCGACACTGAACCACAATGGTATCTACAGTACTCCAGACGCCTTTTCCCGTTTTACTTCATGACATGATATCCACCCCTCTTATCCATCTTGTCGCCTTGGCTCAGAGGTATTTCCTCCCAGCCGCAGCGACCCTCTGCCTGAACGTCGGACTGCTCACCTCCATGTTGACGCGGTAGAAGGGGCTCATGATGGTCTTGACCCAGTTCTCGTATACTTCAATGAAGAAACTCTTGATGGCCTCCTCGGTCTGGGGACTCGTCGGGTTCGCGGCAATGGAGGTGGAGCTCCGGGACGAGGCGGTCGACACGGGTGTCGTGGGCTGGTGCAGCAAAAGGAACTTGATGTTGCCGCCCGTGATGAAGCAGGATACGTAGTTGTTGAAGAACTTGTCGATGCACTTGAGATACCTGGGGTCGTGGTTAGCCTCGTTCGTAGTATAGCACGCACGGCGTGGTCCACCACATTGACCGGAGGCCGGCAGCATAGTAGCGATCCGGATCAGATAGTGGTGATTGAACTTGATGCGCATGGCAAAAGCCTGACTAACTGTGCCAGACACCGGGACCGAGAGAGGGAGACGAACATTTGCCCTGTGCCCCATTGCACCTCCTCGACGATATCTAGACTGCTGTGCACGATAAACTGGTTCATGTGCCGCGCCTGTTCGCTGAACCGCGACATGCCGTCGCCGCCCTGCTTGGACGAGCCGAATTCATGCTCGAAGAGCGGGTTGTCTTGCGTGCCGACGATGGCAAAGTAGTAGGACATTGTTGCTGCACTATTATCTGTCGATCATTGGTCGTACTTCGTAGAGTTGGTGAGATTCCGGAGTCTGAAATGCATCTCTTGACCTCAGCGCTGTAGATTATGAGAAAGGCTACCCTGGAGCTGCATGTCGGGAGCGGAAGAGAGTGAGCTGTTTCGGCTCAATCGGTGGTGGGCTCGTGCATTGGACGGATGGGCGGGCTGCAGTTGACTGATCTTCAAAAAGTTGCTGAAGGGCGGCGTCATTAAGCGTCATCCGCCGACAGCAAAACCAGACACGATGTTCGGGTTCGGCGCATTCAGGGCTACGAGTCCATTATCAGGCGGTCTTCTTTGGTGTGTAAATCTTCATATTTGCTATAACCAAGATGCTCCGTCACCAATCAATCGCGCGCTTCGCATTCAAAATAGAACTGATCCCCCCATAGGAAGATCCCCTGGCGCCTCTCCCGATTCCAGAAAGCACGGCAACGCAAGCGTCTGCGCGCCGTCGACTCGGTCGTCGCCACCCTTGATTCCGCCTTGAAGAAGCAGGGCCAATCGCTCAGGTCGCTGGAGGTCTGGAAGGAGGAAATGCCTACCGAGGCCGAGATGCTGCCCAAGGACAAGTACACCATATTCGACAGGAAAGAGAAGAGGTACAGGAAGGGCATTCACAGTATGTCCAGCCATGAAGTCGTCCCATTGGGGCTAGAAGGGTGCCTTATCTCTAACATGCGTTGCAGAACTACCCAAGTGGACGAGAGTATCACAACGACTGAACCCGCCTGGTTACTAGAGCTGGAGAGAGGAGATGGGATTGATCGCTCTGCTGTATGGAAGTCGAAGGCTGGAGCCTTCGTCGCACACAGACAGACAGACAGACAGACAGGTGGCGTTTGGTCACGGTCAGGATTGTACTATATTGTCACGCTATGCTGGAGCTGCAGAACATGCTCCTCTGTATACGAACGAACATACATTGAACGAACACTTGGTCTCTTGACTGAACCAGGTTGAAGCGAGAGGATGCCTTACTGGCTTGACTTGAATGATTGCCATCGAAAAAGTATTCCATCACCTTGAACACTGCTTAAGCTCAGCAGTTGACCGACCCAGCACGTCTGCTCACGCCGGTCTACCCAGATGCTGCCCACGTATATAATGTCACCGTCAAAAGGTGGCGGTTCATGCCATCCTAGGGTATCTCCTATCATACAGTCCCCCCCAATCGCTGCCTATCTCAGCCGTCCGTAGTCATCTTCCATCTGTTGGTCGCGGTCACGATGTCTATCAACCTCGCGCATACGCTCTGACTGAATTGCTCTCCCCAGTCCACCACGGCCTTCATCGAAGTCATCTCGGTACTCATCGCGCACTTGTCCACCAGACTTGCCACGCCCGTACTGCCGACCCTCCTCGAAACCCGGGTCCAGATCAGTTCGGATGACACGCTCGTCCAGCTTTGTTCCTCCGATGTACTTCATACAGTCGAGGGCATCCTGGTGTGTGTAGTACTCAACAAAGCAAAACCCGCAAGGCGTCTTGTTGAAACGGTCCAGGCCCATGATCAGACGTTTGATCTCGCCACACTTGGAGAAGAGTTCGTAGACTTGCTCTTCGGTTGTGTAGAAAGAGCTTTTCGGAGCAATTAGGCTTGGGACCACAGACGAAGGAGGCGAAAGGAGTATGAGCTCACAGATTGCCGACGTAGAGAGTGGCTGCATGTGCCAGGGGATCCTCAGGAGCCTGCTCTTCGGGCTTATCTTCCTTCATCTCAGCGTCCCCGTCACGGTCGTCTCTTCCACGATCATTGCGTCTCCGATTCTTGTTCTGATCAGTGTGTTAGTGTCAAAGTCGTAGCTCATGACAAGATGCCTCAGTCTGAGATGAGACAGATTGGCCGTACTTACCCTGCTTTGGTAGTAGGCACTGGGCCTGTCCAGCCGCTCTACGGTGTTTCGGAAATCTGGTCGCATGTTGACACAGGCTTCCTTTGTCAAGATGGGGGGATTGCAAACGATGTCGAATGAAGGGACGTCTGTATCCTATTTTATAATGCGAGTGGTCACAGTGCTAAGTGAAACCGGGGGCTCTAAGGCTGTGAAGCTTGGGCCACTCGAGCTTCGCAGCTTCTCAACGCATGCAGGTGGTCGCGCCGGACCTTGCAGGGATCCAAGCATCTTCGCGCAGGGTACTTGTACTTAGTCACTCGAAATGCCTAAAAATTCCCCGGATGCGGTTGGCAGGGTGTCAAGAATCCAAAGATCTTCCCAACCTCATTCAACCCATCCACAACAAGCAGCAACCCCACGAACCAGAAGCGATTGCCGACTTGTAAAAGACGACTGGCCTGCCCTTCATTACTCCACGCAAACATGCACTCTTATTGAAAGTCACCCTGCCAGCCGACAATGCCCAAAATCAAGAGCTACACTCCTGCCTGGCTCTCTCAGCCGTCCCCGGGACACCGACTCTTTGCGCCGTCAAGCGAACAGCCCAGGAGCTCCCTCGCCTCCGCTTCAGTTCCTAGACTGGCTCCCCGGCGGACGATAGCCCGGTCTGGTTCCCAAATATTTGTCGCAGTTGGGAAGGAAGTGCGATGGGCCGACCTGATCGAATTAAAAGAGATATGGCACGCAAGATCAGCCCGAGGAGGGTCAGGCTCGCGGTTGAACCGTGAGGATTCTGGCGGCCCGGAAGAGGAAGAACTGCTAAGAGCCGCGGCGCAAGATGGTTATGCGGGCTTTCGCGTGAGTGTACTCCCTCGTCTGTTGACTCAAGTGTCCAGTACTAAGATGCTACGCAGACAATCAAGATTCCTGTTGGCTCCGACATACAGCAGCTCATCATCTCACCATATGCAGAATATCTGGCAGTCTTGACCACACACACTATTCGCATCTGTGCTGTTCCCGATCTATCCTATCTGACAATGCCGAGTAACGATGTCATCAAACCAAAGTCATGGACACTCGGCCCAACAACACACGTGGTTAACCAATCCCCCATTGCGTCGGCATTGTGGCATCCTTTAGGAGTTCACGGCACTGCTCTCGTAACGGTCACTACTGATGCTGTGGTGCGGGTCTGGGAACTATCACCGACTGATCGCTGGTCTTTCGACTCTCCCACGCTCACCATCGACCTCAAAAAGCTTGCTGATGGCACCTCCCTGGATCAGAATTTTAGTGCCACCACAGATACCCGCAAAGGGTTCTCCCCAGACTCATTTGAAATGGATGTTGCATCAGCATGCTTCGCTGCTCGGGGGTCTGGAGGATGGTCTCCGATGACCCTGTGGGTGGCTATGCGAGAAGGAGACGTATACGCCTTGTGTCCCCTGCTTCCCACCCGTTGGGCGCCTCCGTCCACTTTAATTCCGTCGCTTTCGGTTGCCATTGTTGGAAATTTGGCTGCGATCGAAGATGACCCAGAGGTCTCTCAACATGCGAAGTTGCTAGCACAGCAGCAACTGGATTGGATGTCCGACTTAGACAATCAAGAACCTACAGAAATTAAACACGCCCCAGGGGAGATGCCTACTGAAATCTACACTCGACCTGCGAGACCAGGAGTCATTCCCAAACTTCAAGGACCCTTCGAGCTTGATTTGAGCGTCGATTCTCAAGTGGATTCAGATCTAGAATTGTCTGATATTTTCGTCATCGGCCAGAAAGTAGACCTCAATGAGCTGATGATGGGCGAAGACGAGGAAGTGGAGGTTGATGATAGTGACCGCGAGGGTCTTTCACTCAATGTTGTCTGCTTGCTTGCCTCGAGCGGTCAGCTACGGATTTGTTTAGACTCCGACGGGGTGCAGGCCCAATGGTTACCACCTCGAAACAGGTCAAAAGTCAAGAACCCCTTGACAGAAGACGCTGAAACGCCTTCGTTATTGACCTTTCAAACTCTTGATATTCTGGGCAATCTGGAAACGACAGAGGGTGGATGGCCGATGTTTAGTCTCGACATCACATCACGCTATGCTTTCTTTGTCACCAATTTCTCCAGCATTACATATGTGTCACTTTCTCCTTGGGTATTCAGGCTCGAAAGTGAACTTCTGGGGGACTCTGAAGCGGGCTCGGATTTTCGAATTGATCTGCTCGTGGGTGGCCAGAGCTCAACCAGAGAGAGACTATATACAAGCCCGGTTCAAGGCAGCACCGCTCCCCCTCTGACTGCCTCGGTCGCTATTCGGGATCCCGATATTGGCTACTTCTTGCTGTCCGCAACACCCTTCGAGCCGGTTGCTATAGTGTTTGAAGCGCCGGAAAATGACTTCCAGCCGCTCCTCACTTCTGCTTCGCCCGGCTTCAATGTTGATATAGACGTCAAGCCCCTAGACTTCTACGAACCCCGGCCGATTTTCCAACCATCGCATGCATTCGAAGAGAGCTCGGCGCTGCCCAGCCTGTTGGGTCGACTCCGCACAAGTCGGCACAAGGCCATTGTGGACCAGGAAGTGCGCCTGTCGCCCGTCACGTTGCAGGTATTCACGGATGCCCACAAGGTTCTCAGTGAGGAGACGTATCGACTTGGGGAGGCCGCGTCTGAACTCTTCCGACGCCTGCAGACGTTGCAAGCTGAGCTCAAGCAACAAATCACCAAGGCGGGCGAAGTTCGAGCGCGAGTGGACGCCATCACTGGAGACGATCAAAACGAAGGCATGGAAACAGAGACAACCAACGCCGCGCTCGAGAGGCGTCTGCGTAGCGCCAGAGAGAGAAGCAAGGCTATCAGTGGGAGACTGGAGAGAATGCGTAGGACGATCCACAAGGCAACAAGTCGTGAATTGAGCGACAAGGAAAGAGCATGGATCAAGGAGGTCAACGCCCTGGACGCCAGTATCCGTGGATCTACGTCCTCGGCATCAGATGGCCGGGCCCGCTTGAAACAGCTAGGCAAGAGATACGACGAGGCTAAGGCACTCATAGATGAGCTTGCGTCACAGGCTGAGAATCTGACCAAGCCGGCGACAGGTGATGGAGAGGAGGACAATGTGTCTGCCTCACCTGATCTTCGCATACCCTCCGAACTCAGAAAGGCAAAGATCAATCAGGTGAGAGGGCTGCTGGAACGTGAGACAACCTTGGTAGATGCTGTGAAATCCAGACTCGAGCGATTATCAGTTGATGGATAGGGAGGCCGGCTCGGCGAACAACACAACGTCAGGACCCATTGGCCAGGCCGAAGACATTCACCTAGTTGGCCTTGTATACAGCAGATTAATGAGACTCGTGTTCGAGATACGCACATGGATGAGCCTCGCAGATGAGGCGTTCTAGGCTGTCAAAATTTATACCGGTGTCCGGATGCCGTTGGACGAGGCCGACAGCTGTGGCCGTTATCGAACTGTCGTTGGTTCAAAATTGTATCGTACGTCCTAACAATCATGCGATGGGACCAGCTTGTCGGCACCACAACTTTTAGATATTGTGCTACGGTGTGTGTCGATCCCTTCTACAAAATTGCTTGAATGCTGTGCTATGGTTGGGCATCATTGTCGCGATCGCCGCCTTGGGGCTGTCAGGCTGTCGAGGTTCAATAACCTCAGAAGATACTATTCTGAACGGTTTGCCGATATCGCCTTCCGTTCTCCGCAATATTTCGGGCAACAACTGTCGATATGATAGGCAAAGCGCTCTGACGACGTGTACGTCAAGTTTCGGTGAGATGAGAAGAATCAGGTCTGCTCCTGCACTGGAGGCTAAAGAACGAGTATTTAATTGACAGACCTGCCCACGCAAAAGCTCTCATATAAGTCGACGCCGATTGAGCAACCTTCTGTCTGGACAACCGTCTTTGTGCTCTGTGGCCCATGGAGCACTGGAACGCTGTGCAACTGGTCTGCAGAAATCTGGCCTAGGCGAGGTTCTCGTTCCCGGTATTGCTCGGCCTACCATGGCGCCCAGCCGCGTTCGCCTCGTTCCAAACTGCAAGGCGTCTATGTTGGCTGGATTTTGCCAGCCCCCCCTCGTTCTGGAACTCTCCCAGCAACTCAAACTTCCGAAGAGGGTCTCGACTTAGTCAACATTTCGACGATCATTTACAACACAACTGCACAAAATAATGTAGGTGGCATCGTGCCTCGTCACCGTTACGATGATCATCTATAATACAGCTTCACAAAAATTATGTCGGTGGTATCGTGACTCATCACCATTACGATTAATGTCTAAGATACTACGTCGCACCCTGTCGCACAGCATAGGTCAAGAACCTAGATGCCTGTGTTCAAGGTGAAAGATGATACCCCTATCTATTCTATCGATCGGTTGGGTTCGACTAGAGCCAGGTCGGTCTCTGGACTACTACGCCGTACCGCATGGCCATCGTAGTAAAAACAACACAGCATTCCGACGAAGACACGATGAAACCTTCCTCACAGATTATGATCACATTTACGATTGAACAATACGATGCAGGCATGCTGAAAATTCAACAGAACATGTTATGTCACCTGCGGTGCTCTTGCGTTGGTTCGGTATGACAGCCGTTGCCACACGGTCAATCCATGGCAAGCGGTCTCAGGCGGCGCCACAGCAGGCTCGTATTATTACTTCTTTATTCGACATATTGAGCTCTCGGCTGAGATGCTGGACATGGCACGCGGATTCTGTGATACCCAGTTTACCCCAATGGCTATCCGTTAGGGCCCTTTGTCTTGCTATCGGAACACTAGTAGGATTAGAACTACAGATCCTAGAAAAAGAAGGCCTTGCTTTTGTCCGCCTCACTCGAAAGAACCTCGGGGGGTGGGGGAGAAGGGATGAGGGGGGCGCGGGATTTGCGGTACGCGCATCTGCATATAAGCTGCATCTGATTCGCGAATGGATTGTATCTTTTACGAGGAATATTCCTATTCCATGTTGCTTCGTCTCGACGAACCTTTCCCTTTCTCCTTATCACCTCACTGTGAGAGGAGATGCACAATGGCTCCCTTCGTCGAGAAGACGTTGTCAGTAATATTTGATTACAGGGGTCAGCTCATAGGTAAGTTAGCGACAAGGCATTCTCGACACCCGATTGTGGCCAATTGGTTTCTAACTTAAACGCAGAAAACTGCGAGTTCATTTCGAGTGAAGATGACTACGTTTCACTCATCACGATCAAAGAGCCGTCCGGGAAGTGGAAAGCCGTGGTGATCCGGTCAAACGACGACTCTCGCGAAGCGCTGCTCGCTGCCGGTCCTTGCGAAACGGTTCAGAATGCCATTGAAACCCTACACGAGAAATCGTGCGAAGCCGTCCACCTGTACATAAAGGCCAATGGCTACTCTCAGCCTCGAGACCTCAAAAAGGTTGAATTGGAAGACGACGACGACGCAGACTCGGTGGTGTCGGGCCACTCTCGTGGCTCTGAGAGTATCGCCCTGTCAATATGGGACAGTTCAGATGAGGAAGTCGAGTTGACGCCAGCCTCGTCGTCCAAGGACAAGATCTCAGCTCCCAAGGCTAGCACAAATTCGCGCAAAAGCCGCAAGGGCAAGGCCAAGTCATCCGATGCAAAGGGTGACGATTCTGAAGATGAGCCCCGAAATCCCAAGCTCATCAGTCCCCTGATGCGGCCGCCAGGCTCCCGTTGTGCACCCCCTCCTCCCCCTGGATGGACCGGCGGCGTCCCTCCCCCACCCCCATGCTATCGCGGTCCTGGCGGTGTCCCGTCGCAGCCCCCTAGCTTCCAAGTTATGCCTCCTCCCCAACATCTGCACCAAATTCATCAGCAGGCACCACTCCCACACCCAGGCTTCAGTGGTCCAGGCGGCCCCCAACCGCAACAGCAGCAACAACAACATCAACCTCCCCCGGGTCCCCGCCCCTTGCCCCCAGGGTCTGGCAGTCCCCGCATCTTCGACGTCCGTCTGACCATCAAATGGCTACACCACTCGGAACAACGCATTTTCGAGTCCTCCCGCGCCAGTGTCCGCGCCCTGCAGGACACGGCGCTGAGCTACGTGCGCTCGCACACATCCTCTTTCGACAACATCACGCCCCACGATCAGGCGCCCGCCAAGCTGTGGAACCTCCGGGCCGTGGTCAAGAAGGCCTTCTTCGGCAACGAGGCTTACGACATGACTACATATCGCGGAGATGATCTATCTAAGCTGTTCAATGTCGTTAGTGCCAATGATATCCCGCAATTTGATATCGAAGTCGACTATGTCCGTCTGCAGATGCAACCCCCTATGCCGCCTGGTCGGGTTGCGCCCCCTCCCCTTGGCCCTGGCCCAATGGCCGTTCCTGGTGTAGTTGAGAATGTAGATTAGGGGGAACGGTGGCGTTATAGGCGGGGTCTCCCATCCATCCTTCCTCACGCCCAAATCCTGCGAGGCTTGTGGTGGGCACTGTGTCAACGCCCGTCTCGTGAGGCAATAGATTTTATTGTTCGCTCCAAAACGCACCTCGAGTAAACCGACCTTACGGGATCGCCTTTTCGGCGGTAAGGACATATCGGGTTTGCAACGAATCTCGACTGTCCAATGGATTTCGACCCCGTCGTAGTACGACCGGTGTGTTCGGATACCGAATATTCGGCGGGCATGTGGGATGCAGCTTACTTCCCATGTGTGTGTGGAGAGAGTTTTTGGTGATTTTATTGCATGGGCAGATCCTTACCATCTTACGTAGGATGGACTGGTCTGGAACGAGGCGGACGGGGCAAAGTCAGCGGGCATCTTTGATGTGGGCAAGGGAGGGAGGGAGCGATGGGTGGTCTTGAGCATTGCTATATTCGCATACTAACTAAATTGCTATTAGACTGGCTGACTGATAACCTTTTCAAATTTCCTCACGAAAGCACCTGTCGTTACATTGGAAGATTTCCTGCAGGCGGGTCGGGTTCTCTATTTTAGTTTCCTTTTCTTGATTTACGAAGTCTATTCTCTGTAGTCAATACAATCTGAGTCTTCCTTGGGACGTGTCATCTGGTTTCTGCAAGCTGCTTGTCTTCCCAGGAAAACCCCCATTCCTCGCCATGCACTATCCAATTGGATTGGGTTAGAATGGATGGATTCTCTTCACGATGAACTTGGGAGCAATCTGCATTTTCTATTCTGGTATCACATACGAAACTCTCGTCGTTCATCCCAAGCAGGCCACGTATCAAGCATGTCTGTGTTCGTCATTCCATATTCAGATGCAACCATGTTTTCTTGTTCTTCCTACAACTTGAAGTTGGTAGAGCCACTACCAAGGAGTGGGCTCAATAAAAAACGGGGTTTCCCAGAAGAACGGGTTAGCTATTGTTGTACAGAAATGAGGTGGGTTGCGTACTCTTCTCATTGTGCGGCCGTAGTATCTCCTTTGGGCAAAGATACTGGTTTCGTATGTACTTCACAACAGACAGGGAATCAAAAGTATGCGACCTCAAGTACGAAGCCTCATTCTAATGTATCGCAATTTGTCATGGAAAAGAAATGAGATTGTGCTGAGTTAGCCTACTTCCCTGTTCTGGCAAGTCGAGGAACGGCGCTTGTTTCCAGCCACTCGGCGGTCAGAGGATGCGTTATTTTCTCACGCTTCCTGCGACGACAATCATCGACCGGAGAGCGTAGGTGAGAAACGGTCTGATGACCATTAAACGGCTTTCGCCCCCGGCATATCGAAGGCTTGCAAAAGTCACGCATCGCTGTGGTGGTGGTAGCAGGACTTGTGGAGGCCGTCTATTCCGGTGCCTGTCGAACTGCCTATCGGTATATCGCCCGTTTTGTAAGCAGATATCACAGCGCTCGTCGAGATGTCAAGTTGATCGAAATATGCCCCGAAATTGGTAGCTGCGGGTGTTGAGCTGCCGGCACCCTTGAAACAGTCCATGATCCATGTGCCAAAACTACCTGAACCACTTGAAATGGCCCACCGTTCTGCAGTATAGGATCCGGTGCCATTGTGCCATGTGAGCATCGCCTCCAATATTCCATGTCACTTTATCACCAGTGTTATCTCAGAGACGACATAGGTTCGAAGAATACACCATGAGTGCTGGATCAAAAGACGCGTGTCAGAAGGTAGACTCCACGCCTTCAACCATCTATGCTTAGAGGTGACTTGGTTCATCCACTTGAAATCAAAGCGTGGTGGAGGATGTATTTGTCTGTATGCCCGATATCGAGCTGTTGAACCTGTGCAAGCAAATTAAACCCAGGCGAGGCGAAAACGATTCGGAAATGCCGGTAACACAACGTTAACTAAAATCCGGTCCTGGGCCCAATCTTTTGGTTGTGTTGGTGATTCGCGGTGACGTTGAAAGGGAAAGCAATGGTACTCGCCATCATGTACCGTCAGTTGGAGGTCAAACGTGCTCAAAATGAGGCTGTTGGACGAAGCAACTTTTTATACGATAGACTGATCTGATTTAGCCGGATCACACTACCAAGAACCCTGATCCCGGAATAATCGCTCCTTAGGATCACGATATGTTGATCAGGCATCAAAGATCACCACTGCCGTTTGGAAACAGGCTTTTTCGACCAGGATCAAAGCCTTGTCCCGCATTCGTCGGCTCGGAAGGATTGTTCCCAGTTTGGGCAGCAGTAGTTTGATTCTCTGTCTGCGGCATTATGGCAGCACTTTGACCGTCGGTAAAGCCCCATACTCTGCTGTACATCGGATAGGATGTGTGTTGTGCGCCGATCTGATAGGTGGGAGTCTGCCGATATCTCAATGGAGCTTCTCCTGTGCTAATTACAGAGCTGCCCATAGGCATGTGAGTCAAAGAAGCCCCTGTGTACCGCGGTGCAGCAACGCCCCATCCAGCCCCAGACAGGACGGGAATATGAGAACGCTCATACCTAGCACGACCCTCTCCTTGTTGCTGTAGTCTAAAGCTAACCTGCTGAGTCGTGTCTGCTTGGAGGTTAGCCAAAGCTTTCAACTGTACAAGGACTAAATGACGTGTAGCGACTGGGGCAAGACACTGACCGACGCCAAGTTCCTCAGACTCTCCAGGAACCAGTCTCATACTGATTAGCTCACCGGGCGTAAGACCATGGAACTTGCAATACTGCTCAAGCTGCCCTTTCGGCAGTTTATTACTCTTGCCATCATCCGAGGGTGGTCTCCAGGCTTTGCTCTCACGACTCGCTTCAGGCTGAGTAGTGTATGCTGCGCCCGGCTCTGATCTCTGGATTTGCACGCCGTCCAAGTTGGTGAACGTAGATTCGCGTCCGCCGTGGACTCCCACGGCCTTCTGGGCAACAAGCGCTTCCTGCCGCCCTTCAACTTCCCATTCCTCCCGGGTGCCGTTGAAGTTCAAGTTACGCTGGAATACCAGTCGCTTAGTACGAGTGATGCGTTGGGGTCGGCGCTGACGCTCGATAAAGAAAAAAGCGCCCCTTTTATCTCTCTCCAATCGTGAGAGTAGCTCCTTGACGTCCCGGAAGCTACTTGAAGGAGCTGCTGCTGGTATGGTACCTGGAGGCGAAGATATAAGAGAAAGGAAGTTACAATACAGAACACACTTACTTGTGTTGCGCAGATGCTCGTCTTTGCAGATGAGGGCCAGGACGGTGTTGAGCTCGAAATCCGTCCATTGATGCGGTAGTCGAGAATCCTTGGCGGGTGGTGCCATGGCGATGAGCGGACTGACACCAGAGTCGTGGAAGTTGGGGAGTCAGTCAGGTTGCTGAGGTGCATTGCGATGTAATCGTGATAATGCGGAATCTTGCATATGGTCGAGCGAATTACTCTATTCCGAGTTCACGAGACCGTGGCGCTGGGACAGCAAGTCTTACCTGCAAGTGACCATCAGGCGAGGAACCATGAGCTATATATATGAATTGGATTCCAAGAAGGGATTTACTGGACTGACCGAACGTGTTGGGCGACTCAGGGAAGGCGCATCCAAGCTAGGTCGTGTGCGTGTCGTGTTCGCCCCTTTTCCAGGTTACCCAAGCGACGCTGACCGAAACCAGCGTTTCGAGCAGGATAAACACACCTTCACCCAGAAATTATTCAAACCTGCTCTGCCCGCTCGTGAACCTACTTGCAACCTAGCACCTGAATTTCGAATAATGGTGCAAATGCGTGGTTCGCAGTCGAGGGATTCAAGAGAGTGTGAACCTAGTAGGAACGATACCAGGATCGTCGCAACTGGGAAAACCCTAGGCCATTAGAAAATCTCGAAGAGTCGAAGAGACCAGATGAAGATCAGTTGGCTCCAACTTATGTTCGAAGTTCCAGGTGAGTGGAGGATGGAACGGATGAGGCCACTTCACCCTTCCTTCATCGTGGGGTGTCAATTACCAGGGTAAAATCAGGAGCTTTCAGTGAATAAAAGGCCTTTGACTGGTGATACTGTACAGCATGTAGAGAGTCTGACGAAGATGCCTCACAGGAGATGATGATGTCGCGCATTCTCCCGACAAATATGAGTGTCATTCTCTGCAGCAGCAGGGATGAGTTGCTCTTCCATGGAAAACGTCCATATATGTATTCACGATATTCACGCTACTTAAGTATGTTTCTCAGCAGTTATCACGCGTAGATCCAGTCATTCAATCCAACATATCCGGGTGGACGTTATCCTAACCGCGAGTCTGTCACCTTCAACGCCGCCCAGATGCCATTTTTTCCAGACGCTGCCACATCCCCCGAGCCTTGCGCTAGTCAAGGTCGCGTACGTCGTTCCCCTTAGTATATACCCTGTGTTCTATACTGGAAGGTATCATAACTAGAGTCAAAGTCAGCTAGGAAAGCTTCAAAATCGAGGACTCGTTTGGACTCACAGTCGAGTGTAATAGCTGCCGAGTGACTTGCCGATCAAATCGTTCTCAACGAAATTTTCAGCTTCTTCAGCGCTCAAATGGAGCTGGAAGCGCTGCCTCAACGTGTTGGTTGCCTGCGCAATCCCAACTGCGAAGCAGGGCATCTTTGAGTCCCGGCCCATCATGCTAACTAAGTCTATGATGTTGTCCGCGGAGCGACGTAACGCTGTGCATGCTCGTTAGCTCCGTCGGATTGACTACGTGGACATCAATACTTCTCACCTTGAAATGCTTGCTTGCACAATTTTTTGAAATCATCAAAATCCGGCGACCCAACACCGCCCAAGACGTCAACGTACTCTTGGGTCAGCTTGAAAGGGGCTGACTCGAAACCGAGTGATCCAGGCGAGTTCGAAAGCATGAAGCCGAAGTCGATGTGAATAATGTGGCCCTCGTTATCAATGAGAACATTGCCATTGTGGCGATCTTTCAGCTGAAAGATATATGAGATCATACTATAGGCTGCCAGCGAGCGTTTGAATGCATCAACGGCCGCCTTGTATGGATCCCCTTCCGGAGCCCCAAATGTCTTGACAAAGTGATCCTTGAGAGTCGCGATTCGCCGCCGAGGGTTTTGCCCAGACTCAATCAAGGCAAGCGTCAAGCTGCGCTTCAGCGAATGCAACGAGACTCCGTTCGTAATTGTCTCGATAAGTCCAGAAGACTCACCAGTGACGAGTATTCTCATGATCTTAACCCAGACTGGAGTTCCAGCATCAGCCCATATCTTATCGCACACCTGAATGAGCTGGCAGGCGAACGCTTCCTGTCGTAAGTCTGCTCCTGTCTTGACGATGACACTGACAAGGTCCCAATTTTTCATCCACCCGTAGGGCGAACTCTTGCGAATACGTTCCTTCTTTTGCTGCCATGCCTCGCCAAATACGGCTGCACTTGGATCGTCTCGGTCTCCTTTCCGTTGGACTCCACCTGTCATGGCGTCGTTCTCCATCCTGGCCTGACCGGCACTCTCGTTCATGGCCGGCTCCAGATCCTCCAGCTCGCCGCCTTCTGCTGCTGCCGATGCAACACTTGCTTTGGCAATAATCAGGTCGAATGTCGGGCCCTGGCTATCCTCCATCTCGAAGTTCTGTTCCTCGAGGCTTTGCATGCTTGCTATGATCTTAGCACGGATTGCGGCCACTTCGTGACGCGGCCGCTTGCCACTCGTAGCCTCCAACTGAGCCAGCATCTGCGACGCAGTCCGCATGTGAGTGGCTAGAGCAGAGAAGTCTGGCTGGTCAACTGAATTGTTACGAGGGTGTTGTAATGTCATCTTTCTGCTCTTGAGGCCTGGGCTACTGGATCTCGAGGATGGAGTAGTCGAGGCCCGCGGCAATGTCAAATCGGTAACACTCGATAATGTTGCGCCGCTGGACAATCGTAGCGGATGTATTGGCATTTTGCCAATGTTGTTCGCAGTTTCATCGTCGTGTGGTTTCAGCAACGGAGACCTTCCCAGGTCACCTGAAATTGGCTCAAAAACACTGTCAGCTTTCTCCACCACTGCCGGCTCCTGAACCCGATCGTTGGCAGGAGCTCGTGGTGCTTCAGAAGAAAGATCAAACATGCGTTTGCGTTTTCCCTGCTCGGCCAGCAGTGTGGTAACCAATCTCTGGTTCTCAGCTGAATCGGGATCGAAACTGAAATCATCCCGAAGTATTTCCACCATGAGTAGGAATGGCACCTTCTCAGCACTGTTCAGAACTGTGGCTTCCGCTGGATTGACTCTCACGATACGATGGTGTCGGCTTCTTGAAGGAGATCCATCGACTAGAGTTGGAGGACAGATGACAGGTATATCCACCTCCGCTGGCAAGTCCCTCGCTATCAGGGCCAGCTCGGCACGTAGGGCACTGATACGGGCTTGCTTGGGAACAATGACCAATCGGTTTGAGATATCCTCTAGTGCTGTTAGAAAAGCAGTCTGGCAGCGGAAGTAGTTTTGTCGTAATAATCGCGATTTTTGCGCTTGGGTCATTTCTGACTGAATCAGAAGTGTCTTCACATGGTGGGAATGCCGTCGTGAAAGATTGTCGTTGAACCGTGGGAGGCCAGCAGAAACTGGCGTCGATGGACGAGTGATTACCCTCGGAGACCGAATGTCTGGCAGAGGTAGGGACGACGAACTAAGTCGCGCTTCTAAAATTTTGCTCTCGATATAGCCCGGCTTCCGTCCATCAGAGGCAGTCTTGCTTGGATAGGCGGCCGAATTCGAGCGGCTGGCGGCAGCACGTGGCGACTTGAGTGGCTGATCAGATGCAGGAGTTTTGGGTTCAGTGAGTGGCATGCTTGTTACTCGGTTCGCATCGCGTCGTTTCGACCTAGTCGTCCCCGCAGACACCGTCTGACTCCTGGTCACCTTTGTAGCCTGACTTGCTTCCGATATCACGTCACCATCTGGGTGGGTTCGTCGTGCTTGCGCCACGGCCAGAGGCCCCGCCCATTGTGGTAGGATGGGAACTCCAATGCTGGCGAGCACGAAGCTTGCAAGGACCGTGACGGGAAGCACGTTCTCTGTGATCTTCTCGTGTCTTACCGTGTCAGAGTGTCCAAACACAATGTGTTGCACCTTGTTGTATACCCTTCTACACGTCTTGAAGGCCTGCGCCTGCGGTGTCGCACCGAGATCGCGTAGATATGTTTGAAAGAGCCAGAAAGTCTAAGCATTGTTCAGCAATGTGATCCAGGCGTGCGAGGGCAAGGTAGGCGACCGACCAGTAGAGCAGCAGTGACAGACTCTTCGCACAGGTCCAGCAAGAACTCCTCGAGGGCCATTGACTCATTGTCAACGCTGATTATAAGGTGACATAGCTGGGGGAGGAAGAACTCGATATCTTCGTAGGGGAACTGTCGGAGCTTCGAACACAGAACATAGTGGATACCGACGTGATCCGCATATCGTCTGGACTCGCAAAGTCAGCAATGATGCAATGGGAAGCTGCTCCAGGTGGGAGTGCATCTTACGACAGATACGAAACGGAGAGAAAGGGGTTCTGGTTGAAGACATCACTCTCGATAAAGCGCTGGAGCAGGTCCCACGACATAGCGAATCAAGGGTCATGGGGCGGGCCGTCTCATCGGAGTAGGCAGGTAGGACATTAAAGATTTGGATGGAAAGACAGTTCGGTCATGGCGGCAGCATGCGGGCGGGGGCAACGAGTGTAATTATCCGGATTCGAGTTCGAGCGAAGAAAGGAGAAGGGAATTGTTGTCCTTTTGCGCATCTGCGAATCCCGAGTGGATTGGAATTGGCCATTCAAGCAAATCAATCAAAAGTCGCCCGTCCTTGGTCCCTTTTCTGGCTGCTGGCCTTGTTCGGCGTGGGCGGGTCCTCTCAAGTCCTCGCTACTGCTCGAGTGCCCACTTTCGGCAGGCCGTCGACGAGGGTCTTTGCGTGTGCGCCTTAGAGCTAGCTTGAGGCTATGGCTATTGACGCAGTATCCATACAGCCAGTAGTTTTCCCATTGTCAGGTTGATCAGATGACGGAAGGTCTTTGCTCGGCCGTTCTTGGCGCCAGTTTGGTGGGGTTAGCTGGTTGATGAAGCACGCAAGCAACTTGAGAACAAATGAGCTGCTGCCGAAAGAGCCGAAAACACCCAGAGCTTCAAAAGTCTTCACCTCTCTCTCCTTCCAAGTTGCATAGAAGGAGCCCATTATGCGCCAATACCGTCCTCGGCCGGGTCTTGTTTATTCTGAATGGTTTCTACCCAGTGAAGCTTACCGATTTGCAGATAGCGCAACCATGTGCTGTCTCGGTTCCTTGGGCGAAATTACATCTCTTGGATCCCTGATAGCCGGCACGCCTGGCATGAAGCTAAATGCTTAGAATGAGCTTATTCTTGCAAGCTGAAGGGATGACGACATTTGTGTAGCACTCAAGCCTGAAAGACTGGCCCTGCATACTCACAAGCCCAGAGTATTATTGACATGTAGTAATTTCCCCCCCCCCCCTATCCGCTCGTCGCACATCACCTTGGTCCCTCCCAAAATGGCTCTAGGGAGGCTCCGCTACCATCTCTAACATCGACAGCAACGGTGAAGTTTGTCCTAAGTTGATGAGAAGACTTTGAAATGCTACCTGACCACTGGAGCACCGAATACGTTGATGCCGTCAAGATTGGATAATCATGTAGTTGTTCTTCAAGACAAACCACATGACAGCATAGTTTTGTCTGCTCTACTTCGCCCGGGAGTCGAGGATGCCACTGTACATGGCTGTATTATCATAGGTGCGCCTTTGCTAGAAGATGCGATCATGTACCGGAAATATGATTTTGCTTCACATTCGTGCTTTCTCGCTCTCCAGAAGCTGGCGCTGAACCACCAACGCCAATACATATGTGCTTTCCTCCATCTGAACGCCGTGTCGGTCTAAATTGACCCTGACGATCCCAGGGATATCATATCGTGAAATCGTTCTGAAACAAAATGCCAACTCATGCCGCCGCTTTCTTCTTCCTGCCCCCTCTTGCCTTCTTCATCTCGGCAGCTTCGGCTTCCTCGTCACTATCCGTTTCTGCCTTGGCTTTACCTGCCTTAGACCCCTCCTTCTCCTCGCCAACCTTGGAGACAATTTCTTGCAAGAAGTCCCACTGTGGATTCGAGTCGATGGCTTGCTTGAGCATCGGGGCTGTGATCCTCTTGGAGTTCTTGTCCTTGGCTACCTCGGCACTTTTCTCCACAATCTGTACCATGAAAAGCTCGAGAGCCTTGCCCACGGCAATGGGCGTCTGCTGTGCAACCTTTCCTACTTCTTCGTCTGCTTGCATTATTCGCTTGATGCGTGCAGTCGGGAATTTCGTCTTGACTGGCGACGGAGCGATCTCGGCTTGCTGCGACACCTGGGCAGCTTTCCGTGGCGGCATCGTGCTAGATGATTCTGACGTGCCGGTTGGATCGTGTGCGACGAGCAGTTGGGAATTTTCAAATGGTAGGGGCGGCGGGGCTGTCGACGTTGCGACCGGTGGTTGGTAGCCCTTAACTTGGGGGTAATAAAGAAGTGGTTGATGCGGAGATGGTATGCCGTACGGTGCTTGTGGTATTTGTTGTAGTTGTTGTCCGTAACCAGTTTGCTGGGGAGGATAGTATGACGGAGGCCGCACGGCGGTCTGTGGTGTTGCGTAAGGGCTGAAGTGGTTATACGTGTCTGGTTGCAGGTAGTATGTGTTGTGGGGCTGTGGCTGACCGTAAGGTGTGGGTTGACCTTGGAATGGTGAATATCCGGTGCTCGAACTTTGTAGGTGCAGGTGCACAGGAGAAGGTTCTTCCCCACCAGCAAGGAACGAAAGATCTGGCGACTTGGGTGCATATGTTCCGTCGTCGTTTGCCATTGCCTTGGTGCCTCGGAACAACCGCAGGACTATACCAGCGGGTTCTAGTCCTCTTTTTCCTTCTGTTTTTCCCTTCTCTTTCTTCTCAGATGGTCCGCTTTACCGTCCGTCGCTCCACTGGTCTTCTTTGTGTGGCTGATCGCGAGCGAGACAGGGGTGCGTCGTCGCGAGCGGGAGGGGCTTATGCAGGTCTCGAAAGCTCTCAAATGATGCCGACAAAAACCAAAACTCGGGAGCAAGGGTCGGTTATGTGTGGACAAATACAGAAGTCTGTATCTACCAATATGGCCGGCCAGGCCACATCGGGTTGCGCTTGTTCACGAATGCCAGGAAAGCTGATGGAATGCCCTCTGGAAGCCACAGCACAGCTGCTTTCCTACAAGAGCCTCGACGGCTTTAAAAGCCCGATGATGGTGGGGTTGCAAGTGCGCGCCGCGTGAGCACGACTACAACCGAAGGACTTCAGGAAGATCCACGGGTCTGGGCGGCCGGAAAAGGTAAAGTCCGGGATCAGGTCCCAGGATGAGAGAGTTCTTTTTGGCTGGGACAGGACTAGGCTCGAATTTTGTGGGTGGTGCGAGCTCAACTCGACTTTCGCGACAGGCATTCGGTGGGCGGCCAAAAGCTTTTTTAAATAGTCACCCGCAGGGGTTCTGAACGATAACAGGGGTTGGGCGATTAACATTGATCGATCAGACACACAGCCACTTCAAATTTCTCATTCACTCACCTTCGCAACGGCTTATAGCTGCAGATCAGATCAGATCACGATCAGACCACAGCCGGCAACATTGATTGAATACAACACCTCGCGTACTGCAGAAAGAGAGCGCATTCAAGGGGACTAGAGGAACAGCTTGCATGTCATCTTTCCAGTCAACTCCAATCATCTGTGGATGGTAAAATACCCAGCTTTCCAATGTCTGAGTCTCACGCCTACATGTTGTGACGCGTCGGGCTAGTCCCCCCAGCTGGAGATGGCCAAGCCCGGGTGAGAAACGGACGGTACCTGTCCAAGTAGGTATCGCGAGGCTCTTTCACATGGATTTGAGTCACGACTCCCCGATGTATTCGCCGCAACGCTCTCCAAGGACTTGGTATGTCGCCCTCGAGTCTTCCGGACCGTGGTGTTTCGCGAGATGAATAGCAGTGAGGGAGGCCAAGTGGTTCTTTCATGTCAGCATGCTGTTGCCTGGAGGCTAGAGTCATCTCCACACACCCCCTCCAACCTCACACTGCATAGTGAATATCTGAATATGTCATGAGTGATGATAAAAAATCAAAGAGCTTTTAAAATTCCGGAGACCAACCTTGGGGTTCAGAAGCCGAATACTCCAGTATTATGGTTTCTCGTCTTCCATTATCGGGGTCGATGAAGGTTTACTTGATCTAATCTGACATGACAATATGAAGTTATCTTGCTCGTAGTGTTACATATGCTCGACGCACTACAACTACATTTATACATCTATTTCCGATTACGGCTTTATGCTCTCCTTTATTTTCTCCACCAGACTTCTGAGTCCCTTCTGCCTACTTTCGGGCGATGTGCTCAAAAATAGCGAGGCAACAGGCCAAGCATGTATGCCGCCTGGTTCCTCCTTGCTACTGACATTTACACTGTTCGAGTCCAAAAACTCAATCAGGCCCCTAACTTCTGGTGCGAATACCTCTTCTGCGCCGTACGCAAAGTGTATGCCTCCTGGAGGACAGGCTCTTTCCCACCAGCTCGCGTCACCGCAGTTTCCCGGCGAGATCAGAGGATCATCTGTCGGGACCTTCTTGCCGGCGTACTGCCGTGCATAATGATGCAGGTTCCCATCTTCGAGGTAGTCGCTCGCGGTGTTCCGATGTTTTGGCGAAATAAGCGTAACCCAAGGGGAGATGAGCACGCACAACCTGGGTTTCGCAAGCCGCCAAGAACCCGTCCCGTTCATTTTGTCGGAGTCCCAGTCCAGGTTGGCTAGATGCAGCAGCAAGCTCAAGATCACAGCTGCGCCTGCCGAGTCTCCGCTTACACAGACTCTGGATGGATTTTGCACTATTGCAAGCACATGATTGTAGCCGGCGATGGCCTCCTCCACTTGGGTTGGGAAGCAACTGTCTGGGACGAGTGTGTATTCCAGCGCGAAGATGGCTGGATTGGTGTACCCACTTTCACCGAGTATAGACAGCCAGGTCAGGAGGAACTCGAGGTAGAAGTAAGAGGAACCCATTGCAAACCCACCACCTGGGTGACCGTTAGCTCTCGATGATGACTGCAACTCTCCATGGGGACTCACCGTGCGCGTAGTAGACGCAAACATCCGGTTTCTTCATCGGATCCTTAATGATCCATATGCCTTTGAAGTGCTTCTGCCCGCGGAATGGTCAGCGCGGCATTTCCCACGGGATAAATTTACGTCGTTCACATCTTGGAATTCATGCCAGTGCGCAGGAGTCCTTATATACCCATGGCGCAACATTCTGAACCTGATAAACGGCAGAGCCACGGCCTTCAAGAAGAAGACCCGACCGACTTGCGGCGGTATATGGGCGAATGCATATCGAACACAGCGGATCACAAAGTCCTCAAACGGAGACGCGACCTGAACAAATGGACTTTGCTTCTCAGCGCCGAGGAAGAACCGCTCATAAATGAAGCTCAGAGGCAATTCAAACACTGAATCGCCAAGTCAGCGTTGTGATGGCTTCCTTCATGCCGGGAGATGAACCCACATAAGAATGGAAGGCACTGTAGCACAACACCGACAGTCTTGATGAGGCCGACGTGAATCAGCAGTTGTGGTGTGAGGAAGCAGCAGAACACGATGCAGTCGATATAGGAAACTGGGCCGAGTATCATGATGAGCGACAACGAGCCATGAGCCTTAATTGTTGGGAATAGAAACTGATGGAATTGTAGCAAATCGAGAAGTGAATTAGAGTTCCGCTCAACTAGATAGTGTGCAATTGAGAAGAAAACTCAATTACTGATGAGGTTCATGTGAAAGGTCTTGTGGTGACGTCGAAGATCGAGGTTGAGATCAAGGTTGTTCGCTGAAGTAGGCTCCGGAGCAGCCAAGCCACCATGTCAAGTTCCACTGCGGGCGTTTCCACTGGTGTCACGCTGCATTCCTAGTATCGTGTGTCTGTGGAAGAGAAATGAACCATGCACATGCGAATTACTCCTCAGGGTATTATGCAAAGAACGAGTGTGGAATTCATTTGGAATGATTGACACGATGCGCACTTGAGGCTCAAAATGGCCGGCGCAGAGGCTGTTAGTTCCTTTGGTAACCGCGATTACCTGGACCTATCCTATATCGACGTGGACTATCGATTTGATTTGTTGAAAGTTGTACCAAGTTCAACTCATAGAGGATTAAGGCACTGGAGCCGCATCGGTGTTAGTCTTGGTGTTCTTCACCACTAGAGTTGACGCAGATGGACATCCTCAATCATTCGAGGTACATGTCTCCTACCCTAGTTATGCGCAACCTCCAAGATCCTCTTCTCCATGTCCTCAAACGCCCCAACAACACCGCCATACTTCTGGAACGTCCCATCCTTAAACCCATCATCAACCTTCTGAATTGCGCCCTCCTCAGTCCACCTCTTCCCAATCAGCGCATCGAAGCTCTCGTTCTCGCCCCTCTCCAGCGCCCAGACGGCCTTGTACGCCCCGCCCAGCGCGCACGCGTTGCCGCCTACATCCAGCTTGTAAACTCCGTCCACGCCGCCCAGCACATCGCCCATGACGCGCGCGATGGCCGGGTTCAGCGATCCGCCGCCGACCAGGTAGATGCGCCGCGGCTGCGCAGGAAGGGCGTCCTTGGGGCTCGTCACGAGGTTTTGGGACCGCAGGCGCATGGAGAGGGCTTGCGACTCGACGATGATGCGGGCGTCTGTATCGGGGGGCCAATCGTCCTCGTTTTCAGCCTTCTCCTGCAGGTCCGAGCCGTCAGATTTGCTGGTGTACCGCCATGTGCCGGCCTTGATGTTGGGCACGATTTCCGGCATGGGGAAGTACAGGCCGAGCTTCGCCTTGTCGGTTTCCGTCTTGATGTCCAAGGGCGGCGTCTCAAGGACGGCCTTGTTGAACTTAGCCCAAGGGTCGGAACCTGAAGGCTTCGGCAGTCTATCCCGTACTTTTTCGCGGGCGAGGCCACCGTTCTTGTAGCAGAGCATAAACATGTAGTGTCCGGGGTTGGCGGGATGGTTCATGAAGTGGTACGACGGATCAGGCAAGTATGTTGGGGTGATCATAAGAAAGGTCGATGAAGTGCCCAACGAGACAATGGCATCGAGTGGCCGCAGCGGTAGTGCGAGAATTGTCGCCGGATTATCTCCCGTGAAGGGGACGATTTGACACTCGGGGTTAAAGCCGTACTTCTCGACGAAGTAAGACGATATCGAACCCATAGTACCACCGCCATCCATACGCACATCGCCAAGCTTCTTCCGAAGCTCCGGTATGCCGTCCTCACCTCCTGCTGTAAGTTGAAGGAGCGACTCATGCCACGAGTCCTTGCGGATGTCCCATAAGTTCATGCCCGTGACATCGCCAATGTCTATGGGTGCTATCTCACCAAGGAGCAGTGACGCGAGGAACGAAGAAACGAGGGATATTCTTGCCGTCTTCGCGTATACTTCAGGACGCCTCCTCCGCATTCTCATAATCTGTGTCCCGGTGAACCGCTGTCCGATGTCCCATGTTAGTTCAAGCTCCACATCACATTCACTTCAAGCACCGCGACCTACATGATGTGCCGAGCTTCCCGTAGCCTCGGCCAGCTTCTGCTTCGACCCCAAATGCGCATCGAACAGATCGCACTCCGCCTGCGTACTGTGATCCTGCCAATTAGGACCAAACTCGTACGAAAACGCGATTGTCAGCTGTTCTACCAAGGTCTTCCCCGCATCAAGCTTCTTCAGCGCCGACCCGCCATCCGCGCTCCAGAAGACGCTGCCGTGCTGCTGGCACGAGCCACTGATACCCCTGATATCCTGCACGGGACACTTATTCTCCTTCAGACGCTGGAGAACCAGGTCCAAGGCCTCGAGCCACATAGCTACGGGCGCAAAGACCTCGCCATCATCTTCGTTGACGCGCACGCCCTTGCTGATATCATACTTGGCACCGAAGTCAGCGTCGAAGTCGACCTTGGCCTCTGAGACGACTTTGAGGTCCGAAGAGACTACGATAGCTAATGGGAAGGAAGGGGGTATGAGAGTCAGTAGAAATCCCATTGGTCTATCATCGAACGATGCCCAGTACAACATGCATACCTTTGAGTTGCTGGGTTGAGAGGTCAAAACCCAAATATAGCGGTCCGGAACTCATCTTGGCTGTCTGGTTGTATTTACACCTTCAAGTTTTGCACGAGGAAGTGCATGAGTAAAGGTCGCAAAGAGGGTGCAATGAATTAGCCACATCACAGAACTCTAGAAAGGTCATATCGTGACCACAGGACCGTAAGTCGGACTTCTCGATGTGAAGTTGACGTGGGGTTAACTCCACAAGGGTTGGATTAGATCAGTCCCACAGCTCATAGTGGGGCATTGTGGGCTTTCCACAGCAAAGCTATTTAAGCTGATTTGAAGGTGGTTGTAGTTAAGGTGACCATAGACCCCCCTAGTTTAGCCGACTAACCCCCCACTTTAATCAAATATTTTATAGGGCAGTCCTTTTCTTTTTCAATCCGTAGCGATTTTTCGTAGTAATTCTAGCCTAAATATAAAGAAATCATCCTATAATTAGTTCTAAAACGATTCTTAATCGATTTTACTATATTCACTTTATTATAGCTACTGTAGATATCTTCCCTATTATCTAAAATGCCCGCTCTATATTTAGAGGTATAGAAATTAGTGACCGAGCTTAGGAAGAGGTTACTATTTACGATCGCGCCTATAGAGCTATTGTCACGCCGCGCCAGGGGTTGCAATCCTTGCCACTACGCCACCGTACCAGGTGTCTTCATCAAAAGAGACCAATACCAAAGTCCCTGACTTTGGTATCTGCAACCACTTATCAATCTGTTCAGACCAGTGTGGGTCAATCACGTGACAACCGTCACAGCTATCTAGTTATATAATATAGAGGTTAGGGTAAGTAAATTAATTCGGAACTATTTTTAAATCGATTCTGAAGCAAAATTATTATTATTGTCTCAGGGGGGACTTTGTTGGTAGGTTGAGAACCAACGTAGTATGGTAGTGAACGCAACGCAGTCGCCAATAGGGCGAACCGACGACGCAGCGTATGTATTTAGTCCAGCCATTAGGGCACGGTTTGACATACGGGAGTACTAGTAGAGGTACCGGGGGCTTCGAGCCTACGGCGTATTTAATAATAATAATAATAATATTATTATTTTCGTCACAATCGTTCAGACCAGCAGGGTACACGATAGAGAAGGAGGCTAGGGGCTCCGAGTGGATAGGCAAGGCGAAGGAAGTCCCGGCCGCCCTCCTAGACCACTGGGAGAAGAGATGGCTCTCCGGGGCAGCACAACACGACCGCCAGCGACGCGCTATCGCCGAGGAGCAGTGTGAAGGTCAACCCTCGCAGACTCACTACAACCAGGTGACTTACAGCTGGAACACCTGCCATGGCAGTGTCAGATGGGAAGCCAATCATAACCCTTGTAGGAGCCCCGCCAAGCGTGGATGACTTAGTCGCGCTCCCTCAAACCTAAGTTGTCATCTTCTTTCCTTCGCTCCTTAGAGTAGAATCTTCGTCGATAGCACCTAATCGAGGTCTATACCAATGCGATGCAACCCAGGTCGTGACACCCCGGGCCTCCTTCTCCATAGTGTACCCTGCCGGTCGGAGTAGCTGCGACGCCTGCTTCCTCTTCGCCGGCCTATCCTGCCGGAGTATATGTGACGCTTTAGCGCTCGCGCTGCGAAGCAGATTTCTCTTCCCGCTAAGCCGTAGCCGTTCTTCAAACTTAGCAGCCCGGGCACTAAGATAGAGGTCTAGTGGCGGGATTGCTGCTTCTGCTTCCAGGTGGCGAACCGGCGTCGCTTTGTGGGCGCCACAGACTACCCGGAGGCACTCGTTCTGTATCCCCATCAGGCTCTTAGCTGGCCCTGCCGGTTCCTCACTTATAGTATGCCACGCAGTCGCCCCGAAGGCGATCGCGCTACGGATAACCACCGTATATAACAGCCTCGCCCGTATAAGATCGCAGCCCCACGACATATTGACTAGCTTTGTCAGGGCTAGCTTTTGAGTTGCCATTTTTGTTTTAACAGGCTCAACATGGGCGTGCCACGTCAGTTTGCGGTCGAACCAGACTCCTAGGAACCTCGCTGAGACTACCGGCGACACTGTGGCGTCCCCAAGGCGAATACTTTGCGGCAAGGGCTCTCGGGCCCTAGTAAAGTGCATTAGCTCACTCTTGTCAGGAGCGAACTCCATCCCGTGCCTCACTGCCCACCGCTGACACGTAGCCCATGCGCTCTCCAACCGGCGGCAGGTCGTGTCTGGATCGGTGCCGACGCTTAGCAGGTTCGTGTCGTCCGCGAACCCGACTACTAAAAGTAGTGGGTGCTGCTCCGCTAGCTCCTCGTACAGCGTTAGTTAATTTAGATATGTACTTACTGTGTCCTTATATAACGGTATCGTTACGTAGAACGATTAGCTGAATTGCGAGGAAGAAGTAGCGGATAACGGGTTGTTAGCTGGACCTAATTTTCACATATTTTCAACTAATAAGAATGGAGGGATTATCTACCCCACTATGGTCACCTGGACCCAGTTTTTTAACATCACGTGAGATCATGGTCAGCTCACTGGGGGGGTCTACGGCCACCTTAACTGTAGTCTTGATTTGAAGCGCGCCAATGAGGGTTCAGGAGACGCATCTTCAAAGTCGACAGTATGGTCCGACCCGGTAGCTGTAAAGTACTTACCTACATGTCCAATTAGTATTAAGTTCTCATGCAGGAACTTCGCATTGGGAGCATATAGAAGGCAGGAATGTACACTTTGCACCCCAAGTTACGTTGAAAAAAAATCTATTATATTTTTGAAGTTTGGCCTGGTATTTATCATCTGAATTTGATGAGATGTGGTCTTCTGCCACAGAGACCAAGGTCTGTTAACGCCATTTGATGCAAAGTTCTTCCATATGGAAGGCATAGTACATATGAGCTCTGGCTCTGTTCGAATGCCCTGGTGTTGGTATATAGTCTTAGCTAATGCCAGCTCTCTCCTCCTTTTTTGGTATCATAGCTTCACCTCTTTCCAAGGTTGCTGAATATCCATCCTAGACCTGAACGCCATATAACAGTATGACAAAAGTTTCTTGGAACAGCACACTCAATGTTGCTTGTGGTGTTCATCGTTGTGGCCGTGGTGATGGACATCCTCATCAGGCTCTGGACTTGATCTCGGGCTAATGTGGCCAGGGATGAACTCATCGAATTTTGGAAGATCGTCTGCCTCCTTTGACACAAACCGGACGCGTACCCTGCGCACGCCCCGAACCTTGCCTCCTATTTGAGTTCTGATCTTATCCTCCACATGTCTAATGTCCTCGATCGTCCAGGCATTAGGAACCGCAACCTCAAGGTCGACGAGGTAGTTTTGTCCAGACTTGATGCCAGAAACGTCACGTAACTCGATCTCGTGTCCCTTGGCAATTTCCGGTGTGACCTTGTATACTTTGTTCTTGATTGATCCCTTCACTTCGTCATCGATGCTTCGGTCAGCGAGCTCCATCAAGGCAGCTACTGTGTTCTCGGCACCAGCTTTAACAACCATCAGAGAGATGAGAAGACCACCAACGGGATCCAACCAGGCCGCGTTCTGCATGAAATTTGCCCCAAGAATGACGGCCAGTGTGACGAAACCTGTAAGACTGTCGACTCGGTGGTGGACGGCGTTCGAAGCGAGGACCGAGGACTTGCGCTCTCGGGCAACTTTCATAGCTGTAAAGTCGCATTAGCAAGGATTGTGTGATTCAACGCGCATTGCGTAATGTCCACTTACTCGCGTGGTAGAGCCATTCCTTGATGGCAACCGTTCCAGCCGCAAGCCAAGCAGCATGGATACTGGGTCCAGAATGATCATGGCTGTGATCGTGTCCGTGGGAATGTGCGTGTGCTAACAGGTCTGCCGCAGCTGCCGGGTCGAGGAAGAAGTGGCCATAGAGAGTCAGCAAGCTGCCGTATCCCATCCACATGCCGCCAATTAGGAGCATGCCAGACACGCCCAACGATCCCAGGCTCTCGATCTTGCCAAATCCGGTCGGGAACTTATCCGTCGGTGGTTTCAAGCTCCACGAGATAGTCGCAAGTGTCAGGATATCAGACGCAAGGTCGGTAACACTGTGGATGGCATCGGCGATCATTGCCTTTGAATTGAATGCATAGCCTCCAACACCTTTGGCAATTGCCATGCCAAGGTTGGAATAGAGGCCCAGTCTTGTGATGCGCACACCGGCGTCGTTCTTATTCTGTGACGTGAGGTAGACATTGTCGTGGTGGTGATGGTGATGTCCGTGGCCGCTGTGGCTTCGGGTCTGTGTGGTGGCCATGATTGGCAAGTAACGCGAGCGTCGTTGTTGAGTGAATGTGGAGGAAGGAGCGACGGTTGGAGGAGAAGAGAGGGAATGTGCGGGTATTGAGTTGCTAGGATTGCTCGAGGTCTGCAGCACACGACGCAGTTGGAAATTAGGGTGATGTGGCCTCAGAGGATAAAACAGAGACTCTTCAATGTGTCGTGTCAAGAAGGCTGCCATCGGACGGCTGAGAAGAATGACAGCTTGTCGAGTTATGCGGCCCGGCACGTAGCCCTGGCCAACAAGCCTCAGGCCTGCGCAACGTCTACCTGACATTGCGGAGAAGGCATAAAAGCTAACCACAGTGCACCGGGTGGTAGCTTCAAGCCTCCCAAAAGAGATGGATACACACGCGCAAAGACCAGAGATTACCGGGAATGCGGGATTGAATAGCGTTGGCGCAAGCCAGTTGAAAGGCCTCGTTGAACCCAAAAGCTCGATCGGAATATTGCCTCCAATCCGCCGCTGCCGATTTGAAAGGTCCCTGAGATTTTTACGTCAACCAGCGAGTTCGGATGGAGTGGACTAACGTCACACACCTTAGTGTGCGTAAGCTGCTCCTGGCCCAAAAAAATGCTGTCGGGTTGTGCGCAAGACCTCAGATTGCCCTGGATCGCGTTGACAACGTCGTGGATCGGATACGATGTGCTTGGCCGAGAGGTTGAAAAGAGTGTTTTCAAGCGTTCCAGAAGTTGGTGCATATAATAATATTGAGAGACAACGATGGAACTAGAATCTTATTCAAGGATAACTGGGTACAGCACTTTCAAGGCGCCTAGGAAAGAACCTGAAAATCAGACCATTGCTCTGTGTAAATCACACGACTGTGAATATCTCTGCGCATGCAAATCTTTAGAAAGTGCAGCAGAAGCCGTCACTTCTGTTTAATAACCCCGAGTTCATTGGCCCTCCAACTGTCTTGTTCCAGTCATTGTGAACATTGCCTGCAAGTCGGTGATCCACTGAGAGATGCTCTATTGTAAGCAATTGGCAAGCATTACATAGTATCCTAGTAGCTGGGGCAGTACAGGGCAAGCAAGTTGTTAGAAATGCAACCTTGGGTCGTCATTGCTATATTGCTACCGGATACTGATCAGAACTCAGCTATCCTTCAAGGAACAGTAGTGGGTAAATATTTACTTGCCTATTAGGCAAAAAGTTGCCAAGCGCGACTTTTAGAGTTTAAAACATGGAACACACAGCTCTAATCACTTCGCGACAAAACTTGCAAAAGTTAATGCTCAACACTTAAGCTATTTTTCCCTTATTGGATTAGCGTGGTGATGGATTAGTTAGTGCCATTGCAATATGGTGACGACTTCTGATTCCAAATGAGCCTGACTTCACCGGACAGACCTCGACTGCTGGAAAGAAGATCACATCCCAGCCACCATTATTTCAGTGACATCACAACACAGCGTTGAAATACGGAGTCCCCTTTTAACATCGTCATACTCCCGGCTTCACTTTATCTGCCAACCCATGTTGCGTAAGCCTTATATGCGCATTCCTTATACGGATGTGTTAGCCCCGCCCACCGTCATTCCAAAAAGTGCAAACACGCTCATCGGTGCAGTCGCTGCACTGCAGGAGTTCTTGACCGCACCGTCTCCTAGGGGGCTCCTAAATTCTACCGTTGTACTCACAGGAGCTGGCATTTCAGTCGCCAGTGGTCTTGCTGACTACAGAGGAACAAATGGCACATACCGAGTGAACAAAACATATCGGCCTATCTACTATTCTGAGTTTGTCCAGAATCACGAGGCTAGAAAGCGGTACTGGGCAAGGAGTTTCTTGGGTTGGACTACACTGCACAAAGCTAAACCAAACGTTGGTCACTATGCTATAAAGGATCTTGGATCGTTGGGCCTGGTACAGAACGTTATCACTCAGAACGTTGATTCTTTTCATTCAAAAGTACACCCTCAGATCCCGACTATTGAGCTCCATGGGTACTTGAGAAATCTGGTCTGCATCTCATGCCATGAGGAGCTACCACGAGAAAGCTTTCAGGGTGAGCTGGCCAGGCTCAACCCTGCGTGGGCAGCATTTTTGCAAGAAATCCTTGAGTCAGGGGCTCTTGACACCGAAAACCCCGACGAACGACGAGCAAAGGGGGCGAGAACCAATCCTGATGGAGATGTTGACGTTCCTGGTGCACCATACACTACCTTTAGATATCCTGCTTGTCCTCATTGTCTTGTCAGCCCACCCAAGACACCTGACGGAGACAGGGCAATAGTTCAGGTTGACCCAGATGGCGCATGGAAATCAACAAGCACGGCTGGTATCTTGAAACCAGCTGTGATCATGTTTGGTGAGAGTATCCGCAGCCAGACAAAGCTTGCGGCAGAGCAGGCAGTAGCGAGTGCTAGCCGACTGCTCGTGCTAGGGACATCACTGGCAACTTTTTCTGCTTGGCGACTAGCTAAGAGCGCAAAGGATCGAGGTACGCCAATCGCCATCGTTAATCTCGGGGGTGTACGAGGAGAGGATACGTTCTTCTCTGACTTGGATCCCTTAGGAAGTGGTGCCCTAGGAGCGAGAGTGGAGTTGTCAACAGATGAGCTTCTGCCAGCGCTTGTGTCCGAATTACGGCAATCTTCGAGCAATGCCCATCAGCACAAAGACCACCGCCTTGAAAAGCATGGAGCTCTTGTGTTCAAAGACATGTTGTCTTGATCCTAAGCTTGTGTATGTACACATAGATGGATACTCCAGTTATTAGAAGAAACTTGAATAGCTCGTTGCTGCCTTTTCTTTCGTTGGTTCTGTCTTTGTCGCCGTCGCTGCGGGCGTCTGTTGTGCTTTGATGTCGTCGACTTCGGTTCCTACTTTCGTGAGCGCCGCCTGCTTGCTCTTCTCGCCTTTTCGTGAGTTTCGTAGGGCATCATCGCGTTCGATTTCTCTCAACACTGAGGTTCAGGTCAGTAGACGACTCCTCATTTCGCAGGGCCTTCGAGGCAGCGAACCTGCTTCCCACTCTTGCTCCTTCTCGGCATCACCCGTGCCCAGCGCTTTCTCCACATCGACCTCCTCCCCTCTCTGCAGTTTGTCAACCACCTCTCGCAGCACACCGATGCGCGTATCCGATCGTCTCATGAAAGTGTTGAAGTCTTTCCTCAGCGCAATCATCTGGATCGACATGGACCCAATGAACATAAAAATGACAATGTAGAATGTTGCCGGATTCCACTCTTTCGATTTCGGCTTCTTCTTCACCCCATAGTCGGGTGTTCCCCAGTCTACAGAGGGCTGCTTGCGGCGGCGCAACGGCTTAGGGATCAGCGACTTCCAGAATGAAGTCTGCACGATTGATGGAGCGGAGCTAGCATGCCGAACTGATGAGACATGCATGGCTTGTCTTGTTGGCGTGGTCATCGCAGCTCGGAGGCCAAATGGCGCCTGTAGAGCTCTGCTCAAGAGTATTCTCTCCATCTTCAATCGACTCCGTATTGCGCGCAAGGACAAGTTGCAGATTGGGAAATTTGACAAAATCTGCTGAATTCATGTGAGATGGATTTGGATCAGCATGTTCGAAAAAGGCACCAGCTGAGCTGACAGGGGTCTGGGATCCAGGGTCGCTGTTGCTGTGCCAACTGAACGACTAGAAATGGAAATAACGCTCAGCCTTTCTTTGACCGTTCGTTGCGCCCACATGGAAGCATTACCGTCAAGTCAAGGATCGCACATTGATCGTTAAATGCTTTAGAGTGTTACAAACCAAACTGCTTCTCTTAGCTCCCTCATCGTCGCTTCGTCGTATGTTCGCTTTGGATACCGTTCCATGTTTTTGCTCATGTCGATATGATTAGGAGTCTACAAATACCCCAACAGTTACATGGCTTCCTTAACAACACAGGCCGACGCCATCCGAAGCGCCGTCGCGTCCACACAGAGTTGCACTCCCACTGTATCAGCTACATTGAAAAAGCTACTGCTCGGCAAAGACATCGAATCCATTGAACCGAAGACCACCACAACCAAGGCTCGAGCCACGAAACCAGTGACAGTAAAACCCGGCGTGGCAGCCAAACGACCTAGAGCTGCAGCGCAAATTGTACAACGAAAAGATGGGCAGGATGGAGTTCTCTCCCCTAAAGAGAAGGCAGTCTTGGCTACACAAGTCATCAACGCGACGCTCAAGGCCTTGGGCGATGCTGCCAAAACCCCTTCGGCACCTCGATCACCAGCCCCAGGCAAGCTCGTCCAAACGGCAAGTCGCAAGACACTGCGACGATCGAATTCAGTGCCCATGACGCCGCTTCAGCCTCGGTCACTAAATAGGGTGTCAACCACACCAGGAGGAAACACCAGGACTTGTCGGTCACCGTCTACAACGACAGCTTCTACAGGTTGCCTGGCTACAGTGGAGTGCGCGCGGGTAGCATTTGCGACTCTGAGAACTTTGTCAACCGCCGGACAGGTTATGCTTCCGGAGTTGCAGTTGGAGTCGGGGAGTTCCTCATTTGTGAACAAACTGATTGCTCTGGATCTCTTTGAGCATGCCTTGAAAGAGTTGCGCCTATTGAAGCGACGCCTGGAAACCTTGAGTGGCATAAAAAGCGCCAAGGCCACCACGAGTACAGATGCTGCATCTAAGACACTTTCTGAACTATTCGACTACTCAACGGCAAATGCACGGGGGCCAGTGCTGGGACTGATCATTACAGCCCAGCTCCAAGCTTTGCGCATCCTCTACGGTTTAAAAAAGTCATCCTGTCTAGACTCCGCCCTCCCTTTCCTCCGAGCAAGCCACCAGTCTTCACCTTTGAAGTTGCTACTGCTTTCCCTACAAGACAAAAATTCCGACCGGTCAAAATGTGCCCGGCAACTGGACAGCTTAGCGCAGAGTCTCCTATCCTTGACCCCTAGCTTATCAACGAAGGATGACGGTGTAGCGGTCGAGCCAAGACTGAGTCCTTCACCTACAACAGCACTGGAAATCCAGACGCTCGCTTTTACCATCAGGCTCCATTCGTGGGGTCTGTCAGGTCACAGGGGGGATGTGAACAAGGAGGTGTTACTTCCTCTATCCAGATGCTTGGGAGCGTACGCAAGAAGAAGCTCCTCAGACGCGCACTCCAATCATGGAGTCGTGGATGCAGCGTTTGCTCACGTGTGGCAACGCATTCAGGCGCTGGATCTCAGGCCATCCGAGTCATCGAAGTCTCCATTAGCAAATATTTACCAAACACTAGGGACTGTGTCTCGAGAATCTGGCAATGTGAAGGAAGCGATAAAATGGATTGGGAAGCTGAAGGTCTCGACGAATCCCAAAGAGGACTCACCCGCTCTATGTTGCTCGGTGGCAGCTCAGTTACTTGCACTTTCTCTCAAGCAGTCGCGGCAGGTGGATGAGAGCTTGGTTAGGGAGGTATTGGACGGGCTGCAAGGCTCATTAAGTGGTAATACCACTGAGCTGGATGATCTTCTCGTCAGCATATGCCAGGCACGCAAGGCTTCTATGAGTATCGTGCTAGGGGACGGAGAATTATGTCCGGTTCGGCACCTTCTCGATTCTCTGATTTTCCAACTTCCGCGTTTTGCTCTCCGATGGCTAGGTAAACCACCTGCCACTGCTGGCTCAACGAAAGATTTCCTCCGGTTCGAACAACGACGTCAACTTCTTTCCAAATACATACAACACATACTCGACTCTGCGCTAATGCTGACAAAAATGCGACTAGATGGTGGAAATCTAGCATGGGATCTCATGGACTCGATGCTCTTGGACAGTCTGGCCCTGCTCGAGAATATGGGTGACGTAGCTGTTCTGAACGCCAAGACTAGCCCAGTTGCATCCTATCACGTTAAAATCTCGCATTTCTACTACCAACAGCACATAGCCCTGCGGAAGCAGACATCTGGACCCAAGGACACATCGTGTCTGCGAGCCCTCCGTCGATCGATTGACTCAGTCAAGCAACGTACGGAGGCCGAACAAGTGAAAGCTCAGATGGTGATGAAACAAGAGCGACTGGCAGACTTGTGCAAGACATGCGGGAGAAGAGAGGACGCAGCCGATGCGTTACGATCCATTCGAGATGCTCTTGTTCGAGACGAAGTTGTTGCGGACATCACATCGGCCTCATCCACGCAACCTCCCGCAATGGCATGGCGGCTGAACAACAAAACCGAAACGTTATCGCGCACAGTTTGCAATTTGGCCAAACTGGAGTGCAATCCTTGCGATTGGACATGGCTATTGAGCGGTGTCGACAAAATCACAGCGCTTGAACATGATCTCTGCTTCATCTTCTCAGGGGATAGCGTTCCTAAACAAGCCGAGCTGAGCGAATCATTGGTTGACAGTCTGCTCAATCATTATTCTTCAGAGAAATACCCACTGCGGAGGCTCAGGACGTTGCTACAGCTACTTGCACGGTGTATGCGTTGTCACAACGACGCAAACAGGTGGATGGACGAAGCGAAGGGCCTGTCCCAAGATATAGCAACCGACAAACTTGGGGAGGATTCCGGATTAGCCCGCTACATACCTCATCTTCAAGCTTCAACCGCATGTACAGCTGCCTTATTCGACTCTGCACCAGGCTCGCCGGCCGTCAGGCAGGCACTGATGACCTGGACATCATTGACCACGGATTGTCAGTCGGCAGAAGAGTTGTATAAACAGATCGACGATCCCTCTCAGCTTCTTGCGAACCTTCAGTCTCTGGCGGATTTCGCGAGAATGAAAGGTTTCGACACGTTGCTCGTCTCGATATTGGAGCTTTCGACAACTGTATCTCGACTCGTCGCCACCAGCAAGCCGGAGTTCATGATGACTCAGAACACTGCTTTGTGTTTGCAGCACCTGAAAATTGGACACTCGTCCAAAGCAGAAAATATTCTGGAGATGTGTCGCGAGTACTTATCCCTGCCAGAGCTATCCTCTGATGTAGTAGCAAGTTTTCACCTATGCGCCGCCGAATATCACATGGCTGTCGGGAAGTTTGACCAAGCCGAAAAACATCTGACGGAAGCACAAATTTCCGCAAGTTCCGAGTCTTCTTCGAACCCGTCGAGGACCAGCAGAATCACCAGGAAGACATCAATCGCATATGCTTATTTTCTGCATTCCATGCTGGCGCTCGAGCGGGGCAACTCGCACCATGCTCTTAACTACGCGAAGAGTGCAGTACGAATTCTCTTCCATGATTGGACTAGATTGGAAAGTTTGAGGCGCCCAAGCGAAGGACATGTTGATGAAGCATCACAGACGGAGGTGTCACAATTTGAGACTACAGAAGACGAGTCATCTATCAGTAGTTCTCGTTCAGCGCAAACCGAAACCACTCGTGCAAAGACCAGCCCGGAGTTTTGGGCAATGGTTTACCCTCTGTTCCGGTTTCTGCTACGGCTCTCTTCGATTTATGCACACATTGGGATGTATCAAGAAACGATGTATTATGCAGACCAAGCACGCAAGGTCGCAGAAAGCACAGCGTCGATCACATACATTTCGCAATCCAAAACTTGGCTCGCAACGGTGGCTCTTACTGCTGGAAAAACTGAAATAGCACTGGAAGTAGCAGAGGACGTCAGGTCGGCGTTACCATCTCTTGAAACCACAGTTTCTACCTTCGACATGGTGTGCCAGCTGAGTCGAATCTTTCGGGACACACACAACTCTACAGTGGAGTCCGCCCTGATAGACCTTGCCGACTCGATGCTTCAGACATTGAACATGAACCAGAAGGCGGAAGTCAATGAGCCCAGCTTGGAGTCGAAGATGGAGGGACTCACCATCAAGGAGAAGCCACGGAGAACGCGACAAACCAAAGCGATCAGACCGACCAGAGTTGCCGCCAAGGCCGCTCCGAAGAAAGCACCATCTAGAAAAGCAATGTCCCCAGTCGTGGTCTGCCTGCCCAGCGTTGAGGAAGACATCCAGCTTTCCTTCATGCGCGCATCTATGCTGCAGCTTCGGTCTGCATCGTTGCTAGGAAAGAAAGAGTGGACGACAGCTGTTGCGGCTCTAAAAGTCGCTTGTGAGCTTTCGAGATTATCAGCTGATATATCACAGGAGCGATTGCTCATGGCTGTGGCTTTCATCGGCCAAAGCTTAGAGCAATTGGGTCGAGACTCTGTTTTCTCTGTTCTCCAGGACTCGACTCTCTCATTCCCTTCTGTTGCAGCAGCATTGAAAGACAAGACAGATCGAATGTCGCTCACAAAACCATCTCCGCCTCGCAAGGGGCGTGCGATCGCGCAAGAGACCCCCGGGTTTCTCGACAACCTAAGACATGCCCAGGATTGTCTTCTTGAGGCCCACTCGATTGCAAGCCTCAGTGGAGATGGTCGACTGCTCCATCGAATTGCAACTCTTCTCCAGAGCGTCTTCATTCTAATATCAACCACCAGTCCTTCAAAGAGCGCCGTCGCTGGACATCCTGCTCATGCTACTTGCTCCATTGAACTGGCTCGCAATCTTATATGGCGGCGGGAAAGGAAGGCCCTCCAGCTTGAAAGTACCAAACCAGGGAAGGCAGATTGGCCAATACCGTTGGATACCCCTGATACGAAAAGAACAAGTCTAGGGCCCTCAATCGACATGCACCGGTTTCAGAAGGATTTTGTCGACATAATCCCCAAGTCATGGAATGTGGTGTCTGTATCCTTGAGCGATGACAAACACGATCTCTGTATCACGAAGCTGCAAGCTGGCCACAGCCCCTTCGCCATTCGCCTGCCGCTCGAGCGAGCAAGCTCGAGAGATGCGGACACCGAAGTCTTCAGCTTTCAACAGGGTCGCGCAGAGCTACTTGACGTCATACAGGTAGCCAATCGTACGTGCCACAATGCTCGCGACATGAGCGCAAAGGGCGCAAAGTCGGCGTGGTGGGCAGAGCGGGAGGCTCTGGACGAACGCATGAAGGATCTCCTTGACAACATTGAGCAAACCTGGCTTGGAGGCTTCAAAGGAATCTTCTCCCAGCACCACAGACGTTCTGATTTACTTGCTCGGTTTCAAAAAAGTTTCCAGAACATCCTCGACAAGCATCTTCCGTCGCGACGACAAGTGCGAGGCAGGCGGCTGAAAACGGCTCCGAACGCCAAAGTCACACTTGACCCGCGAATCCTGGATCTTTTCATTGGGCTAGGGGATGCCACTGCCTCCTCGTGCGACCTCGATGAGCCGCTGACAGATTTGCTCTACTTTGTTGTGGATATTTTGCAGTTCCACGGCGAACGAAATGCGTACGATGAGATCGATTTCGACGGAATGGTAGTAGAGACCTTCGACGCCTTACACTCGTACCACGCGGCTGCTAAGAGCACAAAAGACGGAGATGATGGCGTACACACAATCCTCGTACTGGACAAAGCCCTCCATATCCTCCCCTGGGAATCACTTCCTTGCATGCAGGGCTTAGCCATCTCGCGAATTCCTTCATTGGCGTGCCTACGGCGGTCTATTCTGGAACAGCGCTCTCACATCCAGCCATCCGAGGACCAAGATGAGGATGAACTTATGCAAGACGCTGCCCGTGAAGGCCACCACATCTCCTTGAACTCGGGCACCTACATTCTTAATCCTGGTGCCGACCTCAAAAACACGCAGCACACCTTCGGCAAACCCCTATCCGCCCTGCCACCCGCCTGGAACGCCATTGAAGCGCGCGCTCCGACAGAGACCGAATTCGAGACGGCCCTCTCACAATCCGACCTGCTCTTGTATTTCGGACACGGCAGCGGCGCACAATACATCCGCGGCCGCACCATCCGCAAGTTGGAGAAGTGCCGCGCGGTCGCCCTGCTCATGGGCTGCTCGTCCGCATCGCTCGCCGACGTTGGCGAGTTTGAGTGCCAGGGACCCGTATGGAACTACATGCTGGCTGGCAGTCCGGCTGTCGTGGGCACACTGTGGGATGTCACAGACCGGGACATTGACCGGTTTGCCGGACGCGTGTTCGAGGAATGGGGTCTGACACCCAAGGGTACATTTGCCGAGGAGACGCACGGGAAGCAGACTACTGCTGGTCGAAAGGGGAAGAAGAAAGCCGCCATCGTTGCGGAGGAGCAAGCAGATGGGAGTCAGACGTCACTGGTCGAGGCGGTGGGCAGGTCCCGGGGCGCGTGCCGGTTGAGGTACTTGACTGCGGCTGCGGTTTGTGTATATGGCATTCCGGTGTATATCAATAAATGAGCACGGGAGAGTTATGGACACCCCGTGGTATGGATGATGATGAGTGTTTGGTGGAAGAGACTGTACCAAGTCCAAGCTGGGGTGGTTTCAAGCCTGGAGCACCGCCTGGAGCACCTGCTAACTGCTATGGAAGGCAAGCCATGGGGGTAGGGGTCACATGAGTTGAGTTACGTTGTATACCCGAGCCAGGGGGGAGTCTATATGAAATGTTAATTGGCATAGCGCGGCGTTTGGGCTAGAGTAGAGTAAAGAAGTTGATTTGGTTTTACAGCTCGTCTTATTGATACCTCGGTGCGGGTTGTGGATGAATTCAGGAATGCGACTCTTCATCTGGCACTGTTCTATATTGTGGTAATGCCTGCAAAAATTCCTTGCTGGAGAGTCTATGTGCTCCTCAGGCCCTTTGACTGTGCGAAAGCCATGAAAACCTTGGTTTAAGATTATTATGCCCCTGAGTGATTGTGGCCCACATATTGGGAGTAACGACGGCAACGAGTGAGATAAACAGTAGCGTCGTCACCTATCTGGCCCCTCTCCCACAGTGCTCCGGAATGGAGATCACGTTATGTGGTAAGAGTCCGTCCAAGGGAAAGCCTGGTTACATATCACATCTGCACCGCCTGATTCTTGTATCGTCAATACTTACGTAGGTTGCTCAAGTTTTACAAGCAGCAAGGACTCGCTTCTCACCTTGCGACCACCGCCTCATGCAGAGGATTGCAATGCTTGATATACTCACATAGTAACAGTGAGGTTGGTCCTTCCCGAGTGTACGATAGCTCTAGGGAACCTTGTCCAAGGCTGGCTGACCAACGTGAATTAGTCAATATCACTCTCTGTTAAGCAACCCTGATGAATACAGTATGAGGAACTTTGGGGATGATTAGGAGGTCAACCGCGGTATCCCCAGCGCGTTAAACGGTTCGGGTACTTCTTTCGGGATCTCGAGAGGGGGGATATTCAGAGGGCACACCGCCAATCAGATAGCTTTAGCTGGGGTACCACTGCACTATCTTATGCCAAGCATATATGTCAAAGTCACGTTGCGTTGAAGGAACACACGCTATCCAAGATCTAGGATGTACGCCATTGATCAATATGGACCCTTCGGATTCTTCGGGTCCTTCGAAGAGCAGCGGCTGCTATTAAATCACCCCTGTCTTCATGGCCTGCTCCTGACACACGACGCAATCTGCCACTGTACTATCGGCATGGTGTTTTTAGCACGATATAGCCGCATAGGTTCGGTTGTCGCAGTCACCTGTTCAACTAACATGGGAGAGTAGATCTAGTCTGGCCTAGTTCCTCATATGAACCCATTGTTGCTCTTGTGTCGGTTCGTTGGTGTGCCTATTTTTAGGCTGTTGTGACATATCAAATTTCATTATAGTTTCGCACTTTTATATTCCCGTGCAGCATAATATCGCCGCGACGCAGAAGGGCATTGATTCATCACGTCCGGCTCTCGCTGCTAGACTTGGCATCGGGTTATCGTCATTATTCGGGGATTTATTTGTGATCAGCGTTGAGTCATCCTAGTCTGAGGTCAGTGGTTGCCATTTTGCAGAAGCTGCAGCCAGGGGACAGATTGTTTTCGGTTGGTTGGTCTCTAGGCCTGATTGCGCAAGCTGGAGAACGGTGTACCGGCGTACGTATTTTACTTCTCTCAGCGTTTTTTAGACTTTGCTTAGTTTCTCTTTCTACTAAGGGAGTTCCTGGATCATGAGCTTGGCACGGAGCTGAGTCTCTTAACAATCTTTGCACGCTAGAACACCGCATTATCACGATTACCCCGTGTAGAAGTGAGCCAGTCAGAAGGAATGTTTCGATAATGCTGAATAGTCGGTGAAAGTCAAGGTGATGTTAACTTGGCTTGTCAGGTGTATGGAAGGGGAAGTCAGGATGTCTCGTATCTGCCACAGCTCGGGGTGCCCTGTCATGCTCACAATGGGCAGACCCTGCTTGGCCAGCATGCCTGCGTTCACTCCCACAATAGCGAGTTCAACTGCTTAGATCGCTTCAACAAGGCAATTACCTTACGTGGTAGATCCTTCGCAAGATATTACTATACCCGGCAGCTGTCAATTCGGATTACAGCTGCAAGGCAAACCCGCTTCAAACAAACTTGATTTACGAGTATAGGGGCGAACACATATGCTGACGAGTTGCACAGACAGCCTATGCGACAGAGAAGAGGGAGCAGCCAAACCCATTGGATGCAGCACCCACTCCACGCGGATGATTACCACCGCGTATAATGAAATCTAGCAGATCGAGCTACCCGGCCGCACGGGCAAGTGGGTGCCTAACTTTGGAGGGCTTTAGTTCGTGTGTCTTGAGTCAGGCACGGGACACGGCCGATGACATATCGCTGATCAAGCCTCTAGAATAATGGCTAGAACCTCGCTTCAAACCCCCTATCGCGTGGTATCCGGACGACGATCTAGTCAAAACTCTAATATCAAGCCCTTAGCGCTCCTGGAATGATAACTTGTCGTAAATCCGATCTGAGGAACCCTTCGATGGCATCTGGATCTACCACATTAGAGTGGAATTGCAGAAATCCTGTCATCCGGTCCGAAGCCAGCGCCCCAGAACCCCAGAACCCCAGATCCCCACCCACCCGAGCCGCGGCCATGGCCATGGCATTGACCATGAATACTGACTAAACAACCTGGTGTAAAGCCTGTCGCAAGTCTTCGCGAAAATGCTAAAAGCATGCCACCAGTTGCCAATCCTGGACTCCGCAGGCGCGGAAGGCTTGAGATAAACTTTTGTGTCTTACACGCTCGGCCGTTTCTCTCGCACGTTAAGTCGCATCCAATTGGCAGGCAGGGATTCATCTGACGAACCTGTAGACCCTAATCCGGACTTACTACGACAGTATTGACACGCACCGGACGGTCCCATTTCGACACGTCGCGACTCCCTGACTGCTGCTCCAAAGTTACGTCCCGGTGGGAGCGGACGATCACCAAGTTACCCAGCGGTGGATGTGTCACAGAGATCCCCTCGTTCAGATCTTAACGGCCACGTACTATGGCGTCGTCTTTGACGGTCACCAAGGACCTGAGGAGCCAGTCGCATCCCGAGCAGCGTCACAGTCCAACAAGGGGCCTCGTCATCTTAGATCTCGTGACCTGGGAAGAAGCACGATGCCGCGTACAATTGTAGGTTGTGACTGGCGACTTTGCATGCTGTGTTTTCCCACAGCTCGCTTCCGTCAGCCTGTCAGTCTGGATAATCAGGAAAGTCTGGCGGCTGGCGCAGGGATCACCGCGGAAGCGTGTCAACAATAAAATTAGGCAACCGTGTGGTTTCGCATTCTGCCCAGGCTTCTCATTTTTCCCCCATTTTTGTACAGCGCAAGCCACCGTCCTGAGGGCCACTACGTTCGTCGGAGGCCCAATACGTTAGGCCGCCCAACGGCTTTGCTTTGCAGCCTACCGCGTGTAGTCCATTGAACGGCTAAATGTAGACCATCTATACGCGTAGCTTTTCCACATACCAAATAGGGACCCGCGACACCAATAGGCTTGGAGGAAGTGGGTATAAAGTAGTGCATGTGTCCCCGCCGATTCGGGGAATTGTCAGTGATCACTTTTGTATGCAACCCCCAGAGTCGTTTCTTGAACGGGCCGAGTTGACGTGGGATGTCTCGGTTGTTTGCCTTGAGGAGACGGCCATCAGGTAGGTGATACTCTGCGTCTTCGGAGGCATCCTTTGTATGGTTGTCGCTGTCGAGAATGATAACAAGATGCTGTGACACGATCCCACAAGGCGCATCTCGCCTCAAGGCTCATGCCGGTCATATCAGGAAGCTTAATCACTTATGGCCCAGTTAGGGAGGGGCCGCAGGAACGCGTCTGCGCATCCGCGCCGAAATTGCCTTCAGCATGCTGGCATCTTGATGCCAGCCATACACTGCACTGTAGTACAGCTATGGTACAACGAGGTAACGAAAGCTAGAACCTCTCATCAGAGGACCATGGCCAGGTTGGACTGGACTCTCAGCGGGCCTCAAGACTGACTTCGTGATGACCCAATGTAACTCATGTAGACAGGTCGAACTCAGTTGATAGTGACTGGGGAAGGTGACAACATCAGTCAGCGGCCTTCAACATACGAGAATCGTGACGCATGATGATCAATCAACCAGGCCTGGGGCAGCTGGTCCTGAGTAAGGTGCACGAAAACTTCCGATAATAATAACGGCCTCATTAAGAGCAGGTGATGAGAGAACAATCTGTCTAATAAAGGCCTGCCCCAATATGTAACCAAAGAGAGGGGGCCAAGGGTAAAATTCTAGAGGTCGTTCAGGAAGATGCTGGGAATCAACAGGTTCGTTCGACCGCATATTGACGGATGTAACAGGGCCGTTTCTGGGGTAAATAGACGGTGATCATAGGTTGTCGTGCTGCTTTGGGTTGCTTTTGTGGCGGTTAAACTTGAGTTGCAATCCAAGCCAAGCCTTCTAGAATTGTCCCCGGAGATTACTGAGATTGCTGTTGATGAAATGGCAGGGCCATCGAGACAGGCTGACCGAAAGGAGAAACGATGCAACTCGCCACTTATCAAGCGGTGCGCACTTAAGTTCCGATAGCTTCTATCGCCGTGAATGCTGGCCCGCCGCAGTTTGTGAGCTAGCTCTTGAGCTTTCCAACGTCGTGGTACAACTGTAACCACAACGTTGGCGTGAACGATAGCACTGAGACAAGCTGACGACTGGGCAAAACCTTCCACGTCCGGCTCTTGAGATGTAAAGCTCCATATCATTGGTCGACGCAGGTGGGAACCCAATCTAGGTATAGTCCATGTGCTAAGATGGAATGACTGGGGTGGTCCTGAGCCAAATGGATCTAGCAATGATCTTCGACGTTCCCTCGTGGGTCGCGACACGAGCTCTAGCCTCTGCAAGATACCTGCGAAGGCTAATTGCTTCCCTGGGGCTGCTGGTGACTGGCCCAATGAGACTGCAGTAAGTTGACGGAAGGTCCAAGTTATGACAGAGTCTATGAAGATTGCTGATATTGGAGATAATGCTCGAGTGACTTGAGGATGCAAGAAACTTGCTATGCCAGGCCTAGTTTGGCCGCTATAAGTTGTGTACCACTAGCTGTAGCTTGTAAGTTGTAACGAGCAAAGATCAAGCTCTGAATGTGCTGCTACAAGGTTTGGCAGGAGCAAGGAAGCAGATGAGTGGTAGGGCCCCGCAACCCCCATAAAGAAGCGGGTCGGGCAGAAAACCGCCGAGACCTTCGACAAATCAACATGCCCACAGTTGTGCCCCTCTAATCCTGGATCCCTCCACCTCAGGAGGTCAGAGCTTGCACTTGCGTTGCAGAGCCTAGCCAGTTCAAGCAGTGTGCGCCGCCAATTAACCCGGGCGATTTCAAGTCGACAAGAAGCCCAGCGAGCACACAAACGGCTTTCTACTATGGCAGAATCGCGTTGCTCAATTGCTTGATATGGGCAGTGGCATCATCAACGGCAGCTTACGAAGTAGTGTCTTGCTCACACGTCTCAGCATCTCAATATTAGCCAAATCTGCCAACGGCCACAGAACAACACCCGCGTACATGCCAGGTCATCATTGCACGAACCGTGGGATATTGCCCCGGCGCCAGCTGCATCCGTCGCGTCCTCTCGGTCATAGTCATTAAGCAGTAGCCATATGGCGGCGTGGATGCGGAGGGGGGAGAGGGGGCCAGGAAAAAAGCCGCTCTGCAGGGCATGGACTCGTGGTTGATTGCGGGTCGAAGCTAGAGGTCCGGATAAGTGCCAAGGTGCATGGGAAACGCATTTCCAGCCCTCCACATCTTGAGTTCCACACAGCCAGTTTGATACCCCCGGACCAGTCGGCTCCACACGCTGCCAGCATGCATGCAAGCACGCTAACTGCAGCTCTGAGCTCCACTCCTACTTCTCCAGAGTCTCCAGCACAAGTTACAACTGGCGCTTGCCAGACGCTGAATCCTTCGTCATTCGAGGTCACGAATCATCGTCGACTTGTCTTTGCTCTCGTTTGCCAAAAAAGGCCAGACAAGAGCAGCATGGGAGCACAGGGCAACTAGATCCTCGAAGCTTACGATGCAATGCAGCCTCTCTCTCTCTCTGTCCCTCTGTCTCTTTCTCGAGTCATCCAGCCCAGCCCTAGTCATCCCTGCTCGTAACGGGTTATTCCGCTTCGCCGAGGCCACCCACGCAGTACTACGTACTGAGTACAAACTGCTGAGAAGTCCAAGTGCGCTTGACGCAGCTACTTACCCTATATCACCTGGCATTGTCCATGAGTGCGAGCTGTAGCCAAAGAACGATGAGCTCACGCGAGTCAGGGCCGCACATGTGCCATACTATGTGCAAGCCATATTGAATTGGAAACAGCCAATTTTCGGCCAGACTTTATTCACATTCACATTCTATCCTCTGGCCGTGTACAGGATAGGCCAAATGGGACTAACCACAGCTCTCCCGTAGATGGAGTGCGGGCAGACCGTACCCGCGAAGTATTATAGCAGACAAGGTCAAAAGACTGCAAGAACTGGCCTGGCAATCCTGAACCCATGCTCCCGAGTTCCATTTGAGGGCGTATACAACCGTATGTGTACCTATATCGAAGCGGGGAAATCTCGGGTTTGTCATGGTTACCCTTCTTGCGAGGAAACATGGACTTTCTTTATTACTGTCTCCTGTCAAAGGGCCAGAGAGAGGTTCCCATTTCCCAGGCCCCATTCGTCACGGCCCACCCAGTACTTCAACCCCTTCAAGCAAATCCCCAGCAGCAGGCCAGGAGCCCAGAAGAGCCCAATCCGAGCCCATATTAGTCTGGTGGGCGGACACCCTGGGCGGGACCCCCAAAAGGACGTACACTAGAAACAGGGTGCTCATGTCCAGATACTTCTATCTCTATTATCCCAAGCTCTGTATTGCCTTCGATTTCATCTCGTTCTCTGTATACAGACTTCCCCTTCCACCGCCACATCTTCTCGAAGCAGCCCAAACTTCAAGATTATGCGAAGGGGTCCTTAGTCAACCGGGCAACAATTTACTGTTCCACATCTTCTCACTATTCCCTTTCTTTCCCGTCACGATCCTCTCCGTTACTCCTGTCTCGCATATGGTCCTCTGCACTTCCGAGACATCGTTAGGCGTCGTGCTGGTGTGGTTCTCGACGTCAATCAAGGAAAGGCTGGAGGGAAACGAACGGGTATTACAAGACGTCCCCCGTTGAGTGCTGATTTGGCCCGCGGCACTGCTCACGTACCCCATAAAATTTGCGCGCCGAAAACGCTGCGGTGGATTTCCTCGGCAGGATTCCCAACATCGTCGAACCGGAGCATACCCCCGTAATTATTCGACACAGCCAACAAATCGACCGCCGCCGGCCGCCGCCAACATTTGCGACTTGCTCCTAAATTTAGCTACGCACATCGTCTCTTCTTCCCAACTAGCGTATACAGAGAAATCGAACTCAGGACGTCTGCTATGTCGCAATTTATGCGCACTCTATAGAGTCTCCGGAAGGCCGAGAGCGTTCCCAAAATTTCAAATATCCGGTCGCGCGGGGCAAAGCAGGCGTGGTAGTTCGTGCTCAACCACGGATACACCAGACCGAACTGACGATCGTCTGCGTGCTTCGGGCTGCCACGCACCGTTGGTACCTTTCCCATCTCAACGCGGACCGGCCCAGCAATGTCACGCAGTCAATCCCAAGTTAATATTCAATCTCTCCCCGTGGTCGGACCCAATGGCTCTCGCCCCCAACCCGTCGAGTCGGAAAGGTCCACAAAGTCTGAGCGCGAGGCCCCTGATTTGAATGAATACTCGATAGACTCAAGTCGCGATGCGGCCAATGCCTCGGCTTCGCACAATCTGATAGACGCATCGGGATTCCCGGACTTTTCCTTTGCCTACCAGGAAATTCCCGACGGGAATGGGATGCTTGGGTTGGAGGATCATGGTGCTGACATGTTCGCCGCTTCGGGACGAGGGTCCATTTCATCCATGGGTGACCGTAAGGACTCGGTAGCGTCTTGCGCACACAGCGCCAGCATCACCGTGGCTGGGCATGCCCAAGAACCGCGTAGTGTCGACGGATCTGACGACGACAGCCAAGACGACGCTCACGCTGCTGGCAACTCTTTGGAGGACAACATGGAAGACGAATTCGGACTATCGACGAATGGCCCCAGCGATGGAATGGATCTCGGGGGCAAATTCAAGGAGAACAAGTCGGATACGGCCCCCGCGTGGAGCGAACTCAAGACCAAGGCAGGGAAGGAACGAAAGCGACTGCCTCTGGCCTGCATCGCCTGTCGGAGGAAGAAAATTCGATGCTCGGGGGAGAAACCAGCATGCAAACACTGCCTGCGGTCACGTATCCCTTGCGTGTACAAGGTTACGACACGGAAAGCGGCTCCACGGACAGATTACATGGCCATGTTGGACAAACGACTGAAGCGGATGGAGGACCGCATTATCAAAATCGTGCCAAAGTCGGAGCGGGACGCATCGGCAGCGCATGTCATACGAGCTGTGGTGAAGCCGGCGATTCCAGGGTCGGCTCCTGCTGGCAAGCAAGCGGCGAAGAAACGCGCGGCCGAGGAAGCTTTCGGGGCCGACTTGGACAACTGGGCGAGGACATCCTCGAGAACCAAATTCGACGATGCGAGTAAGCCATCGACGCTGCAGGTCCAAGAGCGTGAGGATGGCAAACTTCTCTCCGACGGCAGGGAGGCCATGCCATCTATGGAGATTCGTGAACACCTGGCCGAGGTTTTCTTCGAAAACATTTACGGCCAAGCTTACCACTTACTTCACAAACCAAGCTACATGAGGAAACTGAAGTACGTCAATATGACCCGGCATGGGTTCTGTGGGGTCGATGCTAATTATTACGCAGAGCTGATACGTTACCTCCTGTGCTGGTCCTGTCTGTCTGTGCTATCTCCGCACGGTTTTCGACACACCCCATGTTTCCGAATAATCCGAACTCCTTCTTGCGTGGAGAGGAGTGGGCCGTACATGCCCGCGACATCGTTATGAGGCGATACGAATGGCCCAACATAACGATCCTGACATGCTTTCTCCTTCTTGGACTGCATGAATTCGGGACTTGCCACGGAGGAAGAAGTTGGTCGCTGGGAGGTCAAGGTATCAGAATGGCGTTCGCCTTGCAGTTGCACAAAGATCTAGAATATGACCCAATGAGGCCCAAGTCAAGCGCACGACTAAGTTTCATCGACCGGGAGATTCGCCGGAGGACCATGTGGGCCTGTTTCCTGATGGACCGGTTCAACTCTTCGGGGGTCGACCGACCCATGTTTATAAAGGAGGACGCACTCAAGATCCAACTACCGATCAAGGAGAAGCTATTCCAGCTCGACATGCCCGGCCCAACCGAGGACCTCAACGGCGACGTACCTCACCCCGTACCCGACGACGAGGGCCAGCTGTCCAGTGCGAAGGATAACATGGGAGTTGCGGCTTACATGATCAAAGCGATCGCATTGTGGGGCAGGATCATCAGCTTCCTGAACCAGGGCGGGAAGGAAGAAGACTCGCACTCCATGTGGCAACCCGAGTCACAGTACTATAAACTACTCAAGCAAGCCGAGGACTTTGCCGAAGGACTTCCTGACGGGCTGAAGTACACAGCTGAGAACCTGCACCTGCACGACACGGAGGGGATGGCGAACCAGTTCCTCTTCCTTCACATATCCGTTGAACAAAATGTGCTGTTCATGAACCGGTTTGCCGGCATTTCCCCTCCTGCCGGTGTTACCTCAACTGATGTCCCGAAAGCGTTCATCACCGAAGCCGGGCAAAAGTCGTTCGACGCGGCCAACAGGATATCCCAGTTGCTCAAAGATGCGGAAGCCCACTCCATCGCCGCCCCGTTTGTCGGATACTGCGCTTTTCTGTCGAGTACGGTGCACATATTCGGCATTTTCTCGGGCAACGAACAAGTGCAGTCGACGTCGAAGAAGAACCTGGCGATCAATGTGAAGTTCCTATCCAAGATGAAGCGACACTGGGGCATGTTTCACTTCATGTCGGAAAATTTGCGTGAGCAATACCGGGCTTGCGCCGACGCAGCGAAACAAGGAACGCCGGCTAGCGAAAACACGACGGCCTCGCCGATATTTCAATACGGAGACTGGTTCGATCGATATCCCCACGGCGTCTCGCAAAACGACTTTTTGGACCCGGCGTCGTTCAAGAAAAAGGAAACGGGCGATGATGGCGTGCTCGAACAGAAGCCCGAGGCTTACACTGTGGAAGAATTCTTCACACAGCTTTCGCCACCGCAGAGCGCAGAGGGACGCGAATCGGGTCCGAACCGACCACCGATGCCCAAACGCAAGTCTGTGGCGAGGAAGGGGGGGGGCATGCCTGCGCGGGGCGACAGCCAGCACCTGGAGCCCCTGATGACGGATCTCAATGCGAATGCTCTCCCCGAGCACATCCAACAGCGCCTCCAACAGCAGCGCAACTATGCGTCCCGCCTAGGCGGCCAAACAAGTGGGCCGGCATCCTTTCAACCCTCGTTGTCGCGAGTCCCCCACTCACAGAACACAGGAGCGGCCTCGAGCGCATACCACACGCTTTCGCCCATCAGCCCCGTGACCCACGGCGGCCATGCTCAATATGCCGCACACCACGGCCAGCCGGCCTATTACAATCCCGACTTACTCTCCCTCGGCCTGCAGAACAATGCGGCCGGCCTGTTGCCACAGCTCGATCGTCAGCTCATCTTTGGCGCATACGGCGGCATGGACCCGACCAGCATCAGCGGTCCCGAGGCCATCATGGATTGGGATGCTCTGGCTGGGAACACGGCCGGCGGCGCGAATTCAGGAGACGGTGGCCCTGGGCCCGAAAGCGTCCATCATGGTGGCTTCTCGGCGCAGCCCAGCTCCGCCTGGTTTTTACCTTTCAATATGGAACCGCCTGAGCTTGACCATGATGTCAGCGGTCTGGATTTTGCCGGAGGCATCTTCAGTCCCGGAGCTATGGCGGCGCCGCGGCCGGGGATGCTCAGGAGAGGGTCTCACATGCATAATCGCTGATGACCAACTCTCTCTTATATCTAATTGTTATTCGGTAGGAGGGGGGGATGGGGGGATGGGGGGTTATGTATACATCCATATCTGGTTTGCAAAGCAAGGCGTCTGGACTAAACGATCAGCCGGGGACAGGACAGGATATATGGCCTGGGCATATTGTGAAGCTGGTTTAACACAAAGCAGGTTTGGTGTAAAAGATGATCACAGTTGGGACGATGTTACGAGAGAGGGCGCCGAGATAGAGAAAGGTGTCAGCAGCAGCAGCCATGTGCGAAGACCGAAATAAATAGTGTAAAAGGGGCACCGGCCCTGAGGTAAATACCACCACGGAAATGCATATATATACATATACACATATATATATATCGGGATTTGCGGGTTTGCACTGAGGGATTATGTGCAGAGCAAGCCAGTCGACTTATGGGCGTACATAGGCGATGGATTACCGTATGACGGGTGCCTCGGACTTGACCTGCGACTTGTTTTCTGGGAATTCCCTACGCAAATGGTATAAGTCAAGGTAAATAAAGTCAGCAGTTCAATTGAGGGCCGGCTTGATATCGTAATAATTGACGAGTATGTATTTGCGGGTAGTAGACGACATAAGTACTATCGTGCCAAAGCTACTGATAACATTGCCTACTTGTACGACTGTTGCATTTGTGAATGACGAAGCATACGGACTACACGGGATAGTTAACATCCCTTCGCTAGAGTGGGCTGCTTCGAGCTATTGGTACATTATAGATGACCAGAAGAATGCACTCATATGATTTGTCCAAGTGTCCAGTATTCATGAAGACTGTATCACTTATCCCTTCAGTCTTGTGATTGCGCTTCGATAAACAAGGCTCCTCCAGGTTTGTTGAGGTGGCTGTCCGAGGCCGTCTGTAAACACACAGCACTGGTGGATACAACACCCTGCTATTGAATCAGTCGGATAGCACACACAGTCACTAATATCTTAACCTAGTGTCTCTTTCGGCAGTCTATTCTAAAGGCACTCTTCATCAGGCAGACAGATGAGCTGAAGCGAACGCGCACCGTGGCAATCGAGCACCAGCCACGCACAGTGGACAGATCATGGCCATCTCGGATAGTGTACAGATTGCTGTCCGTGATTTCGGATTCGGAAAGTATATTTATCGACAAGTTGGCAAGTCATGTGGAAGGCTGGCAGTCTGGGGATTGCGTGGTTAGATCAGGTTGGGAGATGGAAATCGCTGCTAGCGGTATGAGGCGTCCATGACTAGAAACCGAGCATGTTCGCATCTAGAGCCGAAAAAAAACCAAAACTCGAGGAGGTTTCGCACGGGTTCGGATATTCGGTATCAAAAGCTGACTAGTGCTGAAGTGGTATCGTTGAGTCAAACGCTCACCAAGTCTCTGCTATTTGGCTAGCTTCGCATAGGGTCAGGTGGCCATACTTTGATACCAAAGATGATGGTTGCAGCATAAGTCGTACTGATAGTATGGACCAGATCGACTCCAGTGGTGATTGACGGTTACCTAACCAGCGGGCGCAGGAGTTGCAAGAAGTAAAGATAGGATGTCTAGAGACACAGGCAATACTAGGATAGCTGGAAGAGTGTGAACCAACTAAGATTGTGACACTTTTTCATGACCTACCGTGTTCACATTCAAAGAAAAGGCTGTACTCTCCTTGCACACTCCTTTCGCTACTACTAGTTTGCAACCATGCGCACCTTGTAAGTATCAACTCGTGTACATGGCAACTTGGTCAATGGCAGCACCTTTTCTTTGTTAGTCACTGATCGCGTTCGGCTGTCATCATGGACCGGAAACTGAATGACACAAACTGGTCGAACTCTGAATTATTTGCTACATGGATCAAGTAAGCTAAGACTACCTGCCACCCGGGACGACATCCCTCTACCTGCGAATACATCGGCATCCACTGGTAACACGCTCGAGTAACTGTATGTTGGTTGCTGAAATCCATCATGTACCAACGGAAATAATCATGCGCAACAAAAATTTTCCCGCGAAAACCCAATTTACGGAGACCCAACAACTCCGTATGAACAAGTTTAAAAAATGCAGCGGCAAACAACTTTCCGTTCACTATGTCGACAACCGACCTAGCACGGCCACACGCACTCGTCGCTTATCAGCAAGCACATCCCTCCTTGACCGCCTCGCGCGGGCCCGTCAAATTGACCCGTTGCTCATCCCCAACCCGGCTAACGGCATTGGCCGCACCCGGGCCCCTCGTGCTCTTCAATGACGTCTCGGGAATGGCATTAGCGATGGCCGTGAACACCTCGGTAACATTATGACCCGTCTTCGCACTCGTCTCGAAGAACAACAGGCTCTCCTCTTCCGCGTATGTCTTGGCCTCATCCGTCGACACCTTGCGCGCATCGCCCGACTCTTCCTCGCCACCCTCGGCTGCTGCTGCCGCTGCCGACTCGCTCGGACCCGACGATCCGCTGTCGTTGGTCAGATCGAGCTTGTTACCTACGAGAGCGATGACGATGCCCGGGGATGCTTGGCGCTGGAGCTCGGCGACCCAGTGCTTAGCCTTGACGAGCGAGGTGGGCTTGGTTAGGTCGTAGACGACGAGGGCGGCTTGCGCGTTGCGGTAGTACATGGGGGCGAGCGACGCGAAGCGCTCCTGGCCTGCCGTATCCCATATCTCAAACTTGATGGTCCGCGTGGGGAGATTGCACTTTTGTGTGAGGAAGGCAGCTGTGGGTGGCGATTGCGGTCAGTATGAAGCATACGTAGGCGGCGGGATATCTCCGATGTAGACTCGCAACTCACCCCCAATAGTTGGCTCCTTGTTCTCTTGAAAGTCATTGTTGACGAACCGCAAGACTAGAGAGGACTGCCCTCATGTTAGTCATCCTGTATCGATGGCGGCGTTTGAAGGTGCTGGAAGGTCACGATGGCTGAAAGGGACCGACGAACCTTTCCAACCGCTGCTTCTCCCAGCAACACTAGCTTGACGCTGCTGCTCGGCTTGGGAGCGTTGGCGGAATCTGGCATGTTATCGGATTGTGTGCTATTCTCGAATGATGTATGATGATGGTGATCGATGGCAATGCTGATTTGTCGTGATGGGAAAGCTCTGGTGAAGCCCAGGGCCTGTTTGTTAGTTTGATAGTTGATAGGCAGACGAATTTGGAATGGTATCAATTACTGTAGCATGACGATTGTCCTGACTGGCGTTGGGGGGATGCGAGCAAGCCAGTGACAGGCGCTCAGACCAGCAGCCTGCGACTCAAAAGTGGCCCTAATCCAGACTTAGCTTAGGGCGGACAGTCTCGGACTTGCCGTGCAACACCGCCAAAATCTTTCTTGTAGCTTCTCCAAGAGCGGCAGAAAAGTTGTTTGATACAAAGCACCAGCGTCCTGTGGATTGGGCATTGGAACAACAGAGACATTTCACGCCCGGGTGTTCTCCAGCCATCCACTTACACACCCACCCCTACGAACATGATGGCTCCCGACAAGTCCAAGAAGACGCTTTTCGACAGCGACGACGAACTCGATGGGGGCGTCCAGCTGAAGGTCAACGATGAATATGCAAGACGATTCGAACACAACAAGAAGCGCGAGGAGCAACATCGGCGTGAGTCTTCCCTTCTGAAAAAAAACCCCTTAAGTAGATGCGACGCATTGGGGCAAACGGGAATGATGATTGCTCGTTTCGTCCAATCATGGGAGGGCATAATCTGAAGGAGGGCATTCATCCCAGGTCTGCCTATCGTGCTCATTGCCTTTGCCCTTGTCGCATTGAAGTTTATGTACAGAAAAATACTGACTAATTCTCCAGTGGAAGAGAAATACCAGGGAAGACAGTCCCAAAAGACGGGTGGAAAGGATAACGACGATGACGACGACGATGAATCAGACTCTTCCGACGATGAGACAGAAGATGAGGAAGGCGTTCTAGCAACCGAAGAGCTAGATGCCCAGCTCAATGCTACGCTCCAAGCCATCCGTAATAAAGACCCGCGCATCTATGATCCGAATGCCCAGTTTTATGCGCCCATAGACGACGAAGCCGACGATGACGAGCCTCCTATGAAGAGTAAAAAGGAGAAGACCATTACCCTTAAGGACTATCATCGAGAGAGAATCATGCGTGGCGACGCTGGTGTAGAGGACGATGACGACGACAACCAGCCTGCCCGGACCTATGCTCAGGAGCAAGACGACTTGAAGAAGACCATCCGAGATGAGATCCAGGCACAGCTACGCGCAAACACTAGCGATGCTGGTAGCGATGACGAGGACGAAGGCTTCTTGAAAGCCAAAGAGGGCGCTATGGCCAAGGCGACTGCTGAACTGAGCCAGATTGGCATGCATCCATCCCGAGCTGCCAAAGTGAAGCCTAAGAAAGTTTCACTGGAAGAGGCGGACAAGAACCCTGAACTTTACTTGTCTAACTTCATGGAATCTCGTGCTTGGATTGAAGAGGACGCCGGGAGGTGGAAGGCCTTTGAGTCGGATGAGGAGGACGATGAAAAGGCCGAGAAATGGGAGGCAGCATACAACCTGCGATTTGAAGATCCGGAGAAAAGCAATGAAATCCTGAAGACCTACGCCAGAGATGTGGCTGCTGCTAAGTCAGTCCGACGAGAGGAAAAGACGGGAAGGAAAAAGCAACGAGAGCTCGAGCGTGAAAGAAAGGAAGCAGAGAAACAGCAACGAAAGGAAGAACGCGCAAGGTTGCGCCGGCTGAAGATTGATGACGCGGAGCGTAAACTGAAGCAGATCAAGAAAGTCGCTGGCCTCTCTGGCAAGACAATCAAGGATGAGGAATGGATCAAATTCCTCGATGACGCTTGGGACAACGACAAGTGGGAAGAGGAGATGCGCAAGACTTTTGGCGACGAATATTATGCCGAGCAGGGCGATGTGGAGGTATCTGAGGATGAGGATCAGGACGGAAAGAAGAAGAAAAAAGTTAAGAAGCCCAAGTTCAAGGATGACATCGACATCAACGACATTATTCCGGGTTTCGAGGAAGAGGAAAAGCCCAAGGTTAGTCTATCTGAGCTCGAGGCAGATGCTGAGGAAGATGAGGACGCAAAGGACGACGAAGATGAGGACGGCCACTCTGCAAAACGCCAGAAGACGACGAAGGACCGCAGGAAAGAACGACTCGCCAGCCAGAAGGAAGTGAGACAAGTACGCTCCAAGATCGAGGCTCTGGTCGACGCCAAACTGGACATCGACGAGCCAGATATTCTGAAAGCAGCCAAGGCCAAGGACGGCCCCAAGTTTGCCTACAGGGAAACCTGGAAGGAGTCTTTTGGTCTAACGGCACAGGATATTCTCATGGCCCCGTCCGATGCCGCACTGAATGAGTACGCCGGCCTGAAGAAACTTGCTCATTTCCGACCCGACGACAAAAAGTCCAAGGACAAAAAGAGGCTTGGAAAGAAGGCCAGACTCCGACAATGGCGCCGTGAGACATTTGGTCCCGAGGCTGAGAGGGAAGGTCCGCAGTTTATCTTCGGTGGTGCTCCGGAGGAGAAGGAGGAACCAAAGGTTGTAAGCAATATCATCGAAGGGAAGAAGAAGAGGAAACGATCTGGTCGCAAGGGGAAGAAAGTTGATTCCGAAGAATGAGCTGGGCAGATAGCAGGATAACGTCCATTTCAAGGACGAACCGTCGGTACTATTCTTCACCATCGATGGTCAGGCCCACCATCAGTTGTACATACTAATGATACTCGTTCTATCATGCTTGCCATATGCTATTTTGAGCACTGGGTCTTCCAGATAGTGAATGACATATGGAGAACGTGTGTATACTAAATGTCAACGGCACGCTCTGGTCTCGTGTTTATCTTCAGGTTATTCTGCCAACTCAAATAGCAGAAGGGCATATGTAATTCAACGTGGTTGATATCTCAATCACCGATAGAATTGGGCGACTGGATACGAGATCAGAAACTTTGCTTGCCGCTTGCTTAGTAATGGATGACCATTTCAGTACTATGTGCATACACTCTCGTGAACAAACCGAATAGGTCCAGTCTAGCCCTCGAGGTCATACCGCCCAAATTCCACGGGTTAAAACATCCTCTTTCGACGGTTCTTGGCCCAAGTTGATTCGCCATTGCAAGAATAATGTCCTTTTTGCAAAGCTCAAACATCGGGGTTCTGAGCGTTTACGGAAGGATTCACAGAGTGCTTTGATGATAGATGGTATGTGTCGTTCAACTCGATGGCCCACCGCATTGCCGGGATGGATCGCACTCCTGTTTCAGCCGTTTGGCACAGATAAATAAGCAACGACCCCACCACACTGTCGAGACGCCCGTCGAAGAAGATGTGAGCTTTCGAGTTCCCGTGGGCTGGGTTGGCTACGTGGCAAACAGTGTCCCGGGCGAGTCTCACAAGACTTGGCGAGTGAACGAATGGAGTTTTTGTGCAGGACAAACGGAGCGGATAGAAATGGGAAATGCTAACGGGGCGGTGTATCATGAGTCTCCTGGATAGAAATTGCCTGTCCATGGTATGAAGTTGAGAATCATGCAGTATTGGTTGAATGCAACCTGGACATTAAGTGGCCAGATACCAATAGTGCTGAAGTAACTTGCACTCGATCTTCCTATACAGCGCGAACAGTGAATAGCACACAGATGAACACCCTCTAGCCTAGTCATCATAAAAGGGGTCTCAGCTACACACTTGCAACAGCCCAGGAAACAACGATTCCAGCCTGCATCATTGACCCAAGCCCAGGCAGACATAACTCTTGGTCTTTCGCACCCCGCCATGTGTCCATCTCACAAGCAGTCAAATATAAATATGGATCCATCTTCTCTTCTCGCCCGCCACCTCCAAACTCTCGTGCCCTTCCTGAGTCTGGCCATTTCTGCATCCGCAACAGAACAACTTCCTTACCAAGCCAAGTTCTTGAGATGATGAACTCAGCTCGAAGATATGGGGGGGGGGGGGGGGGGGGGGCTGGGATCTGATGAGCCACCCGGTGGGCTGGGAAGTCAAGTTCTGCTTTTCCGGCTCGACAAGTGGAGAGACATCAATGTTGGCAACTTGGAACCTCTGCCACGGGCATGTTCCTTTTCCGGAAATTAGAGTCGTCGATGGCTAATGGGATGTAGTTGGTTGTAGTTTGCGACCAGAGTTCAGGGAAGAGCTCGGTTCGGGGGGCCCGTATTAGTAGTATGAAGGTGCGTAGGAGACCGGAGAGGACTCGGTTACCAGACGGCAAAGGCAGGTGTTGGGTAACGCCATTGAGAGCTTGGAGGCGGCCGTGAAGGGTTGGAAGGGGTAAGGCGTTTCTCGTCATCGTCTCTGTGAATGATGCGAACTTATGTCTCACTCGTGGTTAATCATTGAGCAATGCCGTAACAGGTGTTTAGGTAGCTTCGATCCATGCTATGCCTGGCCACGGCTGTGCGGTGAGTTTGTCAAATTAGGTGCCAATGCAGCTATAACCAGTTGATAACACTAACCCTACATTGACTTTCTCTATCAGGACTATTGCGGTGTCAACCGTGGGTCACCGATGCATGGCTGCGGCACCTGCATCAAAGCTACTATTAATTCTAACGAAGACAGCAAAGGGCATGTATGCAGAATCACCCCAGGTCGTTCACGTTGGTTGGTAGGCGGCTTATATGCATGGCGATTTGAGGGAGGTTATTGCAACACAAATTACAAATATGGGCCCCCTCCCCGCCCCTTTCCTGGTTATTGAACACAGACCAATCTCAAATGCAATCGTTTAGGTCATTGCTTCGAATTTACAAACCCATACGCCAGTAATGTCCCTAAATTCAGTACGCCTCCTGGTATAGAACGCAATCACTAGAGGCTGCGTGTTGCAGATTCTTCCATCAAGTGCCATGCCCTCTAACATTAGTCATCATCACGGGTTTCCTTGATTCTGGCCTGCAGCCACAGCGTCAGATTCATCTTGTCTTCACTCGAGCGTGTGCCCGCCTTTTTCGTTGATACATGTTCGACCTCGACGGTCGGTACTCCGCGAATCGCAGATAGCTCCTCGAACCCAAGAGCTTCAGGTAGTCCGCTAGCAGAGCGTCCTCGAGCAAAGTATTTCCGCAGCTCCAGCTCTTTCTTACTGGAGTTTCTGGTTGTGACTTTAGAAATGATGACGGTGAGCGCTTCCAGGGAGCAAGTGTGTAACTCAGTGATCCCAGTGTCGGCGTGTTGACCGCACCAGTGAAACTTCACTGCACGGATGTGAAACTTCAGGAAAGGGTTGTTGCGAAGCTGGCAACCCATTTCGCAAGCGCAGGGGAAGTTGAAGATCTTGAAGCAGTTTCAGTGTGTGCCCGGTCCCACATCGAAATGAGAAGTGCTTACAAAAGACTTGTAAAAGAATCCCAGGACCTCGTCTTGCATTTGCTTCGAGGTAAAAGCCACGTTCAGCGGCTTCTTGAGCTTGAAGATCTCGAAGTTAAGGGTATCGGGGCCGGCGCATATGCAGTGACCTCGCTTTCGATAAGGAGTCATGATCTTTGTCCATCGAGGGGTGAGGTAGAGATCGTAGACACGCTGGCGGATCTCGATGGGCAACTTTATGAACGACGGGAATCCTTCGGTTGGGGGAGGTTTGTCTGTCACATCCGACGTCAGAAGCTATCATCAATAGTAGTAGTCCCCCAGGAACTTCAACAGAGACAAGGCTTACCGGCAATGGTGACAATATCTCCACATGTCTCGATGATGGCAAGGCAGTGCTTCGACTCTGCTGGCTTCTTTTCCATCACTTGGGCACATTTAACCATGGTCTGGACGATGGCTGCACGATTCTCAGGCGACAGTCGGATAAGACGGCCCAGCTCGGCCTCATCGATTCTCCCCGTCTTGAAGTCCTCGTATGCCTTCAACATGGCCTGCGCATTGCTCCTGATCTGGTAGCGACTTGGGAGGTTGAGCATTCGGAATTCGTAGAAGGACGACATTGTGAAGAATCGACTTCGAGTCGGTTGGGAACGGGGTTGAATTGGGTCAACGACTGGGATATCGATGGCAAGGCGTATATGGAGTGGTCGATCACATGCACAACAGTACGAGTTGAAGGAGAACAATGGTTGACCTCAAGTACATTGATGCTCAAGGACGAAATCAGAGTAGGAAGTCGTCCGGTGACTCCAAGCAGATGGACAAGGGGGGAAGCGTGACCGTCCAGCTGGTTTCACTGGTGAAGAGAAGGCAATTGAATGCCGAGACGTGCCTTAAGATGAACGGCGGAAACAAAGAAACAAAAGACGCAAGCTTGCAATACAGAGAACATGGTGCTGCTGGTCGGCAGCTTGCTACCCTGATCGGCTTGCAGAAAGAGAGGTCTTTGTTGCGAGCCGGATTTGTGCAGCTGGAACGCGTTTGGCGACGCGAGGCAAGAAATCCACACCTGGGCCGAAGTCGAGGACTTAATATGAGAAGGACGACCTTCAAGAAGGCACGATGGTACTAGATGGAGTATCGAGTTGTGGGGAAGGTGCGAGGGCCAAAGGCAGCTAACTATCCGGGGTCTTTAATTCACCATGTCCTTAATTAAGCCTCTTTTTAGATGCCCGACCCAGTTGGAGGATTCTAGCTGGCATAATTGTTGTCAGTTGTAATTGAAAGTCCTGTTTCTGTAATATTAGCTATAATTTGCGTTGTATAATTCGAGTTGGTCGCTGCCGTGCCTGGGTCATTGAGCATCCGCATGTACATGTCGGGTGCCCATAGAAATCAGATGACAACCGATGGACAGACAGTACCTTCAAGATGCGACTGACCAACAATATAGAAGTACAAATTAAATCAAATTGATGTGTGCACAACCACCATACCACGGCAGCGAGTTCCAGCCCTTGCATTGCTTGGTTTATGTGCAATATCCTAATAGCAGATACCCCATCATCCAATTTGATAATACCGCGATTCACGTTGATGCAGATATCCCTCCAACGTCTCAAGGGAACAGTCGATTGGTGTTCCAACGAACATATCATGGGAAGCCTGGAAGATACTGCTTCCTGGGGTTTGCCTCCAATTTGCTGAGCGCTTGGGTGCGCTAGTGCACTGCTTCGACGTGCGGTGCTTTCGGCAGCACTCCCATTTCTTGCTCCCTATCCGACTCTTCGCCGGGCACTTCTCGCGGTGACTCATGGGCTAAAGAGCTTCTGAATCGGGTATGTGGCTCTCTCCGTTCACCATGTGAGGTCGACAGGTAATTAGAGTCCACGCTGGCATGTCTTGAAGCACTCGGACTAATACCGCTGGCACTGCTTCGACCGCCGTGGCTCGGCTTGCGATTGCCGAAGGACCACACAAACGAGCTCAATAGTTTCTGGTGTTCCAGATTTTGCTGAGTAAAGGGGCGGTTCAAGTGAGCATATGCGTCACCCTCGGTAGTTCTCTTCTTCGCTTTACTCGATTTGAAGCCCCCCGTCAGGGTTCGCATGAAGCGTGATTGGGTCTTGACAAGATCCGGGCCTTCGCTGTCTGTCGGCGTGAGGCTTCCTGTGGTGTCGTTCTCGCCGGAGCTGCTCGACGGCTTCCTCCCTCCAATGCGCCATTTGCTCTTGAGTCCCATGGTGATGGTGGCGGGGACGGATCGATGTCACAATGGGTGGCAGTTGTGGACAGCGTTCCGAGGGGGTCGTGATACCATATCTATGGGAAAGGTGCGCAACGCCTCCGACGGCGGTATTGAGGAGTTGTCGATGACATGGACCGGACCGCTGGAAATGGCCGGAAGCTGGAAGTCAAATAGGAAGAAGCTCTCAGCTTCAGCACGCACGGAAACCTTGTATTTCAGTCCCTACTACCCTCCAAGATGTTCTGCTCAGCCAGTGGTTGCCGTCCCCATCTGCCAAGCATCCGACTCACACCACACTATCGTAACGCGGGGTTGCCGAATCCCCCCAGCTTCCTGAGAAGCCTGGCTTGGCCATGTACAACCGACGTCATTGGCGATGAGTCCGCAGCACGATCATGCAGACTCACGTGCAACCGGACTCCCTTCTACGAAACTGTGAGAGGCTAGAACGGCGCTTAGCTCAAGAGCGCCCGACCTACCGTCTAGCGAGAATGCTGGTTGGTCAGCAATAGGCTTCTAGAGTTCAGCCGTGTAAAGTGGTCCCATCTTGGAAGCACCAATTGATGCGCCGAGGGACCTAGCCCTGGTTCTTCCGGCCGTTGATTTACGTTGGGGGTTCAAGAGGACCTTTTACCTTTATGCAAAGTTCCCAAGGGTTGTGAGAGCAACGGGGTGGTGATGTTTTGGAGCGCTAACAAAGGTACGCATTCGGAGTGTGGCACTGATCAGTGAATAGTATACGAGGTCAAATCTAAATGGTATAAGATCGGATCTGTAGATTCCTACAAGACCCGACGGTCCGACGGTTTGCAGGGGGCACTCGGTTGGAGGATTGATATGATGAAGGACGCCGACGTGCCCTAATCAACTTATCTCACCATGCCCGAAACATCATAACATACAATGGTGCATAGTAACACCCCAAGACCGTCCATCCCAGTAGCGACGAGGTGACCATGTGTCAAACCTCCTCAGTGGCAGATGTATATCACGCTAGTATGTCCCCGAACATAGACATCAGACGGCGTCAATTTGGCAGTTGTACATGGCTACCTAGATGGGGCGCTGGTGGTTGCGAGGGACAACAGTTAGTTCCATGCCAGGAGATACACAGTGGGGAACTGGCATAGCCTCTGCGCAACTGTTTCTGGCATGCCTCAAAGATACCGCTCTCCGCGGTTTGTCAACTATGGTCAGGTTATCCTGGAGCGATCGTTTGGGAGTTATGTTTCGCCGGGCTTCTGTTTCAAGGTTGAGGGGCATCTTGAAAGTCGAAGTTGAAAGCCAAGTTGCCAAGCCGCCAAGGCCTCTGAAGTCCTGGATTTGGCCCGTTTGCACAGCCACCCCGTACTTCAATCGCACGGGCCAAAGCTTAGAATCCCCATGGTATAGGCATGGCATCCTGACATCGTACCTTCAATTTGTCTGATCTAGTTGTGTTATTCCTCACATGCGACGATGGGGATAACCCCTGGCTGTTTATCACGAGGCGACCATGCGGCTTTTGTCCGTTCGATCTCTGTACTTCATTCTCTCAGCTGCATCGTCCCCAATGGCGGTTAGTTTTGCCTCCCAGCCATCCAAACTCGAGAGTCACGATCCACGGCCATGATCTACTGAACGAATGGCAACTTACCGTGTCTTCGCAATTTGTTTGTCCTGCGTTTTGGCGATATTCTGATGTTGTTGGTGCCGTGCTGGCCGGCGCATTGAGATCCGCCATGTTGATCAGGAAGATGGAAGTTTCGCGTGGGTCTCGAAATCACCATGGGTTGACTTTGTTCGTCTCTTCCGGCCCCATTTCAGGGGCAGCATTGCCGCTATTGGCTCTCTGTGTCCCTGGCGGTACGAATCTGGTCAAAATTGTCAGGGCACGGATGCACTTCTGTCAAGCCTGCCATCCAATAACTCTTCAGATGATTCGTTCGACGGAGTCTTCAGACCATCCATTTCCAACTCCCCTGTCAAGCTAGACGGGGCGGAGAGGTACCGCCTACGGCCAATAGCCCCAGAAGACACCGGTGAAACCTGGTAATGGATACATACCTCTCTTCCCTCGCAGCCATGACTGCCAGGGCCTTTTAAGTCGTGGAGTCTCCATGGCCACTGCTGCCTTGCTCCTACTCCACGAAAGCTTATCCCATGTGTTTAATAGACGCCCCTATGAGGCTCAGATCCTGTTGAGGCACACGCCAGTCCAGACGCCAAGCCCGGAGTTGAACGGATGACAGAGCATCCGGTACCATTGAAAGATACCATGCCAGATGATCACCAAGTGAGTAAGGTATATAATGAAAATGATCCCCTTTGCATACAGAGGCTCGCCTTACATGGAGTGGTATGATCGATCTTCATCCAGTCTTTCATCATTCTCTTCCGCTTCAACCTTCCTTCTCTTCTCTTCCGTGCGCCCCAGAGGCTGCCTTCTTGCTTTTTTGCTTCTACAACAGTCCTTTGATAGGCTTCCTCATTCCGTCTTTGCTGCCTCTTGAAGAGAGCCTTTTATTATCATTATGCGTTTTCAACAGACCTGTGCCGCCCTAATGGGTTTGGCATCGCTTGTGGCTTCAGGTAAGTCATCTGGACCATACATATACATGTCTTGTTGACCACTCACTAACAAGATGGTCAGCACCCACTCCTGAGCAAGATATACAGCCCGTCGAGCGTGGACTGAAGTGGCGCACAAGAGCCCAGAAGCGAAACCCTCTCACTATCATCCAAGAGGTCCAGGAGACGACCATCACTATTATTGAAGAAAACCTCGACGAGATTGCGGCCCTTGAGCAGGTGGCAGAGCAACAATTCGCCGCCCTCGTCCAGGCACAAGTTGCTCTGATTACTCAGCTCGAGGATATCAAGAATAACATTCGGATCAACCACTTCAAGGCGAAGTTCAGTCAAGTCGTAAGTTGTCCAATACGTCAGACACCGGGGACGTTAACTGACCGTGACGCAGAACGTTGTCATCATTTCAGTATCAACATTGATCGATGCTCGAGCTGATAAAGGCGACCAGAAGCGCTACATGGTGAACCAAGTCTTAGCGGACAATGGAAAGCCAGATCAGGAAATGGTAGTGATGGTAAACGACGGAGCCACCATGACTATTGGCGCCGCCCAGACAGCGTCTCCCGATCAGGCCAGTGCTGCCTCAGCTCCCACTGCTTCTCCCGCCATCGCAGGCTTTGACGTTGCCGCACCATTCGGTCAGCTCAACCAGAGCGTCATCCTGCCGGCCGGCGCCGCAGCCCCTGCCATTGACTTGGTTTTCGAGGATCCCGCTGCCATTATTCTGCCAAATCAGAACAACTTGTTCGTACAAAGCGCCGACAGCTTCCTATCCGACTCTATCTTTTACCAGAGCAACGGTAACAGCTTCCTGGACCAGGCCGCGCAAATTTTCGAGTCTTTCGAGCAATTGGCTGCCGCGCAGGCTGCCGCTATCATTATCAACGGAGAGGCAGCCGCTGCACCGCCCGCTGAGGAGACTGCTCCTCCCGCCGAGACGACTGCTCCTGCAGCTGATCCGGCCGTAGAACCGCCTGCTGAAGTAGCACCTCCCGCCGAAACAACTGCTCCGGCAGCTGATCCGGCTGTGGCACCACCTGCTGAAGTAGCAACTCCCGCCGAAACAACTGCTCCGGCAGCTGATCCGGCCGTGGCACCACCTGCTGAAGTAGCAACTCCCGCCGAAGCAACTGCTCCGGCAGCTGATCCGGCCGTGGCACCACCTGCTGAAGTAGCAACTCCCGCCGATACGACGGCTCCGGCAGCTGATCCGGCCGCGGTACCACCTGCTGAAGTAGCAACTCCCGCCGATACGACTGCTCCGGCAGTTGATCCTGCTGCTGCTCCAGCCGAGACGCCTGTTCCGACCGCCCCTGCTGCAGTTGAGGCAACTCCGGCACCTGCACCGGCACCGGCAGCGTGAACAAAGCCGTAGTTCAACGGTTAAATCTTGCAGATCATGCTACATGATATCATACCGACCAAACGGTCTATTGTCTTATTTTTATTGTGTATACGGTGGAAGGTGATGCATCGTCTTGTTCGAGATGCTACGTGCGGGCGTTCTGTGGCGTTATTCCTGAATCAAGAGGTACGCATATGGCAGACCCGTAAGCAAGACACAGATCATAGTGCATAGAACACTCCCCGATCGGTTATGACCGCTGGAAGGAAACAAAATCATCAGGTTGCGGCACCCATCAGCCCTGTGGTTAAAAAATAGATATATAATGAACATTTTACCACCACTACTTCACCAATCCGCTCACCAAATGAAGACATCCAATAACTGATATGATCGACATTTCATCTCGTTTGTGCACCCTTGTATATGTTTCGAGTCTGTGACAGCGATCCCGGCAGAAGCTGTCAGCCAGGGGAGCATTCAAGTTTATAGTTGCGGGCGGGTATATCGGTCCCACAACCTTATGGACATGCCAAGATCGTCCAAACGCAGATACTGGGCGGTCTTGTTTCACCGTCTGCAGGCACAACACTTGGACGTGTGCACAATGATGGGGGTATACCCAGGTGTGCTAAATTAGTCTTTTCTCCTTATGCCGCCGACGTCGTCGTCGTCATCATCATCATCATCATCATCATCATCATTATCGATAATACGAGATGGGAGTCGAACACTCTATGAACATGCTACTGTCCAGAGTATCTTGAAGGAGATGTGCAGGAGTAATTGGAATAAATGTCAGAGGCGGTCCGCGCGTATCCATCACTACTACTTGGTTCCAGCCCATCAGCACTAGCCTAGCTTACCTAAATACAACACACTTCGATCTCTGTCAATAAAACCAGGTAGACATGGTCGCTAGCTAAGAAACTATCAACAAGGTAGATTATTTAATCCTTATGTGGGCCCCTTGTTTGTTTGCCATGATGCAACTGCGAATTTTTATTTGTGTAAAGGCCTTGAGCCAACTACTAGGAGCCTTCAAGGTTATATAGCTTGATGAACTCCAAGTCCGAATTGGCCCTGACTATTGCTAGATTCGGATAAGAAGGTTGCCCGTCACCTTCCCTCGTTGATGTAGTTCTCCCTTGCCGTGTAATCTTAGCAAGTTGTCATTCACATCCTGCAGATCCCACCTGCTGATAGAAAAGGAGGCCTCTTGAGAAGCTGTTCACTGCTAATAATAGCCTTCTAGGTAAACGGTTAATCATGTTTGAGACCCGTATAGTAACTCAGATATACTTTGGGTGGTCTCAATAATTGCGAGTGACGAGGAATTATTTACGTAGGTGATATAAACCCCTTTAGACTTGTTCTTATTACTTGACTTGGAGATCGATTGGCACTCCCTACCTCACTTCCTCCACACTTGCACCAATAGAGGAAGACTGACTCTGAGTATTGCCTCAATCCATTTTAATATGTTATCATTCACCTAAAATAGGTAGTCATCATGTGCTATAGTTTTCTAAGATAGACTGCAACTGCCAAAAGGGACCTTTGAACAAGGTAAACAGGGAATAACAGCTATGCCGTGGACAAAGTTGGGACCATCATAGTGCAACGAAATGTGATAGCACTAGATGCTTGCTATATGTCGCGCCGTGCCCGGGCAGCAGCTGGGCCTCAACAGTTTGATGATGGTAATCATACTCCTTGAAAGGTAAGCTAGGACAGCAGCAAGGCATCGAGTAAGTCCTCAAAACACTTTTCGCCATCTCAACACAGTCCTGAAGCTCACTTACACTAACACGTCGAGAGTTCACAAAAATATTTCATGATGACCACATACATCAATCAACATAACAACCGCCAAGGTGCACCAAATCCAAGAACCCACAGTCATCAACGTCGCTCCATCCAAACTCTGGATCATCCTAACCGAAGCTCCAACCCCCCTCCCGGAAGACCTGCAACACCTTCGTCATTGACGCCAAAGTCGAAGGCGGCGTCGCTGAGCTGGCCGCCAGCTCCCAACAAACCATCACCATCGCCGCTTTGAACACCGGCAGCTCACCGTCGACTTATACCAACATCATCTCAAAGCCGGTGCCGGAAAGAGAATCGAGATGTGGTGGCAAGATCATATCAACTGCGCTCTTTGATGCTGAGCGGCTTGCCGGTTCACACAGGTTGAGCAGTTCAAGTTGTCAAGTACGTTTGAGGTTATGAAGACCGGATATCGGAGGACGAATGGCGATTTGAACAACTTGGCCGAGAATGCTTCATATCTGAATTGCGGCTTAGGTTGGGTTTGGGGTTTGGGGGGATGCACTGGCAGTCAAGTATGAGCAATGTGGTACCAAAGTGAGAAATTAAAAATGGCTATCATTGTGCCACTACTCATATCTTTGCCTCGTGTAATAGAAAGTGGTTTATAGAAATCCACTGGCCCCGTGGAATCATATGTGGCTGAAATGAGGTATCATACAAAACCGCCGGAACTCCATCCTTGTGCGTCGTTTCCTCTTACATGCCACAACCAAGCCCAATGAAGGAAGCCTCCAATGCAGTTGCCGCTTTCATTCTGGTGAGACGGGCTCACGGATCACCCAAAAAGCACATATAACAGATCATCCTGGTGAGCCCATGTGTTTTGGTCGAAAAACTCAAACACTTCATGCATCCTCGACACGCGCCTTCTTACTTGAAGCGGCGTTAAGTCCGTTCTCCTCGTCAACCTTGCGCTTGCCGTTCTTAATGACTTCTTCAGCAGCAGGCCGCGCGGCCTCGAGTCGCTCTAACGTGCGGGCGTACTCCCACTCCACGTTCTCCAGTGTCTCGTTGAGCTTAATGATACGCTCCGTTATCTCGAATTCCGCCAGAATCGACGCATTGCGGCGGTAAAGACGCTGCTTGAGAAGAAGCCTCCAGAGGGTGTAAAGATGTTTGTCCGCTTTTGAAGCTGCGGGTTTCTCCCGCTCAACATCAGCGGTCGGCCGGACGGACTCAGGCAGCTTAGACATGAGATGCATCTCGACCAGGCGTGCAAATTGTCTCGGCGCGATCTTGGCCTTCGTACGCAGCGCTTCCAGTGCAGCTACATCCACGATACCCTCAGTTGGCGTGGCCGTGCTATTCGAGAGTGAGATTTGCGTATCGTGGTGCATTACTCCACCCTTCTCAGGGACAGAAACTTCAGGGTTCAGATGCAGATCTGCAAACTTGGGCACATTCTTGCGGAGGTACTTCATATCGCAGAGATCTCTTAGGAGGTCAAATGCCTCGTTAGGATCTTCGACAGTGATCTCCTTTGTGGCGCCGTTCTTAGAGTGGACCTCGAATATGGCGTTGTACAGCATGGAGCCTGCTCCTTTTCCTTGGAAGGGAGGCAAGATCACGAACTGTGATATTCTCGCGCGGTGGGGGAATTCTTTGTAAGGAGAGTCTCCAGCGGGAAGCTCCCACGCATCATTCGTCTTGGCTTTGATAAGCGCTGGCTCCTGACCAGGGCTCGCAGGAGGCGTTGAAGGCTCCAACAGCCAGAAGTGGTAGACAGTCGAGTAGCCTTGGAATATGTATTGGTGCTCGCCTGCGGATCCCGGTATGACTTGCCTCTTAAAGAGGAAGAAGACGGACCAGCGTGCACGAGAATATTCGGGTTCCTCATTGCCTTCTGCATCCTCGCCGATGTAGGACCCACCCTCTACGTAGAACAGAACGCAGACCTGGATGCGTTTCACCATTTGCATCACGGCGTTATCAGCCAGACTACCCTTCCAGATCTCGTAGACTTCACCATCGCGCTGGATGGTCTTCAGAAGTTCACCAGGAGGGAACGACTGCTTGTCCTTGGGATCGCGCGTGCGGTCCTGGTTGAGGGCCAGCTCAAACTCCTGCTTCTTCTGAAAAGCGACTGAGATATGTTAGGACACGCCTTTTGAAAGTGACATTATAGATTTGGAGAAACCAGATGGCTTGCGTGCTGGACCAAACCAGGATGATCAGGATCGCAGAGCCGGTATTGTATGATGCCAAGACTGCATGAATAGCATTACACCTCTTGTAGTCTAGATGACATCAATGAAGTGATGGGGTAAGCGATCCTTGTCATCCCAGTTTATATTGCCTATGGGCCACATGGCTGTGAACCAGCGAGGGTGCGCGGGTGTCAGTTGGGGCAACAAACCTCCGGGTAAGAATTCCTTCAGCACCTGGGCCACGTCCACTGCTGCAACTTCGCCAACGGTCTTGAACTTCCGGATGCAAGAAACCGTCAAATTCGGTCGCATGTCGTTGGCATTGTATAGAAGAGCGACCTTCAAGCCCTTGTACCCAAAGATGCGCTCGTCTTCGCCGAAGATGGCATACGTGAACTTGGGATGGAAGGACTCGATCATTTGGAGGCCATTGTCGGTCGGGGTCACGAGTGAAATCGTGATTGCCTCATTGGCATCGACCGTCCCTATGGCCAATTCAGCGTTTGAGAATGGTATGTAGTAGCATTGCATATGGTGATCGCATACACTCTTCTTCCATTTTTGGATTCTCCAATCGATCAATCGGACTCGAAGTGGTGGATTGTCTTGACTCGAGTGTCGCGGCTGGGTGTAGTTGAGAGAGTGAGACCGAAGGACAGCTGTAGGCTCAATGTTGTAGTTCAAGAGCCTGTGATCGATCCCTTAGTATCGCAAACGTGGATTATTGTGTCGTGGTCACGGTATTCACTCAGGCGCAAGACGTAACGTTAAGGTAGGTCAAGGAAGCGGGTCTAAGAAATTCCCATTTACGCGTCGTTGAAAGTTGAAAGCGCGTTTAATTCAGAGCACGGACATTGAGAGAATCTGAGACGGGAGAAGATGCCGGCTGAGGCACCCTAAACCCCTGTATGAGGAGCAGCGGTTTTTTTTCAGGTGCGAGCTAGAAAGGTACGTACCTCTCTTGGTCCGTTCGTCAGGCCAGCAACGGTGCAGGAGTGTTGCCAAGGTTGTTGAGGAAAGCTCCAGCACTGAGACAAATCGAAGTTATTGTCGAAACCTGACACTTCAACAAGGCTGCTGGTGGTGGACTTTTGCTACGGCGACTCTACAGATTGGCCTGCAAATGTGAACGGCCCCAGTATAGTCTATTCCGATGCATCAATAGCAGGCTATTCTATCTGAAGTTACCTCCTCAACCCAACAATTACAATGGCAGGCGTGTTCCTGCTACTCGCCTTGACGGTATGTCCCTAGTACTACAAAGTGGTATTGAACTGGTCACTGACATATGCGTTGTATAGGTCGTGATGGCATTGGCGTATGCAGAGCCTCTTCCTCCTCTTCCTCCCTGTAACGGTCTGAACTGACTGGGACCAGCTCCTTCCTCGCAGGCGCCCTTCCGCTTTCCATGTCGCTATCGCAATCACAACTACGATTAATCTCAAGTATTGGTATTGGGATACTGGTCGGCACGTCTCTGATAGTTATCATACCGGAAGGAATTGCTGCGATCACGGAAGCTTCATTGACGTCGCATTCGCATGGCCTGCGACGAGACATCCATCTGGGAGGAAACAACATTGAAGTCCGCTGGGCTCCACAGAGTGGAAAGGAACCCCATGAAGTTATCGGCATGCCTAAGGACGTAGTCGATACGTACGAGGCAAGTCCTGAGCCCGTCATCCCACCGGAAGGGGAAACTCTCGACACTCCAGAACCGATCAAGGTCATAAATCGCATTGAGGACCCTCCAACCATGACAGATACCGATGGTATGGATGCAGAGCCAGTGCCTACTTTCTACGTCGGCCTTTCTCTGATATTAGGGTTCGTCCTTATGTTTCTCATCGATAGACTCCCACGGCATGCTTCAGAGAACTTTCAGCCGCCGCCCACGCCGAGACATATTAGCCTAAGCAACCTGGGGGGTTCGGCGCTTTCTGGGGACGAAGAAGAGGAGTCGGAAGGCTTCCTCGGTTCCTTAACACCAACACCGAAGCAGTCGCGGAGTCTGGCGACGACAACAGGACTGGTGATACATGCAGCAGCCGACGGCATTGCCATGGGCGCGTCTGCTTCCTCGTCAGACATGCAGTTGGGCTTCATTATCTTCATTGCAATCATGGTGCATAAAGCTCCAGCAGCATTTGGCCTGACCTCGATTTTGTTGAAGCAGGGTCTGTCGAAACGGGCGGCTAGAGGCCACCTCATAGTATTCAGCCTGGCATCTCCCTTTGGAGCCTGGTCAACTTTTATACTTGTGAAACTTCTTGGAGGGGGCGGTAGTCCTGGGGACGACAGCCAATGGAATCAGTGGTGGACAGGCATGCTGTTGTTGTTCTCGGCAGGGACGTTTCTGTAAGTATGCGCTCATCCGGCTCATGAGTCAATGCTAACAGCTCAAGGTACGTTGCCATGCATGCGATGCAGGAGGGCGACTCCGTGTCATCCCATGATGGTGGCTCCGGGTCCAACGGTTACGCTGAAAGTCCCAACCCATCTCAAAGAAAGCAGGCCAGACCTCAGATGCGAGATACGCTCGCATCGGTGGCTGGAATGTTACTTCCACTTCTCACGCAATTTGGTCATCATCATTAGAGAGACATGGCTGATGTTTAGAGCGATGTTGTGTTGATAAAAATCGGCGTCACGTGTAGATGGGCCGGGCTTGCTGCCGACACTCCAAGCCTCCTTAGACTTAACTTTCGAGAGCAGGTCTCGCATCCATTCGTCTCATCGAAGTAGGGGCCGTTGTGTAACGTACTTGTAATGCTGCATGATCATGATTGATCTGAATGGAGTCAGAAAAGAAGACTTTACTTTACTGCATGTGCCACCAAATACCCCGAAGTGGCATGTTGGATGAAACCGATTTTCAAATTAGCAATGCGATAAATTAAGGAGGGCCTTGCATTTGGGAATTATGTGTCGATATCCAGAGAAAATACTTCGCCGAAACATGACAGGGGACTCCGTGCCCTTAGTTGACGACAGACTGCCTCATGTTACTTTCGAATCCTTCAGTCGTAGCCAGTTCGTATTACAATCCACCTAGCGATAGATCTACGTAGAGTACGATGTTAGCAAGTCACCAGACAACAAAAAGTCCACAATTTATCTCAATCAAGTCGATGTGTAGTCGCGTACTGCTGTCACGGGTTCTTAGGCGAGGCGGTTACACGAGACCGTTTCTAAGACCTGCAGAAGTGACTGACAGGTCGCATCATGAAATCCATCTCAAGCTCACAATTTCACCTCGTGCTACACCAGTTGTTGGTTCACAGTGGCTGGTAGAATGGTATCACAAGTCGTTAAAAGGCAAACCTAAGGCAAACCACTCCTCAAACATCATCGGGAACTCCCACAGCAAGGGAGCATCCGCATCCACTAGTGAATCGATTTCCGCCATCCTGACAAAGTACTCACGGATGGTGCATGATGCACGACTATCACCAGCCCCCCACCCCCAAAAAGCCTCGAACTTTCCCAAAACGACCAGGCGCATGCTGAAAGATAGAGCCCGAACCGGTTTGCTGTCCCTCCAACTCACAAAGCGGGAATCAGACTTCGATTTGGAAGTCACTAATTCGCAACTATTTGTCTCGTCTGCACACCAATACGGCAAGCGAGCGCTTAAAGCCTTAGTCTCACGAAAGACGTTGCATCGATGTGCAGACGACTTGCAGCGCCGCAAATCCCGGCCTATTTACCGAGGTGAGATCCCTGCGAGGAATCAACCTGGGACACAGTTGAGCGAAGAAAAGCATGGAAACAAAAGTGACGATGGGGATGACAACTTCATGCACTTGGTCATTGGAAACCCATATTGACTTTATTATGTTTGAAGTGGGCAATTACTAATCTCATTGAGATTAACTCGAGTACATCATCAACACGAGAGAACGTTGGGCGTTGGACCTTGTTGATCCTGATTCTGGAGAGTTACTACATTTCGTTTTGGTTCGTCAGCTGCTGCAGTCATCTTTGTTTACGACTACAGCCATTATTAGGTTTTGCGATTGTTCCTACTTCGTACGATTTTCAACATCCTTCTCCTGCCAATGTCCATCGGGAAATAGCGGATGAAACAACAGCGAAGGAGAAGAACTTACTATTCCTCAATACTCGGTCGCTAGGCCTAGGCGTTCTTGTTCATATACGGTATTTTCGTTCTAGCAACTCCACGCTTGCAGTTCATCAGCGCCTCCGCGCGTGGCTAAAGTTGACTAGCATATTTGCCCAAGGACTGTTTCCGATATGCTCACGTAAAGTTTTCAATCTGCCATGGCCTACTGAACTCCAGCTTTTGGGGGTCATGCCCGAGCAGGTTGTGAGGACGGCTCGGCCCAAGTAATCGTAAAGTTGTGCTCTACTATAGGAACTCACTCACTATGGCGTAAACTACTTGTGTAGTCAGGTCCATTAAGGCTGGAGGGTACAATCAAGGTGGGCAGAAGAACCGGACGTCAGCCCTCAAGGTTATGACTGGTTACAACAGCTGTGTTCAAACTCGACAGTGGCGTGGCGGAGTTTCAGGCTTCAGCTTTCGGTAGCCAGCCCGCCGGGGGAACCTAGGGGCGTGCTTTTCAAGTCACTTGAGTAGAGCCCAAATACTCCCTACTTTTGATGATATGTGCCATTGAGAGAAAGCAGAAAGCAACGGACGTCAGAACGGGGCCTCATGTCGTGCCGCGCTTGGTCGAGAATGGAAAATTGAACGATTGCAGGAAGTGCAGGCGGTTCGCGCTGATGCAGGCAGGGGATCGGAAGTAAACAACACGGACGGGATGAAGCCTGGCCAGTCAAAAGAAGGTATGACATTGTCAAAGAGCCACATGAGTTCTACCTACCAGAGAGCCGGACCGTAGCCGAGACTTCCTACGTGACATTGCTCTTCTACGGAGTAAGGTGAATAAAGCCAATCAACGACGCGAAGTAGGTGTGAAGGTACCTCTAACGAAGTATCAGACTTTATCCTCAACGTCCTCAACGCGCGGGCCAAGAGAATCTTGGAGCTTGAATCCGACAATATTAAGCAATCAGGGGCGAAAGCAGGAGACCTGGCCGCTCAGCGACTCAGACTCAACAGGTACAAAGTCCTTGAGACAAAACCTTTGGTTTTCGACGCCGACGCTTGTACCGCGCGCCCCACTCCTTCCTTCCGCACCATGCCTCACCAGACCCTTTCCACTGAGCATTCAAGGAGGTCCCTGTCCCATTGTATTCTTAGCCCCCAATCTGATCCGCCAAGGCCCAGCGAAAGTCCCAAAGCCGCCGCAAGACCCGTCAAGTCCATCGCTTTTTGGAGGTCAGCCCATCGTCTTTCCCTCACAATCAAACCCGCCTAGACGACATCCCCCCTTTGGAAACCGGGTCTCTTCGTGGACGAGTCCAACGTACCCTTGCCACTCCCCCCCCGTTGTCAGACTTTGATGAGGTTATTTTGACTCTTCTCTTTCTGGATGTCGATTCAGGCATATTATGGCATTTTGACGAGCGAGCGCTACTTTATCTTGGAGGGATCGATGCAGGGTGTCTTCTGCCATTCACTGTCATCTTAAACGGCCGTCTTCCTTTCCTGCCTCGTCCTCGATCGGCCGGTCCCCTTCCTCGACGAGCGGATACCCAACTGTCGGCGCATTGTCAATTCTCGTCTACCAACTGCACTTTTGGGAGTTTGCGCGGAATCCTCCCGATTGTTGTGCATTTTACCAGATTCTACGCAGTGAAATCTTCGTTGCAACCTGAGGAACAGCCATTCTGAGGTATGCGGTTCCTTGACCCCAGCCTTGACTTCTACTTCCACCTGCCACTATTTGTCTCAGCAATGCAATAAACCAACTGTATTGCATCTGAAATCAACTGAGATGGGCATCACCGTATGGTAATATCCCGCGGCCTTCCCCTGGGTACGCCTGTTAATACCGGTGGCGGGACCAGATCATATTACTGAATCAAGCGCAAGTGCGGTGCATCCCAAAGGGTATCATCAACGGGAGGAAATCTTGGAACGCTTGGCAGCAACCCTAGCTAACGCTCCCTACTTAGATTTGCTTGTTTCCACTTCGAAAGGTCACAATTGCAGCGAGCCCGACCGTTTGCAACTTTTCCAAGATACCTACCTTGAGCGGTATCTCCGCTGCGCTGTACTCTACTCTCGAGCTGCTACGAAATGGCTGGGTACGCGAGACCGATCAGCTTCTCTGAGCGAAGGGGCAGTGTACTAGGCGATGACTTGACTCTGAAAACTAGCCATGGGCCTGTGATCAACCAGAGAATGGATAAGATGGTTCAACCCAGACCAAGGGGACCTCCTACCCCGAGCATGAGTACGCCAGCGCCGGACTTCGACCAGCAACTGACGGGGTCACCTCCGCCTCCACCGACGCCAGCGGCATCGCCTGGCCCAACACACGCACAGCCTGACTGGAGTGATGCAGCCGAAGATGAAGATTTCTTCCTGGCTCACGTCCGTCAGCACTTTCAGAATTGCTCCAGCCCTCAGAGGAACCGACTTCTGGCCGACCTGCTCAACATGTGCACAACCCAACAACTGAGCTTCGTCCATCAGTTTGTCAGTCCGTTACTGAAGAAGGACCCCTTCACAAGTCTCCCTGACGAATTGTGCCTGCGAATCCTGTCCTTTATCGACGACCCGCAGGTCCTTGCACGCGCTTCGCAAGTATCTCGCAGGTGGCGAGATCTTCTGAGCGACGACGTGACGTGGAAGAACCTCTGTGTCAAGCACGATTACGGACGGAGGTTGTCCGAAGTTTCTTATGGCGTCCCTTCATATGCACCAAGACGTCCAAGCGCAGTCCCCCTTTCCGATCCCGAGTTCGTCAATCACAGCTTTCCTGGCGCTGTCCCTACGGCACTTGCTGGAGTCCCGTCCCATCAACCATCACACAGTTTCGAGGGACTACGTAGTACGGCATCATCTCCGCGCCCAAAACTACGGTCTTACAAGTCGCATTTCAAGCAGCGTTATTTGGTTGAATCGGCGTGGAGAACCGGCGGACGCAATACCACAAGGACCATAACCCAGGATAACCGAGTCGTGACTAGTCTTCATTTGACTCCCAAGTACATTGTTGTGGCTTTGGATAATGCTCGTATCCACATATTTGACCGGGAAGGCAATGCGCTGCGGACGCTGTCCGGTCATGTTATGGGTGTATGGGCTATGGTTCCATGGGAAGATACCCTGGTCAGTGGCGGCTGTGACCGAGACGTTCGAGTTTGGGACATGACCACTGGTACATGTATGCATACCCTGCGTGGACACACATCCACTGTCCGGTGCCTCAAGATGTCCGACTCCAGCACAGCCATCTCAGGCTCGCGGGATACTACCCTGCGAATTTGGGATATCAGGCAAGGCGTGTGTCGGAACGTGCTTGTTGGTCATCAAGCCAGCGTAAGATGCCTCGAGATAAAGGGCGACATTGTCGTTTCTGGCAGTTATGACGCCACGGCTAAAATATGGAGCATTTCCGAGGGCCGGTGCTTGCACACACTGAGTGGTCACTTCAGTCAGATCTATGCTATCGCATTCGACGGTCATAGAGTGATCACTGGCAGTCTCGACACCAGCGTGCGTGTCTGGGACGCTCACACGGGAGAGGCTATCGCAGTCCTTCAGGGGCATACCTCGCTTGTCGGTCAATTGCAGCTCCGAGGTAACACTCTTGTCACAGGTGGCTCAGACGGCTCGGTCAGGGTCTGGTCGTTGGAAAAGATGTGCCCCATCCACCGCTTGGCTGCACACGATAACAGCGTTACGAGCCTGCAATTCGACGATACCCGCGTCGTCAGTGGAGGAAGCGATGGCCGAGTGAAGGTTTGGGACGTCAAGACGGGCCATCTTGTGAGGGAGCTTATCGCCGCAGAGTCGGTTTGGCGAGTGGTTTTCGAGGATGAGAAATGCGTAGCTGTTGCCAACCGCGGCAGCCGTGTGATGATGGAGGTAAGCATGATCTACCCCCACAGCACCACTTCGAACCACTCCCGTAAAATGGGCTGCATGGGTTGATGCTGGTTTTGCGGACCAACACATTATTACCCTTTCGGTTTACTTCGAAACAACTGCTGACAAAGTCAGGTCTGGTCATTCTCACCACCAGAAGATGCCTACGAGAGGCCGATGTCACTAACGCAAAGAATCGGCGCGGAGGCGCCAATCCGACCCCAGAATGTGGTAGACTATCGGCGGTCTACACTTGGTCTACCAGCTTCAGCCAGTCCCGTCGAGGATCTCGGGAGCCAGGACGTGCATATGAGCGACGCTGGCCCTTCGACTGCACCCTCGGGAAATACGACCTTCTTCCATGACGATTAGGAGGCTGCGGTGAGGCAGCACATATACATGGCATCAAAACCCGGTGTAGCTGACGCTCCGAATTGATCTCAGCCACTGAGACAAATACAGTAGAACAGCGGCAGCAGCGACATTAGTTACTTCGGTTATCGATTGCGGTATCTGTTGCAACGGCTGTTTGTGGACCAAAACCTCATGGCCAGATATGGATACGGAAATTGCATGGCTAGGCGTTGGATGTAAGATTGGCATTGAAACATATTACAAGCATTGGGGGTGAGGTGTCATTTAAGGCCTGGGTGCCGGCAGGATTATAGCAACTGGAAACCTTACCATGTGTGTATACGTGGCCATAGGTTTAAACGATTCGATACGCCTAATGGAAGAACGAACATATCGACTAATCCCGTCCGGTGTGAAGAGTGGATGTGCACAAGACCGGACACGGCAGTGTGGTAAGAAGTGGATCAAGGTAGCCACGACGGGTCCACTACAGGTATTCCCTCATACCAGGTAGTGAGGCATATCGGGCCTGTAGACTAGGTCCTCAACTCGATGCGTCCTTCTGGGCTTTTCGTTCATGGCTCATATAGCTTTACTGCCCTTTTCTTCAAAAGAACAGGTCTCCACCGACGACTTTTGTTTCATTGACACGCAAAGAATTACAAAGCTGGATAATATTTTCAAGTGCAATTTTACTATGAGTATAGCACCGGCCCGATCCCCTGAGACTGGAGCGTCAATGGTTCGGTGTCTAGGTGTCTTCCCCCCTCCCTACCCCCCTCCCCCTGACCATCGGGTCTCCCCGTGGCCCGATGGAGAGCCAATTTACTGGAGCGCGGCTGTCAGTTAATCTGCTCATTCACTTCAACTCTCAAGTACCGGAAGATGTGGTGGACTTCTCCTATACTCGGAGACGAGAAATCCACCAAACGAAAAATTTGTGAGATGGCTGATAGACCGGCGCCACCTTGGACACCACATGCCAGGTGCGACGAAAACGGAACGCGCCGAGCTATTCTCTAGCCAAACATTATTTTGACATCTTTTCAGCTCAGGATGAGACATATTATGCTAGTTCTCCGCCTGACGGATTGCCTTGTGTTGATTCCAACCGCGAAAGCGACCTTGATTGTGCCTCCTGAAGTTATATTATGATTAATAACATCATCCGATGACAATAACATCGGGGCGCTTAGCGGCGGCTGCAGGCCGACGACATGTCGGCAATGCACTCGTTCCATCTGGACTATACAACTCGGGTATCGCTGCTCAACCACGTGGCTCGGATCTTGGTGGGGTCCGTTTGGCAAGCACGACCCCAGTCGGTGATGCCAAACCCAGTAAGTGATGCACTTCTCCATCCTTCTTTGGCGAAATCACCATGATGCTAAAACATTGTCCCCAGACAAAAAACAGCGAGTTGTCGTATTGGGGTCAGGCTGGGCCGGATACGGGTTTGCACGAATGCTAGACCCGAAGAAATTCGAGCGCATTGTGATATCGCCGCGCTCGTACTTCGTCTTTACGCCGTTACTCGCCGGTACCGCCGTCGGGACGCTCGAGTTCCGCGCTGTGTTGGAATCGGTCAGGCGACTGGGTCTCGACAAATTCCATCAAGGGTGGGCTGACGATATCGACTTCGCGCGTAAGACGATTCGCGTCGAAGCTAACACGTCGGATGACCTGGCTTCGCGCACGCAGACGACGGCCGTCACGTCTTCGGACCTGCAGGGCAGAGAGGGGGATATGTTTGATGTGGCGTACGACAAGCTCATCATTGCCGTGGGATCGTACGCGCAGACCTTCGGCATCGAAGGCGTGAAAGAATACGCCAATTTTCTCCGTGATATCGGCGATGCTCGCAAGATTCGACTCAAGGTGTTGCAGTGTTTCGAGAAGGCTGCGCTCCCTACTACGTCGAAAGCGGACAGGAAGAAACTGCTTCATTTTGCCGTGGTAGGAGGTGGGCCGACGGGGATCGAGTTCGCCGCTGAGTTGCACGATCTGATTCGCGATGACATCCGTAATCTCTATCCCGAGCTGATGGAATCGGTGGCCATCACGGTTTACGACATCGCGCCCAAGGTCCTGCCCATGTTCGATCAGACACTGGCCAACTACGCCATGGAGACGTTCCGCAGGGAGGGCATTGCGGTCAAGACGGAGCATCACCTTACAAGGATCAGACGGGATGAGAGCTGCGAAGGCTGCTTGACCCTCAACATCAAAGAGTACGGAAACAAAGAGGTCCACGCCGGCATTGTGGTGTGGAGCACTGGACTGATGCAAAACCCTCTGATACAGAAGATGGGCGACAAAGCATTCTCGCCGTCCGATTTTGAAGGACAAGGGGATCAACCACCTGTCAAGGTCAAACTGCAAAGGGACTGGCAAACCGGCAGTGTATTGACGGATTCCCACCTTCAGGTCCGCGTAGTTCCCAACGAAACCCGAGCAGACCAAGTCCTGACCACGGAATCCACCGCCCTTCCCGATGTTTACGCCATCGGCGACTGTTCCATTATCCATGGGCTCAGCCTACCCGCCACGGCCCAAGTAGCCAGCCAAAAGGCAACTCATCTGGCCAAGCGTCTCAACCAGGGGGATGTTGACATGGTGGATTTCCGTTTCAAGAATTTGGGTACCATGACCTACGTGGGGGCTGGAAGGCCATCCACCAGAGCCAGACGGATGACCTCAAGGGCTGGGCGGCGTGGGTTCTCTGGCGCACGGCGTATTTGACGAAGAGCATGAGCGTGAGGAATAAGATTATGGTGCCGGTTTACTGGGCCATGTCGTGGCTGTTTGGTCGCGATATTGCTAGGTTTTAGGATAAAAGCTACACTGACAGAGCAGGTGAAAGGGTAGAGGTCACAGGGGGTTATACCAACAGACGTATAGGACGCAAAGACTCGTAACATTTAATGGCATTCCACGTATAATACAAACCATTCCTCATCTATAACGCATACTTATCTGACTATACGCGTTAGCTCACTTCGCGAGCCTTGATGAAATTATGTGTGCCTCCTATTTCCTCTGCCGCGTTTGAAATTTGTGGGAGATAAACCAGTAAAGGTAAAGGTTGTCTGAGGTTTGCGACTGTATATTTCTTTGGAGACACGATCAGCAACTGCAGCAAGCTGCCCATTTCTCACTGAATGCCGGTTTGTTCATAGACACGACAAAGGTGAAGACGACAACGGGGATATTTCTTGAGTGTTGAACATGCCCCTCTTGATCGCCTGGGGAGCAAAATATGGCTGTTCTTGGTTCTCTGTATACTGCTCATAGCCAGGGTGTTCTTTTGCCTGGAGGTGAGTTACATTCTAACTAGCATGGTGATATCTTGACATTCCAACTTATGCAATGCCTTGTTAGGATCTGTGTACACCTTACAAGAAATCTGGGGCAGGCTCGCACAGCAATAGATACATATCTCCCCTTTGAATATTATGATGAATAGAGTCCTGAGGGCACGATGAGAAGGAGCCTGTAAGTAAGCCTTAGCATACTACGAGCAACACTTCTAGTAGCTACAACTTGGAGATCATCAAAGCACTTTTGCAGGAGTGTGACTCAACAATAAAATCCTGTACCCGAAGACAACATAAATGACCAAATAATTCCCGAGACAGAGACCACAGCCAACATCCCTATTCCTGTCGGCTCAATGATTTAACAATTGATTACACAACACTACAACTGACGCCGTTTCTCGAAAAAAACACGAGAGCATCTGGGGAAGCTGTTGCCCTGTGGTCAACAACAACAACAACAACTTGGCGAGGCTCAGTATTGACACGTCTTTCACGTGGCCCTGCTCTTTCCCTGTTCGTCTATCCTCAGCCAAAGCTGGCAGAAAATCACGATTATTTACCCCTCAACCAAAAGCTCTCGACACGACTTTGGGTTAGTTCCTCTTTGTATCAAATCATCACACACTCAGATGTAGCGAGGGCACCTGTCACTCCATTGCATCTACTCTACGCCTTCATCATCTTCATCATCGCAGATCTTCGGGATAAGGTTACTCATCATTATGTCGACCGCGGTTTCCCCTAGTGAGGCCGACAAGCAGTGGGGTTTTTCTCTGTAGCTCCTTCCTCTTCACATCGCTGACCCATCATCATTCAGGCTTCTCGAGTCAGGCAATTTTGCCGACACCACAGTCAGGTTGGGCGATCGCGTCTGGAAGCTCCACAAGAGTGTTCTCTGTACTCGCTCCGAGTGGTTCAAGCGAGCCCTCTGCGGCAAGTTTATTGTACGCGACTTATTTTCTTCTTCTTTTCTCTGCTTCTCGAGCTTCATTGTCCTCGTTACTGGAAAGTTTATTGGGCTGATAACTTGACCTAGGAGGCGGAAAAGAACGAGGTCGTCTTGTCCAAGGAGGAGGACCCTACAACAATTGACCAAATGTTCTACTGGATGTACGCCAGAGGTAAGTTAACATGCAGTCTCTTCTTGCACTCTTATTTGGATCGGACACTCCGGCGATGTTATGTGCTCTGCTCTCGTCGATCTCTGCCATTTTTGATCAAGGAGCTCGGCTGACGCAAATACGTCCAGAGCTGATGCCCTGCGTCTTCGACGACGAGAGCCAACTATACGTCGCTTGCATCAAGCTCTACCATGCAGCCGACTATTTCATGCTGGAACCACTCAAAGTCGTAGTCTCGAACCACCTGAGCGCCCGCCTGCGCGCCAAGGCCAACGCTGCTCAGAAGCAGTTCTGCACACCCGTCACCAGCAACGTCGCCACCAGCCCCAACTTCTTCAATGGCCCTAGCGCCGTCGGCCTCTTCAACGTCTTCAATAGCCCCAACGTCGTCAACGACCCCAGCACCGCCAACAACACCAACAACACCAACAACACGAACCTCACGGTCGACTACAAAGGCTTCGCCGACGGCCTCGAGCTGGCTTTCCTGAACTGCCGCTTCGACGAGCTCTTCCACAAGTTTTTCCACTTCTTCGAGGCGACCCACCTCTGGGTTCTGACCGACCCCAACTTCAAGTCGGTTGTTCTGCAGCGCGTGCCCGAGCTGGCCATCGACATCCTTGAGATGGTCCGCGACGGCGTCCGCGGCAAGACCTATCACCCCGATCTCCTACCCCCCGCCAAGTGTCGAAGCTGTCGCCGCGTGCCCTGGAGCTGGGACAGCTTCTATTGGGGCGAGATCCGCATCAAGGCTAATGGAAAGCTTTCAGCTTCTTGCTGCCTCTGTACGCCTGGTAAGAAGATCTGAGTGGTATTTTTGGGGGTGGGGGGACGGTATAAGTCTAGGTTTTGCGGCACACTTGTGAGCAGGATGAAGTTATTATCTAAGACGAAGTTGGATCTAGTTAGGAGCCAGAAAGTTTGGTAGCAGAGACTGCTTGGGCTGGCCATGGCTCGTTTGGCGACTGGACCATGATTTCTGGCCACCTTTTACTCTCTGTTTTGGTATTCTCCAGGACAGATCAAGACACTCTTCATCGCATGACACTTGGAGGTAAGAGATCTTCCACACGATGAACAGATTCAGAGGCACCCATTGAGGACAAAGTTTCTCAACAACTTTCGAAAATATAACCAGCAGTCATGACATCAAAACTCCGTATAACTAGTAAGATGTTGCTAACATATACTAGGTGATGGAGCCAGAGCCCTTCGCCTTCTCCTCTTTTAAACCACCCATGGATGTTCAGCCTTTCTAGATCATACATAAATCCCGAAGCGTCGACCGGTCGTAGGATCAAGAGTCCCAGGTTTGTATGCTCGCGCACCTGACTCGCCATTGGAAACGTCCACAATGTCTTCGACGAGGAGCCTCCCCTTCTAACAACACCCTTGCCGGATTACACCAGATATCATTACCCGAGTATCTACCTTAATATCTACATGTTTTGCTTATTTGATATCAAGGGTCCAATGTAGCCCAATCGTCACCATGTGTTGTGAAACCACGTTCGTAGAGGAGGATGCCGTCATCTCGGTCCACCAGCTTCGACGCGGACGAATGTGGAAGAGATTCAGCAAAACTAGACGTACAGGCTACAAGGCATCCAGCACTCTCCCCAACAGAGATGAGTTGCGAGAAGAGACTCAACTAGGCCCGGTATTCATCCCTTGCTTTAAACCAGTCTTCAGAAAATTCAAGTCCAGATGACGATAAGCCCAGGTTGGCCGGACATCTCTTCGTTGTTCAAGAGCTGCGTTTCCAGGTTACAGGTTACTACAGCTTATTCCATTGCTGCCGGCATGAGATCGACGCATACATTCTCAAAATACTGGTGGATACATGTTGTATCAGTAGTTGGTATACAGTTGATAAAAGTCCTAAGGACAGTGGCCCTGGATTCATGAGTTACAAGAATTATACCACACAAGTGCTTTCAGTTGTTCTAGACTGCGCGAAGAATGAACAAGTATTGCGTGTATGGCCGTCATCTGCTAGGCAATAATACCGAGTACAAAGTGTGCCTCGCCCTCGATTCAACGTTCACCCCCCACCGTTTGCCCTTATACAGACTCTTCCTCAGCCATCACCTCAACGAAGCCACGACAAGCCCGCTTAACCCCACGGCCGAACTTCCCGAGCCAACCCCCGGCAGCCAGTCCATTGTCATCCACCCTAGCCCTTGGTTGGTTCTGCGCGTTCATCGCACGGCCCTGACGCACCGCCACGGGTACATGTAAGAAATGTGAGCTCCTAGGAATCAGCTTGATGATATCAACAGCGAATAAGGGCACCTCATCAAGTATCTCGACGAACTTGGCGTCCTCGAGGACCCAGAAGCTGGTCATCTCGACGATCTGGCGGAAGACGGCGTGCAATTCAGGAAAGTCGTACGAGTACGCGACCTCGAGGCCGAGCTTCAGCCCGCGCAGCACGTCGTCGCTAAGGAAAACCTCGTGGCCTGCGTGCGGGGGATTCTTGCAGTAGAGCTTTGCCATCTGGACGGCCCTCGACATCAGGTGCGCGGCCAGGAGGCCACGGACTTCCTTTTTGAGGTCGGCTTGCAGGAAGAAGTCGGCCGTTTTGTAGAGCTCGGCGTAGGCGCCGTAGAGGAGGTCTTCGTTGGCGAAGATGGAGGGATCGAAAGCTGGATAGGGAGCGGTCTTGGTTAGTGATGGGTACTTTTGGTTGAGCTGAGTTGTGTGATTCTGCAGTGAAGACATGGCGGCGGACTGCGATAGGTTGTTATTACCACTCACATTGGCAGGTTTTGGTGTAGACCCATAGCAGCATGGCATGGACCGAGTCGGGATCCTTCTCCTCAAGGACGAGCTCATTCTCCCTAGCTTCCTGTACATATTTGTGAGCCTTTTCCGTATTGCGCCAGGAAGAGGGGAGGCAGGAGCTGGCTATGTGCGGTCACCTTGAAGTCTCCGCAGATGGCGCGGCGGAACCACTCTGATCGAGAGGTTAGAATGGCTTTATGGAGCTTCCATTCTCGGCCATCGCACTTGACGATGAAGTCGGCGAAGTTTCCTGTCTCGAAGAGCCTGGTGTAGGGAAGTCAGTACTTTGCTCGAAGGTCCAAACTATGGATGGATCAGCGACAAGGAAAGAGCAAGTGAACCTACTTCTGGTCTTGATCGATTCTGCCAGACATCATGGTGTATATGATGGTTGAAAGTGGTTGTAAGACCAATTAGGGTTAGGAATTGTGCATGGGATTGTGTTTTGCACCGCGGCACAGTGATGAGAATGTGGCAGCCAGGCTCGAGGGGCTCGTGGATGGCCGGGAGTTGGAATGCAATTTACTCGGATCAAAATGTGGTCGCCAACATGCGTGGTTGTTTCCACGGCTTTAAGAGAAGCTGGATCGAGTGTTGAACTAGGATGGCAAAGAGAAGTGACCTTTGTGGCGACCTGGGGACATCGGATTTTCATACATCAGATAACATGGAAACTGCGTACAAGTTGTTACTGAACGGACAATGCTATGGCATCACAATTTGTGACAGCCTGGTCAGCTAGTAATGCTTTCTTCAAATTCATTAAGTTTTCAACAGATTTAGTTCGATCTGTACAACAGCCGAGATGCACTTCCTCACCACCTAGTGTTTTTATGATGTGAATATATATGTTCTGCAATGTTTCACTCGACCTGATAGTGCCATTTCGGGTATTAAATATTCGTTTCGTTTCTTGTCAGTTGTTAATTCGTAATAACTACTTACACTATATTCCATGACACAATACGAGCACAAATCAGACATGAAACACACCGTGCTCATGAACAGGCATACATGGTCCATATGGATTGAGGCCAGTCCGTTTCAATGAATACATCGAACATGGAAGCCTTCCTGGCCATATTCCAGCTAGCGTGTTCGAAACAGCATGTCAGCAAGTATGTTCGGGTGAGCTTGTCTGACAAAGGGGGGAGATTCAAAGCCGAGGCTTATCTATTGCTACATAATTGTACAGCTTCTACATTTGGTCTTCCAAACCTTCGTAACTGTGGACCAAGCGTTCGATATATACTTTCCTACCAAACATGGAAATACCTGCAGCCTCCTTTTCATGCTTACCGCTTACCCAAGCCCCACCGATACACTCTATCCTGAATCTCCTCCCAAGTCATCGACTTGACAGAAAGATTCGGGTTCTGTGCCTCCTGTAGCACAACGGTTGGGGCACCGCTGCCAGCTCCAACATTTCGTACCGCACCGCCGACAACCTGTTTCGCCACCCGGCGCAGGTCCTCGACGGTGAGCATCTCAATCTTGCGACACATCTCATGGACTGGTACCTTGCGGCCGTGTACCTGGACTTGCCTGCCAAGATCTTCCAGCTCGACCATACGGCTCTCCAGGTTCATCAACAGACTAGACCGCAGTTGGTTCTTGGCCCGGTTGACTTCCACCTGGCCCAAGGCTGCAAAGCCTGTCTCAAGCGTCAGCGCGCGGAGCTCCTGGCACATGACATCGATCATGCTGTGGGTGCGGCCGGGTATGCACATGGCAGAGATGCCGAAGAGGCCCGAGTCAGTGTAGGAGTGGTTGAAGGCAACGCACGACTCGACCCAGGCGTGCTGGTTGAGCACGTTAGTGTACAGCCTTGAGTACATGCCCTTCCCAGGACCTCCAGCGGAGAATGATCCGCCGCCACCAAGCAAAGTGTTCAGTGTTGCTAGAGCGTAGATATCGTCTGAAGCTATCGGTAAACCTTCGAAAGCCAGGTGAATGTGAGTGAAGATGGGCTGATTAGGGTTGTAAGAAGGTGCCTGTGCTGGGAGGGAGACGAAACCACCAGTGTAATGTGCGGGGGTGGCCATGTCTTGTAACGAGGGTATGGCATTAGTTGCGTCGACGACGGAGGCGGCCTTTGACGCAGAGGTGGAGAGATTCTTGAAAAGGGGTATCTTGGAGAAAATGCCGGATGGTGGTTGTTGGGACGAAGCAGAAGAAACTGAAGATGACGTTGAAGTAACCGAACTGTCGCTGTCTTGTGATGCTAGCGAGTCTGTTGACGTTTCTGATGCGGCCCGACGTAATGCTGGCAATTCCTTGCCCTCCATGTCACCGAAGAATTGTGTGGCTAATTGGACAGCCTCCTCATGGGGCACTCCAGCAAAAGCGACGACGGTCCTCTCGGGACGGTAGAAAGCCTCTCGGTATGCCTCAACAACCGTCTTGGTGATTTCGGGTATGCGCTCTGCTGGACATAGCAGTGGGTTGCCCAGAGTATTGTCCTTGAAAGCGGCCATATGCACGAGCTCGGGTATGATGAGCTCAGGCTTCTTCCAGATTTCGTCGATCTCATACTGAGCAGTGGTGAGCTCCTGTAAAACTTCTTCTTCCGTGATGCGAGGGCTCCGTATCGTCTCGGCCAGGAGTTGGGTGGCGGTGGGAACGGCCGAGTTGAAGGTGGCGGCCTGGTACATCATGGACTCTCTGGATGAGACACATTGTATGTTTCCTCCAAGAGATTCTACTGTCGCTGCGATTTCCTCGCCACTTCTCTGTTGTGTGGACTGGAAGGCGAGACGATCCACGATATGGCTCACTCCACTAACATAGCTGTTTTCGAATCGGGAACCAGCCTCGACGTAGACGCCTACGCCCGAGAAAGACCCCGGCAGGGCCTCGGATGCGACTCGGATGCCATTTGGAAGAGTTGTTATACGGTCAAGCTCGGTAGGTTCCTAGAAGAGAAGTCGCGTCAATATTTCCGCCGTGACCAAGTTGAGACAGGGTATAGATGCCGTGTACTTTTGGGGGTGGGATGTTCACGGAAGCGAGCGTCCTTGCTTGCCACAATTTGGGTGACCTGGCTGGCAATCGCACCGTGGAGGTCAAGCCTCTCGTCAAGGTCCTCAAGCTTGCCCGAAACATTTTGAGCCGATGGATCGCAGGCTGATGACAGTCAATAGCACATCGAGGTTGTCTGTCGCGAGTGACGCAAAAAGCCTTGAGAGTGTTCGCTATCTTATCGGGTGAGTCTGTCTGATGGTCCGTGCATGACTGACTGACTGACTTACAAATTCATCAGTCTGGTTGGTTGGACGGACAGGCTGGTTCCCTGTTAGCCCTTGCCGGGAGAGAAGAACAACTACAGATTCAGCCTTGTTACACTTTGTATCAAACCATGGCACGTGGTGAATTACCTCATTTCTTCAGCTAGTGGGTTTTGCGCAGCCTTCAGGCAAATCGAGAGCTTTGTGATCCTCTTATTTCTTCCAACCTTTTGAAAGACTGCCGAAATTTGTCCAACTCAGCGTGTGTCGTCAAGACTTCACCACTCAGAATGGCACCCCCGTCAATCCAAATTTTCACATTTGTTTGGAATTGCTGCCCATCGAGGCACGCAAGATGATTCTATGCGAGCTTTTAGGCCTCAACACGCTCAGAGATGCGTCTCGGCTTACAAGGCGATGTGCTCAGCATACCTGGTTGACAAGTTGCATGCTTACATCTACGGTGTGGATCCTTCTCTGAGCACATTGGCGTTTCCACCCAAGCTTGCTCGGGAGCTCCGAGAAAACGACCATCGACCACTTCATTGAGAGCTACATGGTCGGTGATGCCAAACTCAGCACCGTCTTTGCAACTGGCTCGGAACGTGGCCGTTGGAGTTTTCGGGCTCGGAATGTGTATCGAGCGCAAGAGTGGCGAGAGTTAGTGCCCGCCGCCTGGCAAAAGCCGTCAAACTACGAGGCATTGCCCGTCGATCTCGTGCTCTGCTCCAGAGATCTGTACACTCAAATCTTTGACCGCTTCGACACTTTCAGACATGGGTGGTCCTGGGTCAAGAAACTATTCGCAGAGGCCACAAATCTCGACCTAGCAAGGAACTAAACAGCGGGTTAAGTATTGCGCTCACGGGTGTATAGATTTAAGTCATACACAGGTGGCGACGGGTTTCCTGGCGTACCTGCACTCTCATTAGGGAGTAGTCCTATAGTCACCCTCTGTATCCGATTTCTAACCCAGTCAACCATGCGCATAGTTACCAAGCGTGTGTGTGAGCTAGGTTTGGGGCACTCCCGGTGATCGGCTCGCCGATCCGAACGCTTCTCCTTCTCCACGAACGGAATAGACATTCTGCGCAAGCTACTGTTCCCAGAGCGCGGCATCGAGACACTATACCCGCAGATCCACACATTCTGGCATCTTGAGCCTTTCCTCGGAAGAGTCGCCAGTTCCCTTCCCGCCCCTTTGAAGGAGCAGTGGGACGTATGGCCGCTGAAAATTGGAGGCGAGCACCACAAGGGCTCTACACCGGATGGGATATACATGGGTGCCTTTCTCCCACCGCAAGGCGAGCAAATTTACGATGGCTTATAAGCCCTCGAGAAACCCGACTTGGCGGCCAACGTCGATGCCTTGCGATAGACGAACGGCGGTATTCATATTACGAACATATCAAGTTGGACCCAACTCGTCGTATGACCTTCTGGAACCACGAAAGACTTCTCTCGGTCTAAGAAGGGCCTCATACGATATTACAAGAAGGAATTTCAAGGGTTATGGGGAATGGGGAACACATAAGAGGGCCATTCGCACCGCTTAGGCTTCCCAGGCCAGTAAATGCGAGGGAATATGACAACTCTCAATAAGACGGCGAGGCTTGAAGCAACATGCGGGGTAGTCGAGAAGTCCGGGGAGTAATCTTCCGACCGTCGACCACATATGTGCTGACCGGCCCGAAATGTGCTATTAGCTGAAGCCCACGTTTGATCTGGCGTTCTAATTGTGGGGTGAAGGGGCCAGATGCGAGTACCGCGATGGTAGATTGTCCTCACTGGAGTCACGTTTATTTACTTATTTCCGCTGTGAGCATGAAGATTGGGTCTGTAATCATGCTTGATACTATTTTGGACAATATGAATCAAGGGAACGCAGGTTGACCGCTCAAGGAGAATCGCCAACATTAATGCGAATGGAGTTTGTACGCTTTGGCACAACACATCCCGCATGGCTTTATGAACCACTCCTTCTACACAACCTCTTGCCCCATCACCTGGTCAACTTTACCTAAATCTAATTGATGGACAAGCCAGATTTTCACAAACTCACGACGCGCAAGACACACCACGGCCGGAACCTGCTCGCAAAGTGGGTGTTCCCGACTGCCGCATCGCCTCGCGTATGTGAGTATTGATCAGCGCATAATGAAGTCAACCTAGAAGGAGCCGGGAACTATTCTCGAGCCCACATGTTTGCTTGACTCGTTCACAACTCGGATTCGCCTTGGCACTCGGCGCTTGGCGAGAGCCAAGTTCAGCCCTACCCCAGTTCGCCATGTGAGCCAAGACGATAGACGGTAGCTTGGCACTGAGGTCTTATACGAACGACGGATATAAAACTTCAACATATGGTATGTGGTGAAATGGTTTGGATTTGGCGATATGGGTACAAATTCGTTTGATTTCTTCAGGGTTCAGAGGCGCATCTTCGTTTACCTTCGTGTCATCGAAATGCCGAACAATTTTGTATCACCAGTTTGCAGTACCCGACTCAGCACACCTACATCTCTCAGGAGGTCTCTTTCACAACTTGACTCTGTCATAACAAGATTTTATAACACATTGAATACCTTATTCATATCAAGAGGATTCTTTAGCGTATCTTTGCAATCACCATAATACTGACTAGTGGCCGATTTAGGTATCAACGGTTGCGAATATTCGAAGTCAGGATTCGATGCTGACGCAGCGAGTTCAAACGATCCAAGACCAACCGCCAAAGTACCACAACAAGCATCACAAGTCAATGACAAGAAACGAGAATGATACGCCTCAAGACGAAAATATGAAATTTGTACACAGTACAATATATACAGAAAAAGACGAGTCGACACTATCCAAGTTAACATGCACAACTCTCTGCCAGCCGCTCCCCCCTTTTGTCACAGGATGGTCCCGTCTACGACGAGATATCGCTCTCGTCGTAGATGCAGTAAGTGCCGTCAGCACCGGAGCCGTACTCCGACGGCTCCTCGTCGTTGTCATCGGTACCAGTGTAGGTAACGCAAATATCGTCGACGTCGCTGGCGACGATGTTGGTGAAGGTGGCGGAGTCCCCGTAGTTGTAGTTGATGCCTGTTTCAGAACGGTTAGATTGACGTTCACAGAGATTTGTATTGTACGTGAAAAGGGGGATGCGAAGCAGAGACATACCAGCAAGTTCGCTTCCGCTGGAGGCAGTGATACCGTCCATAATGACGTGACGCTCGTACATGGAGTCACAGTTTCCGCACGAGCGGTACAGCTTGCCGAATTCGGAGACGGTGAAGTCACTGATGGAGACGGTACCGGCACCGTTGTGCTGGACGACCTTGTCGGAGGCGCCGAAAGCACCACCACCATTGATGTAGGTGGTGTCACCAGAGTCTTGATTCTTGATGCTGAAGGCGTCCTCGCAGACTGCGGACCACCAAACGTTGGTCAAGGTACATGCACCTTGGCAGTGGACACCCTCAATCTGGTTGGGGCCGATGATGACGTTGGAGAGCGAGCCGCCCTCCTCGATCTGGAAGACGGCGTCAGAGTCGCCGCCCTCGTCCTGTCCGGTGCAGCTGACTCCGCGGTCGAACATAACCATGCCGCCGTCGAAGGACTCGCCGGCTGCAATGGTCTTGACGTCATCCAGGACGGAGGAGCCCGAGGAGGCGGGAAGACTGTCACGCTTGGCCTTGACCAACTTCGGGTCAGGGGCGGAGGTGATCTGAGGTCCAGGGGCGGCGAGGGCGCCGATGGCCAAGGAGGCGATGAGAAGCGAGTACTGCATTTTGATGGTGGTGTTGGTGAAGGAGTGGGATAAGATGATATCTAGTGGCCTGCTTAGACGTGGGATGTGGCAGGAAAAGAATGACAAGCACTGCTTGTATGCGAGTGAAGCTGTTGAAAGAAGGTGTGATGATGACTTGGGCAGAGAGTGCTGAGGAGCAAAAGAGAATTCATCATCTGGGTGGAAGTCACCGCCGTATTTATATCACATTCGATCCGTTGAACGGGCATCCGTGAGAATGGGTTGGGAGATGGAAGCAAAACCACCAGCTGTACTAGCTGCCGACAGCCGCCCAGACTTACGTTGATGACTTTGGATTAACAGCTGGGGGGTTCTAGAGAGCTCCTGGAAGAAATTTCTGAGATGAACCTGAAAACCCTGGTGCAAATCCCTGGTGATGGCTTCATGGGGGCCAACAGCAACCCCAGTGTTTGTTTAGAACAGATCAACAGACGCCTCCTGTCCCAGCAGAGTCATATATTGGTGTGTCGGCAGCGAGACGTGCCATTTTGATTGTCGTGATCCACCATCACACCTACGCAGCCGGAAAACCTGGCTGTTTGCATGTTCCCATGTTGATAAAATGGGTAGTATCAAGGATGCGCTAGACGCCCACGCTGCTTGACGACTGCGACGATGACCGGTGGACAATCTCGGCCGGCCGCCGTGGTTAACAATGGGGCCAGCATGCATAGACGAAATCCCGGTCTAACGAACACCGGGGTTGTCAGCGCCGCTGCCGTCCCCAGTTTTCTGAAGCACTGCCAAGCTTGATCATCGGCTTGGCACTCTCCAACAGCAGATTTTCGTCCGATTCCTCGGCGCACACAAGTGGGAGAAATGATATATTCGTCATACTTCGCTCGATCGGATCTGTGCAGGTATGTTTCAAGGACCCCTTTCATCAACTGCCCTGGAACCTGCAGCCCCGAGTAAATTCCGGCGTCGGGCGCTTGGTGTAAGTGGAACCGGAAAAGGAAGTACCCTGGTCGTGCTGTTCTTTCCTGCCTGCCTGCCCATGCTCAGGTTCTGTTTGAATGTGCTCAGTGGCACAGCACAGATTGGTGGGATATTTCTGACAATGTTGATCCTCATGACACAGACACTCCGAGTTGCCGTTACGAGATGTTTAAACGACAGTTAGTCCAGTAAGGATATTGTTCGAGTATAGTCACCCGGCTAGAAACATCACATCTACCTCTTACGTTTCATCCCGAGTTATGTTTGTAAGTATTGCATACTCCTTGAGTCATGCCCCTGGACCAGTGGCCCAACCTGGTTGAAAATCCACGACTGCGTGGGGTTTCGGATTATTTTACCTGTCTGGATTGGAGAGATACCTGGTGGCTCCATCTCGATCCCCCGTTTGCCCCTTCTGGCCTCTCTATTCTCTCTATTCATTCATTCTACAAAATTATCTCTATGGGTCCTTACAGGATCATTGGCTGGTCCGTGAAGTCGTGACCGTCGACCAGGTTCCCAGGCAGACTGTTCCATGGGGCAAGTTTGCTGAGCCGCACACACACATGGCAACATAAGTCTCCATCGTTGGTGTTTCCCAGCCGCGCGTTCTATCTGTCGACAGCATATCGTCAGTACGTAGCACAGGCGACGAGTATCAGGCTATTAGCGAGACGCAGGAACCCTAGTGAGCAAACAGTCAGCCGCACAGTTTCAATCTTGTTGGACTTCGCATCGAGGCTTCCCAACCTGTCAACTTTACGGGCTTGGGGAGTACCGAATTTGTGGGAGATGACTACTTGCGTCCATGAGAGTGCAATTTGAATTCATATCAACGACACGTAATGTGGGCTTCATCTGAACCCCTCCAAGGTACGCAACTCCTCACCCGTTCATCCCAATGCGTTGTCAGTTCCCACATTCCACTTTTCTCAGTTCTTGGCAGAGCTTCCCCAATAAGGAGCATGAACACCAAATTCCAGTCCAATGAAGGCATCCCTGGGATCCTCCGAGGGATTCTCGCATGCGGAGTCGGGACGTTTCTGGACAAAAGACGAGAGTTCCCAACGACATCCAACTGGAGGAACCGCGTCTACCATGATCTATTCCGCTGGCCCCGGTGCTGTTGCTGATAGGTGTAGTCATCCAAACCTGAGTCAGGCAGCGTCAGTCTCGTGGCGTCGTCACTTGGACCTTCTCGACACTCACCATCATGATCCCAACGATCAAGAGGCACGCAGTTTGGAGGACGAAATTGGCCGCACTCTCCTCCGGCCCGCACGAGGTCTCGGTTGCGTCCGTCTGAGCCCCGTGGTATCATAGCCACTACGACCCGAGAGGACGAACTCGCTCGTCTTGGGGCGCGGCTTTCCTTTTCCAATCGATGTGATATCATACCCACTGCGGCCTTCGTTGGTACAATCGCTCGACCGCGGCTCCGATTCCTTCCCGGAGGCGTCATAACCACTACGACTTCGATTGGCTGACATGGTAGCTGACAAGAAAGGCTTGAAGCTAATATATGAGCGTATAATGCGTCGTTTCATCTGGTGATGCGATATGGTGCTGCTGTGAGTTTGAGTTGGGCATCGATGACGGCCCCTATCTTATATGCCCAGATGATCTGCCCGAACATCACTCGCCCAGCTGAATGTACCTTGCTGGTAGATACAAATACGGTTGCTTCACGTTCTCGAGCATATGTCGTTTCTATCCAGATGGTTCACTCCATGCGAAAGAACAAAAGTCGAAATCTAAAAGCTCCTGGGTTGAAGTGACAAACACGGAGGTTTGTTGTCTATAGCCAGTTGCGGCTAAAGAGTAGGGACAAAGATATTTTTTTAAAAAAAATATCCGCAGCACATACAACAATTTTCAACACGCTGGGATCCAGAAATACAGCAACTTGCTTCTAGTCTACTCTATCTGTTAAAATCAATTTCGTGGCCCCGCCACGTAGCTGCGCACTAGTGTACGTGTGGAGTCGCGATAAAAATTCATGGGGAGGAAGGAATCCTGAAGCAAACCAGAACCTTCCGTCAACATCACGTCTCATAGACTTAATTCATGGATAATGAATGCCACGCACGCAAAGTTGTTTCACCTCCGAGCATCGATGTAAGCGACCTTGAGAATACGTGTGTTGACTTGCCGAGACTGACTCTCAGACTCAAGGTTGATCAGGACTCCCTTGGCGAATTCGCACATCACACCGATTTACAGATCTCGTAGGATCATCCTCAGATCCTGTATCTGATGTAAAGCACGTCTGATACGTTCCAGTCAGAGCCGCTGGATAGGAGAAAGAACATATATCATGCGGGTGATGTAGAGTATCTCCGGGTCCAGAGAGGGACTCCGCAATGAAGGTAATAGAATATGGTTTGCATTCCTGTTGAAAGTTGGGTATCATTTCCTGCGTTGAAGGCTCGAGCCTGCAGAGCAATGGGTAGAAGCCGTTGGGGGCTCACCGCGGACCCAGGGGCGAGCACGATGTGTCTGCTCCCCCTCCGATGACCGTTGCGTTCTGTCTTGTATACATCTTTTGGGTGTCATGGATTCATGGCCTCCGGATGTGCCTTGTTCCAACTAATCTCCCAAGTGATGGTTCCCTACCATTTCCCATAGATCCCGTGATTTGCAGATTCTTTCTCGGGTTGTAGCGTTGGCGAAGCCTCTCAGCTCCGAGTTGCTTTCGATGTCTGGAGTCTCTGTGATATGGTGCAGAATCAAAGTTATCGACAGGAAAGGCTCTGTTCGTCTCATTCATGATATCCGACTCGGGATGCTTTGGGGCTTGGCTGACCCATTCCCTGGGATCAGGGCTGAGTCGGTATGCGGAACCAGGGTGATAACAACGCGCCTCTCATTGTATCCGTACTGCAATAATGTTGCAGTTAAGACCGATATCGTTTTCATTAAGGGCAAAAGATTTAAATACCCTGCAATTTCCCAGACCTCCCACCGCCTTCCCAATCCATCAGACCCACCGATCGGGCCTATCAAGCTATCCATGGGGGCGTCGGCACCTTCTCATATTATGTCCAGTCTCAACTAGAGCATCGCGATTGTGAGCTCTCTGGAGGGCGGCGAGAATCCCCCTTTCGAATCCTCTCTTTGACAGGGCGTCCTCGAGGTACTCTAGTAATTGGAGGGTTACAAGGGTCCTCTGGCTTGAGCTTGAGCTCAGAGACGTTGATAGCTGGCATCGGGCTACTACACGTGGCAGCCCAAACTGTCGGAGAGATATATTCTGGTAGATAAGGGGTTATACCGTCCCCTCCTGCTAGTATTACGGTAATGGCACGCCCGCAAGGGATTCCATTCCTTTGATACCGACGGCATGAACATGTCCCTGCTGTCAAATTTACAATGCAAATAAGGCCGTCAGGCTGTACTACTCTTGCTTCCGTTGGTGACGAAAACTGAGCACGATTACTAGACGCCCATTGCCTCCCTTCTCGTAATTTCCCTTCAACGAATGGGGTAGCTGTCTTCCCTGCCTCTATCAACCGTAAAGCAGATTGAAGCCGAGCTGCCCTCTTCTCCATAACCCGGTGCCATATTGAGTCGAGGAGAGCAATAATTCGAAGTTCCCGATCAAGCTTTAATACTCCGTTTTGCGACTCGACGATATTACTTGTATCGTGGCCATATCGACGCCCAGAGAATAGCGCCTCGGCCCAAAGCGAAGGGTTTGCCGCCTCTAGATATGCCGCAGCTTCGGGCTTTTGTTGTCGAAGCTTCTCTAAAGCTGCCTCGTATTGGGCTAGAGTTGGTGCTCGGGCGATAGTCCAAAATAAAGAGGCAAGCCCTCTCCCGAACTTTCCCGTGAAATTCTCCTTAATATGATGACAGCACCACGCCCCTGTAGCTAGAATATGAATCTGCCAGATATCCTCACTAGGGGAATAGGTTGCTCGGCAGCGCCATAAACAGCCGCTTAACGCAGAGGCACACACCCAGGAGCCACGGGTCTTATCTCGCCGCTCAACCCGATAAGAGAATTTCTCCTTTACAGCCCAGTTGTCGAGGGCAAGCGATAGAGTATCAAGGTCAAGGAACTCTTGTCCATCAATAGGAATAGATAATAGGGGTAGCGACGTCATGTTGAGTTGAGGAATAGTAGTCGTATGCTAATTCCAGAGGCATGAAGTCAGAAAGCATGGCGGAAATGTGGAGAGAAAAGCGGCAGAAAAATTGCAGGTAAATAGATCTTTACAGGGGTTGTGCAGGGTATTTAAATATTTTGCCCTTTCATTAATTAGATGACTTCTCGAGTAACCACGTGATGTTGGTGATCAATCACACTCGATCTAAACGGAGTGTTCTCGAGGAAACCCCATGTGCCAAAACGGCTACGTATTCATGGTACTCGATTCTTCTTTTCATAATTGACATCCTACAGCGAAGCTGTCGTATGTTTTTGGCGCAGATTTGCCGATGGCCGTTGAGAATATCGCTGTGGTGTGGTGTGGCGTGGTGTGGTGCGCCATGTTCCGTGGGGTTAGTCTCCGTGTTTTATGTTGAAATCGAGAGACATGAAGTGACGTGAGCCCTCTTGACGCTTGGGGTGACTTGTTGCTGCCCAGCAAGGTCGTTTCCATTATGTTTGTCTGTTGTGATGGAGTTGGCATCCTTGTGATGACCGGCTCTCGTCTTGGATTGACCAGGACTGTGCAGTGGTCTCCGCTTCTCTACAATGAACTTCGATAAGTTGGTGAACCCTCTCTATGGTACCCAGCAAGCTTCCAAAGCCTTCAACATCTTGATTGGCAGACGTGAAAATGGATCTTTTCCGCGAGCAGAGTTGGTCAGGCCAGAACGAGGGGAAGACGCATCGATCGAAGGGCACAGTACTCTCTTTTGTGGGATGTCGACAGGCAAAAAAGCTGCATCCTTGCCAGATCCATAGGCCTCTTCTACCGTAGGCCATTTGCGTCTGTCGATGTCGGTATTGGACTCGACTTTATCCCAGACGGCAGGAAACTCCTCCTTGATGATGTCGTTGAAGAAGTCGAAATCGTCAGGTTCTGGGGCCTGGTCGCGGATGGGAATGCCGCAGTCATCCCAGCTTGCGTTAGAGTCGTCGTTGAAGGTATGGATGTGGGCAGGGGAATCAGGATAACCTCCGTTGCTAGTAAGTCTACTGTGAATATTGTCATCTTTCCCAGCGGACTTTTGGGACAATGAGCCGGGAGGTTTGGCAGAAAATTCGCTCGGTGCAGAGCTTGTTAAGTAAGTGCCGCTGGAGGAAGAAGTTGTCGAGGGACCCTTGCTTGATCGACGGCAGCCTTGATTGAGGAATTCGAACCAAGCTATTTGCATCCACTCGATAAAATGAGGAGGAAATTCCACCGCGCCGGAAAAGTGATCGTCGGATATCCCCTGGATTTCTCCCTCGTAAAGCATCTCAAGCTCTCCGGGTTGCGTAGTCCACGAAAGTGTTCGGGGGGCATGCAATAGTTGTAAGTAAAGGTTCTTGGCCGCCCGAGCGATATCGTGGAGGTTGAGCCAATCAAAGAGGCAATCTCTGCATGGCTCGACTTGCTCTCGCCCTTGGATGAAACTATCGCCTCGGATCTTGGACTGGTGGAACTGTTCAGAGTGGAAGTAATTGCTCTGGCAAGAGCAGACGGAATATCTGGAGTACCTAAGGCAGGTTTTTCGGTCGCATGGTGTGGCAGCAACTTGAAGAGCTCGGTCTCCGTAGAAGATGTATATGCCTTCTTCTAAGATGTTGGGATATGTGTCGACGGGGTGTCCCACAATGTTGATTTTGGCGAGGCCTTGGTCGCTACTATATACAGCAGCCATAACGGCGATGTCCTTGGAAGGCATGGCACGGCAACCATGGCAAGCCATCGTCGAGGTGTAATGGGTGCTGAGGTATCAGGAGATACTGGGTTGCTGATCGAAGGTAGATATCGTAGTTGCCAGTAGTTAGGAGACAGCGCATGTCCAGACGTTCGAGTAAAGGTAGATAGCTTCGGGGCTTAAGACAATATTCCCTTAATCTTGGGACGATCTTGTACTTCGTCAGGGAGAGATAGCATACGAGTCTGAAAGACCTATGCGAGGAATCGACAACGAACGAGAACATAAAAAAGGACCCAGCAATATGCAACTACATGCACTTCGGAAAATATTGGTTGTTTCTTTACCAGTGAGATACAAAACTTTGAAGCAACAGACTTTGCAACGATCCGGGAAAGTCATAATTACAGTTCTGGAAAGCCATAGACACGGACCCGAAGAGTCGAATAATCACTTTTACACTATCATCTATGCGAGGTATATAGACACTCGGGTGGTGTATATCGTGTTTTGTTGTGTTTGTAGTGACTAATGTACCTATTGGTTCTATTCGAGAGCCTTTGCCTTCCAGACAGAGGGAACAGTATTTTCTTAGGAACATAGCTCGTAGTCACAGTGACAGCACCATGGAGTTCGAAGAAGCTCCAGGTAATTGGAACTAAAGTCAACGGGTAAATCCAGACATTGGTTGTCGCTAGGTCTTGGAGAACTCTCCTGTATAACAGTAACAGAACAATGAACATGGCCGAGACAGTTTGGGTATTCTCATGAGTAGGCATTATTGCTAACCTTGGGGGCTATTTTAACTCTTTCTTTAGTCTCCAAGTTGTGATAATCACACCCCAATTATCAGACCATGTCTGCTGTGAACCTTCGAGCCGATTCTACTTAGTGGCGAGTTCAGGTGAGAAAACAGAGACATCAGTCTTTCGTAACTCCCATGTCTATTCGCGGGGCAAATCCAGAAAGTGTCCAATGCTTCATAAGATGAGATAGTTGGATACATGCCAGACATGGAGAGGGGAGACGGAAACGAGACGACAAGAAAAGCAACGAAATGCTGGAAGCATGATCGGGATCCCATAATGGGAACCGACTGTTTTGCTCAACGGATCTGTTGGACACTTGGCTGAGCAGAGACACCCAGACACCGATAAACCGAGGCTTCGCAATGAAAGGAGAGGGCATGGGTGCCCGCCGTAGTCCAGGTTGTTCGTGAAACCGAGTTCTTTCTGACGCTGGCAGGTGTGACCCCACTCCATATCCTCCGAAGTATGAATGGACTCGGCACGGTAGACGACATGGATGGACACTTGAGCTGGTGCAATGACGACGGAACCCGCAGCCTCGCCTAGTTATTCCAGCCTTGCATTACCTCTACACATGTCCCCATTTCGGTTTCTTCACCGACGTCACGTTGAATCCGAGGAACCAAATGGTCCGATACTGGGCAGGCGGTATCATCGTAAAAGGTGTATTTTATTGCCTAGCGTGGTCATGCCATGCTAGTTCGTAACCATCCATAGACCATTTCACTGAGCAAATCCCTTCCAATGCATGCAGTTTTCCCGAAAACGAGAAACCGGACCCCTATGTCATCGCAAGCAGCAACCTGAACCGACTTACACCTCAGTAGTAACCTTCGCCTTGGGGTTGGTGACCTTGACACCGAGTTGCTTGGCTCGGGCGATGATGTCGATTCGCTTTCTGGACGAAACGTTGTGGGCGATCCTACGTTGGCTGTTAGTACTCCCTATTCAGACCCATTCGCCAGGTCTGGAACCAGCTGCTTGTATGGTGTGTACGTACTCTGCGGCGTAGGTTCGGTTGTGCATCAACAGCAGCTCAACATCCTGGGTGTTGCTGACGAGGAAGGCCTTGTGGCCGGAGGGCATCATGTGGCGGGTCTTCTTGTTGGAGCCGAATCCGATCTGTTGTTGCATTCATGTCAGCTCTCGCTCTTTCCCGGTTATCCGATGCAGACAACTCCAACATTGGAGCTCTGTCCAAAATCTCAGTATGGCACTCTGAGGGCGGTGAAACGTACCGAGGGCATAACCATGCTACCTCTGAAGCGTCTTCGGACTCGGTTGTCGATACCCTTGGGCTTGCGCCATGATCGGTCCAGGCACTTGAAGCGATCCGACTGGTGACGGTTAAACGTCTTGGTGCCTGTTTGAGCGGTCATGTCAATAATTTTCTCCCTTTACAGCGCCGACCAATTTCTGCATCTCTCAATCGTCCATCCACCATGGCCTCTGCTCAAATGCAGGAAGGGGTCGCGGGTCAAACGTACGCTTCTTCACGATCGGGACATGCTTCTTTGCGGAAACCATCTTGTACAATTGTCAGTGTGACTGGTCCAGAATAGAAGTACAGGCTGGGTGGTCTGGCAGCATTTACCTTGACTGATTATCCCCGTTGCTGTGATGAGAGGTTAGTCGTCGATTTTTGTTGTGGTGTCGTGGTTGCGGCCGGGGAAAAATCGCACACCCACTTTGAATTTTGACGTTTAGGCGAAGAAGGTGCGGTCGACATGGGGCATCGAGCAAGGATCTTCCGAGCCAATCTGTGCGTTGATTGGTTGATCTCGAAGCATCAGCCACAGCACACAACCACATGCAGCAAGGCCTGCCCCTCCAGACCAATTGCTTGCGGTTCGTTCTGCCGCAATGGCTGTTGAGCTCAAATGATGGATATCCTAAAGTGCTTCGCTTCTTCATATGATCATACCGCGGGTTTTCAAACGTTGCCAGGCGCCTAGCCTTCTATGCTATCTATGCAATTCAAGCGGAGGATGGAATGAAACGGTGCACTGAGTGGAACAGTGCGGGATAGTATGGATTGCTTCAGGATGAAATATGACTTTAACTCTGGCACATCCCGATGGAAGATCTAGATACGCCCATAATTCGGTCCTGTACACGTCCACCCCCCGAGGAATGGAGGAATGGACCCAGCATGCACTGGCGCTATCACGCAATTGCAATCAGCAACTCACAGCTCTCTATTTGTCACATCGTCTATCGATGTATCATCCGCAAAACAAAGTAGGCATGGCTGATTTTCGTATTGGTGCGGAGTTGTTTCCTCGACGAGGATGACAGATGGGTGAATATATATTTGAATCTCCTATTGTCCATCTAGAGCCGGCCGTTATCCCTTAGGCCATCAGTCCATCAGTCCATGATCGAGATTTGCTCCCCAACTGTCTATGAGAACCAAAAACCCAAACTGTACTACCACAGTGCATTGAAGATGTTTCTGGCGTATCTTGCCCCCGGTATTTCATGATCATATCTCATATCTCGTTACTGTTGTGCACACTGGGGCTGCCCTGCGTCTTCGTCATCATCCTCCCATTCGCCTTGGAACCGGGGGTCCCCCGACTGAGCGCCCATCTATAGCAGGGTTAACGCGTTGCCTCAACATGTGGATAGCGGTCGCTTCACTTACATCTTCGATATCGGCATCGTGCTCAAATTCAACCTCGTCGACTTCCTCAGCCGTGATGGCCGGAAGTGGACCGGGCAGGAGCTTCCGCAGAGCCTCGTGGTCGCTGTCATCCTTGAGCCAGCCGTCTTCAGGGAAAGCAATCTTGACGATCAAGTACAGGTCGCCGTTAGTGTCTCCACGCTTCGGCGGCATGCCCTCACCCGCGACCTTGAGCACCTGCTCCGGCCGCAGGATCTTGCCTCTGGGGTGGGTGATGTGAATGCCACGGCCGTCCAGGTGCGTCAAGACGACACGAGAGAACCCGCCGAGCGCTTCGGCAAGTGTGATGTTCAGATCCGCAGAGAGATCAGCTCCGACACGGTGGAAAGTGTCGTGCGGTTCCTCGACCAGGACGAAAACAAGGTCGCCGGGTGTTTGATCAGGAAGCTGGTCTGCTTCGCCTTCCAAGACAATGCGCTCTCCCTGCATGGATCCTCGCGGGATGTAGATTTCCAGAGGCTTGGTTTCCGGGACCACCCGCTTTCCCTTGCACTTCTTGCAGCGCTCCTTCTCCTTGAAGTAGTTACCGGCACCCTCGCACTTGTCGCACATGGCCGCTTGCTTGGTGATCATGCCGGGGCCAACTTGTCGCAGCCTCTCGACAATGCCGTGGCCGTGGCATTGCTCACACTGCGTGGGCTTCACCTTGTCCTTGCCTCCACTGCCCTTGCAAGTGCCACAGATGACCTTCTTGTTTGCAGCGAACTTGACCGTTTTACCCTTGTATAGGTCCTCCAAACTCACGGCATAGCGCGACTCCTCGTCGTTGCCGCGTCGGGGGCGCCGTGGGCCGCCTGGACCCCCCATGCCTCCTCCCATTCCCATGCCGAACATTTGTGCAAGAATGTCGTTGATGTCGGGTCCCTCGCCCATACCGCCTCCTCTGCTGGGGTCAAAGGCGGCCATGCCATGTTGGTCGTACATTGCTCGCTTTTCGTCATCGCGAAGGATCTCGTATGCTTGTGTGATGGACTTGAACTTGGCTTCAGCCTCTTCTCTCTGGCCCTCAGGTACTTTGTCGGGGTGGTGTTGGAGGGCAAGCTGTCGAACAAAGATCAGTGCATGTTGCGGGAGAGGGGTTTAGCATGGAGTCTCACTTTCCGGTACGCCTTCTTGATTTCGCTGGAGCTTGCCGACTTATCTAATCCAAGCAGATCTGATGGAAATGATTAGCAAAAACGAAGAATCGGGAAGCGAGAGCCACAGCCAAACTTACCGTACAATTCAGTATCTTCTCCGGCGCCGTCCATGGTTGCAAAATTCCGGCCTGGTTGGTCCGGTCTATCCTGAAAAGATTCCTGATGTCTTTTGCGTCTGCGAAAGTGGTGTCGGCTCTATGGTCGATCTATGGAGGTTGATCTTGTCTGTTGAGACGTCGAAAATATTTAGCGGGGCAGACAGTGACGAGTGAAAAGCTGGAGCGCCTAGTAAAAGTGACGCCTGACCCTCTTGGAATTTCGCAACAGGCTTCCAAAGTCAAATGAATCAACCGTCTGAAACGGTGAAATAATGCCGGGGTACTATGGGCAAAAGAGGCGATGCAATGCACTAGAATGTCCAAGAAATTACCAGAACCGAGTTTAGTCACAACGCCTTACAGTCCTTATGGAAATGCGCAAGATCGCAAACTACAGCCCTAGCTCAAGTAGTAACACTATCGCGGGGCTTAGAATTTGAAATCCGAAGGCAAAAGACACACAACCATCCTGGAAGTAACATGGGCTGTGTATTGCGCCGGTCACAGGTATACCATGGGTTTCCAGGCAAATATAATCATCCCTTATTGTTAAGCCAGATCGAAGGTTTGTCGGCTATTCAGTTTGGGTGCTCGACAACTGTAGGGCTGTCCAATCAACTTTCCGATATTGGAACTTACAAGCAAGCCAAGCACTTGCACACAAGCAGAACAAACTACTACGTTCCAGCTCTGAGTATAATGCAAAAGTTTCTACTTGCAGTTACGTCCTGAGTTCTCCTGGAAGGTAATGAACTGCCGCTTCAACTCAGAAAACTTTAACTTGATGTCCTGTTCTATTAACCCAATGTATAGCTTACGCACTCCATAGATTTTTCAACTTCATTTAGTGAACATCAATACTAGAAGATCCGTCTCAAAAGTGGCATCTATAGCTGGTGTCCAATTTTTACACTATAAATGTATATATCCCCGGAAGACCAAAGGTACTTGAGCGAACAAAAGACCGTAAGAGGCATCAATACATTCTTGCCTTTCGTAAATGAGGCCGAAATTGAGCTTTCGCCGAAATTTAACGAGTCTCATCCCCAAGGTGGCGGCGGCCTTTGCTCTGATTGGGTCTTCCCAGACATTTACAATACATTTTTACATCCACTGTGTAGAAGTCATTTTCATGGGAACAGTTTACATCACCAGGTCTTTTTAGCAGGTACTATAAGCATATAATGACCCAAAAGGCATGCTGTTTTCTGCCCTGAAGCCGCAGAACGCTTCCGAGGTCGAAACCAGATAGAAATAGTGGCATGTGAATATGTTTGTGAAGCACTTATCCAGACTCGGCTTCACGGGACTTATAGCCTTCCCCAACCATCACATGTTTGCAATTTCTTTCACCACTGATTACCAGTGAACGTATTGTAAACTGGACTCCGCGGGAGGTTAGAGGGAGGCTTTTTAGATGGCGATGGCCAAGCCGCTGCACCTTTAGGCAGACGTCCTGGTTCCTCGTGAATGTCCAAAGTGGCTGACGGTCAGGCCGTGGGCCCCAGATTTAAAGCTCTCTGCATATACTATGCTATCTGGTGGGAGATGGAGTTGAGTCGATGGAAGACTCCCCTAGCAGAGAGAAATCGTGCGGTCCCCTTAGTGAAGTGTTCCCAATGAGGCGAAGAGGTTCTGTCGAGAACCCCAACAGTTCCAAGGCTTCACCCACGAGGAGAAGGAAATATGGTCAGCCAATTCCTGACGGGTAGTTCAGATGTATTTCTTCGAAAGTGTTAGCTGAACGTCAGCAAGGATGACGGCCATCAATAGGAATATGTCATCGCGTGCGCTTTTATGGAAGCGGATGACGATCTTGACCAATAACAAAGGGCTAGAGTTGAGGATCCAGACAATGACACTGCAGCGAGACTGCTAGGCCACCTTGACGACGCTGGTAGTACTCCAGAGGATAACAACGACGACAGCGTATTAAACTAGCGGATCGGGTGACCAATCATAACACCCAAGCCAGCTTGCAACAACGTCGTGCTGGCTTAGCAGTACAGGCAAGAGGATATGCTTTGCGGTATCATGTGTACTGAAGCCCCGCGACGGCAAGGTGAGGCAGCCGAAGCGTGGAGCTTGCCTCTCGTGTGGCTCTGATCCCCCGCCTAGAAAGATGCTCACTCGCTTCTGCAGTGCTATTACAATAATCAGTGATAAAACGCCGGGAATTGCGGCCTTTCCGTTTCGTTGGCTGACGAGTGTAGTTTCTCTCGAGGTTGAGAGTGCCCTTCCGCGAAAATGAATGTGCGATCGCTAACACTCAATGACTAAACGGTATTGTCTCATCTGAGGCAACACACGAGAATGCTTGTCTTGCTGTTGAGGGACACACAATAGAAATGAAGTGTATTATGGTGAGGAAAGAAAGCTAGGCTAGTGTTGTTGGTCTGGAACTAAGTAGTGTTGGTGGCTGCGCAGGGACCACCTCTGACTTGCTATTCTAGTAATATGCCAGTCATCACATTAGGACCAACATAGTGGTCTAGTTTGAGGAGAAAGGTTAGGTTGTTCGTTGGTGCCGTGTTTTGATGACAGACGGTGAACCATTAACGTGGCATAGTGGGGTCCAAGCTTGTCGTGACAATACCCGTTGCCGTCCATCACCCCGCGCAACGCAAGTTATCATCAAGATCCCTGCTCTTGGTAACCCGAGCTTGTGGTGACCGCCATCGAGTTCCTGCGTTCGCTTTGGGGCAAGTTGGTACCTTTTTCTCTCTCAAACATCAAGATTTTGGGTTGCATGATACCTTTCCGCTATTTCTGGAGTCAGGTTTATTTTTTTGCATCTCGACCCTCCAGAGCCTCCAGAACTCAGTGCCCGCACCGAACTGCACATTGGCGGTAAGAGTATATTCGCAACAACCTCATACCCCGCCAAAAGTTGGTGCCCGACAGATGAGCTAGACAGCTCACTTCCGTGTTGACGGAGCTCGAGACTTCTTTACTTTATTTTACTGCCCATCCGGCCAGCTTACTGCAACATACAAATTCCGGAGAGGTCTACGAGAAACACAGCTCCACATCCCCCGGGCGAGGGGCGAGGCATTCATCGAGACCGCGATTTGATATTGCCGGTAGTAGGAGATCGACGCCATCATGGCGCCGACCGATGCGCTGTCGGCGCCGGGGACGTCTTCATATGAATCGGACACGATGGTGGTTGGAGATGGCACGTGGGATTTCACCAAGAACACCTTTCTCCTCCCGAATCTCATGGGATTGAATTTTGAAACGATGCGATTCAATGGTAGGTGGAAGCTGTTCCAACTTGCAAGTGGCGATATCTAATTGATAGCAGGCATGGGCAATCGCTTCTCAACATTGACGCAATACCATTCATTGGTCACTGCCCACGGCGTCCTCGCTGTGCTCACCTTCTTGTTCATAATCCCCATCGCCATCTTCATGGCGAGGTTCTACCGGGGACGTACAGGGTTTGGAGTCAGGATGCACGCCTACTTACAGATCCTCGCCGTTGGCTTCACGACAGTCGTCTTCATTTTGGGGTGGTTCGCCGTTGGTCCTAATCGAAGTTTGACCAATCCCCACCATGGTATCGGTGTCGCCATCTACACCCTGATTCTGGTGCAAGCCATTGGGGGCCGCTTGATACGACACATTAGGAAACGTTCACTCAGGATCATGCTGCACCAATGGATGGGGCGCATTGTCGCACTTCTGGGTATTGCGCAGATACCGCTTGGTCTGACACTATATGGGTCGCCCAAGTATACTTTCATCCTGTTTGCTGTGTGGATGGCAATCTTGGTGCTCCTCTACTTCGTCTTGCAATATCGCCATGAAGGATACCGGGATGAATTCTTGGTCCATGGTGGAAGGTCTGAAGCAACACGAAGTCGGTACGATGTTTCGGAGCATACCGAGAAGAAATCCAGCCATGGTTGGCTCGGTCCAGTAGCTGCTGGCGCCGGTATCTGGGCGTTGCTGCGCGGACAGAAGAACAGGAAGGAGCGAGAGCGCAGCAGGAGCAGGTCTCGTTCAGTCAGCCGAAGCCGAAGCAGGTCGCATGTCCCCGAAGTCCTTCCGCCCCGGGAAGGATCCAGGATAGGGTCCAGATCCCGGAGAGATTCGGTGAGCTATACGGATGAGAAGTATTCTGAATCGCCACGCAAACGCGGCGGCATCTTCAGCAAAATTCTGGGCATTGCCGGCGTAGTAGGAGCTGGAACTATGGCCAAGAAATATGCCGATCGCAGGGAAAGCCGAAGATACGAAGGCGATTCGGAGTATACGTCTGTGGCGAATGACACACCTAGCCGACACAGCAAACCGAAGCGATACCCGAGACCACCACCCACCGAGAGCGCCTTCAGCGACGACTATACGGATCTCACAAGAGATGAGAGGCACGGTCCGCTACTTCCTGGGCCGGGTGACCCTGTTGCCGCAGCTGCCGCTATAAGTGCTGCCGAACCACGTCCAATTAGACCAGTGACACCACAACGGCCCACTCACGCCAAACCACCCCTTTCATCCAGAATCGACAGCGATTATTCCAGTTACGATTCTTATGTAAGCCCGTCTAGGAGAACGGAACAGCCAAGTGGGAGCGGGGCCGGAAAAGGCCTTCTTGCTGGTCTGGGAATCGGTTGGCTTGTCAATAAGATGAGAGGCCGAAAGGACAAGAAAGCAGAGGAGGAGCGATTCAGGGTTGAGGAGAAGAGGCGTGAAAGCCGCCATGATCCTAGGTACGCCGGTGGTGCGTTCATGTCTCCAACCCGGAAGCCCTCGCGTCGCCACCAGTCCCGAACCGGAGGAACTACAATCACGACTGATTCCGAGTTCTCTTCGGCCATCGAACCGCGTCCTCCAGGTTCTGGATATGGGGGACCCCCGATGCCGCCACTGGGTCCGGCAGGCGCGGGCTCTGTGCCTCCTATAGTCCCCATTCCGGTTCCGGGTCGTCGTTCGCGCTCCAGGTCTCATTCGAGGCATTCTAGGCATTCAAGATCTTATTCAGGATCGGGGTTGTCGAAGTTGGAAGTCATTGAACCAGTTGATATGCCATATATACCGCCCGAGCCCCATGGCATTCTCCATCGTGACGAGTCGGGCAGTGAGAGCTACATGTCGGCTGGTGGACACCCACACAGACGACACTCATCAAGGCGCCAGCGAGCAGGAGAACAAGCAGCGGCCGAAGCAACGGCAACAGCATCAGCCCTCGCGGCCGAGGAACAATCGCGGCAGCGACGCGACCGCAGCCGAAGCAGACCTCCAAGTCAACCCGTCAGCGTCAAAGTCAAACACCATGACGACCGCATCACGTTGCGTCGGCTCACAGATGAGGAGGCAGCGCGTGAGCAACGCCGGCGAAGACGATCAGCTTCCGCGAGTAGTGCTTCAGGAGCTGAGTCTGGTGGGCGTCGCCGCTACCGAAGGGATTCGAGCTCTCGTCGCCAGGCTGAGGAGGCAGCAGAACACATGACCAACGAACCCCTTTCGCCGCCGACGCCTGCGTTCGCTGGTGGGCGGCGTCAAACCTATGCGAAGGACTCAGCGTACTACTCGGGAGGAGCTGGGCCCGCGCCGTCAGGCCAAGCTCCGGTTACACCCGTGCATGGCAACCCGACTGTTTCTAGTATTGGCAGTCATGGTACATGGAGTGCGATGAGTCCTTCTCCCAGTGGGCCGACTGGTCCCTCTGCTGCAGGCTCTGTCTCAGTTTCAGCAGCAGACAGGCGCAGACGGAGACGATTGGAGAGGAGGGATAGCAGACCGGCGGTAGGGACAGTTGATTTCGACTAAGGCCAAACCGGCCTCGTTTGCTTCATACTCATGGTTTGGCGTTGAGGGTGTCATTGGCAATTTAGAATTTACGTGGCTCAAGCAGAGAGAGAGAGAACATAGTATTGGTTGTTTGGAATGTTGCATCCAGACCAATGAAGAATTTGGAAGATCGAGATCACACACGAAGAAAATGATGATTACTGTACTAGAATATGACTAAAACGATAACATAGCATGACGCAAACAGGGCTGGTGCTTTAGGTTGCTTTTACACATTGTGAGATGTTCCAAAAGTTGACACTAGTGTGGTGTGATACGATCTTGATGGACCCTAGAACAAACCAATCGCAAAACTGCAATAATAGTCTATCGATAAGCGCATAAGAAGTCGCGACGCGGTTCGACCTTCAACTTTCGACTTTCAACACTCAAATTAGAGAAAACGTACACAGCTTCTCACACCTCACAACACCTCTCCCCCGCAACAATGACGTCCGAACCCGCTGCCCCCGAAGCAGGTGACCAACTTCAACCTCCCATATCTTCCAAGTCGACAGCCGCATCAACCCCGGCACCCACCCCTGCACCGACAGCAGCACCACAACCCGCAGCGCAACAACCTCAACCCCAACCAGCACCTGCCTCTTCCCCACTCCCCTCACGGCACACAGCCACGACCCCGGGTCCCCGTGCAGCGCGCTTCCAAGAGCTCCTCAACGGCGCCCTATCATCGACGCTCAAGAAACTCGCCTGGGATAACTTCGCCGCCTGCTACCCGACCATCGCGTCGTCTGCGCCCGCGACGCTCAAAGCCGTGCAGAAGCAGATGGTAGAGAGGCTGGGCGCACTCTGCCGGAAGGAATTCGACAGTATACTCGCGAATCGGAATGTAGTGGCGAAGTTGAACGAGCTCGAGGGCTTGGTGAGCGAGGCGGGGCGCAGGAGGGATGAGGGGGGGTTTGTGGGGGAGGAGAGGGAGGTTCCTGTTCCGTGAGTTGTCCTTGTTTATATGGTTTGAATTTGTTTTTGGTCTGCTACTGGGCTGGCGGTATTATGGGTGCTATGCTTGGCAGACGTGGCCGCAGAGATGGAAGCTAATATCGCGGAAATGATGCAGTCCGCACATGCTCTCCGCCGAAGACGTCCTCGCCGCGCATCTGGCGCCACACCTGGCAACCCAGCAGTCGCAGCTCAACGCCCGACTGCAGACGATGCAGGCGCACAACTCGAAGCTGTTCGCCGACATCCAGGGGCAGCGCGCTGAGATGGCGTCGCTGATGGCGTTGCTGGAGAAGCTGTTTGAGGATATCGATGGGGCGAACCAAATGATGGATGGGGTTATGGATGATGTGGCCAAGGAGACGCGGACGGTTGAGTTGGAGATGTCGGGGACGTAGTGCTGCTGTTGTAAGGGATGGATGGGAAGAAAAGGGCAGCAGTCATCGTTGTGAATAACGAGGACAGGGGCAAGAGAAAGGCATTTGCAGTTACGATTCTACGGAGCATGAGGACGAACAGCACCCTTGTTTAAATAGATCGGGGGGCTTGTGGGATACCAGGCGTTCAGGAAAGGGCGTCAAAACAGAATTTGTGTCCAACGGACGAGTGCAAATGAATTGCATACTTGCATTAGGGTTGTAACTCTATGTACATTGAGTATGTGTCAGTAATGTGCCAGGGAAATTGTGGTTAGATGGTCTACTCCAAATTAACCAGGCCAAGATAATCCACAAATTTCTCAGAAGTGATACCCGACAGTTGTGCATTCGATAGCCGGGGTTGACGGACAAGAAACATGCCAACAGTGTCTCAAACAACTAAACTCCCTGTCACATGAAGTGGTATCGTAATGTTATGATATGCGTTCGATATATGCTCCTCAATGTTTTTAATGCTCCTCGAATGCAAAGGAAACATGGGGGTTGTCTTCGTAACGTGACTCTTCGTCGTCAAAGTGCGCCGCCTTCGACTTGAAACACTTCAGATCCTCCTATTCTCAGCGCTCCATACCTGGAACGGGCCAGTGACTTCGGCTTCAAAGTAACCCGGCGGCAGAACGCGTACCATCCGCCCCGTCGTCCAATCGACAAACCACCGCTTGCCCTTCATGATGATGTAGTTGGATTTCCGAGGGCTGCGGAAGAGCAGGACCGCATAGCAAAGCTTGGCATAGACCATGTCGTGGGCCGAGGTCCACTGGTGTTGTGGTCTCCATTTTCCCGTCTCGGGCACAATGGCCTCGTTCGGGTACGACGTGGTTGACAGCCGGCTTGGAAGCGGCTCTAGTGTGGTTGGGATGGGTGTGTTGGGCCCATCGGGCACTCTCCCCACCGCTGATGATGATTCGGGCTGCTGTGAAGGTAAGCGAGGAGGCGTTGATGCGACTTGTGGTCGTGGTCTTGTGCGTGGAGTCATAGCCGAGTGATGTACGACGGGCTCTGGGCGTGATGAACCAGTGGCATCCGAGGCGACGCTATTCCGTCGTTCCATCATCTCGCCACGGAAATATCGTATCCTCGCCACTCGAGGAATGCTCTGGTCTCTTGGGAAGTGGCGGTCATCTATGGCCGGCGCGATATTTATGGCTGCAAACAGAGCATCTAGCCATCTTACGAAGTTGGGTAGCTCGATGCAAGAGATCAAGAACTGATCTGTCTCGGCTCGAATTCGGATGACATAGCGACGTCTGCGGCATAAAGGTTAGCATGACTCTTCTTTTTTCCTTCCAGGAAATCCCATTCTGGCAGATGGCGGTGAGACGTGATAGCCTACTTTTGATAGTCGGCCGCGATTCCAACATCGGCGTATAATAAGGTGTAGGTCTTCTCCAACTTGGCTTTCCGCAACCACGGCGGGTTATCTGGCGAGACATGCGGTCCGCTCTTGCCAGTCTTACCCCATCCCCAGTCCTTTTTGATATGGTAGATGTGCAGCGCGGTACCTTGAAGTACCAAGTATCGATTTGTCCATTTGCGGTCCTCGGCCCTCTTGATGGTGTTCTCGATTTCCATCTTCATGTTGAACACGCCCTCAGCTGTGATGCTGCACGAGTACTGAGGCAAGGACTCATCTTCCGCGACTGATTCCAGAATGTGCTTGCCGAGCGATCTAACCTTGGCCAGTGGCTCGGAGGCCGGCGATTGTGACAAGCGCGGAGGGGCGGATGTCATGACCTCCTGGTAGTATAAGTCTTCCTCCAGGGATACACGGCGCCGAGGAGGCGGCGTTTCTTGTTGGTGGCCATCTTGATGTCTGGCTATAGCCGCCATGGACGCGGGATTGCTGCCTTTCTCGCCCTCCCCCTTCCTTTCGCCAAGTCAACAGTGCAAATTAACCCGAATTGGCACGTCGGCTTCGTTATTGCACGCCCCTCTTCATAGTGCTGATCAGCTGATGTGCCGGTGCCGTCGATACGGCGCTAGATGACTGCGAGATGAGCCGGAATATCCAAGATCGACAGAGGGAATTGTCCACCTTGAAACAACACGAGAGGTCGACAAAACAGAGAGAAACAGGTAGGAGATCGGGAACTAAACAAGAAGTTACGCAATCGGCATTGGCAACAACGCAGCTGTTGCTATGTATACGACAGGAGCCAACGTGTTTGTCCTGACTCCTATGGCTTCAGACACCCGGTTAGTCAGAGTCCCAGATTCTATTGATCAGCCAGTGAAAATAACTGCCATGCCGGGGATTATGTCAAAGTAGAAATTATATGCCGTATTTGACGCCTGCATCGGCTGAATCCCATGGTTCATCTCATCGATGCGGCACAGGGCATTGTCGACTGCGGTCCTATTGTGGCATTGCCGCTAACCATTCCAGGGAGGTGATAAGCTTTGAGGGGTCTGAGGGGCGAACCAATGTTCAGATAGGTCACCTTTAGAATCATAGGGGATCTCTTTCCTGTCGAGTGTGTTGCGTTTGAAAGCCAATGGAGGGGCAGTGATGCATTGCAACAAGAGACACTGGTCGGGGAAGAGTGGATGCTGCAAGAGTGCTGCAAGAAGGCTGCACCTTTTCCCAGGTCTGCAGCGACTTCTGCAAGCCAAAAGACGCCGGATTGCCTGGGGTGGAACCGACGGCTTCCCTTCGAATTCCAGAACGTCCAGATGCCAGAGGGAACGACTAGGTCTGTGACTTCGGGTCGAACCCGACCAAGACTTCAAGACTATTGGTGGATTTGCAACATCTTCGTTGTTGACCGCTTGCCGCTTGGTGAGGATCCGTAGCGATAGTTGACTTTGGGAAGGTAACAGTGAGCGCTTCGGCCAATCGAGGAAACACGCACCACACACTCGTCTGCATCCCCGATTCTCGATCGTGTGTCACCGCTGCATAAACACGAGATACGGTACCATCGAGTTTATGCCAATGCTCGATTTATGAGCCCGGGTATCGCAAGCATAAGGTTGCGCAAACATGCAAATGGTCGTTGCAGCGTGGATGGTGATGGATACGAGGGTGCATTGCGAGTATTGTGGGGTGTTGGCTGGAAGTTCAAGGCCCACGAGATCGACGAGGCAAACTCGCGAGATACAGCTCCTTGGCCGGCCTGCATGTCAATCAACCCGATGATGGATGAATATGTGAAGGAGCAAGCGGTGAAGCGGTGGATGGCGATTGAAAGAAAAGCTTATTTTCTCAGCATTCGAGGCTAATCGGTCCTATATGCTGGACAATGGTGTTTGAGCTACTAACAACTCACTCCAGGATCTGGTTGTCGTCTGCATACTTGTATTGAAGTAATTGCTTCAGTAAGTGGATGTGAGAGAATGGACTCGCATCTCTCAAATGCAACAAAACGACTAGCAGCTGACCAGTCCATACTTCCCGCGGTGGCAGTTATACTGCTTTACAAGTACTTTATACAGCTCTAGACGTCTAACCCAACTTTTGTGAATATGTGGATGGCTTACTATCCGAATCACACCAGCTCTCAGGTCCCAAAATTGGCCTCACCTTGAGGAAAGTGCCGGTTCTCAGCGTCATTATCTTCGTTGATGGCATTACACTAATACATACGTAGGATGTTTTGATACTTTTCCTGTACTGTACATCGTGATGTTTGCACTTCCATGTCTCCCGAATCACTCCTTCCATGCATGCAAATGATTATCAGCTTTTCCCAGCCGCCGAACAATGTACAAATCCTCATAGCGTAGCCCACATGCCAACCATTCTCATAGCGGCGTATGCGCAGAGCTCAATTTTGGCCCAACCATAAGAGCATACCAAGGAGAAACCATGAACCATCATCCTCATAGGCCACATTGCCGAACCGCTCCGGCTTCTTCAGCAGGGATCGACGAAGACGAGTAAAGCAACCACCTCAGCACCAGTTAAACCTGCTCATGGCGGGGCACCATCACCACTGCCACCCGGCTGCCTGTAGAGGCTGGTCGGGAATAGATCCCTAAGCATTGGCAGCTTGGGAGGCGCCTCTGCCACGGGGAGGCATACCGCCACGTCCTCGGTTTGGGCCACCGATGCCGCCTCGTCCAGGTTGGTTGCCTGACCGGCCACCTTCAAAACCTCCACGCCCAGCCTGGTTGCCCGGTCGGCCACCATCGAAGCCTCCACGTGCACCGCGGTTGGGCATGCCACCTCGGCCTGCGTAGTTGGCTCCACCATATGCGCTTGCCTTCGGTCGTCGGGGCTCGATTGTTATGCTCTCGCCGTTGATGATGTGCGGGTTGGCCGCAAAAGCAGCTTGGTAACCTGCGGGCGAGGCAAACTCGACGAAAGCGCAGTTCTGTTTCATTTGTTAACATATGGCTGGATGCGATTGGTCACGTGAATTCTTGGTTGACTTACCTTCTGGCGATTGATGTCAAAGTACACCAGCTCACCGTGCTGAGCCAATGCCGCCTCTAGCTCTTCGCGCTGGACCTTGGTGGTGACGTACTTGACATAGCCCAGCGCGCCCTCCTTCTCGGCTGAAGGACCCGAGATGGATCCTGGCCGGTTGTTTCTCTTTGACTCGCTTCCAGCTGTTTGCCACTCGGAAGACTCTTTCGAGGAGGCGGAAGCAGCGCTGGCGTCCGTTGCTTGGGCAGGAGCAGCAGCCGGTTGCGAGGGAGCCGAGGGAGCCTGAGCTGGTCGTGACTGAGTGGCGGCGGCAGGCGGTGTTGCTGCCTTGGAAAGCGGCAGCGCAGGAGCAGGTCGTGATCCAGCTGCAGCAGCGATACGGCTCGCCCAGGTCATTGGCTTAGGGGGCTGGGCCGGCGCTGGGGCGGCAGCTGGGGCAGCGGCAGCCGGGGCCGGTGGTTGGCGGCTCACCACAGGGGTCGGGCTCGGGTCGGCGGGCTTTTCGGGTTCCTTCGTGTCTTCCTCCTCCAATTCCTTGGCGGTCTTTTCGGGGTCAGGAAGAGGCTCACTTTCGGTCTTGACGGCTTCGTCCTCGGCAGCGACGGCCGGTTCGGCGGGGGTTTCGACAGCGGAGTCGCCGTTGACGGATGCCGTGTCCTCGGCCTTAGCGGTCACCTCCTCCAACTTCTCGTTGACCACTCCGGGATCGAGTGTAGTTGTCGCTTGGAGCTCCTCAGCCACCGACTCGGGCTGAGCAGGCTCGGCCTCTACTTCAGCTTCGGCTTGGACATTTGCGGGCAGCTCCACGGGAGCATCTGTATCGGCAGGCTCTTGCGGCTCCTCTTCACCTTCTTCGTCAATGTAGCGGAGAATATCGTTCAAGACAAAGTAACCCGAGGGCTGCTGAGCAAGCACAAAGGTTTGAACAAACTTCTTGGGGTCATCACCGGCCTTCTTAGACGTCTCTCCGATAACTTGAATCACGATGTTCTCGTTGGAGGACTGCGAATCGACGTTGCTAACGCGGACCTTGCACTGGTCTCCAAACTCGAGGGCCTTGATCCGCTCTTGGATAGCCTGGCTGCGCTTTAGTTCCATTTGCAGACATCATCTTATTCGGGGTCCTTACCTGTCTGCCAACGGAAACGCTGGCAACCTCGGCCTCCTGTCCATAGACGAATTGGGATCGCTTGCCGTAGAACAGCTAAGATATGTCAGCTTGTCATTCCGTACTATACGAATTGGGAAACATACGTGAAGCTTCTCGGGTGTCTTGCTCAGAGTTGTATAGTATTGCTCAACGAAAAACCAGGCAATCTCATCCTTGCTAAGGTCGACTTGACTGCCGGCAGCAGTAGAGGAGCTCGATTGGTCCAGTGCGGCCGTGGAAGCACCTGTAGAAGCGTTGGTCTCGGAAGCTGTGGTGAAGTGGTTGGAGTAATTAAGATTACCGTTTGTTGCCATGGTTCCGGTGGTAGCTTTGATTGCTTGCGCACTGCGGGATGGTTTTGATGCCGATACAATGGGTCTGAATGGGGGCGTTCAAGGGCGAAGGGCTCAAGAACTGGACTAACATAAGTAAGTTGTTTGTCTGTACGAGGTGGTGAAGCGACGGTGGCGTCGAAGCTACTCTTACCTTCTAGGGACGAGTCGCAAGCAAACAGGGGGAAGTGAAAACAACAAGATGCTGCTGCGCTGTGCCTCAATAAATGAAAAAGAAGACCAGTGTTCGCGCAAAAGGTAGAAAGATGGGAATAAAGGCGGGCGGCGAGATGGGGTTTGTCTGCGTCGCGCGGGTTTAGGTGGTGGTTCGCGATTGGCGGAAGTTGGAGGCGGACGGAAGGAAGGAAGGAAGGCGCGAGGGCAGAGGTGGCTTGCGGTAAGCTGGGCACTGATTTTATCTACCGTTGTCCTATGAGTAATAGCGACAATGATGTGGGAAGGCACAACAATCGGGTTGTCTGGCGTTGGGTATGATGCGAAGCAATTGTGGATGGAGAACAGCTCTGTTCGGGCTGTCCAGAAAAATCTTGGATCCGAAAAATCGTGGAGCAAGTGAATAATTGGAGATGGCAGGTGCGCGCTCTACGGTGGTCGGAAATTCATCGGAGTTTTCCGAGTAATTTTGGAGCAGCGCCATGCCAAGACATAACCTTATGTTTCCAATGGGGGATGAGGACTTTGAACTTGATTCATTTCCAAGGTTAATTAAAAGTATTTTAGGTGGGTGTGAATGAAGCACACTTGATTTACCGTGTCATTTTACTCCTCTAGCTTACCACAAGCGTATTGAAGATTCCAAGGCATCTAGGAGGTAACTGATCTGTGAAGGTGTTGTAAGGGTCACTGACAGCAACTACAACATGGAACTATTGGAAACACCACGATATATTCTCTACCAGAAGTATACATGAACTTGACACCCCGACAACCTCATATCATGCTTGGCGGCTAATCCGAGGCTCCGCTGTGATAATTCTGGGTTCCCTTGAAGTATATGTTTGCACCAGATCCGTTTCCCCCAGGAATGTCGCACTCCTCCAGCGGAAGCAAGGCATAGTGCCTCTAACATTTAGCTGCTCAGCAGCTGGACTTCGTCCACTGCTCTCTTGCATATTACTAGTGAGTCGGTACCTTCGGAGGCTTTCTTTCTTTGTAAACTGAGAAGATGAATGGCGTCATGGGGACTAGTCATATTTAATTAAGTAGGCAAATGTGTCTAAACGACCGTGGTAAGTCACTTACTCCCACCCACTATACAGTTTCAAAACCATCATCCAAGAGAAAATCCCTATGTAAATTAAAGCACAATTCATTATCGCCTTCAACCTAGCCGGTCAAGGGTGAAAGACGTCTAGAATGTACGCCAATTATTGGAACAAAGCAAACAAAGTGGCGATGGTAGTCCGCAAGCAAGCTGGCCACCTCAAAGAACTCATTCATTCCCCATTGTGTTCAATTTCATTCAATGCTGCAGGATAAATAAACCCAGATGCCCGTGGTTTTCTCAGCAGTACTGAGCGAGCTCGCTGACGGTGGCCCTTCGAGGTAACAGTCAAAACAGCCTAGCAGTTTCCAAATTCGGATCCGTCCACAGGCTTCATCAGCCACGATGACCTGGATTTCGAACCCCCTTTCTCCAGAAGTGCAGCAAGATGTCGTTTTAGGGGCGACAATCAACCTAGTTTCTTTACTGTCCGTAGTTCTTCGTCTCTATGCGCGCAAGATCACGAAAAGCGGATGGAAATGGGACGACTGGTTGCTGGTTGTTTCAACAGTCTTTGCAAATGCGTTGTTCGTGTTGTTTGGCTTCTGTAAGTATTTCTTCAACCCCTAGCTAGCGTGGAAAGTCTTACTGACCACTGCTGTTCAATGTTCAAGTGGTCGCTGGTGGTGTCGGACGCCATATTACAGAGCCGTACGTGAGGATAAACATGCCAATGATGTTGAAGGTTGGTGATACGTTTCCAAAACTTCGCGTCTCGGAGCAATGCACGAGTGCTTACGATGATATAGTTGGTTCTATCGTTTGAAATAATATTTGGAATCTGCGCTGTAACCACCAAAATGAGCATTCTCACCTACTATCTTCGACTCTTTCCCCACGAAAGCGTCAAGCTTGCAACCAAGATCACCATGGCTCTGATACTTTCCGGATGGACATGGAGTTTGTCACAAATTCTTCTGCAGTGTCGGCCCATCAGCGCCAACTGGGATCTCGATCTCCTACGGACCTGCCCCCTTTGGAAAACAACGTACATCGCCACGGCATTCGTAAATCTGGTTGCAGATCTATTAGTTCTCGTCCTACCTATTCCGCACCTTGCGAAGATGAACATAACGCGCCAAAAAAAGGTTGGGGTCATTGGGTTGTTCACCCTGAGCTGGTCGTAAGATACCCGTAACTTCAAACATACGTATGTGTGTGCGTGCGTTATTGCTCATCACGAACCACAGGGTAAGCGTGATCGCCGGCCTTCGAATCTACGAAATGCTGCGGATAGACTACGACGGTGATGTCACTGGGACGAGTGAGACGGCCTTGTTCTATGCCACATTCGAACCCAACTTCGTCGTCATCGCTAGCAGCTGGCCGCTGATTGCGCCCTTGTGGATGAAACGATGGGAGGCCAAAAGAAACGCCCGCATTGCTGCTGCTGCTCCTCCTCGTCCTGTTCGTCCTAGTAATCCTTCCCGACCAGTACAGCCTGCAAGTCCTATGCCCGAACTCCTACACCTGGACTCAATCGGAATTTCGATCGATCTTTAGGCCATTTCCTCGTTGAATGGCTATGACCTGCACGATGTGTCTTTGAACCACACGCGCAGCCGAAAAAACAGCTCCTGATCTTCAAGTGACCCTTGGTTCTAGTAGAAGGCTGACTTTGTCATAGATCATTGTTATCTCCGAAGAACACCGCGAACCGGACTTTGAATAGACGCAGAAACGTTGAAGGGGCGAAAGGAGAGGAGACATGCCCTATAGCTTCCGTTGGCCCAATCTGTAGTAAAACACAATTCTATAAATTTGTGTTTTACGCTAAAACAGGGCTGTTATCACAAATGCAACAGAAATCATATTATGCTGTGAGATGCCGCTGAATATTGCTATAGCATAGGGGTTTGGTAACTTCGATGACGGCCCTATGTTGTGTAAGTACTTATACTTAGGGTTAGTATCAGAATACCCAGACTCCCAAGTGACCTTCAAAAAGTCAGTATGAAAAGAACAAAAGGGGTAACTAAGTGTGATTAACCTAAGCCGGCTCCTTTATTCTAGTGTAGCAAACTGAAATGACGTACTTAAGTACTTAAGTACTTGTACATAAGGAGACATTCCACCTGGACCTGGGGGGCTCCTTTTATTCATCCCGAGGTCACCTGCTCGACTAGCTTACCATTCCCCACCACCCCACCGGTAACCAAATTAGCAGCACCTACACTATAATTACTTCAACTTCAATTATACGTATCTTAATAGAAATTGAAGCTATTTACAAGCCGATTGCACGAATAAATAGCGAATTGAATAGAGTTTTCAATTTAGCATTTTTAGAAAGGTTACACGATACTCCACATCGGTACTACGGAGTTCCGGCAGCCGTAAAATTCTGATTCTACTACGGCCACGATGCCCCTTTGACTATTATTCTATAAGTACTACGCTTCAGTACACCAAAATGCCGCGCCGTAGCTGGACAGAGGACCAGATAGCTGAGGCTATTCTAGATGTTACCGATAATGGCCTGTCGCAGTACAAATCCGCCCAGAAGCATGGAGTGCCGCAGCAGACCCTTTCCGACAGAATCAAAGGCAAAGGGTGGCCAGACAACCCTATACCGACCAGCAAGCGGGTTTATATAGCCCAAGAAAGCCGTATAGTCGACTGTATCATCATAAAAGAGTCCTTGGGATATACCCCTACGCACAATCACGTACGCGCTTGCGTTTCTACACTTCTGGCTCAACAGGGGGATACCAACGAATTAGGGAAGAGCTGGCTCAACCTATTTGTCTCTAGACACCCAGAAATTCGTACCAAGATGGGTAGAAAGCAGGAGACAGCTCGATTCAACTCGTTTACACCAAAAGCCGTACATTGGTACTTTGATAACCGTGAGAGAGAATACGGCTGGATTAAGCCAGAAAATACAGTTAATGTCGATAAGGGAGGCATAATGGCTGGCTTTGGTAACTATCTATTAGTCTCTTAGGCAATTATCTATGCTAATTACTATACTATAGGCCTTGACGGGCTCGTATTGGGGAGTTCTGACGCCCAACAGAAGGCTATAATTAAGAGCTCACAGGGCCGTAGTTGGACTACCTTTATTGAAGCCACTACAGCCGATGGCCGCCTTCTAGAGACAGGTATAGTGTTTAAAGGCAAAGAGCTCCAAAAACAGTGGTTCATTGACCAATTCCGAGAGATCTGTCCCCACTGGCGCTATATAACGTCACCAAATGGCTGGACAGACAACCATATAGGCCATCAGTGGCTTATTGACGTATACTTGCCTCAGACGCAGCCAGCAGACCCCTCTGATGCTAGGCTAATTATAGTAGATGACCATGGGTCCCACGCCTCTGTAAGTCTTCTAGTTATTGCAGTATAACTGTACTAACTGGGCTATATAGGATGAGTGGATGACTACGTGCTTTATGTACAATGTATACTGTTGTTACTTACCGGCACACACTTCCCATGGCTTACAGCCAAATGAAAATGGCCCCTTTAACGTATTGAAGTCGGCCTATAGGGCAGAAGTCAGTAAATTGGATAGAATGACGGATGCGGCGCCAGTTGACAACGTCAACTTTATCCGGTGTTATAGTACTGCACGCAAGGCTATAACCGATAAGGTCATTAAATCTGGCTGGATAACTACTGGAAATTGGCCAACTTCAAGGGCCAAGGCACTACGGCATCCAGAAATCCAGGTAGATGTTGATAAAAGGGGCACTCCACCGCCGCCACAAGCCCCTGGACTTGACAGTGATTCTACACCCCGTACGAGCCGTCAAATCCGCAACTTTGCGAACAAGTCAAGCCCACATAGCCGCTATAGGCTACAGAAGGTTGCCAAGGGGGTTGAAGCCTTAGAGGCAGAGTTGGTAGCCGAACGCACTAAGGCTACAGCATTACAGGAGGAACTAGACCGCTTGAAAAGGGATAAAAAGCGCAAGTCACTGCCAAATACGAATCGCCGTTTTATAACATTATCAGAAGCACTAGCTGCAGGGGAGCCCCCTAATAACCGTCAAGTACCAGCCAATAATGGGAAAGTTGTGGAAGTTGAGGATGAAGGGGTTGATTCATCAGAATCAGAGGCTACGGCCGATGATTTGCCGGCCGCTGTAGTCACACGAAGTGGTCGTACAGTCAAGAGGTGGCGATATTCTTAAACTCCATAACAATAGCTACATAATGGTATAACTACGGTATAAATAGCTTCAATATGTACGGAATTATGTGTAAGTAAAAATGTAGTGTTTTTGCAGTATTGTGCTCAATTAACGTTACCGGTGGGGTGGTGGGGGATGTTAATGGCTTAAAAGACAACACACTCCCTTCCGCCTGGGAGCATTTGTAGCCAGTAGTGGCTATGTTTTCGCAGCGCCATAACAGCCACGATGCAGGGTTGACGAATGGCCCGGCTGTCCAGGCCAGAAGAGTAGTCCTCCCGATTTTCCTTTCTGGTTTTCAGCCTCACGTACGCCGCATGAGGAATATATCAGCTGCCGGTGCGTGGCAATCCATTCTTGCTTTCGCTTCTCTAACTTTATATTTCTAGCATGTTGAAGATAGTGCCTTGGTTGCATCAGAAACATTGGTCAGAAGTCTCCTTGCATCCTCTGCTCCGGCATTGGCTAGGTAGTTTCGATAACTCACCTATGAACACATCGCAGATTGGCGTCTCCAAGCGACTTCCCAAACCCTCGTGGCGGGTTCGGCTTGGGTATTGGACTTCCAAGCTCCTTTGTCGAGTCATCGCCATCTCGAGTTGCGTTGCGCTGGCACCAGTGTCGGAAATGGACCTGACGCTCAACAAGGTGATATCATTGTTGTCGACTATGTTTCGGACTATTTCAACACCTACGACTCAGCTAGTCGAGGGCCTCTGGGTAGTATTCAGCTTCTGGTCAGGGCTTGAGCGCGGTAGGTAGCCAACTAGACGTGTTGGTAGAGCAGGAACCGTGCTTTTATGGTGGTTGCGCTCGGGGCTGGACCCAGTTTCCAGCAGGCAGTATGCTACGAGACACACTCACTTGTGGATAGAGCCTCGGTTGCACAGGCTTCGGCAGCGTCCACTTAAAGCCGCGAAATTCGCTGAACAGATGGCCAGTGCTCGAGATACTATATATACGGAGTATTCTTAATCTTTTGACAAATCATACTGTTCCTGTCTTCGTACCTTTTTATAATAAATATTAAATACGCCGTAGGTGTTAACCCTCGGTACCTCTACAAGTACTCCCTTAAGGGGCTATAGATGATATAGCGGGCCCTTAAGCCGCGTCGGGCGGTTATACAGGTAAACTTGTAGCCAAACGACTACTAAACCTCCTGTCCCTCCCTAAGTCTGTGCTACAACCCCTGCCTGAACTACCGATAAGTGTGGTAATGCGGCACTTAAATTCGTCCTCAGGGGTGGGATGCTGCTGATGTGCAGAAGATGCTCGACTATTTTTTTTGTCGCGACAAGTCGTAGTATCTGCTAATTGGGGTTCTCGTCGAGCGTATACATCTCAACCATACGCTCAAGTGGATAGACCGTAACGTGGTCAGACGCTCGCAAGAATCGCGGCGAGAGGGCGTGCTGCGCGCCTTCTATCGTGAGGGGACGGGTTCGCCGACGAGCGTTATCGGAAAGGCGAGGTCCGATAAGGGGTCGGATTAACGATTCGAATTCTGGACCGGCTGTCGAGTTATATTCCGCCGACGTAGTGCTTGACGGTCGACTGGCTAGGATGCTCGTAATCCTAAACTGCACCAATCTCCCTATTATCGCTAGGTAGGCGAAGTCAACAAGGTGGGCAGCGCGCCGTAAGGGTTGACTAAACCCCCTTGTGTGTCAGCTGCGGGATTCGAACCCGCGACTCGTCACCGACCCAAGTGGGCGAGGCTCAAATCGGGACTTATCTACCAGCGAAGTGACCAACTACACCAGCCGACACCTTTTTATATAACACTCTACGGGAACTGGCATTGATGAGATTAATCAGAAATTGATTAGTCGGAGGCTTGGAGTTTTGGCAGAGACGCGCATGTAGCTTTGGAAGGATGGATAGTGTATTAGTTCTCGATATGAAATGCTTGCCCAACGCAGATTACAGATGTTCTACTCATACTTGAGATTTCCAATCTTGAAAGGAGTTAACGACACTCAACCGACCATGGCCCTCTGCATTAAGAGAGAACTGCATCCGCCGAAGGGTCGCTTATTTGAAGAATCAAAGTTTCTGTCTGTCTCTTCTTGCACCAACTACGTATCCATGATTTCCAACCAGATTACTAAGCCTAAATGGCAGAAGTCAGCTCACTCCGAGAGATAACGGTCTGTACCAAAATCTTATGGAAATGTGAATGTAAATGCGAAACTCCAAGCTATAGCTGTACGGGTACAAATTATGCACACTTCAGACACAGCCTCATCCTGTCCCCATGAAGACGAGGTAAAAGTGTGTATTGTTCAAGTCCGCTCCGTGACGCGCAATCACGGCGCCGTTCAGCACCGACTGGCATCTACTAGCGACTAAGCGAGACCCTGGCCTCGAGGCTGTGTAAGCCCGCCAAATCCTACACCAACCCACCCAACGTGCTGACAACGGCAATTGCAGGCCACCTGAGTTTTGATTATTCGATATGGGAACAAGGCTGCCAGTACGGAATACGTTGTCTGCCGATTAAAAAGGGGCAATGCCAGCTGCAAAAATTCGACATGGACGGCGAGTCGGCGTCGCTATTCGTAATCTTGATGTGGTGAAATGTATCCGGTTCTTATTTTTGCTGTCTCTACTCCTCCTGTATATAATACGGATGCCATGAGCTCACTATGTTCGGATATCAGACAATGAGAAAAATACACGCTTGAATGATATTAGCGAATAATTGCTGGCCGTGTGGAATTTCCCCCTATTTCGAAGTCTATCAAGAATTCGCCTTTTGCAGCGGATTTTATCGTTCTTTTCAGTCTTGGGAGGCTTGACAACGAAAGTTGAGCGTAAAAAAGATGGCAGCCATAGGGGCAGAAACAACCATGGTCACAGGACCGAGGTCCTATTACGTCTATGCGCCGTCACAGCCCGCAGCCATCGTTATGTGTGCTGTGTACGGCATTAACAGCATTGTGGCCGTATATCGAACGGTGCTTACACGTGCGTGGATATGGTTGGTGATGATCCTCGCCCTGCTCAGTAAGTGAACCCTCAGGAACGAAAGCACTTCCACTTAGGAACGCAACGACTGATGACATGGCAGTGGAGTGCCTCGGCCACGGGGTGCGAGTCATGAGCGCCGCCAACGTAACGAACCGCAACGAATACATTGCTCAGTTCATCCTGATCATTCTGGCACCGGTTTTGATGGCTGGTATCATATACGTCGTGTTTGGCCGACTCGTCTCCCTTGTTGTTCCCGCTCGAGCACGCACAACCAAGCTCCTCTGGGTCCCTCGTTAGTATACACCTCCTCCCGCTTTTTCCACACGAGTTTCTAATCATAGTCGGTGAAGCTTGTTGGATCACGCCAATCTTCGTGGGCGTCGACATCGTTGCTTTGCTCTTACAGCTTATAGGAGCCGTGCTTGTAGCGGGCACGGAACCGAACGACAGCAACGCTCAGCATAAACTCGATCTGGGTAAGAAAATCGCCTTGGCGGGCATTAGCATTCAGATAATGGGGTTTGGCTTGTTCTCCATCGTTGCCGCTCGCTTCTACTTCACCTCGAAACAATTCGCGGCTGACCTGGAGTCGAGGCTTCTGAAAGCGGATGAAAGGCAGAAGACAGCTACGCTCGAGGGCTCTTCTCGGAAATTCAACCCCAACTGGAGAACGATCCTGTTCACCGTCAACGCTTCTTGTGCACTGATCCTGGTTCGTGGTCACATAGATGCCCCCCTTTCAATATGACTGCTAACGCAAGACGACTGGCCAGGTCCGATCCGTCTATCGCGAGATTGAGTTTGCCGAGGGTAAAGGTGGCCATGTCCAGCAGTACGAGTGGTTGTGAGTAGGACCGACGTCGAAGCCGACATGTTTCTTCTGCTGATATCACTGGCAGCTTCTACATTTTTGATGCCCTGCCGATCGCATTGGCCGCCATCTTATACAATATAATATTCCCCGGCTCGTACCTTCCGTACATGGGGTTCCGGGCACCGAAGGACAAGGACAGTCAACGATTGGCCAGTTCGCACGAAGATGGCATTCCATTGGAATAGCAGTAACGCAGAGATGCCACACTAGAAGGAGCCTGGCGGATGATGAGAAACTCACAAGCCGATTCGGAAGCGTTTCCCGATGAAACCAATCCTACTTTTATGCTTGGTACCCTATCCGACGATCGCGCTGGCCTCATGTATTTGTATTTGCATAAAGTTTTGTCAACCCAACTTTCTCATGCAACTTCACATGCTCGAGATACATGCTGTAATTTCCTTCGGCACCAAGGTGGTTGCTGAGGATGAAACCGTGCAGTCTGCCAGCTTCCGGTTGTAGTAAAACTTTGGCAGAGCCCCTATTCACAGAAGGCAGATCATGACCAGTCGACTATACTGTCGTCTGCATAGAAACTCACCACCGAGCGGTCCACTGCGCATAGGCGGGCCAAACCATTGCAACTTTTGCAGTACGGTCACGACGGCTCGACGCACCGCCAGGCCCAAACATTTGCGTGCCAAACCTAGGGTTGATTTAGGTCACGTTTGTCTCCTCTCTAATGCAGCATCAGACAAAAAGATGAAGTTCGCGAGCGTGCATTCGTAGAGGCTGTTTCAATGACTCCGCCAACAAAGTCATCGTTTCTGGGTGGGGATCCTGTGCCAGTACTGTTAGGTTTGGGTTTGGTTGGTTTCTGGTTTCAAGCGCAAGTGCATGCTGATATCTCGTCTGAAACCTTGACAGCTCAATGTCATTGCCTGTTGTGTGCAAGGGACCGGATGTGAAGGACAACCAACCCCTGTCGTCCCCGAGCGCCTCTCAGAATTCGGTGTCGGGTGGTTTGATCCCTGCAAAGCCCGCACAGAATAAACTATTCGGTACTCGCTTCATACGTACATACTTCGTCATGGGCTAGTATGCTAAGTCGTGATCCAATCCACCAGGTGGATAGGTGCAAGGTAACGTCGTGACCGGTGGTTTCGTGATAAGATATATCCACTGTTGCGAAGTCGCTCGCATTTCTAGTTCATGTCATGAAGCAATACAAGGACAGTGTTCAGTACAGCGTTTCGAATATCCCATTGTCCCCCGACTTCGCGCGCCATCGCTATCGGGGTGAAACGATTGTTTAGGCCATACTTCCTGGCTAAATCGGAGTCAGTTCCCCAGCTCTGCGCAGCTGCTCAATTGCGCTTTGCACTTTGCTGTGACTGTGCAGGGGGTAAGGAAGGACGACAATTTGTCAGCTTGGCTTGCAGGCTTGTCGACATAGACGGGAGCGAGACTGGGAGGCCTTGACGAGATAGCTGCCTCTTATTGGCGAATACTAATTAACAAGAACTCGCATACCCAGCATCCCCACTTTTAGGCAGATCCTGTCAAACGCTTGGGCCTCTCCAGGCCTGACTCTGGGCACGTATTATCGTCACCACTTACTTGGCTGCCAACCTGCGACTACTATGTTAGACACGATGATCAACCCGATCATAGCTACCTAGGTACAGCTGGCATGTCTGCAGGTTGGCTGCCCTGTCTTTGTTAGCAAGTGTAGTTTTCTTTTCTTCTTTACAGGCCAGCCAACCGGACAAGCTGGCTCACTTTCCGTACTCCGCAGCACCCGATTCCTACGTCCAAAGTGGGGGAAGGTAGCTCTGTTCGCCTGCATCTAATCTCGGGTGTCACAACTTCAGAACTTAGAAGACCTAAAGGAGGACCAAAGGACATTGCATGTTGATAAAAAAGAGACTCCTTGCGTGCTGCGTTACCTCGGCCCTTGACTTCCGCCTCACACCCCAACGAAGACGATTCGATTCCATCTGAGTCGTCTGTTTTATCTGACGACTGTCAGACAGTGGCTGTCAAAGGGAGTCTGCCTGCCACGTAGTTCTTCCCAGTGACTTTGACAACTCGAAGATTTGAACAAGTCCCCTTTCGTCATTACACTTCTGGGGCTATTTCCCATTCTACCGAAAAAAAAAAAAATCAATTACGGCCCACCGGCTCCACACTCTTGACAAGAAGACGAGTATTGGCCATTTTCCATTTTCCCATCCGCCATTGGAGGCCACGGCCACGGCCCGTTTCCGACTGGAGACGTGCAAGGAGTGTAAGGCGATCCCCTGACCTGCCGGCACTCGGACTACATGTATTAACCCAACGTCCTCTAATCGCGACCCATCCCCATCCCCGCCATCGCCCACGAACAGCTTTCCTCTTTGATGCTCGCAGCATCCGCAGCGCAGATAGTCCTTTGGAGGTTCGGGGAATGCAAGCTATACCACATAGCCAGCCTCTGCCAAATCCGGTATTCTCATCGTGCCCGTGGTCTGATATGGTCCGAAACCTATTTACACCATGGTGTACTGTGGCAAGGCTTCTCTAGGTTGCCAGGTTCGTCTTTCCCTGACATTCCGTCGTAAGGAAAACCGATTTTATAATAGATACGCCCATTCATCTCCTTCCCTTCTCTGTACACCCTTGACTTTGATGTTGTCGCTTCGCGCTGGTGATACGAATAGTTGCTGACTCGGGACCCAGCTTTGTAGAACGCGACGAATCAAGGTGCGTACTAGTTCCACGCCCGCCGTCCCTCGTCGCGCCGTCGAGGGCTGGGCTTTGTTGGTCTCTGTATACTCCACACCACGGTGCGCTTTCGCACCTGGATTCGGGTGCATCTTTTGCACATGTGCCAATCGGGACCGATCTTGTCCTGCAGACACTCCCTGCACTGCTCTTTCATCATCTATCCTCCCCTTCTCATCCTGAACGGTCGGGATGAATAGCTGACGCTAAGCGCAGTGCGACAAAGTCAGACCAGGATGCACCCAATGCTTTCGCGTTGGCAGGAGATGCCCTGGTTACCGGGACCAACTGTCATTGATGTTCCGGGATGAGAGCAGCAAGGTGATTCAGAAGGCACACGCCTCGTGGACCTCATCACCTTCTTCTGCCTCCTCGTCTGGCAGTAGCCGCAGTCCGCATGACTCATCCACGAGCACAAACCTCTCCTGGTCAAGGGCCGAAGAGACGAAGCGCAAACTACAAGTCATCGCGGCCAATGTACCCCCAAAGGTTCAAACCAACGTAGAAGAAATCGGCATCCAGTTCTTCATGAACCGCTATCTCATGACCCATCCGACTGCGCCTGAGGCTCCTGACCACATGGCGCTGTACAGCGGTGGCACCGTGGCTATGCGGAATGTTAGTACGTGATTACCAGGCTTTCCCCTTTCCCTTTCTGGTCTATCTCCAGAGCAAAAGTTGCTGTATAGAGCTGCCTGAGGTGTTTTTGCTATTGATATATGACTTGGCCCTCCCCTACCATCGCTTCGATACTCGTAAGTAGTAGATACTGACTGTTATGGTTGCAGTGATTGCTGTCGGCCTGGCGGGTTTATCCAACACCCAAGGGAATCACGATCTAAAATGGGTGGCCCGCCAAAGGTACACCGCGGCATTAAAGCAGACGAACCAGCTTATTGCGGCGAAACGGATGGACCAGTCCAAAATCATGGTTCCCCTCTCGGCTGTTGTTATGCTCGCCCTGTTCGAGGCAAGTCTTGAGATGGGAAACCGAGACCCCCTCCCCCCTTAGACTGCTGCTGACATCGAGTAGGTGGTACAAGGGAAGGGTTCTAAACTGTCGACGGGCGATGCCAACATACACATCATTGGCGCCATGGCTCTGTTGCGGGGTGTATTGCCCCTTGACTCGATGCCCGGCTTTGGTGCCCGGGCAGTTCTGCAACTCATGTTTTCACTTGTAAGTTGACAAACCGACGCCGGGCCCCCCTTCCCCTCTTCTCCCCTTCCTAGGCGTTATGTGTCCTCTTCGGCGGCATGTCGCTAAGACTGCGATAGTATATGTCGTCTCATTTGAGCGACTCCCCTCTACCGCCGGTATTCTTCGACGGCTTGAACAGCTGCAAAGAGCTGATAGCCCCAGAAGAGAAATGCTGCTGTGACATTGCTGTTAGTATTGCACGATACTTGCAGATTCACTCAGACGCCAAACGCACCCGAAGGCGAGACGGGAGCGCAGCTGCCGATAAAATCCTACAGTTATTGCTTGACACGGACGCCGTTCTTGCGCGCCTAGAAGTGCAGCTGCATACCCCCTGTCCCTACATAATAGTGAACGCGCCGGATCTTCCACCGGCTGCCGTCTTCCGTGGCAAATATCATAAGTACCACGACGTTTGGGGAGCGCGAATCTGGAATCACTTGCGCTGGGGACGCATTCTTGTATGCTCGGACATCATCAATTTAAGCGACGAGTATCCCCTGTCGAGCTTCCGCACCGTCACAGCGGCGCAGAGAAGCCAATGCTTCCAAGTTACGGAGAGGATGGCCGAAGACATCATCACAAGCACGCCATCTCATTGGCACCACCCTATCCTTAACCAGGAGCAATCAGAGAAGTTTGCTGCCGTCGGCAACGGCGGCTCAGGGGCTGCCGGTATTCCAAGCTTGTTGTGGCATCTCAAGATCGCGGCCTGTGCGCCCGGCGTCCCCCGAGAATCTTGGGATTGGGTCTATGCAATGCTGCAGGTCGTCTGGAAGGACATGGGTATGCAGCATGCCCATGCCCTGTCCGAGATGATGGAGGGGCATCGGGTGGCGGAGGAGTGCGAGGCGACTGAGCGCATCGTCAAGGTCGAAGAAGACGAGGAGGACTGACGGGACACGGAAGTCTGACTCTTAACGAGGGGGTCAGCAGGCTCGTCGGCAGTGTTTACAGTATACTGACTTGATACGTGGGAAGAGCCACCTTGGTGCCCTAGAGGCTTTGGATGGCGCCTATCTGGACAATGGACAAACCGAGAAGGGACGACGGAACCGACCGAGTGTCTGACTTTGGCCATGTATGGATATGAATGTGAACTCGAATGGAGGACGGGGTCTGTAAATGAACCAAATCAAAGCCGTACGTGAATACACACATTTATACAACGATGCCGATACGCGGCCTGCCCTCGCATATATAATCTGCCTTGGAAAAAAGGGAAGAGCTTCTTCTCTACCTCTGTGCCAAACTAGCTACTGCAAGTTCCACCTGTCCTTGTAGAAACCTATTCACTCTTCAATCTAAGCTATAAAAATCAAAACGGACGTTCAGCTATCAACCTGGGCATAGGACCTGACAGATAGTTGACATCCTTCTAAAGCACCTATGAAACCCAAATGCAAGTTACTTTAGACCTGTCCGAAGCCAGTAACTAAAGCATTCGATCCTTCGCAAAGACTCTAGTTTCCCAAAGATATGATTTGCTGTGGTGTCATGCGATGTCCCAATTGGGCCAAATGTTACCACATAGTATGTTCACGCTTTTTGTAGCATGCGCGCAGGCCTCCATATCTTATCAATCCTCCGTATTGTGCCGGCGTATATTATCCGACAGGAAGCTGTAGAAATAGGATCTACAGACGACTAACCTAGTAGGAAATCTCTACTCAGATATAGAATCACGCAACATAGAAGGAACAATATTTCATTGAAGTGTTCGGCTATGTAAGTGGTCGCAGCATTGGTTTGCACTTTATCGTAACATAAGGACTGACCTTGGGGCTAGAACCAAGAAAGCCGAGTAGACAGGCCAATCTGGTCCTTTGACGTATTCACGCCACCTTGACAGTCGAGGTCTAAGCCGTAGGTATAGATAGGACCAAGAAGTCGAGATGGCATTGGAGCCTCAAAAACTGGAGTCTGGGGCCAAGACTCCTTGAGTACCAGGGTACACTGTGGAGCCCAACGGCACGTGCAAATCGATAAGGAACGAAGGCATGCTGATAAGGCCGACAAGGCGCTTTTGACTTCGACCATGCCTGGTCAACCTCGAAGCATCGTGTCGCATCATTCTATTGAAACCGACCATTGAGTCAACCACCATTTCCTTGTTTTGTTATTTTTTTTCCTACGCTAACTCGCTCTTGCATGATTATCAGTCGCACATCGTCTGACTCCTAAAATCATCACGAACAATCGAGCCACTGCAACTGTCAGCCACAGACTACGAAACATACAGAGCACGGTCGGTGATGGCGTCCGCGTTAGAAGGGCGCAAAGGCCCCGACGACGAAGGCACCATCAACGTCGCTTCCAAGAAGGCGTCCAGGGACAAGCAGAATGGATTCATCAAGCTTAAGAAGCCCCCGCCGAAGCAGAGCAAACCCGGAAACTGGAGAGACGGCAGCGTCCTCGAGGATGACAAGAAGAAGAAAAGGAGTGAAAGCCCCGCAGCTATCCTCGGTGCATTATCACCTGGCCCCGTAGTGAATCAACTGGAGGATAGCACCCGCGAAAGCTTCGAGACCGGCCGACCCCTCGACGATCCCCTTCCTACGCAACAATGCAAGCACTGTAAAAAGGTGGTGCTTAAGCCGGCCCTACCAGATCATATAGATGAATGCCTCAAAAAGAAGAAGGAGAAAGCACAAAAGAAGAAGGAAGCGCGGGAAGCGCGGGAGCGACTCAAAGTGCAAGCCGCTCGCAGTAACAACGAAGGAGACGGCGACGCCAAGGCAGCCGGAAGCGACGACGACGACGATGATGAAGATGGCCCGCCCGAGAAGAAGGCCGGTAAAAAGAACGTGTCTGGAAAGAAGGTCGGCGGCGAGCCCAAGGGGAAAAAGCGGAAGGCCGATGGTGATCCCGAGAAAGGCCCCAAAAGCAAGAAGAAGAAGGAGGAGCCCAAGCCGAAAGCCCCCAAAGCCAAAGGCCCTGTGGACGTTGAGAAGCAGTGTGGTGTGATCCTAGCTAATGGCCAACCCTGTGCACGTTCATTGACATGCAAGAGCCACTCAATGGGTGCCAAGCGCGCAGTTGCTGGGAGATCTCTGCCATACGATATGTTGCTTGCTGCGTACCAGAAGAAGAACCAGGCGAAACAGCAAAAGGCAGCTCTGGATGCGAACGCCCCCTTAGAGGATGATGAAGCCAATGAAGGCCCCATCGATTCCGAAGAAGAGACGGCTCAGGTCATGGGTGCACTTAAAGATTGCTGGAACCCACAGCCGGTAGTGCCGCAGGAACCATATGAGCCACTTCGGGAAAAATACAGGCTGAACAGGCTGCACGAACAGCTCATGATAGCGACGAATGGAGGCCGGACAAATATCTTCAAGGTGGTTGGTCTGGGCGCACAGAGGCTACCTCCCAACCACGTGGTAGCGCAGAATATGGATATGGAAGATGCACCAGGCGAACCTGACTTGTCAGTCCCTGGCACGAGACGGCTGTCTGGTATTAATCAAGCTTAGCAGGCTACAACTTCTCCGCAAAACAATCACCTCCAGCACGCAGTAGAGACTGCTGCATTTCCCTAAAGCAACTCACAACTTACTTCAGCACCCGAAGCCAACGAGCCCATCCAAGCTATGCTGCCCGAGGCAAACGATGGTGTCAGAGTTGGCACGTCCGAAGTGAAGAGCCATCGAGGTTCTGCATCTTGAGCAAAGCAATAATTCTCAAGACGCAGTATCCGAGGAAAGTAGTAATCGCCAAGTCGCAGTATCCGGACAAGTAGCAACTTTCCAGATACAACACCAGAAGCAAGTAGTACTGGCCACGTTTCCCGCAAGAAAGCAAAGTCGACTAGCAAGGGTGGGGGACAAGTTATTCTCGGACGGGAAAATCACCCGCACACAGACAGAGCAAAGGAACTCTAGGTTGAAGGCTCCCAGGCTCCCATCAAGAGCGTTTCATGCATTGAATACAACAAGCCGTGCGACGTCCCTCGGCCTCAACCAAACATGGAAAGGTCGGATATAGGATGTTTGAATTGCGCCGAGTTAAAGCAAGGCTGCAGTTTCATTGGCGGAGAGAAGAACAGCAAACAAAGCACGAGATGCTGGCGCAGCATTATATACGAATAAGGACGGTGATACACCAGTATAGGCGTAAAAGGGTCACGGCTCAGCATATCCAGCATTTTCAGGGGTAGCAGCGCAAGGCGTTGTCTTCGGTGGCGTTTTATTTCAAGGCGACCTCGTGACAGGAGTCCAGGTCTTGGGCATGTATGGTTGTCTTCTTTTCGCCTGTTCGCCCTCGGTTGGGCGAGCCACACAGCAGCGGATGCGTGTATTTAGGGCTGTTAAGATACCACTCTCGAAGGAAGACAAGATGACTCATTCTAGCTTTTTTGAGCGTTTCTTTCTTTCTCCTACCTAAATTCTCTCGTCAGGTCGATCTGTCCCGCTGTGGATGCGTTCGAACAATAAGGTGATATCCATCTGGCTCACTAAGGGACTCTAGGTTGGTTAGGCTTCAAAAGTGGGTGTTGAGTCACACGTGTCGTTGTGTCGACTGCCCAAGGGAGCGGTAAGAGGACCAATCTGGGGGGTTGGACCCATATACGTGGAAAGCCGCGTATCTAGCCCGGTGTTGGATCCCTAGTTCCCGAGCAACAGCGAGCTCCAGAAAAAATCGCCTCGCGTATCTATAGGACAGGAGTTATTGACGAATATTGCGAGAACAATTATTATCTATCAACTACAAGATGCGAGCTGAGGTTTAAGTTAACCCATTTGTAGCAACTTATAGCGGGGCACGCACGCAGCTCAGCGATGACGTCGGTCAACAAGGTCACTTATTAAGTAAGTAACAAAACATATTAGTTCAGTTTACCATGCATGCATATCCATCAATTGCGGGATCAATTTCATGCCAAAGCTCAAACCGAAGGGCCACACTTGGACCCAATGGCAGTAAAATAAATATCAAAACTTGTCCATTTATAGGCTCTCATCTTTGCATTGAATTTCAAACCCCCTACACATTTTTTTTGGCAACTGCGCTTTTCGCGACTGTGGCATTCTAAGCCACCAACCATTCTCCGACTGGCTAGTCGGTGCATTCGGTATTGATCAGACTGATACTGATAGCTACTGCACATACCACTCGTCCACCTACACTTCACACTAACTTCCACCGGTTGGGCACATCAGCCAGCCCACGAGACAGATCCCGGGGATAGGATTACAGACCAGTGGCTTGTCTGTCGTTGGCTCACACTACTCTGCTCGCATGCCCAACGACGGCCAACGAATAAGTCGACGACGATCTTATCCTCGTGACTACAACTGCATATTTCCATAAATTCCTGTTCCCCAGAGACCCTCTCCCGTCTTTTCTCGTTTCTCCCCTTCCTTCACCAGTCATGCCTTCTCCACCAACACTACAACTCCACCAACGACAGTTCTCACCACCCTCACCATCTCCACCTCCACCACCAAGCTTCATCAACACGAACACCGACACCGAACACATCAGCCAACTCCTCCCCGCGCTTCACCACGCCCTCTCCGGTTCAGCAGGCACCGCCATCTCAACATGTCTTACGTATCCACTCTCACTAGTGATTACTCGGCTGCAAGTTCAGCGCCAGTTAGTCCGCGAGGGCAAACTTCAACCTCCTCAGGGAACTGGTCCGCAAGGTCCTCCCGGCGAAGCCGCAGAGGAGGAGGGGGCTTACCGGGGCATCGTCGACGCCTTTTCGCGGATCTGCGCGGACTCGGACGCGGGCGGGTGGAAAGCGCTTTTTGGTGGCCTAGCGGGCGATGTGGGCAAGTCTGTCTTGGACTCTTTCCTCTTTTTTCTATTTTATGAGGTAAGTACGCCAAGCAGCCCTTCGTGACTTGGTGTAATAGTGGTGGGTGGACTAACGCGGACGCATGGATAGTGGTTTCGGGCGCGGCGGTTGCGGTCGCGTAGTCTGGGAAAGGGGTTGCGAGTATGGGAAGAGCTGGCAATAGGCATGGCGGCGGGGGCCTGCTCGAGGGCGTTCACCACGCCCATCGCCAATGTGGTGACACGGAAGCAGACGGCGGCACTGCTGGAAGGGGGGGCGGAGGCGAAGGAGTTGACCCTGAGGGAGATTATGCAGGCGATCCGCGAGGAAAAAGGACTGGCAGGGTTCTGGTCGGGGTACTCAGCGACTCTTGTCTTGTCGCTTAACCCCGGCATCACCTTTTTCCTGCAGGAGATGCTCAAGAAAAGCTTGCTGGGCGCTGAGAAGTGGGACAAACCAGGACCACACTTGACGTTCTTGTTCGCGGCGCTGAGCAAATCCGCCGCGAGCGCCATCACGTATCCATTCCAACTCGCCAAGGCGAGGCTTCAAGTTGGCACACCCAGCGAGTCCGCGACTCCTACCAAGGCCGAGCCGCAGATCATGACCAAGGACGGGGCCGACGATACATCCGCTGACGAACAGGACCACCCCACCACAGTCCGCGAGCTTGTTGAAGTAATCGAGGCCAAACTGGCCGCCTCGCGCGCCGCCAACAAGCTCGCCAAGCAGAGCATCATCGGCGTCATGCGGCAAATCGTCGACACCGAAGGCGTCGGCTCACTGTACGACGGGCTCTCGGGCGAGCTCCTGCGGGGGTTCTTCGGCCACGGCATGACGATGCTGGCCAAGGATGTCGTGTATAAGCTGCTCTTCAAGATCTACCTCGTGGTTGCCGCCGTCTTGTCCGAGATGCGCCGGCGGAGACGGCTGCGAAGAGGCCCTGGCGGGGACGACGAGGATCACACGCTACGGGCGCTGCGCTTTAGGATTAGGGAGAAAGCAAATATAGCACATCGGAATATTGGCGAGAGCCGCATGGAGTATGGCGCGAGGCTGGTGCTTAATATGGTGGATGGGTCGCACCGGGGCGTGGAGAAAAAGTGAAGCAGATCCACAGCATGTTCACTTGAACGCTCTGCGTTACTGGGGGCGAGGATGTCTGGATAAGCGCACAGTTTGTTTGTTTGCTTGTTTGTTTACTGTTATGACCATGTGTACTCATGTATGATTAAACGATAAAACGCATTGGTGGGTGGAGTTTGGGATTCATATCTGGGTATCAATTGTTCAGTTTTGTGGGGACCGCATACTTGTTTTCTTGCTTCTTCCCAAATAGCCACTGGTGGCGATGCGCTTACCAGATGGGCTCGAGGCTCTATACCTCTATGCATGGAGTTTGCTTTAGACCTTGCCGATGGCCATGCTTGCACCGCTGAACCGCAGTAATAGCGGCCTCGTCAGCACTGAAACGCCACCCCAGATCTCTGTACTTGGTTCGCCCCTCCAGCTGAGAAGCCCGTACCTTCGCTCCGAAGTTCGACCAGGCCGGGCTTGACCTTATATTTATCCTTCTTCTTACTCTTTCCACCTTTGTCATTCGACTTCTTGTCGACGAGATCCGCATCACATACGTAGCACCGTAGACTCTCCGGATCATAGTCTTCGGCATGCGGATCGTGATGGCCTGAGGAGCGCATAAACCTATCCACACAATTTCGACACACGACATGCCCACACGGCTTCGCAAGCATGGCCTTCGATGCGTTGCTCAAAGCTTTCTTGCATGACGGACACACGCGCTGTTTCTTCCTCGTCTTTTCATCTTCCTCCTCGCTGAAATGGGCCGTGATCAACGCATGTAGGGAATAGGCATGCGGTTTGTCCTCGGGGGCGGCGGGGCATATGGGGTTACTTTTCGCCTTCTTGACTATATCATGCAGCGCATCCTTCGAATTAGACGACGGGGTGACCGAAGGTGTCCAGAAGGAGGGCAACGTCGGCTTGGCGGCCTTCTCGTCGTCGAGGGCTTTTCGTGCTTTTGTACGGTCCTCGGTCGCTATGCGCTGCAGCTCCTCGTCGTCCATCTCGAACTTCCTCTTCCCGGCGCGGTTCTGCCCATTGGTCTCGACTTCGGTCGTACTCGTGACAGCACCATCGGTGGGTTGTGATCGATGGTCCTTCTTGACGTCGAGACCGTTCTGTGTCATCTCAAACTCCTTGATGGCCCTCTCGCGCGCCTCGGCATCTTGTTGGTCCTTCAGCTCCTTGCTTTCCCGTAGTTCAGCCTCCCGCACCTTTTCCAGACGCTTGATCTCCTTCTTTTGCGCGAGGATATTGTTCAAAGCACATTCGCGGCAGAATATGTCACCGTGCGGGCATGCTACCGGGTCTTCAGCTGGCTCGAGACAGAGACGACATGACGCGAAGGGGAGGAACGAGTCGCGAGACAGACGCGCTGATGTGGATGACCATGCTTTCTTGGCTTGCTCTCGTTCGTGTGAGGTGAAGACGGCTCTTGATGTGTTCCGTTTACCTAGAGCGCAGGTCAGTACGATAAGTCCCTGGGGTGGTGTATTCAGGCAATAATTGACATACTGTGCGACATTGCGAACGAGTGTATTGGGACTATATCAATTTATCGGATGTCCATGTGAAAGCCAACTACTCGAACCTAGATGATGAGGTATGGAGCTGATTGATTCCACAACCCGCTAACCATGGACCGTTGAATCGCGCTGCATTTGCAGCCCCCCCGATTGGCTCGAGCGCCCCAGCATCCCCGGAAGCTTCCTGATATTTGGAGCGACCGCGCCGGAGTCCCCTGTTCCTGCAGATCTTTTGCATCGTCATCATCCGACTTAGTTCTAGCACTCGGCGTCGGACTGTCCTGCCCGCCAAGCAAGAAGCAGGCAGCGAGCGACGTTCACTTCGCCATGCGTTAAGTTGAACGTTCTCTTTTCCACCTCTTCTTTGTAACTTGTAACTATTTCTCCATTTTTTTCTCATGGCGGACGACAAGCTTGACATGACGAGCCAGCGGCTGTCGTTGCGGCAGCCAAGACTGCCATGGCGTGCGACTTCGTCCTTCGTCATGGGCGTCACGGGCATGCTGTCGAGGGGCTTTTTATACGGTCTAAATACGGTTGAAGTCACCGGCCTGCAGAGGTTTCTAGATATTCTAGACAAAAGAAAGGATCCCGAGAAGAGAGAGAGGGGTCTCATAACGGGTATAAGATCTCATCTGTCTCGCAAACCACTTATTTACTGACAAGGATTAGTCTGTAATCATATCAGCGTGTAAGTGGCCAGCACTCGACATTCCTCCTGATTTGCGGCAGTAATTCATGCTGTCTTAGGATGGACGATCCCCTCATATGGGGAGTACTGCCCTTGCGCTATCTTTTCAACCCATCGAACATGAGATGGGGCCTCGGTGCTCACGACATATGTTTCAAGAACCAGTGAGTGAGCCAAGCCTTCACCCTAAACAAATACTCACGTGTATTGTAGGGCGCTTTCGACTTTCTTTAGCCTCGGCCAAGTCCTACCAACTCATCGACTACTCTACTCCCCTCACGGCGGTGTCTTTCAACCCACAATTCCCGAAGCCATCCGGCTACTCTCATCGCAGCCCTTCTCTACCCCTAAGGCACAGGAAACCACATCGCCAACGGCCTCCTCTGCTTCAATCCCGGACCCATTCACCTCAGGCGGCCTCACCTACACCACCACGGGCACTGACTCCCACCCGGCGCCCTCCATCTACGCCCGCAACCGTCACAGCTGGGTGCACGTCTTCCCAGAAGGCTGCACGCATCAAGACCCTCGCAAGTCCCTCCGCTACTTCAAATGGGGTCTGTCGCGGCTGATCCTCGAGAGCGAGCCCATGCCCGACGTGCTGCCCATGTTCATCGACGGCACGCACGACATGATGTCCGAAGATCGCGGTTTCCCACGCTTCGTGCCCCGCGCCGGCGCCAAACTGCGTGTCGCCTTTGGCGAACTCCTCGACGCCGAGCGGGCTTTTGGCGACCTGCGCGCGCGGTGGCGGGAGCTGGTCCGGAGAGAGGAGAAGATGATGAGCAGCAGTGCGCAGGTGGTCAGGGGTGAGCTGAGCGATGAGTTGAAGTATGGGAAGGAGGCGGTGGAGTTGCGGGTCGAGGTTGCAGTGAGGGTCAGGAGTGAGATGGAGAAATTGAGGGTCAGTTTAGGGTATCCCGAGGATGACCCTCAGTTGGGACTGGCCGAGACTTGGGCTAAGGAGCCGGCAGAAAAGGGGTTCAGGAGTAATGTTGATGGTAGTTTGGTCAAAAAGGAGTGAGCGCTGCCATCTGAGAGGCATTGACTGTATTACTTGCATGTAGAAAATGGATGGACTCGGAGCAACGGCTCCTTAAGTCGGGACAGGGGCGCAAGGGTAGCAGCACATGAGATACCCCTGCAATTATATGTTTTCTTCACAATTGAACAAAGAAATAAACCCTCCCGAGCCGTCGTTGTGAGCGGGTATAGAATTACTCGAGAGTGGAGGCGATCCAACCATTCCGGAACTCTGTGAGTGCAAACAGCCTCTATGTTCAAGTATCATCCATGTCCTGAACGCCTGCCGTGCCTAATCATGCCCTTGTCCCTAGTCTCCGCTTGATGAGCATTACTGTGAGTACTTTCAATTCCTCTTTCCTGCTTTGGCTAGCTGACCAGCATCGTCATCACCGCTCATCCCTGCAATTGCATATCTGTAGATTCTCCCAAACAATTATCTCTCATTTTCCTATTCATGCCCATCGGCCGCCGGCACGCCACTAATAGTGCACGCCATGGTTATACTGCTGGGACGAAACGGCCGACGCATAACCTCTGATACCCTGCGCCTGGGCCTGCGCGTGCATGGCCTGCTGCGTCTGCGCCTGCTGTTGTTGCTGCTGCTGCATAACCAGATCTTGGAACCAGGGGTGTTGCAGCGCCTCGTGAGCGCTGATCCGATGCTCGGGGCGGAGTACCAACATTCGCTGCAGAAGGGCGATTCCGAGCTGGTCGATCTGCGGCAAGATGGCACGGATGTCCTGCGTGGCATACATCTGGAAATTCGGCTTGTATTCGGGGAATTGCGTGATTCCTGGCCACGTTCGCTCGGTGGGTGTGCCCATGATGCGGAAGATGCGGGTAATCTGGTCCTCGTTGGTCGTACCAGGGAACAGAGGTCGGCCCGTATACAGCTCGGCCATGATACAGCCAGCCGACCAGATGTCGATGCTGGTGTTGTAGGTTCTGCTGCCTAACAAGACATCCGGGGCTCGGTACCAGAGAGTAACGACCTCGTTCGAGAACGTATTGACAGGAATGCCGAATGCTCTTGCCAACCCAAAATCACCCAGCTTCAAGGCGCCCTTGCTATTGATGAGAAGATTCTGGGGCTTTAAGTCTCGATGGAGTACACGATTCTGGTGGCAGAAATCGATCCCCTTCAATAGCTGGTACATGAAGGATTTGATGGTTAGAGGCTTCAGGGCTCCTCGATCGCCGTGGGTGTCCATGTATTTCTTCAAATCGCCATCCATGTACTCAAACACCAGCATAAGTTTGTTTTCGGTATGGATGACATCGTGTAATGCAACTATGTTCTCGTGCTTCAGCTCCTTCATCAGGGAGATCTCGCGGATCGCTGTCGACGGCGTGCCTTCCTCCGAGTCGAGGTGAATTTCCTTCAGAGCAACCAGCTCCCCAGTTTGGCGGTTCCGGCCCTTGAACACCTATGATGCACACATGATCAGAAGCAGGACAGTGGATTATGGAATGGGCATAGAACGTACAGTAGCATAGGTGCCTTCGCCTAGCTTCTCCAGCTGCTGGAAGGAGCTTGGGTGTCTTTTGGCATCCATGTTGGAGGTGGAGTAGAGCACTTGAGAACGAGGTGGTGGTTGGTAAGGTTGAGGATAGATATTGTAGTGAGGCACAGGAGCGGGCGGTTGTTGCGATGTGTACTGCTGGTCGAATAGAACGTTGCTACAAGTGCTGTAATTGGTGGGAGGACCTGGGACTGTAGTACTTCTACCACTGACACCTGTCTGAGCACCAATCGCGTTGTTCGAAAACTCCGGTGCGTGGCTGCCACCGCTGGCCTCTGGTAGAGTACCTATCTCGTCGACCGTAACAGAGGAATTCTAGGATGGAATATGGAGCCGACGGTCAGCAGCTGGAGTCTCGAGGAACAGCGACAGTATCGTCGGTGAGTTACGAGGCTGCCTCGTTGAGGAATACGAGTAGAGAGACAGATTCGGTAGGTTAGCCGTGTCAGAAAAAATCTGAATATTGGGCGTTCAACTGAGAAGCACTCTGAATAACTGAACTTTACTGACAGCTGAATCAAAGTTGCGGTAGAATTGCCCTCTGGCACTCTGGGGGTGATGGAATCACAATGAGGGGCAAATATCGTTGATTGGTACTAATCCCCTGCAATCCCCAAGGCCAGGCCCGCAAAAACCATGACTCGAATGCCGCCTAGCCCACTGTGACTTGTGTGACTTGTTAGGGAGTCACGGGCCAGTCACAAAATGCCAGTAACATGCTCATTGCGTTGCGCGTCCGTGCATTGGAGTGTGTCACAATCTGGAACTCGCGCCATTGCTGTTGATGAACGTGTGACCATCCAGCTGCGCGTGAGAGTGGTGCGGGGTGCTCCTTTATCAGCGAAACGGGCAGCTTGGAATCCTGAGCCAATAGTCTCGATACTGGCATTGTCATCATTCATTCGCACACCATCCTGTCAGTACAACTGCTTCGTAGTTATCTACCTTCATGAAGATACATGCGACCCTAATCAGTGTCTAGCGATTCTCTTTTCTACCAGTTGTTTGGAAGACGTAACTCATCTCGATGCTCATTCAACAGTGATATCATAAATATAACACCTACATCATGCGACCTCTTCCAGGCACGATTGGGCGACAGCGGTCCCCAGACCACGAAGCAGTTCCCATGACGCCCGCATCCAACAACCAGATGTCCTTCTTTGTTGCCGATGAGACCACCCTTGACTCATATCTCGAACAATCAAGTATCCCTCGTTCCAGAGACCTCAGAAAGGCCCCCGATCCGGGGCATATCTTATCTTCACGCAAAGAAGATAGAGGTGTCGAGTCCTCCACACACAATTCGAGGCATCCTGACAGAGAACATGGTCCTGCTTACTCACCCCTTTCAAGAACTTCAGCTATAAGTCGGAGCCCAGCGTCAATGCGATCTCAACCACATCCAGATCTGTCACGACCGATGACGCCAATAATGCTAGGGGCATCATGCTCAGTTTCTGCCATGAGCAGCCCGTCATCGAGGGGGGACTCCATCGTAGACTCCCTGTCTGAACATGCTATCAGCGTTGATGAAGAGGGCCCGGCCTTACAGGAGACGTCGACACGAATGATGGACAGCGGCAGTGCTCCGCAGCTCGTGATGCCCAGCATCAAAATGCCGAGCCGACGGCCGTTTACGGAAAATGGCAAGAGCATCGGGCGCCTGAAGATACTTATCGCGGGTGATTCTGGTGTTGGCAAGACTTCACTTTGCAAAGCCATTGTACAAGCTTGTGAGCATATCGTCCATATCGACCCCATTGTTCCACAGGCTAGGTCGAGCAGGAGATCATCCAAAAGGACCGAAAAAAGTGCTGCTTCGAGGAGGGATTCCAACTCAACGAGTGCAATCACCGAGATATTTGCCAGCACCAAACCCTACCCAGAATGGTGGACTCAGTTGAACGAGGTACAGGCGAACCAAAGACGAAAGAGTCTGGGTGACACTGTCCTTGAGCGCAACATATGCTTCGTAGATACCCCAGGTTATGGAGCAGGGTCATCGGTAAGTTGCCCACCGGCAAAAGGAGTGAATATTTACTTACATGTCTAGGCCATCGAGACCATTGTACCCTGCGTTGAGTATGTTGAGTCTCACCTGAACAACGTGTCTTCCGGCTCTTTGAGCGAATCAGACATGCTCAACATGTTGGGAGGTGATGGCGGGTTTCAGGTCGACGTCGTTTTTTATTTGATAAACCACAGTATGTCTTCAGTGGCCCCGACCGGAGTTGCAGCTAATCTGACAACTTGCAGATATAAAGCCAGTGGATGTCGAATATCTCCGCCGCCTAGCCCCGTTGACAAACATTATCCCGCTCCTGGCTCAAGCAGACAAGCTATCTCCAGAGGAGCTAGCGGCGTGCAAGGTGCAAATTCGCTGTCAGCTTCAAGATGCTGGCATCCGACCGTTCTCGTTCTCCTCGTCCAGGCAGGGTTCATCTGTCAGCGACCCCACGGTGCCTTATGCCATTTCTAGCGCAGATGTTTCGGATCGCGACGTTAACTTGGAGCTGAGTCAAATGGATGCCTCACTTTTGATGAGCCCAGACTACGTCCAGCCCCTGGCGCCATCAGAGCTTCCTCTTTTAGTAGCGCAAGCATTCAGCCTCAACGGCTCGTCGTGGCTACGCCACTCAGCCGCCAAGAAATATATCCAATGGCGGGATGCCGTGAATCCATCGCAACCCAAGCATCTTTACCAGCCACTCAGCCTTCCCGGTCCTGGAACAATGCCAGCGCTAACTGGAACATCTGGGGCATTGATTGGGCGTCCTACGGCTTTAGCCCTCGCACGCACCCACAATCGTCAAGAAGATACTCAGTTTCACCTAGTGGATTGGGCTGCTGATTTGCAACGAAGTCTTGCCAGCGAAAGAGCCCGGTACGAAGGAATCGCTCGTGGTGAGCGTGCTCGGTGGCTGACAGCAAGGTTGAATGAGTGCGTGAAGGATGGCACTCTAGTACCAGTGAACGGCTCCAAAGAAGTGAGCCCAGAACGGAAAAGGGAGAGAATACCAAAGCAGAGGCATTCGAGGCAGACGATGCATCACCAAGACCCTCTTGGCTTGCTTCAAGTTGCGGCAGATCTCAAAGCGAAAGGATGGGTCGCTTTGGAGTATATCGGTTGCTTTGGCTTGATAGGTGGGTTAGCGTACTTCTTGGTAAGAGATCGCTGGCTAGAGCAGCCCGTCCGGCTAGCCGACGACTGGACGAGGTTGTGAGGGATAGACTTGTGAGAGTAATGTAGCTATGGTGGCCAGGTAGAGACACTCTACTTATAGGATTGCAAGTGCCGTCGGAGTCCAACATGTCAGATTTAAAACTTTGCAGCTTCCCGGAAGCCTCTACCTTGCGTATGCGTGTATGGGGATGGTCGGTCCGTTATTAACACCGCTGGAACTTGTAGCATTAGCGTGATAGCACCATGTCAAGTTTAAACACCTGTGAAGCACCTGTATGACTATTCCGTTGAAAAAGTAAAAATAGTCGGGAGAATAATAATTATTATTATTATTATTATTATTATTAAATACGCCGTAGGCTCGAAGCCCCCGGTACCTCTACTAGTACTCCCGTATGTCAAACCGTGCCCTAATGGCTGGACTAAATACATACGCTGCGTCGTCGGTTCGCCCTATTGGCGACTGCGTTGCGTTCACTACCATACTACGTTGGTTCTCAACCTACCAACAAAGTCCCCCCTGAGAAGATCGATGCTATCTGGGCCTTGAAGCTGTCCGACCCGTCCCTAGCAGCCACCTTACAATAGTCCCACTAACTACTGGTTCTCCTGTTGCCGTTGCGAGGTCTCTGCGAGAGTATAGTGGCCGTGGTGCGATAGCGGCCCGTAATCGTTCCCTCAGTCCTTCCAACAGCCCGCAAAAGAGGATTACGTGCTCTGCCGTCTCAGGGGCGTCGCCACAGCGGCATAGCGGCGAGTACACGCCAAAAGCCCCTGTCTTGAATAAGAAGGCTGCTAGTCCTATTTTTTCCGTCCTGATCTGGCACAGCGTAGACGCCTCCAGTCGGTTCAGGCCGAAATACTTGCCCCCTTTCGGTATCTGCATCGAAGGGCCCTCCGGTTCCTCAGCGATAGCGCGTCGCTGGCGATCGTGATGCTCTGCTCCGGTGAGCCATCTCTTCCTCCAGTGGCCGAGGAAAACCCCGCAGGAAGTGATTCACAAGTTCCACAATATTGTAGGTGTTTGTTGGGGGCTACTGGTCAAAAATAATAAGGCGCTTGGTACAGTCAGGCTCTATAACTCTGGGGACACTTTACGCTAACTGTCAGGGTACGGCTAGGCCGAAGGCAATAGTACAGAGTGATGGGGAGTAATGGGCGTCCCTCCTACGTAGCACCGGGTGGTCATTGGCGGTCTCAGGTAGGGGTGCCCACGATGATGCATTGATCTCTACTCCTTCCCTATCCTACTTCGAGATGGTCCTTATATAGATAGCTAGGCCGCCGCTTGGACCCGGCGTAGCCGCAGGTTTGGCGATGCCGGGAATCCTGACTCGGGAGGCTTTTGTCCGAAACACCCCACCGGCACTCCACCGGTGTCCTGCGTTCAGTGTCTCTGACACTAACGCGAAAATTCGCGCACTTCGCACCTACACCCTCTAACATTATAACTACCACAATTACACTAAAATGAGGTCGAATCTCACCGAATTTGCGCAGCAAGTAATAGCTGATCATCGGCCTAGCTGTGAGTATACCTAAGTATAACGGGCGGCTATAGTAACGGTAGTTATGTGCGGTATCCCGTAGACTACCGTGGCTAGCCTCTTTAACGTACACCGATCGACCGTCACGAAATCCCTAGTGTCCTAGAAATCTCGCTATAATTTCGATTCGCTAGCTCGAAGCGGTCGTCGCCCTAGATTTTCACGTCGGGGTAAGCGTTTCCTCGTTTAATTATGTAAGCGTAATCGAAATTAGACTTATAAGTGTGAAGGTCAACCCTCGCAGACTCACTACAACCAGGTGACTTACAGCTGGAACACCTGCCATGGCAGTGTCAGATGGGAAGCCAATCATAACCCTTGTAGGAGCCCCGCCAAGCGTGGATGACTTAGTCGCGCTCCCTCAAACCTAAGTTGTGATCTTCTTTCCTTCACTCCTTAGAGTAGAATCTTCGTCGATAGCACCTAATCGAGGTCTCTACCAATGCGATGCAACCCAGGTCGTGACATACGTTATCCCCGACTGCCTGGGTCTTCCGATTTCCGAGCGAGAAGTACAATAAGGACTTCGTGAATCTTAAGGTATATATAAAAGCGAATATTTCGGTTATAGTCTAGGGTAGGATCTACGTCGAGGGAGGAGTAGGGAAGAAGAGCGACCTAATCGTGATAGAGCGACCCCCCTAGGAGGAGGGTAAGAGACAGAAGGGCTATAATACCTAGAGTTATCTTAAGGCCTTAAGGGAGGGCTTACTCCTATTTTATAAGGATTAGTAGTATTTTCAGTAAGATAATACGAAGATACACCTCTCGGCGTAAGCTATAGAGTAGTTCGGCCGGTACGCTATTTCTCTAATTGTCACGCCGTGCTAGGGGTTGCAATCCTTGCCACTACGCCACCGTACCAGATGTCTTCACCAAAAGAGACCAATTCTGCAACCACTTATCAATCTGTTCAGACCAGTGTGGGCCAATCACGTGTCAACCGTCACACTAATAGACGAGCTAGCGCATTCCCCAGATCTTAACCCTATAGAGCATGTATAGGCCTGGTCAAAGAGGTATCTATCTAGGGAATACCCTGAACTCTTTATCCTAAAAAAAACTAGCTGGATATTGAGCAATTTAAAGCTACGCTGCAGTTAGCGTGGAAGGTAGTACTAGTAGCGCTTGTCAGGGTCGTGTATGGGGGTACCAGTAGTTTATTGTTGTAGCACGAAGAATGGAACATCAGCCAGCTCGTGCAGTACCAATATACATGCGGTGCACGGGCCTAGCCCCGTGACAGCGCTGATTAAGAAGCTATACGATACTCTAGAGTATAGGCTCCGCGCTATTATTAAATCCCGCGGCTGGTATACAAAATATTAATCTACGGGTTATAAGCTTCGAAATGACTCTATTTTAATACCTGTAGCCTATATATTCATAGAGATATAGCCATATTAAAATCCTAGTCCCCTAAAGAGCGCTGTAGTAAAAGTGGAGTGTCCCCAGACTTTTGGAGCCTGACTGTACCGCAGTACGATTGGACACTTGAAGTACGTACTTAACCTAGGTTAGGTATCTGTACTATTAATCGAGATGCCCGGGCCAACTCCGGCTTATGGATCATCCAATCTTCCCTCTATTTTCCAACATCATCAACCATTTGGGTTGGCGACGATAGTCAAGCTATCCTACCTTTATCGATTACCTGTATCCTGCCGATTGCGGATGAACACTCAGACTACTCTGACTCCAAAGTCTAATCAGGCCGGCTTCACCCTCATCTGAAGAATATTCGCCTGCTCATGTACATGCTGGAGTTCTTTACCCGTACCTTCCCATTGTGTTTTCATCTCTTTCTACTGCCGTAGCAAGCTTACTGGACACGGGCATCGAAGATTTCGTTAATTGATTGCCTGATCTTTTACGCCACTTTGCGCAACAACAGCAGCAGCAGAGGAAGCCCCAAGGTCGCGAAGCAGGTTTTCTCCGCGGACACCGTGCTGGGGGTTCACCTCCTCGACCTCTTGGTTTACTCGACACAACAGACGACGTTTCGGTACGGCACGACACGGTAATAGGCCCTTTCGAAGCAAACCCTCATGTACGAGACCTCGCTCGCACGAAAAGCACAGCTGGATTTAAAATACGGCCATGGCATACTCAGGAAGGCAATGGGGCACGACACCTCCCATCTCGACTGCGCTGCCCACGCAAGTCGAGGTGGAGGCTAGCGACGCCCTCTTTGAAGAACTGAAGCGACAAGGCACCTTTGAGTCAAAACTCGAGACGGACAAAAGGTAAGTAGCGCATGGCCCTGGAGCAGCGAAATCCACGGCCTCTTCTAACAGGGCAAATTACAGGCACAAAGTCCTTACCGATTTACGACGCTTAGTGGATGAATTCGTCCGGCGGATTGCGCGAGAGAAGGAACCACATAACACTGTTCTCATACGAGACGCTCGTGGGGAGGTCTTCACCTATGGCAGTTTCTGTCTTGGAGTGTACGGGCCAGGGTCAGATATTGATACACTCGTTGTCGCCCCTAGATACGTAACGAGAGAGGATTATTTCAAGCATTTCCCTGGAATGCTCAAAGAGATGACTCCGAAGGGTGCGGTGACCGATCTGACACCGGTTGAGGATGCCTTTGTCCCCATTATCAAGTTCGAGTACTGGGGTATTAGCATCGATCTGATCTTCTCGAGAATTGCAACTCTGAAGCAGTTTCCCGCTCACGGTGAGCTCAAGCTCACCAACAACGAATATCTGCGAGGTCTAGATGAAGCCGAATTGCGATCCCTGAACGGGACCCGTGTTACCAACGAGATACTAAATCTTGTTCCCGAACAGAGTACCTTCCGCCTAGCGTTGCGTGCCATCAAGCTGTGGGCTCAGCGACGTGCCATATACGCCAATATCATTGGCTTCCCTGGCGGTGTCGTCTGGGCTATGCTAGTTGCCCGCATTTGCCAATTATACCCGAGAGCTGCCAGCGCTACCATTGTCGCCAAGTTCTTCTTCATCATCAGCAAGTGGAAGTGGCCACAACCGGTGATGTTGAAAGCAATGGAAGAGAACGCGCCCCTTTCGGTTCGCGTCTGGAACCCCAAGGTATGCAATTTCGTGATATCTATCTACTCGGACATTTAATTGGTTGCTAACGTTAAGCAGGTCTATAAGGGGGATGGCTATCATTTGATGCCAGTAATCACCCCAGCATACCCTGAAATGTGTGCCACCTTCAACATCACGCACTCCAACAAAGCCGTCATTCAACGCGAGCTAGAACGTGGTAACGGTATAGCTGACAAAATCGTAAGCGGAGCCGTTCCATGGAAAGCACTATTTGTCAAACACACTTTCTTCACACAGGGCTATAAGTATTATCTAGCTGTCATTGTTACTAGTAAGGAAAAGGAAGCGCATAAGATCTGGTCCGGCTTTGTGGAGTCCAAGGTTCGAGTCCTTGTCGCCAATCTCGAGAGACATCCGTCTATAGCCATCGCACACCCCTTCAATAAGGGATTCGAACGACGACACACGGTGAAGTGTGGTCAAGAATTCGAAGCGATACTGGATGGTAGCCTTGCCTACATAGTCAAGGGTGAAGATGAGGAGGGTACAGTGATCAAGGATGAGCTTCCGGATGCCGCCAAAGACGACGAGGAGCCAAAGCCGAAAATCGAGGATGGAACTGTCGTTCAAAGTGCAACCGCTGCCCACCACGTCGAGTCGACTGCTAGCCTGAAGGACAGGGTATCGAGCCCGAACGTCAAACCAGAGGCTGAGGAGAAGCCTGTCAAGATGGAAGATTTGTCCATCAAAGAAAGCAAAGTCTACACTACAACACACTACATCGGCCTGGAGCTTGCGGAAGGTAGGTTTATCGCATCCAACATTCCTTGTTGTCTACGCCTTTGCAGTTTTGATCCAATTCGACGTGAATATTGCTAATCCTTTAGGTGCCAAATCGTTGGACTTGTCTTTCCAGGTGAACGAATACAAGGATCTCTGCCACGCCTGGGACAAGTATGATTCCAAGCTCAACTTTCTGAGTGTTCAGCATGTGAAGAAGTATGACCCCACAATGCTTTAAGAGTAGAACACCATCCAACCCCTACATACTCACATGGGACAGTATCAACCTACCCGAAGACGTATTTGAGCCCGGTGAAGCCAAGCCTACTCGACCGCTTAAGAAGCCGGGCGGGCCTAACGGAGCTTTGGCCCAAAGGAAGCGGCCTGCCCCGTCAGATGTACGTTTGCTTGAATGAGAGATTGCTAACTAAGCTTCCATCTCCAGGATACACATCAAAACCCAGCCCCCATCCGGAGGAACCGCTAACTTGAAGTGTAGGGAAACCCATCTGCCCCAAAACGACAGCACTCCTCAACCAACACGGTCACGGCAGCGAGCTAAGCCCTTGAAAAGAAAATGATGAGACTGCGCCATTCTAGGGGTTCGCCTCACCTCGTCGATGGGGTCCACCCGTATAAACCATTCATATGTTGCTCACTTGAGCTATTCAGTTTTTCTTCTGGGTATCAATTGATACTGGCAGTTTCATTTTTGTAATGTACTAATACCCTACTAGCGGTGCTGGAATCGGCCAAACGGTGTCCAGTCTCATTGCTCTCTTCATGCATGCATGATACATGACGAAGGAGAGCCAAATTATGGGACATGCTGCTAGCCACAGGCCTACTTGACCGCCAATAACCTACCAGAAGAACGAAACGTGAAAGGGGCTGCTTGGCCACGAAGATACTTCCATTATTCGACTCCTCAAAATCGAACCTCAAGACCTTCCGAGATCAGTCCTGCTCCCCTAAGACCATACTTGGAGACATGGCAGACGACGTGGAACGCCCAGAAAAGGCAATATAGAAGAAGAAAAAAAGGGAAAAGGAAGGCCAGAAGAAACTTGGCAATCGCACAATGTGCAAAGACCGAACCATACACAGCATTTTTCTATATTGAGCAGGAAGTAGCGAACACGCTCACGATGTCACGGTGAGGCAAAACAGATAGGTGTTTCAGCTGATACTGCTCTTCAGAGGCAGCAGCCAGGGTGGCTCCGAAGTAATATTCCCTACTATATTCTGAGCAAGTTGCGCCAGATTGCTGAATTTCACTGTACCATGAGGGGTGACCTGCCAGCAGATACCGGAAACTCTTCATTTTTGTTTGCAAGGTTAGCTTCTCTCTTTTAGAATCATCCACGCATGTTTCCATTGGAGGCAGAAGATACCCCACACTGGGGACATAGCCAGAGTTGAGAGTAATTAGGAAGAGACAAATCTCAGTCTGGAGCTGGGTGGCAGTGTATCTAGAGCACATTGCAGAATAATAAACTAGCTTTGAGAGGCACACGTGCCTCGCCTACAACCTGTCTGCACCGAACGAGAACTTGCATGAGTGAAACCTCATGGAGGTTTTGTTGCTAAACTAAGCCCATTGGGAATATTCTCTGATAATAGTTTGCAATGTACCCACCGTATTCTCCGGGCCAGCCAGCTATTCGCCATCGTGGTCAGCTTAAATGTTCAGCCCCGAAGCACCATATCGCTTGCCTGCTTCCCTAAGCTTAGAATCACGCACCGACTCCAGCCTGTAATCGGTGCAACAGGGCAAGCTAGCAACTTCAAGACTCCCGGGTAGGAGGTTCCTATTAGGTATGATGTCTGACAGCCTCACATAACACGGCAAGGAGGTTGACGGGCTATCTGAACTCTAGTGAGGCAGGGCCTACCGCAGAGCCCGCCCATCCCATACGACCCAGGGACACACGCAGCCCGACTTGTATAAGCACGGCTTTGGCATCTTCACAGCTCCTCGGTAAACTCAAGTTCAACCATTTCCTTCCAGCTCCCCAGTTCCTCGCCCAAACCGACTCGAGTGGACCCCTGAGGCTCCTTCTTATCCAGCTCCATCTCCTCAATCAAAGGCATGAATTGCTCTTTGATGTCAGCAGATCTGGATCCACTGTATCCAAGCACTTCTCGCTCGTACGTGGGTTCCAAACGGGCTGGCACCGCGCTAATGTCCATCATCTTCCACGTAGGCAGCTGCCGGTTCGGATAGTACCGTTCCATACTGAGAAAGGCTTACCTCAAGCGTCGCAACAGGCCCATGTCCTCGCTGGTTTGCTCAATAAACACCGAGTCTGGGCCATATATGGGGTTCTCATCGTGCCGCACAACTATGAGCTGCTCCAGGTGAGGGAGATGTTTGGCCATCATTTTGAGACACTCAACCGATTTATTCGTGAGCAAGCTCGCCGGTGCATCCTTCCTCCGGAGAACCGCTGCGTTCATGCCCACGCATCTGACATGGGTGAGCTGATCTCCAGAGATGGTGTTCACGAACCCTAAGAGTTGCGAGCGTGATTCGGTAAATCCATCCCGGAATTCAAAATACAGTGCATCCTTGGAGCTAAAAAAGACCTTGCCGGATTTTCCAGCTACGGCGAAGGAAAGTTGATGTTCTTTCAGCGCTTCTGAACGCGACTCGCGGCAAACATGGAGGATTGCCGGGATGATTGCACATGAAATGCAAGTGTCGATGCTATAGTCCTGGGGCTGTGCGACTGCTTTCGACGAAGAAGCATCCCTTCTGCCGCAGTGTATCGGCACGATGCGAGAAGCTGGGAGGCCCTGCCTCCAAATTCTAAGACGAAAGTCTTGAGGAAGCTTGGGGAACGGGTGCTACTACAGAATGAGTGCTAGTACTTTGGTAAAAGAAAGGGCTGATGACACACAAAATGCTCTCAAGTTTTGCTTTCTGCTCGAGCCGCCATTACAACACATCGGCACACCTGCTCACCAGTTAGGGGATGGTGGTCCGGCAAACAAACTTGCAGGGTGACAAGGCACAGTTGGGCAAACTTGAATCCTTACTGATTGATGTTTGGCTAGCAATCAACAATTGGCTCAAGGGGCAAGGAGAAAATAATGGATGAAGTTTGCAAGAATCTTGAATATCGCATCTCAGAATCGGGAGCGTGTGTCGTCCAAAGCGGGCCGAGTGTTATCCCAAAGACGTTCCGACCCCAGTACATACCACTCATGTCCTGTGCTCCCCTCATTCGCCAGGGCTTCGAGATATGCAAACTGGCTGAATGGAGTCGAACGCCTACATTTCTGGAGTAAATTACTCCGGTTATCCCCAGCTTGATAAGTTGACAGCATGTTTGACGCGAGGCAGGGACAAACCAGGGTGTTACACAACCACAGAGGTGAATTTTCACCCACATCTCCTCCTGGTTCTCGAGTACTTCGCAGGTATCGGTCATCCAGTGCCTCTGTAGCACTCAGCCTGTCTGTCGGCCATCACGACCATGGACATGACAGAGCGCCTGTTATGTGTGTATCGAGGCTGGCACATAGTGCAAAGTCTGGTTCCCTCGACCTCGCTCTCTCTCTCTCGATTGGCAGACCGACTGCAGCGGATCAACCGGATTACGCAGTGTGCAACGACGCACTACTATGTTTCAGAGGTATCCTGACGTGGACGGACTTCTCGTAGAAAATGCTTCGGGTCATATGCAGGAAGCCGGGCAAGCTGAGTCGTCCTAAAGGACTGGGGACATGGAGTGTTTGCCGATCCCGGGCCTGGAGGCAACATGAAATGGCTTGGTGGATAATATGTGGCTGGTCCTCATGGCATCAGAAAAACAAGTGAATGTATGTTGGTGAATAAATTGCTGTCTCTGCTCAACCTGCCAAAGTCTTGGTCCAAGAAGAGGCAAGATGATGGCGGGACGATACTACCGACCGCGCCAAGTCCAGCATCCCCTTCCACGAGTAGCAAAAGAATCCGAAGCTAAGGTACGTTACGGATAATATTAGATCAGGGTATGGAGGTATTGGACATGCTTAAAAAAGACATTGATGCCAGCGGCCGGATTTCCCCAGATGCTGTTTCGCGTGATCCATGGCATTGTACGGGGCTCTCACCTCCTCGAATGCAACCTTGAACCGTGCCAAATGCCCTGTCCAATCCCTGTTACATAGAACCTGACGTCTTCCAACTGCAGCTCAAGAGCCATCATGGTATCTAATTTGGTTCGAGTTCATGATGCATCACATCACATCTATGGGTGAGACAATTGTCGATGAAAGGAGATTACTTCGCTCACACCTGGCCCACAGGGCAAGCAGTTGCAGAGGCCCCGATGTTGAATTTGCGGTTGATAGCTCCTAGGTAGCTCCGCCCGGCCGCTACGTACCTGGCAGGTACGGGGTAGAGCTTATTCCTTAGATCGCTGCTGAAGACCTCCAGGGGCTTGACCCGTCGGTTAGCACTCAAACTTAAACCCTGCATCATTTCTGCAGCATTCTGTTATTTACCAAGAGCGTTTGCTCTTTTGAGCAGCGGTCCTGCAGGCCTTGGGAGCGGTCGGAAGCTGACGGTCAAGTTTTACCGCGTCCTCCCATCATTGGCCAGACGTCATCCGACACCCATGGCTAAGCGCCAGAGGGGTCCAAATTTGGGTCTTATGGCCACCCACAGCCAATCTGTCACGTTTATGTACCTCATCTCTCATCCCCTTATGCCCCTGCATGTCGGTTGTCGCCCGTCTGACTGGGCATCGATACCGCGTTTAGGCCTGCAGTTGCATGGGCGCATCGCTCACTCCCCCATTTGGTAGACATGGGCCAAGTGCAAGTTGCTATCCCTGGAACGTTCACATAGCAAAGCGCTAGCAAAGCGCGAAAGACTGGCTAAATGGGTTGCCGGATAATGTGAGCGGCTATCTCTAACTGTTCATTCATAACCGCGTGTTTCGCATCTTTCTCGAGGTGGGCTGGAGACTGTCTCTGTTCGATATCTCTTTGCGGTGTCTTCATCTTCCTTCTTTGTTCTCTGATTCTTCATTGTCGTGTCTTTTCTCAGCCTATTGCTTTTCGTACCGTCGATTTTCTGGCAAAGTTGAAACGGATCATCATACCCATTTGCTATCATGTCTCACGAAACCAAAGACCAGGCGTCTGCCACCGACTTCGAAGTCGAGTCCCAGGACCTGCACTACCAGTCGCAGCTCCGATCCATCCGCCTCGTTGACAGCATCAGGGTCGGCTTGATGGCCGTCGCTCTGCTGTCCGGTCTCACCATTCTCGGCACATCTGGTGATGCTCTAGCCGTATACAACACGACCCATCTCTCGGCCGATTTCTACCTGCCCCTATGGCCAGATCAGTTTGATCTCCGACCAACCGTGGCTCTGGTGGTCAGTAGCGCCATCGTGGTGCTGACCAACATCATTTCCTTGGTTTTCAGCAAGGTGGATATGGTGCGTGTAGCCGATTCCGGTCCTAAATGTGTCAATCATCATGCTCATCTCTCGACACAGCTGCGGAACCGGACTCCTGTCCACACGCCGTTGATGTTTGCCGCCCCCTTCATTAGCTTCGCCGCTGCCATGATTGCCATGATCTTTTTCTATGCGATCAACGCGTCGACCACAGTCGACAACTTGCAGAGTTGGAGTTGCCGGTGGGAGTCTATCGGCATGACGATGAAGCCGCACTTCGGCACCTTGTGCAGGGAGAGCAAAACGGCACTCTACCTGGGCATCATCCTCATCCCACTCGAGGCTGTTATCCTTTCCACGGCTGGATATCAACTGATTTTGGAGAGGAAGGCAAGTGGTGTTGCCCAATTCCGAAAACGCAGCAGCCCGGCTTTGTCGTAAGACAGGTCGTGGTGCAAACAAAATTCCAAGACAAGAAGCCCTGGGTCGTGCATAGCACAACGGAACTTGGCATCGGATGACGTTAGGTATTGTGGTTGAGATTGAGAGTCGGCGGGCGGGAAGGCAGGACCTGGAAAGAAATTACAGCCTTGGGTTATGATATCGATCTGTATAATAGTGTAATGGCGCGTTTGGGCGATCGCTAATGGTGTCATGAATCAAAGCGACAGTAACTTTTGAGGTTGTACTACCAAACCCTGTTTGCCAAGATTGGGGGACCCGGTCAGTGGCTCTAGCCGTGACAGGATGTGAGGAATAAAGTGCGGCGCATACTTGCAGCACCGCCTTATTGCAACTGGCTTGCCTTTTTTTCTTCTTGATAGTCAGTCATAATATCCATTCTTAGTGGTGCAGCTCGTAAGCTCGTAAGAGCATGGAGGGTCGAGACTCACTTCAGCTCGATGCTACGTTACCTGAGGGAATCCGGCAAAGAGACAGCCACAGGCCATGATACTTACACATTACTTTCAGAAAGCCATTGTATAGGACATCCATATTGCTGCAGCCAGAGGAAAATTGTAGATTGGGGGCCTAAACGGAGACGACAGGCCGGCCGTCGCCATTCGGCAACTGTCTTATCTGCAGAAATCCACATTTGGATGCAGCCGTCCAAGGATTTTCGTCGCCGTAAAGTGCCCTTATCACTCCATCAAATTGTGGCCGGGTGCAAACAGCAAATGCAATGAGATGACAGGTAACTTGCAGAGACCGTACGACGGACTAGAGTACTGCTGTGGGCTCGGCCTCAGCACCTTGGCGTGATTACACCACTTTGCATGTGGTGCACCCATTCGATCGACAACTAACGATCTCAGGCAAGAGCATGAAAACCTGGGGAAAGCACATTTAGTGTGGCGACTGCTAGGACACTTAGCTATCTTGAAATCGCTCCATCGGTCTATCGGACGACCGTCCAGGGATTTAGATTCTTAATTGACCCTTGCTAGTGAATTGGGTGTCGCTTCGTCATTGACCATTCTGATACGAGCAAATATACCGGCCCCAATATTCATCACCTGGCTTCCTGCCTGCTTGTGGACTGATAAGGACCCTGCGAGTCTGGCCACAAATAGAAACCTACAGGAACTTCCCACAAGTACCCGAGGCCTCTGGAGTCCATCTGGAGTCCAGACAGCATTTAAGCAAGCCTCATTACACGGAAAGTGGGATATCCTCGCGAGGGCAGTCCGTTGAAAGGCACTGAACACCACGGCAACCGCCACGACTGCCACGCAACGTCTAACCTCGACACGACCCGTCCCAAGCGATCCTTTGCTAAGATCTCAAACTCAGGCATAAGAAGCGGCCCATCTGCTCAATTAAGGTTTCGGCGCCCCACGAGCTCAACACTAAATTCTGATTGGTATTAACCAAGGAATTGCTCAGACCCACGGAGACAACCTGCTGTTATAGGCTAGCATCTACACCAGTGACATTGGCAGCCAAGGCCAGTCCGTGCTATCAAGAACGCGCAACCATGCAAAGCTCACCAAAGCCGCGAGTCCAATCTCCTCTTCCTCTCAAATCTCCTGCCAGCCCTCCTCCTCTTCCCAAGCCAGCGTCTCCTGGCTCGTCAGCTCTCTCATTTGCGCAACGGAAAGCCCAGCTCTCGCGGCCGTCGAAATCCAAACTCAACATCGTCGAGGGAAATAAGATGTTGCGGAATATTGACCGGCCTCCTCCCGGGGACCCAATGTCACATCGGCGCAAGTCGCAAATCGGCCCAGATATGGCAAAGAGAAAGAGTGCTTATTTTGAGGGAGAGTTTGCCGCCGCTACTAGGGAAATGGAGCCTGGCAAGGATCGGATCCGCAACGAAGCGATAGTCATGGCCGAGTTCAGAACCAACGTCATCGTAAGTGCTCCTCTTCAACCCACAACGGACTCGAATGGTTCAACTTATACCAAATGCAGATCCAAGATGAATTCACTTTCATCACCGACTTCTCGTACCATCTATCGAACCGCTATCAGCGCCCCTTGTCCTCCGTCTGCATCAATGTACAACATAGCAGTTGTATAATGTTCGGCGGGTCATTCGAACCCGCGTACACGCTCACCATATTTGCCCTCCCATGCTCAGTTCAGCCCATTACCAACAAGCGGAACGCTGCCCTTATCCAGAACCACATTCAGGAATTTCTGGGTGTGCCTCCATCGAGGGGCTATGTCCGTTTTGTGGCCACTCCAGAGGACAGTGTTGCCTGTGGAGGAAAGACCGTGGCCGGCGAGTTGGATGAGCTGGACAGAGACGAGACCTCGGTCGAGCTAGATCGCTCCAAATCCACCAAGTCGATCAAGGCCACCTCTAAAAGCAAACGCATGTTGAGCGTTCGGGTAAGCGTCAGTCTCTTGCACGTCCCTTCAGCTTTGGTTATTTTTTATCTTTTGCATTGTATATTGAATGGTCGTGAACAGCACCACGTAAGATTCTTGGCTGACACAACACTTTATAGTCATTCAGACAGTTACCTAATGACGAACCTCAGTCGATACCCACACCGCCATCCAGCGCAGATGATGGTCCCATGATCACCTCGTCAATTCCAGAGCATCCAACCCCACTACTGTCACCGGAGAGGGACCAGTATCCATCTTTTGAGGCCATGCCTCGTATAGAGGATATGCCCCATGTTGACGACAGGAAGCAGAAAGTGGCAACTCGCCGCAGGAGCTTTGTCACCGCGTTATTCAGCAGCAGAGGGACGGTAAAGGAGCGTCGCCCAAAAACTGCAAATCCAGGGCAATGAGAGGCTCTCATAACTCTGGCATTCGAGTTGAGGAAGTACGTAGGGTAACTAATAGAGACGGCTGGTGACCCATGGGATTGAGTTCCTCTCGAGTTCCTTGGAGCACCACAGCCGGCCGCATCATATAGGTTATGCATTGTCATGTGTAGGGGGTTTCTTTTGTGGGATTCAAATGCGATTTCCAGCTAAGATCATGCATGGCGTTGTGATATCAGAGACGTTGATGACTCGGGATTGAAGGATAAGACCAATACATGCCCACTAATTCCTCGGTGTATGAATTAGCAGCCAAATCATGTTGGGGCAGGACTTCAGGTAGGTATACACAAAATGATGCACAGCAAGGAAACCGTATGTAGTATTTAGGTATAAGGTTACTTTTCAGGATGAAGGACTCAGATACGCGTCGATGTTAATTTTCCTCATAGGAGCTATTTTGACTATAGTATGTAATGCATTGAAATGATGATGATAATATCTGGACGATGACACGCAAAAACAGTCATTGTGGTCTACACTGGCGTTATTCATGCCAGCTGTAGTTACAGTCAGGCTCCACAACTCTGGGGACACTTTACGCCAACGCGAAAATTCGCGCACTTCGCACCTACACCCTCTAACAATTTAACCACCACAATTATATCAAAATGAGGCCGAATCTCACCGAATTTGTGCAGCAAGTAATAGCTAATCATCGGCCTGGCTGTGAGTATACTCAAGTCCAACGGGCGGCCATGGTAACGGCAGTTATATGCGGCATCCCGCAGACTACCGTGGCTAGCCTCTTTAACGTACACCGATCGACCGTCACGAAATCCCTGGTGTCCTGGAAATCTCGCTATAACTTCGATTCGCTAGCTCGAAGCGGTCGTCGCCCTAGATTTTCACGTTGGGGTAAGCGTTTCCTCGTTCAATTATGCAAGCGTAATCGAAATTAGACTTATAAGGAGCTTATGCAATCTATAAGTGGCAAGGTTTCGAAGAGTACCCTTCGGAGGTACCTACGCGCCGTTAATATAAAGAAATAGCGTGCGCTTAAGCGCATACCACTCACCAAAGAATTAGCAGCCGATCGCCTTACATTTGCAACTTATTAGCTCGAAAATCTGGAGGAATTGATGACGGTATAGCCTCCGGCGTATCGAGGGTTCCCCCGCTAATCTAGTCCACAGGTAATCTTCTCCGACGAGTCCTCTATACAGAATTCTACGTCATCCCCGACCGCCTGGGTCTTCCGATTTCCGAGCGAGAAGTATAATAAGGACTTCGTGAATCTGAAGGCACACGTAAAAGCGAATATTTCGGTTATGGTCTGGGGTGGGATCTACGTCGAGGGAGGAGTAGGGAAGAAGAGCGACCTGATCGTGATAGAGCGACCCCCCCAGGAGGAGGGTAAGAGACAGAAGGGCTACAATACCTAGAGTTATCTTAAGGCCTTGAGGGAGGGCTTACTCCCATTTTATAAGGATTAGCAGCATTTTCAGCAAGATAATGCGAAGATACACCTCTCGACGCAAGCTATAGAGTAGTTCGGCCGGCACGCTATTTCTTTAATAGACTAGCCAGCGCATTCCCCAGATCTCAACCCTATAGAGCACGTATAGGCCTAGTTAAAGAGGTATCTATCTAGGGAATGCCCTAAACTCTTTATCCTAAAAAAAACTAGCTGGATCTTGAGAAATTTAAAGCTGCGCTGCAGTTAGCGTAGAAGGTAGTACCGGCAGCGCTAATTAAGAAGCTATACGACACTCTAGAGCATAGGCTCCGCGCTATTATTAAATCCCGCGGCTGGTATACAAAATATTAATCTACGGGTTATAAGCTTCGAAATGACTCTATTTGAATACCTGTAGCCTATATATTCATAGAGACATAGCCATATTAAAATCCCAGTCCCCTAAAGAGCGCTGTAGTAAAGGTGGAGTGTCCCCAGACTTTTGGAGCCTGACTGTATGTACACGCTTTGCAGCTCCCAATCATCCGTAAAGTCAACAATCTAGACAAGGGTCAATGGGTCAAATCCCAACAGCAGGGCATCTGGACTAGAACCGTCGAACATTCATACCATGCCGAGGCAGCACTAATTATAAACCTGGAAGAATCCTGGTGGGTGGATATCTAGGTGGGCACCTCAAGTTGTTAGCCGGGGGGGCCCTGCAGCTTGCGTAGGTGCTCTGCAATGGAGCTGAGAAGGCCTCGGCACACCCGCTCACCCAACTGCACTGACCCTCTTGAGTTTGGCTCGATGGGAACTGATCATCTAGACGCGTACAAAATTGATCGGTTTCACTACTATGTACACAGTCGACAACAGCCTTGCCCATCAACAGGATTATTAGTGTTTGCTTGTGGGTTTGTTCGGCTGCATCTTGAAACTCATAGTGGCGTCACAAACACATTAAGATTGGAGTAGTTCGCGTCAGCTGCCGGAAAAACCTCAGTCTCTTGAGAGATTGTTACCCGCTATCACGCTTGTTTCCACCGAACCTACGACTGTAGCATCTCGACCATGGTGACCACCTGAAGAATATCAGAACCCTGGCGCATTTCGACAATCTGGTCGAGCTCCCGTGATTGACAGGGTGTTCAGCCATTCACAACCGTTGTCGCCCCGTGTCTGCCGTTCTCCTAGACGAATCCAGGACTTGTGCGACAACTGACAAAAGTCAAGTCGGCCCGGGCTGTCGGTTTGTGTCAATCAATTGGATCGAGGACTGGCCGTCTCTGTCAGCAATCACACACATTACCGCTATCGACTGTGGCCCAGACAGGAGCGAGGGTGGTGATTGCTATCGAAGGGCAAGCTTCTGTCAATGCCATGCTGGAGCGGAGGGTCGGGCAACAGCGTTTGGTAAACCAGGGAACCGGCAAGTTCAGATGCTGCCAACCATGGAGGTAAGACAGTATTTTTCTTCAACCCTTGCTCATCTCATGACATGACATATTTTCCCAAATATCCCTTTGGTCAAATACATGGCACTCAACGGGCAAGGCCGCGTGGCACAAAGACGATGTCGCCAAATGTTGCAGAGATTCGGCCGGCGGGCAGGCCATGACCAACAAGACGTCAGGAACAAGCACAACCATGCCTCTCCACAAGACGCCATTATAGCCTCTCCTCTCCGCCAAAACTTGGCCAGCCCCAAGTTACATCTGTGTAATGGTCCACCCCCATCTCTTTGCGGGCGACAAAAACTAGGCAAACGTGGCGAACAAGGCCCAAGCTTCTTGAAAAGCCCTCAATATTGAGACAGAGCAGAGCTGAGACCCGAGATGCCCGTCGTTGGTACGACGGTGAGATCAGCAACGAATCCAGCTCGCTTCTCATCGACGCTTCGAGGGGTTTCCACTTCCTGGTACAAATGACCTGGTCTTAAACGACATGTGGTCACTTCCCAACCCTCGGCTCGAATTTCTCTGGGTCTCTTTGCCTGCCCGCAGCCGTCTCTGTCATCTCTCGCGCCTTCCCAGCTTCGCCATTTGGCACTCGCCTTTTCGAGGCTCCCGCGGCCTCGGTACCTGTAGCTATAGGTTAGCTACTTGGTCGACGTGTCGCGTCGAAAGGGAGACTGCAAACGGAGCAGCAATCAGCCTGGGCTTGGGACACTGGGCATGAACTCATGAGGATACTACGTGGTCAACGCCAACAAAATTTACTTGATAAATGACGAGCACTCTTCTTCCTCGCTGCCTCGCCCGTCGCTTGACCAAGTGGGACACTGGCGATGAAGGAAATCTTCGATATCGTCTTATTTTATTGTTGTTGCTCGGTTGCCTGTCATGTCATCCCTTCGCGGCCGGGCCATCTCTCCCATCGGAGATGATACACATGAAATATTGAAGGGAGTCGTTAGTCCAGCTCAGCTAAACCTTGAACGTGTCATCCAACAGAACCAGCAAAGGCAACAGCAGCAGAACAACGCGTCGGGGTCGTCGGATCAGCAGAGCTCAGGCTCGCCGGCAAAGGGGAAGCCGAGACTGCTTCTGATGGGTCAGAGAAGGTTAGTTGGGGGCGGGGAGTCCTCAGAATAGTCGTCCAACTCATGAATGTTTTAGGAGTGGTAAATCGTCGATTTCGAGTGTCGTGTTCCACAAGTTACCGCCGAATGAAACCCTATTTCTCGAGTCAACCGCCCGAATCCAAAAGGACTCGATGGCGTAAGAACCTCCGTTTCTTTCCTCCCAGCTGTCGGGTGATTGCTCATACACAGATCAAACAGATCTTTCATGGACTTCCAGGTCTGGGACTTCCCTGGTCAAATCGACATATTTGAAAATCCTACGTTCGACGTTGATGCCATGTTTGGGGAGATCGGCGCGTTGATCTGGGTCATCGATGCGCAAGACGACTATCTTGAGGCGGTAGCACGACTGAACATGACGATTTTGAACTTACAAAGGTCCTACCCGAACATCAAGATCGAGGTGTTCATTCACAAGGTCGACGGGCTGTCGGACGACTACAAGCTGGACATACAGCGGGATATCACGATACGCATACAGGATGAGCTATCGGACTATGGTTTTGAGAACGCGCCAGTCACGTTCCACCTAACGAGCATTTACAACCACAGTATCTTCGAGGCTTTCAGCAAGGTCATACAAAAGCTCATTCCACGACTCGGCAGTCTCGAGGCAATGCTTACGAATCTTTGTCGAACCTGCCGATTCGAGAAAGCGTACCTCTTTGATGTCTTGACCAAGATTTACATCGCGACGGACAACGCTCCTGCTGATATGGCCAGCTATGAGATCTGTTCCGACTACATCGACGTAATCATCGACATCACCGAGGTCTACGGCAGCTGGCCGCGTTCCCGGACCCACCACGAGTCGCTCGAGGGCGCACCGTGGAACCAAAAACTCGAGGACCAGGTGGCAAGCAACTGGGCCGAAAGCTGCATGGTTCTCAGCGACGGAAACAGACCCATCATGTTGCGCGAGGTTGACAAGTATTTGGCTCTGGTAGCGATCATGAAGGAGGATAGTTATGACAAGATGCCCCTCGTCAACATGAATGTTGAGACAGTGGTACAGGGCTTGAAAGAATTCTTCGAAATCACGAAGCCGAAATAGGAATATGCTCTGGCGCCGGATCAAGCAGGAGGCAGTATAACCCTCATTAGTCACCCAAAGTGTTCATGTACGACTCAGTCCAGCTCCGCTGTTACAACGAGGGGAGCTATGGAACGGATAGATACTGGTAGCCATGATGCTGAGATATGGCAACTCTGCCTGTTGAGAGAAGCTCACCAGTTAACATTCGTCGCCATGAGCTCGCAACTACCAAACCGGTAGCCGCGCTGTATGCTTAAACCGCGGGCGTCACTCAATCAAGACAAAATATCCGCTGAGACCGATACTGCCCATATCAGCCATAACGTATTACACGGTGCCATTCTATCGGCCTTGATCTTTGATCTGTAACTACGCCTCCCGAAAACACCACTGTCACATTTTTAAACCACCGCATGGTACAAGCAAGAAGTACGTGAAACTATGCGAAGTCACTACACCACAACGACATCCTATATCTATACGTCGATTTCCTCCATTATGTTGACCACGAGTAACTGCACGAGCCATTGTTAGGCAAAGAGAGCAATACACTATGAGTCAATGATGCCCAAGCCTGTTGCTTCATCTAGGTACGCATGAGTGGAAGACGTAACCTTCCTCAGGCAGATCATAAGTTCTTGTAATGCCTCAAATCGTCAACAATCAACCATTCCTTAATGGTCAACTGTGTTCGAGCATTTTACAGAAAATCTCATCCCGTACAGCATATGTTGGATTGTCATAGGAACGGGCTTTTGAGCCCGACCCGACTTGTGTAATTCATCCTAAAAACATCGATTTCGTTTTGGGGCTTCGTAACCTTCGCATTTTTGTGGTCCCTAACAATGCTTAGCGATTATTATCTTCCCTGTTGGGACGGAATCCTGACTGGGCAAGGAGCAAATCATGTGTGCTACTGCGGTGAACGGTGCGGTGTCAAGCAACTCGTAGGTGAGATATCCAGCTGATCGCAGACGAGAGCGATGGAGAACATTGGCCATCTACCTGAACGTAACACCAAATTCAAAAGGGCATTATATGGTTACATCTATTTCAACTCCAGGCTGCCCACCTTGTTGACTTCGCCTACCTAGCGATAATAGGGAGATTGGTGCAGTTTAGGATTACGAGCATCCTAGCCAGTCGACCGTCAAGCACTACGTCGGCGGAATATAACTCGACAGCCGGTCCAGAATTCGAATCGTTAATCCGACCCCTTATCGGACCCCCTCTCGCCGCGATTCTTGCGAGCGTCTAGACCACGTTACGGTCTATCCACTTGAGCGTATGGTTGAGATGTATACGCTCGACGAGAACCCCAATTAGCAGATACTACGACTTGTCGCGACAAAAAATAGTCGAGCATCTTCTGCACATCAGCAGCATCCCACCCCTGAGGACGAATTTAAGTGCCACATTACCACGCTTATCGGTAGTTCAGGCAGGGGTTGTAGCACAGACTTAGGGAGGGACAGGAGGTTTAGTAGTCGTTTGGCTACAAGTTTACCTGTATAACCGCCCGACGCGGCTTAAGGGCCCGCTATATCATCTATAGCCCCTTAAGGGAGTACTTGTAGAGGTACCGAGGGTTAACACCTACGGCGTATTTAATATTATTATTTTTATTTCTTATCCATCTCAGCTAACCTCTGCCTCCTTTTCCTCCATAGTAGGAACATTGTAGTTGGGATTAGTGTCGTAGTGATACCAAAGCCGATATCCATTCCGATCGTAGCGCGCGCCCTTGGTCAAACGGCTACTATCACCGCCATTATCTTGCTCAGATCCAGATCCTCCTCCCTTCGACTTCGCGTCGCCGCCGCATCGGTGGCTTGGAATGCGACTTGCACCGAGAACACCTGGATTCTTACCGTCTAGGTGGGCGTGAGCATGTTGTATTTCCCCGTTATCGTCCTGCCGGCGCCGACGACCTGCAGAGTTGGTGTCGTAATGGCGGTCTTGACTCAGACACACAGCCCAGGGTGGAGTCCCAAGGGTTGTGGGGGTTGGATCTGGTGGCGCAGGTGAAGGCGGCAACATCGACACATGATAAGTGTGTTCAGCATTTGCAAAAACCATGCAAGTCGCTCGGAGACCTAGGACTGGTAAGGAGAGGACATACTCGGGCCAACACGTATACCGCGTCTCCGTCGCCGTCCCCAGCGCATGGGCCGACGCACGCGTGCGTGTAGCCACTGGGATATACGTCGGGCGAGTAGAAGGCCGACATGGAGTCGGTGTATAGGGCGGGAAGCATGCCGTCTATGCTCCTCTAGGTCCCAGAACGTACGAGGAAGTGCCGTTGGTGCAGATATCGTGAGCGGCCGGCGAAGCCAGGCGGCTGTTCGGCGGCGCAACGGTCGTTGTGAGCGGCCCTGACATCTTTTTTCGTCTCGTTATCTGTATGCTTCACAGGGGCGAAGAGGAGATATTGACCTGGACTCTTTCTTGCTGCTGGAGGAGGCAGTGTTTGGACACAGACTTGTCGTTATGGGCATGATGATTGTTGTTCGTACTACATTTAGGAAGTAGCATCAACGACGGGAAAAGCCAGACCGAAAGAAAGTTCATCGGGGGGAAAGATATGTCATGCTAGAAGGTACTGCATATATGTCATCACACTGGCCTAGTGCCACATCGGTGCCCTTCTCCCATTTAACAACAGCCCGCAGCTGAGACGGGAATCGCAAGACGACATCCACCTTGTAGGGAAAACACACTGATGTGATTGTGTAAAAGCAGGGCTAGGGGATCAGCCTACCAAATTTCCTATGATGGCGCACTTGCTTCCTCAGTGTGCTATTGATGCCTCTAATAACCCCCTCGAATGCCTGCACTTCTGTGAACTACGCCGGGCACTTGCTAATCACAGACAAGGTATACTATATTGCTTATGTGACAAATTCGGCGCATCTACTAATCATAATCATCCATCCTTACAGTCGTGGTGTCACATCTAAATCTACTTTTCTGTACTTTACAATCTGGTTGCCCGTTTGTGAGCTCTTCGTAGTCTATCCAAATGCATGAATTCATACTTCGTTCCTCATGGCAGGATTACCTCTTTGACTTGTGGCCTCTCCTCCATGGCCTTGGAGGCCCAAGCCAATTCCCTTTTGACGACCTCTCACCACAGCGCCGAGAGCTCGCCCTACCGCTTCAAGGTCGCCGAGTATTGTGATGTGTCCACGATCTGTGCTCACTCGCCCGCCTTTTACTACATCGAATCCCTCGGGCAACATTGCTTGCCTTGCTAACACGACCCCATCACCACTCTGGAAGAGGAGGTTGTCGTATACATCAGCGCAAGCTATAGCTTCGCGGCAAGGAACATGAGCTGCGTAGACGGTAGGAGTATCTTTCCCGTACATCACCGCCATTGGTGGGTATAAGTTTGCTTCCGTAAACCGGGGTTGGTGGGCTAGCTCTGCCCGAAACTGTTTCGTTTCCGCCAAAGTGCGCGTCAGATATTCCATGCTCTTGTTTCGTGTCGTGATGTTCTCGGGTCCTTGTTGTTGCTGGGCCCTGGTGTTGTTGTGCTTGGTCCCCATTTGTGGTGCTATAGTGTGATCATTCTGCACCTCGGCCCTTCGAGTGGCATCGGCTGCAACGTTTCTCGGCGACGGAGGACGGCGAGTCTCGGAGGCTGAACTGTTGCCTCGGGTTCGAAGGGGAAGACTGGGCAAGCTATTGCCAAGGTTCAGCAGCGATCCCAGCGAACTTTGTCGAGCAGTATAAGGGGGTAACGCCGGCTCTATACATGGTGAAAGGCAATACTTGGCCCATTCTTTAGGGTCGTAGAAATCAACCGGGAACTGTTCGCCATTATTCTTATTAATAAAGCAGAAGCCATCTTCAGGCAGGAAAACGAAAGTGGTCCTCAGGCTAAAGTTGACCTGCGCCGTGAGCACTTTCTCGTTGAGCAGTACCGCATCTCCGTTTCGTATGGGTCCCAGGATATTGATACACGTCTTTGGAGTTCCGGCGTAGATAATTCCAGCAAAGAGCTCAGGGCGCTGATTGACGGCGTGGCGTGTGATAAGGCCCCCGAGACTGTGAGCGATGACGGTTGCACCTCTGTCGCCTTGTTGACTGGCCTGGTTAGAGGGTAGTTGTTCCAAGAACGAGATCAGCTTCCGCGATAATAATCGAGGGCTAAGCCGCCAGTCCCACCCGTAATCCCAAACTCTTAACTTCCCTGATTTGGCGTTGTCGCATTCCCTGAGCCGCTTGAAAAGTCGTTTCGAAATGTCCACGGGTCCGATGTTTTGAAGCATCCCAGAAGCATAGATGTTCTCCTCCATCCGTTCTTCGTCTTCGGGGTCCAGGCCAACCTCCAGGTTGACCTTGCGAATGTTCAGTCCCACTTTCACAGGCACCCAAACTTGACGGTTGGTCTTTGTGGAGCGGAGAATGGAACCTCTGTATCCGCCCATGATGACGACGTCACCTGTCAGGGACTCGAGTGCCTGGTCGAGGTCGGACATGGTCCCATCTCTTGGGGCTGACCCAATATGTGGTAATCCAGGAGAAGACATCGAATCTGTAGCATACAATCCTGGAGACTCTGAGCCGGTACCCGATGTCTTCTTCAACGGTGCGGGTAAGAAGTCGGGCAGCTGGGGCATCTTGAATGTAGGCCTATCCCAACTATCTTTAATGGCTTTGAGTCTGCTATTGGTCTGCTCGCGAATATGGCCCCATCGGTTATCATCTCCAAAGGACGAAACTCGCGATAGTGAGTGATAGAGCATCGACTCGTCAGATGTTGATCTACGAACAGTTCGTGGCCGCGATGCTACAGCCGATGAAGATATGGACGACGAGTTAGTCCCTGTTGGCGGAATCGGCAATGCTAAATTCACAACGGTATGGTTACTACTCGACGGCGGCGTTACTTGAACCTCGGGCTTTGCCGAGTTCAAGGGCGCGGCTTGCCGTGACTCAGCGGATCCATCAAGCGCCAGAGTGGAACGTTTCGGGTCTGGGGTCTGATTCTTGTGTCCAGATGAGCCCGAGAAGAAGGTAGGCGATGTGAGGCCAGAGAAGAAATTAGGGGGCAAGTTGATTGATGGGAAAGCCTCGCGTATCCTCTTCAGAGCATCATTTCCCCCAGACGAAGAACTGCGGTCCCTAGCGTGACCAGCGATGCCTGAAAACGGCCTTGTCTCACGATCGTCCTGGATTACGAGCTGTTTGGGCCCGGCTTGCCACGGAGATGGGAACCGGTATGGGCTCGTTGGCAGTTGTCCCAGTGACAGTCCCCTTTTTTGGCGGTTGGGCGACTTGGTCAGCTTTCTGGGAGACCTTGCGCTACCTGAAGCTTGTTCTACTGAGCTAGGCACTGGGCCTGAAATAGCAGAGCCCTCGATAACGTCAAACAACCCGCCCCCCTGCAGCCTCTCCATTGCAGCCGCCTTTTCCGCCGCCGGGGTCCGAGGAGAAGTGAGCCGGGTCGCCTCCGGACTCAATGACGGCTGCATGAAGCTTTGCGCATCATCTTGGTCGATATACAGTGGATCATCCTCCTCTCCGCTTTCTGAAGATGGCATGGGATCATCACCAGGTAGGTCAAGTTTGTTGAGTCCTCGGACGTTATTGTTTGGCAAAGCCTGTTGCCTTGCTTCAGGGGCAGCAGAAGCGGAGGCCATGGTGTCCAACTATTGTGGTGGTTGCAAGACGGGAAGTTGGCACGACGGCAAGTGTAATGTCAGTAGCACAGAAGTCTGCCGGTAGCCATTGGTCAGAGGAAACATAAAAGCAAGCAGTCGGGTCGTTCTGATAGTTCCGAAGCGAGTGGACCCGAAGCGTTGGTGGTTGGGTCTATTCCGCGGATGCCGAGGCCGATTGAGAGGATGCAATGGATATCGAAAGCGACAGAACTTGATGGACTGGCCAGACAGCACCAAAAAAGACTTCGCACCGCGAGAATGCAGTTTAGGTTTACTTTGTCAGACCCGGTGGTTTAGACGTGCAAGCGGTCAGTATTTGAAGAAGCCACTTGGGCAGGTACAGCGGCTGAAGGGTCCATGCCCCATGTTCATAATCAGGTCCCGCCACGATAGGCACCCAAATACGGTGAAGTCGGCTTACTACCGTTTGCCTACCTTTAGGTAAGGGTACTGCTCCTCACTTGTGCGCAGGCACGGCTACGCTGGGTTCCTGACGGCGCTTGGTTGTAATGCGCCTGATTCGCTTCATGTTTAGATGAAAGGTTCCTTCCTTCCTTGCGGCGTATAAATAAATGTAGTGGCAGTTTGTTGACGTCATGAGGCAGCACAAGCGTCTCTGCTGGTGGAAAAGAGAGCATGTCACCTACAATGCTTTTAGCCATGTACGACTATGTCAGTTAATTTTGGACTCGAACAATCTGGTATTGTGTTGCCAATACCACAGCAAAAAACAAAAAAAACAAAAAAAACGATGAGTTTTTGGAAGGTGAGAGAAAGTCAGCACAGAGGGCATGCGGCTTGTGTGTGTGAGTGGACCACGGCAGATCACCCATTTTGAATGTCAGTACAGTCAGCAGTGCGATTATTCGCCAGGCTGCCCTACTCTGAGTCAAAAATAAACCAAAGTAAATGCTCAAATGCATTAATAACATCCACTTTTAGGTTGTGTCAATCTCTTCTGAAGCAAGGACTTTCAAACGAGAATGGAGACCGTCCACGGAGGAAGGATCGCCTGTATCGACAAGGTGGTGTCGCTATGCTTATGAGACCAGCTTCGTGGCAAAGGCAAGGTGTTTCCTTACCCTTCAGTGGGTAGGCTGGTTCATAGGCAACTCCAAATTTAGCTGACAATATAGCGTAAAACAAGTATAGGAAATGAGTAGCACATATCCTCGTCTTAGTGAATGCAAGGCACAAATACTGGGAAGTCATAAACACAGGCAACAGCAAGTAGCAACAGCAATTCTTGGGGAAGATATTCAAGGTTAACAAGCTACCAACGCAGGCCTGACCAGTCTGAATGTTGATGTATAGGAGCAACCATTGACTTTCTTGCCATATACCTTGGCTCGTTCTGTCCATGTCAACTGGTTGATATTGTACTGGGATCATTTGTCTATAGGTGGAGGGCCTCGACCGTGAGGAAGTGAATTTTGGTTCTAGTGGACCGCATCCAAACTTCGGATCGGGTTACCACACCGCACGATAGCTTCATTATGTGGGCAGCTGTGGCCTCAGGTGGGAGGTACAAGGGAGACAGGCACAGGTTGTAGTATTAGGGACCTGGTCCCCCACGCACCTTCGTAGTACCAATACAGTCCCCAGTGGCAGAATCTGACACATTCTGTGGAAATCTTGAGCAGAAGGATAAACCGATCGGCTTTAAGCACTGCTTGCATGCCGGTAGAATAGTGTCTGCCCACGGACAAATCTCATTGATGAGATACAATCACTTGAAAGACGCAGATAAACCGACTCACCTCATTCCCTCAAGAGGAGCCGTGGCTGACTCCCAGATTGGCAAGCCCAGTGACAAGCGTTCCACGGCAAAAATCCGTGACGAAATTTCCCATGATAAAATGGAAGTATGCGATGACAAACCAAAAGCAGATTCTGGTCCGGCTGTCCAATGGAACTTGCAAGTGTCTTCTTCTCAAGAACGTAAGATACAGGGAATGGACATTGGGTCGACTGAGGTGGACATCGATGACAACCGTCTATAAATTCTGGTGCTGGCTCATCAACTTAGAGGTGCAAGCAGCCCCTGAGACGATACACGCGAGCAGACTTGCCGCGGCAAGACTGGCTTATAATCCATTGCAGAGAGCCTGGGAAGTAGCCCGGTGCCCTGGCGGCAAGCTCCCTAGGACAATTCTGTCCACCAGAGCTAAACCAAAGGAAGCGAAGACGGAAAGTACGCGCATCGCCAAGCAGTCATTAGGGCGGCCTTTCAAAATGAACTATGGCATGGGACGATGGCTAGGAGAGGGCATTTCCAGCCGGAACGCAAGGCCACAGAAGAGGAATTGCCATCTCTACAAGCGTCTCTACAAGAAGCTGGGCGAGCATGACGAGCACCAGAACAAGATGAACGCTGTGGCTGATAGGTTGGAGCTGATGAAGCTGGAGGACAGCTTCTGAGTCGCGGACTTTGGACTTTGCGATAACGATGCGGGCGTCAGACAACCAAAGAGTCTGTTGGTTTGGTGTTGATTCAAGGGAAGACACATGTGCCTCCCAAGGCTGCAAACCTTGTCTCGTCTGGCTTGACTGGAATGCGCGACTGGGTGCAAGGTTAGCAACGTTGTCAACAAGAACTTGGGGATAGTATGTAGCAGCTCCTGGAGCATGGCAAGATAATTATTGTTCACGAATGCCCCTGGCTACATTGACGGATCCCAAGAACGTGGAGTAATCTAAAGCCTTCCTAGAAGTCACAGAGAGACGGCACGGAGTAGTCGCAATACATCGCAAAGTAAGAACAGGCCAACTTGACGAGAGCCCTCGGCGCTTCGACGATCAAAGTTGTTCAAGTGAAACAGCCGGATTGCGCGGAAACCCAGGAAATATGAAACTAGCCGGGGTCCGGGCGATCGTCGGCCAACACCTAGTCGCCTGCCCGCGCTGTCTTCCCACTTCGACCTCGTCACCTCGTGGGATTGGCCCAATTGTCGCATGAGCAACAGCATTTTAACCATCGGATGGCGTTCCTCCCTTGACTCCACTGGCATTGCTTACTCTCGCATAGAAGCTCCTGCGTATTTCTGAAGACCGGCAAGGCAGCTCCCTTCTCCATCTCCAACGCTTCCACTTTTTTCCCTCATCCCATTGCAATCGGCAATCGACGACCTTGCATACTTTAGGAGGGGCTCGGCCTACTCCTGAGTACTGTAGACGCCGGCGTTGTGGATTCTCGACTTGGGGGGGGGCTTGTCGTTATACCGTGCACAGGTGGCTGCTAGGCCATCTCCTTCGAGTCATTTCACGATAATACCAGCGTCGTGCGTCGTTGTGCTTTGAGCTACTCTGTTCGTTTCCTATTTTGGTCTGCCTCAGCTCAGCAAAACTTGGCCTGGCAATTTATTCTATACGCGACGATCGATTTGCTTGATAGTGTCGCACTCGGACCACACTTCAACAAGCCAAACTTCTCACTAAATCATCACAAGCTAGCCTTGCAGGACGTGATCCGTGGCGTTCAAGCTGGATGATTCGCATTGGTATCGAGGTCTTGGACGACAGTTCTGCGAATTGCTTCATTCCCTTAGTCGGCTGCCAAGACAAACTATTGCTCTCATCTTGACGACGGGCTTCAACGAGCTCAACTGCCTAACCCTCAATTCACGCACCGATTCACGCCGGCAACTACGCTCACATATACACCGCTCTCACCTCGCCGCCTACTGAACCACGCGATCCCCGACCATCATGGCGGACACGGCCACCCAGTCCCCGCCAGTCGCTGAATCGACGACGAATACAAAGCTCGCCGGGCGCGGCGCAAAGATCATTATTTCCCCATCCTCTGTCGCCATGTCTCCCAACCCAACTGCGAGTCGTTTACGTAGCCAGCTGGGCCTTGCTTCGTCCAGCCCTGTCAACCAAAACGGCAGCTTCGAATTTGATCGAGTCATCAAGACCGGCTATGTTCAGAAGCGCACACAGAAGACCAAGGTAGGGGGGGGGGGGGGGTCGTCCAGATTGTCCAGGGGGGCCAGCTGCTGACTGTCCATAGACCTGGAAAACGGTGTACCTGGTGCTGCGCCCAAATGCACTCTCCATCTACAAGTCAGACAAGGAAAGCAAGCTGCGACATAAGATCTATCTGTCCGAATTGTCCGCCGTGGCTCTCCTGAAAGATCCGAAACAGAGGCGCCACAACTTGTTCGGCCTTTTCTCTCCCGCGAAGAATTTCCACTTTCAGGCACCGAGCGCCAGCGACGCCCAGGAATGGCTGGATTTGATCAGGCAAGATGCGAGAATAGAGGAAGAGGAGGAGGAAATGTTCTTGGCCAGCCCCGTCGCCCGACGGCAGTCATATGCGCCTCTGAAGGTCCTCGCTAATACGTCTGGCGTCTTGGACAATACGCTTCTAGACAACCAACGCATCTCGAGCTCGCCGGAGCCCATCGACGCGAATGCATCAAGCGTCGCGCCGTCCTCGGTGAGGAGACCATCACACAACCTGGATTATTCGGGTATTTCGGGAAATGAGCTTGGGTCGCATTCCGATTTCTCAGACAATGAGGTCCAACGCGTGGGTGCCTCTATGGAAAACCTCGCCGTTCGATCTCCAGGTACATCTGCCTCTCAGCCTGGAACCGACCCCAACTCTCGCCCAGCAATTGGTGAGAGGAATACCAGCCAGCTCAGCGGCCTCAACATCGAACAAGACCCCGACCGTGTCGTGTGGCAAGGCTGGCTCATGTTCCTGAAAAGTAAGCGCGGCGTTCGACAGTGGAAGCATTCTTGGGCCGTCCTTCGTCCGCGGAACCTGATCCTCTACAAGGACGAATCCGAATATTCAGCGTCTTTCATCATGGCGCTTGCTGCCATTGTGAATGTGGTGGACATCGATCCGGTCAGTAAGACAAAGCTTCACTGCATGCAGATCATCACCGACGAAAGGAGCTATCGGTTCTGCGCCCACGACGAAGAAAACCTGTTGCAGTGTTTGGGTGCCTTCAAGAGCCTGCTTTCGAAACGGAAGGATCTCGAGGCTCGCCAGAAAGCTGCCGTTGCACCACGCTGACCCAACTTTGCTATGATTAACCGCGGGAACGAAAATCTTGATACCCTGGCGTTTGCGATGGAACTGGAACATGAATGATCGCCGTGCGAGATGTAACACGTCCATTGGCTTTGGCGATGGTCGTCTTGGGGCCAGCTGATGAAGGTGGGGGGGCCAAGGGGGCCAAGGGAGGAGACGAGTACAGAGCTCATGTCTTATGACTATTACGATTCGAAAGCATTATGCACACATACTGGCTTTGCGGTATGATAATGACAACAAACAACTATTAAGTTGGACATTTTTCGGCATATGTGACAGCACATAATACTGCGCAATCTAGGTGTTGAACTCCTGCCTACCTACCTACCACCTCAGAACCCCCCATATCCTCACCTGGTCGCAATGCAAGTTACTGCACAACCGCTACTTCTATCTTGTTCTTCCACGAAAAGCCATCAGATGCGCTTCACAAGCTCGCCAAGTCATAACTCCTTTTCTTCACGGTTCGTCCCAATACACGGGCACCCCGATGCGATGACATTTCTCTCAACCGATTCGCTCATGAGCAATATTGAGGTCTTCTCTCATAATAACCACTGAACAAGGCTAACAGGTGATGGGAGATAGGAGTCCTAAAATTGTCTGAACTTTACTTATTCAGTCGGTAGACTGACTAGTCGCCACTCCGAACAACTCAAATATCGAGACTTTACTAGTTAGCTTGAAAAATTTACCATGGTGTCCAAATGCTTGGTACGCGTGGTCGTTGGATGGGCAAGTTCGAAAGCAAATGACCATGGCGCAAGACCGCCAAACACCACGAAGAAGATCATATCTTCACCTCAGCCAGTAAAACAAGTGCCCCATGCCGTACCTTACATTCGGGGGCAATATAGCCAGGATGCAAGTCATCTGCCGGCCTATGAACAGCATTGTTCGAGGGCTGCCAAGCGCCCCGACAATGGACCATGCGGCCAGCCCCTGTGGCGTGGCGTCTGCAACCAACGGGGAACGCTCGTCTAAAATAATGAATTGTCTGGCACATCTATCAGGCCATCCACATTCCAAGACTTTCTCGTGTCGACCCCGTCTCGTTATTCGGCCGATCTTGACCGGGATCATCCAATCACACGCATCAGTCATGCGTTCTCGAGTTCAACCACAGACAGGGAGGGGTCTGCGACCACATCGGAAGCTATAATATCTTGACCCTACATCTCGAGCTAATTTGCCAGGAGACGGACGGCAAGCAGGAACCTAGTCTTGCTGCCAGTCGATCAGAACAACTTTATCGCCGCTGATCTGCGAATCGGAGATGAATTCAGGGATGTGAACGGCCTTAATGGTTTGTTAGCTAATAAGTGCTCACTGAAGTAAACCACTTTCCATTTGCGGATGTTGCATGCTCGTTTCCTCCAAGAACAGCCCGTTACCATAGGACGACGACCTCTTGGGTCATGTCGGGAATAGGGCACCTGGCCAACGCATCACGATGTCAATAATATATGCAGCCTTCGTTCCCCCTCATGCAACCTGCAGCTCGTTTGTTATTGTCTTCATCCGATCTCCTGCTCCGCCCCCTGACCCTCTCGCCACGCTCCAGATCAACACGACCTTGCTCGGAGGGAGCTTGTCGTCAGCTGAATTACTGGGTTAGACTCAGCAGCGGTGAGTAGTAATAAACCCCTGCTGATGGCTAGTCTTTGAAATTGCTCATGATATTGTCTCCCGCTGATTACTTTGTGCCGCCCTTTTCTATACATACCACGTTTGCCAGTTCTCGAGTCCCCATCTTGATGGCACGAGGTCGAAGACCGTTCGCTTCTTGTTTAATAAGTCGACACTGTCTCTAGCTTCTCGTTGCGCACCATCGCAAAACCTTAGCTTCCTGGATTTTCCCCCCTAGCTCGCTCGCCTCTTACGACAAAACAAATGCGCTTCTCGTCACTTGCGGTTGCTGTGCTGGGGTTTGTGATTCCCGCGCAGGGCCAGGAACTACCGTTGAAGAGTGACAGCCGCTGGATTCTGGACAACTCAGGCCAGCGCGTGAAGCTGCGATGTATCAACTGGGCGGGACATGGGGAGACCAACATCCCTGAGGGCTTGCACAAGCAGTCCATCAACTACATTGCCGACTTCATCAAGGACCAGGGCTTCAACTGCGTCAGACTGACGTACTCGATCGACCATGCTTTGAACCCGGAAACTACAGTCAGGGGCTCATTCACTGCGGCGGCGGGTGCGTCAGGTCTGCCAGTCGAGACGTTGGATGGCCTCTATCAGCAAGTCACGGATAAGAACTCGTTCATTGGCAATGCGACGACGCAGGACGTCTTCGGAGCTGTGATCAAGGCGCTGTGGGATAGGCAGGTCATGACGATCCTGGATAACCATGTCAGCAAGGCGAGCTGGTGCTGTAAGTTGTCTCCATCTATCATCGTGACTTGTTGACTCAATCCACATCAGGCAACTTAACCGACGGCAACGGATGGTGGGACGAAGCCTTCGGTTACAATGACGCCAACAGCCGTTTCTTCAAGACAAACGAATGGCTCGATGGCCTCTCCGCCATGGCAACCTGGTCCAAAACCCAACCAGGAGTTGTGGGCATGTCGCTGCGCAACGAAATGCGGCCCTTCCTACTACAGGACCTCAACGGCCACGCCGACTGGTACAACTTCGTCAACCAGGGCGGTAAGCGCGTGCACGCGGCCAATCCGGAAGTGCTCGTCGTCGTAGGCGGCTCCCAGTCCGCCACCGACCTGTCCTTCATCAAGACCAAGAACGTTGACTACTCCGCGTGGGCCGGAAAGCACGTCTGGGAGATGCATGCTTACTCTTTTACGGTGACGTTTCCGGACCCGTTTGACAGCTGCGATATGGTGCAGGGTGAGTATGGTCTGCTTGATGGGTTTGTGCTCGAGCAGGGCAAGGGATACACGGGGCCGCTGATTGTTTCGGAGTTTGGGGTCGGCATGTCAGGTGGGCCCAACGATGGGCTGAGTGATGGTGATAAGAGTTATTTCGACTGCATTAAAGAGTGGATGAAGGGGAATGATGCCGACTGGGCGTTGTGGGCGCTACAGGGAACTTATTATATTCGAGAGGGCAAAGCCGAGTATGAGGAGACGTGGGGGCTGATGGACAAGGAGTGGAAGACGGTGAGGAATGATAAGTTCCCTGGTATGATGGCGGAGCTGTTTGAGGTTACGCAGGGTCCGTAGGGGGCATTTACGGAAAGGGGTGGGCGGTGCAAGGCGATTGGGTATTTATGATGAACGATGTGGAATAGTTAATTAGGGCTCGTGGCAAGGTTAGATCTATGTAGCTTCCCCAAGATACCCAAGACAATTTGCTATAACCTCTACTAGCAAGCCGCATGAAAATGGGCGGGAGTGAGCTTTCTTCTTCTAAATGTAATACTAAGCACTAACCTACAAATCACTTAGCGCTGGATAGTCGAGGTCCAGATGGATATGCGGGAGCTAGGCAAGTTTTTGTAGCAGATATTTTCCGTATAGGCACTATATAGTAATTATGACAGGGATGTATCCAGACAAAGTGTTGTGCGCCAGAAGTACTTCCAATCCTATTCTACTTCTTTGGTGTTTTGGTGCTGCAAATGTGGGCAGCATCTCCTATCAAATACATGCGACGACCAGCACAACCAGAAGAAGTGAGAAGAAAAAAAGTTCCTATAAGTACCTCAACAACCACTTAGATCGTGATAACCGCTGTCAAATCTCCTAAGCCTTTGTATATCCCCATATCTACCAATTCATTCAGAGACGCCAACCAACCAACCAAGTCAACCCATCAATGCATATCAAAGAATGCATCATCAAACTGCCCCATGTCCGCATTATCAGCATCAATGAACATGCTGTCAAAATTTGTATCGCTTGCGCCGCCCATGTCTCCGAGACTCAAATCCAAGTCCATGTTGTCTCCGCCCCCGCCAGCATTGCCTAGATCGAACAAGTCTTCGACGTTTGTCTCCGCGGTGTTGCTGGCTTGCGTGGTGGTCGCTGGATTTTGGGGTTGTGGTTGAGTAGCGCCGTTGCTAGGGCCGTTGCCGTTTCCATTCGAGTTTGAGAAGTCATCCAGCGAAAGCATCTCACCACTTCCGGCGTTGTTGTCCTGATTAGTGAAGGAGCTCAGGTCAAAGTCCTGCATCGGTGCTGGTGGAGCGTTTTGCGATGGTCCATCTGATGGCGGTGCCAGAGAGAACTGCATGTTGGTGAAGCTCAGTTCGCCGCCCATGTCGGCAGTGGCTGCACCGGCTGGTGTCCCGCTGTCCGGCATGTTAATCATGGCGTCGAAAGCACTATCCTGACCTGGTTGGGTTGCTAGCATAGGCTGCTGTGGAGCCTGCACTCGTTGACTCGGGGTTGGAACGAGAGGAACCTGCGGGGGAGGAACCGGGGTGACTTTGCTCGGTGGCGTCGGCTTTGGTGATGGCTTGAAGGGCGGAGTTGAGCGAGCAACGGTTTTCAGAGAACCAGAAGGGACTCGTGGTGAAGGCGTCGGCTGTTTGTTGTCACCCACCGTCAAATCTACCACGTCGGCAGACATGCCCATGCCCATGTCCGGGAACGGCGCAACCCTCTTCTTTTCCTCCCGAGGTTCGAAATTGGCGTTTGAGTTCACCGTGTGAGCAGGCGGCACCGGAGTCGGAGCCGGGACTGGGGCCGGCATCCGTGCAGCTTGCAATTTCTCCAGGTCCCGAAGCAGGACTGCTTTTGCTCTTGTCTAAGATCCATCAACATAAGAGGTCAAATATCGTGGCCGAAGAGAGACACACTATTTCGCTTTCGAGATCGTCGAGGGCATAATGGAACCCAGTCATGCTGGCTTGCATCTTACTGCCCAGCATGTTTCCCCCAGAGACACTCGACCCATGCTTATTGGCTCCCCGGATAGCCTTACCAGTTTGTACAAGCTACGAGAGAGTCAATCTAGGTTCTGCATAAGGTGGCTCTTCTTGGAGACGTACGACTTCATTAAACATTTTCTGGAGGACGTCCAAGGGGTCCTCCTGCTGGGCTGCAGCCATTTCGCAATATCGTTTATTTGGATGAGCATGCAGAAGAAACGAGGTTAGTATATGGAGCTAAAGGGCGGAGAAGCTGGTATAGATGCAGTGGGTAATTAAGTGAATAGGAGAAACGTTGCAAACTTGCAGGTGAAGGTACAGTTGAGCAGACAAAGGAAGCAATGTTTTGACGTTTTGGAGTTTAGGAGTAAAGTTAGAGTTGAAGTAGTGCCACAGTGGCGTGCGCCTATAAAGATCCACCTGAGTAAGCACCCCCACATTTCGTCCAAACTCCTGGATTTTTTAATTCATTCCACGATGTCATGGTATGCGCGGGCTCACTTCAGACGAACCCGATTCTGCCTGTTGATCTATACCGTTCATCTGTAGCACAATGTCAGTTGTTATAACCCTATCATGCACTCCTTGACATGGATACGTTGGGCATGTCTTGTTGCTTGCCAGTTGATCCCTGGCTGGTGAGATAAATAAGAGTACCGAGCTGGAAACCAAATGTCTCCTGGATACCTCTCTGCATCTCAGGTGTTTTCTCCATCTTTGCACTTGAATTTACCCAATGCAAGGGGATAGGCAGACAGCAACGACGCGATTTTTAAGCGCCTCTCTGATCCCCGGTGGAGATGAGAGGCTACGCTTTCCCCTACGACGATCTTTGCCTGCGAGTACTCCGTGCTCATAGATACTAGCACCCTCAACACCTTCAGATACCCACATACTTTGTAACTTGCTAACCGCATTGACCACCTTTTTGCATGCACCCCCATTTTGCAGGGAATTTCTACGCCTCAACAACACGACGTCTCTCAATTTACCTCGCAATTGCTCCCTATCTACGTACAAAATGGCTAATCCAGTGGAGAATAGTCTGGACGATTTTGAGCAGCGAATCGAACGCGCTAAAGAGCTTGTCCGTCAGGGCTCTTCCCAGGCCGTAGCAGCTCATCGGTACGGTATCAAGGGGACTACACTGTCCTAGCGTATTCGTCACAGTAATTCGCATCGCGACGCGGCCTCCAGGCAACAAAAGTTGACTCCAGAGCAAGAGGAGGTTATCGTGAACTGGATCCTACACGAAGAAGTGTGTGGACGGGCTCCTAGTAAGTGTTATGCGGCCGACTTTGCTGCTGAAATCCTTCTTGCTTAAGGGGATAATAATATACTTGGCTAACACTGGGTGGATCACTTCGTTAGCCGCCATCCACAGATACGTACCAAAATTGGGCGCGTCGTAGATGCTAGCCGAGTTGGAGCGTCCGATTCGAACAAGATTCGAGACTTCTACACCCTCCTCGAACGCTTACGTACGAAGTATCGTATCAAACCCGACAACGAGTATAATATGGATGAGACAGGTGTCCAAGAGGGGGAATCTGGGCATGGTACGGTTATTGGGACGTCTAATTCACGCCGGGTACGCGTATCAAAGTCGGACGCTTCGTCGTGGTGCTCCTGGTTAGAGTACATTTCGCATACCCAACGGGGTACACCTGTCTGCGTATTTTCCGGCAAGAGAGTCCAAGCACAGTGGTTCCCAGACCAAAATATCCCTGAGTGGGAATACACCGCAACGAGTAAGGGCTGGAGTAATAAAGTTATCGCAAATAGGTGGTTAGATCAGGTTTTTCTCCCCGAGACGAAGCCTAGGGGTACCGAATGGCGACTCCTTATCCTCGACAGCCACCAGACACATATTCATGCCGAATTTATGTGGAAAGCCTACTCGAATAGAGTCGCCGTGCTGTATTTACCCTCACACTACAGTGACGATCTCCAGCCGTGCGATGTTGGGCCGTTCTCACCTTTGAAGACCTACTACCGCCAAGAGCTCAGGGCTTACGCTTCCTACAAGGCTACAGCCCCAATTTACAAGCAACGTATGCTAGAAGCAATATCTACGTGCCTCGGAGAGAGCCTTTACTACGGAAAATATTAAATCTGGCTGGCGGAAGACTGGTATATGGCCCCTAGGCTCCGAAGGACTAGTCGACGTATCTTGTGATCCTCCGGAGCCTCATACACCAGATCCTCCGCCTCATATATCACCATCTTTAGTTGCTTTTACTCCTCAGAAAGTGCAGCAACTATCTAGCCAACTACAGTCGATAGAGAAAGCCGAGGGCGGGGTATCTCGTAAGATTCGTACCCTAGTAGGCAAGGCGGGCAAGGCCCTTACACTCCAGGCCGCCGAGAATGCCAAATTACGTATCGAAAACGAGCAACTATATAAAGGACTCGATAAATACGCTCCAGATATACGCCAGCCCGTCGAGCCAGACCCGAATAAAGTATTCGTTAACTTATCAGCGATCCGAACAGCCCAGGACAAGCGAAATAAGCGAATACGGCCTATTTTACCCGATAAGCAGTTAGAAATTGATACTTTTCTCGAAGGAAGGGTCCCTCCTAAAAAGAGGGCTCGAAAGAATATATCTAAGTCTTCGGACACTTAAATTAAGTATGTTCTGTATATAAATAATATGGACGAAGTATTTAGGTTGATTCAGTTAGACCCTGCAAAATGGGGGTGCATGCAAAAAGGTGGTCAATGCGGTTAGAGAAATGGCTCTTCTGATATCTAGACATTGTCACTCGGAAGCCCGAATCTTCAAGCTGAAACCTGGCTCTCATATCGACCTGAAGACGATGCTGGGTTCAATGCCCGATGTGGTAAGTTGCATAAACGTAAGTCATCCCGTTGCTTATGAGGGGATGCAGAAGCAGACAGACGATTAGCCCCACTTCCTGCCGTGTACATTGCAGAAGAACACCGCAGCACGGTCCAATTGGCGACTTGCATGAACTGAACTACTGGGCCGGCGTGGCCATGAGAGAAGTTCTTGGAACCTTTTAGGCCAAATCGCTGGGCCAGTAGATGACGGGCAGAATCCCAGGGCCACCTGTCAATGGCTGTATGCATCACGCTCGCAAGCAATGCAGGACTAGAGGCAGCCAAAGCAGCCCATTTATTGATCCAAGGGTTTCGGATTTGGGCGGCGTGCTCGCTCTGAAGTCGACTGCATCAACTCAAATCACACCAAAGAGCGCCAATCCCAAAGGGTCGCCCAGGATTTGTTTGCTGGGGTCCGCCCTGAAGGACTCTTCTTGAGCTCTGACCCCATCTGCACTGCACAGACGGTGGCCGGAGAAAGTGGGACAACCGACCGTAAAAACCCAATGCCAAAAGTGCGCCGCTTGGGACCACCGTTTGCTTCCATTTTCCTCTCCCCTCCATCTTCGGAATCGGTAGAGAAAACAAGCCTCGTCGCCGGTGCAGTGTTGTCGATAATCGGGGGACTCCTCCTTACAAGGCAGTTTCCTTTTCTTCCTCTCTGTTGTCTGTCCTTGCGTCGTCTTCATCGTCGTTTTCCTCTCTGCTTCGCTTCTTTTTTGTCAGCGGTCGTCAACTGGGCTCTAGTGCGAAGTACTCCAACAAGAGCAGAGTACCTAGACGCTCCAGCCACGACTGCTCCTCTCCTCCGTCACGTCACGTCTCGTCTCGTCTCGTCTCGTCTCCTACAAAATTCAAGTCACATAGCCTCGGCGTCATCTCTCATCCTTTCGCATCGCGTCGCGCTTGAGGCTCTTTCTCTGTTGGCTTGCATCTCTTGTCGTCGTCATCCTCATCATCGCGTATCTTCCTCTTGCTCTGCACGTAGACAGTTGCACCAAAAACGATCGTGGACAGCCGGCTTGAAGTCAACTATCTTCAACAGGGTGCAAGATTCCATCTTGTCGACTTGATTCCTTCTCCAGCCCACACGGCAGGCGCGCAGAAGCTGCGACCATTATTTCATTTCGGAATAAGGAATAAGCGAAGACACGGCTGCTTTTCATTCGACGGTCGATAATAAGCTATCTTTTGGTCCATCAACGATCGATTGGTTTCTGTGCACAAATTTCCTCGGGGATCCCATTCTGATCTTGTCAACAACACGATAATCGCAATGGCTGACAATGGACCCCCCTCGAGCGCAGCTCAACTACCTCCTCCTCCTCAGCCCAATGCTGGCGCTCCTGGCTTCGAGAATGGCCAGAATGGCCAGGGCAACCCCGCGCACATGCCCCCGCCGCCTCTGCACATCCCCCAGAACACGAACCCCATCCCGACCGCCATCACGTCGCCCATGTCTGGAGTGGACAGCAAGAGCGGAATCATGTCGCCCAGTAGCGGAGGTCCCTTCGCTCGCCGGGCCGCGCCAGAGCCAAACAAACGAGCCCTGTACGTTGGCGGTCTTGATCCTAGAGTGACAGAAGACGTCTTGCGCCAGATCTTCGAGACAACGGGCCATGTGCAGAACGTCAAAATCATCCCTGACAAGAATGTGAGTGACGACGATAATAGGAACATATCTTGAGTATGCATGCTGACCCATTGGAGGCCAAGGGCTACAATTATGGCTTCGTTGAGTACGATGACCCCGGTGCTGCTGAGCGGGCTATGCAGACCTTGAATGGCCGTCGTGTCCACCAATCCGTATGTCATCTCCGTCTAAAGGTCCTTCTGATGCGAACAAAACTCACAAGCCTGCAGGAAATCCGCGTGAACTGGGCCTATCAGTCCAACACTACGAACAAGGAGGACACATCTAGCCACTTCCACATCTTTGTTGGCGATTTATCTAATGAGGTTAACGATGAGGTACTGTTGCAAGCCTTCTCCGCCTTCGGTACCATATCCGAAGCTCGCGTCATGTGGGACATGAAGACAGGCCGGTCGCGCGGCTACGGTTTTGTTGCCTTCCGAGACCGCGCTGACGCCGAGAAAGCCCTGAGCTCCATGGATGGCGAATGGCTTGGTTCTCGTGCTATTCGTTGCAACTGGGCCAACCAGAAGGGGCAGCCGTCCATTGCCCAGCAGCAGGCCATGTCTGCCATGGGCATGACCCCCACGACGCCATACGGCCATCATCATTTCCCTACCCATGGGGTTCAGAGCTACGACATGATTGTTAATCAGACTCCGCAATGGCAGACGACTTGCTATGTCGGCAACTTGACCCCGTACACGACCCAGAACGATCTCGTCCCACTCTTCTCTAACTTCGGTTTTGTGACGGAATCACGATTTCAGGCAGATCGGGGCTTTGCGTTCATCAAGATGGACAGCCATGAGAATGCCGCAATGGCCATATGCCAGCTCAATGGGTACAACGTCAACGGCAGACCTCTGAAGTGCAGCGTAGGTCGATCCCTTCATATAAACCCCCTGACCGAAGTGCTGACAACGTACTAGTGGGGCAAAGACAAGACACCCAGCCAGAACTCGGCGTTCGACCCTGCTCAGCAGGCTTACAGCCCTCAGAGTGCCCAAGCTCCTGGAGGTTACCCGGGTACTCCGTCGACCTACTTCCCTCAATATGGTGGTCCGTGTTCTTAGTCTACATAACCATCCATCCTGCTGACAGATTCAGGTCAATACGGTGCCCAGCAACCGGGCTATGGTGGTCCTCCTTCGCAGTCTCCTGCTGGCTACGGCGCCCAGCCTATGGGGTATGGCGGTCCGCCCAGTGCGGGCGGCTTTGGTCGTGGCCAACAGCCACCCAACCAACAATGGAACGCGCCTCCCCCCAACCAGAGCTTCAACAATGGATACGGTGGATATCAAGGTTAGATAGGGTTTGATTTGGCGCATGACTTTCTGTTTTTGATGTATCCGAATTTTACGACTGGGATTTCAGGGAGGAAAACCTGGGAACACGCACCTGATGATATCCTCTTCACCGTTCATATGAATTGCGCATGGACGCGGCAGGGCACTTCTATAATCCTGCTCGGCATGAAGAGATGGCTAGGGGAACCCTTTTTTTCTGGCAGCTCTGCATTGCTTCTTTCGTCGTATTCCTCTTCTATCCTGTGCCTTGTCACCCTGGCTGTGATGGTGGGCTTGTCTTACGCTCAAAATTGTGAGCGACTCGTTGATTGCTTACTATGTTTCCCTAAAAAGCCTGATTTTTTAATCTTCTTCTCTGATACCTCTAAAGCATTTGTGGATACAGTTGAAACGATGTTACGCCAAGCTTGACGAGACTTATGAGTGCGTTTACTCTCTTCATTCTCTGTGGTTTTTTTTTCATCTTTGAAAATCGGTTCTCACTTGGTTAGACCTCTGAGGCTGGAGGAGCACGCATCTGTTTGGTCTGGGAAGAGAACTTCTGCTGGGGGGGGGAGGGGAGGACATGCGAGGCCCATGGCGGGAGAGGCAATGGTATTGGATAGCATCCATTTTGACTATTTGGATGTACGTAGTCCCCTGAGTAGGCTGCAAATGTCGCATTCTCTTGGAAGAGATGTGCCCATGAACAAAAATGAAGATGTTTACAAAGGCACACCAAGATGTTCTTTTCCATATTTTGCAATGGTCTGACATGTTTGTTCATGTACTTTACTAGGTTATTTCGGAGTCTGGACGAAGCTTGGCCTGGAATCATCAATACATCCAGCAATAATGAATTATATGAGAAGCCTATCTCTACGATAGGGCGTTGGAAGTGTTCGTTGCGAAAATATCAAACCTTTGTCCACTAGTCCGAATTTCCAATCTCTATCAAGACGATCGTCCTAGTAAGATCCTTGTGCTTGAGCTATTTCTACGACTTGGGACGGGGTCTGGCCGACTTTGGCCTTGTTGGGCCGGTCGTCTCTTTTCGTGATTGGGTATGATTTTGGCTCCAGTTATGCCCAACGACTGCGGTGCTGCTGCGAGGCACCATCACAAAAGGCTGCCAGTGGGAGGAGTGCGCAGACTGACATGGTTGCCATTGCAATGCATACGTTGATGTGCTTTTGGGTCATTGGGATTTTGACAGCTGCTTTGTTTAGAAGGATCAGCGATCTTTCGAACAATAAGGGGACAGCTGAATAGACACGCGAAACTCTGAGTATCGGGGAGAAAGTCCATGCTGTTGGGTACGACGTACGAAGTAGCAAGATACGGAATGGTTTTGAGATCAATTCAAATAAGAGGGAAGGAGCATGACCAGTGTTTATATAAATAGCATACTGCATAAGAGGTATTCGAAGTAGATGCTGCAAGCACGATTTGAGTTTGAGTTCTTCCTCCTGCAATAGGTGCGATAGTGCCCTCGAGGTGTTCTAGTGACTGAGATTCGGCATATTCCAACATACCTGTGGACGTTGTCAAAGCCACAACCTACTTTTACTTATCCAGGACTTTGATAAGGGACCTCCGTACATCTTCAATGCGTGGGTCAGGAATACGTCAATCTGACAATGCAATTCAAGGAAAACATGCGGGTACAGTTGGCCGGGTGAAACACAAGATGGTACTTCGTACGGAAGCCGGCCCAATTCCAGCATTTTGGAGTTGGGTGTGATCTCCGCATTCGTGGAGATGACATGCCAAGCAGCAGCAACAAGCGCGTGCAACTGTAAGCAGCAGGGCCCTTCGTCACCATCTGCCACGGATTGCCTTGCATGGAATACTATTATACGGCCTTGTTGCGAAATAGTGTTTGAAAGACAACATTGGGCCCAAGTGCCAGTCATTCCTCGTCGGACCCGAACAAAGCTTCGGGCAGCTTGGAGGGAGATCGCAGCTTCAAATTAGGGTTGCCTGTCACCAAACATGCCGTAAAATGTTGAGTCTGAAGTGCTCTCGAGTTTGCGTGCTTGGGTGATGTGCTCCAGCCTGGATGATGAAAATGTACATGACGCATGCATGCGACTTGGAAAATCAGGCACTGATAGATCATCATTTCCAGTTGCTAGAAACCAAGAAGCCAAGCAAATCAATCCGACTAAACAAGGCGCGATTCTTGGCTGCTCCGCGCGCTGTGGTTTGACTTTGCTCCTGTGGCAGAAGAAACCAGTCTGGAGCTGCACCAGTTTCTAGTCTGCAGTGGTCACTTTACAAAGGATTGTCCAGCTAGCCCAGCGGGTTTAACCTTTTACACTTTTGCTCTCTCAAATCACAATCTCCCCCATGAACACTCTTGGCCAACTTGACCTTCGTCTTCTTGTCTAGTGAGTAGGCAAGTCCCATTGAGAGTTTTCTCCCCCCTCCCTCGAACTAGGCGAGCCCATCTGCCAACAAACGTACCCACCAACCGCCCTTCCTTCCGCTCGTCGTTTTCTTCTTGTATGTTACGGCGACCCTGACGTACGACCCCCTCTCACCTGCCGCCGTTGCTCTCCAGACAGCCAGACAGATTCACTACTTTTCGAAGCGCCATCGAAGGGGGGCAGCATTACCCTTAATCCACATGCATCATCCCACCATGAATCCCTAGTTCTACCAATATATCGCCCCTCAATTTCTGGACCGTTTAGGTCGTCAATTCTTTCTTCGTCTTTGGCGGGTTCTATTTTGTTTCTTGCTGCCCAGCCCGCCAAACCAAAGCTCCGGCGCTGCAGGTTCGAGCCCAGCGCACGCCAGGGCTCAGCGAGCGAGAGCAACCTCACTCCGCCCAACACGCGTCTGACAGGAAGCGCCAACGACATCCCGTCTCTCAGTCATCCTGCCAAACCTTCGCCCTGCTAGAACCCGCCTTGTTAGATCGCACATTACGATATCACACCTAGACGATTACCGGTCCACCCCCACTCCCCCCTCCTCGTTATCCATCGTCGGTCGCGACCATGGATCAATGGCAGGGTTACTCAGATACCCCCGGCGGTTCGCAGCGAAGGTACAACGGCAACACCCCCATGACGGGCCAGCAACCACCCGCGGGCATGAGGTACGATCAGTATGGCGCACAGAACAGCGCGACTTCTCCGTTGGCCACGCCGCAGCTACGTGATGGCAACGGCGACGTCCCGATGCAGGACGCTCACGATGCGTACGGGGCAATGAAGTACCCGATGCGGCCACACCATCAATCTCACCTTTCTAGTGGTCGCCCACCCGGCATGGGTTTACACTCGCCTCAAGAGCCCTCGGCCGCCGCCCAGCGGTATTCGCCCATGGAGGTGTTGTCGCCAACTTCGCCGTACCAACAAAAGCCCGCGCAACAGAGTCAATTTACGTCACCCCACGCAAGCCAGCGCCAGTCCCCTACGCGAAACGACTATCCCTCGAGCCCTTACTATAGCAGGCAGACCTCGCAACTTCCTCCCATTACCCCATACGCAGGTGGTCAAGACAGCTACCCTTCCTCAGCTGTTACGCCACTGGATGGCGCCTTCGCTAATGACTCCAAGTCTCCACGACGACCTCTGCAGCAGGCCATGGTGCACGAGCAACGATCGGTGCCGGAGTTCAAGAAGATTAGAGCTATGCCAGATCTGCGACCCAAGGTCAACGCTCAGCCGCCATTCCGACGCGCGAACCCCGAGGGAGGATTTATAAGTGTAAGTCGATTGCCCCCCATTCACCTCGACAACTTCTAACGGAACTGGTAGCCCTTGCAAGCTCTTACGGTTCACCTCCCTGCGACATACCGCATCTGCAATCCAAGCTTCAAATACGAATCCTCGCGGAATCCTCGCCGAGTTTTGACCAAGCCTAGCAAGGGCGTCAAGAACGATGGATATGATAACGAAGACAGTGATTATATTCTATATGTAAACGACATTTTGGGGTCGGAAGAAGCTGGTCACAAGTACGCCACCGCCTGCTGGTCGATCCTTTTTGCATGATACGAACTAACCCCGTGTGTACAGGAATCGTTATTTGATTCTGGATGTGCTCGGTCAGGGTACCTTTGGACAGGTTGTGAAGTGCCAGAACCTGAAAACTCAAGAGGTCGTGGCCGTCAAGGTGATCAAGAATAGGACAGCGTACTTCAATCAGAGTATGATGGAAGTGTCGGTCCTGGATTTGTTGAACACCAAGCTGGACAAAAACGATGACCATCACCTTCTCCGCCTCAAAGACACCTTCATCCACCGGCAGCATCTCTGTTTAGTTTTTGAACTGTTGAGCGTCAACCTCTACGAGCTCATCAAGCAGAACCAGTTCCGCGGTCTCAGCACGACTTTGGTCAGAGTCTTCGCCCAACAGCTGCTTAATGGCCTTGCCTTGTTGAACAAAGCGCGGCTTATCCACTGCGATTTGAAACCCGAGAACATTCTGCTGAAGAACCTCGAGAGCCCGATCATCAAGATTATCGATTTTGGCTCGGCTTGCGACGAGCGCCAGACTGTCTACACCTATATCCAGTCCAGGTTCTACAGGTCCCCCGAGGTGCTGCTTGGCCTTCCGTACTCATCGGCAATCGATATGTGGTCGCTGGGCTGTATCGTAGTCGAGCTCTTCCTTGGATTGCCGCTGTTCCCTGGTTCTTCCGAGTACAACCAAGTGTCCCGCATCGTCGAGATGCTAGGCAATCCGCCGAACTGGATGATCGAAGTGGGCAAGCAGGCCGGCGACTTCTTCGAGAAGCGCCAGGACGAGTTCGGTCGTAAAACGTATCATCTCAAGAGCATGGAGCAGTACTCGCGAGAGCGCGGAACGAAGGAACAACCTAGCAAGAAGTATTTCCAGGCCAACACACTGCCCGAGATCATCAAATCGTATCCCATGCCCCGAAAGAACATGAAGCAAAGCGAGATCGATAGAGGTTAGTGGCTGACGAAACCTGACTACCCAATTCGTGCGGTAAACGCTAACTGTTTCTATGCAGAGATGAACAATCGAATCGCCTTCATCGACTTTGTCCGGGGACTCCTGACGGTTAGCCCTTTGGAGCGATGGTCTCCGCAACAGGCTAAACTTCATCCATTCATTACCCAGCAGAAATTCAACGGTCCTTTTGTACCGCCCATGAACCTGAAAGCCAGCTCGCTTAACCGATCGCCCGCCCCGGGAACCCAACAACAGCAGCAAGCCGCCGAACTTAGTAAGCAAAGGGCGCAAGCAGCGCAGGCACAAGCACAAGCGGCGGCCCAAGGAGCTGCGTATGGGATGCAGCAAGGCCCAGGCTACCCACAATCTCCTCACGGACAGCCGCCAATGTATCCGAACAACAATATGTACTCCCCCGGCGGTGGCCATGCTGGGGCACCACCTCCATATGGCGCACCACAGCAACAGCCCTATGGGCAGATGCCGATGAACCAAGCACCAGCACAGATGCCGCCTGCAAACTATGCTGGTGCTCCGCAACAGAACCTTTACCAACAAGCGACAGTGCGAGCCGGCCGCCAACGGGCTTCGACGATGGACCAACAACAGAACGGCATTCCGGCAACAATTCAGCGAGTTGCCAGCCATCTGGACCCGAGCCAGCCCATCCGACTTCAACCAAGCCCAGCTTACTACCCACCCCCAGCCGATGGTATGGGCATGAATGATCCTGGAGCAGGTAGTAGGGTAGCTGGCAGGAGGGACAGCCGATCCCAGCGTGGCTCTGCTAGGGGCAACAACCGCGATTTCATTCGTAATTTGGAGGAGCGGACATTAGAAGAAGGATTCATGGGCGGGCAGAGTCCGTGGCACTGAGGAGGTGACTATACGCAATGAGGATTATCCCAATCGAAGTCAAATTCCTCGGGCGTTCAAGAAGTCAGCTGGACTTTGTCGTCGCGCAATTGATGGCGCCGTTCCCATTCGAGAATCGGAAGTGCAATTACGACTCAACTGCTCACTCTGAGACGTCGCGATGGTATTCTGCGGGAGTTCCCCCATCGTAAGCTCCGCACACACCCGATCAGTGGAAGCAAGCGTCACGTAGTAGGCTAGACCGTGTAAGATACCCAGAAGAGACAGGGGAGGGGGGGCAAATGGAAGCTAGATTGGCTTTGTTTTCTTTTTTTCTTTTTTATTCTCTTTGCTTCGAACGGACGACGTTGGAGACGCGACATTAGGTATCAGGCTGCACATATAACGGCCGCGGCGGGAGATTAAGGACTTGGTGTGTGAATAGGGAAAGGTTCAGGGCACGAGACTTGAGGAATCAATGCCCATGATACGAGATATTTGCATTGACGAGGCTAGACGCAGATGAAGTCACTTAGCCTCGGATTTTTTTCTACACGTACCATTTTCTATAGTGCGAGCTCGGTGGCAGACTACTTGGTGTCTTCAGGGCGGCAGGGGGATACCAAATGCGACGCCGATGGGTGTTCTGCATTTAGTGTCTCAGTGCAAGCCCTGCGGTATAGGGGTCGGCACGTTGCAGAGCTGGGCTATACGCAGGGTTGAAATGCTACGGCGCATCGGGCAGGGTGAAAAAGGACTATTTGAGCATGATTCAGAGTCTCGAGGCCCCAGCCCGTTTTGTAATGCTTTGTTCGAACTCAACGTTGCTCCGGTGAAAGTGACTTAACCCGGGGAAGGATTGGCCTTCGTTGGCGATAGATAGCTTGACAGACATCATCGGCATCGGGCATACAGAACAACTAACAACCTGCATTACTGGACGGAATTATCACTTCTTGAAAGCAACATTGTCCTGGTCGTTATTTGGCCGTGAAACTAGAAACCCTGGTAGACGAAGAGAAGTCAGACCGTTGGAAGTCGGCCTCACTTTACTATATTTCAACCTGATCAAGACGTTGACGACGATCGAAAAATTTAGTACTCAATCCTCACCCTCGACGTAACTCTACTACCTGCCCACTTCAAGGACCGACCGAGCACCCGACGAATACATGTCGCAATGGTCGACGTGTTGGGAGCAGAAGCGGACACCATGGGACCGTGGTGGGCCGAGCGTGGCGTTGTCTGATCTCCTTGCGCAAAGATCGGAGCCTTCTGGATATCCGAGTGAAGATACAATGGGAAGAAAGAAGCAGCAGACGGTGCTGGTCCCCGGCTGCGAGAGAGGCCACGATGTGCTGGGTACGATGTGCATGGCCTGGACGCCTCGGCGAGCAAAATCGCCGAAACCACCAAGGGCGGCGAAGAAGGGGATGGGCTAAGACGCGGGAAGTATCCATTGGCTCGTTGGCGACTTCTTTGAGGATTTCTTGGGTCGAAGAGGCGGTTGTAGACGGGGGTGGGGGCCGGGGGAGGCAAGGATGAAGGATGGGTTTCGGTTTGGGGACCTTATGGGGAGAAGATTTGATGGCAAATTGCTCCTTTGTGGTGAGATGGCATGATATCCTGTCGAGGTTTCGACAAATTTGATGTCCGTCAACCCCTATACCATACAGTCGTGGTTCGAGGTAAGCCGACGACGTCGTGACTGTCAACGGGACAGTTCAGTTCTAGGTATTGGTTGACTAAATTTCGCATCTACCACAGCTCGCATTTCCTTGCGCACTTAAGATGTGGTATCTAGATATATGCTCACGATGCTGATCATGTCTACCCGATGCCCCAACGTGTGGAGGGCTAGGCCTAGTATTACAAGTCATTGGGCCGAGAGAATGGAATCGACAATCAAGTCAATCGGCGCCTACTCATAAGCCAAGCTCGTCTCCTGGAAAGACGGCTGCATCCCGTGATCCCTTATGCGTCGCCTGTTGAAAAAGTTGTTGAACCTGATCTTTCCTGTGGAAAGATGCTACCCGCAATGACCCGACTGTCCAAGAACGCCACTCGCTCGCTCTGTCAACCACAACCATTTTTAGCACGCAGCCTCTACCGTCCGCGATGGAAACCTCTTCCTCGTCTATTACCGCTGCCACCATTCGCAGGACCCGTCGGTACTAATCTGTCACTATAGAGACCGCCGTTGGTCGACTCGCCATACCCCGCGTCCGCCGTCTCCATAGGTTCGTCAAACCCCATTGAGCCATCCACAACAACACTATTACTGCCAACTCGCGACTCAGTCGAACGTTGTGCGCGCGGGCCCGTGGGAGGCATCGGTGTATAACCACCGCCTGGCTTGAGGTATACATGGAGGAGTCGTCCATCGGCCTTTGTCTCGGGTTAGTCTTAACGTTGGATATAGTTATAGTATTTGCCAAACTCACAGTCTGGTTGTTGAACGTCTCAATAACCCGATCAGCCCCCTCCTTATTCTCGAACACGATCTCGGCAATAACGAGAGGGTGGGTCTTAACCAACCGACATGAACGTGCCAGCCCACCCACAGGAGTCATCGCACTCTCGATGTCAGCTGCTGTTGTGCCTGGGGCAAAGTTCTGGGCCATAACCACGAAAGGCCCTGCAAGCCCACGAATCGTAAGCCCATTTGCCGGCGGTGCAGAATGGACATTGAGTTGTGATGCGGCCGCCGGGGAGTTGAAGGCATTGGCGAATTTTGCGACGCGCTTGGTGTTCGCGTTGCGGTTGGCGGCGGTTGGGGGCTTAGTGCCTGGAGCATGAATACGGGCCGCGAGAGAGGTCAGTTTCGGTTGCGCGCGCAAGTCGGGCGTCGAACGACTGTTGTGTAGATCGTGAGTCCATTCGCCATTGACGTTGCCGGCTGGGACGCGGGCAACAGAGGAGACTCGCTGGAGAGAGTGTGAGTTGAGGCGGACGGATCCATGGGTCTGGTGTATGTATATACCTTGTTCACACCCACGCGACTTGCGAGCGACGGGCCGTTGCCAGCTTTGATGGGGGCACTTTGGCGGCGTTTGTCTCTACTAAAGATCCTAGCCGCCAGCTCTTCGTTCTTCTTGCGCTCGCGGCCTTGCGGGCAATATTAGTTGGCTGGTTTGACGGTGAATAGGGCCTGACTGGACTCAGCTTCCATACCGGCATTGATGATTTTCTCGAAATCGGTGGCGTGTTGCTTCACCATCTTGTCCCCTGTCCCGTCTGAAAATGCTATGTCCAGTGGAAGCTATTCTGCGCGCAAATAGGACCTGGTGGCGTTGTATTGAAGGAACAGCTCGTAGATACTATTTAGGGTAAGTCTGTGGTGAATGGGTATAGTGTGTCAAATGGGTTCAGTCCTAGATGCAAGAGACAAGAGGGACAATCAGTGGCTCAAGATTGGAGTATAAGATGTTTGCAGCCGTTTGTCGAGGCCAGTGGGTTGAAGTCCGGTCTTGGTCCTTTGGGGATAATCCAACCCGTTATTGTAAACAGGGGGTCCTGGTCGCGTTTTTGCTGAGGCCAGAAGACCCGACTACCGAGCAAACAGACTTGGAGTTAAGTGGGCCGAGCTGACTGTACTGTGGCACTGTGGCAGCTCCAGCCACACTCGCTTTGTTCGGTTCTTGCCTCAATCTTCAGGCTGCCACAATTTAGGGTCAAATCGCTAGTGTCGAAGCTGCAGCCCACAGAACGGGCAACACCGGCTGGGAAAATTGTCGGATTGGGGTGTGATATTTTCGAGCCTCTCCTAAAACATTCAAACCCAGAACCACCTCACCTCCCTCCAGCATCATCACGAATTACGCTCACTAGGCCGATACGATGGGTCGCGTGGTAAGTTGTCGCATCTACTGAAATCCAAAAACCATTGGACATTGCTAAGGCCCATCAACAGATTCGTAACCAGAGAAAGGGTGCCGGTAGCATTTTTAGTAAGTTCTCATCAGCTCTCACTGGCGCCGCCCACCGAATCCACGCATCATCTCTCGCGACGGCTTCGATATGTCCCTACCGAAACGAACAACAGCAAATCATGATGAAAAAAACAGGCACATGGCAAAGATTTTGTATACTGACTTGATTTCTCCACAGCCGCCAACACCCGCCTGCGAAAGGCTCCCGCCAAGTTCCGCTCCCTCGACTTCGCAGAGCGCCATGGATACGTACGTGGTGTGATTAAGGACATCATCCACGACCCCGGTCGTGGTGCACCTCTCGCCCAGGTCCAGTTCCGCAGCCCCTACAAGTTCAAGCATGTGACGGAGACCTTCATCGCCAACGAGGGCATGTACACGGGACAGTTCATCTACGCCGGCAAGAACGCCGCCCTGACCGTCGGCAACGTCCTTCCCCTTGGTTCCATGCCCGAGGGTACTGTCGTTTCCAACGTGGAGGAGAAGGTTGGTGACCGTGGTGTCCTGGGCCGCACTTCCGGCAACTACATCACTATTGTCGGCCACAACCCCGACGAGGGCAAGACCCGCATCAAGCTCCCGTCCGGCGCCAAGAAGGTCGTCAGCAGTAGCGCTCGTGGCATGATCGGCATTGTCGCTGGTGGTGGCCGAACGGACAAGCCTCTCCTGAAGGCGTCGCGCGCCAAGCACAAGTTCGCTGTCAAGCGCAACAGCTGGCCCAAGACTCGTGGTGTTGCCATGAACCCCGTCGACCATCCTCACGGTGGTGTAAGTAGAATCGGCATCATTTGTTTGCAAGCAATACTGACGCACAGAACAGGGTAACCATCAACATATTGGTAAAGCTTCTACCATCTCGAGATACGCCGTGTCTGGACAAAAAGCCGGTCTCATTGCCGCCAGAAGAACGGGTCTGCTACGTGGTACACAAAAGACGAAGGACTAGAGAGGTTCTCCAGGGCATTTGGTGGTTCATCACACAATAGGGTCGGAGTTTACTTCATTGCGCTTTGCATCTCTGTAGGTACTGGTTGAGCTAGATATGAGGAAAACGGCTCAATGGAAGTACCCGGCATTACGAAGCATTTCTTTGACGAGTTCTGGTCTACTGCGGTCAATTACGTGAAATTAATTTCAGCGTGTGGAATGCCAGAGTATGTCCGGTAACTAACTACGGGGCGACCAGTCTCGTGACCCAAGCAGTCTTTGATTGTAACGGAGACTGGGGTGCGGTAGAAGTTCAATGAAGGACCAGCGATTGAATGGATTGGGTTGCATTTCCTCAATTCACGAGCACTTGCCGTAAGGTATCATACGAGGTGACGTAGGTGATTTTGGAGGTATTGCGACAGCCATATAAATACTCGATCCTCGTTTTTGTAACTCGAGCACATGTAGTGCATGAAATACTCGTGGTGCCTAAAGCTTGCCATGACAGCTTACAATGTCTAATCTTACGCAGCTTTGCGATGTAGCACTGAGGGCTATCCGTCCATTTGGGTTTTGTCGCTCGTTCACGAGTCGAATCCTTACAACCCCGCCAACGTTAACCCCACCATCCGCATCATCTCTTTTCAAATTCTCAGCTCCCCGCTACTTCAACTACTCAACAACTGCCTCCCGACTGCCCAAATCTTTATTCACCATGGCTTCTTCCAATGAATATTCTCTCCTCTGCTTGGAGAACCCTCTGCTTGGTGAGTGTGCTCTGCTGTGCGTCTTGGATGAATCAATTGGCCTGGAACGTAGCGGTGATGATGCGACCTTGTTGGACCTGAGGGCAGGAGGAGCCGCTCGTTCTGGTCCGAGAGCTGATGAGATACGAATGCATAATCCGTTCAACAGACAGCTAATCACGAAACTATAGATATCCAAGCTGTTGGTGACAAGGCGCTCCTCGACAAGTATGGACTAAAGGACAACGACGCCATCCTGGCTGAGGAGACGCACATGGGCCTGTACGAAGATTTGCTCAACAATTACGATGCCAAGCTCATCGCCGGAGGGGCCGCTCAGAACACTGCCCGCGGCGCCCAATACATCCTGCCCGCCAACTCGGTCGTATACCTCGGTGGTGTCGGCGACGACAAGTACGCAGCCATACTCCAGGATGCCGTCAAGCAGGCCGGTCTGCGCGTTGAATATCGCGTCGACCCCAAGGTGCCCACAGGAAAGTGCGGTGTCATCATCACCGGCCACAATAGGAGCTTGTGCACTGATCTTGGTGCCGCCAACCACTATGATCTCGAGCACTTGAAGCGCGACGACATCTGGGCTTTGGTCAAGAGTGCTCAGTACTACTATGTCGGTGGTTACCACTTCACTGGTGAGACTCTCCATGCATGTACAGATAATATACGACGTTAACACGGCCGTTTCAGTCTGCCCACCCGCCATTATGGCCCTCGGCGAAGAAGCCGCTGCCAACAACAAGACCTTCGTCGTCAACGTGTCGGCTCCCTTCATCGCCGAGTTCTTCAAGGACCCCTTAGACGCATCCTCGCCCTTCTGGGACGTCGTCATCTGCAACGAAACTGAGGCCGGCGCCTACGCCAAGTCTCACGGTTTGGCCTCCGAGACCGACATTACCGCCATTGCTAAGCACCTAGCCAACCTACCCAAGAAGAACAGCCAGCGGCCCCGTACTGCAGTAATCACTCAGGGCACCGAGCCCACTATCGTCGCTGTCCAGGGACAGGATGATGTCAAGCAGTTCCCGGTCCATGCCATTAGCAAAGACCAGATCAACGACACGAATGGTGCCGGCGATGCCTTTGCTGGTGGTTTCGTCGCTGGCCTGGTCCAGGGCAAGAGCTTGGAGGAGTCGGTGGATATGGGACAGTGGCTGGCGCGGTTGAGTATCCAGGAATTGGGTCCGTCGTAAGTTCCCCCTTAAGACCACCACCACCTCTGGCAGCCCGTCCAAAGTAGCATCAACTGACAAGATCCCACAGCTACCCGTTCCCTAAGCAGACCTATACTGCTTCAAACTAGGCCCTTCTTGCATTAACATCACAGAAACTTTGGCGTTCCTCAACTTTGCGGCAAAGGAAGGCGTTTCAGGCGGTCTCGGGGAAAACGGTGTTTCAACAACCAAGGAATCAAGGGGGTTCATTTGTGTTGGGAGCATTTGTCCCTTCATGTGAACCACGCAAATAAGCAGATAGCAGACAAATAATCTATAGATATGACCCAAGCAGTTCAATACTGCCAGACTATCCTGCTTGTTTTCCCTTGACAGGCGGATATGTCGCAAGCCAGTCCGTCCATTTTGCCTAAAGGTTGCCAGCTAGTCTTGAATCCATCTGGATATGGCTGCCTGGCCCTTAAACCATGAGAACAGCTTATGTTCGGGTCGTTGCATCATCTACTACTTTCCAACCTGCGTGCGTGTAAAATCATAATCGGCAACTGGACAGTCTCTAGTAATCGAGTACTCTAGGAAGTAAATCTGCTGCGCTAACATAGCAAAGGTTGCGATCAGGACAACTGTTTCAGATACTAATGCCGTTCAAACCGTCATATTCCGAAGATCATCATGCGCAGTGTGATCACGCATGATGTATATAAAACCCAGCAGTGATTACTGACTTGGCCATGCCAAAGCATCTTTAGTCACGATACAAGTAAGAGTATTGAGTGAAAGGACGGAAGCATCATTCAAATAAGTTTTCTAGCTAAGCTCCTGCAACATACAAATGATTGAAGAGGTTCATGATGACTGAAACACAGATAGGCTTTTGGTTGAGCGTGTGGCGATGCTATGGACACAAAAGAAAGAGCACCGTGTTGGTCATGAGATTGCTGAACGGGGATAGCTCACAGCCGAGTATGGCTGGTGAAGAAGAGAAGGCTCGCGTATGCAAAGCAATTCGTGGACATGATGCAACAGTCTGTCGTCCACATCCTCCTAATGAGGCGCCCTTTCACAACTGAATTGACCTTGAGGCAGATGTTCTTGCTAACAGCTACCCTTTGGATAAGGCTGATGACTAAACCGGACGCTTGCAGACGAACACCAAGTGAAGTCCGAGAATGACTGGCTAGATGGCAGCATGGCGCTCCGAGGGCCTGCCGAGAAGACCCCTAGATGCATTGAAGATGCCCTTGACAGACCGAGGCTACAGCTAACGGAACGTGGGAAACAATCCCAGCATATATAATGCACTGAGCTCGTACCGAGGCCGAGGAGGGCGGGAGCGTAGGATGCTATGTGCTGAAAACTTCCTGCTCACCTCACTGAGGCAGACTTCAGTACTAGTCATGAGACTGGGCCCATGACGCTAGTCGAAGGATAATACAAGAAACTTTGGCTAGATTCGGATACAATGACCCCAAGTAATGTGTAACGACATGCATGACTGAGCCATTTCTTTCTTTTCTCTCGATGGGAATCTGTGCCTCAGACAACATGGTTCCCTCAGGGCCATCAAGTCGGTCGCTTCGCAAATATCAAATACCTCGAGATGAGCAAAGGCCCATTTAATATCAAGGATATACAAGTGCAACGTGGCAACCAGGACCTGGCTTATATGCAACATCCTAGAGTGGGCATGTCTTGGAGCCTTGCTACTTTTGGCGAGGCTGGTTGCCGTTGCCGGCCAGTGCAGCCTCTAAGATCTGCTTGTCGTAGGAGCTGGCTGTGTCCGTGTCGAACATATCCTTGACCGCATTGCGGAAGTGCGTCGGGTCATTTCTGTTGTTGACTTCGCCGCTGCGACCGAATGCAGTACTGGCGTTGAAGAAATTGCCATTGCAGCCGACGAATCCTTTTGGGGCAGGAGGCAAATCTGGCGTACCACCCCAGAGACTGCTTGGGTGCGAAAATACGAGGGAGGACCCAGTGCTGGGACCACTACAGCCTGATGGAATCTGCTCTTGGAAACTGCCAGGTGCGGGGCCAGGGGAAGATGGAGAAAAGCGGTTAAGTAAGGCCGCTGCTTGTTGATGACCGTAAGCCGCGCCTGTAGGGCTCGCGGGACCGCGAAATCCACCTGCCGAGTTGGAACCTCCAATGGATCCCCCGGAAACCTGATTGTTTCCATAGAGTCTGCGATGGTTGGCTTGTTGATCCATCATACGCTGAGCTGCCTTATTTCGGTTGTTTCCAAGCAAACTGATATCCGAGGATTCTCGAGTCCCTGCGGAAAAAGTAGAGCCAGACATACCAGGATTGTGCCCCTGAGCAGAGCGCATGGCATCACTGCTGTACAAGGGAAGGCCAGGTGAGCGAGGGTTATTTGCAACCAAGCCTGAGCCGTACTGCGCAGTCAACATGGAATGCAGATTATCAAGAGCGGTGTTGCGTTGGTTTGTGGCATAATCAGGACTGCCAGTGCTTGTATGAATATCTGGGCTGGGTATGAATGCTTTTTGCGCAGCATGCGCTGTTCTCTCTTGGCTGAGTGGGGAGGTATGGAAGCGGCTGGAAGTTTGTGCCGTGAATTGGCCGTCAGTGAATGCAGAACGCTGGCCAAAAGTAGTTTGCGCAGTGGGCGTGACCGCAGCGTCAAGTTGGGCTTCGGCGGTCCTGGGAATATCATAATTAATCCCACTGTGATTGTCTCCAGTTCCACGCCTCCTGGTTCTAGGCGTATAGAAGTAGTCCCAGGGTGAATTGGGACCGGTTCTGTCAGCTGCTGCAGCCGTCTGTCCATTTTGGCTTAATGCAAGACGACCAAAGATATCGTCGGCAGTGGATGAGTCTATGTCGTAGCTTGTATTAGCCTCGGCCTGATTGGAGTGGTGGATGATCATATCAGCCATGTCGTCAGATACGGTGACACCAGTTCTCCCCAGATGATCATTGACCTCATCATCATCAGTGTCCAGAAGATTGTCCACCATTTTGACCATCTCGCTGTCTCTGCTCAAGTCTGACTCAAGAAGTGGTTCTGTGGGGGCAGCCTCCATTGGTTGACCATTGTCTACAGACGCCATGTGAAGTGGTGCCGATTGCACGAGATAACCGCGTTTCGTCGCCTCAATATTGACGTTCTCAAGAGCGATATTGGGCGTATCCTCACCAGTCAGGCTAGTCTTTAAGACACCGAGCTTGAGTTTGGCAAAGGTTTGCGTCATAGATGCTTCATCAAGATAATCATGGTTGCTGTTTTCCTCGGTGTACCGCCATGTCTCAACACCGCTGGCATCCTTGCCCATCGCGAGCGGGAACTTCCCACTCCCAGCTAGGTAAATGCCACAGCAAACAATGTCTCGGATGCGCCAGACGGTTTCTGTCTCTGCTTTGCACTCGATGCCGAGGACCTCCTTGCGAGGCTTCAAAGATTTGCGTCGTTTAGGTGGGTTTATGTCGGGAGATACTTCTACCTTTAGGAAAAGGGGCAGCTTCCTATCAGAGAGAATCTTTAGGCCGACCGCCTCTGAATCTTCGGGTAGGAGATACTTGGACTCAACAACTCTCTGGTTCAAGTCGACGTAGGGAAAAAGTCGGGTTAATACGTCTCCAAGGAGTCTGTACAGCTCTCTGATATGAGGTTCCAGATACTCCTGATAAGCAACAAAGTCCGCTCTACAAACGTATATCCACGCAATGTAGATGCGGCAAAGTGGCAGAAGCTTACTTAGCGGCACAAGGAAACTGGTGGTACTCTCAACGTTCCCTTGTGAATCGTTTCCGCTATCATGAGTAGTGGTCAAGGTAGCATTCTCCTGCAGAGCCGACTTCAGAAGGCGAAGTAAAATCAAAGCTGTGCGCATATTGAAGCTTAACATGAACTGACAGGATTGAGAGCCAGTCAGCGTCCAGTTCGCTGGGAGTTTCATTAGTACGTCTATATGTGCGAGCCCCGTTTACGCATTCTCACCTTTGACTTTATCGGACGCAATGTCATACGCAGCGATATTTATTAGAAGCATCTTCAGCAGCACTTCTCCATTGCCTTCCACTTTCACAGACATGTCCAGACGGTGTAGAACCTCTTCTTCAAGCTCAGCCTGGGCAGCGAACGGCTCTCCCAGGTAGTAATGAGCATGCAGACTCAAGAACCAGGCTGTCATGGTCTCGGAGGGGTCCTTAGCCGCTCCGCGTTTGGTATTAGACGGATTCTCTAGACGTTTGAAGCCGCTTTCAAGGTTGCTGGGGCCGAGTTTATACGGCTTGGCAATGGAAATGGATCGGTGGAAATAGTAGATGATTTCCAGTGGGTGTTGCTGAAGCTGGTACAGAACGCCCATCTGGTGATGAGATGATCCATCATCGGGATCTAGCGTGTTGGCTAGACTATAGTAGGTCAAGGCAATATTGAAGTTGTTCTTCGAAGGCTTATCCGCAGCCTGGCAACGATATCTGGCCAAGTCACCCAGGCGAACTAGTGTCATGTAGCAAGCACTAAGAATGGCTATGCGAAGCGGTGAAGGTGGGGCGACATCTTGACCAGTGGTATCAGCAGACGCCAGTTCCATAGCATGAGCGGCTTGACGAAGCTCTGGAATACAGAAGAGACTGGACAGCCGCTGGATGTAGCCCCGATAAAAAGACTGCGACGTCTTCAGGAAGTCTCGGTAAAGCTTGTCAACTTTGCGCTTCTGGACCGCCTGGGCTTGCGATCCAAGACGACTCAATATCCGACGATATTCGCCGTTCAAGTGCGTGTGAGCCTGCCACAATACAGACTCGACGTCCTTCCCAGCAGCATAGTCGAAGTCATGGAATATGAGTCGCATGCAGGCAAGGCGAAGTCTGTATTAATGTCAGCGTGAGAACGGCGTGAGAAGAAAGTGAACAAGATGTTCGGCTGTCGCAGGGATGCATACTCTTTCATGACGCTCTCGACATTCTCAAATTGAGAAGTGAAGTTGGTACCACCACGGCCCTTTCTGATGTCATCAATCTTATGAAGGACTTCCTGGCGAACTCGACGGACCTCCCTAGAAATAAGTCAGCTTCTAGTTATGGCCTCAATATTAGCCTAACTTCAGCTCCGGTTGCGGCTTTGGATTGGATCCACAGCCGGCCTCGAGCATGTGTATGTATTTCTGTTGCAAACCACGTACTCCCAGTATCCTCTGGCGACCTCGCGGGTATTCTGCTCCATGGTGGGCAGCGAGGCGAGACGGCGCGAAGAAGGTGTCGACAACAGAGTTGAAGGGTTCAAAGGCGATAGTGGTGGTGGATTATGGTTGGAATTATTGTTGGCCTCGGGGCGCAAGTAGCGTGAGGACTTGCTGGGAAAGCTCACAATCACAAACTATTCTCGCAGAAAATCGAATTGAATGTTGCGATGGGATGGAACTCCATAGCTTGAGAGGCGGCTCGAGAGGGCAGGGACAGCGTGCCGCGAGGGGGTCCGGTCTGCAGTGAATTTCGCGACAGAAGGTAACGGAAACATTTGCGGAGAATTGAAGCCTGCAAAGTTTTTGGATGTCTGGATAAGCCACTGCTGATAATGTGCCTAAGAAATATGATGCGATGCGATCACAATACTCGAGTAGTCGACAAGAGTCACGATGTTTGTGCGAAAGAGGAGTCGGCGGTAGACGCCATGCTCATAGACGACATTGACAAAGCATTGACTGACGTTGGAGCGCACTTGGGATCGTCCGGCAAATGCTAGTTTCCCCGCTAGACCTGATTCCGACCACGCGTTCAGCAGTGTCACCCCTGTATTTGAGGGACCTTAACGTTCCAATCGTTGTTTTGTCTGCCCTGTTCCATGCATCAGATCACTGAAGCACAGGCCCTTTGGGGAATTTCTTGTCCTTGACTGCCTGATGAACCGAGCGGGTCTTTTAACAAGTTAACTTGGGCTGGCGATCTTGGGCAGCATTCAAAGATTAGCTGCAATAATGATTAACTGCAATAGTTTCTAAAGATCTTGAAGTTGATTCGAGCTATTGCCAGAAGCCTTTGGACCTGTCAACACTTCATCTATTGGCCTGCTTGCTCATCTCCCAGAAGAACCTAAAAATCATATCTCGACTCGATCCCTAGCCCCCTCAACACTTGAAGACAGATGGGCAGTTCAGCAAGTATACCTTCGGTACTGTCTACGAAGCACAAGCGTCAACTCATGTAATTGCCCCACTCCGCAACTCTGATACTTAACACAAGATGAAGCGCTCACGCGGGCCTGAAGAAGACGAATCAAGCGGGTATCCAACAACCAACAGCGATGAGCTGGATGGTGCAGAACCTCGACAGACTGAACTTCCCGCAGCCAAGATCACCGAGTTGGACGAGTCGGCTGTAGACACCAGTCGTTCTATTGCTATGAGGTGCTCGCTGCCCCCTCACAGGGAGCCCCTATTTTTTACTACATACGTAGATTATGAGGCCCATTACAACAAAACCCACACAAATCGATGTTCTGAGTGTAGGCGAAACTTTCCCTCAGAGCACTTGCTCAGTGTTCACATTGAGGAAAGCCACGATGCATTTGCAGCAGTGTTGAGGTTGAGAGGGGAGCACACAGTAAGTTGGTGCCATCACGGGGTTAGATATTGTTGCGATAACACATGCTTCCCAAAGTTGGTCATTGTTGCCAAATACTAACTACCTCATAGTATTCGTGCTTCGTTGAAGGGTGTGACCGGAAATGTGCAACACCCCAGAAGCGACGCATGCATCTTATTGACAAGCACATGTACCCCAAAAACTACTTCTTTGCAGTGACCCGAGAAGGCATCGATGGCAGGAACTCGCTTTTGCTCGAGGGCGGACATCCTCGTCGGAAATCTTCTGCGAGCCAGCATGGGGAGTCAAAGGCTGTGTCCAGAAGACAAAGCCTTCGGCAAACGGATGCATCAAACGAAACAGATCCCGAGGAAGTAAAGCCTTTGGCGAAAACGTCTGAGGAAGCCGCGACAGCTAAGGAGCCTGTGGACACTGAGATGGACGACTTAGCTGGGGCTATGTCATCTTTGCAGTTCGTGCCGACAAGTATTCGATTTGGTCGCGGCAAAGGCAGGGGAGGATTCTCCAGGCGATGATAAGAGGGATGGGCATACGAGGTTACAATGTTTACGAGATTATGAAAAGGGAGCCAGATGCCGCTGCTAGTCCGCTTGGCTCCATGGGTGCGTTGTCAGCCCTATAAGGAGCAGGATGGATTCTGAGTTCTCACCACATCATGGCCAAGCCAAGAATTAAAGCCGTTGCAAATGGTGCTCTCGATGTAATGCACTGTACTTGCTGAACAGACCCGCGCTTTTTCATCGGGTGTGAAGTATTGTGATTGCCCTGAATCCGAATCAGAAACTACCAGAGAACACCAAGCAAAACCACCAACGCCTAGGTCAGGATCAAACCCTCCGATATATATTTCCGTGTATCAATCACTCGAGGCACAGCCCCTGCAGCCACAGCTTACGCACTGTACATCCTGCGTCTCGTCCTTCATCTGGGCCTTGGGCACACGGCAGATACATGTTGAGCTGAAGTTTGTTTCCTTCGTCTGGACGCATCGCAGGCAACATAACTATAGCAAAACAAGTCAGTATATCGATATATATTGAACTTTACGAAGAGGCGTAGACTTACCTTCTCGTAGCCCTGCTTCTTCCATTTCGCAATGAGCATTGCGTCCGCATAGCCGTTCTTGAGCAGCCACTCGTATAGCTGCTTGCTAATGGCCTCCTTGTCGTAATACAGCTCGTAGACGTAGCGGCTCCTTTGATGTGAAATCTGGAAGATGGGCCACTGCGCTTGGTGCTTCGGGACGTTGTTGGTCGGCGTGTTTTGCGCATCCTTCATCTTGATGTTGAAGACTTCGAGGTCATCGCGGATATCTTCGAAGCCCTCGGGGGGCTTCTTTTGCCGTGAAGCGTGGGATCTGATTGCCGGCATGTCGATACGCGCCTGAGGACACTCTTGAGTTATGATCGGGTCTTAGACACGGAGAATATCACCTGCGCCGTCCTTCGTATTTCGTAGATCTTACGTTGATGCTGTAGTGGGGCAAGGCTGAGTCGAAGCCTTCCGAAAGTTCAAGGTACCGTACCAAAGACCATCCGGGCAACTGCGGAGCACTTTTGCAACGTAACTACCAATCAGGGAGCGGCGATGGTTGATTACTGGATTGTGGCTTTAATTGTGGCTGGTGTATTTCCACTTCGCTTGAACCTATTGTCCGACAAGCTCGACGTCTCGAGAGGAGTCCCAGACCATTACCTAGTCGCCAGCAAACATATCCGCCATGCCGTCGACACCGACCCAATTCGCCAGGAAGACTGGCCAGTGTGAGAAGTGTCTTCTTCAAAACTTTGAGTCTAGCTAACATGGTTTACAGCGACCAATTGGAACGACGCGAAGCGACGAGTCCTCAGGGCATATCGAGAATGGATTCGAGCCGTACGTTCTGCGCCCAGGCTGTCTGAAAAATATGAAGTCTTTCCGCGGGATACAACAGGTTTTTATGGGCTGAGTTATCACTGACGGGATCGCGCCTTAGGCCCCTGAGATCCAGACTATGTACTCCGTTCCTCTCCCAATCGCCGTTATCCGCACCCGAATGCGACAAGAATTCGAGCGACACCGATTTGTCAATAAGCTACCCGTGGTAGATGTGCTGCTCATGCAGAACAATGCCGAGTATCAGGTCAGTCAAGCCCCATGAGACCCCCGCGGGTTAGGGCACTAATACAAGGGGGGGCCAACATCGTTGCGACTTGGGCTACAGATGATTACAAGACCCAAGTGCTGACTATTCCTTTAGGAAACGATGAACTTCTGGAAGCAAACCACGCACATCATGTCCTATTTCAAAGAGGAGAACTTCAGAGGGGATGAGCGATTGCCCAAGAACTTCATGCAAGGATTCCTGGAGGCAGGTTCTTTCCTCGATCGCCACTCCTAAGGGAACGCGCTAACAGCAAAGCAGGGTCGCAATTAGAAATGAAATGGGGTATCATTCCTTATACTGTACATAGAAATCGGCAAGCAAAAGACATTCTGAGATGCCTCAGAGAAACCCGTCTATCGTGCTCCAAACGCCGCCGTATACCACGGGATGATGCTTAACCTGCCAGTTGATAGGCTCTACAGGAGCCCCCTTTACTCGCTCATCATGTCTGCCTTCGAAGCAGCAAACTCATTACGCTTGGTCCAAAACTCCTCTGCGACCACATCGCAAAGATCCTCCAAATCTTGTAGACCCTTTTTCAGAGCGTCGATGGCGGTAGTTGTGTCTAAATGTCGGTTAGCATGGATTTCTGGCCAGGCTTGTGGGTCCGACAATCATCTCACCATAAGTTTGTATTCGGACGTTCATCTTGGGTTCTGACGGATGCGGGATGGCGTATGCGCAGAATTCAACGTCAGGACTATCAGATATTAGCTTGTGTCATCTCGTGCTGGGCATAGGGAAAATTTTACTTTTTCATAATGATATATCGCAGCGCGTTTCCCAGTGTGTGTCCTTCCTCGAGAAACTCGTAAGAAGCAGCTGTCGTTGTGGACCCAGGTAGCTACAGTCAGATGTTAGACGGTGTTTAAACATGCATCGTTGGGGATCCTGAGAGCCCTTACGACCCTGATTCTTTGCGCCGGGGGCTGTTCCTCTTCATCCTCTTCCTCTTCTCCCTGCTTGCTTCCATTCTCTTCTCCGTCTTCCCTCATTGTTTCAGCGGTATCATGGCTCTCCTCGGCATGCGACTGCGCAGAAGTAGGCGCATCTGCCATAGCGACGTCTTCGGTCTTGGCCTCTAGCCTAGTGGCCTCGTTTATCGTGCGGCCGGGCATCGCGGGGTGAATGTGTGCGCCTAGAAGGTGGGATGAGCAGGGTCGGTCAATTGATCTTGGATTTGACAACCTCTGGCTTCCTCACGATTCTGTTCAAGAAATTTGGGCGGGGCTTCAACTTGACGGGCGATAAAAAATTACGATTAGCCTTGCAGCTGAAGCTCCGAAGTCCGAGCGCTCTCATTAAGAGCTGCCAGCCATTCTCAGCTGCCAGGCATTAAGGGCTGGTGGAGCATTTAGAAGTGGACTGTGGGATGCCCAGTATTGGGGGCTGTATTGAAACTACGAAGATGCGTGACGGACCAATCCCAAGTTGGCTCAAGGGGCCTCTAAATACTACCAATCCGTGCCTGCCTCTTACAGCTTCCCACGAGGACTTCGCAACTTCAATAGGTACTTCAACGATGCCTTTACTCGTTAAGCCTAATAAAGACGTTAGACTTGACGAGCACCTAGTACAGCGCACTCGACAATTTCCACGATGGGGAGTGCCACTCGAAGCATCGAAGCCTAGAACAACAGCTGCCTGTTGTCTCTCCCTCTAATAAATAGTCTAGAAGTGCTTGCGCACAAATCACTTGCTGATGATACCCCTATACTCACATCCCACGGCACCTTTCCCCGGTCTTACGATGAACCTTGACCTCGGGTGCCAGCAACATTATTATCCAACGACGCATCGCCTCTGCGTCTCATTCTTAGTTGCGAAGAAACTAACAACAACTTGTTCTGTTTTATTGATATTCACAGAAAGTTTCGAAACGCAATGCGCCAAGGCCAATATCGAGCTCGGATTGGACCTTGAACATAGTGCCGCGTATCCTGTTTACCCACAGCTTCACCTCAAGCAGTCTATTGGAAAACTTGCAGTGCTCGCACAGAAACATGCAATGAGAGAAGAAGCAAGCCACAATAGCGACGATCGACATCATATCGGTGTACGCATGGCACGCATCCACCAGGCATCTTTCCTATCGCTTACGACTGAATACGGTAATCAATAAGTCTCTTAGCGCGCGGCAAGCTTCAGCTAGAAAACGGATCCAGTAACAGCTCCGTTATTGCTCCGGAAGCATGACCAACAACCACCACAGCCCCCTCGCGATTGGACGTATGTTGCGATCACTAGTTGCAATAGGGCTTCGCGCTTTTTTGTCAGTAACTCTGGTTAGGCTTTGTGTAAATGCACCATTGCGGCTTGACAGATCCCCTCTGACGTTCTTCACAAAACAATTGGTGATGGAATAATTGGCAGTGCTCCATGTGGATACAAATTCAAGAGCATCTCATGCCGATGCAACCCGATAATTTGGACGGTGAACGTAGACTGCAATCATTGAGTGGCTAAACAAGTGCCCGGTTGACAGGGTTCCTGATAAAGAAGGCGCCTGTGGCTATCATATGTCAAACAGTCGTTTCTCCAGCACGATCTAGGGTGTCCCATTTCATTGGCTATCAACGAGGGTCTCGCGTTTCAACCTCTTCAGCCCGTCGGTGCTGCTGATTGGTTGTTGACGTGTTCTCAAACGCTCGGAATGTCAGTTGAGGATGGTGTGGAGCCTTGCTTTGCAGGTGGAGCAAGCCTCGTTCTCGTTGGAGTTCGAACTGCCTGGTCGTAGTGTAGAGCCCCCAAGATGGTTGGTAATGCTCGGCATGGACCTTCGGAAGTTGCGACCATTTGTCTTCAGTAGTGCCCGAGGTCTCGTAAACACTCCGCACGTCTGTTTGCGGCGGCAACGGTCCAAGTTAAATACAAGCTTGGAACTTCGGAGTGTATCTGGAACAGCACAGTCTGTGCAGATGCACCCTTGCCAACGAGCCGTGCACCGATTGTCAAGGTCCGCGACGAGACATGGATTGGTGAGGGATTCTGTCGTCCGACTCGCAGGAGGGTTTCTGGTAACTTCATCGGAGGACCACAAAAATCCTATCAAGTGGAATCAGACGACAAGAATACCACGAGCATGGCCATGCGATCCTGTCTGTGACCTCGATCGCCTCATTAAAAAGAAAAAGTTCCGTAACCAACCCCACAACGACAGGAACGACAAGACTGCGCCGATTTCATCCCAGGCAATTCGTATCCTTCAATTTTCATGCTGTGCTTCATGTTCCGATATCATGACATTTTAAGTCCATCCTCGACAAGGATACCTGCCCTACTGACCTTGTACAACTGTATCGGCAGGGTTAGCGAGATCGTCAGGAACTTGTGTTGCTAGTTCATGACAAAGCAGCTTCGCAACAAAAAGTTTTGCGAGACTCGTAAGTTTTGGATTGAAACAACCATGATGATCTTCTAGCCCTCAGGAGGATAAGCGCAGCAGCTTTCCTTTGCTTTGGAATGTGCGGTCAACGTCCCGAAAACCTTGCTGGTTCAAAGAGCAGAATGCACCGGGAATAGCGGATAGTCATCGTCCAAACAGAGGGGCCGACGATCATTTGGAAACGCAAAGTCGATTGGGCGTTTATGGTGTTTTGAGTCATTTTGGGAAGACTGGTATTCTCGACCCCCAGTCGTACTCGAGCACGCAGTAATAGATGCGAGATATTATTGAATGCCCCTACATATACCTGATACTCACTACCACGAGGCCGACGACTAAAAGCCCCTCCTTGCAGAATCTTAACGATAGCTTCGCAACACAGAGCGGGGAAGGTGACCCCCAAGCAGAAACGTTAACAAGATGAGGAGAATTACTACGATTCTTCACGAACACACCAGCCTACCAGTGTACCATGCGTTTTTTGGGGGGGCATTGGCCATGGTGCTCCTCATCTGAAGTTGACGCAACACGACCCTTGTGTGGAGATTCAATATGATATGCGAAGAACTTTCAAATTGAGGTGACGAAACACGAATGTCGCGGGAGGGCTTCGTTGGTGAAGAACAGCATCACCGACCACCAGCCACTCTGCGCGCCAGTGGTGGCTCCATGGTCAGCTTCACCTGAAAACATGCGTCTTGGCGGCCATTCAGCGAACTGTGTTGGGCTGCCACTACTACTGGACGGGCTGATTGTTGTTACACTTTGTTGCAGCAAACTCTGCCTATATTGGTGTCTCTATTGGCACAGTCGACAGAGGGAAAAACCCGAAGCGAGCCTCGATGGTCTGTGGAGGCTGCCGCGTGCGGTGAATATGTTGGACTGGTGGCCGTGTCAGATCCAATCAGGGCGGGTTACCTGGCAGCAGCGGCAGCAGGAGAGGCATGGCTCGCCGAGCACACCACGCTCTAGCATCAATATAAAACACCCTACGGAGAGCCTAGAGAAGTAGCAAGACGGGGTACCCCTTGAGTCCTGCTTAGGGCCATCTGTCTACAACTCTGCTGGGGGTACCAGTCTCCACAGCTGTTACCAATGTTACCAATAGAACCCAACTTGGAAGCTGATGCTGATCAAGTGACTGGTGCCCAGTGTCCGTTCTGAAGTAGTTTTCGACATCAAATTAATCCTCCATACTTGGCGGCCCCTCCAAAAGGAACTCTGGTGCTCCGTATCCGTTACGTCGGGATAGTCGGGTCAGATAATCAGCGTACACCACGACAGCTTGTATTTCTGCTCGTCGGAAACCTTTGGAAACTCGGCTGTAGATGGTAGACAAACTCAATTATTTCCGTGACGAGCAGCGGAAGACGTAGTGGACCCCCCCCCCGGTCGACGCTAACAAGGAGCGAGAAGTCTGATACCAAACCCAAGTGTTTCTACAGCATCCATCCATTGTGACGGCGCGCAGGACGACGTTTCCACTGCGCATCGCGATGACAGGGGTCGAGTCCCCAAGCCCACACTTCTCAGACACTCCCTATTCGCTTCCCCTTTCTAACTTAAACGTCGGGGGGCTTGCTTCTTGGCCTGGCACAGGTGTTTCTGGATCTCTCTTTTCTACCTCGCGGCCGCCCTGACCCCTCGATCGAGTTGGAAATCTTCTTCCTTCCCTCCTTCATCCCACTACTCGTCGGCTCGAGTCTTTCGCTTCTATTTCCATAGTGTGTGTTCCTTTTTGTTGGGCGCTGCTGGGTTTGCTATCGTCGCAGTCCCCATTCTTCCCTTCCATCGAAGTCTGCTACCCTGCGCTTGTCGCATTACTGCCGACCGAGACTCGTCTTTATCAGCCACCTTTTTTTATGAACCGGCACTTGCCCACCATATAGTGATTTACTAGAGACAATCCATCTCCGCGATTCGCTCGTCCGTGCAACCGCACAACACACATCAGCAGAGTCGCACCGGCAAAATTCAGTCGTGGTACCGAAAGGAGAGAAAAGTCATTCGTTACAGACCCATTCAGACTGGCCGTCAAATTTGGATCTCGCAACCGGAAAACGAGGAAAGACGCAAGAATAGGCATTCGATTTTCAGGGGTCGCGCGGAAGGCCTTGCTCGAATATTGATACCAGACACCCCGGTTATTTTTGACACCCTTCAGCTCTTCACGGGTAAACATACTCTTTACGTCTCAACAAATTGAAGACGCAGGATCTGCACTCGCAAAAGCCTGGTTGCTTGTTCAAGACTCTCACTTGACTTCTCCGACGCAGCACTGCCTATTCACCACCCACGGTCCACATCCCCTGTGGCAAGCGAGCGCAACCTAGAGAATCCGAAACCGCGAGAAGGAGGAACGAATCTAGCAACATAATCGAGCTGTAGGAACGACGGGCGGCACAAATTTCAGATCCGCATTAAACGTGTTTCTAAGTCCAGACGAGCAGTCTAGGCCCTTCGCAAAAGCAATAACGTCTTTGCAGTGAGGTGAATCGCCTTGCCCCCTCAACCCTGCGGCGCATCATCATTCAGCCGACAAAACGGCCACAATCTACAACGGGCGCATCGAGAAGATTTATTTTTCACAGTCGGCCATTCTCATGATGAGTGCAGCAATCGCCATGGCCCCTTCTCCGGCTCCTCACGACCGCCCGGGTTACGCTGAGCTGACGCCGGCTACTTCGAGTGCCAGCGCAGCGCCCACACTTTCCCATGCTGCGTCTTCGCCATCGGTGCCTCGTATATCCGCACACTCGGCCACAACGAATGCCCACGCTCCCACCAGACGAACAGCCAGTGGCAGTCCCACCACTTCGGCTCAACCACCCAAATCCTCACCACCCAGCGCGTAAGTACATACTTGTCCTGTCGAATTGACGCATCGATTTTTTTTTGCCATTATGGCCATTGACTGACCTCGACGTACACAGGACTCGACATGCATCGGGCTCAACTGCTCCCCGGATCATTGTGAAGAAGGAACCAGGTTCTCCCGAACTGCCCGCTCCTCGCCACAGACCCCGAAAGCTGGATCTCTCCAAGAACGCCATCACCGGATCAGGTGCCCAGACTGCCAGACTGCCGGGCGGTAGGGACGGACTTGGTATCCAGGAAGTTGGTTTGGCTTGTTTGTCTCCCGGCTTCGTGACGCACGATCCTGCCATGAAGGAGCAACTACAACGCAGCATGAACGTCAGGGAGCAGCAGCGCCACCTCATCGAGGCCAGGCTCCAGCAGCAGTCGGCCAAGGGAGACGGCCCCGATCACCCCAAGGACAAGGACAATGCCAGCCAGTTCGCAGCCAAGACACCCGGCATCTCCTCGAGACGCAACAAGGCGCCCCCGGGACTCAGCATTGTAGCACCATCCCACGAGCAGTTTGCCAATGAGCGTGTTATCCAGTCTGCACCTCTGGGGCAAACCTTCACCGGGAGGCACAACCCTCACCCGCTGACGAGGCACCTCCAGAACCAGCCTTCAAATTTATCAAGCACGTCACACATTCACCACGTCCCCGCGCAACAGACAGCAAACCGCCTTCCGCCCATCGCCGACGTCTTTGGTCAGGGTCTTTCTGCCCACACTGAGTCCAACGGCGCGACTCGCTCTCTATACCCCGGCTCGAGCCATGGACCTATACCTTCGCCCGGCCACCCTGCACCACAGCATTCCCAGCCACCCGTATCCGGCAGGTCGCGGGAGTACAAATCGGCAGAAGAGGTTCAGCAAGAGCTAGCCGGTGGAAGACCCGAACTTCTGCCCAAGATTGTCCACTACACCGGCCACCAGCCCCCGACTCCACCATCCCCTCGCAACGGAGCCCCTGTTCCGGACTATAGCCGTAGCACAAGCAAGCGAAGAACCCGCGCAGAGTACGAGGAGGGCGGGAGCCCCCCTCTGGGTAACGGTCCTGCTGCAACTCGACGTGCGGGCCCCTTCGGTGCCGGACGTGACAGCCCGGAATCACAGAGAGCCAAGCGCGAAGAGTTCCTTCGTCTGTGCGAACGAGCCTGGGATCTGTTCCACTCGTGAGCGTCATGAAATCATCTCAGTACCTCTTATCTATTGGCTTCGGCCTTTTGTTCATATCTATCCACTCATGACATTGACGCCACGACCGACATGAATTGCTTTTCGAACTATGCCGGTATAGGATCTCACAGCTGAGGGTCGTAACCCCCCTTCCACGCACACCGATATGCTGCTCGCTGGGGCAAACTCGAAAGTGGACATCAGAGCGATGTCCGAGGATATAATGTCTTGTATTAAATACGTATTTCAGCCCAGGCAATGGCTGTTGGGTGGCAGTCGGGTGGCATGGAAACACACAAAGCAACGCTACCAGGCGATGGTTTTAGCTCGAGCAGGCGAAGTACAGTCCTCTTCTCATGCAACCCAGCGTCTCGGACGGTCTACAAAATGGTGGGCCAGACGGGATGGCGTTTTCACACAATTATGCTGATCAACGTTGGGGGTGGTGGGGGTTATTATGAATTTTCCATTTCTTAGGTCAAGTAACCTAAGCGTATACTCGTCAGGGGAACGCGGAGACAGGGGAAGGGGGGATGGGTAATGCGCTTGCGGAGTAGGAGCGCCGATTCGCAGCAGGTGAGGTGTAGTTGCCGCCTAAACACGACGAACATTTGTTGTTAGTGCTGGGGGGAAATCTCGAAACGGATGTATGAAGACAAGGAGATGTTTTCGCCCGCAAAGCAACTTTGGAAGTGGCGGGCGAAGTGTATACATAATACTATGAGTTATTTCTGCCAAGCCATTTATTGCTGGTTACCTTTAAACCCATCCTGTTTAGAACTTGTGACGATTCCATAGCTTTATTTGGACCTGGACTAGATCCAGACCCGAAACCTCGAAAAAGAATGGGTTGTAAGGTTGGTCCTAGTTAGTCGTAACATTTCATGTAGTCGACGCTTCCTTGGGAATCCCAACTACACTTGAAACACGAATTAGAAAGCTTTGAGCCTACATCAAACTAACGGCAGTTAGCTCTGCACATTGTTCTCGGGAAGGGATAGAGACATGGGCCTAGGCCATCCGGTAGCCGGCATCTGGTTACAAATTACTCGCATACATGATTTGTCCGAGGCTACGGACGGTTAAGACGGCAAGACACAAGACAGAACAATAGTAGCCATTGTGTCACGAGGCCATTCGGATATCCGCAAGCCGTGGTTTTCTTTGGTTTCTGGTCACAACAGAGAACGGGAGGACTGAAGTGTTCTTGTTGGTAGTTCGAGAGTGACAATATCCTAGTTCGGTGGGCTTGAACCCAGTCTTCTTGAAACGAGAGACAGAGGGGTGGGTGTGACCGGCCTGTGTATGTAGGTACGGGGATGAGGACTTATACCATATTGCAACCACTAGTGACGGGACGCAAAGGTGTTGCTCACGAAGTTACATGTATGATTTGCTCATCGACTTGCGCCTGCCGCGGGGGGGGGGGGAGGGGATAGGAGCTCAGTGTCAAGGACGTTGCTTGGCATATTATGCAGTATACTCGGTCATGAGCTGCAGTTCCGAGGGCTCTTACTTGGGAACATTCGCCAAAGAGGACAACTATCCCCTTGAACAACGACGGCCACTAAGGACGCGTGTGACTGGACTACAACCTCTTGGCATGACACACTTACTTTTAGGAATGTGACATTCGAGCTTTGTACTTCGTCTTTGTCTCATTGACAAAAAGACACGAGACTTATTTACCTCACTGCACAAGACGCATATGTAGGGCATCATTACTCTACAATCCGGGGAACCATCATAGCTATACCGCAATAGTAAGTATGGTTACTTTGAATAATTGTGGTACTTGAAATACTTGGCCTAGGGCATCGTAAGTCCAGACGTTGTCAATTGTCTGCACAATGCCAGTAAACCAAGCTTTACTCGAGATCTTCAAATCATATACAAGGCTGGACGGCGTTGCGTCCATTGGGCAGCCAAGAATCAATTTCTTCATCACTACGGTAGTGGTGAGTCCTGTCGCTCCCTGATTTCTCCAGGAGTATGCAACAGTATGCCATGGGATATTGCAGAAGCTAGTCTAACAAGAAAGCAGCTTTCTAGCGTGCCATAGAAAGGCCAGTTCAGCTAAGTGGCCGGCTCTCACTTCCCCCCTATCTTAGGGCGGTTGATGTATCCCCCTCCCGACCTATTAACTTTGCTGCCCCACAGTTAGGAGCCCCCGCATGAAAAAACCAACCTATACCTTAACTGCCTTGTCATGTCACTTGCTTAGAGACGTACCGAACGAGTGAACCGCCCAGTACCTTTCCGTTCTTTGCATGTATTCAGAGGATGCGAGTTGTAGTTTTTTTGTACAGGTGTAGAGGCGTCACCATGACGCGAACTCGCAGTGCGCATGGCGCATCTATGATCCTATTCCTGTCGATGCGATGCGCGGTGGCATCGTGGTCTTCGCCCGAGACTTCGCCATGTAATAAAGAGTAGTAAAATACGGGCTTCAGAAGGGAAATCAACCAAAATGAGAGAAACACCTCAACTCCATTGCTTAAGTGCGAGAAAGCCAGTCCGGTCGTAACAAGGGAACGTCATAGTCCGAGCCTAGAAACTCGAGTTTGGGTTGGCAGAGTAAACAGCACCATGATCAGACATGACCATCTTCTGGATGGAGTTCTCAACATAGGAATGCTGCCCAACTTAATACAGCCCATGGGGATGTCCGCAGCAGATATTGAACAGCCGTAGTCAGCAAAGCTCGCTCTGGATTAGAGCCCCTCTTCGCCAGCTTTGCAAAGCTTGATCTCGCGGCCCCATTCCGATTTGAGGATTTGTGAGGCGGTGATACGTCGTGTAGGATTGGGGTCCAAGATGGAATATATGACATTGCGACAACGAGCCTTGAAGTCAAGTGAGTTTAGGGTCTCCAGCGGTGCAAAGGGCGGGGGTAAGGGAGGGAGGGGGGAGAAGAATAGCTTACGCGGTGCAGCGACTCTATCGGCCCATACCCCTCTTCATCACGACGACCTTCGAGATACCGTTCGTAGAACTCATCTTCATCCTTCTTTGCTACTCGCCATAAGTGTCTACCAGTCCGCATGGCCATATAGATGACACCACAAGCCCAGACATCGACCGCGCGCGCATCGAATTCCCTGTCAATGTATTCCTCAGGGGCAATATAAGGCGCCGAGCCGCATAGACCTGAGACCATGTGGGCGTCGTTTTCCCAAGCCATCCGGAAGCACTCGCCGTTACCAAAATCCGTAATTTTTAGTGCGCCGTGGGTCGTCAGCAAGAGATTTTCGGGTTTCAAGTCGCGGTGCGCAACGCCCATTTCGTGCATGTATTCCACGCCGCGCATCATCTGTTTGAAATAACAGTCTGCCTCCTGGACTTCAAGCTTGCCGGCGGCGAGAACAAGAGTGTAGAGGTCACCGCCAGAGCAGTACTCCATGACTTCACAGTAGTCGCCCTTCTGATCCTTGAGCAGGTCCAACGTATGAATGACGTTGGGGTGGCGCAGGGATGAGGAGATACAGAACTCGGCAGTCAGTCGTTTACTATACTTCTTCTCTGTTTCCTCGGGTCTGCGGCGGAACTCCTTGACGGCAAACAATTTCTCTCCTGTGTCCATCTTCTTGTGTGATATCCTCACGATGCCGAAAGCGCCACGGCCGACGACTTCCTGGCACTTGCCATATTTCTCAACCAGAGTGGTAGAGGCGTTGGGCCCACCTCTTCTGTCACCGGCAAGCAAGTCCTTCTCCTGCTTTAGAGTATCAACCCAGTTGGACACGAGCGACAGGTCGGCCTCGGGAACCTGCTCCTGTTTCCTGCCCAAGAAAGTTTTCCACATGTCGGACAATTTCTCCTGGCGCTTGCTGCCCTTCAGGTGATGCTCGTGGCCGCCCTGCGCATCTGGGTTGACGACATAGCGCTGCGAATGCGGTGTTGTTTTTACGGCGCCAGCGGCGGTACCGTCGGAGGCTTTGGCAGCCGTGCCCGTCGTGACTATCGTCGACACCTTACGCAACGGTTGCGGAGCCTTAACGGGCGAGCTCGTACCGCTGGTGGGAGGAACGGGGTTGCTAACGCGCGATGAGGCATCGCCAGTGGGTTTGAGTTGTTCGCCCTTGTTGGAGAACATTCTCGTCAACCGGTCCTTGACCGAGGCCTTCTCGGGCTGCGGCTTCTGCACGCCGTCGGAGCTGACGACGCCATTGGCGGCGGGTTGGCCATTCTGCGGCTTGAGTTTGGGTGATCTAGTGGGCAGCTCCACCGACTTGATTGACGAGGGATGCGATGCTGGCGGCGACGTCGTCTTTTCCGAAGCGCTCGTCATCATGGATGAATTGGACATGTCACCTGTCTGGACGGACGGACGAGCAAAGCCAAGGATGACGCTCGTGGGGCGACTGGGGTGCGGTGAGCCGCCGGCGGGGGCGGTTCCAAGGCTTGGAAGCGAAGGCCGAGGTCGCGGATCTTTTGAAGGCGGGATGCGGAACACAATATGATGCTATTACGGGGGTGCGACGGTGGGTGGTGGGTGGCGGCGAGGGTCACCTCGGGGTGGGCTAAGCCCAGAGGAATTCGACTCAAATGACGAAGTGCAAAACGGCTGTCGCGCTGACTTGGGATACTTTTTTTTTTCCTCGAGGAGAAACGAGGGAAAAAAGAAAAGCGGACGGTGGTGAATTTGTAAGTCCCCGTGTCAAGGACTGCCTAGGGTAGAGTGTGGGGAGCCCACGGTCAGGCGAGGGCGTGGTGTTAGGTTTTTAGGGTAAGTACGGTATGTCGGTAGGTGTCTGTCTGGCTTGGCTGGCCTGGACCCAGGTCCTAGGCGGTCGTTTTATTAGGGCTGGTAGTATTGATGGTGTTTTTTGTTGTTGGTGAGTTCTGTAAATTCTAGCCGGAGCGAAAAGCCACCAGCTTGTCTTGTCTTGTTTCGTTTGATGAGCTGGTCTAGTGGGCGGTGCGAGCAGCGCAATAAAAGTGCGTCCTAACTAGAGGGATATTTGATCGGAACCTAGGAATGGTTCCAGTGAATGTTAAAGGACGAGTAAGGGGTAGTTAAGTGGACTCCGTCGCGTTGAGATTTGGAGAGTGGTCATGGTCATGAGGAGACAAAGGCGGATGGGTTTCTGGGGGTTTCTCATGTACAGCAATGTGCAGTGTGCTGTGTGCTGGTTTGCGTGCTGCTGCAATAACGTCTCAGGTACGTAGCTGGTGGTCTAGCTTTTTAACTTAAGCTGGGCCGCAGACTGCCGGACTGGTCACGGTGGAGAATAGCGAGGTTGAACAGGAAAGCAGAGTAGGGAAGTATAAGAAATGGAGAAAGAGGTTAGGTATGTGGTGGAAAAGTGGGATCTTTTTAAGACAATTGATGGGTTGGTTTGTGGGATCCCCAAGCAGAACAAGGGGCGGCGACTTCTGCCTCTGGTCCTGCAAGCTCAAAAGTCCAACCTTGCCTTGGGCCCCAAAGGCGAGCCCAGAAGTCTAGGTAAATATGGTGATGCGCTACGGATGAACTATGCGGAATGTTTCGATCGTATCGCATCGTGGATGATCAATGGGAAACCCTCCACTTTCAGATAATGAGGGGAAGACGAAGGCGTCCGCGAACATCAGACCTATGGGTGGCTATGCTCTCGGCGGGGAACGCCGAAGGCTTAAGCGTCGCTATGTATTCGGATTATTGCTGGTACCTGTAGATAGACGCTGGAGGCGCAAAGACAACTGAAGTCGTTGTGCAGAAGCTGTGTGCAAAGTGCTGTCGTAAGATAAGATGATGCAAGCATAGTCCATATGTAGACAGACCGATTGTTATACACTGGATCCCTCTCGGTTGCGCTACCATGTGGGAGTTGGGTGACTAGCATGATGAAGCAACCGGAGCGATACCATCGGAACATGTAGACTGATTCGAGCAATTCGAAGTCATGACTACGCAATTCGTAATCCCGCCTGGTTGTCTGGAAGAGATTTCTACGTGTTAGCTAATAATCTTCTCGGGTTTGCCCTCGCCATTACAGCCCGCGGTGCCGAATATCAAGTCATTTTTTTGCCGCATTGAGAGGTATCCTGATGATGTGTGTCTAGCAGCGTCTGATGGTCCTCAGTTTGGATAATGAGATCCAGTATCTTGGTTGCTTGTCTTTGTGCCATTGTGGTGTGGATGTGACCACATGGACAGGTGCTCCATGACACATGAGCTCAACCGGCAAAGAACGGACCCCCTTGGTGTAAGTACATCCCGACTTTTGTGCGTCAGCGTCTCATGATAGCCCTTTCCGTCAAGTTGTCGTACTGATGATACAGTACCAAGCGTTTCACCCTTGCATCTGTTCTGAAGCTGGCCGTCTCAAATCATTTCTGTTTGCGGCTCTGCGGTCGGCCGATGACTCTGCGACCCTGCCGGCATGTTCGAAGCTCTACATAGCAGGTAGGTAGTAGTCGTCTTCCATGAATCGTCCTAATGCACGTCCAACCTGCAAAAGCCTCCGAAATCGTGCTTTCTCATCTCTCATTGAGTTTCAGGTACAACAGGTACAACACAGGTCTAATCTCCACTACGTTCGTCATTACCTAGGGCAACACAAATAAGAGCTTCTCAAGTTCCTACAGCCCCAGGCGGTTATTCCAGACTCGCGGCTTCGCGTGCTGCCATCCCATTTTCGATTCCTCTTATCACGCCACTAATGCATGTCTACTTATATCAACGATACGCAGAGGGCGGAAATGTGGTTTATCATCCGGCCTAGCAGCTGCAGAGCTTCCCGTAAAGAACTGTTCAGACCTGCCAGAGAACACGTCGTTGAACCTTACATGAAAAAACCCCAACCTCCAACCTGCCACGGCATGATGTCGTGTGCGAAATATGTATGAGGCATTAAATGGTCTCGTTTCTAATTGGTGGTTTCTATCATAAAATCAGTCCGGCGGTTCGATGTTGATCACGACGCGCAAATCACCAGCTGATGGCCATGTCTGATGCGCGTCTGCTCACTCGCACCACCTCCGCCATTTGCACACGTAGATTCTCGGATACTTCTTCCACTCACCGCTCCAGATTGACCGCCAGCAGTCACTGGGTCACATACTTTATCTATTTGGCCCTGCTTGTGCATGCAGCTCTGGGGTTTCGCTACTACGAAGTACGCTGATGTTGCTAGAGTCGAGATATCCTTTGCGGGTGCTCATGCTGGGTTTGATGCGGCGCCTTGATGAGCTGATGAGGTGGCAATGCGTCGAGTTTCCGAAATATGCTCGACCTATGCAGATTGGTGCAGACGACAGATCGTCTTCCGCGGCGGGCGTTCGCTTGATAACAACGTGATGATCAAATGGGACCCTGGCAATACTCTGGCAATGGCTCCAGGGGAGTTCCCAAGCAGCTATCAACCCTAGTTGGTTGCCTCCCATTTCTGGGCTGCATATGTGCCCCCATGTATGAGAGAGCTCTTCTGCAGCTTAAGCTTCTGCACCATCAGCCTGGCTGCTGTGCATCCGGTTGGTTCATTTCTTGTCACCTCGCAGAGAGCGCTCAAGCATGCATGTGATTCCCTTTTCGCGATTCGCAATGCACTCAGCAATATCATCATTCCTCGTGCAACCACCCTTCCCTTCAATGAGGGGCCACCATGCCCCTCCATCCATCCCTCCCTGCTTCGGTTGTCGCGACGGATAGAGCCATTGGCTCGTCTTGGCCAGTCCTTGTAGCAAATGATTCTCTTAATTACTCAAGTGGCTATAAAAAGCCTCCAAGTGGTCCCGGCAATTCGGGAAAGGTTTCACAACTTGGAGGATGCCGAGCACATCGTTTATTTACAACCCTGTCGACCATATCCTGCGTGGCTAGCCAATCAGCGAACGGTTCGCATCTCGTTGTCTTCTATAGCGAAAGTATTATCCAAGATCGACACAGCCAAGCTTCTGTTGAAGTGGCAATAATATATCCGGGAAGTACAGGTTATCTCCAGTTAGATGCTGCCTGTCAGTCTGCCAACCCATTCTCACTCAGCACCCAGGTTTCAGGCGTTTCTTCAAATAACGCTTCAATATGATACAAGCGGCTCGATATCTATGGTATGCGGTACAACGACATCAACCTGGCCGTGATGGCATCACCCGTCTTCTACGAAATCCCTGGAAACGTGCATTATCAGCATCTGATTCTCACCAGTGGGCTGTATCGTGTCCGAAGAATTCGAAATGATTGGCCATTGACCACGCCTATCCACCATTTCCCTGCCAAGTGGCCACCCGGCCGTCTGCAGCTCTTGTAGACGTGTTTCACACTGCCCGAGGAAATGGCATCAGGGCGCCAAGACATGGTGAGATGATGATGGATGTATCCAAAGGCGGATCAGATAATGGCTCACCGTTTCTGTCCTGTCCGCAGTCTTCGGCTGAAGTAGACCGCCTTCTCACCAATTGCCTGCTTATGCCGTATGCTATACTTCCGAAAGTGGTGTTGCGGTAGTCAACATGTGTTTTATTTACTTGCCTCCCGGTGATCCTCGCCGTATCGGCCAACGCTTAAAAGGCTATTTACATGTATCCTCACGGGCTCAACCCAACCTCATCTAGATTCGCTGAAGACGAAAATGGGACGGAAGCTCGCGAATTTCGGGTCTCATGGCGCACGAGGCGCCTACCACGAGGCTCGCCGGAGGACTCAAGCTGAAGAATGCGAGCCTGAATCAAATGTTGAGCAACGAAGACCAGGAAATCTACATGTACTTAGATACTCTTGGCTAACACTTATCGGGCGAATGGGGATTGAATTTCGAGACTTACTCCTATCAGCAAGGCCACGCGGTATCATGCAGGAGAATTGTCCAGCAGCTTTATCGAGTTATTAACCGCATCAACCAAGCATGTTGCCTCGTAACGACATGCCGCGGCAAAATGCGATACCGGACGAGGCATCCAGCAGATCTTGTGGCACGACGAAGCACTGCAATTACAGCATTTTTATCGGGATCTAGATTTGGGTAAAGGTGCCATCAAAGCCACAATCCTCCATGGCGCCCTGAAGTAGAAATTGACAACTCACATTATAGATGCTTCAGTCGCGGCGACGGACGCCCCGACTGGTACGCGTCTCCGAGAGGGCATCTGATACTGTAGAGTGCGATTGTGAGCTGCTAACCACACGCCCAACTATGTGGTGAGGTTACAGGCTGATATGACTGCCATTTTCAGATGCGGGAGACACGCTTCAATATATGCGTTGTGTGTAGTGATGAGTCAGACCTGGCTGGCTCGTATTTTGACGCTGAGTTGGTTGCATGGCCCTTACTAATTCGAGTCACAAGCTGCCTTGTACTTTTTTATACTTCGAAGCCTCGCAGGCAGAGTTATGAATTAGTAACACAGGAAACCACATCCGTTCCACGATGCGGCACAGGTTCTGCCGAAATTCAGACGCTTGCTATCTTTATATGATCTAGTGATATCTCCGGTTGTAAAGCTTAATAGAAATCGAAAACGTCGCTGTGGGCTAAATCTTGCATGTTAAATGGAATCCTCCCTCGACATGGTATATATTTGACTAAGTAGGTCTTTGTTAATTGCCACGGTGAACAACACTGTCTTACGGTAAACAGTCTAAACGGGGAGGATTAAGAGAACAGACACCCTGTGCAGCGTTATTTTGGAGCTTACCTAGAGTTGTTCACCTATTGGAAGTAACCCGCTCGAGTTGTTTCCGTGAAGAGGGTGAAAGAGCTTTATAGTCGAACTCGGAGAGCGAAGTACTCGAGTAATACTCGAACGTCCCACCCACCAAGCCAGATCCGCGCGGTATTTATAATGTCTATTTTCCCTTACACATATATTTACCATCCCAGATATATCGCATACGATCTAACCGCACAAGCGTGACCTTGTGGTGGAACCCCTGAACCTGTACCCAGAGCAACTCAGTTCGTGGCACAACATGGACTATTCTGATGCGATTGTCACCCCCAACAGCTTATCACCTTTTCATGTACTGTACAGAATTTTCAAGAGTCATACGATCCCAGAACTGGCCGTATTCCAGACGGACGCACCGAGGGAAGCTGATAGGAGATAACAGGGGTCTCCTATGGCTCAGGGTAAAAGACGAACAGTCACCGGCAGGGTATTGCAGGCTAGTCTAGCGATATTAGTCTCGTCGAGAAATGAGATCTTCAACGAATCGAAGAATTTTGTAGCCACTAGTATATGGGTGAATAGACATAAGAGTCACATCTTCACATCAAAGTAAAGTAATCGAAGCAGGGAACTACATCATTTGCCTCCATTTGCCCCTATAATATCTACGTTACCGATTGATAAAACTCAAGTTGTTCACAAGATTTTACTGCAACTTGTCCTACTGTGATGGACGTTGATTCCGGCATAGCTATAATATTGCATTATAACAATGACTGGTTAACTGATAAGGACATGGAAACTTGGTACTCAAGTTAACCAGCTGATCTTACATACCATAATAATTCTATCAGCCAGAAGTATGTCGGGGACCAGGCAGATTAGGCAGATCAAAACTGGACAAATAACATATTGTTAGATAATGCACCAGCACAATACAGAGGTTTAGACAAGATATAGCGGCCTACACGCCTAGCTAAAGCATGGCCATACTATGAGATAGATTTTGGCCCCATTGGGACCTCACAAGGACGATCAACCTTATACAACATTAGTAGCGGTTCATATCATGAAGAACCCAGAGTTTTCAGACGGGATCAAATCCTTAATGTATCATGAACCAGAAAGAACAGTAACAGAGTGTTCTTTAAGATGCCGTGAAAGATTGGAGAGTGGAAGAGGAGCATCGAGATATATATATACCATGGCAGAATTTTAGGCCCATGTACAGCATATCCTTCTAGATAATGTGGATACCCATAAACCAGAGTCCTAGAATTCTCAACGTCCACTTCCGAATAATAGGCTCGGGGCAAGAGCAAGCATGTATCCAGGAGAAGTCGGCACTGCAACAGACTTGTGGAAACAACCATAACATATGTTCAACTCAGCACTATTCTTTTGACGCCAACTGTATTTGGTAAGGGTAACCATAATGCTGTCGTTCCACTGGTGTTCCCGGATATCACTTTCTTTTCCGATATACGTACCCATTTCGTGCCATGTCCAACAGAACTGGCTAAGTATTAGGTTAGAGAAGCGGACTCATGTAACTCGATACACCATCGACCTGGGTTGACTCAAGATATAGTCGATGTGGCAAGTAATACTTGTTATGCCTTGGCTAAGAATCCTCAAGGTCACTCAACGCGACGTTTCTATATTGAATCCTGTGGAATGCGGATCTGCTGGAATTCTGGCTACATCGTTGGTTAGGTTATGCAAGTACCCAAGCGGCCTGCGAGGACCCAGCTAAATATGTACGCGTGCCTGCACCAAATGCACTGGGACGGACCTGAGGCCACCAAATTTCCACAAATACATCGATATTAGACAAGAATGGACGACCAATTCTGCTCAAGGTTCAATAGTGAATAAGGTAGTTAGAATTCCAAGTACCGAAGGAGTCACCGCAGTAAAGCCTCGTTATTTGAATGGGTATCAATCATTGGACTCTGTTTAGTCAAGTCCCAAGCAATATCCGCGAAGACCATATCTATCCCAATTCCAGCCGAGCCCTTCCGAACGCCAGCAAATACACCACAAGCTGCGCTAAACGAATGCGTCGTTACAAAAGATTTCACACCCACGACTTCGAGCGAGGAGCCTTCCCTAGTATATGCCCATCCGCGTAGCCCAGCCGGAGTCCTTCTGGTTCACGTTAATCTGGTACGGAAATGGGTTCGCCTCGCTCGTTGTGATGGGTGGGATGTGGTCCTTGTGCTGGTTGACGCATGTAACTATCTTCATGACTGACGTGAGAAGGGTTTGCTCCATGGCCTTGCGAACTTTGGCCCGTTCTGTCGGACTGGTCAGCAACCATCCGATGATCATATAACCAAGAAGCAATAGGGCCGTAACATTCCAAGCCCAAATAAAGCGTCAACGACAGAGTAGTTATCGACTCACCACTCTCCGTCCTGGGCTCTGCAACAGTAACCTTAACGGTCCAGGCTTCCCAACATATTTCCTCGTCCCCTCCTCCATATGCCGCGCGCATATACCACGTCTTTCTCCGCTTCTTCTCAAAGAACTGCACCGAGATGTTGCCTCTGCCACCGCCATTGCCCCCAGAATGCGCATGTGTACGCTCGACACTCAGCTCGCGATCCAGCTCGGCGGCACGCTTCTCAATCATGGTGTCCAGCTCGGCATCCTCGACATAGGGGAGCGTGATGTCCAGCACCTCGCGGGAATGTGGCGTCACGCCAGGGAAGAAGCGGTGGAAGAATATCGTGTGGAGGATAGCTAGTTGGGACCAAGGTTAGCACATGTTCCGAGGCGGGCAAGCTGTGTGCGCAAAGCTGATGATCATCTCCAAAGCGCGCGCGGATAAGCGCGGGGCATTTATCCAGATGGCTCCAGGGGTTTCGAGGCAGAACCGTCGCATACCTCGTACGACATCGCGAACGGATGCAGGGTCGGCGAAAGCCTCGAGGATGAACTCTTGAGGCTGTTGCTGCTCCATGCTAAAGACGGCTTGGGACTCCATCTGGTGGGCGGTGCGTTCACGATAGCAACCAATACGATCTGAGAAGGAAGGTTCCGTTTCGCTAGGCACGCATTCAAGAGTTGGAGGGCTGACAAAGGGATTGGAACTGCGTCACTCGCGGGCCACTTGAGTGCAATCGATAAGGACCCACAGGCCCCCAACTACAAGGTTCTTCATGCAATTGCAACGACCAACTCTGATGCAATTTTTGGCGAGACAAGAGTGTGGCTGATGCTAATTAACAACGCCTGACGCGCTTGACTGGCCGACACCCAAGCTTGGGAGATTTCCACGCAAATCAGAAGGTACCGAGGCCCACGTTGGGTGCCGTTCCAGTTGACTTAACTCTGGGCGCGAGCACGAGGCTAGCTTATCCGAACACTGAACTGTCCTTGACTCTACATTTTATGACGAGATAGCTCTTTTGCCAATTGCGAAGAGCTCAAGGTTGCTTGAGAGCAAGCGGCCACCATGTTATCCGCAACGCGACGGTGGTTCCAGCGCAACAGGACGCCAATTGCTATCGGCGTAGGCGTTGTTGGCGCCGGCTATCTAGCAACACAGTATGTGCTAGGCAAAATCAACGATGCACGCGAACGCATGAGTAGCGATCGTATCGCGAAGGAGAACCTGCGGCGGCGATTCGAGCAGAACCAGGAGGATTGCACCTTTACTGTCTTGGCTTTACTCCCGACGGCGACAACCAATATCCTCGAAGCGATGAACACGGAAAAGATCACATTGGAAATCCAGCAGATGAAGGGCGCTGCCAGGAGCGCGAAAGCCGGAGAGCATGCGGCAACACCACCGAGCATTGCAGATACCACCTTGACAGAAGAGGAGGGCAAGAGCGTAGCAAGCTTGCAGAGCGAGAGCGGCGTCCATGCAAGTCAGGTGGTACTACCTACGCCGTCTGCCGCTGGCGAAGGTGCGCAGGAGGGGGTCCAGACTGCTCCGACAGCACAGAAGACGAGAAGGACGAAACGACAGCTTTGGGATGATCTAACAATCAGCTGTGAGTGCTGCCCCGAGCATCGTCCGATAGTTCAACCTGGGCCTAAACTGACATGCGCAGCCATAACACGGGCTTTCACTCTTGTCTATACCCTCAGCCTTCTCACCATGTTGACCCGAGTTCAATTAAATCTTCTGGGCCGAAGAAGTTACCTCTCAAGTGTCGTGTCGCTAGCAACAGGAACCATGCAATCGACCATTAGCTTGGAAAACAATGACGACAATGACGACGATAACGCGGAACAGGTGTACGGAAGTGACTTTGACACAAACCGGAAATATCTCACCTTTAGTTGGTGGTTGTTGAATCGCGGGTGGATCGACGTAGGAGAACGAGTCGAAGAAGCGGTCAGAGATGTGTTCGGGCACTTGAGTCCTCGGGACCTGTTGAGTTTCGACCAATTTTGGCAGCTGACACTTGAGGTGCGGAAAAAGGTTGAAGGCAGGGCAGAAACAGACCGAAAGGGATCTAAATGGCTGCCAAACCTCCTACCTCCAAGCACCCTGGAGGACTTTGTGCTCAGGGAATCAGGTGTCTTGGGCGAAAGCGCGACTGCGGAAACGCAAACCGAGACCTCGTCACCATCAACAACGGCTCCCTCGCTTCGACGCTTACTAGATGAGACGTCAGACCTCATTGACTCACCTGCCTTCTCCCACGTGCTCACCCTTCTTCTTGACGCGGGCTTCTCCGTGCTGCTATCGAAGAAGCTTTTACAGGGGGCTTTCGAGCTCACCGCGACCATCCCGGAATTAGAAGAGGAGCAGGCGTCAAAGATCGTTCTGCTCCCCAAGATCTTGTCTGTGCTGACAAGACAAGCACATGCCATTGGCAACGGCATGCCGAACGAGTACCTACAAGAGATGGAGCAGGTTCCTAACCTGGAAGCCTTCGCGGCGGTTGTGTATTCGAGCAACTGGGAAAATGAGGTCCAGCAAAATGGTCTCTCTGTGCAGGCAGTGGAGGATGTGGGAAAACTAGCCCCTGAAAGCAGCATGAGACCGACGCAGGCCTCTGGGGTTCCGACACTGGACGATGAAAGCGTAGTGTTGGTTGACAACGAGGCGATGCCGGCATCTTTTAATGAACCAAGTCAGATGTCGTTTGAGAGCGTCTGGGAGCGGACGGTAGAGCAAAAGCGAGGATGATAGATGAATTATGCACTGGGGGCTTGGAGCATTGTGAGACCATGACTGGCATATAATCTTTGGATGCGTGGGCTTGGTGGATATACATGGCATACTGTATTATGACAACTTGACCGATGTGGCTGTATAGACAGCCTGTGTAAGATTATGGCAACTGAGGAGATCTCGGCTACGAAAAGAGCTACACTCGAGTCAACGAAGACCCGGTTCTCCATGCTCTCGTGTCTTCTGCCATTGCTTTTTCCATGGCGTAACCACGGAATACGCGACCCGCATAGATTCTTCCCGGGGAGATTCGGTAGTTCTCAAGTGAGCCAATCCTTAACCCGTCGAATCCGGGACTCTACCCCTGCTGACGTGTTACCTCTTTCCAACTTCGCACATCAAACCTTCGCTCCTGTTATCACGGCCAAGGAAAGCAGGGGCCAGGAGCGAAGCCCTTTTTCACATCAGCCCCCTAATGAACCTATCCAACCCCAACTCAAACATCTCGTTCCGCACGCCCTCTCCACCCTTATGTTCGACAGGCGAGAGCGGGTTCTTGACGACTAAATAACCAAACGAGTCAGTCAGCCGTACTACACACACGCGCACAATCATGCTTCCTCTTCTCCGCCGTCCCCTTTCCCGGCTTCCCATTAACTCACCATACTCAACCCAAAGGTTGATATAAATCTGATGCAGCACATTCCGCATGCTCGGCGCCCCAGGCTCCGTCAGCATGGCAAAGCGCAGGTTCGTTAGCGTCTCGTAGTAGTGCATCTTATACTGGCCCGTGCGGAAGCTGATGAAGGCGTCGTCGTCACCGCCCAGCTTGCGCGTCATGTTGCGCAGACTGAACACCGTCCCGAAGATGAGCTTGGCGTCGTCGCCTGCCCGCCGCGTCCGTCGCGCTTGTTGCTGCTCTGCGCGGGCCACATTCTCGTTCGTGGCCGCGACAACACCACCGCCGCGGCGAGGGTCGTGTGGCCCGGGGGGGGAGGTGAGGCCGCCGGTAGAGGTGCTGCTGGGTGGTAGGTCGGCGGCGCTGCGGCCGGTGAGGGAGGGTGGTCGGGGAGGGGAGATCCAGAGTTTGGAGTAGATGCATTCGGCTGGTGGTGGAGGTGGTGAAAGTTAGCAACTACAACTTGTTGTTTGAAGACATGCGGTTGCATTGGGGAATCGAGGGAGCAGGGCGTACTGTGTCGGTCAAAGATATAGAAGGAATAGACCTGGACCGGCATGGCTCAGACTGGATGATGCTGGCATGCACATGCCCACATCAGGAATTGAGTGCGTGTTTGGCCGTATTCTCGTCTTTGGAGCTCTTTAATGTAAGGGTCGCTGCTTCAGTCGTCTCTGGACTGCAAATCTACGTGTCGAGGCTGTAGTTATTACAAGCTCAAGGGTAGCTTGGCTTGCAATCAATCTAGGCTCCAAGTTTGCGCAGTTGCAGGTGGTCCCCGGGGGTTTCTTTGGCCCCCAACTCACCACTTTGCTTAACGAGAGCCGCCTAGCCGCTAAGATGGCGGGGTTCCGTAGCTCTCAATACCGCCACGGTCCCAGAACTGTAGAAGCAGCAGATTGCCGGATGACCAGAGAGTGGATGCGCACTGCACCCTACCTTCTGCACTTGCGCCCATTTGTTATCTCGTCGCGACCAGACCGGGATGCTGCAGCCAGGGTAATGGGCCATCTGGGGACCCTGATTCGCTGCTTTGCGGGATGAGCGGTCGTTGGGCTGAAGCAGAGTCCAAAGCTAGAAGTCGAGGTTGAATTGGAGGGGGGCAGGAAGCTGCCTTGTGTCAGTTCTGAAAAATCGACAGTCCGTCTGTCTGCCTTCGGTTCTGAAATCAGCCCTTCTGCCTACAACCTGCTAGATAGCCCTGTAAATATATGTTTTTGTTCTTCCACTTCAAAGCGTCCTCCTGGTCCTGCGCCTGCCGAATGCTGTGTAAACTGGAGCCAGAGCTCTCGTCGACCCTCGTCTTTTAACGTGATTGTCGAGTTGGTATAAATAAGGATCTGCACCGAAAACCACACCACCTGCGGACTTTGCTCGCTTGGCCCGACGCAGCTATGACGGAACCCATCACGGCAACAGCCCTGTCGGCACCAGAGTTACCGTCACAAACACAGTCACAGTCGCAACCACCACCGCAGCCGCTGCCGTTCCAACCGTCCGATCTTGTGGGCTCTGCGACAGGTGGACATGACAGTACGCACAGTCTGCCGTCGCCCCAAATCGCCATCCATGAAGCTTTCACCATGCCTGTGGCCCAGCGGCCATCTCTCGCCTCTCACACATACCAGTAAGAAGACCCCGCTGAAATGGCCTTGACTCGGAGGCAACACGATGCCAATGGCAATGTGGTGTTGAATGGTGACCTGGCTGCTAATAACGGCACCTCTGCGCCTAGATCTGCGCCCGCTGTGCAGCAGTTCCAGAGTCCCCTGAGACAGCACAAGAGAACGCCTTCGCAACATCGAGAAGTCAAGGTGGGTTGCCTGAAGTATTATACCCCACATGCGGTGCCCGGCCTAAGAGTTGCAAACAGGAAACGTTGAATGCGCGGTCCGAGTACATGAGCGACGACACCGAAGGCACCAAACACATAATCAACCAGTATATCATTAAGGAGGAGATTGGCCGAGGCTCCTATGGCGCCGTCCACCTCGCAACCGACCAGTTCGGCAACGAGTATGCCGTCAAGGAGTTCTCCAAGACGCGTCTTCGAAAACGAGCACAGTCCAATATCCTGAAGCGACCACAAGGAGCAAAGCCCGGCCGTTTCCCTCCAGGACGAGGTATGCGGGCATCATGGTCCCAGCACATGAGAGCGCTCAGCAACCACGATGCCGCCGAAGCAAAGGACTCGCTGTTTCTGATTCGCGAGGAGATTGCCATCATGAAGAAGCTGAATCACCCGAATCTGGTGTCCTTGATCGAGGTCCTCGACGACCCCGAGGAGGATTCCTTGTACATGGTGCTGGAAATGTGCAAAAAGGGCGTCATCATGAAAGTAGGCCTTGACGACCAGGCAGACCCCTATCCGGAAGAAAGCTGTCGCCATTGGTTCCGTGACCTGATCTTGGGCATTGAGTATTGTATGTGTTCTTTGCGTGACCCCCCTCCCCGGACTCGGGCCGTGTCTAAGACTAAGACTGCACACAGTACATGCGCAAGGAGTGGTGCACCGAGACATCAAGCCGGACAACTTACTCCTAACTCAAGACGATGTCCTGAAGATTGTCGATTTTGGCGTTTCGGAAATGTTCGAAAAACCAGAAGATATGAAAACGGCCAAATCTGCGGGCTCGCCTGCATTCTTGCCCCCGGAGCTCTGCAGGTCCAAACACGGCGACATCTCAGGCAAAGCAGCCGATATCTGGTCCATGGGAGTTTCGTTGTATTGTTTGAAGTATGGCCGGCTGCCGTTCAGACGAATCAATGTGCTCGAAATGTACGAGGCCATTCGCACCGAAGGTCTTGAGCTGCCCCCTGATGAAAATCGGGATTTCGTGGACCTGATATCAAGGCTACTGGACAAAAATGCCGAAACGAGGATAGGCATGCGTGAAATCAGAGCAAGTACCTTGACGAGCCTTGTCACACATGAAGAAGCAAGTCTAACCGTGATAGAACCACTCTTGGGTGACGAAAGGAGGCAGCGATCCTCTGCTATCTGAAGAGGAGAACTGCGAGAACATGGTCGAGCCACCTAATGAGCTCGAAGTTAATCATGCCTTTACTCGCAAAATGAGCCACATGCTTGTGGTGGTGAGTAAAAAACCCGTGCATAGCATAAGACTCATGGCAGTAGCTAAGAAACAATTTTAGATGGTTGCCATCCACAAATTCAAGGCGCTCATAAACAAGAGCCGAGTCGGCACCCCAGAAGCAAGAACACCGCGGAAATCCAAGACACTGGACGTTCCGATTCACGCCCTGGAGGCTCCTGAGCCAGCCGTACGACCCATCAATACTGAAGAGCTCCCATCGCGACCGCCCCCCCCGCACAAAGCGACGGCGGAAGAGGCCGCCGAGCTTATTGAGGCGCGGAAAGCCTACCATGCTGCTACCACGGACGCGAGAAACCCCCCCGCATTAGACACGTCAGGCAAGGGCCAGGCGCACGATCCCACGTCAGCGGAGCCGCGCTTCCTGGGCATCGGCACGGGGGTCAGCGACGAATTCGCCACGTCCGAGTCCCCAGCCGATGTCGTATCCGACTCGCCTACGGGAATCGACTTCGACGTCTACGACCGGGCTTTCTCCGACGAGGTGGAACGCATTCGCTCCTCCTCGGAGAAGCAGGGCCGTCGCCGGACCACGTACCTGACCAAGTTCGTGAGCGAGAAGGAAAAGTACTTCGGTGATGAGTGTATGGTCATGGAGGCCGGACGCAGTATTCCCTCCTTAGTCGCCAACACTCGCGGCAAGGCGAGCTCGGCGGCCGCGAAGACCTGGAGCCATATTGCCCTGGGATACGGCAAGGAGGGAAGCACGGCGACTACTTCCGACGCTACTGGCGAGCAGGAGCCGAGCAGGCCGGGGCTGTGGAAGGGGAAGGCGGAAACCAAGAGGAATGAGACGCAAGAGTTTATCAGGGAGACGGGGCACCGGTTCGCCGACCTGGTATCCGCTACGATGCATGGTACAAAGGCCAAGTCAGGCGGCGGTGAGTCAAGTTGAGGACACCGCACAGTGCCATGGCCTTTGCTTTGTTCTTCTGCTGGTCTCTCCACTTGTTGCAGACCTTTGATTGTTACTTAATTGGAAGCGAGTATTATTACACAATGGATTGCTGCAGGGTTTTTTTTGGTGGCGTTTACGACTAGCTTTACGAGGACTGCAGTCGAACGGTTGGTTGGGAGGAAAACTTGAGCTAACATGAAAAAGAAATTGTTTTTGCGTGGAAGATGCGTTTGGCTTGCACGGATATAGGTTATGATGCACAAGCTCTTAATTTGGAGGCAGGGCTGTGGGAGTAATAGAAGGAGACAAGGTTCGATTTGTGACGTCTCATTCAAGTAGATTCGGCTGCTGCGTCTTAGCATACCGATCTCAAGAGAGGTGCACATGTGTAAGAGTAAAATTCCATTACCATTGGGCTGGCTGTACGCGTGTAGAGCTATCAAATCCATAAGAAGCCGCCCCGGCTCCTATTCCGTCGCAATGCCTGGCCGTTACCGCTGCCGTTTCCGATACAGATAGCCGCACATTATCAGCATCAATTTAGGTATCAAGTCCAACCTCCCTTCGTTATCCCAGTATCCATCCATCTAGTCTCGTAGTAAAGGCCTGCGTGTGCCAACGCCCCTCGCCCAAGTGTCGACCCTGACCCCAAGATCAGATTTAAAAACAAAACATCGCACGCTCAATGACAATCAAAAGGAAACCCAAGTTCCCCGCATACAGCCGTGTAGTATGTACTCAAGACACGTGGCGTCATTAACGTCCAAACAATAGACAAGAAGGCCGTGAGGCGTAAAGGCAGTTAATAGGTCTACAAGTCCAGTTGCCACCTTGCTAGCAGAAATGTAGCAGTTGTTCCACCTGGGTACAGATGGTCAGGACAGAAGTCGAGTGTGCCGTAGTCATTCAGTCGTAAGTCGTCACAAGGATCCGTATCGTTGATATTAGAAGGTAGTCGTGAAGCTCCGGCCAAGGACAGGTTTGGAGGATTTGGAGGGGCCATTGGATGTCGTGTTGCCGCCAATTCTTTCGAAGCCTTGCAGAATATCCAGGCCAGGGCAGTTTTCCTCGTTCTCCTCGAACAGCCGGGTCGCGAAATCGTCGAGATTAGTCCAGTCGGCCTGCTTGGCAGAGGGCGTTGCCCGTGCCGCAATGGGAGACTGCAAGAAAAACTTGCTAGGCGATGACAGCCCTTCAAAGACCTTGCTGGGGGTGTCGTAAGTCAAGGGGAAAGACTGCTGGGGCACCTTTAAGTAGGGACCCGACGTGACCGATTTGCTCGAGGCGGAATTGGTAATGTCGCCGAGGCAACTCGTCGAATGAGCTCGATCCATGCGCATTCTCTTAACCGAGCGCTTAACCGGGGAGCCGTTGTCCGCCGAGGCAAAGAAAGACTCAAGCGATCCGTCTTGGAAGATATCGAAATCAGGACCTTCGTTAACGAAATCATTGAAACTGAAGAGGGTATCGTCGATGTTGAACGCGGGGCTCCAAGGCGCAACATCTTCTGACAGGTTGCTAACCCGGCGAAGAGGAGAGTTGAGCATGTGGTTGACCTTGTCTCGATGCATCCGCAGGTTTGTGTTTGGTGAAACCGAAGGAGGCGGCTTGGGGGGGGCCTTGATCTTCACAGCGGGTGTCAAAGGAGGGAGCATCTGACTCGACTCGTTGGCCCGGCGGAGAGGGGACGAGGATGGTGGCGCGAACCCGTATGAACGGGCTTTCGTGGGACTGTCATATGAGGAAGCTCGAAGACGGGCAATCTCCTCCTCCGCACGTCCTCGCTTGATCCTGGGACGATCCGCTTCGGACGTCAGGACTCGACTGCCTTGGTTAGGACGCATAGCGGACGATTCCAGGGATGAGATGTAGCCACTGTCGTCCAGCGAACCGTCCATGGACGCAAACTTGCGTTTGTGCGTGCGCGCACCCGAGGAAGCCGGGTTGCGCGAGACAGGAGGCGGTGTGTTGCTCCGGTGCTCCATATGCCGTGGCATCGGGGGTGACGAATGCATTGCCGCTGGGAGAGGAGAGTACATGCTGTTGTCCATGGATCCTTCCGGCTCTGTTTTATCGACCTGTTCCTCCGGAGTGACGTTGTCCGACAATGGAATGGTAGCGTCCGACGAAACCTCGGGTGCCGTGGTGGCCGGTGCGTTTGATGGCACAGAGTGTTGAGGGTACAATGTAGACTGCGCGGGCAGTAGTGGTGGCGGCAGAGACGGTCCTGGAAACCCGTCGTGAAAGGCATGTGGTTCCAGATGGGCGGGCTCAAGCCGCGTCGACATGACAGGAACGTTCTCCGCACTCGTCGCAGACTTTCTCGCCGGTCTCTCCTTCATGAACTGCAACTCCATTCCGGGCTCAATGGCCCAGTAGTTTCCCTTTCCTGGATCGTCCTTGGGTCGCTCCTGTTTGATGAACGCTTTATTCAGACTCAGGTTGTGACGGATGCTGTTCTGCCAACCCGCATCATTGGCATTGTAGAACGAGAACGTGTCTGAAATCCACTTGTAGATCTGGGACAAGGTTAGGCGGCGGTTGGGAGCGCGAAGAATGGCCATCCCGATGAGTTGCGCGTAACTGTGGCCTGGCTTCGATCCGTCGTCGGTGATGGCGGGAAAGGAATCGTGACGCGGAAGCCCACTCTCGTCCAGTTGCATTTTCTTTGCCGGTCGTGCCTCCTTGATCTGGGCAGCTTCGAGCAGTGATCGTTTCCCTGGAGCCTTGTAGTAGTTCTCGAGGTTGATGTTAAAAGGCGCCGGGGCCGGCGGCGCCGGGTACAGAGTCGGGTGGACGTTCTCCTTGCCATAGTTCAGATGCGCATCCACGGCGGGCTTCTGCACGACCGTCTTAAACCTCGACATTAACGGTTGTTTCTTCTGCATCGAATCGGTCGTCTGCCCATTCATGTTGGGCGGCATCAACGATACCGAGTTCATCTTGTTGCCGTGGGATTTGAGAGGGGTCAACGGCGATGCGCCCGTCGCCTTGAAGGGCGAATTCTGGTGCATGGGTCCATTTGGAGGGTTGAAGACGACATTGCCATTGGATGAGGTTTGCAGCGCTCTACGTGGTGAGTTCTGCTTGCCAAAGGTGGTGGGCATCAGCGCCCTGCTCATGGAAGGTGGTGCATGTTGATCGAAGAAGTCGTGACCAGTATTATCCTGATAAATCTGCAGCGGCTCATTGGCCCCCGCAAAACGCGTCGGTTTGGCCATGACGGCCAAGAGTTGGTATATGGATATTAAGGGCGCTTTGTTCTGGCGGCTGCAGGCGCTGGCTACCTTCACGATGTTAGTTGGACCATCGGGATTGGCAGCGGCGATGATAATGTATCTTGGGCGGGAACTAGAACTAGACAGCGTCTCGAGACTTCTTCCCACGCTCTGGGGGCGCCATGATGGGTTGCGCGAGAAGTTGCGGATCTACTCACCTTTGATCGGGTTCGCAATTTTAATTAGCGGTGGAGCCTGAAGCAAGGGGGCTTGTGGCGCGCTGCGAGTGGATGAGCCTCGATTAGATGTCTCAGTAACGATGATCGAGATGTCGGTGAGCAAACAGCTGATTCAGTCTTCGTACTCATGGGAGGCGGTGATGGAAGTCGAAAGAGCTGGGTTAGTCGCTGGCGGTAGCGATGACACCGATTGAGCGATGGTGCTATGTATGTATGTACGTATGTATGTATGTATGCGGGTGGGAGAAAGGTGAGATGGATGGACGGATGGATGGAGAGCGTTGCGACGGAGGAATACTTCTGGGGATGAGGGGAAGAAAAAACGGATTGGCACAGCCGTGGGGGATTAGATGGCCAAGATGGGATTTTGACAGTGCGTACGAGTAAGAGAAGAAGAGGTCAATGGAACGCCGGCCACGGGCCAGTGAGTGAGTTGCAGGAAGTCCCAATCTATCTTAGGTCCAGAGTGCCAGCGCCAGCTCATCAGCAGAGCGCGATCCACCTAAACGGAAGTGTGGATCCCTTCGGTGCGTGAGGATGCAGAAAAGGATTGGACGGGATAGCCGTGGGCTGACACGATGATGTGCAAGGTTGTGCGAAGGGAAGAAGCTTGCTAGGGCAAGCTGGGAATGTCTTAACCCTGGCAACCCTGGCGCAGCGAGGGATCCTGGCCTGGAGGCTTGGAGGATGCGCTGGCGGCTCAAGCTGGTTGGATGGATGGTACGATGGTGGAGGGCCTGCCGAATGGGTCACTGATCAGAGAGTTGCAGCAGGGTCAAGCAGAGCAGGAGGACGGCCGCGAGGCACACGGCAAGTCTGCAAGCATGTCGTAGGGGACGTTTGGAGGCGAGCTAGGGTGCGGGAGATATCATGGAGAAGATGAACCGGACGTGCGGGATGCTGCAACCGTCAGGGCGCACACCAAGGCTGTCGTTACAGATGTCGTCCTAAAGATATTAAGCTCATCAAGAAGCTCTCTCTCGCAAAGATGCTGTGCTCGTGCAATCATGTCCTTGCTGCTAGTGGCCAGTGGGAGCTGCAGGTGTATCGGTGAGTTTGGGGTTGATGAGATGACCCAAGCGGATTGGATGGCAGTTGCGCCCAGAACGCGTTTCATGGCCGCTGACGCTAGTCAAAACGCGTGGATTTTTGTTGATCTCGCTTAACGCGTTGGGCCAATTAGGGCACTTTATTTGACCTCACTTGGTCTTGGCGCAGGCCTTGCTGGCGCTTCTGCTCCAACTCTTGCCGCCTCGCCTGATGCGAAATGTTAAAAAGAACGCATGGAAAGAAGGGAAAAGCCATTTGAGACACCGTTCAAAGTCTGATGGCCGACTAGACGACCAGATCTCAATCTAGGTTGCTTGTTTCGGCCCCGAAGGCCTCTAGAAGCAGTTTCATTCTTCGCGAATTTCATTACTCGTATCGATGTGAGCAGCAGTCTCGCAGTAGTTGGCTATTCTAACAAAAACGGTTGGCCACAACTTGATTCGTGCTTGACTTTGACCAACGAGGCCAACATTCTCAAGCTTTTGGTGCGGCGCAAGTCTGCATTCGTGGCATATCCAAGTAAAGACCAGGCCAGGGCTACCAGGGTCGCGAAAAATGACATCACAGGCGATCGCCATTCGGCAGATACACCCAGGCTATCGTCGATCGAATTTTCATTCCCGGCAACCCGCCAGGTCTCAGACCACGAAGCATGATCCGTGCTTTGCGACCGAAGAGGACTTTCAGGGTTGTCTATTTACGATGTTTTTTCCCCTCAGAAAGAGGAAAAGAAAACGGCGAATCGCATAGGCTTCCATGAGCGCAGTCCGGGAATGCCTAGGCTCGCTAGACCACAATATTGCGAATGCTCATTTCGAATTTCCATCTTCCCAATGCACCAAAACGGACAACTCATGGCTCTATCTAGACCCCGTCACATCTATCAGGCTAAAAGTGACGGCATTGACATATCAGACAAGGATCCAGGAAGCGCAGTGCTCCCACAGTCTCGAAAAAAATGGAGAACCAGCCGTTAGCTTGTGGAAGCCTTCCATCGTGTGTTTTAGTCCGTTTTCTTTGCGCCAGTATGTCGCAATGGCCCACTGCTGAAAGTTTCTTCGCTATGAATTCTTGGTGAATTCTAGAGTTTCTCTTGCGTCCAGGCTGACTGCCTTGGCATGCCACCGAGGTGTTGTGTTGAAAATCTCCGATATTCTCAGGAACTCGAACGTTGGACCGCGTACCCCTGTGTTATATGCATTGCTTTTATCTTGGTCAGCCGACAAAGCTCTGTCTGCCGTCTGCACCCCGGTCTTGCTCTCCTCCATTTTTGACGGGTTGGGGCCCCTGTGCCCGCAAACTTTGACCTGCCCAGCGCATCTGCAAGAATGACATGCCCTGCATGCTTGAATTCACACTCTGAAGCTGCAGCAAAACCTGCACAGCCTGCAGCAGCCTGCAGCCGCTCGAAACAAGAACTCTGGGTCCGTGATCCACCCTCTCTCGTGTTCCGCACGGGCAGAGTGCATACTCACATACTGCGCAGCTGCGGTACCGGTCTGGTGTGTGGCTTGACGGCAATGCAGCAAAGATCCATCGTGAACTCTGTTTCGAGCTGAGCACACATTAAATCTCGCCATCGGCTTGTGCATCTGACATTCCAGAACGATGCAGTAGCCTCGAACTCTAGATAATTAAAAATTGATCCACCAGGGTCCCGCAACTTTCGGCCCGCAACTGGCGAGAAAACACCTTTCTTTTCGCAAGGTGATCAAGCTGGTTGTGACTAGTCGCAACTTTACTCGACAGATCTCATACGCTCGATGGATGTCAACATCATTGGGCCGGCCGTTGATGGGTTAAGAAGATGCGAAGGATGATGCTAATGTCATGAAACAGATCCTGACGAACCTGGGGTATGCCCCAGCTGTAGCTCCGTAAAAGTGGGTGGTGGAGTATACTCAGGATTACAGGATCACGGTGGCACTCATCTGTTCCGTGGTTGCTCGTTGAAGACATGATGAAGTCGAAATTGCTGCAGAGCCCCAGATTGCATGCTTTTAGCAATTGATCACAATATCCAGCGCCACGGAGCTTCTAAAAAGTAGTGGGTAGTACTGTTACGGTCGGATTATGCAAGTCGTCTGTGTGGAAAATAGACAACCAGCCGGCTCAGCATGCATCTTGTTGAAATAGGTCTCAACGTCCTCCCATCTGGTCAACATCTGAGCCTTTCCCCAAGCTACGCCGCGCGCGCCCAGCACCGAAAGGTATTTGACCAGATAGCCGCCTCCTCAGGGTGTCGCTGTCCCATGATTCCCTCTGGAAAGAACTACGAAACCTACGCTCCACCCGGTTGGGCAAGTCCACCGGGCCGAATGCGGGGAAGAATGGGAATCTCATGAACAGCCCCGTCGAGACGAAGAAAGTTCCGGACCTCGAGTTGCTCCTCGAATAAATCTTGCGGACTAACTACACCAACTACCTTGTAGTCAATCCCTCATTGCCAGGGAAAGTTACGAGGAACTTGAGCCTCGAGGACGCCATTGGATAATTTCGGCTGTGTGCCGGCTGGGGCACCTAATCAGATGCACGAGACAATAGTATGATGTCGCTCAAAGGTTACCGCGAGCTCGCGAACGGTGTCGCTCAGCTATACTGACGCTTCGGGTGCCGGGCACAAGTACGGAAGGTGTTTGAGACATGGTTGTGGCTATATGCTAACTGCACACTTGTATTTTCAACATCGACGACGTCTTCCTAGAGCTTCGTCCGCCAGGTACTTTAAGGTACTTTAAAATGCAGGCCTGTCAGGGATAAGCAATACTATCACATTTCATCACCTTTGTATGGAAAGTATCGAATATTGAACCAGCCAGTGATAGATCTGGCACGTCTGGATCTACGGAGGCGAAGCCGGTATTGAGGCTCCAGTGAAGCCGAACTAACACGATAGGGGGTTATAAATATCTAGGATGGGGTGAAAAAGGGACCTGACGAAGAATACCCTCGGACAGTGTTCGTTTGCAGCTAAGATTCTCAAGCAATCAACTACGAGTACGCTCTCGCAGCATCTCGATTTTCCTGTGTTTTCGCATATACTTGGATAGTTTTTGCTATCATGTGCAGGTAGACTTACCCTCGAATATTTATTCTATACTGCATTCACCTGACGAGGGCTCCCTCCGCCATATTCTCGCGAACTACGCTTACATAACAAATCTTCCAGCGATCCTCGACAGTTCCTAGAGTATGGTACAGTCACTGGCACCCGTGTTCCATGGCGCTCGACTCTCATCACAAACATAGGGCTTCAACGCCTTAGCTCTGTCTTAGAAGCACAGTCGGGCGCCTTTCGACTTTCTTACTTTGCCCAGTCTATACTGGCAGTCATTGCTACACAGAAGTGTTAGTACCAATAAACCCGAGAAACTCTGCAATTAGCAATACGCACCATGTGATTCTCCGAATAAAGCTACCCGTACTGTAGAACCCATTGCCATAAGGATGGCTACGATACCTAATATTAGAATCCACCGCTTATGAAGTGATGGTCGGGAAAGGGCCATTTTGTTATACGCACTCTTGACAATACTTCCTCTTCCTCGTTCTGGTACCAATATTCCGGTTGCGGAAGGCGAACAGACACTTTTCCTTCACGTACGTGCACATGTTGATGCCGTTTTGATTGATGCAACGCTGTCACTACTATCGTTGAGTTATTTTTTCGATGGGCGCGACGGATACACGGGATTTCGCGTGAGATTTTTAGGCTCATCAGAAAGCAAGCCATCTACTTCTAGAATATTAAAAAGCGAAGCGAAATTTCTGTTGCGGTGAATCACCTCTTCAACCCTTCAACACGTAGTTCGGGTTCGCAAACTTGGATTTTATGAGCATCATCTCTTCAACAAGCAGGTGAATAGCAGGACTTCCATCACGCCCAATCGGGCGGGCAGTAACTGGATTTGAATGATTGAGTCACTGAACTAGTCCTGACTCCAATTCATACTTGTCTCTTTCTCTAATCCTGAGGTCGCCTAGTCTCTTCTTACTCCGGTCAAACATCACTCCCCTCATTACATTACTCTGATTTCTGCTTGAAAGTCAAGCACATGGAAAAGCTTTAATGCTTAAATATATTCCAGTCACATGCGGCAGCACACCAGCATCCATCATCGGCGTAACGGCGATATTTCTTGTCCTTCAGATGGAAGGTTCATCACTCCCGTGGTCGTTCAACATCGCTAAGGCCAGCATGATAGACTTGTTATTGAATAAAGTATTTCTTCGTACGAACAGTTGAAATAGACAACAACTCTTTTGGCGAAGCTGCGTCTTCCTCAGATATCCATAAGAAAATGGGATTGGTAACGGAACTGGTTGGCGTTCGACAGACCACAATTGAAGGCCAAATGCAGCAAAGCCTTCCAAAGATAGTCGCAGAACTGGAATCTGTCCGTCGCGAAGTACGCTCCGTACGGCAGAGCTAAGAAGGTGGGACGAATGTTAGACATCACATCCTTCTGGTCCACCACTTATATCTTAGGGAACACCTTATACTAGAATATGCAAATTACTCTCTGTAAATGCTCGTATATCGGTCCTTTGGGTCGAAGTATCCTAAACTCAATGTTAAAAGAGCGGTGAAATCTTCCGCCAACACGTGATGGACCGCACAGATATCACCTTTTCCGGGGGCCATCAGCCCAGGGTAAAGTTGAAAACTGGGACAGTGGGTCCCTCTACTCAACCTGATACTTTGTGGAGAGTTTTCATCTATTAGAGTAACGTACCCCACGGTCCAATTGAACACTTCTTAAGACTTCGTACAATAAGATATAAGTTAATTCAACTATAACGTAAAAAAATAATTAAAACTACTCGGAACTATCTTCTTCAGATATCTCTTTACTATTCTGACAAGTACGCATATTATGACCGGGCTCTCCGCACGTCCTACAGCGTTGCTGAAGTATCTCTGGCCTCCTCGTACGACTACGACTCCAGCGCGATTTATTATCTAACTCTCCGTTAACTAGCTTCTGAGACTGTAAATCTTCTCCAGCTTGTATACGAAGTGATCCTCCATACTGTAAACGTTTTTTTCTCGTATAACGCCGCCGGCTAAGTGTCTCATTTGCCTTTCGAAGCGCGGCGTTCTCACCCTCTAAAAGAGCAAGCCGGTGCATAACCTGCGTCGTACCCTTCGCAAACTGGTCAAGTGCAGTAAGTGTAGCTGTCGGAGAGCTATTTTGATGCCGTATAACTCGGGTTTTCACGTATTCGGTCTGGGATTGTGCCTCAATTGGGTTATTTGGGGTCTTCGACTCCCAGATAATAGGAAGGCCAGACGAGGTACCCGGAGGTGTTGGAGTATGTAACTTCACATCTAACTGCGAAATCACATATTCCGGATCGTACGGTACGAGTCCTGCCCCTCGGAAACCTCCCTGGATATTTGATATCGTAAAAGTTGCCTGGAACGCTTTTAAGAACGCGGAGAGGAAGTCCTCCTTCGAGATATGGGTAATATGTGCCCGCATAAGATCCTCAATTTCTTTACCGTACGCTCTTTTCAGTGCACGAAAACAGCCGATATAGAGAGGTTGGAGCTTATGCGACGAATGAGCAAGCATACAGAGTGTGATAATAGAGTTCTCTTTACAGTAGATCTCGAAAGCGGTCGAGTGGTGGCTCTCGTGGCCGTCGAGAATTAAGAGGCGATAAACACCTTTCGTACGAAGCTTTGTATGTTGATCGAAATGTCGAATCCAGTCCTCGCCTCTTTCATTTGTAGTCCAGCCATTTTTCGTAACCGCGATAACCCAATCCTTTGGTAGTAGGCTATTTTCGTACCACCAAGATAGGTGAGTTTTACCAGCAAAGATGATATACGGAGGGATAGTATAGCCGTCCGATCCGACGCCCTGGATAACTGTAACCCATTCCCTATTCCCTTGCTGTACTGCTCTAGGTCTTCCACGTCGATCAGAGCTCGTTACAACTGTCTCGGATGAGATTTGACCTATAAGAAACCCAGTCTCGTCAAAATTATAGATATCCTCCTCTTGAATTCCATACTTATTAATTATATTCCGTACGAGATAAAACCACGCGCGGTACGCGTCGGGATCTTCGCAGAGGACTCTCTGGTAGTCGATTCTGTGATTAAAACGCGTCCGGAGGTCTGGTTGTCGTCGTACGAAGCTCGAAGCCCAGTTAATACCGACGCGTCCTGCGTCGCGTTGGTGATCGTATATCCTGTCGTGAAGTACCGCCGCGATATCGGTGACGTAAGGTTGTATGAGGGATATTATAGATCCGTGCTACGGATCGTACGCTTAGTTTGGGGTTATTTTGAAGCGCTTGAGGCGCTAATTGAATATCGCTTTCTTCCCAATTACGTGCCATTGTAGAAGGTGGAACATAAGGGATAAAACCTAGGTTGTACGGAAATGCGCGAAAGTGTTCAACTGGACCGTGGGGTACGTTATTTGGACATTGTCCTATATCGTTCCAGAACCAGAACGAACAAGGGATGTGCGATAAGGTCTGGGTCGTTCTGGTTACTGAGCACACCGTCAGTGACTATAATCGGAGATGCCACATTGCTGGATGTTTTATACCCGAAAAGGAACATGTAAGTCTTGTCCACCCATCTCCTCCTGCATTGCGAATAATCTGATGCGAGTCCCTCTACCCTGGCGTATTTTGTAATGACCATGGCGATGACCCAGATACTTGTCCCATGGCTCAACAAAGGAGTTCCACAGTCTCGATAATATGCGCAATGAATGTAAACTGTGTGACTCTGTCTCTCTTGATGTTGCGAGAAGCAGCGTTGTCCTCGCTCTCTCGAACAGCGCATCTACGTTTTTCATCACTACGGAATGCTGGTGGTGTGAGCCCTTGGCTACGAAGTTTCAACGATGAATTAGTTCGTATTGCTTGATGATATATAATATTCACGGTTTGACATACGGGAGTGCTAGTAGAGGTACCGGGGGCTTCGAGCCTACGGCGTATTTAATAATAATATATAATGCGCATCGCCATGGTAACGCTCAAATGGTAGCTACCAACCAGTCGTGTTGTAATGCTGTCCAAACAAAATGTCAAAACCACCTACCCCAGTAGCTCTACATAGCATCATTCCCCTTCTCTCTCCCCCGCTACCTCCCCCCAAAACGCCTTCGCAGTATAATTTCTGAGTCCGGTCGGCTGAAACACTATTACACCCCCCCAAACAAAAGGAGGCTTTCCTTGCAAGGCACGGACTGCCAACTATCTATCTTTACCATCCCTCATTAACACATGTCAATATGGTTTACTCGCGACAAAGGGAAAAACGTGTCGGCGCAATTATTGAGCCTTCCTCTTCTTTATGTAAACAGGCCAGTTGCCGGGCACCGTCGTGAAATAGGCATGGTAATGCCATTCCTGGTCGGGATTCACCTGCCAGATATCGTAGTCGCGTACAATCGTGGCTAAGATCTTCGACAACTCGATACGGGCCAAATGTTGGCCGGGGCAAGTGCTAATGCCTCCCGAAAACTGTTTGCAAGTCAGTTGTTGTTGTTTTTCGAAGAACCGCCTCGGATGGAACCAACTTACGGGAATAAAGTGTTTCTCCAAAACAGCGGCATCCTTGCCCAGCCACCTCTCGGGCTTGAACTGTTTCGCGTCCGGTCCCCAGATGTCCGTCGAGAGGTTCATGGCGAAAACGTTGAGCGAAAGGATCGTGCCCTCGCGGAAGGTATGGTCGTCGATTGTGAGGCCGCCCTCGGGGACAATTCTCGGTGATCCCAAGGCAATGGGGTGAAATATTCGCATCGTTTCTTTGAGGCAGGCCTGCAGGTAGGGCAGCTTCAGCGCATCGGCGTAGGAAATGACGTCGTCGGTGCACAGCCCTCCGCATCTGGCCTCGTCGATCTCCTGACGGACGCTATTCCAGACGCTGGGATGTCTGAGTGCATGGTAGACAAATGACTGCAGAACGCAAGAAACAGTATCCGAGCCAGCGCTGTACATCCATGCATATTAGTCAATCCGCAAAGCTCTTTGTGAATGTAACATGTACATACCCGACATTTGCCATGCAGGCAGAACCCACATCCCGATACGTCAGACGATCAGGGTTTTGTTCGTGCGCCTTGAGCCAATGGGCCACAAAGTCGAATCGAGCATCTTGGTTCGCCCTGCGCGCTTCTGTGCAGTTTCAACGGTTAGCAAATGCCACTCATATCACACGTCTCAAGAGAAGAGACCTATATCTGCAGAGAGCCCATTGATCAGGGCATAATAAAATGAAAAGGTCTCCATGGTTCCGAGAATAGCTTACCAAGTGCCTTGTTCGACGTCGTCGACAAGTAGTTTGTAGGCATGATATCGAGCCAAGTGAGGAAAGGGTTCGCCACGAGGATATTGTGAAGCCACTGGAAGTAGCCGGCGATGGAGACGTAGCACTCGAGCCCAATGGCCTGGGAGATACTATTATCGATGTCGATCCCCTGGTCGAGGAAGCCGAACGGCTTAGAGAAGACGAGCTCTCCCACGACGTCGAAAGCAGTATAGGTAAAGAAGCTGGCGAGGTCCATCGGTTCACGGGCGTCAGCATGCTTGTCCATCCAGCCCGTCAACTTGGAGATCAGACCGCCAATGAGCTCTTCTGACTTGATGACGTTACTCATGGCGTAGGCCGAGGCTAATTGTCTGGACCGCTCGACTTTCTCTTTGGGCTCCGTCGTTGATAGTGGTGTTATGAATCGCCAGTCGGGGAATCGCATAATTTGGTACCAGTAGCCCTGTTGCACATTTAGTGAATGCCACGGACCTTGGAATCGGTGCAGGGTTACTTTGCGTTGAGGGGTAAGAATCAACTTCTTGATAGCGTCTGGGTGAGTGACGCTGACTTCGTTGGGCCCGATGCGAACGAAGTGACCTGCCAGGTATTAGCGTACAAATTGGTAGCAATGCTGAGAGTGTTTTACTTACCATGCTTCTTATGGAGGTCTAAAAATGTTAAATTCTGATGTCCAGACCAGATCTGATTTATGTGCCATAACCGAGTAAGGGCGGCCCATTTTGGACCTGGGATATCTGAAATGGAACTCAGGTAGCGGCGCCTCACGAGGACGACGACCAGGGCAATTAATAGTAACTGAGCCCCAAGTGCCAGCGGACTCAAGACCTTGAAGATGTCGCGCGGGTCTTTAGGTAAGGATTCCATGTTATATAATGCCAGGCTGAGGAACGAGTCTGGTAAGAAGGGTAAGAGAATGGAAAGACATGAGTGCAGATCTCTCGACTTTGTTTAACCTTAACCTTTGTCCTGAGCATTGTGCTATGACCTATTTATCAATGTGAGGATCCTCAATGAATTTCTTCCCTTTACTCCTGGCCATGATTTGTTTATAATCGCCCCTTGTATTAAGGACCAAGGTTCACCAGGAAGTTAGGTGACCAATAGGGTATCCCGCATTCCACGGATTGACCTGCGTTCCGGGAGAGTCGGACATGCTGGGATCCGTTAGGGGGATTGCAGGGTTCGCAGAAGCCCAAGTCGCATCGTGATTTCAACAAATCGATTTACACAGGCGATCAGGTATCAGGGCACGGTCAATTGACGTCCTTGGAGTCATTGCTACTGCACTCTAATATAATATTCCGTTCGCCGAATGCCAGGTTCTTGCCGGGGATGGGTGATGTCAACGAGCGTATAGTTAGTCAGGGTCAGAAAAATGGCCAGGGGTAGAAATTACCTGGCGTAGCAGAGTTCATTAGAGTCAGAATGTTTGTGCCTGTAACCCTGTTGAACTTTTGCCAAGGAAGGATAGCTTAACCATGTTAGGGTATAAAGCACAGTATTACATTTTTGTGATGTAGTATATGTCATGTATATGCTAGACCTGAAAGAGATAATTACATGTATTTTATATATGCTAAAACTACGCCGACCAGGGTATATACGTTATATGTACTGCTTTCCGAAATCGCTTAATTAGTGCGGACCGCTACTTTGATTAGATGACTATCATAGACAAGTTTTATTGGTTCTTTTTTTCCTGAGATAAATATTCCTTATCGCAGACGAAACCAACTATAAGTGTAAGAGCGCTAAAAGTATAGAAACGATATAACAGCGTATACGTAGAATATTAGTAGTTACGAAAATTTAACTCTCAAGCTTGATAATATAAGATAACCTACTAAAATATTAGCTTCGTAGATATGGACGACGGGCAGCGTATGCCCCCAGGTTCAAGGTGAAGATGATGGAGACGGACAGCACGATCTTCAACAAAATCAGCTGTCCGGAAGGGTAACAGAAAGATAAACCAAGAGCCTTGTCGCTTTGATCAGCACATATACTGGACAGTTTAGCCATATATACATACTCCTGCATCGATATATATATGTATATATACATTATATTTACTCTGTGTACAAGTTTTCCTCTGATACTACGGTGACGACTTGTTAAGTTAGACTATCGTTAGCTTAGCAAAAGTTGATCAGGGTTGACATGTTTCTGACCCTGATCAACTTTGCTACGCCACAAATTTCTACCCCTGGCCAACCTTTTCTGGCCTCCACCTTGCTTCAGGGTTCTGGCAACAGAAATAGGGACACGAATAGGGACAGAAATAGGAACAGTATACCTTCGAGCCCGTGCGAGCCTGCTTCTGGAGTCTGAGGGTTCCTCATACCGGCTAGACCCGACCCAGAAAAACGGTTTGACCCACCCTTCAACCCCTGAACCCGGTCCGTCGCATGGTTTCGTTCCATACGGAGTATTCGAGACCCTGTTGAACAAACAATTTCACGAGAAGGCATGGCTCCCTTTGCTGAGAGAACCGGCCCAACGATTGCCGGGCTGATAGGTGACAGGTCTCAATAGAGGTGCCGCCCGCTGCGGCTGAGTCAGTGGACGTCGTGGGAGTGGATATAATATTTCCCAAGCGAAACGTTGTAATCAACTTTTAAGCATTCTCCAATCTCGCTTGACTCCTCCAAGTCATCGTATGCCTATTGGAACTTCCGTGTGCCAAGGTGTCAGCAACAGAACCCAGCGTTTTCAAGTATAAGCGCGTTTGGGATTTGCTTCTTGTTTGCATGCAATCCGCGCCGGTCTAATGCTCGGACAAGTGGCGGGTAAGCACAACCTACGACCCAGTAACCCGGGTGAGAAGCCGAGTTGCGGGGTTTCGGTGACGAACAGGTCTCTTCCCACGCGAACCGTGAAGAATCAGTCCTGGAACCAATTCTTGTCGGCGTATCGTATACTCTTCCACTACACGTCCCTCGTGAGTTCCCAAGCGGTGATTGTGACTCCATGGCTCAACAGTATTCATGCAGACGGCCCCATTCTCGTCGCGTAGCTGCGAACCACTGTATTGCGGGTTAACACCAGGTCTGATTCAACCATTGCGTGCGTAGATACTGACTGAACCAACTGTTCCGAAGTAGCGAGGTGTGCTCAGATGTAATCACGACGCCCTAATATTTGATCTGTAGCGCTTCTCAGCGCAATATGATGATGTAAGAATATGCACAAAATACTGGATACTAACCTACACGGCATTGTGGGCATATCCACCATGATGCCATTCGGCAATCATGCCTGATGTGAGATATACGCCAAAGCTCCGCATGTATGATGACCCCAAAATTAATGGTATGCGTAATTAGGCTCCCGCGCATTTCCCGCATCCGTCGAAGCCGCTCTGACCGCCTGCTTGCCTTTCCTCTTGCTGAGCTAACAAAACTCTGTCAGGGAGGACCAGCTGGCAAGCGGTGAACGCACTCCGCCCTTAAGCGGAACTACCCCTGCTTCAATGAGAATCATACCAGTCCCCAGCCGTGCGATATGCCAATCCTTGTGACCGGATGGCATCCTCTCCGTATCTCAGCACACTTTGCGTGTTGGGTATCAAAGGCATCTGCTATCCTGTGCCTCTAAGAAGCAAGTCTCGATATCTCTCGAGGCTCAAGCCAATCATATTGATGAACGGCCATTGCGTGTTACTCTTGAAGAAATGGGCCCAGATTTTCAGTACTTTCTGCGACAGGCCAGCCGGATCGCTTTGCACGTCCAGTTCATCCTCTTCAAAGTCCACTACTGCGTAGGCTTCTTCCACGATACACCGAACCCAGTGTAGTATTCGATCTTCGCTGTCTACAATCATATGTAAGCAACTGTACTGTGCTAAACAAAATAAAGAAGAATAGGGGGAGCGGCAGGGGGGAGGGAGGGGTTGTAATCACCAGTCAGTGGCACCACGTTCACCGAGTCCTTCAGCGAATTAAGCCATTTGCTTAGCAGCACTGCACACTCAAATCCCGAGAGCGAGTGTCTCACACTCCAAAAGAAAGCTTGGCTTCGAGCAACTCGATCGACACCCAGTCTCACCGGAATACTTAACGCATGGGCAGCGTACAGCAAAGCTGAGATGACACCGTCACTACGCTCCACTTTGGGAGACCTACAAAGTGCTCTGGCAATGCGGGAAGGATCTCGGGTTTCGAGTTGGCGGTAAGGTCCTAGGTTGAGATATATGCGTACATATGCCAAGCCGAGGAGGGAGCTTGAGGTGAAGGGGATCGGCCCGTTATCGTTGTTGGGGTCTAAACTCGACTCAGGGGCTTGTTGCCATCCTGAAGTCCAGGAGCGAAGGGCGCGTCTACATAGGTGTTAGCTGCTTCTCAGCCCGCCACTGGATTTGAACTCACTCTAACTTGTTGACTTCCTCGGCTGGCAGGGACGCAGACTGATCTATTATAGGCAGAGACAGGTCGCGGACAATGTGAATACGTTGAAGCAAGCCATGGAGGAGAACGTAGTTACCAAGAGGAGTGGGGATTGGGTCTAAGGTTGCCGTGCCGTTCGAGTGCTTGAGAAGAAGGGATAATGCATCCTGAAAGTTGAGCTGTTCTTTGCAAGTGTCCCGCCTCGCAAGTTGCCATTGGGAAGCTGTCGGCGCTTTCCACTCACCTGTCGAGCATGGCAACCTCAAGCGAACCTCATTGCTCCGCAGGACTGGATAGACATTGTACGCCACGCTGTCTACAACAACCATTAGCCCATGTACCGCGACTGAGCTTCACCTGAAATCGGTTGCTTACGAATATGGAGGAAAGTGAATGCGATCAACTTCGAGCGTCTTATTGACTCCCGTCGTACCCATGCTAGCCAGTCGACTTGAGGGATTGTGAACTCGGCTACGTTCTCAGTTCCCGCATCCTCATCTAACCCAACGTCGCGCAAGACCTGTACGAGGAGACTGGATAACGAAAAGGCTTCCGCCACGAAGTGTTCTCTCGGCTCCCAGGTCGCGAAGCCCATCAATATGACCATGGCTCTGATAGAGTCTATCGGTTCCCAAGGACCCCGGTCTCGATCCGATGCAGATGATAGTGATACGACAAGGGAGGGATTGTTGTGCAAGTTGAGAGCGGCACTTGTCTTTGGGCCAAGGCGCCCGTTTCCAGTTTCGTGAACCAATCTCTCAAGAAGGATGGCTTTTGCTGCTTGAAAAAGCCGTTCTGAATTTCGATGTTCGAAGCAGTATTGTGCACCCATAGTTGCCGCGGCCAAAACAAGTTCCAGGGGGGTGTCGACTATGCGCCAGGTTTGTTGGTGGATAAATGGTAGATGAAGATGAAACCCTTGGAAGTATGATGTTATGTATCTGGTTAGGGTATGTCGAGAAGGTAGCCTGAAGTCAGGATCAACCACATTACGAAAGGAATCTAGCTGAGTAGCGAGGCGGAAGCGTTGGTCTTCCGTAACCCTCAGTGGTTGCGGCGCCTCAATCTTGATGTCATGTATTCCTTTGATGCGGATTTAGCGAGTACTAGTATTAAGCAAGCGGAGACTTTGACTTATAAGGACTGCCAAATGAGCACACACAGCTGCTCTGTATCATATCCCACTTCATGCCCCGGAAATAACCGAAAATGTAGTTGATGGTTTGATGACAGTCGCAAAAAGGGGCTCCTGCCCTGTACTCCACAACACAATCTGAGGCCATATTGACGACACGGCATGGAGACGAGATGAAATAGAAGCTAGAGAGGCAACTTACTGGTGTCGCAGTTTGCCTCAGCTAACCTGTCCTCTCCAGGAGCTGAAGGCAGCCAATAGTTGAAGGGGGTACCTGCTCGCCCCGATCGCCCGGCAGCGGCTACACTGGTAGCTCTAGACTCCCGTAATTCCGGGTCGATGAGACTGTTCTCTGGCTCAGGCTCGGGCTTTTGGAAGTATGGACTCCACTCAGCTGGTAGTCCCACACCATCGAGAAAGGCGGCAAACTCCCTGAAATGGTCAACACCTATGACACCTGGACCTAAGGACCGGGTGAGTAGTTGCCGTACCATGCTATTGGGTATTCAAACGTGACTTACTTGGGTCGAAAAAATCGTGGGATAGCAGCGGTTGCTGGAATGGTTGCATGGCGGCTTCTCGGTGTTGTTCCACTTCGACCGGGTCTTGACCGTGAAGATATAAATTGGATGGCAGTCTTGGTTGATTATCCCAAGGAGTCATACTCATGCCGGAGAGTGAGGCGGCGGCGGCGGCAGCCGCCATATCGGCCTCTCCGCCGATTTGCTGGCTCTGTTCCGAGGAGACATCAGCCAGTCCCTCGGAGCTATACTGGTGTAACTGGATCCGCTGATGTCTCGTCAATAAGTCACGCCGGGTAAAAGCAGCCCCGCAATGACATATGAATGGCTTCTCCTTGGTATCTGGCGATGTTGGTGAGTTCTTAGACGGCAACTAACAAAAAAAAGAGGAGGGGTAGGGATGGCCAGAGCAGCCCTTCTCATTGGTGTCAATGCCTTCTATACGACAGCGAGATATGAATATGGAGAAAAGGAGACGTGCGTACGGGTTCGGATATGACGTTCAAGGTGTTCGGACCGCTTGAAGGTGCGGCCGCAGTGAGGGCAGGCGCGCTGAGGACCTCCAAATGCCCCGCCGTGGCGTATACGGGTACCAGCGCGCTGCATTCGTGCGGTAACGCGGGGCAGAATGAAACTGTAGTCCTTGCCTGCCAGTTGAGTCTGGATCTCTAGCTATGTTGGAGGAGAATATGATGAATTGGAGAGATTTAAGAGAGTTGGGGTATCGCTCGAATTAAGAGATAGTTGGAGATATAGAGTGGACAATTCAACTCCAATCCTGTGAAGGTAAGTGGGGCCGGCAGCATTCCTGCCCGCCCAGGTCCGTCAGGAGTCGATAATACCATCCCCACTGATCTTATCTGACTTCTTATTGCTAGTCGAATTTCAGGGAAGTTATTGATTGTCATCCAAGTGTTACAAGGGAAATCTATCGTGATTTGGAACGGTACATCAAGCATCATTATTCAGGGTCAGCCTTTCTAATACAAGTTGAGTTTGGAGAAACATTATATTTCCATTACTTCCAAGAAGGTATGGCTGCGATTTTCAAATTCCCCGGTGTGGCTTTTATTACTGGCGCTGGCGGCACAGGTATGCATGAGACGTTGTACAGTATGCTATCCAACATTGACGGTAGTTCAGCTAATATGAGGTATCAGGAATTGGGGCCGCAGTCGCCAGGAATTTCGCCAGGTCAGGGTGCTCTCGCATAGCCATCACCGACATCAACAAGAAGTCTCTCGATCAAACTCAGGAGGCAATCTTGAGGATCAACCCTAAGGTCCAAGTATACAGTCAGGAAGGGGACATTTCTGACGACACTTTCGTCGATTCCTTTACTGCGAGCATATCCAAGGCGTTCTCCCAAATCGATTACGGTCAGTCCCTGCGGCGTGGAATATCATCCTGAACCCCCTGGGAACCCCCTACTGACGCTAGAACAGCCGTCAACTGTGCTGGCATCTTGGGTGACTCTCTCCGCTCAACAGAGACGTCAGTCTCTGTATTCGACAAGATCAACAACGTGAATTACCGAGGAATGTGGCTGTCGTCACGCGCTGCTCTCTCTCAGATGTTGAAGCAAGAACCACTAGCGGACCACCCGGGGCAACGAGGCGCTATTGTCAATATTGCAAGCCAGCTCGGCATAGTCGCACGGCCAGGTGCCGCGCCGTACTGTGCAAGCAAGGCAGCGATAATTAATATGACTCGGTCAGACGCCATTGACTATTCGCGTGATGGCATCCGAGTCAACTGCGTCTGTCCAGGTGTCATAGACACGCCCATGACGACGAGCTCGGAAGAGATGATAGCGCGACTAAAGCCCGCTATTGACATCGCGCCGATGCAACGGATGGGGACGTCTGAGGAAGTCGCCAGTGCTGTGTTGTTCCTTTGCTCGACCTCGTCGTCGTTCATTCAGGGGCATGCGCTGGTTGTGGATGGTGGTTATACGATCAGCTAGGGTTGTCAGTGCGCAGATGGAAAACGTAACCTTTGATAGCAATAATGAGGGCATGAACGTCTTTACAACTTGGATTTATACTATGCAGGTGTGAAAGTTTGAGCTCCGTATATCGCTATATTTTACTCGAAGTGATGCATGATATTGCAGCCACCGTCTACCCCTTTTCTTCTTCCCCCCATGCCACCTCATTTGGTCAGGATCGAAGCAAGTGCCCTTGGACACAGTGACCAGATAACTTCTCCAAAGGCATTTTAAATCTCAATGTTGCATGTCAGTCGTTGGAAACCTGCACCACTAATCGACTCTTGAAAGACTTATCCTGGTAGGCGTCCACGATGCTCACCACTTCGTCGAACGGGACGATGGTAAGTCGTGACCTAACCCCGCTCTTATCCACCATAGCCATCATCCTCTCCGTCGATTCTCTACTAGCAACATAACTTCCTCTCAGGACCAACTCTCGAAATACAATAATCTCTGGATCGAAGCGCGACTTTTGCGGGGGCAAGCCAAGCAGTATAATAGTGCCGCCAATGCGCAAAAGTGTCAAAGCCCACTCAGTCGCAGACAAGGAATCAGTACACACAACCGCTGCGGCCAAACCCTCTCCGTTGGTGAATTCGAGTATTTTTGCCGAAGCGTCTGGTACCGTGGAGTCGATCACCAGGTCTGGCGTCAAGTTAGAGCTCGGAACTTCACTGGCGAGTCGTCTGCCTTCGGGTCGACTATCAATGGCGACGGTGTCGCCCGACTTCAATCCCGTTGTGGCCTTTTCTAGTGCCCCCATACCGTAGCCTACACGTAAACAACTTTAGCTAATCCAGGCCGCGACGATCTGGGTTTCTGACAAGAGAGGAACCACGACTTACACCAGCGCACATCAATGGCGCTGCTTGCTCAAAGGAGAGCGAGGCAGGCAAATGCACCGTCGTTTCCGGGTCGGCCACCATGTATTCGGCAAACGCCCCGTCGTCCTTGAAACCGGCCATCTCCCGCGTGTCGCAGAACCTGGGGTCCAAAGTGCCGTATTCACGTTTCGACAAGACACAACCGACGCATTTCGAACATGCTCGCTTGAAGTTCAAAATCCCGACTCTGTCCCCGACTTGCCATTTGTCTGCTGCGCAATTTTTGCCAATCTGGACAATAATACCCGCTGGCTCGTGAGAAGCTATCAGGCAATTTTGAGCCGAATTGTCCGTGGATTACTTGTAAGTCTGAGTGACAGAAACCAGCTGCCCGGATCTTGACGAGGAGCTCTCGGTCCCCGATTTGGGGGATGGATGTGGTTCTCAACTCATACGGTTTATTGTACTGAAGAGACATTCAGCTAACATATCTGGACGGATCAATAATTGAAGCTTGCATATACACACCTCACAGAGTTGAGCTGCGTTCATACGCTGTGGTATCTTCGTTTCTGGAGCCATAAATTTTGAAACAACTCTTGATTTAAGTGTGTTGTAAACTCATAGACCTTGATATTCTCCAGACTTCAAAACCGCCTAGTTATCCCGATTGTAACACTCCGATTGTCACAATACAAGTCTTCAATAAGAATCAATTACTCCTACCGATAAGTCGCAGACGTCCTTGATGGTCACAATACGGGGAAGTTTTCAGATAAGCAGGTGGAGTAAACCCCCATGGTCTCCTCCCAGGGTACATAATTCATGCTTGCAAGTTTATACCCACACTTCGCATTTGCCGAACTACTCCAACTCGACTCCATGAATTCCCTGTCAGTCCGAAGACTCCAACTCCTACTATCGCCAACCTGGGAATTCTGGGAGCCACGCTCTCTATCGCGTGGCTTCATCCGGCGTTTCCCCGCGTTCGACTCGTTATCATGTCGTCAATCCAGGATATTGGGAATCCTATCTGGGCGGGCTGTCCAACCGAACCCTAATATGTCATCTCGCGGCCAAGTTGGCTAGAGGCCAAAATTAAATCTTGTCTTATTCATACTCGTATAAGTCAATAATCATTCCATTCACTTCATCTTGATCGCCACATACTTAAATATTGAAATCCAAGGAACATGTGCCAAATCGAGAAAGAAGCGCGTTCTCATTAGCTATGGTGTCGACGTGGATGCGGTATGCGGGTGGCTTGGATCATACGGAGGAGAGGACTCAACGAGTGATATCATTAGAGGTGAGACATGTTGTTACAAGATCGAGAATGCATGAGCCGACAAGATATAAGCAGGTCTATTTGCCGGCACGATAGGTGTACAGCGCCTCCTGAAGCTATTTTACAAATACAGCATGAAGATGACATGGTCCATACTAGGCCACAGTCTCGAAACCTTTCCTGAAGACCTGGCGGCCGTCCGAGATGCGGGACATAAAATTGGCCTTCACGGATATCCACACAAGAACCCAACCGATATGACAATTGAGCAACAACGGGATGTGCTTGATAAGACACACCGGATGTTAACCGAGTTCACGGAAAAGCCACCACGCGGAAGTGTTGCACCCTGGCAAGCCCAACATCAAAGCTATATGGCGAGATCCAAGTTTCTAACATCGTTTGCTACTGAGGTGGGAGTTCAGTAGAGAATTTGGGCAGCTGCTACTAGACTACGGCATCGAATACGACCATAGCATGAGCCACCACGATTGCCAACCGTATTACCTTCGCACGGGCGACACATGGACCAAGATCGACTATAAGAAGAAAGCAGACGAGTGGATGAAGCCGCTGGTTAAAGGGCGAGACGGGGCTGGTCGAAATCCCAGCCAGCTGGTACCTCGATGACCTGCCTCTCATGATGTTCATCAAATCGGCTCCCAATAGCCACGGCTTCGTGAATCCGCGCGATGTGGAGGATGTCTGGCGGGACCAGTTCGACTACTGTTATAGGGAATACGACGAGTTCATTTTGCCAACCACCATTCATCCGGATGTTAGTGGCAGGCCGCAAGTCTTATTGATGCATGAGAGGTGAGGCCCTATCCAAAGTCAGACTATGTTGCAACCGTGCTAATTCTAGAACTAGACTCATTGAACATTTCAAGAAGCACGGTGGTGTCGAATTTGTGACGATGGAGCAGATCTGTGACGAATTCAAGAGCAAGAATGCACCAGCTAAAGGAGCAGTGCTGCCGGCGAAACCAGGTTCATTGCTCAAACAGTAGCCCTGCCTACTTAGGTAGTGATTGGTAGTAATGGGGACTGTTCGTAAGCTGACATATGTTTGCAATTGGGGAGTCCAACCACTGCCGATCTAGGGCCGGTTTATTTGCCGGTGATCTGCTATTCGTCAGCGCGTTTCCACTCATTGACTTTATATCGTACGATTTGGAGTCTGTTCATGAGAAAGCTCAGGATAATGGGGTATCATTTACTCGTGAAATTTCTCAACCAATTGAGGCATTCTCAGTTGGTATATTCAATAATACTAAACGTAGTCACGCACCAGCCGGCAAATCGAACGATGCACAGTTGCCCCAAGAGCCAAGTCTTATCTATAGCATCAACACTAACAGTTGGAGTATACCACTGCTACCCCATCCGAGCGGGTCTCCTGGTTGCCCAGGTACCCCAACGAGGTCCATTATTATAGGGTTTGTGGGATGCTCCCAGACAAGCAACCCACTTCCCCGGGAATTTAGGTAGGATCGCAACGAGGAAACCAACGGGATGGGCCCGCATCATATCATCACTATCACTGAACTTGCTAGGGTCCAGATAGCATGTGCCGGAAAAAGATAAGCCGTTAGGAGTGATTCACGCTGAGGGGATGCATCATCAGTCTACGTCTAGATCCAGGTCAGTCGGGGTCATGGAATTTATATAAGTGAGCCTGCCTCAAAACAAACCAAACGCTTTTCCCATGCTCGTCACCGTCCGTCAGCTCTTTCTCAGTCCGCCTTGAGATTAGTCGCGCGCCCCAAAAATGTCAAATAATACATCAGAGAAGGGCAGTTATGCCATCACGCCCGTGCTGGCGACGGCAGGGAGCATCGACAGCGTGGATACAGGCAAGCTGGAAACTGACGACGACGCCTTTGAGGTTTTCAAGAGACAGGGGGGGGAGGTGGACTTTCGGACGGTCAGCTGGGTATATGCCTCGGTGATCTTCCTAAAAGGTACACTGTTGTGGTCTCTTCGTTCCCCTTGGTCCGATCAGGGGCTCCCGGTGCAATTCCATTAACACATAGCTCAGTCATCTTCGCTACCGGAGTGTTGACCATCCCCTCATCCATGTACGTTCTAGGCGCCCTGCCAGGAGCGATTAATGTCCTGGGGTGGCAGTTTCTCAACGTGAGTTGTCCTTCTGACCTTCATCCCGGATAGCAGTCAAGGCAGTACTGACAAGCCCATGACGACAGACATACTGCGCCATTATCCAAGGCAACTTCCGTAACTCGCATGCCGGATGTCACTCGATTGCAGACATGGCCCATGTGGTCGGCGGAGTCTGGCTGCGAGAAGTAGTGGGAGTCTTCTTCCTCGTCACCTACGCCATTGTAGGTGCGTCGGGCATCTTCGGTGCGTCAACGGCGCTCAATGCGCTTTCGAACCATGCCGTCTGCACAAACTACTTCATGCTGGTGGCCACGATTGCCGTCTTTATCCTGGCTAGTGCGCGCAAGTTCGAGAAAATTGCCTGGCTGACTTGGGCTGGATTTTCGTCCGTATTTGTCGCCGTGTTTGTCGTTGTGTAAGTCGAGTTGCGGTTGAGTGTTGAAACTAGTTATTTCGTCTTGGAATTCGTTGGCTAATCAAGAACGCCTGAATAGTGTTGGCGTCACCCAACAAGACCGCCCTGCTGCGGCGCCCCAGACGGGCGACTTCGACCTTGGATACCATGTCATCGGCCACCCGACCTTCATCGCAGGCATCACGTCCGTGGCGACGATATTCTGCTCCGGAGCCGGCACATCGGCATTCCTGCCTGTCATTTCGGAGATGAGGCGGCCGAAGGACTACAACAAGGCCGTCTATCTCTGCATGGGAATTGTCACGGCCTCATACCTCTCTTTCAGCCTTGTCGTCTACCGATATTGTGGCCAATGGGTCGCCTCCCCGTCCCTGGGAAGCGCAGGAGACGTCATCAAGAAGGTGGCCTATGGTATCGGCCTCATTGGCCTCCTCGTCTCGGCCTGCCTATACGTCCACATCGCCGCCAAGTACATCTTCGTCCGTCTGCTGCGTGATTCGGTGCACCTGCAGAAAAATTCGGTCGCACATTGGTCCATCTGGCTCGGTTGCACATTCAGCATGTCCGTTGTTGGGTTTTTGATCGCATCGGGGATCCCCATATTCAACTATCTGCTGGCGCTGGCCGGTTCTCTAACCTTCGCGCCCCTCGCGCTCGGCCTGCCGGGGTACTTGTGGATTTACGACCACCAGCACTACCGCAATGGCTGCTGGTGGAAGGTCATGGTGTACTATCTCAACTGGCTCATGATTGCTCTGGCCGTTTTTTTGACGATTGGGGGAACTTATGGCGTGGTACAGAATATTATTGATGCGTATGCCAGAGGCGAGATCGATCAGGCCTTCTCCTGTGCTGATAACAGCCACTCGTCTTAGTGCTTGGAAGGGGGAACGTCATGATAGACGTAGGCAAAAACTGCAAACCTAAGAGGTGCAATTCAATCAACTATTCGAGTTGTAACAATTGAAATATTGATAACTTTGACCTGCTTGTCGTTGTGCCCTAGATATGTTGTATTCCTGGTATCGGATGATGCCGGAATGATGCTTCAAGTCTATACTTTAAAGCAGGTACAGACGCACGGGCCATTTTAGGTCCGCCTTTGTCAAGTTCTTGCATCTGAGATCAGCTTTGATCAAATCTTTTATCCTCATTACGAATTGCGTCTTTTTGCATGCCCATTCAGTATTTCGTAGTCACTGGGTATCTGCAGTGATCCAGGAGAATCCCCTGGTTTCAAATTCCACTTCAGCTTGATTGAGGATCCTTCAGACGACCGGGTCCAATTCCTAGCTAAGTTTTCACCATCAATATTCAACCGTCAGGAACCCCGCCATAGATCCTACCGAAAAGTATCAACCATGTCCCAACGACACAAAGCCTTTCTCAAAGAGGCGAGGTCTAAACAGAAGCAGAAGAAAGATCGAGTGCGTTTCGAACAGAGTTTTGACCTGGCTACTTGATACATCAACTGAATTGTGATAGGTACTCAATAGTGCAGACGACTTTCTGGACGGTAAATAACCCTCACCAGCTTCTCATTCCTATTGCTAATGTATGGTAGCTGGAGTCGAGTTTGAGGAAGCTGCAGGAAAATGGCGTGCGGGTGACTCCGCCAAGTCACTGCGATTCTTTAAGCGGTCCATTGAGGTCTACGACCAAGGGCTAAAGAAATTTCCCAATAGCTTGGACCTCGCCTACAATAAGTACGTATTCTCTGCTTACTGGAATTTGGAAAATACCAAAAATACTAATCAACTTCATAGGGCACGAGTACAGTTGGAGGTTGTGACACACCCCGTTTTGGTTGATCAAATAGAACAACCCCTACTGGATGTGCTTCAAGTAGCGCTGGAGTCACATCGGTATGCGTTGAAACTTGATCAAGATAATGCCGATACTCTTTTCAACATGTCTACGGTCCTGACAAGCATTGCTGAGCACATCGCCAACGATGACGATCTTGCCGACGCGGACGCCCTGAAAGCGCTCCAGGAGGCGCTGGAATTGCAAAGTAGGTGCCTGGACATTCAAGAACTGAAATATCAAGAAAGCGTTGAGCAAGAACGTCTTGCCAATGAGCAAGTGAACGTAGACAACAATTATAGTGAAGCTGAACCTCAATCTGAACCGAACACTTCAGCCGAGGAACTGGAAGAGGAGCAGTGGGTTACAGTTGTCCAGCCTGTCACCCAAGAAACATTGATCGACACCATTTCTGCCCAGTTGGGTACCCTGACGACTTTTTGCGATATCGTCAGCAACTGTCCAGGGTCTGTCCCACCGGAGACGTTTCCGTGGGTTGAAGCTTACTCGACAAAGATATTACAAAAAGTGCCAACCCTCTCGCCGGACAACCAAGAGAACTTACAAGAGCTTGCCATTGCCAAGGCCAAGTTCCTCTCTGCTGCGCTAGAAGCCGGGTTCAAGTCTGGAAAAATTGATGCAGCGACGTTCAAGAGAGAACGTGATGCGGCTTACACCATTACAGAGCTACGGAACTCTTCCGAGGCTTTGATCGCTGACGGTCGGTCGCTAATATCATTCAACTCGGCTTTGCTTGACGCTGAGCCTGAAGACCTGCAATCCTATTCGACAGTGCGATGGAATGCTCTCACAGATAGTATAGCGAGCCTGAACTCTGCTTCAAAGATTGAGGGTGTCGCTAAAGAGGACGTCGCCTTGACTCACCTTCTGCGCGGCGATTCTTCCATGTACCTTTACGTCATGGGATACCCTCCAACATCTCACAAATCCGCCGTGGCCAAAGCCCCTCAGCTTCTTAGGAGTGCTGAGGTATACTACCGCAATGCGAGCACGCTTTCCCAAGACGACGAAGAGAAAAGTGTCGCTGGACTGCGGTCAGCAGTCGCACTCTACCTGCAGCAGAAGGCCCAAGGACAAGGAGATGTCAATTCGCTACTGAAATCCTCCCGACACGGGCAACAATGGTCTATAGAACAGTTGCAGGAAATGGTAACCGAAGGACTTTTACCTCAGGAATTTCAATTAGCTTGACGGAGTGTATACTCATTAGGCTACACTGAAATCTGAAACAGAATGGCATCATTTTCCCCGACCAAGCAGACATCATCCCTGAGAAAGCACCATGGCTAATGACATCGCCACAGCTAGCACAATGAGGCAACTCAACATCACATCATTGATCGTAATGTACGACAGACGTCAAGATGTCGACCTCGAGGTGTCAACCTTGGCAGCTTGTGAATACCGACAGTACTCCTCCTTGCCTTTCAGCCAGAGGCACCATCATCGACTTGTGCCGAACACAGCCAGCTGTCGGTTGAAAAGGATTGAGATAACTGATATTACCAGCCAGTGTCAACAGGAATTACCTCGACAACACCACTCGCACGCAAATTTTGGGAAGTTACCTTTTGGGCAACTACTTGACTCGAGTTTGCCGTTGGTATGTGTTGTGTTACACTAGACCATTATTGTGAGGGTGACCAGAGTTCGGACCATACGTCATCGAAACTCTATTTGACGCCCATCTAGGTCGCTCTCGCAAGCATGGTTGATGAGTTGGGGCATCAACTCAAGATATCTTACACCGATCTGCTCGGTAAACATTTCTGTTGATCATATTCCGTCAAAGAGGATCATGGTCATGCTGCGGCGACGGTTTCGTCGCCGCAGCTCACCTCACCACCAGACAACTCATCCCGAGCGCGAAACGACATGGAAAACGCCGGAGGGACCGACACCCTCCCTCCGGACTTTGTCGCAGAGTCCGATGTATCTTTGGTGATTACGACAATACTCGTCGCAACGTGCATAATGTCGATATTTTTTGTGGCCAGAATCTACACCCGCGCTGTGATCTTGGGGAAAATGTTCCTCGAAGATTATAAGTCCCGTAATTATCGTTCCACAGGGCTGACAAGTAACCCACGTTGATCACAGACCTCAATATGGTTGAACGTGAGCTTTCTAATCAAAGGATACCAGTCGGGACTGGGCCGCCACTGGAAAAGCTTGAGCGACCAGAACAAATCAGAAGCGAGTCTATGGTATGCAATTTCAACTTGGCCGGCTCTTGAGTCCCAGCCCTTAGCACAAAACCCTACTGTGGTGCTTCGCCATACTGTGCACGGTTAATATGATGCTTATGACCTTGATACTTGCACTGCCCTGTAGACCGGTCAGAGCCCAATGGGATGCGACCATCGTCGAAAAGAAGTGCTTGGATAGTTGGCTCATCATCCATATTTGCGTCTACGCGTCGGCATTCTCGGCCTTTCTGGACGTATATTCGGCACTTTACCCAGCCGCAGTCTTTTGGAAGCTCATTTCGGATTCGAGGAAAAAGATTGCTCTCAGCCTCATGCTGGGACTGGGCGCCATGCAAGTTGATCCTTGGTTTCTTTGACGCAGCGTGCTGATTCCTTGATCAATTTGGCATCGCTTCTGGCGTCGCAATCTACAAAACAGTACATCTGACAGCGATAGCTAGTTCTGATTCGACTTGTGCGTCAGACAAGCCTAGTCAAACTGAGACGTGACGGGACTGACTTTAACTGCTCGTACCAGATGACAGTGCCGACCTCGTCATTTCAACAAAGTGTGTGCTCAACGCGACCTTACTTTTATACGTGAGTTATCACTAACACCCGCCGCGAATTCAATCTCGAGGGCTGCGCTATTATTACAGCAGCTTGTATACCGACACTTCGCCCCCTCTTCGAAAAGGTACGCGGCCAGAACGAACGATCGTCCGATCGTATGCGTGATCAGCGACCTGACCAAAACCAAGGCAACAGCCCCGTTCAGTTGGTGCAGCCGCTGGATACTGAAAAGGGATACTTGAGGTACGTTGGACTACACCTGGAGGGTTTTGGTTTTATATTGGAATTAACAATAAGCTCGCTGGTATATAGATGGACGGGACACCGCATGCATTTCGGGATCGCCCTGTGTGGCAGGGTTGGATCATGAAGCGCTCCTACAGTTTCTCGAAGACGTCCAAGAGATACGGAAATCGCCTGCCCGTTTGCTACTTTGAGCTCTCAATCAGGAAATAGAAACGCAGTATGATGCGGGAAGAAGGACGTGTTACAAGACTAGCCGCCAGCGTAAATGAAACCAGTAGCAGTAGAATTATCGGGCAAAATCAGACATAGATGAGACTAATTGATCTCGCATGTTCACAATGATGTCAGTTATGGAGACCTAGACGAAGAAACTCCGCTCGCATGATGTGGCTACCTGAAAGCCGTGTTCAAGTGAGACCACTGCCGCAACCGGCCGGAGCAACTGCTGAGAAGATCTCAAGATCAGAGACCGCCCCAGCAACGAGTCATATCGTGCTTCGTAGGGTCATTGCGAGGTGGCAAGCTGATGAAGACACGGGGGGGGGGGGGGGGTTCCTGTGCACCTGAACAATGGCCCTAAAATGAACGATGATGACCTGCAGGTGGTCTATGACAGTCCATCGCAAAACATTACTAAATAGTAACAGTTTGCCGACCTTGGCGGCAATCCCGACTCAAATGAAGACATAGCGTGTCGAAAGGGGCGAAAGGGGTCTATCCTCGGGATACTGGATGGTTTACCGGCAGGCCCACTCTTAGAACTTCACGAAGACGCGGCTTCTCAGGATACAAGGATGTATGCCACTACTCGCCCACAAGTTGCAAATGTCCGGTCTAGCATTTATGAATGGGGCGGGGTCGTGAGGTGTTGTATGAGAGGAAATAGACGAAGAGATCGATGGTCTTAGAGACGAAAGATCCACGAGGTGCGTTTAAGCGTCATAGAGATTGAGGCTGAAAGAGGTATGGGTTAGGTGAGCTGAGGGGTGGGGGAGAATGCGCCTGACTGACGAAGTAAAAGAAAGGTCTGTCTGGAACCTGTCGACCGGAACTACCCATTCAGCTGGAACACGCGCACAGAGGAGGATTCCGCGTGGCCAGAAGTGAGAGGAAGGGCATTTGGGGCAATTACTTTCATATGGCTGGCAGTTGGGGTTGCTAGAATCGGAGGGCTAGATTCCCCAAGATCTATGAAGTCAACATTGCACAGCTAAAAGCGATTGTGGTGGAAGAACCGGTTCGTGTCAATCGAACGACAACGCGGGGATCGTTCCTCTTTGGTGCACTGGCTTGGCCGCTAGCAACGAGGAATACGTCCTGGGCTGGGTAGGTTGCGAGAGGTAGAGGTACTATGTGTGTTTACATTGAAGACACTCCAGGCCACCATTGTTCGCAGCTTCTTCAGCTCGTACCTGGCGTGACAGAACCATACCATGGTCGAATGGAGGCTGGACTGGAGGCTGCAATGCAGATCTTACAATAGAGCAAGTCGGGAGTTGCAGGGGCAGACAAGTCGACGAGTAATCGATTGCGCTGAGTTTCGCCCTGACTCGCGTCTAGCTTGCCTGTCGTACTGCTTGCCGCTTTCTAGCTGCACTCCTACGAAACCCGAGCCTCTAACGCGCTGTCGAGCGTTTCTTGCTGGTGCATCTAGATCTCCTGGGCACAATCGTATGGTTGGTCAAGCAGGCTTTGGAATCTGAGGCTGGAAGGAATGGCTCTAATAGTGTGCCCGTCTCGCCGGGCCCAAAGCAACCCAAAGCAATAGATTCGATGCCGCCAACCTCAATCCAACGAGCCACTACGTCACAGCTTAGCTTCAGTCGAGGCACCAAGCTACCGAGAAAACAACGCTATAACGTGGCTGACAAACACGCCTTCGCTGGTGTATTATGGCCGAGAGTTCGGGAAAGAGAGAGAACAGACTAGACCCCGCGCGCATTGAATTGCTGCAGCAGGTGAATTTTTACCGAATGCGATGAGATTCCCCGTTTCAACGGGTTGGATGTTTCCCGACTGTCGGAACGTTCGCGACTTCCCAAGTGATTTCCCAGGGTCCTGCACGCTGCCCCCTTCCTAGTTCAGAATCTACATCGCTTGGCGTTACTGCGTTGTAAGTAAGTGCAAGCCCGCTCCGAGTGTGTGCACTTTGTACCATCATATTTGTATCTCATCGAGATGCGCTGTAGCATTGACGGCTATGATTGGCTGGCACCGCATGACATGAGCCGTTGAAGTACCTGTACGGTTCCGCTACTCGGTCGGGCTTGTTTGAGGGGCGGCTCCTAAAACCCTCCACACCTCCCACCCACTTGGCCGGAAAGACATGTATGATGACCTCTACCATCTTCTTGGACGCGAAGGCAGACACAACGGCTGTTACCACTATATATCGCTGATTCTAGTGTTCTAGAGATTTGCCATTGCCCCGCTTTTAGGCGTATTTTTTTTTTTTTTTTTTTTTACATATTTGGGTCATCCGACAAAAAGTATCATGTTGCGAAGGTCTGGCCTGATCCCACTTGCGTCGAGACACCATCGTCACCTATGAACCAGCGGCATATATGAACTTGGCTGAAAGTCCCGGTTGGCCCATTTCCCTTTCCCGGTGCCGTTGCCGTCATCGGCCACCGCAACACCCTCCGTGACTTTATCTCACCCTGTTATTATTTAATTAGTATTATCTCGCTTCCTTTCCGCAAAATATTAAACCCACTGCTGTGTTCCCAGCACAGAGCTGGACGACACAGATGCGTTCATGTCCTCAATACAGGCCAATACCAGCCCGACGATACCCCCGCCGTCTACTCCTCCAACCCCGAACACCCCAACGTCCCAGAGCCGGTTCGAGAAGGATGACCTGTCGACTACCGCTGCCGCGGCCAGTAGTACGGCTTCGTCGCAGCTGCTGGACGCCGTCAAGGATGTGCGCCAGATTATCAGACTGGCGCAGTGCTGCGTGTGCTCCCGCATAGTCCAGGAGCCGACGACGCTGCCCTGCGGCGAGAGCTTGTGCAAGCAGTGCATCCCGCAGACGTATGTGCGCACCAACATATCGTGGCCGGCGACGGCGGGGCGGCTGCAGGCATTCAAGTGCCCCTTTACGAGCTGCGGGAAGGAACATGCTGTCGGCGACTGCAGCATCGATGTGACAGTGAACAAGGTGCTGGCTCTGTTCCGGGCGGCGCTGGACCAGGATCGAGATGTCAGTGACTTGTCTAAGCTGGCGACATCTGTAACCATTCACGACCGCTGGAAAGTGGCTGGACTGCCCAGCTTGGAGGAGAAAGATGAAACGACCAAGTTGTTGAAAGGAGGGCGCATCCTGGCGACTTACACCCTCGTCAACAACGGCGTGCTAGAATACGGAACGGAGGTGTTGTATACCTCTGTCGGCGCTCCAGAGGCTGAGGTCTCCAAGGTCGATGCCGCCTTATTTCTGAGGTTGAAAGAGTCGGTGCGCACTGAGATGGACTGCCAGGTCTGCTATGCGCTGTACCTCGATCCCTTGACCACATCCTGTGGTCATACATTCTGTCGGAATTGCCTGCAGCGGGTGCTCGACCACTCGATATACTGTCCGATTTGCCGCAGGGCGCTAACCATACAGCCTCAACTCAATTCGAACTCCTTTCCCTCGAATCAGCGGCTTTGCCAAATTATCAATGGCTTCTGGGCAGATATCGTGGCACTCCGCTCCCAAGCTGTTCGCATCGAACAGCAGTCGAACATTGGGGATTTCGATATCCCCCTCTTCGTCTGCACCTTATCGTTTCCCGCCATGCCGACATTCCTGCATGTTTTCGAACCACGTTATAGACTCATGATTCGGCGGGCGATGGAGGCTGATCGAACTTTCGGCATGGTGCTCCATAAGCAAGGTCAGGATGCAAACCCCCATTTCCACGCAATCGGCACGTTGCTGCGCATTGTAAACATTGAATATTTTCCCGATGGGCGGAGCTTGTTAGAGACCGTCGGCGTGTCGCGGTTCAGAGTCACGCGCCATGGACAACTTGACGGCTACATTGTGGGTAACATCGACAAAATTGACGACATCAGCCTGGCCGAGGAGGAGGAAATGGAAATAGTCGAAACGATGCGCGGTCAGGGGGTGCAAGACTTCACCACGCCGATGACTTCATCCACGACTTCGCAGACCAGTGTGACGAGAACAACGGGGAGGCGGTTGTCTTCGGCTTCCATGCCCCACGTGGAAGACCTTGAGCACATGTCCACTCGCCAACTACTTGACCTGAGCGTCGACTTCGTGAGGAGGATGCGAGCCCAGAGCGTGGCTTGGCTCACGACTCGAGTACTAGCAATTTATGGCGAATGTCCTACCGACCCAGCCATCTTCCCCTGGTGGCTTGCGAGCGTCTTGCCCGTCGTTGACGAGGAGAAGTACCGTCTTCTTGGAACGTCCAGTGTCCGCGAACGCATGAAGATCTGTTGCCGGTGGATTGTGGAATGGGAGTCTAGCAGATGGTAAGCTACTCGCCATTTTCTTGGCAAACCTTATTGGTTGTCCATCGTCGTTTTTCCCCGCGGCACCTTTTTGCGACCAAGTCGGCGTTGCGAATGTAGCCTGACTGAATTCGTAATAGCATCTCCATGGAATATATTTGTTGACCCGAGTGTGTGTACGATTCCAGGACCATTTCCCACTGTCTCGTCTTATGACTAGCCACCACGGGCGGCCTCTTGTTTCTGGTTATTGGTATGGTGGTCGTGGCCGACGGCAGCATCTGACCCATTGTATTCAGTTTGGTGGTGTGGTGGCATTATGCTGGGGAGGTTTACCCTGCCTGCGATTTAAACCTATCACCATATTGCTTGAACAGTGTGTCATCATCTTCATTCAGTACAGTCATATCCCTTCAGCGTTATCATATTAGTGATACCACACATGGGCGGAGTTTGTGTTGGTTGTTTTCGCCCTAGAATTGTTTGGGTCAACAACATGCTCATCAGTGTGGATGATGTCGTCATTGTTGTGTATAGCTAGCTGCATTATAAGACAACTTGGTAAAATTGTGTGTTTTCATCCATGGAATTTCTCACATGTCTTATGACGAAGACCGTGAGGCTCGGGGTGATAGGAATTTGGTGTGTGAGACGATGCTTCATTGTCCGGAGATTCAGCTGCCTCGGTTCGTGTGGTAAAGAAGCTTTTGGGGCTATACATGGCCCTCAAACGGTGCCAGTACAGACAGACATCTCTTATAATATCTAACCTTACGAGTTGCGGTTTAGCATACCTTTAGCAGCTCTAGGCAAACCCAGGGTGACGAAATTGCCGGTCTGTGTTCTCCCGGCTTTGAATACGTGTAAAGCACGCAGTAGGGAAACAACACTCTTTCCTGGGCGACTAGAGGGGGATTTCAGGAGCCGGCCTCGACACCCATTTCGCATAAAGTCGAATTGCATCAGAAACCGGTCCACTTCCTTTCTAAAACCGAAATCCGGGCTTCGTAATTAGTATCTGTCTGAGAGAATTCATTGCAGTGCTTTCGATGACGCTCAGTTCTTCAAAGCCCCTCCAGTGGCTGGGGTCCCACTCACGTAAGACAATGATCCTCAGAAGCACTTGACTGGAATGATGAACAGTTACCTATCCAAGAAACCCCTGCGGTTTTGTAAATAGCTTCGCATATATATATGGTCGTTGGTTCAATCTTTAGCCATTTCGTCATGCTTTTCATCAGGATAGACAATCCCCCCCATATTTGGAAACATGAACTTGAACGCCGAGTGTTGTGTTGTGGTACCGCCATAAACTGAACTGTGCCTGGACCCGAGCCGACCTATGCCTCTCAATATCTAAACATCGCCCGAAGTACGTAGTTAAGATACGAATTACATTTATCGATGCTGTCCCCGTCCCGAGGTATTCATCCACATAAATTCTGAGTGCATATGGTCGTTGGTCGTCCGTTTGAACCCTTTCCGTTCCCTTTCCCTTTCCAGAGCCCGCCCGACCTTTCCGGTATTGAGATGGTTCCCTGACTAACTGACTGATCTCCGTTCCGTCTCGAATTAAATAGGCACACGAGCTGATTTGATCCTCATATAATTGAATTGCATGAAAGAAAAGTTACAGTTTTCACATCATCACGGTTTCCGCTCCGCCCACCTTCCTTTGGCCGAAGCGGACCGATTGAGCGCCAATCTTCGCCCAATGTTGCCGAAACAGACACAACAGCAGAACAGCACGCTGAGAGTCCATATGCTCGACTCGATGGTTTCTTGGCTCGCCAGCCCGCCGAGCATCATCGTAGGAGGGGGCGATTCCAAAGTACTGTCGCTACTAGAAACATTGCTGCCAGCAATGGAGGCGCCAAAGGACGACTGACTCGCGGGCGTGGGTACCATGTCCGGATTGAGGCCCATAAGGAGTGCCGTCCCGGCCAGGCCGACCGCTGCGGAAAACAGAAAGCCCGGCTTCGACCGGTCGATCAGGTACCATAGGCAGGGGTTTGCTAAGGCCAACGTTAGGGAGACTTGGAGGGTCGACGCCCAGGGCAGTTTGCGCTACGGAATGTCAGTTCCGCCCTGATGGGGCTTCGGAAGAAGAGAGGAAGTTGGATGCACAACGTACGATGGCGAAAACAATGCCGACAAAAGCGCCGATGCCACGCACGACCAGGGCCCAGTCGGTATCGGGCTCGGATTCCGTGGAATCACAGCCCATGGTGTGTTCGGCAGCCGACTCGACTGCATCATCGTTACCGAAAACATCTTCCCATACGCCGTCGAACCATGGCAGCAAGCTGCCTAACACAACGCCAGAAACACCCCAGAAGGTCAGGTACTTCCAGTCGTACATTTGTGGTTGCACCATGTCCTCCATCTGTAATGCCGAGAACTTGCGCCCGTCCTGGAACCGTGCGACCAGAGCGCCATACAGCGTGCCCAGACCAAACAGCAGAAGTGCTCGCAGGCCAATGTAGAGAGCGGCGGCCGGCTTCGACGGCGGCATCATGCGTGGCGGCGGGTGGAGGGACGACCTTCTCCGCAGTACGTGTCCACGCTCCTTCTGTACCTCGTAGATTCCTTCGTCGGGGTTGATCCTCCGGGCCGGTGTTTCGGCCCCAGTTCCCCAGGGTGTGCTCGGCTCATCCTGTTCTGCAAAGAACTTGTTTTGGCCCGAGGTAGTCGGCGAGTAGATACCGAACAGCGTCGAGCTGGTGAGGTTCATGATGGACTGGGCGCGGCTGAGGGAGCCCGAGGCAGGGGCAGAGTCGAAGTCGCCATTGCGTTTGGTGCCGAGAAGACGAGAGTTGAGTGACTCAAGGTTGAGGGCGTTCGGGTCTCGTTGGGGAGTCGGCGGCAGCGACTCGTCGTCGTCGTCGTCTGTAGGTATCGGTCCTATGAAGTTGACGTCGAAGGGACGGCGGGGGATCGGCCGGAGGATCGGGGCGCCTTCATGAGACTTGGCCATTTGGTATGCTGGATGGCTGCTAATTGTATTCCGTTGATGCCCAAATATGTAATTTTGTCGCAGGACAGCTGGTCCTCAGGAAGCGATTGTTGAACCACTAGTAGGGGGTAGTCGAGTATCCTTGCCGCGCTCTATCGTCGCATGAATCTAGCAGAATGCAAGGTAGACCCCGTCGAGAAACGAAGCGAGTATGTTCCGTCCAGACCGTCAGTCAGCACATCACACGAGGGCACGGCAATGTTTGAACTGGAGGCGCGTCGAGGCTCGAGCTGAGAGCTGGAGCTGAAGTACAGACAGACACCTTGTCCCACGAGCAGGAATAAGGCCAGGCGATTATGAGAAGCCCTCAGGTAAGTACCGTAACCTTAAAAGGTGTCAAACTTTACCCAACGCCACGGGTTTTGCAATGGGAGGATTGTGCGCGCTCGGGTAGATGCAGCTGGATCGAGCGAGCGGTCTGAGTGACGAAAAAAAAGCGAATCGAGTGTGAACCAAATGACGGTCAACGAACCATGTGGTAGACAAAAAGAATTGGCAATTGCGAGAGTGGTTGCATTTGTGCAAAGTATGCATCCACCACCATAGATCTCGGCGCGAAGCCGTTTGCCCCGGGTTAGATACAATCCAGTCGCAGGCCACACACGGCCTGCCACGGCCAAGTCATGCCGCCTTCTCTTTTCCCGACGTTGCTTGTATCGACGCAGGGTGGAGTAGCGGCCGGGAAAAAGGCGAGCAAGCGTTTGAAAGAGCTGCTCCATCACTGGTCCATAGCATCTTGCCCCTGGTCGGAATGGAGCGAAATGGAGGGCAGTGGAGCCTGTCCCAACCGGTGATACAATCACATGCTACAGATGAGCACCCGATCTGGCGAGTCATCTGCCGTCATTCTCTCTTTCTCTGCAGCATCCATGATGTTTTTCCGGGGGTGAGAAGGTTGATTTGCCGCTACCCCACACATTCTATGGAGTCCTCGTACTTCGTGAAGCGCTGCATCACACCATGTTTCGTTGCTGTCCGTCAAGTCCTGCCTTGCAGATCGTGTATTTATGCCTTATATTCGTTGAGATGAATACATACGTGATAGCGCAATCCAACAACTTTGCAGAACTACCCTGCGGTGAGACATGATGTAGCGGGCCGGCTTACGCATCTATCCCGAGTCGGGTGCCTCGTCCGCATGTCGGCGGCCAGAAAGAGTACATATATGCATGCTAGCCGGATCTAATCTCATGCCAAGTCTACTCGCAGTCTGTCCAGTAGCGCCTCAGCCCCCTCTACATACACCGCTTCAGTCGTAAGTTGCATACAGTTGACGATAGGTACATTATTATTCTCGATCTACTGTTCCTCCTCCTCCTCCTCTTCCGCTTCATCCTCGCTAGAGATGTCTTCAAATTCCTCGTCGCTATCCTCGACACCATCAGGGCGGGGTATCATCACAAATGCCTCCACGCACGTAATCCTGTTTTGTGTGTCGTAGCTTCCCAGCAACTTGCCCATCTGCACTGCTTTTTTGGATTTCCTTGCCTTGTTCAAGTCGCCGATGCTCAGTTTGAACACGCGGAGCTTGCCGTCGCTGCTTCCGCATGCGAAATGTAAACCATCTCCTTTTTCGTCTGATGTCCGTAGGACCGCAAAGTCCTTGATTCGACCAGACACACCCGCTTCTTTTCCTCCCAGCTGCGCAACTAGCTTGGCAACGGATAGTTGGGGTGTTTTCTTGTCTTCGGTCGCTTTATTTGAGGTCAAGTCCTCAGCTTTCGTAGAGAAGAACATAATCCTTCCGTCCTCTGTCGATACTGCCAGAAGCGACCCATCATCCTCGCCTGTGTCTGTGGCAATATAGCAGATTTTGTGAATTTTGGTTTTCGGCTCCGACATGACTTTGCACTTGGGCGTGCCATCCATGCCAAATACCAAGAGGTTCCTATCGAAGCCCACGCAGAACTCCTCTCCAGTAGTGTCCCAGATGATGTTTCTGCCTTCTCCCGACAAGTGTCTTCCTTCACCAATATCTTGAAGTGTATCCCTGCCGAAATTCAACACGCCTGCCTTTTTCGCTGTCATCAGATTCCATAACCTCATACTGTGTTCGCCTTTGCTGACACTGATCATAAGCTTCATGCTCGGGTGAATGGCGAAGTCATTGACGCCGGCTGGCGTCCCGTCCAAGGCCGCCGTGTCACCACTCGGCCGGCCTTGGGGTTTGGGTTTGGGAACTTTGATACTCGAGAGCAGTGACCAGTCTCGTGTCCTCGTGACGGCTATCGTTGAGTCCTCGGACGAGGATATGAGTTTGGACTTTGTAGGAAACGACAGTTGCGTGACGGTAGATGAATGATGCAAAAGTGTGCCTATTTCACGGTTCTTGTGGTTCTCGAGAATCTTGCGTGGCGCAACTGCGGACAGCATGTCTTGGGATTTCCGGCTCGGCGGATGGGCTGAGATGTTGTAGACATTTATTCGTTCGTCAGTGCTACCCGTGGCAAGCATGACTTTCTGGGCCTTGTTGGGCTCTGGTTCCGACGGCGGAGAGATGGCGAGACATCGAACCGCCGAGTTATGAGCATTGAAGAGAAACGTGTCGGCAAATTCGACCTCGTCGTCGGTGGATATGGTGGCGGTGACACCGTGGAGGACGCGATCATAGGATCCCGCGACAATTTGGATTGTGATGGGATCCGAAGTCTTGGGCTTTTTCGTGATAACGGGCTCCTCGGTAGTAGTGCCATTCGAGGCGTTCCCTCGCTTTCTCTTGCTCATATTGGCGAATATTTCGTCAAGTTCTTGAAGAAACTGGATGCTTGTCGAGACAGATGAACCAAGATATCGAGTTGGTATGCAAGCAAGCCAGCATCACAAGAAGAAAAAAAGTTGTAAGGGCCGCTGTTTTCCCGCTTATCGCAGCTTATCGCTTCTTATCAACGAGGGCCCCCATCTGATAGAGCGAGCTACATGGCCGTGGAGGTCAATGTCGACCCCACCGTCGACATCCCCGCCCCCTCCCCGACGCTGATTTTCACAAGCAGTCTTCACGCAAGTTGTGATACAATCGTCTTATTTTTTAATTCATTACGCGCCTCGGGTCGCGAAGCTACTTTGAACTCCTCGTCCCCGTGGTGGGTATATGTGCAAACAGGCTCATATCTGTTAGAGCCCAGAGCAGGGACTACTGCTTAAACGACAATGCTTGCTATTCTTGGACCTGAGACATAACCTTGACTTGTTGGACCGTCCGACACTACCTGCAAAAGGACGCAACCAGGTCACAGGCATACACAACACCCAGCTTCTTAGACACTCAATGTGTCGTTATGCCCAATGCATGCCTTCAGGTCCAGACTAGACACCCTTGACTCCCCCAGCATATCGTGCGAGAGAGCGGATTTACTTTGGCACACTAGGAACAGGCGGGGTGGCACTACCACTAGAGTTTCGCTGATGCTGCGCTACTTGCTGCTGAGCTTGAGCGGCCTGGGCCTGTTGCTGCGCCCTCAGCAGCTGAGCATATTGATGAGGGCCGTTAGCAATTGCCGTCTGCCCTGGTGAGCCCGCAGCGGCATTCATCGCCGACTGTGCGAGATTGTTGTGGCGGTTCTGCAGCAATTGTTTTGCCATTTCCCGCACCATGTCTTGAGGTGTGTTAGGATTTGACTGCCGGATCTGACTCTCAATGTGTTGAAGTTGTGAGACATAGGTCTGATGGATCTGCTGGGGCATGGCAGCAGGCGGTCGCGGGGATCCTGACTGACCAGCCGGCATATTCAGACCCGACGCCGGAGGCGTCGACATTCCCGAACCGTTTCCGTTGCTGAAGGATGCAATCATGGCGTGCGCATTGTTACTCATGTAGTTCTTCTGGTTGACACCGTTCGCCATAGCGGCTCGCATAGCTGGTGGCGAGTTTTGTAGAGTTGCGTTGGCTTGTTGCATGCCATGGGTTTGCTGTTGAGCTTGCCGCATCTGCACTGCGTGACGCTGCTGTTCCGAGATACGTTGGGCCTGCAAAACTAGACCGAGGTCTGGTTGTGTAAGTATTGACACGCGGTTTTGGCCGTTGACGACGGGCATCTGCACTTGTCCATTCCCGTTCATCTGCATAGGCGGTACAAGAGTACCGGCAATGTGTCCCTGGGCCATATTGCCATTGGGGGCTGCTTGTCCTGGCATCCTAGGCCGAGCTTGACCGTTGACTGCCATCTGATTGGGCACGCCAGCACGAGCCATATTGGCGAGAGGATGAGTAGCACCTATCTGCGCTGGATTTTGCGGCATCTGCGCGTTCTGCCCCGCGGCCAGTTGCGAAGTGTGACCCTGCTGCGCTCTGGCTTGCATCGTGGCCTGCGCTTTAGAGTTAGCATTGCTCGACGAACTGTCAGCGGTAGGTCGTACTCTGCGCTGTGCTTCGGCGCGTTGCTGTTGTTGTGCCATCCTCTCTGCCAACCTCTCGGCCATCGCTTGATCCCGCTCCCAGCGCATGATGCTATATTCGCGCGGAGTCTTCGTAGGCCCTGTTCTGGGTTGGGGTTGCTCCTGAGCCTTCCGCATGGCAGCCAAACCGGCAGCGTGTTGCTGCTTCTGGATAGCGGTTTCACGCTTTTTCGCGAGTTTACGCATCGCGTCTATCATTGTAAGGTGCTTTTGGTTCCTGCGTCGTTCCACCTTCAGTGGCAAAGATAGGCGTCTCCGCACGACGGGTGTGACGGGACCGTTGGGCCCGGCTTGCTGCTGCTGTTGTGCTTGCTGCGCAAGGGCATTTTGGTTCTGCTGCCGAATGACCTGCTGAGCCGCGTCGATACGAGTCTGCCATAGCTTAAAGTACTGTGTCTTCTGCATGTCGTGGGGTAGTCCCTCGAGCATAACCCAGCGTTCAAAGCATTCCCATGGTGTTCGCCTCTCAGCCCCAGAAGTGAATGATGATTTGGTGGAGAGCATACTTGATATGAGAGACCAGTTGTAGGAGTATTCACGAACCAAGCCTTTGAGCTCGTCGTCTTCGCTTACCGTCCATTGAGAGCAACTCCGCGACTCGTAGAATGCTTGAAGCGGCATTGTGTGCTCATTAGGTGGACGGAACTGGTGACCTGCGTGCAGTCTGTCTCTTATAGCCTTGTTTGCTGGTTGGAAGAGAGCCACATGGGGATTCTGCGGCTCCAATGGAGCAGGCGTGCTCGATTGCTGGCTGAAGAGCACCTCTTCATCATCATCTTCTTGGGCATACTGATACCGCGACTTTTTCCGCGGAGGCTCTTTAGAAACCAACTCGATGCGACCTTCAACGTACTTGCTGATTGGCAATACGTCACGCTTCCAGCGGGAATCGGGATCTCGACCAAGGGCAGTCATGTCCGTGTTTGGGACTTTCAGGGGAGATCCGTACATAGGTAACTCGTCCAGCAGTCGATCGGTATTAGGTGAGTGATGAAGACCAAATACCACATCATCGCTCTCCAATGCGAAAATGGCTGAGGGTGCGACGGTATCCAGGATATTCTCGTGGGGTTCGTCATCCTGCTCCAGGGGTGAGTCAATACCGGCAGAGGGGACGAGGTCTGGAGGATTAGGGTGATTCTCCACATCTTGCTCCTCCCCGTCATTTGGGTCGGTGAAATGCTTGTCCCACTCGAGATCACCATCAATCCAGGTTGGCCTTGGAGGATAACGAGGGAAAGCAGCGTTGACTTGCAGCTCCCTTTGCTCCTCGGGGTAATCCTTCAGTGCGACCCAATCTGCACAAGCCGAGGCGAGGTTGCGTGCCACAGCCCTTTTCCACTTGCCTTCCTCACGAAAATCTGTCCTCATCCACTTCATTTCCCTCAATACGACGTCCCAGTGAGACTCTTGACGCGAAGGCTCTGGACAACGTTTAGGCTGCCTTAATGACCACTTATCAGCATGCTGCAGTTGGTAGACACGTCGTAGAACTTTGCAGGCTTGGTTGTCGAGTATTTGTGTATACGAATCAGGGGTCGAAACGGTTTTATGAGCGTGATGGAGAATTTGTTCCAGCGGTTTCATCCATTTCTGTCCGTTCGAATATCCTTGTACAAAGAGTGGCGTAAAGTAGTCGTCGCTGAGTTGCTGACTGGGCGTTGGGTGAGTCTGAACTACGGACTTGGCTCCATCAGATGATTTCCGCGGTTGCTTCCCAAACACCACCGTGGAGAGCTTGCTTTTATCTTTGGATCTTGCCTTCTCAATGAGGCTTCGAGACCGAGGTCTAGGTGACTGTGATGTGGGCGTAATGGGGGCATGAATGTGGGGTTCTGAATCAGACGAGCGCGATGCGGCTACACCCTTGGGATGGTCGCCAGAAAGGATCTCCGAGACAGACTTTTGTCTGATAGCACCAGTAGAGACTCGAGTAACGGCACGATCTGCGTGTTGCGGAATGGAAGATGAAGCCTGGGGTATTCGGGGCTTTGACTGTTCCTTCATACCCTCTGGTGTCTCAAGGTCCTTGCACTTGTCTGGCCTCTCTTCGCTTGCTGGTTGGTTGGGAACTTCAGTCATAATCGTATCAACATCGTCCTTCGTAAGTGAGCCGGCCGCTTCGGCTGCTGTCGGTTCAGTTTCCGGGGGTACCGGAGGTTCGGCAAGGACTGGTTCGGACGCTTTACCATGCGACTCGGAAATTGTCGCGTCGGTGGTTTTACTAGCCGTCGTTTTTGCAGCGTCTGCAGAATCACGAAGAAGCTGCGCCTCAACTTCCCTCGAAGAACCTACAAATGTCCCATTCTGTTCGGCCGCATCTAGATTGGGAGGCGTCGGCGTGTTGATATCTCGAGGTTTCCCAGCTTCAACAGCATCCTCAGCCCTCTCCATATACTGCATACCATCGTGGTCGGGACTCGTGTTTGTGGAAGTATCAAGAACGGCCGGGGTGGTCGCTGTCTGCGCTGTCGATCCAGGCGATGAGAGAACATCCAGAGGCCGAGCGTCCTGCTGTGAAATGTGAAGAAACAAAGGTGCAACCTCTGTAGCCGCTCGTTCCACTGGTTCGTCCACTTCCATTTCGCTCTGCTCATCCTCTTTACGTTCGGAGCCTTCCCGTGATGCCGTGTCACTGCGATCAAGGTTCGATTGTCCTGGCTGGGGTGCGTCGGGGCTTGTTAGTGCAGTACGGGGAGGGTGTTCTTGAGGCTTCAGCGGTTGTGGCGCATCACGACTGCCATTATCCGTCTTGTTTCCTTTCAGCAATCCATCCTGCCCAAGAGGCTGAGTTTGGATAGCAGAAATCTGCTTGTGGGACGACAGCTGGTTTGGCCTTGCACTGGAACTTCCGGCTTTAGCTGGATCTGATTGTGAGTGTATGGTTTTTGCGGTAGGCCCAAAGCTTGTTTTGCTCGCTTCTGTGGCAGGAATCACATTGACCTGGGGCTTCTGAAGTAAGACTGTCTTGTTCTGCACCTCCGTGGGTCCCATACGTTCTGGCGTGGATGCCGCCTGGTTTGCAACACTCGGTCCATCGACGACTGGCAGTTTAGCTACTACTTGCGAGGGCGCGTTCTCGTTCAAGACATATGGTCCACTCGGAGTCGGCTGGCGGGGAATCTCATATCGACGCCTGGGTCGCGGTGGGATGTTCAGTTCGTCGAGTTTGCGTCCTCTGGGAGTTTGTCAATAAGGTGGATTGAGCGCCAAAGCAGATTCGCGAGCGAAAAAAAAGCATATGACACATACTGCAAGATGTCGCACCCTTCAAGAAATCGTGACTCGGCTGCGTTGATGGGCGTTGCGTCGGGGTCCTGAAAACTGATGTTGGGGATGCCATCCTCATTAGTTGCGACCGCATATAACGATCGCAACTTGCGTTTTCGTGATCGTGCAATTGAACTAGAGTCCATCAGCACCCCGAAAATTATATCGCTGGCATCGGGAGATTGAGCTCTATTTTATGATGCGGCACTTACCTGCATCTTTCGCGCTTCTCATTTAAGATCTGGAGGTGAGTGCTAGATGCCATGGCCAGCGGCCATCAGCGACCGCGACATCCGTTTAATAAAAAACGGACACCTTTTCTGAGCTCAATAAAACTTTGCGTGATGATATGCGCAGTTTTAGGGATGGAATGAATGGCGTTGGGTCGTAGGCAATGAAAGTCGTGATTGATCTGATTTTTCGCAGCACCTCACGTTAGCACAAGTTCCGCTGTGACAGTTGCTGGAGGCGCGATTGTGTTCAATTTTGGCGGGCCAAATGTTGGTCAAGGACAACAGGCACGGTGAACGGGTAAGGCAGCTGGCAGGTACGTAGGCAAAGGTAGGCACTCTGTACTATGCTTTGGAGTGGGATTACCCCAAATCCGAATGGACTGGGGTTCGGTTAGCACAGCTCCTCACTTGTCTCTTGACAGCTGGCAAGTTGATACATAATGCGCCTTCCAGAGCAACTTTTAGCAATGCAATAGCGTGTTTACTGTGCTCGTTGGCAGGCACCAAAATGCAAGCTAAGTACGCATAGTACATGTTCTTGCAATGCGCTTCATGAAAACACATCAGCCATTGGGTGGTGCCTTCCTAGAGTCAACACATGAGCATGCTTGGAAGTCAGATTAAGGCGTGGTTGGTGGCGGGGACCAGTCAAATCAGAACTCAATAATAACGAACTCCAGAGCCTGCGATTGATGCGAAAATCGATAGACGCGCTGATTTCGTTGATAAACTATTAGAAGACGAGAAGATTGTACAGGATAGAGATCTAGGGAGAAAATGACGTTACCATAAAGGATATGTATAGAACTACCCAATGTGACCGTTGTGTTCCTTAACAGTTCTTCTCTTTGAATAAAGTCAGGCTAGTACTTACGGTAGCTACTGAAAGTCTGGGCCGAATAGACCTCACAAAACAACAAAGTATGACAACCTTCGAGGTTGCGAGGGGTTTCCTATCAGATTCGGAGGAATGAAGAAAAATGCTAAGCAGAATTAGATATTACCTACCCTAGCCTTGTTGTGTTTGCTAAGATAGTCGATCTTGCCTCTGACGAGGAACCAATGTACATATTGGCAGTGACTCCCATTGTAAGCTGCTGAAAGGGGGAGGCTAGGACGCTTTGCAGCGCAAGAAGCCTCCGGCCGGAGTCATTTGAATGGAAAGTGCATGATAACTTAGAAAAGCAGAAAATTAAGCACCCCAAGGTATTTGTTGGGGGAAACAGGTTTTGTACAGTGAAGTCGATTTCAGGTTGATGAAACTAAGTGCGAAGGTCAAGATCTGGTTCTTCATTGGTTGCAGAGATTGAGACATACACAGCCACAACCTCGGATCCTTCCAAGTCAAATTTGCATTATTTGAAGCTGCCCTTGAGCATTTGGTCTATGCACTCAATGAGCCACACTTTCCGCCTCTAAAAGTACAAGTAGGCCTGCATTATTATTATCGCGCTCAGGCCTCTACCTCTAGGCTTCGTTGCAGTCACCAAAGCCCGATCTTTCACCGCTAACAAGACCAACTGAACATCACGTACGCTGCGAAAGAGGTCAAATATCATGTCAGACTCCAAAGAGCCCTCGCGCATAGGCTTCAAGCTTGGTGGAGCTTCATCCCGCTCACCAAAGCCTGCAAACGGCGCAAAGCCTCCTCGGCAACCGCAGTCATCCTCGTCGTTGGGCAAACGCCCCCGATCCCATGCTTTTGAGCCCGACTCCGACTCAGGAGAAGACGAATTCACTGGAAGACATGAGGCTGTAACCGAGTTCGGCACCAACGGAGCCGAGAATGAGGGCAGAAGAAGAGAAGCGAAAGCATCACGGACTAGCGAAACCCCCGTCATCGCCTGTCAGACTTCGCAGTGGGATAACGTCATGAAATCTCGGAGACCTCGAAACGAGGTAAAATCTCTATCATTGAAGGAAACGGACGTCGCAGACGCGGACAAGGACATTGAATGGGGCTTGAATGTTGCCGATAAGTCCGTTTCAAAGCAACCACCTGCGGCAGCCGATCGCAAGACTGAGGCGGACAACCGACTTGCGGAAGATAACAACAGCGATGATGAAACCGACGACAACATGGAAAAAAATGCGATGAACGCGCTCCTCGGCAAGGACAAGCGAAAGAAGCAGAAATTGGTCATCACGGAGGATGATGCACTGAAGCGCGGTGTACAGACTGCTGGAGAGATTTCTACGACAGATGAGTATGACCAGATACCCGATGGCGAGTTCGGAGCCGCAATGCTACGTGGCATGGGTTGGGATGGAAAACCAGTCGTGACTAAGCGCAAGGAAGTCAAGCGAAGACAAAACCTGCTGGGTCTTGGGGCAAAGGAGGACGAGGAGATTAAGAAGCTCGAGCTAGCCAAGAAACATGGACACCGCGAGCGGCGTCCGCGACTGGACGAATATCGCAAGGACGAGGAACTTCGGCGACAGAGGCGCGAGGAGAAGCACTCGAACAGCTACAGGAACGAGCGCGAACGTGAGAGACGTAGCCGAAGGCACGACGAGAGGGATCGAGACCATCCTCGTGGCAGCGATCGCCATCGTGACAGAGACTCGACATTGAGCAGGCCAAACACGCAGCAAAGACTAATCAACACGGAGGTGACACCAAAGTCTAGGGCAACACACCCATGAAACCGACAGACCGCGGATTGAAATGAAGGCAGTGAAGCCAGAACGAAATACCAATTCACTTGCATTAGCCGTTTCGCAAAGACTGATCCTTAGTGATATCTGGTAGGTAAATTTGCTATCTAAACATCATCTCCAGTTACTGATACATACGTGTGCAAAGTGACGATGGTTGTACATGGCGCCCTCGCCCTGCTATCCCTCTATTGCTGTACTGATTCCCGCCAGGTTGCTATTTAACCTCCACTCCCTCCACCGTCAAGCAATACACCAGAGACGCCAGACGCGCTCGCAATGCTATAGCGGTCCAACCCCCTTATAGCCACGAGATGATCCAACGAGTACAGTCCATTCCCTCCGGCTTAGCCTCGCTTGATGGATCCGGAGTCACAGAGCTTCTCTTGACTGCTCGGCTCGCTGGGCAAGCTCTTGACATGGAGATGCGCAGAGCTGAACTGGTCAACAGGAGTCGACTTGAAATTCCTGGCTTTGACTTTGCCGTGGAATAAGATGTCCAGTTCACCAGGAGTTCTGCCTTTGAGTTCCGGCAGTCGCCAGAACGCCCACATCCAGCACAGGAAGCATGAGCCGGCCCAGAGCAAAGTGGCTTTGGGACCCCAATTCCAGCCACCGGGGTTCAACATCTGTGGGTTCAGTACGACGCTGAGAATTCCTGTTTGCCGTTAGCCACGTGCCTGGAGCTCAACAAGCCTTGTGTCATCGCTTACCGCAGAAGTTGTAGCAGATTCGTGCCAACGCCACTGTTGGTGCCTTCAGTGCGACTGAGCATATGTCTGTCACCATGGCATAGCAGCAGGGTCCGACGCTTGTATCGTAGATGACGATGTAGACAGCCAGCTGCGAGACATGTCAGCAACCGGTTGGATTCGGTGGCGACACGAAAGAAAGAAGAAAAACAATTTATACTTACCAAGATTGCAGTGGCCCACTCGTGTCCTGATCTCTTTGTTCCATCTTGTGGTATAAAGACATTGAGCAGGCCGATGACGAGCAGGACTAGGAAAAGGACCCATAGGCCCCAGATGTAGATTGTACGTCGACCAGTATGGTTCATGAGCACCCAAGCAAGCAGGGTTCCTGCCACACCAAGGACCAGCGCGATAATTTGCACGTTGAAGGCTTGATCAGTGCGGAGGCCGGCCTGAGTAAAAAAGTACGCGGCAAAAGCCATCAAGTTGGATCCGCATAGTGCCTGGGCCATCCAGATGCCACAGGTGATCTCGGTTCTCCGTCGATCCACACCGCGGAAGCACTTGATATAGCTCCTCAGCGTGCGTGCGTCTTCCTTTGAATCGTTGCGATTGGCCTCCTGCAGGATGGTATGCTTGATCCACTCGAGCTTGTTGTTGATCTTCTCTTCGTTGTAGTTGGTTGTCCTCTGCAGAGACAACCGAGCGGCCTCCGTGTGGCCATATCGCTGAAGCCACCATGGCGATTCAGGGGCAAGAAGCACAATGACGAGGATGGGCAACGGCCATATCCATTGCAAGGCAAAGGGGATGCGGAATGCCCACTCGCCGCGCACGTTCAGGAAGCCTCGGAGCACGAGGGCCGCGATGAGCTGGCCGAAGACCCAGCAAACATTGGCATAGGTTGTCACGTAGGGCTTCATCACCTGGGGGCAGACGTCCGAGGCGTAGGCAATCGGCATGGTCTCGAATACGCCCCAGGGAATGCCTTGCATAACCTCTCCAATGAGAAGTACCGGCTTGTTCTCGGCGAAGAACGGGATCAAAATGAAAACGATCATGAGTGCCAAGGCGCCGAGCATCGTCCTCTTGTAACCGATCTTCTGAGCAATCAGGCCGGCCATCAAGAGGCCGGTGATCTGGCCAATTTGGGCACCCGCTGAGAGCGCCGTTTGCCATGCCGGCGGTACTTCTCTGTGGGGCCAATTTTTTGACTTGGGCGATAATTCTCCAAATTCCACCTGGTAAGCAACTGTGTTAGCCGGTTTGGTCCATAATCCAAACTCGAGCAAGTCTCGTACCTGAAATTCTGGGAAAGCATAGAAGCCGGCAATCAATGCCAGGTCAAAGCCTTCCATGATGATGGCGCTTGTGAAGAGTACAGACCAGACCAGAGCTTTGCAGTGAGTGACACACCCTCGCTTGAAGGTCATATCCTTCTCTTCCTCGGCTGCCTTTCGAGCGCCGTCTGTGATGGCTTGCAGTTGCGTGGGGTCGTCATTGGACATCTCTGTTAGTTGCCTGTCTGGCATCCTTAGGATTTTATCGCCTGTCTCCTCGTCGTGCCACTCAAGAGGGCTAGTTGGAGCTGGCTTTTCGTTTGCCATGGCTGCTTTTATACACAAGACGCATTCACTGTGACATTGACATGGACACGATGAAAGCTAGGAACCTCTTTGTCAATACAATGCCCTCTGTTCTAAGTAGGCACAGTCTTTTTGGCTGAAGACATCGCCCGGGGCCTCTGACAGCCGTTGAGTGGTCATCAGGGTCCTAGAAAACAAGTGCTCAGTCAAACTTTATTGGAGGCTAATGATCTAACAGAAAAGATGACAGGAGTCTATTTCAATGCCAAATACGCAGTTGGTTCAAAGACGGGCTACTCTACATGGAAGTAGAGAACACGACCGGAAATGATAAGTCTTAGGGGGCTTCCCAAGTTTCTGGGTGTGGCTCCGGACCTGCTCTAGAATGGTCGTCAGCTATCGCCTCAATATCATCCAGAACATCGTCTCTGTTGACTCAACCGCTTCTTATTCTAGGGACTTATAACGTCGTTCTAGTGGTCCCTCCTGCAATCCAAATAAAGCCGATCGATGATGGCCTGGCCCCCAGGTCAACACAACAAGGTTTCGGGTGAACCAAATATCCATCGTACTCAAATTACTCGCTCAGTTGCCGTCACGTCGTACCCGATATAACTAGTCTGGGATAGCTCTTACCTTAACATCAAATTGGCAAGACAGCTCTTTTATGCAGCGATAATATGTGGTTGCGGAGGCTTCTTGGAATTATGATGAATACTGAGTTCTCACCTGGCCTCAGGCCGGGGAAATCAAGGCTATATGCGTGGGATGGCATGATACTTACGAAAGCACTCTCCGCAACCAGTTTGAGACGTACTGCTTGTACACAATATGAACAAGAAATTTTGTCAGCAGTTGACGATCAGTGGCGCAGCAATGAGGTTACCTATTACTCAACAGAGTCTTTCCCTAAGCGGATCACAATTGGTGGAAACGGAGTCAACATGGTCAACTTCTTTCTCCATCTGCGTTGTGTGAGCCAAACGTCTTACATAGGTTTCATCATCCAGATGATCACATATAAGCTCAGAGGAAGCGGTACGGCCAATGGAGGCCTGCGCGGGAAGTACGGCATCTCGAACACGCCCCATACGCCACATCTAGCCGCGCTGCCCTGCGCCTGTGGTGCATGCAGTTTCCATTGTTGCAGTCATCGATTCTTGTGGCAACTATGCGGATGGGGCAAGCCGAGAGCAAGTGAGCGACTCACGGCGGGTGCTGGATGAAGCTATAATGCGCTCACTTACTCCTCGTTGGCGTGCGAATACTTTCGAGTTTATTTCAAAAGGTTATCGTATAAAAAGTCCCCGGTGGAACTTGACGAGTGGCTAGAGATGTTGATGCTGTAATCTGACAAGCGGTCGTCGGCAACAGCTAGGAAGAGAACGAAGCCCGGGACAATTTAGAGTCACAACATTGCTTAGACAGAACTATACGACAACAGCCTGAAAGATTACTGTGGAGATATGTGTGACGCTGTGGCCTATGGCGCAAAAGAGTCAATACCGTGGGGCCTAGAAAGCTAATACCAGGGCCACCCCATCCGCACAGAGATAAAATGGATTGCAAGGGCGGTTAAAAGGGTGGGCGGAGTAAAAGAGAGCGTCAGAGTAGCTAATCCCTTCCTCCTGAAAGTACCGGAGTAGACTCAATTCGATATTTGCGGTTTACCTACACTTATTAATGGTATGTTGTTGCGTATTATTCTACCATGCTCAACGGCTGCCTGAATGCAAGCCTACGTCTACTTCTGTTCGGACACGCCATTTTAGTCTTCCAGTGAAATAGACGAACATATAGACATCAAATAGCTAGTTTTCCTGTAGGATGCGTGTGAATAGGTGATGGCTCCCTCTCCGGCCACCCCCAGGGTTACCTGACAGTATGTAGTTACATACCAGATCTATACAATCAGTTTCGGGATTTCAATAGGGATAGTATGGATTATATTCCTACAATTGTTAATAGGGAGAGATACCTCTTAGTTGACTTGATTCAGGTGCTTACAGTGTTTTAAGGACCCTTTCCGCCTTTCAGGCCAGGTTGACAACCCAGGTTTAGGATGGAGTCGTTTCTGGCCGTCAGGATAGGTCTGGGATTAGCATCATGACGAGTACGACAAGATTTCAAATATCTAGCCGTGAACGGAACATAACCTAATTGCGCCAACATGTGCTGGATGGGAGTTTCAAGTGCTAGAGCATCCTAGTTCAAATAAACGGCTGTCTTTTCGTCGGCCTAGCAACGGGTATTGGACACATTCGTGCTTGTATCGAGTCTGTCCTAGTTTGGAGATGCCGAATTGAGTCTGAAACGTAATCAGAAGGAAGAAGACTTTTGTAGGTTACTAATAGAGCACATACTGTACCAGATACTCTGAAAAGAGACAAGAAAGCAAGAAGTCGCAAATTACCGCGGTACCACAACCACCTTATTCGATAAATGCATCTATGAAAAGCAACACTCCAGCGCCGAAATAATGACCTTTAGTTCGCGATCAACTGATGCGTGCTCAAATCGGTAATGTTGATAACTTCGCTCAAGAATGCTGGCAATCTCACCGCGAATCATGCCCGGCGAGCCTGTTTCATCGATAGCACACACAAAGCTACAAACCAACATGATATAGACATATAGTCCCTCTTCTCTTATGAATAGCTCTCACATTCTCTACCGGCTTCTCCTTACTCGTGTCATGCCTCGTTTTCTTCCATTAGAACGAATCATCGAGGTGCAAGCTCAATATTAGTACCGATATTGCCGATACACTCGTTAGCCTGCTTTGATGAACGAAGCCTAGTACAAGACGTGCACTACTACCGACAACGCCCATATCCCCAACATGGTTGCGTTACTACCGAAAATTCGGTTAATTCCTTAAAGCGAAAGGATTCGTAGAGACCTTTTTTGGGGGGGACAGAAGCCAAGACGTATCCTTAGTCTACTTGACTAACGACATTCAGCTACTTTAGCTTCCACGCGTAGGTCCCATGTAGACAGCTGCGGCCAAGAAAATTATTGTTATGGTTGGCACAACGGGAAATCAAGGCAGCTCAGTTGTCAATACCTCGTTGAAGCTGTCGTACTGGCATGTTCGAGCCTCGACCCGCGATCCGTTCTCGGAGACGTCCAAATCACTAACCGCGCAAGGCAAAGAGGTCATCTACGCGGACCTAGCTGAAATCGCCTCTCTGGTGAACGTCTTTGAGGGTGCCAACACCATCATTCTTGACCCTAACTGCAAAAATACCGTCGACTCGGCGGCTGCGGTACCCTTGAGCGTTTCGTCTTTTCGGCCCTGAGCCCCATTGCCAAAGGATCCCAGGGGAAGTATACACGCTCCATGCACTCAAACGCCAAGGCTGCCAATCGTTAACCACATCGAGGACGAACAGTCTGCCCTCGTCAAGAAGAGGCCCCTGATTATCCCCGACACCTATCTAGAAAACATCTTTTGCACCCCGCGCTTCGACCTGAAAAGCGACAAAGACATCCTTGCCACACCCATTAAGGTTGACTTCAGAATGCCCTTTCGCAACCCGAGGAAGCCAAGGCTTTCTTTGTTCGTGCTTTGGTCACGGAGGGAGCCCCGTGGCATGAAGTTGCTTGCTTACAACAGCCATAGCTACCTCAGCTTTGCTGAGGCCGTGGAAAGGTGGTCCAAGGCCTGTGGGAAGGACACAGTCTATGTACCCACTATCATCGAGGAACTTCATGAGAAGATAGGCCTGCCGTGGGAGTTCCTGGACGGGTTGGCCTATGCTGGCTATGATGGTGTTATCGAGCTACATCGGCTGAAGACCAAGGTCCATACCATGTCATTTGACGACTGGCTGAAGGAGAGATTGGGACAAACACCTGTCACCACGATGGAACTTGCATTTCCTGGTCGCTCAGGTCACGATTAAACTATGGTGCTGGTTATGTAATACATCGATGAATGCATAATAATCTCAACAGAAAAAAACACTCCCTAGCATAACTTGATAGTTACATTTCTGCTCTTATGGACTTACGCCGAAAGACATTACGTAAGTATAGCGGATTTGAGAAACCTGACGTACCACGAAGTACTTCACGACTTGTAGCCAAAACAGCTGACTCTCAATAGTGTCACAGTGATTAAACCATTGAACACTCGAGCAGATGACAGAATAAGCGGTGTATCCAGATGGCAAAAAAAAACTAGGTCATGTCGGTCTACTACACCAATATATCGGGCTATCCCATATTATTCGACCCTCAGTGCTCCGTTTATTGTGTTGTCAACTTGCCGTCAACTTTGGACCCCTATTTGGACCCCTATTGGGAGGTGCGATGTATATCATTCTATGGATCCTTGTTCAGAGCACGGACTGGACTGATGGTGATGTGACATCTTGAAGATTTTACGGTGACGCTGGCTCTCAAGTTTTTCGGTATATGACAACTGTTCTACATGGGAAGAGCATCATGCTGATCAGTACGGATACTTGAACAGAGCCTCGGCACTTCCAATCATACACACAAATATCTTGTGAGAAATCCGATTTCAACCTGGCATTACCAATCCTTTCATGGATTTCTCGATGGCTTTACCTTCTATCAGAACAGATCTCTGGTAGGATGAATCAGTGGGGTGGGCGTGGTAGTTTCCCAAAGTGGACTCTTCATTGAGTCCTAGTAGGAGTGATCTCATTGGACAATTGCGGCCGGCGACTCCACTCACAGGTACCCACAGGCCCCCAGCCACGCATCAATTGGAGAAGTTGAAACGCTTGCGGAGCAGGCGGTCAAGAGGGTCGCTTAGTACTTGGGGAAGCTACATCGTGCCCACAACCTCAGAATTTTTCCTCAACAGCTTGCAGTGAGGAATCTCATCTTGGCTGGTTTCTTTGCGACCTCAGAGAGGCAAGATTCTCACCATGTCGAAGCCCGTCAGTACCAACGGGAGCGAGTCGGAGTTTGAGTTCGTGGAGACCCCAAAGGCAGCCTCGCCAACTTTTGCGAAGCCTGAGGACTGCGGTGTGAGAACGACATCTGTAAGTTGCTTCGTCCGGATTCAGGGCGAGCCGTAGGCTATTGGACCAGCCATGGTTGCTGATTGCTAACTTTGTTTTCGACAGTATGCATCCATCAAGAATGCCCCTCTGCCTGCCGACTCGGCTAGCAACGATCACTTCTCCGTCCTCGGCCTCTTGGGTTTAATCTGTGGTGTGCCACTATGGATGTCCTGGAAAGTCGGAGGCGGTTTGAAGACGGCCATCTTCTTCGGCCTCTTCACCAGCATTCCCATCCTCGCTGCCTTCTGGATTGTGGTCTCGGCCATGTCGCCTCGAAAGAATGAAAAAGCCAAATACCCTGGCCGTCCCGTCGAGCACTACCTTACGTTCAAGAAGGAATCCGACCGTGCTAAATACCATGGCAAGAACAAGATCCCTCTAGAGACCTTCTACGAGATGTACTTTGACGGCGACGTCGAATTCAACGGCGACTGTCTTGAGGTCCTGGAATACCGGCACGACTGGGCCAATTTCCGCTTCACCTGGGGCCTTTGCAGCTACTTCCTATTTAGCATGATCCCAGAGGTCATCATGCACTCGCGCTCTCAAGGTCAGCTTTGCTCTCATCACATCTCCTGCGACGACCACTAACCGCCCCTGATCCAGACGAGGAACAAGTCCGTGACCATTACGACCGTGGCGATGACTTTTACAGCTGGTTCCTGGGCCCTAGAATGATCTACACTTCCGGCGTAATCAGTGATATCAACAAGGAAGAGACCTTGGAGCAGCTTCAGGACAACAAGTTGGCCATTGTTTGCGAAAAGATTGGTCTCCAGGAGGGTGAGACACTTCTGGACATTGGCTGCGGATGGGGCACCCTCGCTCGATTCGCTAGCGTGAACTTTGGCGCTCATGCCACTGGTGTCACTCTTGGACGAAACCAGACTGCCTGGGGCAACAAGGCCTTACGAAATGCTGGCATTCCCGAGGAGCAGAGCAACATCCTGTGTATGGACTACCGTGACATCCCGGTTCCCGAGGGAGGTTACAAGAAGATCACCTGTCTCGAGATGGCTGAGCACGTTGGTGTCCGCAAGTTCCAGGGCTTCCTAAAGCAGGTCTACGACATGACGGACGATGATGGTGTCTTCTTCCTGCAAATTGCTGGTTTGCGCAAGCCGTGGCAGTATGAGGATCTGATCTGGGGCTTGTTCATGAACAAGTACGTGTTCCCTGGTGCTGATGCTTCGACTCCCCTCGGGTTTTTCGTCGACAAGCTTGAGTCTGCTGGCTGGGAAATCAAGGGCATTGACACCATTGGCGTCCACTACTCTGCTACGCTGTGGCGTTGGTACAGAAACTGGCTGGCCAACCGTGAAAAGGTGGAAGCCAAGTACGGAAGTCGCTGGTTCCGCGTAAGTTGACAATGCTCTTGAGCCAGTACTTCAAGCCAGAGACTAACTGCGTATCTAGATCTGGGAATACTTCCTTGCCTCCTCCACCATTGCCTCGCGTCAAGGCAGTGCCACCTGCTACCAAATTGTGCTGGTCAAGAACATCAACTCGACTCACCGTGTTGAGGGGATCGCAAGCCAATTTGGACTGTCTGGAGCTCTGGCTGCGGCGAAGAAGAAGATGGACTTCAGTGCTTGGGCCAAAAAGAACGCTGATCAGTTCCCCACAAGCCGCACTGCTTAAGCAGGTCTCAAAAGTCGGTGTTGAGTGGTCGGGGCTGGGCTGTGCAGGCCCGTGTACCAGAGTCCAGGCAGTTGTCAAAATGCACCACTGACCTCGTGTTTATTTGGTAGCAATCCGAGACCATATTTCTCATAATATGCTTACCAGAAGATATAGGGGGCGGGATAGTGGCGTGGGGCTGATGAATGGCAAGCAGCTGCGATGCCAGGGGGCAGCGGAAAGTGTGGTTAATAATGATAGCCTTATGCTAGATAAATTAAAAAACCAACTTGCTTCTTGAAATAATGGGCTTATAGCAAGTATATGCAATCCAGAATGATTCAACGTGTCTTGATTTGATGCCCGTCATTGATACACCTCAATGGATTAGGTTAGTTACCATATCCTTAGACGGGAGGTGGACCGTGCAATCCTAGGCCAGAAGCTATTGGGTCTGGTCAATTGTCTCACGACCAGATTAGAAGTTCCAACTGGGGTGGTCGGTGCTGCGTGCGCCAGATTGATCCCAAGCCTCCTGATTCACCCAAAGTTTCGTCATCTCACAATACACCATTCCTTCTGCGTTTTTATCACCATTGAGGAGCCTTGTTGCTCCTCTCGTATTTCCGTTATTATACTTTTCACGCAGTGAATTTTCCGTCCTCCGACACCATGTATTCTAATTCAAACTCGTTCATGGGCGGCGGCAACAGCCTGCGACCCGGTGCTCAACAGTATGGCAATTCGTTCGGCATGGGGCCCGGAGGTCCAGGTCAACAGCAGCAGCAGCAGCAGCAGCAGCCGAGTCCATTTGCACCGCAGCCCACAGGCTTCGGACAAGCGCCACTGAATCAACAGTACACGGGCTTCCCAGGCGGCCAAGGCATGATGCAACAGCAACCGACCGGAATGCCTCAACAGCAGCAGGGTCTACAACCGCAATTCACCGGGTTTCCGGGCCAGCCTCCACAGCAGCAGAGCTTCCAGACTGGCGCTCCGCCCATGCCGCAGATTCCCCAGCAGTTCCAGCAGCAGTTCAATCAGCAGCAGCAACAACAGCAACCACAGCAGAACTCCTTCTCTCTGCCGACCGCGACTCAAACCCCCCCCACCATCCCGCCGCCTCCCCCAGCCAAACCGATGACGGCCCAGCCAACGGGCTTCAGTGCCATGGCAGCTTCGTTCAGAACCGGCGGTGCGCAGAGCCAACCCACGGGCCGAAGAGCTGGCAAGAAAGCGAACAAGATCCCTAACATACGCTTATCTTTCATCACTGCACAGGATCAGGCAAAGTTTGAGACCCTCTTCACGTCGGCGGTTGGCGACGGTCAGACAACTATGTCCGGAGAGAAGGCACGGGATCTCCTGCTTAGGTCTCGGCTGGACGGGGACTCCTTGTCGCACATTTGGTATGATGCCTCTTCATCTACTTGACAGGCGGCTCTCTAACTCCTAAATTACAGGACCCTCGCTGATACGACACGCGCTGGAGAGCTACACTTCCCCGAATTTGCGTTGGCTATGTATCTTTGCAATTTGAAGATGGTCGGCAAGACACTCCCGCCCAGCCTCCCAGACAACATCAAGAACGAGGTATCAAGTATGGTAGATATAATCAACTTTAGTATTGCCGAGGAAGCTGGTGGTTCCGGAGCTGGAGCTACCAATGCGCCTGATTTCATCGGTCAGAACACGGCACCTATGCCGACCATACAGCAACCACAGCCGCAGGCGTCAAACTCCCAGATTCTTCAGTCTCAGATGACGGGCTATCCAGGCCAGCCTCAGGGCATGCAACCGCAACAAACGGGGTTCCCCGGTATGAATAATCCCCAGCCTACGGGTTACAGCGGGCCAATGCCTCCCATGCCCCCTATGCCAACCGGATTTCCCGGTGGCTTGTCAGCGCCGAGCGCGGCTCCCTTGAATGCACAGCCAACTGGCATGCCCGGCCAATGGGGCCTGGTTAACACGCCTGCTAGTGGTCTTCCAAACATTGATGCTTTGCAAGCTCGGATGATGCCGCAACAAGGCCGCGAGCAACAGAGCTACACCACGGCTGGTCTGTCGGGAAATGCCGTCATTCCGTGGGCCATCACCAAAGACGAAAAGCGGCGGTACGATGACTTGTTCCGGGCATGGGATGGTCTCGGCAAGGGTTACATCGGCGGCGACCAAGCTATCGAGATCATGGGCCAGAGTGGACTCGAGAAGACAGACCTCGAGCGCGTCTGGACCCTTGCCGACCACGGTAACAAAGGACGACTCGACCTCGACGAGTTCGCCGTGGCAATGCATCTTATCTACCGAAAACTCAATGGATACCCTGTCCCGAACCAACTTCCACCTGAGTTGGTTCCTCCCTCTACCCGTAACTTCAATGAATCTTTGGGGACTATCAAGTCCATGCTGAGTCAGGAATCTGATTACCGCAAGAACTCGGGCGCTGCATTGCTTCCTCAGAAGACTGGAGTTAGTTACTTGAAGAGCCATTCACTCCGGGGTAATACTAGTGGCTTTGGTGGTGGACGTAAAGACGCGACCGTCTTCAAGAACAATGATGATGACATTGGTTATAAGTCGAGCGCCCGCCGACGAATTGGCGCAGGCTCACCTCGGCCAGAGTCTCCTGCCTCGTCCGTGACATCCAATGACGATCTTACGCTAGATCAGCTGAGAAAGAAGATCCGTGAGAAGCAAGTTCTCTTGGACGCCATGGACTTCAAAGACGAAGCTGCTGCCGAAGAGGATGGCATTCTTGATAGACGTGATCGGCGCGAGGCCGAAGAGCTCTACCGGCGCATCAGGCGCATCCAAGACGACCTCGACGCGCATCCTGACGCTGCTCTAGCCGGCGGCAACTCGGATGCGGAGAGAAGAGCTCTTAAGCGCCAACTGCAAAACCTCACCGACAAGATCCCTGAGCTGGCATCGCAGGTTCGCAAGACTGAGAAGGCGATTGCGGATGCCAGACTTGAATTGTTCCGCTTGAAAGATGCCAAAGCTCACCCTGGCAGCGCCTCAACCATTGTTGGAACTGGCCCTGGCGGGTCCATCACCGAGTCTGACCGCCTCAAGGCGAGAGCCAAGGCCATGATGCAGCAGCGAACAGCGGCCCTCACCGGCAAGAAGATTGACGTGGGTGGTGATGATTTCGACGTACCTAAGCGTCTGGAAGAAGAGAACATCAAGATCAGAACTGAGAAGGAAAACAACGAACGCATGGTTCGTGATGTTGAAGATAGTGTTCGTGACTTTGCACAAGGCATCGAGGATAATCTCAAGGATGGTGCGCAGACTTCTACCAATGAGCATGAGAAGCGCCGTTGGGAAGATGCCCTCGGTGTCGAGGATGAAGTTCGGGACTTCATCTTTGACCTGCAGCGGTCCAGTAGGTCTGCACGAATGCGAGCTCAAGATCGTAGCGGTGGCCACAAGGCAACGACTGAGCCTGTCAAGGCAGAAGCGCCACCGCGATCCGACGGTCCAGCATCGACCTCTCGTACTGCCACTCCTCCGGCTCCTGCGGCCTCCGGCGGTGGCTCTTATGCGTCGTACAAGACGCCAGAGGAGCGTGCCGCCTTCATCAAGCAGCAAGCGGAACAGCGTATGGCGGAGCGTCTCGCAGCTCTGGGAATTAAGGCGCCAACGAAGCCTGGCGAGTCTACCGCCCAACGAATGGAACGTGAGAGGGCAGAGCGGGCGGCCAAGTTACGCCAAGCCGAAGAGGAAGATGCTCGGCGTGAAGCTGAGCGACAAGCAAGGATAGCTGAAGAGCAAGGCATCCCTGCTCCTGCCCCGAAGTCTGAACACAAGAAGCCGCCACCTCCACCCTCCAGAAAGACGGTGAAGCATGACGACTCAGCCAAGAAGGCTTCAGAAGAGCGCGTTGCCAAGGAACACGAGGAACTACAGCACGAAACGCGGGAGTTAGAGTAAGCTCACCATCTTCGTTAACATTCCGTGTGCAGACGGCTAATAAGAACAGGGAAAGCGCCCGTCAACAAGAGGATGAGCTGGCTAAGGAGCGCGAGGCAGCTACCGCCCGACTGAAGGCGCTTGAAGACCAAGTCAAGCAAGGTAAACTTAAGAAGGAAGAGGAGAAGAAGAGAAAGAAAGCGGCCATGGCTGAAGCTCGGGAGAAGGAAGCCAAGCTTGCGGCCCAGCGAGCCGAGATTGAAGCGGCGCGCCAGCGTGAACTTGAACTGCAGCGACAACTCGAAGCCATGGACGATGACTCTTCATCGGACGACGACGAAGGCCCGTCACAAATTACACCACAGGCATCGACGCCGACTCACGGTGGCAGCCAACTAGGGAGTCAGGAACTGGACCGCAAGTCCACGCCCCCTCCGGCGCCTGCTCCTACCACAGTTGTGACTAGTCCTCCGTCAGATACGGAGAGCCGGAACCCCTACTTCCGCATGATGTCATCTTCAGAGTCACCAGCAGCGTCCTCAACCTCGGCACCTTCAGCCCCTGCCCCTCCGGCTCCTCCAGCGCCAGCACCAGCTGAGGTGTCTACGAATCCATTCCACCGAATGACACAAGAGCCCAAGGCGGCTGCACCAATTGTGCCTCAGCCCACGGGACCCATTTCCCGAAAGCGCCCTGATGACACGGATGACGAATGGGGTTCAGGCAACGAAGATTCGGACGATGACTCGGATGATGATCGTCCAGCTGCCGGCGCCGCCCAACTTGCTTCGCTGCTCTTTGGGTCTATGGGTCCGCCTCGGCCCCTGTCTGCCACTGGCACGAAGTCCGAGGCAACTCCACCAGCTTTTGCCTCTCCTCCGCCTCCAGCCGCTGCTAGTCCACAAATACCGTCTGCCCCATTCGCGTTTGAAGGAGAGGCGCCAGTAGATTCGCCAGCTGCACCACCTGCCCCGCCTCCGCCACCTCCGCCAATGCCCGAGTCGTCGCCGTCTGCTCCGCCCCCACCGCCTCCTATGCTTGCGAGTGCTGATAACGCTGCCCCTGCGGCTCCACCACCACCTCCACCCCCTCCTGGTATGGTGCCTCCCCCACCGCCTCCGCCTCCAGCTACGGGTGCGCTGCCAGCCGCCCCGCCCGGTGGAAGACCTTCGGGACTCCTGGGCGAGATTCAGATGGGTAGGGCATTGAAGAAGACGATCACCAAAGACAAGAGCACCGCAGCCGTTGCGGGACGGGTATTGGATTAGATAGGTCGATGCAAACGGGCTTTTGCCGAGCGGTAAGGCCAACCCTCTTACATGGCGGCCTGGGATGGGGACGGATGGACGGATGACGCGAGATTTCGGTGCCGGCGAACGGCTAGTGTTTGTATCTATGTATGTATGTAAATTGTTCGCGAGGTACCTTGACTACGGCCTTGGATCATCTTTAGCAAGTCTTCGATTCCTACGGTAGACGAGCGGCATTCAAGGTTTAGTTTGGTGAATATTACTATTTTTTCTACCCGTATCCTTCGGGGATTATCTCTCAGTTTTCTAGAGACGTGGCATCAAACTCCATTGAGATGGCCCATCTGCTGCTCAAATGCGTATTGTTGTCTATTGATGCATAACAGTAACTCGCATCAAAACTGGAGGCACTTTTGGGTTGTATTGATTAGTGCGCGACGCAATGCGGTCAGCGCCAAGACATGCAAGCTGAGACTTCTTCTCCAAGCGATTCGCATCTGTCGAATACACATGGGAATCAATATACGGTTCCGGGGACCGTGGTGGTGTTTGAGAGGAATCCTGATACGGCGGTTCTTGGGGAAGGGGAAACACTTGCGGTATGGGAGACGGGGATTGCATTGCCGGATGGGCAGAGTATCCGCCGTATTATATGGGATGAAGAAGTTTTGTGCTTGTTATATGATCTTGAATTACCATGGTACCAGTTGCGTGTGTGAAAGTAGTCAAGGCGTTGGATGAAGGAGCTGCTGTAGTACACCATTTGCCCCCAGGGGTTTCGGGTTGGGTGGTTCAAGCACGTTGTATATGGAGCGGGTAGCTGATCCGACACCAAGGAATCACTATCACTGATACCAGCCAGATTGTCAGTTCGACTTGTAGACGAAGCCCCCAACCTTTGTTTACCTTGGAATGGACACAAGCTACTCTAGTCGACCAATGCCTGCCGGGCCGTATGAGGGCTAGCGAACGTGCGCCTTGAAGTCAAGTTCGCCCTTGAGAAGAACTGCATACTTGGTTTTGCCGATGAACACTGCAGTAGTTTATAGGCCACAGGCTGTTTTCTGTATGCAGCGGTTTGAGTAATTACTGGCTTACCACAGCTCAAGATATACTGTCAACCAATCAGAGCCGTTTGTGGCCTATACCCAAAAGGGCAAGTTGCACAGGGGCTGCTCCCTCACTAGTGGCCGGCTGCTTATCTCGGAGGCTCAACCGACGGTGCCGAACCCAATCTCTTATCTCTCTCCAACTATGTTTGATTGAAGTACTGCGCTTCAGCCCGAGCGGGAGAACGCACGACGATGCTTGCGGGTATCCACAATTCGGGTTGTGATAGGTCAAATGCTATATTAGCACGGTGCGTTATAAGTCGCGGTGTTGGATTTCACGACGGCCTCTTTTCCCTGACTTCAACTCGATCTTAGCCGGGATGAGTCGCTCACTATGACGGAAGAATACGATCTCATCGTCACCAACGGTGTCTGCGTGACGGCGTCGGATGTGGCGACCCTCGATGTCGGAGTAAAAGATGAGAAGATCGTCCTCCTGGCGCCGTCAGGCTCGCTAGCCCAGGCCAAGACCAAGAAATTGATTGATGCCGAAGGAGGCTACGTTATGGTAGGCAAAGAATTATCCCGGGAGTGCCGCGGTACCAATCCTGCCTTCTAACCGTATCACGCAGCCCGGAGGCATCGATTGTCACGTCCATCTCGAAGAGCCCAGTATGTTCGGCGAGGGCTCCTCAGCAGACAGCTACGAGACAGGCACCCGCTCCGCCATCGCAGGCGGCAACACTACCATCGTCTCTTTCGCCCCGCAACAAAAGCACCTTGACTCGGTTCTAGGCGCCCTGGAAGCCACGCACCAGCTTGCCAGGGACAACTGCTACTGCGACTACGGCTTCCACCTGCTCGTCTCCAACCCGTCGCCCCTGGCACTGTCCGAGTTCGCCCAGCTGGCCAACACCGAGGGCGTCACCTCGCTTAAGATCTACATGACTTACACGGCACTCCAACTTCGCGACAACGAGATCCTGTCCGTTCTTTTGACCGCGAGGCAGAACCACATTCTGACTATGATCCACGCCGAAAATGGCGATGTGCTCGAGTGGCTGTCGGACCAGCTTGAGAAACAGAAGCTCTTTGCGCCCAAGTACCACTCTAACTCGCGTCCTCCCATTCTGGAATCCGAGGCCACCAACCGTGCCATCGCGCTTGCGGGGCTGATCAGAGACACCCCTATTCTGCTGGTCCACGTGTCGGACCCGGCCGCGGCGGAACGCATCAGCCTGGCTCGGCAGAAGGGCCAGCCCGTGTACGCCGAGACGTGTCCGCAGTATCTGTTCCTCACACGGGACGACCTCGACAAGCCGGGTTTCGAGGGGGCGAAGTGCGTGTGCTCGCCGCCGCCGCGTAACGCAGAAGACCAGGGCCAAATCTGGACAGGGTTAAAAAACGGCACCTTTTCCGTGCTTAGCTCGGATCACTGCCCGTTTCGCTTTGACGACGCCGAGAAGGGGAAGAAGACATGCGTCACGGAGGAGCACCCGGTGGGGAGGTTTAGGTATATCCCCAATGGGCTGCCGGGGATCGAGACGCGGCTGCCTCTTGCTTTCTCCGCGAAAAAGCTGTCGTTGACGAAATTCGTCGAGGTGAGTAGTACCAATGCGGCTAAGCTGTATGGGCTGTATCCGCGCAAGGGGAGTTTGATGCCGGGCGCGGACGCCGATTTGTGTATTTGGTATCCCGACGGCAAACTGAATGAGTTTGGGCTCACGAACGACATGTTGCACCACGATGTGGATTACACGCCGTATGCGGGCAGGAGGATGCGGAATTGGCCGCGGTATACCATTATTAGAGGCAAGGTGGTCTGGAATCGGGACCATGGCGGGGTAGTGGGAGAGAAGGGGTACGGGCGGTTCGTTAAGAGGGCGGCAAGTTGCTTGGATGATATGTGGAAGACCGTTGATGAGGAGGGGAGCTTTGATTTAGAGAGTTTATAAATCGGCCCGGTCAACAGAAATGTATGCCCAAAGCTGTTTGCGAGCAATTGATTGCTTAGATTTGAAGGTACAATCAACCATATTCTATCTCCAACGCCCCCACCCCCGTCTCTCCGTATCACAACTCCTGTCCATGGTACACCTCTCCCTACTTGTGTAACATGCCTGTTTGGCGCATGTCATATCACCACAGCCCATTCCCAAACTATAATCGACCGCTCGATCCTTCTATTTTCTGTACCAAACTCTCCATTCAAGCAACTTGTCGCATAGTTCCTGTCCAGGTGCTGCATGATAATATTTCGAGCCCATACTTTGGCAAATCACTTTTCTACTCACGAGTTGCCTGTCTTATGACGCAGTTACGCATCATGGACGTCCTGCTTGATCTGTGAGTTTGATATGATTATATAGTATTTCCTCATTGTACTGATGCTCGTAGATCATCACGGATGGCATTCGCGTCAGCAGCACTAATCATTTATGCTGAACCATACCTTGTATCCACCAGCTCATTTGCCGTTTCCAAACGCCATTTGATGTTGTCTTTCACATACCGTCAACTTCCTCCCCCGTCCCAGTGTATGACCCAGCAGCGGAGTGTCACAGTTTGAGATACTGAGCATAAAAGACATGCGTCCGGGTGAAGACTTGACTTTTTTCCCAATGAGCAATGGCCTGTCGAGCAACTCGCTCTATGTCACGTCGCGTCGTGGCCGATCATCCTCGAATATAGGCTAGTCACTGGGATATTTGAGCCATCTTCAAACCTTCAGCGATTGTCGACAGTTGCGATAAGTCGAGGCGTTGTATGCAACCCCAAGGCTTGTACTTCTAGTCGGGAGTGTCTTCACTTCAATCGTCGGCAGGGTCTCCGTACTCAAAGCGCACTTGACCGTCTTCGCGCATTTTGCCAATCTGCGCCTCTTGGCCGGCCTGCCCTTCTTTGCCGCAACTTGGTGTTGCTGCTGGTTGATCTTGGCCGCCAGTTTTTCAAATTTATCGATGTCTCTTTTCCACCTGACGTCCCAATCTCTCCAGCGCCGGATCGTCTGCTTCCAATTTTTGGAGTGCGTGTACTCGTCCTCGCCAAAGCCAATGGTCTGGACCGCATCGATGACGTCCTTGGGCGTCGGAAGACTTTGTAATATTCGCAGAACCTCTGCAATGTTGATCCTGTTCATGCCCCATACGTGTCGGTAAAAGTTCTCGAGAGTAAAGAGACCCCAGCGTGTGGAGATCGTGTAGAGCTCCTCCCAAGAGGTCGCGGGACCGTTTCCAGGCTGCAGCCATTCTACCTCCACCTCAATGGTCTCCCAGTCCTCGCGCCATCTCGCATTGCAAACTTTGGATATGTTCCACACGAGTCGACCTTCGAGGTCATATTTTTGTTGTTTGCCATCGTTAAGCGTTCCCCACCGGGATATACCTCTCAGCCCTTTGGCCTGGCCCCGGGTCCGTTTGGAAATCGGGCCGGGGATAGCATGGAGATCTGGAGCCTTGCGTGCCTCACCCGGGAAGTCAAGCTTGGAAGCTCGTACAGAGTCCTGAAGCATTAAGTCACTGACGAGGTTTTTCAGAGCCTCAGGTTCTGATGCGACACGCTTTTTGTAAGAGGTAAAGATGTCCTTGACTTGGTTGATTTCGTCCAGGTGGTCGGTACTCTTAAGCCAGTCCTCCGTCCCCTTTGGGATCTTGTGAATGTGCTGGCCGTCGAAGAGATCGAGATCAAGGCCTGGTAGTGCCACAACGTATTGAAAACCCGGCAGACTGAAGTAGGACCAACCAACGCCTTGAAATCGGATCACCTCACGACATAATTGAAGAATGTTGCTGAGATAGTCCCACGGCGGGTTGGGGGAGGAGGGCTGTTTCGTCCACTTCCCATTGGGCTCAAATTTGGAAGTGAGCTGGAGCTCTCGAAGCTGGGTGCACTGGGTTAGGAGAACGAACGTGTCAGACATTCTCTGCACGGTCGAGAACTGGCGAGATATGAAGAGGTCGTCGGGCATGAGCTGGTCAGGAATGAGATGTACTCCGGGACGCGGGTTGAGTATGTTGTCGATCTGTTCCAGGCATTGAAAGGATGAAACCTTGATGTGGCGGATCATATTCCGTCGGGCTGGTGTGAGTGCAGCCAGGAAACGATGCAGCCCTATCTTGTCCACGCACGTCGAGGAACGCACCAGGCCTGAGTTGGGCACTCGAAAGCAGAATTGGTTGACCCGGTAGAACACTGGCCATGTCTCCAGTTCGAGATAGATTTGGCGGCAGACTATGGCGAGTTTGGGAAACACCAGTCGATCCCCCTCCTTGGGAACTTTCACGTCCATACTCCATCCAGGGTGGTTGTAGGCTGGCTGGACCTCATTTTCTCCCCAGGTGAATTTGTTTGAGCCAGGCGCTACTTGCTCTGGCCAAATGGGTTTGCCAGCGTAGGTGGCATACTCATATATCATGAGCCGCAGCTGGTGACATGTGTAAGCCGACTTGCACGCGATTGCATCATCTGGAGCGCATTTACCTCTAGCGGAAGCCGCAGGAGCAGACTGAGAGCGGTGTTCCTGTCAGTTACCAAGGCAGTTGGGTGGTCTGGTCGCCCGCCACAGTACGACAATGTCGTGGTCACATCAGATGAAGCCGTTGCCGCCATGGCCGCCGCCGTGCACAACGACATGTGGGAAAGAGGTGATTGATTGGAAACGATGGAAGAGCCGTTCGTCGACGTGCGAGACGGACGGAGTGCTGGGTGAAGCGAGGATGATGTTTGATTGCACATGGAAAACGAAGAAAACTAGAGCTTTAGAATTTGACGTTACCAAGGGGACCTTGAAACTCTCAATTGGAACCACTAAAAGAGTAGATTCGCGGAAAACCTTCAACGTCAATCTTACGAATGGAACAAGATGAGAAGCGGTGCCGGAAACGATGACCAGTAGCCAAGTCCAAACTTTCGGCGTGGCAGTCCCAGGGCGGACTCGTGCAAGTGGGTAGCGGAGCGACTGCCTCGAAATTATGCAAATGATGGGAGAAAATCGAAACAAAGACGATGTGTTCACCCCGAGCTTCGGCCTCACGCCAATAAGGAGAGAAAAAAAAACCGGACACGCCGAGACACGCCGATCCACGCAAACACCAAACACCAAATGCCAAACGCCAAACGCCGGCCATAAAGGAAATAGCCGGCGGCGGTGCACAGAGGGGTCCAACTTGGGATGAAACACAGATGCAAATGTTCAATGACTCGCAAGTTGCTATCCCAAGTGGCAAAACGCTACGAGGTGCCCCCAGTTTGCGTTGTTTCCTGCCCAGTTTCTAGACCATTGCAGCGATCCATACGCAACAGAGACCCAAGGCTTCATGAATCGTCATCTCTGCGTTTTCCAAGGCTTGGAGACGTTTACCTACGACGCAGCCTCATGTTGCTTTGTCTAGTTCTGTCCTGTGACTTACAAACAAGATTGTCGTGATGCAGGCCAAATTAGGTGAGCGTCATCATAGCTGACCAATGAGGGCCACGGTCTTTGCTCGCTTAACAGATGGATCACCAAAAACAAGCAACACATATGATTGCCTCTTCCATTGGGAATAGGACAACAACCAGATTGGATCGACACGTAAATTGACCTACCAGGCGCGCAAGAATCTCGAAGGGATCAATTGTTCCAAACTAAAAACCATGGCCTGCACGTCATAAAAGTAGTTTCGGCACCTGAGGAACACCTACGCAGCTTCCCCCTAATCCGCCCTAATGGTGGAACGTAATGCATAGGGCGGGACTGAATGGGTCAGGGTCTTGCCTACTAGGATGCAGCCTCCACTCTCTTACTCTTTGTCATAATCGCGTCAGCTCTCGTGGGCACCTTGGCATCAAGCAGAATGTGGCCGGCTAGTACCGCGCCGCCTAGCCTGCGCCGCCTGGCCTTCGCCGAATTGTTATAGTTCGGGGCGAGGATTGTGATGCCAACTTACGTGTATGCACAAATCCAAGCAGTAAAACCATGTTTGCCCAAGTTCTTCGCTAGTGTGCTTCACATTGCATTCGGGTATCTCCATGATTGCTAAATTGCCTACCATGTTGGCCATGCGCAGTCTAATGCAACCTATTGTGTTCGTCAGATATATGCGTCGCGCCTCTTCCACAAGCGCCTCTTCCCACAGAGAAAGCCAAGTCGTCGCTGCGGTGGCTCAAGACAAGAAGCACCGTTCTCAATCAGATCGCTTGCTGTTTCCCCTTCCGCGCACTGTATCGGCACTGCTTGTTCCTGTCTTTTTTCTCTCGTTCGTTATCCTTAGCAGATATCAAGTTTGCAATCGGTTGGCTCTTGAGAGACGGCTTCAGCGTGGTATCTTGTCCTCACCCTCTCGGCCACAAGTTTGCTCCGTGTCCGTTGACTCTTTGCTACTGATACACTCACAAACATCTACTTTCTAGCAACCGTTAGTTTCCGATGACTGCTCTATCTGTCGGTTCGTCGTATCCTGCATGGTAATGTCTCCATCGGCAGATGCCCCATTCTTCTCATTCGCTCCATTAGTCGTGGGGGCACAGCCATAGATAAACTCCTCTAAAGACTTATAAGCAGCCTCCAATTCTTCGTTCACCAACACCGTATCATACAATCCGTCAGATTTGGACTGATCAACTTCTTCTTGCGCGGCCTTAAGCAGGTCTGGGAGCTTATCGTCGGGGCAAGAACCGGCTTTCTTGAGCCGCGATTCTAGCTCCTCTCGGCTGGGTGGCGAGATGAAAATGACGCGGGCTACGTAGAGATTCTCCTTTGCACTTTGGACGGCCTATTATCATTGTTAATCGGCCTGAACAGGATGTGGAGCAAGGGGGTTCGAATAAGTGATCGAAAACAGTCTGGGGTATACAGGGAAAGTCATCACCTGCCCACAGCTAAATCTCCATATCCCACTGCACAGCACTGAAGTGAACCATTATGTGCAGTGCCACATTGAGAACTAGCTGTGGGGAAGGGCGAGAGCCCAGCTCTTTCGTATACTCGGCTCATGGTTGGTAAACCCAAGTGCGATCTTGACTTACTTCACGATCCAGTTGCATCAAGGGGATCTTGCCGGATTCAATGGCAAGATCAGCCATCTTTCTGCTGGAACCATAATCGAAACCATCTCTAGTGGTGAACTCCAGAAGTTGGTCGCCATCTAGCATTACGTTGAATGCCGCCGAGTCGACAAAGTGGTAGTCCTGACCGTCGACTTCACCCGCTTTCGGCTTCCGGGTCGTATGCTGAATCAGCTTGCTGAATACCCCCGGCTGTCGTTCTAAGAGCAAGTCGACCAAAGCCGACTTTCCGACGCCGCTGGGGCCTGAGACGATGATTGGCCGTTTGTCGTCAGGGTGGCGTCCGGCTTCTCCCTCCTCTTCTTGAGGTTCGTCGTCGGCATGTTTGGGTTCTTGAAACACGGCCTCAATGTTCTGCCAATCGTCGATTCTGTCAAACGCAGCCAGTCTGTTGGAAAGTTAATCATCTCTCCATCTAGAAGATTTAGTCCATCGGGTAATACCTTATCCTGCTGGCGATTCTTAGAGCTCTCCAGGTCTTGCTGGCCTTGGCCTCAACAATTTGCGCCCGGTCCGTATCCGTCTTCGCGAAATCGAGCTCGAGGTCATCTTCAGCGATCTTGTCCTTGAAGGTTGCCAGGTCTGGAAGCCTGTATCTGGCCGGATCCTTAAACTTCTCCATGGCAATCTCTTCATCTTCGTCCTTCAGAAAATCAAGGTTCAGTGAACCCATCGGAGTTGGTCTTAGTCTCTTGCTTGTAGCCAGTCGTTTAGCTGATGCTCTGGCCGTATTGAACTCGGCGGGGGAAATGGATGGTCGCTCGAACTGGGGACAGCTTTCCATTTTCCAACGCGCCCAGCCTTTATCTCGCGAAGTAACAGCTGCTATGATCCGGTTGACATGCGGCCCATCCGGTCCGGCTAAAATGTAGTGATTGATCCTTTCTCGCATAGATTCGGCCCATTTGTCATCGTCCTCTCCCAGGAATTGATCGCTGTACATGACTGATCGATTTGGCTGCTTGATATTGCGGTGCCTGACCTTGGCGGTGTCCGTCAGGGATCGCAGGAAGTCCAGAATGATGGCGGCTTGGATGAGAATATGCCGCCTGAAGAACAGATCGCTGATCTCCAATTCGAAGAGATCTCTGCTAGTAAGATACTTCGGGTTGAAGTTGTCATCTGAGGCGTCGACCTCGAGGGCCTTTCTTTTCTTCGATGAATCCTTAGTATCGTCGGAAGATTTGGAGCTTCTCTGACTTTGGGCAACCGTTTCAAACGCTGCTAGAGTAGCATCCAGAGAATATTTGAACTTGTTCAGGGTCTGGGGCTCAAACAGCTTCGTTGGCTGACTGAAGTACTGCTGCAGTGACCAGAAAACCGGATACAGTGCATCCGTATCGAGCGACTTTTCTGATGCCGACTTGTCCTTGGAGTCAAATGAAACAGCTTTCGCGCCGACCGACTTTGAGTTCGAGTCCTTTTCTTCTTTAGGCGTACTGGTCACACCGTCCACGTCCATCTTATCAGCCGCATCTTCGGGTTTGATCGGTGTCTCCTTAAAAGCAGTGACATTCTCGGTGTGGTACTCGCCCCGAAGATTAACGGAACTCTTGTCGCCCAGCGGGAAACTCTGGAACATGAAAATGAAGACGCGTCCACAGAAACCGGTATCCTCAGCTCTGGAGAGACGCCTGAGAAGCTCGTTGCACGTTCTCAGAATGACCAGCTGCTTCTGCTTCCAATGTTTTGCGGTTATGCGCTCGCGTCGCGACTCGAGAAAATCGAAGGTTGTGCTGCAACCACTGATGGTCTGACTGTCGAGTAGTTCCTCGATGAGCCAGAATAATAGGGCTGGTTCGCATTGCTCGTTGTCGGACAAAGCTGCCAGGATATCGAAGAGGTTCCAAACCTGGACGAACTCGGGCGACTCAATGGATGTGGTGGCGATCAGACTGCTAAAAAGATCGCGCGCGACGGTTTCAATGACACCATTTTGACGGCCTTTCTGCTCCTCTGTCGTTTTCTCGTCGGCAGCCTGCGCATTGTCTGGCTGGGGAGACAATTGCGAAGTCGGGAAAATGCTGTGTACCTCAGAAAAGAGCTGCTCAAAGTCGGCTTTGGTCAGTTCTGGCTCGATTGAAGCGGGCTTGACAGTCTGAGCATGTTCAAGAGCTCCCTTGAGGGCGTCGGAGAATGCAGCGACCTGGGGAACTTGGAAGTCCATGTTGGCTCCCCGAGATGCGCAAGTCAAGGTGACACCGAGTATGCTTTCGCGAACATCTGCGCTATCATTATTCAAAATTGAGCAGTTGACACGACGGTTGAGCCGGGAAATCCTTCTTTGTTCTTGGGTCAAACCTAGTGGTGTTGAAAGCACGCAGCATGGAGGAAGGGTGGGTAAGTCACGAATGAAAGCAAGGCTCTCGACGGCTTGGGCGGCCACCAATTCGCTTTTGATTCAATTCTGCCCTCTCTTACCGCCAGCCACTTTGGGGATCCTGGCAGGCAATCAGTACAACTGGGCTACGACTTCTGAGGACTAATAGTAATGTAAAAACAGTGATTTCAGCAGTTATTTGTCATTCCTTTCATATTAACGCTTTTTAATGATTTCATGGGTCTAATATGGCTCTAATAAGTTGATAGAGGCAAATATACGTGGCAGAGTTGCAACTGTTTTCAGAATGCTAATGTCATTTGCAAGTAGTCCTCTACCCCCAGTGCAAGTAGCAGCGCCAAGTAAATCAACAGAAAGCGCGCTAATAAAAGCTGCATTGACGCAGGTAGTTTGCGACGCGCGACAAGGCTGGGGAAGGTCGACTTGATGTCTCCGTACATTTTGGCAGCCTGCGGCACATCCAAGCTAAAATCTCGAGCTTCCAAGTCATATTGAAGTGCAACGGGCAGAGCTATCCAAATAGGCGAACTGGAGCTGCGAACCTTTGGATTTCGGGTCGGGTAGCATCCTCGGCGCCTCGCCACCATTCCAACTCCCACTGCCAGAACGGCATCCAGACGACAATGCCGACAGCCAAGCGACTCAAGAAGGGCGGAAAGGGCGGCAGCGAGTCCAAGTCGTTGAAGAAAACGGAAACCGCCCGACCCACAGCTGCTGAGATTGAGGGGCAAAGCGAGTTCGCACAGCTTGCAAAGCAGCATTGGCTGAAGACGACCACCAAACGGACTGCTAAAGTTAAGGTCAAGAACGATGTTTTGAAGCGCGAGATATGGAACGCTTTGGAGAAGGAGGGCTTCCAATACAAGTCGCTGTTGGTGCTTGAAGGGCTCCAGATCTTGGAGAGCTATCTGTGGCCTGGCTACTCAGAAGATTCATCCAACCTCCACGTATTACTGGTGGCCCTCATCACCAACATCAAGGCCCGCGAACGCCTGGAGACATGGTCTATATTTGAGGACCGCCCTGCCGACTTCTCAGCCTTGTTCCGTCGCATACTGTCCATGACGCTGGACCTGACTCTATCGTTACCGATACGCACCCATCTCCTCTCCTTCATGATCTACGCCTTCCAGAGTCTGGACTGCGGAATCGTCAGGAAAGAATGCGCCCCGCTCGTCTCCATTTCTATTTGGCACAACTTATCAACCGAGTTGAAACGCGACACCAAGCTCGAGAGCACGCCACACCTACGGAAAACATGGAGAGCCGCGTCAAAGCGATACGACTCGGCAGACGAAGACACTAAGGCTCGCTTACGGTTCGACAGAGCATGGCTTTACACGCTGACGCTCGAGTTCCTTGGCATGATCTATGAGCCCCAGAGGAATTCCGAACACACCATCTACGTCGAGCGCTTTGTCGAGTTTATCACTGATTTGCAGAGCCAACTACCCACGCGGCGATATGTCAACACATTACTTCAAGACCTGCATCTGGTGACGGCAATCTCCATGTCTCCCATGTTTATTGATGAGGATAATGGTTTGCTAAGGAAACAGTGGAAGCTGTTATGCCATTATACCTACTTCAATATCAACGACCAGACGGGTGCCCAGCTCAGCCGGAACGAGGCATATGACCACCACTGTCAAGCACTGGCAAAATTACAGCGTGTGGCATTGCGTCATTTCAAAGAAAAGCTGACAGTTCTGGCCTTGTCCAACTATGGGTCAATCGACAAGAGAAATGAGCTTATGAGCCTTCTTGAACCACTGACTGAAGATGAGCTCGTACAGTTGGCTCGCCACTTGGAGTTGCGGACTGAATTTCCAGCGTTGTCCAAGGTAGTATCTATTGACCGCAACTTCTTGATGGAGATGCTTGTCAACACATTTGAACGGCGACCCACCTTTCAGGAGAATCTGCCTAGTATTGCCCCGACAGAACTAGAATTGTTCGACCAGGACCTAGTAAGGACAGACGGCTACGATGGTTCTCATCCGTTGGCCATTCCGAAGCTCAATCTCCAATACCTCTCTGTAGGTGATTTCCTTTGGAGAGCGTTGACGCTCTATCGGTCTGAAACATTCTACGGGATCAGAAAAGATATCGAGGATGCCGTGAAACGTTTACGCCCTGACACGAGGAAGTCTGGCGATACTGGCTTCGCAGGATTCTCCAGAATGGCGTTGCCCATTTCGAGACCTTCCATCTTGGAGGTTGTGCCACCACTAGTTGGCGAAGACAAACCATCGGCCGTCCGAGCTGAAATAACACTCGATTTTCGTCGCTTGGCAGACACCATTCGCCGTGACTGGGACTCACTGCGACCGGACGATGTGGTGTTTTTGGTCGCGGTCGACGCAGCTGCGCCGCCACCCCTCGCAGACGGAACAGCTCCCATATCCGAAGCACAGAAGTTGGGTGTTGTCTCAGTGCGGGCTGCTGAGATTATTCAAATTATGGACGATAAGGGTCGTTCAATCAGGGATCCAGGAGAGTACTTGAATGGAGGTGGTCGTTCTTCCACACGCAGAGTGCAACTGAGACTGGATGCGGAGACCTATAAGCGGGACACTGACCGGGTATTAAAGGGTAGCCCAGACCCCTATGAGCAAATCAACTTGGTCGTTCGAAGAAGTGGCAAGGAAAACAACTTCAAGCCGGTGTTGGAGTCGATTCGCAGCTTAACACTCTCTGAGGTGCCGCTGGCATCATGGCTACATGAGGTGTTTCTAGGTTATGGAGATCCAGCTGGCGCTACGTATAAGAATCTGCCCAACAGAGCGGGCAAAGTAGACTTCAGAGACACATTTCTGGACTGGCAACACCTGGTCGAGAGCATGCCAGGAAAGACCATCGAACCGGGTGATGATGTTTCCAGCAGCTTTGGACCGCCTTATGTGCTTGAATTAGGGGTCAAGGCAGCAGAAGAACCCAAGACGAAACTTTCTAAGAAAAGAAGGAGAGATGCAGAACCTGCACTACTTGCTGAAGTAGAGACCTATAAGGTGTCTACATACAAACCACCAAACACTGGGCCATATCCTATGGACGCGCCGAAACTGAACATGGTACGATTTACTCCGGCTCAGATCGATGCGATCGTATCTGGCACCCAGCCTGGGTTGACAGTTATTGTCGGGCCTCCCGGCACTGGGAAAACTGATGTGGCCACCCAAATTATCAACAACATCTACCATAATTTTCCTGAGCAGCGCACACTTCTCATTGCACACTCCAACCAGGCGTTGAATCAGCTGTTTGCGAAGATTGTGGCTCTGGACATCGACGAACGCCATCTACTTCGTCTTGGCCACGGCGAGGAAGAGCTGGATACGGAAGGTAACTTCAGCAAACTTGGTCGGGTGGAGTCGTTCCTCAAAAACCGTGATCGATACCTGCAGGAGGTGAACCGTTTGGCCACAAGCGTTGGTGCCCCTGGTGCTCATGGCAATTCTGCTGAGACTGCGGGATACTTCAACTCAGTCTACATTCAACCCGCATGGGCTAAGTTCAAGGAGATATCTCAGTCAGAAGATGTTTCCACGACAGATATTGTCCAAGCGTTCCCCTTTCACTATTACTTCTCTGATGCACCTCAGCCACTTTTCCCAGTTGAGGCAGACCGCGCTGCTGTTTTGGACATCGCCAATGGTTGCTATTTCCACATTTCCAAGATTTTTTCCGAACTCGACGATGTCCTGCCGTTCGAGATTCTGCGGCGGGATCGAGACAAGGCCAATTATCTGCTGACCAACGAGGCTCGGATTATTGCCATGACATCCACCCATGCCGCCATGCGCCGAAGCGAGATCGCAAAACTTGGTTTCCACTACGACAATGTAATAATGGAGGAAGCTGCGCAGATTACCGAAGTCGAAAACTTCATACCGCTAGCCATGCAGAAGCCCAAAGGCGGGCAGATGGCATTGCAGAGAGTGGTCCTGGTCGGTGATCATTACCAGAATTCCCCAGTCATCCAGAACCTCGCTTTCAGGCACTACGCGAACCTAGAGCAATCCCTCTTCTCCCGCCTAGTCCGCCTGGGGAGCCCAGTGATCCACCTCGATCAGCAAGGTCGTGCCCGTCCCTCCATCGCTACGCTCTACCAATGGCGGTATCCGAATTTGGGTAACTTGCCACACGTAGAGGCACTTAAGGAGTTCCAAACGGCCAACGCCGGCTTCAAATACGATTACCAGTTCATTGATGTGCCTGATTACAAGGGCCACGGTGAGGTGGAGCCAACTCCCCATTTTATCCAGAACCTAGGTGAAGCCGAGTACGCGGTAGCCATCTACCAGTACATGCGTTTACTGGGCTACCCAGCAGCCAAGATCAGCATACTCGCTATGTATGCAGGTCAACGCGCGCTCATCAGGGACGTCCTCAACCACCGATGCGCCAAGAACCCCATCTTCGGTTTGCCTAAGATTGTCACAACAGTCGACAAATACCAAGGCGAACAGAACGACTGTAAGTGATACTCCATTGTGACCACCCCTCGCTCGCTAAAACTTGGATCTAATACACGTGTAGACATCATCCTCTCTCTAACGCGTACATCGCGGGTTGGCTACCTCCGGGACATCCGCCGGTTGACCGTGGCGTTGTCCCGCGCTCGCCTTGGCCTGTATATTCTTGGACGCCGCTCCGTGTTTGAGGCGTGCTACGAACTCAAGCCGGCATTCGAACTACTGCTTCAGCGGCCGGACAAGTTGGCTCTAGCTACTGGTGAGCTGTGGCCTTCGGAGCGACTGCAGACAGAGGAGCAAGGCAGCACCGTGGCCGGCGAGGCCGTCATGGAAGGTGTAGAGCACTTGGGACAGTATGTCTTTGAGATGACGAATGCCAAGGTCAAGCAATTGAGAGCTGAGCGGGGTCTGCCTGAGACAGAAGTGGTAGAAGTGCTCGAACCCGTCAATGAGGACGATGCAGATGTTTACGAGGAGAATGGCGAGGAAGAGGATGGCGAGGCGGATGCGGAGGTACCCGAGGACACAAAAGTCGAGAGCTTAGAGGCTGGAGATGCATAACGCGTCGCCCTGTTTAGATACCAAAATGGCACTGGCGATAAATGTATATCAGGATTATTGTAGATTGCCAAGGGGAACAGTATACTGAGATGGGCTGGGGTTGGCTTCCAGAGCAAAGGGCTATGGCCGATACACAACCGCAAGATCAATTAAGCATTGAACCATACACTTCACGATACTTGTGCTTGCGATTTGCTTCCAATCCTTTCGTGTTCACAAGGTGAGCGTTGGTTATCCTAGGATCTCACATTACTACCCTACCTCCTAATAAAATCAGTAATTTTTCTAATACAGTCTTTCCTGCATTCTTCCTAAACCTTAGGTTTCCGGTAGAAGTAAGCAATACTAATCATTATGTGAGATGAGTATTTCTATGGCCTTTGATTAACTGAATGCTGAGGGAGCAGTGTATTATCCTGTGTATTGTGGCTTTCTTCCCTATGCGCATACCGTAACGTAGTTAGATGACTAGCTACTTGTAAATTCTCGGTAAATGATTAGAAGGATTCTATAGTGTATGTCCCAATTATAGGCAGGAAGAACAGCTGACATTATCAAGTTGCATATGCGTAAGCAGGGAAATATCCCGTACATACTATGTTGTGAATTCCCATCCGCTATACCTCTAAAGTAATATCAGCACTACACTAGGAGAGCATTACGCCATTTAAATGCCTACCTTGCAGCTTACCGGGGCTCGGAGAAGGAAGGAATACGAACGCATCCTTCATCCCGTTATGAGCACGCAGCTTCATTCTGCATATGCCGTTTGCCACTTTATCACGAGTTGCCTATAGAGTCATCATGCTCTAGTATACTAAAATTGAAAGCAATCGGCCGCAGTCAAATTGGCTACAAACTCGCACACCGGACCACAGATAACCGTCTCCCGTCAAGTGAGTCGACGCGACGGCATTCCAGATGTATATGCAAGCCCCCTTCCCCCTCCCCCCCTCGATAGCAGCAGTGCACCGCCGCAATTCTGCAGTGCGAACACCGCGGGATATTTTACGTGCTGTGCTGACATATGCTGGCCACGTTTCGCCCAAATGTTCCTGAACGAACTAAGATACAGCCAGCGGTAGTTGTTGCCTAGTGCGTGCTGTCGATATATGTATCAACGCTAGTAGCGAGACCTGCTCCTTGTAGTCCGTCCCACTCGGTCACTGCGGTCTCTGTCGCTTGTTATGGCCGTGGATACCGAGGCATGGTATCGAGCCTTTCTGCATGTGAGAAGTTCGAACTACATTAGACGAATGATGCTGAGGTCATTCTGCATGCATAGTTCGGTGGTCTCCAATCGATAATGACTGGCGCCTGTGAGCGGCTCTGCAACACAACAGCGCTTGGTCAAATTGAAGCTGAGTAGATCTGCCAGGTTGCCTTTTCGGGTATAGACTACCATGAGCACTTGGGAATCGGGTTGATGATTTGAAGCACAACTAGCGTCCTTGAATCCGGCTGTAACCGTCGTTTGTAAGCCAAACTCCGACCTAGTTGCGGTAGACGGAAGTAGCATTACGAGCTGTACGGCGACGGGCGAGTTTGAATGAGTCAAATTACCACAGTAGTATGATGCATCGTGAAAGGGGAGTTCAAGGAGTCAGCAGTTTGCCGTCGAGTGACGAAGCGCTGCTGTGACCGGTAGCTCCGCTGCGTTGTCCAGCCCATAATACAACCGCCAATCCAGCTGTTCTGCGATAATAATATCTATGTTGGTCCTTGAAAGGATGCCCAGGACGAATGGCATGTAAGGTACTTAAGGTTGGTTGCCTTGGGGCTTTGGGGGCCCAATGAAATGAGAAAAGTCTTGCACAGCTTGACAGAAAAGTGTACATAAAACCTTGCAGCCATCTTGGACCTCATCTCCATCCACTAGGGGCCGGTCGATATTTAACCGCATACATTCGAGAAAATGGGGAAGGAAAAACAAGTTGCATATTCGTGGTCAATCTAGATTCTCCCAAAGTAATTTTCGAAGAGGCGATGTTGGGGAATCCCAAAGGAGTTCAAAAAGGAGGCATCGGTAGTAGCACTACCGGACCAGATGCAGATTGTTGGCAAATGTTACACAGCCTTAAACTGCAGAAATCATGGAAACCTTGTTCGAGGTCCCAACTTTGAATTCCGTGGGTCTTAAGTAGCATTCCCGTCTTTGGCAGCTGACATAGAGAGGTGTCGAGTGGGAATCATCGTCACTGGGCTATACTCTCCGTGGGCACTCCTGCCTGTCTGTCCCTGCTGCATCAAGTCGTTGGAGAAAACGCAGGTGCGACGGATAAGGAGGTCTGAGCTCTCAAGGTTAGCATCTCACCCAACTTGATGCACATTCTTGACTCGGACGCCGCGCCATAAGTTGGGATATTTGAAACAGCAAGTTGTCCCCAAGCAAGGTGGCATCGATGATTGCTATCAGCAAGGCCGAGCAAGTCAGTTATCTACGTAGATTGTCATTGTTATAATGCGTCACGGTGCTGAAATTTGGGGCGGATGGTCATGGATGGATGGAAGTTCGGACGAGACTTCCGAGGGTGCTGTGTCTGAGCTGCACAAGGATACGTGTATTGTTTTCGTATTTCCAACCAGATATTGAACTTTACTGAACTGAAGTACGAAGCACGCTTCTTGCAACCACAGAGAGTGTTTTGAGACATTGCACTACCCTGAGATCCGACGAAATTGTCCAAATTTGCAGGATTCGCGGACTTATTATTCTGTGCTGGTCACCTAAGGATCAGGAGGTCTCGTTAATTATTCTCGAAATCGGCAATTCGGCTTCTGTGCCTTGGATTAGGTATGGCGGAAGGAGGTGGTGAACTTAGACCTTGAGCAACTTATACTTTGCATGTGTTAAGTCTCTCGCAGGCATGTGTACTCAGGATGGAGAAACTCTGCCTCATCAGGGTGCGATAGCTTTTAGCAGACAGACCAGGCTTTAGTTGAATAGCTCAGGTGAAGTTGGCAATACCATAGACTCAAGTGCCCAACATACTTATGCACTTGAATATTAATGTTGCTGCTCTAGCGTTCAAAAAGAGATGATGTGTGTCAACCCTACCAAGTCTAGCAAGATACAAAAAAAAGAAAGAAAAAAAGACTGGAAGAAAAAAAAATACTAGAAGAAAAAAATATATTGGAAGAAAAAAAAGGAAATGGCTCACTCGATTTGCGACTTTCCGCCCCCTCCTTCTCCTACCTTAATGTGCAAGCGCAGTAGTATTTGAGAGACACGGTTATGCAATGCACATAATGGTTCAGAAGGCAACCCGGAGATTAGCAGCCAAGTCCGGGCAGAATTGACCATCAAGGCTCGTGTGGTCAGCCCGGATTGACGGATTGACAGAATAAAACAAGATGATGACAAGCCATGTTGGAACGGCTTGTCCTGAATGTAAAGAGTCTGCTCATTGTGTAGGTAGTACCTGACCACCTTGCAGTGTAGATGATTGCAGAGCACTCCGGGTGGTGATCGTCGTTGACGATGAGCCACACCAGTGAAAAAATAGACACAAGAAATCAAAAACTCTGGTGATGTGACCATAGGTAATCGTAGGTGCCCAACATCAAAAAGAAAACCGGGCCTTGTCCTGAGTAACCGTGAATAATGTGATCCGGGCAATAATTTTGGGGCAAGGGTTGAGGGCGATACTACAGGGCGATAGTGGTTGCAGGGAGATTGGGAGATAAGTGAATGGCAAAGTACCTCGACAATAGAATTTGCAGTGAATTTGCGCGTCCACGGTACTTTTTTGATTTATTTCGCCTTGTGCCAACCTTGGAACCCACCCTTGCAACTTTACCAAACCCCGACTAAACTGACTGGCCCCAGCTGCGAGCGGACCACACACCACACACCACGGCGACCACGCCAGACGACACACAGAGCGCAGCAACCAGTCGCTGCCCTCCACCCCTTCGAGCAAAAATTCTGTCTGGCAAAAAAAAGTTCCCTCTTTCTCACCACGACATCACTCTGAGTGACTTGACCTGAGGAACAGCATCCCCTCTCAAGGTCACTTTTTTCCTCTTCCTCCATTTGAATCGAGGAAGGAATCCATCAGGTCTCTCTGTATCTTTTCACAGAGAACCACCTCTCCGCTCCCGGTCACTGTCTTCTTGCCCACCTCGCACGTCGAGACGCAGAAGCAGCCCAACGCGCATCTCTCACCTCAGGACTCCCGTCCGTAAGCTAGAGACGACGATATCTCTCAAGGCATCCGAAATCAGATCGCCCACTTCTTGCGCATTCACTTGTAGCGACACCACTCTTTTTTCTTACCTGCGACTGATACCCCATTTTCCCCTCCATCGTCTTTGCATCAAGGTCGAGCTTTTTGATCGCATCCCACGATCAAATCGCCTTGTTGCCCGCCCGTGGAAGGCGAAAACGCTAATTTAATTGACGACCCATCTCCGAAAAGAGATTTGACATTCACTTCTACCTACGAATACTTTTCAAGCAAGACACGAATTTGACATTCGTCGTCTTCGTCTTTAGTATTTGCAGCAAGACTCCTTGGTCGACATTCTTTTCTTAGAGCGACACTTCTCTGAGAAAGACCCCCCAAGGTACACACAACCATCGTCACAATCAGCTCACGACAACGTTAAGAAGAAACCCAACACTCTCCCCTTATGACTTCTCCCGCAAGTCAACAAGCCCCGATTCCCGCGCCGAACGCTTCTGCCAACGCTTCCGCTACGTCCTACGCTTCTGCAGCCGGCGCAGCGAAGAAGGCTTCGACGCTGGTTGCGACGGGAAGCTCCAACTCGCCTCTTGTTGCGGCTGGATCATCGGTGCCGGCGGCACAACATGCTAAGTCGAACTCGGTGTCGCCAGTAAACGGCCGGTCCAACCCGCCCATCATGCCTGCTGTTCCCACTGTGGTTGCTCCGGCAGTCGTGCATGGCACGTCCAGCACAAATGGCGCCAGTGATTCACACAGCCGAAAGCCTTCCGTCACTATGAACCCGAACGGCCTCAACAGCTACTCCGCCAACGGCAGCACTGTCGGCGGCGCCAAAGGCAACATCCAATTCGGATATCAAAGCTCGCCAGCTGTCTCTCACAGCACCCCTCAGGGCATCTCAGCACCCATCCCTATTCCCGGTGGCAACCCGCGCGTCACTTCGCCTCAGCATTCGCCGTCGCCCATTCCGCAGCCCTCGGCCAGCGGTGGTGGTCGACCCCCCTCTAATGCTCAGCCAGGCAGCACCGTGACATTCGGCAGTTTTGGTGGCGATGTAAGATATATCACGCCTGACCATGGAAACATAGACGTGCTGATAACTGATCTCTCTGTGCAGAGCCACATGCGACGGCCTTCTAATTCTCAGAACCCGCCCGTCCACATCCGCAACGAGTCTTCCCAGTCCATGGTTAGCGACCCGAGCAACCAAGGTGGACCTCCGCAAGTTGGAGGACCTGGACGTGGCGGCTACCAAGCAAACCGTGGCGGTCGTGGAGGATACGGTGGAAATTTCGGTGGCCACACACAGCAGATAGGAGGCTACCCGCCCAACAATAACAACCAGTTCCGCAACGGTCCCCCTCACGGCCGTGGCGGCATGGCTCCGAACTTCACGCCGCGTGCACAATACCAAGGCACGCCTCCGCAAAGCCGCGCCAGCCCTGCTCTACAGTCGGCTATGCCAATGACTCCGGGCATGACCGGTCATAACGCGCCGCAATACTACTACCCGCCCCCGAACATGGGCCAACCAATGCCACAAGTACCTACCCCCAACCCCCAGCCATCTTTCTTTGATCACAATACATTCAAGCAAGGCAAGAGAAAAGGCCAGCGAAGTCGTGAAGGGGAGAAGTTTCCTCAGAATCACCAACGCTCGGCCTCGTTCAATGCTGGCTCGCAGGAACGCTCACAAAGGGCCAGACGCAATAGCAAGCGAATGGAACCGCGTAGCTTTCACGAGCGGGCGGATTCGAGATGCTGTGGAACCCAAGGCTTTCTTGCTCCCCTCGAGCGGGAGGAGCGGAAAGACATGGCACCGCTTCCACAACATCCTCCGGCGTTGCCTCTTGCGCCTCCTCCTATCCTATACCCGCCTTCAGGGCCGCGTCTCGACCTGCGGCCAGAGACTGGTAACTTTGAAAGGTTGCTGACCAAAGTACAGCAGTATCCGTACAACCCACAGTTCGACCCTATGCGCGGCCCCATGCCCAATTACAACATGTACGGCCCCATGGTGCATGGCCAGCCTCATTCCCCTTCGCCCGGCTTCCAGGCCCCGTATCCCGCACCTGGGCAGTACAATCCTCAGGGCGGACAGCCCATGTCACGTAACTCATCACAGGTTTCCGAACAGCGACCGGCATCCAGCACTGGTCAAAATCAACCGCCCCAGGGTACACCGCAACCTCATTTAGCTCAAGTCAAGCCCGCTGTTGTCTCTTCACCACAGTTCACACGCCCTAACAAGAGGGTTAGTGCTGCAATCACTATCAAGAATCCATCTGACGGTGCTGTGGTGGATCTGCAAAAACTCAAAGCACCTGCATCGCCGGCGCCCAGCGTACAGTCCAAAACGCCCCCAGTCATTGCTTCCACTCCCACACCCCCACCCAAGCCCTCTACTCCGAAAATAGTTGCGCCCGCGCATACTCGTACTGATAGCGCAACCGCCACCAAGACCCGCGAAGAAGTCCAAAATGAGTTGAGGGAGAAGATTGCCAAACAAATCGCCGACGGCGGCAAGTCCAAGGAAGATGAAGCTGCCGCCATTGTTGCCAAGGCCGCTTCCGACAAGGCGGCTGAGGAAGCCAGAGTCGCCGAGGAGATGGCCAAGGCTGCTGCTGAACGGAAAGCTATCGAGGACAAACTCAAGGCAGAGCAGGAGGCGGCAGAGGAAGCCAAGGCTGCCGCGGAAGCCAAAGCGAAGGAAGAAGCGGATGCGAAGGCAAAGGCCGACGCTGAAGCTGAAGCCGAGGCCGCGGCCGCAGCCGCAGCTGTCAAGGAATCCGAGAAGAAAGATGAGCCTGTCGTTGATGAGGAAGACGAGATGGAGCGCGCCATTCGCGAGATGGAAGAGCTTGAGGCCCAACGTGAGAAGGAGCAGGAAGAGTATGAGAAGAAGAAGGCGATTGAACGTGAAGCCAAGAAGAAGGTTGATGAAGAAGCAAAGAAGATTAGCATCGCCGAGAACGACCGCAAGATGCGCGAAGCCGAGGCAGAGGCAGAGCGTCTTGAGGAAGAGAAGGAGCGTCGCCGCCAAGAAAGTGAAGCCAAGCCGAAGACCGTTGCCCAGGCTATGGCCGAAATCCGCGCCGGCAAAGAGAGCACCATGTCAACGCCCACCGAGACTGTTAGCAAACCTGCTAATTTGACCATCAACGACAAGTTGAGTGCTGTTGCCGGTTCAAAGGTCAGTCCCGGGGAGAAGCGTGGTACCAAACCGCCTCCTCTAAACCTCAACACGAAAGCCGTCGAGCCACCCCAGCCCAGTGCTGCCCTCCAGTCCTTGAAGACGGCTAGATTGCTCAGACCGGAACAATTGCTCAGTCTTTCGTACCCTGCTGGCATCAATGGCATGAGCTCACCTAACCCCGCGTTGAATGCTGCCGTCTCAAAGAAGGGTACTTCTTTCAAATACGACCCGAACTTCTTGCTGCAATTCAAAACTGTTTTCACCGAGCAGCCTTCAATGGAATTCCACCAGCAAGTCAAGACCTTGATTGGCGATAACGACGGAGGTCGGTCTGCATCTGCTAGAACTCCAGGCCCAGGTTCCGGCCGCCAGAACTCTAGAACCGGTGCCCCCGGCGCCTTTGCCATGGGTAACTTTGGCGCGCCTCCTGGTGCAACAAGGACACTGCCTCCGGGCACTACTTCCGCTGACCGCTTCAAAATGTCTGAGGGTGCCATATCTCGCCCTCCGATTGGAAATCCAATGGCAAGCTTCGCACGGCCTGGAGGTCCTTCCTTCGGTGGCAGCTCCATGTCGAGAAACCCGTCCAGCTCCAATATGGGTCCCAACTCCCCGAGACAGAGCAGCCGCTCTACACGCAACACCAGCAAGCGCGATACCTTCGGCAAGTCGGAAGGACAGGCAGCTAAGACCATGCCTCTTACCGCCGGCATGAAGATAGAGACGCTCAGTGTATCTTCCTCTGGCTGGAAGCCGACAAGCATTGGGCAAAGACCAAGTGCGGCTGCAACTGCGCCAAACGGCCTCATGGATCCTGCCATGGTACAGAGAAAGGTCAAGGCAGCTCTGAACAAGATGACGCCAGAGAACTTTGACAGAATCTCCCAGTCCATTCTGGACATTGCCGGCCAGTCCAAGGATGAATCAGATGGAAGGACGCTCCGACAAGTAATCCAACTGACATTCGAGAAGGCCACTGATGAGGCTCACTGGGCATCCATGTATGCCAAGTTCTGCCAGCGGATGCTGACGACTATGAGTCCAGAAATCCGTGATGAAAACATTTTGGACAAGAACGGCCAGGTTGTCAGTGGTGGTGCTCTGTTCAGGAAGTACCTCTTGAACCGATGTCAAGAGGAGTTTGAACGTGGCTGGAAGACCCAACTGCCCGAGGCCAAAGATGGTGACAAGAAGTCTATGGAAGCTGTGATGCTATCTGATGAATACTACATCGCTGCTGCGGCCAAGCGACGTGGACTGGGTCTCGTTCAGTTCATTGGTGAACTCTACAAGCTGGGCATGTTGACCGAGAGAATCATGCACGAATGCGTTAGGAAGCTTGTGGATTACCAAGGTGCGCCCGACGAAGCAGAGGTTGAGTCGCTTTCGAAATTACTGCGAACGATTGGTGGTAATCTGGATGCTACCGAGAAGGGTAAACTTATGATGGATGCCTACTTCACGCGCATACGGGGCATGACCGACCATCCTGAGATCAACAGCCGTCTCAAGTTCATGCTCATGGATGTTATTGACCTGCGAAGGGTTAACTGGGCTTCAAAGGAAGCAAACAAGGGTCCCAAGACCTTGGAAGAAGTTCGCGTCGAAGCCGAGGCGGCGGCAGCTCAGAAGGCGGCAGAGAATGCCAGAGGCAATCAACGTGGTGGAGGTGCACGAGCACAGATGGGCCGTGGTGATGCGAGACAGTTTTCATCTGGGTTCCCTCAGGCTGCGCAAAATCAAGTTGGCATGGACGACTTGCGTCGTCTCAAAGGTGGCGCCAACCGGATGTCCAGTCAAAACCTCTCCTTGGGCCTGGGCCCCACGTCCATGTTCTCCTCGAGAAGTAACAGTGGCAGGCGTCTTGGCCCTGGTGGTTCACTCAGCCGCGGTCCCGAAGACTCCGGAGCATCATCGAGAACTGGGACACCTCCCACAAGGGAACCACAGAGCACCAATGCTTTCAGGTTTGCACAACCCCCGTTTGACAGTGTTGGAAAATGTGTTACTAACTGCAACTAGTCTCCTGGCTAACATGGAAGACAACCCAGCTTCTCCTCCATCCACTGCAGCTTCACCAGCGTTGTCCAAGGTCGCACCGGACACTGCGGCTGCGGCTGGGAAAGGAGAGTAGTTGAGTGTTCGCTTTCCGTCATAGACGTGTCTTGCATTTTGCGGTTGCAGCATATCTGTGCATAGACTTGGGACTGTACTGCATTTACGGGGTTCTCAAAATGTGTCTCAAAAGTTACAGGCTGCTTTATGATACCTCACATTTCCGATAGAGTTACACACTCCCACGACCTGCCTCTTCACGGCCATGTTTACCCTGACACGTTCTTCACTTCACCAAACTGTGTTTCACTACATTTTCTTACGACATCGGTCAAAGGTCATGTGTAAAGGATGTCATTTCCTTTTCGTGCCTGAACCGTTCATGGCTTGTGGCTTGTGGCACTTCTTGACATCATCGGCAAAGATCAAGGAGAAGTGCAAATGGCCAATCAAGGGTGCTCTATAGAGGAAGAGCATGAATGAGAGGTTGCATAACGCGATATGTTACATGACACAATGCGTTGATGTGAAAGATGATGCAAGCGGAAAAGCCAACCAAAGGAATGGTTGTGTAAATTTCGATTGCATTTTGAGTCTGCTTGCTGCTGGCTGGTTTTGCTGGCGCTATTTTTCACTAAATATCAAGGTATTGCAGCTCACATAGCCAGTCGGTTGGGACAACAGCAACTGACAGGTTGGTGGAAATGGCATGTGGACACGGCAGGGGAATACGGGGGGATGAATGAGGTAATGGATTGGGAAGCGAATTCATGCGGCCTGTACACGTACACCATCATAATATTTAGACTTCCGCCAGCCAGTAGCAGCAGCATGAATTGATACACTGAACGATATATGACTTACCTGGCTTGTATTTTGCTCTGACGTTGTGAGAGGGAGTGACAAATAGCAAACTCGAGATGTTCTCAATACCCCATACGTACAGACAGGCTCCATAAGCGTGGGGACCACTTTACGCCAACACGAAAATTCGCGGAACAGCGTACAATCACCACATCACTTCATCCTCGCACAAATATATCAAAATGGACGTGAACCGAATTTGTTAGAGAGTTGATGGCAGGCTATTAAAAGAGCACTAAGCTCACTCCAGCTCAGCATACAGCCCTAATTACTAGGTTAAAGCTAGAACAAAGTTAACATACCGTCGCGTCGGATTTCAGTATCTACCGATGGGTTATTACTGAAACACTTTAACGCTAACATGGTTTAACACCGAGTCGCGCACTTTTTACCACACTATAATTTCAAGTTCAATCAAAAAGCCACAACAGACTAAAGTTTATTGAAATTTATTCAGAGCTATATACATCTGACAATTATAGTTCGATCTGACAAGTCTTTACATTATGTCCGGTCTTCTTACACTTACTACATCGTCGTACAGTCGACGGACCAGCCTTTTCTTTACCCCCCTAGAGCGCTTGTCCTCCTTTACCTGGGCCTCCGCGTCCTTCCGGGCCAAAATGTCCAGGGCATCCTCGACAGTAAGTGCACCTCCTTGCCGGACACGCGATTTTTTGCCCTCCGACGCTTGCTTAGTGCCTCATTTGCCTTGCGAAGGGTGGAGCACTCAGCCTTCAAGAGGGTATTCTCATGGGCTAATCGAGTTATACCCTTCGCAAGGTGGCCAACAGCATCAAAAATTGGGGTCGGAGAGCTTCCCTGATGTCTGGCGATTCGGCGATTGACAAAATCGGACTGCGAGAGAGCCTCTGTCGGGTTATTTGGCGTTTGCGAAACCCAAGGGTCAGCATCTAGAAGAGAGGGGCTAACGGGTGTAGGCGACCGAATCCTAACATCCAGCTTCGAGATAACGGCTTCAGGGTCGTGGGGGACTAGGCCGGCCCCTCGAAACCCTGCCTTGATTTTGTCGGTTATTGTCTTTAAATAAGCCTCCTTAAAGGCGATAAAGAACTCGACCTTAGTAATGTGGTTAATATGGGACTTGATAAATATATCAATCTCTCGACCGTATATACGTTTCAAGACCCCAAAGCACCCGACATCAAGTGGCTGGGTTAGATGAGACGAGTGCGGGGGCAGACTGATAGTAATAATGCCGTTAGACTTGCAATAAGACTCGAAATCGGCCGATGTATGACTCTCATGCCCATCCAATACTAACAGCCGATACACGCCTCTTTTGGTCGAGATAGTGTGCTTGTTGAAATGTTTGATCCAGTCTAGACCAGTCTCATTGTTCGTCCACCCGTTTTCGGTCGGTTTGACTACCCAATCGGCTGGTAGGTCCCCCTCAGTATACCAATTAGCAAGGTGATAGTTCCCTTGAATTACCAGAAATGGCGGGATGTCGCGACCCTCCGAATTGACACAGGTAATCGCCGTGGCCCATTCCCGGTTACCTGGCTGGACCTTCTTGCTTCTACCATTACGTTCAGACGAGGTAACGACCATCGAGCGTTGAATAACGCCCATCATAAAGCCCGTCTCGTCGAAGTTCCACATATCGCAGTCCTGGATCCCGTATTTGGCCCTCATATTCGATACAAGCCGGAACCAGTCCTCAATAATCTTTGGATCCTCGCAGAGGGCCCTCTGGAAGTCATACGAGCGAGAAAAACGCGTCTGTAACTCTGGGTTCGCTTTACAAAGCGATGCGCCCAGAGCTTGCCGACGCGTCGGGTACCCCGCGTCGCAAGAATAGAATTGGCCATATCTTCCACACCCTCTAGCCGGGGAGGAAACCCTCTCAAATCTAGGTCAAGTACATGCTGAACAATAGCTCTTTCCTCTATCTTGGTGAGGACTCGGGTACACCGTATAGCTTTGCTGCTCGACGTTGGCTCATATTTTTGGTCGATCGGATAGCTTCGATGGCAAGGTTGATTTTGGCTTCTTGGGTTTGAACTGACATGGTGTTGTTGTTGAGGAAATAAGTGTTGAAGTCAAAAGGTTGGAAAAGTTGAAAAAGTGCGCGACTCGGTGTTAAACCACGTTAAATAAATTACCATGCTTTTGATTCGCTAGCCCGTAGCGGTCATCCTCATATATTACTACGCCTTTGTAATCGTTTCCTTTTTAGATTATATAAAAGGAATAGGAATAGGCTTATAAGGAGCTAACAAATAGTATAGGGTTGAAGAGTAGTATCTCTACTATAAGTCGCTGCGTGAAGGTTTATAATATACGTAAATAGAGGCCTGTCAGAGTGCCGAGTGTAAGACACCGGTATAGGGACCTGCGAGTCATGACCTAATATGGAAGTCTTGGTGTGCTGAGGAACCGGGGGAACGGGTGCTCTGCTGTTCCGATATACGGCTTCTACAACTCCGAATACGGGCTCTGGTTATCTATCTATATAAGGGAGGTATCTTGGAGGAAGATAGGAAGAAGCTTAGAGATCAATGAACTACACTGGGCACCCCTACCTGAGACTGCCAGTGACCGCCAGTGACCACCCGGTGATGACCAGTAGGGACGCCTAGTACTCCCCTTCACTCTGTACCCTGGCAAGGCCCTAGAAGCGGGTTCTACTTATTAAAGCGGTAGAAAGGCTATAATACCTTGAGTCATTTGAAGGCTCTAGACGAGGGTATAATCCCCCAGCGTACTTATATATATGAATTACTTACTTTGCTGCAAGGTCAGCTATCCATCTCATGTACTTTCCGAGTACGCCTGGCTCCTTGTAGCCCAGCACCAGCCGCTGGTCAGGAGTTATTGCGGGTGGGCTCATAGTGCATAATCAACTATGACTTCAGGGGTATTTTGCAGGACGACATATGCTTGAAAAGCATCTTCATGCCGGACATAGCCTGAGGTTGGGATGTGCACCACGGGCGGCCTCCACAACCTGACTAGATCTACCATATTGAGCTTCTTGTGATGATCACTTTCGGTAGAGAACTCAACACGAAGTGCTTGCGATACCTCGTTTTATTGGCCCGACCCTTGAGTTCCATCAACGAATACTGACTGTGTCGTGTCGGGACTCAAGGCAATAAGCCCAGGTTTTGATCAATCATATGATTTACTCGACGGTAGATTTGCAATCCCAAGCTTCACCTCTTCGGCCGTCCACTTGGATGCTGTGCCATGTACCGAAGTAGAATTGGAGATGAACACTCAAGAGTCGAAGGACACTGCTATGCGCGCGTAAACATGCTGTTTGGCAACAGCTCCAGAATCTCCACTGTCTTACAACAATCCTTCCTGAAGCACTTCAAGACAAGCTATTCATAGAACTAGATTGTATAGCCTCAAACCTGATGAAACCAACCTCCTATCTACTCCACACCCTGAGTATTACAAGCCCGATGCCGGCAAACCAAGCCATGAATCCATTCCATAAGTCATTACCACAAGTACTTGGTTACACTGTCAACCAAGACTCGTACTTCAAACGGCAACAAAACCCAACTTGCCAAACAGGGTATCCATCGCCACCCACCGCCGACCACACTTATCCAGATATTTATCCACAACGCTCTTTACCGTGTCAAATCGGACTCTGTTATGCTCTGCCAGTGCGAGCACCGTCTCCTTCCCGGCGCCCCCCAGCTTCTCCTGCCCATCCCTGACCTTTTCCTTGGCCTTCTCCACGTCCCAGAGGCTTGCAAAGTAGACAAGCTGGTTGTAGATGTCCCGCTCGCCGTACTCGTATCGCATGCGGCCCAGGCATCCGCTCGCCAGGCCCTTGGGACCCAGACACTTGCCGCCGTAGACGGACATCTGCCGTGTGCGGTGGCCGCAAGATGTGTCATCGCACACTAGCCACGCCTCGTAGTACTGTGCCGTTTGCGCGCGGATGGCGGCCTCGACCTGGGTGACAATACTGAGGTTCGGAATGTGTGCTGAGCAGATTGGACATGAGACGCCCTGCGGCGTGACCTGCTTGCTGTTTAACAGACCTTCGAATTGCGAGCTGGTCTTGCATTTCCGACAGCGCAGCGAAAGGCGCGCGCAATCGGCGAAGCGGACCTCATCTGGGATCTGAGACTCGAGTGGGTGGATCTCTAGGTCGTTGCTGCCATTCTGTCCACTGTATGACGAGTTGTTAGCGTAGCGGCGAATATCAAGGCCGAGCTGCTCTGCGAGCTGGGCGGTAGACGTGCCGACGATATTGGCACAGAGACGCTCCACGGGTGGGAAGATCTGCTTGCCGATATACCACTCGACATCCACCTTGAGGTCTGAACCGGCTTTCATCATGTCTTGAGGCGTGTATGCACGTTTCGCCACGGACTCCGACGACTGTTTGCTGTCGCCAGTTATGACATACGATATGACATCGCCGCGACGAACGTTCTTGCCTCGTGCAATCTCGCGGAGGGCGACCTGCACCTGGGGCATCGAGTCTGCGTTGGGGTACTCTTTAGGGCCCTTGCCAAGCTGGGTAAAGATGATGTACTTTTGCACAGGGATTGTCTGCGCGCGCATCTTGGCCGCAATATCGCGGAGGTACTCGTGGATGCGCTGGATCGAGACTTCAGTATCATCGCCTGACAGAATATCGTTCAATATCCGTGACGAGATCTCTTTGGACAGTGCGCAGTACTCGCGGCGCTTCATGTCGAGACCTTTGACCTCCATCTTCTCCTCCCACTTGCCTCCAACTTCGACGAGGTTAATCGCCGCATACTTCTTCTTAGCCTGCAGCAGGATACGGCGGAATATGTTGTCAATGTCAATCTCGAGTTTTTGGTACCGTGCGTTGACAGCCTTCTTGAACTCATGACCAACCTTGAGGGCGTCTGCTACCGAGTTGACATTGGCATTGATCATGACGGAATCTGTGTCACCGTAGATGACCTGAAGCGAGTTGGACTCGGCAAGCTCTTTGGTGCTCCGTAAGATCTCACGGCCCTTGTATGTGGTAAGAATGGCGAGAGGTCGTGCGTAGAAACGCGACTTGGTGTAGCCGAGACATCCGTACATAGAATTGGCTGTGAGCTTATACGCAAGCTGCCTGATGTCATAAGTGGCAAGCTGCTCGGGTGTTGCGTTCTTGTCCTTCATGAGCTGCTTGACCTCTCTTCTGCGGCTGACCAGCGTGGCGATAAGCCTGGGCAGAACACCTTGAGTCTGAGCCGTAGGCACTTCCGGAACAGCTCCTTCGTCCTCAGACTACGCCTTCAATCAGTAGGGGTCATTTGAACGATTTTAAGGGGTACTTACCATCCCACTTCTCTCCACTGTCGTGAAGCAGATATTGTACTCCTGAATGATGGAAGGATACAGGGAGTTGAAGTCCATAACAAGTACGTACTTGTCGTAAAGACCCCTCTCTGGCTCGAAAACGAGACCTCCCTTGTATTTGTCCTTCTTGGTGTCGCTAGCCTCTTCGCCGTTTTCGTCTTCAAGCTTAACCCGACCCTTGAAGCTCTGCTTGTCTGGACAAATGTACTTGTTCCGGTGGAACTCGTGAAGCAAAATGTACTCGTTCCGCTCAGCACGTGTGCCAGTGAGAGTTCGAGCCCACGAGTTGCCAGCCAAGTTCGTCAAGACTTTAGTCAGTGGCAACATCTGAGTTCGCAAGGCGAGGGCAGCGATATAATGAGTGTCGGCTTCCATGTGCGTGATGTAATCCATGAGACCGTTTTTATCCGTTGCCCACGTCTTCAAGGCTGCCTCGTTGTCGACATCTCTCCTCTTTTCGCCGCCCAAGTAAAGGCTGCACATCTCGGTCAAACTCCAAGACTGACACTTGTACATGACGGATTTGCCAGCCTCGTTGGCAAGGTCACAGAGCAGACGACCAGCAATGACCTGGCGCTCGGCGAACACATTACCACCGACCTTGCCTATAGACGACGGCCATTGTGATCTGCGGAGTCGGCCCAGACGAGACCACTGGGGGGTCTTCTTCTCGTGTAAACGATTCAGAAGAATACTGTAGTCTACTCCTTCAAGCTGATGTCCCAGGATGACATCGGGGTCAACAACGTCGACCTGGGCCAGGAAGAACGAGAGAATCTCGGACTCCTGTTTCATCAGCTTGATCAGGCCCTTTTTGCGGTCCTTGGCTAACTTTTCAAAACCCAGGGGGAAAGCCGATCCACTCGGCCGAATCAGGGTGAACGTTCGGCAAGGCAGCTTCTCTGCTGGAGTGGTGTCACTGAGAAGGACGTTTTCGTAAATGCGAGCACTGATCGAAAATATCTCCTGTTTGTTCACTTTGGCGTTGAACGTGGTTCTCATAGCCATGCTCATGAGAGTGAGGGGGGGTGCGTCCAAATTGTCCGAGTCGCTCAAAGCAGACACCATGTTGGGATGTTCAACTGAAACCTCGAGCTTGGCATGCGATGCATTCTTGAGGGTACCAAAGTCGGCGTCCTCAATCTTCAGCCAGCATGGCCCTTTGATATTTTTCCACAACACAAACTGCTCGAAAAGTGAAGTGTTCGTGCCGAAGATATGCGAGAAGGTCTCTCCAACCATTTCTTGGGCAATCTGCGGCTCTGCGCAAAGTTAGCAGTGCAGAAGTTGGCCTCGCCCGGTAAAACTTACTGGTGTAAGGGTAAAGTAGTTTTAAATACTGTCCTTCCTTGGGTATATCCGGCAGTTCAAAGGCGTACTTCCTTGTACAGGCCTTGATCTTGTGCATGCCGACTTTCATCTTGGTCATAATCTCGTCGACTTCAGTAAAAACATCCATCATCTCGATTTCTTCACTGGTGTCTTGGCCATCCTGTTGCCGGTATTGACGCGGCAAGAAGTACAACTTTCTCAAAACATTGTCGACCTTGACAAAACAGCTCACGTAAGAGCCGTTCTTCTTGTTAAGCACCTTGCCAAACAAGCAAAGGCTGCCATTGACCTCAGTGTAGTCGGTCCAGAAGAAGTTGAGGCTGCCGTCTTCCTCAATGGCATCTTGGTAGTCGAGCTTGCCAATAGTCCGCGTCTCGGGAGGGGAGCTACCAACAACATTGAGCTTGCTGGTAAGATCGTTCCAGGACGTGGCGTCGATCGAGCATTCGGGTGCCTTTGAAGGAGACGAGCTGACCGGAGAAGGATATGGATCTGGCTTTAGAAGCTTCTTGATTGGCCGTGACGCCGACAGGTTGACGCTTGTGGTGTTGATAGTACCAGTGTGGGCAACTTCCATCATGTCATCATCATCGTCGTCTGCAGGCTCGGCCTTAACCTGAGTCTTGCGTTGGACAACCTTGGTGGTAGGGGAGGAGGGTGCGGGCTCTGCATCGCTCATCAGGACATCAGCAGCAGGTGGTGGCAAATCATCATCCATGTCCATTGGCGGAACGAATCCATCGTCGTCGAAGGTGTCGGAGGGAGACGGCAGACGGTCATCTGTAACTTTGGTCTTCTTGGGAGCTGGTTGTCTGGCAGCTGGGCCGGGAGAAAGTACGCGAGCTCTCCGTCGTTCAGGGGACCGATGTCTCTTGGCAACTCGGGACACGGGCACGGGGATGTTTGAGTCGACTTCACCCAACAGGTCGGCTAAAAACTTGTCGTCGGCCTCGGTTTTGACAACCTTGGGCTCGAGTCAGCACAGATATCACGCGGGTCATCGCCGCAGAAGCAGTACCTTTGGCTTGGGCTGGGGAGCAGTGCGGCCTTTCATGAAATACTGGCTAATGTCTCGGTCGTTCGCGTCCTTCTTGGCCTTTTCCTCGTCGTGTTTCCGCTTGTCTGGCACTTTGTCAGATCTGATGAGCTCCTCATAACCTGTCTGTCGCCCGAAGTGGGTTGCTTCGTACCTGACTTGGGCTTTCCTTTGACCACATGGTCATCCTCACTGTCAGACTCGTATTGCTGGACTCGATCCCAGTCCTCGCGACCGTCGTCGGCATATCCCTCGCCGTTGTCGTCGACTACGAAATCATCTTCGTTTAGACGGTCGCGGACGATCTTCTTGTACTGGTTCTCGTCGACTTCTTCGTACAGATCCGTTTCTTGCTGGACTTCGTACGAGTCGAATGCCTTCTTGCCAGAAGCCCGGAGAGCTCGAAGCTCGGCGAACTTATTGCGTTTGTTGGCAACCTTAGACATGATGGCTGAAGGAGTATGCGGCGTGGATGCAATGCTCACAAACTGCGAGGCATGATCAGGTTGAACCAAGAACAGAAAGTTTTTGTAAAGTAATTCGTTCAATTGGTGTGAATGTGTGTATAGTGGGATACCTCTTGACTATGAGAGGGAAGCTATTAAAACGTACGCGTCTAAGTGGGCCGCAACTTCGCGTCGACGCGAACCCCAGCACTTTAGTTTGGCCGGCGGATGCAAGTGGCTGGCATGATCAGGACCACCACCCTTTGCAGATGCTGTCGCGTAAGGTAGGTCCCAGTTGTTGCACCTACCCGTTAGAAGCTACAGCGCTGAAATATCGCTCAACCGAGGCTTGACATCACGCTACAGGGTACCTCTGCCCAGTGTTTTTTTTGGACAGTATGGAAAATTTCGGGGCGCTCTGTCTATGCGATTTAGGTAGTTGCAGCATCGCCCAGCTTTGGTCCCGGAGGACATCATGTTTGCTTGTAGAGCTTGTACAAGAAGATGCTTGACTATTCTGTTTGAAAACACAATTCTACTTGAGGTTCCGAAATATGCCGCGCCTACGGCTGCGTGCACGGCGAAGAGCTATGCGACAGCTGCCGTGGCAATGAGACCATCCAGACCGGCACGCAGCAGCAAACCAGCCGAGGACGAGCAAGAGGACCAAGACGAAGACGGAGATGAAGATGACGTGAAACGCAGAGTATCCAAATCAACACAGTGGGCTGTCAACAAACATCTGCACTACCTAAAAGACCCGCTCTTCATTGCGCAACATGTCGAGCAGACGCTGGCCAAGGGCCGCTTCGACGAGGCCGCTCTCCTGGTGCGGACGGCGAGCAAAGATCACAAAATACCCGTCAGTTGGAACCATCTGATCGATTACCAACTGCGCGAACACAAGTTACACGCTGCCATGAAGCTTTACAACGAGATGAAGAAGAGGGCCCAAATGCCAACCGCCCAGACCTACACCATCATCTTCCGGGGGTGCGCTGCGTCGCCGCACTCAAAGCTAGCAGTGAGAGAGGCCGTCAGACTCTACAACAACATGTTGAATGGCCCAGACGAACGGCTGAAGCCCAATACAATCCATCTAAACGCCGTCCTCCAGGTTTGCGCAAGGGCCAATGACATTGACACCATGTTTACCATCGTGGACTCGGCCAACGGAGGGCTACGGGCCCCGAACAATCTGACTTACACTACCATCCTCAACGCACTTCGGAACCATGCCGTGCAAGCCATTCACGAGAGCAGCAAACGGGGACCGGACGGGGCGTCGGAGAGCCAGCTGGAGGAAATTGCGCAGCTGAGCATCCAGCGAGCAAAGGCCATCTGGGATGAGGTCATTTCGAAGTGGCGCTCTGCCAACATTGTCATCGACGAGGAACTTGTCTGCTCCATGGGTAGAATACTGCTTTTGGGCGGTTATAAGGACAGCGAAGCCGTTTTGTCTCTCATTGAGCAAACTATGAAGATCCCCAAGGATGAGCAGTTGCTCATTCGCCTTGGCATGGATCGAGAGGCTTCAGCTACCCAGGTTCAGGAGGTCCAGAATTCTAAAAGCAAAGCATTGCAAAAACCCAGTTACAAGGCACCCAGAAAGCTCTCAGCAACACACGCACAACCCGGGAATAACTCGCTATCCCTCATTCTCTCTGTCCTAGACAAGATCCGCAAAACAACCCTCGGGCCCCGCTACTGGACAGTCTTCACCAAGGTGTATTCGGTTGATCCCGATGCCCAAAACTGGCATGCTCTCCTGAGGTTGCTGTGCCGGGGTAAAAACAGTACCAAGACTGTTGAATACCTTCTCCAGACCATGCCCAAAGAATACATGTCCGCAAGGACCTTTCGTACGGCTATGTTCACATGCCTAGGAGACAATCTGAACAAGAGCGCTTTCAACAATGCCACCTCAGTCCTCGAGATAATGCTCACCACGATGCGCGTCCCCGACATGAGAGCCATGAGTATTTACTTGCGCCTTGCTTACGCCAACAAGCGCATGTTCGTGGAACAGGCCAAGACGGATGTAGACGGCGCCAAGCTAGCCTGGGGCAAGCAGCTGACAACTGCGCTTGACAATCTTTGGGAGCCTTACAAGATCGCTGCCAAGCAGTTCACCTTTGGCGGGTTAGCCAAGGTTCCGCACAAAAGGTTCTTGAACGAGACGGAGCGGGAGCGCTGGCTACACGATGCAGGACCGCGCGCTGATTTGGTCGCATTGGCACGCAAGATGATCGCGGCGCACGATCGTCTAATCTTCGAGGGCATAGTACCTACCGACGTAGCAGAGAGGTTGAAGCCGAATCGCAACCTGTTGAATCGATTTGTCGTCAAATATTTTGAAGATAGGGAGCGCCTCGAGCCAGGTTGGAACCGCAAACTGAAAGAGCTTGAAGCCCAGGAGGAAGAGGATGATAAGTATAAATGGGTCGCGTTCTACGAGCGGGAACAGTAATGTGCTAGTGAATGGGCATCTGAGATCTTTCAATTCGAGCGCGAGGGCTTGGACCAGAGAGAGCTGGCGTATATACTATTTGTACATAACTACCAGAATATACCTGTACAAATATTGTACGAACAATCGACATCTCAAACTACACCACGCAGTATCGAAGTACGTACGGCCACCAAACTAGTCGAGGTTCAACTACATACGCAACTGTGCGCAACATTGTCGGCATCAAAGATACCATGCAACACAATAAGGCTGATGACAATAAATATTGGCGAAATACTGCCAAACAAGGTTTTATATGTGTTCCAGCAGCGCAAAGTGCCATACATCTCTTACAGAACTGGTTTCCAAGGCAGTTCAGCGAGAGGTGTTCACCCTGACCGTACACAAGGCTTGTTTGGACCACAATTATCGTCTTCGAGGTTGAAAAGATCCCAAGCCATATGGAGAAGAGTTGCAGGTGTCAGACCTTCAGTGTGCTCGCCTGTAAGCAATCTTAATCAGATGGGAGGTTTCGAGTGTGCGCCCCTTTTCAAAGCTTTGTGATGGGTTTTCATTTCAGGGTCGTGTGGTAGACGTAGAGGTTATGAACGAGCTGGCAAAATGCGCAAACAGATGCTTAGTGTTCAATATGCCGCTCATGTTTGTCACGTTGACCATGATAATTTAGATATCCCGCCCTGGCTTTGCCTCCTAGTCTCCAGTCGTTTCGCGGCTTCCTAAGAGCTCGGTTTTCAAGCTCGCTGTCTGTTTAGGGAGGTCTATTCTAGTGTCGAAGGGAGTGCTTGTGAACAATTCAAATCGCCAGGTGCTCTCAAATGAGGGTGTTGCCGAAGATTCCTAGCCCCCTTTTTCGTCCGTTAACAAGCACTAGTCCCGTCGTGTCCTCGATAAATGAGAAGAACTACAAGGCCCTGCTGAATAGCATGGAAGATCATGGACACGAGCAACGGGAGAAGAATTATCATCACTTCGAAAAACTGTCAATGAGCTACTTAGGCGGAAAATGGGGGAACGCTCATTGTCCGAATAAATGACAGGCATATGATTTAACAGGTTATGTAACTGTTCGACTACCAGAGTTCTACGTTTAAGAATTCGTAATGAGACCATCAAATCCTGTACTTGGCTCCCATGGCAAACCATACTCTCCCGGTTCCAAACATCGACGACTTTGGCACACAGCCCAACAGGGCCTGTGTCCTGAGACCGACCGGTACACTATTACGACAGAACTTGAAAGGGATTTAGTACTGAAAGTCCTGGAATTACGGGATTTTGGTCTTGCCACCCCCAATCTGTGGTCTTTCAAGTACGGATACGCCCCATGTGCCTCTTCACGGCATCAGGACTATCTCGAGACCAGCAGAGGTGACATGATCCACAGAGTTCCCTTTGGTTCACGGATGCCTGTATCCTAGCTCGGATCCTCTCCTCGTCGCCCAGAGCATCCTTATTCCCATAGAAACGCGGAGCTCTGTCAATAGTCCGAGAGGCAGCACAGGACGGAATCAATGCAACAATGAAAGGGGTCCACATAGCCCATAACACAGAGCCATCGAAAGGGGCCAGAAAGAGAAGCACGGTGGTAATGAATTTCCTCTCTTCGTCACCATGTACACATGGACCCTGAGATACCGTTGTTCACATTCGGACGGTGAAGTCTACCTGAACGGCACATGCAGGTTCACGACAATATGATCACTATGAAACGCTCCCAGTGAAACCTCCAAACGACGAGAGAATTCCATACTCTTACGTTGGGAACCCAAATCTATTGGTATTCAGGGTATTTTCCAAAGGTTATTGCGCTTCGCCAGCAGACATTCCTGCCACCTACCCTCCTCCCCACAAGTCCCATGGTGCCTTGGAAATATGGTCATGACATCGCCCAGTGCCAAATTCTACTCCATTGCATCGCTGAACTGCTCAAATGGCCCAATATAGAGAATAATAGCAGCGAGGTTCCTCTCCAGCAAGACACTGATACTTCCGCGGCGCCATCCATGACACGGCGGCATGATGCAACTCAACTAATAGTTCAAGACACGGCAATGTAACCGAATAGAGTATCAAAGCCATCGCACACCGCCCTCCGTCCCCCGCCCCCCTCCCGGACCCCTCGCGATACACTCTATCATCCATCGATTATTAAGACACAATGCATGCATATGCTCCTTCACGCCCATACACAGTGCAACTCAGGCTCTTTTGGAACTTGAAGAGGAGACAGGCTAAGCACGCACGCACCCCCATTCAGGAGACGGCAAAAAGAAGTTCGTCTCAAATAGGTAACCTGGTCTCCCGTTCTCGGCTCCGATGTCACCTGGCAAGTAGGCAGTTCAAGAGACGAGGTAGTGTAGAATCGCTATGACCACGCACGTCCTTCATCGGAAAGATTTGCAACATGATTTTTTCCACCCGTCACGGGCTCATGCATCGACCATGCGAAGACAGTCAATGGCCCGTATTCGGGGGACGAGATGAGACATAATCGCATGACTGGATACGACTAAATACGTCGTCGTATCGGAAAGGATCGCAACTTGTTCTTTTCTACCTAGTCGCAATTTCATCTAAGCACCCATGCTAAGCCGGACTCCGGTCCACACTTACTGGTCTCGATATTCTGAAGCATGGGTAGAAAATAGATGATCTGTAACGTAATGTATCACGAGCTTTTCATGTTGGGTAGTCATGTATCGAAAAGGATACAGGCGTTTCTCTAGAAGGCCTTCCCAAACTTTGCGTAATTGTGGATTTAGTAGATTATGTAGCATTCCATGGGGAAATGCTACCAAAAGTCTTCTGCGGACTTATCACAAGCCGTGGAAGTGAGGACGTGAAAGCGAAAGCGATATACATACATTGATGAATTCGCCACGGCTTAGAACTTCGTGCGACCTGAGTTCCAGACGGACAACGAATGATGTCGAACTTGAACGCGGTCCAACAGCTCCTGTTCATGACCAGTTTTTCTTAAGTCGCCGTGTCGACCGTTGTCGCGATCGTCAAGCTTATTCTGCGACGCTTGGAAGCCTCAAGACTTTTACCGCAAGCCACAACGTTGCATATCTCTACTTGGTAGCTTCGCCAGTTCGAGAAACAGCATACAGACTAAGTCGGATCCGAATTCAAGCTACATGCACACCAAATACTTAAAGCAGTAGTCATCATTGCATCCACAAAACCATCCATACATTACATACATCCGGGGATCGGAGGAGCATTGTTAAATCTGGGGTACCTCCACTACACACCAAGTGGACGAGCAGACGGTCAGATTGCTGAGATATTAAAGTTGATAGCATTTCCCGGAATCAGGATATTGCTCGGCGCCCGCTAAGGGGAAGCGAGTGGCGTCCAGTTGGAATGGTCTTCGGCTGGGTTGGGTTGGGTTGCAACAGAGCGTGGGAGGAACGCACAGAGGGACGAACACTCACTCTCTCACACACCCACACCCACACCAATATGAAGCCGACCGAGTAGTAGATCTGGTTCCGGCATATAGGCCTCCAATCAGTCTCGTGGATGGCTCAGCACTTTACCCGGCTTGCTTTCCCCTGCCGTCTCGGTAAATCATGACGAGCTTCACCGAGGGGCTGGAGCGAGAGCCGGGCGTTGTCGTGTGGGGAGGGGGCGGCGCCTGTGACTACTTCGAACGCCAGACGAAGCAGACTTGTCTGTGTTGTCTTGACTGTGCAATGTGAACAATGAAGTATGTAATAGTTCTATAACATTGGTACACAATGAAAAGGGCCTAGAAATGATGAAATTTGTTAAAGTGTATCTAGGAGCGCGGAAAGGGTGTGGGACTCAGGTATTCACCAGTTCGCCCAGTATGGAAGTCCCGAAAAGACTGAAGGTCAAAACTCAATGTACATTGGGATCTAAACTCGACCGTGTTGTGGATGAACGAAGAAACTCGTCATATGCCGTTCCGAATACATCAGTGATGTTTTAACCCACGAGATAAGCGTGCGTAGGTAAGTGTTTGGACAACGACTCAGCCGCGGTCTCATGGAGGTAAACTAACACCTTATCGGTCCTGGTTTGAGTTGCACAAATAACGTCCAGGAGATCTATGCCTCAGCCTCCACTCGTGAATACTTGCACTACGTACCGAACCATATGGAATGACAACTAGGACTCAAAAAGACCAATCAGTTCGTCTGATGAACATGTCACATCCAGCCATGATCACTCTTTTCGCTAAACCGGAAAGAGTCTGGAGCAACTTTTCAGTTGCCGATTAAGCGTGCTTCTGTGCAAATCAGCCCCGGGGCCTCAGGGCCGTGCCAAAGAGATCACCATAAGAGCTTGACCACTTAAGCGCCATGTCATCCCAAAAGTCTTCTCTCCCCGGGCATTCTCAAGGCGGATCCCATCGTATGATATCCGGCCGAAGTGACATATCATATGTAGCCAAATTTCATCTGAGCAATCCACAACGCCCCCCCTCTCCCCCCTCCCCCGACTACCGTCGGTCTCAAGATGAACGATTGACATAAACCACCCGGCTCTACCAGATAGAGATAATAATGATGTGAGCATAGCGACTGGCACGGCATCCAGATGAAACAGCTCACACGTCCCGAGGAAATTTTCCACCGACAAAGCCTTATGCCGTGCCGTACCGTCCATTACTGGGTGGAGGAATGCAGAGCCAGCTGTCCTTCTCGTCATTTGCGGTGGATGGCAGGACATGATGACCTGAAGCCATACTTTGGCAAAGACTGGAACGAACTGTAATTTGCTGCCAGCGTTGTATTGTGGTCCTCCAGGGTCGCTTTCCATCAGGTGGGACCAGGACCGAGTATAGAGCACTAGTGGGACTAAAACACCGACAAGGAGCGACAGGTCGTTTAGTTGTTGGCAAGGGATAGGGCGCTTGTGCGGGGCCTTGTAAATCCCAAACTTTTAGGACCCTGACTGACATGTCAGATCCTCACAAGGATTACCTGGGTGGGCAGCAATACAACCTAAGCGAAAAGCCCTCCCCCCCCCCATTTTAGCCGGAATGTGCTTGCACACTCCCCCGTTAACATTGGTTCGTCCGGGTCCTGGGGTAGCAGTTGGCGAATTCACGTGGAGAACCAGAGCAATTGGCAGACGATCTTGTCATTAAGTTTGAAGAGAAGGGGAGACCAGGTTTCAACAGCTGGAACCTGATGAGGCTGTCGGATATTTTGTGATTCGTTGGCTGCCCCTGTCCTGTCTCTTTCGTAACATGGCTTTTGTTTGTTTGTTACCTGACGGAAGGATTTGTAATGACCAACGTACCGAGGTTCTTCGCATTGTAATCGAGTGTGCTCGCGGCTGGGAAGAAGTGACTCAATTTACCAACAAGACAACGAACCCACGTGTGATTGCTGCGATGCACTTGCATCTAATCCGTTGCCGAAAACGGAACACAAGGCAGATTTCTGGCGGTGAGCCTCCTTGACGGTAGCCTCAGGGTCTGGCTTGAAGTCAACAAGGCTTGATTCCCTCAGCAGACAGCAACATGCCGATGCCGACTCCCAAACTCGGCCTGCAAACAGCAGGGGTGAGACCATTTTGAGTTGCGCGACTTGTTCTTTCAGACGCTCAGGCGTTGTCCAGTTGAACATATAAGCGTGAATCCACGACCAAGTTCGATTGCCGTAGAGCGTCCATGACGAAAGCCCTTGTCACTGCGCAGTAATATCGTGCCGTGACTTGGCGTGTTGCGCGCCACCTTGGACGTCGGCTTGCAGAGATGTGGTGTTTCAGTCATTTAACGGCTGTACTATCAAATTGAGGACTACTGCCATGTAGCCCAGCCACGAGCCCGATGGTCACCCAGGAATACCACTCTGCTGCTATGAGCCGGCAGGGCAGAGGAGCTGGCAGTTGTTCTGCCGAGTGACGCCTATTCGGAGGTTTGCCATCGCTTTCCACTATGTCAGGGGCGCCTCTACAACTTTTCAAGTTACAAACTATAAGCGGCGGTTGCGTGTTGGATTGGTGGCTAACCTACCCATATAGAAGGGTTGCAGCAGAACTCGCGTTACGGTGTCATCTCTTCATATCTGTGTCATTGGCTGCACATGGGTGCTCCTGTGCTCAAGACATGCACCCGTCTGTCATCATTCGTAACATATTTGGTTACGGCAGAGGGCATATCATTTGGTTAGCTTTGGCTTGAAGATCAACGAATGACTGTATCCAATGCTCACTTAGCAATTGGCAATGCCTGACAGGTTATGTCGAAGGTAGTGATGGAAAGTTCTTGAAAATTGGGTTGCTGCTTTCCCGGGAACAAAATGCAATGCATCGTTGCTTGCGGTATGTTATGTTCTCCTATTGGAGCGTTGCAAGTCTTCGTTGCAGCATGAGCGGAGTGAACCAGTCATGATTGGAACCGAAGACGACAATTGTCCTGGGCCCTCAAGGACACAACCCAAATCAAGGGTACGTACGGATGGGCTAGGGATGCGACCACGGAACTTTCAGGGGAGCACGGAGTCTGGGGTGTCCTGAAAGAAACCCGGAATTAGGGTAACATCGCGGTGCGACATGCGTCGGCACCATCGAATCCCCAGTCACTCATCTTGCCATCTTGTAGTCTTGCCCGCGTCTTGCCCTCCATCTTGATGACGCGAACCGGGCAAAGCCCCCTGCCCCAGAAGCCCCTGTTGAAAACAAGTGCTGTTGGCGACATGCTGACAGCTCAATAGGAGCCCACCGGTGACAAGTGTCCATATTGCTCCGATGACTTGTTCTGGTGCACCAGTTACACCTAGTTTTCTGGTGGGGAGAACAGCAGCGCTGAGCATTTAATACTCACAAGAACATCCAAACATGGATTTGTTTTTGTGGGCAGAAATGGCAGTGTTCGGCCCCGCACGGACCACCCAGTGTAGCCACTGTAGATTAGCCAGAGCTTACGGCAAGTAACGATAGTCATAAGAACAACAATGAACGGTGGGCTGCGATTTGCCCACATGGTAGCATCTCAGAAGACGATCAAGGCAGCACATTACTGCAAGATCATCTTAAACGGCAGACTTCGATAAAAAGGCATTTATCGCGATTACTCCCAAGGACTCTTCCCTGCCGCCGTTGCGGTGCGATCAGACAGCTGCTGCTGGATCGCCGTCGTGGGGAGAGAGACGGATGCGTTATTTTACGCCAATTCGGAGGTCGACAACCATCACAGAGATTACTCTCGCGCATTCTGCGAGATAATCATCATCGTGAGCCCTGACTTCATCGCAAGGCAATTCTCGCGCGTATCCCAAGGATCCTCACCTACAGCGATTAGCTGAATCGCCGTCAAATCTGTTGACGTGAGAGGAAGAAGGAGCGATTATTACGCCCTATTGAAGTCAGATCAGCTCGTCGTACGTGAACGACACAGAACACGCGTTATTACACCTTAGCCACCAACATGGCAACCGCGCCGTCACGCATGATGACGCGGGGCAGCAAAGCTGCGGCTGAGGCAGGTACGCCTGACAGCGCTGACGGCGCCACTGGCGCCAGCGCATCTGCCAATCAGCATCCGTCGATAGCTGAGCTGATGGCAGAGCTAAAAGAGATAAAATCAACGTACGCTGCCAAGGAAGAAGAGAACCAGCGCGTTCAACAGCAGCAGAACGAACGAATTGAGCACTACAAGAACCAACTTGACGCACTAGTGCAAACAAAAGAATCGCGACCGAGCTCACGGTCGAAATCTTGGCGGTCACGCCGCTCATCTGTTGAGCAGGCAAAAGAACTTTACCAGCCAGCCCGATCGAATTACGGGGCTGCCGAACCCCCCGTAGACTGGCTACCCTACGAAGGGCTTGATCAATTGCAAGAAAAGGACCAGCTCGCTGACGTAACCGCTAAGGCGGCAGAAGAACAGCTACGGAAGCACTATGAGGAAAAGATCGCCAAACAGCTCGAGAAGCTGAGAAGAAGGCCAACCGGCGGCAATCCACCACCACCAGACGACAACGAGTCGGATGACGGAAAGGAAAGGAAGAGAAGACGAGACGCAATCCGCCGCCGCACCCAACCGCCGAGCGACCCAGACGATTCGAGTGATTCGGATGGAGATGACAGAGCACGGGGCACGCGCTCGCCGGCCGTAAGGCTCTGCTGGAAGCGCTTCTCATTCAAACCAGACAAGTCTCAATACCTAAAGGGGGCAACGAACTTTCGCGTGTTCTTCGCGGATTTTCGGCTCGCACTTAAGGCGATCGGCTGGAAGGAGGAAATGAAGCTGACTTCGATGGATGAAGTGAACATAGCCGTACACCTGCGAGGTGCCTGTAACCTCGAGCCAAAAGGGCTCATCGTCGACATTGAGCAAGGCACGAAGGCCATGAAGAGACTAGAAAGCACCTACGCGCAGTCCGCCGATAACATCCACGCGACAATCTGGGGGAAACTCCGTACGCTCAAATACGATGGCAAGGATCCAATTAAGCACGTTACCGAATTCAGACAACTCGTACACGATTATGAAAACGGTGGCTCTTCAGTCAATGATAAGGACAAGGTCACGTGGTTCCTTGCCTCCCTTGAGGACAAGGCCATCTATTTCGTTCGATTACAGCGCCAAATGCAGAAGATGGTCGGCGTAACAGCGCAATACGTTATGGACGAGTTCGCAGCTGAATTTTACCATAAAATCGGCGACAGAAGGGATTCTAGCAGTAAATCCGGCAACTCCCACAATGCACAAGGCAAGAAAAAAGGGAAGAGGGACAAGAGCGGGATCGAGTGTTTTGGATGCGGCAAGACTGGCCACTTTAAGCACGAATGCAAGTCATCGAAGAGAGACAAGGAAGCATACCAGAAGAAACGCGCCCAGCAGAAAAGGGCCGAAGGAGAAAGGCCCTCGAGCCAGACGCCGGAGCCGAGCAACAACCACACACAACCGAAGCTCCCCGACGGCGTACGAACTCTACTCGACGGCAACACGTACTCCGTTAGGACATCGAGTACGAGGCTGGTAGAGGAGGCCATTCTAGAGCACGAAGACCAGCTCCAACAGGTAACCAAGTCGCACGCGGCGCCTCAGTCGACTTCAATGATTACACAGTCTCACTCGGCAGACATATTGCCGTCCTCGAAGCACCGCATCCTGTTCGACACCGGATCGGATATCCACATTACGAACTGCGAGCGCGACTTCCTCCCCGGCACGATGACCACATTAAAGAAGAAGTTCCCCATCCTGACAGGAGGAGGAGCTGTCTACGCAGAGAAAGTTGGAGCAGTCAAGTATCAGGTAACTGGCCCAAAGGGCGAGAATCACTACCTCGTGGCCCGACATGTATTCCTGATCCCCTCTTTTCCACTAAAGATATTCAGCGGCGAGTCCTTCTTTAAGGCCGGCGGCTACCTCGAAGGAAATAGCTCCTCTTGCGTCAACATCATGGGCTCTTCGAAGGTAGCCATTACCACATTGAACATACCGAAGCGCGGTTTTTATCTATGGCCATACGGACAGTCGGAACCCGGCAGACAGCCTGAGGGCGGGGTACACTATACTTGCGCGGCACTGTACCAGTTTGATCAGCCTGAGGGCGCCGGCTTGGAAGCATTTAGTGAGCAAGAAGCGTACGAGATGAAAGCGGCCATCAGAACGGCCACAGTTGGTGGCCAAGTCATGGTCACGGACGAATTGACGAAACAGATCGTCCTATGGCACCGCAGATTGTGCCATATTAGCGCAGAAAGGCTCATATGGACGATTCGTTACACCACCGGCATCGAGCTCGACCACAGGCTCGTCGAAGTCATCCCATGCATCGCATGCGATCTAGCCAAGATAAAGAAGATTAGCTCGAAGGACGTACAGAAGAGATTGCGCCATAGGCATGGCAAGACGCCAATCTCGAAGGTCAGGAACAAAGACAATAACGTCGTTGACGACGATGTTACAGACGATGAGGGCGTCATTAGACGGAAGCGTGGCAGACCGAGGAAGCATCCAGCCGTCAGGCATGCAACGATTGAGGAACACGATGACAGCGATAACCACTTCGTCCTCGAGGCGCCACCAGACGACTTCCTACGTCACTGCTGGCGTGAGGGCGTAGAGGACGACGAAGCTTCTCAATTCTCTGCCGAATTCCTCGATTCCGGCCGCCTCGTACGAGTCAACTACACATCGGCCGACATCTCTGACCAGTTCGCCGATACGAATCCCACCGATCGAGCCCACGAAGCAATGAACACCGAGCTAGCGAAACACTGGCTAGAGCAAGAGTATAAGGACATATTCGAGCGAGAGGGCAGCGAAGATATATTGTTCGGTATGGCTACGCAATTCGGCCTACAACAGATCTTCGAGATCTTGACTGTCAAGACGCCAGACGCGCCGACGTTCAAGGATGCGACGGAAGGACCGGAAAAGGACGCGTGGATTGAGGCCATCTTCACAGAGATACGCACCAACCTAGAGAAAGGCACCTTCCGGTTCTGCGACAAGTCGGAGGCTATAAAGGGTCACCTTATCGACGCCAAATGGGTACTTAAGAAGAAATACCTATCTACTGGCGAGCTCGAGAGGTTAAAAGGCCGTATCGTTGCACGCGGTTTCTCACAGCGAAGAGGAATCGATTACAACGAGACATCGGCAACAACAGCGCGCGCGACATCGTGGCGCATCTTAATGGCATTAGCAAGCATCTTTGGCTGGCATGTCTATCAAATCGACTTCATCGCGGCATACCTTAATGGAAAATTGGATGAACGAATATTTATGAAGCAGTTCCCCTTGCTAAAACAGTATTTCGATGCGTACCCAGACGAGAAGGCGAAGTACAAGTACGAGCCAGAGAAGACCATCGAGCTGATGAACCCTCTCTACGGCCTAAAGCAGGCCGGTGCTACGTGGCAGCGCGAAGCACGGCGCATACTCAAGAAGCTAGGCTTTACTCCCCTACAGTATGACGACGCCATCTACATCAACCGAGAGACAGGAGATATTATTGCGTCGTACGTAGATGATTTCCTCCTGTTCGGCCCTAATAAGCAGCGTCTACAACAAGTAGCCAAGGATTTGGCGAGGCAGGTGCCGCTGAATGACCTTGGAGACGCTGACTGGTTCCTGGGCGTACGGATCACTCGTGGCGAGGATGACAGTGTCAACCTCGATCAACGGCAGTACATCGAGAAAGCAGTTGAATCCCTTGGCTTTACTAACGCAAAACCAATGGACACGCCGTTTGAGCCATCGCGCCTGAACGACATGTACATGGGAGCGGTAGACCAGCGTATTAGCCCTGAGAGAACTACAGGGTTTTCATCGATGGTTGGAAAGTTCAACTTCTCGTCCGTAATCAGTCGGCCCGACACGTCGTTCGCGACCTCAGCCCATGCGCGATATATGTGCGGTCCTACGGCTGAACAAGAGGCAAGCCTTAAACGAGTCCCGCGCTACTTGAAAGGCAACAGGTTGGCGATCGAATACAGGCGTGACCACCGACACCAGGAGTTCGGCAAGCTTGGCCTACATGGAGCAGTTGATTCGAGTTACGCCGGCAAGGATGGAGCAAAGTCGACCTCTGGTTACGTTTTCTTCATGGCTGGCGGTCCGATCAGCTGGCTATCGAAGTTGCAGACAGTAGTGGCGCGAGGAACAACCGAGGCAGAGTTCGTGGCATTGAGCATGGCCACAGCGGACGCAGCATGGATTCGAAACTTTCTCACAGAGTTAGGCTACATGCCAGAAGGACCGATCGTCTTACTAGAGGATAACACGGGCGCGATCAAGTGGTCGAACGATTCGTCCATGACGAAGGAAAAGCGTCACATTCGCGTGGCATACCACTACGTTACACAGGAAGTCAACGCCGGCAACGTCGCTGTCAGGCATGTAGCCAGTGAAGACAACGCTGCAGATGGGCTAACGAAGCCGCTCGACAAGGCGAAACACCAGCGATTCATCGAATTGCTCGGTCTAGTTCCTAGCAACTAACACGAGGAAAGACTGGTAGGAGCGACAGTGAGATCGAGAAGGCTGGATGGTGCAGGCGGTCACGAACGGCAGAAATAGTACATTAGTTTTCGGCAACATGCTCTCAATAGGCTTGGATTGACGTTCCCGAGCCTCACATGGCCATTTGAGGGCGTGTGGGCAGAAATGGCAGTGTTCGGCCCCGCACGGACCACCCAGTGTAGCCACTGTAGATTAGCCAGAGCTTACGGCAAGTAACGATAGTCATAAGAACAACAATGAACGGTGGGCTGCGATTTGCCCACAGTTTTAACTGGACTCGGCCAATTATAGTTGTATATTAGCGTGGTCGCCACGAGTACGATGCACTATCGCATAGTCAGTAGTGCAAACAGCCAGCCACAAGCTCGCACAAGATTCAGGCGACCGCCAGGCGACCGTAAGGCAATCAATAAAAGTTGCCTTGGAATCATTTCCCAGGAATCATTTCCCAATGTGCGTCCTATCTCCGTGATACTCTGATAGCTATGACAAGAGCACACATGCTGGACGGTTTCCTGCATTTGGTGCTGCTCACCGGTGCAATCTGATTTCGTCGGTGCGAACATGGGTTGCAACATCACGTCATGTACAATGGCAGTCAGCTACGCTCATTGAGCAAGTGTCCTGGTGTTCACCCTTCTTGACTGGCTAGGTTAAACTGATTTGCACTACTAGAGATGCAACAATGGTTGACAATGTTAGTGGGTGGAATGTTGTGTGCTGCGACAAGTGGGACATTCCAGGCAAGTTTAACAGTGCGTACAAACCCAAGCAAGCCGAGGCCTTGACAGGAAGGCATCACAACTGAGAGAGAATCATGGAGATTGGCATCACTGATTAGGAATCCAAGGTGCGCAGTCTTGGCCACATAAACAATGAAGACTGTTTGCCTCCCGCGGCACCTTCGAAAACACACACACACACACACACACATACGCACACACGGGGCGTCCTGGCAATTCTCATTAGTGGGGTCAAGACATGGTCTGGACAAACTGCATGCTGGCTGCGTGGCATTTGAAGAAAGCACGTCTGCTTGTTCTGCCACTGTATGATGGTCGATCATGTCTCACCTACATTGTCTCTGGTCTGGAAAGTGAAGCCGGCAGATGCATCATATGCAAGTAGATAGAACCGGCAGTGGACGAGAAGCGATTAATGGAGGGACAGCCCGGAAATTTTGAGATAGGTTTGGGCTAGAGGGTGAAGTGGGCGAGGATTTCATGAGTGCAATGTTCTCTTGATGAATGAATCGGGACCTGAGTGGAGTGGCAGTTGTCCGTCCGCCGTCCTCCGACTATGTAATAACGAGGGGCGAGCACGTGTGGGTCCGCTAGGCTAGCATTGCACTGTAATCAGCCAATCTACCTACACCACCTAGCTGGGCTCCCCAAGACCGTGAGTAACGCCAAAGGATCCAAATACTCGGTTTGTCAACTTTAGAACGCGGCCCAAGTCCACAATAGGCCTAACGCCCGGGGGACTCGCTCGGCTAAGCTGCAGCTGCCGCGGGACTAGGTATCGCAGAATTGCGCTGCATACTCTTAACCTTATCCAAGTACTTATCTGCCTAGGTACCCTGCCAACCTACCATGCAATCAGGTAATTTGCAATCATCGGTTGGGCTCTTTTACTTGACAGCATGCAGGCTTGCGCAAGTAAGTACCCACAATTACCTGCCAAAAGCCTTGAATATTTCCAGCTCCACCCCCACAATACAGCCAGTTTTTGTCGCCCGGTCACACAATTCGTGAGCAAAAACCCATCCTAGTTCGAAGTGGGTATTGATTCCGTTGGCCGGTATACTGGATCCCATCCCAGATCATGGATCCAACACAACCTACATAATCTAGTACACATAGCGAAGTTACGAGTCTACTGTACTTCATGTCCCGCTTTTTGGAACGTACCAATTTCTTAGATACACGGTATAGACCTTGCAGTCTCGTCGCCAGCTTGAGGCAGCCTGCACCTCACCATTCTCGGGACTGGTGTGCGTCCATCAACAACTGAGCCCATCCCTGGGCGCCTGTGACCCTGAGCCGTGATCCATGGCCCGTGGTTGCCCTGCTGGCGAGGGGGGCCCGCTGATCTGATCTACACTGTACTTACACGGGATTCGGCCGGGAGGCCCATGCTACTTCGTACCCAAAAAGTCCCAATGCTGGCAAGCTAGCCTGCTAGGGGGGCTTTTCCTTGTCCTAAATCGTGATTCCGCCGAACCTGTCAACTCACTTCGTCAACCCCTTCATTCACAGGACGGTAGCGCTTCTTCTGGCGTTTAAGAGTCCGTAGACCAGACCAGTACTTTGTAACTTGCTTCTTTCCTCAAAGACACGCGTAACACCACAAAAACACTCCCAAATAATCGATATCCGTCCGACTGTCACCTGCGTGACCAACGAAACCTGTCGGCTGCAAGGATCAACCCAGCGGTCGATTCGAAATATCCCGCGCTGTCCACCGAGCACAGGATAACTGCATTGCGTCTCCCAACCCGAGCCCTGCTCTATCAATACCTCCTGGTCCCTTCACCTCTCATTGCGCCACACAGATTGACCTTCATCACACCGGTTATCGGGCTCAAGGCTTTTCCAGTGGGATCAAGGCTTTTCCAGTGGGATCAAGGCTTTTCCAGTGGACGGAAGCAAACCACTCTGACAGCGTGGTCTCAGCCGCTCCGTTGCTTTTTTGCCATCTCAACCGCCTGATATCATCTTCCAAAGCTCCTGGTGTGAATTGCCTGCGAGGCCAGTACCCGGTGCTCCCTGACCGGCGTCCGGAGACTGGAGGGGATCCTAGGTTCATGGAGGTATCCGACGTGCAAGTCAATGCTATATAGACCCCATCAACATCCCTCAGTGCGTTTGCCACCAAGTCAGCTTCCATCGTACATCGGGCATACCATGGTGGACGATATGGCGAGGCCACACAACTCCTGGGCTCATGAGCCAAACACTCGCAAGCAGACTCCATCCGCTCAAGAACACCCTAGCCAAGGCCTGCGCCTACCTCCACCATCTAGTTTGGTCACCGGGACGCCTGCAAGTGGGACACTAATGTCATCGAATGGACGAGAGTCTGGATTTCAACACAACCCGCATTCCAGTCCATATTCCACATCGTCGTCCACTCATCATGTGTCGTCGCAGCTGCCAACCCCGACCAGTGAGCCGCATCTCGGACCAAATACTCTTTCTCGGCACCCTGTTGGCGTCCATACTAGGCCCTCTCCGCCATATTCTTTGACGGCAAGGGATCGTTCAGCAGAACCGCCAGATCCTCTGAGGTTTCGGCAGCTGGCGCGAGAGGAGGGCTCAACACAAGCTCCTCGGCTTGATGCACATATGCGGCCGTTCCAAGAGCCATCTCGGGCACTACCGCGTCCGTACTCAGATTACCAGCCTGCCAGACCCGTCCCGGCCTATCAAGGCAGGGACATCCGGATGGGCCCGCCTCCTCCGTCACTGTCGTCCCCGAGCCAAACGTGTTCACCAAAGGCAGAAGCGCGCGCTCCGGAGAGGATGAAGATTTCGGGGTTACTCAGCGCTCAGTTAGAACCCAAAAGAGCACCAAGTGCATCTAAGGCACCAGTGTTGACGCCTGCCTCGGCCGCTGCACGATCGACTTACAGAATCACCGTGAGGCAGCAGCCAGTAGCGGCCAGATCTTGCGGTTTCGGGGAGAGGGACCGCAGAGTCATTGACCCGCCGCCAATAGTCCAGGTCACTATCGATGATCCACAGGCGACAAAGGAGGAGATCGCCAATCAACTCCGGCTGCCAACCGCCGTCATGCATTGCACAATCTGGAATGAAGCTGGCGATAAGGATTGTTCGTCTATGCCGGAAGATTATCGGTCACAGCGGAGACTCATGGGCAACACGGTGTCCTCACCTTTCGTTGGCTTCGATGAAAACAACGACGAAGGTTGCTTCTTCTGCTTCCCCGATCTTTCGTGCCGCACCGCGGGCGTCTTCAGGCTCAAGTTTTCCATCGTCATCTTGGATCCTCTGAATATGGGCACATCGGGTACTAAGACCCCGATCTCTGCCGTGGTCATGAGTGAACCCTTCACAGTCTACAACGCCAAAGACTTTCCGGGCATGCAGGCCAGCACTGCCCTCACCAAGCGATTGAAGGAACAAGGCTGCCTCATTTCGATCAAGAAAGGGAACGACCGGACCGGATCAAGACATGCCAGAGACAACAGCAGTGAGGATGAAGATGATGATGATGACGACGATGGCGGTTCCGCGGGTGGATCCGGAAGCAAACGAGTCAAAAGACAGAAGAGATGATAAAATCGACGTGTGTGGAATCGATACTTTTAGAGTGTAGGTTTGGGCGTGGCGTGGCGTGGCTTGGCGTTTCGACAGATAAAGGGCCATGGGTGGCATATACTGATTTCCTGGTTGAAATCCGGGGCATATACCAGCTCACTCTGTAGAATGAGCAACGAGAACAGCAACGTGGAAACTTAGCATCGACAAAAACGAGCGGCTTACGATACTTCGATTCAATCCGACCGATACCCCTTTATTAAGTTCAACCTGGCTTCCACCCTGGCTTCCAAGTCATGATAACTTGACAGTCCGAAATGGACGAGAAAATTAGGGTTGCTGCGTTTAGTTTACTTCTAGGTAACGAGGACTTATTAGAGCCAGCACAATCAATGATTTCACCACCATGCTGAATTCCAGACAATTCGTATATATGACCAACTTGTGATCGCTGGTCCCCGATTGGACCTTGTGTCTAACCGAGTCATTGAGGAACTACTTGGTGTTGAGCTAAGCCATGTAAACGCTTTGGGATCTTGGTCTAGGTAGGGGACACAGTAATTGCTACGAGATGCATTATTGCCAGCGGGTTATCTCCGGGTCGAGAAGATCATCGAAACCAGGATGAAAGTTACCTTCAAAAAATCTAGCCCTCATGCACACTTTTACACCAAAATACATAACTACTTTTCTAAACTCAATAAATAGTAAACTCATAAAGTCGTATACGGCTAAACTAAACTCTATAGTTATAATGTGTACTCTGTTCTTAAAGAAAAAAGCCTATGAAGCTATGTTACGAACCATTAAACCTGGACCAACAAAGAAGGCCTGTTGGCAGGCCAGAGTGGACACGCTCGCTAGGATCACGGGACCCCGCATCGGAAGAACGACGGAACGAAGGTCACGTGACTAAGTATCTCGGTACCTGGATATATTGGATCGAGATAGATCCAGTTCGAGCCAGGCTCGAGAGGATCATGGATCGATCCAAATGATCCAACAGGATCAGTGAAGGAGAGATGGATATATAAGGGACAGGACTCCCAGGCATTTCATAGATAGACAGTCTCTACTTCAGTGATCAATCTAAGCATCAATCTAACCCATTGGTGAGGCAAACTGCCTTGACGACTCTATTCCCAGTTACCCTACTTGAATACTTCAGTTACCCAGAGCCCTATACTCCATACGTCAGACCCCGATATTATTGCTAAGGACTCCGCAGCAGGACTTACTTACTACCACAAACCCTTACAGACTCTTTAGTGGTTTACGCAGCTAGACTATTATAGGTTTCGTTACAAGCTACCGTGTCCAAAGTCGAATAACGTATTTTCGACCTAATTTTAGTTAATTTAGTATGTAGAATCAGATCATTCTGAGTTTCTCTCTACTTACGTGAAAATTGGAAGAAGTATTCAATGTCTAATTACAAAGAAACGTATTACTTAATTGCTATTAAACAAATATTTAAATATATCAATACGGTCCCTGTCCTATAGTTATTACGGAGTGACAGAGGTATGTCTTGGTGTAGAAGTGGGGATGTGGCCAACCCTTTTGACAGTGATTTCAATTTGCATTCGAAACAAGACCAGTGGTGTGCCTTTCCAAATCAGTCCAATTACTCGGATCATCTATTAGGATTGAGGTTCTGCCCGTCCTCCCCCACCCTTTTTTAGTTTTCCAGAATTTACAACCTGCCTGTTCTCAACCAGTTCTAATAGGTCCAGTTGCTGGCTTCACCACGAAGGAATCTGATGAGCAATAGTATGACTCAGTAAGTATTCACTATGCAAAGAAATTAACTGCTTGACCACCTTCGTCTCTAAAAGGCAAGCAATCCGACGATAACCTAGTATAACTAGGTGCTAGAAAGGAATGCGTTGTGCGGGGCGTTGCTGTTACGTTTGCTCTACCGTGTCTTGTAGGTCTACGGCCTGATGATTTCTAGGCAACACGAAGCCTATACGGTGTTTTTATCTTTGACCATATTGGCTTTCCTGGGATGCCATTTTCGTCGCTCAAACTTCTTGTCTTCCCATACCTAGATAGGGCACGTGAAGCATCATGCCGTGGAAGAAGCCCAACCAAAGAATTTGAGCCGCGTGTTTGATAGCATGGGCGCCTGACATCGATTGAATGGGACGAATATATGAAAATCATCGCGGATAAGCCTTTCAAGTTTCTTGCAAAAGCTTGGAAGTAGGATGGTAATTTAAAGCCATATATGTGCTATGCACGCTACTTCAGTACATAGACTTCATGACTGGTTAAATTGTTTGCAGAGTAAGGCTAGCCATAGAGAGATATGTCAAAGGCCAGGGCTGGGTTACAGACCGGGTTCACCTTCCGTTCCTACGCGCAAACTTTGCTCACTCAAAAATCCATCTCCACCTACCAAGCCTTCAGAGCAGCATAATGACTTGCTTGTATCGTGATCCACCTGGGAAATATATGGAGAGAGGATCATTGAGTTGAGCAGTGCCCCCGGACCAGTGCCCCCAGACCAATGGATTTTGACATTGGAGGTGAGGGATCGGCGCACCATCGAGGTCCTTCGCAGAGCCCCCGGAGCTTTTCTAGCCAAGAACATTGGGCAATTAACAACGGGATGAGCTCATCCTATGCAAAATAAGCATGCGACTTGAAGATCGGAGGCGCATTCCACCGAAGGAGGCAATAAGCCGCCCAAAAAATTGTAGATATCAATTCATCGACGCGGCCAAGGCTGTCAAAGTTGTTGCACTATCTTTGCGACTCTATGTCGTCGATTGCGATTGCTTTGATTGAAGTTTGACGACTCACCTCAATACAGGTACATAAAAGCTGGTTGCTTATGCAAACGCTGTGGCTAACGGGGGTTTAACCTCATTCGACTACAGAACAATTATGTTTGTCGGACAGCTTCAAGGCCCAGATAGCATCGATCTTCTCAGGGGGGGCTTTGTTGGTAGGTTGAGAACCAACGTAGTATGGTAGTGAACGCAACGCAGTCGCCAATAGGGCGAACCGACGACGCAGCGTATGTATTTAGTCCAGCCATTAGGGCACGGTTTGACATACGGGAGTACTAGTAGAGGTACCGAGGGCTTCGAGCCTACGGCGTATTTAATAATAATAATAATTATGTTGAAAATTTGTTCATCTCAAAAACGTCTTCCTCAAAATTCCGCCACAGGAAATCACCGAACAAACACCCACTACATTCACACAACGTGCCTTCGTCTGAAGTCCTGCAACGTTGCCGATCAGGCTGAGCGCAACCTGAACTCATGCGAGGCCAAGATTGGCGCTCACAAGACATCTACCAATGACGAAATTGGCGTCGACACGAGCGTCGAGAAGAAGTTCCTGGGTGCTAAAGTAAAGTACGACCCAAACTTGAGCACCAATGCCAGCTACAACAAGCGCATTCCTCCCAGTGAGGGCAGTGAATTAGATGCACGTGGACGGCAAGTAAAGGCAATAGCAATTAACCCAATAGATATTTTGTGTTCATAATTATTACAGTCAAAGTACCAAGTGGTTCGAGGGTAATGGCGGACCGGTGAACAAATTGGTGAAGCTGTCGGAGGATTATGGAGGCTAAAATAACGATATCCTTGGCACGACTCGCAAATACAACCAGGCTACGAAAAACTTATTAGGCACGGATTCGAATGAGGTATTGACCAAAGGCAAGGGCGCTGTTCGCTCGACAGTCAACAACTCGGTGCAGCGCAAGGAGCAGTTTAAAGGATCTGAGTATTACACCCCAGAGAGTTTCTGGATAGCATCGCTGCTGAAAGCGATATTCCCCTTTTTAGGATGATTCAAGCATCTAAGGATGAATCCAGTCATAGGAATACCGACTACATTTGTGTGACGGACTCACTATACAGTGCTACACATGCTGATCACGTACTTGTCCATGTGGTACTACCATCCACCCTTGACAAGGTATGGCCACAGAATTGCATCTGAACGCGGTTATGCTTTCTGAATGTACTTGGCATCATGGCCAAGGTATTGAAGAGGGCAAATCCAAGTCCACAAACGCAATCAAATCTTAACACGCAGCAAACCAGGACTCATACTTGGATGCCGCGATCAACAGGGCCACCACGGGTATGAGCCCTGGAGAAGGCTGTGAAGAATGCCGCCCAGACTACTGGAATCCACAACGAAAAACTCCTTGGGTCTAATGGTTGTATTCGACCATGTACTTATATATGGCTGTCGGCTGGTGTAGTTGGTCACTTCGCTGGTAGATAAGTCCCGATTTGAGCCTCGCCCACTTGGGTCGGTGACGAGTCGCGGGTTCGAATCCCGCAGCTGACACACAAGGGGGTTTAGTCAACCCTTACGGCGCGCTGCCCACCTTGTTGACTTCGCCTACCTAGCGATAATAGGGAGATTGGTGCAGTTTAGGATTACGAGCATCCTAGCCAGTCGACCGTCAAGCACTACGTCGGCGGAATATAACTCGACAGCCGGTCCAGAATTCGAATCGTTAATCCGGCCCCTTATCGGACCTCGCCTATCCGATAACGCTCGTCGGCGAACCCGTCCCCTCACGATAGAAGGCGCGCAGCACGCCCTCTCGCCGCGATTCTTGCGAGCGTCTAGACCACGTTACGGTCTATCCACTTGAGCGTATGGTTGAGATGTATACGCTCGACGAGAACCCCAATTAGCAGATACTACGACTTGTCGCGACAAAAAATAGTCGAGCATCTTCTGCACATCAGCAGCATCCCACCCCTGAGGACGAATTTAAGTGCCACATTACCACACTTATCGGTAGTTCAGGCAGGGGTTGTAGCACAGACTTAGGGAGGGACAGGAGGTTTAGTAGTCGTTTGGCTACAAGTTTACCTGTATAACCGCCCGACGCGGCTTAAGGGCCCGCTATATCATCTATAGCCCCTTAAGGGAGTACTTGTAGAGGTACCGAGGGTTAACACCTACGGCGTATTTAATATTATTATTTTATATATGGCTTTCCCTTGGCCCTTCGGTGGAAGGCAATAAGGACTTGTTTGAGAACACATTGTAGCATCATTATCTTCTTCAATGAAGCTGTGGATAACTTTCAGATAACGACTATTACAACATAGTCTTGGAGCTTCATTGTTCGATCATACCGATTACCTCAGTGTCAATATGCAAACGGGACTGGTCACTTGCTTCTAATTAATAATCAAGGAATGATAGAAGTATCTGGAAGTATGGTCAAGTGTATGTAGTATTACTTATATTTCTCCAATCGACTACGAACTGTCTAGGTTCAGTATGCGCTTTAGCTAACCATATGGACAAGTTATTATGTTGCAGTCAGCCCGAACGTGTTAAAGTTATATGCATTAGGTGGCTTACTAGTCTATCCCACCAATGAAAGTAGAAAAGGGCAATAATTAGAAAACCATAACAAAACACCGTTACTGTCGCTGTTGAGATCCCGTGTTTCTGGCTTTCCCAAAGCTTGGTTGAAGAAGCATCTCAACTCCAATGTTACATGAGGTTTTGACAACAAACAACAATAACTTAATCAAGCAAAAAGCAGGCAGAAATACGACATATCGTATCTACTCTCTTGGGAGCAGAGAGCAAAAGTAGGGCCGACCCGGGGATCGAACCCGGGACCTCGCGCAAGTTTTCACTTGGAGTGCTTGGAGTTTATCCGAAGCGCGAATCATACCTCTAGACCAGCCGGCCGAATCAACATGTTGGAACATGTCGGGACATTAGTCATCTTCTGATTATGACAAAACTTGACGTAATTAGATACTATCAAGCCATTGCAAAGAATAAAGTGGAATCATATCGGATAAAGCCGGATCCTCTTTTCTGGTTAAGCAGACTTCCCGTTATTTTAATTCTCAACACTTACACTTTGAAGACTACTACGCTTGTAGGGCTGAACTTACCCAATGACTTGAGCCAAGTCGCGGCTTATGGAGGTTTGCGCTAGGACTTACTCATAAGAAATCAATTAGAAACGCCCGTACATTGTAAGTCTGCAGTCGGAGACAAAGGTGGAGGCTGAAGGTTATGTAACATTGTTTTCTTGCTCGAGCTATTGTTATATGAGCACTTCGTATGTGGCATTTGATATGGTCAAGTCTTGTAAGAGCTGTTGAGGGCCGACATGTGATGCATGCGGCTAAGAGTCTACATCTGTACATCAATAGAAGCCAATACCAATCATTGGGATTTTAAAAGCTTATATGCACTGATCATCAACTCCGCAGTCTTGACAAACGTTCATTCAAGGGACGCTGTAAGTTGTATGACCTAGAGGCACTTCAGTTGAAGCTCAAGAAGCGCATCATTTCTTGAGGTACCACACTATTTGTTGTCGCGCTTCCTTCAAGTCTGTAATGTCTGTTAGAGATAGTAAAACACCTTGACTGAACTAGAGAAGGATTATAACTCAATTGACTTTGGTAGAGCCAGTTGATCTCTTAGTGTGGCGCGAGTTCAAATAAAAGTTGGGGTTGCCAAAAAATGCAACTATTCACAAAGATGCGTCTTCTGGTGCCGCCCTAGAACAGCACTAGCGCTGAGATGGTCCCTCAACAAGCTCGAGATGGTACGGAATAGGAAGGCACGGACCAACAGGTGAGAGCGACGAAATCTCGGACTTTTCAAAGACCCAACGACCAAATAATTTGCTGGCCGGACGTCTCCATTTCATCCCCTGCAGCTTATGTCTCGTCTGCCCGCCAACTTTGTACTTTTTTCCCTCACCACATCATAAGCGCCGACCATGTTCTCTCGTGCGCTGAGGATACCGAGGGCAGTGCCTCTGCGCGCTCGCGCATCGGCTCCCGCTGTCGTTGGAGCTCTCAGAACTGTCACGACCAATGCGGCCTCGGCTTCGCTGGACAAGGCGGTACCGGAGGTGAGCTTGGCCGCAACAACTTCCGACATGATCAATTGGCATCTTGAATAGCTTCGCTCATTCGAGCGTGGGCTCAGCTATGATCAACAATGCTTGCGATCCTTTCGGAATAAGGCGCTGACAATATATCGCGCTTTACAGGAGGACGATAAGCCTTTCCAAGTCACTCTGAGCGACGAGAGCTTCGAGACGTATGAGCTCGACCCTCCCCCATATACCATTGAGGTCACCAAGAGGGAGCTCCGACAGATGTATTATGACATGGTTTCGGTTCGGTACGAATAGTCATTGCCAAGAACGCATTTGGGAATGGCTTGCTAATCGCACAACAGACAAATGGAAATGGCCGCAGATAGACTGTACAAGGAGAAAAAGATTCGTGGTTTCTGTCACTTGTCCACTGGTCAAGAGGCCGTCGCCGTCGGTATCGAGCATGCCCTGACCAAGGAGGATGATATCATTACTGCCTATCGATGCCACGGTTTCGCCTTGATGCGCGGTGCTACCGTCAGATCCATTGTTGGCGAGCTTCTGGGCCGTCGTGAGGGCATCGCCTACGGCAAGGGTGGCTCTATGCACATGTTCTCTAAGGGCTTCTACGGTGGCAACGGTATCGTTGGTGCCCAGGTTCCCGTCGGTGCTGGTTTGGCTTTTGCGCACAAGTATATGGGTCGCAAGAACGCCAGTATTATCCTTTACGGTGATGGTGCTAGCAACCAGGGCCAGGTCTTTGAGGCTTTCAACATGGCCAAGCTTTGGAAGTTGCCTGCCATGTTTGGCTGCGAGAGTGAGTTTGAGAATAATCGGGAGTTGATCTGAATCTTTGTCTGACAATGTGTAGACAACAAGTACGGTATGGGCACGGCTGCCAACCGATCGTCGGCCCTGACCGACTACTACAAGCGTGGCCAGTACATCCCCGGTCTCAAGGTCAACGGTATGGATGTGCTCGCCGTTAGGGCTGCCGTTAAGTACGGCAAGGAGTACACCACCGCTGGCGAGGGCGGCCCCCTAGTCCTCGAGTACGTCACCTACAGATACGGAGGTCACTCCATGTCCGACCCCGGTACCACGTACAGAACCCGCGAGGAGATTCAGCGCATGCGATCGACCAACGACCCTATTGCCGGACTCAAGCAGCGATTGCTCGACTGGAGCGTCGTTTCCGAGGACGAGCTGAAGGGTATCGACAAGGAGGCTCGTAAGCACGTCAACGAGGAGGTCGCCATTGCTGAAGCCATGGCTGCCCCCGAGGCGACGCACCAAATCCTGTACGAGGATATCTATGTCAAGGGTAGCGAGCCTCAGTTCATTCGGGGACGTACTCCGGATGAGGCTTACTACTTCAACAACTAAATCATGCATGCATATGTCACTGTTAACCACGCAGCGCCTCAGTTTCCTACGATAGCTATCAAGACGGAACCTGTACTATAGTCCAGAAGACAGGAGGGGGGGACCCAGTCTGATAATAGACATTTGGCTGTTGAAATCAATATCTTGAAATCGTGACATGTTTGCCATAAGCTGTTCCATCGATTTGACCCGACAGCTCAGTTAACCCCATGCCAAAATCAGACGGCGCGGGTGCTACGCTGGAGACGTCATGCTTCAGTCCCTTGCCTCTGAACGGACTGCCGCGTAACTGGTTCCGAGTAGTGATGTTTGCTTTCGAAGGTGACTAAATGAACCCCCCCAAGCAGTGGATTCATGCCGGTGCTGCCCCGAGCCACACCGACCGGCACCTAAATTTTCCTCCACAGTTGCTAGTTTTTGATGGCGCAATAACCAAAAAAAACACCACCAGTAGGCGTGAGATGGACCTTTTTGAGTTTTCAATCTTGCTGTAACTGTATACGGTCTCGATTACACGACTATCAATTCTTGCAACTGTCACGTCTACGGTGAGCACGTTTTTTTTCTTTTTCACAACGCCCTTCCTGACACAAGACCTACTTTGCTGACCGTGGTAATTCAGTTACACACTCACGGCTCGGATTGCTCCCTAGTCCCGAGAGCTGGATTTCAATGAGCGCTGCATGCATTGACATTCTCATAATCTTGTCAATAAGATTCCGAGTACGTAGGGCACTTGACTAGTTGCACACAAAAACCAAATATGGGGACAAGTATAGCAGTGGATGGTAGCGACGACACCGGCGCCAAAAAGCCTGTTGTGTGCTTCCTGGGGCCCATGTCGTCTTATACACACCAAGCAGCACTGCAGTCGTTTTCCAAGGATGACGTCGAGCTTATGCCTGTATCGACTATCAAAGGTACGTCTACTATACTATCCAAATAGCATACTCTAGGGTAGTATACAGTATATGAAACTCACCTCTGGCCTTAGACGTCTTCGAAACCACGCAGGCTGGAGCAGCAGACTATGGCGTAGTCCCTATCGAGAACTCGACCCACGGCTCCGTGGTGTTCACGCTCGACCTCTTCGCCGAGTGCGAGAAGTTATACCCAGACTTGTCAGTTTGTGCTGAGGTTTATTTGAAAGTTCATCACTGTCTACTGGGATACTTACCTCCCCCTGCTGCTGCTTCTCTCCCTACCACCACCACTCCTACTGCCTCCTCCCTTCTAGTAAGCGGCCAATGCACCCCCACCCCCTCACACCCTCAACCTATCCACCCACGCGCCCAACCCCTCGTGAGCCTCGCCCACATCAAGCGCATCTACTCGCACCCGCAAGCCTTCGGCCAATGCCGCAAGTTCTTCGAGACGTACCTCCGCGGCGCCGACACCGTAGACGTGTCGTCGACGAGCCGCGCGGCGGAGCTGGCAGCTTCCGACCCCAGTGGGGAAAGCGCCGCTGTCAGCAGCGCGCTCGCGGCGACGGAGACGGGGTTAGAGTTTTTAGGGAGGAACATTGAGGATCGGGATGATAACGAGACGAGGTTTTTTGTGTTGTGGCGGGATGAGGGGGCGTTGGTGAAGGGACGGGGACAGCAGCAGTCTATTAAATCGAGCTCGGGAGCAAAGAGCCAGGACAATCATGCGTCAGGAGCAACAAAATCGCTCGTCTCCTTCACTGTCCCGCATCGGGCGCCGGGAGCACTGGCCGATGTGCTTGAGTGTTTCCGGAAAGGGGGTTTGGACCTGACCAGCATCAACAGCCGACCAAGCCTGATTGCGCCATTCCAATACATCTTCTTCGTCGAGTTCGAGGGGCATAAGCTCGAGGATCCCCAGGGCAGGGTCAAGGATGTTTTGGAGAACGTTGGGAACGTCGCTGAGAGTTGGCGGTGGTTAGGGAGTTGGGAAAATATGCGACGTTGAGTTCCAAAATCTCCAGGGTATCGGAGTATCTACAGGAAAAGAACTTGAGCTCGTTCATCCTACAATTTATATACCGTGAAGGGAAATGGTAAGATGGGATGCCACCAGATTCATGCGAATATCATTGCTAGATCTGCGCCGTGGAATGGAACGAATATTGATGACGCCAGGTAGATTTCAATTTACACAGGCCGTCTTATCAGAGTACTGGAGTGATTACTCCACTGCCAGGCACGGCTCCGGGGATGAAGTACATTGTGAAATATGAAGTTAACTTTTTGGCAGTAATCAAGAGACGGCAAGGAGCGACTGGTTTATATCAAACTAAACTACTTCAGTGGGTTCAGCTAGAACGATCGAATATCTTTGCCTTAGCCAAGTCCCAATCCATGCTAGCCATGGATAACTATGGGAACTAGTGCGATGTGAGCAACGGGGAACCATCAACATGCCAAGGCAATGTCGAATCATGATGCCGATGATCTTGATATTAACCTGCCCATAAGTGTGCCCTGTGATGAAGGCTTATTCAAGGTTCTAGACTTCCGAAGACATCTGCTGTAGCATCTTCGCCGCCGTTAGTCTTCAGAGTCAACGTCAAGAATGTAAATGAACATAGGTACGCACCTCCTTTCCATACTGTCAAGTCTTTAATCAACTCAAGAAGCCGTCATCATCGAGCGAAGCGGGCTGGGTGTCGCGACTTGTCTGGCCGTGTGCTGGGTGCTCGCTGGCCCCGCCTTGAGCAGGCGCCGCTCCTTGAACGAGAGCGGTGACGCTCGGGGTGGTTCGGGCATGGGGCTAGGCGACTGATGGCGTTCCGGCCCTTTGACGACAGGCGCGTCCTTTGATGCGATGACTTGAGTTGGCTCCTCGTTTGCAACGAGGGCTTCAAACTGTCAATCGTCGTAGTAGTCATCGTCGTCATCAACTTCAGCTAACTGCTCAAAATTGACCTTGTATCGGAGAATGCCGCCGATACCACCGAAACCCTTGACGAACTGGTTGCCCTCGGTCGATCGGTCCGAAACGAACTCAAGGGTTGTACCAAAGTCCTTGTAGTGCTCAGCGATCCATTCAAGGAAGGAGTCCTGAGAAATAATCTCCATCTCCTGGCCAGTATCTTTATCCATTGCCCAATCGCGGCTGCTTGTCTCCTGCAACTTCGTTGTGTGCATTAGGTGCTCAACGCCGGTACTATCCTTCAAGACCCATCGAGTGATCTCAAGGTTTTCAAAGACGATTAGAATCTCAACAGCACCCAGCTCCAGCGCCTTGAGGGTGTCTTCGATACCATAGCAGACCTTGCCCGTGTCCTGGCTAATCTCCTCGAAGTATTTGCCAATGAGCCTCTTCTCCTGGATGAACTTGACATTGCTCAGAGTCTCTGCAGACAGTTCAATGGCCTGGTTAAAGCCATTTTCGCCCCCATAAGAGACATCTACGACCTTGATGACCTTAGTTGCCAACCGATTGTCGAACATGTCGGAACCGTTTAGGTCGTTTTTGAAATCCGCAGAACCAGCCAGAATGATACCGGCGACGTTTACTTTGTCATTGGTGATGAAGTTCTGCACAGCCAACTCGGCGACTTTTCGCACGTAGTTGTGGCGCTTCTCTTCTCGGAGACGGGCGAAACGAAGGGCGGATTGACCACCACGGCCGTGCTTCTTGGGAAGATCGACTGAAAATTTGTGGACGATATCGCGAGTGTTTCCGCTGAGTGTACCGAAGAGGGCTCCATTACCATCCATGATGATGAAACCAAATTTCTGATCAGACTCCAGCAGCTCAGCGAGAGCTTCGGTGTGGAATTTGTTGTCGCAGAGATAGAGAGAGGTGTTGATTGGCTTGAAGGGCTCGAAGTCGATGTTGACCTTGCGCTCTTTTCCTTCCGAGGTCAAAATTTCACCACAGTAGACGACAAGACCATTGGGCGGGACCTTGTTGTAGAGCTTGAGTCGCTGCTGTGTCGAGGTGATGGCTGAGAGTACGGACTGTCGGTTGACACGAGACTTGATGTTCGAGGCAGTTCCCTAGAGTCCACGTCAGCTTAAATGTCCAAGGCCAAAAGATTCAATATAACCCACATATTCTTCAGCTAACATCTTGGCTGCTCTTGAGACTTGATCCTTAGGAGCTGGTACGGTGTTAGTTATGCTCCTGGTTTTGTTCAACGATGGAGGGGTAAACCACTCACGGATGATCAAGGAAATCATGCTGGTGCCATTACCGCGAGCGGCTTCAAGGCGTTTGATAAGTTTGCGAACCTTCCATATCTCGATCTAAGGTATCATAATCGTTAGTGTCTGTCATAGACTATGGGCAACTTTGGAAGATGTCCCGCTAACGATTTGAGGGGCAAGGAGGGGGATAAAATGGCAGGGCGCAAGGAAGGATTCGTACATTCTTCTCGGCCTCGGATGCCGCCTGTTGCTCGCTCATGGTGGATTACGTGACGGATGAACGATCTCAAGGGCAGCCAAAGAAAGAAACGGATTTGGGAGAAGAAGAAACAGTGTTGTTGAAAAGCACCAAGTGAGGTTCAAGTTTTGCCGCAACTTGAGAAGGCAACGGGACAGGGTTTCGATTTTTACCGACTGCCTGCAAGCTTTGGTTACGGAAGGTGACGGAGGGGGTGGTGCCGGCTAAACCACGGCCCCACTACCTTAAAGATAATCATTTACTGTCCGTGCATTATCCCTCGCAATTACACACACACGAGTCTGCCTCGGGCATGAGCGCACGACACCAGTTCAGGCTCCCATTTCTCGACGATCATCGTTACTATCATCAACACCAGCAACCCGACGATGGCAACTGCATGCATTGATCTGATATCACACTGCCTGTGATAGCAGAACATACAGTCTGTTTCGCCAACAGTCCCTCCAAGCTTAAAATCTCAGGCCATATCCGGGAAGCCTCAAAGTCCATTTCTTTCAGCCATTCATTGCATTCATCGATATCAGCTATTTGCACATTTGAGGGTTGAAGGGTGGATGTGATGATCATTGGTGACGAAGTTGGATTGGTCTGACGGAGTCGGTGCTTGAGTGGTGTCCAGCATCTGCCTGTCCACAGCCAGATCTGGGTTACGACTTGTGGCTAACAATCTCATCAGGAACCACCAAACAATCTAGCTGGATGTGCAGTTGCCAATATTTGCATTGGGTGGCCGGCTGCAAGCTGGTTTTCATTGAAAATTGGACAAGGTCATTTAAGGGGGTTCATGACGGGCTTTCAGGGCTATAATGCCCGCACACAACCAGCCTATCCTGGGTCAAGCATCATTAGGTGTTGATCAACACCGAATTCAATATCACACTGTGTGGACTGTTTCCCGATGTCGTTGCTTAGGCAGAGAGACACCAAACCCAATCACCTGGGTCGGAATTGGAGGGCTGTCAAGTGCCATCAGCTGTGCCACTTGGAAAGACCCATATGAAGGGGAAGAAATGGCGATGGCTTCATTTTGGGCAAATTTTGTTTCAGAGCCATTGGCTGGTGCCGGCTCATTGGAGCCCTCAAACCGGGGTGGAGCCAACCGAGTACAGGTACCGTGGAAAGCCATGAGCATGAATGCTTCCAACCTACAGCATCCGGTGGCTTTCTCGAGAAATGGATTTTGCTACACCATCGCAATCTCTTTATCAGAATTCGACTCTTTTGTGTGCCCATCAGCCTTGAGACTGGATCTCATTGGGGCATTGCTCTGACCAGCTATGGTTGATGCATATCGCCTTCCCACAACAGAATGCGGGGGTAAACCACGATATGGACCAGAGCTTGCTCCCAAAAATCGGCCATGCAGTTGCAGTGAGGGCTGCACTAGGTACACGCAGTCCATTGGCTTCAAGTTGAGGGAACGGTTCAATTTCGTTGTGAGTATCTCTGCTGTTGATGGGAACTGGGCTACATCAGATGCTCCAGGGGTGATGGACAATATTGGTTTGTGGCACCACATTGGACCAAGCCATGAGCACGGGAAGGTCTACAACATACCAGCATGGTCGCAACTGCTTTCAGTTATTTCTAGTCGAGTGTTGCAGATGTGCTGAAACTGTTCCTGAGGTATACGTCACAAGTGGCACTGGAATAACAGGCTGAGCCCTTGGGCTTGGTGATAATAAGTACCTAGGTAGTTAAACAATTCTTGAGCCTATCAATGAATTTAAGTTCCCAGCCTTGTTGAATGTGCGGCTCCGCGTTCCTAGGTCGGGCTTCAAATTGGTGTGGTATTTGAGATCTCCCTCACTACCTTACAACTCCACTTCGCGCATACTTAGAGCACCAAACTCGCATTCACTTCACATCACAACCCACAACCACAATGGCCGACGACGAGTCTAGTGAGCTCTCATCCGTGTCTTCTCTGTCGGATGCACCTCCTTCTGAAGACGAGGGCGGCATTGAGCTGAAGAAGGAGAAGGGCATTTTGAAGTTCTTCCATAAGGTCAAACCTGGCCAAGCGACCGAGAAGAAGACCAAACCCGAGACACCAGCACGACCACCGTCGCCCGACCACGAATATATTCTCGCGGACAATCCAGACATTGCAGTATGTTGATATCATCTTGTGTCGCGTGGAAACGCGAAGATACGCGTCCAGATCATGCAGGGTAGCCCTCCTCAACCTCATCTTCTGGACCGCATCTTCTCTACATTAACAACCACAACCAGAAGCTAACCTCAGCAGTTCTTGACAATGTTTCGGTCACGATTCCACGATGCATTCCCCAAGTCGATGCCCTCTTTTGGCCCACAAGAGCTGGAGCGGGACGTTACAGAGCCAGTAGTTGGCCAGCGAGCCGAGCACTTCCTCTGCGCGATCTTGGGTCTCCTACTGAATCGAAAGAACGACGTGAAGCCTGGACACTACAACAGAGCTCTGGAAGATGCTATTTCAACGCACAAGAGCCAATGGCCCAAGGAATGGAAGGAAAAAAGCCCGTTGTCGGGCGGGGGATCGTTTGCTGCTATGGACCCGACCGAGAGGGTAAGCTCGCCCTACCATTTATTTACACCACAATTGTTTCCTCGACTCAGCGCCTACAACTTCTCCAACATGCGACTTGAAAAAAGGACAAAAAGAATCGCGCTAATTTGAATTTCTGTGCAGCTTAGACTCTTGCGAACGCTCGTTCTCTGGACACTATCATCTTCAGAGGTGGTCAAGGGCATCATCAACCAATCGTACAAGCAGACTCGACACGATGATGACCTTAACCAACCTCTTTCGGTGCAGCCGTGGGGCTCTGATAGCGACAAGCGACGGTATTTCCTGATCGAGGGTCTCGACGACACCAGTTTCCGCGTCTACCGCGAGAGCAACCCTGTCGGTTTCAACAGAACGTGGTGGAGTGTCGCTGGGAGCATCGAGGAGCTCAATGCTCTGAGCGACAAGCTCATCTCGCTCGACGGAGGGCCGAAGGCGAAGAGGCTTGCTCAGCAGATGATGCTAGCCGTTCCTCGATTTGAGGCCACAGAGGAGAAGCGAAGGCGGCGCGAATACCGCCAGCAGCAAAAGGAGCGCTTCAAGCGTCCCGAGCCTGGCTTCTCCATGTACGAAGGTCGGACGAGAGGTAAACGCATGAAGTATACCTACTCTGAAGACGAGGATTTCTTGTCGGATTCTACGGGCGTTCGCCGCTCTACGCGCAATACCGGATCCAACACTCCCGCAGAGCCTGCCGGTCCTGTCACTACGGCGAGTGGACGCCAGATCAAGGCACCTTCCCGCATGACGGTCGATGCCTCGAACAACATTGTCACAACCAGCCCTGAACGAGATGAGGAGGCCAAAGCTACATCGAAAGAGTCATCTCTCGGACCAACAGGCCGTCCCAGACGGTCTGCCGCTGTGAATCACGGTACCAACGGCTGGGCGTCGACCCGAACTCGAGGGTACAACTCCATGGACGATGAGGACGAATCTCCAAGCGAGCCGGACCTTGGTGATGACGAAGAAGAGGAGCATGTTCCAGACGACAGTAATGAGGAGGAAGAATTCGACGAGGAAATGGCCGACGAAGATGACCTGGGAGACGCCCCTTTAAATGACAATCCCAAGAGCATGGTGGTCAAGCTCAAGGTGCCGAGTAAAGAAGCCCAGGAACGCAACGGATCGAAAGTCAACTTTGACAAGTTTCGGTACAATGGGTCAGACTCGAAGACTGACAAAGCGGCGGCATCTGAAGCCATGAATGACGAGAAGACGGAGGAATCCATCTCGGTTGCGCCTCGGAAACGGGCCACACCAGATTCCACTGTCCAAACTTCGCGAGGCTCTTTTGGGTCTACTGAACGACTGCCTCCGCCGACACCGGCATCGAACTCGCTGCATTCCACGTCTTTGGCTTATAGGGAAAGCCCAGACAAGCTGCAGGCGAAACCGGTCTCTCGAGTCGAGGCGGAAGAATAGGTCTGCCACGGTCTAGCTGTGTAATTTTGGGGGCGTTGCACGGTTACGATGGGCATTTACAGATGCATTGAGTTACGGTTCACTCGATGACGTTTGACTGCTGGCGTTATTATTGCAGATGTCCGTGGAAAGGCTGCCCAAAAAGTTCTATGCTGGGGAATAGAGGAATTGCCCCACTGACGGATAGACAGACATACATGTGGTGGTGTACTTGGCAACATATCTGGATGATGCATTTTTGCTCGGTCTACAGATGTACTATAGTGCAGATAGTACTCAACGCACCTTGCGTTGCTAGCTCTGAGCTCGTATTCTAGATTTTGCCTCTGCTTGAGTATCCGTGTTGCGAATAGCTCCTCTGGTTGTTTCACCTAGTGAGGCCCAGTGAGGCTACTACATGTTCTTTCTTCGCTCATATCCTGGGCACGTTTCCCATCATGACGATTTCGCTTTGGTGGGTATCGCCCAGTTGTTGACTCCATACCACCACCTACGTATCCTCGCCCCAACCGAGCTCCCACTGTACTGTGCGTTGCGGTTCCAGTGATGCCACCCCATCATCGTCAAATTCCACAAAACACCCTGCGCCAGAGGCATCATCATCTAGCAGCGACTTTCAGTCAGTATTCCCCGTAATTACTGGACCCCTCCCTCCAGTCACACAACGGAAGAATATACCTGATCCCGCACCGTAATCCAAGCAACCTTCCACCACGTCCCCGCGTTCTCGATACTGTGCAGGTAGCTCTGCTCGAAGCGCAAGTCGGGCATGGGCGGGAAACCTTGGTGGCGCGGCCGCGGCTTCAGCACCGACACGGGGATCTCGGATGCGCCATCGTCGAGTTCGCTGGCGTCGTCGATCTCGTCGAAGAACTCGCCCGCAGGCTTCTCCGTCAGTCGGACGGGTTCCCTTTTCGAAGCGGCGGTCGATGGGTTCAGGTCGTGGTGTGGAGAGGGGTCGCGCTTGATGTGTGCGCTTTGCACTGTCTCGGCTAGTTGGGTGGGGAGGGACATTTTGTTGGAGAGTTAGGATGCTCGAGGGGAGCGCTCTGAATGGGATGTCGTGATGAATGGGTTCGACTTCAAAAGTTGCAAATATCCTGATCCGTAGCTACGGAGGTGGTATACTTACATAGTAGATACCCCAGATCCGGCTGGTTTGTGACAGGTGCCGACTAGCTGGTCCGTGGGCTCGGCAGCTGAGCCCCTGCCTGGAGCACTGTACGGTTCTACGGGTATGCCGAGCTCTGGGTTCCTCAGTGGCCACTCACTTGGCATTGTAGTTCCACTGTAACGTTAAGTAAGTAACTCGTCACAACCTCTGTGCTCAACTTAGTTACCCAACTTTCAACATTGGAATGCAATTGCAGAGTATCTTCCACAACGCCGTCAGTCCCCATGTATTGTTGTTGAACTGTCTGCCGAATGATATATAGACAAGTCAAAGCAAAGCTGGGATTTATTTTCATCAGCTAGAGATAGTTGTAACGAGGTCTGAAGCTCAGAAGACTTGAACCGAGTTCAGTATTTCGCTGGTTTGCACAAGAGTCTATTTTCTCCGTTTGCAAAAGCGTACACCTTCTATGTTATTATATAGGGCATGTGATCATTACTTGACGCTGGCACTCGAGTGAGGGGCCATCCTATTGCATAGGACTCGGCCATAACCATCCTCAAGTTACTCGCTGCTTCTGTGGCAGCAAGCCACTTCGATATGTTGCTTTGGCTTATGCACTCCACCCCAAACTCTATTTTGATTCTCCTGACAAAATTTGCGTTGTTGTCATGAAAGGCAAGGGAGTTAGCTGGCTTTCTTTATCCTGGGTTGGTATTCACAGCCTCGTGGTACACCCTCGTCTACCCCTAGGCATTTCCTTAGGATCTGGGCTTGAAAACTTCCTGAAATCCGGCTCGTGAAGCTTCAAGTGTACCGGAGTTACCAGTACCAGAAAACGCGAAATACACCTTCTCCGTTACGAAGGTTCACATTTATATTCTAGCACACGAAAGAGACCTCGTCCGACGAGGATGCGGAATGGTTATTATTCATTCACAAGAATTGCTTACCTTTGTCTTTGCTCAGCAACTTATTCATAGCAACTCCCCTTTCGCCATCCGTTGAACAAACATAACCTGCTCAAAACGGACGACATGAAGGGTTTGGAATCCAATCCTACCGCGTACGCAACGTTGTCGTTGCATGAGTCTGATCTCATCAGATTTACCTACTTCCCCGAGGATATCTACCAGAAAGCCGAAAGCGTCCTGAGAAACTCTTGGCCTCCAGGCATCAAGAAGGAGACCTTCTATGCCGGTTCGTACCAGTACAAGCTCAAGGGGCGGCCGTGGAACCCCCACCGCCAAGCCGAGTCGGTTGGTTCCCGAAGACTCCTGCGGGATATTCTCGACTTCTTATACCGCTGCGGCTGGGTCCTGACAACCTCCATCAACCTGAGCGAGCGAGTCGGAAAGAGGGACACGATGCTGTTCAAGAAGAAGTTGTTTGAACCTCTGCCCCCACCCGCCAAGTTCCTCGCCGTTCAGTTATCCAAGCAGAACAAGCTTCTTCTCCACAGCGATGATGCAGACCTGATTGAAGGTTTCAGCACGGTGATCGACAATTTGGCCTGCTTCGACAAGGCGTACTGGAGCCATGATGCTTTTATGTTCACCACCAAGGGCAAGCCATGGTGGGCCAGCCGAGAGCAGTCGATGCAGGTCAAGAACATCATCATGGGTATCATGAACTTCCTGGAAAGCCGTGGGTGGAAATGTTATGGCACTGTCCGCCATCAAACCGAGTCGGCGGATAGGAAGCACTGCGATTCGTGGTACTTTATGAAGCCACAACAAGGGGTAGAAGAGCTCTTAGCCGGTCTAGACGACCATCCAGTGGTCGACCGGTTGCACTTGCTGGACTGAGATCGTTTCTCTGTTTCCAGGGGAGAACACTGGTTTGGAGAGTAATAATGTGGACCCGGACGCCCTTACAATCTGGTCTATCTATTCACCAAACCAGACCGGGAGCCGCTGGGTCAGCCCGCTCCAAGACCTCCCTAATGGGGCGCCGGAGGGGACACAGGTCCTCGTAGGGGACTTCAATACACATCACCCGCTGTGGGACGTCCACGGACGGTCGTCACGGGGCAGCGACAACGTAGTGGAGTTTGCGCGACGCTGGCGATTAGAGCTCGTTACGCCGTTCGGGGAAATCACACGGCAAAGGCACAAACAACGAGACTCAACTATCGACCTAGCCTGGGTGACGAAAGGGGCTAGGATTGATTACGATGGGGACCCGGGCCTAGAGGGCTCAGACCACAGAGCGCAAGTGATTAGGGTAATATCCAACGGGGAAGCAGTCAAGGAGGGCCGCCGCAGTGTCGAAGGGTGGAACTGGGCGATGGCGGATAAGTGGCTCATCGTAGCCGAATCAAGCCAGAGATTTATGAATTATTTGCCGGTTGAGACGATAACGGAGTTGGACCAGGCTGTTGACTGGGTTATCCGGAACCTCCAAGAGATCGCCGACGTGGCGGTCCCGAGACGCACCGTTGGCCGAGGCGCTGGGGTCCCGTGGTGGTGCCCGCAGGTTAGCAAGGCTTGCGCTGAGACGAAGAGACGACGGCGGGACTACCTCCAGGCAAGGTCGCAGACCAACTGGGACGAATATACAAGAGCCGGCCAAAAACAACGGCTCGAAATCAGCGAAGCGCAGACGCGTAACTGGCACGAGAAGCTCGAGGGGACGGCGAAGGATCTATCGGACCTCGATCGCGGCCTATTACAGACGAGACCAGAGCTGAACGTCCCTAGGGAGGTGACCACAATGGATATCGAGTCTATCATCAAAGGAACGGCTGCTCGGAAGGCTCCCGGCGACGACCTGATCCCCACTGGCCTGCTAAAGGCCTGCGGTGAACCCCTATGGGAGATCCTAGCGGATCTGGCAACAGCTAGCTTTAGGCTGGGGTACTACCCGGAGCGCTTCCGCTCAGCGAGGGTGGTTATTATCCCTAAGCCTAATAAAACGACAGCTCAGAAGCAGACCCCTGGCGGCTGGCGCCCCATTGCCCTGCTTAGCACGGTAGGGAAGGTAATAGAGACGGCGATGAGCCAGCGTATCACCAAAGTAGCTGAGGCGGCCGGCCTACTACCAAACGGCCAAATGGGTAACCGCGCTGGGAGGTCCACCGAACTGGCAATACGTATAGTTGAGGACGTGGTCTATACGGCGTGGAGACGCGGGGGCATCGCCTCGCTGCTACAGCTAGACATCAAGGGGGCATTCGATACGGTCAATTACAGACGGCTGATTTCCATATTAGCCCGGAAAGGCTACCCGGAGTGGGTTCAGGAGTGGGTACGCAGCTTCGTGGAGGATAGAACGGTACGCCTCCGGTTCGATGGCAAGGAGTCAGAGCCAATCCCCCTACGAGCTGGCGTCCCCCAGGGGTCACCGCTATCCCCGATACTGTTTATATTATACATTTCAACGCTGTACGAGGAGCTAGCGGAGCAGCATCCACTACTTTTAGTAGTCGGGTTCGCGGACGACACGAACCTGCTAAGCGTCGGCACCGATCCAGACACGACCTGCCGCCGGTTGGAGAGCGCATGGGCTACGTGTCAGCGGTGGGCAGTGAGGCACGGGATGGAGTTCGCTCCTGACAAGAGTGAGCTAATGCACTTTACTAGGGCCCGAGAGCCCTTGCCGCAAAGTATTCGCCTTGGGGACGCCACAGTGTCGCCGGTAGTCTCAGCCAGGTTCCTAGGAGTCTGGTTCGACCGCAAACTGACGTGGCACGCCCATGTTGAGCGTGTTAAAACAAAAATGGCAACTCAAAAGCTAGCCCTGACAAAGCTAGTCAATATGTCGTGGGGCTGCGATCTTATACGGGCGAGGCTGTTATATACGGTGGTTATCCGTAGCGCGATTGCCTTCGGGGCGACTGCGTGGCATACTATAAGTGAGGAACCGGCAGGGCCAGCTAAGAGCCTGATGGGGATACAGAACGAGTGCCTCCGGGTAGTCTGTGGTGCCCACAAAGCGACGCCGGTTCGCCACCTGGAAGCAGAAGCAGCAATCCCGCCACTAGACCTCTATCTTAGTGCCCGGGCTGCTAAGTTTGAAGAACGGCTACGGCTTAGCGGGAAGAGAAATCTGCTTCGCAGCGCGAGCGCTAAAGCGTCACATATACTCCGGCAGGATAGGCCGGCGAAGAGGAAGCAGGCGTCGCAGCTACTCCGACCGGCAGGGTACACTATGGAGAAGGAGGCCCGGGGCTCCGAGTGGATGAGTGAGGAAAAGGAGGTCCCGGCTGCCCTCCTCGACCACTGGAGGAAGAGATGGCTCACCGGAGCAGAGCATCACGATCGCCAGCGACGCGCTATCGCTGAGGAACCGGAGGGCCCTTCGATGCAGATACCGAAAGGGGGCAAGTATTTCGGCCTGAACCGACTGGAGGCGTCTACGCTGTGCCAGATCAGGACGGAAAAAATAGGACTAGCAGCCTTCTTATTCAAGACAGGGGCTTTTGGCGTGTACTCGCCGCTATGCCGCTGTGGCGATGCCCCTGAGACGGCAGAGCACGTAATCCTCTTTTGCGGGCTGTTGGAAGGACCGAGGGAACGATTACGGGCCGCCATCGCACCACGGCCACTATACTCTCGCAGAGACCTCGCAACGGCAACAGGAGAACCAGTAGTTAGTGGGACTATTGTAAGATGGCTGCTAGGGACGGGTCGGACAGCTTCAAGGCCCAGATAGCATCGATCTTCTCAGGGGGGACTTTGTTGGTAGGTTGAGAACCAACGTAGTATGGTAGTGAACGCAACGCAGTCGCCAATAGGGCGAACCGACGACGCAGCGTATGTATTTAGTCCAGCCATTAGGGCACGGTTTGACATACGGGAGTACTAGTAGAGGTACCGGGGGCTTCGAGCCTACGGCGTATTTAATAATAATAATAATAATAATAATGTGGAAGACAAAGTTGCGATATTGTACTCCATGATAGTCCAGGGTATAGCCCATTGGGATGGAATAATAAATAGGGGGTTGATATCTTCATACTTCAAAACAGAGTTGTGCTGTATCATGTTGTCCTGACCACGACTAGTGTTCCACGGTCAAAAAGAGCAGTCTGCTCGGTGGTGATCCTGGTGTTGTCATAGCTATGGGCGGTTAGTTGCAAAATCTGTGGGTGCCGCACCATGATTTTCTACTTTGTACCCATAAAATGAATTAACCCATCTAGGAGGGGAAAATAAAGAAAAAAAGGGGGGGGGAGAGGGGGGACGGGGGGTGCGTGGGTGTGCGCTCAGGAATTCAAAAATCAGAGTCATGTAGATATCTAGGCAGCCATTTAATACTTCGAGTGTGTTCCCATTCCGGAAATTGGCTGAAGACTGTCGGGATAAGTCCCAGAGACCCCACAAGCTCACAAGTGCAAACACAACCATCACCACATGACATAGCCCTCCTAGAGCTCACCAAATCATCATTCACACGCACGAAATCAGTGTCCTCACCTACCAGAGTTGCAGCTGGACAGAAGCCACGTCGATAGACCACTTACATGACTTGATCCATCAGATCCTCCATCGGATCCTCCATCGTCATTCTAGCTAGCCCCCTCGATCCTGCCTAGGTACTTGCCGCTGCCATAATGCTGTGTTCTGCCATCTTGCCGGCTCTCTGTTACATTGTCAGTTTGAAGTTTCACAGCATCTTCGGTTTGTGTCAACAGTGGCACCAGGTTTGCGCCGGTACAAAGCCTCGTTTCCTTGGCTGGTGAGTGTGGATTGCACAACCATGAATTGAAGACAGGTTGTATCTGAGCTTTTGTGAGAAGACATGGTTTTCCCATGCTGATAATCCATGAAGTGAACCTGAGCTGGGAGCTGCTCGGCACTGGGCTATGGTCCAGCATGATGGGAACACAAAGTAACCATTGACGTTGCGTTGACACTTGCATCTGCAGGAAGCATCCTTGGCTTCCATGCTTTGATACTAATCCTTGTGCATCCATCCTGTCAGCCTGGATCCTGGCGGTGCAATTTACAGGCCACACTGTATCCCTTTCTTTCTTTTTCTCGCTTAAATGGTGTCTCGGGGATTTCCCATTCCTCTGATCAGTCGTGGGACGGGCCGACTATATCAAGTTCCACAGACAAACTGGCGAACTTCTTGATTAGCCTCTCAGCAAACATCATTGTATCCATCCACATGAAATCTCGGCTTCCAACGTCAGCTTTGATTTACCATGTGATTTACTTGGGACGACGGGAGCCTGCAGTATCTCGCAGTGAGAAAATGGCCACGGTTCGAATCAAACCATTCTCTATCCTCTTCTGCCATGTGCTGTTCGGCAACGTCATTTCCTAGGTGGAAAAATCTTACGATGACAAGAAGGGAGGGAGAACAAGCCGTGTTTGACTGGTACAATGTGTAAGTCGCTGACGACGACTCCAGCAAGATCCAGGATTTGAGGCTCAGGCCCCGACACATGTATAAGGAGCATACCTCTGGAAGGGAGTAAAGATGAAATATTCACAAGTAGTCAAGTCAAGTCAAGTCCATCTACCATACCCGTTTGGACACGCCAAAGTAACACCACAATATCGAAACCTCAAAACCCATTTGCCACTGAACCGATCCCTACCTCGTGTACAACGTGCACAACTGTTCCAAGAACAAACCCACAAGCCGGCACCCTCGTTCACATAAACAGCTCTCGGGCAAATTCATCCGTCCATCTAGCCCAACACCAAGCAACCATGCTCACCCTACTCTCCATCCTCCTCGCCCTCGCTCCCACCCTACCACTCGCAACACCAGCCCATGCAGCAGACATCAACTTTGGGGGAGTGCAAAGACCCGCAACGGCGATCTCGACGGTGACAGTGAACCCGGTGGTGACAGTGACACAAACCACCTTTGCCACGGCGACGACGCCTGCACCAACGAGCACGATTTCCTACTCGTCTCACACAGGCAAATGCGACTACAGCTTCTGCAGCAATGGCAATGAGTGGTGTTTCTGGTATGCTGGCGTGACGGGTTGGAATCCGTCTCAGGGGGCGGTGCCGGGGGAGACGCATGCTATTATTGGGCCTTGTACGGCGTAGGGTTTTCAGGAGACAAGAGGCTTGGTGGGATGGGATGGGATGGACTAGATGTGGATGTGAGGCAGTTTATGGTATTTTACGACAGGCCGCAACGGTATTGGGCATATGGCTTGAAGTAGGTTTTCTCAAGTCATTGGTGGAGGATACATGGGTGACACACGGCGGCAGCGCGATATATGGATTCCTTCAAGTCTGCGGTTCCCATCTACATTTCTATATTTACAGAGAGAAGTCGACCAGGCACGCGAACCTTAAATAGTCCTATAATTCACGCTCACCGTCCCTTCTCGTGCTTCCCACGCCATTTTCAACTTAACCTTTCTCAATTATGCCGCTGTTTGCGTATTAGTCAAGTACCTAGGAACCGAACGTGGATGCAACGCAAACTCACTAGCTCCACTGACGGCGGTAGTAAGGGTACCGCTCTCAATGTAGACACCGGAGAAGTAAAAGTCCTCGTTGCTGTCGCTGTATCCGGACCGTGGCAGCTCCAGCACGCCCAAATGCCAGTCGGCGCCGTTCGACGAAGTCGAGGCGGAGGCGGGCTTGACAACCTGAGTAAGCGGAGCGCTTCCCTCCGAATGCCAGAATCCGACCGTGTTAGCGGAAAAATCCTGTATAGTTCGTCAAGTCAGCAAGCATGGACATCTCTCTTCGTTTCAACAATACCACTCAACGGATGCAAAGAAGCAAAAATGGCTAACTAACAATCTCATAAGCAACATTATGCCACACATCCGGCAACCACTCCGTCTTCCACTTGCTGTTCTGACTAATCATGAACTGCAAAGCCGGGTTGCTAGTTCCGGACTCGCCACTGATCCAGCCGTATTTCATCTCGGTGAAGTGGCTCTCGAAGAAGTTGATCTGGTGCTCGCGGTTGACGCTGGGCGCGTTGGTGTCCTTGCGCAACAGGCTGAAGTGGTAGTACACCTTTCCTTTGTTGATGGCCGCCGTCGTCTGTGGGATCAGCTCCGTCCGTCGCATGGTTTGTCCGTTCCAGAAGGCCGTGCTGTCTAGCGTGAACTTGGCCCCTTGCTTCGACACCGTGTCGTTGGGGTTCTTGTAATCCGGGCTAAGGTTGACGTACTTCGAAGTGCGAGTGGTGTTAGTAGGTCTGTGCATATGCCTACACTTTTGCTGTAACGAAAGGGTAGAGAGATACCTTGTCCACCGTGCCCGACCCGTGGATGTAGTATTGATACGGCCCAACCTGATTGCTCCAGCTCCACTTGTCAAGATCCGCTGACGAGCTGAAGTCGTTGAATCTACCATCCCAGATGACAGCCGCGCTGGCCACTTGGGCGAAAAGCAGCGTCGTCTTCATTGTGCGATTCGTGGGGGAGAGGGGGCTGCAGAGGGCTTGGAAAATATGGACGAGAAAATGACAAGTCAAGAGTACTGTGAGTGAATTGGACAGACGCCCGGTATACTCAACAGCATGGTGATACTCTTTATATATCGCAGGCTGATGGGAACATGTGTCATGCTGTGAGGTAGCAAGGTAAGGTTGCGCGAGCCCCGGGGCATCTTGTCGTGGTGAAATTAGGGGTGTCTTCCAGGTACAAACCAGGTGCAATATATTTGAGGCTGGACGGACCGCGACACCAAGAACGGGAGAAGAATCCCGTAGGAATGGCGTAGTAAAATGCGGACAGTAGCCTCCGACTACCGTCGAGGTATAGCATGTTATATTGATCGTGCGGGAATGTTGTGCGCAATTTTAGCCTGTAATGCACATGCTGCCCGTATTGTCCATGTTTTCCGGTCCAGAATTGTAAGTAACGAGCCATGATTTCGCAATGGAGCTGTGATCGGGCATAATACGTTGGTGGGCATCGCTGGGGACACCGAGCTGGACTCCAATGCCCAAGAAATCGGCTGGCTTGCTTGCATTATACCTGCCACATGCGGTAGTCACGAGGTTGCTACGTTGAATATCTCATGATGTTAGGTACTAGTTGAAGCAGAACCCCGCCTGTCACTAGGTACACTTCTGGTGTAAGCTCATTCGTTGGATGACCTTGTGGCGCTTCTGCCAGCCCCCATCTACCCAAACGCAAACGCATGCCTTTATCCATGTTGCTCCAGCCAACGCGAGAAGCTACATTGCAACAAACTACGGGTATTCGTTCTTGTCAAACCAACGCAAAGGGAGCAAAATTGCTTAATGTTCCATGCTCGTCCCACCGCTCGTGCTTCTAGCCAGTGTTGCGCTCTTCCGACTTTGGCCAAAGTTCATCTTGCCATTAGCAGTGCCTGGTGGACTTCGAACTGCAGGCCCGTCACCTTGCTCGACCGTTGCAAGGATATCTATTGGTGACATATCGTCCTCAATGAGGTGGATAAAGTATGCAGAAATGAGGACAAATACTCCGCCAAGCGCGAGAACGATGGCGAAACTATGATCGCCTGGGGTTCCTCTGGGTTTCTGTGAAAAGCGAAAGATGATGCTTGAGGCTACAGTTGCGAGGATCTGCGGTGCTGCGATGGCCATGTTGTGGATGCCGAGTATGACACCAGCCTTGTCAGGCTCCTCTTCTTCGTTTTGCAAGCGGCGTTGCTCGTCTAAAATCTCATCCGTAGTATTGTCTGAAGTCTCATCATCGATAGATAACCTTGTAGTTTGCTTCCGTGATCGTTGTATAACATCGCAGCGACTTATTTCACCGCTAATGATAGCCCAGGGCGCCCAAAGAGTCAACGCCCAAGTAATACCAACTAGGCCGATGAGCATCGTTGCGGCCTCCACTGTCCTAACGAGAACGGTGCAGAACATAGCCAACGCAAAGATGATGTGGGACAGCATCCACGCACGCCGAAGAGTAAACCCCGGAATGATCAGGAAAGCGAGTAATGACTTTTTATTCGAATCGTAGTCCACGATGCTTCCAGGTGCTTCAGCAGGGGCATTGCTAATGGCGGCAGCGTTGTCGTATGTTGGCGCAACGAATAATGGCAAGAGCATATTTGTGGCCAGACTGGTAATTGCGAAGATGAGCAGGGCAAAAGTTCCCACACGCGTGGCCTGTTCGTAGAGTCGATCCAGTTCTCGGGGTGTCATGGAGGGGTTCTGCTCAAGAAACGGCTCGATGTAGATCTCTCCTATATATGACGAGGTATAGAATAACATGGGAAAGAATCCGACCCAGGCGCAGAACTGGACTTTGCAGACCTTCTGAATCTGGGGGGGAAGACGCTTGATCGAAACGAAGATGGTCCGAAAGAATTTGAAGACTCCCTCTTGTTCCTTGGGCGGCCCATCCAGCCTGGGATCTCTTTCTCGGATGAAGACAGCGCTCAACACAACGGTGGAGCAAAGTGCGATACTGGCGATTGGGCAAAGCACCTTGAACTGCGTGTTACCAAGCCACCAAACGTACTTGGGGAGGTCAACGTATCCTGCACAATAGCCGATGATATTGCCCACGCCCACGATACGGCTTGCCATAGAGTTCGCAGCTTCTGTAGCGTCTATGAGTTTGTGAGCTTCACGGCGGTCCTGAGAGTGACTTACCTTGTTGATGCGGTGGCGCGCAATCTACGATGAATGCACGGATCGCGGCTTGGACTAATTAGATGTGTCAGAACCAAACGTTTTCCGCTATTACAACATCCACATGACATAAACAAACCTGTGTTGATGGCAAAGTCCAAGATGTAAACCCAAATCACGGCTACGACAATGATGGCAACCTTGACGCCTTGCGATTCGGGATCTGCGCCGAACAAGCCCAGCAGGCCCCCAACTATCTCTCTCGTCCACGCCAGGAACATGAGTGAGCATGCTGTAGCAGCGGCCCCGCCTAGCATGAATGGCTTGCGTCTGCCCCAGGGCACTCTGCAGTTGTCGCTGAGCATGCCAACGTATGGTTGAACCAAGGTTCCCGTAAGTGGCCCAGCAATCCAGACGAGGGCCATAAGGGACTTGCTCAAACCAAGAGACAGCAGGTACGGCGACCCGTTGGAAAGCTCGACAGACCAGGCGATCTGCAAGCCACCAAGGCTTATGGTCAATAGGATGAGGTACCATAGACTCATAGTCTCGTGAAACACCTCCCGCTCGTCGTTCCGCTGTTCTTCGAGTAGATCATCCTGGCCTGCTCCATCTACAAGAAGCGGCATGTTCTCCTCCGTCTGCTCGCCTCCTTTGCCATCCGGCGAGTCATGTTGCGGGTTGTCTCCCGACGAGGCACTTGCGGCCCAGGTTGGGGGTTCGTTGGAGCAGCTCGGCGTCGATTCGCGGCTTGAAGACGAAGACGACGAGCTCGACGACGAAGACGATGTCATGACCGCAATATGGTTCGGACTCCGCCGACTGGTCCCGATGTGTATGAGGAAAGTCTCTCTCGGGTTGTGGGGTGGTAAGCTAGTACCGGCAGAAACTATGCTTCTTGTTCAATTCTGTGTTTTACTGGCGCACATTCCGTTTTACCTCGAAATAAACTGGCCGACGAAGGAACAGTGACTCTGACAGTGAATTGCTGATGTTCGCTGGTACAAAGTCGGTGGAGGATGGGTGGCAGCTGGCATAAAGTGAGTGATGTCGTCACGCGTCAAGCGCACTAGACCGGGTGATGGGAAAGTGGGAAGTTGGATAGGACCTGAAAAATATGGTGATGACACCTAGACGGTGACGGCCGTGGTACTACCGACTCATGAAGCGACACATGGTGGGGAAAATACAGGATGGTGTCCTAGGTCATTCGAAAGGTGGCAGGAGGTTTACTGACACAGGATTGGGGAGCGGGCGATGCCATGGGGTTCCGTCAGACATGCAACAACGAAGGGCCAAAAGCTCCGACGAGTCAGCAGCCAGTCCAGCTGTCTTCCGGGCTCGCAGGGTGGCCCATTACCCCGAAAAACGTGTGCATTGGCAGGGTCTGACTCGGGTAGTGCCCGCCTTGATCAGAACTATGATTGGTATCGACTATTATTATAATAAGTTCAGATGACGAGAAATTTCAAATTTTGGAGAGAGAGTTGGAGGAAGTTGCTGCTCCAGCCGGGTGTGCCTCTTCATGCACGTCAGCTATGAGGTTACATAATCGGGCTTCCAGTCTGCTGGTTACAGTCACATGTCGAATGAAGTACCTTGGAGCTAATTGAACAGTCTCTTGGGCCACTCGAAATCATACAACGACTAAAGGCAGCAATAAAGCTTGCTCTCTAACCCAAAAAGCCTAGGTATATACCTCGTCAAGAGCAAGATTGAGGGGGACCTGAGATAGCGAATGTGCTTGAAGGTACTTGTTTTGAAGTGTGAGGTCATTCGTCACTGGGTAACCCGCTACTTTAGCGCCATGACTGCTACGTTGGAAGCTCAAAATCCGGGGTAGTAATGGCATGTCCGTCTGGGTCAAAGTGGATGTCGCGATATTTGGCACGCAAATGTCCTGGACCAAAAGACACATACTTCGAATCCCATACTCTAACCTAGTCAAAGACGAGACTGCTTTTTGTAGCAGTGGGAGCGTAGCCAATCATGAGTTGCAAATACTTGAAGGCAGCGGCATGCAGGCCCCACCAAGAAGCAGCTGAAGTGGACCACGGGTTACAGCCCGCCAACTGAGAACGGCAGCCGGTAAGCCTCCTCAATAAAAGATGCTAGCTGTCGACTTCAAGGTGAATTAACTGCCTGGTACCAGCCGCCCCAAACTCGACGTCGCAACACTCCAAGGTCGATTTAATGCGTGTCCACACGATAGCATCCGCACTCCCATCAGAGCGATCAACGTATATCGTATCGAGGTCTCCCTCATCTACACCAGTGGTCTCTTGAAGACCCGCGCTGCGCCGCCATGTTGTCGCATGTCGCTGGCGGAGCCTTTGCGCTCCTCCGTATGTCAGCCCCTCGCGATGCTAGCTTGTCGCATAACTATACAGTTACATTCTAGCTAACCATGACCTCTCGCAGGGCGAGTCGGAGAAGAGGCAGATCCAGAGGGTACGATAACCACATCTGATGCGCAAAACTGGAACCCGTCTAATGAAGTAAACAGAAGGAGGAGACTCGTCGCAGCAGGAGGTCTTCTCGTCATGGGCCCTCTTTATATCCATCGCCCTGCTCATCATCTCCTTCTTCACGAGCTACATATTGCAGCAGAAGAAAGTGCAGGCAGTCCACGAGACCGTCATCTCTATCTTTGCGGGCATGACGGTAGGTTTGATCCTCCGTGTGACCGTAGGCACCAACATCCGGCAGCTCGTGAGCTTCGACTTCCAGATCTTCTTCAACCTACTCCTGCCGCCCATCATCCTGAACTCCGGATATGAGCTGCATCAAGCGAACTTCTTCCGGAACATCGGCACCATCCTGACTTTCGCCTTCGCCGGGACTTTCTTGTCGGCCGTTGTCATAGGCACGCTTCTCTGGTTGTACACGCGGATACCCCTCGAGGGGCTTGATATGAGCTTCGTCGACGCCATTTCAGTCGGTGCGACATTGTCCGCGACAGATCCCGTTACCATATTGGCAATCTTCAACACGTACAAGGTCGATCCGAAGCTATATACCATCATCTTTGGCGAGTCTATTCTCAATGACGCCATCGCTATCGTCATCTTCGAGACTGCTCAGAAGTATAAGAGCGGAGCGGCTGGCACGTATGGGCTGTTCAGCTTTTTCGAGGGTGTGGGCATCTTCCTGCTCACGTTCTTCGTCAGCTTGCTCATTGGTGTCATGGTCGGTGTCGGGACTGCACTCGTCCTGAAGTTCACCTATGTCAGAAGGTACCCCCAGATTGAAAGCTGTTTGATCGTGTTGATCGCATATGCAAGCTACTTCTTCTCTCAAGCCATTAAAATGTCTGGTAAGCAAGACTCGATCCGATCCGATTCAACCGCTCTTCTAATCAGTTTCTCGTAGGAATTGTGTCCTTGCTCTTCTGTGGAATAACACTGAAGCATTACGCGTACTTTAACATGTCGCGACGGTCACAGCTCAGCACAAAGTACATCTTCCAAGTGCTAGCCCAGCTATCGGAAAACTTTATTTTCATCTACTTGGGGTTGACGCTCTTCTCGGACACCGATCTTCAATTCCAGCCACTTCTGATTATGGTTACTGTCATGGCAGTCTGTGCGGCAAGATGGGTCGCTGTGTTCCCTCTTTCCAGGGCCATCAACTGGTTCATTCGCTACCGGGCACGTCGCAGAGGCAGGGAAGTCAATGATGAATTGCCCTACAACTACCAGGCCATGCTATTCTGGGCCGGGCTTCGTGGAGCCGTCGGTGTAGCACTGGCGGCACTTTTGACGGGTGAAAATCAGTACGCGCTGAAGGCCACAGTGCTAGTGGTAGTCGTATTGACCGTCATCATCTTTGGCGGTACTACAGCACGAATGCTGGAAATCTTGGGGATACGAACTGGGGTCGTAGAAGAGGTCGACAGCGACGACGAGTTCGACATCGAAGCCGTACCCGGTGGATCGTACTACAAGCGGTCTGGCTCTGGCATTGGATACAACCCGCGTAGAGAGGGGTCTGTGGCTCTCAATCATCTGGACGTTGCAAACGGAAAGCGGGATGGACCAGAGCGCGGAAGTTATGTGTCTGGGCATCACTCCCCAGCTGGCGCTTCACGTCCCACCAACCTTCCAAGAAGAAGTTCGAGGGCCGCTCAGACATCTAGAGACGAGTTTGAAAGGAATGATATCTTGGCCCAAAATGGCAATATGACGGACTCGGATCTTGGCAGCGATATCGACACTTCAGATCTGCCACCACCAGCACGCCAGTCGCCGCGGAGGAGGTCCAGCCCTCTACTCACGCCAAGCGGCTCGTCCCAAGAAGAGGACATCTTCTCGTATCCAACCTCGGGCCAGAGAGAGCAGGGGCCCGTGTCAGCTTCGGCGGCCATCAAGCAGCTGTTCACCGCGCAGGATCCGCAGGCATTGTTCAGGCAGCTCGACGAGGACTACATCAAGCCCCATCTGCTCGTGGATGGATCTGCCGGCGATCCTCGCGGGCGTATGCATGGCGACGATGCGGCAGGTCCGAGTTAAAATAGGGAAGGGGTTATAGAAAAGTCGTTTGTACGATCGTCCAGATGGAAGATATACCTGGTAGACAAAGATCTAGGGCATGGGATGGCGTTATGGACAATGTATTTCGAGCGAGTAGCCACATATTTGTTACTATAGAAGCCGGGTCATCATCTTGCCGCCTTTATTTACTTTGCGAGAAATGTGCCAAGTGTACTGGTCTGGACGCGTCCGTCTCTCTGGGTAGGTTAAAATTGCTGTGAAAGTGAGAGCCGCATTGCCCGAATCCCTGTCGCCGTCCCTCTGGGTGGGTTACACTAGCAACAGGGGGAAACCAGCCCGCCTCGAGACTTATAGAATAAGGCTGAGTCCCCCTCTTCCCTAACCACAGGTGCCTTTCATACTTGCCCGCTTTACCAGACAGAGAATGGCGTGCGAATTCCTTGCGAAAAAGCCCCGGGGCACTCGTTCCTTCCCCAACTTTTGGATCACTTGGTTCTGGTGTTTCAGTCATTGGGAAGTGGTGACTTCCTCAGGCGAAATCCCAACTCGAAATATCTTCCTAATCCTGAATTTTGGATATGAGAAGTCAATCTACTTGGTGAGGAAAGACGGTATTTCGCGTGCCATTACCCTTGTCATTCACTTATTATCAAGAGAACGAGCCGTTCAAGAACCGAGGTCGCATTTGTCATTTCATTTCGTCCCACACGCCGGTCGGTATTCTTTGCAATGCGGAGGCGGAGACGGAGACAGAATCCATGGATGTGGGCTCTTGGAAACCGGAAGATCTCCTGGAGTGGGAGTACCGCGGTATTTCGGTAAACAGAACGACATATTTCTTCGATAAGCCGCCAGCTCTCAGGAGCATCGTTCAGAAGTATCTTCTCACGCTCCGAATTGATTACCCGTTTTGTCCTCATGGTCACCAGCACCACTGGGTTGGACAACACATGCTGGATGAGGTTGTGCGGTCGCGACGGTCCCTTTCTCACCGTAAAACCTTCTATATTAGCCCCGCCTTTGAACTCGACTCCTTCTAGTCGTGCCAATATCCACGAAGATTTCGAGACACCAGTTGTTCAATAGGTCCTTGGGGATGATTGGTATACGGTCGTGGACCTGCAGGAGCCGGCTGAGATAAAGAGGGTAGCAAAGATCCTTGGACAAGCGGTTTGAGTTCCTCGGTAGCCCAAGGTTTGACTCATCTACGAGATGCTTGACCAGAAAATCAACCCAGACTGATACTCCCTGATGGTTGCAACAATCATTCCGACGACGACAAGAATGATGGAGGCGACAGTAGCTCGGGTACCGAGTACCTTGAGTCCGAGTAGCTCACGTACTGTGTTGAATAAGAGGGGCGGGCAGTAAGGAGGGATCTGACAGTTGCACTTCGGGAAACAGCTGCGATAGATGACTTTGTTAAGTTTGGTTTTAGCGGAATGACGCATCCTTTAATATGTGCATTTGGAGAATATTCAGACATAGGGAGAGCGTTGTAACTAAATGATAACGTCAATTGAGAGTTTGAGACTATAAATACCATCAGGTACCATTCTGCTAAATGGGGGCTGTGATAACATTCTCATAACGAGCTGAAATGGTGCCACATGACTTGAAGGCTATATGACAGGTTGCTGGCGAGAAAGGAGGCTTGAGCCTGTCTGTACGTAACCACAAGCCTGCGGCAATATTGGAACTAATCAAAGATCATTTTGAAAAGAGTCACACAACTTCTCTCCAGCAATTATTCAAAATTCAGTTTGACTACAGGCTCTTTCATAGACACTATTCAACTGTCGTCTCTAAGAACGTCGTTCCATATCTACATATCTGACCGAGCTGTCGCAACCATTATGGCATACCGTCCGTGATGTATATTCTACACACCATTTTACCCCTTCACAAAGCCTCAGCGGCCCCCTTTCCGGTCTGCCTCAGCGCCCAAGTCCCGCTCGACCATCTCAATGGAGCTCAGACTCGGAAACCGCTTGCTAAAGTCCTGGATATAGTCTTCTCTCTCTTGGGCGGTCATGTCAAGCATCGGCCGGCCGGACAAGCCGACTCCGGTCATCGCCTCAGTCAAGCCTGTAGGGGGCCGCTGTAGTTGTTTCGGTGGAGACCGGCGGCCGCCGGTGGGAATACTGTTGAGATGTGTTGGTTTAGGCGGTGCGGCCGGCTTCGGAGGGAGTGCGGGGCGGGATGTCATGTCTGTGACTGGAAAGGAGCTCGGCATGGTGCCAGTCTGCCGCGCTCGCGCCGCGGCATTCACGGAGCTCATCACTGGCTTCGCAGGGGCTCCACGTCCTCCAGAACCAGTGGCAACAGGTTTGCGGGCTAGATCTGGAAGTTGTTTTTCAGGACGAGGGGTGGACGTAGTCGCTTCCGTGAACCGCCCATAACCCTCAGCCGTCTTCTGGACCGGGGACGCCTTTTGACTTTCGTCGAGCAAGTTCTGCACTCTGTTCTGTATGCTGACCGCGCGAGAGACGCCTCCGATGCTCTTGGGAAGCGGTACCGAGCCCCCTGCGTCTCGTACTGCCATGCGTTGGCGGTACTCGGCAGCAGCAGCCTCTACGCGCCTTTCTTCCTCGGCAAGAAGTTGAGCTTCGAGGTCGCGGCGCATTTCTGGCGTCAGCTCTTCCGTGTCGCCGAGCATTCTGCCATCATCACTCCGACCATCTGTTGCTTCAGATCCGGCAATGGGTGTCAAGTCACGCCGCTCTAAATCTTTAAGAGGTGATGGTGTGCGCGCAGGGGCAGTGGAGCTATTCCCTTCAAAGCGTTTGAAGGCATCACCAAATTTGCCAGCGAGAATGTTTTTCGTCCCTGATAGAGAGCTTAAACTTGAACGCTTTCCATGTTTATGACCCCTGATTTTGCTTTTGTTGTCAGATTCTTCCATGGACCGCAGAAAGTCCACATTGGACTCAATGGCCGCCTCATCTTGTGGCTCCATCATGGGAGATGGCACTCTATCCGGGAATTTGGCGGGCTGTAAGCCAGGAGAGCGCAGAGGTCTCGGCGCTGCCTCCCTCTCCCGGAGGTAATCCAAGTTAGATTCTAGGTAGGTGCTGGCGGGTCTCGGACGCCCCGAAAGAGACGAGGTTCTGACAGAAGGATCTAGAAGATCGATGCTTGGCCGCCCTCCTTCGAGGGACGGTCGTGAGGATGAGGGATGCCTAACGTGTTCTGGTTGAGATTGGAACGACGAGACGCGTTGGTTGGGAAGGGTTCTGGATGGCTGACCCGAATCAACACGCAGTGCCTGACCAGGGCTTGCCGTCTCAGGTTGCCTCGGTAGACTGGACGAGCGGTGGTGTTCGGCTGGAGGAAATCGGTAGATGGGAGGGTAGTCTCTCGTAGGTTTCTCTGCTGGAGGTGGGGTACTAGACGTCATGGTCCCTGTTGAAACCATGGTAGGTCTACCGGGCATTGGTTGAGCAGGTTGCATAGGGGGTGATGCGATAGCTTGCAGTTCAGGGTTGTTAGAAATGATGGCTGAAGCGCGACTCATCTCCAGAGGGTTCGATTTTGGCGGAGCAGAGGCTGGTTTGTTTACGGAGCCGAGGGGAGGTGACGCCTGGCTCAGCTCTGGCGCGGCCGCAGTAGATTTGACCCGACTCAGGTCATTCGCCTGCACTTGCGGTCCAGGAGACGGGGTGGGTACAGGTCGAGGTTGAGGTTTAATGTTTGCAAACGCATCATCAGCGAGCTTTTCCGCAACTCTCTGGCCAAGCTCCTTGTCAGGGGACGATTTTGGGCCATCGAAATCGAACTTTGCGCCCTGGTCGTGCAAAAGAGCAAACTGATCAAGCGTAGGAAATCTCGACGCTATCTCATCAGCATCGAGTTTGGCAGCCGCAGCAGCTTCAGAGTCCAGGGCAGCAAAGGGGTCGCCATTGGTGACTCTCATGGGAGACGGACTGGGCTTCGGAGGTTGCTGCGCTGGAGGCTGGCTCGACACGGCCGATGGTCTGCCGCGCCTCATCGGTGTCACCTCTGGAATCTTTGGATGTTGTTGTGGTGGTGGAGAGAACACAGCACCGACTGCCACAGGCGTGCTTTTCCCTTTGGCATCTGGGAGTGCCTGCGTCTCCGTCTTCCTGGATTCGGATTGCGTGCGGTTGGAGTAGATCTAGGCATGTTAGTCAGAGCTTCGCTGTTCGAAGAAGACACCCTGGTACACACATCTTGTATCGGCACCTCGCGGCCCTGCATGAGACAACCTTCGCGAAGCGCTTGGTATATGTTTGGTCTAGATTGCTGGTTTTCGCGTAGCATGGATGCTGCAGTGTGTGAGCAAAGACCCTGGCGCTGTACTGCAATGGGCGGGCTTTCTTACCAATTAGGTGTTTTAGTCTGTCAGAAAAGACGGGATAGCTTGGGAATCTAAAGCTTGCATTCAAAATAGCCAACTGCCCTTGGTCCTCGAAAGGGGTTGTGTAATAGCAGAGCTTGTAAAGGAGGACGCCAAGTGCCCAGATGTCGGACTTCTCGTCGATAGGCTGTTTTCGGTAGACGTCGACCATCTCTGGACTGCGGTACTGCATCGTTGTGTGTTTTTGGACATCTTCGTCCATCAGCCGACACTCGACGATGGACTGCGGCGCCGGTTTCGGGTTTGCTGCCGAGCCGAAATCACAGAGCTTGAACTTTCTCCTGGAGCCAACCATGGTTATCAGGACATTTTCCACCTTCAAGTCTCGGTGCAGCAACGGCGGTTTTAGATAGTGCATACAGGCAACACCTTCGGCAATGTCGGTGAAGATGTTGAGGATCTCGGGCTCGGTCAGGCGATGCTGCAGACGGGTGTTCATAAAGTCGATCAAGCCTCCCCCATCACAGTATTCCATCAGTAGGAAAACCTCGTAGCCGCCGCCTTTGAGCTCCGAAGCATGCGAATCGATGTAGGTGACGATGGGACGGTGGCCCTTAAGACGCTTCATCGTCTCGACCTCGGTGCGCATGCCGCGTAGAGTCTCCCTGTCCGGCACGGCGACTCTCTTGAGGACGGCCAAGTCGGTGCCGTCGATTGGCCGTGGCATCTTGACCAGATATACGTGTGCGAAGCCGCCCTCAGATAGATACTTCTGAATGACCACGCGGTGATCGCCGACTTGTATCTTGGTGCCAGGGGAGAAGGTGCCAGCAGGGGCTGAAGGTGCAGGCATGGCCATTGGTGCCGGTGCGTAAGCCGGTTGACCAGGCCGTGGAGCGGCCATTGGCACCGTGTTTCCGTACGAAGCCATATTGTGTCTGCAGTCGTTATTATCGCGTCACTGTCGCTGGCGTCCGTCTACTGCCACTGCGAGTCGTCGCGGTCGCAAGTCGCGGTGGGTGCGGGCCACCTGAAGCGTGGCCCGAAGTTGGGTTGAGTTGGCAGCGGCAACAACGGGAGTCGGGTAATCTGTCGTTCACGGCATCGATGTTGACTTTTGACGCAAATCCCGTTTCTACGACCGGTGCATGTCGAGCAAGTAGAATACGTTGTTAAAAGAAACAGCCAACCCCTAGAGCCAGTTCGTTGGGTCTATGCGCGTGCTGTTGCTTTGCTAAGATGGGTTCTAGCTGCTGTTTCGCAATAATGCCATCTCAATCTAGATCCCAAAAGGCAATTCGAGCGCTAGCACTGCCTTCTCGGTGAATTATCGGCTACCCCTGGAATCTGCGTCACTTTACCCCCAGATGCCAACTTCATCCACATGCCAATGGGTAAGTTGTCTATTTTAAAGTAACGCCCTGCTAAGTAGAACTTTAGGCCAAGTCAGTAGGGCCAATATCACAATCATCTGGTGTTCATAACGCGCGTTGTGATTCATGCTGTGGGATCAGGATCTGGATCTTGTGGTGATTTTCCATGAAGTACTCTGTTCACATTCCCATTTCTCAACATCATGACATAGTGAGCAGGCCCCGTATTCGCATATTGATGTTGTAAGAGATGGGTGATTCGGCATAAGTTGTGCAATTGTCCGACATATTGTACTTAAACACGGAATTCTCGCTCAGTGTCATGGTGATTTCATACACCACTTGTTCTACGTCACTGAGTGAATGCCATTTTTTTCTTGTCTGATCTTTGTGACATTGTTGGTCAACGACGTGACTGCAGGGTTTTGAGATATTATTGGAGGCGACAGCTGTCAAGTTGTCTTTTCTAACCCTTATAACTCGCAATAAATGAGCTCTGCGCTACCCCATAGCCAGTTCAACACTGAATACTTGAACATGTCCGCGACCACGGTTTGGTTTTCATGTTAGCTCTCCGCGGCTGACCCTTTGCGATGGACCTGCTTGAAGCCGGAGAGAGTGTATTCAGTGGCACACTGGAGTTTTCTCACGTAGATTCCACCGTTGGACACTGAGAGACATGATAAAGCCACCGGTTTATGTGATTGGTATCTAAAACTAGATTGCAAGGGTATAGAAAGTCCAATGGTATCTCACGCAAGTGGCCAAGGCGAGGCACACGTATTCCAGAGCACCACGTACAACCTGACTGCGCTATTAAAGGCACATGCAAGACGTGTGTTAAAATGCTCCAAACTGCCGAAGATGTTGTTACGCGTCTCGAAAGACATCTTAGATCAAGGCTCGCACCATGCGCATGGGAAGGTTCTTCCACGTCTTCTCGGGCATCGGCTCCTCATCATCAGGTTCCATCATGCGTGCCCCGGATCTGAGGTCCATCTCGTGGACCTTGACGTACAAGGCCCAGTTTCTGGTCCAGATCTTCCAGCCCAGGTAAAGGACTATGACAATTGGGCATGCCATGTAGCCCTTGAAGAAGGTCTGGGCGTCAGGAACGGCATCGGGGCTCGGCTGGGCCATGTTAGCTACTTCGTACTGAATACTTATATACACACGGGAGAAGCAACTTACGTAGAGGGAGTTATAGAAAGTGGCAACCAAGCAAAGGCAGTTAAGGAACAGCCCAATGTAGCTACCGTAGACACCAAGAGCAGGCTTGTACGGGATCTGGGCGAGGCTGAAGCCCTGGGCCTCCCAAGCATAGCGGAATCGGATGTGCGTCAAGCAGATGGTACCCCACACGAAGAAGTAGGACAGACCGGACAGAGATAGCAGCCAGCTAAAAACCTCGCTTTGCGACTCGGCCTCACCGACGAAGGCCAGCAGACCGAAGACAAGCTGGACAAGGATACACCACAACGGGCGGCCCTTCTTGTCGACGTATGACAGGAACCCAGGGGCCATACCGCGCTCGGCCATTGCCTGCATGGTACGGGTCGAGCCAAAGGTGCAAGAGTTGGCGACGCTGATGACGGAGATGGTGATGACAGCGTTCATAACCGAAGGAAGACCCTTGATGCCGGCATCCTGAATAGCGATAACGAAGGGCGAGGCCTTAGTGTCAGCACCAGACGAACCAACGAGACGCGGGTTGTCGGAGCGAACGATGAGACCGAGGATGAACAGGTTCACGATATAGAAGAAAGCGATACGCCAGAAAACCTGCTTCGTAGCCTGGGGAATGGCCTTGCGGGGGTTGGCAGACTCGGCAGCAGCCAGACCAACCAGCTCAGTGCCACCGAAAGCGAAAGCGGCCAAGACGAAGACGCCAGCGAAACCGTTGAAGCCGTTGCGGAACGCGCCTGGGTCGTGCCAGTACTTAACCCCCAGGTAGCCCTGGTCACCGACACCGCCACAGTTGATGACGATACCGAGAATGATAAATCCGGTACAGGCGGCGATCTTGATCATGGAGAGGACGAACTCGACTTCACCATAGCCCTTGACACCGAAAAACTGAATAACGGTCAAGACCACGAGGAAGACCGCAACCCAAACACCCATGTTAATGTCGGTTCGCCAAAACTGGATCGTGATGCTGGCGGCGATGAGTTCGAAGGGGAGGACGGTCAGCCAAGCGAGGGCGTAATCCCAGCCCATAGCAAAGCCCCTGGAGACTCAATGTTAGTGCTTGGTGGAATGAGGGACCGAAGTAGAGGGGTTCTCACCAGGAAGGGTCGATGAATCGAACAACGTAGGTATAAAAGGCGCCGTTCACGGGATAAAGCACACTGAGCTCAGCCAGGGCTTGCATGGTGAACAGCAGCATAAAACCGACGATGAGGTAACCGATGATCTGGGCAACATATTGTAAGTGGACAGAAAGATATTATCGAAATATGGGGATCGCATACCAACGCAGCGGGACCTAATACAAGCAGTTAGTTCAGTCTCTCAACTACCTGGAATTTATGACTTCAGTTACTCACCTCCCGTTTGCAACGCGCTTCCTGAGCCAACGAATAGACCCGCTCCGATCGCGCCACCTGGTTAATCATGTTAGTCTTTGTTATGTCTTTTCAAAGTTTGAATAACGCTCAGAGCCATCCATCATCGCGGGCACCGTACCGATAGCAATCATCTGCATGTGTCGACTCTTCAGGTCCTGGTGGAGGGCCTCCCCCTTGTGGACGACACCAACCTCCTCATCAGCAGAGCCCGAGGCAGCATAGAGCTGAGGGTCAACGCCCTTTTGATCATGCTTCTCTGCGTCCATGTTTAAACCTTCTCTGGGAGCGGCCGCAGTTGTTGTCGCAGCAAGGGGACACGGTTGGGGGAACAGGAGAGACGAAACAGCGCAAAGGAATGGAGGGGAGGGGACTGCAACGATATATATATATATAAGTCGAACAGCCACTAGACGAGCGCAGATTTCACCATCGCTCATCTTATCGGGCTTGGAAACGACAGGGTCCTTTTAAAGACGCATCCCATTCTACGACGCTGCAGCAGGCAGGAGCTACCGGTACGGAGCTACCGCAATGAATTGCACACGACAGACCCAGGTAGTACAGGGTAGAGGAGGGTACCTAATCGCCATGGTGTCAGGTACATGGTTCGATGATGATACGCTGGGTCGACCAACAACCAAGACCCCGGATTATGACACACACTACTGATAAGTCGTCGACGGCTGGAACCAGGCTGGAACCAGGCTGATAGGCTAATGAGTTGCGGGTCGTAGACAGAGAGTGATGCTCGCATCATAGTCGACCGTGAAACGTCTAACACTACTGTCATGAGTTCGGTGACATGCGAGGAAAACCACAGTGTCTTCCAAGTCCACAGCCGCGCAAGCTGTGTGCATTCGTGCTTGCTGAATTTTCATCTCGTCTCATCAATACAGAGCTGCTGCTGGCAGGCTTCCCTGGGACGGGGAGAAGAGGTCTGGACCATGGTCATGGATTTGCGATTCTTGCAGAGCTCGGTATTGGACAAAGGTTGAAAGTAGACCCTTGTCAGCCGCCATCAACGAGCTCTGCAAGTGGCCTCGGCCATATTGTGCCCCGTAATATTCCCAACGTGGACTAGCGCACTGATAAGCCAAACACTAATGTAGAAGTTATGTCCGTCTGGTACTCCAGTGCCTGGTCCAACCTGCCTGAGGCATCTTTTCATACCATTCTTACTATTGCAAAGTCAAAAGTAATTAGACCATGGTCACTTTCGAGGCATTGCTGGAAATACACAACACAGCGTATCATCTACCCGCCTTATTGCTAAGCGTCGTGTGTCAAGTATCGATAATGTCGACAAGCTGAGCTTTCTCTTGTTGGCTGACAGAAGCATAACAGAGGTCGATACTATCACTCCGGCATATAGCTCTCGCTAGCCTCAAGCCTCGGTCGTGTGCCCATCAAGATCGACAAACCAACGCTGTCCCGTCTCATTGACGGATTCGTCCTGGTCTTTCACCGGGATCCCAGCAGAGACTTGGCGTTGAGGATGATCGATTTTCTACTAAGTACTGCGTATTTCCTCATTTAAATCACTGCACCGAGCTTGAGACTGACTCGCTAATTACCACGTTACGCACGTTAGCAGGTACCAAGCGTCTGGGCAAGGCGGACTGGGTTTTCCTCTGAGCAGGTATGAACTGGTCAGGCAACAAACGTCCACCGAAGGCATTACTGGGCGCATTTCATCAAGTACACCTGCTAAAGCGGGCACCTGCGCTCCATCCTCCAACCGACCTTCCCCAGCCAAATCCTCGCTGGGTTTCACGCATTACGCCCCGCAATACTTCATGTCCTGGCCAATGAGAGTGGGAGACCATACGACATATAAGCCACGGTGATATACATTGTGCTGCAGCGACATTGGTACAAGTCAAAGTTGTCCGCCACTATCTTTGTGCGACCTCGTCCAACCCTCCATTCTCTCCACCGCGGCCCAATAGAAAGGCGCTGTGGCTTTTCCCAGAATCCTTCCATCAAGATTCTAGCGCTTCTAGAAGATGCAAGTAAGATGTCGACCAATTTGGCGGCAATTCTGAGTATCTCCAATCGGAGGTGTAGACTGTCGGGGACTACTTGCACGAAATCAATGATATAAGCCATGAACAGACAAGCCCCCAGCCACTTGGCCAATCATGAGTTAGCCCCGAGAAGCCGGGCTATATCACAGCTGGGATTCATTTTAGCGACCGGGGGCGAACATAGATTCGACGGCCATGTATAGGACCCTGTTGTGTCTCTTAGAGGTCAATGGGTAGCGTCCTAACATTTGCAGGTGCAAGCTGGGCGGCCTTGCCCAGCACCCTAGCGCTTCGGTTGCAGTATTGGCTCACTCACCTGCACGCAAGCCGGAACTTGAGATCTTACCGATTAGTTCAACTGAAGCTTATCTGGATTCGCGAAGCGCCAACCTTCTAGCCATTCTTGGCCGAATCTGCTTGCACAAGACTAACCTTGACTGCAGCGTAATCAATTCCAGTCTTGTGTACGGCCGTTGTCTTCGGTGGACGTGGAAATACAGCGGAGAGCCTTAGAACGAACAACGTTCCTGATGTTGCATAGCCCGTCTGGGCCTCGGTCAGCAGTCAGCTCCTACTACCTGCGTGCGAATCCTGGCATTCTCGGGCGGCATGTCGGTTTCGCGTGGATGTCGAAACTCACCTCTATCTTCATATCGCCGTCCGATTGCTTGCCGCTCTGCCTTGCTCGGTGTCGCCGAAGGTATGGGAACGAACGGGAGTGGTGCGATACGTACGAATACGGCCTGCAGGCGATTCCCAGCTGGAGAATTCGCTCCTTCATTGAGACGCACCACCAGCGCCGCTCCGCCCTTGCACCCCCTCAAATCCTGAATAGGTATCTAGCACTCTCATCGGTTAGTTCGCCAAACGCAAACGTTTCCCGCCACCTGGGACGGCGCTAGCTCAGTCTTTCTCTTGCACGGTATCGCGATTGCTTCTTATATCTTTTGTGTGAGCTCTTTTCTTGCTCTTCAAGCACCGAAGTCATTAGCTTGTCTCGGTCAGGCGAGACTCAGCTAGGGTTGCGCAGGGCTCTCTGGATGCCTTGTATCACGTATGCAACATTGGAAGGTCATGCCTCGCAGTTCGTCTAACCCGTAAGAGTTTTGCGAAGTCGGTATCCCATTGTGGAAAAGAGTTCCGTACCTCATTTTACCTTACCAGCTTGATGCTGGGCAGTTATAGGATCAGCCTCGAGTCAGCTCCCCTGCGGGGCTAACGTGCGCCCTATCACATTGGATTGTGCTGATGAGGTGGTGTTAGCTATGTTTGGTGGTCGGACCGTAAAACGGCCCTAATTGGGCCATACCAATGGCAATGTAGATCTGGCAGGATTCTACTATATTGTACGTTTCGGAGGCATTAGAGAGAAGTTCTTCAGGCGGATTTCAACGGTGTACACTGTCTATGACCAAATCCCTCCCAAATCGGTAAACTCATAATACGGCAAAATTCATTCCAACACCTTCAGGACGAGCATGCACTTCCACAAGCCCCTTCTCAAACATCCTCAACCAGACGGCATCCGCATTCACCACTTCGAGCACCTCTCTTGCTTCGGGCATGGACGCGAGACTGTCCGCTAAGAGATCCAGTATCTGTTCGAAAACATCATCTTCGACGCGGACGAACGAAACCAGGGCCACGAGCAGCTTCTGCACCGCTTCCCATATTTGAGCGGCTTGAGTGAATTTCCCAAGACCTGAATACGTGACCGCGTCGCTTGTTTGACTTGTGCCCTTCACATTCATCGCGTTCATTGAGCGGATGGGTATAACCAAGCCCGAAGCGACTCCCGCGCCCTTGTTGCCCGTTTTGTTTTGACCTCTCCCAGCCCCGGGCCCCTGTTTGACATTGGACTTCGCTCTTATGCACCACTTCCCCAGACCATCGAACCATTCGGTCTTGAACCGGGTGCTGAGGAAGTCGCCGGCACTCGCGCACAAGGCGGATAGGGCCTTACAGGCTGAAACCACGACAAACGGTTCCGGGTCATACAATCGAGAGATCAAAACTGGCCATAAAGAATTGACCAATGGAAGGAAGGTGACTTCATCGGACGACAGAGTCGGGCAGACGTTCGTTAGTAGATCTAAGAGTGATTTCCGTAACGTAGGGGTCGGGGAGGTCAAGTAGTGCTGAGTCAGGTTCGTGATTCGTAACAGCAGGGCATAAGTAGGGGTTTTTGGCACGGGGTTTTCCTCAACGGCCTGCCCTGGCTCATCTGTCTCTTCCTTCTCGTCATTTTCTTCTTGGAAATGCGAAGTCTTGCTAGTCGTCCACGGTGTTTTTGGATGGCTCGAGGCTGTCTGTTCGTGCTTCTCTTCCAACCGTTTCCGTTTCCTCTCTGAGCGCTGGTCCAAGATTTCGCCAATGTCCTGAATTGTAGCCAACGGTGGGACCTGCTTGCGGTGATCTGATCTAGCCCGAGAATCATCTCCCAGTAGCATCTGGTCGGATACAGAACCTTGATGCACTATTTCTACAAGTACGCTGAAAAGATTCTCCACGAATAGCGGATAGCCGTGATAGTTGTCAAGCGCCGCGAATATAGATGCTACGACATCATCGAGGAAAGGAATGAGCTTTGGGCCAGTAAGCTTAACCATCATACGCAAAACTTGAGTCGAAGCCGGAGAAATGTCGAATGTATCGAGTCGTAGGGAGATGGAGTTCACCATATAGTCGACGTTGTCGATGATCAAGTCGGCCACGTTGGAGTACCCAGAAGAAGCGGCTATGCTGTTAAGGCTGACGATAGAATGCTCACGTAGTTGGGGAACCGTAGAGCCTAAGAAGGTCGCAATGGGGTACAAGACATCAATCAACTCCGGGCGGAAGTCAGCTCCCATCCTTGATGCCACGAAAGTGGTCACTTCCAATGCCAACGCTTTCATTCTCCAGTCCAGTCCTTCTTCATTGCCGGCTGAGTCTAAGACCGCAACTGAGAAGGTGTATAATTCCTGCAAGGCGTGTTCGGGTTCGTCCGTCAACAACGCGATCGAGCTCAGGTCCAGGAAATCGTCAAGGTCCGAGGATTGCGCCAAGCCAGACTTCACGAGCTCAAATGCGAGCCAATACGATGCGATCTGGTTGTTGCCGGTAGACCCGCGTACATAGTCCAGCATATCCGCCGCCAGCCTTGTTTGATGGAGAAGGGAGCCGCTTTTGGCGATGAGGCCTACGAGTTCCAGTCGTGTAGAGGTCTGGGTTACCTCAGACATCAAGACTGGCTGGAAGGTATGAGTGGCTCCTGCACTCACCAAACCTCCGCTGTTCAGCTCAACTCCGCTGGAGGTCATCTCTGCCAGATAACTTGATGATCTGGTTGACGCAATGAGGGCGGTAACGCTGTCCCTCAGAGATGCAGCCAGAGAGTCACTTAAGGTTGTTGAGTCTATTCGGAGCGTGCTCATGAAACGCTGTCCTTTCCGTAGATTATGAATTGCCTGTCGCTTAACCTCATCATCGCTTGATTGCATGACCCGTGGTAGAGCGGTTACCCAACTGTACACTGTCATCTTGATAGTATCAGTGAGCTCCGGAAATATGCTGGCCAAGTCTGACAAGCTTGTATTCAAACTCGAGCTCAGCAACGATTGGTTGTCGCTTTCCGAAGAAAGGATCATGGCGGATTCGACAATAATAGGCGTGCAGGTCGCTAGTGACTTGTGGCACTCATCCAGTAATACGAGGCAAAGTCTTTCCAGCGCAACTTGGACGTCTTCAGAGCCGTGGCTGCGCAGTTTGAACACATTGGCAAGGGCAAGCTTGACTTGGTCAGCCGTTGCCCTTAGCCACGAGGCCGTCAAGACTTGACCCTCTGTTTTTGTTTCACTACTGCCATCGCTCTGCTTCTTCACGATCCCCATCGTCTTCATGTCACCCAATACGCCGACTAGGACAACTTTCAACACCTCAATGCCTTTCACGAGCACCCTCTTGGGCGTTTTCCATGCTGTCGGTGGTGTCAAAAGTCTGCTGAGGGATGATACCGTGCCGGGCAAAAACGTCGCTGCGGCAACAGGGTCCTTAATCGCGTTTAACAGAGCCTCCAGAGACAGCAGGGCCTCAAGCTGGATGTCTGGGGTCACGCCATCGGTGGTCGCACCCAGCACAACTGTTACCGTATGCCCGAGTGCCGGTATCGAATCAGCTTCCACAAGAGATGCTGCACCAGAGGCTGATGATCCCGTAGCTCTGACCAGGGAGGTGAGTGCTCTGAAGGCTTCCAACTTCAATTCCTCAGGCACGGTCTCGCTTCTCTTCTTGCCAGGTACACCATCGAGGATGAAGGTGATCAAAATAAGTAGTTGCTGTGAAAGCTCCTTAGGTATTTTGCTCCTCCATCCATCTTGAATCAAGATCCTTAGGCATTTCACCGTGAGCTCCGTCATCCTGGTGGAATGCTCGTGCTGGCTTCGCAATATGTTGGAGAGCGGAAAGAAGACATAGTCGGCCAGTTTCTCATCCAGCACGGATGCATCTCGGTTAACCTGAGATTCCAGCAGGTTCGAAAGCTCTTCGGTCACTGTGATCAAGTCGTTGGAACGAGCTTTCTTATCCGAGGACCGTATCGCGAGGTTGTTGATGGCAACACATCGCGGTTTAAGCTGCTTGGAAGTTAATGGCTTCGTTCATCATGTGCACTGTGTGCGCGGACACACCTCTTTGAAAAACGTGTTCCGCGCCGACGATGGATTAGAGGCCATGTCGACGTAATCTCATCTTGGCATAGACCGGACTATCCAGAATATATTCAATGCGGCTCAGCGCCGTGTCAGGTCGACATAAATTGGGCGTTGTTGACCTGATGGCTGCTCAGATGCCCCAAGAAATGTGGAAGGTGCCAGTCAGATGAAAACGCGATACAGTGAACATGCGGCTCTGATACTGTCCACAGGCTGCCGTGACGTCTATCTAGCGGGCCGTCTAAAATAGCCATTCCATTGGCTAGAATCTTAAATGCGCTAGTCAAATTTGATTCGCCCCATAGTGATACGTGAATAAGAGCAAGAGCAGCTTGAAACAGCACTGATGTCCGTTATGAAGCCACCAATACTGAATTGTCAGGTATTCAGTCAAGAGATATAATCCTCAATAGTTAAAAGACGAACAGGGATTCAAGAACCGGCTTCTCTACAACGCGCCCCGAGGAAACATCCCTTGTGTCCAAGTTATAACGTCGCTCCACTAAAAGTGGGGATTCTCATTCTGAAGTCATCTACTTACTAAAGCTGATCGGCGGGTGGAGTATCTACGAGCTAAACACTACCCAAGTGTCATATCACGACAACATTCGTCGTAGTTGATTCGCTATATTGCCGCGCTGCAAGTAGTGACGAATTTGTTACTAGAAGGTCTCTTGCGACTGCCCTCAATCAGAACAATGTCGTCCGACCGGCCCTTTCCCACCATTGTGCATCCTTTCTCTTCATTTCCTTCACCCACATCCCACGCTTGCGCCTACGAGGTTGGGTTACCATCCGCTCATAATGCCCTTGTATTCATCGGCGGATTGGGTGACGGGCCGCACACAGTTCCGTACCCACGCGCTATCGCGAAGGGATTAGAGCAGCACGCCGACCTGGACTATTCTGTGTTCGAGTTCAGAATGACTAGTTCCTTCAACGGGTTTGGGTTCTCGCGACTAGCCAACGACGTGGCCGACATATCGGCCTTGGTCAAATACTTGCGCGGCATTGGAAAGAAGCGGATCGTCTTGATGGGTCATTCAACAGGTACTCAGGATTGCATGGAATACGCCTCGCCTTCGTATGCCAATGCCTCTGTGAACGGATTCATCCTCCAGGCACCGGTATCGGATCGAGGCGCCATCAAGATGATCTGGACCGAAGAAGAGCTAGAGAAGAGCTTGGAACTCGCAAAGAGCATGGTGGCGGCCGGGAAGGGCCATGAGCGGATGCCCCGGGAGCAGCTTCCGAGCGCGTACTATGACACTCCAATGTCGGCGTTTCGCTACTATGCTTTATGTGCGGTCGAGTAAGTCCGTGCCTTATCATGTCCTCGAACAGGTTGTCACTGATTATGGAACTACAGCGGCGAGGACAATTATTTTGACCCTGACCTCCCCGACAATGTAATCGAGCCCTACTGGAAGCGGTTTGACAAGCCGTTGCTTATTCTGCAGTCGGGCGAGGATGAGTACGTGCCTGCTTCGGTGGACAAAGCTGCTCTGGTGCAGCACTGGAAGTCACTTTGCAAACCTGGTATTGCCAGCGACCTATCCGGTCCAATTCCGGGAGCGAACCATAGAGTCGAAGAGCCAGAGTCGGAAGCATGGTTAACGGACACAGTGATTAAGTTCCTGAAGAGCATCCAATAAGCATACCATTACGGGGATGCGGCTGTGTGGTGGATTCGTTCTGTCTGCGTTTCACAGCGAAGGCCTCCATTTAACGGAACTATTCAGAAAGCCAAGAAACTGTACGTGACTTAAAATGCTACCTCAAATATCGAGAACGGGATTGCAACCTGCCACACCCACCGTCAAATTTCGTCGATCAGCTTGGGCAGATGATGGCCAGCAAGGAATATCGCCTCGGACCTTCTGCCTAATTGTGATTTCCGTGCCAAACAACGCATCTTCATTGTTTTGTGGCGCAATGAAAGTACCATTAGGTACTGATTCTTAAGATTTGGTCTTGTTTGCTTACGAAGGTCGCCGGAATTCGAGGTCGCCGATCAAGAGCCTATCTCATTTTCTCGGCGACAAATTTGGCATCGCCGACTTTACGAACACCGGCGCCCATGTCCATTTAACCAGCTTCAAATGATGACTCTTCCTTTAATCATTTTTAAGAATTTGTCATGAAACGAAAACCACCATATCATTGCATCGTCATCTCAACGTCTCCCAAACATGTGTTACAATGCCACTTGTCCGACTTGCTGTGAGTAATATCGTTCCGGCCTATCCCCTCGTATTGGTCGGTTTTGCTCACAAGTTGAATATCAAGCGAAGCAGTCGTGGCGCGGTTGTGGCAGCCACATCCCGTCTGCGCTCTCGGATTATACTGAGGATCAATGGTGTATCTGCAAGCCGCAGACTATGGTCAATGGCAAGGCATATCCTCCGGCGGCAAAGTTACAAATTTGGGGTATGTCTTGGTTAAGCAACTATTTAAGTCATGGTTCTAGGCAGCAGGACGGAATAAAGGGCGAATTGTGAAGGTCGGGCTGGAATGGGCCTGCCATACGGCGCTATCCCGGTCCAACAAAACTACAGCTATATCGTGTTCACTTCTGTAACAATAAGTGAGGTGTGAGTAGAGGCCAGGCACAATCGTCAATTCCTAACGCCAGTATCAATTAGGTACAAAGAAGGAAACTTGCCCGTCCAAGAGTCCTTGGTGCTTCGAGCACTATTTGAGTGTCCTAGAAGGTTTTGTTGAAACGCCATCAGATCGTCATGATCTCGCCCGTGTGACGGGCTCACTGCGAAACTATACAGCTCAACATGGCCAAATACTGTTAATTATCTAACTGAGGAGGAAAGTAAAATAAGCGAGTTTTCCGAGAACACAAACTATGTTTTTATATGCCCTCGATGGTTCCTTTGTTGGATCCGGACGCAAGGTTCTTGCAGCTCCGGATCCCATTTCAGGCACAGCCTGTCACAGCCCGCTTCTCCAGGCGGGCCCGATCGCGACCTTCTAGCCCATTCGAATTCTAGCTTGTGACAACTTCACCTTGATACTTATTTACAATTGGAAACTGCACACAAGTGCCGTTCGGTTTCTTCATCATCATCAGACATTCCCAAAGTCCCGTTCGTGAAAGTAGGAGAAGAAATTAACTACAGGTACTCCAAAACACCCGTTTTACATATAAGCTTAACAATCTCTATTAGTAATTATATAACAAGGTTACATAATACAATAGGTTGGAAATTTATATATAGAACTTTGATAACATAGTACTTTTACTTATCTATACTTATGTAACGAAACCTCTAATAGTCTAGCTGCGTAAACCACTAAAGAGTCTGTAAGGGTTTGTGCTAGTAAGTAAGTCCTGCTGCGGAGTCCTTTAGCAATAATATCGGGGTCCGACGTATTGTTAGGCAACCTTGGTGGGCTTTGCTAAGACCACCAAGGTTACCACGTGACTTAGCCCTTTGGGACTAAGTCCAACCTTCGTGCTCCATAGGACTAGATAGAATGTCATGCTTTTACAACCTCACAAATATTTGACCACCTTTGCGTGTAACACGTATGGAGTATAGGGCTCTGGGTAACTGAAGTATTCAAGTAGGGTAACTGGGAATAGAGTCGTTGTCAGAGAACAGAATGCCATAGGCACCGGTGGGACGCCGGTGGGGCTCTGGTGTAGGGACGTGCGAGTCATGACACGATATGGAAGTCTTGGTTTGCGGAACAATCGGAGAAGCTAGTGCTCCGCGGCTCCGACGCCGGGTTCTAGCTACCTATGTAAGGGGCGGAGGCCCGGGAAGAAGATAGAGAGAGTAGAGATCAATGCATCATCGTGGGCACCCCTACCTGAGACCGCCAGTGACCACCCGGTGCTACGTAGGAGGGACGCCCGTTACTCCCCATCACTCTGTACTATTGCCTTCGGCCTAGCCGTACCCTGACAGTCGTCAAGGCAGTTTGCCTCACCAATGGGTTAGATTGATGCTTAGATTGATCACTGAAGTAGAGACTGTCTATCTATGAAATGCCTGGGAGTCCTGTCCCTTATATATCCATTCCCTCCTTCACTGATAACTGGGGCCATTAGATCCTTCATGGATACTATTGGTCCTAACTGGATATGTTGGATCATTTCATATCCAAATGATCCACCCTTGTAAGTCACGTGACTTGTGATCCTTTCACTAGCTGGCTCCTCCTGCAGCTAGCCACTCCTGTGTGACTTTCCCCTCCTTCTTTGTCCTGTATCCACTGGGCCTGCCATCGGGCCTGTTGCATTGGTTAGAATCGTAGATTCGTAACAACTTATATTTGCATAGATTTATCAGACCTAGAAAGCTTGGCTCTCTACTCCGTTTTAAATCTAGCATTAACTCTTCTATTTTATAGGCATACTTACGCAGTAGTTTCGTTATACGTGCTTACGACGGGAACGGGGAAAAGGCCTATAGTAGCTGTAGTTATAACAGTGTTTTATAGAATCTAATTAGTGGGATCTACCTAACTAAAAGGTCTCTTTCTATTTTAGTATTAACTAGACTTGTAATTTTTAAAGTACATTATCATGTACCTTATTATATATTGCATTAGCTAGTATAGTTGTCAGAGAACAGAATGCCATAGGCACCGGTGGGTGTCAGGACACTGAACGCAAGACACCGATGGGCCGCCGGAGGGGTGTTTCGGACAAAAGACTCCCGAGTCATGATTACAAAAAAAAATATTAAATACGCCGTAGGTGTTAACCCTCGGTACCTCTACAAGTACTCCCTTAAGGGGCTATAGATGATATAGCGGGCCCTTAAGCCGCGTCGGGCGGTTATACAGGTAAACTTGTAGCCAAACGACTACTAAACCTCCTGTCCCTCCCTAAGTCTGTGCTACAACCCCTGCCTGAACTACCGATAAGCGTGGTAATGTGGCACTTAAATTCGTCCTCAGGGGTGGGATGCTGCTGATGTGCAGAAGATGCTCGACTATTTTTTGTCGCGACAAGTCGTAGTATCTGCTAATTGGGGTTCTCGTCGAGCGTATACATCTCAACCATACGCTCAAGTGGATAGACCGTAACGTGGTCTAGACGCTCGCAAGAATCGCGGCGAGGGGGCGTGCTGCGCGCCTTCTATCGTGAGGGGACGGGTTCGCCGACGAGCGTTATCGGATAGGCGAGGTCCGATAAGGGGCCGGATTAACGATTCGAATTCTGGACCGGCTGTCGAGTTATATTCCGCCGACGTAGTGCTTGACGGTCGACTGGCTAGGATGCTCGTAATCCTAAACTGCACCAATCTCCCTATTATCGCTAGGTAGGCGAAGTCAACAAGGTGGGCAGCGTGCCGTAAGGGTTGACTAAACCCCCTTGTGTGTCAGCTGCGGGATTCGAACCCGCGACTCGTCACCGACCCAAGTGGGCGAGGCTCAAATCGGGACTTATCTACCAGCGAAGTGACCAACTACACCAGCCGACTCATGATTACAATCTATGTGAAGCTTTGGGATGACGAGAGTCAAGATCCTTGGCATCGCCGACCCTGCTGTTATGCCGGGTCCAAGCGGCGGCCTAGCTATCTATATAAGGACCATCTCGAAGTAGGATAGGGAAGGAGCAGAGATCAATGCATCACCGTGGGCACCCCTACCTGAGACCGCTAGTGACTACTTGGTATTACGTAGGAGGGATGCCCGTTACTCCCCATCACTCTGTACTATTGCCTTCGGCCTAGCCGTACCCTGACAATAGTCAAGAAGCTACTTAAAAACTCTTGTGTAAAATATAATCTCAAAGCTAAGTACTATAAAAAACAGATAGGCTAAAGTACTATTTTGTTATTTATCTAACTAGATTATAATTTTCAAAATAAGTTGTTTACAGTGTTATAGTTTAATTCGGTACGAAAATAGAGCGTTTGTATGTAAAACTGGTCTTTTTTGGTCCCTTCGCGCTTCATTGGTAGCCCCGCTGTATCTGAGGAGTGACATCGCCTGTGATCGCCCCTCACTGATTATGCATACTTTGAAGTAACCTAAACTTGGAGCCCCACGTTCCATCCGCGATAAGCTCAGATAATTACCATATGTAATACCGCGTTGTTGAACGGCGGGCGATCAACAATTTACGGGGCCTCGACAGTTGTGGGTGACAGCACTTAGAACAGCGGTATTCGAACGCTGAGGCAAGCTAAACCTCGACTCGTCCGCCCATCATTGCCTCACAGGGTGCAACTTGACTGCCAGCTCGTCAAGATGGCTTTATTGAATCCGTCCTTACTCCGTCTGCTGATCTGCTTGATCCCAATATTCTACGTCTGGAAGTGTCTCTCTTCCCCGCTCCGAAAGTGCCCGGGTCCGTGGTCGTCACTCTTCACATCATGGATTTTGAAATGGCACGAGTTCCATGCCAATCGAACCCGATACGTTCATCATCTACACGTGTTGTACGGCCCTGTAGTTCGGATTGCACCCAATGAAGTCTCGTTTGCATCCTTGGAGGGGATCAAGGAGATATACTGCTCGGGAGGCAGTGGTTATGACAAGACAGAGTTCTATAACCTGTTTCAGGTTTATGGCAGACGAACGATGTTTAGTACGCTGAATAAAGCTGATGTGAGTGATACAGTCCAGCCCTTCTACCCCTTGTATCCTTGACGCACTGAGATATACTACTAGCATGCGAAGAGAAAGAGGATTCTTGCCGATCGATACGCAAATACCAACATCATGCGCCCGGTCGTGTTAGATGGAATCAAAGAGCGTTCCCTGCGATTTATAGGCAGATGCTCTGAGTCTGTGGGTGGGACCGTGGACCTCTTTGTAAGGTTTGAGAATCCGAATGACCAGCAGTAAGAAGCTAATCTTTTCTACTAGATCTGTAAGCAACTAAAGATGTGAATGGATAAGACACCTGATGCTGATGAAGTCCCTTTAGGTCTTCATGACTATGCGTTTGACTGCATCACTCACCATCTATTTCATCCGTATGGCTCGGATTCTCTTCTCAAACAAGGTGATGAGGAGATCATGAAGGAAGTTACCTTTGACGAAAGCCTTAAGAGTCAGTTCTGCAAAGCTACAATACTCACTAGTAGTAACTTACAAAGACAGACCGTCTGCTACAATACTACCATCCGGAGCTACACAAATTGATAGGTAACATCTTGCACTACTTTGCCAAACCAAGACAAACTCCTTTGGCGGACAATCTTGTATTGGGAGCAAGTTCGCGGACCGAGCCGGCGCAATTTACGTTGTTGAGTCGCATGCAAGAAAAGAACTACAATTTGGAACAGCTCGACATGGCTGCTGAATGTCTTGACCACATGGCAGCTGGGATTGACACAACGGGAGGTGAGTAAAACCAAGGCTCTCAATCTTCCGTGAGGAGGTACGCTCAAATCGAATATCTACTAAATGGGGACTGCGACAGACGCATTGTGCTTTCTCATGTGGGAGATATCCCAACCCAACATGATTCATGTCCAGCAACGACTTCAGGAAGAGCTCCGGGACAATCCAGATGTCGAGTTTGACCGGCTCCCATATCTGGACGCCGTAGTTTTGGAGGGGCTGCGATGCTTTCCCGCAATCCCCATGTCTTTACCAAGATACGTTCCCAACGGCGGACGTACCATAGATGGATTTTTCGTTCCCGGAGGAACCATCGTCAGCTGTCAGGCATATTCGACTCAACGGATCGATCAAAATGTTTTCCCGAATCCCGATACGTTCAATCCTGACAGATGGCTCGAGGAAAGAGGCGATCTGGACAGAAAGCGGTTGTTCTTCGCCTTTGCTAGTGGGGGAAGGGGATGTGTGGGGAAACAGTGAGTGATGAGCTCCATACTCCCTTCTGATCATAACTGACAGGATCTTATAGCTTGGCACTGGCCGAGATGAAGACACTACTAAGGGACGTCTACACTCGATTCAAGACGGTGCCGGATGAGACAATGAAGCCGGAGATGATGCAAATGTCGGATCAGTTGATATCTTCCCAACCGCGCGAGCAGAAGTGTTTGATGAGACTCGTGCCACTTCAGAACTGAAAGAGGCAGTGTGAGGCAAAGTCATTCATGGCATGAGATGTTACTTGAAAAGGGTGACTAGACCGTACCGTACCGCCTGGGCACTATAGACGACGGCAGGGGGGTGTTTATCATAAATCGACTTCTGGTTAGGTTTGGATAAAGGTCAAGAAAGGAGAAAGGAGCTATAAACATCTTCGCTTACATCTTTTCTGATAAAACCGATATAATCCTCGATTTTCATGGCTAGGGATGACGTTAGTCAAGTACGTTTGACCATCGGTAGCTGTGGCCCACGTCCATGAAATCACTGCTAGTCTTCACTGCCGTTGACTAGGAAGACCTGCCACTCAAAATAAGATCCAATGTAAGTGGGGGTTTCAATCGATGTATAGTCTGTGACGGCGGAGGGGAGATATGGAAACCAAGTATTTTGTCATGTTTCCGTCTGGTGCGCCGCGTCGACTTCGTCACAAGGAGACCCCGTTTCAAGAACTTCGTCTGCGATAGCAAGTCAAGTCAACGTCGCCGTCATCGGTAGTGATGAAAGGTCATCTTCAAACACTGTCTTCATCTTGAGTTTGGACTCAAAAGTAATTTTGGCTACGAGCAAGGAAAACTGGAAGCTGCACTCACAGATAGCATATGTGATCTGCGTCAAGGTTGAGACTGAGGAAGAAAGTAACCTGTGCACGAATCACCGGAATCTTTACGGTGATACCTGAATCACGTTCCGTCGATATGGAGTCTGACGGTGGACGGTATTATAGGAGTAAGTCACTGTGTGCAGTCACACATATGTCTCCGTGATTTACTCTGGATGTCTAACATTGGACCAGCCCAACGTAGAAGCATTCAGTCCTGAGATCCTATCTGCTCGTCCAGGGGAAAGGGTTCCCCCAAAACTCATAAGCTCCCGGAGCAAAAGCATACTACACGACGTCCCGGTGGCTGGAACCTGTCGGGGAACAGCTCGTGTAGATATTAGTCCATAAACCAGGCCGCCCAACGCTTTTCTCTGCCCGATCTGATACGACAAGACCACTCAGGATGCACGTTTATGTTGGCTACAAGGATTAGCATATACTCTGCAAAGAAGCAACTGATATGGTTGTGAAAAATGGCCATCATCAGCCCATGGGTTCCTTTCCCTTCAGTTACATGTCAGGGACGTGAATGAACCGAACCAGAGTGTTGTCAAGTTGGGTGTTACGTGTATGTCGCTTGCAGCAATTACAAAAACCCCTGGTTTACGGTCGCCCATAGATCATGGTATGGACACTCATTCTTCACAACTGAGGCAGCAGGGACAACATCAACATGGTAACTTGTAGATCCCGAGAGGGTCAGTGCATTGTCCCTATTTGTGCGTCCTACTTGCCACACCAATAAGTCTTTTTTTTTCAGCGTGTGATATATAAGAAAATCCAGTCATGATGGCATTGAACTGGCGGTTTTCATGCCTCCAAAATGCCAGACTCGGACTCCCATAACGGCAACATGGCTGGCTATGCAGATATTGCGAGTGCCAATGATGACGGCAGCAATCAAATCCAGGCAAACATCCCGGCTGCATGTTCTAGAAGCCGGATCGAATCAACGAGATCCTGCAGTGATTGTCACAACCGGACACCTGGACCTGGTACCCAACAGTTGACATGCACGCTGCCTCGCCGCAGTCTCGAAGAACACGTGTAACCGCCAAAGCCATTGTCCCACGCAGGTGATAGATCAATCATGTGTGACAGAGCCATTACCTAACGTGTGCTCTGTGTCCCTCCCACATCGGGACGGGCCTCGATAAGCCGCGTCTTCGGCAGACCCGACCCGACCGCTGCACCCGTGCTTGAGTCATTTCACGCGATATTACCAGCAACATGACATTGGCACTTGTTTGCCAAGGGGTGATAATACACTACAAACAGAGAGCAATATCGTCTGACGTGTCCGAACCAGCCCAGCCGAGAACACTCCGCCCGTGAGATACTCCGACAGACACGTGGAGTAGATCTGTCACAAATGGATCTTCTCGTATTAAGCAAGAGTGATGGGCCGTCATGATAGGAAGCTGGGCACAAGCTTAACAGCTTCGCAGCCCACCTCGATGTTTGCAACCCTTCCCTTGCTTCGGCATCGAGGACCCAAAGAGGGTCGAAATCTCCCATCTCTCAGCGTGCAGCGGCTACCGCTTCTCGATCTGTCAAGGGCAGCATCTGCCAAGACTGTGTCAGAACGTCAGAAGCACGCGTTCGCATGCAGGGGAGGCAGGGGTGGTAGGGATGTGGTCTGAATGGAGAACAAGGTTCTTCACTCTCAAGCCAAGTGCGGGCATGATGTGCACATGGGATTTGCGGATGGGGCTGTAAGAATGGCCAAGAATGCAGTAGTCCAGGGATGGGATTTTACGACGGAGGTTGAGGATGATGATGACGATCATCATCACCATCGTGATCTAGGTAGGTTAGGTTATATACTTACCTAGTTGTGTAATGATGGAAATGCGGACGAGCGCTGTATATGGTGGTTTTCCATGAAACCCCAACGTTGAACCGGTTTGGAAGGGGTTGAAACGCTGCTAAGTACAGAAATGGCGAATTGGCTGGCACATAGTGATGGTGATGAGATAATAGTAACACGCGTCGTCTCACAGCGCCGCGTCGCGGGCCGGGCATCAGCTCTCCCACCGCTACCTCCTGCCGCACTGAACCCCATGATCCTGATGACCAGGTTGCCGGAATTGCAGACTTGCGCCGGATTGGCCGACATGGAATAGATGCTGTGCGATGCAAAGGAAGCGGATCGTGGCCGCGGGGGTAGCATCCGTTGCAGGGTAGCCTTGCGCCCCTAGAGGTTGCTGATCAAACCAAGACGACGCCACTACCCTCCAAAAAGTAGCCGGCATGCGCCCGTCCGCCTGTGCAGCACCTTCATTTTCGACAAGGAATGAAAAGAAGTTGACGTGCATAAAGATACAGAGCGACAGCAACGCTGCAATGCATGCACAAGAGAACAACATGGCGCGGGCAACGTACCGGAGCTGGATACCGCTCGACAGACTGCGACTGCTGGGCGATGCTTCCAACTGACTAGGATTAGATAGATAGAGAGATAGATCTACTACACGGCCGGATCCGTCTCTGCCTAAGAATGACATGTCGTCTAACAGTAAGGCAGCTCTTCCGCCGATGAATTCGATTGATTGATTGAGCCAATGCTCTTGTCTCCTGCTCCGGGCACACGGTGGATCTTGAATGACTCTTGGTGGATCAATGGAGGCATGAGGCAACTTACAATTTGAATGACAGGTCTTATTTTTTCCCTCCAGTTTTTCTTGTCTGTGTCTAATCTGCAAGCCCGCCACAATGGATGGAATCCCCTCATCTGATATCGAAATCGTTCTGTATAACGTAGTACCAACGAGCCACCGCCTATCGCATGGCGCGGGACTCATCGCTCTTTATCGGTTTCAATTCTCCGTGGCTTCTTCTCTGTCCTGCTCCAGATATACTGAATTACTTGCCTGCCGGTTGGGGTTTCCTGTTCAGGGGTGGGATCTCTCGAGGCAGTGATACCCTTGGTTGTCAATGCTTGCTGGGAGCTGGGTTATCCTTCGTCCCATCGTCGAAGCGAGGAAAGACTAGTCAGATTGCGTTGTATTGTATTTGCTGCAGAAGACCTAAACTGCGAGACAGCCCACACGACTGGCTGGATGGAGCTGGGCAATTCTTTCTCTTTCCAACTGCACTGCATTGCCGTGCACTGAGCCGAAAGAGGTAGAGGTCATCAAACAGTCCACCACCACTACCGATCGTGTTGGTCTCTTTGAATAAATCCCACAGGGATGCACGTCATCCTGGTTTGCATACAGCGGCCACACGAAGGCAGGCCTATCACACATTCAACCTACACATGCATACAGTTCGTCTACGGTGTAGCCAAGTAGTCACAAGTATCAACCTTGTCCCAAAGTTGCACACTCATTGAATAGATCCTAATGAAGAAATATGACATCTCAGCTGAAATACACTCTCGCTCGCAGCCCCATCGACGAGCATCTCCACTCGCCCCCCTCCCTCTTTCCACCCTTTCCGCTCCCTCCAACATGACATTCTACCCTCCCGGCGGTCGCTTAGCTGTCGCTGGCTTCACTTCCATTCTGCTCACCGAGCCAGCCCGCTCTTCCTCCGCTCCTTCGCCTTTCGATCCACTCCGCTAGCTAGGTACGAGCCGGGAGCGAACATAACAGGGGGATACCGAATACAGATGAAGAATAGTTAAACCAAAAAATCGTGACAACGTGGAAATGACGCGCAAAAGAAACGTAAAACACGAAAACAATAGACTGCCACGGCCAATGATGCTCTCGTCTCATCTCCCTGATCTACTCGGCCGCGTGACGATATCGGCAAAACCCAAAATTGATGATAATGAGACCCGCGAGCAAAATAAAGACAAAGTGCCACACCAATGATCGCTTGACCCTCGTAAACATGTACCGCCGGCTATGCATTTCAAAAACGCTGCCTCTCTTTTTGTGCATTGGTGTCGGTCGTTTTCTGAAGCACGCAGCCACCTTTCCTGGACTGTCTGAAAAGTCGTCATAGAATGCAGACGCCGCTTCCCCATTTCGTTCCCCCTAATCCCGATTTTTGTTGTCGCTTGTGGATGAGTAAATGCGCACACACCTGCCGAACGTGACGAAATAGTGGAAACTTTGCGTAAATGGGCGTAAACCAGGGGGAGAAATCATCGGCTCGTCGTCTGGGAATATAGCCGCCCCCGAGGAACTGACTGTTCTATACCGTCCCCCATTATCTTCCAAATGTTTTGTTGGCGCCTCGTCAGTTCTATAGGGCCCCAGCCGAGAAAAACACCATTGTGACCATGTATCAAAAACACAAGAGCCGTCGCCAGACCGTCGAGATGCGTTTAAATGGGACCGTAGGTCATCTGCCGAATGAAAAAAAATTTACGCTGAATTATTTCCTGCTACTGACGATCGTAGCCCTAACTATGTGAATTGGTAAGGTTTGAATTGAAGGTGATACCCGACGCTATCACGAGGAACATGGGAGTTTACCGCGTGTGCCCCCGTTTGCCGCACAGCGCAACAGGCGTGATCCGAGATCGAACCGTTAGGACTCGCGGGCTCAAAATCAGTTGAGAGGGTTCCGAGGCATGCCCTCCATCTTAATGCCGGATCCCGGAAGACCTCGAACGTCCTGGTGTATGTATTGATATCCCGGCTGATGAGATATCGAACCGTGGCTCACACTTCCAGGCCTGAACATATTTCCCTGATTGGGGTCGTGACCTGACCTTGGCAGCCCATCAAAGCCAGTCCCTATGTATTGCTGGTTTTGCGACATGGGAACGCTGGGCTGCCCAATGAACGGCGGGTGGCTTCCCGACTGTGCTTGCTGCTGTTGTTGTTGTTGTTGTTGTTGCTGCTGCTGTGTCTGTTGCTGTTGTTGCGTGAAGGCATATACGGACGAACTGCCAGGCGCCGTGGTCCCGGATTGCCATCCCGCTCCTGGATACAAGGTAGGCGTTGCAGGGCTGGTGTACTCGGATGGTGTAAACATGGAGGATCTCCTGCTCGAATCATGACTAGGGTAGATGCCGTGGATGGCCAAATTCTCGGTCGGATGCAGAGATGGCTGGGTGGTCATAGTGGGTTCTTCGACGTAATGAGCCTGCTCTGGTGGTAGCTCAGAGCCCATCATCTGTTGCGAGTACTGCGAACCCCTTAGTGGCATCTCCTCCGCAAAATGTCCGCCCGGTACTTGAGCCGGAGGAGGTTGATCCTGATCGTGATGATGCGTCATCATGGTGTGTGGGGTAGTCCCTTTCGCGGGAGAGATGCTCGACGAGATTGACGTGTGTTCCTGATCTTCGGCGTCCTTGGAAGGGCTGAGATCTTCATTGTCTGACGTGTAGTCCTCGATAACCTTGTCGTTGGACATGACGAATACCCTCGTCGTCGCGTCTAAAATTCAAATGGGTCAGTTCAATAGAGTGGACAGGTTCCATGTGGCTATCTTACCGCAGCAATCAGCCTTGTAGCGCTCTTCCTGCTTCGCCACTTTGAATATCTCCTTCAAGAACGGACGCTTCTTGGCATTGCTGGGGTTGTCCTTGTCCGTGAAGAAAGACGACAAGGCTTCATTCGTGATCTCTTCTAGTTTGCCGACGTCGAGGTAAAGCTTTTGGATATCCTTGTGTTGCCGGTGATTTGGCTCTATGACCATTCTGAGAATGTGACCAAGCAGGTGCAGTCGTTCTGCGAGTCGCTATTTAGTAAATAATCCCTGGACGGGGGAGGTGCCTACTACAAATACCTCTTTTGTAAAGATGGTCTGGCTCCTTATGCCTGACCTTCTCGTCTTTGGCGTCACCCCAAGCCCGTGGCCACCAGTCGGGAGCTTTCTCGTCCTTACCCGTGTAGGGATGAGTCGACTGCTTTTTGGGTTCCACCGCCTTGATCCAGGCCTTTGCGATCAGCTTGCAGGCCGTCTGTTGGCAGTCCTTGAACCGCTGCTCATAGAAATCCCAGATTTCTTTGGAATTACCTATCGATATCGCCCTTCTAGAAGATGTCGTGGTTTGTATCGGGACGTCATCATCCCCAGTTTCAGTCTCGCGGCGGAACGCGCTGGCCCTGGGCCGTTTCCTCGCCTTGTGGTGGCCATCGTCATCAAAGCCTTCCATCATGCCATGGCCATAACGCCCCTGACCCCGCCATTTTCCAATGCCGACAGGAAGCTGATTAAAGTCACTGCCAAAGCTGGCGAAGTCCGGCTCGTCATGATGAAGTGGGAGACCTTGGGTCCATGTGTTAGCAGCCACATGGGTTTCAGTGATGAGCCCTCTCACCTGAAGCACCAGGCTGCATGCATCGCTGGTATTGCTCGCTGTTGAAGAACTTGGATATGGTGCCTTCCGGGAGCTTTGTCGAGGTGAAGACACTGGTATGCCCATCGTCACCAATGGCGGCTACAAAGTAGTGCTTCCCGGGGATATTGCAGTGCTCTCGAAGAGCCTTATCTATGGACTAAGGCCGACTTGGTCAGTGAAACATCCAACGTTGCCAAATCAAGACAACTAACAAGTGGTGGCCGCCGAATGGCCATATCTTGAGACTCTTGGTATCGATTATCATCGATTGGGTCCCTCCAGATTTGTTGATCCTGCGGCCACGGGTTGGCACGAGGATAAAACCTATCTTGCACCATGGTTGACAGCACTAAACATAAATGGCGATGCCCGTAACAATGTGTGTGTGAAGTGCGACTGGGTTATCCCTCCCCGGCACAAGTTGCAAGAGAGAGAGAGAGAGATAGAGAGGCCCGGCTAGCCCGCGGCTTGAGCCTCACGTTAAAATTTGCGAGCCTCAAGCGTTTGGTTCCTGACTGAATGTCAGCCGGATCGATGCAAATAAGCTTCCTTGGAACTTTGTGGGCTATACCGGAAACGTAAGTAACTGGGACGGCGAGTGCTGCTTGTCGGTTTTCGGTGTAAGACAGAGCGTGACTAATCGCAACAGGTCAGGATGTTATGAGAGATCAGGAATACGGTCGGCCTCCGAAGTGGGCAGGCGAAGGTGGTGGTGGTGGTGGTGGTGGAAACTCGCGGCAAGCTAGTATATGTCGTGGAAGCTCCGAATGGGTGTTATGAGCCCAATATATGTGCAAGGGTGGCCTTAGATGGACCAAGTGGCAAGATCCAGTACTTGGCTTCGTGTTGATAGTTGGCAGTACCAAATGAGTCTTGCGGGAGCAAAGTCGTATCAGCTGGGTCGAGGTGGAGAATACGGACGGGAATGCAAAACGCACATCGAGGGTCGATGGCAGCCAGGCGAGACCCTCTCTCTTTGTTGACAGACGGGCAGCGGGAGCTTGCTTCAGCCAGAGGTTGGCTAGACGGATAGACCCAGGAGTATAGATTGATATGCGGCTGCCACTAGCGCAGACCAGCCAGCCCCGGGGATGGACGGGGAACAAAGCAGCCAATATCGAGGACGTCAGAAGCGAAGCTGAAGAATGTGTTTGCGCGTCTCTGGCCTGGGCCGAAGGGACTCGCAGTGGGGTCCAGACAGTATGATGAACTAGTCGCAAGGATCGTGCGCGATGGGACGGGTGAGTTCTCTTTCACTTTAACACACAGTTGCGAGACAGCGGGGCCAGTAAGTCCCTCCCCAGCTCTCGTGAGAGTCCTCGTCCCGATCTCGGCACCTGTCTCGGGACCAGTAAAAGGCAGGAAATAAGAGAGAGCCGCGCCCGTATGGTGGAGAGCTGAAAAGCTAATAAAGGAATTTTTGCAGGGCAGGTCATGTAAGAGGCGATGAGACAGACACAGTAAAAATAAATGTATCGGCAGCAACGCGGCCTACGGGTGGTCACAGGCGGGCGTACTGGAGATACAAGCCAACCGAGTGTCGCAATATGCTATGACGCCGCGGGCCTGCCTGTCGCTGTCGCTGTCGCTTGGTTGCAAGAATTTCGAGAGTCGTTTCGAGGAGCAGGTTTGCAGGTAACGCTTGAGCCCTGTCCCACGTGGGTTGATTCCACGTCTGCACAAAGTACGGAGGTACTGGCTGGCTGACTGACCGACTGACTGAACAGATGTTGTAGACAAGAAGACAATCTAATGTCACATGAAGAATGTGGCAAGGATAGCAGAACCACGAGCAGGAACCAGGTGCGCGGACACGTCAAACCCCTCAATCTTGGGCCGACCCGGGCGTTCATTAATACGTTCGAGAAGAAGAAAAAGAAAAGACGCTGAGATAATACGTAGAGGCGGAGAGGTCAGGGTGGAGAAATAGGTACTGTGCTGTGCAGTCGTGGGCTGGTACTTTGGCTACGGACCAGGATTGATTGGAAGGGCCCCGGGGAGCAAATATAAACCCTGGCCCCTCCCCTCTCCACGATAAGCTGTAGACTACTCGAATTCGGCTGTGGGCTGCTACGTGCTGCGCGCTGCGCGCTCGAGTGTAGTAAGGCCGGCGGAAAGAAAGTCAGGCTTGAGGCACTGCTGGTGCCTGTGCTGGTGCTGGTGCTGCCGTCCAGGGGCAGAGCACGAAAAATTGACCACCCAAATTTGCAGCAATCCCCGTCCTGCTATGGATGGCGGCATCGAACTGCACTTCGCCAACACAATGGGCTGGTACCTCAAGGCAGCTCCAGGCGGGAAAGGCGACATAGGTAGCACTGCACCCAATACTTGTACAGGTGGCCCAGTTCTGTCTGTGCCGCCTGAGACCCTTCCATGGCACCCTGTGAGCCAGCTGCCTTCGGAGCATGGTGTCTTCTTCCCACTGTCTTCAGAATACAAGTGCCGCAAGACGCCACTCCCGATGAATCCTGATAATTGATACCATTGAAAGGCCCACCACACTGGCAGTCTTGTTGGCTGCAGATTTCAAGTTCTGGGCGACCTGCGACGCAGCTGCACTGGACACGGCAGAAGAGGAAAGCAAAAGAAATCACAGGCATGTGTCCCCCGGTGGTGAATTGCATGATGTGTGGGTGCCACCCCGGCCATCTGACAGGGGCCTGTTTGGTGAGACTGGAAAGGAACCTGAACCTGGCCTGATACAATAAGTGGGCTCGGGTGTCAGTGGGGAAGGGACACTTGATTCTTGGAGCCTCCATGGTTTTTCTTGAAGTCCACAAACAATCGGAATAGTTTTAGGAGAAGTGATAACTTGCACGTGGGGCCGTAGTTGGTTAAGTACAGTCTATCTAAACTCAAATTGGGGTGTTTCTGTGCACGAATTGGGTATCCTGTAGCCCAGAGCAAGCCTGCCTGTTGGGCTTTATTGACCCGTGGACCTCTCCAGCGGACCAGACGGGCTCTTCTTCACCTGCCCGACCACAATTCCAGACAGACGACGAATGACAAGCCGGTGATGTTTGTCATCATATGTTCTGTTTAGTGCAATATCCCCGTCCGTACCGTACCTGTCTCCACGTTAGTACTGAAAGTAACTACGGCGACTAGACAGGTCTGGCGAAGATCACGCACCTTCGTCAACTATGCAATAGTGATGGCTGTTGGATGAGATATGCTTGGTCTTGCCGCAAACTTCAACATCTCTTGAGTTGGCCGGAACACGGATGAAGTCCATCCAAAGACATGCCAAAGGAGGTTTCTCTTGTCCGTCTTCCCCCCCTCTCCGTAGTCTCCCGAGCTGTAGACTCTTTGCAGAAAGTAGCAGCCGTCTTCTTCAGAAGTCACAGCAGCACAACACCTCACCGATCCAATCTTCTTCCGTTTTGCCACAGCTCCAGTCCCCTCCCCAAAGAAACACTGTCGATGGACAGCGACCCCCAGGCCCCAGTTCCAACCGCAGAATGTCTTACTCCGTACATCCGTGAGGCGTAGGAGCACGAACCCCACCGTTGGTCCCACTCTGTCCGTGACTTTAGAGAACCCTTGTTTGCCGTGGCATACCCAAGATAGGATTAAATAGATCTAGATCAAAGAAACGAGTAGAGCTCTCTTCTGATCGCAGTATGGCTCGTCATATTTTTGGTTACCTCGCCATCTTGCCCGCTATTTGGGCTGGTCAACGTTAAACACAGAGTAAGGATGCATCGCTGTGCAGCGTCTATCCAGATGATGACCAAAAAATTGCAGGGTCTCTGTAGTCTGACAGCAGGCTTCATTATTTACATTCCATGACTCTGACTTACTAGGCTTTACGTGAAAACGGAGAAAACGTCTCAAGAATCAAGGCACAACCAGGCCAGAGTCACAGCTCAACTTGTTACGTGGTTTCAGAAATGGCTGCAGCGTAAGTCAAGCCCGTGGGCTACGCCCGAGGGCCCGCCATTGCAAATTCTAGTTTTATCATACAGGCTGTCAGGCCCAGTTTCGGTACAATGTCCACTAAAAAGTGGTGCTGCGGAACGGTACGACAACCGAAATGTCAACAGGCGTGGCACTGCTCGATATCCGGAGTGTGCTCCGTATCTGCGTCCGGAACTTGGCTAAACTGTATTAGATTAGAAACAAATCAAGTAAAGGAGGAAAACTTGGGAAAACACATGACATTGGAAAAATGTGTCAAGACAATGCAGCACGCAAAGTGAATATTCATAGACCCGTACATGCAGCTGAATGCCGCACAGGGCAACGACGATCTGGGGGATGACGGGTCGTAAGACGAAATCGGTGGGTTTTGTGACTGTCACATTTTCTTGTTTGCCCTCGACCCATCTGCCCATTCATCTTCGTCGAAACTCTCCCACTGGTGATGCATGGAAACGCTGCACGAGGGCGATCGAATCCGGGTAAACTCCCACCTGGACATCGAGAAAATGTGTATGGAAGGGACTGGGGGACGCGCCACCCTCTACCACCCACACTGGCGAGCTGCACCGCCTAGGTGGGGGTCGTGATCAATAATGAATATTCGTCAGGTCGCTTAGAAGATTTTGTGTGCCGGGGCAAGAAACGTCCCAAGTTGTATTGAATGTCCCGCTCGGCTCGGGACCTCGTGACCTCGTAGCCGGCGAATGGTCCGGGTGCAGACGTGCAGACGTGCAGACCGAGAGCGAGCTTCGACCAAACCTTCGATTCATTTACTGTTTCCCCATGGCGCGTTAGTCGCTAAGGCGTGGTGTACTTACACAGTTAGTTACCAGTGGCATTGATAGTCTTGCGTTACATGCTCGTTTCCGACGTCAGGATCTTTTGTTAACGTAGAGATACTGGGAATACTCCACTCCGTCTTGCTCCTACTTCCACGGGGTTAGGCGCGGTCAAGTCCCCCAGCCCCCAAGCGGGTTGAACTATGAGGAGCCGGTGTTGGCCAGGTGCTGGACAAAATACGTTGGCCCCTCATGAAATAACCTCACGACCACTGCCTCTTTATCTTCTAATAAATCGACAAAACGGTGTTATAGTGGTATAAAACGTTTAGGACTTGTAATCTTCATCTTCTACATAATTCTAGGGTTTGTAGTTATCAAGAAATACTGCACGAAGGTGCTTAAGATAACGTGTAAGCTTCTTCAGCTTTGATCTAATACTATAAGATAAACTAGATTTGGGCCTTTAAAACCTGCTCTATACGATTGAAAGAGTATCAAGTTGCTGAGTATAGAATATTGATACTTATGCGATCTACAGTTCTGGTAGAATCATAAAATGAAGAAGTAGTAGTTAGATGTTCTTTAAGGAGGGGCCCCAGTAAATTTGGTCCGGCGCCTGTGTTGACTCGCAATATATCACAGCAGAGCTTGGTAGCGACTGTCTGTATGAGATGGTACATGAGTACAAGACCCATGAGCATTTTCACCCACATGTAGTGTAGTCTAAGTCGGTCTAAGTCGACACTGTCGTCTATAAGCTTCTCTGATATACCCAATATTTAATATTAAGCGTTCTTCGCACCTACTTTGGCGGAGCACATGCGAGTCGGCAACTCGAGTCAACGCCATGCGCGTGCTTGAAGCCACTTCACTATCAAACGCAAGCTGCCGGACGACGGAATACTGAAGCCACCCTGCCCTGGAGCGTCGGTGGTCGGGTGTTTGCAAGTCTCGAGTGCTGGAGTCAATTGCGAGGGGTTAATGGCAGCTGCCACATAGCACCGGAAAAACGATGACTGCATAATTTAGTACTGGTGCAGCTCCTGTTAAGAGCGTTTAGAGCTGAAGGTCCCCAGTGAGGGCCGGCCCGACTGCATAAGATTCGCATCGCCTGTCAATAACCCGTGCAGGGACTTCGATGAGGAGAATCATTTTGGAGGTTTGGTTTCCCACTCGAAAGTCGCGCTCACGGCAAACTACACCAAAGGAAAATGCATAAAGCTGTCGGCCGGGAGTCTATCTACATCCCTGCTGGGCGTCCGATCAACCACACTTGCCCGAAAACTACTCTAGTTACTCAACTCCCCATACAGTATGTAACAGCAATTTTGAGTAAAATTCTGCAGGGACAAGGGTCTCGGAAATAATTGGAGAGCAGCAAGGTCGCCCGTATCAGGAACTGCACAGCGACTTCAATCGATCACAACACATATATGCGGATGTCCAGGCCGCGAACTCCCCATAAAACATTTCCTCGGTTGTCAATGCGTGGGAGCACGCATCAGGCTCTGGATTGGGCCATCGTCTGATCATGTGAGCGTTTCTCTTCACAAAGTTCCTCACAGCGGACGAGTCTTCCTTCTCTTAACTTCTGACGGGTGGTCCATCCTTGCCCCCACGCCTGTCCAACTGCGCGAGTCCAGGTACCCTTTACTTCGTTCGACGAATGCCCCCACGCAGGAGGACGTACGACGTTGGAGCAAGCTTGGAAGAAAGGCAGGTTCTAAAATCTACTAACCTTGTTTTTGCTACTCAACGGAGCTCGTTCTCAACACGACCTTGGACGGAATCCGGTGCGTTCCCTCCCCGGCTGGACAGACTGTTGCCGAGTCTGGGATTACGTTTCAATCAGGACTTAATTCCGGCCAACTACTAAGACTGGGGCAGTTTCATGTTTCCTTGGTGGAAGAAGCTCAGAAATGAAGTCCATTGGTTTGAACGGGTGAAAACCCAACAAACAGTGCTGTGAGTCCTACTCCTTCCATCTGTCGACATTCATATCGCTTCACTGGTGTGGCATTCCCTCGTGACAGTGACGCAGGTTGTTGCCCAGGTGTAAGAGAGGGGCGTTCGTTGGTTCATTGACAGCCGGCCCAGCCCACCGGGTTGCCTCGCCCCTTAGTATCAGACCTTATTTCTCTGTGGCCTCTCGGTTGGCTTCACATTTATACCGCAACCATAGTCTCGGGTGTTTTGTGCTTATGGCTAGCGCCAACAATACACCGGACGGCACGATCAACTGACAACGAAACCCGGCCCGCTACCACCATTTCTTTCTGTCTTTATGATACAGTTAGGGGAGCCTTTCCCCCGTCATCTACTACCTTGACAAGAAATCTCGTCCGCATTCCGTCTCATCATCTTGGTTTGTGGTCATCTCCCCCATCGTCGTTGGGCCACGGCGTTTGCAATTACGGAGAAGGCTGCTGTTGAACGTTAGCAGAGGTTGAGGAGTTCCCCTCATGTGGTCCACGCCCCCGCACAGCTGCGCCGTATTTTCATTGGGAGCTTGGAAAAACAGCTGCAGTTGATCGGAGATGAGGTGCATCACGGCAAATCGTCTTCGCAGCATCGCAGCACCCGAAGCCGGCCAGTCCAGCGAGCCCAGCAAGCCCGGCCCATTGGTCTCGTTCAACGGTGAGGGAATGGCTCTACTAGTTTCAGCACTACCGTCCCCCGTCACCGTCACAGTTGTACAAAGACAAAGGCCTAATGCACATAGCCTTATTGATGTCGGAAGTTTTTTGGTGAACTGCTGAGAGACCTTGCTCAGTTCGTTCCAAGCCGACAGCCGGAACCAAATCCATCTGTGCAAGGAAACACCATTTCTTACATTATCATCATTCACCGTCCCAGCATACCGTACCAAAGACTCCTGCATGTCTTGGGGGCTAATAACGACAGCAGCGAGGTGGTGTGTCAGCAATGCTGAACCTAATCGTGGTGAAAAGCCAAATTGGGGTTGATGAGAACAACCAGCCTACGCCCTCTGTTGCTCTGTTGAAGCCACAAGTCCCAAATGGGATGTGGCACTACCTCAATACTACTACCCAAGTACCCCTGTTCGTTGATCGCGAAGCTGACGGATCCAGCGTAGCACCCTGCCCACTTCAAACTTGCTTGTCTCCAACGGCCATTAGGTCGCCGCCTACTACCAGACCGTAGTCCCCCTCGCTCCATGGCATGGGCAAGCGCCGCCGCGGATGATCCGTACAGTCGCAAGAGCTGAGTTCCCCGACCAATGCTCTGGCGGCCATGCCCTCAACCATTTCCTCATTTGCCGTCGAGGTTACACGACAGCAACGCATGCGCCTTTTGAACCCACTCCAGTCCCATTTTGAACCCTCGTGCATGATCCATGTCTTAAACGGCCCAAAGCTCACATGCACCACCACCAGTGGAGTGGATTAGACGCTATGCCGTGCCATCGAACGCGGGAACAAAAGTGTCCAGAGCCACGTCGCCAACTCTCCTCTCGCGACACGGAGGCGGCATCGCTGTGAAATGCCCAGTGCCGTTCTACGGAGTTAGTTTGCACCACTTCAGGCACGGGTGATCGCGGCCATGATCTGGCTCTTTCCATTTCCATTCATTCTAGCCTCTTCCCTGAAGGCGGTCAGTCAGGGGCTCTCTTCCATCATTCACTGTCATTCGCGTTCCTCGAATAAACCTTGGGATTGCAATCCATGAAGATTGATTCGTCCCCCGCAATCAGTCGTTCTGCCGTGGCGTCCTTTGGAACCAAACCACCGAGAAGAGGGCTAGCGTTATACTGGCAGAGGAAGAAAGGGGACGACAACGAACCGACAGATACGAATAGCGAAGAGAAGAACTCAAAAAGAAAAAAATCGTTGAGACGCACCCACCAGCATTAGCCGCATTATACGTGCATACGTGCAGCGACGATCACTTGGGTAGCCTCGTGGGCTTGGTAACATCGCGACTTTTCCCTTCTGCTTCTGTCACCCTCACCGTCCATCCCGGCTCACCACCCATCCTTCATCTACCCACGCATTGCAAAAAAAATAGACTTCCCCACGTTCGGTAGCCTTTTCTTTCTTGCGTCGCTGTCTCGTCTCACCTTGCAGTCCATCGCACCACATCGTTGACAAAGGCGGAACGTCACTGCTCTGTAACTGTAGTAGTGCTTGCAGTGTCTCCGTGTTGTGTTCGTGTTCTCGTGTACTGCTTGTGCTGGCTGTGCTGTCAGCAAATACCACTCCTCTGTCTGCTCTTTGTCTCACTACTTTTCCACACCTTGATACACAGCTTCATGCGTGCTTATCTTTTTGGATGTGAACAAGAACGACAACATATCGTCCAACGTGGTTAGGGGGGGTTGCGGGAGAGAAGCTGTCAGCCGCGTAGAGCCCCCATATGTCTCAATAACAAACACCCTCGATTACAGCATCTTTTCATCATCTAATCGTAGACATCTCGCTCCTTGTGCCTCGTTTGCAATGAGGCGATAACCTCATTGCCATCTCATCGTTACCCGATGCTTACTGACTATCTAACGATACACCCTCCAACGTGCAAAGTCCCGGCTCTGCTCAGTAATATACTTGATCTCTCATTTGCCCCAACATGTGCAAGCTGCCCGACAAAGCCGTTCATCGTGGTCCACTGAACTGATCCAAGTGGACAACCGGCGTCTCGGCGCTGGCTCGCTTCTGACTTTGATTAGCCGGTGTGGTTAGCGGGCCATTGATCAAGTGCACAATAGGTTGGCTGTTCGGGGTTTGCCTCCTAAGGGCGGTAGAGGGAACCAAGCGAACCGTCGAGAAGGCATCGAGTCAAGAACAGACTAGAGCAGACAGAATGCAAACTCTCGGTGTCATCAACCTTTGAATGAAGCCTAGCGTATTTCCAATTCCTCCTGATTACCTGTTCGATGCGTGGTGCCGTAGGCAATTTAGGTGGGTGCTGTGTCACAAACTCTAGCCGTTGTACCCGACAGGAGATGCCACTATTCAGATTTTACATGCTGGATCGGGTGGCGGGAAGTGGTTTGCCACTAAAATGCTTCAGGTCGAAACACGAAAGAAAGGGGTGATTAAACATAAAGGCCTCAGGTAAAAATCTATGTATTCGTGACCTCTTTGCCCTGAACATTTTTACTCTTGCATTGTACATGAAATTTGTACATGTTTCATTTAATGAGCACCACAACCAAACAGGATGTGACCCGTCTTCCTCATACACTTTGACTGCTCTTTCTGGGCCAATGTGGTGGCTTTGGTCTTTTGTACGAGTTACCTACTCCGTATCTAGACCCGCCTGCTTGACTAGTCCGTAGAACGCACCCTTCTTCTTGATAAGGTTCTCGGGGGTGTCGAATTCTATGACCTCGCCCTTCTCAAGCACCACCACCCTATCGCTGTCGAGAATAGTGTTGATGCGGTGGGCGACTGTGATGATGGTGCGATTGGAAAATAGCGGTGACCTCAGCGTGGTCTGTAGCATGGCGTCGGTCTCTACGTCGACCGCGGCCGTAGCTTCGTCCAGAACTAGGATGTTGGAGGGCGTAAGCATAGCACGAGCCAGCGATACCAGCTGTCGCTGGCCCTGCGACAGGTTTGAGCCTGTGATGAGTAATGTTCAGCATGCATCATTGACAAGTCATTGGGTTCACCATCAAGGATACGAGTGGGGGTAAACAGGAGCTTTTCTCGCCTCGCTGCATCGTGAAATTGCATGCAAAGGCGATCATGCAGGGACTCGTCGGTGATGTTGATGAATCTACGACATGCCAGAATCGGAGCCGCCTGCAGGCAAGCACCCACGAGCAGGTATGCAGATTGCCGGGGATACGATGACGATGGTGATATGATGGACAGCCGATGAAAAGCGGCGCCTGTAAAATTCGTAGACTCACCTCCTTCGTTTATTTTAGCCCCGAGCCCTCCGTCCATGCTTGCCACATGTTCCTTTAATCGTGCGTGGTCTGTGTGCATCATTAGCCGTGGAACTTAATACAATGGAACCATATGAATGGTTTAATGGGAGAAGCAGGCGAGAGAGAGCATGTGCTCTATCCGACCTGCGGTGTAAATTGGTGTGGGTAAGCATTGTGTAACAAGATACTTACCGAGTACACTCCAAAGCTCCGTATCATCGTAGGCGTGGCCCGGGTCTAGATTGTCCCGAACTGTTCCTTCAAAAAGAGCCGCGTCTTGTGGGATGATGGCCAGCCGTCGGCGGAGGTCCAGCAGTCCAATTGTCGATGTGTTGAGGTTGTCTATGCTGATATTGCCCGAGTCGGGCTCGATAAGACGGAACAGCGCCAGTGTCAATGATGACTTGCCCGCCCCAGTCCGTCCTACCACACCGATCTTCTCATGCGACTTGATGTCAAGCTGGATGTTCTTTAGCACCAAGTCAAGGCCGGGTCTGTAGCGGGTACTGTAGTTGTGAAACTGTACTGCCCCGTCGACTGGCCAAGAGACCGGCGGACGGTGTCGCTGGATGATCTCGGGAGCCTCACTTGGGAGGCGGGCATATTCGAGGATACGTTCTACAGATACTATGTTGGTCTCCACTTCCACAGTCTGGCGCACAATCCAGTTGAGCGACGTTGTGATCTGGAGCGCATAAGACATGGCCAAGCCGACCATGCCGGCACTCAATCCACTGTGGTTGGTGACGGAGATGATGGCAAATCCTGCAGCGGCAAGAATAATGACAGCGCCAATGAACTCCAGTCGGACCGCCAACCACCGGTTAGCGCTGATAGATGGGTAATAAGCTCGCAGGTTCGAGTCGACACGCCACTCGTTCTCGAGCTCAAACCTGTCACACTGTCGGTATGCCCGAATCGTGCTGATGCCTCCAAGCGACTCCTGGAAATGGGCGTAGATGGGACTACGGCTGACACTGTCCAGTCGTTTGAGTTCTCGTGATGATCTCAAGTAGTATCGCTGAATCCAGTAGTACATGGCACTCAAAGGAATGATCAAGGCGACGAAAGCCGGGGTGCCGACCGAAATGACCACCAGTGTAAAGCCCGAACGAGCCAGGTTAACAAACAACATGTTGAAGGTGCGAGCAAGAACCTCGTCTAGCCGGTAGACGTCGCTCGAGAAACGGTTCAGTATTCTGCCAGCCGGGGTCGTGTCAAAGAACGACATGGGAGATCTGAAAATGGCCTTGGCCATCCTCTCATGTAGTTTCCGCGAGGCTTCGATGGAGCAGAATATCCACAGAATCAGGGTTTGAACCACTGTCAAGGCAGAGGACCCGACACCGAAGGCAAAGTATATACCCAGGTATTTGCCTACCGCGGGGTTGCCCCCAGCTGCGTTGTTTATCTCCGCCCAGTTTTTGAGCCATACACTCCCACCTAAAATTTAAGTCAGCCATTGTTGGGCTTGGCGTATGAGCAAAAACCCTTAGGAAAGCAGCTCACCAATTTGGGCAACCTGTGCCGCGACCAGCATGAATAAGTATATGGAGACAGCGATCAGATTGCTGTTCTTGGCGTATTCGAGGTAAACTGCAAGAATGTGTCAGTCGTGGCATTAGACAAGTTCCAAGGCATCTCATACCATTCCATTTGACCTTTCCTTGCTCTGAGTGCTCCTTGCCTTGTCTGGTCTTGCTGCTTGGATCCTCTTCGTCGGAAAGCTTGCCTCGAGGGCCTTTGAAGCTTGCTGCGCTGGCTGGACGCAATGTAGACGTACTGCCCGTTCGTCGCTGTATGGTGGAGGATGGCCCAGTCCTGATTGGGGCAAGTTCCGGAACATTCTCCTGGGCCTCTTCGATTTCTTCCTTGTCTCCGGAATTTTCGGGCTCGATGTAAGTGGAGGTTTCGCTTCTTGAGCTTTCCGAGCTTTGATCTTCAGACGAGCTCCCAGAATCCTGGCCCGTGGACTTGATGAGATCCGATATGCCCCCTTTCATTGCCATGAGTTGGCGGAAGGTTCCCTTTTCGACGATCTCTCCGTTCTTGAGTTGGTAGATGTAGTCTGCGTCGCTGAGAACCGCTATTGAGTTGGTCGCAAGAATTCGGCACTTGGAGCTCAGGAGACCTTGGGGACCCAGGACATTCTCAATGATATGTCGACCAACATGCGAGTCGACGGCAGACAGGCAGTCGTCAATCAGGTAAATATCAGCACGTGCGTAGACCGACCGAGCAAGCGCAACTCGTGCCTTCTGACCACCACTCAGGGAAATGCCTCTTTCTCCGACGACCGTCTCATCGCCATCTGGGAGTTGGTTGAAATCGTCAAGCAGCGCACATGCCTTGACGATTTTCTCGTAGAAGTTGGAATCGTAGCGGTACCCGAAAATGATATTCTCCTTGACGGTGGCGTTCATGATCCACGGCTGCTGAGCGACGTATGCTATACTGCCGTTTACCTGCACAGTTCCCTTCTCCTTCCATAGATCACCGAGAATGCTCTGCAAGAGAGACGACTTGCCTGTACCGACTCTACCAACAATGCACGTCAGCTCGCCCTTGTGAGCGGTGAAATGAATGTCCTTCAACACGCTCTTGGACTCATGACGATTCCATGAAAAAGTACCGTCTTGCATAATGACAGTTTCGTCTCCTCGCTCTTCCGCAGCAGGACCCAGGATGATGGCATCTGGCTGAACTTCTTCGGCAGCCAGGTACTCGGTCAACCGCCCCACCGCCACCGTTGCTTCAATGATGGACGTTATGACCATGGGCAATACAGCCAAAGGGAAGGTAAGCAGATTGAACAGAGCAAGAGCTGGGAAGACGATCTCAGTTGACAGCGGTATGTCGCAGGTCCAAACGAAGACGGCGAAGGTCGAGCAAGACACGAAGAATGGCGTGGTAGACCACGTGAAGTTGGCAATGGCTTGACTAGCACCAATCTTGCGGAGATTCTTAAGCTCGAGGTCGTTTCGGACGTAATTGAGCTTGTTCATGAAGGCGGTGCTCCAGGCATAGAGCTTGATACTCTTCATGTTGTTGATGATCTCGGCGATCAAGCGGCTTCGTGCGTCCTTGTTCTTCATCTGCTGCTTCTGTAACTGTTTCATGAACCTAGCGATGAAGCCATTGATTGGGATCATGATGAGCATGACCGCGATGCCCGAAAGCATAGACCATCCGACAAGCTGGTATAGAGATACCATGCAGATGATGATCTGGAAGGGCGCAGACCACACTTGTTGCGCAAACTGCGTCAAGTCTTGGAGGCGCTGAGCGTCCACAGCCATATAGTTGACAATGTCACCGGTGGTCTTGGAGGCACGACCCTCATTTGACAACCGCAACGACTTTTTGTAGATAGCGGATGCCAGACCTGACTTGATGCGCATACCCGTTACGAATGCGAGTTGGAAGTATTGGTGCTAAAGCCACAATCAGTATACCATACACGCCGCTCCTCAAGTGGAATACTCTTACAATCATACTCGTCTGCAAGATGGCAACGAAGAACATAGCAATGGCGATAGCAGCACCCTTTACAACGGGCTGCGGCTCTTTCCCTTCGCTGTAGGAATCCACGAATGATATCAATAGTCGCAACAGCTGAGGTTGACTGAATGCCGCGAGATCATTCACGACCTTGAAGACAGTGGCAAGCATGTAAGGGCCACCATAGGCTTTAAAAATAGCTAGCCACAGAGAAGGATTCGTTCTGTGCTTCAATTCATATTGCCAGGCGGTTTCGAACATGGCTCCTGTTGTTGAAGTCTTGTCACTGGGCGACAAGCCCCATAGGTCTTCTTCGGTCAAGTACTCTTTGTAGCCAAACTTCATCAAAGGAGTCATCCATGAGAATGTGAGACGCGAAAAGATGGTTGCATGCTCAGCAGGACACTCCTCGCCTTCATCGTCCACCAATGCCTGGTATGCGCTCGCATGCTTTGGCCATAACCACTCAAACAAGAACTCAACACCCGAAAGTCCAAACCCAACCGTGTACGTCACAAAGTAGGCCAAGTTCGTGTCGTATACCTGCTGCGAAACCAGGGACCGGAGTTTGACCGCGTAGGCGATGAGGAGGAACAGCCAGTAGAACAAAACCACGCCATTGGCATTCCGCATACGCGAATGCTCGAGCCATTGAATCGAAAAGATCACGCCGAGTGACAGGATCGTCAGGAAGGTTGTCAAGACTCGAAAGTCTCCGTACCATATGCCCGGAAAGTTGATTATCTGGATGACGAGCTGGGCGATGATGTCGGCGATGACAAGGAGCAGGAGTGACTGTCGAGGCGAGCAATGTCAGTGATTACTTCCGCAAACTAAGCAAAGAATCTCGCTAGCTGACCTGTTTCGTCCAAAAGTGCCAGTCCTTGGATATCATGGCAGAGCTGGTCTTTCTGAGGACATACCAGAGCGCGAAAGCTCCGCAGATAATGCCGAAGACGGCAACGGACGAGACCCAGACATCTATGAAGCACGGCGTGAAGTCAAATCGGAAGGGGCTAAGAGGTCCCCAGCCCTCCTCGTTGCCGCATAGCGGCTGCTTGAAGTCGGTGGTTGCGCTGAGGTATCCCTGGCCAAGCTGTTGGAGCGGGCGGTATCCAGTGAACGACCCGGTCAATTGGATGACCTGCTGGGATTGGTCGCCGAATCGCATGACCGCGTTAGCTGCTCATAATAGGGATAATAAGTAACAGATGACGCGATCAGATAATTTTCTGACGGAAGAGCAGTTTGTCGAGATGGTGGGTGGTGATGTCGTTTGGGAATTTTTTGGGAAGTGGCCTGTCGTTCGGGGATTACGGAGTGCCACTCAACTTGTCAGCTCAAGCTTGCCTTGATATCTGCCTCCCTGGAACTAGCGCCAATCCAGAACAAAGAACAAAAGACCGTGCTGCGTTGTGAAAGATAAGTCCAGCGTATTCAAGGATCCATGAATTTGGTCACCGTCTTCTACAAAGGACTTCGTAGTAGCCGCAGATATCTCGAGCATTGACGAGCTAGTATTTAAAGCTCCCCACTTTCTGTAGCCACCGTCTCCAAGATGCACGCTGTCATTATGGAGCCTGGGCCCAGAAGCTTCGCTAAAGACCCCATGATAACTCATATTTTGGGCTACAAAAGAAGACTTGCTAATCGCAGCACTTTCTTTCACCAATCTGCTGCTGACACAATCAAAACACGGAAAACACGGAAACAACGGCGAAAGGAACATAACCCCACCTATAGTGCATCATCAACATGTGTACTATGTACCATCTGACTCGGAGCCCCAAGTTTCGGCATACAATTATGACCTTAGGTTTATTAGTGGGGTTCGGCTTTCGTGTAAATAATGCCGGCAGCAGCCGTAATTGCGAAATGTGGTCCCCAGGTGGTGGAAGTATTCTGAGGTTTAGGTATTAACGTACAACCCCACCTTTCTGGCCACCCATCTTCCTGGCGACCTATTCTGCCAACTACAACAACCTTCGGTACAACAGATTATCGTCGGTATTGGCTATTATTATACAATGCCTCGATATTCAGAAAATTCGATCCAAGGCGCACTCAACGATATCAATCAAGGGATATCCCAGCGCTAGGCTTCCCTCCGATAGGGCGTTCCGCGCTCTACCCTCCAATTACGACTCGGCGATGGCCTGGGCCATTCTGACGCGTTAATCGCGTCGACGAAGCTATCTAGAGATCAGGGAGACGCGCTGATTAGATGAATCCTCGAGATGGATCGCGAGGGTTGTAGCCCGTCGGTGCTATTCATCGCTAAGATAGCGTTGATTCTAATACCTCAGGATCGTCGATCAGAGGGCCTCGGTCGCTATTAGGTTTATCGCTTTATTCAACGCCATCCAGAGGTCGGAAGCATCTAATCTCGACGCAGGATATCGACGATTTCTTCGAGACGTACGAAGCCTTGATAGTAGCTCACGACTACTTTCTATATAACGTCTGGAACATAGACGAAACAGGCATCGCGATTAGCGAAAGGATCGAGGGTACAGTGTACGAATCGTCAGAGAAACGTACAATTGTCACAAGGGAGGACCAAGCCCCTAGGCTAATAGACCAAAAGATCTAGAATGCTAGTAGATCACTAATACTTGGTCCCATTAATTGCTATATACAGTACTATGTGACTCTGTAATCACCAGCGTTATAACAATTATCCCCCCGTCTATAAGGCTCGACCCCGAGACTTCAATAGACGGTGTTAGTACTACTTAAACTCCAAGCCTCATGGATCCCCTCCGGACTATCCGGGCTTGCGGGAATATCCCTCTATAGGAATCTCCCTTTACTAGTATAGGGATATAGTATTAGTTATTAAGACCCCTAAGTATAAGATATATATAGTAGACTACTAGTAACGTACCCCACGGTCCAATTGAACACTTCTTAAGACCTCGTACAATAAGATATAAGTTAATTCAACTATAACGTAAAAAAACAATTAAAACTACTCGGAACTATCTTCTTCAGATATCTCTTTACTATTCTGACAAGTACGCATATTATGACCGGGCTCTCCGCACGTCCTACAGCGTTGCTGAAGTATCTCTGGCCTCCTCGTACGACTACGACTCCAGCGCGATTTATTATCTAACTCTCCGTTAACTAGCTTCTGAGACTGTAAATCTTCTCCAGCTTGTATACGAAGTGATCCTCCATACTGTAAACGTTTTTTCTCGTATAACGCCGCCGGCTAAGTGTCTCATTTGCCTTTCGAAGCGCGGCGTTCTCACCCTCTAAAAGAGCAAGCCGGTGCATAACCTGCGTCGTACCCTTCGCAAACTGGTCAAGTGCAGTAAGTGTAGCTGTCGGAGAGCTATATTGATGCCGTATAACTCGGTTTTTCACGTATTCGGTCTGGGATTGTGCCTCAATTGGGTTATTTGGGGTCTTCGACTCCCAGATAATAGGAAGGCCAGACGAGGTACCCGGAGGTGTTGGAGTATGTAACTTCACATCTAACTGTGAAATCACATATTCCGGATCGTACGGTACGAGTCCTGCCCCTCGGAAACCTCCTTGGATATTTGATATCGTAAAAGTTGCCTGGAACGCTTTTAAGAACGCGGAGAGGAAGTCCTCCTTCGAGATATGGGTAATATGTGCCCGCATAAGATCCTCAATTTCTTTACCGTACGCTCTTTTCAGTGCACGAAAACAGCCAATATCGAGAGGTTGGAGCTTATGCGACGAATGAGCAGGCATACAGAGTGTGATAATAGAGTTCTCTTTACAGTAGAGCTCGAAAGCGGTCGAGTGGTGGCTCTCGTGGCCGTCGAGAATTAAGAGGCGATAAACACCTTTCGTACGAAGCTTTGTATGTTGATCGAAATGTCGAATCCAGTCCTCGCCTCTTTCATTTGTAGTCCAGCCATTTTTCGTAACCGCGATAACCCAATCCTTTGGTAGTAGGCTATTTTCGTACCACGAAGATAGGTGAGTTTTACCAGCAAAGATGATGTAACGAGGATACTACACGTCTCACAATATAATAGTCAGGTAGTGCAAAGGGTAGCTAGAAGTAGGCCAGTGTATGGGTGCGTATATTGCGAGACTGATTCTTGAAGAATCTAAACTAGGTGCGAGCGTCTCGAGTTCTCCTCTTAAGCTGGGCGGTTCCGGGGTTTTACCGGACCGGGGCGAATCCCTCCCGACTCAGCTTGTCAGCTGAGACCGGCCCGCCACAACGGCTCTTTTCCTTACAGATTGTCACGACCTGGGTTGCATCGCATTGGTATAGACCTCGATTAGGTGCTATCGACGAAGATTCTACTCTAAGGAGCGAAGGAAAGAAGATGACAACTTAGGTTTGAGGGAGCGCGACTAAGTCATCCACGCTTGGCGGGGCTCCTACAAGGGTTATGATTGGCTTCCCATCTGACACTGCCACGGCAGGTGTTCCAGCTGTAAGTCACCTGGTTGTAGTGAGTCTGCGAGGGTTGACCGTCACACAGATGATATACGGAGGGATAGTATAGCCGTCCGATCCGACGCCCTGGATAACTGTAACCCATTCCCTATTCCCTTGCTGTACTGCTCTAGGTCTTCCACGTCGATCAGAGGTCGTTACAACTATCTCGGATGAGATTTGACCCATAAGAAACCCAGTCTCGTCAAAATTATAGATATCCTCCTCTTGAATTCCATACTTATTAATTGTATTCCATACGAGATAAAACCACGCGCGGTACGCGTCGGGATCTTCGCAGAGGACTCTCTGGTAGTCGATTCTTCGATTAAAACGCGTCCGGAGGTCTGGTTGTCGTCGTACGAAGCTCGAAGCCCAGTTAATACCGATGCGTCCTGCGTCGCGTTGGTGGAGTAGTCGATTCGCCATATCTTCAACACCACTTATTCGAGGAGGAAATGATGGTGAATCTAGGTCGACTATGTAGCGTACGATCGCGTCTTCTTCGGAATAGGTAAGCTTTTGCGTTGGTGATCGTATATCCTGTCGTGAAGTACCGCCGCGATATCTGTTAGGCAACCTTGGTGGGCTTTGCCAAGACCACCAAGGTTACCACGTGACTTAGCCCTTCGGGACTAAGTCCAACCTTCGTGCTCCATAGGACTAGATAGAATGTCATGCTTTTACAACCTCACAAATCTTTGACCACCTTTGCGTGTAACAATATCGGTGACGTAAGGTTGTATGAGGGATATTATAGATCCGTGCTACGGATCGTACGCTTAGTTTGGGGTTATTTTGAAGCGCTTGAAGCGCTAATTGAATATCGATTTCTTCCCAATTACGTGCCATTGTAGAAGGTGGAAAATAAGGGATAAAACGTAGGTTGTACGGAAATGCGCGAAAGTGTTCAATTGGACCGTGGGGTACGTTAATATATATATACCTTAACGTGATCCACAAGTCATTTTCGCACACAAGTCACTTTCGCACTTTTTCAAATATTTCAACCTTTTAACTTAGCTTGTACTTTTCTTCCCTCCCACAACATGCCTCGTAAATCTAAAGAAGCCGATCTTGAGCTAGCTATCCAAGCTAAAAAGCGCAACCCTGAAATTTCATGGCGTAAGCTTGGCCGTATCTACAACGTTTGCGACCGTACACTAAAGAATCGATTCGACGGCGACCAAACGCGACACGAAGCTAATATGTTAAAACGAAATCTAACTCAAACCGAAGAGGATACGATCGCCCGACGTATAATTGAGCTAGATGCGCGAGCATTTCCTCCTCGGCTTCGATACGTTGAAGAAATGGCGAATATCCTACGACGCGTACGCGACGCGCTCCCCGTCGGCAAGAACTGGACCACGAACTTCGTTAACCGCCGACAAGACCTCCGAACGCGTTTAAACCGTCGAATTGATTACCAGAGGGTATTTAGCGAAGATCCTATCGCGTATTACGCGTGGTTTGAGCTTGTTAGGGACACAATCGCTAAATACGGTATCCTACCGGAGGATATCTACAACTTTGACGAGACGGGCTTCCTAATGGGCATAATCACAACCGGTATGGTTGTAACGAGTGCAGAGAGACACGGACGGCCTAGACAGGCTACACAAGGAGGTCAGGAATGGGTTACGGTGATCCAGGCTATTAATTCGCAAGGTTGGGCGGTACCGCCGTACATCATCTTCGCGGGCAAGGTTCATCTTGCTTCGTGGTATCGCGGTAACGACCTACCGGCCAACTGGAAGGTCGACCTTTCCCATGACGGTTGGACTACTAATAATATTGGTGTGGAATGGGCAAAACACTTTGTTCAACATATTATTAGCCGTCGGAAGGGTGCGAAAAGTCTCTTAATATTGGATGGTCACGAGAGCCACCACTCGATGGATTTTGAGACTTACCTCGCGGCGCACGGCGTAATTACATTGTGTATGCCTTCCCATTCATCCCACAAGCTCCAGCCTTTGTATTTGGTACCTTTTAGTGTGTTGAAACGGCTGTATGGTGCGTTCGTGGAGGGTTTAATGCGAAGGCATCAAACCCATATTGAGAAGCAGGATTTCTTAGCTGGGTTTTTAGAAGCTTTCATTGGTGCTTTTCACGAAAAAAACATCAGATCAGGATTCGAAGCAGCTGGACTTGTTCCTTTTAACCCGGATAGGGTCATATCTACGTTGGATATCGCAAAAGTAGTACGAACACCGACACCCGACCCCCAATTGCCTCCCTCCGTCTGGGTTTCTGTGAAGGTCAACCCTCGCAGACTCACTACAACCAGGTGACTTACAGCTGGAACACCTGCCGTGGCAGTGTCAGATGGGAAGCCAATCATAACCCTTGTAGGAGCCCCGCCAAGCGTGGATGACTTAGTCGCGCTCCCTCAAACCTAAGTTGTCATCTTCTTTCCTTCGCTCCTTAGAGTAGAATCTTCGTCGATAGCACCTAATCGAGGTCTCTACCAATGCGATGCAACCGAGGTCGTGACAGTTTCTAAGACGCCTACCAACACCCTCGAAGCCGAATCGCAGTCAACTTTGATTAAAAGTAGCGTCCAGAGGCATCAAGACAGCTCGCCGACGCATATTTTGAACTCAATTAACTCGACTACGAAGGCTACGCATGCAATGATGCATGAGAATGCATTATTACGTCGGGAGAACGAAGAGCTTCGTGAGACGAACCATATACTAAGTAAGCGTCGTAGGACGAAAATAAGCAAATCCAATATGGAGGAGCACTTAGTATAGGTGATGCACAAGTTTTACGGGCCTTGAGGGTTGATATCAAGGTTATGGAGGAGGAAGAAGGCGGAAGCAGTCGTCCTGTAAAGCGCCGGCAGACCGGTATAAGGCGCTGTGGTATTTGCGGAGGGACTGGACATAATGCAAGGACTTGTTCAATAGAAGTAGAAACTGATAATGAAGAAGATTTTGAGTAATTTAAAGGATAAAATGCGGGTTATGCATAGGATATTACTGGATTACTTGAAGGTGCCAAGAAAAGTGCGAAAGTGACTTGTGTGCGAAAATGACTTGTGGATCACGTTATACTTATTAGTATACTTTTAGGTAGTTACTACTATCGCGTACGGCTACTAGTTACTAGGCTATACCTCGGTATACCTACGATATTAACAGTCTCGTATATAGCTATATAACTACGATTCGAACTATCTAGTCTCTAACTAGAGGGCCGATATGTAAGGAAAGAGCCGTTGTGGCGGGCCGGTCTCAGCTGACAAGCTGAGTCGGGAGGGATTCGCCCCCGATCCGGTAGAACCCCGGAACCGCCCAGCTTAAGAGGAGAACTCGAGACGCTCGCACCTAGTTTAGATTCTTCAAGAATCAGTCTTGCAATATACGCACCCATACACTGGCCTACTTCTAGCTACCCTTTGCACTACCTGACTATTATATTGTGAGACGTGTGGTATCCTCGTTACACGATACCTATTGATGCGAGTGCATATGGGCCATGGGGTCACGTATCACCTATATACCGCGATCTACTAATATTATTATTATAAGGGAGGACTAAGCCCCTAGGCTAATAGACTAAATGATCTAAAATACTAGTAGATTACTAATACTTAGTCCTACTAACTGCCATATTATCAGGGTACGGCTAGGCCGAAGGCAATAGTACGGAGTGAAGGGGAGTAATGGGCGTTCCTCCTGCGTAGCACCGGGTGGTCACGGGCGATCACGGGTAGTCTCAGGTAGGGGTGCCCACGTGTAAGGAAAGAGCCGTCATGGCGGGCCGGTCTCAGCTGACAAGCTGAGTCGGGAGGGTTTCGCCCCCGATCCGGTAGAACCCCGGAACCGCCTAGCTGCAGAGGAACTCGAGACGCTCCTACCTAACTTAGATTCCTTAAGAATCAGTCTTGTAATATACGCACCTATATACTAGCCTATCCTAGTTACTCTTTGTACTACCTGATCCACGGCCACAGTCTTGAAGATATTATGAACAAAGGCAAGATGACGTATGAAGAGCTCTTCAAGATGGAGTACTCTCAAGCCCAGAAGTTGGTCCGAGGGTGGGCGAAGGATAAGGTCAATCTGGATAACCACACTAAGCGAGCCGAGAGATATTTCTCGTCTGATCAGAGCAAGAGAGACGGCAAGAGAGGACCAGAGGAGAGCCAGCTAGATTTATTTGCTCTCACGGAGAGGCTCAGAGCCTTGGAGATACGGTTGTGCCAAGTAGGCCCGTCTGATCGGAGACACCAGATGGAAGATGTAAGGACTGCACACCGGCCACAGCAGCCATGGGGCTGCCAGCCACTCGTACACCAGGCCCAAGGAAATGCAGTCAGGACTCGTCAAGGCCAGCTATACGACCACGAGACTGGACAGTATCGTTCATATCCGAATTATCAGACGGGCCTACTTGGCATAACCGTATCTCCAAGGCTCTGAGCCTCTCCGTGAGAGCAAATAAATCTAGCTGGCTCTCCTCTGGTCCTCTCTTGCCGTCTCTCTTGCTCTGATCAGACGAGAAATATCTCTCGGCTCGCTTAGTGTGGTTATCCAGATTGACCTTATCCTTCGCCCACCCTCGGACCAACTTCTGGGCTTGAGAGTACTCCATCTTGAAGAGCTCTTCATACGTCATCTTGCCTTTGTTCATAATATCTTCAAGACTGTGGCCGTGGATCCTCTCGAACAGGCCTCGAGTGCAGTCAAGGTCGCTTGGTACTCGTGCAGTATCCTTCGTCTCTTCGGCTTGGATCTCGTGATCAAGACAGTACGTATAGATCTCCGACGGATTCGATAATAGAGGCTGGTTTTTGAGGTCTTTGAGATAATCATAAGCACTTCGAAGCTGTCTAGGATCTCCAAATGCAAAGGTACTTTTCAAAGCCTTCGTCGCGGCGTTCCAATTGTCGAGTCGATTGACGACGAACTTCACCCTTTCCTGATAGGTCTCATTCTTAGTCCAGTACGGGGCTTCAGCAATCTTCTCGATATAGCTAAGTCGAGCTCTCTCGAAAATACGAACGACCTGTTCAATCCAGCTGGATACGCTATCGCCATCGAAGCGGAGGTCTGGATATTGTGCCACATCGGGGAAGATATACGGCATCGCGAAAAATTGAGCCATCTCGATCGGCTTCTCGGCTTCTCGGCTGGATTGCCCTGATCAAGCCTAGATAATTGTCGAATTTCGTGGTCAAGGACGTCGTCGCTTAATGTGATCGTACGGAAGGTTGGTCGTATCTCTGTGTCTTATCCACTCTTCGCTGTACGATCCCTCTCCTCTTCTTCTTCTTAAGAGCTATTCTTCTATAGGCCCTGCTCCACTGGTCGTATCGCTGTGTCCGAATCTCTCTGCGTTCTTCTTCTTCTTCAGAAGAGGAGTGTTGAAGCCGTGGTGTTCGGGTCCAATCCCGTACTACTCTTGCTTCCTTTTTCTCCTTCTGTCGCTCCGATCGCTGATAATTCGTCTCTTTTCTCTCTTGCTGATATTCTCGGTCCGATGCCGTTGTTCCTCTCGTCGATACTCTTGATCGTCTTGATGCTCTTGATGCTCTTGTTCTTTTTGTCGATGCCGATTGTCGTATCTCTGTCTCTTTTTGATACTCGTCTCTTTTGATACTCGTCTCTTTTCTCTGCTCTTTCCTCTGCTCTGTCCTCTGTGCTGATGCTCTGTGCTGATGCTCCTTAGCTAGAAGCCTCGTGGCGCCACCCTAAGTTTGCTAGTCCTGGCTTCATTTCCGAGACGTCCGTGTCCTTGCTGCGAGAAGAATTTGGGGGTCTCCGTCATGCCCTCCTCGTAATTGACTGCTCTGGTCGGTCCTATTGTCCTCCATCATCTATCGCGCGAGAGATTCAGTGCTGTGAAGCATCTGTGTGGCCTCCCTCTGATCACCATTGAAACGGGGTCAGGCGGTCGATAGGATGTACCTATTACCTACCACACTGAACAGACGGCTCCAGTACCAATAGATCACATATGTTGGTCTGATTAGACGAAGATCATGGTGCTGGCCGTAAGAGCAAAGCTCTTATAAGTCTTGTGCGCAAGTTGGTCGGATATGGTTCTAATATTCGTATCGGGATAATTCTCAGAATAAGACGTCTAGCTCCAACTAACTGAAAAACGAAGGTAAAGATAAAGAAGGGGGATAATAAAGAAGAAGAAAAAAGATAATATGAAGAAAGGGTCAGATAATAATGAAAGTGAGAGAGGAAGATTCGTATCCTGCTCTGTCTCTGTGCTTCTTAAAGAAGAGAAAATGAACTTTTTCCTAGCCCCGTAACCTATTTTCCCTGATGTCCAGCCTTACCCCGTTACACTACTAGCGTTGAATTGCTCTGATCAGAGCAAGACGCAACTCTTCGTAGTTATCAAGGCTAAAGTGGAAGAGATAGATAGATTCTTGAAAACTATGCCTAAACGTATAAGTGAACCATGAACAAAAGCTTTGAATTGCACACACTAGAAAAGAGCACGATAACTGATAACTATTGACTGTGTAGAATAGAAGAGATGAAAGAGGTGATTAAAAAGGGGGATGGTGAAAAGAAAAACTGCGGCCACAAGTCCCCTGAAGAAAGAAAAAGATCCTCCCCGCTCCGTCACCTATTTTCCCTGGCGTCCGGCCTTAACCCACTACATTACAGAGCCACATAGTGCTGTATATAGAAGTTAGTGGGACCAAGTGTTAGTGATCTATTGGCATTCTAGATCTTTTGGTCTATTAGCCTAGGGGCTTGGTCCTCCCTTGTGACACTATCGTTCGCTAGCGACCTCTCTCTCGACCGAGTACTATTCTATTCTATTTAAAAAGTCGACGTTCCTCTCGCTATATATCGAGGCATATAAGAAGTCGTTCACGATTAGCAATATATAATCAGGCTTCGCTGTAACTAGAATATACCTATTAGATCTATCGCGACCTTAGCCGACGATAGCCCCCCTATCAGAACGACCAACTATACTAAAAACAGCTAGTAATTAGCTTAATCCGGCAATAATAGCGACGCTAGTGACTAGCTTAGTAGCTAGGGAAAGCTGTAAGGAAAGAGCCGTTGTGGCGGGCCGGTCTCAGCCGACAAGCTGAGTCGGGAGGGATTCGCCCCCGATCCCTCAGTTTAAGAGGAGAACTCGAGACGCTCCCACCTAACTTAGATTCCTCAAGAATCAGTCTTGCAATATACGCACCCATACATTGGCCTACTTCTAGCTACCCTTTGCACTACCTGACTATTATATTGCGAGACGCGTGGTATCCTCGTTACAAAAGCCTAGTAGCGATTACGCGACTTTGACCTAACGTGTACACGCATTAGAAGCCGAGATAACTTCGTTACGCCCAAAACCACGTAAGGTACTATTAGGGCCTAATGAATGATTTAGTAACATTGTACAGACTAAGGAAGCGATGGATCGAGCCCTTGAAGTAGAACGGTAACAAGATCAGGTATAACGTCGGAATCAGGTAATACTGGACCCAGCTAAGGCGTCAGAATCTATCAGATCTATACCTCAGGAAGCCCTAGAGCACAGCTTTCTATTAGAGCTGGTTGTACCTGAATAGCTATAATATTGCGTTGAATACACTGTTTCGAATACCTTCGATTGGATTGTAACATGTGGCCAGAAAGGTGGGTTGTACGTTATTGAACAGAAATTGGCTTTTCTTGACTCTCCTCCAAATACGCCCAGAGGTAGATCGGATCGGGCTCCAGAAGAGCACAGCAAAACATGGAAGCCCAGATCCGATCAGACTTGCTGTCTTCTTACAAGAGAAACAGAGAACGAGGAACATGTCAGATTCATTAGCCACTGACACCAATCGATGTGGTCTGTACGACTCTGGAGCATGCCGGAAATGCCATGATTCCAGACGTCGGCCATGATGAGTATTGCTTGAAACCGAGATTGCCGGGAGAACATTCGCTGAAACGGCCACCCACTCGATGAGATAAGAAGTTAGCGGTTTCTCAGAGGACACCTCTCGTCAGTGAGCAAGTAACGTTCCAAGGTCAGAAATCGGGTGGCAGCATCAATGTTGCTGTAATGGTGTATAGCATCTGGTGGTGCACACATACTGCACCCCACGTACCCCTCAAACTGGATTGTTCAGCTTTATGCCATTCGTTTCGTTAGGCTGCATGCAGAATTGAGTGAGTGAGAACTCCTGACAATACGATGAGATGAGATGTACCGGCAACTCAGAAGACGAGTTAATGTTCCTGTATACTTGAAATGGTCATTGCAAACAAATCATTGGTTTCACCCAAGGGCTGGCGGTCCAAGTGAGCTGCCCTCTCCCGTCAAAGCCCAGCCGAAATGGACCCAAATCCGCAATCATACATTCTGTCCCAGTCCGAGTTGAGAGCAATATTCGAGCGGGACATCGTCCCCGCCGAACTGGAAACAGGCAAACTGCGAACTCGTCTGGCCACCAATGCGGAAACAACCCAACGCCCCCTTGCTGTTCTCGTCGTGGGCCAAACCGGCGCAGGCAAGACTCGGATCGCGCCCACCATAAAGCAGGCGATTCGGTCCTGCCGCGGCGAGCCAGCCCACTTCATCGCTGACACGTACAAAACGTACCACCCAGCCTACACGCGCCTCATCGTCGAGCGTCCAGCTCTGGCATCTCCAGCAACCAGGACCGACGCCCGCCGTTGGCTCGCCATGGCAGCTGCCTACGCTGTGGCACGGCGCATCGACGTCCTGCTCGAGTCGGCGTGCCGAAACCCGGAAGACTTTGTGGATCTGACCCAGGCGTTCCACGAGGGGGGCTACCGGGTCGAGGTAGTTATCATGGCGGTGCCGAAGGGCTTGAGCCGATTGGGTATCCTCACGCGGTTTTATGAAAAACTACCTGAAGCCGGGTCGGGAAACCTGCCCGTGAGGCTCACCCCGAAGACTGTGCATGATGATTCTTATGAGCATATATTCGATGCGGCGGCCGTTGCCGATGGGTCGGTGGCTATAGATCAGATTGTTGTCATGCGGAGGGATAATGTCGTGGCGTATGCGAACGAGCGGGTTGGCAGCGGCGAGTGGAGAAAAAGAGCGGCCGCGGCGGAGGCTATACGTACGGAAATAGGTCGCCCTCTCCTACCGACGGAGCGGTCCATTGCTTATGAAGACCTGGATAAGTTGAGGAAACGAAAGGTTCCCGAGTTGGCATCTCAGGTCACTGAGATTGAGACTCTGCTCGAGGCGATTCTCACAAAGGCCAATGACACAGATTTACCATCGTTACGACCATTGTCATTACCCAGTGGTAACAATGAAACAGACAAGGTCAATCTTGATAAGTTGGATCTGAGACTCGGACTGTATCTCTCCTGATGTCAGATTCAAAGTTACGAAAATACACTCATATGTTTTCACTATTACATCCCTTCCCTACGCACCCTTCGCAAAGCTCGTTCCACCTACCATCTGGTCAAACTCACCACACTTGGACAACCCACAGAGCTCGAAACAATCTCCAACCCCTCCATCAATCTTCCCATCCTCGGTATACCTCTCTTTAATCTCGCCCGTGCTCTTCAACTCCCGGCAGAAATCCCTCATTCCCAAATACACTGCCGTCATGCCCGCCAGGGGCCAGATCACAATCTTATACCCCATCCGCTTTGCCTCGTCGGCATTCACCAATGGTGTCACACCCCCACTCACCATGTTCAGAAAACACGGCGTGGGCGCCATATCCTTGACCACATTCGCCATGTCCTCCTTCGTTGTCATCCCCTCCAAAAACGCCACGTCCGCGCCCGCCTCGACCGCCGCTTTCAGTCTCCTAACCGCCTCCTCGTACCCGAGAGACTGCAGCGAGTCCGTCCGCGCAATAATCATGATGTCGCTTCCCATCTCCTTGCGCGCCGCGGCCGCGGCCCGGATCCGCGCGCAGTACGTGTTCACGTCGACGAGCTCCTTGCCCCTTAGGTGACCGCACCGTTTCGTGGTCACCTGATCCTCGATATGGAACGCGGCTACGCCCTGCAGGATGTATTTTTCCGTTGTGCGGGCTACCATGAGGGGTCCGCCGAATCCCGTGTCCGCGTCGGCGATGACGGGCACGTTGCGGTCCAGGCCGGCTATCATGCCCGCGTTGGTGGCCATGTCATCGACCGTGGTGAGACCTAGGTCGGGCTGGCCTAGGCGGGAGGCGGCAGTGCCAGCGCCAGTCTGGTGGGTGGGGGTTAGCGTAAGGTGTAGCCTCAGGTGAGATAGTCGATGAGTGTGACAAACCATGTAGAGTGCGTCAAATCCGACGTTCAGGGCCATGCGGGCTGTGAGGCCATCGTGGACGCCGGGGCAGACGACGATCTTGTCGGGGTCGGCGAGGTATTTCCGGAGCTGTGCGGCACCCTTAAGTTGCGCCATTGTCTCGAGGTTCTGATGTGTAGTTGACGGTTTGGTAGTCTGTTTGATGTGATGGCTGGGTCGAATTTGTAGGCACAATTATAAAAAATACGACCTGTCTGATAAACTTCACAACAACAGAGACAAATTCACTCCAACACATAGTCCGGCAAAGCAGATCACTTCGCCCCCTCCGCTTTCGGAACCTCTAAGCTTTCCGCAATAATGACTTCACCGATGGGTTTTTTCTCTAGACGACTAAGCAAGTGGACTTGGTGGGGACCAGATCGGGATATGGATCTTGATCGTCTGTACTTTGTAGATTGGCAGGCAGTCTGATTTGATTCTAGACCCTGGACAAAGTTGTTAGCGTCGGTTTCCGGGTCCTAGATGTTAGACCTTCGCCAAGCTTTCAAGAGTATATGTGCAAATGCTTGGCTAGATGCTTTGGCAGCAGGTGGAGTAAGAGGACGGGAATATTGACAACCTACTATAGTACTACATGCGGCTCGGGTAGGTGTTTCCGATGCCGACCCGATATTGCGGGGAATAACCCGTCGGGCGGGGACCGGAGACTAAGATAGCGTCGTTGGTTGAGTATAATTTTGCAGTACGGCCTTATCAGAAAACGGCCCATGGTTTTCCGGTCATTGTCTCGTAGAACAGTAACTCACTATATTTACATTGTCTGATATGTGGCTGATGGGATAGTGAGCCGTGAGATCAGCGGATATAAAAACAGGGGAAATGACCTCTTCTCGAGATGAGCGAAGTGTTCTCTTATCTCTTCTTCCCTTCGATTTGCTCCAGTCATCAGTTAAAAGCTGATTAAGATGAGTAAAGTATCCTCAGTACCAAAAGACTTTTACTGATCGTTCATTCGTAAGTACGATCACACAGAAGACCGTCTAGTCCATAAGCTGGGATGAGCGCACCAGCGAGGTTTCTTATCAACTCCAAGAACGATTCGCTATATCCATCGACCCAAGGTAAACGTCTTGAGCAGTGATGTTCGTAAGTATCAAAGTGCTGTAATCCGACATAGTGGGCGCCCAACACGAGTTTTTCTCTCCCAGAGTCCATTTCCAAGCCAACTTCTAAGGTCACGACTCCGAACATCAAGATTGGATAGATCACATCATAGACAAAGTGTGTTTTTGTGATGTTTAAGACGACGTGGTTATTGATTCACCCTGCCACTAGCGTTCACACATTGAACGTTTGCGTGGCTGGAACGCTCCTATTCCGCAGTCGGACAATCACCTCAAGTTGGCTATGGCCGGATTTCAACGGAATTTTCCTAGGCTTGACGTATAGGGCGCCCATGGTGAGATTAACCTTGAAGGGCGTATGTTTGACCACCCAAATAACGACATGAACTTCAGTTTTACACCTATATTCCGCCATATTTTCAATCTATCTATTTATCATCGACCATATCCAACACCCCAACTAATAACTAGTACATATATCTATATTCGGGGTTGAGGTCACCCAGTTCCGTCTTTTCATACTCGGACAATCCCACATTCGTAACCGACTTCGCCCTCCTCTTGTTCTCGATTATGTTCGAAACAAAATATGCGATGGAAGCCAAACCACTCAAGGAGGTGAAAGCGAGACAGAGCGAGTAGCCCTTGGTGAAGTGCGGCGCATCCGTCGATATGAATGCATAGGTCGAGATGATCCCTCCGATATTGCCGAACCCGATCTGCCAGGCTGTTCCTATAGAGCGCCGGTGGTGGCCTCCAAGGTTCATGTTGAACCAGCAGATTATTATCGGCATGGCTCCATAAGTTCCCATGACCACGAGGAATAACGCGCCGTACATCAAGTTGATGTCGCTATGTTCGTGTAGGAGGATGGAAAACCCGGCGATTGACAAGAACAGCGGCATGATGGTGAACAGAAAGCGATGCTTTGCCCAATCCGAGATCGCCGCTATCAAAAAGGAGAAGCCAAATGCCACAGCCCACGGCGGAACCGAGTGCAATTGGGTTTGTATGGCGCTATAGTGGTATCTGGATTTTGTGTCAGCACGGATACAGTCGATTTCCACTAACAGGGTATTCCTGGAATTGAGCTTCGCAACAGGAACTATCACTTACGTTTGGATGATAGTCGGTGCGAAGAAGGCGTAACCGTAGGCCTAGATGAACGATTAACTCATATGCTGGGATAGATATTGGAAAAGGGCCAACTCACTGGAATGATTAGGCCGAAATACATCAGACCTCCCAACCATACGCGGGGATCCTTCATCACCGACAGCACATCGCGGAAACCAACATGACGCTCTGCCGCATTACGGCCTTGGTCGGCCTGCAGGCGGGTTTTTACGTACGCACGCTCATCTTCGTTCAACCAGGCGGCCTGCTCAGGACTGTTTCCCAGTTAGTCAACAGGGCAGATAAGCGAGCAGCGGTAGCAAACATACAACGATGGGAATGTGAAGAAGAATATGACGGCGATGACGATGGTCAAACAGCCTTCCAAGATGAACTACGATAACCGGAGTTAGTGACGACTTCGTGCGCTCTGATAAGATTGTACATACTATCCAACGCCAGCCGTGAAAGCCACGCATTCCATCCACTGTCAGACAGGTGAGTATTTTCATGAGTCAGATCCTGCGTAGCCGCGGCGCTGAGGTTTGGTTGCAAACTTACTCTTGCCTATTGCGGATGCGAGAAGACCTCCGAATGCACCAGCGAGCGAAGTACTCGAGAAGAACAGACTGTACCGCTTTTGTGCTTCGCTACGCTTGTACCACATGCCTGGAAAGTCCACAACATTAACAAGGTGCCTCCTTTGCAAGGGAACACGATCCGTCGTGCACGCCGATCTACAGATTCCCAATGACTTACCCAGGAGGTAGAAACATCCAGGAAGCATTCCAGTTTCGAAAAGTCCTAGGAAGAACCGTGTGACTAACAGGCCGGCATAGTTCTGTACTAGTCCCTGGCAAATTGACACAATCCCAAAGCCTAGCATACAGCCCGGCAGCGTTCATTGTCGGTCAGCAGGAGGTTCGTTCGGTGGCGGGGCCGGATGACACTTATCATATCTTAGGCGAGAATTTCTTCAGCATAATGTTGCTAGGAATTTCAAAGAAGACGTATGGTATGAAAAACATGGTCAAAGCTACCGCGCCATGTTAGATTCCAATTCCTAGATTCCAATTCTGTCCAACCCAATGACGAATCACAAACCGGTATTGTACTTGACACCATCGAGCGCCAAGTCATCAACCAAAGAGAATACTTTCGCGTTGGCTATGTTGATTCTGTCCAGATATGCTAGAAGATAGAGGAGAGTCACAAACGGCATCAAGCGAAAATCGATGCGGGTGACGATCCTGCGCTCGGTGGTGTGCGGCGGGCAGATCACATGAAGCTCGTCATATTCCACATGGCCGTTTCCAGGGTGGTAACTGTTGTCTCCAGCGATCTCAGTGGGGGACTGATCGACCGCGTCACCGTGAGCCAGCTTGGCTATAGCTGATGTTAGCCTAACGTCGGGCTTGGGAGGAAAAGATGGCGTTGTCAATCCCGAGCAACTCAGCACATTGGAACGGCGCCGCGGGAGCCAGGCCAGAGAAGGGAATTTGCGACATACCTGGATCCTTCTCCTTTCCGAACATCGTGCTGGGTGTTTACTTCGAATCAGCCGCCTATCCCGAGCCCCCGAAGTTGTTTATCCACTACGACAGGATCAAAGAGCCTCAGAAAAGGACATGGGATGATGGCGGATCATGAAAAACATGGGAATGTCAGCAATAAATACCAACCACTGGGCTGCTTCCCCAAAAGTCCCGATCGGTCGTTAGTCTCGGATGGGATGCCCAGTCGAGTGGGCCTCGGTGGTACTCACCATTCGACAGCAAGAGCTGAGAAATAGACTGGGGGTGTGAGCTGCGTCAGAAAATGGGCTTTCAGGATCACGGTCACGCGGGTCCAGGTCGAGCAATCACTTGCATTACCATCACACATATTTTCCGTGGCGATACGTCAGCAGCCAAATGATCCAACCTCATTCCCGAACATTTCGAAATTCTGCTGAGAGAGCGAGAGAGAAGAAGTTTAGCTTGAAGGGATGCCGATTTCGCGGCACCGAGGACTTGGCATCGGTACCTTCGACTAGGATTAACTCACTAAAAGACAACCGTGGCGCCCTTAGACGAAAACAGGGGCATCATAGTGGCGGGACGTTGGGACGGATCTTCGACGGGCGGCAAAGATGGTTCATGGTTCACTACCCGACCTACTTATCATGTTTGTGTCATCGTTGAACGAGAGGATCGATATTCGGTGTAAAGTCGGCTACCACAAGGGTGTCAACCAGCGCGGGTAGCACCACTAAGCTATGTAGGTAAGCCAAAGCAACAAGTCCATTAAGACGACCCTACGAAGGAAGACGCCGGTGCCGTCGTCCGGTGCTGGAAAATTTGCGGGGATCGGCTTTTGCGGAGAACTTGGAGCAAGGGACGTTTAACCCCGCACATAGTTGGGGCCATCTCGCAATTCTGAGGTACACAGGTACTTGAGAATGGTGGGGGGGAGTGGGGGCGACCTTGGTAGAGTGGATAACAGGATTCGTTGCCAACCGCGAAGCTGGATATACCTTGGATATTCAGGATTTACAATTTCAACTCACGATATGAAAATAGGAAAATATGTCAGTATGAATCCCAGTTGGTCCTAACCATGAAGGATATTTCAGTCACCTATTGAATCTCCCCATGAGTAGTCATAGTGATTGATCACCCTAGACATACCAAGAGGTACGCGCATGGCTTGTGTTCGGCATCATCGCTCGTGACGGAAAGATCAACTGGCTAGAGGTTAAAATTCGTACTGTTGAATGGAGGGGCCAAGGGATTGCATTATCTTATCGATGTAGGAATTTTGCAGAGATTTTGAAGGATATAGTTACTATGAGCTCACGGATAGCAGTGTGTAATCACATGTCCTTCGGTTCTAGAATACCGAAAATTAAAGAAAACCAGTCTTGTTTGGAATGTGTGTCGTCGAAAATGCAATAGTGAAGACCATAGTTATGTGAAGGTCTCGACGGATTCAAACTTGCTCGCAGTCGAACGTTAGCAGACGACCTACTCAGACTTACGACCGTTGGGCCGATTATTTCATCAGACTTCTAACGGACGTGGCACGACATCGATCTGAATTCAGCAGCAGCCAATACTCTGAAATTGGGGCAAGATTTGGATTGGCAGGAGATATAGAGTCAATCTTCACTCGGAAAACAAAGCCACCTCCTGGATTGCGCTGAAACCAGCATCACATCCACGGAGATCTCCGTTTGCAGCATTAAGCCGCATCTGCTGTTGTCCAGCCCAGACTACTGAAGTCGATATAAGCTCTTATGACCCACCACCTTCGCATCGTCGGCAGGATTTCCCCTGCCTAGAAGAGTTTACACGATGATTCTCGGATGAAAGCGATCTGTTGATTGGATGTCGCATTATAAGGTTCGAGACTCAGCAAAGTCTTCCATGGAATCTTGCAGCACAAGCTGAGCGGATATTGGTTTAGTAAAGCATCTTGTTTCATGATTGGGTCTAATCGGATGTTGGCCCGAAGACTGATGACTGAAAGCAGGTCTGATAATATGCCTTACTAACATTGTGGCTAGACCTCCAAGAACACGGAACTATCTTCCACTCGAAACGAACCTGCGGTGGTGTTAGTTCTGTCAAGAAGGAAACCCAACAAACATCGAAGCACGCAAGAAGGCCTCGAAACCCGCCACGTCTGGCTGGGTCATTGTAGAGTTTGTTTTGTCTGGCAAATCGCACCATTTTACCACGTTACATCCGCCATTGGCACGCATCCATCGGTGCCAAAAAGCTTAACATGCTAATCTGGCGTAGCGAGATCAAGACTCTCAAATTCACGTTGATCACGGTCAGCTCCGCGCATTCTGCCTCGGCTGGATCACCTTGCATTAGCTGCCCGGTGTTCCGGGGTCCCGGGAATCCCACAGTGCTACTGTCGTTGATTGCGCTTACCTGCCGCTCTGAGATTGGTTGGTTGATGACTTAGCTAGAGGCGAGCCGCCCCATTGTAAAGTGCTGTGTGAAAAGAAAACACAGGCTTGCCAGCAACAGGGTGCCACCCCAAAACGCCCCCCAACGATGGACCACACGTCATCCTGACCTGACGGAAGGTAAACCATCTCTGATCATACCCGCTTCTTCTTGGTATTGGCATACGTAGTAGAATATACCGGTCCTATTTCTGCGGGGTCTCTCGTACCCTCACCTCATCCGACCCTGTCTTACCTTACGATTGCGTGCTTCCTGCGAATTGCATTTAAGTTCGCGTTACCCAGGTTTGGAAAACTCTGGTCAATTGTCATCACGTCTTGAGCCGAGGCAGACAAATTTGCAAACAAGCTCAATCTTCCAACGTCCGTCTTGCAATTTAGCTCACATTGCATGGTTATTGTCTTCCCACCACACTGGTCTCACGCACGAAAGTACTGGTCATTCGCTTCAATTAGCCAAGATCCTCACGATGGGGTTCGAGACATCTCCCGATCGGGAACCCAAGGATGGGCGCAGTCCAGACTACGACACCGAGGCCATCCAGCCGGCGAGGCCCTCTGGACGATCAGCCTGGTTCGGTGGCCCTGGGGTCAGCATTGGACCTCGCATCGCGCCCGTGGTTGTGCCTGTCGATGGCGGGTCCGAAAGCGACCTCAGCAGCAACGAGATATTGCTCAAGCAGCGCGAGATTGAACAAAATGCTGCCATCCAGTATCGTACCTGCAGTTGGCAAAAGGTGTGCTGTCCAATCCCCGTTTTGTAGTTTTTGCCCAGGCGGGAGCCAAGCCATTGGCAAGTGCTGACACTGGTGTTGATTGTCGCCAAATAGACAGCTGCATTATTATTCTCCGAATACATCTGCTTAGTAAGTTGACTCGAATGCCCAGCGGGATGGCTGGCCATGGCCGTATCAACCAAACCGAGCGGCCTTGGTTACGTTCTCCCTCGCTAATTATGAGGATAAGTCGGCAGCTAACTAACTCGCTGTAGGCTATCATGAGCTTCCCCTGGTCATACAGCATTCTGGGGTTGGTGCCTGGGTAAGTAGTCAAGCCTTCTTGGCTCTCGGCGAAGATCTCTTGGCTAGATCGCTTACATACATCAGTATCATTCTCACCATTGTACAAGCCATGATCGTACTGTACACGTACGTTGCTCTCACTCACGCCACCCCTCGTAACCTGGCTGATTTCTGCTGGACAGTTCGCTGGTCCTATGGGAATTCTGTCTGCGTCACCCCGAAGTTCGAGATGTCTGCGACATTGGCCAGATGCTGTTCTGGGGTCAGAAATGGGCATGGTGGGCTACCGCGATTATGTTCATCTTAAACAACACATTTATTCAAGTACGTCAACCATAATATCGCCATTGCGATTTTTTCAGATCACAGTTCTAATATCGTCTAGGGTCTACATATTCTGGTTGGCGCCAAATACTTGAACACTATGGTCGGCGAGAACTCCAGCGTCTCCTGTCAGACCGTCGTATTCGGAGTTGTGGTGCTTCTAATATCCTGGGTCTCTTCGCTGCCACGTACCTTCGACATGCTCTCTAAGCTTGGCACAGCTTCTGCCATGTTTACCTTTGTTTCCGTCCTATTGGCTGCTATTTTCGCCGCGGTCGAGGCTCATCCCGCCGGATACAGTGTCGCTCCCGGCGAAGATGCGACTACACCATGGGGTAGCCCGGTTGTTACGGCAATCCCGCTCGTGGGAACCACCTTCGTCTCTGGACTAAATGCATTCCTCAACATCAGCTATACATTCATCGGTCAAATTACGCTTCCCTCATTCATTGCTGAAATGAAGGAGCCGAGAGATTTCCCCAAGGCCTTGTGGGCATGCACCATTCTAGAGATCTTAGTCTTCTCTGTCGTCGGAGCCGTCATTTACGCTTATACTGGCAACCAGTATATGACGGCACCAGCATTCGGGTCTCTGGAGCCGCTGTACAAGAAGATATCATTCTCCTTTATGATCCCAACCCTAATCTTCTTGGGAGTATTGTATGCCTCTGTCTCGGCTCGGTTCATCTTCTTCCGCATTTTCCAGAACTCTCGCCACAAGAACGAGCACACCGTTGTCGGCTGGGGTAGCTGGGCTCTCATTCTACGTAAGCGAAGCGGTATTGTTTTCTCTGCGGAGTTTCGGCTAACGCAACGACTAGTGGCCACGTGGATCGTGGCTTTCCTCATCGCGAATGTGATTCCGTTCTTCTCATCTCGTAAGTGCGAACAGCTATCCGACCTAAGCATTCTGCTAACTCATTGCAGTTTTGTCATTGATGTCGTCACTATTCGACTCTTTCTTCGGTTTTATTTTCTGGGGCGTAGCATACTTTAGGATGCGAAAGGCTGACGGTTCAGTCGCACTGATGAATGACCGCTCATTCCGTGGCTGGTTTGAGGGCATTCTTAACATCGTACGTATCCCGTCGTTGGAAGGCGCCGAGTTGCGTCGTATCGAACGCTCCGAAGGACCAATGCCAATGCCAACTCCTTCCGCAGTCTACTGACGTAACCCACAGATCATCGTCCTCACCGGTATTTTCTTCCTTACTGTGGGCACTTATGCCAGTGTTGAAGGCATCATTGAAGAATTTGAAGCTGGAACAGTGGGAAGTGTCTTTCAATGTGCAAGCAATGGCATTTAAGGATGGCGGACGTGATTGATAATGTCTGCGCATTTTTCTTTGGCTAGATACCCCGGGACGAGGTTCGACGAAACGGCTGCGATGAAAGGGGAAAAGCGCAAATCCCGCTCGAATTAACGAACACGACAGGAAAAACGGACAATCGGAGGCTGGAGGACTAGGGGGTTCTTTGTTTTGGGCATATGGTCAGCGCACTATTGGCTCAACATAGTAATGCATAGAAGAGGCCCACTCATGGTGGCCTCTTCGGGATCAAGCTTCTGATCTGCATCAGTTGGTGTCCACCAGCCACCAGAGACTTCTAGTCTCCTGATTCTTCCATACGAATTTTGTCTTATGGTTGCGCAGCTACACGCTTTTATATGTACCCGAGCTAACTTATCACAGACTGACTAACCCTAGCAGGAATGCCTACTCGACGAGATGCATGGTATCCCGACTTTGCCCCCATATTACGCTAATCAAGCTATCCTATTGACCTAGGAAGGGATGTGGATGGCGTCCTTTGTTAGCATCTCACAGATAAGTATTGAAGTGAGCAAGCTCCGTAAACAGACGAATCGTGGTGTGGCAACAATAAGCTGGTCGCATGGATCTACTTCTCCTGAGCAATCATACCTATGAAGACGTTCGGGCAGAAGGAGCTGCGGCGTCTAGGCAAAACAACACGTACTAGACTACAGCTTCGACCTCCAAAGTTCTGCCATATTTTGCATCAATGTCGATGGCTTGAGCGTGCTGGCCTGGGGTCACGGTTCTGCCCCTCGAGGTGAAAACCCCACCAGTGACACCACCTTTGTGGAAAAGCAATGGGATATCTTCGAGTTCTAGCCCTTTAGTCTCGGGGTAAAAGAAATATACCATAGGGATGAAGGCGGCGTTCAGAACGGCGAAGATAATAAAGGTACGCCATTGGATGTTTTCTGCGCTGAAGATTAGTAGTCAAAGATCGGTAGTTTGGGGACGATGAATGAGAATCGCTGTGGCTGTTCAAAATTGGTGGCAAGAAAGATACTTACCAAAGGAGATTGGAGTAATTTTAACGACTGCGAAGACAGCCATCCAATTCCAGCCGCTGGCGATAGCTTGCATCTTGGACCGAGTTCGAGTGGTAGCGAGTTCGGAGGGGAAAAACCAGGGGACTGGTAACCATCCGACGCCGTAAAACAGCTGGAACAGGAATATGAAGGCGACAGATGCATACGCAGGACCCTGCTCGCCGGTAGACAAAAGAATGGAAACGGCGACGAAACACAGGCACAGACCGGCCGAACACGCCATGAGCAGAGAGCGCCGTCCGAAGCGATCCATCAGCAGGACCGGAATGGCAGATCCGACTAAGAAGGTGCATTGTGCACACCCGCCCAATATCAGCGACATGTGGCGGTCCAAGTTGACGGAATTCTGTAGGATCACGGGCAAGTAATAGTTAATCATATTGGAACCCGAGAACTGCTGGCCGAGCTGGACGGAAATAATCAGGAGTAAGCGTCGTAGGTTCTGCAGCTCGCCCCAGCTCAGGAGCTCGCGGAATTTGAACGGCCCATCCTTATGCTCTTCTTCCAGCCCCGTTTTGATGTCGAGTAAAACGCGACCGACGCTCTCGTCGTCGAGGGGCCGGTCGGTGATGGCGGAGATGACGCTACGTGCCTCCTCATGTCGATCGTGGGCGACGAGCCAACGGGGTGTCTCGGGTAGCCCCACGATCTGCAGCATGAGCAGCACGGCGAAGATGGCTTGAAAGGCCAAGGGGAACCGCCACTGAAACGACGACGTATACGAGGCGGTGGCGTAGTCTGTCCAATACGCAATTACCACACCGAGGATAGTGACAGTTCCCTGTAGCGTCAGGAGCGCGCCTCGGATACGTGCGGGCGCGCACTCGCTCAGGTAAACGGGCGCTGTCGCCGAGTTGAAGCCGTTTCCAATGCCTGTTACTATACGGCCAACGATGAGTTGGGCGACGGTGGATGAGCTGCCCAGGAGGGCTGCACCGATGATCATCAGAGCCCCACCCATCATCAGCATAGTGCGCCGGCCGAAGCGCTCGCCGACGAAGTAGCAGGCGATGGACCCGATGACGCAGCCGATGTCATAGAGCGCCGTGATATTGCCTTCCATGTCAGCTTCGGGGTGGTTGAAGTCCTGTCCAAAGCGATTGTCTGCGCCGATGATGCCTGCCATGACACCTGAGAAGAAGGGTTAGCCAGGGATGTTCATGGGTCGAAAGGAGTGAGACAGAAGTCGGATAGAAGTCGGTTCTACACACCTTGGTCATAGCCTAGCAGCAGGAAGGCTTGACAGGAGGCGGCCGTGACGGCAAAGACTAGCCTCGTGCCCCGAAAGTCGTGTTTCCATAATGCCACCATCTTGACTCAGCAATAATCATACACGTTGTATAATGAACAGCTAACAACACAGGGTCACAACTAATGAGCACCAGGGGCAAGAAGCCGCATTCACACTCACCCAGACAGTCCGTCCTTTGGGAGTTAAGCTGACAGACAACTCAACTTTTTCTCTCGCTCTGGCAGCCACCGAGGCTCTAGACTCCCAAGCTAGACCTCATACCGTTCCGAGACACCGGATCCTGAGAGAAACTGGGATACTGGGCTGCAGAATGGAGTATATCATGATGTCAGCTGTGGACGCCTTTCCGGGGTTCCCCGCAAAGGGGGGTTTGAACCCCGGCATATGAGCGTGTCCACAAGGGGGCACTGTGTCGAATGAAGTGTAAGACCGAAGGAAACCGAGTTTTTTGGACTTTTACTCGTTCCCAAAATTGGTAGAGGCTGAGGCCGTGGTTCGGGGTATTGACTGACCGAAGAGTTTTGAGGATGAATGTTTAGGCAAGCATCTGGAATCTAAACGTTGGGTTTTATCAAACCTAGGTTTGATGTTATGCTCATGTCTCGATTGGATGAGTAGAAATGAGTTGAACGAGGTTGGTTCGACTATATTGGTACACATGGTTCAACTTGCCAATTTAGCCCGGCATTCTCAGAAAGCCCCAACGCTCTGGGGCTCAAAGATCGATGAGACGCATATACGCGGTGGCTTCTTCGACATATTTATATAAGGCTTAAACGAAGATAGTTCTTGTATATATATCCACAGAAGCAGAACTACTCACCGATAATGGTTGATTGGTAATGTACCCAAGTGGGTTCGGCAGTACCTCTTGAACCTATTCATTCCTTGCATAAAATACTAGACAATGGCTTGTGGCAGTAAATAGTATGCAAAGTGACGTACTAATAACCCAAGACTCCCCAAAGCACCTTTACCAAATTCCTTTCAGTGTTATCAGTGCCTCTTCGGTATGGCTCAAGGTATTGGCCGCCCGCCTCATTATCGAAACATTCTGCTAGTCAGAATCTTCTGTTAGACCGGCCTGCCTAAAACATAGGTTGGGCTTCCAATCAAATAAGTACCGCGGTAGCTCTTCAAATACGGTAATTTGATGGAGGATGACTGTATTTCACCGCAAGTCCAAGCTTAATCATCATTGGACTGTTGTCCAAAAACACCATTGCAATTTTACGCCTCGCGGGCCGTCCGTACAGTCTGATCTTAAAGCATTCTTCATTTTACAGTACATATTGTAGGCATTAATATGCAAATAGATGACCTGCACAGGTCTCACATTGGTACAAATGAAGAGGACACTCGAAGTCCTCTTGTCGTTTTCCTTTCCCCTCCCTCTATCCGACAAAGGTTCAACCTCCTTTTCTGCACTAGCTTCCCAACGTCGTCAAGCTACCCTAACCCCGAGACGTTATCCTAAACATACACATCGTATCGTCCGTCGTCGTCGAGAAGTCCGGTAGAGGTTAAAATGAAAATAACACCAACAACACCGCCACGACCACGGTTCATTCAATAATGTGGGTGGTCCACGTGCAAGGACAAAACTCCCGCTCCTACTACATAAGCTTCGTTCGAGAAAATAAAGGAGAAACCATCTTGAGTATCTCGAGAACTTCGGTCTTTGATTTAGAAAAGAAAAAAAAAGCCTGCCTCCCATTTCGGTAGAGAAAGCACATGCGAAAAAAATGTGCGTCTTGGTCTTTCAATTCCACCGGCTCGATGGGCCAAGAATCTCGTTTTGGGAACATGTCCTGGAAACATTACAACTCTGTACTGAAAAAATGCCATATAAACAGGCCTTTTTGGGTGGGGGTATCCAGTGGAAGTTGGCTTTTCCATACTTGGTTAAAAAGGCCACCTGTGTGCCACAGGCGCGAATCCACCGAAAGCGTGATCACCATTTTCGCCCTGCCAGAACCCCGATTCCGTATTCTTCGAGCCACAAACAACCACTTAAAAACAAAGCAAGAACAACCAAGTGTCTTGTACGGCTACTCACTCAACCACAGTGCAACCCCCGAATCGCGGCCCACACTCGCGTGGCAGTTTCCTCCTCCTAAGGAGCTCTCGGCCTTTCGTCGTGCGTCCTAGGCACCGGTGGTGGGGACATTGGTAGAGGGATGTCTGCAGGCATCTGTGATGGATGTGCGCCTCTTTTCTCCTCATTGCTTCTCTTAATGTCGAGGCTCTTTCCTCTGAAAGATATGGACCCATGGGATCCATGGGACCCGTGGCCGCTTTCCCCTGGAGGGGACTTGGTCCGCTTGTGGTCGGCGTTTTCTTTGGCCTCTCTGTACTTGCTCTTAATCCAGCCAAGGGGCCCTCGAGATTCATCCCTTGTGTCCCGACTTCCGGCCTCGCTCTCTGCTATAGTCGCAGCTACGTCTGAAGACTCACCAGTCCACGATTTTCTAGGGCGATGTCCGCCACTGCCTATAGATGAAGTGCTCGCTTCCGCATGGCTATTTGCACCCAGATTCTGAGCCGGCGAGGTTGGTATCATTTCCTCCTTTCTTCGAGATATCCTCCAACGTCGTTTCTTCTCCTTGTCTGCTTGCTCGCTGGTAGTTAATGTAGGCGCGGGGAGGGTATCTTCCACCTGGTCTAGGTCGGAGCCTTCGTTGAACGAGGAATGGAGTGATGTCGACGGTGAATTCTTGGGCTTCAGAGACCTATTGCTTTCCGATGCGGGCGCGGGGAATGCACTCGCCGAAGGGACCGAGGGGACCTGAGAAGCTCTTGGAGTAGGTTCAGACGGAGTCTCGGTCAACGGCGCGTTCTCGGGCACGGATTGCTCTAAATAAGCCGTCTTCTCCGGTTGACTAGACGGTTCGACGGCTGGGGAAATCGCTCCGGAATCTGTCAGGGACGCGGTTGAGCTTTGCGCACTAGGGTTAGCACTCCCGGGCATCCTCTTTTTCCGGAGCTTATTCGGCTGCCGTTTCTCGCTGTCGGAAGTAGGCGAGCGCTGGAAAAGATTCTGCAGCGCAGCCCTTTCCTTGGCCGGAGTCGCGGCTTCCAAGGTTGGCTCTAAAAGTCCCTCCTGACTTCGGGCCGCTGCGCTGGGTATAGGCATCAAAGTCGAGCCTGACACCATGGGCGTCACACTTGAAGTTGCAGGAGAATGTCGCTCTGAGGCGGGGGCCGCTTCTTCACTTACAGTGGACGGAGGAGCAAGACTCAGGCCAATGGGTGAAGGCGAGGCGGGTGCAATCGCCACAGCAGGCGAGTCGTGTCGGTTGAAGCGGGCCGAGGCGATGTTGGGCGACTTTTTGGATGGGACAGTGTTGCTTCTAGCAAGTCCGCCGCTGGCAGTCGAGACCAATGCTGGGCTGTTTGGTGTTGAAGCACCGTTCGAGTGCCGGGAATGCCGCGAGGACGTGGAGCGATTCCGTCGGATCTTGCCATCTCTGCTGACGCTCTCGGCACCGGCGCTCGCACTGGAGGCTGACCTGGCGACCCCCGACTTTCGACTTGGCGTCGAAGGCGAGACGATGGGCGGGGTGCCGTTTTCAATGTCCTGCTTCGTCTTCTCGTCTGCTGCAGTACCCTGCATACCGATCAGGAAATGATCTTGGTTCTCTATCAAGAAGATGATAACACATTGATTAAGACGGTATTCCTCGGGGGCCATGGCATGGGCTGGGTGCGACAGCATGCCCGGCTGAAAGATGGCCGCCAAGTTCTGGGCCGTCATGCGGTTCTCGTCAGCCTTAGCGGCAAAGACTGCCAGCAAATCCAAGATGTAGAGAAGCAGTTGTCGGTTGAGAGGCGGTAGGTCCTTGATCAGGGCTTGGTACTTGGTGATGGCCTCCATTTCGTTGAAGTTCTCCACCAACTGGGTGCCTTCGGTGTCGCCTACAGCTTGCCTCGTGTGTCCACGGAGAGGATCTCTGAATTTCTTGTACAGTTCCAGTGGAACTACAGGCTCCGGCAGGTCGTTCAGGTAACGGCGAAGGACATTAGCAGCATCATGAACCGTGTAACCATCCCAGACCAGGCCCTTTCCATAACGATCTGGCGAGTCGAATGCTAGCTTTAGCTCTTTGATCCGTTTCTCTGACCCGCTGAGACGAAAGATACCCTCAACCCCCGTAGCTACGGAAGCATGGAATGTCAGCTTTCCAAGACTGTAGTATAAGGTACGTAAGTACTGATAGAGAGAGTTTGACCCACCTTTCTCTTTCAAGAAGACACCGCACTTGGCAACGACAATGGGTACATATCCGTAGATGTAGCTCTTCCCGTCATCGTCCACAAGAGAGATTGCGACGTTGGCATATGTGATGCTCTGCCGTAGAGGCACGCCAAAGATGCCCGGAGGTCGCGTTTCTGAGAAGAACCACGTTAGCCATGCTGATGCACCCCCCACATGGACAGGCAGTGCCTCATTTGAGATGCTTGGGTGGCTTTGTCCGTCAATTGTGTCCGTCGCAGCCTTACCTCGGGTGTCATGGTGTTTTGACTGGGTTTGGAACCTCTTCCACCACGACTTCAGATCCCGCTTGCTTGGCGGGGACGTAGGGTTTGTTGGCGCTTGAACATGTTGCTGCGGAGGGCTGGTCTGCTGCTGCGGGGGTTGCTGAGGTGGTTTCGAGGGTGTCGCGGCGGACGTCATTATGTGATGACGCGCGGGAGGACCGCGACGGCGAGAAGCGATCGAGTCGTGAGAAGCGTCGATTCAATTATTGCGTGGCCAGTTGCAGGAATCGGCGACTGAGACTGATCAGAAAAATGATGAGACGGGGAATGCAGACGCAGTCAGGGAGGTTGCGCAAGACTGGGGCAACGGCACTGCAATGCGATGGCCAGATGCGGTGACTGTGGATGCGGTGGTGTGTGTATGTATGGGTGGGTGTGTGTGTGTACGTCTTTCGTGCTGCTGAACAGTAACGGTGGGTGGCTGCGTGGTGTGGCTAGCTAGAGGTGTGGGAAAGGGCTGGCAAAATGTACCAGAATGGTAGGTAATTGTTTCAGCGAAAGAGATGAATAGCGGTAGAGGGCATAGAACAATAGAGCAGGTGAGCCTGTTTGGAAAAGGGCGGCGAAAAGGGCGACGCGACGGCGCTGGTATCGTGTGGTGCGTGTGAGAGGGTGATGTATGGATATGGTTGATGGTGTCGCCCGGCTGCCTATGTCAGTGCTGGTGTGCTCTGCTCTGCTGGTGGTACTTTAGCCCCAGAACCCCAAATGAACGGACAGGACTCCAGCGACTGTGCCCAGAAGAAGGGTTGCAACCGTCCAACACGCCTTGAACAAGCGTCCAATTCGGTTCCCTCTGATCTATGGCTGGGCTCACAGTGCCAATTTCGTAAACCGTACAAGTAAAAGCTACTAGTACATCAAACAACCAGTGTCTTTCTTGGTTTGCCTATCCCTTGGCTCACGGTGTCTTCGCTCCAAGTCCACCGTCGTTCGGTCGCTTTTCATTACTATGCGATGACTGTCGTACATACCTATGTTCAATTGCTCAACTGGCAATCTGTTCCAGCAAGCAATTCACCCAATTAAGCATTTGAATGGTTTTGTGTTCGTGTATGCGTACTTGAACCTTCCATGCTCGAATGTTAACTGCGTACTTAGATATTTGACTGTTGAGCTGACTAGCCTACTGCTTGTAAGTAGTGTTGAACTCAATGGCAGAGAGCCTCATGTGAGACGACAACAAGGCTGGACAAAGACATGTCAACATCGTTTTCGCAAGTGCTGCTCATTTCTTCAAAGCTATGGTTTCGCCGCACCCGTTCGTGCTGCATTCTCACCAAGTCGATGCTAGATATCGGCCAGTCTCTGCAATTTCTTCAAGGATATTTGGTCGCACGCGATGCCATGATGAGCACTTCGAATGCCGGCCGAGTGGGCCTGGGCCCTGTTGTTTTAGAGTATCTTCCATCCAAACGTCACAAGGGTCTCGTGAGCAAAACAACTCCCCCCAAACTCTATCTCATCCTACATTCAACCCTCCCGAATACCATGTGGTGGTAGATTCAATGCATTGACAATAATAAAGTGAGATGAGATGCCATATCCGAAGTCCGAGGATATGTCCAGTGTCGCGTTCATGAGCACAGTATGCAAACTATCCGGTCGTCTGGTGGGGCCGAAATCGAGTTGACCAAAAAGCAGGCCAGGGTACCGGTAGCTCTGCACTGGGCTGCTGTGGTGTGTTCGCTTAACTCATTCCCTTGAGTCGTGCCGATCGTACCTCATCAGGATGAGCAAATCTGGGATGGCAAGCCGGAGTCTCAGGTCTGGACCTCTATAAACATCGTCCTTGCAAGGGTAAAGGCCGTGACTTGATTAGGTCCAGAATATTGTCGACCCTGTTTGATTTGATGCACAGCGAATTCCCTTGAATGCTCCGTTTGTTAGCCTTTGGGGGGTTTCTCTCCCTCTGATAATGATAAAAGAGTCCTGCAACCAAGCTTTCCCTACAGTCCTCAGATGAATATTTCATGCCCGATGATCTGGGATTGTCCCCTCTTCAAGCTGCCGCCCGTCCTCAGACCTGGCAAGCCTGGGGTTGACGTCCCTCGCCGCCGCCCAGATCATAATTTCGCAGTTGCCATGCACCGTTCGCATCGCACAGCCACAATCCAGAACAACCGACAGACAACAAGCTGCAAATAACAACTTGCCAGCTAGGGCAACCAAGAAGCTGGTCACGCCAGTGGAGTTTGATGGAGAAAACGGAGGTGCGACCGGTACGACCTCGTCATACTACATTTCTGTGACTAGGGCTGATGCATTGTAGGCCAACGGCCAGCAGCGAAGAGACAGAAATGACGTCTCGGCTGCCGGCCCAGCGTGGTATTTCGGGAGCACCCAACGACCAGCAAGGGTAGCTCAGCAGGCTGTGGTCACCAATCCGCCTGCCAGCCGTCAAAAGGGGAGCAAAACTTCCAAATATGGACCAAGCTTCTTCACCTTTACGACAGATGCTTCCCCGGTGAGGCCGATTTGCCGCGCTGAATCTAAGCTGCCGTACCGAGTTCTTATTTTTGCTCCAGCGCCCCTCACGCCCCCTTCCATCTACTCTGCAATAACCAACACACTTTATCCACTAGGTAGCTGTCGATTCGTTTCTCTTCGTTCCTCCGGTTCAATTCGTCGCATTTCCATCATGTTTCCAGTGCGGCATGCGAGTTGCGACAAAGATGAGTCGCAGTCGTCGAGTCCATGATCACGAGAGCTTTCCTTACCCCTCTGTCGATCACTGATCGGCTCCTGAATGAACATGGAAGCTCGATCCTTAATCCTATATTTAGCCCACTGACGTTAGTCAACGCATGGCCTATGCAGGGTCGCGGGTGTCGACATCTTTTTGCCACTGGAACAATGTGGAGACTAGCAACTGGTGCCTACAACCTCGCGATGACTTCAATAAAGTGTGACTGACGTCCATGGCATGACTGGAGACATGCAATGCAGACTTGCAATCACGACACCACTCTGCAGATCAACGATTGAAGTCTGAACCTAACACACCACCTCACAGATCGCAACTGGCTTTTTGGTGTAACGAATTGTTGTGCTTCGTGGCGCCAGAGAACTTCAATCTCGCTGCCAAATGTCACTTTTAGCAATATTGGAGAATACGTAACCACAAGCGACGCTATCTTACAAATGAAAAGAGAGGCACCTTCGAGCGAAGACGCGAACTGCGTATCATCTGCATCGGCAAACACGTGTATCACATTGCGTACTTGCGGGGCTGAGCAATTAAGTTTTGAACTATTATGTGCATACAGGCATAGATGGATGTCGCAAACTGATGATCTGAAATCTCTAGAGGATTCGATTATTCCTCAATACTATTGTTTCTCGGTAGGCTAAGCTGGGACGGCCTTGTTTCGTTCTGTTTCGGGATATCTGAGATCGGTCAACTGTTTTAGCGATCGCCAACTATCACGACTTAGCTCTTAGGAAGAGATTGTCGGATACAAGGGAAGAATAGATAAGATATAGTAGCCTGCGCGCCTGCCAAAAGCGTGAATATATTGTGAGGTAGATTTGGCCCAATTGGGGTCTTCCAAGTGCGGATCAACTTTGCAAGACCAAGTCGCAATTCATACTAGCCAACCAACACGCTCATACCACATATGACTTGGCATGCGTAACCAACAAGAGCACAGATTGCGGCTCTGGAATATGAACTATGCCTACCTGGTATTCGGCAGGAACTGGCGAAAGCGGAAATCGTTAAGCACTAATTTACTCTTCTGTCTGGTATCTTTATTAGCCACTAAAAGACAGTACTGTTCGTACGCACTCGCAGTGACCAGCCTTTTTGAGACGGAGTATAGATAGCTCGTATCTATGAGAGGGTTGAAACAGGACTTTCTTTGTAGGGGCTAAAACACCAGCATCGTTTAACCTTTGCTTCTCGGCAGTAAACCTTACCCACTGCTCACATTTGATCCCAGGGACTATTCCTAGGTCAACTGAAACCCCAGCACGTATCGTCGTGTTGTTTCGCCGCATCTTGCCTGCAAATTGGTCCCGGGCTTCTACCAACTCACTTCAATCCAACTGTTGTATCTGTATGTGTGTAATCAACAATCACAGCAGCTACTAGCTCAAGCCAAGAAAGAGTTTTTGGCATATTGTTTTCATTCCAGCCGCTTGTCCTACGGGCTGTGTGCTCACTGAGAGCCGATATCAGTCTCTCATACTCCATCCTTATCCTGGTCCGTATCCCTAAAGCGTGGTGGGTCTGCTAAGCCTCGTCGAGATCTCCCTGATCAAACTCATTCCGCAGGTCACGTAGGCTAAACAACCGAGAGAAGTATGGAGAAATAAGGAAAAAGAACAATCGCAAAGCGCAAGGTAGACTGACCGAGGGAAACAATAAGTGACCAGGAGAGAGACAATAATCGTCAGACCATACCAGACCGTAACCCCTGAACACCAAATTCTCTCGTCCTATACCTGTTCAGCTCTGGGCGGTTGCCAGCTTCGCTCCTGAGATCCCTCAAGGACCGGAATGCAACAGACTCCTCCCCTCCTTGACCATGGAAATGAAGGAATTCCTAAAAGGGTATTCAGGCATTGCAAAAGCAAAACAACCCCGGCGCCTTCATCAACCTTGCCAAATCCGTGAATATCAGTCAAAGCCGTGCAGGTGGCGCCGTTGACCCTCAAATGCGCCAGGTTGCGGGTGCCAATCAACTCCCTTCTTCCAATGCGCACTCAAAAAAATAACAATACTGGCGACGGGTGTTTCCTTGATCCAATAGTGACCAAGTCGTCGCGATCCCCGACTATGTACCACTGGGCCCCTAGGAGACCGAATGGGAATATACGACAAAGCACATACCGGATGCTCAGTGCAAATGGAAAGTATGAGAACATGACCGGGAAAATGGAGGTTCCGACCTAACGCCGTTGTATAAATGCCCCCTGAGAAATAGTGCCAATGTGGGTTTCATCGCCCGGTTTCTCTTCGAAACTAGGTGTTCGAAATGGAACCGAAATTTCCGAAAGCCGCGGGACATTCGGGAATCGAGAAGTGCAGTCTCTGTGCGTTTCATCGTGAATCGTAAAAAGCAATTCTTCGTTCGTTGCAAGGACTACGTGGGATTGCTTCGCGAAGCGATATCGCCACTGCGTTTCTTGGAGATGCTTTGCTGTTGCGCCTTTGACGCATTGGCAATCATTTGCATCTTCTTCCGAAGACTGGCTAGTCTGCCTGAGATCATTTGAATCACTGTGATCGTCAGCATTGAGCCGCACGTAAGCCTTTTAAAATGGCAACTTACTCTTGTGAACCGCCTGCTGGTCGTCCGCGTTGATTTCGGATGCACCTTCCCGAATCAAGTCGCGTTCAACCTTGGGCGTCCCGGGGACCCTACGCTTGGACAAGTCTTCGTCGTTATCCAAAACGGCTTCCAGCATACGGATCGCAGTGACATAAGAGAGCTCGCAGCCTTTCAAGTCCTCGTTCGCAATCTCGTTGATAGCCGCGGTGCGGCTCATCTCCAGGGCTCGCTCATACATCAATTTCTCGGCACTAAGGCCACTTGTAAGTACAATACCTTCAGCACTAGATGCGCTAGTCGAAGCGGCCTCTTGCTGGTGGTTGCTCGGATGACTAGGATGGTCTTCGGGAAGTTGCTTTTGGGCATCAATCAGCTTCAATCTGACGATTTCGGCCTTCTCCAAGGTCTCGTTGAAGCGCTTGCGCACCCACTGGACGGCAGAGTTGACTCGAGTCACAAGGCTTTGGATTGCTGCCGAGTCACGGGCGATGATGTGCTGTTGGGTGCTAGAATCGCCTCCTCTAGCCTTGCGTGCCCACCAGATGCTGGCAATGTCCATCGATTTGGCAAGTAATGAGAGCGCCTTGACGTAGAGGACAAGTGCCTCTTCCGAAAGTACGACCACGGCTTCCACTGTCAGATCGTCATCCTCGGGTGCCAGCTTGTCAGCCGGCACACCGCCCAGACCATGATCCATGGACGGGGCCATGGGCACGAGCTGCTTGTACTTGACTTCGGCGAAGCCCCACACGCAGTCGCTCCGCGTAGCATAGTCTTCAATACACTGCGCAACCCGGGTGTCTTCGTCGATGGCGGCACCTTGACGGCCATCGGTAATAAGGCCAGCGGGCGCGGCCGGAGTCGGGTAGGTAGGGTAGGGGTTGTAGAGATGAGGAGGGGATGCTCCTTTGCCAAGCAGATGCGCCGGATACTTGAAACCAAATAATCTCAAGCTTGCGTCCTGGATTGCCTTAGAGATGACCGAAGTAGTGGAGCTGGGGCTTCCTGACAGGTTCTTGTCGTACGAGCCTCGTCGGTAATGTTCGGGGTGTTGATTGCCCTGAGCAATCTGCTGGGCCTTGGAGCGCTCCGCAGGTATGGCACCAGTAGTAGAAGTAGGAATTCCCTGCTGCGTAGCCCGGCGGACAATCTGGCCAGCTTTGGGCGACATAGCCTGCGCTTCTGCCCCCTGCGCAGCCAACTGGTCGGCGAATGCATTGACCTCGACCTGCCTCTTCTCCACCACAACATAGTCTCTCTCGAAGGCAATATCCTGGGCCACTTTATCGCGCTCGTCAGCAGCAGCGCTCTTTTGCTTTCCCCTGCCGGCATACTCTTTGAGAGCCGAAGAAGGCGGCGCCTGCTCGTCTCGTGAGTACTGTTTCAGCGAGGCATTAGAAAGCCCTCGCCGACGCCAGTCTTCTTGAAGCGCCGGCCGGCTAGGAGCTGACGTAGACGGAAAGGGTTGTGGTCTTCTAAGACTGAGACCGGGGGCATTGTCGTCGCGAGGGGAGTCGGCCAAGCGTGCGTTGCCCTGCGCTGGCTGCTTGTCGAAGGGGAATTCTGCTGGACTCGCTAGCGGTGAAGATCTCCGCGGCTTTTCACGAGGTGAGGACGAACCAGCCTCTTCCCGTGAGGGATCGGCATCGGTCATGTATTGGCGACGGAACGACAGGCGGCGAGGACTGGAACGCGGTTCGTCCGTTCTTGAGAAGTTTCGGATCTCCTTTGATGGCGCTCGTTTCACTTTGGGAACATCGTCTTCGACGACGCCGGGAATTGCTCCGGTGACTACCGGATGATTGAAGAAGTTCTCAAAACTCAGTCTCTCGACGGGATTCCGCTTCAGTAGTGCACGAATAAGACCTTTGGTCTCGGAGCTGACCTGGCATTCCTTGGGGAATCTGATCTGGTCATCGGCGTTCTCAATCTTTCTCAACAACTCAACGTGATTGCTCGCTCGGAAGGGGGGCTTGCCCGACACCATCTCATACAATACGGTTCCAACAGACCACAGGTCGGCCTTGGCATCGTATCGTTCGTAACGTAGGATCTCAGGCGCCATGTAGAGAGGAGAGCCACAGAGCGTCTCTGCCAACGAGGTAGCCGGCAGGACGCGGGCGAATCCGAAATCCGCGAGCTTGAGCATCGGCAGAGACTGTAAGCCCACGGCTGGTATTAACGAGTCTTGGCTGGCGCTGAGGATCGGCCGAGCCTCCTTGTTGCTCTCTCTGTACTGAACCGAGGGAAGAAGGAGAAGGTTCTGGGGCTTCACATCTCTGTGGACGAAATTACTCTGGCGGAGGAATTGCAATGCACTGGCGAGTTGCTGGAGAAAGTGACGGATAACCACCTCGTTCAGACCGGCATTGGGGACGGTTGGGTATTTGCGAGCCATATCGCATGTGGCGGGATGCGTTATCAGCTTGTCTCTCTTCTTAATAAACAATGATAGGTCTCCCAGCTCGCAGTATTCCATGATGAGGTTGATGTGGGTCGTCGACTCGATGCAGTCATGGAGGGCGACGATATGAGGATGGCGAAGCTTCTTGAGGATTTGGATCTCGCTGTAGAGGTTCTCTTTCAGTTTCTTGTTCAGCCGGGCAAGTTCGACCGACTTGACGGCAACCAGGGCCCCCGAGGACTATTGTCATGTTGATTAGCTTGAGTTGCTCCATGTAATCAAGCAATGAGTCAGCACTCGAGTTGCGAACAAGATACGCGTCGACTGGTCGTAACTGTCCTTGACTGCAGTTGACAACTGCTTGCAAAGCACGCGGAAGTGTACGATAGCCAAGGAAGTGATGCAAACGAGATGGAATGAAAGAATCGAGGGAGCTTACCTGGTGCTTGCCCTGGTAGACCTGGGCGAAGCTACCTTTGCCTATCTCAGACCCGATGACGAACTGGCCGATGGAACTGTCGCCTGCCCTCGACCGGCGCGAGGAAGAGTTTGAAGATAGACGGTCCGCCATGACCCCCTGTGGTTGTTGGCAGTGACAGGAAGCTGGGTTGTTGGAGCCCGTGGGCTTATAAGGGAATCGGGGATAAGGAGTCGGCTCGAGGTAGCGTCATGTACCTGCCCATTCAGGATGCGTCGATGGTTGGTTTCCAAGGGAACAAGAGAGCGGTCAAGAATAGAAAAGGGCACAATCCACGAGGCAGACGCGTAAGGTTAGAATGGAAGAGAGATGCTGGGGAGCTGTGTGCGTCTGGGGCCGTAGGTCGGGTCGCTGGAGATGGGAAGTGGATGAGTACAACAGCACACCTAGCGGCAGTTATCCGATAGGCGGGTCGTTGGGATGTCCTGGGCAGAATCGAGGCACGGTAAAGGGCGGGGACACTGTGAAATCGAGGCAGCGACAACGAGTGCACTTTGCAGCAGCCTGGGAGAATTTGATGCTGCCTGTTCTTGATGTGAAGGGGTAGCTGACCAGGACGTCGACGACGACAATAACAACGGCGAACGGGACACGGACGATAGCTAAAGGGTGGATTCAATGTATGTTGGAAGTATGCGCTGGGGTACTTTGACCGGTGATAACAGCGATAGAGCCCTGGGGCACTAGGCTTGCTGGGGCCGTTGGACGGGTGGTGGTTATACCTAGGCCGGGGGAGGGGGCTGCAAGCGGTTTGGCGGTCCTCAAGGTGGTAGGGTAGCAGCGGTACCTGGTTGGCTGTCCGATATCAACTGAATGACTCGGCAATGAATGACACAAACAGGACCCCGATAACTGCAACTAATGTCTTTATGCAGCAAACTAAACCTATAATCAAGTTGTACCTGCTTAGGGGGCGCGACGACGAGATATGAGGCAATCGGTGGACAACGAGGACGGGGAAGGTGAGGTGCTAGTAGATGGAAATGAGGAAAGAGAAGAGAAAGAAACGAGACGAACGTGGCGAGGCGAGCCGCATGGGACGATTTGATGGAAATGGAAGAAGTGGGTAGGACTTGAGCGTCAAGTCGTCAATTCCTAGCTTGTTGTTGGGCTGTACCAGTCCAGACGACTAGACGTCTCAACATGAAGAGCCCGGAGAGGGAGACTGACAAGAGTCACCGTCAGCCAGCCATTCACGGGCTGTGATTCACCTTGGGGCGCTGGCCTGCACCGGCCAAATGATGGTGCCTTGTGACAAATGTGACCCGGATTTGGCTTGACCTTGTTCTTTAGAATTGATAAGAGGACCCTAGCATGCTCCGATAACGTCCCTTTAACAACATCAGTCAGACCCACTGTGAACATTGAACTTGCATTGCCGCCACTATTCCGGCATAGCTTCTGGGTCTTTTTGTTCTCCACACAGCCCTGTTGTCAACAGGGAGCTGGGCGATCTGGTTCAATTTACACTGAACTGCCAGTGCTATGTAGCTGGGAAGGTACCGCCGGATGCCATACAAAAGCCCCGCATCTGACCCGATTGAGCAGGCAGGACCAAAAAATAATAAGAAAGATGTAAAATACGAGTTCCATGCTGCTTGCGCATATCAATCTTCTCCACTTGATCCCAGTTGGTCCAGGAGGTGTCCATGATGGGGGAGGGGAGCTACGCAGTACTAGCCGGGCTAGTAGAATGCTCACATAGTACTTTGAGACTTCGCTTTACTGCATATTCCGTTTGTCATTCGGCACCCCGGGACTTCCCAGGTGATGGACGAGATCGGAGCAAGCGGCTATGCCAATACGAGCTCGTCACTCATCTAAATCTCACTTGGCCAGACGCACAAGATGGGATGATGAAGAGTTCATGCTGTAATCAGCGCAAAAGTCAAGAAAGATCATGTTGCCGCAAGAGGGGCAAGAAAATGGATCACACGATAGCGCTTGTGATGTGATGACGGGATGCCACTTTGGAAGTTCAGGCGGCGCTTGGGGAAACAGAAGGAAGGGAAGGAGACAGGGTTCCTCCCAATGTGCCCAAGTGCATGCCTTTGTGTTGTGCTTATGGAGCATTGCACCAAAACAAGAGAAAGTGGATGGCATTGCATGAATCCACCTCTTTGTTCTTATCTTCCCCACGATCGGGAACCTTTGCTTATCAGAGGGAGAACACATGTCATTGTTCCCTCCATCACGGAGCTGCTGAATCAGTTAAGAACATGATGATGGTGCAGGATCCAATTAGCTAGTTGACTCGCCGCTGCATCGTGAACCATATGCCCGGCTTTCTCCTTCTACTTGCATTCAACGTTAGTGCAGATCGCTTCTCGACCTCAAAGATGCCTTCGTGCAGATGGTAGTAAGCCAGTGGATAGCAGCAGCATCGAAGTAGAATAATATGGATGGTTGCCGATGGTGATCTTTCCACCTGGTAATGACGGCATGCATCGTCTGGCCGTGGTTTACTCCGTATGACAAGTAATGCTGTAACAGGTTGTTCTGCATTTCAAGAATCGGGCTGTAGTGGAAGGTTCGCAGCCCTTGCGGCACGACCGACACCCAATTGAGCTTGCTTTTCCCGTTGCTTGTGGGAGCTCTGGTGAGATCGACCATCGGTATTGCAACGTTTGGCATAGTTTGGGGTAACCAAACATGCACTAAGACTGCAGCCGTCCTGCAGCGAATGGTCACATAGTTGCCTGAACAGGGCGAGACATGCTGATGAATGGACCAATAATTACTACAGCCTACTTTGCTTGCAACTTGACGCTCATGTAGCTGTGATGAATGGGGAATTCCTCAATTGGGTATCAAGTTACACATGCTTAGTACCGAGTTCGATCTAGGAATTAGCTGACCCTATTTGATTTTCATAAACACCTGGTACTATCCTTTGAACCATTCCTGCTCGTACGTTTCCATTGGGATGTGTTTATTGTCCTCTGTATCCATGATCCTCATAGGTCAACCCGCATACTAGATAGAAGAGGGGGGGGGGGAGACCTCGGGCTTACCACGCTTCCCCTCCACCTCATAGATAGCCTTGCTAACTCGCCCTCACTATTTTCCATTTTCCACTCTATATTTTCCTGTCAATGCGGGTTCCGTCAGACACCAACGCCACCTAATTCACAAATAATAAAGACCTTGTATATGTGTCACTGCGGGGTGTGTGTCGGACAAGTGTGGGGTGGTATCAATTCTCCAATCCCACATGAACGTCCTCGTGCTTCTTCATTTTGGGCAACTCTGTCAAAGCCTCACCGATGATGGTCACGGCCTTACGAAGCTGCATCTCGGAGATAACCAATGGTGGTGCAAAGCGAATGATGTTGCCATGCGTAGGTTTAGCCTGTTTCCAAAGTCAGCCTCTCAAGTTAGAGAATTATAAGTCGAGGTTGATGTTCGTCGTACCAAAAGTCCCTTCTCCTTGAGCAGAAGACACAAGTCCCATGCCGAATGCCCCCCGGTTTGCGACTCGTCAATCACGACAGCATTGAGCAGACCTTTGCCCCGAACAGTCTTGATGAGTGGCGACTTGAGAGCAGTCAAGCTATCCCGGAAGATGCTGCCCAGTTTCTCTGCTTTCTCAGTGAGTTGCTCCTCTTCCATGATCTCAAGCGCGCGAATGGAAACAGCGCATCCCAATGGGTTGCCACCATACGTGGATCCGTGGGTTCCAGGCTCAACTACGAGCATGATCTCCTTGCTACTGAGGACACAGCTCACAGGGTACATGCCACCCGAGATGGCCTTCCCTAGCGTGACCATGTCTGGCTTGATTCCAGCCCATTCGGAGCATAGCATTCGCCCGGTGCGACCGATTCCAGTTTGGATCTCGTCGCAGATAAACAGCACATTGTGCTTCTTGCAAAGCTCTTGGACCTTGGCCAGGTAACCTTCGTCGGGGACGACAACTCCCGCCTCGCCCTGAATAGGCTCGACAATGAACGCAGCCGTCTGCTTCCCATGAGCCTCGAGGACTTCCTCCAAATCTGCGACATTGTTGTATCGGATCGCTTTGCCGGTAGAAGGGCTGAGGGCACCAACATTGGGCACATATGGACCATAATTGTCTCTGGACTCCGGGTCGGTAGATAACGTCACTGCTGTCATCTTGCCGTATGGTTAGAGTTGGGTTCGAGTAGGCCTGGGTATACTGACTGTTCGACCGTGGAAGTTCTCCTCGACACCGAATATCAAGGCATCGCCTGGAGCAACGCCCTTCACTTTGTAGGCCCACTTTCTCGCAATCTTGATGGCCGTCTCTACGGCCTCAGCCCCCGTGTTCATTGGCAGCACCATGTCGTAGCCAAACATCTGCTGCACTTTCTCTGCCCACTTGGGGAAGACGTCGTTATGGAAAGCGCGCGAACTCAATGTAAGTCGGCCTGCTTGTTCCGTCAGAGCCTTGACCAGCTCGGGGTGGCAATGACCTTGGTTGACTGCGCTGTAGGCAGACAGGAAGTCGATGTAGTGCTTTCCCTCAGGATCCCACACGTCGACGCCTGAAGCACGAGCGAAGACAACCGGCAAGGGGTGGTAGTTGTGAGCCGCATACTTGTGCTCGGAATCAATTGCACCCTGGGTCGACGAGGCATGGTACCGAGACGTCGAGATGGAGCCGTTGCCAGACTGGCTGCCGTTCGCATGAGGAGCCATGGTGAGAGAGTAGTTGCAAGTGCGCACGCAGCAATGGCTCAGTGGAGGATGCTCTGTGAGAAGCAAAGCAAGTTGAAGAGAAACCAAGGCTGGAAGGGGAACAAGAAGCCAGGTCAGGCTCGAGAGACAAAGAGATCAGGAATGAATAGAAGGTGGGGTGAAGAACCAATGACAGGCTTGATTTAGGTAATATACCTTTGCGTATGCTCTGGTGTCGAAGTGCCTACCTTCCTTTAAGTACCCAGCAGAGCGGGACAACCCTGGCCACTAGTCTAAACCCCTAAGTGCAAGTAGAAGCGGCTCTCTCATGCAGAGTCGAGTCTGACTACTATGGTGTTATGGATAAGTTTTCAATTGTGTGTTTGTACCGTGCCCCACCTTGGCACGCGCTAACTCTTGGCATATGCATCCAATACATTTTACTAGTACTTTGTATGCATTCCGTTGGCCGCGATCACCGCTTCGCACCTCTCTGGCATTGATTTCAAAAGCTCCTGTAAGTAGCTCTCAGGTAACTCATCCCAAGCCTCCTTTACCCATATCCGAAGACGATCATAGCTAGGCTTTTCAGTAATACCGTATTTATCTTCAATGTAGTCCTTCATCCAGTTCCAGCACATCTCTATCGGGTTTAGATCAGGGGAATAAGGTGGCCACTGGACTATATTAATGCCCCTATCCGTAAGATCTGTGACTGTATCAATTGCCGAGTAAGCGGGAGCGCCGTCCTGCATTAATGTAAGGTGTGTACCGAGGTCTCGTTGACAGAGTTGTATCCAGCCATCGATAATAGAAATTGTGTGGGATCGATATGTCTCGGCAGTAATAGAACCCCAATCCTTTTCCCAGAAGATTCCCGGTCCTTTTCCAAGGCCTGAGAAACAGCCCCAGAACATCCAGCCTTGTTTATGTTGGTGTCGTTCGATAATACAGGTCGGGTCCCATTCCTCTCCTGGTCGTCGTGTAACGTACTGTTTTCGATGGTGTCCTCCTGTAATCCATGTCTCGTCGGTCCAAAGTACCTGAGCCCATTGCTCTGGTGTCCAGCTGACATGTTCGAGGGCCCAGGCGAGGCGCTTTTGTCGGTTAACTTCTGAGATAGGAGGCTTTCGGCGCGCAGTATGTCTCTTGAATCCGAGCCGGCGGAGGGTAGTTCGTATAACGTAAACTCCGAAGAGGGACTGGAAAAGGATGATTGACAACTGGAGGAATGAGGCTCTACGGCCTTGCTTAGAACTAGTTACATATGTAACGAGCTCTTCTTCTTGCTCACGAGATAAAGTCCGGGGTCTACCAGATCTCTTAGCTACCTGGCTTGAAGAGGCCTTAATAGCTGTCTTGATCTGATTAAGAGAAAATGTTGTAATAGTATGAATTTCGGCTTTCGATTTACCACCGTCGAAATAGAGGGTTCGAATTCGTTGGCGATCGGCTTCCGTAAGGTGTTTAGTCCCCATTGTGGTTACTGAAACGCGATAATGAGGACGCGTTATTGACAGCAAGTTGGAATCAGACGTGGAAGTACCTTTTCGTTGGCATGAGTAGGCTAGGCCAGAATTAGTATAGCGTTGCCTTGGCAGTGGTCCACGGGTACTTGTCAGGGGGTGAAAACTTTGGCCTGATACCGTAGTAGTTACAGTGACATCAAAATCGAACGGGTCGTCACATGGTGCCTGGGGTTCCCCAGTTCTTTCCGAAGCAAAGCGGTGAACAAAGATCACCAGTGGTGAATTTGGCAGCTTGTTCTGTGAACTCGCATGAAGAAGCTTTGAGACGGCTTCCAATGGATGCAAATATTTGTCGACAGAATTGCTGCTTTGCTTGACTGCTCCACGGGAGAGCGTCTACTGGCTGATGTCAATCTGCCGTAGGCCGGGTATCTCCGCTCTCGGGCCAATCAGGCATTTCACCTTGGAAATGTCAGTAGTGCAGCCAGAAAGATCAAAGTTGTAGTTAGGGTCAGAGAGAAGTTTGCTGCAATTGCTCAGTGACGCTGGGCGACATGTGGGGGCCCCCATTTGAGGTGGGGTGTCAGCTCGCCAACACATTTGCTGTGGCTCAAGTTTGGCCGGCAAACTGTGAGCCTGATCAGTGAGGCGTGAAGAGTACGTACCTCCTACTTGGGGCTGGTCCTGCAATTTGATGCAGGATAACTGGCCTTCTAGATATGTACCAGGCCAATCGGCAATCAGGCAATTTACATGTACTGTTAGATATCAGAGAGGCTCAAATCCCGTTGAACCTCTCTGCGTGCCAACCAGAGTTGGCAAAAATGAGCGAACATCAGGCATTTGGCGACGAGAAGCCCGCGGCTACTCAGGGCCTGCCTGAAGACGTGCCGACGCGCCCAGTTCAGCAAAATGCTGCTGTAGCCACACAAGTCAAAGATGCACTTGCGGTGCTATTCGCATTCCGCCTCATCAACGCCCTCTGCGTTCGCACATTCTTCCAACCCGATGAGTATTTTCAGGCCCTCGAGCCCGCATGGCAGATGGCATTCGGACACGAGAGCGGCGCATGGTTGACCTGGGTGCGTCTTATCAAATCCGGCCTTTCCCTACCAACCCAAGATTGCGCTGGTCTGACTACAAGACTAGGAATGGGAGCACAAACTGCGCTCCTCGCTTCACCCGGGTGTGTTCGCACTTGGGTACAGCATGGTCTTTAATTACTTGGCGACCATGCCTCTGTCGTCTTCCCTGCGGGCCACGGTACTTGTTGCGATACCCAAAGTCATCCAGGCTGGCTTTGCTGCCTTGAGCGATTGGTATGCCTGGAGACTTGGCGAGAAGCTATACGGACCGAACAGTGCAGTGGCCTGGTCTGTCGTAAGTGGCCACGTCGGCTCGGACCCGTATTGTTGATGCTGATCATCTTCTGCAGCTTCTGATGAGCATCGTCAACCCTTGGCAATGGTATTGCTCAACCAGGACATTCTCAAACTCCCTCGAGGCCACGTTGACAATTGCCGCTCTGTACCACTGGCCATGGGAACTGCTTGGCGTCTCAGGAGGCAGCAAAGAGAAGACCCCAACCCCTTCTCCATTCCAGAAACCGGGAGCAGTCAACAGGTAGGTACCTCTTGATTCTAGCCCGGGAGATCTATTGTTCCTGATCTGCTGATTCTCCATATTCAGCCTGCGCATGTCACTCGTTCTCGCTGGAATTGCTGTGCTTCTTCGTCCAACCAACTCACTAATCTGGTTGGCCATTGGGACGCTCATGTTGACTAGGTTCACTCTCGATGGCCAGTCTACACTGACCCCGAAAACAATCTTCATCTTGGTTAGAGAAGGTATTTTCTGCGGGTAGGTCAATAAACAGCCACATACTTCGTGTCCAAAACTAAAATCAATAGATTCTGCGTTCTTGGCTTGTCACTTGTTGCCGATCACCAATACTTTGGCGAATGGACCTTTCCACCATACACTTGGCTCCACTTCAATATCGCGCAATCGCTTGCAGTGTTCTATGGACAAAATAACTGGCACTATTACCTCTCCCAAGGCATCCCCCTTTCTTGTACCACCATTGCCCCATTCGCCATCGTGGGCTTATGGAAGGCTACATCCCTGTCCTCTTCCAAGTCGATTGAGATGTCCAATGCCCTGAAAGCGCTGGCACTGGCTGTTCTAACGAACATCTCGATGTTATCTCTTATATCTCACAAAGAAGTGCGGTTCATCTACCCCCTGTTGCCCATACTACATATCCTTGCCGCCCCGTACGTCACATCTTTCTTCACTCAAGTTACAGAAGGAGGAATACCCACTGCATCTGGTGCCATCGGTATAAAAAGAAAACCCTACCTGGCTGCTGGACTCCTTGTCAACCTCTTCATGGCAGCGTATTTGTCCTACTTCCACGGAGCCGCGCCGATTCAGGTCATGGGCTATCTGCGCGGCCGGTTCGAAAGAATCCACCCCCTAAACCTTGCGGTCTCGCAAAAGGTCAACCACACAGCTAATCCCCTGGAACTGTTCGCCCTCTTCTTAACTCCCTGTCACACGACACCCTGGCGCTCGCATCTAGTATATCCTGCTTTGCGAGCCCGAGCCCTGACCTGTGAGCCGCCCCTACACACGGAACCAGGATCGCCAGAACGGGCAAATTATGTGGACGAAGGGTACCGATTCGATGCTAACAAGGTTGGGTTCATGAGCAATGATCTATGGCCAGCTTCTGGTGATGGAGAGGAGATACCGAGGTACATAATTGGATTTGAAGGCATCGAAGATGCACTGCAGGAGTACTTTGGATCTTCCGGTCCGGGGGCTGACAAGGGTGTCACGTTGAAGCAGACTTGGAGTCATTGGAATGGCCTATTCACTGATGACGATAGAAAAGCGGGACATCTTCGTGTTTGGAGTACGGGGGTGTATTCTGAAAACCCATAGTCTCGTGAACTCTCGAGAGCAGATTCGGAGCCATTGGACTGGTCTATCACCACTAACGATAGGAAGGCGGGGCATACTCGTGTTGGTGTACGGGGGTATATTTTAGAATTCCGTGTAATCGTAAACTCGAAAAGCCTGTTTTCTATGTAGGTATCATTGTCTTAGTAGCAACTGCCCAACGGAAGGTGGGGGTCATGCTCGCACCCGTGATATTTCCCGCAGGCCTCTGGTCAATATATCAACCTCCACTGCTGTCTCGCATTACTTCAGATCAGATGCCATTCCGTGCCCAAGATCAATTCACGTCCTGTCTGGATTTTAGTCTGCCATTAGTCTTGGTGTAGATAGCCTTCAATCTCCTGAACTTGTCTCCTATGCTTTGTTCCTTCCTTGTGAGCAGCAGCTAGCCAGATGATCTGATACAAACAACATCCAGAGTATCGCAGGATATCCCCAATGTCAAAAGGATGCTTGCATAGATGGTGGGCCTCCCTTTTGACGTTTCACACTGTACAAACGGGACTCTCTATGACCATAGGATAGAACAAGGAGAGAAGCACCGGACTTGCTGCCATTCCTACTTTTAGGGGGTCTGTTGGTTTGTCTGCCAGCTTAGAAACTTGCCCAGGGGATGACAACAGCACAACTAGGTGGGACAATCGGGTTATGCCTGTTTAACACACCGGAGTACCGGGCTATTCCGCGTTATTTCATCCTTTGATATGGAGTTGTTTTGTCCTCCGCTGATTTAAAGTTGCGTTGCCCAAATATTTACTTCTCATATCTTGTTCACTCACCTCAAGCTAGTCTCAACCTGACTGGGCACATATATACACCACATCATCACCAGCAATTTTGTCTCTCAACTCAAACTCATCTCAACAAGCGCAACTGAATTGCATCCTGGCATTTACTGAGACATTTTCTCCGTGATAAACAATGCTGGTCCCAAGCAACCTCAACTATGTTACCCAATTCTATCCACTGGGAAACACTCCCGCCATCAGTCTCACGCGCGATCTGCCTCAAGGAAACCGCGTTGAAGCAGACACCATTCTGCTTCTCGGCTGTGGGGACGTTCGAAACATTCTTTACACCGCGTACCTTGAGAATGGCCTTCCTGGTCGAACACTTGATATCACTTGTTGTGACTACCTGGATGGTATCATCGGTAAGTCTCATCTCTTTGGTGTTCCGTCTATTACTTGAGTCGCTGGTGAGCTGATTGCCTTCGGGATTCTGTGATAAAACCGTTTATCTCTGAATCCTGACTTCTGAAATCGCTGGTTTCGTTTACTTTCAGTCACTGAAGACTCTGTGAAGAAAAACTGTTGGTCACATAGTCTATCTTGTGAAAACACTAATGAATGTTGGCGTTTGTTGACTCTCATCCAACGCTGGGTCCTCTCAACTGTGAATTTCTCGGTTATCAAACAACTTCAGATCAGCTAACTATTTGTGAAGCTCGCAATGTCCTGCTTTTCTCGTTCTTGATAGATGGGAGTAGCCCGGCCGACACCCTTTGGGCTATCTACTACGATATGTATCTCAGCGACGCTGTCATCAGCCTGCTCACGCGTCAAGCCCAGCGGCTTGTAGACACATCGAAGACACTGGAGACTTGGCACAAGAGCAAATATGGCACGATGTTGCGGTTTTGTGACGAAGCCTCGCTTACATCTGCTCGAGCTCTTTGGACCAAATACGTCTCAGCCGCCTCCTTGAAGGATAATCCAAAGCACCTGGCATCCTTTGAGGCAAACCTTCAGCGATCTCGAAATCTGTTCTCTACGAAGATGGCAAAGTCAGTCGGTGGTACCAAGATTATGACGGCCGTTCGATCTGCTTCCCCATTGGCAGTGAGCTCCTTGGGCGTCTTGTCCAATACATTTGATGCCTTTTGGAAGGATGGGTCTACTTCGAAATCTGCTACTGCAAAGTACCCCAACCCCATGTTTGCATCGTCCATGTCGGCCAACACATACCTCCATTACGGGACCGACCCAGTGACAGGGTTTCATCTCGCCACTGTATTCGCCAAACTCGATCCCAAGTCCCCTTGGCGCCACAGCTCTGTTCCCAGCGTCCAGGTTGTCTTCGAGGCCACCAAGATGCAGTTCAAATTGTGGATCTCGGCCTTCATGGCTATCAAGGATCGATTCATCTTGAGGTTCGTGCTGTCTGATGCATTGGCCTTCTGCCATACTCTCCAGCAGAGTGCAGTCTCGAAGAGCGCTTCAGCACATTTCTTCAGGTCACAGTTTGATGCTCGCCCGCTGGAACTGGACTCAGGTTCCTATGGTAAAAACGGAGAAGCGCCGACGAGTTTCGACGTGATCGACTCGTCGAACCTGGCGGACCACCTCGGCCCCCTAAACATTCTCGTTGGGGCCGCACCGCTTTTGAAGAACGAAACAGCCTCGACCCTCTACATGGAGACACTCCTAAAGACGGGGAAAACCCGAAAGGCTCAGTTCGATGAAGTTCTTCGTGGTCATGCTCCCACGGTGTCTCTCCTCTTGGGTGTAGCATCGGTTGAGTCTTGGACCAATGCAACCACCGTGTCGAGCGTCGACGAATTAATACTCAACAACCTGGAGTCTGGTTCAATGAAGCAAGTCCACACCAGACTCTCTTGGAAGCCTATCCAACCGTTTTCTGGTGGTCAAGGTAGCATCACCCTACCCAGAATCGATGCCAAAACACTTGCACGTGCCATCTTCCAGGTATACTGCGACATGTTCCGACAGGAGAACCCACTCGCCATGTTGAGCGCCTCGAGGGACCAGTTGGGTCAGCAAATCCAGAACAGTGCACACCCTCACTTCCACCGAGGAAGCCTCGTCGCTCTACTGAAGACGATCAAGGCAAGGGTTGTGACGGAATGGCCCAAGATGTGGGATGCGCTGCTCGAGTTCATCATGCGGGATAGGAGCATGATGCTTGCCAGCAACTATATCCAAGAACTCTCTGCTCAGCTTCATATTCAACAGGTCCACACAGAGCCGTGGCTCCAAGATGAAATTCAGCGCAACGCACCAGGTTTCGGCTCGTGGGGCAAGATCCCAGAGGTCATGGCTGTGACATTGATCGTACCTCGAGATCGCGTCATTGGCTTGTTCACAGACAGAGCCAATTTTGCCAGCCCAACCTGCCGAGCTGTTTTGAGTTCGAGTGCAAATGACTTCGCACAGCGACTCAACATGTTTGCCGATGTCCATTTCTCATTCGGAACCATCAAGGCCACAGGGTCCAGAGGCAGTGAGGACTATTCGCTGAACATCCAGTCAGACACCAAAGGCTTCCTAGGAAACTCGCCGCTGATTGCCTGCTTTTATGTGCCAACAGCAGCACTTCAGTTAGAGTTGGAAGACGGCACCGTCGCCCTTGGACTGGAGTCGTCTCCTCAGAACCTGATGTTCTTCCAGCAGAAGTTGGGATTCACAATGACCTTGTATGAGGCGGCTCTGCGCGATAAGAAACATGTGCACGTCTCAAAGTATCTTCCGGGTCATATTGCATACCCAATCACTTGTGGAAAAGCAAGTCCCGTGTCCTCTGTAGGACAACATACAGGAGGACAACATACCCTTGGGTCGACCAACGCCACCCTCACTGTCGATCTCGACAACAGAACCGGCGTTATATCTTCGCTGACAGGACACGTCGATATTCTGTCCGAAAAGGGCAAGGCCCTACTGATGAGCAAAGCTCCCATTGGCCTCGTACAGTCATCACCATTCGTGATTCAAGTCGTCCTGGGTGAGAAGGAAATGATGTTCCCTATCCACTTTCCTCTCCCGGTTGACAAGGAGAGAAGTAGAACCCGAATTGCACGCAAGTCGGGCTATGTGGAAGTCACCGCCCCACTGGCAGACCCAGTCACTGCGGGATGTCTGGATGACTTTATTTGCCCCGTGAGACTGGACCCAACCAGTACTCCAGTCACGATGAACATTCCACACCTGAACCTCGATAGATTGCCTATACTGGATGTGTCAAGCAAGAAGGGTCTGGACTGGTTGAAACCCCTCATCGCCTCCCAGTGTTCTTCACGGGAGAGACAACTGAACTCGTCTGGTGTTGCTAGCAAGCCAGAGATGCTCCCTCCTCGTCTCAACTTCAAGAATACGCTCACTTCCATCTTCGCGTCCGCCTCGGGGCTGCACAAACTGCATCACCGAGTCTTCAGCCTCAGTCTTCCCGATGAAGCCGGGCTCCACATCCTGCTCTTCATCAGCGCACTCCGCCTGGACGGCGCCGCGGGCTCCGTCGTCGCCGACGCCGCTGTCCTGCCTCTGACCATCGATCTAGTCGCCCCGCTGCAAGATTTCCTCGCCCAGGTCACGGGAATCTGTGCTTCCATCAACATTGATAACCGCGAGCTTGAACTGTGGAAACGCGTGCTCCCCGCCTTGGCCGAGCGTTGTCGCACCTGGTCGCACGGCTCCGACTGCGAGTACAAGCGTTCCGGTGCTGCCGTTCCCCTGAGCCTCGAACACGGCGCGCAGTTTCTGTGCTCCTGTGGCCGGGATAAGCTACCTGCGAGCTTCAAGGTCCCAAATCTTGAGCATTGGGATGCCGTCGCCAAATACATGACGCGGGTGGCCATTAGTCCGACCTTTTCGGTCCCATTCGTGGAAGACATCCTTGCCACGACCATGCTGTCGAGCACCACGGAGGACGTAAGCGTGGACAAGAAGAACAACCGCAAGAATGAGTGTCAGAATTGTGGCAAGGTGGATGGGGTTGGGCTGAAGAATTGTGCTAGATGTGGGGGAGTCAAGTACTGTTCGCGGGAGTGCCAGAAGGAGGATTGGGGCCATCACAAAAAGGCATGCGGCAAACCTTAGTTCGAATATCTGTTGGCAGATGGGGAGCAGATAAACAATCTGAAGATGCAGTCGATTTAGCCAAGCCTAACTCAAGCGAGCACTATCGAGGATTCTTCAAAATACGTAAACGTACAAGAAAGAAGAGGTTGAAAAATCAGCCACGTCGGAGATGAGGTGAGTAGTCGATTGAAAAGATTGACTGGGGGTTCTAATAGCCGCCGACAAGGCGGCTTTACTGTCAATATGAAAATCCCAACTATTCCATTTCAAACCAGGAAGAGACTTGAAAGTTCATAGAGAAAATTACAATTCGCTATTGAATTCATTCATTTGTTCGTCGTCAGCATTTAAGCATGTCTGAGGTTGGGCTTGTGACCTGATTCTCACCCAACGCGCACAGAGTCTCCCTCCACCTGCCAAGGGCCTATCTATTGCAGCTTCTTATGAATATACAATCGTAGTCAAGAGCTCCCTTATGACTCCCCTACAAGGAAGGCATCAGGCTATGCCAGGTACACGTATTTACCGCCCTCTCTTTCTAGATAATCCTTCTCGATCAGCCTGCGTCAAGTTAGCAAACCAGCTCAGTGTGTTCGTAGAAACCCAACGGGGGCAAGGGGCAACATACTTCTCGATATTCTTCTTGATCTCCGGCAGTTCCACCGCACCTCGACTTTTAGTCGAATCGATCACCTCCGACACGAGTTCCGCATGCGTCATACTTTTACGACTCTTCATGATGCGAACGATGGCGGCCTGCGTCTCGAATTGCCGGTCGGCCGCGACCTTCTTGTGGGTGTCTTCGTTCTCCTCCTTGGTTTCCTTGAGCTGAATCTGGTTGATCTTGATGCGGTATTTGGGGTCCGTCAACGACCTGTTGACGGTAAAAGTGTCATTCGGTTTGACGTCTCTACTCTTCGGGTGTTTTGAGAGGACTCGGACTTTGCCGCAGGCCAGAGACTGAAGGGTCCGGTCCAAATCTGGCCCACTCAAGCCGGAGTGTTCTTCAATCTGTGAGTAAGCGAGGAAACCGTCAGGCTTATCGTCAATTTGGTTGAACAAGGTCAGAACGATGGCTTGATATGCGCTGACAAGCAGTTCCTTCGGTCCCTTGTTGAACTGCGCCTTTACCACGCAGTGAGCTAGTGAGTGCTTCCAAGCCAAGCGCCGCCCAGTATGTTTAGTGGTGTAGAACTTGTCAAATGTTTCGATCTGTTTCGCAACCTCCGCAGGCAGAAAGACCCGCGAGTCGGGGTAACTCGGCCAAGCCGACGCCGACAAAATGTTCACCACCAGATCTACACTGGACTTGTTCTTGCCGGTGCCCTCGCGCCATTGCTTGTAGGCGTTCATTTCATCACGTCCAAGCTCCTGGTCCTTGAACATCTGCTCGAGGTTGTGCGTAAAGCTGGAACCGCATTCGCTCTTCAGCTTTGCCAGCATACTCCTCTCGGCGTCCGCGCTGGCGCTCCGGCCCATTAGTAAGCGGCGTGCCAGGTCTTGCTTGTAGAACGCCTCGAACACGTCCTTCCCTTCGATGAATCTGAAGAGTTCGAGGGCTTGATCCAGTTGTCTGTCAAGCTCCGCATCTTCGTCACCAGTGCTGGCTTGACCACTCTTTTCGGCGGCAGCGCGGTCTTTATTATCGGAAAGTAGCGAGCTCGGTATCGTCTTCAGCCCTCCTCGGAGGAGCAAGTCGATATGTTTGGCGATCATCTCGCCAACTTTGGATGTGCCGGTCTTCCATGACGACAGAATCTTCTTGTCGTTGATGAAGTTGCCAAACGCTTCCCTAAGCCCATATGTGAAATCATCGTCCTCGTTGAAGGCATCTCGAACCATGATGTCCAACGCCCGCCGGAATAAAAGTAGCCCGACGACCATTTCATCACCCTTCAATGTGTCATTCACGATCCTCGCGCCTGCTTCTCTGATGTAGTCTTCCCACGGGTCCTTAAGTCTCTTTTGAATGCCTGACAAACGTAGCAGGTCGTACAGCGCCTTCATGGATTCGATGGCATTGCTGTCCAGTAGTTTCCCAACTTCACCACTGTCGAGAAGCTTGCCGGAGTAGTTGCCAATGAGTACGGTGTGGGCGTCATCCATCAATTGCCTCTTGGTTGTGCTGTCAAAGTTGTAGGCGTTGCACCGGTGGTCTTCTGTCGCCAGGAGCCGTTCGCACGCCAATATGTAATACTTCAGTGATGATGTACTCTTTTCCTCGGCGAATTCCTGGAAGTACGCATTGGAACTGTCCAAGAAGCGTCGCTCGAATGACTTTCCGTACACGTTCAATACGTGTAGCATGGATATAGAATCCCGCAACAGATTGGCATCAAACCTGCCGTCGCCCCTTCTATCGTACTCGATCAAGTCACACATGCCTTGTATTACCGAAGAACCGTAGTTGTTGGCAACGAAGACCATTTTCTTGAACAAGTATATTGCCATGTCGTTGATCTGTGGGTGATCCTTGGAGTTCAGAAGATATGACCGATCGAGGTAGCTGAAGGTCGACCGAATGGTTGCCTGCCTTCTTGTCAGCTCCCTAATTCCACAACAACCGCAGCAGCGTACAAACCGATTGTTGGTTCCATATGATCCAGTGCTTGTGAACGCTCCGTAACACATCGACGGCGACATTAGCCGACCCTGCCTCTGCCTGGACATCCTTGGCCAGGCGCTCATTGAGATATCCCTCGCAACCTTTCCGCAAAAACTCGTAGACGTTTTTGGACTCGCCATGGCGGCAGATGTCCTCGACTCCCCTGTAGAGGCGCTCGAAGGGCTGGGTGGGTTGCCGCCGCGCACAGATGGCGTGCAAGGCGTCTTCCAACTCGTTCCATGTGTCCTGGTAGTATTTCTCGAGGTCGCTCTCTCGGGAGGGGTTGCGCAAATTCTTAATGACGAGCTTCCTGACGCCACTCTGAGGTCGGTATCCGGATCGAGGCTTGGTCAGGTCGACCAAGGCGGGACGTTTCCCCAGCGCCGTGCTCATCTTCGCGCGTTTAGCTTCGGGTTGAGACGGTCGGGTCTCCGAGGGTCCTCGTTTGTGGGCGGAGCTGCCGTCGGAAGTGCGCCTCGACGCGTGCCCAAGAGCGCTCCCGGATGCGTTCGGTGGTGGTGGCGAGCGGGATGAGAGAGGTTGAGGCGGCATCGACCTCAACTTGTTGAGGTCGTCTACCGTGCTTTCACACGGACCTCGGAAACACAGGGATTATTCTCTGTACGGAATGGGCTCGAAAGGTCGTTTGGGCGGTGCATTGAAGTCGGAGTTGCTTCGTGTTTGAAATGTTGAACTAGGTCGTCATCACTCTCGTGGAAATGTCGCTGTTGGTCAGCTTCGTTGGGAGCTTTACCGGGTCCTACAACGTGCTGCGATTACAGTGATGATCCCAACGAGATCCCCCGGAACGAGGGGCTTAAGTCCGGGACAGTGTCACTTGTCTAAAATTAGACGGTGCACTATATGCAGCCCCTCTGTTTTTGTTGATCGACCCATCATTTGCTGCTTCCTTCAGCATGCAAGTGATGGCGTCTACTCAACTACCAATATCTACATGTCTACTTTGACCATTTCATCTAGTTTTTCTCCACAGCCGTAGTGGCATGTGCATAGCTGAATGTGTGATGTAGTACCAAAGGCTGATATTACTTATTCCAGTTTGATCAATGCAATCCTGTAATGAGAAAAATACAGAACACACTAACTATAGTCACTCTGCTAACAATGAGACTATGTACTTCATCCAATGCTGCCACTTCAATATGCTTGGATTATGCAGGGTTCCTCCATGTCCAGAACTTTTGACAACTAATTTATAGATACCAAATAGAACCAACAATCTTTCACCTATCCCCTTTTCTTCATTTCTCTGTCCACATCTCCCTCTCTGGGCGGCACTCGTCTAGAGAGTACAAGTCCCATACCCAGGCAGACAATCCAACAGACACAAAGTGCCACAAATTCCATACGTGCCCGAGCAACAAGTACCAAACGCGCTTCCGATGCACGTCTCACCAGTACCAGGCCCACAACGGCCGTCTCTACTCCTGTTCCAAACATCGGCGTTAGTAACCACTTGCTTTGCAGTAGCCCACTGTTTACATCAAGAGAAGGCAAAGCTTCAAGCCAGGTCTCAAAAGGGGAGGATTCTCTCTTTACAAGAGTTTACCACCCCTCAAGACACGACTGAAACGAAGGATAGAAGCGAAAAGGGTTGTTTACGCAACCAAAGTCGGGGCGGGGGCGGTGGTCTTGGTCGATGTCCGAGTAGTTGACGTGCTGTGGCTCGTGCTATGGCTTGTGCTATGGCTCGTACTGTGACTCGTCGAGGTCGAAGTTTTGACTGTGGAAGTTTTAGTGGTCGAAGTCTGGCTAGTCTTGCTAGTCTTCGTGGTCTTCGTGGTCTTGCTGGTTGAGGTCTTGCTGGTTGAGGTCTTGCTGGTTGAGGTCTTACTGGTTGAGGTCTTGCTCGTGCTAGTGGAAGAACGAGTAGTAATAGTTGTCGTGACAGGAGGCGAAGGCGCGGCATCACAGGTTCCGAAGGCTGGTTGACAGCCATCGGCACAGTAGTCGACTGAACTTCCGCACCAGCCGTTTCCGGAGCAGCAGTTGCCGTATATCGAGCCAGCACTAATTCAGAATTCAAAAGTCAGTTGAGATGGTTTCTTCCATGCGTCGCCCCGGGGTTAAATCGGCAGTTGAGCCGTTTTAAGAGCCAAATGGAAAAAGAAAAGAGAATAGAACTCTCGAGTACTAACCAGGTGACGCCAACTCCGCAAGTACCATCGGTACTCACTTCTAAAGCCCCGGTCGTGATTGGGCTCGGCCCGGTCGTCGTGGCTTTGACCGTTGACGATCTTAGACACGAGGCGGTCCCCGTCGGCGTCCGAGTTGTGAAGGTATATTCGGGTACCTGGCCGCTGCCAGCTCGATACCAGTTCGCCGGAGGATCACCCAGGCATTGCCCCACGGTGACGGATCTGAAGCCGTGGTTGAACAAGGAGGCAAGCACGTAGTCGGTGAGGTTATAAACCGTCTGGTAATGGATATCGTGCTCGATCTGCAAGTAGTTGTCCCTACACGGGTTTGACCCGACGATGGTATCATCCCAGATGTCTTTGCTGGTCTGGATCTCATTGGCATCATCATGGAGGTAACCTTCGGTGTCTAGGTCGAAATAGGTAACGTGGTAACCGAGTTCAGTCAAAAGCGTCTGGCAAGCTTTCTCGCAAATGGAGAATGGGGGTCTGCAAGCCCGTCAGTATCGCACCGGCGATCGGTGGCTGTTTATGGGCACAAACCGCATGTAAGTGGGGATGAATCCAAGAATGTCATTCAGGGCAATCTCATTCCAGATCATTTGGTTGCGAGCCTGTGTAGAGGTGATTGCACTGAAGTTCTCGTGGGACCAGGTGTGGCTAGCAACCTGATGACCCTCTGCCGCCATTCGCTTACAAACTGTCAGTATTGTGTATACTAAGGTTCACGTGAGCTGCACACTGACCTGAATGAAGCCAGCCCACGGATACTCTCCATCGTTGATTTTGCCTTTGCCAAGGTTGTTACCAGTGATGAAGAAGGTTGCTTTGGCATTGTATTGCTTTTGTCCATCAGCATTACGTTTTACAGGTTCTGGACCGTGTGTACGTACCGCAAGCTTGTCAAGAAGATCGCCCGTAAAGTTGTAGGGACCATCGTCAAAGGTAAGAGCAATATCTCCCTCATTGACACAGTCGTATATACCTACGCCACCATATGGCACACTTCCCACGCGCTTCCTTGTAATGGTCGATGTATCGGCACCATCCGGTTTCTGGTTTCCATCACAGCCACTGCCGTAACTGAGCTGGCAGTCAGGGGAAGTGCAATAGTCCTCGCCCAGACCGCACCACCTTCACAGTGTCAATGCAAGAACCTCAAGAAATCAAGATATCAGGCCTATACTGACCCATCTATAGAGCAACAGTATCCCGTTGCACAGGATCCCGAATTGCCTCCACACCGCCCGCTCTTGTTCTGACGCTCGCGAAGCTCACCATCTCGCTTTTCAACATCGGCATCCTCTTCTTCGTCGTGGGGCAACTCTGCCACGCGGGGCATATACGGTTTGTTGTTCAGAACCCTTCCCCCCTTCAACTCTGACAGGAACTTTCGGCCACCGAAGAGTTTCGGCACATGCCCGGGGCCATTCGGGTCCGCATGAGCAGCCGACAGGCCGGCACAGGCGGCAAGGAGAAATGGGTGTGTCCAGTGCATAATGAGAGAGTGTAAAGCAACTCGTTCCTATGTCGTGTACCTAGTTGTAAAAAGGTCGAAGGTGGAAGAACCAATAGAACATAGGCGTGGAAACCGCAGGAAGCCAGGTACTGCATTTCAACAAAAAAATCCGAACGGCGGCATTCCGTATTTAATCATCTGCGCCTGTGAACTTATGAATGATTATAATTAGAGCTTCATGGGTAAAATGCCTGAAAGGCTCGGGTGGTCAACAGTGACAGCCGTTGCGTGGTAATATCCGGATGTTACCTTGCGGTACGCCATCTAGTATCTACTTCTGGAAAGTCTTCACTGGAGAATTCTTGAACTTTGCAGGAGGTTGCTGTAGTTGTGATGCCATCACTTGCCGAAGAACCGTGATGATGCATATCTGGGAATTGCTGGTCGAACTGCCAAAATGATCGGCAATGAGACGTCGAGCCTATACGAAGTGACATCTTCGCGACCTAGGTCGTTCCAGACGTCTCTTCGTCTATGGTTTCATTGATAATTTCCATGGGATTGATATATTTAGACCATTTAATCGCCTTCAAGTACAACGATGCATTGATAGTTGTACTCTAAATATCATCAATAGCAGCTCATAATAATACCCTGCACCGTCGTGGTAGTGCCATGCAATAGTTCATATCATTATGTTGACGCGTTGTGAAGGAGAAGTGTATCCTGCTTCGTCGATCTCATCCTGTTGGGTTAGTTGGTCCTCTGGATTGCCGGCAGATGATATCCCCACGGGGTGAAGGCCCTTTCGCGATTCGAGTAGATCGTACTTGCAAGATACACATCGAGAAATGTGGAGTTGAAAATCGCGCGCCTGTAGTAATCAACCGACGACTTTCTTTTCGGTCCGCCAAGCCTCGCCTCGTCGTCCAGCCCCTACATGGCAGGGCCCCCAAAGTCGCAGTGATGTCCATGTTGCGGTTCCGCCCCGTAGAAAATTTGGGGAAGTCGATATTTATCCATATAGCCTTGCCATTGCACTGCAGAGCGTCACTGCAAATCCCTGCCATGAGGGCAACATAATCGTACCGACAAAAGGGAATGGATTGTTACTTCAGCACAATGCTCGTACTTATTTCCTGTGGGCTAGTGGGTAATATGCCATGCTCGACTACAGCAACGAGAATGATGACGAGTCCCGGCTGGCCTCCTCCCGCAGACGAAAACTGAAGATAGCTCCCAGATCGACAGCTAACTCAGCTTCCTAGCCACCATTGGACGAGTGGTAACGTCACCAAGGCCGTGCGTCTCTTGAGCTCTACCTCCCAGGCGTTCTTCCACCATACCTCGATGGTGATGTTGTGTTATTAAACGGGCACCGTATTGCGACGACCTGGAGGTACGGGCGTGTGTGGTCTGATATCCTAGCTCTAGGCAGACGATGTTGACTTGGCCGGCCGCTTTTGCATCCGGCTACCGGGACGGCTCCGAAGTTGCGTCAACAGCAGTGGCACACGTCAATGAATCAAAACGCCAAACCCAACCCATCGAGATCGGAATCGAGTTCAGCTCAATTCCTGTTTTGTTGGCGATACTACTCGATGTTGCATCGACGCGTGTGCATGGTGCACATCTCTTCGCTGGTGGCCAAGCAGTGAGGCAACAATACGACCAGCCCCAACACGGAGAAGTGAAGCAAGTTGGAACGCCTCAGATCAACACATGGTAAGCCTTTCCTATAGCGTTACATCGGACATTGTCGCTCCCATTCGAAAAAACTGGCCGACTGCTCGCATATGCAGATGACTCCTACCTTTCCATTCCTCGAAGCTTATTGTGTTGAGCTTACAATAAAGCATGCAAGGTTGCACAGAACCTTTCAGTTCACTCCAGCATCAACAAACTGCTGACAAGAGGCTCTGATACTAGTCCTCTCGACTTCCCGTCCTCAGAAGTGTGGATACGGCACAGCTTCCTCGATTTTCCTCAGTCATCAGCGTCTCTTGCTGGGTATCATGACCACTCGTGGCTTCTCCATCCGCGCTTCATCTAGCCAAGCTTGTCTATGCATTGGAACCTGAGATTGAGCCTTCCTTATTATCGCCAAAACACCGCTCTGTTTCGAGCTTCATGTCCATGATGACGCTTAGTTCTGGGCAGTACTCGAAAATCTCTTTCCGTTGCGCATATGATTTCCACACGCCGTCGGCCATGTTGGCCCCACCGTCTCTGACATGAAATCCGATGGGATTCTTGATGTATACATCTTCGACCGCAAGTTGCCCCTTCTCGCCTTGCGCGACGTTGGCGCCAGGCAGAGTCCATACTCTGCCACCAAACCATTCGTCCTCGGGTTGGGTGTCATTCAGGCGTTGTTGGAAAGCGAGAATTCGTCTTATGGCCGATACCTTTCTGAGCGAGAGCCCACCGTTGCCGGAAAATCGATCGTTTTCATGTCTGTACCGCTAGTTAGTGCGTGAACGTGCGTCTCGATATGCCACCCCACAGCTCTTACTGACCTCGGAGCTCCAGCCCAGTCCCAGTGCAGCCAGTCATTCAGGCTTTCTTGCGAGTTTGCGCACATGATGCTATCGTGCTCGTACTTGAGGATCCACTCAACCCCGGGTAGAAACTCATCATAGAACCGTATGTCAGTAAGAGTTCGATAGACCTTCTCCTTGTCGTTGATTTCCCAAGGCTCAGGGAGCACCATCAAGTCCAGCTTGCCGATAAATTGCTGGTGTTTTGTGGCATAGGCCCGGCCAACGCTGACAACGGATTGATTAGAACCGATGAAGACGAATCGCCAGTCGGGCGGCACCACATTGATCATGTGGAGAATCTGGGGAACAAGATGTGGAATTGGGCGAGGCTCGACTAGTAATGCGATCTTGGTGCCATTGAAATTCGTTCGCGGGTCGTCATTACCCGGGGTTGGGTGCCAGTTGACCTGGATGGACGGGATCTTTTGTCTCGCTTCTTCCAACCTCGACTTGAAAGAAGCTTGGAGCTGGGGTGTATAATGAGGGACGAGTCCAGCAATATACCACCTTTCGGGCATGGGTAGTCAGCATCACACGTGCGTTACGTCTCGGTAGGAACATACGTTACTGCCAAGGACAGAACCAACAACAACTTCGCCTTTGTGGCTGCGAGTATTCCAGGGCTCGAGGAAGATAAGGCTGTCATGTTGTCTGGATTTTGAGGCAAGATTGAGAGAAGTCCGGGAACCGTGAACCGTGGGATGAATGCTAAGGTAGGGAATGGAGATGTAAGGCAGCGTAACCTCTACCCAAAGTGAAAATAGAATTGACCCTATGGGATCACGATCACATCACGACGCGTTGTTCCTGTCATAGCGATGGCACAAAGTAAAATGCTTGTTGCCGCCAGCAGTCTGAGGTTACCGAGATCACCGCCCTGAGTAGACACGTACAAGAACAGGAGGAAACCCCAAATAGACCCAAGCCACACTGGACAGCCAAGGAATAATGCTTCGGCTCACTTTCAAAGAGATAAATCTAAAATTGTTTGGATTAATTCCTGAGCAGGGTTCGCACACCAAAATCGTCTTAAAATCTCCCGATCCGACGACAGTCACCCTCATGGCTCTAGAAGCTGAGGAACGTGATGACGAGTCCCGATGATCTGGCCCCCTCGCGCTATCGTCCCACTTGTTTATGTCAGGGCGCTCCCTTGGCAGTGCATTTCGGTACTTTCGGATACTAGCTTGGACTTCTACGCTACGTCGCCCTGGAGAGACCTCTCTGACCGAACTTAACACAACTTTTTGATTATGAAGTAGCTGATTCACAGAAGGCTGATGACGCCCTTTTGGCACATCCGTCTCGTGCATCGTCATGGTACTTGTACTTACCGTATCTTGATCCATCCATTCATTCACCAGCAAATGGAGCGAACAATGAACATCAAACGGTCTAACAAACTCTACATGCCATGGATTTATTTAAATCATTAGTCGCCGCGATGCGGAGCGTGCCGAAAAATTTCACATACAGGCCAGATCCCTGCTTGCAGCGCTTGTTTCACAAGTTTCACAAGTTTTTGGGGATATCCAAGACAAGGCGTTGTGCGTTCCTAATTTACTGTGTTAAGAGATGCTGGCAGCCTTGCGTGCAACCTCTCACACAGGCCTAGAAGCATAACGTTTGGCCGACCAGAAATGAACGATCTGTTATGCATTTTAATACGGAGTCACATCCACTACCTTTCATTGCGAACACTAACGTTGTATGTGGAAGCTCACAAAGTGCCACCTCCGCTTTAAATTCGAATGCTGAAGGTCACATACTTTGAATCTTTGGTGGCAATGTAAGTTAAAGGGGCATCGGTCAAGACAGACAGACGACCAAACGTTTCCAGCTCTTGTCATTCCTCATGTAGCATATCTGCAGGATTGCGAGAATGGAATCAAAAATGTTACCTCATCCGCTAGATAAACTTTGGATTCTCCATGGTCATTTCCACGACGATAGCTTCTACGAGCCGATGTGGAAAGGGCACCACCTGGGGTACTAAGAAGTACCTCAAAGTATCTGTCCAAAAAAGGCAATCTTCAAGTCTTTAAGTTGTGTCTACTACGTAGTAGTATGAAAGCGCCACCAATACAGGGGTCAATCCCATAGTACTCACGTAGTCCGGATTCGTCAACTGAACCCATGGGTTCCTACTGAAGCGCTGTGAATGACTCGCTGGTCCAGGTCTGGAGCATGAAGACAGTTAGGATCCGTCTAATGATTGTGAGATGGTGGTCATGCTGGTGTCAGAACATACGGGATGGATTGGACAGATTGATGGGCCATTCCTGGCATGTCAACAACCCTTTTGTTCTTGGGCCAGTCAAGGCGTCACGGCAAGTTTTGCACTTGTTTGTTATCACAGGCCAGCAAGGGCGAGAACTTGAGAGGCGCTAAAACTTCATACTCAACACGATAACCAAAGCTCAATGCTCATCTCAAACAATGAAACAAATCCCTGGCAGCTTCTACATTGTCATCCTTGGATATCTCCACCAGTAGCAACAAGCCCACCCTTGAAGAGTAAACTCAAGAGGTCCACTTGGGCAAAGCCCTGGAGTGGACAATCATTGCAACCATCAATCGACAGAGGGGCTTGCAACACCATGTCACGTCACGCATTGGCGACACCTCTCTGATTATCATCGCATACGTCGTCTTGGTTTAGACGGGGTGGGTGCAGGCATTCACTTGTTCTCTAGACCCGGCAAACCAACCAACCAACCGACCGTCCGGTCCACCACTCACACTCGTTTCTTTCAGGTCGGCATTAATCTTCTATTCATCATGGCTCTTCAACTGTCCTCAAGTGTGGAGGAAGTAGTCATGAAAGACTTATGGTTCAAGGCAAAAACGGTGACCACCAAGGCCTGGTCCCGCATCACCAGGCGAATGCGAGTTGCTGCCGCATGTCTGGTCGTCTTGTAAGCCATCTTTCCAACACGATACTATGATACCTTCCCATCTTCATTCGTACAAGCGACTTACGGTTGACAAACAGCATTTTTATGGTCTGGCTGTCACTCCCGACTATCCGGGCAGTTCCAGTACCTCAGATACACCTAGATTACCATGAGCCTGTGCAGTCACCATACAACGCGAGCAAGGTCGCCCTTCTCATCGAGAACCGAGTGAATCCCATCCTGGCGCCTCTCATGTTGCACTTCATGTCCGTCGTGCCGCCAGACTGGCGTTTTCGCTTCATGGGCTCGACTGAGTCGGTCAATTTCATTAACCAGTCCATGGCCATCCGGGAACAAGTCGCAGCCGGGAAACTGGACCTCACTTACATACCCTCGAACATGAGCACCGCCGGCCAAGAGATGATCAGCCGCTTCCTCACCACCCTGTGGCTTTACGAAACAGTATTGCAGCCCGCGGAGTGGCTCCTCGTCTTCCAGACCGACAGCATTCTGTGCGCCAACAGTCAGCAAACCCTCAACAACTACCTCGAATACGACTGGATCGGCGCGCCATGGAGCACCGGCGCCCGCTACGGAGGCAACGGCGGCCTATCCCTTCGCCGCGTCAGCTCCATCGTCCAGGTCCTCCGCGACCAAGTACGCGTCGACGGCTCCGAACCCGAGGACGTCTGGCTGGCCGAGCGACTCGGCCACCGACCCGGCGCCCGCATGGCGAACGGCACCGTCTCGCTCACCTTCAGCGGGGAAATGTTCTCGGGAAGCGGGGTCAAGATCAACAAGAAGCCGGGCAACAAGACGCTCGAGTTGGCGGGGCAGGGCGAGTACGTGAGCGGCATTGACGACTGGCGCGAGGGTTACTACGAGCCGATGGGGTATCACACCGGTGGCAGCGGCAGCACGCTACACAGCGGGATTTGGGGCACGCCGGCTATGCGGAAGCACATCTGGGACTACTGCCCTGAGGTCAAGATGACGCTTTCCATGGACGCGGCCAAGTTTGTGCCAGGAGACTGCAATGTAAATTGGAAGAGAGACTCCGTCGGATGGGAACAGATGGGGGCTATGGGCGAGGCAGGATCCGTGGGCCTCAGCGATCTGGGATACGGGACCGAGACCATCGACGGATTTGAGTATCCTCTCCTGCCGCCGGGTTTGGTGCCTTGGTGAGCGTGTAAGATGATGAAAAGGAGACAGTTAGGGGGGTTGTACCATTTGATGATATCCACGCGAACGATAAGAGAAAGGGAAAGTGCTTACAATGTATGAGTACAAAGCATGAATGGCGTTGGGGACTTATTTTTCAAGACGTCTTTCGGAAAAGGAGCTCGTTCTAGGAAGCCGTTCGTGGTATCTAGGTAGCCAACAAGTTGGGTAGATTTATGAATGGTGCTCCTCATGTTTGAAGTGAAAAGCGCATGAATCTGTTGCGGCTCTTCTGCCTGCAGCGACGTGGAACTATGTACGTGAGCTGAGCATCTAATACACACTGGGGGTGATATGCGAGGGATGTAGTACGAGTAAACTAATCTGGGTCATAGAACCATGCCAGGTTTCTGGTTGTCTCCAAATATGGAAATCCTCGATGTTATTCTAGTGACGGAGAAACGACACTTGGCCACAAGGCCAAGTTCAGGGCCCGCAAACTGATGAGTTGCCTCAGCGATCGGTTGTACATGCGCACAAGTACTTGCTGACTGTGGACCATCTGGCTGGTTCTGTTGGTCATTCTACAACATGGAATATGAATGGCATAGCCGTACTGAAGCAGGGAATGCCCTTAGACGTAGTGTTGCAGCGCGTTCGTACTGGCGACTCCATGTTATTACTACATTCGAGCTGGACGAAGTATGGTACTTGAAACAAGGCGTACGATGATTCTACTCGATGCCTAAATGGCTACCTTTCAAGTAGATATGCGCCATCACCTCTAGACAACTCTGGCTAAAATAGAATAGAGAGTTTGCGAGAATGTTTGGGTATATGGACCATTATTTGGAGGGACAATCAATGGTGGGTTGATCACACCCTGAAATTTATGGAGGTGACACGAGTCACTACAGTACACTTGGAATTCAGAGTTTGTTGAAGAACGCCGACATGTCTATTACAGCAAAAATGACCATGCACGTGTCCTCTTGGGATTGCGTTCAAGTATTATAGGATAGAACAATGACTTGTGGATTTCGATGTAGATGTTGTTGCGGCAGGTCGGTCTTTGGGTTTGGCAAGCAGGCAAACAAAGGCGACAGGGATTGGTTTCGGTGGCTCTACCCCAGACTCAAAGAGCGCTGTTTGTGGTCGCAACCTCCGCTGTGAGGGAGGCGGCACGCTAATTGAAATTTCGAGATATCTGGCCTCGGGACGCCCCAATCGTCATTCTTAGGTACCTACCTTAACAGGACTATTTGCGCTGGCCCTGCTGACATTCATCTTGAATCTTAAACAATGACATAAGGATCATGTCTTTCGATTATTGCAGCTAACATTTGACATCTTTGTTTTGCGCAGTACTTGCGACTGTATTATTCCACCAGACGAGCTTCCAATTACCCTAACGCGCCCATAACACCACCGTTTAATCCGAGCTGGTTCATCGCAGTACGCCCAGTTGATTTCCACCGGAACCACGATCATACACCGGTTGGGAGCCGGCGCAGTCCGCGAATCCACGAAGTAGGACCATCGACGCGATGTCGCCAATACGAAGCGCCAGCATCGCCCTCTCGTGCCCTTTGTGGGCTTGCGACTTCGACGATTCCAATCACTTGATCGTGGGTGGCGGTGGCGGCGCTGGGAAACACGGAGTCGGGAACAAAATTGTAGGTCGTGCTCATCGGTCGGGTCCTTAATCGTCGACGCTCATTTCGGCTCCGTGGGACTAACGCGGCATCGCATTGCTACAGACCCTTCTCGATGTTTCAGATGAGTCGGAAATCGTCAATGCCGGCGACATCGAACTAAGTAAAAACGAAGACAACGTACAGACGCTCGCCGTCGGCCCCCGGAAGGACAGAAACTTGACCGTCTTTGCCGGAGTGAACAGCAGCGTGGAGGAGCTGAGAAAGGGAAACAACCAACATTTCCGCGTTTTCGGCGTTGCTCTGCCGGGGAGGTCGGCCAAGAGTGGCGGTGTGAGCGGCAAATTCTCCGAACTCGCCCGCGAATCTCTTTTCTCCCACAAAGACGAAAGTACATACCAACGACTCCTCCGGCTATCACAGCCGTTCGACGGCGTGGCACAGCTGGGCGCCATCGCAACAGGCCTGGCTAAGGACCATCAGATCATTCTATTCGATGTTCCGGCCACCGGCGCCTCAAGGTGGAAGTCTCGGGGCAGCCTGGACATTCCCAAGGAAGCCATGGACTTGGACGTTGTCCAAACGGGAACCAATACCTACCAGTTGGCGTATTGCGACCACTTCGATATTTTTACGGTAGATGTCTCCAAGACCGAGATATCGGAACCAAGATGTGTCTATACCATGGGCGGGGAAGCGGGCAGACGTCCCATGTTCAGATCGATACGATACCTGACCCCCGGCTTTCTGATTGCAGTTGCCAACAATGCTGATCGAAAGGGGGTTTCTTTGCATGGATATCGCCTGCCAACAAAGGAACAGGAGAATGCTCGCTTGGCTGTCGTCAAGCAACTACCCAAGGCTGTCACTCAGGCGACGGGGATGGCAGTCCGAAATTTAACACCACTTTCCGCGCCGGCTGAAAAGCACGCTGACGCGCAGTATGTTATTGCCGTCGCTAGCAATGATTCCACCATATCTGTGTATACTGTGGAACACAAAACTTCGGCGTCTATCGAGCTTCTGGCCAACCTCGAGCGCGTCGAAACCATCAAGTCGGTGCATGATCAAATGATTACGGGCCTTTCCTTCTCAAGCTTTGTGCCGCCCACTTCCCCCAGGCCGCCTACAGAACTGTCTCTGAAGCTCGCAAGCGTATCAATGTCCAATACCGCAGTAGTGCACAGTATACCATTGAAGAAGTACATCGATAAGTCTTCCCCTACCCGGAGGGGCGGCCCTCCGAAACCGGCTCGTTATGTGGTTGCCCTCAACGGCGAACGAGAGTCCCCCCTTACCATAGTGATTCTGGTGTCACTCATGTTCATCGTCATGGCCCTCGTTGGCCAGGTTATCGTGGAGGCAATGGGTCTTGGGCAACCTGTTCTTGGCACGAATCGATATCTGCCTGTGAGATGGACAGTGCCTGTCCGCCACGGGCCCGTTGTTGGATCGAAGTTCTTGGGTGACCTACTCACAGACATCAAGCCGGAGCAGCGTGATCAGGTGGTTGTTCGACACGACGAAACCGGTCAGCTTGCGGTGGATGTACACAACGAAGAAACACACGGGCCCGCTATGCAATGGGACCAGCTTGATTCCGAGGACCAGCAGCTGTGGAAAGAGCGCCTCAAGAACAAGGGTCAATGGGCCGAACACATGGGCGAGACGGTGTTAACGGGTGTGATGTTTGGCGAGATTGGTGGTAATATCAACGCCATGATCGGTGAGGCACTATGATGATGGGGATAAACATATGGCATACTTGACTAGGCGCACCTGTTCTTCTGCCTAGCTGTGAAACACTAGAAATACTTGGACAATAGAAAAGTCCTTACTCGCCCTTCATTAACACCCCATAATGTTCGTCTTATTCCAGTTCAGGTTCAGTAAAATACACCCTTTACAGGTCACTATATTGCTTAGGGCGACTAATACGTTCCGACAGAGTCATACTCGAGGAGCAATTCGATGACATACTTTTGAAAACTGCTAAACTGTTCTCTCTATTAAGCATTTACGTTCCTGATGCACCCCAGAGGTATAGCCAGGATGGGTAACCCATAGTCCAAGGAAATAGTAAGTGCCGCAAGACCCCAAACGATACGACATACAAAGACCCGTGTAGAGTTTTAGATGGTCGAAGACACTCCCCGTATCCTCTTGTCTAGAATGTACAATTCTTATTCCATAGTAACCAGCGGTGAAGATATTCCGAGTTCGCGACAAGCAAAAGGGGGCCGCGGTAGAATTGGGGACATGACCTCAAATCAACTGGTACAATTATGCACGTTGAATATGCCACCGAATGCCAAGCGTATTCAACTCGAACCCTTCTCACCCTGCAAGGGTACGATATTTCAAGATCGCAAGCAAGTGGTAATATTGTGCATACATAACATTGGTATCTAGTGTTGTGCATAAAAACATGTAGGTGCCAATTGTCCGTGGACTGGCTCTGTCTACTTAAGTAGCAACCGCTTTCCCAGCCCAGCTGTCCGTCCCATTGAATTACGCCAAACCATGCAATACGTAAAGTCAGTCGCGCGATACTTCGCACTTGATGAGGCCGTTGGGTCCAGACTGAGGGATGTACACTTCGGCGTCTTTGCCCGTGTTCTTGATGCCGTTGTGCCATGACAGATCTGCAGACTATCTTAGTAAAAGGTTTCAATGCAAGTTGGATAGGGTCTACTGGCAACTTACCGTGCTCAAAGTAGTGCTTATTCGGCAACTCATAGGTAACCGCAGCAGTTTCGGGGGCCGCCTCGAGGATCTGCTCACACATCTTGTACATGGTGTTCTGAACCGAGGGGCTGTTCTCTTCGGCAAAAGTCTTCATGGTGATGTTCCGCGCGTCCGCAAACGCCTTGTCGAACATGGCCACCTTGTCCTTCACGGCGGCCAGGTTGGGCAGCGTCTTCCACTTCCAGGCGGCGTCCACAGACGTGGACAGGATGCGATCCCAGGTCTCGGGCAGCGTGGTGAACTCATCCCTTACGAAGCCGTAGAACATGGATCCCGTGCTCTTCAGAACCAGCAAGTCCGCGATGGCGCTCTTGATGTCGATGCCCTCCCGCGTCACGCGAACCGTGACCTTGCGCTTGTCGTCGCCATCGCGGTAGAAGCTGTGGGGGTGCGGCTTGCCGTCAATGGACATGTGCGTCCAGCGGAAGAGGCTGATGTCGACGTTGGCGACAGAGATGTGCGGGTACTTGTCCAGGAAGTGCTGGCCTAGGGTGCTGGCAAACAGCTCCGGCGGGTTTACGGGGAGCTCCTTGGCCTTGATGTAGATGGTGTTCTTGATGGAGTCGGTCGCTACGACGGGGCCGTTGTCCGCCACCGTGTAGGACTCTTCGATCTGACCCTCTAGCAGACAGCAAACCATCATCTCCGTCACTGTGTGCACACCATCCTCGGCCCTGTCCACCTTGCACACGCGGACATTGTCCTTGCCGTAGCGAGCCGCAGAAAGGCGGGGCATTGTGATGATGATTTCTTTTTAGAGTTTGAGTGTTGTGTTTGGGGTTACAGGGAAGGACTTGAATGGATAACCCGCTATGAGATTTATGAAGTAATGCCTTTGGGGCTAATAATTGAAGCTTATGTAGTGAATGTTCCAAGCTCTACTTGAATAGGATTTTGAGGGACGTGTGAGTGTGATGGATGTACTTAGAGGACGGGGAAGGAAGGACCAGAGAGAATGCAGCTGACGAAACGGCAGTTGGTGATGAGCATCCAAGAAGCAAAAGATGCATGAAGCAAGGAGACGTTGGGTTTTATATGTGTCATCTCAGACAATTTAGTAGATGCAAGGTCGTCTAGAAATAGCTCGACTTCCAGCTTCGGGTAGCGCCTCGTTCGTTTTCCACGTCGCGGTGTCCCGCTGGTCACCGAAAACCCTCCTATAAACGCACCGTATAAGCCTGGCCGCGCCGGCGATGAGAGCTAGCGGATAGCAATGGCATACGGAGTCCGCCGACTTCAGTGGTGATGGCGGCCCACATAGCTAAGCCAAGCAGGGGAAGCCCCTAGATCCAAGCTGTCAAAAGGACGCATCCGCGGGTCACGAATTTTTGCGGCCCTCTGCAAGTTTTTCGAAAATATTCTGCCAAATTTCGTGGAAAATTCTGCCGCAACTCGGGGGGAAAATAATGCAAGATGCATTGGGTTCTCGTCAGCCTGATCTCAAAAGGTCGAGGCTTCTCGTATACAGGTAGGTCCGGCAGATGGTTTTCAAGTTCGGAGCAGGCCAGCTGATGACGGCCAGCGGCGACGGTGGAGGGGGGGCAACGCTGGATGGTTGAATGCGGGGGTTCATTCCGATAGGGCCTCACCCTGGAGCGATCATGACTTGATATCGAGAACGAATCATACGACTCTATTAGTCTAGGGTCTGGTTTAAAAGTAGCAGATCCAGATGGCTGGCCATATTATCTCCGCTGGACTCACTTGTCTTTTCTTCACGGCTGCAAGATCAGACACATGTCTGGTGCTCCAATTGCCCAAGCTTTGACATAGCTCCTGATCTCAAGAATCATTGTTAAACTGTAACTCAAGACAATGCGATGCTGTTTGAAGTCTCTCGACATTGATGGATATACAGGCAAAGCATCTGACTAGGTTAACTACTTTGAGATAATCAGGACCCCGACGTCCACAAGGGAACCAGCAGGTGAAGAAGGTCTGCCTCAATATCATGCTGTTGATAATGCCAAGCACTGCCAGCGCTGATCAAGCTGCGGCTAGATCTGGACATTGGTACAAACACCGACAGGGGCTATAGATGGGAATAGACATCTGATAATCTGACCTCTGCCTTCCTGAAGATCAAGTAGCGCGTAAAGTTGCCAGTTATGCTATGGCTTGAAGCAGAGTAACCTAGCGACTTACTATGCTCTTAGACCTATGAGCTACGGATAGATAGGTACGAAGTGAACTCCTAAGGAAACTTAGAAGTTCCGAGTTGGAGTATTGCCTTACCCCCCTCCTCACCCCCCCTTTGGGCCTTTTGGGCTGTTGGCGAAGCTGCAAGACCATGCCCAAAGTGTGCCCCCTGTCGCGCTGCTTCTTGGCATTCGATAGCACAGATCCCATCCACATCGATGCTGAGATAACTACAACCTCACCATCCCTGATGATGACAATGTCTAGCCCATCGCAGACGACATTCGCTGTTGCATTCACAAACAACTTTAGTATGATCAATCGTCTTTGAGCCCGAACCGACTTGCGAGAACCGGAGGTGGTCTGTCGGCACCGAGCCCACTGACGACAGCAGCAGCAGCGGGTGCAGCAGCAGGTGCGTGAGGTATCCCACCCACTCCTTTTGATACGTCAAACACCTGTCGCCTTGGATACTTTGTGGCAGTTCAGTATTCGCAGCCTTGGCGGCAGCGAATCCTTCCAACCCTTTGACCGACCGAACCCACCAGCCGCGGCTCCTAACCGATAAATTCCTTCGACATTACTGTGCGGGTGAATGACGACAAACAACGATCCAAGAACCGACTCGAGCGCTTCAGTGGCACACTTACGCACGCCAACCGATTCTCAGCGAAATCCCAACCCTCCCAACGCCGCAACCAAAGCAGAGGCTGCAGTTGCTGCTGGAAGTTTGTTTTTCTTCACACCGTGACAGATTGAGATCATAATCACTGCGTCCTTGTGGGGCCCAAGAGTGATTGACGATAAGCCGCTCCATTCGGTGACTTCGATTACCCAGCGCTGCTGCTGCTGCTGCTGCTGCTACTACCACGGCACGACCATCTCTCCCGGCCCTGAACGACGAACCTATCCGAACACTATACCGAGCTGCCCAACTGGGACGTCTACGTAAGAGCTTCAGAACAAGTTTAGAGGAAGGACTACGTAGGTCATTGAAACTGTATTTGCAGGTGCAACTACGAAAAAGTCCACCAGTGTCAAACAGAGGCTCAGTGTCTGCTATTGGAGGCGCGAGTTATTTAGCCATCCGTTACTATCATCTGCTCTGTGCGATTAGAATCCCAAATTGCGGGCTTGTACTCCTGGTGTTTTCTGTTAAAGTCATCCTTTATCACTCTCACCACCTTGAGCTCAGGTTATCTATGCGATTCTTTGTCGAATGAGCCGCTCGCGGGAATTGTCCCAGACGGTGGACATTGGGGTGGGACAGCCATCATGCTGAGCACTTCTGCAAACCCGACTCAGAAGTCGCTCGCCCCGCAACCAGGCGCATCCACCAATGCTTCGGTCACAACATCCCGCACAAGCCTCGAACGTGAAGGACTCCGTCCACCTGCCTCAACAGATGGGGGACGCAACTTGTCCGCCTCGGCGGCGGTATCGTTTGCACCACGCGGTTCTTCTCTCAACCCTTCGCCAGTACCCGGAAGCTTCAGTTCCGATCTTCGCAGTCAGATGACGGCGTCAAGAGCAGGGTCCAGGGCGGACGTGTACAACTTGGAGAAATTGGACGAGGAAAGCCTGTCTGCGGCAGAGCAGGCGCTGAACGAACTCAAGGAATCCCTCAACCGCGAAATGAAGATCAAGGAGGGCAGCGAGAATCTTCTAGAAGCACTGAATGTGAAGAAGGCAAAGCAGACCAAGGACCAACGACAGCGGGTTGAGGCCGAGTTAAACTTGTCCAACCACAAGATCAAGGAGCTACGGCAGAAGATCACTGATGCACAACGGGCAAGAGCCCCTCCACCGGCTACGCCAACAAGACAACGGCCTGAGGCTGCGACGCAGAACAGTGGCCTGAGATCGCCCCCGAGCGCTTCCAGGAGCCGGGCAGGGTCGGACTTTGAGGATCCCGTGGAGCAGTCCCCGACCTTTGCGCTCGCCGAGATCTTGCAGGCGCTCGAGGTTGAGGGACTAACACCCGAGTACTACGTGGGCCGTGCAAATAGCTTGGTCGATCTATTCAAGAGACATCCTACACTGAAGTATGACCTGGTGTGGTCAGTCTTTGGCGATCGGATGCAGGTCATGCTCTTGAGTGATAGTAGGGAAGTAGTGGCTGCCGGGTACCGCATGATACGCTACGCCATTTCAGACGTCTCCTCCCTCAAGAAGATACGTAGCCTAAACACGGATTATATGGTGGTCGTGTCATTAGCTAAGGATCGAAAGGCCGATGTTGAACGAGAGCAAGCCCTGAAATTTGTCCGTGCTTTCCTGGACGTCAAAGACGGGGTTCGGGAAGTGTCCAGAGCAGTCGTAAGGACCATCGCCGCAGTTGCTGAACATGCCGAAGACAGGTTGCGACCCATCTGCATTGAGACACTTGCCGAAATACTGCTCAGAGATGCAGCATTGCTGACATCTTGTGGGGGTTTGACACCTCTGTCAGAGGCCCTAGCTGAAGGTACATACAAGGCCCCAGAATCACTAGCATCTGCTTTACTGTACTTGCTCGATCGGCCTCAGACGCGGAAGTATTTACGCTCCGGCTGTGAATTGGAGGTTCTGTTCATCGCTTTTACCGACGTCCTTTTCTCATACGAGAACGTCGTGAAGCAGAATTCGAAAGCAATTGCGGCCTCATTGAAGTCATGGTCTGGTCTAATGACTCTGTCCATGTATAACTTCAGAGCGGTTAGGTCCCTTGTCTCGAGCCTGATGTTACCAAACCCGGCGATTCGAGAAACGGTCATCGATCTGCTTTTTACACTGCTTCGAATCAAGCCACCAGCCTGGGCCACGTCGTTCCTGGCTGGGAGACGACTGACTACCTATGGGAGGGTAGCCACTCTGAAGTCCACAACAGTGGCGAAGGGCACTACGTTTTATGAAGATGACGGTGCAGAACATAGCTTTGTAGAACACTACACCGCCTTACTGTTGGCCATTTTCATCAGAGCTGGCATGTTGCCCAATTTGCTGCACGTGGCGCAGGACATGGACAACCCCCCTTTGAAGCGCAAGACGACCTTGCTCATTGGCGAAGTCCTGAAGTTGGCCAGTCGGCTGCTTCCCCCATCTTGGAGCGCCGAGCTTCAACTTCTACCTGAACTTTTCTCTGCTGCAGTGGAATTTCAGCACGATGGACGCTTCAATGCGACGGGTGTTGTTTATCAGATTAGCAGCGTCAGCCGTACGCTTTATCGGTCAGCTCCTTCCAGCTTTGCTGCCGGCAACATTCCGTCAAGCAGCACCTTAGAGCACCTTGGGTCCATTGAGGAAACGCCGAAGAACAGCACGCTGGTCAATACAGACGATGCAACATTCCGTCAACTTCTGATAGATTCGGGCGTCCTGAGCAGCTCGAATCCTCTGAAGTGGGATTGGGATGTCACACTCAAAATCATTGAAGGCCCTCTCATGAATGGTAAACGCCTAGAGGAAGCCATCAAAGCGTCCAAGTTCGTGAAGAGAACCGTGAGTTTTTTCAGGCCTTTTAAGTACAGGTTCTCGACATACAAGAGCACCCGAAATACACAGAAGTACGTCAGAGTTGGTTGCGCTCTCATGCACACACTCCTACAAACTCCAGAGGGGACCCGATACTTGGCCGACAACAAACTGCTGCGGCAAATTGCCGAGTGCCTGGCCCAGTGCGATCCAGTATGTGAACAATCACCCACTTCCGCCCTGGGCAACCGAGAAAAACTAACGTTCCCAAAGACCAGCGGTCTTACAGCGCAGTATCCGATGTTCTCTAAAGATCACCTCAGCGATACCCTATGTTCGGGTTACTTCCCCATGTTGGGGGTTCTCAGTGGTGATCCGAAGGGACTGCAAATGCTTGAGAGGTGGCGCATCTTCAACATGATGTATCACATTGTTGACCTCAAGCAGCGACCCGATCTTATCAAGCTGCTGTTGAGCAATTTTGACTATAGCCTGCAGGGGCACCCTCGAGTCCTGCTTTCCAAGGCATTGACAGCCGGTACGAAGGACATGCGCAGCCACGCCACAAACGTGCTTAGGAAGTACGCTACGAGGCAGCATGTGACTCCGTCGGGCCAGGTGGTCTCTGATTCCAAATGGGCCATACAGCTTCTGGTGACACAACTCTATGACCCTGAAGTGGAGGTATGTGCCACAGCGGTCAAGATCCTCGAAAAGGCTTGCAACAATAAGTACCTGCTTGAATACATTGTCGAGTGCCGCCCAGCGCTGGACCATCTGGGCGAGATAGGCGCCCCCCTGCTCCTGCGGTTCTTGTCTACCTCGATTGGATACCATTACCTCGATGGACTGGACTACATCAGCAACGAGATGGATGATTGGTTCCTCGGTCGTAATGACAACTACGTTGGGCTGATCGAAGCAAGTCTTGCTCGGTCATTTATTGACACCTCAGACGATCACCCAAATCGCCTCAGCATGTATGAGGATGACTTGGATGGGGATCATGACATCTTTGTCCCGCCTCACTTCTACCGAGAACTCACACGCACCAAGGAGGGCTGCAGGCTACTGGAGGGCAAAGGTCACTTCGAGGAATTTGCAACAACGGTTCGCGAGCATGGAATGCAATCAGAAGACCCAGAGATCATGACCAAAGTCAAGGGATGTCTGTGGGCCGTGGGTAATGTCGGATCCATGGAGCTTGGAGCACCCTTCCTGGAATCCAGTGACGTTGTCGAGCACATAGTCAAAATTGCAGAGACACACGAGGTGATGAGCTTGCGCGGTACCGCCTTTTTCGTGCTCGGCCTCATCTCCAGGTCGGTGCATGGGCTCGAAATCCTCTCGGAGCATGGTTGGGATTCCAATTGCACTCCCTTGGGCATCTCGCTCGGCTTTTGTCTGCCGATGAATCTCTCTAAATTCTTCTCTTTCAAACCTTGGAAGCACGAGACCGTTGCCTCTGTTGCACTTCCTGATACTCAAAAAACCGTCGTGCCACCACCACCGCCAGTGATGAGAGATGCAGATGAAACCAACCAGAGGATACTGGAGCTCATGGTGGAGATGGGCAACATGGTGCTCTACAAGAAGGCGAAGATGGAGTTGATGATGCTGAGACAAAAGAAGGCCCCTGGCTTCAGGCAGCCAGCCCTGTTCCGAAAAGTCTTCTCACTCCTGGAAAACCATCACTACCGTCTAGGCGACCGACACATGGTTTTCGAGTTGTTCGACAAGAGCGTGCTCAGGCAGATAGTCTATGGCGACGACAGTGAGGATGAAGTCGAAAGCAGCTCGGGGGACGAACAGAGGACGGAGCGGCAGAGGAGCATCAGTGATCCGTCCGAGGTGGACAAGTTCATGGCAAAAATGCCCAAGGGCTCGATCTAAGACAAGAGGGATCTTGTCGAATCAGGATACGACGATGCGCAGCCTCCAAAAGGGGGTCCCTTCAATTGTAACAGTAGCGCCAGATGACACAGGAAAGGGGAAAGAGAGGGGCCTTGATCTAGCTTTGCATATATAGTCGTCCAGGTGGGCGAAGGCTGCGGACAGCCGGCGTTTGAGAGAGAGAGAGAGAGAGAGAGAAAGAGATTCGAGGTCTGCATGTACAATGACCCTTTGGGTTACGGTTGGTCGGGGATCGTGGACGGCCAAGGCAAAACACCCCTTCTCGTCATCTGCATAGGCGTTAGAGGCTTATTTGTGTAGTCTTCTTTCAGGTTGAAGGGAGTTCTGCGGTTACGTGAAAAGTTGGGAAGCACTAGGCTTGAAATATACCACAAGTACTGAAGTACTCTCTCTCTGATGTCCAATCCGTTTTCAGGTCTTACGCTGTTGGTGGCCGCATTGAATCATGGCCTCTATGGTCCATGCATTCTGCCTATCCGCCCGAATGAGAAGAGAGTTGAAGTTTTCCAACACCAGTGTCTCTGTTCATGCCATTGATGTATGCCCCAACCCCACTTTTTTCTTGGAGATGCAGCTCACAGCAATAGTCATGCGAGACCTTCAACGTGTCTCGCTATTCTGGGGCAGGTCGTAATAGTCTAACTGGTATTCTATGGCTGTACAGGGCAATCTGATTGGATGCTCTGTGAAGTCGTTTGACACCCACTATAATTACTGGAGCCAACCGCGTAACGCCGAAAAGCAGAACGTCTCCAGCCAGGTACCCGTACCGAATTCGTACGGATATATCAGGTGAATTTCAAGAACAGGAAATCCCGCCCAGACTCCAGCCTTTGTAACACGAACATAAGTCCGGCAAAATGGCTCGCGGTACAGTCTTGGTCATTGCTGGGTCTGATAGCTCGGGCGGAGCGTAAGTTTTGGTCCAGTGAATGGGAGTACCTACCTGCAGGTCGTCAGTCGGGGATTACTAGCCGCCTACCCTGGCAATTAAGCGCTGACTGCTTGGTGATGATAGTGGCTTGGAAGCAGACCAGAAGGTCATTGCCGCCCATGGATGCTATGCTATGACGGCCACGACGGCTCTGACGGCGCAGAACACATCGGGAGTCGACGGCATCTATCAGATACCGCCCGAGTTTGTGCGGAAGCAGATAGATGCCGTGTTCAAGGATATTGTGCCTGATGTCATCAAGACTGGTAAGTTAGACTACCAATACTTGGGAGACTAGCATGATAACTGGATAAGTAATAGGCATGCTAGGTTCAGCGGCGACTATTGAGATGCTGGCCAAAGCATTCACCGATTACAAGATCAACATGCCCCGAGTAGTCTTGGATCCCGTCAGTATAGAAGAGCACATTGCCGGTCTATTTGGTCTCTGATAATGTCCCAGGTCATGGTCGCAACAACAGGTGCTCAACTTCTCCCTGCGGATGCCGTCAAAGACATACGGATCCTGTTGCTGCCACAAACTTTTCTCGCGACCCCCAACATCCCCGAGGCCAAGCTCCTGCTGGCCGAAGTGGGCAAAGAACCAGTCGACGTGCAGAGCATCGCTGATCTGGACCGCCTCGCACGCCGCTTGCAGGAGCTGGGCCCTCGCTGGGTGCTCGTCAAGGGCGGGCATGTGCCGTTCAAACAGGACGGCACCGTGGCGCGGACCACGGAGGAAAGGGAGATGATTGTGGATGTGCTATTTGGCGAAGGAAAAATCACTAGGATAGAGAGCCCGTACCAAGATTCGAAAAACACGCACGGGACGGGCTGCTCACTGGCTTCGGCTATTGCATCCAACCTGGCTATGGGGTTGGGGACGGAGCAGGCTGTCAGGGCGGCTTGTCGATATGTGGAGGCGGGCATCAAGACGGCGCCCGGGTATGGGAAGGGCAGCGGACCCTTGAACCACTTTCATTCTACTTATACGTTGCCGTTTGCACCGTAAGTTGATTTTGCGCTTGTTGAGGAAAAGGAAAATGCTAATGCGGATGTATAGTGGCCGTTTCATTGAATACCTTCTCGAACGACCAGATGTTGCCCCCGTGTGGCACCGATTCGTCAATCACGAGTTTGTGATGGGACTAGGTAATGGGAAGCTACCCCTGTATTCATTCAAGTACTACTTGATCCAGGACTACCTATATTTGGTCAGCCACTCTAATTGCCCAGCACCAGTTTGCTTATAAGCTAATATCTACACAAGACTCAATACGCGAGAGCATCCGCCCTAGCTTCATACAAGGCTAGGACCATGGACGACATAGCCGCAGCAAGTGCCCCCTTCCCACCCTTCTCCAACCTGTCAAGATCAATAATACCTCAGTACTCATACCCCGTCCTCAGGGCGCAGCGATAGTATCTCACATCCACCGCGAGATGAGCCTCCACCTCACCTACTGCACCTCCTTCGGCATCTCCCGGTCCGATATCGAGCAGACGGAAGAGCACCAGGCCTGCACAGCTTACACGCGCTACGTCCTCGACGTCGGACAGTCGGAGGACTGGCTGGCCCTACAGATCGCCCTAGCCCCTTGCCTGCTTGGGTACGGCGCCATCGGCGAGATGCTACACGTCGATCCGGCTACCAAGGCCGAGCAAAATACTTACTGGCCTTGGATCCAGAATTATGTGGCCGAGGACTATGTCACGGCGGTCAGGACGGGGCGGGAGCTGATTGAGAGGCATGCGTTGGCGTTGAGTCCTAGTCGCGTGGATGAGCTGGTCAGGATTTTTGTGCATGCTACGGCTATGGAGATTGGGTTTTGGGAGATGGTCCCTTCGACATAGGGGTGAGGGAGAAACTCATGTTTGTTAGTGTCTATAGTGCTCAGGCTGTGTCCCCAATTTGCCCATGCGTAACCCTGCGAGCACCCGTGAGTTTTTCAGTCGAGTTGTCAGATTAGTTTACGACAGCGAGTTGGTGGAGACCTGGGTTGAGGCCCAACGTGTGTTGCTGTGTTGAATTCTTGGGGAACCACAACATACAAAGTAACAAGAGCCTCGGGAGAAATATCACACTATATATATGCACATGACTACCAGCTAGTGAATGATACAATGATCATGTATAAAGTAATCACAACTGACCCAAAAATACATGCAAAGTACTTGAGGAAGTTGCACTGAGAAGAGGCTTTGCGATTTCCTCAGTTCTAATTAAGATATACGCGAGGTATGGGATGGTGACCAATTTAGCACAGGCGTGGGATGCTGTTACCCCCGGGCGGCAGAAAGGGCGGGTGATAGCCCAGCTTGTCAGTGACATATGATAGATAGTTAGTTGGGTGCTAGCCTGATGCAGGGACGTGCGCACGGGCCCAAAGAAAAACCCGCCGACAGGCAGGTGGGCTCTTGCTGATTTTTTTGCCAGACCTTCTAAAAGTTTCATCACTTCACGTTTTCTCGCCCATTTCTCCATCCCATCAACCTTTCACCATTCCACCTTTCTTGTGTGATACTGCCATCAATTCTCACACATCCCTTCTTTTTTGCAGATATATCTGCTCTTTAATTACCGCCCGGCCTGATCTTTAGCTTTCAAAGGCTTAAAGACCGAACAGTCGCGCTGAGCGCTTCCCAACAGCTACATCACCCACGTAAACAAACAAAACCCAACGCAAACATCTCAAGATGTCTTACGGCGGCGGTTACGGCTCCCGTGGCGGCGGAGGGTACTCCAACGGCGGTGGTGGAGGCGGTGGCTATGATAAGTATGGCGGCGGTGGTGGTTATGGGTAAGTCGCATTGCCCTTCTATCCTAACCTCGTCCTTCTTTCCGTTCCCTATGCCACATGTTGAGCAGAGGGTACTAGCCCGCTACGTGGCATAATCAACTTGGATATATTTCATGTTTCGGGCACATCGCTGACCTGTTCATGTTACAGCGCGTCAAATGGTGGTGGCTACGGCGGAGGCGGAGGTGCTGGCGGCGATCGCATGTCTAACCTTGGTGCAGGCCTCCAGAAGCAAAGCTGGGGTATGTTATCCATCATTATTCCCATGTCGCCTACTTCATACTGATATTTCCCCTACAGACATGAGCGCTCTTCCCAAGTTCGAGAAGTCCTTCTACAAGGAGGATGAGGCTGTGGCCAACCGATCTCAGACCGAAGTCGATCGATTCCGACGGGACCACCAGATCGCTATCACCGGTACTGATGTTCCGAAGCCGGTTGAGACTTTCGACGAGGCCGGTTTCCCCCGCTACGTTATGGATGAGGTGAAGGCCCAAGGCTTCCCTGCTCCTACCGCCATTCAGTCTCAAGGATGGCCCATGGCTCTTTCGGGACGCGATGTCGTTGGTATTGCCGAGACAGGCTCAGGAAAGACCCTTACGTATTGTCTTCCTGCCATCGTTCACATCAACGCTCAACCTCTGCTGGCACCCGGGGATGGCCCCATCGTTCTTGTTCTTGCACCAACTCGTGAGTTGGCAGTCCAGATTCAGCAGGAAATTACCAAGTTCGGCAGATCTTCTCGCATCCGAAACACGTGTGTGTACGGAGGAGTTCCCCGTGGTCCTCAGATCCGTGATCTCACTAAGGGTGTCGAGGTCTGTATCGCGACTCCTGGGCGTCTTATTGACATGCTGGAGGGCGGCAAGACCAACCTGCGCCGTGTGACCTACCTTGTTCTTGACGAGGCCGACCGCATGCTTGACATGGGTTTCGAGCCCCAAATTCGCAAGATTATTGGCCAGATTCGACCTGACCGTCAGACTCTCATGTGGTCCGCCACTTGGCCCAAGGAAGTCCGAGCCTTAGCTTCCGAGTTCCAAACCAACTTCATCCAGGTCAATATTGGTTCCCTGGACCTTTCTGCCAACCACCGCATCACTCAAATTGTGGAGGTTGTCACAGAGGGCGAGAAGCGTGATCGCATGATTAAGCATCTTGAGAAGATCATGGATGACAAAGAGAACAAAGCCCTGATCTTCGTTGGTACCAAGCGTGTTGCCGATGAAATCACCCGATTCCTGCGCCAAGACGGTTGGCCCGCACTTTGTGAGTTGAATTTCCCCGTCTTCTAAGATAATACGACTGCTAACGTTTCTCAGCCATCCATGGCGACAAGCAGCAGAACGAGCGTGACTGGGTCCTTGACCAGTTTAAGACTAACAAGAGCCCAATCATGGTTGCCACAGACGTGGCTTCCCGTGGTATCGGTATGATTATTTGTCCCCCCACCCCCTTCTCCCCTCCCCCTCCCCTTCCCCCGTAGCAACCTTCCAGCAGCAGAGTTACATCCGCTGTGCTTTACTTCTCATGTATGTCTAGGGGCTCTCTCGACTGCGCACAAATGCCTGACTCTTCGTGCTCCGTGGTTCTCTCTTCCCTTGGATTGTTGGAATCCCTGGTATAGCTGTGTACGTACTGCTATACACTTGTTCCGCACTTGTACCGCGAGGAAAGCAAAGGTACAAGTGCGGAGTTGGCATCTCTTGATTCTATCAAGTTGTCTTCATGATTCCATCATCCCCGAGGGCCCGGACTGTGTTGAAACTGTTCCATCCTGGCATATTGACGCAACGGACAGCCCCATTCGAAAAGAAAGCACGGAACCAATATGCTTAGGCACCATCCGCTGGGACATGCTACAGAAACCTTGCTATCCTGAAGCTAACCTCTATGTAATCAAGATGTGCGAAACATTACTCATGTGATCAACTATGACTACCCGAACAACTCGGAGGATTATATCCATCGGATTGGCCGAACCGGTCGTGCTGGCTTGAAGGGCACGGCTATCACGCTCTTCACTACTGACAGTAAGTTCTCGCTCACCTTCCCGAGCCCAATTGGCACTAAGACAATCTGCAGACTCGAAGCAGGCTCGTGACTTGGTCAATGTTCTCCAAGAGGCCAAGCAGCAGGTTGATCCCAGACTTCACGAGATGGCCAGATACGGCGGCGGTGGAGGTGGCCGATTCGGTGGCCGAGGCTACGGAGGCCGTGGTGGTGGTCGAGGTAGGTCTCAACCCTTGACTGTGCTGCGTTGAATTTGTACTGACTTGAGTTGCACTAGGTGGTCGTGGAGGAGGCGGAGATGGCTCTAACAACATCCCTCTTGGCCGAAGTCGCTGGTAAACCAGTTGACCCGATACCTGTTGACCGATTCCTCATGACTAGTCCGGCACCCTGGCTAAAATTAACATCGCCGGTCTTACCTCGCACAGTTACAGGTATTCTGATCTAGCCAACAGTCCTAGACTGGGCTACTTCGGAGATGATGACGGTGCGATTCCACCCGCTTGGGGGATTCCCGATCGCGATAGCATTTTCTTCTGCACACGTGCAAAAGTCGGCGTTGAGGCTAGATGGTTTGGCCGTACATAGACATGGGTAATTGCCTTTTTTTCGCAGTGCATTTCATCGATGGATTGACTCCCATGAGTCTGTTAACTTACAATACTCGCAAAGGTTGCAGGGGGGCTATTTGCTAGACAAACCGAAAGGATACAAGACTGAGAGGATTGTACGCGTAACATTCTGATATACAAGCAGCAGATGATGGCATGGCAAAAGTGGATTTGGCAGGTTGGAGACTGAAGTCTACAGAGCACAAGGCGTGTCAACTACTACTTACTAGCTGACTCGTTGCAGATCTCGCAGATTGATGCCGGCTCATGAAACCAATCTAGTTTCTCGGTAGATACTTGTCCTTCTCGCCTTGCTTCCATTTGGGCGGCAAAGTTGCGATGCATGTAGTATAATTCATATACTTGACAAACATTTGTCTTATGGCAATAAGCATGTTGATGTTTGCATGCATACCATTGCTATGGCCATGATCCTCGGCTATTCCCAAAGCCGGCGATGGGCGCATGTTGATGTAGTTGACCAATATTATCCCCTTTAGCGGGCTGTCCCTCTACTTTACACTCATCCACGAACGTACTGCCGTATCGAGCCCGCATACCAATCTGAGACCGTCATCCACCATTTCACCTAGCCACAAACAGCAAGACACCGAGGAAGCAACTTTGGCAACAGCAAGTGCTTGGGAGCCCACTTATTCCAAGGGTTGAGATCATTACGTGTTCTGCCCTACGACCTGAGATTTGCCTCCCTTGCGGTCTACACACCGTTTCCAACATCTGCGTAGAATTTTGTGTCTAGTCTAGATTCTTGACAAAGATTTGTTAAAGATCTGCTTCATGAGGAGAGATTATGTGGGACTAGGGAGTTCTGTCTGATGTTCAGGCTGTCCCGCCTTTGTGGTTGGTCTATGGCTTGACCCTCGGAGGTTTGGGTCTCCAAATCCGCTTGTAGAGCCGTAATCCATAACCGGAATCGGCTGGACTTTGAAGCAAGACCACTGAACCCTTGTCTCATTGTGCTGTCGCAGTGTTTATTGAACACCCTTGGAAGGCTATCCCCCAAATACTTCCTGGTTACCCGAACTTCTCCAAGAACGCGATATCAAGGGGCTGCCTTGATCTCAGCGGGACGACAAAACAATCAATTGACAGCAAAACCCTGTGAGTGGGATTGAGAGCTTGACGACCCCGGGAGAAGTACTGCCAGACTCAGATGGTCATTTCCTAGGGACGTCGTGTCTGCGCTTTGTAGTCCGACTCAGGTTTGACGGACTCGGCTATTTCTGTGTGAGATGCAGCGTGTGCACGACGCGTAGAACAATGCTCGCATCTCTTTTTTGTGTTCTGGTGCTTCTGGCCAAGTTTATGGACCGCATGTTCGCGTTCGAGGCATCTAGTGTACTTAGTGGCGGCAGTTGGTCAAGTCCATCCTGCTCACGGCTGTACCCGTGAGCTTCAATTGGTTGTCACAAAGGCGTCATTATCTGCGTCGAGGATTTGTATCGGTCGATCCATCCATCAACCACTGCCATCTGTGGCCAGCATAAACCCAGGACTCCAGTATTCCCATTCGTCACATTGTTTATCGACCCACAGCATCCCTTCTCCCAAGAGGTCCTCCAGCACAGTCTGAGCTCTTGCCCTAATCCATTGAAGATTGATCATCAGCATGGATACGCTGACATATCCCAGAACCTGCGAAGCTTCCAGGACGGCACTCTGATCCGTGTTGAGTTCCTTGGGAACGGAGCGGATGTACGGTTTGTTGCCGACTTTGATGACAGAGTAGCTCGAGCCCAGAGGCTTCAGCGTGCCGACCGCACGCAGCACGTCGTCCTCGGTGATCTCGGGCGCGCCCTCCATACGGCCCCGCATCACCTTCTCCCTCAGCTCCTTGATACCGATGAGACCGCTATTCTCGGCCCGCGTGGCGCTGCACACCTCCACCACTCGCACGGCTAGCTCAAAGTAGAAATCGTTGACGGTGCGGCCCAGCAGTTGTGTCCATAAACTACTCCCCGCGCCGGCGGAGTTGCTCGAGGCCAGGGGGTCAACCCCAATGGCGGCGCACATGCGGGCGAACTGGGCGCGGAAGGACGGGTTTGACCGGATGTCCTTGGCGTGGGTTTGGGCGAATTGCTGAAGTAAGGACCGGAAGACAGACAGCTGGGTTTCTAGGGCCTGCGCATTGGTTGTTCGTAAAGAAGAGCCATGGGAGGCGAACTGGGCCGAGGTGAGACGGTAGCGGTCGAAGGCTGCAAGTCCTACGCCTTTGCGTGACATTGTGAGAGATGGAAAGAATTGAGGCGAGGAATATTAGCTTGTTGTCTTGCTCTATATATCTCTGAGCTTGAAGGTCATAAAGCCAGTCCGGAGCTGATGTGCTGTCAATACAAGCTCGTGACCTTTGTTGACTTGGGTAGAGTTGAGTGAAATATGAATGTTTCCTGTCATAATCAAGTGGTTGAAAGCCAAGTTTTTCACTTAGTAAGGCGTGATTGATATATGCTGACCTGAGTACTTCCACATGGTTCTCAAAGGAGAGCTGCGACCTTGATGTTAGCAAAGCGGGTCATATAAGCCCCGCTTTCCTCGGCCCCATCCAAGCTCACCTGAGCCCTGAATCGGACTAGCTTCCACTGAAGGGTTTGTGCCCTTCTTCGGCAAAAATCGAAAAATCGAGACTGCCGCAATTCAGCCGACCCTCTTTTCCGAGCAAAGATTGAAGCGAGTACTAACAGCCAGCCAGCCTTGGAGAGAGACCTTGCGAATAATCCCATCAGCCCTCACGACGACATACATCCCGCCGCAACCATGGCCTCCACACAGAGCGTTCAATGCTTCGGCAAAAAGAAGACGGCTACTGCTGTCGCACACTGCAAGGTCGGTTCCGCCCACATAAATTGAGGAACAGTAGGCAGATGGAGATGGAGAAAAAGATGCTGGCATGCCGGTGCTGGGGTTATGGACGTGCAAAAATGATGAATAGGACGGCACGCTGACGGAGTTCTGATTATAGTCTGGCGCCGGCCTGATCAAGGTCAACGGTCGCCCGCTCTCCCTGGTTCAGCCCGAGATCCTGCGATTCAAGGTACGAACAACCCCGATTTCCAGCATGCGAATCCCGTTTGTCCGGGTATCACCGACGATGCGGGTTCTCGAAATCCTGTACCCGCTCGATAATCAACAGCTTCACACTCAGCAACGAGTAACTAACCTCTAAAACCATAGGTCTACGAACCCCTCCTCGTCGTTGGCCTTGACAAGTTCGCCAACGTGGACATCCGCGTCCGTGTCACCGGTGGTGGCCACACATCCCAGATCTACGCCGTCCGCCAGGCCATCGCCAAGTCCCTGATCGCCTACTACCAGAAGTACGTCGATGAGCACAGCAAGAACGCCCTGAAGACTGCCCTCGTCCAGTTCGACCGCACGCTTCTCGTTGCTGATAACCGTCGTTGCGAGCCCAAGAAGTTCGGTGGTAAGGGTGCGCGCTCTCGATTCCAGAAGTCCTACCGTTAAACGGTCGGCGCCCATGGGGAGATGGATGGAACGGTTGGCCTCGTCTGAATGGCTGGACAGGCCGGTTTGGTGGCTTCTCGAGCGGTATCGGATGGCTATGGCGACTACTACCTGTGCGGTTGGTGGCTGTCGGCTGGATCACTGGAGTCAAAAAGAGGATCCTATGCAAGGGCTATACACGCTCTATATCGTCAATGCATTTTCACGGTTTGTAAGGGAATAGGCGAATGACACGTCAATATTTTCGACCAAGCATTTGAATCGAGCCCATGAAGCATTCGTTGTTGAGCCTGGAGTAAAGTTCTATCTCTGTCTTGAAGCTGTTTCACAGCAATAGGTCCGTCCATGAGGTCTCTACAGGGCTCCTCGTAGTCGGTCATCAGATCCCAAACCCCTGGGCTTGGCAAGGGTGGAAGTACTTTGCAATGTTCGGTTGGGCGGTTTGACCTTTGTGATGAAGTAGAATCAAGATTGCCAAGACAGATTGCTCCAATAAAACTAGGAATGAACCCACGGTCAAGACAGGTGCCATCCACACCTCAAGCTCCCGACTATGCACCCCCTATCCCACATGCACAACTGATCTGCATATGGTTAGAAGTCGAGTCGTTTCGAAGTGACGCTCATTCCACAGCATTTACCCAGAATTGCATCTAGGCCTGGATGGCCTCGCGGTCTTCTCCAACAGATGTGTCTTCCGCAACGTTCATCAATGAGTAGAGCTACCCGGGTTTGCCTTCAAAGCTTAAATTGTCATCGTATAGGACTAGGGGCCAGCACTCCTTGGCGAAAGCTATCCTATCCGTGCTAGGTATTTTGAGTACGCGTCGTTTGCTCAGAAGCAAGCTAGGGGATGCCAGTCCATGAGACAGTCGTCCCTCTGCGCCGAGCATGCAGGGCAGTCTGGTCGTCGTGTATAGCCATGAGCGCGTCGTAGAGCTTGGGTAGTCTGGTGTAAGGGTATATTGCCGAAAGACCATGCTCGGTTGTGCACAGTTGGGAGAGCACTGGAGTTGTATCGTCTGGCAAACTGGTGGGTGGGCAGGGTACACAGCAATCGCATGTTTTTTTATCGCAGACAAGTTGACGATATACCACGTTCACCACCTGGAGGCGTTTCGTCGTGGCTTCATGTCCTGTTGAATACAAATATCGTGATTACGATCCGTCTCCAGCTTAACTCAACCGTCAAACTACATATACCACGATTAATTTAGAGTTGGTTGGTCCAGTGGAGTTCTGAATTCCAATCCTTCAGCCAAAAGTGCTCAATCTAATATAGACTCAATCGGAGTCTAGAGACGCGGTCTCCTATGCCAACAATAAAAGCAAGATGCAATAGCCAGAAATTCATAGACACCGCCATCGTTCTAAGCCACATATGCCCCTTCGAATCTCGCAATCCTTTCATCCCATACACCGTGAGACGGGTGTTGCGGCGATATAGTAGGTTGAGATGGTCATTGCTACTCTGCAATGAGTTCTTCTCAATGCGACGTAAACCACCCTTGCATCATTCCTGTAAGAATTGCCTGGCGACAAGCAACGAGAGCGCCCTCCCTCTTACAACGAGCGCGATTAACCTCTTCCCATGCTGTCGACTTCAAACCGCCACCAGATCGGTCGGCCGTCCATCCTCATCCAGGTGCATAACCACAGCCGCAAAATCGCCCCTCTCGTCCTCACTCTCAAAGTCCGACAACTCGGCTCGCACCATCTCGCCATCTTCCAGCATGAAGTTTCCAGACCTGACGTATTCGCCCCTCAAATCCCAATCAAGACGCCACAACCATGTCTCGAGGGCTTCGAACGCCTGGCCAACAGCCTTCTGATCCGGGGTACAACGGTCGCCCAGAGAGAGGAGCAGCTCGGTGAGCCGCGATTTGTACGTCGTCAGGGCCTTTTGCAGCTTCTTGGCGTAGCCGGGGATGGTGTCCATAATGTCACCCTCGAGATAACGGTTGTTGTAAAAGAGCTGCGCATGGAACGTTTGGATCAGGTTGCGGGCGAGTTGTGGTCTTTCTGCGGCGAGACGGTAGGAACGGAAGACGACGCGGGTTGAGTAGTACCACCATTGATCGAGGCACGAGTAGTTTCCCAGATGCATGCCAACCAGGAAGGCGAATTGTAGCTCGCCAATCAGGTCTTCGTCCTTCTTAATCTTAGTAACGATCCATGATGTTGGATCGAGGGCCTGTCGTGTCCGCTCTGAGCCCTCGGCGGTTGTATCGAAGAGGCGCTGGTCGATAGCGAAGGTGAACTGGAGTTGGGAGCCAGTGGTCGGATAGAGACGAGCTTCTTCCGGGAGACTTGTCTCGCCGGCCACTCTGTCCGTCGTACTGACGGGCCATGTCCTCCTCTGTTGCTTGCTGCCCGTGATGCGACCCAGCAAGGAGGGTTGAATAGCGAATGTGAGTTGAGACCAAATATTGCTGTCTAGAAAATCGGGCAATGGCTCGGACGGGCTGTCGGGTCGAATGACCGCAGATGTGGGTGCCTTTAACTGATAAGGAGACAGGCTGGCAAAGGTCTGCTCCAGTCCTTCCTTCTGAATTCTCTCCTCCGCCAGACTCGCCGGGTCGCTCAAGACCTCATTGAACTTGTCCCACTGCTTGATGTAGACTACGCCTGGAGCGGACTCAGCTTTTTCAGGAGTCACGATCCAACAAGCGCTGCGCGAAGACGTGGACTCGGAGGAGGCAGCCCACACAAGATGCGCCCCGGACGGAATGTCTCTGAATCCGAAGAACTGGCGAGTGGTTGTGAAGGAAATGGTATCGCAGCCCACAGTGAAATTATTGGGCAGATCGTCTAGTATGAGGACGTCGCCGCCGTGCAACAGCCCGGGACCCTTCTGCGTGGACAGGGAGGCATCAGGCGTGCCGTCAGGAATTGTAAGTGGGGTCACAGGATCCATGTTGGGGTCAATATCGTCCTTTGGCTCGTTGACATGGAGGGATCCCAGCGGAAACACACCTATGACAGGGACCGAGTCAACCGAATTCAATGAAGTCCAGCTGGGAGACTCGACGGGTTGTGGCCTAACTAATCGCCTGGACGGCGGAGGGATGCTGGGTCCGGGCACATCTTCGGTTGTTGGAGGAGGCGATCTTGTCGCCGGGTTTTGCGGGCCCATGCCGAAGATCTACGCACCGAAGAATGAAATGTTGTGGTGAGTCGACGCGAACGTAAGTGGTGTAGACTGATCCTCCCACGAGATTTGAGTACGATTTTGTATCAGAAAGAGTCCAAACTCGCCGTCGAGGGGGATTTTCAACTTGTGCTGCAGCGGTCCAACGACAAACACAGGTGAATGTTGTCTTCCTGACGGTGGCGCGGACAAGGAGAGAGACTAGTTGCAGATGCACGGACTTGCGACGACGGTCAGTTGAGTAGCGGAATTGAGAAATTAGACGATGATGTTGTCGAACATGTGCAACACAAGTATAGTTAGCGAGAGTGAGACATAGGGTTACATGAAGGACGTGATGGTGCCGTTCGCGAGCCGTGACGTTGTTTAGCTGAGCACGAGCTGTAGTCGCATTTAGCTTGCAATAGTTCCAGCGTTGAATCATACGTCATTCGCCCTGGACGCCCGTCATCGTGGGCATTTCAGCAGCGACGCGGTCGCAATAGAAACTCAGGCGCTCACAGCACTGAGCACATTGACTCTCAGGTTCATCGAGGTACGAATGCGAGTACCCTAGGGTAATGCGCATTCCAACCTACAGACCCCGGCAAGCAAACCACGGCGGGCCAATGTACACTCCCGTCTTCAACCACTGTGTCAAGGTTTGCCAAGCACAAGCACAAGCACGCGAGTTGCAGGTGAGTCGGGGGGCTTGGACGCTCTGAAAGTTTATGTCGACTTCGTTCCGGAACACCATGCGAGCGTGCTCCGGTCTTGACGGCGCCGCCCACTTAACGCTGCATGGCAGGCCGTCCAGCCCACCGATGTAGAATTGGGTCTCGGCTGCGCATACAGTTCGGAGCAGCCAAGGCCGGCATCTTTATGCGTATGCTATCGTACTTGCTGCCCCTTGAGTTGGCCTAGAGCTACCTGGAGCCACACAATGCGCACACCCCAAGCTTTCCACAGCGCTTCGGGCCGCACAGTGCAGGCGCTTCCTGTTGCCACGCCATATATATGCATAGGGGCTGGTCGCTTTGAACAAGGCAGATGAGCTCTCAGTTGAAGTACATGTACAAAACTGCAGCCTCTGGCTGCTTCCACCGTTGCCGGCTCGCCCGCGCCGTAAGTTTGCTTTGTTAGTGCGAGTTGGATAGCATCCAAGTCTAGTGCCAGGCGAGGGGGGAATACAGAAAAGAGAGAGCGGTTGGCACTAGAGTCCTTGTAGAAAGCTTGTAGCACCTTCCTGAGTGCGTTCTCTGGTCGAACCAACAGGTCTGTTCCTTTTGAACCCGCCATGCCGGTTCGGTTGAGGTAGGAGGATAGTGTGGTCTTGGTGTTGGTTCTCACGCTTTTGCTAGCATGAGCAACGGGTGTTCGTCGCTAATGAAATGCTGGCTGCAGCATGCAACCAAGGGTCGTTCGGCTCGGGTATGATTCCCGTCTGTCATTATAGCTATTAAGTCTAGGTCTGTCTCCAGCAGAAACTCTAGTCTCCATCTTCCCCAGCATCTCGGGCCGGCAGACGCCCATTCTGCTACTCCACCGACACGGGACGTTACATAGTAGTTGCAACGACACGCCGGTTTGACGGCCCTTGTCTAGCTCCAGCGACGTCTTTTCCACCCTGGACCACCACTGCCACAAGCACCACACTGCAAAGGATCCTGGACCCAACCGAGCAGCATGCCCAACATGAACGGCGCATCCATCCTGGAACGTCGAATGTTGGAACCGCGTGGCATAGCTCGTTAATCCAGTGGAACAGACTGCTGGGCATGGCTGTCATCTGGGTGCAGTGGTGCGCCGTTTATTTGGTTCTGCGCTTGCACCCATGGCTAAAATCTGCAGAACTAACATTCGCACCTGCACCCTCACTAGAGGCAAACTAAGAGGCAACCAAACCACATGGGAGAACCGGGATTCCGGGGCGGCTTTTGTCATCCACGGTCGCATGAACGGTCGGCTTAGGCGCAAAGTGTCTAGTTGGGATGACAGTTGGACTAAATTAATATCCTGGGCGAAGATCCCGCCAGGTGCTGACTCGTCCCAACACCTCGGTTACACGACTAAGGGATTTGCCCGTCGACGTTATTTTTATTCCCAATGGTCGGGTGAAACTGTACCCTGAAGTGATTGATAAAGTTACACCATGGCCAAAGTACGTACCTTAGCCAGAGTGGCCAACAAGCTTAATAAACGACCATGTTTTTACCCTTTCTGCCCAATTCAACCTGAAGTATTGCCGTGTTACACCTCAAGGTTATAGATACTTTAGTACATACACTGCCTGCCTGCCGGGTGCGCTCGATACATATCCATTGTATCCTCCAGCATCCAGGCCGTACCGTCGCACAGCATAACACAGGCTTTCGTCATCATCTCGTTGTCTTGCCCTACCACGACGCCCCTGCTGCTCGCCTCCCCGGCATCAGAATAACTTACGAGGCAGGTCTCGTGGACCATGTGGCCTTATGGCAAGCGGGGTGTCACCAACGGAGAGGAAAAGCGACCAGGGCCTTCGTTCGCTTAAAAAGAAGAACTCGGGATAGGGTGTGGTTACACAGCATACGTACCCAACCCAGAGCTACTGTAGCTAGCTGTACAGTGACTACTACTTACTGACTTGCCAAGTCTGCAAACTTGTCCCTGCCGCCCGCAGGCTCGTTGCGTGCAGTTGCACCTCGTGGTCAGGGTCGCACAAGGGGTACTAATGTAGTAAGGACTATGTAGCTGACAGAATACCCCAGAGAGAGCAAAATAAAATAAAACCAAAATGCATTCTTACCAGGTCCTCGGGTCAGCATTAGCGCCTTTCTTCCGTACGGAGGGTGGACTGATGTCTGCATCAGTTCCGAATATGCATGCAGTATGCTTAACCCATTGAAACCGGCGAGGTATTCTGCCCAGTAAAGCCCAGCACATTATGCAGTGTTTCCAAACCATCAAGTGTGGAGGGACGGGTCCATTGCTTGTACAACAATGCATTTTGTCTCAATAATGGACGGAGCCTATGTATCAACAACTCAAACGTTTTATTTGTTGCCCAAACTATCAAACAACTCAATGTGTCCGTCTTCCTCTCGGCGAAGGTATCGCGATCCGCTACCTCAGCCACCCCACCACCTGACCCCAGGTGGCTTCACGACGTCCTTGTGCTGAGAACGGATAGCTCTTTTCGTGTATTAGCGAGCCATCCGACCTCTACCATGCCCATTTTACTCTAACAAGATCTCTCACCTCGCACACAGAAGCGGAGTCATATGTGCTGAACCTCTTGGGCGTGAACTCAAATGTACGGTAGAACGAGTAGCCGAGACTCGCGCCCATTTTCTGTCCTCCAAACCCTGCCTGCAACCGCATGCATGCCTGCCACTGACAAATCAAGATGCCTGAAGGGTATTTTGTCCCCCAGATCAACGCAACTGAACAAAGGTCGCCCCCAACAGAATGAATCCAGCCTCCTGAAGCCGTTCACTATGCTATATCAAAGAGAGAAAAAACGAGGTCATAACTGTTGCCATGCTGATGCGTTTACGTAGTGTCGTCAATTCGGTCTGAACCGAAAAGTTCCAGAAGTCTAGAACAGTGCCGAATGGTGTGTGTGCCGCGGGGAAAGGAAGATATGAACGGGAATCGATTATGGTACATCGAGGCTGAGTCGCAAATGGTCTCACGCTGTCGTGGTCTTCATTTTGTTCGGCCTTGGGCCAAAGACAACGGAACTTGACTATGAGCTTGGTTGCCCCCCAGTGTCTGTCGTATGCCGTTAGCACTGCCTAATAAACGCCGCCCCAGAGTGCACTTTTACTGACGTTGGCTGTACATCTGCTGGTTGGGAGGCGCATATGGCGATGCCGGCTGCTGGTAATTGGGGTACATGTGGTTAGTCGGGCTATACTCGGCGACCTGAGCAACCCCCGTTGCAGAGCCCGGTGGTGCAGGGTACTGTCCGCCTGGCTGATAGCCAATAGGTGGCAGCTGAACCTGTCGACCTGCCGCGTACGATTGCGGAGCTTGAGCACCGTCGGCGACATCTGGGCCTGAAGCGCCGTTTTGGTGGGCGACCTGGGCAGCGGCAGCAGCATGCTGAGCTTGGCGCTGGCGCTCAGCCTCCTCAGCAGCCTTGCGTTGTTGCTCCTCCTCCTTCTTGCGAGCCTTCCATTCCTTTCGGATTTCCTTGAATTCTGCAGAGGCAAACATGTTAGCGCACTTTGTTGAGCCTCAATTGTCCCCTGCCGTTGGATAGGCCTTGTCAACTGCCCCCCTCTCCCCACCCGCTCCTCTCCCCAACCAAGCTAAGACACTAGGTGGACTAGCCCAGATACCCTGCTGCTTAAAGGGAGAACCTAAGCAGGAACAAGCTTCCACCGAGCCCCAAGCCTCAAACTCCAAACCTGAGCTTCAAAAAGTTGTTTTCTTTTAAATACTTCATCTTCAGGCGCATCGCGTCAAAACGTAGGATGCTAATATAAACACACGTACCCTCTGGAGTTCGCTTCTGCCCATGACTTTGCATGGTGACATGCGCGTTCAAATGGTTCAAAGTCCCGTATGCCTTTTCGCAGCCGTTCCACCCGCATTTGTACATGCGCTCGATCTCTTCATATCGCCGCCGGGGTCTCTTATGCTGCTGCGCGCCAGGGATCGGCACAAACGAGTATACCTGTTGTTGTCCGTACTGTCAATCTCAAATCAGCCATTTCATGGTTTTACAAGGAAAAAAGCAAAATCGTCGCATTTAGCAAATATGTCGGCACGCCCCAGATTTCCGGCGAGCCGAGACTGATTCAAAACGCACAAAATACACACACTTCTTTTCCTCGTCCATGGGTTAGGAAGGAATCGTTAAACCTACCTGAGCTGGTCGACCGGGAGGTGCCGCCGACGTTGGAGTGCCAGGGTAGACGGGTTGGTGGGACATGTGCCCACCGGGTTGTCCATATTGTCCCCAATCAGGTCGAGGAGGCGCATATATTCCACCACTTTGAGGGTAATGATGCGACATGTCTTGAGAAGGCGGCGCGTATGGCGAGTATGACTGACCGTACGTAGGGCTAGGTGCGGCGATGGAGGGATCTATGGGTACATCGCTGTCAGATTTGACCTGCTGGGCTTGATGGTTGCGGCCATCTTGCAATGGCATGGACGGACTTGTTGGTGTTTGCGCCATACCTCCACTGCTGCCGCTGTGGTTGCCTGCCGGATGGTATGCTCGATGAATATGTTCAGGGAACGAACCTGACCGCGCCGAACCCGGTGGGTATACGCTGTATTCCGACGTGGGTGTGGCCGATGTGGAATAGTTTGTCGACCTCGTTTCCTGCCCACTCGAGTACTGGGCGGACCCGTGTTCTGCCGACGATGCTTCAGACTGGTTGTCGCCGTACGTGCTTGGGTAGGGCGAAGGCAAACCTGACTGCGTGTACTCCGGGGCACTCCGTTCCATAGAGGTGTTGGGGGTCGGCGCTTCCGGGCTTTGATATCCTAGATGTTGTCTTGACGAGCGCGGCGGTCGACGATGGTCAACAAACGCGTGCTGATTCGGCTCCGTTGACACCGCAAACATAAGGTAGTAGTGCCGGAGGATGGAAGGAGTGAATGGCCGGGTGCTCTAGTTCTTGAACCAGGTTCACCAGCGCAAGTTGGTCGGTGACGGTGTCTCGGTGGTGGTGATAGGCTAATTGACTGGGGAGGAAAGGGAAGGCAGGAGCGAGATGCGGCTGCGTTGGTGTATTTGTCCGCGGCAAGTCTGTCTGTGGCCCAGGAGAATAGCGCAGATCGTCTTGGTTGGATGATAATTATCCTGATGCCGACTCCACCTACTAGCTCAATGTCCTTCAAGCCACCAGTGCTCAAGAGGAGCTGCAGAGTGTGGCTCCACGATGCGTCGTTGTAGGATGGCAACAAGGATGAAGGGTCGTGCGGTGTAAACTTAAGACCACGGACGCCAATTTAGGTGATTTGCGTTGCAGTCGACTAGTACACAAGCGTACTTCGTACGTGACTGTAGAAACTCGGGGTCAAGTATGTAATGAGTCGGTACGTCGCTGCACGGCCAGGAGGCCTTGGCTCCTCACGGAAGGGGGGCAGACTTTCGACTAAAAAAATAGTGCTGATAGAGAAGGTTGGGATGATGGAGCTTGCACTGAACTTCGTTAGGCCGTAAAGATAGCGCGTGATGTTAAAGTGCCAGGGTTGGTGATTATTGTGGTTGGCGCGTTTTTGCCCGCACAGGTAGTAGTGCAAGGTGAGGTGCCCAGGAGATCAAGTTTTGCGCCCCCAAAGATTCTGGACTCCCAATGACGACAAAGACGCTGAGGGGATTTTGGCTCCACTGCGGCTGTTTATAAAGACCAGGACGATCTTGGATGGTGATGAAGTCAATCCGTTTGGCGACCCCAATGTTCTCAGGATGGATATGTAGTTCAGTTGTGAAATTGAGCTAGTCTTAGTGCCGGAAGGTGTCCGTGTTTTATATCAGACCAAGTACGCCCAAGGGTCCTCCGCAATTGCCCCTCCCTGAAGGAGAAAAAATTAATCGGACACGCGGTTGTAAGGACTGGCAGCCTGGGGACTTGCTGTTTAGAGGGGGTGTGGTGTCGCTTGGACGAGTAGAAAGACGCGCAAGTCGAGCGCGGGTGAGTGAAGATCGAAGAAGAAACAAGGTGGGAACGTAGTGGGAGAGAGGAGCGAAACAAAAAGTCCGGTCAAGAATTCCTATTTCTGAACTTTCCGGTCCAATTCCCAGGTGACGCGGGCGTGGTTGCCGTAAACCGTTGCCGGGGACAGTTAGACCGAAAAAGAATTGATTGATTGGGAACGACAGCTCGGATCGCAACAGCAGCACTGAAGATGAAATTAAAGGCTGGAGAGCGACCTGGCTTTTGATTACTGATGGCTATTGTGTCTGTCTGTCCGTCTGTCCGTCTGTCCACGGCAGGCGGGCGAGTGTGCGGTCGTTTGAGAAAGTACATAGACAACTGTGGACCTTTCAGGGAGCGCAAGAAGCTCAGTGGGTGGGTTTTGGGAGGCTGAGCAGTGCGAGTAACTGCCTAGGGTGACCTGTCAACCTCTGTCGCCCAGCCCGCAAATGGACACAAGTTGCAGCACGCACAGTGGATTGTCCATCCATCCATCCTCCAAATGATTATTATATCCTTGACCTACGAGACCGCCCAGTGGCCAGGCGCGATTCTCAGAATCCCAATCACCACCTTCCCGGTACGTATCTACGTACCCTCACTCCATGCGCCTCCAAGCCCCCTAGAACCTTGCACTTTCCACCTGGTTGATGAGGAAGTGTACTCTTGTGTTATCTGCACTGTGTACAGTGTGTGGGGACGTGCAGCATGCATAAGACGTCCACTCAGCTCTTTCGTGTCCATTGCATCGGCGAGTCCTTGAGCCGTCTTGCCCGAGGTCATTGTTCTTTTACTGCGGGACTGACAGGGCCTCTGAATGCTGACAGCAAGCCAGTGTAACAGAATGCACTCTTCTTTCAACTGACGGCTTGTCTTTGGACCGTTCTTCTGTCTGTGTGAGCGCTAAAGATTCGGCAATCTGAGTCTACTGGCACAGATGGGCGACTACTCGCACCATTATGAGATGGAGGGACGAACTTGACGGGCCACAATCCACGTTGTTCGAGGAAAGCCAAGGTGTGTTCCATGCACCCGGCAACAGGGGAGGGCTGTCCCAGCTTGCATTTACTAAAAGACATTATCGAGTATTGGGATTAGCTTTGCAGACATTTTGAGGCAGATCTCCTTTGTCCAAACGAACGCACTCGGCCACTGGTGCCGGATCACCTGCTGACTCGTGCGCGATGGGCTCCATTCGCACGAGAAGCCTGAACCAATACGATGATGACCTGCCAGCACAAGCAGGGCCTACATCGTCAAACCCACCGTACACGGCGAGTGGCTCCGGGGAATACTCAGCAAGCAGCAAGCCATGGCAGCATCGACACGAGCCCCGTCGTTTGCTAGAGGCTATAGTGGAGCAGTTATCAATTGGAGCCAGATCCAGAATACACTCACCTGGATTTGTATGGCCATTCATTGTTCGGCTTGTGGGCGCTCCGTAGAGTTTCCAAGGATATTTCCGCCTGATATCACCGAAATCCAGCAGTAGCGGAACCACAGAACCGACGAGGGCAGGCCAAACCGATGACTACAAGGGCGCGCTCGGCATGAGCAAGCCTATGGATTCTTGACTGCACATGTGATTCGCGGGAGTTGGTGAGAGGACCACGAGTCCGGGACGCACGAATCATTCCACGCGGTGCCATTGCACCAGAGAAGAGGTGAGGCCTGCTGGCTTTTCGAAATACTGCAACGCGATTTTTTCTCCTTGTGGCAAGCCAGCACATTTTTCTGACTGGTCCGCTCGCGGAGATACGACGGCGCGTGATGCGGAACAACCATGACAAATTTCTTCAACAGAAAACTCTATTTGCCTCTCAGGCCCTGTCAACCAGTGGTGGAGGTGAGAGATCACAGATGTCGTGAAATCATCCGAATAGGAAAGCCACCGAGCTGTGGAGGTGCGGTGAACACTTTGCAAAGGGTACCCTAGCTCGCGTGGCATCGGGACAAGCTGTTGACATGGGGTGAATAGAGGGTGTGGAGTAGATCGAATTAACGCGGCCGCGACAACTGGCTGGACGCATGGAACCACGAATAACGAATAACGAATGACGAAAGCGAGTAAAAGGATCACAGAGTCGTCAGCATATCTTCAGACTCGACAATGCCACCCACATAGACCTCCTATTTCACCGCCACTGCCTACTACATGTCATACCTGCTGGAGGTTTTGCGAGCTACGGAGTACATGAGATGACGCGGTAACTTATCAATGGCTAGACAAGTTCATCTATCATGTTAGCCAGAAGTCCGTGCTTCGACTTGGCTATACGGAATTGTCCCGGCCATCCAAAAGTGCCTATTTATTATCTGGCCGGCTTGAATATCAGAAACCTGGGCGATAGAGCGTCTCATCGGGCTAACTCGCATACATATCGCAATATATGTGAAATCCAGAAGAAACTGGAGATGCTTGGGGCATCGTGGTCGAGACTCAAACAGCCTTGTGGGCGACTTCTCAATGGACTTCGGGCTCGACTGTGGGAGTGGGCCGTTGCGGAGCGAATAGTTTGGTCAGGCCTCCTCTTTTTTTTAGTCTCCAGTTCTCCTCTGAACGGAATCAGGTCTCCGAGAACTTTTTACGGCTTTGCGCCATCACCAACCGTCCTCTGCGAAGTACGTCCTCGAGCGCAGTTTATGGGATCCTTGGGTGTGTGGATGGTGATGTCAAACCAAACTCAAAGCCGACCACGGTTGCCAGTATTGGAAATGTGGTTATTATCATCATTGATGGCTTTGGGCGAAACAGCCACTTGGGGTCACTCTGTCCCCAGTCGTTCCGTGCTAACCGGATACTAGCTAGTGGGACATCACATCACAATGTAAGGGGGGCTGGTATGGTCATCACTTTCCTGGTTAGAGCATGCGTTCGGCGCTTCGGTGCAGATGCAGACACGCCGACAGCCACCAGGTTTTATCATGTCGTGGTGAGTCTGATGAATGATCAAGTTGCTTACCAGACGCAGGGCGGTAGGGGGGCACACATCGACCCGTACAAAGTCAAAAGTGATTAGTTCTCTACACCTCTCCATATGCGTCAAACATGTTACGGCATCAGCTAGATTTAACAATCAACGCGCCAAACATGGTTCCCCAGAATGATTTCCCGCTAAGGTGATCTGTCGAGCCTTTTAGGGGCGCCAGCGTCGTTAGATCTCTGGCGACCCAAATCTCTGGAATAGACTAAAATCGCGTTAATGCTATGGAGGGGCACAGTGTTTCCTAGTTGGTCAGTTACTACTTGCCAGTGGCATTGCTCTAGCAAGCTCGAGACTATAATCCAACGTCATGTCACGATGGGCAGGACAGAAAAAAGCCCTACGGGCGATTGTTGTCTGCTTGGGGGCTCGGGGCAGATGAATCCATTGTGATAATTAAAAGTCATTCGCAACTTTTTTTTGTACGGGCGTTGTCGCGATTCCCCCACAGCATGTGCACACCGCCATCTGATGAATCGCGACTTTTCCAAGCCCAGCCCCCGAGCCGGCAAGCCCAACCGTGGAGAGATGGGATGTACAACGAGCAAAGCTACCTTACTTACCCATTTCCGAACACGAATTAGCAAATAGCCAGATCTGCATAATAGAGGAATCACAGCACGTCGCAGCATTGTCCCCATGCCAATGATACATAGTAGGAACGAACCATCATCATGTCGTCCCAGCTGGCAACCACATCATTCGCTACTCTACCCTGGCCGTCTCATGATGCACCATGTCGGCTACCTCCTATCATCACAGGCAAGGCAAAGGACAATGTACCACAGGGTCCGTCACGTACACATCATCAAAACTGCGGC